AACACCCTAACACCCTAACACCCTAACACCCTAACACCCTAACACCCTAACACCCTAACACCCTAACACCCTAACACCCTAACACCCTAACACCCTAACACCCTAACACCCTAACACCCTAACACCCTAACACCCTAACACCCTAACACCCTAACACCCTAACACCCTAACACCCTAACACCCTAACACCCTAACACCCTAACACCCTAACACCCTAACACCCTAACACCCTAACACCCTAACACCCTAACACCCTAACACCCTAACACCCTAACACCCTAACACCCTAACACCCTAACACCCTAACACCCTAACACCCTAACACCCTACACCCTAACACCCTAACACCCTAACACCCTAACACCCTAACACCCTAACACCCTAACACCCTAACACCCTAACACCCTAACACCCTAACACCCTAACACCCTAACACCCTAACACCCTAACACCCTAACACCCTAACACCCTAACACCCTAACACCCTAACACCCTAACACCCTAACACCCTAACACCCTAACACCCCTAACACCCTAACACCCTAACACCCTAACACCCTAACACCCTAACACCCTAACACCCTAACACCCTAACACCCTAACACCCTAACACCCTAACACCCTAACACCCTAACACCCTAACACCCTAACACCCTAACACCCTAACACCCTAACACCCTAACACCCTAACACCCTAACACCCTAACACCCTAACACCCTAACACCCTAACACCCTAACACCCTAACACCCTAACACCCTAACACCCTAACACCCTAACACCCTAACACCCTAACACCCTAACACCCTAACACCCTAACACCCTAACACCCTAACACCCTAACACCCTAACACCCTAACACCCTAACACCCTAACACCCAACACCCTAACACCCTAACACCCTAACACCCTAACACCCTAACACCCTAACACCCTAACACCCTAACACCCTAACACCCTAACACCCTAACACCCTAACACCCTAACACCCTAACACCCTAACACCCTAACACCCTAACACCCTAACACCCTAACACCCTAACACCCTAACACCCTAACACCCTAACACCCTAACACCCTAACACCCTAACACCCTAACACCCTAACACCCTAACACCCTAACACCCTAACACCCTAACACCCTAACACCCTAACACCCTAACACCCTAACACCCTAACACCCTAACACCCTAACACCCTAACACCCTAACACCCTAACACCCTAACACCCTAACACCCTAACACCCTAACACCCTAACACCCTAACACCCTAACACCCTAACACCCTAACACCCTAACACCCTAACACCCTAACACCCTAACACCCTAACACCCTAACACCCTAACACCCTAACACCCTAACACCCTAACACCCTAACACCCTAACACCCTAACACCCTAACACCCTAACACCCTAACACCCTAACACCCTAACACCCTAACACCCTAACACCCTAACACCCTAACACCCTAACACCCTAACACCCTAACACCCTAACACCCTAACACCCTAACACCCTAACACCCTAACACCCTAACACCCTAACACCCTAACACCCTAACACCCTAACACCCTAACACCCTAACACCCTAACACCCTAACACCCTAACACCCTAACACCCTAACACCCTAACACCCTAACACCCTAACACCCTAACACCCTAACACCCTAACACCCTAACACCCTAACACCCTAACACCCTAACACCCTAACACCCTAACACCCTAACACCCTAACACCCTAACACCCTAACACCCTAACACCCTAACACCCTAACACCCTAACACCCTAACACCCTAACACCCTAACACCCTAACACCCTAACACCCTAACACCCTAACACCCTAACACCCTAACACCCTAACACCCTAACACCCTAACACCCTAACACCCTAACACCCTAACACCCTAACACCCTAACACCCTAACACCCTAACACCCTAACACCCTAACACCCTAACACCCTAACACCCTAACACCCTAACACCCTAACACCCTAACACCCTAACACCCTAACACCCTAACACCCTAACACCCTAACACCCTAACACCCTAACACCCTAACACCCTAACACCCTAACACCCTAACACCCTAACACCCTAACACCCTAACACCCTAACACCCTAACACCCTAACACCCTAACACCCTAACACCCTAACACCCTAACACCCTAACACCCTAACACCCTAACACACCCTAACACCCTAACACCCTAACACCCTAACACCCTAACACCCCTAACACCCTAACACCCTAACACCCTAACACCCTAACACCCTAACACCCTAACACCCTAACACCCTAACACCCTAACACCCTAACACCCTAACACCCTAACACCCTAACACCCTAACACCCTAACACCCCTAACACCCTAACACCCTAACACCCTAACACCCTAACACCCTAACACCCTAACACCCTAACACCCTAACACCCTAACACCCTAGACACCCTAGGCACCCTTTCACCCTAACACCCTAAGTCAAATTCTAAATGTTTCCTATAAAAGACTTGGGCTTTTTCCTTGACATAAAACAATCTTCGGCACTTCGCTTTCTTTTGCATGTTCCGCTTCAAACTTCATATACTCTTTCCATATTTGTACGTTTTTCATATTAAACCTCACCTCTCTTTGCATAATCCCTCTTGCTGAATCACATCACTTTTAATTTTCTCTTCAATATACCTTGCAATCAGCCACATATCAATATTTGTAGGGTGCAATTGTAAAACTTTTGTTATAACCTTGCTTAACTGTCTGTGTGATTTTGACCTCACACAGAAGTTTATGAACTCTTTTCAGGCATCTGGGTCTGCTTTGAAACGAGTTGTAAACCTCTGGAAAAGGTTAATGATTTTCCTTATAATAGCTCTATCAGAAGCAGCTGGCTTTAAGTTTAATTCTTGTTTTCTTTCAAGTCTTTTTTCTTCTAATATAAGCTCATGTTGTATGGCAGACAAAAAATGGTGCTTTAATGGGACACTTCGGGCAAGCTTGTACCCGAACTCACGGATCTTGTCTATGATTTCGGTGACTTGGGCTTCTGTGAAGATTTCATGCTCAATCATGCTCATTAGGTCGGGGGCCATGTCCTCTAGAATGCCCTGCACCATATCTGCCATTTTAATATGTTTGACATAAAAGGATTTATTGATTTTCTTACCATTAGAGGATGAAATATGCAAAGTCGAGAAAGCATATTTAATTTGTACATCGACTTTATAGTATCAATTTTATTAACGACATATCAGGCCGAGACCATATTGAACTACTCAAAAAATTGCTGATTTTCACTATAATAAAGGAGATACTTTAGGTGAATTAGGAAGATATCCAGAAGCAGTAGAAAGCTATGATAAAGCAATCAAAATCAATCCAAATAATGCAGGTTTTATAATCGTAAAGGCAATAATCTTTATGCTTTAGCTAAAGTATGAAGGAAATTGGAATGCAAAAATTTTAAAAATCATCCATTTAATAATTATAATATGAGGGCGAAGAAATGTTTCGAGTCAGGGTGCATGAATGAGGTTGAGCATGAAAATATTAAGAGTTTAAAAGGGCCTGAAAATGCAAACAATTCAATAAAAAAAAGCCTAAAAAGTGGGGCAAGATTGCTTAATTCTAAAATAAGCGCTGTTTCTAATTATCTCAATAGTAAGCCCAAGGGAACAGAGAGTGCTTTAAAAGTTATAGACATCTTAAGAAATAAAACTGCTGAGATAATGAGTAGATGAAACAATTCAGAATTAGAGATAGACTTCAGAAAAACTTGCTCTGCAATTCAGGCTAATTCTAATTTTTATGATCCACCAGTAATGCAAGCTTACCAAGATTATCTTAAAGCTTATCAACAAAAATCATCTCTTTATAATATTACAACAGATTATAAAACCGAAAGAACTAATTTGCAAATTTATAACACTGAAACTGAAGCCCAAGAAGTCAAAATCTTGTGGACTCCGCAATTACTAGACAAGGAAACTTGCATAACTCAACTTCCAAATGGCAAGCTATTCTGTTATGGTAATAATACACTTTCTGGAATTACAGTGCTAATTGATGTGAACGGTGGAATCAAAGTGTTGCCATCCGGAACAAAAAAATCGCAGTTATTTTTTATAAATTTTGTATACTTTGCATGAATTAGGAATATATTCAGAAGCAGTAGAAAGCTATAACCAAGCAATTCAAATTATGCCGCAAAATGCCAAGTTTTATAATAGTAAAGGCAATACTCTTTATGCTTTAAGGAGATATCAAGAAGCAATAAAATGCTATGATGAGGCAATTAAACTTGAACCCAATAATCCTTTGCATTTCTGCAGCCGAGCAAGAGTATTTAATAGTCTCAGACAAGAACGAGCAGCTTTGAGCGACCTTAATAGGGCTTATAATTTAAAGCAAAAATATCAAGTAAGTGGTGTTTTCACTGGGGATGAATGGGGGCTTTCTGAAAAAGACATAAATTTTATTAACGACGCATTACGCCGATCCCTAAAGAACTATTCCAAAAAATACAGGTTTAGATAAAATTTAGTTATAATAAGCAGTCATTATAATAATTATATATTTGAGCAATTCAATTTCACTCAATTCATGCCAATATTCATCTCTTTCCTTAAGTTTTCCACGACTTCTTTTGCTTTCAAATGTTTGGTTTGTATATGATACAATATCCTGGAGCACTTCACTTGTAAAAAACAAATTGAATATTTCAGTGATTGAATAATTATCTGGAACTCTTATATTTGGCTTCTCGCATTCAACCTCCATTTCTTCAAAATATTCAGGCTGCACTTCATTCCAGCCTTGAAACCCACTATCTGTTGGCTGCATGCAGCCCATTTTAATAGGATATGCATCCATTTTAATTATATACCTATGAGGCTACTATATGCCATTAAGCTAAATATAACATATAAAAATTTAATAAAAAAAATATGCACACAATAATGGTACAATCGACCCGCAGCCAGTTAAAGGAACAAAAGAAGCACTTCTTAGGTTTTTACAAAAGAATAGTCAAAAAATAGCAAGCTGAAGGGAAAAATCCTAGCATCCTTTAGCTAACGTTTAGTTGAATCAAGAAACGGCATTGAAGAGCTTTTTGAATCAGTTTCAGATGAACTAAGAAATTATTTTACAAAAATTTCTCATAACCTCCTTTAAATGGTTAATTTTTTTCATGGATTTATTTATTTATTTCTTGGATAATAACTAAGCCTTCTTGCGTTACAGTAAACTGAACCCAACATTTATTTGTAGCTTTCTTAATTTTTCAATAATTTCCCTCTGTCTATTTCTTTTTCAGAAAAATCTTTTCTTATTCTAATAAATCTTGAGTAAGTCTCGGCGTCCTTTCTCTGATCTCTATTCATTATCAGCTCCCAAGTCATAATTTTTTCATTGATTGGTACCCTCCGTGGCCTTTTACGAGGTTGCTTTTTAATAAGTCTACTTTCATAATTTCATGATGAATTTTTACCTGCTCATCTTTAATCTGGGAACTTAATTTTTTTATATCTTCGCAAGCCTTTCATTTTTTTTGGTAGTCTTTATAAGCTGCTCCTGGGTTTCGATTTCTTTCAAAAAAATATTTTTTTATCTTTTCAGCGAATTTTTTCTATTAAAGTGGCTGCATTGGTTAAATTACCTTTTTAGCTTATTTCAAGAACTTTTCTTGATCAAAATGTAAAATTTCTACTCTAATTCTTTTATTTTTTCTTCTTAGTCAAGTATTTCACCATGAGATCCACTTTCTCCACCAAATCTGACTGAACCAGCCAATATTCCTCCCTCATCTGAAGTAAAAAAACTATTTATTCTTAAAGCAATATTATAGTCGAACGCGTGCTCTTTAATCAGCATTTTTCATTTACCACCAAATTGAACTTTGTAGAAAACAATACCACGGAGTATCATTTTGTCAAAATATCTATAATGCTTATCATTATTATGCAAATCAAAAGCAATCTTCATGCATTGCTTTACACAGATCAGCCAAAGTACATTCTCCGCTTTTTCCTTGACATGACTAATATCAGCTGTATCAAGCTTCTTATACTCATGAATGATAATACTAGTCTTTTTATGTTTAGTAGGGATGAAAATCCCATCAACCTTCCTCCTAAATTTATTTGGTGTTTCCAAATGCAATGTATAATTTGCATCTCCTGTCTCTATTGAGGCTAGCATCGCTATTCCTCCTAATAAGATTTGAAAATCTGCCTCTGCTTTACTAGTGTTATCGGCCATCTGATCAAGAATCTTTGATTGAATAAGATTTTGGAACTCAAATTTATCATCTAAGCTGGTGGTAAACTTCTCAACTATCTTATCAATATTAACTTTTCCTAAACCTATTTTTCTATTAATTCATTCTAAAAGTAGCGATTTGTAAAAATGCTTTTTTATTTCTCTATTAGGAACTACATGTATTCAAGAGCTCACAAGATTTTTCTCTTCCATTTTAGTTGTGCTATATGGTGTTAAATAGCCAGCATGCAGCAATAGGGTTTAAAAATTTTTTGTGCTGCTTAGATCTAATGACAAATTTATATAGCTTTAATTCCTCTTGACAATTCAAGATAGCCAGTTCTCATTATTTCAAATAATTCATCATAAGATTGTAGGTCATTAAATGCTGGCACCAGTGGATTAAGGCCATTAGCAAAGGTTCAATAAGGCTTGAAAGGATTGCTATTTTGGATTCTTCCTTTATTTATGCAGTTCATTATTGAGTAAAGATTGTAAATTTTTTGTCCGCAAATATTATATCCGTTATATCACAGCTTAATTAATCCTTTTTGCTCTAGCATGTCCTTCTCTGAATTACTTTGCAAGTTTTTCTCGATTAGAGTATTTACATCTGGAACTCCTTGCTGCGATTCATCAGCAATAGCACTCTAACTGAATGAAACATCGATTAAGTTTCATATGCACAAAAATTATACCATAGCCTAGGTGAAAACCCTGTTTCTTAGTATATGTGATATCAAGATCCAAAAAAGCTACTGGACACCTTTATTCTTAGTTATTCTTAGTCACAAGGGAAATCCAAAGACTATCGAATGCATATCATCTGAGGCTGCTCTTGATTCTCAGACTGGATCGATCCCAGTTCGATTTTAGCTTTAATTTTTGGACTGTTGTGCCAAGAGAAGCTCCATTTTAATATATATTAAACTCTTCAGCTAAAACCCAATATTTATTTCAGCAATTCTGTATATTGTTTTGGAGGATGAAATAATTTTAATTGTTTACCTCTATCCAGTAGATTTGATATTGACGAAAATCGATGAATTTCATTGACTCCAATGCCTAAAGCTGATATTTATTGTCATATCATATTTTTTAATAGCAATATTTTGGTTGCTGGATACTTAAATAGAAATATTTTGATATATTCGATTGATCTCGATTCATTTTCAAATGTACCTTATGATTTTACATATAGTTACAGAAAGATTTTGATAAATGCAGAAAGAGTATATTTAATTGAGTGCAAAAGGGGAATCTATGAAAGTGAAATTGGGGATGAATATAATTGAAAAAGAATAGCAGAGTCAGCTATACTAATTGCCCGAGGATGGCGCAAGATAGCGCCATCCTCGGGCAATTCCTATATCTTCATGAGCCTATAAATAATTGGATGATATAGACAAAGATAGGAGTCTACATTGGGGAAGCTATGGTTTGCATGAACAGATACTACAAATTTTGTTTAAGTAAAAAAAGATGACTTTAATTTAAGAAGATTTGTCTTAACTATTTATTAACTCTTCTGCAGGATTGCTCATCATATTCTCTTATGACTGGGCTTTGATCAGCAATCAAAGCCTATTAATAAGCAAATTTAATGGTATAAAATAACAGAATTCAGATGACGGAGACACGATTCCATGTGCGAAATTCCTGAAAGCGGGGATTTGCTATCATTGCCAATGATAGCTCAATAATATCCTTACAAAACGGTCGTCCATGCACAAATGCAAATGCTTGCTTCACGAAAACTCAAAATATATATATTTGAAGACTATAAGCCTAGAATCATGCTTAAAATAGTGCAAATTTTAAACTCCTATAAGTGGATATTAAAAATCAGATTTCGCTTTAAATTTATTAGTGTCGATTCCAAGGTCCTCAAGTGAAATGCTTTCATTGCTTGTGTGCAAATTGCTGTTAGGATTGACCACAATAATCTTTATAACTACACTATTTCAAAAAATTCTATGCTATCTTGGGTCGCTTTACGAATAAAATGAGGATAATGCTCTGTCTGTAATATTGAGTCTGAGGGATAAATCATAAAATTGGTAAGATTTTAAAGAATAGAGTTTGGAATCGCTACAGAATTTGGCACCCAATGTCTTATTTTTTTAATCTTAATCTTAATTTATAGTTAGACTAAGCCTCTTGGATACGCATTCATCAAATTCATCAAGGATACTTGTGGGTTCATTTCGCTGTGTGATATCCCCTGCCAACACCTTCTTGGTTAATAGCACACCTGGCAAGTTGGTTTGAGCATCATCTTGTTTCTCCTGATCCTCCTGCCATGGATATCTGAAGCGTGACTAGCTGAGGATGCCTCCTCGCCTTCGGCTGAATTATTGAGTGGTAGACATGGACTTATCGAGCTCTACAAAGTGCACTGATTAAACGTGGTTAATTACACAGAAAGAATTACCGGCTGGCTGTTAACAAAAGCTTGAAGCTCAGGGTGCAACTCCTATTTATATGCTAGATATTTACCCGATAGGTCTAGGCATTTCCTGTAGGCTTGGCTAAGCTCCTTTTCAAACCCCCTGCTTCATTTTCCACGAAGTAAAACCAGTTCTGAAAGAGGACTAGAGCTATAGTCCACACATTCTTGAATTCCTAGCATAGCATAGCTATCCATTTCTAAGCTGGCAAAGCCTTGCCATATATAATTAAATATGCGCTTGAGGCTATATTTACTGGAGCCATGCCTCAGGTTGAGACACCAAATTTAATTATTCATTCGCCCAATGTCATATCGAGTATTATAAGGAATCTTTTTATTAATAAAACATTGTGCATGCTATATGATTTTAAGCTAAGTAAAGAAAAGTAAGATAGTTAAATTATGTGAAGAATAATAGTTTAGCTTAATGTAACCTTTTCATTTGTAAACTAAATAGTGCAAAAAATTGCTGCTATTCTTCGTTATCATTAACAGAATAAATTATTAGATTGCTAAATAAATGAACTGCTGAAAACAAGGATGCAGCCAAAAATGTGAGTTTTTATGCCTGCATGGAGGGAGCCAAGCCTATTTAACCCATTTATGTAAAACCTCTTATGAGCATCATTCTCTTGACTATAAGATAGAATTAAGCAGCTAGCTTGATCAGAAGTTTCTATTCATTATAAAAAGAGATATGCCAAAGTCACATTAAGGATCATTTAAATTCAGACATAAGCATATGCCATGACATTGATGGACTTTATGCCCAGCCTAATATCGATACAAAATTTTCTCTAATTAAATATCTCCAAAGCCTGCTATCAAACTCTGAAAACTTGAAGAATCAATTGGTCAGAGAACTGAGAGACAAAATTCAAGCCATTTCCACCTTATACAGCCAGCAACTAAAAAAAATAAACGAAATTGAATGGGAATATCAGTTATTAATTAAAAAACTCATACAAGTTAAAGAAATCCCAAGAATTTCTCCTAACAAACTTGAAGGTTTATTAGTTTTGCCCTCTAAAACAGCGCTGGAAAGGTTCCACAACTTTGAGTATGTCACCAAAGGAATAAGACTTGGCTTAAGCCCGTATCACAAAGCTGAAATTTTCGTATTTAAGCAATATTCCAGAAATTTATTAAGATTATCCCTAGATAGCCTACAAACTGTCGTCCGCAACTTGCCTGAACTAGAAACAACGATTGAAAACCATATTTCTTTATGCAAGCTTCCAAATAATAAAATTTTTTGCTATGGGAATATTTGACCAGAAATTTCGAGTTCTTTGTCTTCGCCTAGAGGGACATCATTTGTAATTAATGAGGATTTTTCAATCATACCTATAAAAGATGGGAAACCTCGGAGTGGGGCGACTTCAGTTTATTATGAAAATTCTGTTTATGTATTTGGGGGGTGAAGCACAAAATTACATATTATTGATAGAATTACGGATTCTGCTGATAAATTTGATATTGAAAAAGGGGTTTGAGAAGCTTTAAATAGAATGCCTGAGCCTTCGATTTACGTATATACTTTAGTTTACAATGATTCGATATTGCTTTCAGGATATAATCATCATAAATTGTATTGCTATAATATTATAGACAATGATTACTCGGAGCTTTTGGATTTGAGGGAAAAATGTAATAAGGTGATTTTTGAATGGAATTACAGCTTATACGTGATAGAATCTGGAGGAAATATTTGAAAAAGCGATAATAATATTTTGGAATGAAGATGGCTTAGAAACTGTATTGCATTTGGAGAAGTTTTATCTTATCATTCAACCTTCAAGTGGTCGATCTTTTTCTTAGATAGTAATTATTGGCTTTATAAATTCAGGCTTAGTAAAGAGAAGCTTGAAAAAATAAAACAAATAATATAATTTATTTAAAATTAAATCGATTTGGGGTATTAATAAATTCTTCTTTGAATTTAATCCAGTTATTTTCAACATCATAAGTTAAGTGCAAAATGTCTATCTATACTAATTGACCAAGAATAGCCCACTATGGAGCCATTCTTGGTCTGCCAGAAAAAATTTTGACAAAAAGATCCTAATCTGCCATTACCACTGAGTTTTGGTGTTTCCAAATTTTTTGGGCAAGCCAAATGCAATAAAAAAAATTGTTCTTTTGCGATGATGCATTTGGCTTGTCAAAAAAATTTGGAAACACCAAAACTCAGTGGTAATGGCAGATTAGGATCTTTTCTGCCATTACCACTGAGTTTTGATGTTGCCAATTTTTTTTGACAAGCCAAATGCATCATCGCAAAAGAACAATTTTTTTTATTGCATTTGGCTTGCCAAAAAAATTTGGAAACACCAAAACTCAGTGGTAATGGCAGATTAGGATCTTTTGTCAAAATTTTTTCTGGCAGACCAAGAATGGCTCCTTAGTGGGCTATTCTTGGTCAATTAGTATATCTATTACTTAGAGTTAAAATCGAAAATAATTATTCGGATTGAGACTTTTTATCACAAGATCTTGCTAAATGGGGTTATGATCCAGATGTTTATTTGTGGGGCCGTCCATTTGATTTTAGCATATTGTAACAAAAATTCCTTATATATTTTATATAATTAAAATGGTGGTGGTGACAAAATAGGTGCTCGACGACGTCCCACCATTTTGGCGCAAAAGTGGCTTTATAGCCTAAATCAAGGTTCAGGGCCCTTTAACTCTAACCCTTAGCATACCTAGAGCTGCCTTATGGGGTGGGTAAACTTTGGGAGTCAGCTGGCGGTCACTCCAGTCAAAAGTTTTAATTATCCGGATGGTTTTTGGGCCGTGAGTTCTTTTCCCTACCGGTTCCGGAGGGTCACAGCTCTTTTTTCCTGGGTGTCGCTGTACCTACAGGCCGCCGTCAGGAGGCATCGGGCTAACCTTTGCCTTCATAGCACCCGACATGACGTGAAGCATATGCAAGGTGGAGTCTCTCCTAACCCGTCGAAACTCAGCGGAGCGTGCAAGCCTTGGCCGTGGGAGAAGAGGCCCAAGATTGGCAAGCAGGTTTTGGGATCCTCGAAAGCGTGCGGAGATATCAAGCTGGAGACTTTAAAGCAAATTTAAGTTAAGTTAAGTTATATATTTTATAAGCTCTTTTTAGAAGGTCTTTTTAGAAGCTCTTCTCATAAGCTTTGTGTAATTCTAAAATAAGAATCAAACTTTGGTCAGGATATTCATCAAGCTATTATCAAGTACAATACGTGATGAAGTTTTCTATCAATCATTAGAAGTTATATAAGAATTGCCCGAGGATGGCGCAAGATAGCGCCATCCTCGGGCAATTACTATACATCATATCAGAGTGTATATAAAATCCGAACTATTTCATAATTCTTCTTATTATATGGGCATTTATTTGATTCTCATCTATATTCTCTTATGGCATCACAAAAATTGGCATATTAAAGCCTTAATAGTTTCTTATAAGCACAATAATCAAAATACTAATTTTTCTAATCCTAAAATCAGAGTCAGCTTGGATAGATATGCATGCGCAAAACTAAAACTAAATATACTTTAGATTCAAGAGCATTTTTAGTATAAATGATATGCACTGGTATATCACTATTTTTTAAAAGTCCCCAAAAATTTAGCATGTTCCACAAATTTTGGGAATCTGAAATCGCGGCTGATCAAATATAATATGATATTGAAAACTAAAACTGAACGAGAAATCTAAGCCATTAGCAGCTCTACAGACATTTAAAGCACTGAAGAAGCCTTTTTCATGAACTTGTAAAAATTTAATGTTTTACTTCTATAATAAAAGTCATTGTATTAACTGAGTAAAGGATATAGAAAGCTTTTCAACTATCTAAAAGACTTTAAAGAAAATTATATAAAATTAATCATATAAAACAAATATGAAGCCCATCAGCCCCTTTTTATAAAATAATAATTGATATGGAAACCAATTTGTACAAATGCCCAAACTTGGGGAGAAACTAGCACTCCAGCCCCTTGCTCAACTGCTTATGGCATAAAAGAAGCGCTGAAACAATTTATGGCGATCGAATTCATCTAATAAGCCCTGGCATTTCAAATGGAAATTCTCCCGCCTTTGAAGATGAAACATCAGGCGTCTTATTTTACATCTCAGCTATGAATCAATTACTTGAGAGTGATAGTAACGCACTTAAAAAGCCACTTGTTGCACTTTGGGAATCAAAAATTCTCAGCCAAGTTTCAGAACCTTCTGAAGCAATGCACTTAGAAAATTCATTATGGCAGATGATGGTGATTCTTCCAAAATATCACACACTTATTAGTGGAAATTCTCTTGAAAGAGCCGCAGAAACAGCATATTTGATAGACTCGTTTGGATTAGATTTGCGCATACCGAAACTTATGAAATATTTGATACAAAATGAAATTGAAATTGGAATTTCTAGAGAGAATAGCCCTATCTTGAAATTCGGAGGTCTCTTTCCTGATCCAAACATTGAAGAAAAAAGCCTTAAGCTTCATGAGCATCCTCATGAAAGCGGACTGTGATCTGTTTTCAGTGCAGTTATGTTGATTTCAAGCGGAAACAATGATTTTTAGAGCCCTTTAGTATGTATGACCCATGCTTTAGTTTAAAGCTAAGAACTATTCTAAATGTGTATAATATCAAATTAGGCATGAGTCCAAATAGCCCTCTTCCTTGGTCGAATTATGACTCATGGGAGATTGAAATTGTAAATATGGAAATCCGTTCTACATTGATTTCTGAAATCTCAGACTGGGGAATGCTTGAAAAAGAAACGGATTCATCCAAAAACGTTTAAATATCCATCAGCTTTGCACTGTTTGAGTATTAGCAATCAAACTTATGAGGAGAGCCAAAGATTTTATTAAAACAATTTATACCCAGCTGAAAAATAAAGGTTCTTCATGAAGTCTTAAATTTAAATTTGATGGCAAATCAAGCACACCGCATCGCCTACCAAAAATTCAAAGTTCAACACTTCCAGCACATCAATCAATCATAAAGACTAAATCTGGTGGCAATTGTTAATTAATAATAAAAAATTTAAAAGGGCAGTTAAGAATAAAGAAAGCTTTATTGATAAATCGTTACTCATAAAAGAAATTTTAACTAATGGTGCCCTCAATATACTCATAGTGCGTCCACAAAAATGGGGGGAGCATGAGCATGCTAAAAACATTTTTCCACCCAAAATATGATGCATCTGGGAATTTTAAAATTTGTAATTGTTCACCGGTGGTAAAGATAGCATTGATGTCAGCAACTTGGATAAAACAAGATGTTTAAATATAATAAATGAAGATAATGGCTATTATTACCAAATGTTTGCTGGGAAAATTAGATCATTTTTCTAACTCCCCCCCCCATCCTTGATCGAACGATTGACTGTAAAAAATTCCTAAAAATTGGGGAAATTAACCCCCATCCTTGATCGAACGATTTCATATCATGCAAATTTTTATATATATAAAAATATATTAGTTATCAGATGTGCCTAATGAAGTTGTTTTCAGATACTTTGAGACGACAGAAAGCTTCGGAATTAACCATCCGAAGTGATTTAGTCATCAACCTAGGCTTAAAAACTCAATAATCTAATAAAATAGAGACTTTAAAATTTTAAAAAAAAACAAATTAAATTTTAATTTAATAAGGAACAAATTAAAATTTATACAGTTTAAAGGGGTAACTAATAAATAAAAATGTTAAAAATTGGTATTTTTATGAAATTAATTCAATTTTTTGCTGTAAAAATAATTATTAAATACTTTTAACACTCTTATTTAAAAGTAAATAAAAAACAATATATATATATTTTTTATTTTATATATAAAATTTTTTTCCCAAAAAAAATTTTTTTTAAACCCCATCCTTGATCGAACGACGGCGAGTCGTTCGATCAAGGATGGGGAGGGGGAGTAAACTTCTCCAGTATATATGAAAAATTTGGAAATGACCCTGCAGAGGAATATATCGCAATGCAATTTCATATATAATCAAAGAAGCATACTTGGAATACTATCCACAGTATTTGGAATCCTTGAACAAAATTATCAAAGAATATATTTCAATAAATCCAGATCTAGTGATAAATTTTAAAGATAAAGGCATATCAGAACTAGAAAAGATTATCGACACATATAAACTATTTTTGCCATCGCACATTAAGTTGTTTAGATATTACAAAGATGATAGTTCATCAATAATCCAATCAAATGCTGTGCCTAATCTAGTTAGATTTGCTCATAAATTTTACAAACAGCAGGCAATTATTATTATTATTGTGGATGATTATGATACCCCACTTATTCAAGTAATAAATACTCCTTATCAAAAGGCTGTTTTAAGAATAATAGGTATGTTTATGGAGCCAATATGCATAGATGCCCTTGGTTGCATTTTTAAAGTGATAATGATAGGGAAGATACCTATTATAGGGAAAGGACTTCCATGACTAAGAAATGTTAATATATATACTGTTCTAGATATAGAATACTCCCGATTTTTTGGCCTCACAGAATCAGATGGAAGCGTGAGAATTTCATAATTATTATCAACTTTAAAGGTTTCCTCAGAATCTGTGCTGGCAAAACAGAATAATTTACCATCAGGAAGCAGAGCAGTGCACGTGCTTATATCCAGTAGATTAGTTCCAAGCAATTTAGATTCTTCTTTCAACTATCAGTATCATACACAAACAAATTAGTTCTTCCTTGGATACCGTTTTTTATAAGATATATTTGAGTGCTTTGACTGGGATAATATTGATAAACTTGATTTATTAAAGCGTTGGAAGAAGAAATATTATTTTGGCTGCTATATGAGATATATATTTGCACAAAATAAAAAATCAAATATTCAAGCAAGTGTCTATCAAAGAAAAAGTATGACTAAGTCTAGAAGTAAAACAAATGTTAGAGCAAAAGTCATGCACCATATTATTTTCATATAATCTGAAAATTCTTGCTAAGAGGTTCGTTATCCCTGCTAAAAATTCAGAGCTATTTGTATTAATTTCTTAAAACTATAATTAAAAAATATAATTGACATGCAATTAGCTTTAGTAAATGCGCTTTTTATATTATTGTAGTAAATCCAAAGAATTATTTCCTATACGAGAGATATAAAATTGTAACTCAATAGAAATCTTACTTATTATTAATATATAATTTTAATTCATATTTTCAATAACCCTTAAATGTAATTATTCAGAAATTAAAAATAAGAGGAACCTAGGAAAGCAAGAGAAAGGATTAAACTCATTTTATAGCAAATAGAAAATGATAAAAAATTCAAAATTTAGCTATAAACAATAGCTAAAGCTTTACATTAGTGCGCATATGCCGATCTATGATATAGCAGTCACGCATATTCAATTAAGTACATTCAAATTGTCCAATAATAGGCCATAATTTGGATTGCGGATAAATTTAGATTAATCTAATTAAAATAAGCTATGAAAGTTTTGGTATAGGAAGTTTCTAAACGCTTATAAAATTATTATAATAAAATTTAAAAAATCATGGATTATATTCTTTTATGAGGAATAAAAGTAAATTGCTAAAATATCACTTTTAAAATCAAATCTCAGTCTATATCGTAGTTATATCCTGGCTTAAAACATCGCTTTATGGCATTTTTATAATTTTATAAATTTTATTTGTCTCCTCCTCTTAAAATGCAACATTATTAAAAGTTTATATCCTATTTCATTTAAGGTTTGGACTAAGGACATCGAGATCAAAGTTTCTCTATAATACTTTCATACTTTCTAAACTGAAAAAATTGAAAAATTGAGTTTTGAATTAAATATAGCAGAGATTTAACAGTTTTGAATTTAGTTTCTATTTATTATGCTACACAAATTGACAGGATTAATCATTATATTTTCATAAACTTTTAAGAATTAAAGAAACTTAATTCTATAAATCGCTGATGCTATATCGGTACTGCTTATCAATCGATAGCAAGCTGATACTAACCAAGCGTCTTCTCTTTCTTCTCTTTTTAATAGCAATAATCAATGCCACAACTACTAAAGTGATTCCTCCAATAATAGAAACCCATACATATCATCTCGAATACCAGTCTAAATGCGAGCTTGTTTTTTCTTCCCCTTTACTTTTACCCCATTGCAAGCCAAATTTTCCAACAGCTTCTTGCGACCCTGATTCGTCAATATACCCCACCAATTTTAAGGTTTTAGCAGAAAATCCTTCAATAGGTGCAAAAGTTGCAATAGGGCTAAGTCTGATTTCTCCAAGGATAATGCTGTATTGAATCGAGTTTGTGTATTGAAGCAGTAATATAAATCTTAAGGAAACCGCTGTTTCTTGCGTGACAAATATTTTTAATTGACCAAAATAGTTTAAATCTGTGCCAATAGGAATATCTGTATAAACACAGTTATCAAACGACTCGCTGTAATTGAGAACTCTGATTCATAAGAATGTCGAGTTACTTATAGGGTATAAAGCTAATGTTTGAGGTTCATAGACATAAAGCGAATACATCCATTCATTAGTTTCATCGGCAAGCTGAGGAAACTCACTTTTCGCTATAAGTCCTGCGTCACAAATATTTATCAATAAAGCCTTTCCATTATTTTCTGTAGCAAGTATTGTTTTTTGGTCAGATAAGAGAGCAGCTGAGGTATAATAAGATTTATCATCGATAAAACGAGAAGGGAACGTGTATTGACCATAAAGCTCATAAGAAATTTTGTTGCGATTACTTATAGACGCCTTAATCCATAGGAACCCACTGCTAATATCAGATAATATTATATCAGTTTGATTCAAATACATAATTGAATTAATTTGTAACATACTTACGCCAATTTCTTCAGAATTTATATTAGAAATTCAGACAAGAGTGTAAGTGCTATTGGCAGGCTGAAGCTCATATATATCGATGCATTGCAGATTGTAAACATAAATTAAGGGGCATGGCTGCTGATCGGCTACTTCAATTGAGGCCGCCAAATAGGTTTGAGGAACCAGGGTACTATTTGGTAGATCATTTAAGTTTATTACAAATAAGTAAATGGTTGGATACATTGAGTTTTGAGCAGGATATACATAACAGGAGGCTATCAATATGCCCTGAATGGGTGTTGTATAGATTTTATAGCAGTTTGTTAAAAAGGCTTCTCTTATTTGGCTAAGGTTGTAAATGTTTTTAAGGCTATATGGATATGCGCTAAGATTATACTCAAAGATTTCATTAGAGCCTGATACATAAAAGGTATTTTCAAACGCACAAGAATCATAAGAAGAATGATTCTGTCATATAGCCTCATTAAGATTATACTTGCTGGCAATACAAATAGGGCTCACTGCACTGCAGTCTTGCTCATCCATCATCAAGTCATCTTTTTTAGTATCAAATACGCCAAACTTTATATTATTTCCTTTTACTGCTTGTAGAGGCACATTCTCAGTTATTTGAGTTTTAAGTACCTCTATTGTATTCCCAGACGTCAAATTTGAGCTCGATAAATCGAAATCTGCATTAGCTAGAACCACAGTTCCCCTGGGTACAAGATCTATAGAAATTATAGTTGTCTTGTTACGATATCCATTTTCTGCAGTTAGCATAAAGTCAAAAGTCTGCTCTTCGGTCACAGGTGACGTAAAATTGAATTCTATTTTTGCCCAAACCACTTCTGTCTGTGAATAGCTTGGCAACAGACTTGAGCTTGAAGGTGGCATAAAGTTATCTACTGACTGGGCAAGAACATAAGTCTGTAAAGACTCTCCTTCGTAGACATATAGAAGCGCTATAGAGTTTGAATAGAATATGCAAGCTGACCCGACCCTTGAGATCGGAACAGCCGCATACAAATTTTCGAATGTAAAATCAAAAGAATCAAAAATCATAATTTGGTTTGACTTGATATTTTCGCATAAAACAGCTACAAAGCGATAGTCAGCAGAAATTGAAGTATAAATGCACTCAGGGAAAATAGGCAAATACTCAAGGCCTGATATAGTATAATGAAAAGGTATTTCAGCAGCAACAAAACTATTTGATGCTTCTGATTGTGGAGAAATGATATATATTTTATTGTTAGCATAAGTAATTTTTGTGTAAATATCTTTAACTGATCCAGCGATGCCTAGTACAGTAACTTGATAAGGAGCTTGGAAACTTGTAAGATTCATCCATATTAAACCAGCATCAAAATCATATGCATACAAACTCCAGCAGCTTCCTGGATATATTGTAGCAATATCAATTGGCATAAATTGTGGAATGCCTATAATTGAATTTGTGTTTATAGAAGGAAGAGCTGTTAAAGTGGTATCTGTGGCGTTTAAAGAATATATTTCAACCTGATCCCCTCTTAATGCTGCAATGTTTCACATGCATAATGATATAATTTTAGCTGAGTTCAGAATTTGGAATCATTTGTGAGTTCTTAGGTATTTATATTCATAGCTTGTTTCGAAAGTATAAATGTCTCAGTCAACGTCATAAACTCCTGTGCTTGGGTCTTGAAAAATGCATTCAATAATAAGATATCTGATATAATATACAAAAGTCACACCATTGCTGCTTGTCATTGAAGAATTTGTGCATGAAATTTGATGGCTTAGTGTGGGAATCCCATTATTATCAAAAGAAAATACATATGACTCTGCAGAATCTGTTGGAATTGCAACCAAAAGCTGAATAAAGTTGTTTTCACTCATTATAAGCACAGGAGAAAATGATAGTTTTGGCGTCACACTGATAGACGAAGCTAGTAAATATTTTGGAGGATTAATTACTGTGATATTGCCACTATCAGTCTGCTGGAAAGGAGATAAGGAATAGCTGATATTTTGCCCAGAAAAGTAGTTTGACAGAGGCAAATAGAGTTCGCCACTATTTTCTTCAATTCTTATACTGGCATATAGATTTATTTGATAAGGCTGCTGATAGCCGTTCCCTAAGTATAAGCCTCTTCAATTGTAAATTTCCATAGAGGTTGGGTCTGTCGCATAAATGGTTACTGGGACTATTATTTCATCTTTGCTATTGGATACTTTAAGATTTCCTACAAAGGTATAGTTATTGTTTATGGCAACTGTGGTCTTGAATGCTTAAACTACAGGTGACTCTAGCCTAGTTATAGCGCGGTCTCCGAGGATCCTCAAGGTGATTCGAACCGATTTGTGACTATGCCTTCAACCAGAAATGGCGTGGTTTCCTCCTAAATTTTGGCTTTCAGGGTTGAGTGGGAAGTCGTCAGACTTTGCTGTCTTACCTACGCTAACGGGTGCAATGTTGTCCACGCAAAAAACCAAAATTAGTTTTCTGGCTGACTATCGGCAAAAATGAAAACTCATTGCCCAGAGCATAACTCCTCGTTTCACTCTAGATAACTTGCCCCATTTGCTTAGCATTGCATGTAAGCTGAGCTGGGTGTCCCATTTTCCCACTTATGAGCTTCCCTTTCTCTTAAGGTAAAATCTAACCCTGAAAGTGAGATTAGGCTAGGCTCCATACAGCACTGGAATTGCCGACCTAGAATATTATACCTGTTTGCCAAGAATTGCCCACTAAGGATCATTTTTTGGTTCGCCAGAAAATATGGCATGCTAAAATAATTTGGCAAGCTAGCTATTGTCCGGCCAACCAAAAATGCTCCTTAGTGGGCTATTCTTGGTAAATAAGTATATCCTTTTCAGAGATTAAAAAATCTTGCCGAATATTAAAAAATCTGTGCTCGAAGGAAGTTGGGGTTACATATTTAAATATAAGGTCAACTGTGGTCATAGCTGGCAAATTATACTGATATACATACAAGTAATTTGGGGTGCTAAAAATAAAGAACGGCAAGCCATCAATTCATGTATAAGGAGGAGTTTCGCATAGTAAAGCCTCAGTTCCAAATAAATTGGTTGTATATTCAGATAAAGCTAAATGCCCATAATAAGTTTCAGTTGGATTGTAAATTCTAAAGTTCGTGCTAATATTTGAAGTAAAATAGCCACTAATACGATTTCATACACTTTCAAGCCTTGATAGTCCTTCTAATTCTAGATTTTCATATTTTTCTAAATCTCGGTCATACTCCTGTGCAAAGGTCATATCTGGGACTTTATAATCTACAATCCCTTGGCTTGTCCCGACAAACAAATTCTGACTGTTACATGTGCAAGAATAAATTTCCCCGAGGCTCAGTGGGATCCTCAATAATAAGTTGACATTAAAAGTCATGATGGCTTCTGAAAAAAAATTACCAAGATTTAGGGCAAAAACCCCGTTTTCTGCATCACAAATATACCCATTAAGGCTGTCGTAATAAAAATATATTGGTGAAAATGAGTTTGCTTGCAGTGAAGTACTATTAAAAATGTAGTAAATTGACGCTGTGCTGTTTTGCGGGTTAAATTTAATGACATAAATCTGAGATTTTACCAAAATAAAAGTGAAAATATCGTTAAATATAGGATAGACTGAAAATCCAGTTAATTCCATATCTGTTTCAATAGTAATTTGAAGCCCAGCCACCAGAGAAACCTTATAAGGCTCAGTTTCGTTATAAAAAGAAACCAAATATCCATTAGAAATATTTTGCAAAATCATAAATCCAGAGTTAACAGAATCATAAATTTGGTAGAATCCAAGAAGTTTTCCTCCTGAAATAGCTTGGGCACTAAGCAGTTTTATTGACATTAAGTCTGAAATATCTCAAAAAGAAAGCAGCTGGCCTTCCAAAGTGTAAATAATATTTCGGTAGACAGCATTCTGTTGAATTAATTGAAAATTATTTGGTGGAAGGTTTGAGGCTGCTTTTTGAAAAGAAGAATAAAGAGTCATCCTTTGTGAAATGCTGGGAATTGGAGATTGCAAGTTGTTTAGGTAGCTTCCTGATAATTCATATGTTAGATTTGGCCCTGCGAAAAAATAATCAAGAAGCAGATACTCATTAGAGTTTTGAGAGACCCTGATTTCTGATAAATCATTTAGCTGGACGATTGTGCCGCATGAAGAGAGAAAGAAAGTAAGAAAAAAGAAGAAAAAGGTGAAATGAGAGTGGGAGCACTTTTCCATTTATAGAAGAAGGCATAAGCTCTCAAATATTTATATCAGCTATATGTTTTTGCTTATAAATTAAGAAGATTAAATTCTTGGAGACTAAAATGGGTTGTATTTCTAAGTCTTATAGCCTGCTGCATAAGTAACGGAATTTTCCAATGACTGCAGAAAATCTTATTTAATTGCCTAATTGGATAATTGAACACTTCTTTAGCCCCCCTCTATTAGCGAGTAAAATCATTGGAAAAATCCTTTTTTACACTCCATGAGCTAACAAAAAATCTTTTAAAAAGTTTTTCATGAAAAATATTTTCACATATCACTTAAAACTATTATACTGAAATATCCACCTAATTCTGTTAAATTTGACGAAATATAAATTTACGAATTAAATTAATTTTTGGTTACCAATTATTTCGAATGGATTTTTTTTAAATTTCAAAAAAAAAAATTTATCCTATGAGCGAACAACATTTTTTGCTCACTCATGATGGGGAGTAAGCAAAACATAAAGTCATTTTTTATTAAAAAATCAAAATATCCCTTTTTTAAGAAAATCTCTAAACCAATTTCTCCAAGATCTAGCCTGATCTTTAAATTTTGATCTCCTCTTTTCTTCAATGAGCCACTACACATATAAATCAGAAAGGTGCCGAACGATCCTTTTTCTCAACTCCCCTTAGTGGATCCCGTATGAGCGATGTGCATCTTGAAGTATGAGAAAGCTCTCGGTTGATGATTCAGACCTATTTTGGTTAATTTGGCAAAGTGGTAATGATAGGCTAATTAGCGAAGTAGTCTTTTTCCTATAAATTTTGAAGTAAGGCACTTTGACATCCGATAGATTCCAAGGAGTTGATCCATGGAATTAAGCTACTCAAATCGCCCGTAGCATTGACACAGAAATCCACAAGTACCCAAAACTGAAGCTGCAAGGAGGAGACATAAAGCACCGGAAAGCATTCACCTTCGGGCAAAGACCCTTTGAGCTGAAGTCGAAAACGGTTGAACCTTCCGTTCGAGAGGTCTTTGGTGACTGCATCACCAATATGGCGAACGCTTGACTTTAATAACCTAACCTAACTCTCTATTTCCTTCAATAAAAAAATTCCAATTACCTCTCCCTAAAATTTTGTGAATTTTTTCTTAACTGGCCTTCACACAAATGCTGCGAATTTCCATATTGCTGTACAGTTGTCGAAAGAATTATTAATTATATGAGTGCTAGATTAATAGACACCAAATACGACGGACTTACAACTTTTTCAACCTGGCTCTTTGGCGTAGGTCACGTTATGAACGATCTCTGTGCAGCCGTCTGATTTAACTATTTGCTCTATTATCTAGCTGATGTACAAAGAGTAGACAGCGCAACCGCAGGAGCTGTCATGCTCGCTGGACAACTGGCAGACGGCATATCCACCCCTTTAGTTGGACTATACTCTGACCGCTTCGTGACAAAAATCGGAAAAAGAAAGCCCTGGTATATTTTTGGCACAATTTTGGTCCCAATTTGCTTTTTCTGAGTCTTTGAAGAGTGCTTTCCCTGTACAAACCTTTCTGGAGCCGCAGATTTAGCGGTTTCTATGATTTGATACTGCGCTTGGGCTGCGTTTTTTAATGTAGGCTGGGCTGCTATACAAATCTCCCATTTAGCGCTAATTCCTCAACTAAGTCCCTTAAAAGAGACCAAGGACAAGCTGATTGGGATTAGGACAGGGTTCACTTATATAGCAAATATCGCGGTACTGCTTATTGCGTTGCTGCTTTTTAAGACAATTTCAAGGCCAGTTTTACAATTTACGGTGCTTACTTTAATTGTGCTAATAGGAGGCGGCATTATTAATGTGATGTTTATTCTATTTATAAACGAGGTGGAATTATCAAGAATAGCTGGGGCTAGCTACCTTCAGTTGGGCTCTTTGTTGAGCCAAAACGGAGCTCGAAATCAGGAAGAGCAGGCTACTAAGTCTGAGGACGTTCAAACAATTGAAGTAGAAGACTCTCCAGCTATGGAGGAAAAAAAGATGACGTGGAGAGACTGGCTTAAAGATACACAAATTTATCCCGTTGGATTGTGCTATATGATGGCGAGGCTTGCAAATAATGTTTCAACTGCGATGATGCCGTTTTATCTGACCGCAGTGCTGGGAATGGGAGGGGTTCACACAATAGAGCAAGCTTCTAAGAAAACTCCGTGGGAATTGGCATTAATTCCTTTATGTATGTATATAGGAAGTGTTTCAATGTCATTTTACATCAAAGCAATCACAAATTACGTCTCGAGAAAAATCCAGTTTTTTATTGGAACTGTTTGTGTGGTTATTGGATCTATTCCTATGCTGTTTTTAGAGCATTCCGAACAATATGTAATGGTTCCTTTATCAATTGTATTAGGGATTGGGTTCACTTTTGAACTAAATAATTCGCAAAGCTTTATTGCTGCCTTTGTCGGAGCTCAAGGCACAACGGGCGCCTTTGTATGGGGAATTATCAGCTTATTTGATAAGTTCTGCTCGTAATAAGATATGGTGTCAATCAAATACTCTGCTCTTTCAAAAAGGAATTCTCTCTTTGGCAAATATTGGTGAATTTATCTCAGCAATGATGCGTAGCTTGCTCAAGGGCTCGAAACCTTGGGCACTCATCCCTTGTTCTATAACGGAGGGGGATTAATTTTATATTAAATTATTTTTTCGAATTTATAAAAGTCCAAGTAAGCTGTTCAAAAATTAAACAGAATTAGCTAGAGATTTTGTTATAATAATTATCACTTATATATATCAAATTTTTAGTTTCATAAAACATTTTTTGCTTGCTCACAGAGGTGAGTTTTTAAGCAAAAAATGGTGATTTTTTTAACGGTTTTGCTCGTTAACAGAGGGGAGTTAGCAATTCAAGTTTTATGGAAATGTGCCCAGCCCCAGGCGGCTGAGACTGGGAACTTTAGCATTTCTGACGGAAAAATTGGTTTTGCTGGAGAGCTGATATCCAAACGCCCAAAGCTAGGAGCCATTCATGTCAAGGCCATGTGATGGACGACGTGTGGTTAACGGGAAACCCCGAAAAGGCGGAGCCTGTTTATGTGAAGTAGTATTGGACCTTAAGTGAAGGCTAAATATAATTAATTAAGATAAGTTCTCTTCAGGTATTGCATTATTTTTATTAACAAATTTAGGAAGTCTTGACGATAAAGAGTATATAAGAATCACAGTTACAGGACTCCCATTAGTTGCTTCAATCGCAGGCACCCTTATTCTTTTCTTTATCAAACCGCAACAAGAGTTTTCTAATTCCTCCATGAGCGAACAAAATTTTTCATTTGTTTAAGGAAGGGTTATTTTATATATATACTTTATAATAGTATTTTTTTAAAAAATTTCAATTTATAAAGTTGAAAGTAAATGCTTAATTAAATTTGTCAAATATATTTTTTAAATGCAAGCTATTAAATTTCACAAAATTAGCTTAAGATTTCATTATAATAATTATCCTTATATCAAATATTTTTTCATAAAATTTTTTGTCTCTCATAGAGGATAGGTTTTTTACCAAAAAATAGGAATTTTCCAATGTTTTTGTTCACTCATGACGGGGGAGTAAGGTAGACGCAGACAAGAATAAGGAATTAGAATAAATTCAACATAATTATAAATTATTCGAAATAAAAAATAAGCATCCATCAGCTTTAAGCAAAAAATTTCTCCATGCTACATAAAACTGATAATGAGCTATAAAATAATTTTTTATTGATTTTTAGGCTTATTTATTACTTGAAAATTCTTCAAATTTTATAGTAACTCCTTTATCACTTTTAGGGTTAAAATATAAAATCTTGCCTTCTTCAAAGCTCAAGTCTCAGCTGACATATTTACGGAAGAATTAGTAGCTTACCTCATAATTCTCTATTGGATCCTATTACTTTTATTAACAAATTAAAAATTTTTCGAGATAAAGATTGAAAAAAATTGCAGTTTATATTTTCTTTGGCTGCTTTAATTGCTTTATAAAGCTACAGTAAGTTTTTTGACTCTCCCTCTTCTATAGCAAAGAATATAAAAAAAATTAGAAAACTTCTCTCCGTATAAGGTATTCTTTGGATATAATGATTTGATAACTAATTAATGTCTTTCATGAAAATTTTATCTATTAATTTTACATAATTTCTATGACAAAGCATAATTTTATAAATTAAATAGACTTCTAATCTAATCTTTTCTATATGCTACTTTATTAGGGAAAAAATCCGGCCTGATTAGGAAGGGAAGTAAACAAATTCTGATAAGAATAGTTTCATTTTGCGATTAACGGTAGTCATGAGTGTTCCAAGAAGTTGTGGTCATTGTGCAATTTTAGTTGGTTTCTGGAAGAGCTCAAATCTCGTTCTTATTGATTTTTAATATTAGATTCTTGGAAGAGAGCACCTTCTGCAGGATCTTCTTGAAAAGGTTGTGCTGGAGGAAAAAGTACCTCTCAAGGCGAGGATAGGAAAGCCTTCAGGGTTCATCAGACCCAAAGCCAAGATTTGTTCAACTTAACACCCAATCCACTCTATATGGAGAGTCTATCTTCTCTAATTATAATTTTATTTCTCTATAATAATAAAGAGTTCAACAAAATAGGCTTATTTAATATAAAAATAAAAAAATTAGAAGTTATGAAATCTGATAGTTCTATATTTATTATAATTTTGCAAATTTAAAATGGAGTTTCAAGGGCCGGTCCTATCATCACGAGAACTAGAAGATTTGAATCAGTCAACAGGAATCGACGATAGAAAAATAGTTTACCAACCAATAAGGCTAAAAAAACTGTATGAAGAATCCAATGAAGGTGAACTCAGGCAAGCTAAATTATTAACAGCTAATGGAATTGAACCTATAGGAATTGGTAGCTCGTTTAAAAGCAATATTTTGTCGAGTTTATTAAATAAAGAAAATGAGACAAAATTTTTAATTTTTATTTCCATGTATAACGAAGATCTCTCAATGCTCGAAAAAACGCTATCAGGGATTATGCGAAATTTCAAACATTTCAAAAATGTTGGAGTAGAGCCTGCTAATATTGCGTGTGTAGTTATATCAGATGGAATGAAAGCCTTTTACTCCAAACATAAAAATGCTAACAATCACGGAGAAAATAGTCCACAGTCTAAAAGCAAATTTTTTAATTTTGAAGAAATAAAAAGAGCATTTCCGCTAGCTTATGATGACCTATCGAATTGCAGATTTGCAGGCCAAACCAATGATGATGAGTTTGCACATACATTTACGCAAAACTTTGTATTCCCTGAAAATCCAGATGAAGAACTCCAATTAATATTTTGCATAAAGCAAGAAAACAGGCGAAAATTAAATTCGCATTTTTGGTTCCTGCATGGCTTCTGTAAAATGATTGATCCTAAATTTGTCCAGTTTTTAGATGTTGGCACTATTCCTAATGAAAATGCTTTACTCCACCCATCCTTGATCGAACGATTGACTGTAAAAATTCCTAAAAATTGGGGAAATTAATCCCAATCCTTGATCAACCATTTTCATATCATACAAATTTTTATATATATAAAAATATATTAGTTATCAAAAGCTTGGGAAGATGCACCTAATGAAATTGTTATCAGAGACTTTGAGACGGCAGAAAGGTACGAAATCAACTATCCGAAGTGATTTAGCAATCAACCTAGGTTTAAAAACTGAATAATCTAAAAATTCGAGATTCTTTAAAATTTAAAAAAAAAAAATTATTCAAATTAAAATTTATACAGTTTTAAAGGAGTAACCAAAAATCAAATACTAAAAATTGGTATTCTTATAAAATTAATTCAATTTTTTGCTGTAAAAATAATAATTAAATATATACATATTTTTATTTTCTATATAAAAATTTTTTCCTAAAAAAATTGTTTTTAACCCCCATCCTTGATCGAACGATGGCGAGCCGCTCGATCAAGGATGGGGAGGATTAGTATATTTATATCAAGCATTACTAAATGATGAAAGAATAGCAGGCTGCTGTGGGGAAATTGCACCTATTTATACAGGGTGGAAAAATTTAGTAGTAAATGCGCAGATTGTGGAGTATAAGTTTTCACATACATTTGAAAAGAGCTTTGAAAGCATTTTTGGGTATGTTTCGGTGCTTCCAGGGGCGTTTAGTGCTTATAGATGGGAAGCTTTACAAGGTCCGCCAATAGAAGAGGATTATTTTAAACCAATTTTGAAACCTGAACTAATGAACCCTTACGAATCAAATGTATATTTGGCTGAGGATAGGGTTTTGTGTCTTTCTTTAGTATCCAAGAAAGTTCCAAAACCTAAAAAAAGCTATTTGCTTAACTTTCTTGTCAATGTCTAAAAAAATTACAATGATTTTTTTTTCGAAATTTAAATCTATTTTAATATTTCCATCAATATTCTATTGCAAAATAAAAGTTAGCCATTATTAATAGGTGCAGTTAGATATATCAAAAGATCAGTAGCTGAAACTGATGCTCCAGATATAAACAATTTTATCTTTTAACTTGCATATGGCCATAAAGTCTTTAGGCTTACCAGAAATATTATTTTTCAAACAAATTTACTGAATTGAAAAGAAAAATTAATGGCATAGAGTAAGCTAAAATCAGCCTTTGGTAATACATTAGGAGATCTGATTTCTCAGAGAAGAAGGTGAATTAATGGCTCATGATTTGCTCTGCTGCACTTCTTCAGTAGTTTTGAAAAGATTTTCCTGTCAAATCATCACTGGTTTAGAAAATTCATTTTCTTTCTTCAACTACTATATTTTGGTGTCACAACTGTTTTTCAGTGGTTTCTTATTGGCTCTTTCTTCCTTATTTTTGCATTTACAGTGAGAAATCTCCCAAACTCCTCGGAAAATAGTGAAAGTGATTTATTTACTGCACAAAACATAATATACTTTACGTTCGATTATAGCTACCTTTGAGATAAATTTAGGCTCCATGTCCAATGACCGTGAAGTTTTTTTAGAGTGCGACATTCCCTAGGTAAATTTTTTCAGAAGCTTTTTGATAGTGAGACAGATGCTCAAAAAAATATATTTTGACCAAATGCTATTTAAAAATTTTAAACCAAATGTTTTTCAGTGAAATGATACTATCAAATAGCACAATACAGGACTTGCACCTCAAATTTTGTTGCAGTATGTCCATTAAGTGGCAATTATCATCTCTGTGCTAGCTCGGCAAGTTCATCTTCTTAACCTACTAGTAAAGTTATACGAAAATCTCACCACCATAGAAAACTATACTCAATCTTTGGGTCTATTAATTATTTATTCTTCTATGCTCCTCATGACTCTATTAACTTCTCTTGGCACAAAACCTCAAAAGATTTCTGGATTGCTATACACTTTCACCTTTATTTATGGAATTTATATGATATTTGAATTGGCTTTAGTAATAATGTATTTATATGACCACAATTTTTTCTTGAGCTGGGTGTGCATCTTAGCTATACAGACAGCTGCAGCCATGATAATAAATATAACTATCAATTGCTCATTTAAATCAATTTTCAGAGGGATCTTTCAGTACATCTTTTTAACGCCCACTTTTATAAATGTTTTTTTAATTCATGCAATGTGTAACTTGCATGACTGCACATGGGGGACAAGGCCAGACAATCCGACTGAAAAGGAAAAGGAAAATGAGGAGGATTTTAAAATTTTTAGGACTTACTGGCTAATGATTTGGGTATTTACAAATACAGGCTTTGCGTATGCCTTGAATTTTTTACATAAAAACAATAAAGGAGAAGGCTACGTGTATGCAATGGCGGCTGCTGGATTTTTTATTTTATTGGTGAGGTTTTTGGGAGGAATCGTATACATCATCCAAGAATGGTTTTACGATATAAAATCATTAAAATCCCCTATAAAAAAGAAAGAAAACAGCATTTTTAGCGCTGTTGCTGATGAAGAAAAGATAATAAAAATTGAGACAGAAAGTTTTGCGCTCTCATTTAAGGATCGCCCATTAAATCAGAGCTCAAATTCTATAGTGAATAGGCCTGCTAGTTGCTTAAAAGCGTTTAGTGATGGAAATAACTCAGACCATGAGAAATCATTGGAGCTTTTTATTTCGAAAAGCTGCAATGTTGAAGAAGGGATTGATTTTGATAGCAAAATTAAAAAAATTAAGATTTATCAGTCTGGGATCATGTCAGACAGAGTCTAAATGCAAGATATTTAATTAATTTTTTATTAATAGATAGTTATTTGATAAAATGTTGCTTTACTATCTATGATCCTCAATAATAGGTCACTCGTAAATAAAAGTATTGATACTAGCCGATTTTGAAAATTAGAATAGAAAATATTTTATTTATTACTGTGATTTATTTTTAGATTCTTCTTTTATATTCCTTGAATGAATCGTATAAGAATTTGAGGTCTCAAAGTGTGCTAAATCAGTAATATGCTCAATTCTTGGGTTATAATTGAATTCAACTGGAAATTAAAATAAAAAATATAATTTATTAAGCTTAAACTTCTTCGTAGTATCAACGAACAGCTTCGAAAACTATTTTAGAATTAGAAGACCATTCCAGAATCTCTCATTTTGAATGATTATTTATTATCAAATATGGGAATTCTAGGCTATAATTAAAATATGGCGTCTTCGTCTGGGCATGGCCTCCCGGCCATGCATACTCGACTCATATTTTAATTATATCCGGCAAGGTTTTGCCATTCTGAAGTAAGCAGCAATGCTAGGTAAGCAATTCTGGTTGTGTGCAGAGCCTAGCCCAAGCTTGTCTTCGGGGTGGATTTTACCTCGTAGGTAAAGGTGACAAGTGGTTGAAAGGGGGAAGCCCAGCAGAGTCCACACGACCCATCGGGCAACTCCCTAGCGTGAAACCGGGCGTTACGTCCGGGGCTACTTGTTTTCCTTTTTGCCGAGAGCCTACCAGAAAATCCATTTTTTGGGTTTTCGGAATGGCAACTACGTAAGGCACGGCCAGTAACTCACTTCTGAGTCGTCGAAGTCGGTAACACCCCTCCAAGCCTGTATTAGCGAACAAAACAGGTTGGACCGGCGGCCTGTGGGCCTGACAGGTGGAAGAGAAGGTGATAGGTCCGGTTCTTGCTGACCTCCGCGGTGGACGTTAAGCGTAATAAGTCTAATGTAATGTAATATGGGAATTCTAGGCTAGATTATTAGAGGCAGACGCTAGCTATATTGGTGGGATCGTCACCAAAGACCTTTGCGATAATCTGCCCAGGAGGATTAGCTGTGACTAGTAAGTTGGTCTCCTCCTTGCCTTGAGGCTTCTCTTTTGAGCGGGCGGCTTATAGATTTCTTCAGTCTTGCTACGGCGATTGGATAGTTGATTTCAAGGATTAGCTCCTAAAATTTATTGGGGCTAAATGCTTTCCTTCAACTGTTAAATGAAAAAGATTGCTCATCTGACCAGAGCAGAATACCCGGATTCTCGGTAGAGGATTACCGAAGGATCCAAAGTGTGTCGCTGGATACCTCAATTTCCAGCCACATAAAAGCAGCAAACTTACACTGACAGGCTGAATTGATCTCAGCTCAGAGTCCATCCAGTCAATTTGGCCATTTAAGTATTTTATTGTTGTACCAAGAAGGCAATCGGTCAGTGCTGCCATTTAATTTATATCCAAATATGGGAAGGCACTTGCGATAAAGAGCTCAGAATAATCATAGTTTCAGGACTTGCTATACTGTTTGAGTTCTTGCTTTATTTGTATAAAGTCATATTAAGAACAGCCTAATGTAACCACAGCACAAATAAAGAATCAAGATTGATTCCAAAATAACTATTTTATTCAAATCTTTCTACACTTATTATAATTTTGCATATATAAAATGGATATTTCAGAGCCAGAGCTATCGTCAATTGATTTAGAAGAAGTCAATCACTCTTTAGTAATTGATGATGGAAAAATAGTTTACCAGCCAATAAGGCTAAAAAAAGTATATGAGGAATCTAAAGAAGGCAGCTTAAAGCAAACTAAATTGAAAACGGCGAACGGTCTCGACCCAATTAGCCCAAATGACTCGTTTAAAAGCAATATTTTGTCGAGTTTATTAAATAAAGAAAATGAGACAAAATTTTTAATTTTTATTTCCATGTATAACGAAGATCTCTCAATGCTCGAAAAAACGCTATCAGGGATAATTTCAAACTTCAAATATCTTAAAAAGGTAAGAGTTGAGCCTATAAATCTTGCGTGTGTAGTTATAGCAGATGGAATGAAAGCCTTTTACTCCAAACATAAAAATGCTAACAATCAGGGAGAAAATAGTTCACAGTCTAAAAGCAAATTTTTTAATTTTGAAGAAATAAAAAGAGCATTTCCGCTAGCTTATGATGACCTATCGAACTGCAGATTTGCAGGCCAAACCAATGATGATGAGTTTGCACATACATTTACGCAAAACTTTGTATTCCCTGAAAATCCAGATGAAGAACTCCAATTAATATTTTGCATAAAGCAAGAAAACAGGCGAAAATTAAATTCGCATTTTTGGTTCCTGCATGGCTTCTGCAAAATGATTGATCCTAAATTTGTCCAGTTTTTAGATGTTGGCACTATTCCTAATGAAAATGCTTTAGTATATTTATATCAAGCATTACTAAATGATGAAAGAATAGCAGGCTGCTGTGGGGAAATCGTACCTATTTATACAGGGTGGAAAAATTTAGTAGTAAATGCGCAGATTGTGGAGTATAAGTTTTCACATACTTTTGAAAAGAGCTTTGAAAGCATTTTTGGGTATGTTTCGGTGCTTCCAGGGGCGTTTAGTGCTTATAGATGGGAAGCTTTACAAGGTCCGCCAATAGAAGAGGATTATTTTAAACCAATTTTGAAACCTGAACTAATGAACCCTTACGAATCAAATGTATATTTGGCTGAGGATAGGGTTTTGTGTCTTTCTTTAGTATCGAAAAAAATTGCGAAACCACAAAAAAGTTATTTATTAACTCCCATCAGCCAATAAAGATCAGAGCTTTTGTTTTAATAAAATTAAATAGTGATTTTACTTTCAGAAAAATGAAAAGATTTTCGCCATTGACTTCAATTTGCGGAGTAAGGTATATAAGAAGAGCTATTGCAGAAACTGATGCCCCGGATACTTTGGGAGGACTAATCTCTCAAAGACGAAGATGAATTAATGGTTCCTGGTTTGCAGTACTGCATTTCTTCAGTAGTTTTGAAAAGATTTTCCTATCAAATCACCATTGATTCAGAAAATTCATATTCTTTCTTCAATTACTCTATTTTGGAGCAACCACTGTTTTCCAGTGGTTTCTTATAGGCTCTTTTTTCCTTGTATTCGCTTTTACAGTAAGAAATATCCCTAACTCTTCACTAAACAGTGAGAGTGATTTATTTACCCCACAAAACGTAATAATAATAGTCTACATGTCTATTTTGCTAATGACCTTATTAACTTCTCTCGGCACAAGACCTCAAAAAATCCCTGGACTGTTATACACAATCACCACTATTTATGGAATTTATATGATTTTTATAATGGCTTTGGTTATAATGTATTTGTATGATCACGATTTTTTCTCAACGTGAGTCTATATCTTATCTGTCCTTACAGCTGCTACTTTTATCATTAATATCGCCATTAATTGGTCATTTAAATCAATTTTGAGAGGCATTATTCAATATATATTCTTAACCCCTACATATGTCAATGTTTTTCTTATGCATGCAATGTGCAACTTGCATGACTGCACATGGGGCACAAGACCTGATAATCCAACTGAACAAGAAAGAGAAAATGAAGAAGATTTTAAAATTTTCAGGACTTATTGGCTAATGATTTGGGTCTTCACAAATGCTGGCTTTGCCTATGCTTTGAACTTTTTAAATAAAAACAAGAAAGGAGAAGGCTACGTGTATGCAATGGCGGCGACTGGGTTTTTTATTTTACTGCTGAGATTTTTAGGGGGGATTTTTTATATGATTCAAGAATGCTTTTATGATAGAAAAATATTAAAATTCCCTATAAAGAAAATTCAAAGCAAAGATAATAGCGCTGCTGATGAAGAAAAAATAATGAAAATCGAGACAGCAAGCTATGGGAACTCTTTTAAAGATCACTCATTAAGCCAAAGTTCAAGCCCTATTTTGAATAGGTCCGTATATTATGGAAAAGCATTAAGCGTAGGAAATAATTCAATGGTTGCAGATCATGAGCAATCATTAGATTTTATGTTGTCCAAAAGCTGCAATGATGTTGAAGAAGGAATTGGCTTTGCAGCTAAAATAAGAAATATGAAGCTTCGTCAATCAGGAATCATGGTAGATAAAGTCTAAAATTTTTAATATTTTTAATCAATTCAATTATGATAAATATAAAAATTAAATATTATAATTAAATAGGATGTCTATGGAATTTAAAAATGTCTTCGATTTTCCTCATGACTCCAAGGGCAATTTCGTCTCTATATGGTAAACTTGCGACATGGACTGAAATTGGGAGACCTTCAGTGTTCTTTGTGATTTCTCTGGCTCTAGAAGTAATTAAGTCATTATGCTTGCTCACATAATTCGTTTCTCCTTCATGGACAAAGCCAATCGGAACTACTCCTGCAGGGTAGCCAATTACGTTCCATAATGATGAATAGGCAAGTCCTGCAATTCCCTTAATCGACTCTCTGTGAGGAAGTGCTACAGAGCCAAAGGAAGGACTAATAACGACATCTAAATTAAGAGAAAGCCAATAATCTGTGAATTTTCGAGTGAATTCAGTAATTTCTCTATAAAGGTCAATATATTCGCTAGCTGAAATATTGGATTTTAAGCTCATTAATTCATGCAAGCGCTCATTTTTGGTTACTTTCAGCAAAAGGAGGATTAATCTTTTTCATATTGGGTGGTTATTTAAGAAAAAGAGAACGTTGTAAAAAGATTAGCTCCCCCCTTTAAATTGGAATAAAATATCCTGTTTAAAGTTGAAGGGAGGCTGATTTTTTTTTTAAAAAAAATAATTGAACTCAATAGTTATGAAGAATTAGTTCAAAACTTAATCTATTCAGTGAGAAACTGCTTAAATAATATTCTACTCGCACTTTCTATCAAATTCGGTCTAAATTAAATTTATAAAATTCAGTAATTTTACCTATAAAATTTTCAAACTTTGTTTCAATTTTAAGAGGGAGGACTCAGGAGTTTCACCATTTAAATAGTCTTCAATGAAGCGACTTCCACAAGTCTGGAGAACGGAGAACTTTTTGGGGACAGCAAAAATACTGCAAGGCTCTGCAAAAAACTGCAAGGCCAGTAAAAAAATGGCAAAGCCAAGCAAAAAAATGCAAAACTTGCAAAAACATTGGACAAAAGCAAAAGCAATTTAAAAAAAAAAGCAAAGCCATGCAAAAATTTAAAAAAAAATGAAAAAATTTCGCAAAGCAGGCAAAACTTTTGCAGGGTGGCAAAAAAGTTGCAAAAATTGGCAAAAATCACGATTAGAAAATTTAACAGTAAAATTTAATAATTTATTGGAAGTGTAGTGCAATGTTAAATTATTTAAAAAACATATAATATAGAAAAAATAGAAATTAATTTCGTGAAATAAATGCTAAAGTCTAATACAAATATCTTTTAAAGAATTTTCCAAAAACATAACTTAAGAATTTTAAAAATTTGGAAAATTTAATTTTGGCAAAACACTTTGTTGTATCTCATTTTAAAATTTTGCCAAAATTAAATTTTCCAAATTTTGAAAATTTTTAAGTCATGCTTTTAGAAAATTCTTTAAAAGATATTTGTATTAAACTTTAGCATTTATTTAACGAAACTAATTTCTATTTTTTCTATATTATATGTTTTTTAAATAATTTAACATTGTACTACACTTCCAATAAATTATTAAATTTTACTGTTAAATTTTCTAATCGTGATTTTTGCCAATTTTTGCAACTTTTTTGCCAACCTGCAAAAGTTTTGCCTGCTTTGCGAAATTTTTTCATTTTTTTTTAAATTTTTGCATGGCTTTGCTTTTTTTTTAAATTGCTTTTGCTTTTGTCCAATGTTTTTGCAAGTTTTGCATTTTTTGCTTGGCTTTGCCATTTTTTTACTGGCCTTGCAGGTTTTTGCAGAGCCTTGCAGTATTTTTTGCCGTCCCAAAAAGTTCTCCCTGGAGAACCTTACTCCTTCAAAACATTTAATAGGATTTTTTTCTGATTTTACTTTTCTAATAAATTATTATATTAATGATTGCCACCACATTCAAGAATCCTTAAAATATAATAATAGGGACTTAGTGAATAAAACTCCTCCTTGGTCAATCTCTGGGAACTTAAATTCTATAAGAGTGTGACCTTGCTTCTCAAGGGCTTCTTTGCATTCCTTAAGCCCTCTCTTTAAAGCAGGGCAACTTTCGAAATATTTTAAATCCACAAAATACCCAATCCTTAGACTATTTTTTTCATAAATTTCTTTATAAAGTTGGGTACTAAAAGGCAATAAGCAATAATTGAAATCATATTTTGACCACTTTTCCTGCCACCAAATTTCCAAAATTAGTTTCAAGTCGTCTACGCATTTTCCTATTGGTCCACAAGCGCCTCTTATTTGAAAATAAAATGGATTTAGTCCAAGTGTATGTGGGTTTCTTACCCCTTTTGATGATAGGCGATCTGGAGTTATTTTAAAGCCATATACCCCACAAAATGAAGCAGGAATCCTAACAGACCCTCCGATATCATTTCCTATTCCAATTGGAGATCCTCTGCAAGCTATGCTTATTACAGTAACTTTGGATTTTTATTTTCCTTCAAAAAATATTTATTATTAAAAAAAAACAATTCAATTCACTGGTATCCGTTTATCAATCCGGCCTCCCCTCCTGAACTGCCTCCAACTGTGAAATCTGGATCCCATGGGTTATCTGACCTTCCATATATTTCATTCGCGCTTTCTATTGCCATGATTCCTTGTGGAACATTAGTTCTTACAAATGGGATTGCTCCTTCATCTTTTAAAGTTTGGACTACAAAAGAGTCTTCAGTATCAGGAAAATCAAGCCTTCATGCGCATCCTCCAGATGTGGTACAATTTCTTTGAGAAAAAATATCTTTGAAACTGATAGGAACACCGTGAAGTTTGCCTATAGATTCTGGGTTTTCCTTAAGCTGTAAATCACGCAAGTAGGCCAGTTCTAAAGCTTCTTCAAAAAGTTCTTCAGTTGTTAAATTAAATTGACGGCCTAGTTTATATGATCTAGATATATAGGTTGCGGTTGCTTCGACTGATGAAATTCGGCCTTCTCTGATTTCCCTTGCTAATTCTGTAGCAGAAAGTGCTAAAATAAATTCTTGTTTTGATTCTTCAACTTCTGGGATTTTGGGTATTTTTGCATCTCTTTCTGCTCTTTTTTTCAATGCTTTTTTATGAAGCTTATATTTTATTCACAATATTTGTATATTTTTTTGCATATCGATTTTCTTATTTTTTATTAAGATATGATCTAATTCTTTTTATTTTCAATTAGTAATTGCATAAAAACGAATAGGAAATTCACTTCTTTTTGAGGGTTGTAAAAAGTTTAATAGTGACAACTCCTGCAATTACGCAATAAGTAATTTTTCTACTTACCATTTATTAATGAACTTTTCAAAATAATTGGTGATAAGCAACCCTTCCTCCCCATTGCAGGTGTCCTTATCTATATCTGGACATGATCTTTGGTGCAAAGAGCTGCCTAAGGGTTAGTTCAGCATAGAGGGAGAGACCCAGCTCGAGTCCGGTGATTAGTGGTCTAGCTTGAGCAGCAGCTTTTGGCATCATCTTTTTTTCGAGCAGCGCCTAGGCTAAGGTTAGGAGACTCATAGAGGCAAGTATGACTAAAAGTCGAGGAATTTCAGACAGGCTCAAGCTAGCTTTGGAGCGCCATTCAACAGCCCATGCTGTGGGGATTATAAAGATACATCTTAATCTTATCAAGCAATGAACTTTTCAGACTGTGAGAATTTTCTCAAAATCCTTATGAACGGTCCTCCAGGACATATAGAAAACACCAAAACCTTAGCCATAGCTTTCAACAACCCTCATGAAGGCTATAATATAATTCATATAACCGGGACTAACGGAAAAGGCACTGTGTCAAAATTATGTGCATCTGCATTAGAAAAATCAGGCTATAAAGTTGGTCTATATATATCCCCTCATATCTCAACTTTTCGTGAAAGAATCCGAATTAATTCAAAAATAATCCCCAAGCAAAAATGTGCTCAAATTACTGAAGAAATTGTTAAAATAACACAAGAAAGAAATCTATCAATTGGCTGATTCGAATATTTTTTATTTTTAGGATTTTTGTATTTCAAACAGGAAAATGTCGACTGAGCAGTCATAGAAGTCGGTGTTGGAGGATTGCTTGACAACACAAATATCGTAAATTCTTTTATATCAATAATTACATCAGTTGGTTTTGACCATGTAGAATTATTGGGACCTACATTAGAAGATATTGCTTTTCAAAAGGCTGGGATTATAAAAGAAGGAAGACCTTGTGTTATAGGACCTCATTGTCCTTTAGAAGTTATAAGCAAAGTGAGTAGAGAAAAGAGGGCTGAGCTAATTTGTGTTCCTGAAATAAGCGAAACAGCTTATAATGAAAATAAAAGAATAGTTTCTACTGCGTTTGACACTTTAAGAAGATATGGAATAGAGATACAAGAAAATGTTTTGGATGGTTTGGATATACAGCAACCATGCAGGTGTCAGATCGAAAAAATTAATAATAAAGCAGTAGTTTTGGATGTTGGGCATAATCCTCCAGCAATTTCTCGGCTTTATCAAGATTTAAAGAATATTTTTCCTGGTTTTAAATTTGTTTCAATTTTTGCAATGACAAAAGGCAAAATGCATGAGGCTACCTTGAGGGAGCTAATAAATGGCACTGATAAGATTTATATTGTATCTTCAAGCCATCCCAAAATTGTTCCATATCAGGATCTAGCTGCAGTTTTAAATAATATAGCTCAAGGGCAGCTAGTTGGCTCAGGAGATTGTAATGAAACTGTTCCTGCAGTATTAGAAGAGCTCAGAGATAATGAAATTCTTGTGATTTGTGGAAGCTTTTATATTATGAAAACTGTTTGTGATTTACTTGGGATATCTTTAAAGGGCAAATTATAATACAATTGGATTATATTTTATTAGTAAAATTATATAATTTCAAATATCATATAATTTATTAATTAGGTATCATGGCACCTTCCATGTCCCTTTTAATTATTTTGAGTCTGAGTAAAACCTTATTCAATCATTGATTATCATTTTTCATACAATTGCGAGAATTTTCCAGTATTTCTGAGTACTCCTGGATTTTCTCTATTTTAATAGAGATATTGTGTCTAATTAAATTATAAAATGAGACGAAAATTCCAGTATAAATATCAGGGTGTATGAGTAATTTTCCTAAAATTACATCTAGTAGTCCACTCTCTAAAATTCGCTTTGCTTGGTCAGTATCGCAAAGACTAGAAATATTGCAAAATACTCAGATGGCTTCTTTTGCAATAGTTTTGTATCATTTTTAATGTATTTCTTAATTTTTCAAAAACATTTGCACTTATAAAGTGACTAAAATAGATACTGCTATCTGCAGCTAAATTTGATAATGTCCAATATGCCTCTTTTCTCATACTCTCCTTATTATAATCTATTAATCGAGTTAACTTTAAAAATAGCCCTGTATTTATGACACTATCTGGGCTCAATTTTTGAGTTGAAGAATTTCCAATATTTTTTAAAGCAAAATAACTGATTTTAAAGTTTTGATAGTCTAGGAGAGAAATAATTCTGCCTAAGAGTTGGCTATCTAAAAAGAGATTCATGCTATAATTTTTTTCACTTATTTTGAAGAAAGAAAAAAGAGCATCTTCCAAAATTCCTTCATTTTGCTCATTCATTTAGATTTTTCGCAAAATAGGAACAAATATTTTGGTTTTATTAAAATCAAGATTGCAATTGCGAGTGGCTAAAGAGCTAATGATCATGCAATTGTTCGGAAATTTTCACTTAAAAACTCATTTTCATGTATATTGAGAAAATTACTAATAGCTGTGAGATTTAATTTCTGAAGTAATAAATTTTGATAAAAAGAACCAGTAATAGCAATATTTCCAATCGTTCACATTATATGCTCGAAGATTGGTATTGAGTTATATTTCTCTAACAAATAATTTAATAAATCCAACGAATTTTGCGAAAGTAAATAGTCATTGCAGGATTTATCCCCTCCTGCGATATTTAATATGATATATGAAACTTCATATATAAACTGCTCATCAGAGTATGAGATTAATTGAATGAGAGAAGGAAGGACATTAGATTGAATAACTTTTTGATAAGGAATTTCTGCTTTATACATAAGACGGCGTAATATTAAAGCCCCAGCTAGCTGCTGGCTACTAAGGCTAGAGCTTATTAAAATTGTAGCATATTTTATAGCATCATCTTTAGAGAGATTAGCATTTTTCAGCTCTGATTCTATTAAAAAATCTTGAAGAGGATGAAATTTTTGAATATTTAATGTAGAAGATAATTCATTGGCTTCTTCAACTGAATTTAAATTTGAAAATTTAGTACCTTGCATCAAAGCATCTTCAGCTTTTTGAACATTTAATGAAGAAAATAATCCGATGACATTTCTAATGAGTTTTGATTTCCCTGGCTCTCATCAGTCTCCATTAGATCTCCAATTGCGCAATTCTAAAATATTTAATATATTATATGATATCTGAAGATCTTGAAAATCGCTATAAAGCCTTAATAAAGGAGTGCAACCAAGTGACTGAACTTAAACTGAAACAAAAAATCGTATATATCATATAGAAATCCGAAAGATGTCTTACTCTCTCATTAAACCTAAATTTATTATTTTTTAAAAAATTTTTCTAATAAAAACTCATATTTAATCTAAAAATTAATTGGCCTTATTTAAATAAAGAAATTAGTAGTAAAGCGCCCAGGCCAAGATCCTGAAGAATTTACCAACAATAAGAAAAATAGATCAAGGTCCCCAAGAAATTTTGAACTGCATACAGAGCGTCCTCCTTTATTAAAAGGTTCTAAATCTGAAAGACTCCGAAACAAGAATATAGTGACCTCTTTATTAGGTCATCTTAAAAAAGCCAAGCAAGATTTATCTGAACAAAAACCCAAGCTCGAGCTGCAAATGAAAGCTAACTTAAAAGTAACCCAAGAAATTAAAAAAAAGAAGAATCTATATTTTAGCAGCTTAAGCTCTTTTTGGGTAATTCTAAAATAAGAAGCAAATTTTGGTCAGGGTATTTATCAAACCAATATCAAGCATAAACGCTATGAAATTTTTTATCAATTATTGGAAATTATGCATTATACCCGAGTGTATATAAGTATTACACTTAACTATATCCGAATTATTTCATAATTCTTTTCATTATATGGATATTTATTTTTCTCATCTGTATTCTCTTTTTGGTATAACAAAAATTTTCACATAAAAGCCCTGATAACTTCTTAAATCGTTGGTAAGCACAATAATCAAAATATTAATTTTTATAGTCCTAAAATCAGACTCAGCTTTGATTAGACATGTAATTCATAAAAAAGATCTAAATATACTTTAGATTTAAAAGCATTTTGATTATAAATTATATTTGCTCATATATATATATTTTAAAAAAGTCCCCAAAATGCAGCGTGTTACAGAAATTTGGGAATCTGAAATAAAGGCTGATCAAATATAGTAAAATATCGAAAACTAAAACTCAAATAAATAATCTAACTTATTAGCGGCTCTACAGACCTTGAAAGCACTGAAGAAGCCTTTTTCATATAATAATTTAATGTTTTATTTCAATAGCCCTTTATAAAATAATAATTGATATGGAAACCAGTTTGCACCAATCCTTCTCAAACCTCTTAGCCTGGTCAGAAACTAGCCCTACAAGCACTTGCTCAACTGCTTATGGCATAAAAGAAGTGCTGAAAATGATTTATGAAGATCGAATTCATATAATAAGCCCTGAAATCTCAAATGGATATTCTCCCGCCATTGAAGATGAAACATCAGGTGTCTTATTTTACATCTCAGCTATAAATCAATCACTTGAGAGTGATGGATACACGCTTAAAAAACCGCTTGTTGCATTTTGGGAATCAAAAATTCCCAGCCAAGTTTCAGAATCTTCTAAAGCAATGCAGCTAGAAAATTCACTATGGCAGATGATGGTGATTCTTCCAAAAAATCACACATCTATTAATGGAAATTCTCTTGAAAGAACCGCAGAAGCAGCATTTTTAATAGACTCGTTCGGGTTAGATTTGCAAATGCCGAAACTTATTAAATATTTGATACAAAATGAAATTGAAATTAGGATTCCTAGAGAGAATAGCCCTGCCTTGAAATTCGGTGGTCTCTTTCCAGGTGTAATATACATTAAAATGGCGACACGTGTCAACCTGCACTCTAGGCGCAGCAGTCCAGACCTTATGGCTACGGCGAACTCCCTCCGAGCTGGCAATCAAGTGCAGGCTCAAGAGGTGTGTATCCAGGTAGGTTTTGACTGTTTTCCTGTGGTTGGAAATTGAGGTGCTCAACAGGGTTCTTTGGATCTGAGGACCTATTGGCATTCCTCTACCGAGAAAGCGGGCTTTAAGCACAGGTCACCTGCAACAGTCTTTTCCCTGTAGTTGCGAAGGAAGGCACTTTGACATCTCCAGGGATCCCCGGAATCAAGCTGCTCCAATCATCCGTAGCAGCATATATCCATAAGCCGCTCACTCAAAATTGAAGCTGTAAGGAGGAGACAGAAGGTACCGAAATGGCACTCGCTACAGGGATAGACTCTCTGGGCTTGAGTCGAAAAGTGGTAGAATCTCCCATACGGGATGTCTTTGGTGACTGCGCCACCAATATGGCTAGCGCCTACTTTTAATAATAATTCTCTTTCCTGGCGTAAATATTGAAGAAAAAAGCCTTAAGCTTCATGAGCATCCTCATGAAAGCGGACTGTGGTGTGTTTTCAATGCAGTTATGTTGATTTCAAGCGGAAACAATGATTTTTTAGAGCCCTTTAGTATGTATGACCCATGCTTTAGTTTAAAGCTGAGAGCTATTCTAAACACATATAATATCAAATTAGACATGAGTCCAAAAAGCCCTCTTCCTGAGTCGAATTATGACTCAAACGAGATTGAAATTATTAATATAGAAATCCGCTCTGCATTGATTTCTGAAATCTCAGGCTGGGGAATGCTTGAAAAAGAAATGAAATTCGTCCAAAAACATTTAAAAATCCATCAACTTTGCACTGTTTGAGAGTATCAGCAATCAAACTTATGAGGAGAAGCCAAAAAATTTATTAAAAAAATTAATATTCAGCTGAGCAATAAAGGCTCTTCTTCATGAAGTCTTAAACTTAATTACAAATCAAGCACACCAAATCGTCCACCAAAAATTCAAAGTATAACACCTCCAACAAATCAAACAATCATGACGGCTAGACTTGATAGCAATTTGTCAATTAATAATGGAAAATTTACAAGGGCAGTTAAGAATAAAAGCTTTATTGATAAATCATTACTCATAAAAGAAATTTTAACTAATGGCGCCCTCAATACACTCATAGTGCGTCCCCAAAAATTGGGGAAAACCCTTAACATGAACATGCTAAAATCTTTTTTCCACCCAAAATATGATGCTTATGGGAATTTTAAAAAATTGTATTTGTTCACCGGCGGCAAAGATAACATTGATGTCAACAACTTGGACAAAACAAAATGTTTGAATATAATAACTGAAGATAATGGTTATTATTACAAAAATTTTGCAGGGAAAATTCCGATTATTTTTCTAACTCCCCACCTCCGTGAGCGAACAAAAAAATCTTGTTCTCTCTTTATATATAAATTTTATAAGAAAAATTTTTAATTCGAAATTTAAAAAAATCCCACTTCCCAAAAATTTGAGTTTAAAAGTTTTAAAACAATTCGACAAAAAATAATTTTCTAATATTTTTGTTCGCTAACGGAGGTGGGAAGTAAATTTTTCCATAATATTTGAAAGAATTGACAATGAGTCTGCAGAGAATTATTTACACAATGCACTTTCAGAAGTAATTAAAAATGCATACTTGGAATACTATCCAGAGTATTTGGAATCCTTGGAAAAAATTATAAAAGAATATGTTTCAGTAAATCCAAATGTTTTGATAAATATTAAAGATAAAGATATATCAGAACTAGAAATGATTATCGACACATATAAACTAACTTTGCCATCACACGTTAAATTGTTTAGAAAATACAAAGATGATAGCTCATCAATAATGGAACCTACGGCTGTGCCTAATCTTGCTAAGTTTGCTCATAAATTTTACAAAAAGCAGGTAATTATTATTATGGATGATTATGATACCCCACTTATTCAAGTAATAAATACTCCTTATGAAAAGGCTGCTTTAAGAATAATAGGTAAGTTTATGGACCCAATATGCATAGAAGCCCTTGATTGCATTTTTAAAGTGATAATGGTAGGGAATATACCTATTAAAGGAAAAGGACTTCCATGACTAAGATATGTTAATATATATACAGTTCAAGATATAGAATATTCCCGATTTTTTGGCTTCACAGAATCAGAGGTAAATACTCTAATCGAGAAAAACTTGCAGAGTAATTCAGAGAAGGACGTGCTAGAGCAAAAAGGATTAATTAAGCTGTGATACAACGGGTATAACCTTTGTGGAGAAAAAATTTACAATCCTCACTCTATAATAAACTGCATAAATAAAGGAAAAACTCAAAATAGCAATCCTCTCCAGCCTTATTGAATCTTTGCTTATGACCTTAATCCACTAGTTCCAGCATTTAATGCCCTACAATCTTATGATGAATTGTTTGAAATAATGAGAACTGGCTATCTTGAATTGCCAAGAGAAATTGACAGATACATAAACTTGTCATTAGATTTCAACAGCACACAAAATTTTTTTACTCTATTGTTACATGCTGGCTATTTAACACCATATAGCACAACTAAAATGGAAGAGAAAAGCCTTGCGACCACTTGAATATATGTAGTTCCTAATAGAGAAATAAAAAAGCATTTTTACAACACGCTACTTTTAGAATGAATTAGTAGAAAATTAGGCTCAGGAAAAGTCAATATTGATAAGATAGTTAATGAGTTTGACACCAGCTTAGATAATAAATTTGAGTTCCAAAATCTTATCCAATCAAAGATTCTTGATGAAATGGTGGATAAAACTAGTAAAACAGAGGCAGACTTTCAAATCTTACTAGGGGGCATAGCGATGCTGGCCTCAATTATGACAATAAATTCAAATTACATATTACATTCAGAAGCACCAAATAAATTTAGGAAGAAGGTTGATGGGATTTTCATCCCTACCAAACACAAAAAAACTAGTGTTATCATTCATGAGTATAAGAAGATTGATACAGCTGATACTAGTTATGCCAAGGAAAAAGCGGAGGATGCCCTTTGGCAGATCTATGCAAAGCAATACATGAAGATTGCTTTTGATTTGCGTGATAGTGATAGGCATTATAGATATTTTGACAAAATGATAGTCCGTGGTATTATTTTTTTCAAAGCTCAATACGGTGAGAATTGAAATATGCTGATTAAAGAGCACTCGTTCGACTTCAATAATGCTTTAAAAATAAATGAAGTTTTTACTTCAGATGAAGGGGGAATATTGGCTGGATCAGCCGTGTTGTGTGGAGAAAGTGGGTCGCAAAGTGATAAGCTTGAAGCAAGGAGGTCTCTCGGTGGAGAAAGAATTAGCAATCTGATTAAAAATATTACTGGCGACAGTGAAGAAGAAACCCTAATAATGAAACGCAAACTTGACCCTGATAAAATTAAACCAAATAAAAAGCCAAAACTTCGGGATAATTAATGTTAACCTTAGGTTGAAATAATGTTTGCATTGATTAAATCTCCTAAGTAATTAAAGCACGATTTCTTTTTCTAAATGTATTTCTTAATTTTTCAAAAAATAAAGTGTTAAAATAGATATTGGTATCTGAAGCTAAATTTGATAATGTCTATTATCTTGCTCGTTTATTAAGATTTTTGCAAAATAGGAATAAATATTTTGATTTTATTAAAATCAAGAGAATGGTTAAAGAGCTAATGCATCATGCAATATTTCTGAAATTTTCACTTAAAAACTCATTTTCATGTATATTGAGAAAATTACTAATAGCTGTGAGATTTAATTTCTGAAATAATAAATTTTGATAAAAAGAACCAGTAATAGCAATATTCCAATCGTTCACATTATATGCTTGAAGATTTGTATTGAGTTATATTTCTCTAACAAATAATTTAATAAATCCACGAATTTTGCGAAAGTAAATAGTCATTGCAGGATTTATCCCCTCCTGCGATATTTAATATGATATATGAAACTTCATATATAAACTGTTCATCAGAGTATGGAATTAATTGAATGAGAGAAGGAAGGATATTAGATTGAATAACTTTTTGATAAGGAATTTCTGCTTTGCACGTAAGACGGCGTAATATTAAAGCCCCAGCTAACTGCTGGCTACTAAGGCTAGAGTTTATTAAAATTGTAGCATATTTTATAGCATCATCTTCAAAGAGATTAGCATTTTTCAGCTCTGATTCTATTAAAAAATCTTGAAGAGGATGAAATTTTTGAATATTTAATGTAGAAGATAATTCATTGGCTTCTTCAACTGAATTTAAATTTGAAAATTTAGTACCTTGCATCAAAGCATCTTCAGCTTTTTGAACATTTAATGAAGAAAATAATCCGATGACATTTTCTAATGAGTTTTGATTTTCCTGGCTCTCATCAGTCTCCATTAGATCTTCCATTGCAATTCTAAAATATTTAATATTTAATATGATATCTGAAGATCTTGAAAATCGCTATAAAGCCTTAATAAAGGAGCGCAACCAAGTGACTGAAAAGCTTAAGAACTTGAACTGAAACAAAAAATCGTATATATCATATAGAAATCCGAAAGATGTCTTACTCTCTCATTAAACCCAAATTTCTATTTTTTAAAAATTTTTAATAAAAACTTATTTTTAATGGCCTTATTTAAATAAAGAAATTAGTAGTAAAGCGCCCAGGCCAAGATCCTGAAGAATTTACCAACAGTAAGAAAAATAGATCAAGGTCGCCAAGAAATTTTGAACTGCATACAGAGCGTCCTCCTTTATTAAAAGGTTCTAAATCTGAAAGACTCCGAAACAAGAATATAGTGACCTCTTTATTAGGTCATCTTAAAAAAGCCAAGCAAGATTTATCTGAACAAAAACCCAAGCTCGAGCTGCAAATGAAAGCTAACTTAAAAGTAGCCCAAGAAATTAAAAAACAAGAAGAGGAAATTCGAGTCCAAGCTCTTGAAGAAATTAATGTAAATTTCGAATAGAAACAAAAAGAGATTGAAATCCAGAAGAAAAACGAGCTAGATGAGCAGATAGCCAAGCTTCAATTTCAAATGCAGAAAGAGTCTCATGAAAATAGGACAGCAGTATATTGCAGCTATATTTTGACAGAGTAAAAAATATATAGCACTCAGCCTGGGATATTTTATATGCCCTATAAGCATAATGAAATTACCAAAAAAAGACTGGCACAGTCAAAAGAAAAAATTGAGGTAAATTCTAGGCAGGGAAAGGCAGGAGTTTGGCACAGGCATCTTGAAGAAGAGGAGCTTAAAATGTCAAGGGAAAGATTGGAAAAAGTTGAAGAGGAGAATAAAATCCTTAATATGAATAAAACTTAATTATTTTCCTTTTGAATTTGTCTATTTAGCATTAATAAGAATAAATTATTCTGCAGCTTCATATTGGAATATAAATGCCAAACAATCTAATCTATTTTTTATGAAATAAAATTAGCATTAACAAGGTGTTTTTCATAAATTGTTTTTTCAAAAGAACTATACGGGCCTCCATGCCCACAAGTTAACGGAATTAAAAATCCAGCTTTCTGGTAATCCACTGTACTTGTCACAATCATGCTTTCGTTCAGGTTAAAAGATGAGCTCGAGTTTTCAGATGGAGTATTTTCAGCTCTTTCTTCTAGAAAACTCAGAACTCTTTGAAGGCTCTTATAAACTTTATCGACATCTTTACAAATTTCTCTTAATAGCGAGTTTGTCGAGTTTTCATTTGAAGAAATGACAATTTCCAATTCTTTTATTGCTTCTTTTATGGATTTTATAGTGTATTTCTCCCAAAAAAAAAAAAAAATTTTTTTATTTAAATATTTTTTAATGTTTAAAATAATTATTTTTCTATAATTAAGAGTAGGTAATCGGACCACAAGTCTCAGAGCCTGCTAAATATAAGCTTGATCCCCAAATATCGAGTGTAGAAATTCATATTACCAAGTTAAGCTCTTGAAATTTTGCTTTTGATATTGAGCTTAATGAGCTCCCTCCAGAATCCAAGTTATCCATGACAGCCATTAATCTCATAACTGTGCTCACAATTTGTTCATCATCTAGAGAATCAGTCTCTTTCACCAATAGCTGATACTGAGTAGGGACTTTTGATAGGTGACCAGGATTATTTAATGAGTCTCCTTCACGAATTTTTTTGAAAATTGATAAATGCTCTATTAATCGAGTGAGCCTAGAAATTGAGCCAGAAAAATTTGAAATTTCGTCTTCAGTTAAAATATGCGATTTTTTGATATGCTTTAATTACAATAAATAAAATCATACCTAATTATAGCTGTTGTCTTATTTTATATATAAAATTGGATATTAGCTAGTATAAATGCTTTTATTTATTGCAATTAGGTATATTTTTCGATTTGGAAAGAGAAGTTGAAATTTTTTCTTGAAACCCAGTGGTTAATCTATAAGCCACTCCTGCTTTTAATGATGCTAAATCACTGATCATTTTGTCTTGAGGATCTGATGATATCTCATTAATTATGATTAATACCATTATTTGATTTAATTTTTTAATTAATATTAATTTTCCTACGCTGAATTAATTGCTTTTATTTATGTTTTTAAATATAATATTTTATAACAGTCTGCAGCCAAATAATCTCCTGCAGAATCGCTATCAGCTTTCTGGGCCACTTTCAGCCCCCAATATGCGACTTTCCCAAAATTAAAAAACGACGTATCTTCCAGCGACGCAAAAGTCCGATCAGCAAATAAAAAATCAAGTGCACACTCCCTTGCCAAGTGTGTCGCAATACACCCTCCTAGCGATTCTCCATGCACCCCCAATTTCGGCACATTTTTTGTCGTCCTCAAATAATTCACAATAATTTGCCCATCTTTCTGTATTCTTGGCAGACTCGGTTTCCCAGAAGTCCTTCCATACCCTCTGTAATTCCACAAAAATACATTGATTCCATTTCTTATATAAAATTCAAGCCACTCAGTCTGAAAAAAAGAAAATTCATAGAAACCCGCATTTGGGTTGCAAATCAGCATGCAAGGACGTGGCAAGCCTTGAGGTGTGCTCTGCACAAAAAATCCATCAATATTTACACCGTCTTCTGCAGTTATCCAGACCTGCTCTGAATTAAAGCGCTTTAAGAGATCCGCCCTCATATAGTTTCCTGAGCCTAGCGTGTCGTCAAGTGCCCATCTTTTGAGCCTTTTATAGCAAGTTGTAGGCCCACAAGAAGTCAAAAGGGCTTTTCCAATTTGTTCACAAGTTTCAATGGCGTGGTGGAATTGTGTGTCATTGAGGCGATCTTCGAAAACTATATTGGATGGGTCAGGCTTTTCGTATTGGATTTTCATTCAGTTCCAGAGTTTGTATTCATCACAAGAATCCACAATAATTGTAATATCTTCAAGGGTGGATTTTAGGTCTATTAGAAGTGAGTAAAACTGATTTTGGTGTTTGGACAGTGAACTGCCAAGGGTTTTTAAGTTATCATGAATTGTTTCTATCAGATGACAAGTAAATGATACCGACCCATACGATACCTGAGGGTTATTATCTTCATTTCCACTCTTTTTTGCTTTTTCATGCAAATGTTCCAAATATAAGTGAAGGTCTTTCATCTTGTAATAAATCTGTGACGTCATTTCTCTACAGAAACTTGCTTCAATCGATCGTCTTCAAAATCAGCAGGACCCTGGAAAAATCAAAATTTGTGCCGCAAATCGTAAGAGTAATCATAAAGAAATTATGAAAAGCAAAAGAGACCCAGGCAAAGTAATTAGGTAGGAGAGTAAGAAAAAGACTTCGAAAATTAAGGCGAGAAAAAGGAGGATACTTGCCATGACTACGCCTCCAAAAATCAGAAGTTTGAGCTTTCTATTGCAGAAGTTTACCATTTATAAGATTTAGAGATTTGATAATAAAAACCTGTAATATGAATAAAAAACTGGAAAAATAAATAAGTTATTAGAAAAAGAAAAGTATTAGGTAAATGGGCATTTCCTTTTGGGATTATGATGGAAATGACGCAATTTTATATTTTTATGAGAAATTATTAATAAATTATTATATAAATGTTTTTCTTATAATAGAAAATGATATTGAGATTTAATTTTTTAGAGCCAAAATGAATTTGGCATAGATATAGAAAGATCAAGCATAGATCAGTAAAAATTGTAATTCTAAAATAGCTTTAAGATGATGAATAATTAAAAATAATAGATAGAGTTAAAAAGCTTTCTTAATCCCTCATTTAAATTGGAATAAGAAATTTTTTTTCAAATTAAAGGTATTAATTTTCATAACAAAATATATTTAAAAATAACGAATATAAGTTTTGCACAATGTTTTTTGATTTTAATTTATTTCATAAAGAATTAATTTAGAATACTAATCACTTCAACATGCCAATGCTTAAATAGCATTTTATTTGCACTACCCATTAAACTAAATTAAAGCTATTTTATAAAAGTTAATATTTCCACCTATATAAAACTTTTAAAAAAAGTCGTTCCAATTAAAGTGTTTTAATATATCCAAAAATTATAATTTAAAGGGAGAGTTAATATTTCTACGGATTTTTGAAACCGTATATTCAATTACTCAAGAAATGCAAAAACAAATCCTGGCAATGGCATTCTGCCAATAAATTTGAATAATTAATCTTTTTGATAAGAATTCAGTTTGCCAATTGGCCTCTTAAGCAATTTTCCCATTCCATATTAGAATAATTTTCTTAATATAAACAATAAATTTCTGAAACGCTTCGATTAATTAAAAAACTCCAAAAGTTTCATTTTAGCTTTCCTTTCTCAATTCTTTAGCCTCCCCTTCAAATGAAACTTAAATTCTGCTTCATTCCTGCTAAAACTTAAAATTTTAGTTTGAAATGGCTTTTCCGTTTATAGATAAATTATGGGAGGAAAGTCATCAAAGACAGAGGACCCAGACAACGAAGACCCAAAAAAGCCTGATGATAATAAAGACAAAAAATCTGACTCTAAGTCAAAATACATGGACCCAGACTATAAAGGTGAGCCACTTTCTGATGATCTTTCAAATGGACCTGTTGAAAAACGCAGATGCACAGATTGCTTATGCTGCCTTGTTTTTCTCGCTTTTGCGGTTACCTGATTTGTAGTAGGAATTACAGGATTTTCTGAAGGAAATCCCTACCTTTTAACTTACCCTTACGACTCTGATGGAAACCAATGTGGTCGTCCTGGTGAAAATGCTGAGCACTACGATTATCTTTATTTCCCATTCCCAATTTCTGGGTACCTCGACTACCGAGTCTGTGTAAAACACTGCCCTAAGCACTACAACTCCACAGTGGACTGCTACAAAATCGAAAAATTCCATTACACCTGTACATTTCTGTTTGAAAATATTTCTGATGCTCCTGATCCTACTTATGGGTATATTAAAGGAATATACCCAAGTGATGGGTACCTAGATAGATTTTGTTTGCCAGATTCTGATGCAGAAGTTGGATGGGTAAAGTATGGTTATGACGAAGTGAGTGATAAAATTGATGTGACTGTTTTAACAAAATGGATAGGCGATGTGTGGAATTGCTGGGAAGTCATGTTTATAGTAGCTGCTATAGCATTTGTCATTGGAGGAGTTTATATGTTTGTTTTAAGGTATTGTTTAGGAGTTCATTATTTCTTCTAAATTCTTATTTTATTTTTTGTTTTTGATAAAAAAAAATTATTTTTGATAGGAGTTTTAGTGTGGATTTCTATTATTGTCTTTTGAATATTCCTTATACTTTGTAGAAATAAAATGGTGACTTTAACGGAAATTGGTCTCAGAGGAACACTGCTTATGAAGCAGGTTGGACCCATCTTGATGAAGCTAAAAGCAGGCATCTTTCCCTTTTTGAAGTATGCCTTTTGGATTGGGATGCCTTGCTGAAGAGGGAAGTTTTGTTTCTACCCGAAGTTTTTCCTGTCCCTGTCAGATGAATTAGACAGGCTTTGCTTCTCACATAATCTTCCTCTATCGGGACTATTGGGGTTTTCTGCAGTGTGCTGCTCTAACCTACGGAGCTGATCCTTTGCTAGGTGAGTTTCATCAGAAAATTTAAGAGGGCGGAATTTTGGCTGGGCCTTCACCATTCCCTAATGTATAAGCATCAGATGTAGGCAATCTTTCCTGGAATCAAAGTAGTCCAGCTAGTTGGGGCCCCGCTTATGGCGGTATAAAATTTAATTTAATATTATACTTTGTGCTTCATTTTTACTGTGGGCTGCTGAAAATAAATACCAAGAAGACACTGACAAAGACACGCGCACAACTTTATATGTTTGCAGTGGGATTATGTGGGGAATAGTAGGGGTTTATTTTCTTTATATCTTGTGCATGTGCAATAGAATTAGATTGGCAGTTGCAATCATGAAAGCAGGCACGCTTTATATTAGAGACGTCTGGTATGCAATGCTAGTGCCACCTGTTTTCTTTGTAGTCATTATTGCGTTTTATATATGGTGGGTGTTGGCTACGCTTTGGCTTTATTCAAGTGGGGATATCAAGCAGCATGGTGATACTGCTTTTGCTGAGGCTGAGTGGAATAATGATACAAGAAATGCATTTTATTTTGAATTTTTTGGAATTTTGTGGATAAATGCAATTTTAATTGCCCTTTGTGAGTTTATCTTGGCTGCATCTGTATGCATTTGGTACTTTTCTTGTGGGTCAGACCATGGAGCTCAGCGGCCGATTTCGAGACCGATATGGTGGGCATTTCGTTACCATTTAGGGACTTTGGCTTTTGGATCTTTTATATTAGCTGTTATCTGGGCAATTAAATATATCTTAATGTACATCCAAGCCAGAATTAAAGCAGTTAATAGAGATGGTAAAAGCAAAGCATTGCTTTTACTTCTAAGATGCCTAACTTGCTATGTCGTATGCTTTGAAAGATTCGTTAAATTCCTCAACAAAAATGCTTTTATTCAATGTGCCTTAAATTCTACTTCATTTTGCACAGCAGCCCGTGATGCATTTTTCTTAATCCTCAGGAACGGTTTCAGGTTTTTGGCCCTTGGATCAATTGGACACGTTTTTCAGTTTTTAGGAAAATGGATGATAGCAATTATTGCGACTTTCGCTGGATATATGATTATTACCCATGCCTCTAGATGGTCAGACAAGCTGCATTCCCCTATTTTCCCGACAATTGTGTTTTTATTGATTGCTTATATTATAGCGTCACTTTTCATGGGAATTTATTCGATGGCATGTGACGCTATTTTGCATTGTTTTCTTGCTGATGAAGAATTGTGCAAAAATAAAGATCGACCGCCACAGCATGCTCCAGAGATGCTCAAAGATTTTCTTGATAAGGAGAGGAAGAAGGAAAGCAAGCAGAAATGTTGCTGCTGTTGCTAATTAGGAAATTAATAAAGAAAATATCTGATTTAATTTTTTAATAAATATAAATTCCAAAAGGCTTGTTGAGATAAGTTTACCTGCTGCTAGTTTTGAATTATATAGTAATTTAAATTTTTATAATTGGGCTATTTTGAAGGGAATTTTTATATATATATATTAATGGAAAATAAATTAGAAATTTTGATTGAAATTTCCTATAATAATGAACTCTTTACAATCTAGCTATAAAATCAGTTTTTCTGATAAAGTGGTAACTCCTTGCTTATTTAGCGGTAAAAGCCATTGGGAAAAATTAGTAATAATTAAAAAGCATTTTTATTTAAATATGATCTCTAGCTAATATTATTTTATTAAAATTTTAAATACCCACATCATAAATCATAAATTTTTATTAATTATATTATTATATAATATTTTAAAAAAACAATTTAACCCCATGAGATTAAAAATCGAGTCAAGGAAATAAGAAATTCGCGGATTTTGTAGAATCTTTGAGGGGATCTAAAATTATGATTTATTTTCTGAAGATCATAAAGTATAATTTTTGCAGCTACTGTTATAAACCTAATAAGAGAACTGTAAGCATTTCTTGGATAAATAAAATGGCATTCGGTTCGAGAGAAATTGGCTCTGCCAATTTTCTCTCCCTCATGGAATTTTATTTATGGGGTTGGGTTTTCTCTCGAGAACTTCTGCACAGCAATAGTCGTTTAACTTTGGGGATAACCAAAGGCACGACTCCTCAGTGCACTCAAGATTTCGGAGTTTTACCTCTCAGCACGTCCCCACGGGAGGATGACCCTTAGGCGGAACACGCGCAGGAGCTGAGTCTGGACGAGCGACGGCAACGCGCCGGGTGAGATGTGCGGCGATTTATCTGGCGACTAGCCTTATAGAAGGCTTGGGTGTGGGCTGACCACATATTCCAAGATGGCTTGGTGACGTCACTAGTTGTCGCTTTGACCCTTTTTCATTAAGGGGTGTGGGCACTAGACACCTTAAAAACTATGTAACTAAGTAAGTAAGTAAGCATTTCTTGAAAAATCGCAAAAAAGCAGTCATTTCAGCAATGCTAATATAGAAATCAGAAATGAATTAGAAAAGATTTTGTTTGGCGGTAGAATTAAAGAGATGAATGCTAGAAAGGCTAAATTTATTATGGATCTTGATGACTACGATATGGATCTGGAAAAGCTTCAAGAAAGCTATTAAAGAATAAGGAAAAGGCATTTCCATGATTTTCCATAAATTATTTTATATTTTATAGGCAATTTCAAATGTTTTCACAATTTTTTTAAGATTAGTTGTATTTCTGATGACTACTGCATAATTGACATAATCCATTGACGCCTCCCCCCTGTGAGTGAACAAAAAAAAAATTTTGTTTACTCAAGGAGGGGGGTTAATTTTTTTTTTTTAAAAAAATTTATTTATATATAAATTTTTAAAAAATATTTTTTCGAAATTTTAAAAAATCTAATTCGCAAAAATTGGAAAGCAAAATATTAATTTAATTTATAAAATTTATGTTTTAAAAAGCAATTCGTTTAAAATTAAACATAATTAGCTCTAGATTTCATTATACTAATTATCATTTATATATCAAAATTTTTTTCCATAAAAATTTTTTTCTTTACTCACGGAGGGTGGGTTTTTTGGGCAAAAAATAAGGATTTTTCTAATGGTTTTGTTCACTCACGGAGGGGGGGGGAGTGAGTTATTGCATATATTATTCAGCATATTGGGCTTTCGTAAATAACTTATATCTAGATACCAAATGCCTTTGCAAATAATGCAAGGCATACTATAATAGGATTCTTATTTCATAATAAAAAATAAATGTTATTATAAGGGCAAAATTAAGCTTATGCGCATCACTTACATATCTGACGAAATCTAGGCAAATGGAAGTATAATCCAAATATTGTAAATAATTAAAAATTACGAGGTAAAAGAGATAAAATTATACTTGCAAATATTACAAAAGAATTTCAAAGCTATTTCTGTCTAAATTTTAAAATTCATACCTAAATATCTTAAGAAAAAGAAAAATGGAAAATTGAAATGGCCTGGATTCGACACAAATATTCACTGAATTAAGCGCTGAATTTTAATTAAAATGTCTAAGCGAGAAAGAAGTGAAGACCGATATGTCTTTGTATCAGGCTTTAGCAGTAATGCAAATTCTCATTCAATTGCAAGAGCTTTTGCTACTTGTGGGAAAATCGAACGAATCCATTTCAGAAACAGAAAAAACTGCATAGTTTGGTTCGAGGAGTCAGAAAGTGTCTGGAAAGCATTAAAATTTCATGGAACAAAGCAGCCTTCACTCAATGCAAATATATTAAAAGTGTCTGTGTCTCAAGAATTCCAACCAGCTAAGAAGCCTAAGCCTTGCAGCGGATCGTTTATAGTACTTGATCCACCAAGGTTTAATAACTTCATGATTCCTATTTTACCGTCATTTATGTAATTTATCTGAGGGTAAGCTAATTCCAAAAGAAATTTTTATTATAATTTACGATTATCGAAAATTAATTTAAAATTAATTATAATAAATAGTTAAAAATCATAATATTAATTAGTGTTATCCTTCGCCCAATTTTCTTTGTCTATATTTTAGTTTTGCTGATTTATTTTGCAATTTTCTGAATTAATTTTCTTGATAACTACCCAAGTGAATTAATCTACCTGGAGAAATATATATAAATGTGGGTTCACCTCCTCTTAATAGGGACAGCCCTAAGTGCACCTTTAGCTGACTTACCTCCCTGAAAATAAACAAATTACAGTGAAAAATTCTGCTTATATAAATTAATAAACTCAAAGCGTTTTTTTTACATTAGCTAAACATTTCTAAAATATAAAGGAGAATTAGTAAAAAATCAGCCAGGGCTACCAGATGTACCTAATTTTGATACATATTCTGGCTATCTTGACATCCCGAACTCAAATGGGAAATCCTTGCATTACATTCTTGTTGAAAGCCAAAATAACCCAGCAACAGACCCTTTGCTACTATGGCTCAACGGTGGCCCAGGGTGTTCCTCACTTGATGGCTTTATCTACGAGCACGGCCCTTACGTGTTCCCAGACGAAGGCGTGACTCTTTTTAGGAATCAATGGTCTTGGAACACAAATGCAAGTGTTTTATACCTCGAAGCTCCAGCAGGTGTTGGCTGGTCCGTGATGGGCGACCTGGCTAACAACAACACTGACGACGAAATCACAGCTCACGACAACCTTCAGGCAATTTTACAATTTTTCAGAAAATTCCCTGAATACAGATACCACGATTTTTTCATTTCAGGGGAAAGTTACGCAGGCATCTACGTGCCTACTTTGGCTTATAACGTGCTTATGTACAACAATTACAGTCCTCATAACAGCATTAACCTAAAAGGGATTGCTGTAGGCAATGGCTGCACCGATTGGAATGTTGATACAACCCCTGCCTTTATGCAATTGGCATGGACCCATGCCCTGATTGGCTATGAGTGGTACGATAAATTGGTGGCTGACTGTGACAACCTTAATGAGTGGAGCAGTGAAGCCTGCCAAAATGACGTAGGGTATATAGAAGGGACACTTCTCAATAATATCAATATTTATGACGTCTATGGCCCTTGTATTTACCATAACGACACCCAAGCCCAATTAGACAATAACAGGTACCTGAAGTTTGTGCTCGATCTTAACCCTAATTTGGGGATTATTCCTCCATGCTGTGCTTGGCAGGGCGCTTATCAGTATTTCCAAAGCCAAGCTGTAAGGACTGCTTTTAATATCCCTAACAGCGTCCAACAATGGACTTTTTGCCAAGACTTGAATTATCAAGATGACTACCTCCATGGCTCCATTTTTGTGTATCCTTTCTTGATACGTTCTGGACTACGAATTATGGTCTATTCAGGAGATGTCGATGGGTCAGTGCCATTTATAGGGACAAGACAGTGGATAAACAGCTTAAATTTGGACGTGAAGCAGCCTTATGCGTCTTGGTATGTTGATGAACAAGTAGCAGGGTATTATATTGAATATGAAGGACTTACATGGGTGACTGTCAAAGGAGCTGGGCACATGGTTCCACAGTGGAAAAGACCTCAAGCGTGGCATATGATCAATTCGTGGCTATCTGGAGTTTCGCCTTAAGTAATATTTAGATAAATATGAGGTAAAGTTTATATGGGAGAAATTGCATATTTTAGAGCAAAAATATTAAAAAATGGATATTTATTTTCAGGTAATTTATAGTAACCAATAATGAGAGGTGAAGAAATTATTAATAGGCTGGCTGGGCTTATATTGATAAGTGTAGCATTGAGTGCTCCTTTAGCTGACTTAATCCTCTCATATTAATAGCGAATAATAGATAGTCTATTGCGCAATCAGAGATTTGATAATATCATTAATAATGAGCAAAATTAGATTTTATTAATTTTTTCTAATATTTATTTTTAAAAATCATACAAGAAAATTAATTACAGGAAGGCTAGTAAAAAACCAGCCTGGACTTCCTGCCGAATATCCTGCTAGTTTTGATACATACTCTGGTTACCTTGATATCCCTAACTCAGACGGAAAATCACTACACTACGTTCTTGTCGAAAGTCAAAATAACCCTGCAATCGATCCTTTAATTTTATGGATGAATGGCGGTCCAGGGTGTTCATCTATGGCAGGTTTCGTTTATGAGCATGGCCCTTACGTCTTCACAGACGAAACAACCGTACTCCTAAAAAATCAATGATCTTGGAACACCAACGCCAGTGTCATTTATCTTGAAAGCCCAGCTGGAACTGGCTGGTCTCTTTTAGGAGCTTCTTCCAACAATGTCACTGACGATGAAATTGCAGCCCATGACAACCTTCAAGCCATTTTTCAGTTTTTCAAAAAATTCCCCGAATATAAAAATCACGATTTTTATATATCTGGAGAAAGCTATGGAGGAATCTATGTGCCGACCTTAGCTTATAATATCCTTATGTACAACAGCTATAGTCCTCATAATAGTATAAACTTAAAAGGAATCATTATAGGGAACCCTGGTGCATTTTTTTGTTCTGGAATTTTTGGGCATTTTCCTGAAGTTTTCGAATAAATTCTGAGGGAAAAATTTTATGAAAAAACCTTATGCAAGTATTATAAAGTAGAAAGGAAATGGCATACAGCCAAAGAACCCTTATGTAGATGATAGTACTGATTCTACCTCAGGCTTGATGAAATTGCTATGGTCTCATGCGTTGATTGACTATGAGTGATATAATAAATTGGTGGCAGACTGTGATAATTTCAATGACTGGGATAGTGTAGCTTGCAATAATGTTACAGATTATATACAGCTTAGCCTTCTCAGCAATTTGAATTTTTATAATATATATGGAAACTGTTTTCCTCAGAATGGCTTTGCCCCGCCCCGTGGGATAATTCCACCTTGTGCAGGCTGGGAAGGCTCGTTTCAGTATTTTTTAAACCAAACTGTAAGAACTGCTTTTAATATCCCAGACTCAGTCCCACCGTGGGCTTTTTGCATATTTTTAGATTATACTGAAGACCTGGTGCATGGGTCTTTATATGTTTTCCCATTTCTTATCCGTTCAGGGCTGCGTATTTGGGTCTATTCTGGTGACTGTGATGGAGGGACACCGTTTATTGGAACTAGAGAATGGATTAGCAGCTTAAATTTGCCAATAAAGCAAAAATATACATCCTGGTACGTAGAAGACCAAGTAGCTGGCTTTTATATAGAGTATGAAGGCCTTACTTTTATAACAGTCAAAGGAGGTGGTCATAATATCCCAGAATGGAAAAGGCCTGAAGCCTGGCATATCATTATGTCATTCCTTAATGGAATTTCGCCGTAATTAAATTTAAAAATAAATGGGAGGAGTCGGAAGCCAACTACGTCGAGAAGAAGTTGAAGAATTAATGAGAAAATCGAAATTTAATCAAAAAGAGCTCAAAAGGATTTATCGAAGATTTGCCAGACTTGACCACGAAGAAAAAGGCTGGGTTAGTGTCGATGACATTTTGACGCTTCCTGAATTAACAAATCATCCTATGAGAGATCGGATTGCTCGAATGATGACTATTGACATGGGTGAAGTCATTGATTTTAAGCTGTTTGTAGAAACTATATCACTATTCAGTGATAGGCTGAATCCTGAAGAAAAGCTCCGATATTTTTTCAAACTTTATGATATGGATGGAGATGGGTTTGTTGGGGAAGGTGAATTATTTGTAATGCTGAGAATCCTGGTAGGTGGGTCATTAAATGATGCACAAGTCCAAAGCATTGTGGATCAAGTGATCCAGCAGACTGATAGAGATAAGGATGGAAAGCTGAATTTTAAAGAATTTAAAGATATGTTGGGGGAAACACAAGAAAGTTTTAATACGAAAAATTCTAATTATTAAAATAATTAAATGGGCTCGCTCAAACCTTAAAATCAGTATTTAAACTCAATAGTAATTCAGCAGATTCAGAATTTTAATTGAATCTTTAAAATATTTCTTAAATTTTCTTTTCCTATTTGATTTGTGTCTTCTTTATTAATAAAAATTACCTTATCAACTTTTTCTAATAAATGGTTTCTGTGCATGTTAAACTCTCCTCTCAGAATGTCAGATTTGTATAAAAGGATGCTACTTGTGATAGGCCACAAAGCTGCTCTTTTGTTTGGGATGTAAAAAGGAGACCAGAGACCATCAATAAATTGCCCAGATTTTATTTCAAGTTTGGCCTCTTTGGCTGATGACTCAACTGAGTTAATGAGTGCTTTGCTTATACCGAAGTATGCAAAATAATCAAATCCACGCCAAAATTTTTGTGTTTTTTTTCAAGAGTTCTTATTTTTCTGTAATCAGGATCTAATAAGAAATGATCTGCAAGTAAAAAATGTTAAAAGTGGGCTGCTTACAATCAAAATATTTACTACTTTCGAGGTGTTTCATAATAATGGTTTATTAGCTTTAAAAGTAATCAATCCATATATAGGCTAAAAGCTCCAACTGCCACGCTATATGCAATACTTTTTTAAATTCAGTGATTGAATTTGCCACTTTTTTAGGGTAAATTAAATGAATTAGCTTGCTAGAGAAAATCTACTCATCAGGCAATATCGAGTATAAAGTGATCAATATTAGTGCGACTTCGATAACCAATTAATATATTCTGTATCATTTTTAAAAGCAAACTCTTTAGCTTCAGTATAATCGATAAACTTTTTGGCCATTTTATTAGCCCATTCCTCTTTTTCAAATCTTAAATCTGCTAGACATGATATCATCTCTGATAAATAAGCAGAACTAAAGCTATCCTCTTTATTGCAAATAGTTTGTACTGCTTTTTCATCAGAAATTCCAGAAACTTTTAATTTATGAATTTTTATGACGTAAATGGCCGGTGGCAGAGCAATCCGTCATCTCATCGGTCAGTTTTCTTAGGAAAAAAATTTTGATATATAAGTGATAATTAGTATAATGAAATCTAGAGCTAATTCTGTTTAATTTTTAAACAAATTGCGTTTTAAAACATAAATTTTGCAAAATTAAATTAATATTTGCTTCCCAATTTTTGCAAATTAGGATTTTTTTAAATTTCGAAAAAAATATTTTTTTATAAAATTTATATATAAATTTGTTTTAAAAAAAAAAAATTAACCCCCCTCCGTGAGCGAACAAAATTTTTTTGTTCGCTCACGGAGGGGGGGGGGGGAGTTAGGTATATCCTGAGATATTCTTTTGGTTCAAGGAGTATAAAAATTTTTGAAAAAAATTTAACCTTGGCGTGCGAACAAGATTTTTTGTTCGGATAAAATTTTTCTTTGATTAAATACACGCTATAAAATGCACGGCCATTGGGCATGCACCCTATAAGGGATATAAAATAAAGCATTTAAAATATAAGTTAATACATTATGGATCAGTCTAGAATAACTTATTAAGCAATAATTTTATCATGCATATGCATGTCATTTTGAATTTGGTATATGAAACCAAATATGCGTTTCAAAACGCAGATTTTAGTGCGGCAAATTCATAATTTGAAATCTCATATGAAAATGCGTATAAGGTCCATAAGAAATTTTGCCAACGGATTATAGGGTTGAGTGTAGCACAATATCTCTAATGATTTCTATTACCAAGATTGAGTAGGGTTTTCTTTTGACTTGATGGTGACAAGGGGGGATTCATGCTTGCCCGCTTTTTTTACAAAAAAAATGTATACTTGTTTGCCAAGAATAGGGGTGAAGCGGAAAAAAAAAAACGCTGGGGGTTTTCCGCCAACTTTTTCACCGTCAAAATTATAGGAAAATTTTTTAATTTTCTCCAGATGGCGGAAAAAAACCCCATAATAAAAAAAAAAGTAGTGGCGGAAAAAACACCAGCGAAAACAAAAACCGTCAAAGTCAGAGGAAAAAACACCCAAATGGTGATAAAAACGGAGGAAAAAAACCCCAATATACAATATAATTAAATGCTTAAAATGATAGGCAAATATTAGAGAAAATACAAATAAATATTTATAATTTAGTTACAATAATCGATTAAAACAATATTAATTTATAGATGTATAGATTTATTCTCAAAGTAACTATAAAGCTATGATTAACAAAAATAATAGAAAAATATAAAAATCAACTATAAAAAAAATTTACATTCAAAACCTGGCAGAAAAAACCCCGAAAACGGTGCGAAAATCAGAGGAAAAAAACCCCGAGTATGGGGTGAAAAATTTGCGGAAAAAACCCCCAATGTTTTTTTTTTTATAATAATTTTTTTCAAATATTATCAGCGAGGATAGATTTTTATATAGCGATGACCCCTATATCTTCATGCCTATTGCAACAAAAATGCAATTTTTTAATATAAATTTTATATAGAAAAAATAATTTTCAACAAATTTTCGATGCGCATCTTAAATTTTTCTGTACTTTTTAGCTATATAAGTTTAATAAAATGGCGAGCGATTACAATAGCCGTCCAAATCTCGATGAGAATGTCATTGGAGCGCCTACAGCAGCGCTGCTTTATGAATTTTGTGAGAACTCACCCTAGAGAAAAATGCATTAAATAATTTTTTATAAAAATATTGTGTTGAGTAGGCATGAAGATTTTTTCGGAAAATTTTTGTTGCAATAGACATGAAGATTGAGGGGGTCATCGTTATGTTTGTGGATTTATAAATATTCAATACAATGGGGTAAAGCGGATACAATTCAGCATATTTGCTCCAGTCTCATCAATCAGGTTAAGACTAAGTTATATGCTTCCTTTTATTATGAGCTTTTCAGGATATGTCGAGGATGAATAAAAGGTGAGCTACTTATGCGCTGCAGGCGAATACAGGATTTGTCGTAGTGGATGCAAGGTGAACTGGCACAGCTCCTATATGCTATTTTGATCTCTGTAGAACAATATCTAAATTTCAAAAGTAGCTATCTAAAATTCTTCTAACAATGGAAAAGACCATTTGTATTGCCAGTTCACGTTTGGCTTGACAAATACAATCTATAAAAAAAAGTTTGCAAAGCCAAACCTGTTCTTGCTATAAAAATAACAATTTTCATTTGCCATTTTTACTTGTGAGATCGCTATTTCAACTCAAAAGGTATTCTTTCATAGCGATCTATATAGGATATATCGCAGTTGGATGCAGGATGATCTCTACAGGATGTGTCGCAGGCGAATACAAAATAAGCAAGAACAGGATGTGCCACAAGCTGACACAAGATAAGCTAGTGCAGTTTGTGTCGCAGGTGAATACAAGATGAGCTAGTGCATGATGGATCGAAAGTAAATATATGGTTTAAGTATTGGATAGTATTAAAGTAAATTTTTCACCTTCATGTTTATTATTCAAAAAACTTTTTATAATTAGAATGCTGAATGATTTAGCAATATATAAATAGCTCATAGATTTACAAACTATAATGGAATGGCTTAATAATTAATTAATTAGCCGGTAATAAGTATTAAAAATCTATCCTCGCTGATAATATTTGAAAAAAATTATTATAAAAAAAAAACATTGGGGGTTTTTTCCGCCAATTTTCACCCCATACTCGGGGTTTTTTCCTCTGATTTTCGCACCGTTTCGGGGTTTTTTCCGCCAGGTTTTGATTGTAAATTTTTTTTATAGTTGATTTTTATATATTTTTCTATTATTTTTGTTAATCATAGCTTTATAGTTACTTTGAGAATAAATCTATACATCTATAAATTAATATTGTTTTAATCGATTATTGTAACTAAATTATAAATATTTATTTGTATTTTCTCTAATATTTGCCTATCATTTTAAGCATTTAATTATATTGTATATTGGGGTTTTTTCCTCCGTTTTTATCACCATTTGGGTGTTTTTTTCCTCTGACTTTGACGGTTTTTGTTTTCGCTGGTGTTTTTTTCCGCCACTACTTTTTTTTTTTATTATGGGGTTTTTTCCGCCATCTGGAGAAAATTAAAAATTTTCCTATAATTTTGACGGTGAAAAAGTTGGCGGAAAACCCCCCAGCGTTTTTTTTTTCTGCCTCACCCAAGAATAGCCCACTAAGGAGCATTTTTTGGTTCGCCATTCTTAAATTTGGTTAGCCAGAAAATATGACATGCCAACGAATTTGGTAAGCCAGCTATTGTCCGACCAACCAAAAAATGCTCCTTAGTGGGCTATCCTTGGTAAATAAGTATATTATAAAAGCTGGTATATTTTTATCCAAAATTGTTTCTCCATCAACTTTTTTCCTTTAAAAACCTACTATCAAGATTTTTCATATTCTCTCTTCCTCCTCTTTTCGCTGCATTTTTCACTTCATTTTTATTATTCTTAATATAAGTGTTTCTGCATTTATTTATGTCTTTGAAACCTTTCTTTAGATAATGTATCGAAATTTACGAGAGAAATTTAAGATCTTTTAGTCAAATAGTTGATTTTTTTTTTAGGTTTCTTCATATTATTTTTTTTCCGATTTCAATTGAAAAAATATGCAATGGGTGCTATAAGATTTAAATTGTTATTAAAGAATAAATATTTTGATAGATAATTAGCTTATTATTTTGTATTTCAACTCTCTTTTTCTCTACTTGATATCATTTATTTATATTGAATTTTGCCACAAATAATTAATAGTATAAAAAAATTTTTCTTTTTTCGCTCTTTTGTTAATAAAACGCTTTGTTTGGATGCTTTTGCACCTAAAAAGTTACCTCATTTTTGGATAAAAATAGAGGGCTTACTTTATTACAGTTTTATTATCGATAGATTCATATATAAGGAGAGACAGGTGGGAGTTTCTTGTTTGCTGTTTGCTAGGAAAAAAATAAAATAAATAATTTTTGATTATAAAATTTTTATCTTAATAGATTTTAAAGTTTAAAAAAGTATTTTAATTTTAGCATTTGATTTAATAGTTTAAATCAACCGCCTGAGATAAGAGAGAACACTTATATATTATCCGTGAAAAATTCTTTGCAAGAGCGCTGATTCTTACTCCCACCCTCCGTGAGCGAACAAAATTTTTTTATTTAATCACGAGGGGGATTAATTTTTTTTTAAAAAATTTATTAAATTATATAGAAATTTTTTTTTTTAAAAACTAAAACAATTAATTTAATTTGTTAAATTTATATTTTAAAATGCAAGCTGTTTAAAATTAATCAGAATTATCTTGAGATTTCGCTATAATTATCATTTATATATCAAATTTTTTTTATAAAAAATTTTTCGCTGTTTTTTGGGCAAAAATAGGGATTTTTCTAATGGTTTTGTTCGCTCACGGAGGGGAAGTTATAAATTTTTCCCTTGAATAGCCCGATAGCGGGATGAAGCCAGCCCATTATCGGGCTATTCAAGGGAAAGTGCTATAGCATTTTTGCCAAATATTATATATATGGACTAAAATAGAGGCAAAAAGTTTAAAACTAATACATGCATAGAGGATTAGAAAAAATGATTTTTAATAAAAACATTAAAAGCAATTTATTAATATTAATTTAATTATAGAGCATAAAACACACGAGGAAATTAAAATATATTATTTTCCTAGGGCAGTTTGGTTATTGGGTATACATTCAGGAAAATATACATTAAAATGGCGACACACGTCAACCTGAAATACATTAAAATGGCGACATATTCAGCGTGGCCTTTGGCGCAACAGTTAAGATCTTATGGCTACAGCAAACTAGAACGGAATCCGAGCTTAGAAGCAGTGCCGGCTCAAGAGATAGGTATCCGCATAGGTTTTTGGTTGCTTTTCTGTATTTGGAAATGGAGGTGCTCAGCCGCGTCTTTTGGATCCGAGGACCCTGGGCATTCCTCTATCGAGAAACTGGGGTCTTTTCTTTTTCCAGTAGCTGCCGGAGGAAGGTACTTCGGTTATCTACAGACTCTAAGGATCTTTGAAATCAAGCTATTCCAACCGCTTGTAGTAGGGAAGCAGAAATCCATAAGCACTCTAGACTGAAGCTGCAAGAAGGAGACAGAAGGTACGGACTGCGAATGAACCTCCCGTATAGGAGGTTTTTTTGTGACTACATCACCAATATGGCTAACACCTAACTTTAATAGCCTATCCTAACCTTCAGGAAAAGTAGAGCTGGCAATAAGAATTTTATAAAGCTAAATTTGCTTAAAATATATGCAGATATTTTCTTAGAAAATGAGATACAATATTTAAAAGAAACTTATAAATAAATTCTATTAATTTCATATAGATTCTAAAACCATTTTATTAAAGAATTTATTCTGTAAGTAAACATTATTGCTTCTGTAATTGGAGAAATTAGCGAAAATGGTTTCTTAGGAGTTTTAATCAATAATTTGCAAACTCGGACAATTAAAGCAGCCAAAAAACTTAAATTAAAAATCTCTGACTCAGAAATTCTGTATTCTAGTAGAGATTCCGATCCCCCAGCATATAATGAGGATCGACTTTATTTAAGATTCGAGCAAAACTATACCAAGAAAGACCTGCTGGTTCTTCAATAATCCTTTGTATAGCTGCGCTTATCCAATGCATGCCATGCTTTTTCGTATTTTCAAAGGAAATAGTACCGCTTCAAAATGCCCTTTATGATTTTTTATAGCAATCAAGATACGAAAAATAGGATTTAATATGAAAAAAATTATAAATCTTGAATAATTAAAATTAGACTAATAAGATTATTTGTTTAAATAATACATATATATGCTAATATGGTATAATAAATTTAATAAATCAGACACTGTAGCTTTTTTAGCTGCTGAGCTTGGCCTTTCAAACACCAATTTAAGTCGAGGAGGCTCATAAACGCTTTGGAAAGAAGAAAAATGATTTACAGCTGGATGAGCCGTGCTTGGTCTTTGTGGAACTATAACTCTACGCTCAGAAAAAACTGCAGTGCTTGGACGTGCTGGAGCTGGATCCTTCGCCGTGTTAAAATTAGTGCTAGAATTCGTCCCTGGCTTCCAACAAAGGCTTCGACTTGATGATAACTTGTTATTTGATATCAAATAATTATTAAACCGCTGAGGGTATTTTCCTACCGAGGCCGTTCTTTTTGCAATAGAATACCCAGGCTTTACTTCAATTTGGCCCAAAATTTTTGGTAAAGGCTTAGGGGACTCATTTTTCACTGAATTATTGTTGGGTTCTACTGAATTCGGCTTATTTGTGACCAATTTTGGCTCTTTGTAGTTTTCTTTTACATATTTTGGGAATAGGCTGAGAACTTCTGCAATTGATGGGCGTATTTTTGGCTTCTTTTCTAAAAGTTTAAAAATAAAATTATTTAATCTTGCTGAATAACACCCTGGCAGTGGTTTTTGGCGAGTCTTCACGATTTTATTGGCGAGAGAAATCAGATTTTCAGCTTGAAAAGGCGGCTCTAATGTAGCTAAATTATATAAAACGCAGCCAATCGCTCATACATCAACTTTAAAATCATAAGGCTGGTGCTGAACCAGTTCTGGGCTTAAATACAAAGGAGTCCCCACCTGAGTGCCTTCAAAGACGTTATCTTCTTGCATGATCTTAGAAACTCCCATATCAGCAATTCTTGCTCTTTTGTCGTCATCTAGCAAAATATTCATGCATTTTATATCTCTATGGGCAATATGTTGTGTATGCAAATATTCGACTCCTAACTCTCCCCCCCCCCCTCCGTGAGCGAACAAAAAAATTTTGTTCGCTCACGGAGGGGGGTTAATTTTTTTTTTTAAAAAAAATTTATATATAAATTTTATAAAAAATATTTTTTTCGAAATTTAAAAAAATCCTAATTTGCAAAAATTGGGAAGCAAATATTAATTTAATTTGCAAAATTTATGTTTTTAAAACGCAATTTGTTTTAAAATTAAACAGAATTAGCTCTAGATTTCATTATACTAATTATCACTTATATATCAAAAATTTTTTTCCATTAAAATTTTTTCTATTAAAAAAATTTTTGTTCACTCACGGAGGGTGGGTTTTTGGTCAAAAAATGGCGATTTTTCTAATGGTTTTGTTCGCTCACGGAGGGGGGGGGGGGGAGTAAGCAGATTTCATAGGCGATATTCCATATCAATTTTTCACTAAAAAACAGTCGTTTTTCTCTTTGGCGATTTATTAGAGTTTGCAAGTCACCTTCTTTAGCAAATTCCATTAGAATAAGCAGCTTGTTGTCATGGACACAATTTGAAAAATAGTGGATAATGTGGGAATGGGAAAGACCTTGGAGAATCGTTACTTCTTTTAATGCATCTTGCTGTTTACGTTTAGACAGATGTTCTAGACTTATTGATTTTAGTACAAAATCGGCTCCTTCAGGTGAGCTTACCCTATAAACCGTTCCATAGGCTCCACGGCCTAAGGTTTGGATAACTTTGTAGTCCTTAAAAGGTGAGCCTTCTAAATCCATCTTATTATAAACATTTTAATTATGATTTGAAATCGTGTATATTGAAGGGTCTTTTATCCCTTCCCTAAAAGCTCGAGCCCTTCCTTTTATTTGTTCAACTTTTCTTACCCTTAAATCTGGAGGACTTGTCCCTTGCTTTTCACAATATCTCTTATACTCTTCATAAATTACGTTTACAAGCTCATATACCAAATTTTCGCACTGCTGGAATTTATAGCAAAATCTCTCTTTTAGATTTCTTAGGGTTATTACCTCTTAAAGAAAGCTATCTTTTAAAATAAATTTTTTTTAATGAAAATTTGCTGCAAATTCGAATTTTGACTCATCAAATAAAATGCAATTTTTAATGCAAATTTTTCCTTTGCAAGATATTTTTCCTAAACGTCAAAATAAGAGCTGTGCTATATCTAAAAATTTTGATGATAAAATTATTTGAAAAATGCCCTCTTTTTTCTCAAGCTTCAGTGATACTAAATGCTTTGGCTTTTCAGGGAGATGTGACCCTCTCGCGCAAATTTCGACGATTTTTCGAAAATTACAGCCTTTTGCTCCGAGGATTTTTTCTTTTAAATGAAAACCTGATTCCTCAATGATGTTTATAGGAAATTTTGCTACGTATTTTAAAGGTCCTGCGACTAGACAAGGGGTATCGTCTATATCTAAGCTTGGCAAAGGGACAAAAGTATCAGGAACCTCAAATCTTTTGTTGCTTTCTTCAGTGCTTTTTACATCTTTTCAGTCAATTTTTATGCTATTTATAATAAATTAATCAAAATTCTAGTTTTAAAAGCCCAAATCCCATATTTAATTTAGAAAAAAAAAATTTGATGCCCATTTCTTCAATATCTACTTCATTTAGCGTCTCTTTTGCTAAAAACGCGCCCGCCGTATGAGAAAACGTAATAATTCCTAAATCATCCTCTATTTTTGCCTCTTTTATTTCTCCGAAAACAGAAAAAATCGCTTGAAGCTGTCCCAGAGTTAAAGAAAAAGGCGGAACAGTGGAGACTTCCAGTGTTTTTAAGTTCGGAGAAAGTCCTTTTTCTTCTAAAACAAATTTGGCACGTCTCCGGAGTTCTACACTTGTGTAATCATAGTCAATGTCCATTTTTATTAATTTTATTTGTTATTATACATCTTTGGGTCGCTGATTTTCATCAAATTGCTGAATGATAAGAAATCTTCGTCAATATTTTTACCATACGCATTGTCGTCTTTCATTAATTTTAATCGTTTTGAAGGGTCGGCTTTAAATTCGCTGTCTTCTTCGTCTCTTTGGATGTTTCCAATAGGCTCTTTTTTATATGCGTAAGCTTTTGTGGAGTCTACTGAAAATTTTAGCTTATTTTTGAACCAGGTTTCATTTTCAGTGGGTTCTCTTATTTTATCCTATTTTAAGCTAAATTCTATTGTAAATTATTGTAAAAAATATTAATTATAGGGAATATTAATATTGGGAAAATAAAAAAAAGGGCTAAAATTCTTTAAGATTGAATACTCAAAAAACTGTTTAATTTTCCTAAAACTTCACCTTCACGGCCTTTTGATTTCACTTTTTTCTGGTAAAATTGATATCTTCGAAGCTCAAGTGGGCTTAAAAAGCTTTCTTCGTCTTTTATTTCTTGCTGGGCTCTTAAGCTATTACTCCCTGTAGGCCGCTTTTTTAATTCGAGGAGAAGTTTGCTTTTTAAGTCTTGAAATTCCTCTTCTGGGTCAACTTGTTTAGAAATTATAGTTTTGGAATTATCAGTGGATATTTTATATTTTCCTATATCAAAATTCAGCTTCAAAACATCAGGGTTTTCGGCTGATAAGGCTTTTTTCTGGGATAACTTAAATTAAACTTACATTATTATCGAGTAACTATGTCTGTTTTTCACGTCCCTTTCTTCGCTACACCCTCTTGCTTGCCAGTCCGATTACACGGCCCTAAAGGATGTGCTTCTCCCTCCAGAGGAGGGCTTGCAACACAACCCTGAGGTAAAGACGCTGGCCACCGTGCCGTACATCAAACCGATTGCCTTTCCCAAAATTCAAAAAGGGAATCTTTTGCCAGGCTATCGGCCAGAATTAAACTTATAGCCCAGTGCGCTACTTCTAGTATTTATTGTGTTGGATAATTGCCCAATTGGCAAAATACGCCCTCTAGCCTTGCTAGGCTTTCCATCTTCAATTAGAAGATCTTTCCTCAAAGTAAAACATTGCACTGGATATGAGCCTACGACGGCTAGCATGACATTGCGCTCCTCCAGACCAATTAAACCTAGCCGGAACATTCACTGCTTGCTGCTCTCCCTTCCACAATGTCCCCAGACTCCGTCTGGTTACATATGTTAAGAGGGCAGCAGGCTACCATTTTTTATGTGTGTGATAATGCTTTTTTTTGAGATAACACTTTTTTCCTCATTTTTTCGTCAAAATCTTGGTCAGATGCCTCAGACTCATTTTTTTCTTGTTGGATTATTTTCTTTTCTGCTTTTACAATTTTAGGTTGGATTTCTTCAATTGGTGCTTCTTTTTTACTTAATCTACCTCCATGAGAAGCAATCTTTTGCTCACATATTGTTTTTTATTGTGAAATTTTCTTTTAAATTTATAATAATAATTTTTTCAAAAAATGGAAAATAATTAATTAAAATTGTTGCGTTGTTCAAGCCGACCGAGGATTTCCACCTCTGCATACTCATTATGTCGTGAGGAGTTACCGGTTGACATTGACTGACTTGCTTAGGGTTCGTCATACCTAACTTGCTACCAGGGCGTCGGTTCACTATGGGCAAAGAAGTCTGGGGAGTAACCCAGTTTTTGCTCGGCACCTGTTGTATTTAGAGTTCCTACCTTGAGTAGGGATAGGACTTAATCTCGGAGCCGACTATGCCCTTTCCAACTCCATGACAGGAGTAAAAATCCCATATCCCAGGTATCATACCTATGGCATGAGAAAAAAATCTGCCCGAATACATCAGGATGCTCACATGCTTTTCGATTTGGATTCTCCTTCGGGCATTGCCTAAGGATGCTAACTCCCCCCCCCCTCCGTGAGCGAACAAAAAAATTTTGTTCGCTCACGGAGGGGGGTTAATTTTTTTTTTTTTAAAAACAATTTATATATAAATTTTATAAAAAATATTTTTTTTCGAAATTTAAAAAAATCCTAATTTGCAAAAATTGGGAAGCAAATATTAATTTAATTTGCAAAATTTATGTTTTAAAACGCAATTTGTTTTAAAATTAAACAGAATTAGCTCTAGATTTCATTATACTAATTATCACTTATATATCAAAATTTTTTTTCCATAAAAAATTTTTTCTATTAAAAAAATTTTTGTTCACTCACGGAGGGTGGGTTTTTGGTCAAAAAATGGCGATTTTTCTAATGGTTTTTGTTCGCTCACGGAGGGGGGGGGGGGGAGTAAGGAAATTGCGTCAAGAGATCGAGTGGTTGCCTCCGCCATTTTAATATATTAAAAAAAGAAAATAATTTATAAAATTTATGTTTTAGAATATAAGCTATTTAAAATTCTATAAATTTCATTGTAATAATTGCCATTTTTATATTAAAATAATTTCTATAAAATATTTTTTTTATATAAAAAACTCACATAGGGTGTAATTGCACTCAAAAAATATAAAAATTTGTCAATGGTCTTGCTCCCTTAAAGAGGGAGATTTAGCGTAGGATCTTCAAGAACTTGATGTGAACTTTTTATTGGCAAAGCTTCATTATTTTCTTCTTCATCAGCAAAAGAAAGCATTTTAGGTTTTGCAATTTTCTTTACATTTCCCAGGTTGTTTACTACTGAAGCAATGTTTTTCTTTATAATCTCTCTTGGTATAATGTCATCAAATGGATTTACTACTACTTCAGTACTCAAAATAACAGGACATATTAAAGGTCGATCATCAGCTCCTACCTCAACTTCAGAGATCTTTATAACGTTATAAATTGTGTTGTTTCCTACTTGGTATCCAAAATAATTAAAAATTTAATCATTTAAAAATAAAAAATAAAAAAAAATTTAATTCCTACTTTGCCAAAAATTGTGTGTTTTCTGTCAAGTCATGGAGTCTTGTCAAGTGTAATAAAAAATTGGCTTGCATTGTCATTCTTTTTGGTATTTGACATTGCTACTAGACCTCTGTGACTGAATTTTAGCCTGCTATGGAATTCGTCTTGAAAAGGAGCTCCATAAACACTTTCTCCGCCAAGGCCAGTTCCTGTTGGATCACCAGTTTGTACCATGAATCCTGGGATAATTCTATGAAAAGGGCAATTATCATAATATGATTCCAAACAAAGCTGAATAAAATTTCTGCAGGTTTTTTGGGTTTCTTTTGTTCATAATTCAATATGAATTTCTCCATGAGTTGTCTTCAAAATGACTTTTCCGGTGGTTTGAGGCTCAGGGATGTATCTGCTTGACATGTTTATTTTTATAAATCTTATAATTTTATTAAAAGCTCTTACTTTAAGCAAAAACTTTAAAATCTTTAATGCCTATGCCGTTAATGATATTTATTAAATTTTTAATTATTTTTATAAAGATTTTGAGAAATTTGGTGATGAAAAGCTCTTAATTATAAATAATTTTATCATTTTATGGAAATTGTGAGAATATCAATGAAAATTCAATGATTAGATAGAAATGGGCATTCAACATAAAAGGCGAAAAATTAACTATAAATCAAAATGGATTATAATAGTAATTATGGAAAAGATTGTTACTGAAACACTTACCCAGATTAGAGAAGTAAGGAAAAATCTGCTAGATATAAAGCAAAAGCAATTACAAGAAAATATTCTGCAAATTATTGCTTTTTTGAATAAAATTCAACAAGCAATTTCAATTTATGATTATTGAAAAGTTCACTATACAGCCTTGTATTGCTTTGCTCCTTCTGATCTCATGAAGTCAGAAAGTTTACATCTTCAGCATAAGTTGTTGCCCATAGAAAATTCAAAATGTCGAATTTTCTTGCCACACCTATAGTGCGCCTTGCGCTCTAGGTCCTTGCCCGGTTAAGGCTATACTACAGGATTTAAGAGCATGGGCCGATTCCCATCCCATTTTAATATATTAAAATCTAACAAGCAATTGCGAAATATTACGACAATAATTCCTCAATACAGGAAGGAAATTTAGCATTCGGGATTGTCGCAATAAAATTTATCAGCAAATATCTTGACCAATTGCAGAAGCTCGCTCAGAAAATCCATCACAAAAAATATAAAAATAAATATAAAGACCAGATTATAATTACTCAAGCCAAGTTTGATACAATAAGTGAATTTTTCCCTAATGCATTTAGAACAAGCCAAGACGATATATTTTGCTTACCCCATCCAAATAATTTTTAAAAATATTTTATTAATTTATTTTTTTTACATTATTAGAGTTAGAAAAAACTCATCAGCGATGGGCAAGACTCGAATCAGTAACAAATCGTATCCAAATTGCTGAGCCCAAAGCTCTAAAGCAATCATGAGACAATTTATTTGGCTTAATCGCAATAGCCCAAGCTTTTATGTCAAAAGGCATAAGCAGCCAATCAAAAATTGTCCAAAAAATTACAGTAGGTTCCTGCATGATGTTTTATGGGCTTTTCCGAAAGCAAGCCCGAAAGCAGCAAACACTATTTAATGCTCAAGCGACCCCCGAAATTGTCCAAATTTGTTTTAATGCTCTGGACTCCCAGCTTGGCCATATGATGCTAAAAGTAATTCTCCCTTCAATAGAATTCAATGAGATGATTTTTATCCCAAGACTTGCCAATCATGTCCTGTCCTCTTCTTTATACCCCACCCATGATAAATCACAAACAGCCCACTACCTTAACGTCATTAACAAAGAACCTCATTTATCAGGGTCAAAATTCTCATTAAGCTGGGATCCAGGCAGAATAAGAGTCCCAGTCAGAGTTTTGTCAGCTTTTAAAATAGAAAAAATTTCCAAAGAAAAAGAAGAAGCAAAATTTTGTGGCTGCCGCCCAGAAAGACCTCTTAGGGGAGCACAAATGAATAAATTGATTTTACATGTCCACGGAGGAGGATTTGTGGCGATGAGCTCGTATTCTCACCAAAATTATACCAGAATTTGGGCGAATGAGCTGAAAATTCCTTTATTTTCTGTTGATTATAGACTAGCTCCTCAGCATCCTTTTCCAGCTGCTTTGGACGATGTGTGGCAGGTTTATACGTGGCTTAAAACTTATGCTGAACAATATTTAGGAATTTTGCCTGAAAAAATTATATTAGTTGGAGACTCGGCTGGGGGGAATTTAATTCTTGCGCTTACTATTAAAGCGATTTTAATGAACTTTCCGCTGCCTTCTGGGCTGTTAGTTTATTATCCAGCCAGCAATTTGGCAAGAGATGACCAGTTCAGCGAGTCTTTATTGTGAAGTTTAGAAGACCCTTTATTATCCCACAATTTTTTGAAAATTTGTTTGGACTCTTATTTAAAAGACACAAACCTTGACAAAAGACATCCACTGATATCCCCGTATTATGCTGATAATTCAATTATTTCGAAATTCCCACCTGTGAGGATTTTTACTGGGAATCTTGATCCTTTGCATCATGAAGCTTTGAGGTTTGCGGATAAATTGATAAGTAATGGGGTCAATACCAAACTATTTATATATACCTATTTATTATTAATGGCAGGAAGGCGAGGCATTACATTTTTTTTTTCAAAGTAATAAAAAATGGTTTATATCCTGACGTGTATCATGGAAGTTTGAATTTTTATGCAAGAGGAGGTATCAAAGCTTGCAAAAAAACTATTGATGATGGAATTGAGATGTTTAATGAGTTATTTAATTATGAAGAGCCTGCCCCTGAAAGTGCAACTCTTGCAGCAATAGCATCGAGTTTAAGTTTATAATAAATAGAAATTTCAATTTATGATAGTTTTAACATGCTTACTCTCTCTAATGTAAAATTTAATTCTTATCAATGAAAAATATAAATAATAACATTTTAGCTGCATAGATAATAAAAAAGGATAAGAAAGAAAAAGAAGAATAAAAGCCTGAAACCCAGAAAATTAAACTAGAAACCCTAATTTTTCGTTTAAAAAGGTAAAAGCAAGCCATTCAAGACTTTTAAGCAACCCTTCAAGCCGTAAACTAAAAACTTTACTCTCCTTATATCACGAATTACCAAATTATAGAAGCAGTCCCTCGACATGCCCAACGAAAAACTATTGTGACGTTTCTGGCCAGCTCGCCAAATATTCTGACTCTAAAACAGGACTAAGGTTTTGCAGCCTACAAATACAACATCATAAAATACTCAGTCAAAACCCATAAAAAGCTATTTAGCATTAAGAAAAGCAGTTTAGTTAAGTTACATATATTTCTCTTTTAGTCCTAAAAAAAATTAACATATCTTTTTAACAATTAGGCAAGTTACATAGCTAGTTTACAATTGACAGTCATCATCAGAGTTTGGCTTTTCTCCAGGCTCCGAAAAGCAGTCCCATTTACACAGTTTTTTCAGAAGCAATCTGAAAAACGACGAAGAAGAGCCCTTACTATTTTTTTCTGAATCCACTGACAAATCAGCTGGATTTTCTATACTCAGTGAAATAGATATGCTTTGATTATTCGTGGAATCTTTTTCCCGAGTTCTTTTTGAAGAACCTTTGCTTTTTAGCCTTTGGCTTCTTTCTTTTTCTAATCTCTGAATGATTTGTTTAGCCTAAATTAAAGCTACAGTTGGAAGTTTCATGGATTTTGCGTTATTTGCATTCATTTTGAGCAGCAGGGAAGTGCTGAGCTGTATATGAGAATTATAAGAAGAGACAAAAATGGATAAAAAGTTCACTAAAGAAGGCTTTTATTGGATAGAACGTTATTATGGAAATTTTATAGAAGGAATCTATTGGAATTTAGTTAAAAAGGCTTCAACTGCATCACGATTAGGCATGGACTCGAGTGCTCCTTTTTTGGTAATTGATAAAAATGCAGCTGCTGAAGCAAATTTCATGGCTTCTGCAAAGTCTTCGAGGTGAAGGCTGCCTCTTTCTAAGAGTTTGACTGCGAGGGCGGCTGTAAAGCAGTCTCCAGCACCAGTTGTATCGACTATACTCAATTCTTGGTCGCTTAATCTCTTATTTAAATAAATTTTTTTTATTATAATTTTTATACAAATTAATTATTTTTTTATTTTGTAAATAATATAAGTTAATTTCTGAAAATATCCACAAATATAGATAATAGGTTAGGGCTCTTTGCTCATATCTCCCATTACTACCTAAATATAATGATCCTTCACTCCCCAATTTAACCACTAAATGTTTAACGCCAATTTTAAATAATTTTTCTGATGCTTGCACAATATCATTTTGAATCCCAGTCAACCTTTCTAGTTCTGTCGTATTTGGTGACAAAATATCAACATTTTCTAATAATTCGTTAGGCAGTTCTCCTTCTTTTCCACCAGTGTCCATGATAACAATTTTTCCGTTTTCTTTGGCAAGTCTTGCAGCTTGGATATTTATTTCGTCAGGAATTTCTCTTTGCAACAATAAAGCATCGCAGTTAATAATCGTATTTCTTATTGACTCGGAAAGGGAGCTCCATCTCATATTAGCACCTCCAATGATGATAATTGAATTATCTCCAGTTGTTAAGAGAATAATAATAGCTTGCCCACTTGGAGTATCACTTAAAGTATTAATGTTTTCAATATTGACCCCTCTAGAAGAGAGTTCAGATTTCAGCATACCTCCAGCTGCATCATTTCCAACCTGGCCTAAAAAGAATGTAGATCCACCTAATAGCGATGCAGCAGCTGCTTGATTTGCACCTTTTCCACCAGCTCTCAATTCGCCTCCTGCATGAGCTTGAATGGTTTCCCCAATTAATGGAAGTTTGTTGACTTCCACATAAAGATCGCCATTTGCAGAACCAAGAACTGCGAGTTTTTTCATTTATTAATCACAAGTTAACAGACTTAAAAGAAATATTTGTTATTTCATTATATGCATATTTAACCTAACCTAAATCCACGACCTTGATAAGCTTGCTGCTGACGTGGAGCACCTGGCTGCAGAATTAATCTTCTGAAGAAATCAGGAGTTTTAGCTAAATCATATCCATATTCTTGAGGAATCTGTTCTTTCAACATATAATAGATATGCCCTGCAAGCAGACCAATTAAATCATCCATAATATTGCCTCCCATCAAAACTCTAATTCCTAGCAAGACAAAAGGAAATTGGTATGCTTTTACAACAAATCCTCCATAAAATGGGACAATTTGCTGAGGATCAAGTTTGCTTCAAACATAGAGTAACGCAAAAAGCAATCCTGATCCTAAAAAGGTAACATTAGTAAATAGTGAAAAAAATAGCATTATGGTAGCCATCATCAGAATAGCCCAGATAAAAGAGGCGAAATCTTGATTATAAGTCGGATGAGTTTCTAATGCCCTTGTAAACCTGACTAATATTGCTAAAGAAATGATAAATCCGAAGCTAAAAGACCCAAAAAATATAAACGTCGTGAGAATTCTTCATGCTTCAAGATTGTTAAGTACACGTGTTAACACAAAATTCAAACTGTAAGGAGAAATAATTTCGAAGGTTGTGAGTGTAGCTGAAACCATTGCAGAGCAGAAATAGTATTTTGTGAACGGTGGCAAGCCGTGAAACCATGCATCTATTGTCGTCATCTTTAAAATTATTATATCTTATTCTTAGAAAATTCCATATTAACTAGTTTAGATGTTTATCAATCAGCCACGGCTCATCATTTTCCTGATATTTTGGTGGCGGTACTGCAAAAGGTAATCTCCTCACCATTTCCTTCTTCATTGCTTTGCTTCCTGGCTTTGGTAAGAATAAGACTCCCATTTCGTAATTCATCATGTAAATCCTTGTGCTATTTTTTTCTCATGTTCCCCAAGCTGCTGGCGATAAATTGTGGCTTCCGAAATAAAAAATTGTATCGTCGTCAATTTCATAATTATTGTGGGCAATTACAACTTTACTGTGAGAAAGATGCTTACAAATTTGAGGAAATTCTAATGGAGATGCTATATCTCTTACTCCGTTATGTATTAAAAAAGGGATTTAATATAGCTTTGATTAATATATTTTAATAATTATTTTTAAATAATGGAGATTTAAAGCTTTTTTTGGAAATTCAGCTGCATTACAGTGTTCTTCTTTAATAAAAGTTGTCCCACCTCCTCCTTTGCCGAGATGGCTATTTTCTACAGTTCTGAGGCTTGGGAAAATTATTTCATAATTTGCAAGTAAATTATTGGCAAAACTTTTGCAGAATTCTCCCATAACTTTTCTGTTAAGTTTTCCTAAGCTAGAACATTGTATCAATAAATCACTATAAGTATTTCCAGTTTGACTAATAAGTCTCCTCATCCTTGCTTGCCCACTATTGGCTAAATCAGGAGTTCTTCCAGGGACTGAGCATACTAATTCCACTTTTGGGTTTGAAAAATCATAATTTTCTATACCTTTCCTAATGAATATAAATTCTCTATTTTTTATTAGCCAAAATCCTTTTATTCATTGCGAAACCAATAGATCAATTCCTAGATGCTCTTTCATATCATATGATATCGGCATAACCTTTACAAGAAACCTTTGTAATTGTGCTAAAAAAGAATTTTCACGTGAATATCCAGCAGGAAAATCCTGAAACCAAACAACTTGGCCGATACTTGCCCAATCATATTGAACTAAATTTGCACTGCAGACGACAACACGAAGCTTGTCTGGGAATTTTAATAGAAAAAGTTTAGCATGGAATTTGCCCCATGATACTTCTTTGCGCGGGGAAATTATATGCTTTACTTGGTTAATAGGATAATAATTTAAGGTTAAATTATTTAGGGCAAGAAATCAATTGTAAAAAGTATAGTAAAACCTTCAGAAATATTAAATCGTCCTGGGCTTGAACTTTCAGTGATAAGACAAGTTTTAATACCCTGTTTAAGAAGCGGAGCAATAAAAGTTTCTTCGTAGCAAAATGTTGTCAAAAGAGCAGAAATAAGTGTTTTAGGAGAGCGCGGGTTTTCAAGGAGGTCCTCATACATAAGTTGTCGGAAGGAAAGCAAATGAGATGGTGGATTCTGGATGTAATCAAGAGCGGTCATATATATTGGGGAAAAAGAGTTTCCTAGAAATTATACTTTATTTTGATGAGTTTATAGAAGAATATTTTTGATATATCCACAAAAAGATTTAAATAATACACACCATTTCAATTTAAAATAGCATAAAATATTTTTTTACGAAAATAATAAAATTCTGATTAAAATATTTAATCCCCAAAAGAGAAAAGCCTTTTTATTTGCATTTCTATTATAATAATACAATATTATGATCAAATAATTTTTCTACTATAAAATTATTTAATTTAATTTTTTATATTATAAATGTAAAATCTATTGTATACCATATATATATTGTAGTCCCGTCTTTTATAAAGGCAGAACTTTCCTCTTTCCTTTTCCTTCTTTGATGTGCAAGCTCTCTAAGAATCAGATTATTTTCTTCATACAATATATCTTAACTGTTAACACACTTTATCATTAAATATTTTTTTATTAATTTTATTACTATATTATAGCAGAAAAAAATTTATTTTTTTTTAATCATAACTAATTTAGATTGAGCTCGAGACCAACGTAACTTATAGCCAAGGGCTGTAGAAATATTCCAGCTAAAAATAAGGACATTAGCATTACAATCTTCCTAATAATTGGCATCAAATTAATTAGAAGTAGCATAATTTTATCAATTACTCAAATAATGCTTATTTACTGTAATTTTTATCTTCTTCTACACTATCTTCTTCGTCTTCTTCTCTTTTGCGTTTTACAGGTACATCCATCTATTAATTAAATTATAAAATTATCCAAATACCCCTCTTATCAAAATAAATTATACCTTTTATTAGATTAAATAAATTTCAAGTAAATAATAGCAATTAATTAATATTTAGCATAAAAAGTATAACACGAAATCGAAATTTTCTTAATAAATGGGCAATGCAAATAGAATAGATTACACTATTACTCAAAATAGGCATCCTGGCTGCACTGTAATTTTCATTTAGAATTGTTTGGGCTGCTCAGAATTAATGCTTGATGGTGGAGAACTGGCCATTCATCAACAAGTAGGCATCCCTAGAGGTCGAATAATTCCTGAAAGTTTAAAATACTTGACGAATAATGAGCTACAGTTACTTCAAGCTGCTGGGACAAAAAATCTCAGCTCAATTCGGTGGTATCTTTCTCAAGGTATCAGCCCAAATACATATGATGAAAATCGCGGGTAAAATAAATTTTATTATAAAAAGTAAATAAATATTTTTTAATTAAATTAGATAGAAAATAAATTATTAATTGATTTTTTTGACAACCAAAAATCGAACATCCCCACTCCACATTGCAGCCCGTCAAGGATCTTTACAAATTATTCAAGAGCTACTTAATAAAGGAGCTTTTATTAATCTTACAGACTGCGCTGGCTGAACCCCTCTTCACGTAGCTTCATATTACGGCCGTGAACAAGCAGTTACTGAGCTTCTCTCTTATGGTGCAGATTTTTCACTTGTTAATCGCAGAGGTGAAACCCCTTGTGACATTGCTCGAACCCCTCAAACTCGCGAGGTTTTCAATAATTTTTGTAAAGACTCCTCTCAAATTATCTGCCGGAAAAAAACGCCAAATTTAGCATTGGATTTATCTGCCATGGAAGTAAAAAATTTTGTTCAAGATTTCAAAGATGGGCGGACATCAAAAGACCGATCCCCAACACTTGAAGAGCCAAGCGAAATAATAGCGCCAATTAATTGAATTTTTCCTGGAATATCATCATTGATTGTTTCACCTTTAATAAGCACCCCTACAAATGAACTGAAGCTTGAATGCATAAAATTATTTATAATTATTTTGATTAACTTGAGGAATATTTGTTTTAAAAATAATTTTTTGCTTTTTTAATAGAAATTGGTATAATTTAGAACCTCTTAGAGGTCTCACATTTATGCTTGCAATGGGAGTTTTAGGTAACAAGCCACAAGAGGTAAGTAAATATTTTCTTACTGAGCCTAAGTTGAGTAAATCTTCAATTGGGTTTATATTAGGAGAGATCAATAATTTCTATAAAGAAGTGGCTTTTGAATTTATGAAACAGCTAGGCTTGAAAGGGATTAATATTGTAGTCGCGCTTAGAAAAGTTTTTAGCCATCTTATATTACCTGAGGAAGGAGGAAAAATCACACATATTTTGCAGGCATTTGGGAACGTTTTTTCTAAACAAAATTGCCAATTTGGAAGCCCAGAAGCTATACAAAGTTTGAGCTTTTCTATGCTTTTTTATATAAATTAAATAAAAAATGCTTTTTAAGTTTATTTTTAAAGAGTTTTAATTAAAAAAGCATATAATAATGCTTGACAAATCCATAAAGCAGCATAACCCTATTGACAAAGAAAATTTCATTACTACCAACAGTGGCTTACGTGACGGAAAAGATTACCCAGAAGGCATCCTCAACTGAATTTATGACGAAGTCTCCCGGGTTCCTGTCATTTTTCCTATAGAAGACCCTATCGATTTAAGTCTCTTCGATATCCTCGACTTCGAAGGAATCGTCACCATAAAAGAAAGAAAAAGACACATGGGCCTCTTCCAAGGCCTCCTCATCTTTTTTGGCACCTCAAAAGTCCCTTACGCCTGCCTCGTCCTCAAAGGAGCCGAAATCAGTGAAAATTGGCTCACACACCTTGTCACGATTTCCCACAAAGAAGGCATGGAAACAGCCAAACTCTCTAAAGAAGGCCGAATGAAGACCCGCAAAGAGAAAAACCTGGCCTTTAAAAGCGAAAATTCAAAAAAATGAATTGAGGTGCTCAATGCTGCAGCCTCTTGTAATACAAATTAAAATAATTCATTATTTTATTCTTCATCATCAATAAATTCTTGTTTGATTTTTTTCCTGATTTCTATTTGTTGCCTGGCATCTTTTTCAAGGGTGTCAAGGTCATCTGAGGATAAACGATGGGCGATAAATGTGAAGACGCCGACATATCAGGCAATAAAGGCAAATAAAGCAAGCCAAGTTTTAATTCTGATATCGCGAGGCTGCATATCGAGGGCGGGGGAGTGACGGTATCTCATTTCAGTTGATATTTTGGATGAAGGGATGCCACCTTTGTAATTCCAGGGGTCACGTCTTTGGCCTTTAAAATCAGGGAGAGGCGTCTTGAAATCTGGGTCCTTTCGACTGAGTTTTTGAGCTGCTGGGGCTTTGGCTTGCTCGAATAGCTTTCGTAGCATGATAATTATTAAGTAATGAAAAATAGAGCAATCTTATTTACCATTTTAGAAGATTTGAGCCATAACTAGCTGAGTAGGTCAACTGTTTTTGATTGAGAATTAAAGCTAACTCCCCCCCCCTCCGTGAGTAAACAAAAAAATTTTGTTCACTCACGGAGGGGGGTTAATTTTTTTTTTAAAAAAAATTTTTATATATAAATTTTATAAAAAAATATTTTTTTTCTAAATTTAAAAAAATCCTAATTCGCAAAAATTGGAAGGCAAATATTAATTTAATTTATAAAATTTTTATGTTTTAAAGAGCAATTCGTTTAAAATTAAATAGAATTAGCTCTAGATTTTATTATACTAATTATCATTTATATATCAAAAATTTTTTCCATAAAAAATTTTTCTATTAAAAAAATTTTTGTTCACTCACGGAGGGTGGGTTTTTGGTAAAAAAATGGTGATTTTTCTAATGGTTTTGTTCACTCACGGAGGGGGGGGGGAGTAAGAAGTTTTATTGTGGATTTTTTATGTCTTAAATTTTTCGCAAGATATTTTTGATATATAATTTTTCAGACTTTTTACTTTATTATTTAGCTATAGATGCTTTTTTACAGATAATAATGCAGTTTTTAAGAAAAATAGAGAAAATTATTTTTTTACTTCTTTGGAAATTTGATATTTTATGAAAGAAGAGAAAATAGAAAAAAGTCAGAGACCAGGAATCGAACCTGGAGTGGCCGTGATGAGCGGCAGCCGTGGGAACCCTTCCACTATCTCTGATTAATTTAATATATCTCAGCTGAAGCAAATACTCATAAAAATTAATATTACTTGATTAATCATAGACATGAGATCCTAGTAATTTATTATTCGAAATTTTATTTATGAATTTCTAATCATACATAGAAATGAGAGAATTTGTGCTTAGTATAATAAGCTCACAATGAAGGTTAATGCTTAATTAATTTTAATTTTAAATAAAATTTAATATATAAAGGCTCTTTCTGATTATGATTAGGCTCTAAGAAAATCAATATAAATACAACTTTTACAAAATGCAGGTGATATTACAATTTCTAGTTTGTTTCTCAAGCCAAAAAGGATTTTCTTAAAATCCCAGAAGAAGGCGGCACATAAGATTTTTAAGTTTCATTCATAAAATTTTATTAATGATGATTTAGCAATAGAACTTGGCTTATGCAAGTATTATTTAATCTTTAAATCTGGATGCTATCAAAATTACTATGGAGAAATTAGAATTTGACTTTAGTCTATAATTTCCTATAGAGAAAGAAACTCTTAAATTTATTCCAAATTAATCCTTATAACTCCCCCTTTAAATTGGAACCAAAAATCCTGTTTTAATTTAATTTAGTTTTTTAAAAAATTAAAAATCTAAAATGGTTGAATTTAATTTTTTTTTTAGAAATAATTCAAAAATTTAATCGATCTAGTGCATAACCTGTTTAGATTATATATCTATACTTTTTAATTAAATAAGTCAAACCTAAGAAATAGAACTTTATATAAAAGTATTTGAGTGAAAAATTTTCCTATTGAAAAATAATTAGTTTCCAATTTTAAGGGAAAAAAATGGAAATCTTACCTACCTTTGTCCAATCTAAAAGGGGGAGTAGGAAAAAATATTCAATAAAATTAAAAGTATCATATGAGTGGATATAATTTTTTTGAATCATAAATAAGTTAACTAAACTTTCTATATTCACTAGTTTAATGAAGTTTTGAGCCAGCAAGGCTTCTTTTATATTTTGTTTAAAAATATTAAATGCTTTCTGCCCATTAATAGCGTTATTTTTAACCCCAGCTATAAAATGTTATATCTTTTAACGAATTTTATTATATAAATCTTCAAACAGCAAGCATAAAATTTAAATTCTATTAAAAGGTATAGGATTTATTTATTCATAAGAAAACTCCGAACCTAAATAACGGCGTTTGAATTAGTTTCGTAAATAAATTACAATGGCTTTAACGCTGCTTATGAGTTTTCTTGGGATAGCTGCATCCCAATCTTTCTCATACGATTACCATGGAGTTGAGTGGTCCAGCTATTGCGTCAATGGCCTAAGTCAATCTCCAATCAATATCACAAAGGCCTACGATGGCCTCGAGTTGCATGAAAACGACAATGACGCTAACTACGCTTATTTTAAACTAGACTGGAGTGAGCGCCACCTCAAGCCCACTTACAATCCATTTGTAAACTTCGTCCTAAACTCAGATTTTGGTTTCTCAAACCTCACCAGTGCTGATGAAGTCCTTATAGACTCCTACCACATTCAAACTATTAAGGTCCACTACCCATCTGAACATAGATTTAATAATGATGGGAGTGATATTTATGCCCTTACTTCCCCTCAGTTAGAAAAGATAATTTTTATGAAAAATTAACCGCAAAAAATCTTATATAAATATTAGATTAAAGCTCTTCATCCTTGACAGAGCCGGGATTTCAAACCCTACTGTATTTTTCTCAACAAAAAAATTTTTTTTAGCAATGGAAAGTTACCAACCCTAACGAAATGGAAGTCCAATTCGAACACAAGAGCTTGACGACTGGCAACGTTATGATTTTGGCAATTATTTATGAGTGGGGAAGTTCTAATTTCTTTATCGAGTCACTTATTGATTCTTTTAACAATCCAAGTGGCGCTACTATTAGGATGCCAGAAGCAATTCCTGGGCCTAAATATTTGTGGAACTATTATAATTACACTGGGTCTTATACAGTGCCTAGCTGTGGAGAAGGTATCACTTGGGTAGTTAAAACTCATAAAGAAACAGCCAGCTTAGAACAATTAGACTTTTTCAGAGGAATTCTCATGGCGAATTATTCAGGAGGAAATTACAGGTATGCCCAGCCTCTAAACAATAGGACAATTTACAAGTATTCTTCAGATTCAGGAGCAAGCGCAATATTCATGATTTTTGGAGGGTTGGTCCTTTCTTTCTTAGCTTAAAATAACTCTAATAAAAATCATTAAAAATATTATAGATAAAAGACTGGATATTAGGCAAATAATAATAACATTTATATATTTAAGATGGAAGGGAAAAGATCGTCCAAAGATGAAAGCAGCGGTAGTTCAGATGAAATTGAGTCCCAAGAAGATATTGAAGAAGACCTTCCAAAAAGTGAAGAAGAGGAAGATAAAGGGTCTAATAAGGAAATAACTTTTTAAATAATATTTTTAATATTATTTTTTTTTAAAATATATACCTTTTTGGAAGACTAAATAATTTATTATTGATAATTTTTTTAAAAAAATAATTAATTCAATAGTCTCCAAAAAGGTATATTTTTAAGCTTCTAATAAGTCACATTCTGATAATGAGCTTGGTGTTATGAAATTACGCAGGAAAAAAACCCAAAGGAGTACCTATAGTTTTCGTACTGACAGAAGAAATCCTCGAGGCACAAGAACTAAAAAAAGTGAGTCCAAGCGAAAACAAGCTTTAGCCGGCCGCGGAAGAAAAAAAGCAAAAAATTCCTATGACAAGCCAGACTGAAGCAAACGCAGCGAAAGTGAAAGCGAAGAATCTTTTACAGCTGTGGAGCATACAGTTGAAAGCCAAGCCCTTCCTATCGTTGAAAAATTCTTATACAAGCCTGGAGTCCCATGGCCAGATCTAACACCTTATTTACAGCAGCTTATAGAAATAAGAATAGCTAGAGAATACATAACCCCATTAAACAAGCAAGTAAAAGAGCGGCAATTGTGGGGAAATGAAGTCTATGCTATGTTAAATTAATTATTTTATTTATTCATAATAAACTATTTTTATTAAAAATTAATTTAAATAGGCTTATACAAGTGAATCTGACATTGTGGCTGCCATGCATCATGTGGGACTCATTAATATATGAAATGACCTAAGTTCTCAATATGAAGGCGTCGCCGTAATAGCTAGAGTCACCAAAGGGAGAAATAACTATATAAGCTGCATAAGAAATGGAATCAGAAGCAAAAGATGCACAAATTATGAAGGGCATAGTATCAAGCCAGAAAGAATAATTCTTCTGCCATCACTAGGGAAACTTGAAGAACTGGTCGAAATGGCCAAAAAAATGCCTACAGATTTCCCTAAAATCAGACAAAAACCTAGCTTAAATACAAAAACAATGAAAATTATTCCTGGGACTTATTTTATTTTTAATATTAGCTTTGAGCCGGCTATTCCTTATTCATTAGAAAATTTTGGAGATAAAGGCTGGGATGAAGCTGAATTTGTGAGTGCAAAATTAAAAGAAAATGCGCTTTATGTTGAAACTTGTAATAAGAGATTTGAAATTTCACTAGTGAGTGAAGGAGAAGAAGATCAGATTTTTGAACATCAGGATAAATATAGATGGGCTGAGGTGAAATTCCCTATCATGTTTAAAGATATTGAATAGGTAAAAATAAATTTTTTGGCTTAAGCAATTGTTTTTGTAAAAAATATAAAAAAATTAATTTTAATGGAGCCATTGAATTTATGAAAGAAAACAGAGTTCCACTTGATGAAAATTATGTGTCAGTGATATACAAAAATTTAGACTGGACCAACATAGAGTGGAGCAGCACTTCAGTATTTGTGAATGGAGTTGAATATGGACCACTTAAATGCTTTAAATATATCCCTATACATGATTAATTGGTCTAAATTAGCGAATTATTTATAATTTCTTTTTTATTATAGCGATCTAAATTGATAAGCATAGCATTAATAAAATAATTGCCTTGATTTCTGCAGAAAATTAATAATAATTATTACCATAAGCTAGGCTTAGCTATCTTAAAGTAAAATATTCCTTTTCTTCCTTCTTCTGCAGCTCTTTTTCGTTTATCAAAATTTTTTGCAATTTTATCTATAGACTTCGACATAATTTCAGTATATTTCATAGGAGAAATCTGATGACTGCCAATCCAAAATAAATTTTTAGACCTTTCTTTATGTCGAAGAGGCTTTAAAGCAGGCTCTTTTTGTTTTTCAATAAAAGAGATTAATTGGTTGTTTTTATTATGTGGCATAATTCCTATAATATTATAAGGAATTTTCCCATTTTTATCAGATTTTCTCTGGATTAAATAGTCCTCTTTATTTTTTTCTGAAATTTCAGCGAAGCTCACATTTAAGCTTTTTTTGATTTCTAGCTCTGAGCTTTGTTTTTCTATTAAAAGCTGCGTCTTTTCTATAGCAATTTGCTCTTTATGAGCCATCATTCGAGTTTTATACAAATTTTCATCAATTTCTTGGTCTTTTTCTGGGCTTTGGTTTTCACTTATAAAAATCTCAGGGAAAGGTATCTGAATATTATGTTTTGATGGCAGTTTTTTCAAAGGAAAGTTTTCATTGGTTCATGCAATTTAAACAAATTATGGAGTGAGGTCTTTAGAGGCAGCTAATACATTATAACTTAAAAATATATGTAGCTGGGGAATTTAACAAACTAATATGCAGGTATGTATAATTTAATAGTAAATTTAAGAAAAAAAATAACAGTAATTATTAGAATTATGGAGGTTGGTAGCTACAAATTCGACACATAGGGAATTTGAAAATTAATAACATAGCCGTTTAACAAATTTCAAATAGCTAATATAAACCCGAATTTAGAGGATGGTTACCTGTATGCTAGTCTGCTAATTCCACAGTACATGCATTTTAAATTATAATGTATTCGGTGTCTCTAAAGACCTCACTCCATAATTTACTCAAATTCATGAACCTTTTTCATTAGATTTTTCGCCTTTAATTTTGTATCGCTTACAAGCTAAAAATAAAAAATTCCCTTTAGAGTCTTTAATAAAGTCAACTAAAAGCTCTTCAAGGCAATTTTGTTTTTTTATCATAAAAGTGTTTATTAAGCTTGCAATCGTTTTAAGCTGATTATTTATTTCTGAAATAGGCTGAGAACTAGCAACTACATTTACCTTCTCATAATTCTCAATTTTTGCAGTGAATTTGCTAAAATCTGTTTCCTCAGATTGTTTATTAGAGTCTTCCACTGTGAAATCGCCTAACTCCCCCCCCCCCCCTCCGTGAGCGAACAAAACCATTAGAAAAATCGCCATTTTTTGACCAAAAACCCACCCTCCGTGAGTGAACAAAAATTTTTTTAATAGAAAAAAATTTAATGGAAAAAAATTTTGATATATAAGTGATAATTAGTATAATGAAATCTAGAGCTAATTCTGTTTAATTTTAAAACAAATTGCGTTTTAAAACATAAATTTTGCAAATTAAATTAATATTTGCTTCCCAATTTTTGCAAATTAGGATTTTTTTTTAAATTTCGAAAAAAATATTTTTTTATAAAATTTATATATAAATTTTTTTTAAAAAAAAAAATTAACCCCCCTCCGTGAGCGAAACAAAATTTTTTTTTGTTCGCTCACGGAGGGGGGGGGGGAGTAAGCTGAAATATCTTTTATGGGTTTTCCGCGTTTCTGGGAAAAATGAGCTATTGATTTCCTCAAAATTTTTTTCTGGACTTTTATTTTTATTTATTATAGATGGCTGTCTTGTTTTCGATCTTAAAATTGGTCTGAATGGCGTTGATAAAGTCAGCGAAGTTTTAAGTTTTTTATTTATTTCTGATTTTTGGCTTTTAGATAAAGGCAATATCCTTGATTCATAATTTTGTCTATTAATAATTGGAGTTGTATTTGAAATTGAGTACATTTTTGGCATTTTGTTTGCAGAAGTCCAATGAACCCTTATTTTTGATGCAAAATTGGTTGAAGGTGTTATATATTTTTGCAGCCTGTGGGTATAGTGAGGGCAATTAGCGAATAAATCTTTAGCTTCTTGTATAGAAAAGCATAGCCTTTCTCTGTCATTCATAGCGGTATGTATATATTTTGGGTAGGATTTATTATCATTTAAATTTTCGACAGTTTTAGCAAAAAATAAGTCAAGGGAATTTTTTGAAATTTCACAGTTGATGTAGCCTTTATTTGTATGCAAAAATATAGGATATTGAATAGATGAAATAAATAATAGGGTTTCTGGAATATTTAATGGAATTTTGTAACTTGCACATAAATTCGCAAGAAGGGAATAAATTTGAGGACCTTTGGAGTATTGTAATAAAATATCATGGACGCTTTCTATGATTGATATACCTACTAAGAGGTGAAAAATATTAAAAGATAGCTGCAATTTATGATTTTTACAAAAAATAAGATATTTTCTGAAGCAGTAAAGGACTGGAATGTTTAATTTAGCTTAAATTTTTTATCTGTTGCTGTTTTGAAAGTGTTTGCATTTTAAAAGTTTGAAACTCTGGGCCTGAGATTTTGGCTTTGCACATTAGCTCTTTTAAGTTTTCAAGCTCTCGCTGTATCTCGACTGTCCGAACAGATGCCTAATTGAGGTTTACTTCTTCATCATCTGACGAAAGACTCTGAAAATTGTTAGACTTCATTTATTAGTGTTGTATTTTTAAAAAATTAATTAAGTTATAAAATATAATGGGTCGAGAGATTTAATTCTATCATTTTTACGTGTCTTTTAAATGCTAAAAAATATTGGACCATTAGCCAATTTCTTAAACGCTATAAGAAATTATTGAAAGTGTTATTATTGGAAATTTCATGATGATTAATCAAAATGCCATAAAATCTAATAAAATTTCTTTAAAACATGCTATTTAAAAGACCTAAATGCCTAATGAGAAAATCAAGCATATTAGGTTATATTTTATACTTGAAAACTAGCGCTTACTTATAGTCTATGCTGTAATTACCCTTAACCTATTTTTAAGCGAAATTTATGGCACATCCTAAGAATTAACAATCCTGCATTTTAAAGCCCAACTACTTGCTAAAAACATAAAAATTAATTCCAATTAAAATCTTTATCCTTCAAAAGCGAAAATTTTCATTTATTGGAAAAATCAAATCTCAAAATTTTAATCACAATTTCCCATAGATGAATCCAGCCATTCTTTCCAAGATCTACAAGGACGCATATGCGCCTATTTTTGGGATTATGCTCTTCACAGCTCTAGACCTAAATCTTCCCACCCTTCTTTTAGAACCCAAAACCCTTTCTGATCTCTCAGAGCTCACATTTGCCAACCAAGCCAAACTTGACCACATGCTCAAAATTCTCTCAGTCCATGGGTATTTTTCTTATAATGAGCAAACCCAACAATGGTCTAACAGTCCGTCATCCGCTGCTCTAACAGACGACTCCTTAAGTAAATCCATGAAACTTCTCTTATGGCCTTACAAGTATGAATACCTATCCAGCTACCCAGAATCCATAAAGCACCAAATATCCTGCCATGATGTACATTTTGGCTTTGATTATTTTAGTGGAATTATGAATAATAGAGAAATTCTTCCAATTTATAGAGATGGTGTCAATGCAATGGAAAATCTTTTTATTTCAAGATTAAGGGATATTGGACTAGGGGAGTGCCAAAAAGTGCTGGAACTTGCAGGTGGGGAAGGAAATTTGATGGTATATCTGGCAGAGCAGTATCCTCATATCACTGGGGCTGTTTTGGAGAGATATGAAGTCATTGACATGATCCAAAAAAACATTTATGAGCATAATTTGCAAGAGAGAATTATGGCGATTAATGGAGACATGCTTGGGGATTTTTTTATATTAAATAAATATGCCCAAAAAGCTAGGCAGCAGCTTTATATTTTTAGAAAAAATTACTATTTTAGCCATAGTAGAGTAGGCGTGTTTTCTTAATAAATTATACCTACAGACTATGATTGCATAATTATTAAACATTCTTTATGTGAATGGGACAATAATTGTGTCAAAAATATAATTTCAAATGCAAGAAAAGCGTTACAAGCTGGAGGCAAGTTTAAATGGATGGATAAGTTTGCAGTGGAAAACTCAAAAAAATATTTACATACAACAATTCATGAAATGGAAGACATTAGAACAATTAGGACTTTAGAAGAAAGCCAAAATTTACTCACAGAATGTGGGTTTAGGGTTGAAAAGATTGAAAATTCTCTAACTCCCTCTCTCAATGAGCAAACAAAATCTTGGAAATCTCTAGTTTTTGGGTAAACCCACCTCTGTGAGCGAACAAAAAAATATTTCTAATATAGAAATTTTTATAAAATTTTTTTTATATATAAATGATAGTTATTAAAATGAAAATTCTAGATAATTCTTTTAACTCCAAGCAGATTTAAAAATATAAATTTTAAATTAATTTTCTCCTTTCCAATTATTTCGAATTTGATATTTTTACCCCTCTTATGAGAGAACAAATATATTTTTTTGCTCAAAGAGAGAGGATTAAGAGATGAATTTATCAATATCGATATGGAAGTTAATCCGGCTTCCGAATATATCATTCATTCAGTCGCTATTTAAATAGGAAACCTCTACTATAAAAATGAGAAAACTTTTAATTATGATTCTATAATTTTTATTATGATTCTGTAACTTTAATTATGATTCTATAACTTTAATATGTAAATGCATAATATAATTTTTATTTGGACATTCAAATATCTTTGTCTGGTTTGATTTAAAGTTAATTGCCATCTCCTCATATTAAGTTTAAATTATTGTAGAATCGATATTAAGAAAGCTATAAATAATGGATAAATTGAAGTGTATTATAGAAGGATGCCAAAATCTTCCTGCTTACATATGCGATTGCAGATCAAATACTCTGATTTGTTTTCCGCATGTTGGCCCTCATATAATACCTGATAAAAATAGGCATAATATATTAGAACTTTATGTTGAGCCCGATTCAAACACTGTAAAATCTGTCAGGTCATTCTTACTTCTAACCTTTTCTTGGGTTGATGATTTGATTTATATTAAAATCGATAATAATTTTAAGTCATGAAATAAATTAATTTTGAAAAATTGTAAAATATTTGCAAACCAAATGGTAATTCGTTTATCGGTAAGAATTTAGAAAATTACCAAGAAGAATTATTATTTACAAGAAATACAATCTTACTCCATTTTATCATTAAGAAGAACAAATACGTATTAAATATTTAATTGCATAAGTCAGTAGAATTATAAAAATAAAAAATTTAAATGGATTTTAAAAATATATTAATATCAGCTTTATAAATAAAATGGGAATTAGCGAGAAACCTCCTGTGGCGGGTGCTCTTATATATATCCGGAATAGCTTTTGGTGCAAGGAGTGCCTTAGGTTGGATTAGCCTTAAGTGAGAGGCCCAGTTATTTCTGCAGATTAGTGGTCAGGCTCGAATAGACATATTTTTGCCAACTTACCCGATGGGCCCAGAAAGGGTGATATAGGCAAGGCAACTTACCTGCTTACCTGCCTAGGCTGCTTATAGCCTGTCCCGAATCTACAAAAACACATTGAGTTTTTCCTCGAGATTATCAAGAGAAAAAGGTGAAGACAGTCTAGACAAGGAAACTCAGGGCTAATCTCTAAGTTGAAAAGGGTCCTAAAAAAGTGGCTATCTGCACTAAGCTACGCAGTGTTGAGTAATTCTGGCACTTGGGTGGAAATGGAGCTTCCAGACAAAATCTGTTTTTTCCAAATTAGGAGGGGAAAATGCATCTGCTGAGAAGCCGGCGTTTCGACCCGAGCTCAAGCTGCCTTAAGGAAGCCTATCCCGCATGCATTCGCCTGAGGAATCTACGTTGCTTGAGGAAGTGGGAACTATAAATACCCAGTATATGTAATCTAATTAATATCAGTTGTGGTAATTAATAATTAATTATTTAGAATCTCATAAGCTGCCAGTTGGCAATTAGTTTTTATAGTATTTATTTAATTAAATAGCATTATTATAAAATTTGCTTATATTAAATCTGCTCGTCTGAGTTTAGAAAAGTCTAGTTTCAAAGTTGCAAAAATTAATGAAATAATTCCAGAATCCCTTAAGCAGATAAATGGTGACATAAAACAGGTCAAAAAATGTCTAAATAATCTCAACAATTTATCCAATATTCCAAGAAATACAGAAGATGACTTTTATCAAGCGCTTCTACTTTCTGGAAAAGAATCAATTAATAAAATCAAATCATTTATACTATATACATCTGACTAATACCGTTTATTTCTATTTTATTATACAATTAATATTAATTTAGTTAATAATTTCTATTAAAAAATTAATTATAAGCTGAATATATGTAAAAAGTCAGATTATAAAGACATTCTCTGCAACCTATTTACAGAAGTTGATATAGAATCAATTGTCGAGAGACAAGTACAGGAAAAGTTTGATATTTTTTTAAAACTAAGTCTTGAAAATGCAAATAAGATCTGTAAAGAGAACGTTTGCGACTTAGAAACTTCATTACATAAATGCATTAAAACAAAACTCAACGCTACAGAGCAAAACTTTTCCAAAAATATTACAGAAAATATAGGCGAAATTGATAAAATAAAAACAGCAAATGAAAATTTCAAAAAAAAAATTGATGAGCTAGAAAAAAAATATGCTGAAATGGAAAAGCAACATTCCAAAATAAATACAGAAAATAAAAAAGAAATTGGTGAAATAAAAGCAAAAATTTATGATTTTAGTTGTGATTTATCTCAGCGTATTAGCGATTTTCAAAATTTAAATAAAACTTGCTATCAAAAAATCGATGAATTAGAAAAAAAAATATCTGAAAAAGTTGGCGTTGAATCTGATAACTTTTATCATATATATTAAATATTTTGAAATAATTTTATATTAGTCTGCTATTTTTTTCTGCTCAAAGATAAGGCTGATCAGTTATTTAAAGATGATTGTTAAATTAAATTATGTTTATTATAACTGAAAAGTAATAAAGAATTGAATTCTTATATATAAGCACCTTAAATATTTGAATTTAAATAAGGAAAACAGCATAATTAAAAATAAATTTTGTTAACTGCTATAAATTTCATTTTAATTGTTATATTGTATATCTTACAATTAATCTTAGAAAGAGTAAGATAAAAAGCGAATTAAATGCGTTTGTATTAAAGAAAAGTTTCCTAACTGAGATTAACAATTTATCCCTAGGCATAGCCGTATTAAAGGAAAGTTTCCTAACTGAGATTAATAATTTATCCCTAGGCATAGCAGCAGTAAACCAAACGCTAGATACTGATAGAGCAAAGTCTAAAGAAATAGAAAATAAATATAAAGCTGAAATATCAAAACTGAACAAAATAATCAATGAAATTGGAAAAGAAATCACAGATATGGCCAAAACAATTAGTTATATAGATGATGTCAATCAAATTGAATCAAAATTACCATCTAGCATAAAAAAAAATGCCAAAATTGATGCAAAAACAAATCCTTTGGAGAAGAGTCAGCTTAAATAGATTAAAAATAATTCCCTTTAATAGCACCATAGTTTGGTAGTTTCGAATTTGATCCCACAAAAACTAATAATTTTGTTCGGACTAAATTGTAATTTTAGCGGGCACTAGCTCAATACAGATATGACAAATAAGGGGAAAAAAAATTGAAAAAACACTTATTAGCAACCCCTATCGGCGAATTTAACAACTAAACAGCCAAAATACACTGAAACGAGGCGCAGAGCAATTGAACTAATTTCAGTTTGTAAGGCAAGCAAAGCAAATATATAGTGCAATGCCATTTTATTGAAGAGTCAGCCGATGCAAAATATTTCATCCTATTCTCCTAGAGAGAAAACTTCGCTATCCAATAGCCAAATGGCACTTGAAATAAATACTGCAGCTGAAGAGTGCAGCAACTCAAAGCACAACACTGGCTATCATTTATCAGAATGTCCTAAAACCATTGTCTTGATTGCCTTAAAAAATATATTAACGAAAGAAATGGCCTACAAAGAAAGTTTTATTGCCATCATGGAATAAAGCTTGGGATTTACGATATAAAACTTCTAGAAATGGAAGCCGAGCGGAAAAAGAGCTTAGACTTAAATAAAATTTCTTCTCCTCGTGCTGCCAATATTGCTAAAAAGCTTGAGATAAGTGCCCAAGAATTTTATAGAAATGTACAAACGCCTACAGTAAAGCAAATTCCAAGCTATATATCTAGCGAAAGATCAGCAATACAAACTAGAACAAGTGAAAAAAATATGTATAGTGATTACAAAGTATTGATGAGCCCAAGAATTGATAAGCGTTTTCAGCACACTCCTTCAAAAAATAAATTATAAGTTTTAAAGAAGAAGAAGAGAAAAAGAGCTAAATTAAAATTAATACTTGAAAGATAGCATTTTCTCTGGCATTTTAATTTATTTTTCCTGTGTTGGAATGGCTCATTAAGATAGAAGCTTGACTTCTTAGGCATTCGGTTAGTATTTTTATAAACTTTTTCTATTAAACTATTCATTCTCAACTGTAAAAAGTATTTATGTAGATTGATAAACAATGAGAAAGGTTGTCTGATTTAATGTAAAAATCATGATTTTAAATATATTTTACAAAAATAATAATAATTTCTTAAATAATCAGGGACATATAGCTTGGAGTTGGCTTGCTTGAACATTTCATATGCTGAATAGATTTTTCTAAGGCTAAAAATTTATAATCTTATGCATATTTAAGTCAATATAAATGAAAAAGGCGAGAATTACAAATAGAAACAAAATTTTCAACCAAGCTAAAATTAAATTCGCCACAGATGCTCGTCAGCCAAATGATCCTAGCTGCGAAGCAGAAGTTCCTCATTCTCTTTCTGAAAGTCCACGTGCAGATACCATCTCTGATATGCCAAGATCCATAATTGTAGAATCGTTCAAAAAATTCTTAAATGATAAGCAAGAAAAATTCAATTCTGATAAAAAAGAAATTATAAAACGAAATAATGACTATAGCAAAAGCAGTGAGGAACATTTAAATAGAGGTCTCAAAATAATTGATGATAAATTATTCATTATAGAAAATGCTTTACTTGATCTTGATGATCTGAATAAAATGAAAGAAACCAATAAGAAGCTTTACGAAGCGCTTTTGAACTCTGATCCAGAAGCAGCAATAAATAAAATTAATGCAGACCTATATAAAGTCTCAGAGAGCGAAAATATCACAGACTTGTTTTATCCAAGAAATGACATAGGAACCATGATGGATACAAAAGAAATCCAAGAGCTTATAAATGCCTTATATTCAAATCTAGAAGACATGGAAAGACGCATGTTAGGAATGCCCTATTTGGTTAAAAATATGTTAGCTAATATCATTGATGAAAAATATAATGATCAAAGAACAGTAATATTATCATCATATGAAGGAGCAGAAAAAAATTAGAAGAGACAGCCAAAAAGATAGATAAAATTTCTTCTCAAATGAATAGGTATGAAAGAAATTCTCAAACATCTAGTGAAAAGAAGGCTTCGACTTGAAGACAATTTATTATTATGCTTTTCTTTATTTTACTTGGCTTTGCAATTGGCCTTTTTTACAAAAACGGTCCGCAAATGGCTAGAAGTGCAAATGCTCAAAGCTATTAGAATTAATAATAAATAATTAGCTATGATAATTAATATTTTATTTATCAAAATAAATCCATATTTTAATAAATTATAATGGAAGTTTTCAAATGTTCTGTAGAATCATGCAAGAATGAGCCTCAATATAAGTGTAATTGCTAACCCAATTCTTTATTTTGCCAAGTGCATTTTAGCTTAGACAAGCATATTGCTCCTGGCTCTAGGCACGGGTTAGTATCTCTTTGTGTTATGCCTGAACCCCGAATTGTAGAATCAGTAAGATCATTCATAGAAGAAAAGCTAAAGGCTATACGGGATGAAGAAGCCTTTATCTTACTTCAATTACCATTTTATAATAAATTAATACAAATTATTTATATTAATAACTCTCCCACATCTTTAAATGAGCATATATTTATTTAAGTAAATCCATGAAACTTCTCTTATGGTCTTAAAAGTATGAATACCTATCCAGTACCTAGAATCCATAAACTGCCAAATATCCTATGATTAATAGAGAAATTTTCCAATTTATAGAGATGGTGTCAATGCAATGGAAAATCGTTTTATTTCAAGATTAAGGGATATTGGACTAGGGAGCGCCAAAAAGTGCTGGAACTTGCAGGTGGGAAGGAAATTTGATGGTATATCTGGCAGAGCAGTATCCTCATATCACTGGGGCAATTTTGGAGAGATATGAGGTTACTGATATGATCCAACAAAAACATTTATGAATATAATTTGCAAGAGAGAATTATGGCAATTAATGGAAATATGCTTGTGGATTTATTTTATATTAAATGAATATGCCCAAAAAGCTAGGCAGCAGTTTTATATTTGAAAAAATGATTATTTTAGCCACAGTAGAGTAAGCGTGTTTTATGTTTAGGATTGAAAAAATTGAAAATTTTCTAACTCCCCTCAGTGAGCGAACAAAACCTTGGAAAAATCTCTAATTTTGTGTTAAACTCTTATCTGTGAGCGATCAAAAAATATTTTTACATATAAATGCTAATTAATATAATGAAATCTATAACTGATTTTGTAGAATTTTAAGTAGTTTGCATTTAAAATAATAAATTTTGCAAATTAAATTAATTTCCCGCTTTTCACTTTTATCAAATTTCGAAAAAAAAAAAAACTACCTCCTCAGTAAATTTATTTTTCGCAAAAAGAGGAAGGAGTAAGAGATGAATTTATTAATATTGATATGGAAGTTAATCCGGCTTCCGAGTTTATCATTCATGAAGTCACTATTTAAATAATTTTAATATATTTGTGTTGGCGATGAAAATTTAATTTATATATTAATAGGAAATCTCCACTATAAAAATTAGAAAACTTTAAATATATATAAGGCATGATTCTATAATTTTAATATGTAAATGCATAATATAATTTTTATTTGGACATTCAAATGTCTTTTGGCTTGTTTTAAGTATAATTACCAGTTCCTCATATTATATTTAAATTATTGTAATTATCATAGCATAGAACGAGATATTGATAATTTATAATATGGATCAATTGAAGTGTATTATAGAAGGTTGCCAAAATCATCCTGTTTACATATGCGATTGTGAAGAAAATAATATGATTTGCATTCCGCATCTTGGCCCTCATATAATACCTGATGCATTTAGGCATCATATATTAGAGCTTTATGTTAAGCCTTATTCGAGAACTGTAATATCTGTCAGGTCATTCTTAGAAAATTGCCAAGAAGAGCTATTATTTGCAAGAAACACGATCTTAGAAAAGTCTAGTTTCAAAGTTGCAAAAATTAATGAAATAATTCCAGAATCCCTTAAGCAGATAAATGGTGACATAAAACAGGTCAAAAAATGTTTAAATAATCTCAACAATTTATCCGATATTCCAAGAAATACAGAAGATGAATTTTATCAAGCACTTTTACTTTCTGGAGAAGAAGCTATTAATAAAATCAAATCAAGTACATGTAAATTTTCAGATTATAAAAGCATTCTCTGCAACCTATTTACAGAAGTTGATATAGAATCCATTGTTGAGAGACAAGTACAGGAAAAGTTTGATATGTTTTTAAAATTAAGCCTTGAAAATGCAAATAAAGCCTGTAAAGAGAAGGTTTACGACTTAGAAACTTCATTACATAAATACATTAGGACAAAAGTCAAGGACATAGAATATAATTTTTCCAAAAAAACAACAGAAAATATAAGAGAAATTGATAAAATAAAAACAACAAACGCAAGTTTTAAAAACAAAATTGATGAAATAGAAAGAAAACTTGCTGAAATGGTAAAGCAACACTCCAAAATAAATACAGAAAATAAAAAAGAAATTGATGAAATCAAAGCAAAAATTTCAAATTTTAATAGTGATTTATCTCAGAATATTAGCTATATCCAAAATTTAAATACAACTTGTAATCAAAAAATCGATGAATTAGAAAAAAGAATATCTGAAAAAGTTGGCATCGAATCTGATAAGATAAAGAGCGAATTAAATATATTTGTACTAAAGGGAAATTTCTTTACTGAGATTAATAATTTATCCCTAGGCATATCAGCAATAAACAAAAAGCTAGATACTTATGAAACAAAGTCTCAAGAAATAGAAAATAAATCTAAAGCTGAAATATGTAAACTGAACAAAATAATTACTGAAATTGAAAAAGAAGTCAAAAAAAAAGCCAAAGTGCATGGAGAAAGAGCTGCTGTCAATCAAACTAAATCAAAATTATCATCTAGCATAAAACAAAATTCCGAAATTGATATGAAAAAAAATACTTTGGAGAAGAGTCAGACGATGCCAAATCTTTTATTCTCTTCTCCTAGAGAGAAAACCTCACTATCCAGTAGCCAAATGGCTCTCGAAATAAATATTGCAGCTAAAGAATGCAGTAACTCAAAGCACAGCGTTGATTATCATTTGCTAGAATGCCCTGAAAGCCATTGTATTGATTGCCTTAAAAATTATATTAACGAAAGAAATGGCCTACAAAGAGACTTTTATTGCCATCATGGAAAAAAATTTGGAAACTTCGAAGTAAAACTTATAGAAATGGAAGCTGAGAAGAAAAAAAACTTAGACTTAAATAAATTTTCTTCTCCTCGTGCTGTCAATATTGCTAAAAAGCTTGAGATAAATACCCAAAACTTTGATAGAAATGCACAAACTCCTACAGTAAAGCAAATTCCAAGCTATATATCTAGTGAAAGATCAGCAATACCGACTAGAGCAAGTGAAAAAAATATGTATAGTGATTACTCAGTATTGGAGAGCCCTAGAATTGATATGCGTTTTCAGCGCACTCCTTCAAAAAAAACAATCATGAGCTTTAAAGAAGAATAGAAAAAGAGCTAATTAAAATTAATAGTTAAAAGATAGCCAGCATTTCGCTGATATTCTAATTTATTTTTCCTATTGTGGAATAGCTCATTAAGATAGAAACTTGACTTCTTAGGCATTCCATTGGCATTTTTATAAACTTTTTCCATTAAACTATTCATTCTCAACTTGAAACAAATATTTGTGTTGATTGATAAACAATGAGAAAGGTTGTCTAAATTAATGTAAAAATCATAGTTTTGAATATATTTTACAAAATAATAATTCCTTAAATCAGCAGTGACATATAGCTTGGAGTTGGCTTGCTTGAACATCCCATATGCTGAATAGATTTTTCTAGGGTTAAACATTTATAATCTTATGTATCGTTAAGTTAATATAAATGAAAAAAGTGAAATTTGATATAAATAGAAACGAAAGATTCAATCAAGCTAAAAATAAATTAGCCTCAGATTCTCATCTGCCTAATGATCCTAGTTGCAAAGCTAAAGGTCCTCGTTCTTATTCTGAAAGTCCACGTGCAGGTACCATTCCTGTTAAGCCAAAACCCATAATTGTAGAATCGTTCAAAAAGTCCTTACTCCTCCCTTCCGTGAGCGAGCAAGACCATTAGAAAAATCCCTATTTTCTGCTTAACAAAAATTTTTTTTTTATAAATAAAATTTTGATATAAGCTATTATTATAATGAAATATTAGTTATTTGTTTAATTTTTGAACAAATTGAAATTTTGGCATAAATTTTACAAATTAAATAAATATTTACTTCACAAATTTTTACGAATTGGGATTTTTAAAAACTTGAAAAAATTTACTGTAAAATTATATATAAAATGTTTACATTAATCCCTTCGTGAGTGAAAAAATGTTTTTGTTTGCTTAGGGAGGGGAGAGTTAATAAATATGGAAGAAAAATTCAATTCTTATAAAAAAGAAATCATAAATCAAAATAAGGAATTAATAGAAAAAATTGAGGAAAATTTAAATAGAAGACTCAAAATAATTGATGATAGCTTAGATATTATAGAAAACGCTTTACTTGATCTTACCGATCTGAATAAAATAAAAAACAATAAGAAGCTTTACCAAGCGCTTTTGAATTCTGATCTAGAAGCAGCAATAAATAAAATTAATGCAGATCTATTTAAAGTCTCAGAGAGCCAAAATATCACGGACTTGTTTTATCCAAGAAATGATATATGAGCCGTCAAGAATACAAAAACAAGCCAAGAGCTTAGAAGTGCCCTAGAAGCCTTGGAAAAATTCAGGTGTGAAATACCCAATATGATTAAAAATACGTTAATTAATACTATTGATGGAAAATATAATGATCAAAGAACAGTAATTTTATCATATGAAAGAGCAGGAAAAAAATTCGAAGAGAGAGCCAAAATGGGGTGTAATTTTTCTTATGAAAATAATAAAAAATTGGATAGCCATAAAACAAATTCTCAACATTTAGTGAAAATAAGGCTTCCAAACTATTTATTATGGCGCAAATCTTTTTTGTCCTTAGTATTGTGATGGTCTTTCTTTACAAAAACGGTCCGCAAATGGTTAGAAGTGCAATTGCTCAAAGCTATTAGAATTAATAATAAAATCATTAGCTATGATAATTAATATTTTATTTATCAAAATAAATCCATATTTAATAAATTATAATGGAAGTTTTCAAATGTTCTGTAGAATCATGCGAGAATGAGCCTCAATATAAGTGTAATTGTCAACCTAATACTTTATTTTGCCAAGTGCATTTTAGCTTAGACAAGCATATTGCTCCTGGCTCTAGGCACGGGTTAGTATCTCTTTGTGTTATGCCTGAGCCCCGAATTGTAGAATCAGTAAGATCATTCATAGAAGAAAAGCTAAAGGCTATATGGGCTGAAGAAGTCTTAATCTTAGCTAAACATTCTTTTAAAATTTCAGAAGCTGAAAAACAAATAGCAAATTACTTAGAGAAAACAAGCCATATTGAAAGAGAATTAATAAGTTTTGCAAATGAGCTGAATAATCTGAGGCCAAGCCCAAGAAATGCAGAAAATGATTTTTTTAAAGCTCTTTTGGCTTCTGAGGATAAAGCAATTAACAAAATTGGGCTTACATGCGACTTTGCATCAGAATATAAAAACCGCGTCAATTTCTATGCAAAATTTGACGCCGAAACATATATTAAGAAAATTATGTGCCAAAATGCTGGTAATATTATAAATCAAAAACTAGCAGAAGCAGAGGAAAACTTAAAAAAAGAATTTGAAGAAATTAATAAGAAAAACTTAAAAGAGCAAGAAGAAAAAATTAAAAAAATTAAGGATGAATTTTATTTAAAAATACAAAATATTGAAACACAAAATTCAGAGTTAAAGGGACGAAATGAAAATTTAACCAAAAAATTAGAACAAATTTCTAATATAAAAATAGCTCAAAAATGTATCAGTTCAGAGCATAATGCAGATTTTAAAATAATCAATTGTGATCAAAGCCACTGCTCGCACTGCCTTTGGGGCTTTTATAATAATTCATTAATGAAAAGAGGTGAATTATATTGTGAGCATGAGAAAAGTCTGTTATTTGAGGATGTAGCAAATTTAAATAAAGCTCGTATTAGAAAGATGCGAATTTCTAATTGCAAAAAAAGGACACATAATGCATGCGCCTTGCTGTCTGGAATACTATTGTATGGGTTTTTACTATTTTTAGCATTTATGGGATGTTTTGCCCAAATCAAACTCACTAAGCATTATTAAATATTGCCCATTAATAAATTGATTTCAAAATTAGTATGCATTGAATTGCCTTAATCTACATTAAAAACAATAATAAGGCTTTCTATCATTTTATTCTAAATAAAAAGAATTTAGCAAAAAAAATTATTTTATCCAAAAATGATGTATCATAGAAAATATAATAGGAGTAGTAATAAGCTGATAATTAAAACCTTTAAAATAATATGATTAATATTAAAGTTTAAATATTCTATTGACAAAAGTGAGAGAAATTTCTATGATTTTTAAAGGTGAGTAATTATTTCTGATGCAATAGGACACATCTAGCAGAACTTAAGTTATTTCTTAAGGAATCAATTAGTAATTGCTTATTTATTGCTGAGTAAAAGTTTTATAATTCAAGCACTATCCTATTTTCTTATAGTGAGAAGCCCAAAAAGGCTGCAATAAAACAATGAAATTTCATAAGTATATAAATAATATAATTAGTATCATTTTTGTTATTGATATTTGATAATTCATAAATTAAATTCCATGAGGGAGAGAAATTAGCTCTCCCTCATGGAATTTTATTTATGGGGTTAGGTTTTCTCTCGAAAACTTCTGCACAGCAATAGCAGTTTAACTTTGGGGATAACCAGAGGAACTGCTCCTCAGTGCATCAAGAGACTAAGGGTATTACCTCTCAGCACATCTCCACGGGAAGATGACCCTTAGGCGGAACACGCACAGGAGCTGAATCAGGGCAAGGCAACGCCAACGAGTGCAGCGAGGCGGCGAAGCTTTGATAGAAGGCTTGGCCGGTGGACTGACCATTGGGATTTCAAGATGGCTCGGTGACTTCACTAGTCTGATATAGCCCTATTTATTAGGTGCAACACTAGACACCTTGAACACAGATACCTAAGTTAAGTTAATATATTTGATAATTCTACTATGAAATTAAATTTATCCTAACTCAAATCTCTTATAGAGAGCCAACCATCTCTTGATTATTAATGGTTCTTGCATTAATTAAATGGGATCTTGTTGTGGTAAACAATCCAAACCTCATAAACCTAAAGAAGTCTACATCCAACTGCCATCACCTGCTTTCAATAAAAATACCAAAACCTCTCAAAAATCAGCTAACCCTTCCCCAACTCCCAAAGAAAAGCCCAAAAAACAACTCTTAATTACTTGCAAACTTGCCCAAAAAAAATCAATAAAAATCTCATATTTTTTTAAATTTTTTTTTTTAATTTTCTTGCAAACACCCTTCATTTCAAATTTTCGTTGATTACAAATCTCATATGCCTCTTTATAGTCTCAAAGACGCAGTCTCTAAATCATTTCCAGACATTGATTTTTCCCGTTATTCCATCAACAAAGGAAATTTAGAACTCTTAGAGCATACAGCCCAACTTAAAGACCTTGGGATAGTTTCAGGGGACGAACTTTGCTTTCGCCGGCTCAAAGAAGTCCATTTCCCTTCAGTGGAGCCTCAGAATATTCGTTTGCATTCTTCAATGAACAATGCGTCAATCCAAAGCGCTGATTTTAATATAAAAGACACAGAAATGGACATCGCTCATAGCATCTTAGAAGAAATTTCAGAAGAAGAAACAACAAAACATGACGTGGCTGCAAGTAAGGCAAAAGTGACAATGCAAAAACTTAACAGTAACTCAACGTCAAAGTCGCCGAAAAGTTCAGCAAAAACACTGTGGGGAAGCGCTTTATTGTCCCCAAGTATCAAGAAGTTTGTAATAAATAATCAAAATGACTTGAGTATTGCATTGGTGAGGTAAATTTTCCTTATTTTTTTGATAAAAAATAATCAATTAATTTAGTTTTAAAAAGGAATTGCATCAAATAATACTCATGATTTTTCGTTCAAAGAAAAGAAAATACCTAATTTAAACGTTGGATTCAAAATTGAAGGAAATTCACAAAGCGGAATAGCAGATTCTGAAGAGAGCTTTAATACTGGAAACCAAGGAACTGATAGAAGTAACCCTGCTAAGCATCCAACAGATTTTTTCAAAGATTTACAAGGGCCGTTTTTTATGTTCAAGAATATGTAATTTAAAATAATTAATGCTGAATTTTGATTTTATTTTAGGCATATTCTGCCAAATTTATACTGATAAAACTTCTTTTAATAATTAACCAAGTTTATGCTATTAAATTATGTTTATAACTGGCCTTACCTATCAATTTATATACAAAACCAAGAAGAGAATGCACGAATACTTTGCATTTTAAAAAACAAAATATAAATATTTTAAATATTTTATTATAAATAATAATGATAAAATCAATGATTTTAAGATAATAAATGAAGGCCATATTAGCATCTATTATCCAGTCAAGAACTACTTCACTCTACCCCTCCGAATTCAAACCAGCCTGTGAAGGTCGTGAAAAAAAAGCATTAGGAAACCAATTCAACCTAAATCAATTTGGCGTAAATCTAGTAAAACTTCTTCCAGGCGCAGCTTCATCTCAAAGGCATTACCATCTTCAAGAAGATGAATTTATTTACGTTCTATCAGGAAATATCACTCTCGTTATAAATGAAGGAGAAGAAATCTTATCCCCTGGTATGTGCTGTGGATTTAAAGCAGGTGATCCTAACGGACACCAATTAATTAATAAAACAGCTGAACCTGTAGAATACCTAGAAATCGGCACAAGGAGCTTAAATGATGAAATTATTTACCCAGACATTGATTTACAAGCTTTTAAAGAAAATGGAAATGCTAGATTTACTCATAAAGATGGAACGCCCTACACTGAATAAAAAACCCTAATATCTTTTTCTATAATTCTCGCATGTTTTTTAAAATTTTCTAATAAATTATCCTTAATTTTCTAATAAATTACTTTAATCTGAAATTCTTTTATTCAAATTTATGCTTTCCCTTTTCAATACATGCAGCAACGTCTGCGAGCTTTCAAGGATTTTCATATAAGCTCCTTCCGTTTCTTGTATGGTTTTATCATATTCATTTCTGGCTTGGATTTTCTTATTTAAGGTTTCTATCTAGAAAATACCATTGACCCTTGCCAAATTTTCCCCTAAAGCTGCGATTTGTTTTTCCAGGGTGCTCTTTTCTCGCATGGTAGCTTGGATTTGCTCTTCTAAGCCATTTCGTTGGTCCTTAAGCTCTTCGAGGAAAGTGACCAGCTGGTTGTTATAGTTTTGGAGAGAAGCGCCTTGTGCGGTCATTTTATTTAAAATTATTCCTTATTTAACTATGGAAAGAATGAGAAATGCTTTGGGTGAATATATGTGACTCAATATTTCCAATTGATCTGCAAAATTCGAGGTAATCGATAGAGTTGGACCTGTCGATGTCATATTTTTGGAAGAAAGCATTCAAAAGTTCAGGGGATAAATTTGGGGTTAATTTTTTCAAAAAATTTTTTTTTTAAATTTTTATAAAAATTTACCTTGATAAAGAATTTATTTTAAAATAAATCAGAAAAGACTAGAAGGCTATAAAAACATTATAACGATCTATATAAATTTACCCCAATTCTTGCTAGAGCTTCATGAAATTCATTTCTCGTCAAGTAGCCATTATCATCAATATCTACAAACTTAAAAACCCGTAATAACGCTTGTTCCTCAGTTTCATTCCCTATCATTCTCAATCTGACTTTATCTTTCAGCATAGTCTCAACAGTCGCCAAATCCCCAGCATTAACCTGATGCTGTTCTCCTATATTCCAAACACATTCCATCATTGACACAAATGCTTCGTCATCGTGTGGGTAGCTTGAGCTAATATCTCTATATGTAAAGAAAAATTCTTGCTGAGTTATAATTCCATTTGGGCCTTTTTCGCTAGCATCAAAGGCGTCTAAAAATTTTGAGATTATTTCTTCTTCAGTTTTACGGCCACTTGCAACGTCAGGATGGTTTCTTACATTATATGACTATTATAATTAATTTTTTTAATTGAAAATAATGATGAGTGTATATTTTATAGATAATTGAATAATTATGTGGACAAAATTGTTTACAAAATTTATAAAATTTAGGATAACTGTTATACAGAAAATCCAGGGTGATAGAATTTGAACCATTTCTATCAAGCTTTTCCCAGACTTGCTGGACGATATTTAATCGTCTAGAATTCAGCTCGGGGACTATTCCATCAATAAATTCAGATAAACTCAAAGTGCCATCCTTATTTTCTAACTCTTCTAGCAAAAAATCCTGATCCAATTTAAAGGGTTAGATTTTAAAAAAAAAAATATTTTTCTCTCATTTTTCATAATTAATTATAAAATTTATATTAAATTGGCCTATAAATTATTAATTTTACGATAAAGATTAATATATTTTTTTCCATTTATAGGGGAAGTAAGTTAAAAAATACTATCAAAATGCCTCATAAGGTAGTTTACATCCATTCGTGAAAGGAAAAGACCGCTTGATGTCAAAAATTGTTCGAATTCTTCACGATCAAGGGAAGTATTTTTATCCAAATCGTACTGGACAAACTTTTTTCGTAAGGCTTTGGTGCTGTTTTGGCCTTTATTTTTCAGTTGCATTTGGAGATTGAATTTGATCTCTTTGAGAGAGTTTGCAGACATAGAGGTTAGAGCCATTTTATAACTGTTTAAATTGGCATAAAAATATATATATTCTTCATTTTTATATAAATTATATATTTATTTTTTTATAAAAATATAATACCCTGTTTAAAATTATTTCTAGTCTACATGTACCCTTGACTGGGACTGAGGGATTTGGCTAGTTTTAAGGCTCTTTTCATAAGTAAAATGGGAAGTTCGAAAGAAGGCCAGGTAGTTGTTTTCAATAAGAGCTAACCGATTGGTGACAATTGCTAAAGTTGATCCAGGGATTAAGAGCTGGAGAACATCTGGCCTCTCGCGGCATACACCGGCTCCCGCTAGGTAGGGAGATTGGCTAAAGGTGAGGGTAATTTTTTGGTAGGGTTTCAAAAGTTTTAATTTCTATTGGAGGGGAATAGAAGCCATTTTAGCACAATATTAGGTGAAGGCCTCGGTGGAAGGTTTTCCTCCCTCTGGTATATTTTGTTCTGCATGGTCTGAGGCAGGTTTCGGCCTGTCCCTAGAGCAAAAGTCGAGGCAACTCTCTTCATACACTAAGATCATGATCCAAGCTGAGGAGTCACTCTATTCTACATAAATTATTAATTTAACTATTAAGGCTCCTTTTTCTTTGTAATTTCTCAAGCGATCTATTAGACTGAGAAGAATGTCTTTCTAGGCTTCGCCGCTCCGGACTTAAAGACCCTAGCGCAGACTTCGGCCGAGATGCAGGTCTTTTTGAGCTTGGCCTTGATATAAATGACACGCTATTTCTAGTTTCCCTTGGCACTAAAAATGATAAATCTGAGTTCGTCCTCCTTGATTTTTTTCTTTTAGGATTTTCTGGTATTTCTTGAAGTTCACCTGAAATAATATGCATTTCTGTTTCCAAAAAATGCTGAATTAATGGACACTCTTCTGGGAAAAATCCTCGCATTAGCTTAATAGCATTTTGGCATAAATTTTCTCCAGGTTTTCTCTGGCTACTATACTTCATTTCTGTTCCCATACAAAATTGGCTGATCGCCAATAAAGAAATTTTATATAAAATATTCATTTTTATAGTATTTATAGTTAGGAAGCTAAAGTAATTGACTTATTTTACGAAAAAAAATAGATAAATATCAAAAAAAATGCTGGGAAAATAAGTAAAATCAAGCATATAATCTTTTGTAAATTCAGCCTGAATTCCCATCCCATTCTTAAAATCTTCAGTTTTTGTAGGGTTCATTATCATAATTTCTGCAATATTAAAATGATAAACTCATTCTGGATGCCCTCTAACACCTAAAGCTGACCTTAATTCATTTCCTGATGGTAAAGCACCTTTCCTCAAATAATTTTCTATCGCAGCCAGTGTATTTGCAGCTCTTTTCAAAATTAACGACTTTTGGTCATTTTCTTGGGTAGGTTTTCGCTTGTTTTTCATTTTGTTAATTTGCTTTTTCCATGAAGCTACAGTCGATTCCAAGGCTGCTCAGGAATACTGATGAGCCATTCTAGCTTGTTTTAAAGCTTCCATATGGTTTCCTGTTCTTGAAAGAATTCCGCAGTACTGTAAATGGATTTTACATATCCTTATCCTAAATGAATCATATATAAAAATTTTCTGAAGCTATTTATTTTTTAAAAAAAAAATAATGGTTTTTAATATAAATAATTATATATATTTTTGACGACGAATTTGGTCTTCTTCAGGCGATTTTTTTGACTTCATAATCCCAAAAGTCCCTGCGTTATATATGCAAGCATCTAAATACATTGAGCACTTTTTTCAGTCTCCGAGCCTATTTTATTATTACTGTTGGTAGCATAAAGCCATGTTGTGAATTGTTGTAATAATTTGGTCAGGATCAGTTGAGCCGCCTTGAGTAGCGACGGCTTCCATTATTTCTTCACTTCTTTTTAAAGAAACTAGAGCGGCTGCGTAGTTTCTGTCTTCTATATGCTGATATGCAAGTGTTTCACATGATAGGAGGATTGATGGGAGATCTGACTCACTTATAATGTCTTCTTTATTAGAAGTAAAAGAACTTTCAGAGCTTTTCCGTTGTACACGGTCATCCATTTTGACATATATTTGAAATCTAAATGAAATTTCCTATTATACATAAAAATTTATTTGCTTTATTTTACTTTAAAAATAGAAGAAAATTTTCAGTTTTAAAAGTATTTTAAGTATGCTGGCTTAAATTAATTTTTAAAAAATATTTTTTTATAGAATAAACAGTGTATTTTGAGTAATTTCCTGTCTAAATGAGCATATGATTTTAGATTATTTATTAATTTATTAAAGATTCAAATGCCTTCTTTTTAAATACCTTATAAGTTAATTAATAAAAACTATCATCAATTAGGAAATACAAAAAATCGTTATTGAGTGATATAAAAATATATGCATTTATATTCTTTAGCATCTGGTTCCCAAGATCTCTTCAAGTAAAACTGCACATCAGCTGCGCTAATATATTTGCAATCAATTGTACAGGATATAGTAAAGGTTTGAGTGCCCCCAGAGCCAACAACGTCTGTGGAATTTGGAGTATAGTTTCCTTCTAAATTATCAGTATATAATGGTCCTAATGAACTTTGGTCTATATATCAACTATAGCCTGTTGTTGGATTAGAAGAAACGCTAACTTCAACTGACCCTTCTGAACTTATAATAACCTCACATGCATTATCAATATTCCATTCAGCATTACACAGCAATAATATCGCGGCAATAAAGGGTATCTTCATTTAAATTACAAATTTTTATTCTGATCAGGAAATAAATTTATAGGTTTACCTATTAATGAAATATTTAAAAATGTCATATTTTGTTATCTAACTTTCAGTTATTTGCATATTAAAATTAATTTTTTTAAATAATTATTATTTGGCCTAGCCATTAAGGATTATTTTTCGTAAACAATTTAATAAAAAGAATAAATTAAGTAGCCTAGAGTTTTATTCCTTTTAATTTTCCTTCATCTTGCCTAGTCCGAATATATTTATTTGTATTCGCTAAATAAACTTTAACGTCTTGGCTTATTTCACTTCCTAATTTTTTGACCCCACTGTTGATCTCAGAAATCAAGCTATTTATTGCATCAAATTCAATGCTAGGGACGTCCTTCAGTAGAAAACCAACATATTTATTCAAAGTGTCAATAAGAAGCATAAGCTGTTCATTGGTCGTTCCCAGATGTTCTGCACATTTTTCAGCCTTTTTAAGATAATGGAGGACTCTTTGGTCATTTCTTATTGACTCAGTCCAAAATAGATCTGTAGCTTGCAAAGCACCACGGATTTCTCCAGTCTTTGTAGGCTGCTTATGAGCATATTGTGCTGTATTATGGACTAGTGTCTCTGAGTTTTCTTCTTCAAAACAGTTCACATACGCTAATGTTGACAGGGCAATTGTAATAGCGTTGGCCTTTACGTCTGCATCTGACAGTTCATCTTGGTACAAAATCAAAGCTTGAGAAATAAATTCATAAGCAATTTCTTCATGTGTTTTTTCAGGGTCATGATTATGAATACACAACGCACACTGCAAGCTTAGCTTAAGCCCGAGCTCAGGACTGACTTCTATAACTTTATTAACGATTTGTAATAAAATCTTCAAAATGTGATGAAAAGTAATTTCTGAGTCTCCGCTATCAAGATGGTTTCTGAATAAATTTTTTTTGACAACACATAGAAATTTTTTATTATTAGATCTGGAAAACAATTGAAATTTTAAAAAATTTTGAAAAAATCCCATTTAATTATAAAAATCCAAAACAAAAATCATGAGCCGATCAAGATTAGGGACTAATTTGATATATTTAAAAAGCAAAGCTGGGTAAGTGTATTTAATTCTCCTATTCCCTCCTTGTGACAATTTTGACCTAAAAATATGAAGCAAATGGAATTGGGTTTTTACATCTGGGCCTCTGATCATAGAAATAATTTTGGCGACTCCTTGCTGCTCGTCTTCAAATTCATAAGCTTCAGATTCTGTAGTATCTTTAGCATCTACCAATAATGAGGAAATATACGTAATTAATTTTTCAATAGTATCAGCATCACTAAGCTCCACTTTATTGGCCACAATAGATTGGACTATTTTGAAGGAGACTTGTTTTCGTGCCTGGAACTGCAGATAGCTCATTAATTTTGGATAATTACTCATAGAGAGGATTGCAATTGATAGAGACTCTAAAGGATGGGTCAGTAGTTTCACTATACATTTTAAGGATTCTTGGTCAAGTCTGCCATCAGATTGATTTTTTTCTATTAGGGTAATGCAGGAGTCCAATATCATATTGACATAATTGATATTGTCTGGGTATAAATAAAATATGGCGTCTTCGTCTGGGCATGGCTGGAGGCCATGCATACTCGACTTATATTTTATTTATATCCGGCAAGATTTTACCAATCCAGAAATGGACAGCAGTGCTAGGTAAGCAACTCTGGTAATGTACAGAGCCTAGCCCTCAGTCCAATTTCAAGGTTGGGTTTTACCTCAAGGGAAAGGAGGGTTTGGATTTGGAAAGGGCAAGCCCAGCAAGGTCTGCAGGTAATACCCAGATCAATCGGGCAACTGCCTAGCGTGAAACCGGGCGTTACGTCCCGGAATCCAGATTTTTCCTTTTGCCGAAAGGTCGAACAGAAATTCCATTTTTTTGGAATTTTTGCAACCTTGTAACACATGCAGCAGCCGCAGAAGTCCATAGTCCGCCCACTCAACATTGGACCGAAAGGGAGGAGGAGACGTCGAAGCAGAGTCTCACTTCAGAAATGCCATGGCATCAGGCGCTGAAGGAGAAGAAAGTTAGTGTCAGAGCTGAAGACTTGCCCAGCGAACCATTGCTCCAATTCAAGCAAGGTGAAGCAGAAGACGGCGCAAAGCGGATGAACCACCCGTATGGGAGGGTCCTTGGTGACTGCGTAACCAATATGGCAGACGCCAACCTGTAAGTTTAAGTTTAAGTTTAAGATATTGTCTGGGTAACATTTTAAGGAAAGACGCAAAAATGCAGCGTTGAGCTCTAAGAATTTTGCAGTGTCGGCTGGGTTGCTTTGCTCTTGGATGATTTTGTCGATATAATTTTTAATCAGCTCAAAAATGTTGACCCTTTGGACGATTTCTAAGTCGGATTCTTTGGCGAAGTCAGAAATCCTGGTAAGAAGATTGATGAAAATCCCTTTGATTTCGACTGCTGGCTGCAGTTGGGTGCAGGCTTCAAGCAAAGGTTCAAGAGTATGCAGGTGATAATCGTCTGGGAAAGCTTGAATAATGCAGTCCATGAGATATTGCTGTGAAATGGCGTCTTTGCTGGAGGTTACAATTTCAATGATTCGTGGTAAAACAACAGACTGGTAGAGTTCTAAATTGACTCCTTGTAAGTTGGTATGCAATTTATTTTATGATAAAAATAATAATTTCCTTATTTAAATAGGAAATTTTATATATATTTTCCAGTAAGTTGGAAAGTCTAACAATATTTTCTCCTACAGTGACTTTCAAATCACTTCTTTCTTTTTCTCTCTTTGTTTTGTCCCTTACACTTCCAGTATGTTGCATTCTTACCCAAAGTCTGTTCATCTCAGACAAATTTTGCAGTAGAAAATCAACTGAGTCTGTAACATCTCCAGAATCTTCATACTCTGAGCCTTTATCAGGCAGTTTGTCCTTGCACACTTTATTGAGATAATACCTTAAAAATAGCCCTCTCATAGGGTGTTGGACTCCTTTGGTCATTTCTATCAAATCTTTTAGGACGTCTTTAGCTGTGAGCTCGCGTGTTTTAATATATTCTTTTTAATATTGATTTTACTTAAAAATATATAATAAACAATTATTTTATATGAAAATCCATATTATTTTTATGAAAAAAGTTTAACTTTATAGTATAAACCGACCCAGCTGCGACTAGGAGATATAGTCTTGGCAGAATATTAGTTGTATGCTGAACTTTTTCATAGAGCTCTGAAATTTTGCCAGTCCTGCGGTGCTCTTCCATGAAATAAGACTCAAGGCGGCTCATTTGATCGAAAACTTGCATATAGAGCTCATAGTAAGCTTTTGGAGAGAGCAGAGAGGTACGAAGCTCAGATATCATGATTGATGCATGCTTAAGGACTTCTTGCATGTTAGAAGAGTCTAAAGCTTTTTGCAGCTGAAAAGCTTCTTGTTTAACGACTGCGACTGATTCTTCAAGGTACTTTTCCTGCTCTTCGTCCATTAAATTATTATTCTCTTTTTTCACAATTAGTGTTTTTTATTTAAGAATAAAAGTCTGTTAATTATTTATTTTATATAATTATATATATTTCTGGTTAGATTATAGTGGAGAGAATATTTATTAATGCGCTGTGCATCTAAATATGGGATATTTATGTTATAATCGTAGTTAATTGATTATAAATCTATTATAATTGCTGATATGATGATTTACATATTATATGCATAGGCAAATAGGCAAATAGTCATTTTAATTTGTAAAATCCCAAATGAAAAGTTTGAAAAATGTAAAATGTAAAATTGCTGTCTTTATATGATAAACTTAAGGAGAAATGCTTTTCATAGAGTAAAACAAATAGCAGAAAGAGATAGAAATAGCAAAAAAATTGAATTAATTTTATTTATTTAAATGAAAAATAATTCTAGAAAAGCATCAGATTTTAAATAGAAATAAGTGATATTTTATATAATTGAAAATCAATAAACAATGCAAAACTTAATTATTCTTTGATTTTAGTTAATAATAAAAAGATCATGCAGGCAGCCAGAGGTTTTATTTTCAATTTGCTCCACCTCTCCCAGCCTATTCTTGCCTCAATAATAGCTAACAATCGAAAAATCCTTTTGCTCACTTTGATTATGTATCTTTTATTAATCCACACCACACTGGTGAAAGAATTAATAAAATGGAAAACCTTTTATCCAATACATCAAAGCAAAACACCTCAAATCTCAAGCGCCCATTAGCATTATTCTCATTTTTCTGCCTTTTAATAGTTATTTTTACTATTACTTACAATTCATTCTCTAATCCCTCATCAATTTCTTTACGAAACTCAGATACCCTTCGTCAAGAATTTTTAAGCTTTATATCAAAATACAACAAAAATTATGAGCCATCAGAATATAATAAAAGATTCAAAATTTTCGTTGAGAATTTCGCATATATACGATATCATAACTTCAAAAACAAGGATTATGTATTAGGGATCAATAAATTTGCTGATTTGAGTCCAAAAGAATTTAAAGCAAAATATTTTTCATCAGATTATATCCTGTTTTAGCCTAATTTCGATGATAATTTATATAAAAATTATCAGGCATTTAAAACAGTATAGAACAATATAATAATCCTTACCCAAAAAAATACCCAAATTTACCCAATAATTATACTTATCCTCAAGCATGTGATTGAAGAACATTAGGAGCTGTATCACCAGTGAAAGATCAAGGAGAGTGTATCAGTGACTGAGCATTTTCTGCAGCCGGTGCTGTTGAAGGTATTTGGGAAATTTCTGGGCACGAACTGTTTTCATTATCTGTTCAAGAACTAATTGACTGCTCAGGCATGTATGGAAATAATGGCTGCACTGGCGGAATTATGGACTATGGTTTTGAATATATCATAGATAATGGAATCACATCAGATGCTATATATCCTTATAAAGCTAAACAAGGGATTTGCCAAGCAGGCTTATCAAGTAATATTGCAGCCCAAATCACGAATTATTATGATCTGCCTTCAAATAATCAAGCAAATATGCTGCAAGTTGTAGCGAATTTTTGATTTAAAAATTTAAAAAAAAATAAAAAAATAATGGGAATTTTTTTGGGAAAAAAAATTTTGGTAGCGAATCAACCTTTGTCAGTCGCGGTCGAAGCAAATCAAGCCGCTTGGCAATTTTATCAAGGCGGGATTCTGACTGGAAATTGTGGAAACGATCTTGATCATGGAGTGCTTATAGTAGGATATAATTTGTCCACTAATCCAAACTATTGGATTGTAAAAAATTCCTGGGGACCTGATTGGGGTGAATCAGGGTATATTAGAATTTTGATAAAAGGCGGCACTGGGGTTTGCGGTATTAATATGGAAGCGTCTTATCCAGTCATAAGTAGCTAAATAATTATTAATTATTTACTAATTTTTATCATTTTTAGTGTTTTATCACAAGCCATGCTTTTATAAATAATTTTTTGTTCTCAATTTTCCTTAAACACTCAATCTCAAAGCTCCCATTAATTTTCTATTTTCAACAATCCCTTCCTCCATTTAAATATGTCATAATATCAGTTTTATTTCACCCTTATCAGCCCATCCAAAATGTCCAGAAATTTAAGTCTTTCCCACAGTTTTCCTCACTTTTTTCTTGGACTTTAGCTTTTTACTGATTTTAAATTTCAGCTTATTCTTCTTTAAATTTAGTATAAAATTCTCATTTTATTAAAAATTTAAGTATGAACGATAAAATCTGGAGAGTAAAGCTCTATGAGCTCACCAAAGAAGGACAATGGGAAGACCTAGGAATAGGCGCAGCCCAAATAACAGACAACATTTTTGAAATCATCAGTGAAGATGATCACCATTTGCTTCTTGATTATCCAGTAGGAAATGAAGTGTATAAAAGGCAGGGTGACACAATTCTAACATGGACTGATAGCGACCATTGTACCTTCGCTGTGAGTTTTCAATATGTCTTAAAATATTTTCAAAAAAAAAATTAAATATAATTATTTTTTTAAAAAAATAAAAAGTTTTCAAAACCCTGCAGGAGCGCAAACCATGTGGGAATCCTTTTTATCTATCCAAGGGAAGGATATTAATGCTCAAATATTGAAAAGCGATAATGAAGCTTTGCCATACCCTAATGAAACAAATTTGCAAGAAATTATCGAAATTCTTAGCGATATTAGTGCTTCAAATAGATCAAGCAACATCCAAGGTATAATAAAAGACGGTTTTGTTAGAAAATTAAGCCATGAGTTTCAATTGTCAGTGCAGAAAAATGACAAAGAAGTTATAACACAGTTCTTTTTTGTGTATAAATTGTTGCTACAATTCGCGAATAATTCGATTTTGCAAGAGCTGTTGAGTGATGAAAACTTTTTCTCATTTATCGGGGCAATGGATCATGACCCTGATGTGAAGTGCACACAGTATTTGCATACGCTTACAAATGAAGTAAAATTCATAAATCCACTGGTAAATAAACTATTATAATTATTTTTATTAAAAATTTAATAAAAAATAAAATATTTTATAATAAATCCACTAAATATCACTGACACAGATTTTTTAAATAAAATCCATGCAGCTTTTAGACTTGGATTTCTTAAAGAGTCTCAGTCAGCTCGAGGGCTTGAAGAATCAGCTATTATTTTCCTTTCAAGCTACCAAATCTATTTATTCAACGAAATCATCAATCATTATATAGAATCAGGTAGTATCCGAGCCAATCTTATTATGAAATTAAAAGCAAAAGATTTCAATTCTTTTTATTTTCTATATGAGCTGTCAAATATTGCAAAATCTGCTAACATGACAATAAGATCAAATTTCTATTTCATAAGGAAATTTTTACTTATTTCATAGCAAATAATAATAAAAGTTTCCTATTATATATAAAAACTTGTTAAAAACAATAGATAAAAGTAAAATTTCTTGATAAGTATATGATATTATCGCTAGCGATGATATTCTAGATATAATAGAAAACAATTGGAGCCAAAATGAATGGAATGAAGACCAAAAGGTGAAATATCGCAGTCTTGTTGCTGAAATATTTTTAGGGATCATACAGATTTCACCTTTTATTATGAAAAAATTTTTACTTAATTCCTGCAAAAAAGCCTCAGGAGTTCCATTTCTTGCAGATTTCAGTCAAGAAATAGTAAACTCGTCAGAAATAAGCTCGATACAGATAATAGGAGAATTTTTAAGAACTTTATTAGATGGAGATGAAGACCAAGGCTCAGATTCTTTATATGAGATTTTATACGACACTGTTTTAAACGAATTTATGAAAAAATTCTCAATTGATGCCACCCAGCTTGAATCTTCAAAAAACAGTATTTTTGAAATCTTGTCAGTTTTAATTCAATGCATTCAAAGTCATAACTGCAGGATCCGGTATTTTTTAAACTATTTTCAATGAATTATTATTATTTTTTTTAAAAAAAAATAAATACGCATATTTAATATAGAAAATTATAATTTTCCATCAAGTTATAGAAAAAGCCTTAAACCTCCTAGATTTTTCAGACAACTCATTAAAACTTGCTGTCTTAAAATTTTTCCGGACAGTTATAGAAAAAAATGATAAATTTATCGATCGTTTTATTATCACTCACAACAGTTTTTCAAAAATAATTCAAGTTTTCATTAGTAACGGTGAAAAAGAAAATATGATTTTTTCATCAATTTTAGCTATAATTGAATCACTTAAGAAGGCAAATTCCACAACTTTAATCGAGCATATCATTACCAAACACTTAGAAACCATTGAAAACAAAAACCTTAGAAGCTGCTTTAACTGTCTAATAGACCTATTTACCCATCAGAAAAATGAAGAGCCTCGGTCTTCTCCCAAACAAAACTTAAACTCATCAGCTGAGCTTACAAGTGACGAGCAATACTCAAGTCCCAGCTGTGGCGAAAGTGATGAAGAAAATGATACAGAATTTCAGCCAACCAAGCGCAAGCATGAAGACAGTGAAGAATCAGCCCAAAAAAGATTTAAAACAGAGTTTAGTGAAGAATTTATGACATAAATAATGATAAATCTAGTAATAATTTCATAAAATGGTAGAGTAAGCTCTATTTAGAAATTCTGCTATATTACAATTGAGTCCAAACGTATTGACTTTTGACGTTTCTGGTAAAAAAGACTCAACAGCATCCTTAAATATAGCAAATCCATCAGGAAGTATTTATGCTTTTAAGGTGAAAACATCTTCTCATAAAAGTTTTTTAGTTTCGCCAGCACAAGGGCTAGTGAAGCCAAATGACTCCGTTACCTTGTCTGTCAAGCTGCTTTATTCAGATGATGTTGTCAATAAAATCCATAAATTCATGATCCAAGAGCAGAGGCTGCTTCAATTTGATCTTACAAAAGCCAATTGGGAAGACCCCAGCGTAAAGTCTCAAAAAATAGCTGGAAATGTTGTGTTTGAAAATTCGGTTCAAAATTTTTTTTTAATTTTTTTTTTTTAATTTTTTTAAAAAAATATTTTTTTAATTTTTTTAAAAAATTCTATCGATGGAGGGATTCAGTATGATGATCCACCTCAAAGAAGTCCTGGTAAGACTGTTAATGATAGCTTTAAATCTTATGATATGAATGAGAGCTTTGCCAGCATAAGAGAACCATCAGTGCTAATTCAAGAATATCCTCAGCTGCCAACAATTAATGAGCTTGAACAGTTAGAAGATCAAAAGAAGAGCCTTTCTAACAGAAGCACAGAGCTGACCAAACAAATTGACAAGCTTGAAAGAGATATTGAAAATGCAAATCATAAATTAAAATTCGCCCAAGAGACTGAGCTGTTTTATAGCCCAACTGGAGAAGGACAATGCACAATTAAACATCTCTTTATTACACTTATTATTGGGTTTATAATTGGCTATGTGTTTTTGGGATAATAACTAATTATACCTTGCTTATTAAATTTGTTTATTTTATTATAAATTATCGCATTTTTTATTTAAAAAATAAAATTTGATATATAAAGGGTATATAAAGTTCCCAAAATTAATAATCTTTATAAAATGTCTGCTATGGAAATTGAGAGCCAGCCTGCTCCTAAGAAGGAAGAGGCTCAGCTGATTATCGAAGAAGACGAAGAATTCGAAGAGTTTGAGCTTTATAAGAATAAAGAAGAAATAAACCAAGAGGCACTAAAAGAGTGGGAAGAAGAGTGGGAAGACGATGTGATTGAAGATGACTTTGCGGCAACTTTGAGAAATGAGCTGAAAACCCAGAATTAAATTCCACGGCAAATTACATAAAGAAAATTATTAAAATATTTGTGGGAATCCTAATAGTTAGACAATATTAAATAATTGAGAATGCGATGCTGTGTATTTCGATAATACACAGATTTGTAAAAAATTAAATGATGCGAAAAACTCCCAAAAATGCTTTATCCTGATTAAATAAATTTTTGAATATCTTATAATAAAGTATATTATATTTATTTTTTAAGCATAATTTTCTTTATATCTCATATCAGGAGTTCCGTCTAGTTTTTTCGGTCCATAAAGGTTTCCATTCCAACTCCTTGTCTTGCTGCCTGTAAAAGTGCTTGCCCAGCTAGGGAATTTTGTATTTTCTGTCTCATTTAGAGTGCTAAAATTATATTGCGACTTATTATCAAGCCTATGCTTATAGTTAGCTCCATATCTCATATCTGGGGTCCCATCTTTTTTCTTTGGCCCTTCTAAGTTTCCATTCCATTTTCTTTTAGAACTCCCAGTAAAAGTACTAGCCCAGCCAGGAAGGTCTTCAACTTTACAATTTGGATTGCTTATAAAGGAGTATTCAAAGCTAGAGTCAAGGTCTGACTGTTCATAAAATGAAGAATTTAGCTCAAGATCATTAAAAGTGGTATATGAAAATTTGGACTGGGGTTGATTAGTTGGCTGCTTAGTTGGGACTTCTTTAACTGCTGATGAATTTTCATTTGAACGATATTCTTTGTTGCATGGTGTTTTAACTGGTATTTGAGACGTAAAAAGCCCAGAGAAGCTATTTTCCTCTTCAGAAGATTTATTGGTAGATTTTTGTAAAAATGAAGACTTTTGTAGAGTTTCTGCTTTATTTTTAATGTTTGATGAATTAGAAAAGGATTCAGAAATTTTGATATCATTTTGATCTGATCTTATGTTAGGATTGCTTGCTATATTTTGCTTCTTTGGCTGTGGTAAAGCTGCTTTCTTTTCAATTGGCTCAGACTTTATTAATGTTATTTTAATTCTTTCGAAGGATGGAGTGATTTCAATTGGAGATGAAGATTTTTCTATTGCTAATCTGGATTTTTTATTTTTTAATGCTGGAATTGTAATATTCTCTTGGTTTTCGAAAGTATTTGTATCAGAAAAATCATTTGTTTGGATTTCTTTTTCTTTGGTTTCTGCTTTTTTATGTGATGGTAATTTTCTTTTGAGAATTTTGGGTTTTAATTTCCTAAGACTGCTTTTGTTTGATTTTTCGTTGTTTTTTTCTCCGTGTGCTTGATTATTTATTTTATATTGAGATGAAGAAAAATCGATACTCGCAAGTGGATCAGCTTTATCTTTTGTAAGATTATGATAGTTTTCTGTATTAAAATTGCTTTCCTTTGAAGAATCTAATGGAAAATTATCATTTCTATTTTCACTGGTAGTAGAATATCCTCCTTTTGTGCTTGTTTCAATTATTATAGGATGTATTGTGCCCTCTATTAAAATTTTTTCTTCCATTTGGATTTTTAAATCATTTTTACAAAAATATCTGTTTCAGATTATTTTTGCAAAACAATTTGACTCTGTGAGGCTTTTTAAGCATGGAAAATACTTGGAGGCTTTGCAAGCAGATTGATAAGGATTTTTCTGTTGACCTTTTGTGCCAAGTTCAAGCATGTAAGCTAATTCTCCTTAATGATATTTTAAAATTATTCAGCATATTTATACTAATTAAAAAGTAATTTAAGAATAAAAAAATCGTTTATTATGCATTATAGGAATAAATAATAATTTTTATTGTTTACTAAAAGAAATAAGCAAATTAGTGATGAATTTATTAAAAACGAAGTCTCACTTCCTAAGCTTTCCAGCAAAGAATCAACCATCCCCATTTGAATTTTTTCATCGGATATATCACCAATAATTTTCGTGAAAACAGCAGCAATAGAAAATCTGTCCATCCAATAGCTCGACTTTGCCATTGCTACTAAATCTTCCAAAATCTCTGAATTTACAATTTTCCCAACTGAAACTTCTTCATTAAAGTACAATTTGTTGATAATATCTATTGCTGCGCTTCTAATAGTCAAATTTTCATGAGCTATTAATTTTGCTAAAGACTCAATAACTCCAGAAAAATACATGAAAACTCTGGCATCTTTGCTTATTTCTAAGATTTCTAATAAAAATTTAATATCCCTCTTTAGACTAATCTCTAGAAATTTAGCCTATTTTATCATAAAAAATCATATTTTTTATCTAATTTGGAATGCTTTAAAACACCTCAGCCCAGTATAGAAATTCCGATAATTTTTTCTGAATTATGTGAGCAAAGCTTAAAAATATCTTGAAGAACTCCATTATGTACAATAAAATCAATAGATGACTGGTTGGACTTTAAATATTGCAACAGAATGCTTAGGCTATCGAAAATAATATTTTGGTCGTTAGAATTGAGGATTAGCCTTAAATTAGATTAAAATAGTTTAACATATTTCTGTTAGTTGTCTTTGCCTATGTTGCGTTTGATTACACCAACATACTTACCAGTCTTAAAAATGGCTGCTATTTGAAGTAGTGATCTCCTTACTCCCCCCCCCCCTCCGTGAGTGAACAAAAAAATTTTGTTCACTCACGGAGGGGGGTTAATTGTTTTTTTTTTAAAACAATTTATATATAAATTTTATAAAAATATTTTTTTCGAAATTTAAAAAAATCCTAATTCGCAAAAATTGAAAAAAATATTAATTTAATTTATAAAATTTTATGTTTTAAAAAGCAATTTGTTTAAAATTAAATAGAATTAGGTTTAGATTTCATTATACTAATTATCATTTATATATCAAAATTTTTTTCCATAAAAAATGTTTTCTATTAAAAAAATTTTTGTTCGCTCACGGAGGGCGGGTTTTTGGGAACAAAATAGGGATTTTTCTAATGGTTTTGTTCACTCACGGAGGGGGGGAGTTAGGATAGGACTTGACTGTGCTTCTCAAGATCCTAGTCTATTTGTGGGTATCCTCTGTCAGATCTCCATCGGGTGCTATGAAGGTAAATTTCAGTCCAATACTTTTTGTCGGCCACCTTGAGGAATGATGGCATCCTGAAAAAATTAACTGGTAGAGAAAAGAATCGTGTCCCAAAAAATCTGAAACAACGACTACCTGACCAAGGAGTCACCACCAGCCTCATCCCTAAGTTTACTCACCCCATATGGCCAGTCAAAAGGCAGACTAAGAGTTAGAGTTAAGTGCCAAGCCTTGATTTAGGCTATAAAATGACTTTTGCATCCTCAATGCATTTAACCAAGCACATATTTATTCTCCACCACATTAATTATGATTAGCTTTTAAAGAAGGAATGGTTTCTAGGCTCAATGAAAATTCGGGATTTTTATAGATCTTTGTGATTTCTATAAAAGCAATTGTTTTTATTGCGTTGACTTTGGTTGATTTTATTCATTTTTCTAAAATTTCAAGCTTTGAATTTAGAGGGTCTTTGATTTGATGACTTAAGGTATCTAGTGTGGCAATAGAGTTGGTTTGAGTGGAACCCATTTATTTATTATTGATTAATGTTGGTATCCCCTTTATTAAAGATTAATTAATCTAATTTTTATAAAATATATGCTAATGCAGGTATATTAATTCCTTATTTGTTTACTTTTTTCTGCGAGCCACTTCATCATAAGTAAGCATTAATTTATTTTATTTGCCACTGTATGTGCAAAAGAAGCAAAGATACTTTTAGCTTATTTATTTTATAACAGAAAATGCAAAATTAATGAAATAAAAAAGCTTTAAAATAGATTAAAAATCTGAATTATTATTAAATATAGGTATAGCACTAATAATGTATTGCGTTCCAAAAGTGGAATGATTTCTCCATGTGTGAGGGCCCTCCCAATATTATTAAACGCACTATATCATATATTGGACTTCTATAATAAACTAATTTCCAAGCTGTTTAAGAATAATTTGTTCTTTTAGATTCAAAATAAATAAAATTAGAAAATGAATATCATAGTGTTCATTTCTCCACTCCTCATCATAACTCTATCACAAAATATAATCACATTCGACAACTCAGTACTCTCTTTTTCCCGCGAACTTATAGGAATAGGCTTCACCAAACAGCTTTACACAAAAATTAGCTTAAAAAATCCTTCAGAAAAAGCCTTTATTACCTTGATTGAGCCAGTCCCTTATACATGATTTGTTGACCAAGAAGAGGTCCCTGATTATTTAAATCCCAAATTTAGTTCTCTAATAGACATTGAGCTGCCTTCATCCCATTCCACAAATCACACATTTACGATTAATTTAGAAATCACTGGGGATTATGAATTTACGTATCCTATTCATATGAGATATAATGACCCTACTTATGATGTTCCTTATAAAATGATTAAACTTCCTGGACCTCAAATAAAATATAAAGAAAATCAGATTTTTACAGTCAATGATGAATTTATGGCTGAAATCCCAGTTGGCTTGACGAAACATATTCCTATTGTAGTTATGGGTACTATTTTATTAGAGATTATTGCGGTATTCTCTATAATTTTAGCAGCTAACAAATTTACTCATCATATTATCCCTAAGTAATTAAAACCCTAAATGCAGTTTAAATTAAAATCATAAATGCTATGCAATTTTTTATCATTTCTTTACATAAAGCTATCCCAAAATAAAGATTGAAAATTCTAAATGTTAAACTTATCCGCTTCAAGGTTTTCACTTTACTAGGAAGCTTACTAACTGTTTGAGTTTCATTTCTTTAGTATAAAAGAATAAATTTTTATCTATTTCACAGTTTCCTGTTGTTTTAGCTTTAAAAATTTTTTGTTTTGAAGCTTAAAATAATTATTTCATGTATAAAATTGCATGCTTACTTGGACTCATTCTTAATATACTAGTCATGGGTATGATTTAAACTTTTTAAAATAATTTATGATATAAAATAAATGGCTTTCTACAGTTATATTTCCATAATAGAAAATTCGAAATTATAGAACCATAAATGGCAAAATAAAATTGTGGCTTATAATAATAAATGAAATCTTCTTGCAAGAGAAGCCACCTTCTCATAGATGCTGGTTGATAATTCATTAATCTGCATTTATGAATCCCAGTTCATGTTATGAATAAAGGATCTCATAGCCTTACTGAAATAGAACTCTGTACTTTGTGTCTAAAAAGCCCTCAAGAGCTTAAATGCATGGAATGCAATACTTGCATACGCCATAGTTGTCTTAAAGACCATTTTATGAGTGGACGAATGCAACAGAAAATTGTAGAATTGCAAGAAAATCAGCAATCAGAGCCCTAAGAATCAAGAGAAGAGGCAAAAGTTCTAGAGAGAAAAGAAGAAAGCAACACTGACGAAAAAAAAGAGCCTGAAATTATTGGTTCCATGCCATTTGATTAAGCAGATTTCCTAGTGATTCATTTCCTTGGTAAATTTGGTTAGAATTTTTTCTTAATGAGCATTTTCTCAGAAAAATCATCGGTCAAAATGTCTCACGAGGAAATAAACTTCAGCCAAGCATCCTAGAGAAAATGTCTCACAATCAAAAATACAGAAGAAAAATCATACACCCAAATTATTAAATCTCCAGCTCCTTCAGCAAATGGAAATTTTACGTATATCTTGTTCCAATTAGAAAAATTAACAAAAATATTAATTTATCAAGGTTAATCAATTAATAAAAGTATCTTCATGATCTTCATAGCCTATTTAATTCTCATAATTTTGATAGTCTTCATAGCTTTCGAGGAGCTTGTTTTTCATTTCTATGGTCTTATTGTCTTTCTCCAAGTCTTCCAGCATCTGTCTCAGCTGCTCATCAGCGAAATTACTAAAATCCATAATAATAAAATATTTATATATAAATTTTTTTAAAAAAAATAATACCCCTCCGTGAGCAAACAAAATTTTTTTGTTCGCTCACGGAGGGAAGGAATTTAGGAAGTTTACTAATTGTTTATCAGACCAATTCTCTATATAGCATTAGTTTAAAGTCTTCGAGTTTTCATTAAAGTTCTCTTTTTATCAAGAGTATTTTAGGCTTTCCAATTTAGGCAGACGAAATTTCATCTATATTATAAATCATTTTTAGAAGTATTTTGGATTCTAATGCATTTTAATACCGGTCATAAATAACTCATTTAGTCCAAATTATTTTATTAAAACAATTAAGAACTAAGACATGCAGTAAACCTCCTTCGCCAATCTTGTATATTTAATAAAAAAATCTGTAGAAAGCTTCAGCTTTTCTAATAAATATGCTATGAAGCTAATATTTTAGATCTTTCATTCTTGATGCATAAATTTAACAGCTGTTTTTAAATAATTTCATCAGTTCAATTTTAAATTGCATTTGCGTTACAATTTAAATCTAACAAAAGCTTCAGATCTTTATAAAACCAATTATTTTCTAGAGTTTATAATCAAAATATTAAAAAAATAACTTTTTCGGCCAAAATTAAGCTATATCTGTATCTAACCCATCATATTTATAAATAATGTCCTTCTCCAAAAGAACCCGAATTTCTCGCCATATAACGCAAATTGAGCTGTTTATCAGCTGCCAAAATCTAAAAGATCTTCATACCTTTGGGCATTCTAACCCTCTCGTTGAAGTCTACATAAAGCACAACCACCAAGAAGAATGAGTAAAACTGGGTCAAACTGAAATGATAGAGGCTACCCAAAATCCAGATTTTTTAACAAGCTTTAAAATGAGTTTTACCTTTGAAGAACAAGTGTTTTTTTATGCTTTTTTTCCTTATATAGCCCATGCAGAATACATATAATTTTCTTATAAATAAGCATTGATTTAATTAAAGTAATTCCTAATACGATTTAAAGCTTATGACATCCATCATTCTCGTCATGGACAAGCAGAAATTCATTATAATGATTATATAGGAGAAATTGAATGCAATTTAGGCCAAATAGTAGGAAATGTCAACAAAGAAATAAAAAGAAACATAAAAAATCATCAACATGATGAGTATAGAGGAAGTATTATGATAAGAGTAGAAGAAGTTAAAGAAAATAATGACAGGGTTTTTATTCAGTTTGAGTCAGAAAATTTGGAAAATGTTTCAAGCTTTTTTGGGCATTTGACACCTTTTTTCTATCTTGGGCAATATATGGATAACGGGGAAATCCAAAGATTTTATATGTCTGAGGTCAGAACTGGAAATGGGACATGGAAAATTGTCAATAAAACTATCCATGAATACTGTAACGGCGATTTAAACAGAAATATTTTACTAGAAGTCTATGATCACCACCGAGGAGGTGACCATAAATTAATAGGAGTCGCCCATTTTACATTACAAGGCATTTTATCAGGCCTTACCAGCGATTTAAACTTACTAAATCCGCATGACAAAAGTAAGCATTCTCAAGGAAAATTTCTAATAGGCAACGTCAGAAGGGCCAAAATTCCAAGTTTTCTTGACTATTTATCAGGAGGGCTCGAAATTACTGTAAATTTTGCTATTGATTTTACAAGCTCAAATGGAGACCCTTCAAGCCCTGAATCTTTGCATTATCTCGACCCCCGCGGGCACAATCACTATGAGTCCGCCATTTTTGCTATCTCAGAATTCCTATTAAATTACAATAACAGTAAATCAATCCCTGTATATGGCTTTGGTGCCGAAATAGAAGGGTCACTAAATCAATGTTTTCCCTTAACTTTTGACGCTGGAAATCCTACAGCAAATGGTGTAGAAGAACTTTTAAATTCTTATAGAAACGCTCTATACCAAGTATCACTCAGTGGGCCGACATATTTTAGCCCTATTATAAGAGAAGTTGTAATAGAGGCTGAGAGGATCCATGAGTCCCAGCTGTGCCAAAGGTATGATTTATTGGTCATTTTGACTGATGGGGATCCTAATGATATGCAAGATACAATTGATTGGATTGTAAGAGGATCGTATGCCCCTTTATCAATTGTTATTGTAGGGATTGGGAGTGATTATTTTGAAAATGTAGAGGTTCTAGGAGCAGATGATAAGCAGCCGCTAATAGATAGTGATGGGAGACAGGAGGAAAGAGATATAGTGGAGTTTATTCATTATAGAGAAGTTGACCATTCTCCTACAGCACTTTGTCAGGCAATTCTTACTCCTCCCTCAGCACGAGAATAAAACTATTGAAAAAATCCTTTGGTAAAAATCAATCCGTGAGCGAAAAAAAATTTATGAAAAAATATTTTTTGTATAAGTGATAATTATTGAAATCTCAAGCAAATTCTGTTTAGTTTTTAAACAATTTGCATTTTAAAACATAAAATTTTACAAATTAAATTAATATTTGCTTTAAAATTATTTCAAATAGGGAATTTTTTAAATTTTGAAAAAATATTTACTATAAAATTTAAATATAATTTTTGTTAAAAACAATTAATGAGCGGACAAAATTTTTTGGTTCTGCCACTGAAGGGGGAGTTAGTAAATTGCCTAATGAAATTGTAGCTTTCTTTCATAAGAGAGGAATATTTCCTAATGTCGAGAATAATAGTGCGAGAAATAAAGAGAAAAGCGAATCTCCTCAAGAAGCCCATCACCACCATCATAGAAATCATCAATATAAAGTTGATAAATAAAGTGAGATTTATCATTTGCATTTTCCATTTTTAATATAGTTGTTTTGGTCTGAATACTCTAAAATATTTAACATTTTAAGACTATCTTTATTTTATTTTTTCGTAGAGGTATACGAAACTCAAAAGATATGCAAATCTCAGTAATTTTTCAAAAAAAAGAGATTAATCGACAATTTAAACCCATTATCTTTTTTAATCATTAAATGCCGCCCATTATTATATTTATTTTACTATGCTTTAAAGAAAGAATCTATTATTTTTTGCTTCTATTAGCTTTTCGCAAATTCCAAATTATGCTCAATGATGCGCACAATAGAAGGTATAACAGCTTCTGCCAAATCAGTCATTTTATCTAAAGATATCATTTCCATATTTTCTCCATACTCTTCTTTAAAAAGAGCTCCTGTTTTGTTTAAAATCTCGCTGAGTTTCACTAGTTTTACTATTGCTCCTTGAGATTTAATGCCTTTCAATAAAGACCTTCAATTATGTCCACAAGGACAGCCTTCAGGATATTTTGTATTTATATGAAAGTCTCTGCCTTGGGGACAATCATCTCCTATTATAAAGTAAATTTTAGATGCTTCAGGTCTTCACTGGAGACGGTACGCATTATAAATCCCATCAATCATTGCTTCCCCTAATTCTGGGCCTCCTCCACTAGCTATAAGTCTATTTAAAAACTGAACTGAATCTTCTTGATCGAAATTATTCAGTTTTCCGGAAGGTGGATATATAGTTACTGGATTCATAGGATCAAGCCCACCACTTTCTCCATGATCAGTATACCCAACAATTGCAAATTTTGTTGAAACGCTTCTTGACATGCGTTGGCTTATCACAGATTTAATAATTCTTTTGACTTCTGGAAATATATCGCTCATTGATCCAGTACGATCCAGCACAAAGCATATATCATAATCAAACGGCACATAATGGCGGCAGGGAAAATTATGATCTGCATACTTATCTGAAAAAGAATGGTATATTTTGTTTTCACAATAAACTATGTCTTTATGCTCAGCGTTACCGCAAATTGCATTGCATTTACTGAATGATTGCTGAGCTTTAGGATTTTTAGCTTCTATTGGAGGCTGCCAATTATGGTGTTGCCAGTATGTACTGCATTCAAGAAGATCATATTCGACGTGCGTGTCTGGGTAGTATATGTCCTTTGAATGGACTGCTAAGCCATTCTTAGTTTTTTCATAGCATCTTTTACCTCCTGGACACTTTAAAGGATGTGAATGGCCTCTGCCTTTTCTTTGGCAGCTTATATCGCAGAATTCAGGATAAGCAATTTCTCCTGCTTTGAATTTTCTTGTGGCTTTTTGCGATGGTCCTTCGGTCAAATCTTCGTACTCAAAAGTCTCAGCTTTGGAGAGATAAATGCATTTTTCCTTATTTCTGTGAGTTGGAGTTGAATGCAAGCCTTCATGTCCAACCTCCTTATTGCAATAAGCATCACAGTCTGGGCATTTTTCTTGACATTTGTGTTTTTTGCAATCATGAGCTCCTGTATGAGAAGTTTTAAATTTAGGAATCGGAATTGCACAAGCACAAGTTTTGAAGCATTGAGAAGTATAAAGATAAGTGAATCTATTATACTCATTATCAAAAAATCTAGTGCTTTTTTTAATTTCAACTTCACAATTATTTCTTTCGCATTTTTTACCACATACATGCTCATTATTGCAGATGTGAACTTGCTTGCGGGATTGGCCTTCTTGAGGGAATTCAATCTCTTTACCAACTTGATTTACAAATTTAATAAAAAATAAAATATATTTTATTAAGTTTGCTAAGATTAATTTTTACCACAAAAGATATTCTTTGATGGTATTTTTCTAGAATTTTCGGTAAGTGAATGAAAATGGTTTTTACTTGCACAAGTCATTCCACACTCTGGAAATTCACACCGAATTGGGCAGTTTTCCTGTCCACAATTGTGAGCTTATGAGGTTTTAAGCAATCTATCTCACATTTTCTCCCACAATAAGCATACATCTCGCAATTTTTCCCGCATGGGTGCTTTAATTTCCCGCATTTGTGCTCTCCAAGATGATTACGGCTTTCTATACATTTTTCTTTACAAATCTCAAACAATCTGCATTTATGCATGCATGGATTTTTTTTCTCTTTGCATTTATGATCTCCGTTATGGCCAGCATCGTATGCACAAAGTTTTGAAATTTCCCATACTTTACAATCAAATGGGCATTTATGGTCAGTTGAGCAGTCACATTGACTTTTATGATTTAAATTCTTTATACAGAATCTTTCACATTGACTGCATTTTCTCCTGCATTTATAATGCTGACTTACTATTTTGTCGATATCTCTTTTTATTGCAACAATTTCGCTATTAGTGGATTGCATTAATTCTGTTGACTGAGGCAGACTTTCATAAATATAATTTAACATTTCTTTTCTTCAGACATCGAAATAGCTTTTAATAAGTACGTCAATGCACGAATACCAGTCATTATGGTAAAACTTTCTCTCTTCCTTGGAAGTTATCTTCTTAAGAATTTTTATGAATGGTTTTAAAGGCTCTTTAGTATTAAGGGTAATTGAGTTTATTCGGATGCAAATTTCTATCTCCCTGCCTAAAAATACTAATCTACAATCTAGCAGAACTTCTGATTTTAAGACGTGGTTTGAATTAGCTGGATCATTGATTATTTCTTTAAAATGGTTTTTCAAAGCTTCAATTGAGATCTGAGATGCTCTTTCATCAACACTGGCACAGTCATCTGCATAAATTTGTGCAAGAACTATCTTCATAGTCATTAGCAAATCTTTTCCAGACTTTCAGAGAATAGGTACATTTTGTATGTATTCTAGTTTACTATCCTCAACTACAGAATCAAATTTTTTGTTTTCATAATTATGGTAGCAAGAGAAGGTAAACCCTCAGCTGAATAATTTAAATAAAATATCAGCTTCACCTAAGCTTATCAAGTGACCTATATAACTTTGAAGCCCCTCTATTAGGATTTCTTTATCCTGATTTTCTCCTGCATCTCTAAGAGCTACTTCGAGTCTGCCTTTAAAGAGACTAGACCCTCTGAGCCTATCTATCCCAAGGGACAATTTATCAAAAAGGCATTCGAGATTTTTATCAAATTCCAAATCTTGATTCAAAATAGTAACATCAGCAATGGCTGATAAAAATAAGAAAAGCTTAATTTCTTCTTGAACTGTCCTTTCTGCTGAAAAAAAGCCTTCAGAATCAATAATGAGAAATAAGTTCCCACCGAGAGTGGCTAAAGATAGCCATATGCCGTCAGTGCAACGGTGCGCGGCTACATCAAATCTTGTCCCAAAAATTCTATAGGGTTTTCCCCTAGATAGCCCTGTAAGGGCTGTGGATTCTGGGGCGAAATCTTTCAGTTGGTCGAACTAACTCACTTGTTGGCTATTCCGCCCATAATCAAAAGCCCTTGCAGGGCTATCTAAGGGAAACCCCTATATTAATCAGGTAGCTTTTTCCAGAGTTTTGCTTTCCTATAATTGTTATAACTCTCAGATTACTAGCTGAAGAGATCAGATTTTCTAAATGCCCCAATTTTATGTAATTTACGAAAGTCCCAATAAAACTGTTCCCGCTATCCAGCTCTTCAATTAAATTTTCAGTATTATTTAATCCATTTTGTAGAGGCATTAAATTTCCTTCTTGAATAGACGCCAAGTGCAGAGGCTGCCTTGTTAATATAATTCAACTTAAATCCGTTTTTGAGATTTGCAGCCTGTTACTGATGCCTTCAAGTTTTTGATAATTCCCAGGATAAATCACCCCTTGATAACTTAATGACTCTTTTATAGTTGCTATAGATCTTATATATTGGTCTACTTCTAAGTTATTTTGATCATAGTAAATAAAAAAATCCTTTCTGCTATCCTCATTGTTGACTAAATTAACTGTTTTCCCAAACTTCGCTAATGAATAATGGACAACATCAATAATTGGATATTCAGGGATATCTTTGGGCTTTGCAATCGCCTGACCTAACTCAATGGACTTTCTTTCGCCTAAAATTTTATGCGCCTCAAATCTTACCTCTAAATCAAAAGTAATGACAGTATTAAACATTTTATTAGTAAGGCACTTAAAGCCAGCAGATATCGAGTTTATCCGAATTCTTTTCAAAAAATTAAAATTGATATCATAAAGTTCTATATCCATTTTCGTCTTTAATAAATATATAGTTTCGTCATCTGAACATTTTATTTCTAGAAAACGCTCGCCAGATTGAGACTTGATGAAATCAACACTGTGGTTTGCTTGCATGACCTTAACAGGATGAAGCAATTTGTCATAGCTAAGCAGTTCCATGTAAAATAAACGCCCAACTTCGTTAAGTAAAAATACTCTAGGCGTTTTAGGTAAAATGCAAGCTGATACAACTTCTTTCACATGCATATACACTTTTAGTTCAGTTCCTTTAGTTATATATTTCTTCTGCTGAATAGCTCCAAAATATGCTTTTTTAATGCTATTTTGGAAGGCTACAAATATATTTGGGGTAGAACCTGAGGCAATAAGTAAATCGTTTTCCATCACAGATACCATGCTGATCTCGGAAGCATAATTTTGAGTAGGGTTAAATTGAACTATCTGAGTTTGAAAGTTGTTGCTAAGTAAAAGATAAGCCATATCTTCAGAAAACGAAATAATTTCCATATTTATAAAATCTTCCTCAGCCATGTACTTATTTTCAATACCTGTGGACTCTATACATATTTCTGTTTCAGTCTGGATTATTTTTAAAGTTTCAAAACTATAAATATATTTCTTTTTCGAGTCAATTGAATTATGAATAATTATTCTTGATTTAGTAAGTACATCATTTGTTAACCTTGTTGTAAGCTGTAGATATCAGGACTCAAGATCTTTATTTCAGTTGTTTATAAATTGAAGAGATATCTTTGAAGAGTCTTTTTTAGGATCAAAGCATTCTCTGATGCACTTTTTAAGCTCTTTTGATTTAGATTTAAGGCTTTTAAAATCAAATTTCTTTAATGCTTGATTGAGGTTTTTTAACTTCATATTAAACCTTGATAAAGAAGCCCTTTCTATTTTATATTTGCGTTTAAACTTGGAATTTAATTCATCCGCAAGCTGTTTGAATTTATTGTCAGCTATTTCTGTAATCATATCAAGGACTTCTCTATATAAATTTTTTATAGAAGCGCATACACCATCTGCATCATTTAAAGACCTCTCGCATGTATTTTTAAATGTCAAAAAGCAGCTTGCATCATCTATCGATTCTATAAAGGAATAGAGCCCATTGGATTCTATTGTATTACTTATTATTTTGAACAATTTTTGAATTGCCTCACTCCTCCATCGTGAGCGAAAAAATTTCTTTTAACTGACAGAAAACGGAGGCTGGGTTTTTTACCCAAAAACTTGGGACTTTTCCAATTATTTTGTTCACTCACAATGGGGGAGTCATCAATTTTTTTCGTTTCAGTGTTTTTGTCTTGAAAAACTTTTTTTATTCTAAAAATGTGAAAATTTGTTAGGAAAATAGATGATTCGTCTCTATTATTTATTTTCTCAATAACTCTAACAACAGCGTCTTCTGTATCGGAAACCTCGACATTTTCTCCTTCAGGCTTGATATTCACTCCTTCGCAAAGCTCTAAACTATGATTCTGCTCTCCTTCTATTTTTGGAGGATATCGGCTTCTCAATGCTTCCTGAGACGGGCAGCATATGACAGCCCCGCAAATATCAAAAAGTAGCCTTACAAAAATTAATTCTTTTGATTCTTGTGGATATGGCTTATTTATATAGATATTTGGATCTCTGCATTTAAAGTATAAGCCCAACCTTCCCGAATCTTTATTGTAAAAGAAAACAATCCCCTCTTTAAGCGTTGAAATATCTTTATTGAGCCTACTTGCACTCAAATAGCTGCTGAGAAGCTCTAAACACTTATCCTCGCAGCCATAAACTCCAATAACTTCATTTTGCAAACTTAAGACATTTGCCAATTTTTCATAGCAACTGATATTTATTTGCCATTTATTAATAGTAAAATTTTGGATGTTATCAGCAATACTTTCAAATAATACTCCTTGTATAATATTTCGGTCATTACTGACATAGCATTCGAGGTTATGTTCTTCGTAACTCTCGCTCACCTTGAGCAAGTCAAAATATTTGTTATCATCAATGCTTTCAGATGATACTTGGATAATATTTCGGTCATTACTGACACAATGATTTCCTGGAATCCAGGGTTTGGGTTTATATAAAGAACCAATGATTTCATTGCTTAATGTTCCCCTGCCTGTATCACACTCAATTTTTTTTTCTTCGTAAGAATTTTCTTTCAGGCAACTGAGACATAGAATTGTTCTATTTTCTGAGACTCTGAACTTTTTCAAAGGACTCTTGCACCTGTCGCATAATATATAAGTCACATCATGATATGAATCGATGCTAACATGAATATCAGTGCATTTTAAACAAAGCCTTGTTTTATCGGCTTTGCACCAATAAATGCATGGATTCTCACGGCACAGTGCACAAAAAAGTTCCATATAATTATTATTAACTCAAATAAAAATTTAGATATGCACTATTTTTAATTCTTTCTACAATTTTTCTTATTAAATTACTATTAAAATTTGAACAAAAAAGAAGATTGGATAATATCAACTATTTTTAATTCTTCTATAATTTTTACTATTAAATTGCCTGTAAAATTTGAACAAAGAGATTGGATAAATCCACTATTTTTAATTCTTTCTATAATTTTTATTATTTAATTGCTATTAAAATTTGAACAAAAAAGAAGATAGGATAATTATTTGGAACTTTTATATAAAAATAAATATATTTAGCAATTATACAGGCATTAATTCATTGTAAAATTGATTTCATTCAAATAATTGTATAGCATATATAATAAGCTAATTAATAAAATATCTAACTCCCCTCCGTGAGCAAACAAAAATATTTAATTTTTTTGTTTAAAAAAATTATATATAAATTTTATCGTAAAATTTTTTAAATTTTAAAAAAATTTCAATTTGTAAAAATTGAGAACTAAAAAATTAATTTAATTTGTAAAAGTTTATGCTTTAAAAAGCAATTTGTTTAAAATTAAATAGAATTAGCTAGAGATTTCATTATAGCAATAATTACTTATACATTAAAATTCTTTCAATTAAAAAAATTTTTGTTTGTTCACGGAGGGTGGGTTTTTGGTCAAAAAATAGGGATTTTCCAATCGTTTTTTTCGTTCACAGAGGGGAGTAAGTATATTTTTCGTGGTTCATTCATTAAATAATTAAGCCCTAGCCGCTCTAATTTCTTTACTCCCCCCCCCCCTCCGTGAGCGAACAAAAAAATTTTGTTCGCTCACGGAGGGGGGTTAATTTTTTTTTTTAAAAAAAAATTTATATATAAATTTTATAAAAAATATTTTTTTCGAAATTTAAAAAAATCCTAATTTGCAAAAATTGGGAAGCAAATATTAATTTAATTTGCAAAATTTATGTTTTAAAACGCAATTTGTTTAAAATTAAACAGAATTAGCTCTAGATTTCATTATACTAATTATCACTTATATATCAAAATTTTTTTCCATTAAAATTTTTTCTATTAAAAAAATTTTTGTTCACTCACGGAGGGTGGGTTTTTGGTCAAAAAATGGCGATTTTTCTAATGGTTTTGTTCGCTCACGGAGGGGGGGGGGGGGGGGAGTTAGGAATTTTGTTGGAAAATTTATAATAACTTATTATGTCTTTTTTGTAATAGACTCGCGAGCCATCCAAAATTTATTGATATGATAGATGATAAAGCCTAAATAGTGGTTGATGCAGATTTTTAACTTTAAAAATAGATTAAGATAAATAAATCAAGCTATTCCTATATAAAGCGCTTCTATATAAATCTAAAAGCATAAATATCGTATAGCAAATATTTACTTTTAATTATATATCAGCTTTTTATTAAAAAATTAAAATTTAAATTTACATTATTTATGGTCTTCCACTTAATAACTTTAGTAGGCCTTTCATAAACAAATAGTGAGACTGACAGGATACAAATTATAGCCTTATCAAGATACCAAAGGCTTTGGATAGCAAACCCAAATATAGAATATTGCATCCCATACAAAAAATAAATTTCTCCGACCACAAATCTTATATGCATAAAATATTCCAATCCTCAGTATAGATTCTGGATTTTAATTGCAAGATAGTTCTTTATCAGTTAGAGCCTTTCCTAAACCAAAGAAAACTCATTTATTAGGTTTTCTAATATTTAAGTGCAAGTGTATAAACATTTCCCGCACATAATGGTGCTTTTGCGCCAAAAGTTTGGAAGTGCTTATCCTGTCAATTCTGAAAGGAGTTGCAGTATGAGAGGAGATTTTGCGTCAGCGGTAGTCTCTTCGGTGCTGAATCCATGGAGTGCAGGAGTTGAAGCGAAGATGGAAGCATGGTGCAATGGACGATGGCATGGAGACAGCACATGATGATCCAAAATGTTAAAAAATGTTAAAAATTGAAGACACTGAAGAAAATGAAGTTTTAGTGAACCTTGAAGATACCTAAATTGTCAATTGAGTTGATGCTAGAGTTGTAGCTGGATCTAATGCTGCAGTAATGCTGGTGTTTTTTCCTGGAATCGTTGATATTGTTGTCACTACATTGATGATGCTGCAAAAGACTTATTGATTTTAATTATGAGAAATAAAAACTAAAGGCACCTCGGGTGCGATAGAGCATAATTTATTATTATTATTAATATTTAAGCGCAAGTGTATTTCGGTTCAGCCAATGATCTCAAGAGTGGTTAGATCTTTAAATTCGTATTTATATTTTAAAACCCTATGCATTTACTTTGCGAATAAAGATGATTTGGCTAGCAAATGCTATTCTACATTCCTTCATGCAGCATGTTGAAGGGCAATTTGACCGTCAGCAGTCATGAAGCTGATGATCCTCTAATTTTGATAGAACAAGGGTTAATATTTTTAAAATTTATAGATAGACACTATCAAAGAAAAGTTGATGATATTGAAAACAATCACAGAAAACTGATGTCACTTGTAAATACATTGTATATTTTTGGATTTACCAGGAGGTAGATGAAGTTTTTAAAGAAAAGCATATTGAACTAGCTTCGCTTTTTATTTTTCTTAAGATCTTACTCTCGGATAAGGGAATGTGATGAAATGGCTCTTCTTCAAATTTAGCCTTCCTAAACTTGAAAATAAAATGCTTTTTGATTCTGAGTTCACGAAAAGAGAATCTAATAATAGTTGGAGATTTTGAACTAATATTTTATAGAGAATCAGCTGTATGAACAGTCAGTAAACCTTCTATGGAAGTTGACCTAGAAGAAAGAAATTCTATAGATATAAAGACTTGTGTATATTCTTATGACTATTAGCTTTTCGTTTGATGATATTTTGCTTATAGTGAACCCATTAAAGTATATATATTAATAAAAATGTTAAATATAATTATAATATAGAATTTTCCCATAGATGGCGCTGTTTGCCCTTGATTTGCCCACTGAGAAAATTTTTTGGTTTGACCAAACCATATGGTACTGGTCGAACCAAAAAATATTTTCAGTGGCCAAATCAAGGGCAAACAGCGCCAAATTTGGGAAAATTCTATAGCAACCGAGTATAAAGATAAACAATAAGGCAGAGAATAATAAGAAGTTTTTATTGTATCTGACATATAAATTGCTGTAAAAATTGTCCCTCCAGAAGAGAAGGCAGTATCCTTAAAAATTTCGCACAAGGCAAGCACAATCCTCCCGCAGTTAAAACTTGCTTATCAATATATGCTACAATATTTAGTTTACTCTTAACGTCCAAATCAGAACTGCTTAAAACAACCCACCTCCACTTTTTGTGAGCAAAAGGTTTTTAAGCATTTTTTGGCTATGTTCTTCGAAATTAATAAAATACAGTTTCCTTGCTAATTTCATTACTTTTTGATAATTCTTATAAACAATTTTATCATATTCTCTGATAAATCCTTATCTAAATCAATTTTACCAGCTTTGATTGTAAAAATCAATATATTTGCACTATGGATCTTAAATAATTCATTTATTATATCAATTTAACAATATGTCACTATTTTATTTGTGGAAAAATTAATTATAGCAATTCCTATTTTTACAAAAAATTAATTTATAGCCCTAAACACTTATTAATATTTTAAATATTTTCTCTACCCTTTAAGCTTTAAGAGACAATTAAAAAACTAACTTTACGTTAGAAATTTAAGATCCAAACCCAAACGCATAAAAGCGCCCAGTTTAATTGAACTCCCCAGCCACTATCAAAGCAGACCTTTTCCGAAATGAGGATTGTATAATTTTCGAAATACGGGGGTTTTACTTCATCGAAGAACTCATAAGCGTTATCCCACTCCAAGCTTGGGATAACAGTTTGAGGATTTGCTCTCCAATAAGTATACATCCCACAGTTATCGTATTTTTTAGTTCGCTTACTTAAATCTCCTCCTCATATATCTTCGGCGTAGCCCTTACATAGTGTTACTGTCATGTTTGCCTCGTCGGTATGTTTGCCTTGGGATGGATGACACCCAAAGCAAAAATAATCCTCCATTCAACCGTATTCTCGTTGACACTGATCAGGGAAAATTTGTCCATATACAGACTGAATATGTTGGTCATGAGCTGAAACACAGCAGGATGACCCATTCTGTCTGTAACATTTAACTAGAGATGGGTTTGGATCTCTGGAATCTGATCCAGGGAGAAGTGTGCAATTATAGGCGAAAACAGCGCCTATAAGTAAAATCAGAAACATATTTTTTATACACTCCATTGTTCATAAGGGGAAAATTTTTTTTAAAAAAATAATAAAATATACAATAATAATAAAAAAATAATAAAAAAATAATAAAATTATTTTATAGGAGCATATAAGTTTAAATTGATTTCCTTGCTGTTACATTTGAGAAAAGCCTAAAAATTCAGCATTCAATATCGATAAAAATCAACTGAAATTGACACGTATTTTTTTAAAACAAATAGTAAAATAATGATCATAATAAAGTATGAAGAAACTTGACCTATTCACAAAAACTAATCCAGACATTGCCAGGCAAACAGTGCTAGGAGGTATTTTTACAATCTTTGCATTTTCTTCCATGCTTTTACTTTTTCTATTTGAGCTGGATTCTTTCAAATATCCATCCATTTCTAAACAAATTACAATTGTCCCTACAGAACTAGCCAAGGTTGTTAACATTTCTATTGATATAACGATACCCAAATCTCCCTGCCTATTACTCACAGTAGATTGACAAGATATAATTGGATCTTATGAAGAAGATTGCAAATCTATATAGTTCATGCACCGATATATATTCCCATCATTGAAAATGTAACTGTTCTATTGGACTTCAAATCTGTACTTCTTATACAAGAATCCTAATACTTACTCCCCCCCCTCCGTGAGTGAACAAAAAAATTTTGTTCACTCACGGAGGGGGGTTAATTTTTTTTTTTTTTAAAAAAATTTATATATAAATTTTATAAAAAAATATTTTTTTCGAAATTTAAAAAAAATCCTAATTCGCAAAAATTGGAAAGCAAATATTAAATTCAATTTGCAAAATTTATGTTTTAAAAAGCAATTTGTTTAAAAATAAACAGAATTAGCTCTATATTTCATTATAATAATTATCATTTATATATCAATTTTTTTCCATAAAAAGTTTTGTATTAAAAAAATTTTTGTTCACTCACGGAGGGTGGGTTTTTGGGCAAAAAATAGGGATTTTTCTAATGGTTTTGTTCACTCACGGAGGGGGGGGAGTTAGAAAATATTAAGAGATATAATAAAATATTATAGTTTTAAGCTAGTTTAATATAGTTTTATATGAGTTTTTTTAAATGATTAAAACAATAATTTTAAAATTTCAACCAAAAAAAATACTATAAAACTTACAATAAAGCTTAAAATCAAAAAATTAATCCTTCCTTTGTTTGCAAACAAATTTTTGTTCGCTCACGAGGAAATATCTTGCACATCTTATATCAGACCCCTTATTTTAGAAATATTCAGGCTTTAATTAAATTATCATTAATTTCAAACTGGCTTAATCAGTTTTTGAATATTTTTTTTAAATAAGTATGAAAATTTATTTTAATGATTCCCATGAAGTTGGTAAAACGAGCTAAATCCCCTAAGTCCATTAGAACGGTTATATTTTCAATGATGACAATTTATATCGGTGTATGAGCTATACACAAGGATAGGATAGACGAAGAAGGCAAAAATATTCCTGGCATCTTAAATCTAACATATAACATTATTTTTAATTAATTATAATATTCTTAATGTACAACCAAATTGCCTATTCATTATAAAAATAATATGAAAATATAGAAAATGCTGTAGAGGACTTAGAAGGATGCCACATATGAGGCACAATCCCAGTACTGACTGTCCCAGGGAATTTTCATATAGGTTTTCATGCGCATGAAAACCTATTACATAGCCTGCCTAGTGATATTTTATCTGAGCTTTCCCTAGAACACACAATAAATTCCATTCAAATAGGTGACGAAAAGTGGAACGAAAAAATTGGAAAATATTTCAATAACAGTGAGATAAAAATGAAAAAATATTTTAAAGAAACCTTTGAGGAAGAGGAGCTTGGATTTAGGCATGAGCATGTGATGAAAATAACACCTGTGCAATATGAAGCTGAAAATGAAATATAAAATCTATTAGAATAAATAAAATATTTCTATTTTTGCCGTTTTTATATTTTCTATATAAATACAATCTCTATTAATGTTTTATATTTACTGCAAATGGCATATAATTTTTATGAGTTTTCAATGAATTCTTTGTCAAGTAGGTCGAGCTCAGAAGTTAGCACGATTTATTATAGATATGATTTTGATTGTATTTCAATGAAATACTCAATAGAAGAGAAATTTACTTCGCAGTTTATTATCACACTTTGCTCGATTTTGGGTGGTATTTTTTCATTAATCAGCTTTATAGATATACTAATAGATAAAAATTAAAAAATTATCATCCATAACTAAGAGGAAATTCTGTGGAAATGATTAATTTTTTTTTTAAAAATCGCTTAATTTTCATTTCTTTTTGATTTAGGCATCATCTAGCATTTTTATATAAATTATTATAGCTTAAAATGAACTGGTGGCTGAATTTTACCTTGCTAATAAAACGTTTAAAACGGATAATTTACCAAAATTGACTAATAAAAAATTTCATCCCATAATTATTTTAAATTATGGACACAACAACTCTCGTAAATGAATTTGTCAAAGCTTTTTACGAAGAAGATTTCGAAAAAGAACTTGATCTTTACTATCAAATCGGTAACATCTATTTAGACTCTCAACTTAGAACCAATCTAGATCTTAAACTCCTCTTGCGTAATAATAATGAATATCAGCATTTTTCTCAAGAAATGGATGATGTAAGCTTATACCATTTTTTACAGAATTTTCCATTTTTTTATAAAAATATTCAACATCCATCAATTAAATAAAAAAAGAATATTACTGGGCTACCTCATCGATGAAGAGGATTGAGAGACAATTGCGGAGAAAAATGAGATATCAGTATCAACAAAAAGAAAAGGAGAAGATTTTTTTATTAAATGTCAAGCAACAATTCATTGTCCTGCAATTAATTTATTTGCAATTTTACGAGAGGTTGACTTGCTTCCTTCATGAATCCACACTGTAAAAAACAGTGAAGTTTTATTTGATCCTAGGGAAAACAGAAGATTGCTGAGATATCAATATGACCTGCCATGGCCACTGGTGAATAGAGAAAGTATTTTAGCTGCAAAATATATCCCTATGGAAGAGCTGAGGTCTATTTTAATTGTAATGGGAAGCCCTAGACATTCAGATTATCTTGGATTTACGTTGCCAAGTCCAGAGAAAAAAACAAGAATGACGATACCACTGGGAGGAACACTTTTAAAAGCGACAGAAAATAATGAATGTGAAATTATGCTTATTTAAAACGATTTATTGCTGAAAATAAGCATAAAATGTCTTAATTTCTGAAAAATTGGTGGTAGCTATTGGTTTCTTAATATAAGTATATGTTTTTTAGCAAAACTAACACAGCAGTGGTATTTTTTATATAGAAATTTATACCAAAAGCGATTTTAAATTACATTACAAAAAGCATGTTTTTTAATATGATGTCAGAATTAAAAAATCAAGCTGAAAAGTTTGATAGCGGGATTTATTTTGACAGGGTAAAAGAGAAACAAGAGTTTTATGAGAGAATGAAAGCTATTTTCCATGAGGATTAATTTTTTGTTTCATAATTAAGATATAGAAAACTGGTAAATATACTTAAATTTATATTACGATTGTTTGTATAAGCACTTATAAAAATATTTTCGAGTAAATTTGCTCTAAAGAGAGGGATTTTTACTAATTAATAAATAATTTTGCTGTGTTGATCTTAAGGAAGACAAGTATTTTTGCATTGGTTGCAAACATAATCTTTTGCATAACATATGTTTATGAGGCAAAAATTGTGAGTTCGAACCTCACTGAAGCACTTTTTATAACAAGTTTTAAATTTCAAAATTTTAATCAATATTTCTAACTAATTGAAAACTTATTGAACATTTTTACTAATTTTACTTATATTACTATTATTTCCCAATAAACTCACAAAAATTCTAGCCATTTACAATCTAAATTACTAATGAATTATCTGCGCACAATAGTCTCAGGGAAGAAGAAACGGCTTAAAGAAGACGGTTATGACCTTGACTTATCCTACGTAACCCAAAGGATAATCGCAATGTCAATACCTGCTGAAGGAATTCACAAAATATATCGAAACCCACTAGAATCTGTATCAAAATTCCTAAATGACAGACATCATCAAAAGTACAGGATTCTAAACTTATCAGGAATTCCTTATGATTATACAAAATTTGAAGGCACTGTCAGAGAATTCCCATGGGAAGATCATTATCCTCCTCCTATTGATCTCTTATTTAGTGCATGTGAAGACATGCACAGATGGCTTTCACATGATGTAGAAAACGTGGTATCAGTTAATTGTAGGGCTGGGAAAGGAAGGACTGGGACTTTGATTTGTTGTTATCTATACATATAAAAATTCAATATGAAAAATTATTTTTATTTTTATTATACCAAATTATTCATATCCCTACAGTTTAATATACTCAGGAAGGTTTATAGACCCTGACGAAGCATTAAATTACTACAAACAAAAGCGATTTACCAAAGGAGGAGGCGTAACCCAGCCATCCCAAATTCGCTATGTAAAATATTTTGCTGAGATTTTCCATGGAAAAGTAAAAAGTCCGCTAATTACTCTATTGACAAGGGTGCAATTAAAAACTTCTCCACATATAAATGGGAATTCTTGCAAGCCCATTTTCGAAATTTTTAAAGAAGACCAACTAGTTTTCTCAAGCAAAGAAGACCAAAGAGATAGGCAAGTTCATATACAAGATTCATGGGATGATTTAATTACACATGATATTATTGCAATGAAGAGGGATTTAATTTTGCAAGGGGATATTTTGTGTAAACTTTCTAATTGAGGGTCGATTAAAATGAAGAAAATTTGTAGATTTTCGTTTAATACTGGATTTATTCGTTCTGAAAATTTAATTGTCTTGCCTAACTTTTTGATGGAAAATATTTTTTTTTTATTTTTAATAAAATCTATTATAAAATTGTTATGAAAAATTTTCCAAAAGTGTAAGTCCGAACTAGACCCATGTAAATTCAAAAATAGCAAAAAAGTGTCTGAGCATTTTGCTGTAAATTTAATTTTTCAGGAGTTATGCAATTTCTGCACCTCCAGGATGGATTTAAATGAAAGATGTGATTTTTGTAAGAGAACTTTAAACCCTCGAGAAGTTGAAAAATGAAGCAGAATAAAAACAATTATTTTGGAAAGAGAAAACAATGACGGCACCATTTCTCTATTTGGAGATCCTTCATTTGACGATGTGGGGGCAGTGCTAAGTGAGGGATTCCAGCCACCTACAACTGAGTACGGTTTTTTAAATTAGAAGAATATTATTCTATAAAACTAATAATAATACATACCATATCTATCATCTTTCTTTTGAAAAATAAAAAAAAATTATCTGATTAAAGTACTTATTATTTTCAAACGAGTATAGAATAATTAGCTAATTAATTTTGAGGCTTAGCTTGTATTAGTATCTATATCCATATCATCTTCTTTCTTATTTTCTTGTGCATTTTTTTTTTTTACTGTGATTTTTACGCTTTTTTCTTTTTCTGGTTCATATCTACTAGTATAGCTACTTATATAAGAGCTTGTTGATTTTGGCATATATTTTGCTTTTTCTTCTTTTGTCATGTCTCTTAAGATATCTCTGCTGTCTTTGATACTAAATATTTCTTACATGAAAAGTGTATAAAGAAAAAAATTGAATTAGGAGATTTTCCAATTTTTTTATATAAATAAGAAATTTATGGTATTTTTTTAGAATTAAATGAACTCAATATACCATCAGAGCTCAGATGCCATGGCTGTGTTGACATATAATGATAATTATTATATGTGCTAATAAAATCCTCAGTCAGCAATTCTCCTCTAATAAAGCTCCACGAATACGTAATTTTTGCTACCTCAATATTTTCTTGAGGGATATTATAAATTTCACTTAATTTTGTGCCGAAATCTGAAAGTCTCCAATGCTTATTCACCACAACCTCCTTTGGAGTTGACAATTCCCAAGTAGACGGGCACCATCTCCTCACGACCACCAGCAATTCATAATAATCCAAAGCCTTTTCTTCTTCCTCTAAAATCTGAATCCCAATATTTTTCCTATCAAAAGTATGATAAATATTTAAACTGTCATCATTCATATATGGTTTCGCTAATTTTTCATTGACTTTTTCCCTCAATCTAATATTGAGTGGATTTAACTCCCATTCTGGATGGATTTTTTTTAATTTTTCATAGATGATCTTCTTAATATCAATGATTTTTGCTTTTAAATTAACCGAAATTTCAAAGGTATCTTCAAAGCTAAACACAACCCCATCGTTTTCCCCATCTTTAGGTGGTACCGCAACTGAAAAAACGAGCCTAATTTCATTAGGATTTGCAGGTATTCCTTTTTCTATATAAATATAAGAACTATTCATAATATTGGCGATGCTGAGTTTTAAAGTCATGTCTTTTAGCTCGCTGCCATATAAGCTGCCTCTTTTCATAATAAATCCATTTTCAGGGATATTTAAATGTGAAGAAATTGGTTATGGCATTTATCAGAATTTTCCTTTTTAAGGATTTTTAGTCAAATTTTTCTCGTGAGTATTTATCGAATTTTAAGCAGTTTTTATGAGGAAAATTTTGGAAAAAATGTCTAAGGTAATGGTATAATAGTAAAATCTTGACAAATGCCTTGCGCCGCAGAAATTAAAGCTTTAAGGTCAGCCAAAGTTTTCTGTGAATGGATTGTGACAAATTCTTTGAAATCTGGAGAAGAATATTTAGTGACTTGGTCAGGGTTATTGAACTTAATTACAAGCTTATTTGACTCTTTTTCGAACTCAATCTGCCACTTGGACTTTGCTGTAATATCGTCCATTTCTTCAACAAAAAGTGTGGAGCCATCATACACTCTTGAAAATGCTAAAGTTTGGTCTAAATAATGTTTAAGTGACAGCACTTCTGTCTGTGATGTCATGGTGACAAAACTTTTTTTCAGGACTTTTTGCTTATTAAAAGGAATCCCGAATTTTTCTTCAAAAAGTGTCATCATTTGTCGAATCGTGCATCTTTTGTCAATTAAAAATTTTTTTGGGTTCGCGATTTTTTGGTCATATGGGATATCATCATTTGCGTATTTATCATCCCACACATTGACTTTTATTGTATATTTACTCGGGTCATAGTCTTCAAAAACCTCATCACTTTTTTTAGTCTCCAAAGCTAGTATTTTTTGAGAAAAAACATTTTCGCTTTCTATTGAATTTTCTTCATTAACTTCCTTAAGCCAACAAAACCATTGTAAAAATCCTTATTTTTTGAAAAAAAGAACAAAAATTTTATCAAAAATTATTTTGATATATATAAGTGATAATTGCTATAATGAAATCTCTAGTTAATTCTATTGAGCCTATATTGCAAAATATAAATTTTATAAATTAATGGTAATTTTTTCGAATTAGATTATATTAATTTCCAAAAAATTATTTTAAAAATTACAAAATTTTTTGGATGGGAGGTGAGTAAGGACTTCTTGGTATGTATCATAATATTGGCTGTAATTTCTAACCCTCACATTTTGTTCTTCTTCAGCATGGATCTTAAAATCTTCCATTGCTTTAATTTTCAGTTCTCTGATCAGCATTTCTCTATTGATTTCAAGCTCTTTTTCTTTCCCTTGATAAAAAATCCTCAGCTTAATATTTTTTCTTTTTTCTTCTCTTGCATTCATTTCTTCTCTTTCTTTATTTCTCTCAAGCTCAATTTCTTCTAAAATATAAGGCGGGATTTCTGAGTCCTCAACCCTCAAAATATTGCGGCTTTCGTCAACTTTTCGATACATAAGGAGATAGGCATTTGTGGAATAAGAGCTTGACCATCCATAACTTTTGGTTTCCCCGCCAAATACTTTTTCTATGTCTTTTTCGTCAATTTCTTTTACAGAAGAGTCATCAAAATCATACCATCTTTCAGTCTCAAAAGACTTTATATAAGCATAATAATGCCCGCCGTTAGCAGACCCTGAATGAATCATGATGGAATAAAGCTCATAGACATCTTCTCCGTCTTCTCTGTATTTGTGGATCATTTTGGCTCTTTCATGCTTTTTTTCTTCAGCTCTCATGGCTATGTGTTTTTCCTTACTCCCCCCCCCTCCGTGAGTGAACAAAAAAATTTTGTTCACTCACGGAGGGGGGTTTATTTTTGTTTTTTTAAAAAAAAATTATATATAAATTTTATAAAAAATATTTTTTTTCGAAATTTAAAAAAATCTAATTCGCAAAAATTGGAAAGCAAATATTATTTTTATTTTATAAAATTTATGTTTTAAAAAGCAATTCGTTTAAAATTAAACAGAATTAGCTCTGGATTTCATTATACTAATTATCATTTATATATCAAATTTTTTTTCCATAAAAATTTTTCTATTAAAAAATTTTTGTTCACTCATGGAGGGTGGGTTTTGGGCAAAAAATAGCGATTTTTCTAATGGTTTTGTTCACTCACGGAGGGGGGGAGTTAGCCACTTTGTCAAGTTTTAAAGGTTTTTTGTCAAAATCCCCTATAATGGCGTCATAAGCATTAATTTTGCTATGGACTAATTGCAGATTGTCAAGGTTTTGAGGGATTATCATAGGAGTTTCTTCTTCTTCAGAATCTTCTGACTCAATTTCTATTCTTTCAGGGTCTCCATGTGGGATTTCTCTTACAAATGGGTTCATATTCAAAATCTGCGGAAAAGTGACCTTATCATTTAATTTTATCCTCTGAAAAGTCTCATAGTCTAAGTCAAACCTTTTCAGCTGCAATACCAAAATATATGGCAACGACTTAAATTTCAGCCCTTTTATGGCATCTTGTTTTCCCCCACAATGTTCACAGTAATACTGATTGCTCCCAGTCAGCTCTTCAGGCCTTATATAATTTGCTAGTGCTTTTTCTATCGAGTCATTGTAAATTTTATCGAAATCGTTTCGGACAGTTAAGCTAAGATCCAGGAATTTGTCCTCTCTAGAGCTTTCTTTTAAGCAATTTAAGCATTTTACATAGTCTATGTAGCTTCCTTCATATAAGTTTTTTATCATGTTAGCTTGGTCAGTGCTTTCAACACTTTGTTCAATAGCGTCAAACAGAACTCGACAGAATTCTTGGACATCGTGTTGTTGGAAGCCATCCCGCATGTCCCATTGGAAACTTTTGGTCAGTCCTGTGGTTTCGATATAGTGGTATTCTCGCAGTTGAAGCTTACTGAAAAGCAATTGAAGCTGCAAAGGGATACAAGAGAAATTTTTTTAATGAAAAAATATTTTTTATATTGTTTTGGGGAAAAAAATAGGGATACAATCTTCTTTTTCACCATGGCGATCTTGATTATATTGCCATTTGTAAAGCTCTTTGCGGAAATCGCAGGACATGAATAAGGTTTGGAGAAGACTGTTCATGTAGCAGGTTGCTCCTTGGTTTGATAAGCCGACGTAGCTTTTTTTATCTTGCTGAAGGGATCCCCATGTATCGTAATATCTTGTTGAATATATCAGATAAGATTAATTGCAAAAATAAATTTTAACTTTTTTAAAAAAATCAATTTATTTCTATTAAATATACATATTTTTTCTTATAAATCTAAAAATATATCCTATCTTCCTTCTAAAAATTGTTATGATTTTCAAAATTTCACCAAAATTGTTCTTTACCCTTCTATCATTTTGCTGATTTTTTATCTTATAACACTTTATTTAGCCACTATCAGTTTCGCCATTTCATCAGTTATGCCAGATTATGAAATTTCTCAATTTCATAAAATCTAGGCCAATATCAGTCTATTTTAAATTTAATTAAATTTTTGATATAATTGATTTATTATATTCTATTAAAAATAAGAAATTTGCGCATTTGGATTTAAGATGCCAGGAAAAAAAGAATGCTTAACGTGTGATGAAAAATGGTCTCCGATATAATTTGTAAAAATTTATATTAAATTAAATAAAATGAGTTAATGTCTGTTTTATATTATAAATAAGCATAATAATTTGTAATATAATAGCATAAAATGGGCTGCAGTGTTATAAGCAAGGTTAATGTGAAGTTGATAGAAAAAGAAGGGGAAACGGCTTCTCGGAATGCATCTAATTTACAGCTAGTTCGGAACAGCGAAATTAATCAGTCTGCAAGAAAAGACTCAAATGCATCATTAAATTTTGAGATGGATGGTAACGTCTACACGATTAAAGTTTCATTTGTAGGCACACCAAACTCATCAAATATTTTACAATAATTTGACACATATATTATAAAGCAATGCAACTATCTATATAAATAAAGATTTTTCCATTTTTTTAAAATTACAAATATACTTCTGGATCATTTAAGGTAAAAATTTATATACCTATATAGATTATTTATAAAATAAAAATAATTTTTATAGTATATAAATGTAAATCATTTTAAATTAATATAGAGGATAAAGTTAATTAAATTTTTGAATCATTTATTCTTTTGTATTTAAATAAAAGCGTTTCATTTCACTATTAAATTGACATCATTAAAATCACATTCCCTGCATAATATTTTTCGATTATTTTATAATTTATTTAAAATTTGTTCAGACCTCCTTTAATTGAAAAATTCTTTACTATATAATCAAATTAATTTACAAAATTTTAATTGGGAGTCTAGCTCAAATGGTAGAGCGCTTGCTTAGCATGCAAGAGGCACGGGGATCGATACCCCGGTCTTCCATTTTTTATTGCATCGCAAAATCCCTTTGCTTTTTTATCTACCATCTATTAAATTGTCAAACCCTACTGATTTTTAACAGAAAAGCTCTTTTTTGATTTTTTATTCTTCATCATTTCTACCACTATCTCATATCATAAAAAAATGGCTAAATCCAAGTTTTAAATTTCTTAAATTTTCTTATAATTTATGCTTATTTATAATAACTGATTTACTATATAAAAATAGATGATTTAGTCATTATAAAAGGCATATCCCTTTATTTATTAGTTATTAAAGACTTACTCCCCCCCCCCCTCCGTGAGCGAACAAAACCATTAGAAAAATCGCCATTTTTTTGACCAAAAACCCACCCTCCGTGAGTGAACAAAAATTTTTTTTAATAGAAAAAAATTTTAATGGAAAAAAATTTTGATATATAAGTGATAATTAGTATAATGAAATCTAGAGCTAATTCTGTTTAATTTTAAAACAAATTGCGTTTTAAAACATAAATTTTGCAAATTAAATTAATATTTGCTTCCCAATTTTTGCAAATTAGGATTTTTTTTAAATTTCGAAAAAAAAATATTTTTTATAAAATTTATATATAAATTTTTTTTAAAAAAAAAAAAATTAACCCCCCTCCGTGAGCGAACAAAAATTTTTTTGTTCGCTCACGGAGGGGGGGGGGGGGAGTTAATATATTATCAGCTTGGCAAAAAGACGCCACATCATTCAGTAATTATAACTAATAAAGAAAGCTCAATTCAAAATGGTCAAGAAATCAATCATCAGCAAACATATAATTCATTACTCTTACAGAGAACCAGTGTATGGCATAATATTAATAGAAGATGAAGACATCAAATCGATACAAATTTTCGATGAGACTGTAAATATTGATGCAGTCATTTCGAGGTACCAAAGCTGAAACCCAATGAATTTTGGGGATTTTTATACTTTTCTATATGAATTTTTAATAGAAAAAAATAAAAATATATCAAAAAAATATATACTAGCTCTCCCTTTGAGTGAAAAAATCCGTTGGAAAATCCAAAGCCTACTACCTTCAGTAAGCGAACAAAAAATCTTTTAATATAAAAATTGTTTTGATGACATCTAAATGATAATTAGTATAACAAAATCTCTAGCAAATTCTGTTAAATTTTAAAAAAACACATAATTTGCACAAATTAAATTAATATTCACTTTCCAATTGCCAAATTGATTATAATATTTATATATAAATTTAAAAAATTAAATCCCATCATCATGAGAGAATATTTTTTTTGTAGTAGGAGAGTAAGGGTTTTTATTTATAGGAAAATAGAATACATATCTCCTGGGATAATAGATATCGGCATTAGGCCAGAGTTCGAGAATTTGCAAAATACAAGCAGAATGGCCGCCTCTGGAGGGGTGACTTTTTTCCTTGAAGAAAAACCTTTATATAACGAAGAAATCACTGAAAATCACAGCGATCTTTGCTGTGATATTGGCTCACTACTTCGCATTGATGATGAAAAATGCAATATTGACGAACTTAAACAAAAATCCCACCCATTTGCAATTAAAGCTTACCTCTCCCAGCCATCTGCAATTGTGAATGCTGTATCAGACTTGCCAAGCCTATTTTTTAAAGCCCAAAAGACTGGTTTGCCACTAATTCTAGACCCCTCATTGCCAAACCAGAGGATGCTTTATATGGCATCTCCATGTAGATTTTTGAGAATCAATGAAAGAATAAGTCAAGATACCTCAAAAGATCTACGATACTTAGCAGCTGCTTTCCCAGATAGCATTGACTCTGAAAGTGACGATGACGAGATTACCTTAAATTTTGAAAATAAAAATAGGAGAAGAGCTTCAGAGCCATTAGTTCCGATTTTTCAAGAAGATGGGCAACCAGTCAAAAGAATGAAGGTAGAAGATAAAGTGAATTACTCTTTAGACGAAAGCGCAATAGAAAAAATTGAGTCTCCCAATATGATTATTGAGAACTCAAGCCCAGAACAAAGTACAGTGAATAGCATAGAATATATGCTAAATCCTATAAATAAAATTACTAAGCCAGCGAAGCTGGCTTTTTTAGCTGAATTTTATTATAACTGTACCATATTTTTAATTAAAAGGAATTTTCATAGAATTAAAGTAATAGAAGAAAGCATTGAAAACTTAAGCAAAGCTGAACAGCTCTCATACCAAAACTCCGGTATCACTTCTTATACAGACCCCCAGCGTCGAAGAAGTGTCTCAGTTTGCTATTTCAATACAAACTCAGCAGAAGAAGCTGAATCCCCAGCTAAAAAAAGACTAGAAGGCTTCCGGCCTAACCCACTTATTTTATCTACAGATTCAAGTCCCCACAATGATGATTTATATATAGTGTATATCGCAAATATTCCTGATAAATGGGAAATAGCTGGCGTGGACAAAATTCTCCAAGCTTTTAGCACCCAGAAATGCAAGCTTCATATAGCCAACCTATCAAGTGCAAGCTCAGTCAATAAAATCCGCCATGCTAAGCTGCCAGCTACCTTTTTCAGCTGTGATACTGCTTCAAGCTATTTATGCTTTAATGACCAAGATATAGGAAAAGGTGATACAAGGTTCAAGGATTTTCCACCAATCAGGACAAAAGCAAATTCTGACTTGTTATGGGATTTATTGAAGCTTAAAGACATATCCCATTAAAAAAGAATTCTAATTAATTATATTATAAGAAAATCATATACATATTTATTATTTTTAAGAATAAAAATGATTTCTTCTCATCATGCTTCAATTCCAAACCGCTATAAGCAGCTAGACAGCGGAAGTTTTAGAAAATCCTTAAGTGGAGTTAACAACCTTGGGTTTAATTTACAGTCAATTTGGACCCACCTTATGAAAAAGCCTAACTTGGAGCCTCTCAGAGAGCGCTATTTAGTCAACATGTCTAAGTGACTATCTTTATACCCTGCCCAGCTGTTAGGAATCGACACCAAACGAGGGTCCATTTCTATAGGCCAACATGCCGACTTAATCATATGGAAACCCTATGAAGCCACCACAGGAAAATCCTACTCAGAGTACAAGGAAACTTGTATATACCAAAACTCCTCATTGTATGGGAAAATCTCCAAAGTGATGATAAGAGGGAAATTCGTTTATAACGAAGGCACTTTTTATCCGAACGGCAGATTTGTAAATAATGCTTAATTTAATCCCCATTTAAATTAACTTAAACTTCTTCTTCAGCTTCTTCTAAAGGCTTATGCAGCTCAGGATGAGAGTCCATATATTCATACCCTCTGCCGCCTTCTGCAAATTCTTGCTCTAAAACCATCAAAAGTTCTTTTAATAAATTTCCACAGGCCTGTGGGACTGGGTAAGGCAGTTTTAGTATTTCTTTTATAGTGCAGCGGATGCCTTGCCTTTGTGGGACTTTTTCCCAAAATTCTTCACTTATGGCTTCAGCTGTAAAATTGTTAGAAATTGTTTGGGCGACGATTTTTCGAACAAATGGGTGGGAATCGTGAAGGCCGAGAAGCAAAGAGCGGAAGGTAGAAGGGCCGAAGAGCCCAAGACCTTTGGCAGCTTGGGCACGGATTTGAGGGTTTTGGTCTTTGGTTAAGGCTTCGATTAGCATCAGCTGTCCTTGTGGGCCGAGAAGGACTATACATTTCATAGCTGTATCTTTTACTTCGACAGCTGGGTCGTTAAGGAATCGGAAATACAGAGGCAGCAGGCTTCTTGGCTTTAGATAAGTGATTTGGTTTTTAGCTCGCTCTGAAAGGGTGTTTAAAGCTAAAAACACTTCTTTTCTGACTGCTGGCATCCTGTCGTTAGATAGCCTGAATAAAGTTTCGACTACAAAATCAATGTTATTGTGGTAAATATTTGCTTGAGATATGCTATTTTATAGCAAAAAAATAAAAAATGGTATAAAAGACCTGATTTATAATAAAAAAATTACTGGTTTTGAGAATTAATTAAAATCAATAAGAATAATGCTTTTACAGCACCAGTCCTAAGGGTGATATTAGAATTTGGCTCATGGTTCAATAAATCAATTAATAATCTTTCTCCTTGTGGCCCAAGTCTGACTATAGTTTCTGCTACAGTTCCTCTATTAATCGACCCATCTCTTAAAATCTTAAATAAAACAGGGATTGCTTTTTGAGCTATATTTTGCCCTGTACTGGCTAATGATATACATGCAGCTGTCCTTACTTTCCAATACCCATCTTTAAGCAGCTCTATAAGCCCAGGCCCCGCTCTATAAGCAGCTGGTCCTAATCTCCCTAATGCCCATGCTGCCATAGTCCTCACCTGTGGGGAGGCATCCTTCAGTAGTTTTATTAAAAAATTCGCAGAATCCGCTGCTTCAGGCAGCCCAATAAACCCTAGTGCATAAGTACAGGTTTCTCTGACGCCCTCAAATGGGTCTTTTAGCCCTCCACACAACGCTTGTATGGCGTTTATTGAAATATTAGGAGACTCCTCAGTTTGGGCTTCACTTACACAAGGCATTATAGGAAGATTTGGGAAAACTTCGCCTAAATCTTCTTCAGACTCTCGTTTTATCCACCTTTGGAGACATGCTAAAAAGTCACGGGCGTTTATTTCTAATATAGCGTCGTCTTCTTCGCTTTGGACTATTACTGGGGTAAGTGGCCCTTTATATACATAATTTTTATCTATGATAATTAATTATTTTTATATAGAAAAAATATAAATTTATGTATTATGGTATAAGTGCAGATAGTCCCTGGGAAAGTTCGCTGCTCATAAGTAATTGAATCATTAATTACTCTAATTTCAAGTTGCCTAGGACGAATTGGGACTCTCCAGCACAGCGCAGCAGCACTTGCCATTCTAATTTTTGGTGCATCGCTTTGTCTCAGCAATTTTATCAGTGTTTGTTCTCCGATATTCCCACATGCCCTAATGGTACAGGCTATAAGCTGCCTATCAACTGAGCCTTCTTCCATCAAAGTTATATATTTTCATAATAAATATTGTTTTTTAAAAATAGACTAAATTTAAATAGGATTTATTTAAAATAGAATAATAAGACAGGCAATGCTCCACCTTCCCAAACTACTGAATACATACGGTTTAAAGCGGCTACAGCTTGAGTTCTTAAGGTAGAATCAGGGCTTAATGCATCTTGGGATAAGGCTGGGACTATAATTTGCCGTTGTATAGCATTAGTTAATGCAAGTTTGTCAAGCAGCCAAATTTGTAAGTGTGGGTAGTCTTTTGAAGCGAGTCTTATTAAAGCATCGACACCATGGAATCCAAGTCTACATAGGCAAGCAAAAGCAGCTTGGTGAATATTCATGTATTCTGAGGTCTCATCGTGCACAACCATTGATACAAATAAAGGGATTTGGTCTAAGGTCATTGGATGTGGACCTAAACTTCCTATGATATCTAGAGCACATTCAGTGAAATCTGGCTCGTGCTCGTCCCACCTCATTAAAACGTTTAGAACTTCGCCGATAATGATTTCTTTAGCGTTGTTTGTGATATTTTCTGTTTCTATTAGTTCGTGAATCCCTTGCAGCCCTGCTAATTTTATTTCTTTGCTAGGGTTTTCTAAGCAGCTACTGTATTTTGCTATACTTTTATAAGGAAATTGTGAACTTCTGAGATTAAGATTAAGTAATCAGTTCGTCCTAGATAGGGCCGGGGGTTTTCACCCCTAAATGCTCATCGCCCCAGAAGACCCCGGCAGACACCCGTTCTTGCCGCCACAGGCAAGGGATTCGCACTACGGATCTTGACTTTCATGACTCCTAGAACCTATGCGTCCATCACCTGACTCGAAACTCCAGTTTCTCATTAGGCAGATGTCACCTCTTGAACTCTATTCGAAGGTGTTATCGTATTTTTGGGATATCAGCTGTCCTGCCCTTTTCAATGATGATCTCGGAGGTAAAAATTCAAAGTCCCAGGGATTAGCTCCCTAGGCACGATATACATATAGATTCACCACCTTTTTCTGCCCTTCCCCTTCTCACTGGGCTGTTGCCTGCTAGTCTTGAACAAAAGGGCCAGGGGGTCGAATGGTCTGTCGTCACCATTTTTATGTATATAATATGCCTCTGAGATAATAAAAATAGTGTTAATTTTATATAAAAAATATCAATTTTGGGATATAAATTTACAAAAAGGAATATTTTTTCTTCAATTGGGTATTTTTCTAAATCTTTAAACTCGCTTGATCTCCTCAAACTTTCTATACTTCTATGCAACTTATCAGCTTTTTCCACAAATGGGACAGCTTCTTCATGGTAATTTTTGAATTTTTTGGCTGTGATTAAATCAACATTTCCCTTTGTATAAAATTCTGGGGATTCTTCTCTTTGAGATATACTCATTTTATGCTGTAAAAGCTTAAGTCGCTTTTTTTGTGATGGAGACCGGACTGACAGTTCTTCATCAAAAACTTTTGAGAGAAGAACTTCTGATGGCGCAGGAACAGAAACTGGCAAATTGTACTGGGAATTTGAAAGATATGAGTCTTTGTTGAAAAGACGTGATGATGGCTTTTGATCGCGAGAATATTTTGGTTCATATGCAGAAGCTGGCCTTTGACGGGAATAGGAGTGCTGCGCCTGAGGAGGAGACTGAGAATGGTCTTGATAAGCGTCTGGAGAGTAGTCTTCGATAGGCTGCATATCATTTTCTTCAGCTTCTGGAGAGGAGTATTGGAAACTCATAAAATTAAATATGACGATTGAAAGTTTGCGATTCAAATTTTGAGGGGAATATTTTTAGCTAGAAAATAATTGAAATTTTACAAGAAATCTATGCAAATTATATTAGGGATAATAAAATCTGTGATTATTCTTATAAAGAAAATATAGTTTTTAGAGGTATAGAAATAAGTTGTTTTCTTTAGGAAATAGGTATTAACTGATATTAATAAGTATGTGGTATTTTTAATAGAGGTAGTTATGGCTGCTGCTTTATTTCTTCATTTCTTTTCGGAATTATTTGTAACCTAAGGATATCACTTTCAAAAACGCCTACTCCTGCTTGGAGCATCGCAGCCATGCATCGAGCTATATTTGTAACATCATCAATTCCAGAATGATGCCTTCCTACGTGCTCGATTTCTAGTAAACTTATCATTCCCATCATTCCTTTTGACATAAAGAAATAAAATGGTGATATTGATGGAAGAAGGACTCTGAGGCGAGCTAATTATGGAGCAGGTTGGACCCATCCTGATGAAGCTGAATGCAGGGATCTGTCCCTTTTTGACGTAGACCTTAAGCTTGGGGTTGCTGAAGAGGGAGTTTTTTCTCTTCCGAAGGTTTCCTGCCAAATGTGAAGACAGGATTTTGCCAACCATATAGTTTCTTCTTATCAAGACTATAGGGGCACCTTCCAGATGGTGGTTCTACCCTGAAGAGCTGATCCCTTGGACAGGTGGTTTAGATTGAAATCCAAAAGGGCAGCCTTCCATTTTCCTCATTCGAACTCCAAGGTATATGGAGACTGCTTTCTTTAAGGCCAAGATAGGCAGCAGGGGGTTACCCATTTATGGCCATCATAACTTAATAATTTTTGCCATAAATGAAGGGAAAATTTTTTTGATATTCATTCAGCTATAAAAATAAGGAGCAAGCTGATAATTTTTATATTTAGCTTCTTTTTGGAGACAAGTCTTTAAATCCCAATCTCCACAAGTAAGAAACGACCATTTTTTGCTTGATAGGCCAGTTTCTTCTAAAAATTCATGAAACTTCCCCAAAGCTTCTAATAGTGGAATTCCTGCATCAACCATATTTTGAGTAATCCCAGTCAATTGTGTGCAAAAAGCTGAGAGATCTGGTACAACATCAGGCTTAATATAATAGTGAAAAGTATGGTCAATCTGCAGAGTTTTTGTATTTAAAGCTTGAACTGGAAACTCAATAATTTCTTGGCATTTTAATTCTCCATTCTCTATACAATTTGCTTCAAAATCTAGTACTAAAAAGTAGTCTAACTCTAACGGTTTCCATTCAAATGGTGTTTCTACTCTATCTATATATACTTTTCATTATAAATATATCTTATTTTTCTATAAAAAAATAATTTTTCACACAATTTCTTATAGAATAAATTTTTTTGAAATATTTTGGCGATAAAAATCCTTTAATCCCAGAGGTCAGTATCACTGAATTCGAAGAAATAAAAAATTTTACCCCATCTTGCATAGCTTTTTCTATATCAATTTCAATAAAAACAGTGCAGTTACTTCGAGCTCCGCTTATAACTTGCCCATTTTCTGGAAATCCAGGCGCGAAATGTATATGATTTCTCCTCATCCTATATAATCCCCTTTTCATTATAGTAAGCCATGATTTTTTGTCAGTACCATGGACCACCACAGGATATATGCTAGGGTCTGTAATTTCTGTCAATAAATCTTCATCTTTTACGATATTTATGGTATGGCCTTGATTGGCTCTTATCCACTGCATTCCATCAATTTCAGCTAAATCAAATCGTTTTTTGTCATTTTCAGCGACCACTTGTTTTATATGCTCTTCAGTCCATTTAGAAAATCTTTGGTGGGCAAGTAACTCATCGACCCTGACAAATCCTGCTGAGGTCATAGCAAGCCCAAGCTCGCCAATTCCATGTCTGAGTGCCCAAGAAAGAGATTTAGATAATTTTACCATTTCATTATCTCCTACTCTTCGAGCTTTTCCTCTGCGGTTCATTAAAAGGGTTTATTATAACAGATCATATTAGATTAAAAAGATTTATTGTGGATTATTATAAATATTCCAAAAAAATACCAGAAATTTAAGATTTTTTATAGAAATTTAATAGGATAGTGTAAGAAACGTTTTTTTGATAAGCTTGGTCTTCAGTTATATCGAGGGGGTTATCAGAATTAGTTAATTCTAAGTCACTTGTAGGCCTAGCTAGCTGGATGCTCATTTCTTTTATTCTTTGTTTAGCAAGTCTTGACTCGGGGTGGTTGGAGACTATAGCTAAAATTTCATGCATTTTTTCTTTTTCTATCATTACTTTGCGAGCATTTGCCCGCTTTGTGGTGATGCTGCTTTCAAGCTCACTCCTCATTGCTTTTATGCGTTTTCTGGATTCATGCTGTTTACCAAGAATATGGTCTCGTTTGGCAAGCCTAATTGTGAGTTACCATTATGCGCTTGTGCCGTTCTCGATTTGTTTGAGTGTCTCTTGTTTTTAATCTATGCAGTTCTACTTTTAGTTCTAAATTTTTATGTTTTGCTGCTTTTTTAGTTTCTAAAAGCTTTTGCAATGATTGTGCTTTTTTTTCAAAATTTTCTAGATTTTTCATAATTTCGTCATCTTTTTCTTTTAATTTTTCTTGTGCAAGTGTGAACCTTTCAAAATATTTACGTTTCGATAAATTTCTAGCTTCTTGCTGTTTCATAGCACTTTGTGCTCTTCTTTCGGTAGCCTTTTTGTGTCTGCTTATTAGCTTTATAGCAGTTTCTATAGCCTCTAAATCACTATTTTCAAACTTTTTTACATTGATTTCTGAATGTTTTCTTGAAATTTGGCTTTTTTTTCTATTTATTAGCTCATCGTGCATTCCTTTAGATTTTTCTATTTTTTTATAAATTGATGTCAGTTGTTCTTCAATTTCTTCTTCTGAAATATCTCCTGACTTAGTTTTTAACAGTTTTGTATCAGAGCGTCTGCCATTAACTGAATTAATTTTTCTACTACCAAGCAAAGAGTCAGGAGACTTCCTGATAACTGGAGACGACGATTCACTTTTTAAAGCTTCTAGAAGGCTGTTTTGTTCTTTTCTTTTGATATCTTCAATATTCCTTTTTTGCACATCTACAAACTTATTTAATTTTGATTTTCTCAGCTTGATTTCTTTTTCTTGCAGTTTTTCTTTAATATTTCAAGCTTTTTTTAATTTTTTTTCTTTGTTTTCTCTTGCTTGAATTTCTCTTTCATAGTCATTTAGAGCATTGCAAATAATTTCTTTATGCTTTTCTTTTAATTTTTCGAAATTAAAAGATTTATTTAAAGGCTCAGGGGAGAATATGTGAAATTTTGTTTCTTTTGAGACTTTATCTAAGCTTCATCCGCGGCTTTCTTTAATTTTGTTTTTGATAAGTTTTACAGTGTCGTTTAATTTTTTAATGTAATGATCGTATCTGAGTTTTTGGATGTCTTCATCTGCGTTTCTTTCGTAAAAATCGTCATAGGAAAGCTGGATTAGCTCTGAAGGGTCAATCCCAAGGATTTTCATTGCTGCGGAAATTTTGTGATTGTTTATGTCGATTGCATAAATTGTCATTTAATTTTTACCTACTGAAATAAATCTAATTTTAATCTTAAAATCATAAGAAAATTAACACCTAAGCTGAATTTATATAAAAATGAGATAAATTAAGTTAAATGAATTTCCAGTAATAATAATGAACTTGATAATTTTCTTAAACAGTCATCATTTTTATTAATTTGAGTAAACTGGCCCATTTTGTAAGTATCCCATTTTCTTGCGTAAAATTATCAAAAATTGCTGATTTCACTAATAAAGTATGGCCGGCAAGCAAACCCACCCTCACACTGGTCTGAAAGTTTACTTAATTCGTCATGCCGAATCTAACAATAACTTAGCAAGCTGCACGATGGAAAGATCAGAATATGAAAGAATCAGAGAGCATGACCCTACCTTATCAGAAGGAGGAATTGAAGAAGCTCGCCAGCTCGGCCAATACATGAAAAACCATCCAGATAAATTCGACAACTTTATTGACCAATGTTTCGCAGAAATACACTGCAGTGCAATGACCAGGTCATTGCAAACTGCTGACATAATTTCTAACTCCTCCTTTGAAAAAACCCTGAAAATAATCTTTTTTTTTTTAAATAAAAATATTTTGCGATCATAAGATCATAATAAATTTATTAGCTTGCTTTATATTGCATAATTTTTATAAAATAAAAAAAAAAAAACCTACGTGAGCCAGTAAAAATTTTTACATAGGAGTAAAGAAATCGGATTAGACCCCATTGTATGGGTAGATATTCATGAAGTAAAAGGCTGCCGATCTCGAGGCCAAGCATATTTAGGCAAAAGTCGCGGACAAATTTTGGAGAGATTTCCCAATTTTGTGCTACCACCAGAAATTACAGACGAAGGTTGGTATTTTCTTGGGAGAGAAGAAACTGAAGAAGAAGCCTGGGAAAGGGCTGGGAGAGTCTGGGAAAGACTGACACACTTAAGTGAGCTTGATGAATATCAAGGAAAAGCGATTTTAATAGTGACACATGGGCTGTTTTTGGATTTTCTGATGGGAAGACTGTGCAATAGAGAAATGAAAGGGCCACCAAGGTTTGCGTTTTATAACACAGGGTATTCTCTTGTGTGGCTTAAGAAGCCTAGAACAATAGTGCATTATATTGACAGAATTGAACATTTGACTGTAATCCCACTTTTGTATAGGAATGGAGAATTAGATGATTAAATCGAGCTGCTGGCTGGTTTTAATTCCTATAATTTAGAAATTTATATAAAATTCTTCTTTTATGATAAAATAATAATTATTTCTTTATTTAAAATTAAGCTCAAATATACATAAAATTGATGACCCCGTCAACCCAGTGGCGAGTGTCTTTTTGTATATCCGGATGTGGTTTTGGTGAAAAGAGCTGCCTAAGGGTTGAGCTAGCCTGGAAGAGAGAGGTCCAGCACTATTTCAGCTGATTAGTGGCTTGATCAGAGCGGCAGGGTTTTTTTTTTCAATTTTTTTAGGCAGGACGACTTTATCTGCCTTGGCTGCTTTGTGGCCTGTCCCGAATCGCATAAGAGATTCAGTTTTTCCTTTGATACTAAGCCAGTGGAAAAAGAGAAGACAGGCTAGACAAGACTTAAGGGCTACAGTCTCTCCAGTTTAAAAAAATCCTGTGAAAGGGATGGCCTATCCTAAGCTAAACAGGGTAGGTCAGTTGATTTCTTGGGTTGGAAATGGAGGTTCCCCAATAAAGTTCGTATGGCTCAGACCATGAAAGAAATTGCCTCTACTTAGAAACTGGGGTTTAGGGGTAGGCTCAAATTAATAGTTGAATGCGTGGTGCTCAGGAAGTGTGGACTATAAATACCCAACTAACTCTAATCTAAAATTAAACTCAAATTAGTTAAACTCGAAATCAAATACCGGGACATCAGGGCACAGCATGCTAATAAGTTTTGATTCCCTAAATTCAGTTTTTTCTGCAAGCACTGCTTTCAGTCTTTCCATATCAATATTTTCGTATCCCCTTACATTTCTTACCCATTGGCACAAATCAGCTCTGATAACTCTTTGGGCGGCCTGATGAATCACAAACACACTCATATCGTCACTAGTAGGGTTTATCATGAGGGCTCGGTCACTGATTTCTACTTCTTTTGGAGATCCAGGCTCTTGGTCTTCTTCTCCCAGAGGAGGCTCAGGGACTCTCCTGGGGATAACAATTTTTATTAATGCGATTTCTTGGCCTTGTTCAGGAAGCTCTGTAGGTCTGATTTCAACCTTAGGTCTTAAGGGGTTAGGATGGGCTGCGTCTGCATCTTTTAGGATTAAAGCGCTAAAAAATGCAGTTAAAAGTCCTTCGAAAAGGCCTTGTCTGATACCAAACTCATTTGCGTTTTGCCAGAACAGAGTAAGTGTGGTTCTTGGGACTGAGTTTTCGACATTAATCAAGTAGGCTAAAATTTTATTTTTTATATCGTCCCCTGCCAAATGTATTTTTTTCTCAAAAAAATTCTCATATTTATCAAAAAGCCCAATTTATTTTTAATAAAAAATAGGTTTAATTCTTAATAAAGCTAGCTGATTTTTCTTCATTTAGCATATATTTTGATGAGTCAAACTAGGCTTTCCAAAAGTTTTTATAAATTCTGCTAGCGGTTCAGCCCTTATATTATTATAAATAACAGTCGGAGCTCTCAAACAATGCAGTAAGAAATCATAAAACAGCAAATTTATCTGTTCTTGACTCAATGCAAATTCAGTTGCTTCTTCAATAGCACTAAAAAACTGCAGCAGCTCTCCAAAGAGCCCTCCAGGAGTCCCAATGATATTTGTGGCCTGTCTTCCATCAATATCAGAATAAACTTGTTGTGCTGCATTGTCTACAACAGCGCCAGTATTTACAATTTTTTCTTCAATTTTAGCTCTGAGTGCAGCGATTTCTCTTTCTTTTTGTCTAATAATTCTGAGCTCAACCCTGTGTTTTTTTCTTGCTTCGTCTTCTTGCTGGGCTTTTATTTCGTTTTCTTGGGCTTCTCTTCTTCTTGAGTATTCTTTTTCTATTGCTTTTTTGTGCTGTTCTATAAGCATATTTTTGGCTTCTTGAGTGGCTTCTTCTAAAAAGGCAATAATAGCATTTTCTTCATTTAAAGATGCCAAACTTTCAATAGAAAGCCACGGAATCAATTGGTCATGAAACGCGACTTCTCTTGGGTCACTGAAAATTCCAGCATCTCTTAAATAAGTGATTGCGTTGTTCCCCAGCCTATTCAAGTATTTTTTGGCTAAAATCCTTGCTAAATATTTTTTATGTGCAAATTGTAACTGCTCTTTTCTCGTTCTTGCCTGGACTTTTCTTCTTTCTGCTTCGTCCCTTCTTCTAAGCTCTTCTGCTTCTAATCTTTGCACCTCTATAAGTTTCGCATTCCTTTTCTGCTCAAACTCCCTCTGATGCTTTCTCATAGCTTCCAGTTCTTCTTCTTCAAGTACTTCCATTCTACCCTGCTCTAGCGATTTTCCTATCAAGACTTCTAATATGGGCGCCACTTCTAAGTCAAAATCAAATAACTCGCCATCTTCTACCTGCGTAATCACATCTTCACCGATTTTTTTCGGCATGAATAAAGGTGTAGGCGGGCGGTCCATAAGGTAATCAGTCTGGGTTTCAATTTCGAATTCTTTTGGCTTGTCAGAGAGCTCTTCTGGCATATTTTCAGTTTGGGCCTCTTCGTGCTTTCGCCCTTCTACAGGCTCTGGGGTATGGATTTCACGGTCTTTTTCTTCTGTGGCTTGTTTTTGTAAGCCGTCAGATTTTGTGAACTTTTTTTGAGTTTTTTCGAGTTCTTGAGGTGCATTGGAAGGGACGATCATTGCAGCATAGGTGTTGCCTCTGACGACGCGCTTATCTCACATGATATTGACTGAGGCCTGACCTTCTTCAGGCTCTCGGTATTTGGTGTTGCGGGCTTTTACAGCGCGAGGCTCTGATGAGAATTGGTAATCTCCTGTTAGTGCTGCCATGGTTTTATTATAACTGTCTTATGAATGAAATTTGGATTTAAGATGGAAGAAAATAAAGACTTAGGAAAATATGTTACAGATTAGCTAATTTGAGTCAGAGTTATATCTGCTATTGTGGATTTGTTCAATTTTATATCTGGCCATCAAAATAATTTCGTCGCATTTGTCCATGAGTCTGTCTAGAAGAAGCCGTTCATCTTTAATCATTTGGATTCTTAAGCAGAGCATGCATTTTTTATTAATAGAGTCGTCAGTGATTAAATCAAACCACCCTTCTTTTAGCAGCTGGTCATCTAAATTGTCTAATTTCAAGGTATAATTCCCTAATAGCTCGTCTTCCCTCATATTTCTTTTTAGCAGAACTTTAAAATCAATGCTTTCAAATGATCACATGGTGTTTCTAAACTGAATAAATCGATATCAATAAGGCTTATAACTGTCAGACTCGTGGGTCTCGACAATTGGGCCATTAGGCTCTAAAGATATTTTAACATATGGCTTATGCTATTTTTCTATGATTATTTGTAATAGAATATAATTTTTATTATAAAAATAAAAATTAATTCAGATTGGATTACTTTGAGAAAAACAATTATTGTTTTTGTATAAATTATGTCCTTTTTGTATTTCAATATTTAGTTCTGGCACAGCTTGGGACCCTTGAATTATGTTTTCTTTTTTATATTGGCATCCTTTTTTCATTTTGATAAGAAAATTAATTTTTTGTTCGAGATTCGTTACATTCGTTTCTTCAGCAATTTCTTTGCTGAAAAAATCGATCCTGGGGATATATCGGAAATATGAATCATTTTTTGGGTTTGACTGGAGCAAATGCTCTTCAATTTCTGATTCATTAGGACGACTAGCACAATCACCCATTTTTATATTAATCCATTTTAAAGATGGTGACTCAGAGATATTCTATAAAATGAGCAGCTTGATTTCTCTAACTCCCTTCTGCGAGTGAATAAACCATTGGAGAAATCCCCAAGAAAATTTTTTAGTATAAAAATTTTAACTAAAAAATATTTTGATATAAGTGATAATTATTATAATAAAATTTCTATTTAATTTTAAAAGCTTGCATTTTAAAACATAAATTTTACAATATTTGCTTGAAAATAATTTCGATTGGGATATTTTATTATTATTATTATTAAATCTATCTATCGCTGCATGAGCAGCATTTCTCTCTTTGGGATATTTTTAAATTACTATAAAATTTATATATAAACTTTTAAAATAAAAATTAACCCGCCTGGTCAAGCACAAATAGGACCTCGGGACCCCCACCCCATATATATAACTTTATATGAAAATAGATATTGATTTATTAATATATTGAAACTTATATCAAAATTCTAATACCCCAATTTGTTTATTACATATATGTCACTAAAAAATACTTATATCGACCTTAAAGAAAAATTAGAGGGATATGAAGGGAGTATATCAGGGTTGTATTTTAAAATGAACCATGTCAAGCATATGGGGTCTATTAAATTAGTAAACATACTTATTAATATAAATTGAGCACTGATGCTCAAATAAAGATTAAAAAATTATAGTAAACGTATTTATAATAAGATTAGCAATCTCATTATGCAAAGCCTTGCTTGATATCATCAAAAGAATAAGTAATTCTCAAAGGAATCCAGCAATAATATTTAAAAAATAATAATGCATGTACATTCTAAAATAAAAGAATAATAAAATAAAGAATAGACTTAGCTTTTAGAATTAAATTGATCCCTTAAAGCAGCCCATTGCGAAACAAAATAATCTTAATATCTCTAATAGAGATGAAGCGAAGTGAATTTTCTTCTCCTAAAAGTATCGAATGAAAATCTAATATTCCTATATAAATGATTTAGCAAAATTATTAATAAAAGCGAATCCATATTAGCAAATGTATATTCATTGATTTATTTATAAAATTTCCAAATAGCCACACTTAACAGATGAAATCGTCGCTGGAAACGACCATATCTTTTTATTTTCCATAAATTTGCGATTTGGAGTCTTCAGCCATTTTCCCTTTTTTACGAGAAGACTATGTATTGCTATTTTATCACCTAGATGATAGGACTTGTTCATTGATGTGAGGGTATCTTCACGTCTTTCTTTACGTTTTCAATTACTTTTTCATTCAACTCATTAGAGTTAGAAAAAAAGATATCACTGGGTATAATGCTGGTTCTAGTATAATTCAGAAAATTATAATAAATAAATTTAAAAAGTAAAAATATATATTATTTGAGGATTTGGTTATAGTATGTTTCCGACAGTGTTGTAATGAAATAGAATTGAAAAAATGCTATATTTATATTATAGTGTTATATAAATTAGCTCTTTCTTGCATATAATTGCAGTAAGCTATAATTTTATTTTTACTTACAATAATAATGCTCCATCCTTCATACTAATTGACCTTTCATTCAACTTAGTTTAACAGAGAACATACTTTTTTAGTTAATTTAAATTTATTTAAGGAATATTTAACAGAAAGCATAGCTATTTAATAAGCAAGATTTAAGAATTTGGGGCTATATTGCTTTAAAAAACTATAAAAACTATTGCATACTTCATCTTGATGCATTATTTTCGCTTAAGTAGCTTTTATGCAGCTGCTTATGAAGATGCAGTAAAATGATAAAATATTTTTGTAAACTTCATAAAGTGCAATATAATTTTTTTTTAAATCTAATCTAATAATCAATTATAATTGTCCATTTCTTTATTGCAGAATTCCTTACCGTTGTCTGTTTGTAGAATCTCTGGAAGTCTAGGTACAGATTCTAATGACAGTTGAAAGTTCTTTACAACTTCGCCAGATGTTTTGGTATATAATGGATAAGCTCACAAATACTTACTCCCCCCCCTTTAAATTGGAACTAAAAATTTTGTTCCAATTTAAAGGGGGGTTAAGAAAATTTTTTTTAAAAAAAATCATATATAAAATTTTTATATAAAAAAAAATTTATATAAAATTTAAAAAAAAAAAAATTCAAAAATTTATCGAATTAGATTAATAAATTTGTTTAATAAAATGCTATTTACTCTTTATCCTTTAAAACAAAGCAAGATATAACTAAAATTTTATTATTAATTAATACTCCACTATTAATTGGTATCAAAACTATTTACACAAAAATTATTATTTTTTTTGATAAAAAAAAAATTAAAAAAAACAAATTTAGAAAATTTATTAATCAAAGTGCTAATTTTGTTTAAATAAGATGCTATTTATACTCTATTCTTTAAAATAAAGCAAGAGATAAGTAAAATTTTGAATTTTTGTAAAGAATTCGTATTGAGTTTTATATCAAAGCTATTTAAATAAAAAATATCATTTTTATAAAAAAAAATAAAAATATTTTTGAAAATTTTTTTAAAAACAAAAAAAATTAAATTTTTTTAAAAATTTACAATTAAGGATAATAAATTTATTTCTTTATACTCTATTCTTTAAACAAGAGCAGGATACAACTAAATTTTTAATTTTAGTTAAGAAGAAACATTTAAATTATATCAAAAACTTTTGACATAAAAATTATGATTTATATATATAAAATTTTTATTATAAAATTAAATTTTGTTCCAATTTAAAGGGGGGTTAATTTACCAAAAAAGTGGAAATTTTACCTATATTTTGTTCCAATTTAAAGGGGGGGGAGTTAGAGAAATGATCAACTATCGACAAAATGTAAGTTAAATTTATTACATTTGTTAGTATCTTGAACGATAAAAAAATACTTATTCATCATATATGTTATAAACGAACTTGGAAACATTTGCAAGGGCAGGGCACAAGTCTATTTGAAACCTTTCTGATGGTTTTGTCGAGACAGTTTGTAATTTTATAGGAGGTTTCATTTGCTTCCCAAGTTCAACTGTGCAGATTATGCGATTTCTGATCAATAAATTTTGTTTTTTAAAATTCATTCTTCCATTTCTCTGGGTGGTATGTGATTGCATGCACTTTTAGTTAAATATAATATCACTATTAATCAATTACAATAAAAGCTGTAGTATATTATATTAAATATTGATTTCAGAGTCTGTTAGTCTTTAAAAAATTCATATGTAATGCAATACTTATTCTGCACATGTGCTAATTGAAGATTTTTTGGAATTTCCCATATAAATGGGGTTATTAAATTTCTGATTTTTCAAATTAATCTAGATTCAGTGTAATCATTAATATCTTCGGTCTGGGGCAAAAGTTTATAGTTAGTATGTACTCTCCTTTTATAATTTTGAAATTTCTTCTTTTCTCATAAGGTAGGTCATATAATTTGGCTGGAAAATGAAGTCTTTCTTCTTCTTTCTCTTCTGACAATATTCTTATACAAAAGGGTTTGGAATTTAAAAATTTAATGTAGCCTATATAATTATACATAATAAGATGCATAAAAAATGATATATATCATCTAAATTCTTTTTCCCATGTGAAAGAGGAAATAGTCCAGACTTATTTTCTTCGTTTTTTAATTGGTTTAAAAGTTCTTTGTGGATATACTGTTATTAATAAGTTATAAATATATGCAGCAAACTATTTAGATAAAACGACCATATTATGTATAATAATAGAATAGCTTTCAATAAAATTTAAATTCCTTCGAATTATGATTATATAAAATTTTATACTAGCTGTTTGTGAATAAATAGAATTGTCTAATTTATGTTGTGATTTAATATTTAGAGTTGGTTTTTGAATAGAAAATCCTTTATCAATCAGCACATTATAATGAGAATTGTGCAAAAACAATAAATTTAGAGTGATCTCGTTAGGACTATCATTTTTAATAACCCATGATTGGGTCAGAATGTCTGAGTAAATGGTTATTGTAATACCAAACAGTTCAGATGCTGCTCCAAGTTCTATTTCTCCACCCCAAAAGCCATTTGTCTTTAATTTTGTGACATATTCATAGAAATTACATTTATTTTTTAATTTGAATGTGATTTCCAAGCAGTTCACGATATTATTTTTTAAAAGATTGCAAAATTTGTATTTATTGATAATAAACATTTTTAGATAACCTTATTTAATTTATAAGGCATACCTATCCTCATTGCTAGCAATATAATCAGCTATCATAGTCCTGATAGCAGAGTGACCTTCCTGAGTTGTGCTATAATAAAAGAAATGGCTCGATACAAACAGTTTCCATCACCTTTGATAGGAACTAATGTAAATTCTTATAGGAGCTGTTGGATATGCTCTTATAATTGTCAACATCTTGCTTAGTTACTTCAGAGTTAGAAATTTCTGGAATTTCAACTTGAAAAGGATTAGAAAAAGGTTCTTTCTGATCATAATCTAAAAGCATTCTGATAAGAATTAATAGAGATAATGTCTTATCTCAAAAGACATTAAAATTCCTAATTAATAAGAATAGCATTTCAAAGATTTTTATTTTTTTAATAAGGGCCTAGACTTTCTTTTAAAATAATAGGTACTCTTATAAATGCCTTTAGACAGGCTGAAATTTAAAATTTACTTCTGCTAGAGTAATAATAAATAGCTTCGCTCATTATAAATTATACTTTAATTAGCATAAATCCAGTCGTCGGTGTAGTTTAGTGGTAGAATCTTACGTTGTGGCCGTAAGTACCTGGGCTCGATTCCCAGCACCGACATCTTTTTTGCTTGAGTGTTTAATAAGCAAGTTTCAATTTATGATTATCTTTATTAAAAGCATAATGTTGAGTCTGGGATAAAATGCTAATATATTATTTGACTTAAATGAGGGATTTGCTAATTTATTTGCTGCATTTAAAGAATTAAGCTTCAATTATCTATTAAATTATTATTATTATTTTTAAAAGAAGATAATATACCATCTTCAAGCTAAAAATTTTTTAATTACATATTATAAAAATTGATAAAATAACTAAAAATTGTATATTACAAGTTAATTTATAACTCAAAAGAGATATCAATAATTCTAATAAAATTAAAAATAAATGCTCTAATAACAGCAATTAGTAAAAAACTCCCTTTTATCGAGCTATCGCGATTAAATTTTAATTAAATAATCCTTTGAAATCTACGGGTCTTGAACAAAAGTATCCACAGACATATCATTTTTTATACTCGACGTATTCATTCTCATCTTTTCCACTAAATTTACCGATTTATTAGTAATATTGCTTGAAAAACTTCTCAGCAGTTTTGACGGAGAATCAGGAGTTATATTACTCATTAGGTCAGGAATTTGCTGCTGTGGCCGAATCTCAGTTTCATTTTTGATTTCATTGAGTTTTAGCATAACTTTTCTCTTTCGTGCAAGCTCAGACAAACTTACTTGTATATGTAAAGGTTCTTTTACGCTTGAAGCAGTTGGAGATCTGTCACTTCTTCTTGATTTATTCAACTTTTGACCAGAACTTTGGCTTGCAGGCATAGTCATAGTCCGCTTATGCTTTGGAGAGCATAGCGTTTTAAGAAAAACCATATAGTCATCTATTACCTGCTCATTATTTTCCACTGATGCTTTTGGCTCCACAAATGGAGATACTTTAATTAATTTTATGGGAGATTGGTCTTGGCCAGTTATGATTTTTTTATCTTCAATAAAATTTGATTCTTGCTGCTGCTTTTTCTCTTCCAATTCATTTCTAAAGCTTCCCCACGTTTCTTTAAAAGCTTCTTCAGTTACTATCATATTTTTTCCACAATCTCCACAAAAAGAAATTGATTTACTTGAATTTTCTCCCATTTATATATAAATTTTTTCCCCTTAAATACCAATAATATAAAAAATAAAATAAAAAAAAAAATTAAATTAATTAGTATATGTTTTTAAAAATTAATAATTTCTGATTAAATCTTCAATATAATCCAGACTTCTCATAATCCCAATCTGCTGGTTTTCTATTTCCAAAATCGAATCCTGTATGATTTTTTGGTCTTCATTAATTTTTTTTGTAGAGTGATTTAATTTAATCAAAATTTCGCTATCAGCCGTATTTTCATCCCTAGGAGTCAATTCAAACCCCAAGAGCTCTGAAAGTGTGCTTTCATCATAAATCCAGTTATCTGACGCTGAAATTTTGGTCGCCTGTGTTCTATTAGTCGCAGGGATTTTTAACTCCCTCTGACTAACTGGCTCAAAGCTCTTCATTTCTGTGAAATTTAAAGATAGAGGTAAATGTATTGGCGAAATTGACCTAAAATCAAGCGTTGCGCTTCTGTGTCTCATTCCTTCTTCATTGCCGTTGATTTTTGGAACTGATGTTAAAATTGATTTTTTGCGTCTTCTCATCATTTTGATGCCTTCGTCGTCATCTTCAGCGTAGACTGTAGATGACCGCCGAGGTCCTCGACGATTATTGCTAGAAAGCACATGTGACCATAAGCTTAAGTTTTTAAATTTATCAGCTGAAAACTGCATACTGGCTACCATAATCCCAGTGTCAGCTCTGAATAAGCGATGGACGCTTTCTTCATCTTTTTCAGATACTGAAATCAAGCTGTTTTCTGAATAATTCAGATCAGGCAGCTTTGTGTTTGGGATTAAGTTTAAAGAATGCGCCAGAGATGCAGAAAATTTTGAAGCTCGGGCTTTATCGATTTCTTTGATTTCTTCATAAACGTCTGGAAATTCGTTCATAATGATAATAAAATCCCTTTTTGAGAGGACAAGGAAGCTTGATATTACAGAAATTTCAATAGAAAACAGACGAGGAGAATTAATAATAAGTTCATGCTCTCCAAAATATGACCCATCTGCCATTGTTCTGAAAGCGACCCCATTTGAAGCTCTAAATAAGACTCTTCCTTTTTTTAAAAAATACATTTCGTCAGCTATTTCTCCTTCTCGGTATACATATTCTGACCGGTTTCCAGTCATGCTTTTCAGCTTTGGGACGATAGCTGACAGAAATGAAGGGTTTCTTAGGTTGAAAAAATATATGTTATCGATTACTTTTCTATATAAATAAAGAGTGACTTCTGCTTTTAGAGATGAAGGAAGCTCGCTAAGCATAGTAGCTTCATCTATATCTTCTGATAAATTTTCTTTGAAATTTTCAATAATTGTATGTTTGGCTTTTATTTTGACCTCATCTGGCAAATTTATGTCTTTTGATATACTTTTTTTTTTAAAATAAATATATAAGCTTTTTTTTCTTCTGGAGAAAGATCTAAAACCGTTAAATTTATTATAATAAAGTCTTTAAATACTCAAACAAGGTATAATTCATTAAGACTTTTTAGTCTTGTATCAATCAGCGACCTCCTTTTATCAATTGTTTTTAATTTTGACATCCAGGTGCTGATTGTATAAGAATAAAAAGTGCTCCCAAAAGCCATCAAGGATATGGCGAACACTTTTTCAACTTTCGTCCTTGCTACTATATCTCCGTAGCCAACAGTAGTAAGTGTGGTAAATACAAAATAAATAGAAGTTATATACTGTGAAAAAATCGAATCGTCCGTCATTGCATACCGGTTCATCCATGACTCATAATTCGATATCTGCAGCCTTCCTATTATATGTCAAAAACATCCAATTATATGTACAACTATAAAATAAGTGACCAGAATTTTAAAAATTCTGAAAATCGTCATAATTTTTTGATTTTTTTTGTTTTTGTTTTCGCTTATCCACCGAGATAGGAAATTTGTGTTTTGTAAAATTCCGGAATATCGGTACAATAAGAAAAGGCGAAGTAATTTAAGGAATTTTAATAAGTCACATAATGATCCGTCAGGATCATTAATAGTTCACTTTCAGAATTCCATTGGAATCATGGCAGCTACATCAATAATAAATCAGCTTTTAATGTACATAATAACAATATCTTTTCTAGATGTCACAATTTTGTAATTGCTTTTGACATATATGGAATTTACGATAAACAGCATATTTAAAAAGATCAGACAGTCAATAGTAGTTTCTAGCTGCCATGGGTGCTTAGTTTGAAAACTCACAGTAAAAGGAAAACCTATAGCAGTTCAAATTAAAAAAGGCCAAAGAATGCAAACCCAAACCTGACTAAAAAACGAGTCAGGTCTGAAAAGATGGTCATCCTTTGGTCTTTGTTTGGTTTCTTGAACCATTGTTCAATAATGTGGCTGGGTTCCAAAAAGTTGAATGTCTTTCTTTAATCCTGATAGCCGAATAGCAGTATTTAAGGCACCTCTAAGACGCATTCATAAGAGGTCGACTCTGTGTTGTAGCTGAATTTCTCCTTTGGTCTGAGTTTCAACAGTTGAAGCGTAAAAGCCTTCAGTAGTCCCAACATTCATATAATATATTGTAAATTAAAGATAATTATCATAGTTTAGATAATTTGGTATGACCAAAATATAGGAATTTTGGGAAATCTTAACGATTTGAGATTTATGAAAGAAATTTAAATTGTGCTGACGAATTAAGATGAATTTAATAAACGTCATACTTATTTAGTAAAAATATGAATTTAATTAGGCACCGAACCTTATATCAGTAGCTAAATTCCTCAATGCTCTATCGGATATCTGCAAAATTGGACCCCATTCAGCTAATAATTCAGGCTTTTCAGAAATTCCTTCTCTTGAGGAAACTGAAAATTGTGTCATTCTACTTGTTCTATCTGCAAGATAGTTTTGTTCTCCTAAAAAGGGCTTTTGCCTACTGCAGCAACACTTGATTACGGGTGTCCAGTTGAAGGTAAGAAAAAAGCGGCTGGAGCAGATCAGTGAAGGCTGAGATAGAGCAAGCGGCGAGTAAGTCCCCAAACCTACATAGTCTAACGACAGAGGCTGCCCACACTCCACCAGCAACAACTGGAGAGGAAACTGGAGTTCTAAAGTAGCTGAGACATCCTAGTGGTGTCTAGGGTGAGTCGATCGTTCTGATCAGAAATTTAATTTAAATATTAAGTCTAGTGTCATTCTATTCAATAAATCCTTTTTATCACGAATATTCCCTGATTTAAACTCTTCAACGCATCTTTTCAAATTTTCTAAATTTTCTAACAAATTATTTATTTTGTGTGTTTCTTTTTGTTCTTTAAGCTCATTGAAACTATTTATTTGTGTTCCTTCCAAAGCTTTGCATAAGCAAACAGGATACGCAAACTCTTTTCCATTAGCAACCAATTCTCCGTTTTCGCAGACAATTTTCATATCAATATTCCCAGGCAAATCTTCAATATGTCTTCCAGGGCAAAAAGAATCTGGTGGATTTTTTGTAAAAATTGGGTTAATTTCAGTGTCTCTTGCTTGCCAACTTCTCCCCAGCATCCCTGTAGGAATTAAGATTAAGATTAAGATTACGCTGGGTATTTAAGGTCCCTACTACGTCCGAGGTCGCATGCCACGGTTTCCCGTGTGGTGGCAGAGCGTTCACCAAGCCCGGGCCGAAACCCCCGGTTTCTCGGTAGAGGTATTGTCAAGGGCCGTCTTATACCGGCTTTGCTGACCACCTCCATTTCCAACTTGGATCGTCGCCTAAGTTTACGCCAACTCCGCTTCGTCGTCCGCCAGATCTGCCCATTGAAGGGCACCTTTTAAACTGGAGAGACCCCCGTCTCGATGTCTAACTCGCCTCCCCTCTTTTCCGGTCATCCCGAGAAAGAACTCAACAGCTTTCGCCATTCGGGGCGAGCCACTAAAGCAGCTTAGGCAGGTAATTCACCCTGCCTCATTTCGGGCACTCACTGGGCTGAGCGCTGCTGGCAAAAAGAAGTCACGAATAACTGCCCATGGGTCTGGTCGCAAAAACAGCGGTTCTCGCGCTTAGGCCTCTCGCTTCGAGGTCCCGGACACTGTTGGGCTAATTCCTGGCTCCAAAAAACCATGCCCGGATATACATGGGTAACCACCACTGGGAGGGTGGGTCGGTCGCCATACGCCATTTTATGTATATCCTGTAGGAATTAATTTAACTTGTGCAATGCTATTGTCTTGAATACAAAAATTATCCCCAATTTTAATTTTTTTTTCTATAAATGGCAGCTCTTTGTGCCCAGTGCCTGTGTTATATAAAACAGTGTTAACTTTTCCTTCTTTTACAATAATTTTGTACCGTAAAGGGACTCCTTTTGCGTCATTTTCAAAATTCGTATAATCAGATCAGCTTTGTTCAGGTAAAATATATACAACTTCTATGGGGATTTCTTCAGATGTGTCTTCTACATGGACATGTAATAAATTTATTACATGAGGTGACAATTCTGAGGTAAAAATTTCTATGACTGATTCATAGACAAACCCGCAGTCTTCACTTATCAAAACTTGGTTAAATTTCACAGTGCCGTCTTTGCCATCTACTTTTATTATTTTGTCTTTGTTAAAAATAATTGAGTAGTCTGAAAGCGGTAAGCCTTGAGGAGAAATTTCGATAGGGCAGCAGCTTTGTTCGTCGTCAAATTCAATAATCTGATATACAACAGTAATTATGTTTTCGTCTAAAGAGTCCATAAAGGCTTTACTGTCTTCTTCTGAAAGAGCGATAACTCCTTTTAGGTCATTTAAAGATATTTCTATATTTCTAGGTCTCAATAGTGCAATTCCATTTTTATCAGCATATTTTATCATCTTAAAATAAAAATCATTTTCTTCTCTGACGATTTCAAGCAATTGATAAGCACGCTCCAGCAAGGCTGGTGAAGCAGGAGTTGATAGAAGGCTTGGTCAGGGCTGACCTGTTCCAAGATGGCTTGCCTACGTCACTAGTTTTGCCATAGGTCCTTTTTGGGCTGCGGCACTAGACACTTAAACACCAGATAATTAAGTTAAGTAAGTAAGGTAAGCACGCTCAGTATCTTTTTCTAATAAAATAGTTTTTCCGAACCCAGTCTGGAGCTTTTCTATTAATTCGAATATATGGGAATCAATTCGGTTTCTCATTGCTTGGTATGTTTCTCTAATAATGATTTTTTTAGCTTTATATTCTTCTTTAAGTTTTTTTATTCGTGATTTTATTTCAGCGTTCATGATTGATTTTTGTTCTATTAAAGGGTTTATCCTATCAAATAATTTGCTGATTTCAGAATTTTGTGCAGAATTTTTAAAATTTCTTTTTGGCTTTTCTTCTAGATGTCTAAGTGTATCTGTTCGCTTTAGAGTTTCAGGAAATTGAATATGAATTGCATTTCCGATTAATCTTGTGAAAAATTTTAAAGATTCCACTGAAACCATTTGAGGTTTCGTCAGATTTGGTTGAACTTTATTCAGCATAACTGCCAAAGCTGGCAATAATGATTTTTTTCCTAATTCTCCTTCTAGTTTTTCTATATATGCGTTTTTCTGCTCCAATTCTTTTTCTAGTTCCTCAATCCTTCTTTGCAACTCTTCCATTTAATTGCTGTAACTTAATTTATCTACCTATTTTTTTTAAATGTCTTTACTGCCCCCTCTGTGAGCGAACAAAAAAATTTTATTCGCTCGAGAAGGATTTTTTTGTTAAAAAATTATATAGATATTTTTTTTCAAAATTTAAAACAATTCCAATTGAGAAGTAAAATTAATCTAATTTGCGAAATTTAAGTTTTAAAATGCAAGCTGCTTAAAAAGAGCAGAAATAGCTAGAGATTTCATTATAATAATTATCATTTATATACCAAAATTACTTTTTCATAAAACATTTTTATAATGTTGGGTTTTTGGGCAAAAAATAGGGATTTTTCCAATGGTTTTGTTCGCTTACGGAGGGGGGGAGTTAGCTATCATCATTAAAAGAAAATTCTCGTTTTAATACAAAGATTGGATTCCCAGACTGTCGTATTGGCGTTGAAGGCATCGTAGATTTTTCATCATAATTTGTAGTAGGGGAAATCTTTTTCACAACAATTGATTTTTTTGATTTATAAATAGGAGACTGATTAGGTGAACCGGCAATAAACCGAAATGCTCGAGTTCTATCTACTGAAATATTTTTTGTTCTTAAGCGTTTTTTATATGGGGATTCTGAGCCTAAATTTAGAGTAGAAGTACACATAGGAGTGCTTGATTTTGACTTTTTCGTCCGAGTCCGAATCGGGACTTCATCTAACCCTAGATTTTGGATATCGTCTAAAAAGCTTAAAATCCCTGTATGGGGACTGATTTTTTCTTTATTTATAGTGTCTCCAAAACAGTTGTGAATGATAAGTGGAACATGAGGGATAGCAATTTTATGAGATTTACGATTTGGCTGATCAGGAGTCATACTTCTGGGCATTTTAGCTTCATTATGATTTTTATGAGGAGCAGATATTAGTCTTGAATCGGCTTCAAAGGTGAAATTATTTATCTGTTTCTCTTTATGTTTTGCCTCAATTTTTTGGGGCTGAGCAGGCAAGGTGTTTGTGTATCCACAAATTTCAGCCTTAACCCTTGGGATTTTATGAAGCTTCTCATCTACAGGATTTATTTTCTTTGTAATATTTGTTTCTGATGAAGAAGAGTTTAAATCGCTGTCTTTATTGATTCGTTTTAAAAAGTGGGACTTATCGTCGTTTTTCACAATTTTTTGTGGATTTAATTGATGGTTTTCCTCATCCAAAGAGAAAACTTTTGCTAACTTCACGTTTTGTAATCTATATTGATTGCATATTTTGACAAAATAATTTATAAATTTTATGCTCTAGGACATAAGATTTCTAAAATTTAATTAAATTAATTGATAGTTACCATTAATCATATATCAAATTTTAAAACAAATTTCACTAATTGAGGGTACAATGTCCCTAAAGGTATTTTTCAATAGTTTTTTTTACCAATGGGAGTAAGTTATTTCCTGTTAATATATTGGTTTTGGTACGTCTGGGTTTCAATACAGTACTTACATCCATTTGAATCGTAATTTCTAATAAAAATCTATGCCATTCTTCATCTATAAGATAGAAAATATAATACAGCTCATTATTTCGGCATTAGAATGATCATTATCGATCATATAATTGAAGATCCAGATACATTTTTGGAATTTACAGTAAAACTGAATTTTTGATAATACATATAAAGCAATTAAATTTAAATTAAATATTGTAAAAGAGGAATCGAGAATAAAAGAACTAACAAGCAAGTAAAGTAATGGTGAAACTAATTTTATTTGTAAAAGTATTTATTAAATATATTTTACTAAGCTAAGAGGCAAATTAAGTCTTTGATAATCTAAATAGCTTATTAATCTAGCATTTACACTATAGAAAGTTAATTTTAAATAAAATTGCTGCTTTAAATGGGCTTGTAAACTAAAAAGGCATTTATATTGAATCTTTATTCCTTTAATATAATTTTATAGAAAGACCATGCTAATTCAGCTTGATCTTTGTTTAATTAAACACTTATATTGCTAAAATTATTAATAAAACACAATATCTATATAATTAGATTGAGAAAATTGAAGCCTCAATCCTTAAATTTTCTATAATGTTTCAATATCTTGTCTAGAAAAATAATTCTATGGTTATTCAATTAAAAATGTCTTTTGGCAATATGATCTGTCAAATGCCCTCAAATATTTATAAAATAAATGATCATTAAATCATTGCGTAGATTCAAATCATTTATAGGGGATCTTCCTCCAGACCATCATTTTCCTTTAGAAAACTTGCCGTTTGGCGTTGGCAAGCGAATAGGAGCTAAAGGCGGCGTAAAATGTGTAAGTAGAATCGGAGACTACGCAATAAATCTCGCAGAATTAGAATCCCAAGGATTTTTCAAAGAAATTCTCCCTCAAAGCACTTTTTCTTACTCCCCCTTTAAATTGGAACTAAAAAATTTTGTTCCAATTTAAAGGGGGGTTAATTTTTTTTTTTTAAAAAAAAATATCAATATAAAAAAAAATTCAAAAACTTATCGAATTAGATCAATAAATTTGTTTAATAAAACGCTATTTACTCTTTATCCTTTAAAACAAAGCAAGATATAACTAAATTTCATTATTAGTTAATACGCCACTATTAATTGGTATCAAAATTATTTACACAAAAATTTTTATTTTTATTGATAAAAAAATTAAAAAAAAAAAAATTTAGAAAATTTATCGATCAAAGTGCCAATTTTGTTTAAATAAGATGTTATTTATACTCTATTCTTTAAAATAAAGCAAGAAATAAGTAAATTTTGAAATTTTATAATGAATTCCCTATTGAATTTATATCAAAACTATCCAAATAAAAAATATCATTTTTATCAAAAAAACAAAAATTTTTTTGAAAATTTTAAAAAAAACAAAATTAATTTTTTTTTAAAATTTAGCAATTAAGGATAATAAATTTATTTAAATAAGATGCTCTTTATACTTTTTTCTTTAAAAAAGAGCAAGATATAAATAAATTTTTTAATTTTAGTTAAGAAGAAACATTTAACTTATATCAAAACTTTTTAGATAAAATTATATATAAATTTTTTATTATAAAATTAAATTTTGTTCCAATTTAAAGGGGGGTTAATTTCCCAAAAAAGTGGAAATTTTACCGATATTTTGTTCCAATTTAAGGGGGGAGTTAGGATCATTATAAAATTCCTTTTATTTTTTGGTAAATTTAATAGGAAAACTTGTTTTACCAGGAATTTTTCAATCAAATTTATTTATTTATAAAAATATCTTATATTTATCCTTTTTCTTCAAAATTCCTCAACAAATTCATGTCTCAAGAGCGCACTCAATGAAAAAAAGTCCGTGAAATCCTTCAAGACTTATTTGATGCCAATAATCCCAAAATCCGTGATAACGCTGAGCTTAGAAATGAAGTTTTAATCCCAATAGAAAATTTCAGACAAGAAATGCCTGCAAAAATAGGAGACTTCACTGATTTTTACTCCTGCAAAAATCACAGAGACAATTGTGGGAAAAAGTATCCTTTAGCAATTAAGCCAAATTATGAATGGATTCCAATTGCTTATCATGGAAGAAGCTCAAGTGTCAAACTCAGCGGAACACCTTTACGCAAGCCTTATGGGCAGGTTATGCACCCAGGCAGCGATAAGCCAGTTTATGAGCAATCTCAATGGCTTGATTTTGAAGTCGAAATGGGCTATTTCATAGGTGGAAAAACTAATAAATTAGGAGAAAACATCCCTATAGAGAAAGCAGCTGATAATATTTTTGGGTTCGTTATTTTAAATGATTGGACTGCTAGAGATATCCAGTTGTGGGAGTTTACACCACTTGGACCATTTAATTCGAAAAATATGCTTACTTCTATAAGCCCTTGGATTGTTACCTTAGAAGCGCTTGAACCTTTTAAAGCTCCAATGGACCCTCAAGTCCCAGAGCCATTAGATTACCTTAAAGATCCTCATAGGTTTAATTATAATGTAGGCCTTGATGTATTTTTTAAAAAAGGTGGGGTAAAAGATTCAGATTTTGTAAAAATTTCTTCGACTAATTTGGCTCATTTGTACTGGAGTGTCGCACAGCAGGTCGCTCATCATACAGAAACAGGGTGCAATTTAAAGCCTGGAGATTTAATTGGAACTGGAACTTTATCAGGGACTACTCCAGATACTGTTGGATCGCTACTTGAAATGGATTGTTTAGGACTTAAAGGAATCCCTTATAAAGAAGGAAGCAGGGCAAAGTTTTTAAGTGGAGGGGATTCCGTGAAAATTGTTGGGCAGTCTAAAAAAGGAAACTTGACAATTGGGTTTGGAGAATGTGTAGGAAAAGTTCTCAGAGCCAGGACAATGAAAAAGGAATAGCTGGAAAGCAAAATTTAAATAAAAAATAGTCGTTAAAGTATGATAAGAATAGTATATAATTTTAGAAATAAATTAATTATAGTAAATAATTTATATAAAAATAAGTTAAAGTCTAAAGAATTTTCATATAATATAAATCAAAATTTTATTAATCCATTTTTCATAAATTCACTGGAAATATTACCTGAAGATTGCAAAATGGATATAAGCATTATTGAAAGTACAAAATCCCTTGCTTTTCCCTTTGAATGGCTTTTTTTTTTTAAAAAAAAATTAATTGATTTATTACAACAATTGTAAAAAAATAATAAAATTTAGTCTAAAATTATCATATTCTAAAAAATGCATTAATTTAAAAGGGGAGTTAAATAATTTTCATATATAATTAAAAACTTATTTTTCCTCTCTGCTTTACAAATAAACAGCATGAAAAATTTAGCTCAACATGTCGTCGAAATCTTTGGTAATTATTAAATCACCATAAAGAAGTAGATTATAAATGTCACTGGACGTGGGCATAGAGAGCATCTTTTGTTTACTCCTTCCTTGTTGAGTGAAGCAACATATCCAAAAAAATCCTTTTAGAAAATTAAATTTTCATGTATATTTTTTTCAATAATATTTTGATAATGATTATCATGAATAAATCAATTTTTAATATTACTAAAATCAGAATTTACCTTCCTAAACTTAAATTACTTTAGAGAAGTCCCCTGAAGGCGACTACTTGCCTCCACATAACGCTCAACCACTTGCTTGCCAGTCTGAACAAAGCCTTCCACTGCTTTGCACCTCATAGACGAGGGCTTGCACTTGCTACTCGGGAGTCAGAGACGCTGGGCCACCATGCCGTATGCAAGAGGGTTCACCTACTAGAAAATTCGAAAAAAGATTTATAGTCTAGTTGCCCACCAAAATGAAACCTGGAGCCCAGGACGCAACGCCTCCCATCGTACTAGGAATTTTGCCGATTAGCCAAGTGACTACCTCTAGCCTTGCTCAGCTTTCTATTTCCAATTCCAGTGAACCTCTCATCACGAGATAAAACCTTGACCTAGATGTTTGCATGCAGTCGGCCTGCGCTCCTCCAAACCAAGTAAAAACCAGCCTGATGCACATTTCCGGACGCTGTCCTCTCTTCCACAAGCTGCAGCTTTCACAATGAGCCTACCAGCTGCAGGTGTTAAGAAGGCAGGTTGGCTTTAAAGTTATTTGATGTATATAGATTACCTTCCAAATTATTTCTAATAATAAATATTAATAATCTTCTCGCACCAGCGAAAAATCTTTCTCGCTCATAAATATGAAGTTAATACTCATCACTCTTTCTATGATACTATCAGTCTATCTCCCAAAATACAAGGTAAACCAAATTTAGATTCATTATTTTCATGAATCTGGCGTTATAATTTTGATAGGTATCGGATTAGGAGCATTTATGGATGGAATTAGACACCCGCTTTCAAGATTTAGCTCAGATATTCTATAACTAAATACTTAACCATATTATTCTATGCACTATTTTTTAATTTTTATATGGTCATTATTTATAATACTGATAATTTTCATTACATCTCAATATATATTTTTTGACTTTATGCTGCCCTTCCTCATTTTAGCTGCAGGCTTCAACATGAAAAGGCGACGATTTTTCCGAAATATTGGCCCAATCTTTTTATTAGGCATCATAGGAACTTTAATATGTTTTGTTCTAATAGCAGCTATGGCCTACGCCTTCAGTGAATGAGGATTCATCAACCATGATGGCACAAAGTACCTAAGCCCTAGTGAAGTTATGGCTTTAGGTGCCGTTTTATCATCTTCAGATGTCGTTTGTGCTTTAGCCCTTGTAGAAGAATCCAAAACCCCTAAACTCCACTCAATTTTATTTGGGGAGTCCGTCATAAACGACGCTGTTGGCATTTTGCTTGTAAATGTCGTAAAAACAGTGAGTATTTCTAATATAAACGCAACTGAAGTATTTACCTTTATTGGCACATTTTTGTATGTAAGTATTACAAGTATTTTGATGGGAGCTGTTTTTGGTCTAATTGCGAGTTTTATGACAAAAGTTTTGTATGATTTACGAGACGAGCCAAGCAAGTCTATTGCGTTACAGTTTTATATATCAATTTTAGGGTATATGATAGCAAAAGCAATTGACTTGTCAGCGGTTATTGTACTTTTAGTGTGCGGAATTATATCAGGACATTATGCATGGTATAATTTGTCTAGAACTTCAAGGACTGCTGTGACTAATTCTTTTCAGTTTATTGGGGATGCTTCAGAAGCACTTGTTTTTGCTTATTTAGGAATTTCTGCTTTTACTTATAAAGAAGAGGGAATTGAATGGAATTATATTATTGCTGTTTCTGGGGCTACGATAGTGTCAAGATTAATTGCAGTATTTGGATTGATATGGATTGTACAGTTGCTTTCTGGTTGGAATGTATATTAAGAAGGAGTGCTATGCCCTCTTAACATATGTAGATGGTGGGATACTGGGGACCTTGTGGAAGTGAGGACAGCGCTTAGAAATATGTATCTGGGTGCTGCATTGCTTGGAGAAGTGCAATGTCTGGCTGACTGATGCATGCTCACATCCAAGTCAAAGCGCTACTTTGAGGGAATGCTGATAAGGGACGCCCAGAGACCAGAGGACATCACATGGCCAATCGAGCAAAGCCCTAAACGATATCAGGCTATCAGGCGTTGCGTCCTGGGCTCTGGATTCCATTTTTAGCTGACACCAGACCTTCTGGAAGGCAAACCTGCTGACGTAGGGCTTCGTGATCCTGCATCCCTTATCTCAGATACCGAGCGCAAGCCCCTGTCCATGAGGATTATCATAGTAAAAGGCCGTGTCTAGACTGGCAAGAAAGCGGTTGGGTGTTATGCGGAGCCGAGTAGTAGCCTGCCTGGGACTTATATATAAGTAATTAAAGTTTTAGCTATCTGGTGGGAAATTTAAAATGAGTGTTGGAGCTATTTCGGTTATTTGGATGGGCGGGATTATTAGAGGAGCAGTCTCCTTTGCATTGTCTCTTGATTTGGATTTTTCCCACAAAGATGTCCTCCGTATCACTGTTTTAGGAGTTGTGATTGGGACAACTCTAGTTTTTGGAACGGTTTTGCCTTTGTGGGTCAGGTGGATTAAGCCTGATGAAGGAAATGACGACCGTGGAATGGAAATAAAAGATGATGATTTAAGCAGGTCAATAACAGGAAGAAAAAGCGTCTTTTTAGCACAGGATGAGACAAAAACGTATAAAAATTGGGTCCATAAAATGTGGAGGACTATTGATGATAAATATATAAAACCGTGACTAATTCACAAAGATGCTTTGGAAGAGGTCAAAAAAGCAAAGGCAAATCTTGCAGCTAAGAATTTGGTTCTTAAAGATGATAATGATACTATACCAGAAGTATCGGAGTATTCGCTCCATTCGAATGGATCATATAGAGAAATGCAGTAATATTTAATTATTTATTTTCTTAAAATTCGTAATAAATGATTTTTTGAATATTAAAATATTCAGGATTTAATAAAATGTCATTAATTTTAAATAGCTCAATATAGTTCTATATATGAAAATAATTTTAATGATTAGCATGAAGCTAAGATACGCAAGCAATGAAGTCCATTAAACGATTACATTTTCTATGATGACGATCTATACCGGAGCAGACTATATAAAATATTTTATACTAATTTTCGATTAATTTTAATTTTGCAATCTTGAATTACTTAACGATAGCTAGCAAGTTTGCCTAAAAACTAGGATTTTATAATAAAATTAATCAGATTAATTTTAAATAAAGTCTGAATATAATAATCAAAATTCCTACAAAATTTAAAGAATTTAATTATTTTTTATTTTACTAATAATCAGCCAATTCTGTAATAAATTTCTCAAGATTATTGTTTATTTTACAAATCCAATAATTCTCTCATCAATCAGGATTTTACCTATATATTTCTATTATTGACAATAAATGAGCTTTTAGACAGCAAGTGCTTCAGTAATCCAGTCAAAAAGCTGTACGAAAATTTGAATATCGAAAACTATATAGAAAAAAGACCTTAAAAAGAGCTATTAACCTAGGGATTCAATTAGAAGGATTTTTATTAAGCAAAGCAATAAGTGAGCTTTAATAAAAAAAAACAATCCATATTTATCATAAATCTTGCATAAATAAGGTAGCTAATTTCTTTAAAATATAAACATAAATATAATTATAGCCACTCATGGGAGTCTGCTGTCATAAAGAATATTCAATTAAAAGGCCTCTCGCTTCATGTTCTGCTACAAAAACGACAATTGCAAGAGCATTAAATGCTGACACCATTTCAAAGCATTATACACTTCTCAGAACTATTGGATATGGAGCATTTGGAACTGTAAGAGAAGCAACTTTGATTAATCCTGGTGAAGCTCCTATCCTAGAACCTTCTGAGAGGCATTATGCAATTAAATCAATCAACAAAAACAAGGTAAAAAAATATTTAAAATCGTTGGATAGTGAATTGAGCATACTTCATATGCTGGATCACCCAAACATATGTAAATTATATGAAATCTATGAAGATCAGATGTACATTCATTTGGTAACTGAATATTGCCAAGGAGGAGATCTCTTATCACTCTATTTATAGGAAAAATAGGTTATTAAATATAAATTTTTTTGACTAAAGATTTCTCTATATAGCTTTATAATAAAAATTTATATTTACCTCAATATATAGCGAACAAATGTTATTATTTTTAAATGAAGGAGCTAGAAAATTGGTCAGTTCATAAAATCTCAACAGAAGCTGAGCTTGTCAGAATTATACAAAAAGTTCTATTAGCAGTAAATCACCTACACAACATGCATATTTGCCATAGAGACATTAAGCCAGAAAATATTCTATTTTCAAGTGACAGACCGGACTCCGAAATAAAACTAATAGACTTCGGGTTTTCCACCAAATTTTTGGACAAAGAAATGGACTCATTTGTAGGATCTCCAAGATATATGGCTCCAGAAATCATTAAAGGAAGCTATGGGAAGGAATGCGATATTTGGTCGATTGGGGTGATGACTTATTTTTTGCTAATTGGAAAATTTCCATTCCCAGGTAGATCATTGCATGACCAATTCAAAAATATTTTAAAAGGAGAGTTTTGTACCAATAGTCCTAGCTGGGCTTCTATATCTCCAGAAGCCCAGGATTTTATTTCAAAAATGTTAGTTTTAAATCCTGATAATCGCATTACAGCAACTCAGGCTTTAAACCATGATTGATTTAAATCAATAAATACAAAATCGCATACAATTGATAAAAAAATTTTCCATTCAATCAAAAAATATAAAGATAAAGGAAAGCTCTGAAATATTGCAATGAAAGTCTTAGTTAGAAATCTTTCCCAAGACCAAATAGATGACTTAAAAACAGCTTTCCACGAACTCGATAGACAAAGAACAGGATTTATCACTGCTGAAGACATTCAGGCCTGCATGGAAAAGAGCAATCTTCAGCTCGCCAAAGAAGAGTTCAATAGTTTATTAGAAAAAATCGAATTTATTGGAAAAGGTAAATTAAACTATACCCAGTTTCTTATAGCAGCTGCAGATAGAAAAAAAATTATTGATGAAGAAAACACATGGATGACTTTTAGATATTTTGACATTGACGCTGACGGGAAAATCAATATGAGTGATTTAAAAAGTGCTATAGAAAAAGCAGGATGCTATATATCAGAAACTGAATATCGAGATTTATTGCAAGAATTTGAGCTTAAATTTGACGAAGATTTAAGCTATGAGGATTTTGCAGATATTTTGAACTGTAAGTGCTATTTAGGCTTCACAGATATTTCAAGCTCATTTTGCACAGAAAATGATGAATCATTGAGAACGCCGATAAGAAAATTAAGTACAAGAAGATTAACTAATAGACGCTGCTCTATGGTAGAAGCGATAAAAAGAGCAAGAAGGAGCACAATTGACCCATGCATCTCTTCTACTCAAATTATTTAACGATTTTCATAACATTATTTAAGATAAAATGGCTATCATTTTGATTTTTATTATAAACGAAAGTGTTTTAAATATTCTATATCAAATAATCGAGCATATACTTATTTTTCTATAATAAAATTTAAAAATGCTTTAGAAATGCTTGCATTAGTTAGCGAAATATAGAAGAATTTCATTATATGTGGGACTTGGAGAAAATTCTTCTGTTATCTCGACAGATTCAGCCATGGAGCAAAGAAAGTTTGAAATGGCTGGTTTTGTTTCACATAAATCGTCAGAGGCATCTTCAAGTTCTTGTTTAATGAAAGTTCCATCAAAGCGCCAATAATTTGTTATAAAATGCTCAATTAAAGTTGCAAGAGTGTTGATATAAATAGTTTCCTGAGCTATCTGAATTTCTTTTATCATCGCTGACAATAAAAATGTTGAGTTTAATGACTCTTTGCTATCATAAATGATTTTTTTAATTATCAAAGCTTCTGGAGTATCAAAAAGCCTATAAAAATGCAATACGTCTTTGATTAGTTCTGAATCTTCACTATTTTCTATTATAAAACATGCAAAAATTATGTTCTCTACCGATAAATTATAAAGCTCTTCATTAGAAGCACATAAAAGTTTACTATAAAAATAGCATGGCTCTAGCTCAGCACTTAAGCTTCCATTTTCTTTTGCTTCTATTAAATTCCACGCAACTTCTCTATCTTTACATTTTTCAACTAAATTTGTATAGCAAATAAGCCTCGCTGATCCAAAATCATAATAATCTTCTATCCGATCTAATTTATATTCATCCCAAAAAGGTCTATATATCCGGGTAAAAAATTGAGACAGTTTATGTGAGATTTGTTTTAAATATTTATTCTCCCATAAAAGTTTAGTTACTTCACTGGTATATTTGATAATAATATATTCATATTCTGGAATCATAGAAACAATTAAATCTGCTAACTTCACCCCTCCGTGAGTGAATAAAAATTTTTGTTTGATTATAGAAGGGTTAATTTTGTTTTTTACAAAATTTAAAAAATCCCAATTCGCAAAATTTTGAAAGCAAATATTTATTTAATTTGCAAAATTTATGTTTTAAAGTGCAAGCTATTAAAATTAAGCAAAATTAGCTCGAGATTTCATTATACTAATAATATATATCAAAAATTTTTCTATTAAAAATATTTTTGTTCAATCACAGAAGATGGGTTTTTACCCAAAAATATAAAGATTTTTCCAATGGTTTTGTTCACTCACGGAAGGAGGAGTAAGCAAGCAAATCTAGATTTAGTTGACGTATAAACCTGAATGCAATCACTCAAAAGTCCATATCTATCTTCAGCACTTAAGAGTTTTATTGATTTTATTATTTCATCAAATATTTCGTCAGAGTAAATTGACCGATAGAAACCCATGGTTTTGAAATTTAGCTTTATCCATTTACTTGGCTTTTCTAATTTAATATTTGCAGACTTATCTTTGAATAGCACATAGTGAACACTCAGGTCGTCTGTAATAAACTTAATAGGAACATGCCACAAAAGAGGACTATTTTGGGCTAAAGAAGAATATTGAGTTAATTTATACTCTAAATCATCAATTTTTTTTACTGTAATCAGAGGAAACCCTGCTTGTCTCGTCCAGCATTGCATTATTTCTCCGAGTTCTGGAAAAGAAAATTCAGCTAAAACATCCCAAAGCATGTCTGTTGTCGTATTTTTCCATTTATACACATTTAAATACTTCCTAATCCCATTTAAAAATTGTTCTTCTCCTATAAAATCTTCTAGCATCCTTAGTACAGAAGCTCCTTTTGCATAGCTAATTGCATCAAAGATTTCTTCAATTCTATTCGGATCATCGCACTCCACTTCAATTGAGTGGGTATTTTTCTGTACGTCCTTAAGCATAGCAATATTCCATACATCTATAAGAAATTTCAGTCAAATTTTAAATTTTGGCTTCAAACTATTCAGACATTTATATTCAATAAATCTCGCAAACCCTTCATTTAACCACAAATGTGTCCATCATTCCATAGTAACGAGGTTCCCAAATCACATGTGGGATATTTCATGACAAAGAGTACGGCAGTTTCTTGGGAAAAGCTGAAGGTCTTCATTTGGGAGTCTTTCTATACAATAATCTGCAAATGTTATAGATCCCCAGTTTTCCATAGCTCGATATTTTAGTTCTATATTAAAATTACTGAAAACTGAAATAAGGTCAAGTTTCTGTAGCGGGTATGAAATCCCAAAATAATTATTGTAAAAATCAAGGGAAGATTTGGCAAGCTCAAGAAAATCGTGCGAAAAATCAATGTTTTCGGCATATAAACTAATTTTTACCCCACAGTCAGCAACAATAGATATTTGGTTGTGCTTGCATATAGTCCAATGCAAGAGGTAGCAAGACATCAATGGTGTTTCTTCGAATTTATAAGCTGTTTTGCTACCTAAAGCATTTTTTTCTGTATAGTTCATATTAGAAATTACAAAAAAATCATCATCTGCTGTGACGTTTAATTGAAATCTGGCTTTCATTATTGGCTCATCAAAGCATGGAAAAGCTTTTCTGGCATAGATAGGCTCGAAATGAGTAGTAGCCATAAGAGTTCTATTTGTGCTTGAGCATACGTAGCTTCCTTTTATCACGAAATCCATCTTGACTTCAAAATCAATTTTAATTTTAATTTCACCTTCAATCTCTGTAGGGAGTTCAATGCACATTTTATCATTATTTGTTGGGAAATACGATAAACCAGACTTCATTGGATAGACTATAGCAATATCTGTAATAACTAAAGGGCTGTCTGAATGCATGCAAAATATTTTTGATGGAGCTTCTATAAGAATGGTGACTGTTTCTGTTCCAGTATAGTATTGCTCTCTCATAAAGCTAGTTAAAAAGTACTAGTCTAATGAGATAGCATAATAAGTAGGCTTGATGTGCTGAGGAAGTCTTGTATCTGACATTTTATTAATTATAGATTGTTAATTAGGTATCATAATAGTAACCTTTTTGTCCATAGTCTATCTCTTCCTTTGTCTTTATCTTTATTTGATTTTTCTTCTTCTGTTTCTTCGTTCTCTTTCATTTGTTTTTAGCTCAGTTTTTGAATTTCTTTGTTTTTCTTCAATTCTTTTTTCATTTTTCTAGCTTGCATCCAGCTGTCGACTTTGCTTTTGATTTTGTCTTTGGGAAAGCACCCAAAAACCCATAAATTAAAATGTGTTTAAAAAACCCAGCCTTTTGATTGCAGGCGATACCCAACTAATATCCTAGCTCATTTAATATTTGATGCATAAATTTAAAGCTATTTTTAAATCAATTATGCTTATTTTTCTATATAAAATTTAAAAATGCTTTAGAAATGCTTGCATTAGTTAGCGAAATATAGAAGAATTTCATTATATGCTGCATTTGAAGAAAATTTTGCTGTTATCTCGACAGATTCAGCCATGGAATAAAGAAAGTTTGAAATGACTGGCTTTGTTTCACATAAATCGTCAGAGGCATCTTCAAGTTCTTGTTTAATGAAAATTCCATCAAAGCGCCAATAATTTGTTATAAAATGTTTAATTGAACTTGCAAGAGTGTTGATATAAAATGTTTCCTGAGCTATCTGAATTTCTTTTATCATCGCTGACAATAAAAATGTTGAGTTTAATGACTCTTTGCTATCATAAAGGATTTCTTTAATCTTCAAAGCTTCTGGAGTATCAAAAAGCCTATAAAAATGCAATACGTATTTGATTAGTTCTGAATCTTCACTATTTTTCATTATAAAACACGCAAAATTTATGTTCTCTAAAGATAAATTATAAAGCTCTTCATTAGAAGCACATAAGAGTTTACTATAAAAATAGCATGGCTCTAGCTCAGTACTTAAGCTTCCATTATCTTTTGCTTCTATTAAATTCCACGCAACTTCTCTGTCTTTGCATTTTTCAACTAAATTTTTATAGCAAATAAGCCTCGCTGATCCAAAATCATAATAATCATCTACCTTATCTAATTTATATTCATCCCAAAACGGCCTATATATCCGAGTAAAAAATTCAGACAATTTATGTGAGATTTGCTTTAAATATTCATTCTCCCATAAAAGTGTAGTTACTTCACTGGTATATTTGACAATAATATATTCATATTCTGGAATCATAGAAACAATTAAATCTGCTAAGCAAGCAAATCTAGATTTAGTTGACATATAAAACTGAATGCAATCATCTAAAAGCCCATATCTATCTTCAGCACTTAAAAGTTTTATTGATTTTATTATTTCATAAAATACATCGTCAGAGTAAATTGACCGATAGAAACCCATGGTTTTGAAATTTAGCTTTATCCATTTACTTGGCTTTTCTAATTTAATATTTGCAGACTTATCTTTGAATAGCACATAGTGAACACTCAGGTCGTCTGCAATAAACTTAATAGGAACATGCCACAAAAGAGGACTGTTTTGAGCTAAAGAAGAATATTGAGTTAATTTATACTCTAAATCATCAATTTTTTTTACTGTAATCAGAGGAAACCCTGCTTGTCTCGTCCAGCATTGCATTATTTCTCCGAGTTCTGGAAAAGAAAATTCAGCTAAAACTTCCCAAAGCATGTCTGTTGTCGTATTTTTCCATTTATACACATTTAAATACTTCCTAATCCCATTTAAAAATTGTTCTTCTCCTATAAAATCTTCTAGCATCCTTAGTACAGAAGCTCCTTTTGCATAGCTAATTGCATCAAAGATTTCTTCAATTCTATTCGGATCATCGCACTCCACTTCAATTGAGTGGGTATTTTTCTGTACGTCATAAACCATAGCAAAATTCCATACATCTATAAGGAATTTCAGCCAAATTTTAAATCTTGGCTTCAAAATATTAAGACATTTATATTCAATAAACCTCGCAAACCCTTCATTTAGCCACAAATGGGTCCATCATTCCATAGTAACTAAGTTTCCAAATCACATGTGGGATATTTCATGACAAAGAGTACGGCAGTTTCTTGGGAAAAGCTGAAGGTCTTCATTTGGGAGTCTTTCTATACAATAATCTGCAAATGTTATAGATCCCCAGTTTTCCATAGCTCGAGATTTTAATTCTATATTAAAAATTACTGAAAACTGAAATAAGGTCAAGTTTCTGAAGCGGGTATGGAATCCCAAAATAATTATTGTAAAAATCAAGGGAAGATTTGGCAAGCTCAAGAAAATCGTGCGAAAAATCAGTGTTTTCAGCATATAAACTAATTTTTACCCCACAGTCAGCAACAATAGATATTTGGTTGTGCTTGCATACAGTCCAGTGCAAGAGGTAGCAAGGCATCAATGGTGTTTCTTCGAATTTATAAGCTGTTTTGCTGCCTAAAGTCTTTTTTTCTGTATAGTTCATATTAGAAATTACAAAAAAATCATCATCTGCTGTGACGTTTAATTGAAATCTGGCTTTCATTATTGGCTCATCAAAGCATGGAAAAGCTTTTCTGGCATAAATAGGCTCGAAATGAGTAGTAGCCATAAGAGTTCTATTTGTGCTTGAGCATACGTAGCTTCCTTTTACCATAAAATCCATCTTGACTTCAAAATCAATTTTAATTTTAATTTCACCTTCAATCTCTGTAGGGAGTTCAATGCACATTTTATCATTATTTGTTGGGAAATACGATAAACCAGACTTCATTGGATAGACTATAGCAATATCTGTAATAACTAAAGGGCTGTCTGAATGCATGTAAATTATTTTTGATGGCGTTTCTATAAGAATGGTGACTGTTTCTGTTCCAGTATAGTATTGTTCTCTCATAAAACTAGTTAAAGAGTACTATTCTAAAGAAATAGCATAATAAGTAGGCTTGACGTGCTGAGGAAGTCTTATATCTGACATTTTATTAATTATAAATTGTTAATTAGGTATCATAATAGTAACCTTTTTGTCCATAAGTCTATCTCTTCCTTCGTCTTTATCTTTATTTGATTTTTCTTCTTCTGTTTCTTCGTTCTCTTTCATTTGTTTTTTGCTGAGTTTTTGGATTTCTTTATTTTTCTTCAATTCTTTTTTCATTTTTCTAGCTTGCATCCAGCTGTCGACTTTGCTTTTGATTTTTGTCTTAGGGAAACATCCTAAAAACCATACAATATAATCGGCAACGCCCCATACTTTTACGTCGTCTCGGTACCCTTCTCTTATTCTGACTTGTCGATATGCGTCCATATAGATTCCTATAAAGGATGAAGTGACGAAAAACATCACAAAAAATAAATAGCAAATATATTCTACTATAAAGAGCTAAAAAACATCTAATTTCATAATAATTAAAATAGCATAGTGCATTGCACTATTTTCTGATTGGCCTACATGTGCTAAAATCTGTTTCTCACGTGAAAACCTTCCCCTGATAACCTCAGCGTATTAAAAAACAATAGGCAGGCCAATCAGAAAATAGTACAATGACCTATAATTGAAGTGTTATAAACTATTAATAAGGAATAAAAAAATAACGTCCAAAATGCATTAATCCTGATAAGAGTTTGGGTATTTCCTATCCCAATTGAAAACAATACGTTATACAATAGAGCATAACCAAAATTACGATAATAAATAAAGTAGCTTCCCCACACAGAAAGCGCTAAAAAGCAAAATCCGATTATCAGAGGAGAAATTAAAATCACATACGCCGCCAAGTCTTTTATAGCCTAAATATCTTTTACAATTGATATATTTTTGGTAAGCAAATAGAGGCGTTTGCTTATAGTTAGAACGTGCACCATTCTAAACATAACACAAAATAACGACCAAGCATTAATAATTGTGGCTGTTCTATAAGCAAACCCAACTGTGCTAAAATCGGGTGCAGGTCAAATAGCTTTGCCTTTTTGATAGTATCCATTTCACCGAAAAATTTTTGGCCGAAAATTGATCGAAAACTTTTGATAGTGAGACATTTGACCGAAAAAAAAGTTAATTTTTCGGCCAAATCTCGCACTATCAAAATTTTCGACCAAATGGATTTCGATGATATGTACACTGTCAAAAATTCACGGTCATTTGACATGGAGCCGCTAAAATCATGAAAATAATTGTCTTTTAAAATTTTTTTTTCGTCTGCGTTAATTTTTGCTGCAAACGCAAGCGTTGTGATAAAGAGCGCCATCATAAATCAGTCAATAAAAGAATAAACTGACACAAATTTCCTCCAATTTCTTTTTCCGTATTGGTCTCTTTGTAAAGCTTTGATAGTTCCATAGGCTATGAAATAAATACAAAAAATGATCCTGAACGCCATCATTACAAGTGCAGGCCGATAGTCTTCATATGTAAGATCCCCATGAAAAATGTAGGGTCTTATAGGATTAGCTTTAATTTGACCAGTTACAGAGATTTCTAACATTAAAATGGAGGCGTTTTGGTAAGGATAGTTCCTTTACTTTGGACTCAGTGAAGGGGAACTTAAGTTCTTCTGAGAATTTGTCTATAAGAGAGACGTCACCACTGGCAATAGGTGGCGGGTTCTTTGAAGTGGGGACGAATAAAGTTCTTGGGTCGTGTAGCCCCGCCGATCCATTGCTCAGAGCGGAGCTCATATCCACTTAAAAGGCTTCAGAAAACCGAAGATCAATAAAAGAGGGGAAACTCATTAACTAACAGAGAGATTTCTATAATCTAAATAAAGCTTACAATATCGTCTCATATCCAGTAATCAGAGTTTGGGAGGTAAAAACTTAGAGAAATAATAACTGCTCTTACGCTGTTATCAATCCACCCTTTCTCAAAAATAGCATTCATTTGGTCTGTAAACTCTTCTAAGGTCAACGAATAGGTAAAATCTTTGACATATCCGCTTCCGTCATAATTAGAAAACTCTCCTATCAGTATTGAGCTGATATTAGTGTAGCTTGTAGACCTATAAATTTCGTAATCCTGGGTATTTCCTGAATTTAGGTTAAGCTTTTCTGTATATTTAGTATCATCATCATATTCACTATGATAACAAGTTGCATTTTCTATTTCAAGGCCATCATTATGGAAGCAGCTTTTTTCCTGGGTCCTTAAAGTCCTTATTCTAAGCGGCCCTACAGGTATAAAATATTCACTCGTCAAAGGAGGGTCAGAAGAATCGTAACTTGATGCATAAACCATTCGGGCAAGCACACTTGTAATAAAAGATTTTACAGACAGAATACTCGTCATTGATGACAAATACTCTTCTGTGGTTGCAATTTGTTGTGAAAGCCAAAAATCGACCTCATAAGAAATCCAATAAGTTTTTTCTAAATCTATTAGCGCGATATGAATACCTAAAGTTAGCGCCAAAATAATAGTAATCACAACCAGTGTAGGACTGCTTAAACTTCATATGCTTACTCCCTCCGTGAGCGAAAAGACCATTGGAAAAATCCCACTCTGTGAGTGAACAATAAATCTTTTTAATAGAAAAATTTTTATAAAAAAATATGATAATTATTATAACGAAATCTCTAGCTGATTCTATTAATTTACATTTTAAGAATTAAATTATTTTTACTTTCCAACAAAAATAAATTCACCTCCCTCAATGAGCGAACAAAACTATTATTTCACTTAAGAGGGAAAGTTAGCCTTTCCTTTTCCCAGTCTTCATTTACTTGTGCTTCATCTGGAAGATGGGTTTGCATGCCTTCATAAGTAAGCAGAAATTTATTATAATTGATTTTTCTACCTTCGTCGTTAAGGGCTCTTTTTTGTCTTCTATTCCCTTGTTTAGAAAACTGGTTTTTATAGTTTTCTTCTATAAAATAGTCATCAGGATCCGTAAAAGATTTAGTGGCGCTGTTGTCTTTTTGGATTATTCAGAACTCAGGTTTCATGCGCTGCTCACATACAATTTTGACGACGTTATCTTTAAAATGATCGATAAATGAGTAATTTGGGGCTCTTAAGGCAAATAAATTTTCATCTAAATTCCAATGTTTACAAGCTATAAGTTTTAATTGTTGAAAAGTTGTATACAAATTTATATAAATAAATAAATATAATTTTATTTATAATAAAAAATGCTTTTATTCGCTATAAATAGATATAGAGGAATTTAAGCGGACACTAAGCTCAACTGCATTGGACCGATCAAGCTTTCGGAAATCGCCATCTTTCAAATTTTTAGTATAAAGGATTTTTGCGGTATGCACAAGTGGGACATTTTCTGTTTTTTCACGGAGATCGTGGATTGATCGAGTTTTTGTAGGCAAAATTGGCAGTTTGGCCTTAGCTAATTCTTCTAATTTTTCTTGGAGTTTTTTTCCGACTTCTTTAAATTCTTTATCATCAACGCGCTTTGAGATGTCAGGCTTGTCTTTGTTTTGCATATCTTTTAAGTTCTGGATACGGATAATTTCTTGGTTTACTTCAGCGATTGTTCTTTGTAAATCATTTAAACTATGCTCAGATCCTTTCAGCTGGGTACTTTTAGCAGAACAGCTACCTTCAAGTCTTGCTTTGTCCATTTGAATTTTTTGGATTTTGTCTTCTAACGATTTAAGCTCTTCTTCTTTTTTGGCAAGTTCTTGCTTTAGTTTACGTTTTTCAAGAACAGACATTTAATATTGCAAATTAAAACGTATAATATGTATGATTTTAATTTATGATGAGTAGTTTGTTTGGCTTCTGATTTTCAGAATAATTGTGCAATAGGAAATTTATATAATGTTTTGGCATGTAATCTTATAACGTTCCAAGTGCCAAGATTAGATCGGCACATTGGAGCTTGAGTAATAAGGCTTGTGCATGAAAATATTTTTGAAAATGTGGATTATTATAAGAAATTATGCTAATTCTTAATAAAATAAAGAAAGAAAATGGTGAAGTTGATAGAAAGGCTCTGAGGCACAATCCCTATGGAACAGATAGGACCCATCCTAATAAAGTTAAAACAGATCTCTGCCCCTTTTTGAAGTAGGCCTTCAGGTAAGGCGATGTCTGCCAAATAGTGAAGTTTTGTTTTTCCTCGAACTTTTTCTTTTCCTGCCAGGTTTCTAGACAAGTTTTGCCTACCACATGGTTTCTCCTTATTGGGACTATTGAGGGTACCTTCTAGACGGTGGCTCTACACTGAAGAGCTGATCCCTAGGTGATTTAGACAGAAATCTAAAAGGGCAGCCTTCCATTTTACTCATAAAACTCTGAGAACTATAGGAACTTCTTTTTGAGCCAAAACATTCGATGGCTAGTAAGTTTATCCGCATATGACCAGCATTATTAATATAGCATAATAAAATAAAAGATAATACCAACAAATGCAATGTTTATTCAATTTTTTGATTTTATTTGACAAAATTCAAATAAAATGTCTGAAGATAATTACTCTGAAGATTTTGAACCTGACCAAATAGCAGAAGAAGAGCATCAGCTGAGACTTTCATTCGAGCTGCACTCAGTAAAAGATTTGCCTGAGTCAGCATTTCTTTATGTCAAATTTAATTACCCACTTCTAGGAAATGGGCGCACTCAAGCAGCAAATATTCGAAAAAACACAGAATGCAGGGTAGAAAACGCCTTTCAAGCCCATGAATTTGCTATGACAAAAAACCAGCTTTTGCCTACATTAAGCAGCTCTCCTTTTGTTTTAGAAGTCTGGCATGCTGATAAATTCACAAAAGACAAGCAGCTTGGAACAGTCTCAATTAAAATGGAAGATCTGCTGCGAGCGCCGCTTAAAAAGACAGCTGAAAGTGTCCTCAGAGTTCTAGACTCCTGGCTTTCAATAGAAAATGACTCTGGAAAATACGGCCAAATCCGAGTTTTACTATATCTAGAAGATCTAGGTTTAAAAAAACCAGGCGCAGCTTTAGCCCAAGCCACCCACCCAACTGACTACCAAACTGCTTTTGAGCTAGAAGTATGGAAAAAATCAGAAGAAGCCAAATGAAAAGCCACATTAAAAGAAAAAGAACAGCAGCACATTGCCTTAGCCTCTGTAGAGTGGCAAGAGCGTGAAAACCAGCGCGAAAGGCAATTCCAAAAAATCACAACTGAGCTTACCCAGCTAGAAAACAAAGTCAGAGCTAAAGCATTAGAGCTTCAAAAAAGGGAACAAAAAATAATCAGCCTTGAAGACGAATTAAGGCAAAAAATCAACGACACAGGCAGACAGTTAGCTATAAAAGAAGAAGAAATCCAAAGCTTGAAAAACCGGTTTAACGACTCTAGAAATGCAGTTTCTAAAGAAAATAAAGCCCTGCAAGCTAAACTTGACCAGCTCAGAGAAGAGCTTAAAAAAACAGAAGAAGAGCTATATAGGGTAAGACGGGAACAAGACTCCACAACAGTCCAAAATTTAAGGACTGAGCTTAATAATAAACAGCTAGAAAATATCGAAATGAAAAGGCAGCTCGACCAGATGGCAGCTATGAAAGAAAGCTACAGGCAGCAGTTCGAAAAAATAAAAAGTGAGCTTGTCAGAGCTTTAAGAAGCCACGAAGACGAAAAAAAAGAATGGCAAAAGCGAGAAATAGCTGAAATTGCCCAGCTTAAGCTGACTTTAGAATCGAAAAAAATCCAAGAAGAAGAATCCAAAGAGCTTAAACAAGTCAAAGAAGACCTCATAACCCTCCAAAAAACCTTCAAAGAAAATCAGCCAGACAACCTCAAGCCAAACCTGTCAAAAACTGAAAAAGTCTTCGAAAACCGCATCAATCTTCCAATTCCCCATACCTCGGAATTTTATTCCGCCAAAGAAGAACCTTCTTCAGTAGATGAGCTTACACGACTAAAAACAGAAAAAGCTGAACTTATTGCTTCAGGGATGTATACTGAAGAAGACGCCTTAATTATCGAGCTGGATCGCCAAATCGCATTTTTAAGCATTTAAATTTAATTATAATTTTAAATGAAAACTCTGTTTTCCAGCTTCTTTAGGGATAAAAAGAGACTGTCAAAAGATGAATTTAAAGAGCAAACCCAGCTTACGAATTTGCCTCAAGAACAGCCAGAAAGGGTGATTCATAACAGGCCTTTAGAACTAATGGATCCGCCAGAATTGAATATGAGGGATCCAAGGATTTATAGAGGCTTTCCATACACAGAAAGGCTCGGGACATCTTGTATTGGCTGTGCCAGATTTTGAGGGAGAGAAAGCAAAAATCATTTTTCACGAGGAAATACTGCAGATGTAATGAAACAAGATGCGGTGTCAATTGATGAAAAAACATATGCAGTGAGGGAGCATTATAAAGGGAAATCGTTATATTTGAAAATACATGACACGAATGGCCTGAAATTAGACCCAAACGTAATACATCCCTTTGTCAGGATACACATTATGGATATAAAGTTTATTATAAATATTCTCATATATTATTTCAGTATATTTTAGCTTCTATTTATAGTAAAAATAATATTACAAAAAATTCTTATTTAACTAAAAGTTACCCACATAGCGTGATAAACTACTATGAAGGAATGGGGCAGCTAAATACAAGCCACGAGTACAGCTCAGGAGATTGCAGCTATATTTATCCTTTTTCAACACCTCCTTGTGATATGAGAATTACAGGCGAAAATGACCCACATTGGGATGAAGAATTTATACTAGATGAAGACGCAGCCTATGTCCTTAACCCTAACAATGTGATTTTATTCGAAATTCTTGACTTTAATTTTAGACTCATCAAGCAGAACTCCAATCTTCTGAGGCAAGACAAAATGTACCCGGTTGCATGGGCATTTCTTCGTCCAATTGGCAGCACAAAAATGCATCTTGGGATTTCTAACTCCCCCCCCTCCGTGAGTGAACAAAAAAATTTTGTTCACTCACGGAGGGGGGTTAATTTTTTTTTTAAAAAAATTTATATAGAAATTTTTTATAGAAATTTTTTTTTTCGAAATTTAAAACAATCCTAATTTGCAAAAATTTGTAATAAATATTAATTTAATTTATAAAATTTATGTTTTTAAAACGCAATTTGTTTAAAATTAAACAGAATTAGCTCTAGATTTCATTATAATAATTATCACTTATATATCAAAATTTTCCATTAAAAATTTTTCTATTAAAAAATTTTTTGTTCACTCATGGAGGGGTGGGTTTTTGGTCAAAAAATGGGGATTTTTCTAATGGTTTTGTTCACTCACGGAGCGGGGGAGTAAGCTGCAGCTTTACAATTTTAAATTTAAACCTCAAAAAGGCTTTGGAGAGCTCAGGAGGCCTGAAGTTTACTATAATTTTAACTGGTATAACAAGGAGCTTTATCCTTCTTTTTTAAGAGTTGAGCTGAGAGTAATAGAGCAGCCAGAAAGGAAATTTGTAAGGTATATGCCAATATCTCCTTTTGAAAGAGAAGAAGGCGAAAAAACCTATGAAGAGCTAGAAATGGAAGCAGCAGAGCCAAGAAAACTAAAACTTGGTGGAAAAGAAGAAATTGATGCAGAAGCACTAGAAAGAGCAAAAAGACTGACAAAATGGAGAAGACTGTATCAAGAAGACTGCATGATTCCTAATAAGCTTGCATTTAAGTTGCAAGCTAGCAAGCTAGGGTGTTGGAGGTTATCTTTTTCTCATAATGGGAAATATTTGGCTGCTGGGTGTACTGATGAAACAACGGTCATTAAAATTTATCAAGTCGAGGATGGAGAACTGACACTGACTTTAAGAGGACATGCAGACTTAGTCCATGATTTAGCGTGGAGTGAAGATGATATGTACTTAATTAGCAGCTCTTCAGATGGGACGACCAAAATATGAGACTTCACAGGGATCTTCAGAGGTGGAGGCGAGGCTACTGGGTTTACACAGTCTGCCTTTAACCCTGGGACTGCTGAATTTTTAAAAGTCAGCTTGCAGCATCCTTCTTATGTGTACTCTGGGCAGTTCCACCCTGACCAAACCCATTCTGGCTACTTTATAATCGCAACTGCTTGTTTTGATGGAAATGTACGGTTTTGGTTTTCCAACCCAGAATCGACTACCATGAATTCTGAGCTCCCCATTATCCCTCAGCAGCAGCTAGACTACCAATATCTTAAAGAAGAACGTCTAAAAAACCCAACTGATGCTGAACTATTAGAGCACCGGCATCCTAATACAATAGTTTTTGATAACCAAGAAATAATGTACGTAGGAGACTCTTTAGGCATGATCCATTTATTTAGTGTCCAAATCAGGGATAATATGCTGCAGACTGCATTAATTCATCAAGTCAGCCTTGATGAGCTATTAGGAGACCCTATTAATACTATATTATTACAGCCTCCTGAAAAAAGATTTTTACTAGTGCTTACACGTGATAACGTAATCAGAAGAATTGAGCCTGCAAGAGCCGCCCAAGCTGATACCCACGATTTAATAGATACAAGGTTTTTTGGGGCAAAAATCGCGAAATTCGCTGTGAGAAATTGCATAAGTCCTGATGGGCGGTATTTGTTGTCAGGGTCTGAAGATGGGAAAATTTATTTGTGGGATGTGGCGACAGGGTATAGAGAAGATATTTCACATTTAGAAGTAGGGGTGAAGGATTTGATTAGTGATGTGGCATGGAATTCGACTTATAATATGATCGCTGTGGCTGGATTTGGGTCTGAGCTGCCGATTTTGATATACTGCTATGAAAAAACACAAGAAGATGCAGAAAATGCCCTTATGGAGCTAAATAATCGAGTGCCTGAGGAAGGAAAAGACTATTTAGCGCCACAAAAAGAAGTTATCAGCAATTTGGCTTATGAAGTAGGAGCCACACGAGAGCTTCCTTCACGGCAGTCAAATTTCCCACGGTATTAATGGCAATAACTAAAAATTTAATTATCATTTTCCATATAATAAAATGCAGGGTGAAATGGACCTTTCTAAAGATGAAAAACAGCTGATTTTTGACTATTTTTTCTATCACATACAAAGTCCTCTTAATACAAACGCTGAAGACTATCGCAAATTTAACACTTATACCTTTAGAGCCATTAAATTGAATTTTTTGTACACATTAGCATTTGGAATGGCATCTTATAATTTATTCTTTCAAAAAGATTGGGGAATATTAACTCATTGATAAAAAAAAATTAAAAATGCCTATTTAGATAAAAAAATATAATTAAGATTTTATTGCCTTCCAGAAGGATAAGAGGAGTTGTGAAGCCTGGTCTAGTAGCTTTTGGGCTTTTTGGCTACAGCTGCATTATGTTTGCGAGGAGATTTAATAACGCTATATATAATGAAGAAGCCTTAGAATGCGCTAAAAAATATGAAAAAGATGTTGAACGATACAATGACCATTACAGAAGAATTTATGGAAATAAATAATTCACTAGATTTATTAATAAGTTTAAGCTTTAGCCTGAGTTGCCTTCTCAAATAGTGAATCGACTACCAAATTCAGTGTATCTAAAAATTTCAAAGAAGTGTCATAGAGTTTTGAAGCTGGAGGGTCGTCGTATACAATTAAACATCCGATGCCTTGATCGAGGGTCCCTTCGAATTTCTTATCTAAAATCATCTGAGAAAGCTTTTCAGTCACTGCGTCTTCAGGCAGTCCAATTAGCTCTGCAATGTGGCTCAGCTCGACTTTGCTGAATGGCTCGATGATTCTTATTAGATGCTGCTCAAGCATGGTGTCGTATAAAGCTTGAATGTGTCTGTTTACTACGCTATCCCCTTCTAGCTCTTCTCTGAAATTTTGTAAAACTGATTGAAACTCGTGAAGAGAACGAATTTCATGGGCATGAGCTACAGCTTTCATAGAATCAATTTCTCTCCCTGTATACTTAATCCCTCCTTTTGTGTTTATAAGCGCATATGCATCTTCCGGCTTATTACACATAATCTTGGATACCAGCATATACTTTAACGCTTGTAGCGCTCTCGGATCATCTACACTATTAAACCCTTCATGTGCCTCATAAAAATAGCTGAACCCAGTCCTATAGTCTTTTTCCTCACAATTTAAAATTCCTGACATTAAGTCAATTTCAGCTTGTAAAATAGGTGGACAGTATATAGAATTTGCACAGGATCTTGACGATGTTAAAGCAGCCTTAGCTCTTGGGACGTTTTCTAATTTATGGTAAACTTTGCTTTCAATTAGCTGAATTTCGACGAGCTGCAGTTTATCATCAAGTTTTTTGACTTCTTTTAGAAGGGCGCCTAAGGAATCTAAAGCTTCTTTGTATCTGTTACTCTCTAAATAAAGCTGAGCTAGCTTAGTTTCTAGCCTCTGTCTCAGAAAAGCACGCTTTTCTTCATTACACCAGGCTATTGAGTCTTCACAAAGCTTAATTTGTAAAGAAAGAGAATTGGGGATTAAGGAAGAAAAATCAATAAGCGATCTGACAATTTTGGCTGTTTTTGCTTTAGGGAAGGCGTTGAATAAGGGACGGATTTCTTCGACGAGGTAGGCTAGGTCACTTGATCGGTGCTGCTTTGCCAGGAGCTCGCCTAATGTGAGAACTGCGCCTTCTTTGACGCGGGCGTTGTCTTCTTCGGGGAGTTCAGCATGGATGAGGGCTCTTAGGACAGAAATTGAGGATTCGGGATCAGTTTTGAGAAGTTCTTTAGCTCTTTTGAGTTCTTCCATATTATTACTTGAGTAGATAAATAGAAAATGAATGTTGATATAAATGAAATTAATAGATGCTAGGAAAAAGGCAGTTATTTGATTAAATAAAAGTTTTAGGGAAATTAGTTTTTGATTTGCAGATTTTATATGCCAAATTTATTAGGATAATAAAATTTTTAAAGAAATTAAATAAATTTTGTAATCAGATAGCATTTGCTTAAAGAGCTGCTACTATTTGTCTTGCATTGAGTATAATTATATAGACGCAAAAATCGAAAAAATCTAATTTAAAGTTTTTTTAGAATATTTGAAAATCTAATGCCAATGCCACTTATGCATTATACGCTTAATATGAATCATCTTAAAAATAATTATGCTTATAATCCTAAAACCGTTAAAATTATATTAGCATTGATTTAATGCAAAAAAATAAATCCAGTAGTCATTAAATGCATTTATAAATCAATAATAATTTTTTTATCTAATAATATCTTTAATCTTTACATCTGAATTTATTAAAAAGCCTCCTTAAATAATTCCCAAAACTCTTAAATTACTCTGGATGAAAAATGCAAAATTTTGAAGCTCTTAAAAAGCCATGCAAACCTGGCGAAGTTTTCAGCCCCCCGCGCTCACCAAAGCCAGAAAACACCTCATTAATCCTCACCCCTGAATTTTCTCAGCCTTCCCCATCTGCTTATGCATCTCACAGACGAGCTTACAGTAGAGAATCTCCACAAGGCCAAAAGGGCTTAATAGAACACTTTGCAAAAGAAAACAAAAGACTAGCCCAGCGCATTATGCAGCTTGAACAAATCCAAGAAGATATCCTATTTTCCTCCGCCTTAATTTCCCTTATTTATTTTCAACAAAAAAAATTATATTTACTATAAAAAATTTATATATTAACTGAGCATCAGAAACTGTTACATCAATATAACGACGAACTAAAACAAAAAATTATTAAATGAGAAGGCACAATCAAAGAAAAAGATAAATATATCAAAGAATTAGAACGTGAAATAGAAAACTTGCATAGAGAAAATGACTCTTTAAAAGGCTCTCCTTCGAAATACAAAATTTACAAAGCTGATAGAATTTTGGAATGCGAGCAGGTCCTTGTTAGAAATGGCTTTATATCATTTGATGGGAACATTTTCCTGTGATATAATTTAATTTTTTTTAGAGAAATTCCTCATGAGGAAAATGTTACGACCAAAATTCCTAGTAAAAATTTCATGGATGTGTTAGAAATTTAGAGAATTTATCAAGAATTACAGAAGATAATGCAGAAATTGATGGGTTTATAGCGGATGAACTTTTTGCATTAGAGCAAGAAGAATATGCTGGACAAGGGGAAGAAGGATATGAAGTAAGTGCAATACAAGAAGAAGGAAGAGTAATGTCTTTAGGACAAACTGAAGTAGAACCTGCTTGTATGCTGGAGAGCTTTGAAAACACAATTGAGTTTAAAAATAGCAAGTTTATGTCTTCACTTACCAGTGTTCAGCTTGAAGATATTGATATCCCTTATATTGGCTATCCAATGTCTCCACAAAGTGCAGAAATTATGCTACTGCATAAAATAAGGGATAAAGATGAAGAAATTGCGAGGCATAAAGAATTTATAAAGAAATTGAAAAACTCTTTAGAAAGCATGCTACAAGAACACACTAAGTCAAGGATAGAAATGGTAAAAAACAAGCAAGAAATACAAGAACTTACTCAGTGAGCAAGCAAAATCATTGGAAAATGTCTATTTTTTTAGGAAAAAGCCATATTCCTTAAGCCAGTAAAAATTATTTTAATAAAATTTTATGCATTCTAAACATAATTTTGCATATTTAATTTATTTTTATTTTCAATTTTTTACATATGGGATATTTTTAAATTTAATATAAAAATTAAGTAGAATTTTTTTTTCTTGCTCAGGGAAGGAGCGTTAGAGAAAAGTTAGGTTTAACTATGCCTAGAGAAAATAATTGTAAAGATTAACGATTTTCGGTAAAAATAAATATGAAAATTGTGTTATTTTGTCTTATTGCGATTGCGCTTGCAGCAAGATATGATATTGAAGAAACAGATGAAGCATTTATTAACCCAGGAGGTATAACTTATTTGGAAGCAAAATCTGAGCCAAAGTCAGGGTATATCTGGTATATGATTTCTACAACTTCTGAAAAGATAAAAATTGAGAGCCCAGCTGGTGAATATTTCCCACCTACAGATGAATCAGAAGCTTTTGGGAAGCTTGTTTTTACGATAAAATGTAGCAATGCATGCAGAGAAGGCGAAAAATTCAAAGTGATCGGCGCGCTACAATATTCATGGCAAGCAGCTCCATTTGAAGTAAAAGAAATTGAAGTTACAGTGACTAATCAAGATCTAACCAGAAGGCTGTAATTATTTTATTAAGCAAGCGTTAGATTTATATATCTTTATTAAAAATTATTAAAAATAAGAATTAGGTGACTAGCTTTATAAGTATTATTAAATCTTTAGTTATTTTTTTGCTCCTCCTGAGCTACTCTTGCAGTCAGCACCGCCCCACTCTGTATTTGAGGATAGTCTGAAAGTGACAGTGGGCCTAAGAGTTTGCGCCCTTCAAAAAACAGTTCCTAAATAATTTTTACAATTGCTTCGAATTGATAATCAGTCTGACTTGAAATTTTATATATTACCCATTCAACATTAACGCCGCCTTTGAACTAAATTTAAAATTACATCATCTTCAATTCTTCTACCATCTGGTAATGCGATTATAAGCCTAATTGTATCTCCTGCAATGGCTTCGCTTTCTTCATGCGAAGTTTTTACTTCTTCAGATACTCTTCCGTCTCTGTGGAGATTCAGTGGAGATGCCATTTATTATTGATTATAAGTTTTTGATATTTTTGGGATATAATAATAGAATGGCTTCGGATGACTTCGTGATTATATACTTTTCCCAACTTGTGTATAGTGTTTTACCTCTTTCTCTTATAAAAGGAAGCCTTTAGGCCGAACAGATGCTGGAGGAAAGTCAAAGAGCGCTGCAACACGTCAAGCTGATCAGCTGCACATTGAGAGACCAAACTAGAAGTTAGTTAAATTAAGCTAAATTTAACTAATTTTTTGGGATAGTAAAACAGATAAAGTATGAGCCTAACAGTATATGTTGAAAGCCATGAGCAAGGATTCCCGTTTATATTGCCAGTAATTAGGTCGAAAAAGCAAAGTGAGGTGCTTAGGTCGAAATCTGTTTTTGTGCCCAGGGTGCATTTTCCAGATATTTTAGGGAAAAAGAGTGGGAAAGGGAAAAAGAAGGGGAAACGGGCTGGGAAGAAATCAAGGAGAGGTTTAAGTCCTGTGGCAGAAAGAAATTTGAGAAGGATTTCAATCAGTCCTATTAGTGTATCAATAATTCCTTAATAATTCCATTTTAAATCTTAATGAAATACTTAAGCCTAGAGAGTTTTAAAATATCTTTATTATTTTCTCTTAATTTAATCAAAAAAAAGCAAAAGTTTATAATAAATAAACAATTTTTTTAAAAATATTCAGTTTAATATATATTGACTATTAATAATCAATTATTTTTATTAAACACCTTAAAACAAGCATCAATAATCTTTAAATTAACATAAAATAATACAAATAACTTAGCCTCAACCCTAGATTAACCATTTTGTCTCCTATCTTTTTATATAATTTTTTCTTTTTTATCAAAAGCTCTTTCTTGATAATTAAGATATCTTTTCATTAATTTAAAATAATCTTTTCTATATCCTTAGGTGCAGGTCAAATGACTTTGCTTTTTGATAGTGTCCGTTTCACTGAAAAATTTTTGGCCGAAAATTGATGAAAATTTTTTATAGTGAGACATTTGAGCGAAAAAGCCTGTTAATTTTCGACCAAATATCCGCACTATCAAAAAGTTGCGACCAAATGGGTTTCGATGAAATGTATACTGTCAAAAATCCACGTTCATTTGACATGGAGCCTATATCCTTATCTCGTAATACTCTTTATTTGGCCAGAAATGGCCAAATAGTCGACCCTACCCTAGAGTTATTGGCCTAGGGTCCGTAGCTTGTGGGAGGACCGGGGTGAGTTTTACCAGCTCTAATTGGACTTTTTCTGGACCCTTAGACGGGTAGCAACAAATTCGGGACGAATTCATTGAAAAAAGGATACTAGGAGGCTTCGAGTTGAGCGTGGGGCATGAAGGAGGACCAGGCATTTATCTTCAGGTTGATTTCTCCCCTAAAGTAGGAACCTGCGACCGATAAGTCCTGAATTCAAGGGAGCAGGGTCTCCCCGACAGATGTCGATGTCACCATTTTTTGATGACATCCTCAGAAAAGAACCAAAAAATTTTTTAGAAGATTTATTGAAGGATTTTTAATTTTGGGACTTATGCCTGAAAAAATTCACTTTAAGTAATTTCTCTCTCTCTTATCTCGTAGTAGGGCTCGGTGATCTCTGATAAGAACTCTTTTTTACGATAGAGTAGCTTTTATGTGTTGGAGGCCTTAATGATCTTGGAGCTGAATTCGTCCTAGAAAACGACCTTTGAAAATTAGAATTTTCTAAACTTTCCTGCCTAGACGATGATGTTAAAAACATTCTTTGACGTGAAGGGCTTCTATTAGAGCACTGCGACCTTGTCAAAGGTCCATCAGCCCTTGAATGCGGCACAATCTTCGGAGCTTTAATAGTTTTCGTGAACTGCGAGGCATATTTCCCAAACGGATTTGTTATATACGGAGTCTGCAAATTTTCTCTCAGCACAAATCTCGTTTTTTGTGTCTGAGTAGAGCCGTAATTTCTTGACATTTATTAAGACAACCTAAGCTTTTAGTTAAAATAAGAAAACTCCTCCAGACTCTTGTTTTTCTTTGTAAAATGCTTCGAAATACTGATAAATAATAGTCACTGCGAGAAGAATTCCAGTCCCTGAACCAATCGCTCCTAGTAAATCAGCCACAATTGTAAGAGCACCAATGCACATTCCTCCGAATGCTGCAGCGTTAGGGATATATCTGTTAAGCGTCTTCACCATACTTTCATATCTGTGGCCTTCTAAGAACATCTGTTGGTCTCTTAGCTGTTTTGCGACGTCTCTTGCTGAGCTTCCGCTTACTTCAATCCACGTTTTTGAGAAAAGGGCACATGAAGACAGCACAAAGACTACATATACAATTGCGTGGATAGGGTCAGTCACAATGTCTCCAAATTCTCTAGGTGGAGAAATATAATAAGCCAGCCCACCAACAGGAATTGAGTAGCCTTGGTCTAAATCTTGCCACTGTCCAAGAAGCCATACAAGTGTAAATGTCCTGTATCTTTTATAGAGGATTTGAGAAAAGAAATAGAGATTGGACACTAGGGCAGTTTGTAAAATAATTGGGATATTGGAGGTATAGAACAGCTTGATTGGATATGTCCCTTGATGGCCTCTTACCTTGCTTGATCTAATGCTTAAGTCAACTTTAAAGCCTTGGAAATAAATGACAATCAAGAAAATAAACACAGTCGCCAATAAACTCATAATATTTGGGGCATTTGACCTGTAAAAAGCTTCTTTAAGGGCTTGAATCTTATTAGTCCTCGTAATAAGCAGATGGAAAAGCGCTATAATGGCTCCCTCAAATTCCATCCCTCTCGACGTCGTAATTGTGGTAGGACTAAAAGCCCTCCATACAATATTTTCACAAATATTTGTAGCTATAAATAAAGAAATCCCAGACCCTAATCCGTAGCCTTTCTGTAAAAATTCATCAAGAATAATCACAATGACTCCAGCTAAAAAGAGCTGAATAATAATCATAATAGCGGTGACTGCGCCAATGTCAGAGATATTCCCATACATCCCACTGACGACGTAAGCGACTGCTTCTCCAATTGTAATGAGCATGCCGAATAGTTTTTGGGCGCCTTGAAAGAGTGCTCGGTCTTCTTTTAAGCTTTGGTCGACGTCAATTATTTTTGAGCCAGCTAAAAGTTGCATGATCATGCTAGAAGTGACGATTGGGGAAATGCCGAGCTCCATTAGTGTGCCACGGTTGCTGGCCATAATTACTCTGACCCAGTAGAGAGGATCTGCGTTGCTGGATGTGGAAATCCCAAAGAGAGGGATTTGACAGCAGACGAGGTAGATAAATAAGGTAATTGCGGTCCAAACTAGCTTGTCTCGGAATTGAACACGACGCATTGGGTTTGATACTTCAGGAAGGACACACATGAGTGGTCTGATCAGAGTAAGAAATCGGACTTTCTCGCTCATTTTTATGGTGAAAAGAAGAAATTAAAAAGCTTTTGAAGATTTGCAGGATTTTTGGTTTCCTTAAAAATCAAGTAATTATTGAGGAAAAAAGTGCTAAAAAATAAGATTTTTTAAAAATCTATTATAAGAATCAAAAAAAATGAGAAATTTATTATAAAAACATCTTAAATTACCCAAACTTCTTTTTGGACTATTATTAATGTCCTTATGATCAATTTCTCAGAATTTAAATCTCAAGTTAAAATGGCAAAGAAAAGTGTAATTCAAGAACTCTACCCTCACCTTTTTGAAGAAAAAGAGCAGGCTCAATCTATCATCAATTCTATGCTAAAAATCGAAGACGAAGCCTCGTCAATCAAAGAACGAGCCACTGGCAAAAAACAAAATTGAACCCCAAGTGACGACTATAAAGAAAATGACGACGATTTTGCTATTGCTTACCGCGTCATGGAATCCTACAAAAAAGAACAAAAAGACAAAGAAAAGCTTGACAAAGCTAGATCTTAACTTAACTTAGAAATTAGAAGGCGTCTGCGATTTTGATTACACAGTCACTAAGGACCCCAATGCGGGGTTCAACTGCTTTGCGCCGTCTTCAGATTCACCTTGTTCGAGTTGAGACAATGATTCGCTGGCCAAAGTTCAGCTCTGACACTGCCTTTCCCCTTCTTCAGCTCCTGGTGGCATGGTATTCTGAAGTGAGGACAAAGCTAGATCAAATTCAAAAAAAGTATATCGGGAGTTCGATCCTAGGCCAGCTATGGAAGAAAGACATCAAAAAGTATTAAAACAGCGACAACAGAGGCTAGAAAACCAAAATTTAATAAGTGTAGGCTCCAAACTAGAAATGCTCAGAGAAGAACGAAGAAAATTCCAAGAAGAAATTTCTCCTGATGAGCTTGAAGCTATGAAACAATTAGTAAAAAAAGAAGCTGAAGAAATAAGGCAGCAAGATTTAATCAGAAAAAAACATGAGCGTGCTGCAGAGGAAAGAGAAAGAATGGCTGTACAAAAGCAAAATTTGGCTAAAGAAAAAGAAAGAATTGAAAAGAATTTTTTGGAATTCAAAGTAAAACAAATTTATACAAAAATCCTGAACACAATAAACTCAGATGAGAGGAAAAATGTGAATTGGGCTTTTAAGCAGATTTTAAGCTATACAATAGAGCTAAAATCAAAAATGATAAAAATTGCAAGGAAATATAGGTTTAAAAGAATCAATAAATATATGGCGAGATGGAGAAAATATGTAAAAGATTTTGAAATTCAAAAAGAGCTGGAAAGGCAGAGGATTGAGCAGGAAAAAATGCAGTTTTTAAATGATACTGCAGATAATCAATATGAAAGCTGGCTATTAAGGAGAGGATTGATAAGCTGATGCAAGTTTATGAACCAGTTGAGGATTGAAAGAGAACAAGAAGAAGAGGAAATTAAGAGAAAAGAAAAAGTTGAAAGGCTGATGGAATTTGTAAGACAAAGAGCTGAAGAAGAAAAGGAATTAAGGATACAACAAGAAAGGAAAAAACAAATTGAAATTGAATGGAGAAAACAACAGCAACTGATTGAGATGATTGAAAAGAGAAAAATAATGGAATATGAAGAATCCCAAAAGAGAAACCAGGGTGTTAGTCAGCCAAAAATTGATGCCGCAATAGATACACCAGTTATTTTTGAAGAAGCGGCAGTTCAAGCTTCTTTTGATGAAAATCGAGAATTTGTGATTCTGCAACAAGAAAATCAGCAAAGGACTGAGCCAGAGAAAATTGTTATTGAAGAAGAAATATCATACCAACAATCAGAGTCGCCGACACAAAATAAAAAACCTCAAAAAGTACCTAAAGAGCTTGCAAAAATGAAACAAAGAGAAGAAGAACGTAAAAAAAAGCGCGAAGCACTTGAACAAAAGTATAAAGAAAAAAGGATTAAAGAGGAACAAGAAAAAAAAGAAAAAGAGCTAATAGCACTGGACAATTTGGCTCGTCTACCTAGCTTTAAGGCTCTACCTGGTAGTCTGACAGTCCGGCTCTACCTGGCTCTACTTCCTCTATATACATTAAAATGGCGACGGTGAACCAGCCCTTTTTCTCAACGCCTGTAGTCGGCTATGCCGGGGACCTTGTGGAAGAGAATTTGGCGCTCGGTGTGTGTATCCGGCTAGATTTTTCCTTGGTGCAGTGAAGCGCAGCGTCAAGTTTGATTGACCGTAGCTCATTCTGATGTCAGGTTTTTTACCTCAGGGGGAATGGTTTCTAGGTTGGAAAAGGGAGGCTCAGCTATACCAAGGGCATCCACTTGGTCAATCGGGGAACTTCCTAGCTCGATGCTGGGCGTTGCGTCCCAGGCCTGGATTTCCATTTTGGCCGTGAGTCTGACTAGAAGTATTATTTTAATCATTTCAGTATGCATTGATTCTAACATAACTTTTCATTTTATAATTGGTTGATATATTTTATTTATTTATTTATTTGATGTAATAATAGTAGTTTATAATGATTTTGTTTACTATTAAGATGATAATATAATTTATTTTTTAGTATTAAACTGTATTATAAAATTTATATCAGCATTTTATTCCTTTATAAATTGCTGGACTTTGTTATAGACTTGAAAAAAAAAAATATATTGGCAGCAATGCAATATATATGCAGACCTCTTTAATGTTTTATTCTTTGGAGATGATGCTATTACAGGCTATTACATTTGAATCTAATATATCATTACAAAATTCATTAAATTGATACTCCAAAAACCTAGGTAATTTAATTTGTTAAAGCCAGACTGCCAGGCAGAGCTGAACTGCCAGGTAGAGCCAGACTGTCAGGAAGAGCAGTAGAACCAGACTTCCGGACTGCAGGGTAGAGCAAGTAGAGCCGGACTGCCAGACTGCCAGGTAGAGCTGGGCTACAAGATTACCAGATGGCCATAGCACTTGCAGAAGAAAAGAAGAAGAAAAAAGAGATTATTGAAAAAAAGAAAGCTGAAGAAAGGCAGAAAAAAGAAGCAGAAGAAAAAAAGAAACAAGCTTTGATGGAACTAAAAGAAAAATGTGAAAAATCTGATAAATTTTACTATTTCAGCTTGGTGGCCAAAATGATTAAATTCTGGAAAATGTATTGCAGCAATGTGAAAGAAGCAAAAATAAAAGCTGAGGTATTTGGAGAAAGAGCTATAAAGAAGCTTATTTTAAGATATTTCATTGAAGGAATCGCGGTTTCAAGGCAGGAAACTCAAGAAATTGATCGAAGAAGGATGGATTTTGCATATGAGCACTATTTGATGAGACTTAAAAGCTGCGTTTTTCTAAATTTTATACGAAATCGAGACGATCATATGGAAAGGGAGCTCGAAATGGCCCAACATCATGATAAATACCTTTTAAGAATTTCTATTCAGGCATGGGCAGAAGCTAAAGAGGTCCTCAAAGAAGAAAGGATTATTCAAGAAAATAAAGATAATCAAATAGCTTTGAGATTTAGATTGAAAAAGTTAGGACCAAAAGTAATTAAAACTTGGAAAGAAGCTGTTGAAGAAGAAATTGAAAAGAAACTGAAAGACCAGCATACACAAGCAATGTGGGATAAAGTGCAGGGGTGGCTGAAGCAGCCTACAACGCAGTATGAAGATGATTAATGCCTAGTATTTTTTCTCCTCTGTCTGCAAGTAATTTTCACCCTTGCTAAAAGGGGCTTTTTCCTGTAACAGCACCTGACCGCAGTGTCCTGCTGAGGGTCAAGACAAAACGACTGAGCAGAATCAGTAAAGGTGGAGATGGAGCAAGTGACGAGCAAGTCTCAAGTCTATGCTCTCTAGCAGCATGGTCCGTCCATGTGCTTCCTACCAAGAGGAGGACCTATAACCTGGAGGATATGAACCGTACAGCAAGTCCTAAGTAGTGAGACGTTCTGGTGACGTCCTAAGGTGAGCTCGATCGGTATCGACCATAATTCTGACCAGAAATTAAGTATATAACGGCCTAGTATTTTCCATTGTTTTCATATATCAGAACCATTTTAAATTTTAACAATAAGATCTTGTTTTTAAAAACTAGCCTTAATTAAGTTAATTTTTGTTTAAAAAAAATCATGCATAATTTATAAGATTTGATATATGGAAAAAGTAAAAGCTTACTTGATTACCAGTCTAGGAATCGACTTATTATTCCTTGTTCTAGTATTAATCAGCCTCCATCTATCATTTTTCGCACTAGGGGTAATACCAAATTAGGATTACGACATCTCGCTTACAGAAATCTCCACGAAATTTGAAATTAACCTTGGCAGAGCATACTGTTCAGTTACATTTGAAGAATTTCAACAATCATCATGCCGACTAATAGATTACCCGATTGATATTATATGTGACCTCAAAAATAATTTAGAAGGAGCAGGCATCGTTTATATTATCTTTTCGCTTTTATCTATTATATCATTACTTTTCAGTGTACTACATTTTATACTAATTTTGATTGTAAAAATCAAGCCGTTCCCTTTCTTAAGTTATAGCCACATCACGTCAGCTCCTGCTTATATATTAGGTGCAATTTTTTATATATTAATCAGTACTTATTACTCGATTTCAGATACTAAAATCGGCCCAGGAATTCTTTTACTCCTGCCTCTTAAATTGGAGCAAATTTTTTAGGTAATTTTTTTTATAAAATTAGTTTTAACCTAATTTAATGGAAAAAATGCAAATAGAATATTATTTAAACAGTTTTCACACTTAGTTTTGAATTAATTTCTCAAAAATAAATTAAAATTCAAAAATATTGGATTCAATTTACAGTTTTTAATTTTTTAAAAAATTTTCGAAAATTTTTATTTTAAAAAATTAAAAAATTATTCCAATTGGGAGGGGAGCTAGTATATATAATCACTGCTATAGCTCTACTTCAAATATCGCTTTACTTTTATATAAAACTTTTTAAGGACTGAAACTCAGCTGACATTATGAAATATGCTGTAATTGATGAGCAAGTTAAAGCCGAAGATGGAACTGAGATGAATTTCACACATAGTGAAATTTTTAGGTCAAAATTTAATGAATTATCACCGAGGTATGAAGAATTACAACAGAAATATGAAGAAGAAACAAAGCTAACATCGTCACTTAAACAAGAAAAAATGCAGGAGTTTCGAAGATCAAAGCTAATTGAAGAAAGAAAAGAACAGGAAATGGTGCAAATGAAGGGTGAGTTGTTGAGGATTGAGAGAGATAGAAACGAAGCAAGGGAAAGAATAAAAATAAATGAAGAATCTATTATGAAATTGAAAAAAATAATTTTTGACTTGGAAAGTGAGAAAAGAATAGCGGAAACTAACCAGATTGATGGAAACAATATATATGGAACCCAAAAAAATAGCCAATATGAAGAAGCTGAGATCTCTAGTACAAAAATGCTTATCCAAAAAATAAAAGAATTGGAAAAAGAAATAGATTTAAAGGATAAAGAGATTTTGAAATTAAATTCAAGCGCAAATGAGGTATCTTTTGAGAAAGAAAGTGCTCAATTATTTGATTCTGAAAGCAGCATAAATAAAGTGTCATTCGGTTCGAGTGAAATTAGCTCCGTTAATTTTCTCTCCCTCCTCAAGCAATTTTATTTGTGGAGTTAGGTTTTCTTCTGAGAACTTCTGTACAGCAACAGCAGTTAACTCTGGCAGATAAGCTGAGGTACTGCTCCAAGTACATCAAGAGGCTCGAAGTTTTATCTCAGCACACCCGAGGAACGTGGCCCTTAGGCGGGAACAGGAGCTGAGTCAAGGAAGGCAAGGCAGCACAGCCCATCGAAGCTGGAACGCTGTATTCTGCCCGTCCCATGGTGCAACAAAGTGGTTCGATCCAGAGGTCAATGGGCCCGACACGTGGACAAATATGGTGGCAGCTCTGGAAATGGCTACCCCGTAGTGGACGTTAACGTAATAGATAATATAACGATAACGATTCTGAAAGCAGCAATATTAAATCTTATCAAAACTTAGAGCCAGAAACTAATGATTTGGTTCTAAAATATAAATCAGAAAGTGAATATTTGCAGCAAACATTAAATCAATTGTCAGACGAAAGAAAAATGGTGATAAAAGAAAATTTAACTCTTTTAGAAAATGTATTAAAAGCGCAGAAAACTATAGATGAAACAGATCTAAAGCTAGGATTATTAAATTCAGAAATTGCAAGCTTGAAAAATCAAATTTATGATTTAAATTTGCAAAATAGTAAAAATGAAGAAAAAATAGTTTTATATGCAGAAATTATTAAAAATCAAGAAAATCAAATTTTGATGAAAAATCAAGAAGCAGCTTCAATGAGAGAATTGGTGGAAAGTAAAGAAACAGAATTAGTAAATATTTTGAAGGAAGCCGAAGATTATAAGAATAAAGTGGCTAAATTAGTTGAAGAGTTGAGCAAAGCAGAAATAGAGAAAAATGAAATAATGAATACTTTGACTGATTTGAGACTAGAAAATCAAGGCTTGATGGAAGAAAGTGAGAAGCGACAAGGCTAAATATTTTCATTTTTATAGTTTGAATGATCTGTAACTCATTAGTAATTTATAGCTGTTTAAGTAATTCATTATTAATTATTTTATTTTTATAATTTTTATTGTAAATAATCCTAATTATACATCAATGGATTTATCCTTTAAAAATTATTAATTATAAATCAAGCTAACAGAAATGGGTTAGAGTATTAAAAGATAAATTGATCTCTGCTTTCTATATATGAAATTAATTCAGGAGATGAATCCAAAAACCTATAAGTCCATTCCATAAGTGTTGGCGCGCACTGCTCCACCATAAGTCTATAAATTTCAGCTTTCCCAGGCTTTAAAAAATAATCCCACATGAATTGAAAAACAATAAAATCAGCAACAGTTAATCTTTTCCCTACAAAGCAATCTTTTCCTTCATTATTTTTTGAAAGTCTGGCTTCAAATCTTCTAAGTCATTTCGGCACAATTTCATGAATAATCCTTTCTTTATTTTCAAGGTCATTTTTTATTGCTAATTTTGTAAAATTTTTGTTAACCCCAATAATAAATTCACATATAGAGTCTACAAGATATTTTTCCATTCAATCATCAGGCATTATTCCGATTTCATTTGCTAAATATCCAAGAATAGAATAGCATTCTGAATAGTTTTCGTTATCTATTTCCAAGACTGGTAATTTTCCTATCCTAACAAAACTATTATGCTTTAGATGACTCCAATCTTGAAAGCTTATTTGGTTATCTCGAAAAGGAATATTAAAATAATGAAATATCATTCTTATAGGCTCAGCTGTACCATAAATATTGAAATAGTGAAGAGTAATTTCACCTTCCATGGGAATTATAATCTGATATATCAGATAAAAATGGAATTTATGGAGGACTAATAATACTTTATTATAAATAGATTAAATAATAATTTTCATAATTTATCATTATCGCCTTTAGATTTCATTTCAAGATAATCCTCTTTTCACTATCAAATTTAATATGGAAATTTTTAAATTAGGGGCAAGCACTTTTTAAAGCATTTGCGAATTTTTCAACTTCAGCTTTTAGGTCTATATGATTTTTAAGCATCCTGAGAATATCATTATTTGGCAGATCAAGAATCATTGTAGTTATTTTAGCTGCTGTATCAGAAGGTGCTAGCGCCAAGACCAACGGATATAAATGTTCTCCCAATATTTGCTTATGACTATTATTCGGATATTTTGATAAATCTGGAATTATTAAAGACACAGAACTCACCATAAAAGCCAGATTTTCCAAATTATTATTCGAGTCAAGATTTTCTGCCTTTTTGAGCCACACAAAGTCTGATTTATCAATTTCTTTTCTCCTTATTGCTTCTTCATAATTAATTTTCACGCTGCAAGCAATAATATTAAAATTTTTTACAGTTGGGATTTCTTGGAAAAAATTCTCTTCCAATTCTCATGAAATTTGTTCAGCAGTGCTTGCAGAGTCAAATTTTTTGTATATACCTTCAGAACAGGTATGGCTCGATCTGAAACTCCGCCTTCCCTCCCCCCTGACGGTTTCAATTTTAACGACATTGTTAATTCAAAATGACAAGTCCCTCACGAAGGATTTGACAAGTCAAAAATTAATTTGTAGATTTCGATAAAGTTGAAACTGTCAGGAGGTGGGGGGTTCTCAGGTCGATCTATAATCGTGCTTACGGTATATCTTCATTGACCTTTTTCAGCTCTTTATTGCATCTATTCACTGTTGTATTCAAATTTTCCCCAATTTTCTTTATTTCTTGGACTTCTTTTAAGCTTTTTATTGCGGTTATGCATTTTTCAGTCCCTTCTTTAATTTCGTTTATCAATGAGGTTTCTGCGGCTTTAAAAGCTTGTATATGTTCATCCACAACTTTTTCGATATGTAATAAATATGGTCCTAAATTATTTAAGGAATTCTGATATTTATCCCTAATATTGATAATCTTATCATGGAATTCAAATAATTTTTTTTTAGATTTTTCTGCCTTTAGCCTTGATCTGTTGTCATTGAGTGAATAAAAATCATGGCTTAAGTGTTTAAATACACAATCGACACATAATAATGCAGAATCATTTTGGCAATATGCGATAACTTCTTGGTTGTGGATTTCACACATTGAAATTAAAGAGCCTTCTTCTACTATATCTAATAATGCATAATTCACCCTAAGTTTTGATAAGTAGCCAAGATTTGTGCTTGTTTTATCAAATGGACACTGTATAGATCGGCCTTTTATTAAGGATTCTGCGCACATAAGACAGATAGTGTGGCCACAGTCCAAAAGTTTAGGAAGCCGAGAATAAGTGTCATATGGATATGCGCAAATTTGGCATGCTGGAAAGTCGTTAATTTGTTTGCGGTATATTGCTTTTGAAGGTTTTTTGTTGTCGACACTCATTTACAATTAATTAAAAATGTCATCAGAATTCTCAATAATGTGCTGGATTTGGCACAAGTAAAAATCTATTATTATAATCTGACTAATTTAATGAAAAGTATGAGCTTTCCAGGAAAAAATGTGTTTATTAGTAATTCCGCGATCAGTAAATTATCTTAAAGAAAACCATTTAAATGTTGAATTTCGAATTAAATCTACCAAGAAAAATTTATTTTACTTTTTGATAAGTAAGCTTGTAAAATTTCAGATTTTTTGGACTGCTTTTTTATTGATAATAAAATAGAAGGCTAGATGAAATGGCTTTTAAGTGATAAAATTAGCTGAGGATTTGAATTTTCTTAATAACTCTATCCACATGATTTTTTAATTTCTTCCACGTAAATTAACACTTTTTTAATTTTTCGAATTTACATTAGATTTGATTCTAAGTTTTGCTATACAATAGTTTTAAATTCTGATGTAAAATTTTACCAAAAATAAGGAAGCTTTAAATAGGAAAAAAATCCAGCAAAATGGCGTTTTTTAACCTATCACTTGCTTTATTACTGAATTGCTCTGATTAAAACTTAGCTTCAGCTGAAATAGATGCCCTTAATCATTCATAAAGAAAGCCCAAAAACATTATATAAATCCCAAAAATTTTAAAAAAAAATAATTTAATGATATTATCAAGTATTTGCTCATAATCTAATTGAAATCTTCTCTCCTACCCTGTGAATCATAAATTAGCGCTTCCATAGACATTCTCTCAATGCATGGTCCACTAAATAACCCGAAATCTGATTTATATGTATCAATGAAAAACTCTTCTTCGTTGATAACCATCTCATTTACTGTTTCATCCTCAACACAGCAGGCAATTCTCGGCGAATTTTCTGCTGTCGAATTTTTGCCAAAATCAGACAAATAATTCTTATCATATGCATCCAAATTTTCCGCTGCATTTAATTCAGTATTTTCCCCTTCAGTATCTAATCCTACGCTTGTGTTAATTTTCATATTTGTGTGTCTCCTTACTTTTCGCCTTTGTTTTTTTGGTTTCCCATGTTTGCTGACATTCTTTTTTGGTAATTCTTCTTTCTTAATTAGACTATCCCAAATAATTTGGGAATAGCCTAAAATACAGGACTGGATAACTAAAAATAGTTGATTCAGTTTTGCTTTGTGGTGATGGTCCAATAAACAGTATACAATCAATCCAAAAAATAAAAAGATAATTGTAAACATTTCAAGCTCCGACGTGTACATTTTATATTGCGAGTTCATTTTTATAATTTCTCCAACAAAAATAATTTCAATTAGTTTTTTATTAATAATTTCTGTAAAATATAAAGAAATTATGATCAATTTGATTAAATCTTGGTTTTTTGAGCTTGCTTTTATTTTATATAATTTATATAAGTTTTATAAATCTATTTCAGCATAGTTGGAAGCCTCAATATTGGTTATAGAAAAATGCTAATAGAAATTAATTATAACAGCTGAGCCTTGAAATTAAAAAAATACAATTGTTCATAAAGGACTTTTATGCAATAATTAAAATGGCACAAAGCCTTATTCAAGATGCAACTAAAAAGCTAAACAAAGAGATGGAATCAAAGTATAAAAAACTTCATGAAGACGCTTTAACAGTGTGGCAGAATAAAGAAATAAAATTTGACGTCCAAGTTATGCATCTTGGCTTACGAAAAGGAGAAGTTATGGTCGATGCAATTAATGGGGTAGAAGACACTAAAGGAAATAACGGCGAAAGAGGCTATCTTATCATTACAAATCTTAGACTTATTTGGTTTGCTGAAAGAACACCAAAAACAAATCTGAGTGTCGGGTATGATTGTATAACAAATATTGAAATCAAGCAAACAAAATCAAAATTAAGAGGAAACGTCCAAGCTTTATATTTGAGGACAAGATTTAGAGACACCAGATATGAATTTATATATACCTCACTAATTGAGAATTCTCCCAGACTTTTTACGTCTTTTCAAAGCACATTAAGAAGTTATGACTCTACTAAGCTTTTCCGTGACTTCAAAATCAGAGGTGCCATAATCCAAGACAAAGAGCTAATCCTATTGCCATCAGAGCAGGTTTATCATAAATATTCAGGAGTTTGGAACATCACAACAGAACAAGGCAATTTAGGCACAATGTATATTTCCAATATCCGTGTTGTATGGTTTGCTAATTTAGCTGAAAGCTTCAACGTTTCTTTGCCTCATATCCAGATCAAAGGGATCAAGAAAAAAGACTCTCAAGTCGGCCAAGCTTTAATTTTAGAAGCCACCAAAATTAGTGGAAACCATATTTTAGGCTTCAGAACTGAAAGAATTGACGAAATTTTTTCTGAAATAAACAGAATATGAAGAGTCGCAATAGAAGCCCCAATTTTAGGCATTGAAATTGCCCACCAAGAAGTCCAAGCCCCAGCTGAACAAGTGAGACAGCCACGAGTGCTTGATGATATTGAAATTGTGGAGCCTGAGTACGCAGGTCAGCAGCACGCAAGTGCAGCGTATTTTGTGAGCTCAGCATCTGCCTCACAAGAAGTGATTTTTTCACCAGAATTAGGCTTAGCGATTGAAAAGCCTCCAAATGGGATCTCTTTTGAGCAGCTGTGGAGGATTATTTAGCAGTAAATAAAATTTGATGTATTGAAGAATAATAAATTGAATTTAAATATGGTCCTTTCTCCTCTGGAAAACCAACTCAAAGAAGCTACAGAATGGTCTCTTAAAAGCTATCTGGTTTCAAATGCAGTTTTTTTAAGTGAAAGACTGTCTTCAGAGCCGTCTTCTACAACTGAAGATGAAGAGCTTAAACTTCATTTACTAGCAAAATGCTATTTGGCGGAAAGTTCTCCTTACAAGGTGGTTTTGATATTAAAAAATTGTTCATCTGTGGAGAATTTGTATTTATACGCACTTGCGTGCTTTCAGACTACTAAGCTGGAGGAGGCTGAAAAGGCATTATTAAAATGCTCCTTACACACTTCAGCAGAAGTTAACTATCTATTAGGCCAAATTTGTGAGCGGCAGTCCAGAATCCAAGATGCAATTTCTTATTACTCCAAAGCCCTTAACCTAAACTCCAACCTTTGGACTGCTTTTGAAAAACTATGTGAGCTGGGCTATTTCATTGATACCTCTATTTCTTTCAAGACAGACGAAAAATCAGAGCACCTTTTCCCAGGGGAAAGCCCTTCAAACTTCCACCCTCTTACAGCTTCAAATTTTGGAAATTGGAGCCCTCCTCCTAAGCTAAACTCCCCTGCCCACAAAACGCCCGCCAAAACAAGCAAAGATCTCAAACAGCTACTTGCAGAATTAGGGAAGGCTTATCAAGCTTTAAGCCAATATAACACAAATGAAGCTATGAATTTATTAAAAGCGCTGCCAGACTCTCAAAAAAATTCAGGCTGGGCTTTGTGCCAAATGGGAAGATGCTGCTTTGAAAAGTACGACTTCGCTGGGGCTGTTGAATATTTCCAAAGAGCTTTCCAAAAAGAGCCTCAGAGGACTGAGGACACCGATTATTATTCTTCAGCTTTATGGTACGAAAAAAAGAACTCAGAGCTCTGTTACACTTTACATAATGCATTAAAAAATGCTTATTACGCTCCTCAGACCTGAGTGATAGCAGGAAATTTCTATTCTTTGCAAAAAGAAAGAGAAACTGCTATTAAGTGTTTTACTAGGGCGATTCAGCTGAATCCTTATTATTCGTACGCGTATGCGCTGTGTGGGCATGAACATCTGGCTAATGAAGATTTTGACCAAGCCAGGTATCATTATGAGTCAGCTAATAATATAGACTCAAGACAATATACAGCTTTGTGGGGCTTAGGAAGCTTGTATTTTAAGCAGGAAAAATACACTCAAAGCTTACAGTGCTATAAAGCAGCAAGGTCAATTAACCCCAATTCCAGCATCATTCTTACATATTTAGGAGTGAATTATAAAGCAACTGGGCATTATGAAGAAGCCATCAATTGTTTTGAGTCTGCAATAAGAATTGATAAGAAAAATCCTCTCCCTAAATTCCAGCTTGGAATTCTGCTGTCTCAGCTTGACAGAGACCAAGAAGCACTTTCCCACCTAGAAACCCTCTGCCAAGAAAACTCCAGAGAGTCTCACCTATATATCCAAATAGGGAAAATCTATGCCAAGCTAGGACAGCCTGAAAAAGCGTTAAGGCACTATAATGACGCTCAAGAATTAAACCCGAAAAACCATAGCGAAATAAAGAATTTAATTGAGCAGCTCCATGGAAGCTCAAGTTTGCATATGATGCCGTAGATATAAGATAACAATTTAGATAATAATCCTTATTTAAATCCTCTAGGCTTCTTGTCTTGTTTGTCTTTTTTTTCTTGGTTTTCTTTATTTTCCTTCATCCAATAGTTGTAAGTTGAAGAAACAAACTTGTCGAGGCCTGTCAGTCGTTTCTTCTTAGCCATTTCTTCTCTGTTCTTGAGGATTAATTCGTCTTGTCTTTCTAAAGCCTTTGATATTTTTTCAATTCTTATTGCTTTGTTTCTGTAGCTGAATAATAATAAATGGAGGCGTAGGTGAAATTTTGATATAGGAAAAAAGTAACCTATGGGTCAATTTATTATGAGTTTGATTTTACGAGAGAAAATTTATCAAATAACACTAGGTATGTATGACAAGGAGTGATTAATCTGTGGTTTGGTCTGAAGCTTTGAAACAGGCTCAGGTATTCACCGCTCAACAAAGATCTTTAACTGGAGCATGTGCAGGAGCTGAGTAGAAGAGATAGCAAACAAGCTGAGTGAGAAGCTCTAACAAATTGATAACGGCAAGATTTATGATTGTCTGTCCATTTTAATCAGAAATGCCGATGACGTCACTAGTTTGGCTCTGATCCTATTTGTAAGTGTGACGCTAGACACCTATACACTCTAGTTAATCCAATATTTCTATATCTGGCAGGGATCTTTGGAGCTCTGTCATAGGGGTGACGGCCTGGAGCTTTAACTGGGTCATATTCCCATGGGACTCCAGCTTTGAGGAATTCTTTTTCTAACTCCCCGCCCCTCCGTGAGTGAACAAAACCATTAGAAAAATCGCATTTTTTGCCCAAAAACCCACCCTCCGTGAGTGAACAAAAATTTTTTTTAATAGAAAATTTTTTTATGAAATAATATTTAATATATAAATGATAATTAGTATAATAAAATCTAGAGCTAATTCTGTTTAATTTTCAAACAAATTGCTTTTTAAAACATAAATTTTGCAAATTGAATAAAATATTTTCTTTCCAATTTTTGCGAATTAGGATTTTTTTAAATTTTCGAAAAAAAATATCTTTTATAAAATTTATATATAAATTTTTTTAAAAAAAAAAAATTAACCCCCCTCTGTGAGTTAACAAAATTTTTTTGTTCACTCACGGAGGGGGGACTAAGCACATTGCGATATCTTGCTGAAAGAGCGGCACGCATCCATTTCCCATTGACGAGGTTACCATAAAAAGCTTCAGGACTCAAGTATGCGAGCTTTGTCCACATTTATATTTGATTAAAGAATATTAAAAATCACTTATAGAGCTGTCTTATGCATTGCCCCCAATAGAAAAATAATAATTTTTAGTAGGAAATATAAGAGAAATATTATACTCTTCCTTTAATTTCCCAATCTCCATAGCGGGTAGGCTCAGGACCTTTTACCCTATAGCCAAATTCTCCAAACTCGCTTCCAGTATCCACTTCAGCTTCAGCTAGATCTTGTTCATATTGAGGAAGCTCTTTTTCTAATTCTTTTGTAAATCTGTTTATGACTTGGATTTGTTCTTCAGTAGTTCTCTGCACAACTTTATCAGCGAATCTTCGAATAAGTCTTGATATCATTTTGTATATATCAATAGATTATTAGCGATAATTACTCAAACATTTTTAGCATTTTATGAACTCACCACATTAAGAATTCTACTCCTTCATCAGGCAGTGAGCAAAAGTTTTTGATGAATAATTATTATAATAAAATCTCTAGCTAATTTTATTAAAATTTGGGTAGACTGCATCATAAAAATTCACAATTATTTAAATTAATTATTTGAAAATATATTTATTATATATATAAAAATTTTAACAAAACATACGAATTAGTATAAATGACATTCGCATCATTATAATACTTCTAGGTTTCTGCATAACTATGATTATTTTAATTAGGATTTACTCATAACAGCTAAAAAAAGTATCATTGATTTTGGTAATTTTAATCAATAAATTCAATATGTATGTGTCTCATTTTACTCTGGAGGATTTTAATAGAAACAACCATGCGCCTTTTATAAAGGCACGCCCAAACACAAATGTTCTCAACCACCTATGCCAAGACATAGTGCCAAAAGTCGAAATCACAAGGCATATTGTCGCATCTGTACGAAGGCGAGACAGAGCGTACTTGCCGACGCATTTCCATGTTCAATGAGCAATGGAGTGTATAGGCTTTGCTTTTTCACTTCCTATAGAGTATCATTCAATAATTTCTACAGCGATTGAAATATATAAAGACTGGCTTAATATTGGAGATGGAGAACGGCCAGTCTGTATAGAAGAAGATGAAGGGTTTTACCAAAGAGAAATCATAGGGCATTTATCCTTGTTATTTGTGGAAAGACCAGGAGACACACATAAACATGTTGAATTGTGTGTGGAAGTTTTAATTTTGCTTACTAATTTATCAGAAATAAATGCCTATTATTCTAATGCAAAATATTTATTTTTTTTAAAAAATTTTCTCTGAGATGAGTCAGAGATTTCATAAGATTGAAAACTCTTGAAGAGGACACCTGGAAATGTCTGTTAAAAATAATGCTGCTTATGTCTCATCCTTTACTAAAAAGTATTAGTGCACTAGCACAAGATTTATGCCCATTGTTACTGAAAACTCTGTTTGAAATTTGGCTTAGGTCGAATACCAGAGACAAAGAGCTATGAAAAGAGCTCCAAACCTGCTCCAGCGCATGACTGCACCACATCTGGCTTATTTACCAATGAAAAGCTGTAGCCCACGGTCTCACACAGCGTATCAATGCTATGCTCTATGGTGAAGAGCCACCTACCTTGCAGCTGCATTTCTTACGTATCTCAAAACCCCATGATGAGCCTCCAGAAACCCTTCTGCTTCATTTTTCACTAGAACAAAGTCTGTATTTTTGGTACCGATTTTTAAATCTCATGCTTCTCAATACCCGTGATAAAATTCCTACAGATCCAGACGTCCACAAAGAACTTGTAAGGTCAGTTGCCACAATAACTGACTCCTTTTTGGAGATTGCTGAAAAGAGAACTGTCGCCAAAGGGCTTGTAATGCCAAATATTGTGACTGCAAGCGGCCCTCAAGCTTTAGCTGAATTAACAAGAAAATTCCAAGACACCCATTTCCATTATTTATGGGGACTTAGCAGGTTGCCCATTCCCAGCGCTGATGGCTTGCTAAATATGTTTGGAGGCTGGCTGTTTTTCCACGCAAATGCTGAAGGTAGCTATAATGAGTTTGGAAGGGCAGAAGCAATAGGAGCGCTTTGTAGGATTATGTGCAAGGCTGGAGGGCCTAATAGAGACGAATTTTTAGGAAAATTTTATAGGACCATTTTTAAATGTATGGAAAGCTCGTCAAGCTCACTGGTGGTCATGTATATTCTTAAGCATTCTCCAAATCTGTTGACGCTAGATCATAGAGGGGTCAGAATTTTGCTTCATAAAGAAGCGCTTTCTAAAGCAATCATGAATAACTTGACTGACAGCAATATTTCTCCCGCAGTAAAAAGACCATGCTATTATATTTTAGGGACCTTCGTAGCTGTTGCTCAGTATTTTAACCAGCCAGCACCCATTATACAGGTAACTACAATTTTGCAAAAAGCGCTTGACCATGAAACTGATAGTGAAAATTTCCACAGACTGGTATGGACTATGTGTATTTTTGCAGGAAGTATTCATTCTGATTCTGAGCTTTTAACTAATATTGTGATTCAGCTAGTAAATAGGTTGGAAACTATTGATTATATTCAAGAAAAAAAGATCTATCAAGATTTGCTTGAAACTATTGCGACTCTTCCTTTTTTAATCTGCTATAAACCAATTACCAGTGAAAATTTAGTTATTTGTATAGTGGACAAACTCTGCTCATATATTTCAAAAAAATTTGGAAAAAATTCAAATGAGACTATTATAAGCAGCCTTTTATTTGCCCTGCTGCATTGGCTTGCATGCTTTCCGAATGTTTTTATGGAGCCGACTATCAGACAGAACGCCTTATCAGTCGCTATAAGTGCTCAAGCATTGGATAGGGTTAAAGAAGTGGCTCTTTATGTTGAGGATTTTTTAATGAACAATTTAGGAAGAGGTCTCCCACCAATTGCATATACAAGTCTAGACGCACTTGAAATATCAAGTGGCTTGTTAACGTATAGTGAAGTTAAGCTTCCTAAGCGGCATTTCCTTTATAATGGCCAAGTTTTATTGACTTTATATGATTCTTCTCAAGAAAACCCGACTAATGAAGAAGTTTTAGTGGTTATGAGAAACTCAGTAGGCAGATATATATGAAAAACTAAGCTAATATATAGAATTGATGATGGAAATGTAGGGAATACCGCTTGGAAAATGGACTTATGCCAAGATAGGACGCCTCCGATTGCTCCTGCTCATGATGATGAGGTGTCAGATCATTTATTTGAAGATTTAAGCGACCAAGAAAAAGCTTTATTTAGAAGTTTTCAAGGGATTATTAAAAAACAAGAAGAAATTAATAAAAATTATGAGTCAGGAATACATACAGAATATGAAACCCAAAACGTAGTTATGAGTCCGAAGCCTACTGAAGATGTACCTAAATCATATAGACTATTATTAGCGCAGCTTGGCCTTTTACAAACTGAGCACATTACAAGTTTATTAGCACTATCTGGGGACGAGGTAGAAAAAGTTATAGCTTAAACTTATACTTCAATGCAGGTTAGCTTCCGCCTATTGCTAGCACAGTCGCCCCTAATCCCCTAGGGGATGCATCTTATTTGCAAAGTTGGCAAGGAGAACTTATTTGAGTAAGATAACTAACCGGGCGAGCTTCAGATTGAATTCTTCTTTACTACCTGACGCCATAGCACCTGTGGAGCAGGGTTCCGTGCCTACGTCTCCTCCTAGCCTTGCGCTCAGTGCCGAGTGGGAAGGCTATGGGCCTCTGCTGCTTGGGCTGAATGAAAGATGCCCGCACTAAAATCCCAAAAAATGGAATTTCTGGCAAACTTTTCGGCAAAAAGGAAAATTTCAAAGCCTTAGCATAACTCCTAGTTTCACGCTAGAAAGATGAGAATGGTCTAGGCATTACCTGAAGACGCTGTTGGATTTCCCTTTTCAGCTTTAACCTTCCTTTTACCTCGAGGTAAAACCAATCCTAAAAGCGTACTAGAGCTAGGCTCTGTACATTGCCAGAATTGGTTAACCAGCATTGCTGCCTATTTTTGAGTTCGCAAAACCTTGTCGGATATAAATAAAATGTCATTACCTCGAGCACATTTTATTTATAGAAAAAGTTATATCAGATATTGACAAAATTCCTGAAAAAGAGTTAATTATTGCCCCAATTTTGTACTTGAAAACTCCAGAATCTAAAGAAACTGACGTATTAAGCAATGTTGATTACTATTCTCAAAGTTTCCAAGACTTTTTGCCTCAAATGGGTGTCTTATTGAAATCAACTCATACCCAGTTTGAGGTCTTTAAACAAGTCTCAAAATATTTAACCAAATATGGTGCAGCTTTATATACGTCTGGGTATTATTATGAGCTTGTAAGCGTAGTACCTGCCGTTATTCCAGACGCAAGCTCTTTAACACTGCAAGACCTTATTTCTTATGGGCAAGTTGTAGTCTTGTGGAACCAGAGAGCAAATGATCCGTATACAGCAAAAATCCCGAATTTGCTTGAATCTCATGGGATGAAAAGAAAAACTGTGATAATTCTAACACCATTGAAAAATAGACTTATTAAAGTAAAATATATCAAATAAGTTAAAATTGCGTGGCGAACCAACCCACCCTCTTAAGTGTCCGGCCCGATTTTACTTGGTTTGGTGGATCTTAATGTCGGATTGAGCCCACTGCAACTCATTTCAAGATAAAATGCTACCTCTGGGGAAGGTGAATATCTGGTGTTGGAAAGGGAAAGCCCAGAAAAGTTCTTACTCATCCAAGCAAACAAAAAAATTTGTTCGCTCACGGAGGGGTGTTAATTTTTGCGCGTCTGCTTGTCAACTTTGTTCACAATTTTTTACATATCACTTTTTCCTTCCTTTTATAGAATTCACATCGTCCGTTTGATAGATTCTGACTTCGTTCAGTCGTCCATTGCATTCTGTTCGACAAAGGAGTCTATATAGGGGTATGGTCTATACCTGAAGTTGCGCCCTGGGTAAAGAGCCCCATTTTGATCAAAATCTCGGCCAGAAATCGATTTTTCGAATTTTCTGGAGGGGCAACTCAAGTCAGGCGTACGGCGTGGTAACCCGTCTCACTACACTCCAGCTAGTGTGCAAGCCCATTTCTAGGTGAGGGAGCATAACCGATAGGCAGAAGGCAGGCAGTCATGAAGCAAGGTGGTTATATATACCATTCGAGGTATCACAGAGCTGTTCTCAAATCTTAACTAAGAACTAAAGTTAATATATCTCCAAATGAAATACAACAAGGGCCGCTGCTAAATGATATGCTTGTACCTGAATACATGATGGGTACACTTTTAATAAGGACTATTATAAATATGCATGGAACTTCTATGGCAAGAGTATCTTCCAGAATCAGAAGAATAGAGCAATTAGAAGTACTTAGTGAGATAGGGAGAAAAGCTGAGGCTACAAAGAATGGAAAACTCAGCTCAATTCTATCGCATGCTTTTCAAATCACTAAGTGGGATTAATGACTCATTTTAATTAAACTAATAATTTAACTTAATTTCTTCTTTATAAATGTCAGCTCAGGACAGTTCTTGCGATCTTAAAGCTCTTAGCACACAGAGAACAGTCCAAATATCAGATGATGATTTCATCTACATTCTGGTCTTCCCCAACCTCTTTTCAAGAGATCCAAACCTCAAAGAACAATTGCAGAACCGAAAATTTTCCAAAGCAAAATGCGCCGAAATTTTCAAATCTGCCTTCAAGATTTCTGAAGATGAAAACAACGACTTAAGGAACGATCTAAATAAAGACTTTAATGCCTTTTTAAAAGACAGCCAAGAAGAAATCGAATATCATCGATTTTTGCTTTTAATTTTAATGTGCTTATTCAAGATCTTTGAGACAAAACTTATGCTACGTATTAAATTATTTTTTTCTAGAGACAAGGATGAGATTTTTTGCAAAATTGGAGTGAGTGATTATAACTCAAAGGTCCAGGCTTGTCTTTCTGATTATTTGGTGCAATTAGATAGAAAAGATGAGGAAAAATGTGGATACTCATTTATTTCGCCTTATGCTATTTTTGAGATGGATATTGAGGATAGCCAGGATGATAGTGAAAATTTGGAGAAGCTGTATAAAGCTTATAAATATGATGAGAAAAAAGCGAAAATGATTGAAGAAAGATTTACTATGTTTAGGTATAAAGATAAAGTAAGGCTTCTGTTTGAAATGATTACTTCGGTGGTTGATATACCTGATTTGATTGATAATAAAATCATAACTGCAGGGTATTGCGTCCATAATATGGAGCAGTTGACATATCTTACTCCTCATTTTAACTGGAATCAAAAATTATATTAAATTTTTTTCTGTAAAATAATTTTAAAAATTGAATGCAATATTTTTAAATTTTATTTATTTGTGTGAATAATTAATTCAAAAAATTAATCGATTAAGTTTGATACTGTTTGAATAATCTCCTATAATAAATTAGGTTAAATTAATCTTATAAAAATAGCATTTTCACATGCAAAGTTTTGCTTTTTTAAAAAAAGGGGTTTAAATAACAAAAAATGGAAATTTCCTATATTTTGTTCCAATTTAAGGGGGAGCTAGAAAAAATTGGGGATCATTCTGGGCAATTTATAAGCCTCAAAATTTCAAAGAAATCCGGAAATATTTCGGTGAGAAAATCGCTATATATTTTGCATGGCTTGACTATTATGTTAAATGGCTTATTTTACCAGCAATACTCGGTTCTGCACTTTTTTGGACTGAATTTCATTATCAGGATATGAATGACAAATCAAAAGAGATGACAAAATCAGAAGTGGGGTTGCTCATTTTTTCTGTATTTCTTGCTTTGGGATCAGCACTTTTAGACAAACTTTGAATACGCAGGCAGAATGAGCTATCTTGAATGTGGGGAACTGTAGACTTAAATGTTGTTGAACTGCAACGTCCCGGATTTAAAGGAGTATATAACTTACAGAGAGTTGCAAATATTTTTTTTTAATATAAAAAATTATGACAATTCCCAATAAGCAAGCATATATAGAAAAGACCCAATTTCAGGAAGACAAAAGAAATTCTCCAATAAAATAGTTACAGAAGGCGCAAAAAGAATTATTGGGATAAATATCGCTATTTTATTCGCAAGCGTTGTTTTCATAACAGTAGGAGGCATCTTTTTCTATCGATCTACCCGCACTGCCTCTGACTTAGGAGGACAATGGCATCGTATTTGCGCCTTAATGAACGCCGTTCAAATCCAAGTAATGAATTTTGTTTACAGAAAAGTTGCAAAAGTCTTAACAGACTGGGAAAACTACGAATATGACTCCCAATATTTCGATTCCTTGATATTTAAGCTCTATCTCTTCCAGTTCGTAAACTCCTATATTTCATTATTTTACATTGCCTTTGTGAAATATTACATTGAAGGTTGCGGTTTGGAAGAAGATTGCATGAGTGAGCTGAGGATCGGTATAAGTCATTTGATTCTTTTCTGACATCCTCGGGGTTTTTCGGTTGAAAACTTTCCTTGTGAGACATTTGCTAGAAAAAACTAAATAAATGCCTCAAGACAACAAAAAATCTAAAAGGAAATCGTCCGATAAAATACAAGTCACCTGCTGAGGACACAGCTAGGTGTTATTTTTATTATCAAAATGCTTTTAAACTTTATTGAGCTAGGAAAGCCAATCATTATGAGAAAAATCAAGCTTTGGAAAGAAAGAAAAGAAATTGAAAAAAGTAAACAAAGAGGTGAGCAGGTAAGAGAAGAAATGACGCTTATTGAAGCACAAAATAAGCTTGAAGACTATGAGACACCGCTTGATGATTATATGGAAATTGTGATTGATTATGGATATGTCGTAATGTTTTCAGCAGCTTTACCTCTAGTCCCTCTACTTGCATTAGGTATGAATATTCTTGAAATTCGTGTAGACTCATATAAGCTTTGCTGACTGACAAAAAGACCTTTTCCGATGCTAGCCAACTCAATAGGATATTGGCAAGTGATTCTGAGGTCAATTTCTACTATGGGTGCTCTCACAAATACAGGAATTATGATTTTTACAATTGATATATTCGATTTAGACCACCTTACAGAAAAATGGCTTTATTTTATGATTATTGAGCATTTAATTTTATTATTCAAGTACACATTATATGTACAGTTTAATGATACCCCTCAAAGAGTAACGAAAGGACTGGTGTGGGGAAATAGAATCGCAGCTGAAAGAATGTATGGGCGAGCACATGATGAGAGTCAAAAAGACTTAAGAGGCCTTTATTTTAAGGATCTTCAAGGAAGAAATGATGTAGTTTTAGATCCTTATAAGATATCTAAAGAAAATAATTAAGTTAAAGAACTTTAATTTATAAATTACTATGAAATCCAAAAATTCTCTTTTCTTCTGTTTATCTTTTATTTTCTCCTCTTGATACTTTTTCTATTATTTTCCTAACTTCTCTAATGTTTTCACTTTTTATCAAATTATAAATTTCCTCATAAGTATAGCCTGCATCAAGCATTGCTTTTACTTTTCTTTCAAACTTATCTCCTAACTCCCTCCCCTCCGTGAGTGAATAAAACCATTAGAAAAATCTGCATTTTTTGCCCAAAATTCCACTCTCCGTGAGCTAACAAAATTTTTTTAATAGAAAAAAATTTTTTATGGAAAAAATTTTTATATATAAATGATAATTAGTATAATGAAATCTAGAGCTAATTCTGTTTAATTTCAAACGAATTGCTTTTTAAAACATAAATTTTATAAATTAAATTAATATTTGCTTTCCAATTTTTGCGAATTAGGATTTTTTTAAATTTCGAAAAAAATATCTTTTATAAAATTAATATATAAATTTTTTTAAAAAAAAAAAATTAACCCCCCTCCGTGAGTGAACAAAAATTTTTTTGTTCACTCACGGAGGGGGGGAGTAAGTGTTCTCTAATCCCTAATTCTTCATCAAACTTTTTCTTTTCCTCTTCTGAAAGTGTTTTTCCAAATCATCTCACAAAATCATTCCTAAGAAGCAGCTCATCTCTTCCTGTGAGCTCATTATAAGAGTCTCTTACTACATGTTGGCAGTTATGCTGAATAGCATCATATTGTGTCTTTTTAGAATGCTTGCCAAATTTTGCAGTCACATCTCTAACTAGGTAGCCTGGGATAGCTCGGTTTTGTCTGAATATATTTTTTTCAGAATTATCGTAATAGTTATAAGTGATTTTTGGTTCAATGCTGTCAGCGAAATAGTCGTATCTTATTTTTTTGCCAGTGTATGTTACAGCGACTAAATATGAATGTTTAATCCCTGGTATCCCAATAGGCTGATTAAGATTTTCACATCCTTCTTGGATAAATAAAATATCTTCAACGTCCATTGGAAGCTCTGTTGTGTAGTATTTGTTATAAACCTGCTCTGCACTTCATAGTAAAGGAGAAACAGCAGATACACCTGCATAGTATTTCAAGTTTCCCATTTTGAAGTTATTAATTTAGAATTTTTAATTGTAAAAGGTTTTGTGGACTGCAAAGATAAAGACAGAAGATTTAAATTATATTAAAAAAGTTATGATTTGATCTGTGCCATCACATCCTTAATTTTCTTTGACAATTTATCTACAGCTGCTTGGTTTGGGAATGGAATCAAAAATGAGACTTTCTTTTTATGTTTCTTATGTTTACTTGGTAAAGTATATAAGACGAGTCCTTTTCTTTCAATGACTTCTAAATTCTCAATTGTCGAAGTATTAACTTCCCAAAGTATTTTTTTGGTTCTTATATCTGCAAGAATAAGAATTCCGAAAAATAAAATCGCTAAAAGTTTTTGGCCTCTTATATCTTTGCTTACAGACTGAGCAATAAATCTTTCCCTAGAATAAATTCCTTTTTGTAGCTGATTGATAAAAAATAATGATTGAGCGTCATATTCATTATAAGGCTTGATTAGAAAACTGTTGCCATAAAATGGTCTTGGAGCTCTTGCTCTATTATAGACACTGACTTTTTCAAAAGCATTTGCGGTATTTTTGACTCCTTCAGCTGTTTTGCTAGCTGCATCAAGCATTCCTGCGACAGGTTTAACTACAAGTCCTGTTAATCCTCTGACTCCTCCTTTGATCATTCCTTTTACCTTATTTTTCTTATAGCCTTTATAAGGCTCAGAAACAACTCCAGTAATCCCTTTTCCTAAATTTCTGAAAAATGATTTAAATCCAAGCCCAACACCATCAACAAGGTTTCTAGGCTTATTCTTAATTTTATCACGCTGTCTTTCTAACTCCCCCCCCCATCCTTGATCGAACGACTCGCCATCGTTCGATCAAGGATGGGGGTTAAAAAAAAATTTTTTTGGGAAAAAAATTTTATATATAAAATGAAAAAGATATATATAGATTTTTTTATTTACTTTAAATAAGAAGGTTAAGAGTATTTAATAATTTCATAAAAATACCAAATTTTAATAATTTGATTTATTAGTTACCCCTTTTAAACTGTATAAATTTTAATTTAAATTAAATATTTTTTTAAAATTTTTAAAGAATCTCTATTTTATTAGATTATTGATTGAGTTTTTAAGCCTAGGTTGATGTCTAAATCACTTCGAATGGTTGATTTCGCAGCTTTCTGTCGTCTTAAAGCTCTGAAAACAACTTCATTAGGCACATCTTCCAAAGCATTTGATAACTAATATTTTTTATATATATAAAAATTTGCATGATATGAAAATCGTTCGATCAAGGATGGGGGGTTAATTTCCCCAATTTTTAGGAATTTTTACAGTCAATCGTTCGATCAAGGATGGGGGGGGAGTAAGAAATATTCTCTGCTTTGGGTTAATGAAGAAATCCCAGTGGCCAAACTGCTTGCAAGCTTCGAAACTGTCCCAAATGTCCCCTGAACAGTATTTTTCACTAGTGACCCTGCCCCTTTGATAAAGCCTTTTCCCGCACTCATTGGCCCATTAATAAGTCCTTGAGCTGGCTCATAAAAGAAATCCACAAACCCTGTCCCTAAATTATTAAGCAGCCCAATAGGATTTCCAAGCACTTCTGCATGTCCAATTAACGAAAAAATTTCACTTGCAAGCTGTCCTTTATAATGCATAAGCAGCCCTGACACAATCTGCATTTGAGTGCCAAAAAGATCATTCATTTCCACAGAGTACAGCTTTATAGGCGCTGATTCTATTGCAGTAATTGCCATCCCCAATGCTTTTGTAATAGTTGCAAAGGCATCATTTGCAGTTTCTTCAGTCTCTTTAAGCGGTACAAAAGTCAAAATTAATTTTATAGGGCACAGTTTTAGCTTGGCAAAATAAAATCTTTTGTCTTGTGTAATAGGCTCTTTTACTGACCAAGTTGGGCTAAAATAAGCTTCATATATTTTTTGTGACTCATAAACAGGGGATTCCTGCATGGTTAGTCTTCCGATATACTCCATAAGTTTCCTTATAATTGCGCTTTCAAGATTAATAGTAAGTGGCTGGATAAGCAGCTCAAAGGTCTCGAAATGGTCACAGTTAGGATTTTCATCAATATATGCACAGATTGATAAATGGACTATTCGGTTTTCATTGTACTCGTTAGGGAAGATTAGGACAGGGAAAATAGCGCTTGGATTATATTGGTTGTCAATTTGAAGGGTTTCGATCAGCATTTCTACTTTTCACTGCCGCTTTGTGGTCTGCATAAGGAGAGTTATGTTATTAGCAGAAAAATATAAAACTTCGGCTGCTTTGTCGTGGTAGTGCTCTATAAAAGAAGGTCTGTGCTATTTGGTCAGAATATTTTCCTTGTGGTAAATTTGTAGAATTTAATTTTTAGCTCAAGAGGAAAAATTAAGACCAAAAATCCAAAAATGTCATACGAGGACAAAATTCCAATCAAATAACTAGCAACGATAAAAGAAATTCCAAACCGAGGGATGTTTATGTTAAACTGGGTCAAAATCATTTCATTTTCAGAAGTAATTTTTCCTAATGGGACATCAGCAAATCTCAAGACTTTGGTGGCAGATTCACTTATAGTGATGCCAAATATAACATAGCCTAATTCTTGTGTCATAAGAATAGGAACTCTATATGTCAAATTTATTTTGTCAAAAGAAAACCTATATTTACAATTAGTCTGCACAGGAAAATCTTCTAGAGATCCTATAAAGAACTCAACAACCAGTTCATGGTCAAGCAAAGGTTTACTAAAAGCAAAAGGCGTCATAGACATTACATCAATATACCTCATTTCGTCTTTACAGCCTTGCTGATAAACCATCATAGAAATATTTTTTGAAAAATTTTCAATTCTATAAGAGCAAAACCTTTCATTTTCTTCTTCAAAAACAATATAAGCTGTACTTGTTTGGAGCTTTATTTCGACCTTTATGAGCACAAAGACACCAGGGTCTTTTAGATTTCGGCACTGGACTGTAAAAGTTCCAACACTTGAAATGCTGAAAGCTCCAGACCAGCCCCAGTGGTCTTCTAAGACCTTTATATTCATAAGTTCATTAGACATGCAGTCTGGCCAGTGGAAAGGCTCTCTGCTTTCAGGTTTCAATATTACGTCTTTTGATGGGCTTTTAAATTGTTTTATAATCAAATCTTGTTTCATATTATTAACAAGCAAAAATCTGGGGGATACAATAACCATTCTGGTAAATATCAGCTCATTTGGAACGGATTGGACAAGCTGAACTTCATATATAAACTGATATTTCGTCTTTAAGCCTTCTTCGTCTGGCTCTCCTTCAATTTCAATCATAGTTTGTGCTCCAATTGTATTAATTTTAAAATACTCTGACTTGCTTTTTCCCATACCAATAGCTATTTTTTTAGTAAAAAAACAAGGAACAAGAGGATCAATATTATTTTGCCCTGCCACAATTTTGCTATGGCCTTTCTTTTTACTATAAAAAGTGACAGGCAAAGATGTATTATTGACTAACACAACAGCTGAATAAAGAGTAATCATATGAGAGCCTTCTTTACGATAATCAATCAAAACAGTTATAGCATCTCCATTATTGTCTATAAATGTTATAGTTGTAGCTGGCTTATCGCCTCTACGAGAAATAATGCACTGGCGATTGCTATAAGAAAAATTTCTAAATGTAATTGCAGCGTGAAGGTCTTTGGTTGAGCTTATTGCATATTCTTCATAGGTTTGTCCTGCTAAAATAAAAATTTCTGTATACTCATGCTTATTTTGATAATAAAGTCTCATTGAAAGATCACATGGTAAGTGGTTTCTAATTATCGTGGGCGGCTTAATAGCAATGGTTTTCTTTTGAGGGTTTGCAAGGTCTCGAATTAAATACAGCTCGACGTGGGAATTTCCGATTTTTATTTCTGCAGAGTGGCCATGATTTTGGCTGGAAAATTCTTGCAGTCTTATCATTGTCCATTCAAATATATCTGAGTCAACTGGCATGAAGCCTAATAAATGGTTAACAAAATCAATAGGGACTGAGCATTCTTGCTTAGCAGGGCAGATTTTTTCTTCAGATTCTAAAAATTTGCTGAAAAGCAGCTTAATGTCAAACGTCGTCTCATTTAAAATTACAATCGAACTTCTCACTGTCAGAATTTTTCTGGTCTCAATCAGCCCTATTTCTAATATAATTGGAAATTGCTGCCCATAGCAATCCACATCTACAGTTAAACATTGAACTTTATTGATAGGTATATTATTAATCGGCGGAAAAGGCATTTCAGGCTTAAAAAGAGACACTGTTAAAAATTCCTGAGAAATTTCAATAGTCCTCATATCATTTGCGTTTATTTCATAATCCACCGACTTCCCAGCCGGCACTTCAATTATGATTTTTGGGCTGGTGTCCATAATATTAGTCTTCCACGCTTGCATATTGCACCCTGTTTTGTTAATAACACACAAAGGAGAAACCACCTCTTTTCCTTCTACCCTTTGTTCTGAAGTGCTTCATGAGCTTAAAATCTTCAATGTGTGCTTAATCATAATTTCTGTCAAATTTATATTAAATGGCAATGATGGGTTAAAAAGCAGCATAACTTGCTTTTGTGGGTTTAAGTTTGGAGAGTCAAAAACCTCGACATTTAGAATGAACATTTCTATAAAAGGCTCCCACATGTCAATAAAAGGGTTATAATAACTGGAACGGATGTCTAGCTCTGCTTTTATGTTGTATTCGTCACCGTTTTGGTCTTGCTTTAGTTTAAACTGGCTTATAGTAAAATCTATAACTGGAGAATAAGCTCCAGAGCCATCATTAATAATAAGCACATTGATGCCGCCAAAGTAATAGTTAGTTTTGCTTGAGATTTTTAAGTTTTGGAGACTTATAGGAGCAGGATTTACTGGAAGAGTTTCTCTTTCACAGTCAGTTCTTCCTCTCATTCTTGACTTATTGACAGGGGCTTTCGGGAGTTCTATTTTTTGAGTATTTCTTTTAGGAGCAATTTCAAGCTCTTTTATAAGTTTTGCTTCTCTTTCCAGCATTTCGTTTTGAAATTTCATAACAGATGCAATTAAATTGATATCTTGATGAGATATTATTAGCGTTAAATTTTCTATTTGTCAATCAGTATCATAATTCATACGATCCTCAACTCTTTGCTCTACACTGGCAAAAATCAATTGAAGAGGCTCCTGGATTCTCCTTTTCTTAACATTTTCAAATGATTTTTTAGATACTAATTCGTCTGGCTTGCAGGTGTAAAGCTCTAATTCGTGGGCTACAAACTTTTTAATTGCAGATGGGACTTCTCCAGAGATTGCTTTAGCTTCGTTTTCTCTCATCATCATATAGTTGAAATCAGTCTGGGCCACTAAAACTCTATTAGTGTCTAAACAAGGCAAAATTACTATTGGTTTCTTTATACAGACATTTATCATTAATTTTGGAGCTAGCCATTGTAAGAGCACTTCTTTTGAAATTTGGCTTGGGGAAGGCCTGTATTTGTGCATATAGTCAAATGGGGTATCATTTTCGTCTGTATAGTCAGGCATTCCATAATAAAAAAAATTTTGAATTTCCATTATTATTGCATAATGAAAATTAATTCTGACTTGGATAAGTTCTATTATAATGTCTTTAGAGCCATCAAAGCTGCTTTTTAAATCAAGCCGGAAAGTAGACTCTCTTTCTATAGGAGATAATTCATTATCTTCCTCTAATGGCCCAAATAGTACATGAGACAGACGATTTCCTTCAAGAATGCTCTGGCAATGTGAAGGGATTGTAAAAATTTCTTGAGAAAGTCTTGTCTCATTATTCGTCTCACTGGAAACTTTAATTTTATCTATTAATCCTAGCAAACCTTTACAAGTAAATCCCATATCCATAGAATAATCATTATATTTGATCATCTTAATATTCGTCCTTGTCCCTACAATTTCAGCGATTTCTTGGTCTTTATGATTTAACAATAGAGCAAATAGTCCAATATCAATATTTAAATTAATAAAAACACCTCCATGGTCAGGCAAGTTATCGATTTTCAGAGGTGGAACACATTCAGGATTAATATACTCTTCCATTTGGTCATCATAAGAAAGATTTAAATCCACTAGTTTCAGGATAGTTTTATAATCATTTTGAGAAAAAGTCAATTTTACTTCATGCGATTCTCCTCTTATAATGAAACTTTTATCAATACTTCTGTTTAATTGCTGCAAATTAGTCAAAACTGGTCTTTCAAAGGTAAGCAGAAAGTCAAGTTTATCAGCGATATCTTGAGTTTTGCTGCTTATATTGACGTTTTTCATAAAAATCGTATAAATGTCAAGCCATACTTCGTCTCCTCGATTTGTGCTGATTCCATGCTTGTTGGTAATATTAATGTCACCTAAGTCAACTATGAGGTAATCAGGGTAGTCAGGACGAGGAGTAAGGGTAATGTGAGGGTTTTTAATGTTTATTGTCATAGATGTGAAACTTCTTGTATCTTGGAAGAGGCCTGATTCTTCTTGAAGTGATTGAATTGTGGATAAATTTAGAAGATAAGATAAGCGGTAAAGAGGAGACCAATGGTTAATGTCTCTTGCTCTCGCATTTACATCAAAAACCCCTAATATTTTATACTTTTTTAATAAAAAAATGCATTTTTGTTATTCAAATCTTCTTTTTTATTATAGCAGGCATTAGAATTTCCAAATTATTTATTCCTTCAAAATAGTATATATGAAAAATAATCAATGATCCTCAAGAATGGCTGTTGAATATAAACCATATTTATTGAGTTCATCTCAATATTAACAATAGTCGACGTGTCTAGCGGCTTATCAGGATTATCTTCAGAATACATGCAAATTTTAAACTTCAAAAGAAACTGAGAACTATCTCTAACCGACAATAGCGTGAAAGGATATAAATACCTATGATTTGATACCGCTGTTTTCGGATAATTCGTCAAATCATCCACAAGAAGATTCCCCAAAAATCCAGAAAATTCTGAGCCTCCATTTCTAATCAAAATCGCTGTATCTGTATTTTGTATCGACACAAGTGCAATACACAGTTCTTTTTGGACATTATTTAGATATAAATCAAGTTTTTCTATTTTCAAACTTAAATTAAAAAGGACATGGTCTGACTGAAGTTTTCCTAATGTCTGCTGATGTGTAAGTGCGCTAACTACTGAAGATGGGTCTGAATACCTTGCAAAAGCAAAAAAATTTAAGATGATTCCTATAATGTCAGGATTCCAATTTATTTGTAAAGTCCCAAAACTTGCCATAGAAACCACATCTGTATCATTATAATCTAAAGATGCCCTTGAAATGTATTGGAATTTGAAGTCCATTAAGCCTTTATCTTCATTTAAAGTCCTTACGAAATAGTTAAAATGAATAGAAGGACTATTTCGCTGCAGATCTTTAATGTTTAAAGACTCAAGAGTTGCGTGGACTCCTAAGTCAAAAGTGTTTACCCCCCCCCCCCCTCCGTGAGCGAACAAAACCATTAGAAAAATCGCCATTTTTTGACCAAAAACCCACCCTCCGTGAGTGAACAAAAATTTTTTTTAATAGAAAAAATTTTAATGGAAAAAAATTTTGATATATAAGTGATAATTAGTATAATGAAATCTAGAGCTAATTCTGTTTAATTTCAAACAAATTGCGTTTTAAAACATAAATTTTGCAAATTAAATTAATATTTGCTTCCCAATTTTTGCAAATTAGGATTTTTTTAAATTTCGAAAAACATATTTTTTATAAAATTTATATATAAATTTTTTTTTAAAAAAAAAAATTAACCCCCCTCCGTGAGCGAACAAAATTTTTTTGTTCGCTCACGGAGGGGGGGGGGGGGAGTTAGCAATCCTTTCATTGAAAGCTCGTTCAGCTCAAACTCAGCAAGCTCAGCTCCTTCTTCATTGCTCAGCTTTAGTGAAATTTCGGGGTATGAAAAATCAATTACACACCATAGCTTATTTGCCTTTGGAGTTGGGTCTTTTGCTGCTGCACTTGTATATGTCATTAATTCAGTGATTTGGTCATTTAATTTTTCCATCCATTTTTTCATTTCTGATGGCTTGTCAAAAGCTATTACACATTCGCCAAACCTGTTTAATAGTTTTAGGGTGTTAGTTAAATAATTTTTAATTAATTAAATTATAGCCATAAGACCTTCAAGTCTGGTCGTTTCCTAGAAAAATTCAAGTTATTCTGTATCATCTTGAGGAATTTCTCTATAAATTTCTTTCAAGGTGTTAGGAATCCCAATTTGATCTGATATATCGACAACACTGCAATCTTTAATATAATAATAATTCGCTGCAAGTGTTTCTTTTTCGTTATTGAAGAAATAGATATACCCAGCAGAAAGGACTGCAAAATAGTGGTGCCAGGACTGAATACTTGCATTTTTTTTCTTTAATTTTGAGATTGTGACTGCTTTTCTCATGATAATCCTTTTTTCCAAAATAATGGTACTCCATACCTCGTCATCTAACTTAAATATTTCACCCAGCCTTAAAATTTGATTATAAATAGAAGGCGAAAGGATCACTCTCAATACAGGAATTGACCCTGACATAACTAAATCAGCTACCTCAATGAATTGCCTTTCGTTTTTTTCCCATTTTCGTTTTTTATATCTTGATTTCAGTACATCTAAAGAGGTATTTATCTCAAAAGATGGGACAACTGGGGTAAAATTAATAAAATCCAGCGAATGCAGAAAACTTATATTGGAAATGTGAATATAAAATTCTTCATATAGCCCTTCTGCTTCAGAAATTTCATTATAAATTTCAGCTTCTCCTAGATTAAGTATAAACTTGCCTTGACCAGTTGGAGACGGAAGCGTTATTCGTGGGCCACAAGCGTGGATTTTTAAAATGTATTTGGTTTCCCCATATAGCAAATCAGTCAAAGTCTCTTGTGTTGAGTCTTGAAATTCTTGTAAAGTATCTCATGCAGCTGCTTTGGTGGCATCCGCAACGTTTGGGACTATAAAAAAAGAGCAAAACATACATAAAGCATCTGGATTAAAATTCACCTCAAAAGGCTGTGACTGAAATTCTACAGATGCAGCGACATCTTCAGATTCAGGCTTTAACGAGATTGCAAGTAAGGCTAAAGGTAAGGTATTTTCTTGCAATTTTTGGCAAACAATTTTTTCGCCTTCAGAAGTTACTGATATTATAGATATACTTTGGGCAGAAATACACAAATCTCCACCAGGCGTTCTTAAAGCGATTTTAAATAGGAATCTTTCATGTCTGAATTCTAAGCTTTCTAATTCTTCCCCACTTCCTTTTTTATATTTACAAAGCTCAAGGGAGCCTTTTTGTAGTCGAAACTCGAATTCAAGCCACACATAACTTTTTGAGACTTCAGAAGGCTGCCATTCTTGTATGCTTTCACCAAAAATCTGTTCATAAGCTTCATCATCTTTTTCTTTGGTTGTTTCTGGCCCGCCTCATATATAAGACATCCATCCTCTTTTCTTCGAATTTTCTACTTTTTCTTTTTCTTCTTTATCTAATACAGAAAGAACTTGGTCAGTTCATTTTCGAAGCTCTTCTAAAGGGGTAATAAAAATAATTCTATTATATAAAGCAGTCTTTTCTGGGCTTAATGATCCTTCTTTTTTTAATTTTAGATGAAGAAGCTTGTAATTCGATTCATAAAAATCTTTTAGGTCTTTAGGTATTTTAAACAAATCAACTGCACGATTTTTTCTTTGTTTAACTGTTTTTAATACACATTCAATTCCAAATTTAAGAAGTGACCGAGGGGTTCTTTCTATAGGGCTAAGTGCGACGAATTTCTTTTTATTTTCTCTAATTGGAAGTTACGCTTTAAGTATGAATTTATTATACTCAGCTAAATAGTCACAGACTTTTACAATGTCATGAAACTGTTTTTGATGGAATTTTGTATAGATTTCAGGCATAGCTACATCAATTGCATATCTTGGTTTGTCCAGCTGTGTTAAGTCTCCATTGTGGATAATTTGTGTTGTGGCGTTAACTATTTATATCTTACTTGGCAATATTAAATAATCATTAATTTGACACTCATATGTTCTCTTTTTTAAAGCTTCAATAATTTCATTTTCTGAGCTTAATTGGCTCAATATTTTGTCGTCATCATTTTTCCAATAAATCCCAAGTCCGACAATATTCAGCAATTTATATATCGATTTCCCAGCACTGCCTTCTTGCTGTCTATCAGTATATTCTTTATTCCAATATTGATTTGTAGTGTAACATTCAACTTTTTCTAAAGTAAGCCCACTTGAAAACCGTCTTCCGTCCATATTGTGTTCAAACCTAAAATGTAAATTTTTTTTAAAAAAATTTAAAAAATAAAAAAAAAATTTTTTTATTTATTTTAGGAAACAAAAATGTATATCTTCAATCGTGACTTTTAAATTATCAATTATTCTTGAAGCAAGTTTTTCAAGATAACTTTTTTGCTTTAATTCTTCTTCCGCCGATAGAGTTTTTTGTTCTTGTAATTGCTTCCACCTTAGCTCATTTGCTGCTATATGTTCTTTTCTTCGCAAAATTTCTCCATCCTCGCTGTAATTTCATGTGTTCTTCTGTTGAGGGGTAACTATTGCAAATACCCCTTGGAGATTAATTTCAACAGGACTGCTTCCAAGCTGTAGCCATGGAATTCTTATTTCAAGTCTAGATACACGAGAATAGTGAAGAATTAAAGGAAGTTGAAGCATTAATAAAGTTTCGGTCTTAAGATGAACATTTTCTAGAATTATGTCTCCACTTCACACAGCAATTTTTAAATTTTCCCTATCAAGCCCTTCGATATATTTTCCAAGTTTTGCGAGAAGAATTCTTTCAAGTAAGGCTTCAAACATTTTTTCACTATTTATTGCGAAAAGTGGCTTGGCACATAAAATGAGCCAAAAAGCATTCTGTGAAAAATGGAGTGTTTTATAATGCTGGGTTAATTAAGAATATAGAGACTAATAGGCGCTGAAGACTGGAACTTTTAATTAATATCGTAATAATTTATTATGCCTTGCTATTATTGTGGGAGGCTTCTGGCATGTGAAGCTAGTATATCTCTAAGCTTTCACATGTGGAAGTATTTTTGGCATGTGGAGAATTTCTCCATATGCCAGAAGCCTCCCACAATTATAGCAAGGCGCTATAGTATTTCAACAATTGAAAGTGTGGTGAATTTAACATAAATTATAAAACAAATCTCTTAACAATTTTACAAGTTATTTATAGATTATCATGAATAATCATACTCTTTGACTCATCCACAGTTGACATTGATGGCCTTGCTCGAATTTCTTCTGAATTAATTGACTCTTTTCTACTGCTGCAGCTTCCTTGAGATAAAATTCTCTGTGAAGGCTGACTATTTGTATCGTAATAGCTTTTTGGTAGGATAGAATTTAAATATACCAAGCGTTCTACTTCATGGTGAACCTTGCTAAGCTCTTTACTAAGATTTCTTATTTCTTTATCCCTTTGGCTCATATGGGATTTTATTTCTTGCATAGACTCTTCTACATTTTCTAATTCTGATATAATTTTTTCTTTATCGATTTTATATTTAATTATCTGGTCTTCAAGAAAAATTTTTCTTTTTAAATCAGCTCGCTCATCTCATTGCTTTACTGATTCTTTATTGGAGTTTTTATTCCACTTTTTATCTTTTGATGCATCACAAATTTGTTGTATCAGGCTTTTCTTTTCTTCTTTTAAGTCTGCGACTTTATTGTCAAGATTTTTGCTTTCGTTATTGATAATTTTTACTTGATTTTCAATTTGGCTCAGCATATCTTTAATAAGTTCGCTGAATAGATGTTACTTATCTAAATTGTTAGCGATACCAAAGTCTTCTGAGAAGATGGATGACTCCAGATCTTCTTGGTAGATTCATATTTCATCTGAAGCCTCACCATATAATAATTTCTTTTGCATTATTTTCGATTTGTTATTATATTACATAAATTTTTTGATTGATACAGAAAAAGTTTTATTTAAAGTGGCAATTTTGATATTCAGTGATGCATTAGTTATAGTGGCCTAGAAAATGCTTGAGCTATATCAATATAGATTATTTTGATTAATAGACTGTATTTCAAGCCTATTTCTTAAGTTAGTAGGCTAGCCATTAAAAACAATTTTCAAATTAGACATAATATTAAATCATAAGGAGAAAGAATTTTTAATTTAAATATTTTATAATTGAGCTGTACTTACCAAATTAAATTTGTTTTAACGCATGCATATATAAATAACCCTAATTAAGTGAATTTTATACTTTATATAATACTTAACATAAAACACTTTGTAACCAACTGTGGTGCAATGCTTCAGCATCCATCCTTTGTGCTGGATTTTTAGCTATCAGCTTGCTTATAAACTCTGTAGCTTGAGGTGTCGCATTTAGCAAATTATCAGTGGTCACAATGCTTGCATCCTCTTTTAATATCCATTTCGCAATTTCTTCTTTATCTTCACTATCAAAAGGAAGCTTCCCTTTCAGCAGTAAATAAGCAATAATCCCTACACTCCACAAATCAGCCTTTTTCCCATATCCTTCTTTATTAATCACTTCTGGAGCAATATACGGGAAAGTCCCACAAACCAGCTCCAATCTCTCCCCATCTTCACATCTTGTAGCTATTCCAAAGTCAGCTAATTTTATTTCTAAATTCTCTTCATCAGCTACAAGAATATTTTCTGGCTTTAAATCTCTATGAACAATGTTCAACCCATGCAAATGGCTTACAATTTCTAGTAATTGCTTGATTACTTTTTTAGCTTCATTGTCGGTGAATTTTCTCTTTTTATTTATAAGGTCAAGAAGTTGGCCTCCTTCTATTAATTCTGTGATAATCCATGAATATCTTTTAGAGTCAAAAGTCTCTTTATATTTTATGATTTTTGGGTGAGAGGAAAGCTTTAAAATTTCGATCTCACTAGCTAAAAAGCTTTCGTCGAGCTGACTAAGCTTTTTTTTGTCTACTTTTTTGGCAGCATATTCAAGTCCTGTGGATTTTTCGATGACTTTAAAAACTTCTGAAAATCTGCCGCCTCCAATTTTGTTTTGAATTGTATAGAAATTATGGATTTTTCGAGTACTTGCTGCGATTTCTAATTCTTCAGCCCATTTGTCGCGTTGGCGGCTGGAACTGCACCAAAGATCTATTTCTTTGTAGGACTTTTTGCTGTTTGAAATGGAGATCCCATATTTATATTTTTCAGAGCTATTTAGCATGCTCTCTATATAGCAGTCTTCAAGAAAAACAATTGATTTTGGAAGAGTTTCTTTTTCATTGTTGAAAAAATATAATAAACTGCCTTTTAAGACATTATAGCAAGGAGAAAATGATGAGGAATGCGATTTTTGGTCTTTTTGAAAAAAAAGACCATGAAGTTTTGAGGTGTTTTCTCGGTCGGAAACAATCTTTGATTCTGATACGATGCGATTATAAGGGTTTTTTGTGATTCCAAGCGAGTTTACTCCTTCCTCATCCTTGATCGAACGGCTCGCCATCGTTCGATCAAGGATGGGGGCTAAAAAACATTTATATATAAATAAAAATATATATATATATATTTTTTTTATTTACTTTTAAATAAGAGGTTTAAGAGTATTTTAATAATTATTTTTACAGCAAAAAATTGAAGAATACCAATTTTAATATTTTTATTTTTTGGTTACCCTTTAAACTGTATAAATTTTAATTTGTTCCTTATTAAATTTAAAAGAATCTCTATTTTTTAGATTATTGAGTTTTTAAGCCCAGGCTGATGACTAAAGCACTTCGGATGGTTGATTCCGTAGCTTCCTGTCGTCTCAAAGCCTCTCACAACAACTTCATTAGGTATATCTTCCCAAGCTTTTAATAACTAATATATTTCATATATCTAAAAATTTTGCATGATATGAAAATCGTTCGACCAAGGATGGGGGTTAATTTCCCCAATTTTTTAGGAATTTTTACAGTGAATCGTTCGATCAAGGATGGGGCGAAGTTAGAATACTATTGATTTTCCCAAAGATGACATCATCAATAGTATGGTGATTTTTGCAAAAATTTTTGAACTGCTCAAAGTTCATAAGCCCTTCACTCCCATAATGCGTAACTGCTTTTGCAGCCAAAATATTAGCTCTATCAACTAGCGAATCCTCAAATGTAGCGTTATCGCTTAATTCCTTTGCTGTGTCTAAGTCTTCAACCTCTTTAGTCCCTATAGCAGAACTATCAGCTATCCCATCAGAACTCTGCAAAAAATGCGAAAAAATTGGAACTAGATCATTTTCAATTAGAAAATCATCATGGTTTGAATCCAAAATTTTGAATATTTGCCGAGTCCTTAAGCCTTCCCCTATTTTAAAGGATTCAGAAATTCCTTTTAAGAATCCTTCAAAATCAATTTTTTCTTTTCTGTTACCACTGAATGTCTCAAAAAGTCTCTCCCCGATCATGTCCTGTCTAGTTGTTACGTTTGGAGAAAAATATTTCAAAAAGGTCGACTTGTCAATTTTGCACCTCTCTTCAGATCGTAAAGAGAGATCAAAAAACAAACAGGCTAAGAGGTGCATTTCTTGAGAGGTAACTACTTACTCCCCCTCCGTGGGCAAACAAAACTATTGGAAAAACCTCTATTTTTAAGGTAAAAATCCACCCACCATGAGCAAACAAAAATTTTTTATGAAAAAAAATAATTATATATATGTGATGATTATTATTATGAAATCTCGTTAAATTTTAAACAGCTTGCATTTTAAAACACAAATTTCGTAAATTAAATTAATTTTACTTCTCAATTTTTACAAATTGGAATTTTTTTAATTTTAAAAAAAACATTAACACCTTCAGCGAGAGAACAAATTTTTTTTTTTCACTCACGGTGGGGGAGTTAGAACTTACATGCAGATAAGATTTTCTTGTCCTCACAAGCTAATTCTCTCTCGTTAAGAACGAATTTTTTGGCTGTCTTTCTGGTTGCTGCTGATGTGCAAGATCCCATGATTTTTAATATTAATTTCATTGATTAAGAAATTATGGACAATTATGATACCTTAGGAGAGGATGACGAGAATAATTAGATGCCATCAAACTTAAAAATATAAATATGAAATCTCTGGTTTTTTATTTAATAGTAAAATGCGGATAGGAATTAAGGAATGATAAGTCGAAGCTATATTGCTCTGAAAAATATTTGGGTGATACTTATATCTTTATAATAGAATTTAGGATAGGAAAGTATTATTCTTGTCAGAAACTATTTTTCATATGTCTAATTAATATTGGTTTTAATTCCATAAATATGAAGAGAGCAAATAGCCTTTGATCTTAAGAAGTTTGCATATATGGCATAGAGTTTGAATAGGATTGACTAAAAAAGAAAGGACAATCCTTAGTTTAATTTTAGAAATTAATTTCATACTCATAAGATTAGAATGAAAATTATATAGATTTGAATTTAATTTAAACAATCTATTTTTGATTAAATTTTGAATTTCAGCACCTTTTAAAATTTATATAATCGTGGTTGAGAGTTTGATTAACTGTGGCTTTTTTAACATATGCACTCAAGTTGTTTGGGTCTACCAACTCTCAAATTAGTTGATAATTTATTATTAAAAGCAATGGCTTATATATGCAGCAATTGCAAATTACAATTCATGAAGAATGAAAAACAAGAAAAATTGATTCAATTCTATTAATTAGATTAGATTATGAAGAGTAGTTAAAGCCCCATCTTCCTGAACTGCCCTGCATTTCACAGCGTGCGCCTAGTATGAAGCACCTAGATTCCTGTTAGGGCATTTTCCCTTCGGATCTGCATAACCCAGATTTTGCTAGGAACCCCCATACTGGGCCTCGGTGCTGCTGACAAAAAAGATGCAAAAACTGCTGTTCTAGCCAAACCACTAATCAGCTGAAATAGCGTAACTTTAGGGCTTAAAGCAAAAGCTAATTATCTATAAAATGGCTTTGAATTCTTTCTCTTTAAGAAAATAAGTATGAAAATATAATTCCTTGCTTTCTTAGCATTTCTAAGGTTCAGAAAATAAAATTCTGCACTCTATTTTTGATTTAATTTTTAAATTTTTTCGAATCATTATAATTCTAAAATTAAGATTTGCTTGCTTTAGCAATAAGTAAACGTTAACTTAATAAATATTTATTACAATAACTTTATTAAAAAATTAAAGATTTTTGCTCAATTTGTTGAGAACACTCATTTCTTGATAAAGTTTGACTACAGATTTTGCAGCTGAATCAAACATTTCTTGATTCTCCAAATATCCTTTCATAATATTTGCTGCACTCTCTGCAGGAGTCATAGGCAATCCAAAATGAGGAGACGACATCATCTCAGCTTTGCTTAGCATATAATCTTTTGATATTTTGGACAATTTATTTGGTGTTGCATTTCTTATATGCACAGGGAGTGAATTTTTGTTCATCGACTTTATAACTTGGTTATTTAAATCTTGAACAAGCTTATACACCCTTGAATGCGCCTTTGGCGGATGATAAGGCCTCCTAGGAAGTAGCGGAACACTGCTGCTTCTTGAAGAATTTTTTATTTGAATTTTTTTCTTTTTTATTGCTTTCTGCACAAATTCTCGCTCTCTTTTTTTCTTTGCTTCATCATGATAAGAATCCGCAAACATTTGGCTTTCAGTTTGCCGATAACTAGTTTTATCAAAGGATTTGTCAATTGAATCTAATTTTTTAGCTAAATCTGCTACAGATTCCCAATTTCTTTTTTTCGGAGGAGGCTTGTCTTCAATTGGTTCTAATTGTTCAAATTTTTTTGGAGGAGTTACATCGTCATATTCTTTCAGACCATATGTAATTGGGTTAAAAATTTTTTTATATTTGTCTGCTGATTTTTTTTTTATGTCAATTTGTCTCAGAGTGGAGCTTGATTTGTGCTTTTCTGAATGGATTTTAGGTAGAGAGTGGGCTGTCACTCGATTTTGAGCGTCAACTAAATCAAAAGTCCTTACAGTTGATGATTGATGAAGATGCTGCTTGACTGGAAGAGAATAGTTTAAATCATAATTATTTGCTAGTTCTGCAAGCAAAATTTCAGCTTGAGAATAAAGTCGTTCTCTATATGCAAAAGTGTTTATTTTTAAATTCCATAGGTCTGGCTGGAGCCTTGTTAAGTTGATATGTCCTTTTAGTTCTGCTTTTGTGTTCCAGATCTTTATAACAGCATCATTTCCTACAGTTATAATCAGTTTTTCTGAAATTTGGCAAACTATCATATCATTCAAATTGTCTTTATGAGCTTTTCATCTCTGCACCCTATTATTGCTTGTATGAGCTTCAGGAGAGCTTGCTAAAGCTTTCGTTCTTCCAATTCCAAGATTAATAATTGCTGCAAAAGTGCTTGCATCAATATTCATTTTCTTATTAAAAACTGAATCCGGCTCTCTTTGTATCGATTTTACTCCTTTAATAAACCTCCCCACATTCCAAATGCTTACAAATCCATGGTCACTTCCAATATACATCCCATATTTCAGCTCTTTTCCGCTTTCCTCAACCCCAGTCGCAAATATTTTATTATCTTCAAAAAATTCTTCTTCAGTTACATCAAAAGCAATTTTTATTGGAAGCTCTACAATGCATTCTCCCCTTATTCAAAACAAGGCTTGATGAATACTTTCTACAGTAGAAAGATTGTAGACTGAAATTCTTCCACTAATTTCTGCAACTGTAAGCAATGGTAAATGCTCAGATAAATAAATGGAGTCTACTTCTTCTTCAATTTTGGTGCTTCCTCGGCTGCAGAGATTGAAAATATCTCATATAGCAATCACACCACTTTCACTACAGGTTGCAAATATTCCTTGTTCTCATGAACAAGCTGCCCTTGCTAAAGAATCTTCATGGACGTCTGATAATACTTTTAAAGGTTCATAATAAGACCCATCAGCCCAGATCTTTACAAGATTATCCCATCCAGCAGTAAATAGCATATCATATCGTAAAGAATAATTCAAACAAATGATTTCTTCTTTGTGCATAGTAACTGCGTTCATAGTAACCCCATTTGCATGCTGGATTTCTCTGGTTTCGCCTTTTTGGTTACTTATAATCACCCTCATCCCTAAATGAGTCAACGTCATTTGGCAGACCTCGCTAGCTGCATCAGTGACATCTGCAATAATTCTTGACTGTTTTCCTGTATATATATCAAAAACTCTTAAATCCGATCTATATTAACTTTACTTTGTGCTTAATAATAGCTCTTTGTCTTGCCGTGAGTATATTAAAGCTGTGGGCTCAATTTCTTTATTCTATTTATTCCTTACATTGATGCCGTTTGCATTTGTCTGTATAAAGCTTTCATACTCAAACCAATAAACCCTGCAGCCTACTGCACAAAAAAACTGCTCCCCTGCAGCAGGGATTATTTTTGAAATTTCCATTCTTTCTTGATTCAGAGTTTGTAAGCATTTTAAGTTTCTTAAGTCTCAAACTTTGATAAACCCTGTGTCATCTGCGGTCACGGCGAGTGGAGTTCCGTTGATGACTGCCATAGCTGAGACAGTATGTACATGTCCTTCAAGTTTTCCAAAAATGCTGATATCTTGCATTGTTTCTAGATTTCACACTAATGGTGTTGTTTCATAGGCTGCGGTTACTAGATATTGAAAATCAAAAGAATAAGCTAAAGTGTGGGCGCTTACATCAGGTAGCGTAATTACACATAGTGATGCTTTATTTTTCATTTCTCAAAGGACGACATTTCTGTCTAATGCTGAAGTAGCCAAAACTCCGTTAAACTCAATTAGTCCTGTGATTTTCCCAGCATGTCTGTTAGGTCATAGTGTTGGGTTTTCAGTTTCTATATCCCACTCGTACAGTGCATTAGTTTTGTCAGTAGTAAACCATATCCCTCGGTCCACAAACCAAATTCGGTTCTGCAGTTCTTCAACAGGAGGGTTGGTCTTTAAAATTTTTTCATATGAAAAATCGTCACGATAATCCCAAAATGTCAATGAAAAATCCTGCATGGCGGCCCCAATCCTTTGATATTGCTCACTTCAGGCAAAATCTAAAATTACCCCTTCAAATAAATGATTGCTTTTTACAGGCTCAATTTTGCCTTTAAGCTGAGAGTTATTCCCATACATTCTTATATGGGAGGATACTTGGTCTAATGTAAATAAACATTTGGCACTTGGAGCATAGATTCCTTGCCGGATTGACCTTTGATGATGGTATTTGTCAAGAAGTCTGGTACTTAAGTGGATTCTGCTGAAATGATGTTCTTTTGCTCCAAATACAAGGGGAGCTTCAGAAATTGATGGAGCGTTTTCTATTAGCTTGGTTGCTGGGAGATCAAGATTATTCTTACTGTTAAGAGCTAGCTCAAGAATATTGCAATTCCCTGTGGATGGCGCTGCATTGGCCTTGATTTCCCCCACTGGAAAAATTTTTTAGTTCGGCCAGTACCATATGGTTTGGTCAAACCAAAAAATTTTCCCAGTAGGAAAATCAAGGACAAAATAGCGCCATTCATAGGAAAATCCCATATATTCACTCAGCTCATTCCAAAGAATGCCTTCAGATATGGATTTTTTGTGCTTTTGCTTTAATACTTCTATATATAAAGTTATTGCACCAGCAGTTACATACACTTTTTCTTTGATTTCATGTTGGATTACTTGCAAAATCAGCCATACAAATTCTTCAATTTGGAGAGTTTTCTGCTTTTCAAACTGATTTTCTATTTCTAAAATGCTTGAGAGCTCGAGATGATTGAGGATATTTCGAGCAGATCATTTGTAAAGCAAATAAGTGTTTGTTTCTGGGTCTATTTTGTCGATATCAGCTTGCCGATTAAAGGAAATCTCAAGATCTCTTGGGGTTGAATGTTGGGATATTAAATCGTTTAGATTTGACATTTCTTTAAACTGAATTGTTAATTAAAGTTTGTGAAATTAAATATTAATAATTTAGAAACCTTTTAATTCTATTTTATATAATAATATAAGGAAAGGTAATCCTTAAGGCTAGTTTAAATTTATAAGCTGGCTAAGGTCTTGGCTACCGTTTATAGCTTATTTTCAATTATTTTGATGTTTTAAATATAGAATGGGGAATTATGATAAGTTTTATAAGCATCATCTCTTATTCTTTAAAGCGATCTATTGAGGATAGATCATTTTAGTTCCATTTTGGCAATTTTCTTATACAAAAGAGAATAGTTATTATATGAAAATTATTTAATTCAAATCATGGGAAGCTGCGTATGCTGCCAAACAGTCTCAAACCTAGAACTCCAACGATCTGAAACTGTAAAATCCCCAGAGTCCACTGTTCAAATTCCTCAAATGCACCCCAAAGTCCACGTCCTTGCTGATCGTGTACTTCACAATCAAACTCTTACAGTAACAAACATTGATTTATCAGGAAGGGATTTAGGGGAAGAAGGCGGTAAGTATTTAGGTGCAATAATCCCTTATTATCATCACATTACATCACTTATTCTATCAAAATGCTACTTGGAAGCTGGCGCATTTGAAAGTATTGCTTCTGCTCTGACTGATCTTGTTATGCTTAAAGAACTAGACTTTAGCTTTAATAATATAGGCTCTGAAGGAGCTGACATATTGAGCCCAGCTTTGGAAAGGATGGGAAACCTTGAAATACTAGGATTAGAAGAAGTTGGGCTTGGGAGCAATGGGATGCTGATGATATGCAGTGGAATTGTAGGCCTCAGACATTTAAAAGAGCTATATATTGGAAAAAATAATATTGGAGATGTAGGGATAAGAGGACTTGCAAATATTTTCCCATATATATGCAGTCTAGCTACTTTGGAAATAAATAAAAATGGGATTGGGCCCAAAGGGATGGCATTTTTAGCATCGTCATTAGGATGTTTGAAAAATCTTACAAAATTCAATGTAGGTGAAAATTGATTGATAAGATTACTTAAATCAACTAATTCTTGCAATTCCTGTACTTTACACATAAGAACGACCTTTGCTCTGAGCAAATAAGTTGGCAGTTACACGATCGTTAGAACTCCTATTGTCTTCAGCTCCAAAGAACTCTCCTTTCCCTTACCCCGCGCAACTGGATAGTGTCTCTGTATGATTCCCTTCTCTGAGCCCGAATAAGGGAACTATCCCTTACCAGGTCTCGACATTTTAAATTGTCAGGTGAAAATAATCTGTTACCGATTGGCGTGTCTATGATGATTCCTCACTTGCCTAGATCATTGGAAAGCTTAGTCATCGACAAAGTAGGGGCTGATAACAGCAATATTATGAAACTAACTGATATTTTATCTGAATTCTCCAAACTAAAACATTTAAGCCTCGACCACAATGAAATTACATCAGAAGGGGTTGAAGAAATCATAAAAATACTTCCAAAGTTAAAGCTCAGCTATTTAGGACTCATTGGATGCGATATCAGTTCTCATAGAAAAGCCCTTAGCCTTGCTGGATCCTCTACCGAAGTGCTACTGTAGATTAAATAATTTTTGCATAATTTTAAAGATTTATATAGCTAGCCTTAAAATATCTTAAAAAATGTATTAATGTAATTAACGTGAAAAGTTTATCCTTTTATCTATCAGCAGGACAACTATTTTTTTCTTTTTTCGGGCTCATAGACTTATTACTACAAATTCTTGACTCCAAGCTTCTCATGCTTCTTTGCCTTGTATCGTTTTTCTTCACAAATATTTGGATTTCGTCTAGTAGTTTCTTCCTCATATCTTTTTTATTATTCAGTCATTCTGTCGCTGTTTTATCTAAACCTTGAATTGTACATTTACAATTTGTATGTCTGCAGTTATTGCACTTCGCTTTATTTTCTTCTTGTACAAGTAATACAGAAAGATTAGGAAACTGCATTCCATTAATTTTTACAGGTGTTTTTTTCCTTATCTTTACTGCAGTTCTTGGTGAGGAATATTGACGATGATGTCTATGATGATTTTTTTCATTTTTGCTGAAATAGTCAATTACTCGAAGCTTCGCTTCGAGTTCAGGGTTTAATGGTGTCAACGGATAAGATGAAGCTTGAATATCTAGGCTTGAGCTGTTATGGGAGCTGCATTTCTCTTCTAGAAGATCTGCAAAGTCGTAATCGTTATCTACGCTAGAGTTTTTATATCTTCTTGGCTTATGTTTTGATACTTTTGCATAAGCTTGAAATAAGGTTTGTGAAGGATTTGTTGGAGAAACCTTTCTAGGCTGTTTATAAGCTATTTTATTTGCGTTATTCTTTTCGTCCATTGACTTGTTTAGCTTTTGGATTTCTTCGTGGATTTTTTCTGTAATATGATTGGTTTTCTTGAATACTGTTTGTCTATAATTTAAGCTGTGGGAAATCCCAGAATTTAAAATTTCATCACTTATTTGTTGGCTTTGAGAAGCGTATTTTTGAGCATATTCCATGCTAAAGATATCCTCTATTCCCTAATTATTTATTTTTTTTAAAAAAAATAAATTTCTTAAAATATTAAAAATTGAATATATTTTCCTAATATGACACTAATGAAAACTTTATAATAAAATGAGAATTCTCTATGCATATGAAGTAGGAGGAGTAGAGCAAACATATAACCAGCACGCACTAGATATCACCGCGCCTGACCTAGAAAGCGGTCTTTCTCGCGAAATCCTTCTTAAATATCTCAAAGATGACGGAGCTCAAGTAAATGATGAAAGTGTTTTAAGTATTTATAACGAATCCCGCAGCGCCTACGTCACCCTCAGAAAAGGCGATTTCGTTTCTTCAGACTTAGAAGTCCGGGTTCTGATCCGCAAAGGCCATTCCCCTTCAGTTCACGAACTTCTTCAAAAAATTGAAGCTCTTGAAAAACAGGTCCATATGCTTCAGAAAAAATTAGAAACCAGGGTAGAAACGACAGCAGCCAGAACTTATGCTATAAGAGGGTCTATTATATTAACAGCTTACTCAGAAATCGACGTAGCCATGCTTCACAGCTCTCCTCTGGTTACTTCAAATAATGGGGTCATCAAATCTATAGAAGATTCCAGCCTAGACTTCGAAGGCGAAAGAAGAAATTTAATTGAATATTTAGAATCAAGAGACGCTGGCTGCGATATTAGGTTTGAGGTCGCAAATACAGAAAACTTGTATGAACTTTTGGACTATAAGCCTAAAATTATTTATATTTCTTCACAAGGATATTTGGTGAAAAGAGAAAATGGGTCAGAATTTGTACTGGGGTTTGAAAAAAGAGGTGGGGTTGAAGATATGGGGATTTTAGATGAAGTCGATGCAGATAGACTGAAGAAAATATTGGGCTCTGCGTCGACCTATTTTCAAATAGTAATTTTTAAAGGGTGCTATTCACAAGAAATAGGGGCAATGCTGCAGAATGCAGGGTTTAACTGTGTGGTGACTGTGCATGATCTGGATGGAGACATCCATGCGAAAACTTTTGTAGCTGAAATGTGCAGGAGTCTTATTAAAGGAGATTTCATTGAAAATGCTTTCAAAAAAGCAGTGGTGACTATAGAAGATAAAAATAAAATTTCAAGCTGCTGTTGTGCACATAGACATAAACCAAATTGCTTGTGGATGAATAAGATCCAGTGCTCAAATAAAATGGAAATCCACCGAGAGCATGTCCCAGAGTCTTGTAGATGCAAATTTGGCAGCAATATTCATAGTATCAACTGTGCTTGGGCTCAAAATTTCATGACTGACTATACACCTGAGAGGCAGCTTACAGACGATGAGCTTTTGAGTCAGAAATTTGTAATTTGCTGCTGCTCTCCTGAAATTAATCATGCAAATATCAAATTTAGCATGCTTTATAACGACTCTAGTATCCTAGAACAAGTTTTGTTAGAAAACAACGGGAAAACTAGCATTGAAATAAAATCCCCGCTTCCTGCCCATTTAAAGCCTCCATATGTAGAAAAAATCACAGTTGGAAGAAGAAAACAAATAAGGCAGCTGGCAGTGCTTGCTTCAGTAAATCGATGTGTAGAAGTTATCGGGCAATGCGGGATTGGGAAGACCATGCTTGTGAAGCGTGCTGCACAATATGTGTATGAGAGAAGGATTTTTAAAGAAGGCGTTGTGTATTTGGATTTCATGATGAGAACTGATATCATCTTTATGTACCGCTATATAGCAAGCACGCTGAATTTGCCATCAATAAATAACCTTAATGAGCTTTGCAAAGCACTTGACAACCTTGATGTGCTACTTATTATTGATAATATTGACCCTCTTCTAAAGCAAGAAAATTCAACTTTAAAAGAAACCTATTCGTCACTGATAAACAATACGACTGCGCCGAAGTTTATAATAGCGACCCAAAAAGAGCTGAATTTTTCGCATTCAGAGAAATTCATAGTCAAGCCTTTAAAAACTAGGGAAGCTGCCAAACTGCTGGTGAATTTGGTAGATCCTAATTGAAAGCTGAAATCGGATTATATTAAGCACCCAGAGTCAATTGAAAGTGATTTTTTTGATAAAATTGGAACTCTGCCTGCAGCTATTCAACAAATAGCGCCTCTTTTTAAAGACTATTCGTTAGAAGAACTCAGTTTGCAAGCTTCAGGAAGTTTAGATAACTTTAATCAGCATTCAGCTAAGGATTCAGAAAAAACGCTTTCAATGTCTCTTACTCATGTTAATAATAAATTGAACAAAACTTCTGATTTTTTGAAACTTTTATGCTATTTGCCATCTGGAGCTTTCAAGATTAATATCGATTATTTATGCAGAGGCACAATACTTGACTATATGAAAATTTTAATTACTTACTTAGTTTAAGTGTGCAAGATTCTGCAGCAGGATGATTAAGGCATGCTTAGGCCCCCCCTTATAACTTCTGACTAATGGTATGGCGGGCAAATCTACTCTCATAAAATTTTTGAGGCATTCCGAAACTTCCACGACTGACCAGCCTGGCCAGAGTTGCCAACGGGACACATTAATTTGCTGTGCACTTGACTCCTACGCGTGCCATCTAAGGGTTACCCTAGGGTATTTAGACTCTTATGCTTTCTAGAATGCTTGGGCCATCCTATCTTACTTATACGATAACCCTTTAGCATTGTGGATAAAGGAAAGCCAGATAGACCGAACCCTATAATAATAAATATCTCGTAGGAAGAAGTGTTTCTCGGAAAGTATCACTTCCATACGTAGCCATTTTATTATTATATATGAAAATTTTACAGCTATTAAACACTGAAGGCCATACCTTAAATACATGGTTTTTACATAGTGACCCTAATTTTGAATTTGTACTTGTCAGAAGTAATGTTGCGAATTATTTGGAAACACACTATTCTAATCGTCCAGAATTCGCTACAAAGGTAATTGAGCACTTAGCTGTTTTCGCTAGGGCTCTTTTAAAGTGCTTTTTACTTGGGTCTTCTCCAATAGGCGCCGAAGTAAAAGGAAGCTTATTTTTTGTGAATGCTGCAATAGACTATAAAATGTGAAGCAGCCAATTTCCTGACCTAAGCGACCAGCTAGCTGAGCAGCTTGAAAAAGAACCAATTAAACCTCGAGACATGTTTGCAAAAATTGAAGCAAATTTCTGGTATTATATGAACATTGATCAATTAAAGCGGGCTTTAGGCATAAATGATACTATCCCTGAAGAAACTGCTAAGGCCCTAGGAGAAATCATGAACTGTACAGCAGCAATTTTCATTATTCTAGGAAAAAATGCAGACGCTCTAGAACTGCTTGATAGAGCTAAAAAATGTTGTGAAGCTTTTAATCTGGATAAATACCATAGCATGATCAATTTAACCTATGCTTCTTTATTATCCGCAAATCCAAATAATTTTGATAAAGCGATTGACTTAATTGAAGCTGCGAAAAATTATTTTATTGAAGCAGACGATAGAGAAGGCCAAGCTGAATCCAACTTTTTACAAGCAATGATAAAGGAATTTAGAAGCACCAGCAGTGAAGGCACATTAATTCTTTCAAGAAGGTCAACACAGACTGACTTAGAAGGCCAATTAGAGCTAGCTGATACAAGATTTAGAGAGTCAGAAAATAATTTAGGCTGTGCTAGAGCTCAGCTAGCCTTGGCAGAGTACAAGCTTAAATATGAAAGCAACGAAGCTGACGTGCTTGATAAACTAGAAAATGCCAGAGTTGTGTTTGAAGAACTTGGCAGGACTTATTGGGAAGCTCGAGCTACCATTTGTCTAGGCGACTGGTATTGCTTTGGGAAAAACTGGATTAAAGCGAGAGATATCTATACTTCAGCTTTAAACTTAACAAAGAGAAATGGGGACAGGAAGCAAGAAATCGAAGTCACAGAAAAAATAAAAAAATCAAATGAAATGATCAGAAAAAAGAGCAAAAATGTAATAGCTTTGTTAAAGTCCTCACCACTGGTTGAAAAAACCAATAGCATACAAAGGGTAGGCGCAGTTTGCCGATTTCCATCTGAATTTATAGCAAATTGTATTAAATATTTATTTTAATAAAATAATTATTTTTATTTAAACTATCAAAGTATAGAACAAATCTTAAAGCAGAACTCGCTGAAACTGGAAAAGAAGTCTGTGTAAGATTTGATATTGGTTCTAAAGCAAAACTTAAAGAATACTTGCAAGAAAATTGCAGAATCTTGCATATTGCAAGCGAAGTCCCAAGAAATAATTGCTTGATTTTTGAAAAAGAAAATGGCGTTGCAGAAATTCTGACTAAAGAAGACTTGAAAAATGAAATTGTAGGATTTCAGCAGTATGGAGTTGAAGTTCTAGTCTTAGCAATGCCATTTAGTGTTCAGCTTGGAGAATTCTGCCGCCAAGAGCTAGGAGTTCCCCATGTCATTGCATTTGGCATGCCAGATTACCCTAAGGATGGAGAACCTATTCACCTATATTTGGCATTTGAATCGGCAATTCATACTTTTTGTATCAGTTTTTACAAAAATCTTGTGTCTGGGCTGACAGTAAGGACTTCATATCTTGAAGCCAAAGAAGAAATGGAGCTATATCTAGACGAGCAGTCAAGAGAATTTGGCTACTTAGAGTTTATGGGTAAATATTTTGAGCAGTGGTGGGAAGAATACCACAGAAATGAGCCAGTTCTCATAAATGAAATAAGTGGGATTCATGATTCCCCAATATTTTTTGAAGATGGCCCAGAATATCCTAAAAACTCTTCACTTATTGATATGAGCACTCCTAGAGCTCCAAGCAACATTGAGAAAAAAACAAAATGCTTTATAGGCCGACAAGTAGAACTTTACAACATAATTGAGGCCTTAAACGACTCTTCTTCATGTGTCCACATAACTTCTGCTGAAGGCGTCGGAAAGTCTGAATTTGTGAAATATTTAGGATATTATTTGAATATCAGAGACAAATACCCAGATGGGATTTATTTATTGGATCTACAAGGAAAATCATCATTAAATGAAGTTTATGAGCTGTTCCAAAAAGTAGGGCTTGCGTTTTATTCGTCTGATATTGATCCAAGAACATTTTTATACCAGCAAAGGCTTTTATTGATTCTTGATAATTGTGATGCGTTAATGACGCAGGCAGAAATTACTTTTAACAGCTTGCTGAGAATATTTTTAAAAGAATGCAAAATATCGGTAATATTAACATCATGCGCTCAAATAACCACAGATGATTCGTATAATATCAAAAGATTTGCGTTGCGCCATTTAAATAACCAAGAATCATATCAGCTTTTAGCTTTGAAAAGTCCGAAATTCACAAGCCAAAGGTTAGAAGCAGAAAGAGATAGGCCGGAATTTAACCAAACAGTATATGAAATAATTCGAGAATGCCAAGGAATTCCTAGAAAAATATTAATTTGGGCGAGAAGACTGGAAAAGCAGGATTCAAAAAATATTTCACTGCTGCTTTCTTTGAAGAATATGAATAATACAGCTTCTGAGCCTACAAGTCCATTGTTTGAAGAAGATTTGCCATCATTAGAGTTAGTTAGAAGTAGCACAAAAGATGAATTCTTAACAAGATCGAGAACAGTTGAGCCATCATCGATAGCATATCAAAGCCAAGAAGGCGATTGGTTCATTAAGACAGATCTCAAGAGAAATTCTTTATTCCCTTACAAATAGAAGTAATTTAGAATTTGATAATATCTCATAAATATTGATTTAATTAATTTCATCCTTATTTTGACAGCTCATAAAGCTTTGGCTGAAATGTAATAATTTTTTGATAAATAATCGCAATTCATAAAGAAAATGTTAATGATGGGAAATTAAATAAAATCAATATTCATGATAAATCCATAATTTGTGCTTTTAATCTTCGTAATTATTCCATTTAGATAAATTTAATTTACTATAGCCCTCTTTTGGTTTGAGTTATGCCGATGCGTTCCAACGCCAATCGGGAGTTGGTAAGCCTTGAGTGGCAAGTGGATTTGTTATCTGGAGAGTTGGTTTGACTGGCAAATTCAATTTTCAAACTCCCCAGTTGTTGGAAGATGTTGGCATAGCCTGAACCAAAAGGAGGCTCAGGCTATATTTTTCGATAATGTCAAAAAGGAAATGATGGGCAAAGAGTATAAATTGCATTTTCAAGATATTTGCATAGGCTGATAGATGTCACAAATTTTGACGAGATCATAAGAAAAAATTATAAGTTTAAAAAAGTTTTAAATTTTGACATGGACCTGAAGTCATGCCCTAACTTAACTAAACCTCTCTCTATCCCTTATTATTAAAATATATGTGTTAGATAGTTTATAAATTACTATTATTTTGAGCTAAATTGGGCGGTAATCTTATCAATTTTATAAAATGGCATTAATGCTACCAAAAACAATTATGGATTAAATCCTATCTTTAATCGAAAATTTTTTGTATTGAATTTATTCACTCCAATTGAAAGGGACATTGGATGATATTTATTTAAAACTTTTCAGAAGATATCTTACAATTGATTGGCATTATTCACATTTTTAAATTAAATATATATGTTATACTGGTTAACTTTTACTATGCACCTGCTTTAATTGAAAGGCTTTGACTAATTTGTGTTCCGAAATATTTTTAATTTTTATAAGAAAAAAATGCTGTATTTATAATTTATTCATCAAACGAAAGAGTTAGCTTATAATTTTAAAATAAATCTATGCATTTTTAATTAAAAGAAATTTAAAATACAAAAAATTTCTTGAAAAAATTCAAATTTTAATTAAAAGAGGCATATCCTAGTCCACTCCTTGGGCTTGCAGCTTCTTCGACTTGTGAAGTTGGGACTGAAAGGCTATTTTGTGCCAGATCTTTGACATCAATCTTGCAAGGCTCTTCAAATGGTATCAGCTCCTGCCTCTTTTTATTCAAGAGAGACTTTATTCGGTTCTTTACTGAACATTCTGTCCGATTTCCCACCTGTTTTGCTATGGTGCTCCACTTGTTGCCAAGCTCCTTATGCAGCTCAAGCAACTGTGAATCTTCCTTGTCAGTTCAGCTCCCTCTCTTGATTTCAGGATTTAAATGGTTGTTCCATCTTTCCTTGCAATGCTTGCCAGTCCTTATTTTGAGTCCTTTGTGTATTGTATTGTTGATAATATTAGCAATGTTTCCCCACTTTTTTACAGCGCTTTCTACCAATTCGATGAGCTTTTCATCTTCTTTTTCAGACCAAATCCCAGGGCGCAAAGTTCCAGAGACTTGGATTTCGTTGATTTTCGCCATACACTGCTCAGCTGACTGTTCGGTTTCCTTTGAAATCGTTTCAAAGTCGTGGATGTCGAGATCCTCGATATTTTTGTCCTTCTGCTGAGCATAGGCTTTGGTTATTTCATAGAGCCTTTCAACTTGGTTCTTTTTCCAAGTCCTCTTGTATTTCCCTTTTGGAGCTGTTTCAACAGAGTTTTTAATTGGAATGGACACTACTGGGACCTGGGGAAAGGCACAGAAGTAGTATGGGGTTATGGTCTGAATTGTATAGTTTGGAATAAAGTATTGAAAGCTTTGCTGATTTTCCATTTATAAAGTTGTATAATAGCCATTACATGAAATTTGAATTTAAGTAAGGAATAAAATGGTCTTATTGTTAACACTTTGTAATTAAGTAGTAAAAAAAGAAGTTTTGAAGTGGGGTTATTTTTCTAGAGAAAATTTTTGTAAAAATTCAGTTATTCTTGTTTAGAAATTGATTATAGAGTTTTTGTAAAATAAAATTTAGTAGGATATTATAATTGAGTTTTGAATAAAGAAACTCTAAAAATCTATTAAGAGAAAATCTTGTTTATCTATTTCAAAATTTAGGCCAGCTCAACCAAGTTTAAGAAAAGCTTCTTAATATTTGATGTTTCATCTATTTATAATAAAGAAGGACTGCATTGAAGACATAAATATCTAAGTAAAGAAAATCTACTTTGTATTCAAATTTAAAATTCCGTCAACTAATTATGGTTAATCCAATAAATCTACGGTTTTTCAACGCACGAGTTGATTTACAAAATTATAATTTTGTCATATTTTATAAATATGCTATTATACCTAATTTATTCAACTGAGTTTTAATAATAAATAATAAAGTTAAAAATATTCGTTACAGTAATTTCAGTAATTTTAAAATTAAAATTTATTTTCTTCAGGTCTTATTTCTTGAATAGAACTCAAAGGAAGCGCTATCAACTTTGTAATCACTGCTGAAAACATCCTTGAAAAATCATAATCCCTTCTTTTTTCTTCAAACCTCTTTTCTTTTTGTTGTTCAAGTTCTTTTTTATTTATTTCAGCTCTAAGTTGTTTATTTATACTTATCTCTTTTACGTTCTGCTGCTTATCTTCAATCTCTGCTGAAATCTTGGATTTCATACTTTGGACTTTTTGCAAATAATTTTTATATTTAATTTTTTTGTTTTTTTCTATTTCCTCATATAGCGATTTCCTATAGTTTTCAGCCTGCTCAAGTTTCTGCAGCTTAACTTCAAATTCTCTTTGAATTTGCTCAGTAAGCTGGCTTTCTAAATAAGTTTTTCTTTCCTGGCTTTTCTTTATATTTTCTTCTGTTGCCTTTGCCATGTCTTTGATTTTTTTGGAAATTTCCATTTGGATGAGCTCGACATTTGATCTTGAAATTTCAGCTCTTTTTTTCATTTGCTGATAAAAGAATTCTTTTTTCTTTTCATATAGATCATATCGGCTTATAGACTTTTCTCCTGAAGGTATTTTAAGGCTCTCTGTGCGCTCATCATGCCTGAGAAGGAAGCTGGTTTTGCTTTTGTTTAGTCTTCTTGACTTTTCTTCAATGCTTTTTGCTTCTCTTGGGGATAAAAAGTCTGAAGAAGCTGAAGAAGAAACTTTTGTGGGGTTAACAAATGGCTTTAAGCTCCTGATAACGATTTTTGAAGACCCTTTCTCTTGAACTGAGTCAATTTTATCTTCTGGAGGCCTCATATGTGATCGTCGTGCGAGCAGTCTCTGCACAGAAAAAGATGGCTCTATTTGTGTATAAGATTTAGCAGAGTGTCTTATAAATTGACTTTGCTGGGACTCTTCTGACGGTAGGGTTTCTACTTTTGTTTCAATGATCTCTGGGATTGTTGGCTGGTTCAACTCTGTTTCTTTTGATTGTCCTATTGATAAATTTGGAGCTGATTGAACAACAGAATTTTCAGTCTTTGGATGTATTTTAGGAAATGAAAGCATGGAATTATTGCAGTTTTCTTCTCAGTCGTCTTTTTTTATCATAACTCCATTCACTATCGCATATTTTTTAGTGAAATTCTCATACCCTTCCACAAGCAAATTATAATCATCGTGAGGATTTGAAGCTTTATATGGTTTATATTTCATATCACTTTTGTACTCAGCTTGATGAAATTGCCATCCTTGCCAGCTTGGGCCTTGATTTCGATTATCTAGTCTTTTAAGCACCTTATATCCAAGTGGACCATCATACCTTTGAGTTGAGTCTGTTCTGCATCTGTGCCTCGAACTGAAAGAAATAGCTTCTTTTTTGGGGCAGCCTTTTCCTCTTAACTGTAAATAAAGCATAGCTTGATCTATTGTAAGTACTGAGTCATTAGGGCTTAGTTTATAGCAATACCTCTTTAAAATGTCTTCTTTTCATTTAGCATCCTCACTCATCTGAGTTGAATTCGTCCTCGCTGTTTTAGCAGGGCCAGTATACCCATTAATGCAGTCTCATATTGGTAAATTTCTTGGGGTATTGCAAACTGATGTAGGTAGAGATCCATAAAAATTTTTCATTCTACCTCCAGAAGCAGTTGACATCCATCGAGTAGTTCCAGGCTTTTCAAGTAGTTCCGCTAAATCCCCGATCAAAATTTTGGCTTCCTGGAGATTTTTAGTAATTTTTTTTAAAAATTTATGTATAAATAAAAGTATTTAAATTAAATAACTTTTTTTCCCCAGCTCACATAGATTTTTTCTAAAAAATAGAAGTTTATACCAATGTTTTGCTCACTCATAGAAGGGAGAGTAAATGAATTAGCCTTCTTTCTTCGTGCCTTGACCTTTCTTCTTTCATCTTATTAATGTTTTCTTCTTGTATCGCTTCCCTTTTCATAATAAGTGACTCGCTTTGAGTGCTCTTTTTAAAAATTTTGCTTGGATCATCTCTGCTCGTCAATGAAGTTTGAGCATTTGACGTGTCTCCTGTAGACTTTCGATACTGAAAAAAGTCTTCCACCTTTTTATTCTCTTCGCATTCAATGCTTCTTTTTCTAGACTGAACTATAGATGAAAATTTATTGTTTTTCTGAGTGATTTCTCTTAATATTTCTCTTCTTCTTTCCGCTTTCACTTTTTAAAAGATGACAAGCTAAATAGGTTCAGGTAAGCGTATCCCATCGTTTTAGGAAGTCCAAGTTCTCTTTGCATGGTCAAAACTTATGGCAGGCTTTTTTCCTCGGTTCATAGACGAGAAAACTGAAGGCGCATGACAGCTTATACTTCTGGGGAAGCAATATTTGTCTGCATAAGGCTATTTGTCCCAGAAGGAGGCTCTAACTCCCCCCCCCCCCTCCGTGAGCGAACAAAAAAATTTTGTTCGCTCACGGAGGGGGGTTAATTTTTTTTTTTAAAAAAAATTTATATATAAATTTTATAAAAAATATTTTTTTCGAAATTTAAAAAAAATCCTAATTTGCAAAAATTGGGAAGCAAATATTAATTTAATTTGCAAAATTTATGTTTTAAAACGCAATTTGTTTAAAATTAAACAGAATTAGCTCTAGATTTCATTATACTAATTATCACTTATATATCAAAATTTTTTTCCCATTAAAATTTTTTCTATTAAAAAAAATTTTTGTTCACTCACGGAGGGTGGGTTTTTGGTCAAAAAATGGCGATTTTTTCTAATGGTTTTGTTCGCTCACGGAGGGGGGGGGGAGTAAGCAATAAACTTATGCCCTGAACACTAACGGGGGTTTAGGGAATCCTTGGCCTTACCGCCGGTGCCTTAGGGCAACTTTAGCCTGAAGCCGTCTAAGGGCAAGTAAAGGCTGAATTAATCCTCTGCGGCCCGCTGAAATTTGTCTAATCTAATCTTTCCGTTTTCAGCTGCATCGTTTTTTCTAACTTCTGCTCTAAACTTATTCTTTTCCGGTTATTTATCACATTTTGTATATCTAAATTAAGCTGCTTTCGGAGCTTGAGTTTCTGGTTCTTAATTTCTGAAATTGAAACAATATCTTGTGTCGCCTTCTGCTTAGTCTCTAAATCTAGAAACTTTTTATTATACGAGTTTTCTATATATTTTATGATCTGTTCCTGGGGCATTAAAATCCCTGCAGATTTCGATTTCTTCATCTATTTCTAAAAAAATGGAAATTTTGAGTAAAAGTTAAGAATTAAGTTATTTATTTTTTCCTAAACATTTCCAGCATTCTATAGGTCACCACAAATCCACCGACCACATTTATACTGGCGAAGAAGAGGCTGGTGAACCCAAGAGCGCTTCCTTCATCAAACTTGACATCTTCAGATGCAGGTTACACAATTAAAATGGCGAGCCATCCGACCCGTCCTTCTCCTGTACCCTCAGGGATTACGGGTTTAAGAAGTAAACGGGGCCTGAATATTGTGTCCAGGGTGGGTTTTTTTACCTTGGTCGGGACACCACGACAGGTTTTTTACCTCTCACAAAGATGAGAAGACCAGAGCCGCAGAATCAGGAGTCACACTTCAGGACTAGAAGGAAGTGAGGAAGCTTGTAGTGGAGCTTGGGGACCTGAAGAAGACTCCGGAAGGCTACTTTTCCCCCTCCCCAGAAAGGACGGCGCCGGGTCACTAGACCCTGATCAAAGGAGTACCTGGGTGAGTCTCCCTGTCAGATGGCGACGTCACCATTTTTTGGTGACGTCGACAGAAAATGGAGTAAGCTACAGAGCCGGTGCTTAGGGCGCAAGCCTGAAGCTGGCAGCGCTGGGTAGAGGCTGAAATAAACCTCCATGACCCGCTAAAACTAATTAATCTAATAATTTAATCAGATGCAGGAGTCAGCTCAAGCATGGCTCCAATTACAATAATTCCTGATATAGCGTTCGTAACACTCATAAGAGGAGTATGCAATGCTGGGGTGACGTTCCAAATAACCATATATCCAATGACAATTGCCAAAATGAATATCAAAAAGAAGCCTAAAAATTCTACATCAGCTGAGTAGCCAATTGACAAAAATACAGTAGCCAGCAATGCAATATTCAAAAGCCAGCTGTATTCTTGGATAAAGGATTTATGGGAAGCGTCTTCAAGAGGCTGAGCTGCATGGAAAACTGGAGCTGCCTGAGGTGCGGCTGCTGGTTTTGCTTGAGGAGGTGGAGGTGGTGGTCTTTTGTCTAAAGGAATCCATGTGACTTCTCCAGCATTCGCAACAACCATATTGTTTACAATTTCGTCCTTCATGTTAATATGGAACTTGCTAGCTCCTCCTAGTTCATCAAGCAAATGCCATAAATTATTAGCAAATAGTTCTGAGCTTTGTGGAGCCATTCTTGATACTAAATCAGTGTATCCGATAATAACTACTCCGCTTTGTGGATCTGTAATAGCATTTCCAGGCTCAGTCAGTTCGCAGTTTCCGCCCATTTCGGCAGCCATATCAACAATAACGCTGCCTGGTCTCATCACTCTGACCACTTCTTCTTTAATCAGTTTTGGAGCTGGCTTTCCAGGAATTAAAGCAGTGGTAATTACTATATCGCTGACTCTGGCAATATCTTTAGTTAGCTGATCCTGGGCTCTTTTAAATTCGTCACTCATTTCTTTGGCGTAACCTCCTACACCTTGTCCTTCTTCTTTAAGCTGAACTTCTACGAATTCTGCACCTAAACTTTCGGCTTGTTCTCTTGCAGCAGATCTGGTGTCGAAAGCTTTTACAATGCAGCCAAAGTTTCTGCAGTAGCCAATAGCAGCAAGACCTGCAACTCCACATCCAATGATAAAAACTTTTGCAGGCGGCAATTTTCCAGCAGCTGTTATTTGAGCCTTAGGGCATTTTTGGAAAATATTGAACGCCTCTACGACAGCTCTGTAACCTGCAACATTGGCCATAGAGCTTAAAGAGTCTAATTTCTGAGCACGTGTAATTCTAGGTACACAATCCATAGCTGCTATGGTGAGTTTTGGGTATCTTTTAGCTAGGTTATCTACATATGAAAGATCTTGTGCTGGGTATACATAGCAGACAAGCAATTTTACGTTTTCAAGCAAGTCTTGCTCATTTTGGTTGAGTTCTGCATTAAAAGAAGGTTTTCTTACCTTTAAGATGATATCAGCTTTTCTCCATACTCTGTCAGTCCTGTTAATTTTAGCTCCATACTTTTCGTATTCTGAGTCCCAAAATCCGGCAGCTTCTCCTGCTCCTTTTTCGATGATGACTTCAAAACCTGATTTTCTGAACTTTCTGACCATTTTTGGAGTTATAGCGACTCTGCGCTCTCCTTGAAGCACTTCTTTAGGAACTCCAATAATCATTTGAGGATCTGGATATACACCATCGTCAGCTTCAGACTCAACGACTTCTTCTTTTTTAACCTCTTTTACAGCTGGGCCGTTATCTCCAGCTTTTCCTTTTAATTCTCCTAAAATATCTTTGATAGATTTATCAGCACTTCCAAAGAACATTCTGGTATTTGGCTTCACAAATAGTGGATTCTCTATGCCAGCGTATCCTGTTCCTGATCCTCTTTTGAAGACACAGACCATTTTGCTTTTCCATACCTCGCATACAGGCATCCCAGCAATTGGGGAATTCGGGTTTTCTTGAGCGTCTGGGTTGACGATATCATTAGCTCCAATAATCATAGAAATATCGGTATGTGGAAAATCTTTATTGATTTCTGACATCTCCATAACGATGTTATAAGGAACGTTTGCTTCTGCTAAAAGCACATTCATATGTCCAGGAAGTCTTCCTGCGACAGGGTGGATACAAAAGTGAACTTCCTTGCCCATTTTTCTTAAAACGTCAGCAAGTTCCCCGACGTCATGCTGAGCTCTAGCAACTGCCATTCCATAGCCAGGGACAATTACAACACTTTTTGCTTTGACCAGTTCTGCAACAAAATCTTGGCACTTTATAGGTGTTTGAACACCATCTCCAATGTTAACTGGACCCATCGTTGTTCCTTGTCCAAAGCCTCCCATAATCACACTGAAGAATGACCTATTCATGGCTCTGCACATAATATAGCTAAGAATGGCACCAGAAGAGCCGACCAAAGCTCCTGTGATAATTAACAAGTTGTTTTGAAGCAAAAATCCAGAGGCGGAAGTAGTCCAACCTGAATAAGAGTTCAGCATTGATACAACAACTGGCATATCTGCACCTCCAATAGCCATAACAAGATGCCAGCCTACAAAGAACGAAATTCCTGTCATTGCCATCAAAGATTGAAAAGCCAATGTTTCGTCTTCAGCGAAAAGGAATAAATATCCAAGCCCGAAAATAAGAATCAGGGACACGATATTTAGCATATGTCTACCTCTCCCACATATCAGTAATGGGATTCCGCTGATCAGTCCTTGGAGTTTTGCAAAAGCGACTACTGAGCCAGTAAAAGTAATAGCTCCCATAAAAACGCCGACAAAAGTCTCGGATTTCTCGATTATCCCCATGGCTTATATACACAAAATGGCGGACGGCGACCGACCCACCTCTCAGTGGTGGTTACCCATGTATATCCGGGCATGATTTTTGGAGCCAGGAGTTAGCCCAACAACGTCTGGGACCTCGAAGCGAGAGGCCTAAGCGCAAAAGCCGCTGTTTTTTGTGATCAGACCCATGGGCAGTTACTCGTGACTTCTTTTTGCCAGCAGCGCTCAGCCCAGTGAGTGCCCGAATGAGGCAGGGCGACTTACTTGCCTAAGCTGCTTTTGTGGCTCGCCCCGAATGACGAAAGCTGTTGAGTTCTTTCTCGGGATGACCGGAAAAGAGGAGAAGGCGAGTTAGACAACTAAACGGGGGTCTCTCCAGTTTAAAAGGTGCCCTTCAATGGGTAGATCTGGCGGACGGCGCGGCAGTGTTGGCGTAAACTTAGGCGACGATCCAAGTTGGAAATGGAGGCGGTCAGCAAGGCCGGTATGAGACGGCCCTTGACATTACCTCTACCGAGAAACCGGGGGTTTCGGCCCAGGCTTGGTGAACGCTCTGCCACCATACGGAAACCGTAGAATGCTTCCTCGGACGTAGTAGGGACCTTAAATACCTAGCGTTAATCTAATCTAATCTAATCCCCATGGCTTCGTTTAACTCATTCTCATGGAGGTATTTAGAATACCCGACAAGGGTTGCGGCAATACCAACAAAGCTGTGCAAAGCTGCGACCATCTGAGGCATCATAATCATTTCAACTTTTAAGGCAAGGGTAAGCCCAATCAAGCCTCCTAACTTCTTTTCCGTAGTTTATTTTTTAAAAATAACTTATAAATCTTATTTTCATTTTTTTAGAGGTTTAAAAATACCTCTAACTGAAATATTGCAAGTAAAAATGTAATTTAATTTTATAAATTTAAGTTTTATAATGGAATTGTTTAAATTTAATAGAATTGGCTTTATATTTATCGCTATTTATATTATTATATTTTCTATAAAACATTTTTTATAAAAATGATTTTGGCTCATAGAGGTTGAAGTAAGGAAAATGCTGGAATAAAGTAAACGAAATTGCTATTGAATTCGTCTAATAAAAATGTTGAGCCGATTGCAAGAGTCATTGAAATGATTCCGAAGAAATTCCCTTTTCTAGAAGATTCATGCTGTGATAATCCACCCAGCGCGAGGATAAAAAGTAGACTACATAGCATATAAACAGACTCCACTATCTGTTGCATTTTATTATTGGCTATAATAGAGAATTAACTATCCAGAGATAAAAGCATTATTTTAATTGAGATAAAATAATTAAGAGAGTTCAAAGAGAGTTTAATAAAATAAAATTGTTTGAAAATAATCATAATTTGTAGCCATCATATTTAAATAATGGATTCAATAATTATCCTATTTTCCTATCATTTAGAATCTTACTATCGCTATTTATTAAACAAGCTTAAATGTTTTATTATAGGATTATAATAGACCAAATTTATTAAGTCTGCAAGACAATTATTTTTTAAAATAAAAATTTCGATTTAATATAATGAGTTAGTATGTAAATCCAAAATGTTTTAGGTAAAAATAAATCGATTTTTTTAAAGGTAAATTTATATCTAAATATACATATTATTATATTTATAGCTTATATTGGAGCGATATCTCCTTTTGAAACAAATTTTACAGGCGATCCTTCTGATCCAGTAAAGCTCTGCCTCACTGGGGATTGTGGCATCTTAACTTTTATCAAATTATTATAACTCTCTTTGCTTTGCACCTTTATAGTGTTTTTTATATTTTCCTTAATTTGATTATACAAATCATAGCTAAGTGGCTTATTGGGAGTATTATATTTGTTTTGCATTTCCATATATACATTTATCCATTCTCCAAGCAGCTGGTTCAGCTTAACCACTTCTCCTTGTTTTCTTTCCAGCTCTTTTTCAAAGTTTTCTTTCATCTCGGTTAAATATGATTTTCATTTTTCTCTTTCTTCCCTCATTGAGCTAAAAACATCTTGTTCAAGCTTTGCTAGCATTGCTTGGTTGTGTTCGGCTACTAATTTGTATTGCTCATTGCTGTTTTTAAGCTGAAAATTATGCATTTCTTGCATTTGAAATCTTGTTTCAAGGTTCTTATAACGAATGAAAAAGCTTTGGCTTTCGTAGCTTTCGTGGCTTTCGTTTTCGTTATACGCAGAAGCTAAAGAAGTAAAATCGAGCCTTTTTTGTGTGAAATCATGCTTTACTGTGCATGATCTGGAATTGGATCTTTGTCTATGCCCTTGTGGCTGAGCTTGCACTGGGACTGCAGGTTTGTTTGTAAAAGTCTTGAGAAACTTTGACTTTGGGCTTGTAGCTTCTAAAGCAGTAGGTGGTTTTAGCACTATTTCTGGCTCTTTGTTTTCATATAGTTTTACCACCTTTTTATAAGAATTTTGAAGAAATTCAATCATTGACTCTAGTGTTTTGATTTGTTCATGCTGCTTTTTACACATAAATCTTTTTATCATATATTTATGATTGGCTAAATTCATCTTCCAGTCCAAGCTATACAGAGTTCTTGACATATTTGCATTAATTATAGCTGAATGAATAACTTGATTTCTCAGTTGAAAAATCGTGATATCCTTGTTGAGCTCAGAATTATTTTCAAGAACCTGCTTTAAGCCTTTCGCATAAGGGCTTGCCTGATATAGTCCATTTGGATCAATAGGAATGCTGATTTTTGAAATCCCTAGGTCATAAGTTTCACTTTTATCGCCTTCTACTTCATCATGTTCTGTAATAACAGGTACATCAAGCCTAGAAACCATTTCAGATCTATCGTCAAACTCCAAACAAGTCGTTTCTTTTGGATTTGAAACATTATCAACAAATTCTTTAAATCTTTTATCAAGATCCTGCAAAGAAGAAATAAGCCTTTTAGTTTGCACTGAAAGTCCTTCGTTTTCTCTTTTTAATACTGCGTTTTCTGTAGAATCTTTATTTATCATCATCAAGGTTTTGTGGTAATTTTCATAATACTCGTTAGCTCTTTGTTCAGATTGCAGCTGCTTTGTTCGAGAAGACGCTAATTTATTTTCGAGTTCTTGGTTTTTTTCAGCAAGAATTTTGTATTCGTTTTTGAAATGATGGTATTTTTTTTTGAATTTTTCCAAATCTCTTTCAAGGGTTTCTCGGACTTGTTGGAAATTTTCTTTCTGCTCACCATCGAAATCTGTTAAACGCTCTGGGATAAAATTGAAGGAAGAGGCTAAGGAGTCAGTCTCGAAAATTGAATAGTGAGTGTTTTTCTTGTCTAAAATTGGAAAATTGTCTTCAGAAACTGCCCTTAAGTCTTCTAAATTTACTAAAAGCTTGGCTTCTTCTGAAGATTTTCTGCTGATTTTTGGCTTTGAGATAATTGTGAGAGATTTTCTGGTTCCTTGAGGAGATTGGACTCTACTGCTTTTCTGCGACTTGCAGTCAGTGCATGAAGTTTCTTTTTCTCCTCGTAAAAACTGGATTTCTATTTTTGCTGAATTTAGTTCATTTTTGAGCTGTTCAATTAATTTCAAGTAATTGTCAGGTGAGTTCTTTATATTCACTTTGACCTTGTTTTTTATTGCTTTAGCTCTTATTGCGAATCCCATTGTGTTCAAAGTTTCTTCTTGGTTTTTTGGCGATGGAGAGCAAGCAACAATAAGTGTCGTTTTATAGTTTCCTCCTAACGACTCTTGTAATAGTCTTGTTAATTTTGAGTCCCTATATGGAATATGGTCAGAATTCTGCACCAGAGCGTGAATCACGTTACCTAGTGCTGAAAGTGACAAATTTATTTTTTTGGCTTCTTCTAGCTTATTTCCAGTCACCCCTGAGTTATTGACTTTTTCGCTACCCGCCAAATCGACCAAATTCAAAGTTCCTTTTTTTTCTGACTCCTCTCATGAGTGAGCAGATTTTTTGCTCGTTGATTTTTCCGTTTTAAATATAAAGCTTAAATTTTTATTATCATTATTAACTATCCATTTTATTTTTAATATAAATTGTAATTGTCAAATAATCGATTTTATTCAGAACGCTTCTCAACTCTCCATAAGTCCTTATGGACTTCTTAACCACCTAGTTATGCTAGCTTGCACCAATCTGCCCCCTTTTTTCCTCTCATTGTGTTTCACACTCTTTCGCTTTGGCTTCAATACCTCTGTGAGAATTATTTTCACGTTAGGTCTTTTTGCCTTAGCTTCTATTTCCATTTCTGCTTTCAGTTTATGCTTCGATTTCTGCCTCAAATTCTTCTTCAGCTTCCGTTTCAATTTCTGCTCCACGTTCTGGTTTAACTTCTACTTCTGTTTCAAAACCTGCTTCCTTCCTACTTCAATTTCTGCTTTAACTTCTGCTTTAATTTAATTTCTGCTTGAATTTGCGCTTCAATTCTTCAAATTCTGCTTCAGTTCCTGCTTCTTCTGTTCCATTCCCTGCTCCCCTTTCTGACTCTGACTCTGATCCTGCTCCAGTTCCTGCCTTCTCCCCTCGTTGGCCCTTTGGCTTTAGTTTACGGCTAAAAATTCAATTGGCTCCATATTCACTCTCTCTAGAATCTGAAAGTACTTCTCCCCCATCTATTAGTTTTATTATCACTAATCTTCGTATTCAAACCTCAAAGAACCTCTGTCAAGTTCTTATCATTATCTCATATCTATCTTCCAAAGAAGCATCAAGGAAGCCATCAACCTCCTGCCAAAACTCTTTATCCCAAAACAAACTATCTTCATCGGAATCCATTTTTTTTCAAAAAGCTCCATGCTACTACTACACAATCCTCGATCGGTTTTCAAGGCAGACATTTCGCTCCTCACCCTTTTTGGCTCTATTTTTTCTAAAATAAAAAAGTGAATTGTACTTGTCAAATTTTTTTGAAAATCCAAACAAAAATGAAAAATCTCCATTTATGATTTCAAGATGCAAAAATAGACTTGACTGTACAAAGCAAGTGTCCATATTTTTTCTGGTTGATATATCGCTTGTGTCTATTGCGATCTATTACGGAATAAATTTTTTAAAACCTAATTTCGAAAAAATTGGAAAGGATAATTATTTAATTTTAGAAAATTTATGTAGCTATTTAAAATTCAATGTGAATTAATGAAGATTTTATTTTAATGAGTATCATTTATATTTCAATATATTTTTTATGTTAAAAAATTTTTTGCTCATTCACTCACGGCTCTTTTCCCCAAAAAAGGTTTTTATGATTTTTTGCTCATAAAATGGAGTGAGTCATTTGGCAATTTCTGCATAACCTGAAGAATAAAAATCAAATGAGATCTGGAAGACGTCTTATTTAATTTTGTAGACGCAACTGTCCTCATTTCCTCTCCTAGCGTTAAGGCTTCTAGCATATCATTTTCTGAGGTTACACAAACCTCAGTAAGCCCCTGCACATAAATTCCTCTTCTCGGACACTGTTTTATTCTCAGTGATTTTGTCTCCGCATCTAATAAATCTCTTATAGTTTCTTTATAAATTTCAAGCATTGAGCATTTCAAAGTATATTCAATTTCGCCACTATCCATTTGGACAGCTTCAAAAATTTGTGAGGCTGCTCTCGGAATAATCCCTCTAGACTCTTCAGAATATATATCATATCCCATCATTGTATAGGTTTTGCCTGATCCTGTTTGCCCATAAGCGAAAATTGTGCCATTATAGCCTGTCATGACATCTTCAATAGTTGGTTTCCCAGCTAATTCATAGACTTCTTGTTGGGTTGAGTTTGGATCGAAGATCCGGTCTAATGTAAATGATTCGAGGTCTTTTCCTTGACCAATGCCTACCGTTTTTTCGTTTATAAAAGTGATTACTTCTAGGGAATCGGAATATGCCTATATAATCGTTACCATTTCGTAATCAACGATTGGTCGAAATCTCCCTATAACTTTTATATTGCTTGCTCTTGGTTGTTGGATTACAGATATGCTAGTATCAGAGCCCTGACTCATTAATGCTGGGCTTTGAGGCCTATTAAAAGACTCTTGCCTGATGGTTGACATTTATTATCAAATTAAAATGTAATTTTATCAGTTGAATTATTACTGTTCAAATTGAGAATTGTCAATCAAATTAAATAATACTTTAATAATCGTAAATAATAGAATTCTGCCATTATATTTGGTATACATTAAAATAGTGTGGTTAGCAAATCCACCATCTTAACACCTGTAGCTGGCCAACTTAGGGATTTTGTGAAAGGGAGGATGACGTTCGGGAATGTGCATCTCTGACTCATAGGCAGCGCCTGCCTTCCCTTTTCCCCCCTATTATTCACTGCCAAAAGAAAGCTCAACCGCTTACGCGATTCGGGACAGGCCACAAAGCAACCTAGAATGGTAAGTCGTGCTGCCTCTTTCGGACACCCAGCCTAGGCCTGGGCGCTGCTGGCAAACAAAATGCAAAAAAGCTTCCGCTTGAGCCAGGCCCCAAATCAGCTGAAATAGCGCTTGATCTCTCGCTCAAGGCTAACCCAATCCTTGGGCAGATCTTTGCACTAAAAAGCAATGTCTGAATGCATAAGGACACCTGCCACATGGAGAATAGGTCTCTCGTCACCAGCCAATTTAATCTATATAAAACGTCTTAATTTACATTGAAAAAATAGACATAAGGAAGAAAAATGAATGACATCATTCGACAAATTTCTTAAATTACCAATAATTGGATAATAATTAATTTATGCAGGCTTTGGCTCTAGAGAACTCAAAGGATTATTCCAGTTTAGCTTTAAAACAAGTGGAGATCCCTGAACCTAAAATAGGTGAAGTCTTAATAAAAATTGAGAAAGCCCCAATCTATAATTCTGATATCCTTTCAATTCACACAAAACCATCAAGAAAAAGCTCTGCCTATCTAATTCCTGGCATAGAAGGAACAGGGACTGTCATAAAAAGTGGAGGAGGTATAAAATCCTGGTTTCTGATAGGGAAAAAAATCAGTTTTTTGCAACTTGATGACACATATGCAGGATCCTGGGCAGAGTATACCGTTTGCAACTCAAAATGATGCAAACCAATAGAAGACAATAAAAATTCCTCAAGAATTTTGATATATAGTTCTTTCTTAGCCAAAATGGCGATCGATACTGCAAGAAAGAACAATTATTCAGGGATAATCTTAACTAATGCAGACACTATTACTGGAAAAATCCTGCTAAAACTTGCTCTTTCATGCAAAATAAAATGCATTTGTATCGTTGAAGAAAAATCACAGAAAATTGAACTTAAACAAATAGGGGCAAATAGTGTGCTTAGACCTAGCAAAAATAATTTTAACTCAAAACTCAAGAAGTTATGTGACGATGTAGGTCCTTTGTGCACTTTTAACGTAAGTGGAGGCAAACTAATTAGTTATATCGTTCCAATAATTCCATTAGAAAGCGAAATTTATATCATTGATAATGATTCTGATAGCCAGCTCTCTGGAATTAACCCATCAGATCTTATTTTTGGAGGTAAAAAAATCAAAGGCTTAGATTTGCAAAGATGGCTTAAAGGGTTGTCTATGAGACAGCGCTTAAGCCATCTAGAAGATATTTTTAACGAAAAAGAAATTTTTCAAATAAACGATTTTGACTATTTTTCTTTTTCAGACTTCAAAAATGGAATAATAAACTGCTTACACAGTAATAGCAAGCGCCAATCTATTTTAAATATCAATCATATTATTGAAGAAAGCAAAGAGAATGAGAATTCAGAAGAGATAAAGCAGGAAAGTGCTGAAAAAGAAGAAATACCAGAAAAAGAAGAAATAAAAGAAAATGAAATTGAAGAGTCTAAAGAAGAATGCGAGATAAATAATGAAAAAGAAGAGGAAGATGAAGCAGAAAAGGAAGAACAAGCTTATTTAGAGAGCGAAATTCAAAATTCTGAATCAAGAACAGTAACAAAACTGCTTCAAAGCCTGCCTAAGTTTGAATGGGATTATCAGCTTGGTGATGGAATCGAAACAAAAGAAATGCCACTAAAGCAGCTTCCTGATTTAAGCATCTATAGAGGAGAATGGGCTAATGGCTCTCTTCATGGGAAAGGGACAAGATATTACACTGATGGGTCCATTTACATAGGATACTGGCAGAATGGCCAAAGTAATGGAAAAGGACTCTTTATTAATTCAGACGGAGAATGGTATGAAGGTATGTGGAAGGAGTCAAAATTCAATGGTTTCGGAAAACATTTATCCCAAGAAGGTCAATATTACGAAGGCATATTTGAAAATAATTTTATTCAAAGCGGAAGCGAAGTCACGTTTGATGGAAATAAATATGAAGGAAACTTTATTAATAATGAGTGAAGCGGATTTGGGTCTTTAACAATTAGAGAAACAGAAATGAAATATGAAGGAGAGTTCGTTAAAGGAAATATTTCAGGAAAAGGGAAATTATTTTATAAGGATGGCAAAGTTTTCGAAGGAGAATTCGAATGGTTTAATGCAACAGGTACTATGACTTATCCTGATGGAACTAAATTTGAAGGAAAAATTAATGACTGCAAGGAATGTGGGGAAGGAAAATTAATTACAGCAGATGGGGAAGTAAAAACTGGATTATGGAAAGAAGGGCAGCTTGTTAAATGAATTGAGGATAATAAAGAAGAAACAGAGAATAAGGAAGAACAGAAAGAAGAAAACGCCGAAGAAAGCAAGCAGGAACAAGAAGTAGAAAGCAAGCAGGAACAAGAAGTAGAAAGTACTGATAAGGAAGCAGCTCATGATCAAGAGACAGGGAGCAAAGATAATGCAGAGCAAAGCAAGCCTGAGAGCAGTGAAGACACAAGTAAAGTAAATGAAGAAGAAAGTGCTCAAACAATAGAAAACTCTCAAGAAGCTCAAGATGCAGAAATTAAAGAAGAAAACAAATCCACTGAATAAAAAATATTTAACCTAGAAAATTCCCAATAAAAGTTATAGAAATTGCCCGATGATGGCGCTCAATGCACCATCATCGGGCAACGTCTTTTCAGGGTCCACCCTGGAAACGGGTTCCACGTGTGAAGCCCTTTTTAACATGTGGAGAATCCTCACTTCCACGCGTCAAAAAGGGTTCCATACGTGGAACCCATTTCATGTGTGGACCCTTAAAAGGCGTTGCCCGATGATGGCGCATTGAGCGCCATCATTCGGGGAATCAGTATAAAAATTTAATAAAATATTTAATAAATAAAAATTAAATTTAAATTCCCTTTTTATTATAAATTATCAAAATATAGCCCCCTTAGGAGTAATTGCTAAAGAAATTTATAAAAATTATGGTTAAGAAGCGAAAAAGCAAAAAAACTTCCAAAGACGCACCAACATTTACTGCTACCAATGTAATTGAAAGCACTGATCTTATAAATCCTTATATTGAACGGACCAGAGATGAAATCATCCAAATATCCCGATTCAAGCAAATAAAAATAAATTTCAGCGAAGAAGACAACACACAGCTTCCCCCACGGCATAACTATCTTTTCCATATTGATTTCAATAGAGCACAAAGCGAAACAATAGAAGATCCTCTTCCACCTGATGAAGTCGAAGAATACAGCAGATACGCTGACGAGCTCTTCCGAGACTTTGCCAGCAAAGCTCCCGACTATGACCTAAACGAAAATGTCCTAAGCCACAATCTTTCTGATGGCGTCACAATTAGAGAAATGCTTCAAGCCATTAAAACTAGCCCATATAAAGATGACTTCAGGACTTACCTTGAAAAAATCCAATTTAACTCTATTAATCAAATAAAGCTCAAAGAAAAAGAAGAAACCATAATAATTGAAGCTGTCGAAAGCTTCAAGCGAGGACTCTCAATTAAGGACGCTTATCAAGAAATGAAAGGGAGAGCTTCTTCTGAGAAATTAAAAAGCATATATAAACTATGAAAGCTCAATGGAGACAGCTACCTCAGTAAAATCAAGAAAAAAACAATGCCTGCATTGAAGCCTGAACATATGGCATTTCTTAAAGAAATTTCTGAAGACCCAAGAAATACAGTTTTATCAGGAAGGGAAAGAAAATTATTATTATGCAACCATTTTGGGACCAAAATTAAAACTGATAGTGTCAGGCAGGCTTTGAAAGAGCTTGGGTATTCATTGAAAAGAATCAGACTCCATGTGCCTGAAGCTGACAGGATTTCACATAGAAACTCCCGATGCAGAGTGGTGCAGCAGCTTGTTATGCTACAAAGGGCAGGGAAAGAAATGGTCAGTGTTGACGAAGCTCAAGTAAATAGAGGAGAAACTGCAAACTATGGCTGGGCAAAAAAAGGCCAAAGAGCTTTATATATAAGAGGACGCAAAGGAAAGCCTTTACAAATAGTAACAGCTGCAAGACCTAGTGGATTAATCGGGTACATAATCAAGCAAAACAGAATTGACCAATACTCTTATAAGCATTTCCTAAGCTTAGTATTTGAAAAACTCAAAGAAATCGACCCAGAAAACTATAAAGAAAGGTTTTTCATATTCATGGACAATGCTTCTGCACACAAAACCAAGCTAATAAAAGACTACTGCGAAATTCATGGAATGATTGTCCTCTGCAATGCTCCGATGACCCCACAGCTGAATCCTATTGAATTTGTATTTTCTATGTTTAAATGAAATTTAAGAAGGCTCCCAATGAGTGAGCATGATGACTTATTGACTTATGTTTATGAAGCATTTAAGAGAATTAAGCCAAGACACATTTATAATGCTTATATTCATGCCATGAGATCTTATAAGCCTGCACTGAGATATGAAATGATGCACGATACCAGAGGATATAACAAGATCGACTGTAAGATCAAATGTGCAGGAAAACATGTGAAAACTTTGATTAATTTCATGAAACTTAACACCCTTTAATATAAATTATTATTAAAAAAGCTATTAAAATAAATAATTATTCTAAATTATTAAGCACTTTTACAGCGCTATAATAATATTCTTCGCCCTTTTTATTCCTCTGCAAAACTCCTCTGCTTTCCCAGAATGAAATTTCTTTTCTTAGCTTATGAGGGTGAATTCCAAGCTGTTTACTTAAATCTTCAGAAGATTTTTCTCTGTCATCTTCATCAAATAAAGAAATTATGGCTGCATGCAAAGGAGTTACCCCTTCAAATTTTTTGCTTCCATTTGCGAAGTCAAGCGTTAAAGTTACACTGCCAAGCTGTTCGTGGAATTTTAATTTTCTTGAAGCTTTCATATATGTATATAATTCTGAATACTCCTCAAAAACTTTTCCTATTTTTTCTGGGAGTTCAAATTTCATATCCTGCTCTTCTAAAGGCCAGAAATAGCTTGAAATAATAAGAAAATCTAGGCTTTTTATAGGCAAAAATCCTTTTCCTTTTCCTTTTTCATGCACAAAAGCATTGATTCTTTTCGAGCTTAAAATATCTTGGATCATGACTTCACATTTGTGGACGTTCCCTTCTCCAAACCTCTTTTTAAGCATTTCCAGGTCTTTGATTTCATTCCCTACTTCAAATTGTGTATTATTCCATAATTTTTTGCAAAGATAAGTCCTGTATTCTTCCATAAAAAGTTCTGGAGAACCATAAATGTTGATAAGCATACTTACAATGTCGCTTTTCTTATTAAGAGCACTAATAACGTTTCTTAGCGCACTTCTTGGAATTGGCTGCCAATCAAGGGCTGATTTTTCGTCTTCATCACTTGAAAAATCGTCTTGCTCTTTTATGCTCTTTTGCTTTATGTCTAGGAGTGCATAGAGTTCTTCATCCTCAGATATGGTTTTTATAATGCATTTAAAAGTATCTGTTCTGCTTCTTAATTCTTGTTTTAGTGGGCCTGAAATAGATTCCAGCAAGTTTATGGTTGGGAAGAGTAAAGGCATGATTTTTGTCAAGTTAATGTAAACCAGAAGAATTCCATCAGTCGATTTGCTGCAATGTACAGCTCGTTGTATTAGCTGCTCCTTTGTTTTATTTTCAAGAATTTTACTTACTCCCCCTTTAAATTAGAACAAAAACATCGGTAAAATTTGCATTTTTTTTGGGTGCTTAAGCCTCTTTATATTTGAACAAATTTGTTTTTCAATAGGAAAATTTTAACGATGAAAATATTTATTTTTATAAATTAGTTTTGACCTAATTTAATAGAAAAAAATCAAGTAGAATGCTATTTAAATAGATTTTACATTGAATCGATTATTTTTTTATTTAATCCCCTTCATAAAAATAAGTTTATATTTTTTTTAAAAAACATTAACGATAAATTACTAATTTTTATAAATTAGTTTTGACCTAATTCAATAGACAAAATGCGATTAGAATCTTATTTAATGAGTTTCACATCGATCGATTAATTTTTTTATTTAATGCTTTATAAAAAAATTAAAATTCAAACCACTGTGCTCAATTTATATTTTTTTTTAAAATATATTTTTATACTTTAAAAAAAATTAACGCCCTTTAAATTGGAACAGGATTTTTTGTTACGATTTAAAGGGGGGAGTTAAGTCACAGTACTTTAAAGCTTCAGCTAAGTCATCTATTGCTGGTTTTGTTTCGGGGAAATCTAAAATAAGATCGAAAATCTGTTCAATTCTTATCAAGCCAATTGAATAATAAAATTCGTGGATCGTAAAAGATTCCCAATATTGGAGATTTTCCATAGAGTCAAAATGACTTCTAACCCAAGGCAAAAAATAGCAATTTAGTCAGTCTAAAGAAGGGTATAAGCAGCTTTCATTTATTTTGGCAATGCTTTTGACTTTTGTGTAGACTGTTTTTTTGATGCATTCTAAAAAGCATTCGTCAGCTATTAGGTTTCAACCATGGATTCTAACTCCCCCTTCAGTGAGCGAACAAACAATTTTATTCGCTCACAGAGAGGGTTAATTTTTTTTTAAAATTTATATAGAAATTTTATAGCAAATTTTTTTTTCTCGAAATAAAAAGATCGGATTCGCAAAAATTGAGAAGTAAATATCAAATTTATGTTTTAAAACGCAATTTGTTCTAAATTGCAGAATTAGCTAGAGATTTCATTATAATATATATCAAAAAATCTTTTTGTTCATAAAAAATTTTTGTTCTCTCACAGAGGTGGGTTTTTATCCAAAAAATGGATTTTTCCAATAGATTTGCTCGCTCACGGGAGTAAGTTTTTCTAAAACCGCTGTACGGATTAAAAGTGTGCTCTCATGCTCCAGTGCCAAATTGGTCATTGATTTTAATGATGCTTCATTTTCAATATTTCCTATACTTTTCAGCTGAGAAAGCCCTGACTGCAATACTCAATTGTTTATTTCTTGAAGATTCAATATATTTTTGCCTACTAAATCGACTTCAAAAAGAGAGCTTGCTTGCTGGATTCAGTTTGAGTCCATGTTATTTTAAATTTTGCGGGTAATTTGCATTATTGTTTTAATTTACACAAGACGAGTGCTTTAGATAAGAAATGAACAATAGGCAATAAATAATAAAGGAAACAGGGAGCAGCATTTTGTAAATTTTTGATATAGATATTATACTGTATTAAGTGTCTTGAATAAGACATTATGCTTATTTCTTAATTATAAAATATAACATTTATTCGAATATATATAATGTAATTAGCAATAGCATTCATTAAGCTTTTTAAAAGCAAGTCAATCAAATGTATAGTCTTAATTGTAGTAACTGGACTACTATGTGGCACCTAAAGCTAAGCACAAATTTAAGAATCAGTTTCATCTATAAAAAAGAGCTTGATAAATAACATTATAAATTAATTTTTATGAATAAATCACTCTTTCAATGATTCAATACTTCATTCTTTTTGACTAAGCTAAATGAATATTCTTTAAATGATTTTATATGATAAAAATTTAAGCTTTTACTGATTTTTTTGAAAATAAGCTGTCCACCAATTTCACCATAGGGATTTTCCCTGTTTTCTTTATTACAAGAGATTGCCTCGGTCTTCTCGTTAGTTTCTTAAGTTGAAGCTTCAACTCTTCAATATCTGAATTTTCTTTATCATAGCTTTTGCTTTCCAATGAATGATTGCGATTTGAGTTTTTAGGAGTAATTTGTTTAACAACAAACCTATTTATAGGTGTTTTAGAAGTTGGCGGATCAAGACTAACTGTATTTAAATTCAAAAGGTGCTTTAACTGCACATTCTGTGAAGCAGATTTTGAGTGTGGAGATTCTGTTTCTAAATGTTCTGCTATAGGTAAGATTGGCTTTGAAGTTACAGAATGAGGCCTGAGCTGAGGCTTATTTTCGATTCTTATATTTTTTGAAGATTTTGCACTTAATGGATGCGGAGGAGGGAGCCTTGAAGTCCTGCTGGAATTATCAGGTTTTACAACAGGGGCCTTAGGCTTTGGGACAATAGTTTCATTCTTCTTTGTTGCCGTTAATTCTAGCAAAGGTTCTGGATCATGATCTCAGCTCATTATTTCTGAGCCTGATAATGAAGACGCTTTGTAATGTTGCATGTCGTCACTTAAATTGAGTAACGTTCTTATCGCTCGCTTTTCTATTGCGGTATTAGGAGTATCTTCAGGGTGCTTTGGCTTGACTTTTTTCTTAGATTTTGATTTCGATTTTTTCATTTATTGCCCATTTTGAATACCGACTATTCCTATCTTCGATATATTATAAACCTTCGATTATTTATTATTAAAGACTTTGCAATCTTATATGATGCCATGCCAATCTTGCGATATTAATCTTTATAAATTTGATAATTTGATATAAATCACTTTCATAAATAAAATACAAATGAAGAAATCTGGAAAGATGGGACGACTAGAATTGCTAGGCTGGATCAACGAACTTATGGAAACTGACTATCCTAGAATTGAAGCTTTAAGTGATGGCATTGCTTATGCTCAAGTATTAGATTTATTGTATCCAAAAATTGTTCCTTTATCTAAGCTCACCTGTAAGAAATAATTTAGTTAACCCTAGGTCAGAAGAAGACAATGCTAACTCCTCCCATCTGCGCTCACGTAGGGGGTTAATTTATTTTTAAAACAAAATATATAAAAATTTTATAGTGAATTTTTTTCGAAATTTAAAAAATCACAATTCGCAAAATTGGAAAGCATATATTTATTTAATTAATAACATTTATTTTTAAATGCAATTTGTTTAAAATTAAACAGAATTAGCTAGAGATTTCATTATAATAAATATCACTTATATCAAATCTTTTTCACAGAAATTTTTATATTAAAATGATTTTTTGTTCGCTCAAGGGGGCAGACTTTTGGACAAAAAAAAGGGATTTTTCTAATGGCTTTTTTCGCTCATGGAGGGGGAGTAAGAACTTGAGGATTGTTGACGACGTTTTGCATAGAATCAAAGCCAAAAAAACAATAGACCCATTAAAGCTTTCAAGAAGCAAATTTCCAGACAACATGGAATTTGCACAATGGCTCTTTCAGCATTTTTTACAAATGAAGGATACAGTAAAAGGGCGGTACCCTGCATATGCCAAAAGACTTGAAGCATATAAAAAGCAGAGAAAAATTCCACCTGAAAGGACGAATTTTGATCTTCAAATGAGCTCACATTTAATTCCTAATGAACCTCTAGTAGTTGTCTTACTTACTTATTTATTCAGATTTTTACGTGCTGTGACTCCCTTCAGCAGGATGAGACAAGGGCCAGCTTTTTAAATCTTTAATGGTTATGTCAGCAGCCATCTTGTCTAGTAAGCATTCCGAAATAGTTACCTATGGGCCAGAAAGTCTTCACGTTCCGCGTTTGGCATCGTCCGAGCCTGATTCCAGTTTGTATTCCGTTTAGGGGTCACCTCCCTCGAGTTTTCAGGCTCTGGAAGCCATATATCTCTCCTTTCTTACTTCGGCCACCAAATTACCCAATGCGGTAATTCATTATTGAAATTTGTGGATAAAGGTCCACGTGGAAAGCTGGCCCTATAATAATAAAGTGGAGGAGAAAGGGTTGTTGAAGGCAGCCGCTTCCGTACATAGCCATTTATTATTATGAACCTATAGTTGACAGCTCAGATGCATCTCCAGCATCGCCTGACTTAAATCAGCAAAGATTAAATCAATTGAGAGATTTAGTTTTGTCATTAGAACAAGAATTAACAAACCAAGTGAGCAACTATAAGCTTCTCCAAGAAGATATAGCGCAAGTAGAAGAAGAAATAAATTAAATGGCTATTTTGGCCATAAACCGGTAAACCCACTAACCGTCGCCATTTTGGATTTCCTACCTGAATCACCTGTCTAAGGGGTCAGCACCCTAGGGCAGAGCTGCCGCTTGCAAGGTGCCCCGATGGTCCTGATAAGAGAAGACTACGTGGGAGGCAAAACCTGTCTAGCCCAATTGGCAATAGGAAAAACCTTCGGGTGAGAACTAAAACTTTCCTCTTCGGCAAGACACCATAAGCCTGAATCCTATTTAAAAAAGGAACAGGGGCCTTGTTTTTAGCTTCATCAAGATGAGTCCTGCCTACTCCATAATGAGTGCGCCTCGATGAGTCCTACCTACTCCATAGGGAGTGCGCCTCGGAGTCCGATTTCTGCCAACATCACCATGCTATTTCAGAGAAGAAGAAAGGAACTTTTACTTTAATAAGCTTCGACAAATAGAGCTTTTATGCCAAAATGACACTAGTGAAACATCAAGAGAACTCATAGATATCATTTCAGCAGTTCCTGAAGAATTTCTAAAAGCTCAAGGCTAATATTTATATATAGTTATATTTAAATTTAATATTTTAAGTTTAAATTTATGATAACTCTTCAAGTCCCGTACATCTTGACCTCAGCTTTGGGTCACAGCTCTGAATAACAGTAGGTGGGCCAACCTAACCGTTAAACTTTTTCTGTCCCCAAGCCCCTTAGGACCTCTCTGATCTACACCAGACACAGTGTAGACCCATTTTCTTGAGCCGAAACTCTCAAGAAGTCATGAACTTCTCTCACCGAGCTCGGACGTCGAACCTGAGTCCTACCCCTAACTGACATTTTAATATGCAATTTAATATTTTAAAATTCTTTATATTATATTATCTTCTCAAATTTCTCTCTAAATCTGCAATTCTTTCTTCATATGCCTTTCTTTGATGCACAATTTCCTGTTTCATCCTCTTTATATAATCCTCATATTTTTTAGCACAATCCCCAGAGCTTTTTTCCAGTTCGACTCTTTCTTCTACAAGCTTATTAAACAAATCAATGACTTCTCCAGGGTCTAGCTCTTTATTATCTATCATTCTCTCAATTTGTTCTAAAGTGCTTCCAATTGATTTTGAGCCAGGCGTTACAAACTCACTGAGCTCATCTGCATCAAGATTCAAAATATCCATGCAGTCGCTATAATATTCTCTATCAATTTGTCCTGACATGCCAAGTTTTGACTTAAGCCCTTCTACAGAAGCTGATAATTCTCTAAAAATTCGTCTGGTAATATTAAATAAAGCTTGAAGCTGAGATTCAGCTTTTTTAAGCTGCTGCTGGAGTTTTTCATTTTTCTTGATTTCTTTTTCAAGAGATGTAAAAGCATCTGTGGAAGCATTTTGTCGGTCAGCTTGAATTGCTTCTAAATCCATTTCGGTAGTTTCAAGCTTGACTTTTATAGCTTTCAGCTGCGTGTCTTTTCGATCACAGTCGTTTTTAAGTTTTCTTACTTGGTCTTTTAATTTTTCAGTCTGGTCTGAAAGAATCTTTCCATTTTCGATATCTGACGAATAGGAATCTAGCCTGGATTTCAGATCTTTTATCATTGCATCTTTTCTAGCCAAATCATTTTTGAAGCTCCTCAGTTTTTCAGCCATTACAATGTTATCATCATTTAGCCTTTTTTCGCTTTCTCTGGACTGTTCTAATGCATTTTTCATCTCATAGATCGCCTTATCTTTTCTGCCGAGCTCATTTTTCATTCTTTTGAGTTTTTCAGAAATATCTTTAATTTGTTCAATTTCGTCTTGCATAGCATTTGTTTCGTTTTCTTGCTGGTCCTTAATAGATTTATAGTTCTCTAATAAGTCTCTTTTTCGATTAAGTTCGTCAGAAACCCTCTTTAAAGCGAGCTCAAGTTCTTTATTTGTGTTCACTAATTGGTTCCAGTCTTCTGGGGAGTGCCATCTTTCTCTGATTCTATTTACTTCTTCAGCAAGTCTTTGCATTTCAAACCTGTGTCTTCTTTCTAATTCCTGCAGCTCTTTTCGGTTTGTTTGGTCTTTATCACGATTTTGTTCATGCATTTCTATGTTCATATCAAGCTCGACTCTGAGTTTTTGTGCTTCTTCTTTGACTCCTGCTAATTGTGATTCGAGGTTTCTTATAATGGCTTTTAGCTTATAAATTTGGCTTTCTAAAAGTACAACTTCATTTTGCTGCTCTTCTGGGACAGACTTAGGCTGCTTTTTATCTTTTTTAGGCTTAATAGATTTTAGCTCAGTTTTTAGTGATCTTATGACTGCGTCTTTTTTGGAAATCTGCATCATATAGTCAATAGTTTCAGAAGCTTTTTTGGCACCTTTTCTGTTTTTAAGTTCTAATGAAATTTGTTCCTTGAGGCTTGAAATTTGTCCTTCGTATTTTTCTACAGTTTTATCGAACTCTGCATATGCATTTTTAATTTCTCCTCGGATTTCGTCAACTTTTTCGAGGTATTGCTTTTCGATTTCTTCTTTTTCTATTTCAAGCTCTCTTATTCGGTTTTCATAGTCTTTTATTTTGGTTTTTTGTTGAGCTTTGGTTTTTTCAGCTTCTTCAAGCTTAGGGGTTGCGTTTTCCCAATAATGCTCAAGCTCTTTAATTTGTGAGTACAGCTCTTCTTTTTGCTTTTCTGCAGTATTTAGTTTTTCCTTACTCCCCCCCCCCTCCTCCGTGAGCGAACAAAAAAATTTTGTTCGCTCACGGAGGGGGGGTTAATTTTTTTTTTAAAAAAAATTTATATATAAATTTTATAAAAAATATTTTTTTCGAAATTTAAAAAAATCCTAATTTGCAAAAATTGGGAAGCAAATATTTAATTTAATTTGCAAAATTTATGTTTTAAAACGCAATTTGTTTAAAATTAAACAGAATTAGCTCTAGATTTCATTATACTAATTATCACTTATATATCAAAATTTTTTTCCCATTAAAATTTTTTCTATTAAAAATATTTTTGTTCACTCACGGAGGGTGGGTTTTTGGTCAAAAAATGGCGATTTTTCTAATGGTTTTGTTCGCTCACGGGGGGGGGGGGGGGAGTTAAGATCACCATTAAGAGATTTAAATTCATTTACCTTTGTAGCTGATTCTTGGATTTTTTGGTTTAATTTGAAAATTTCGCCCTTAAATTCTTGTTCCATTGATCTGCGGTCTTGGTCAATTTTCTTTATATATTCTGCCATTCCTTCAGCAGTGCTTGCTTTTTCATCAAATCTCTGTAAAAGCTTATCTCTGTCATCTTTGACTAATTTAAGCTCATCTTGAGTTCTTGCTAAGGCCATTTCTAATTTTCTTACTTCTTCTTTTCACTCTTCTTCAAGCTGCCCAATCCTTTTATCAGAGTCTGCTTGGCCTTCATAAAATTCTCTGAACTTGTTTTCTGACTCAATTCTCTTTCTGATTTCATCATCTAAAACAGTTAGTTTTTCTCTTAATGTAGAGTGGAGGGCAAGCATTTGGGTATTTAAATTTTGAATTTGAGACTCATAAGCTTGCTTTAAATTCATTATTTGGATGGTATAAGTGTGCTCCATTAGCTCTTTTTCTTCTTCTTTGATGGCTTTTTCTGCTTTTTCTTTTGGAGGCCTGCCTACACTTTTGCTTCTTTTTTCTTTCTTTTTGGCTTCTTCTTGGGATTTGTAGTAGTTTACGTATTCTTCAAGCTGGGTGATTTTGTTTTCTTGGGCTTCTTTTTCGCGCTTGTTTCTTTCCATTTCGAACTTTAAGTCGTCTTTAAGTGCGTTTATTTTGATTTTAAGCATTTTAAGCTCTTCTGGCTCACCTTTGGCTTCTCTTAACTCGTCTATATCGTTTCGTAGTTCTCTATTTTTTTTCTTTAAAACTGTATTTTCAGAAGCATGCTTATTTTTTTCATCTTGTAGCATCTTTACTTGCTTTTGTAGCTCTGCAACAAGTTTATCTTTAGAAATTAAGGTTTCTTGATGCTCAGTTTGCCATTGTCTCATATCATTTTGGACTTTTTCAACCTTTTTGCCAGTAGTTTCTCTCAGCTCTCCCATATTTTCAATCTCCTTTCCTAATTTTTCATTATTTTGAGCTACCTTATCATATTCAATTTCAAGCTTGTTATATTGTTTCTTAGTTTCATTCAAAGCAGTATCTAGCTTCCTATTTTCTTCTAGCACTTCTTCAAACTTCTCAGCAATATCTTTGCTTTCAGCTTTTAATTGATTAATTTGATCATTCATTTCACTGGTTTCATAAGAATGTTCTAATTTCGTTTTAAGCAGCTCTTCTTCTAGTTTCTTTTTCATCCCTTCAGCAAGAATGGCTCTTTCTTTATAAAGGTTATCATCTTTTCCTTGGATATTTTCTCCAATTCCTCTTACTTCTTCAAGATCGCTTCTAATTAAAATGCAGGCTTGTTTCAAAATGTCTAGTTCTTGAGCAGTCTCTTTTGTAGACTTCGCTAAGTCCATTGCTGCACCTTTATACTGTGCGCTGCTTGTCATATTTCCTGTGATTTCGACTGAAATTCGGTTGGTGAACTCTACAAGGTTTCTTATTGTATTATGTGCAATATTCAATTGTGTTTCCAACAGTTCGACATACCATAGCTGCCTATCTTCTTCTTTTGAAGGCTGGAATTCTACTAAAGATTTCAAGCTTTCATCTCCTCTCATAAGTTTATTCATTCCTTTCGTGAGGGCTTTTATAACAATTCTTTGGCATTGCTCAATTGTTGGTGATTTTTTCCCATCTATAGATCCACAAACTGAAGACTGAGAATCCCTATCAGATTCGCAGAGCTGGTCTATTAAATAAATAACCCCTTCAATAAGGTAGCCATAGTCGTCTTCTCTTACATTATCTTCTTGGTGCCACAAATTCGAAATAGGCATGTACTGTCCCCAGGCATTAGCTTCACTTAGTCTGAGTTCTGAGTTTTCTATTTCCACTTCTCTGATCCTTCTTTTTAGGGAAACAATAGAAGGATGCTCTTCTTCCTCTTCATGGAAATATTCGTCGCTTGGTTCTGGGACTTTTTGGATTGCCATATATCGCTTCAGGCCTTTGATTCTTGCTTCATAAGTTCTGACTGATTCTTCTTTTTTAATTAAGTTTTCGCGAAGATCAGCTAAAGCTTTGCCAGAAGTTCTGAGCTTTCTACAAGCATCGGATTCGCCCATTTTGGCGACCACTAAAGCTCGGATAAGTCTTTGTGGTGCAAACCCAGAAGGCCTTGAAGGTTTTTCTAATGTTAAAGAGCCTTTCTTTCCTTTTTTGGCAGGCTGAGACTGGCTTTTTTCAGTTTCAATGCCAAGTCCTGCTTGTAGGTCATTCATAATTTGGTTTCTTGCATCTAACTCTTCTTTAAGTTTTGAATTTTGGTTCGTCAGCACTTGGAATTTTGTAGTGAACTGCAGATTTTCATCATGAAGCCTTTGGTTTTCTTTTAACAAATCATCAATATCCATCAGCATCTGTTCATTCTGCTGCTTGAAATATCCAGGATAATTCCCATCTGTAAATTTTTCACATTTCCTAGCATACTCTAAATCCAGTTCTTCTTTATTCCTCTTGATTTCAATTTCACAATTAGTTTTAATGTTTTCCAACTCTACTCTTTGCGCTTCTTTTAATTCACTGATTTCTTTCCTCAGTTCTTGTTCCTTTGGCCCCTCGCTTTCGCTTTGTTGTGCTCTTAAATTCCTCAATGCAGCAAGCTCCTTTTCAAGTCTTGCAACTTTTTGCTGAAGATACGAATTTTCTTCTTTTCTGGTTTCAAAAGCTTCTTTCAGCTTGAAAATTTCTGCTTGTTTCTGTTCAAGTAAGTTCCTTGTATTGGTAGTATTGATAATATTGATATTGATTGGGACGTCTCTTTTTTCAGATTCCTCTATAAGTGCGCTTAGGCCTTCATTTGTGATTTCAAGGGAATTTCTTTCGTGGCATAAGCCTTCATAAAGAGACTGAAAATCAGCAAGCTGAATTTTAAGAGCTGTAATTTCGCGGCCTAAAAGTAAAAGTCGGCTGCCTTCTGTAGTGTCTAAAGACGCTTTGCTTAATAATGAGTCTATATAAGATCTGATTTCTTCATCACGGATTCTAAGCTTGGATTTTATTTCTTCTTCAGCGCGGTTCATGCAGCTTCTTTCGACTGCTTTTTTGTTCAACTCAATCATTTTTAGCATGTCTTCAAGCTTTTTGACCTTGATATCATAAACTTCGCATCGTCTTTTAAGCTCAATAGACTCATCTTCTATATTTTTTAGTATATCTTCTTTTTCAATTATAGACTTTTCAAGCTCTTTGATCCTAGAATGGTAGATTTCGGGGTTTGGCATGTTTGAAGGGTTTCTCCAAAACGTGAGTTCATTTGTAAGCAGCTCGACTTGGTCTATAAGTCTGTCGGTTGCTTCTATAGTACTTGAGTCTAGATATTTGAAGTAAACATTTGCCTTGACAAGAAATTCAAGCTCTCTGAGCTTAGACCCGTTGCTGAGGATAGTTTCGTCACATAGCAAAACTAAGTTTTGTAGCTGCTTGCAGATTTTGCTAAAAACTTCAGGCTCATTAATCCTTTTTCCTGCGTTGCCTAGTGAGATTGAAAGCTGATTAATAGCTAATACAAGAGATTTGTCAGACTCTTGGCCTGATTTTTGCTCCTTTTCATCTCTAACCTTGAGTAGATTGTCCCTGAAATCTTGCCGTTCTTTAGCTAGTACTTGAGCATGTCTTTTTTGGCTTTCATTTAGCTGCTGTATATACAGGGTAACTTTTTCTTTTAGCTCCCCCCTCCGTGAGCGAAAAAAAAATTTCGTTCGCTCACGGAGGGGGGGTTTTATTTTTTTTTCGAAAATTTAAAAAAAATCCTAATTCGCAAAAATTGGAAAGCAAATTATAATTAAATTTATAAAATTTATGTTTTAAAACGCAATTTGTTTAAAATTAAACAGAATTAGCTAGAGATTTCATTATACTAATTATCACTTATATATCAAAAATTTTTTCCCATGTGTAAAATTTTTGTTCGCTCACAGAGAGTGAGAGTGGATTTTTGGGCAAAAAATAGGGATTTTTCTAATGGTTTTGTTCGCTCACGGAGGGGGAGTAAGCTTTTTTCATCGTCTTGAGACCTTTTATATTGAGTTTGCAAAGCCTGGATATCATATTCTTTTAAGGCTAATTGCTGCTTAAGTTCGCTATTCTTCTTATAAAGCTCTTCATTGATTTTTTCTAATTTAGATCTTTGGAGCAGTGATTCTTCGTCATTTTCCAAAGCTTTATTAGCAATTCTTGTTTGTTCTTCTAGCTTCTTCTGAAGATTGATAACTTGGGTCATGAGCTCAGACCTTTGTTTTATCAATGAGCCTTCTACAGCTTTGCTAGTCCCTAGCTTCCCAGCAAGATCAACTAGTTTTTTATCAATATCTTCACTGCCTTCAATAGTTTCAAATAAAATCGCAATTTGTTGAGTTTTCCTTTTATCATTAAGCTCGCTTTCTTCCAGTTCTAATTTCAATTTATTTCTTTCTTCAGTCAGCTTTGAAATTTCACTTTTAGCTGTTTTTTCTAGCGCTTCAAAGTGTGATTTAAGCTCATCTCTTGAATCTTTCATCTTATCAAGCTTTACTCCAAGCTGATCAAGTGACTTTTTCACTTCTCCAAGCTGCTCTTCAGAAATTTCATTCTTTTTCTCCAGCTGCATAATTTCTCTTTGCAGCCTGCTGATTTCTTCAACATGCTGACTTTCTTTTTGGCTGAATTTTTCTTTGAGAGCATGGTTGTCTTTTAAGACTTCATAATGTTTCATCTGATATAGTGTGACTTCTTTATTAAGGTCTGCAATGCTTTTTTCATATCTTCTGCTTTCGAACTCTTCCCATTCAAATTCCAATCCTTCTTTTTTCACGTCAGTTTGGGTGTCTTGGCTATGTTTGACTACTTTTGCTTTTTTGGAAGCTTTAAGTATTGAGTCTTTTTCGGTATTCCAAGCTTGCCTTTCTTCTTCAAATTGCTGCTTTAATTTGTTAATTGCTTCTTCAGCTCTTACCAGCTGCTGTAATGCTTGCTCTTCTCTGTTCTTTAATGCAGTAATTCTTGCATTTAGTCTGGAAACTAGCTGAGTTTGGGCAGCAAGATTTTGTGTGTAGGACTCAGTGCCGTCAATTTTGGTTAAAATGCCAGAGAGGTCTTGGTGGAGTTCTTTATTAGACTGTTCAAGAGAGGAAACTATATGCTTGAGGTCTGCGTTTTCTCTTTCAAGCTGCTGAGATTTCATCTGTTCAGTTCTTAAAGAATTAGAAAGCTGGGATAGCTCTTCGTCTGGGCTAGCTCTGGTCAAGCTTTCTTGAGATCTTGATTTTTGGATTTCAATTAATTGGTTTTGCAGCTCGATAAGTTCTTTATTTTTATTGGCAATTGAGTTCTCTAGGTCACGATAATGGTCTCTGCTTATCTTCAATTCTTCATAGAGTCTTGTATTTTCACTTTCCAAGTCTTGAATTTTTTTGACGCTTACTTCGCCATCTGGGCTTCCTTCTAAATCTTCTTGTTTAAAAGTAACTGATGATCTCTGGCTTTCAGCTAGCTGCCTTGATAAATTTTTATTTTCTTCTTCAAGCTGCAAGACCTTGCTGAGCACATCATGGTAACTTGACTGTGAGAATTTTCCAAGCAAAGCTTCGATATGTTCAGCCTGTGTTGACACTTTAGTCCTCAATTCAGTGATCACCTGTTCTTTTTCACGGATCACTTTTTCATTATCCTCTCTAATTGAAGACTGCCTTTCACTCAGTTCCAGCACATACTGCTCCCTCTGTTTCAGCTTGTGAGCTTCTTCTTCTACCTTCCTCAACTTATTTGTGAGGTCATTTATTTTTTGGATATTAGTTTCAGCTTCTTTTTTATCATTTTCAAGGTCTTTCTGCAGCTGAGCAATGGTGTCGCTCATTTCAAGCACTTCGCTGCCTTTAACTCCCCCCCCATTTAATAACGAACAAAACCGTCATTTTTTTTCCTAAAAATTTTTCCTTAGCCCCATTTAAAATAACGAACAAAATTTACTATAAAATTTTTATATAAACTAATTTAGTATAGTTTACTAATTTTAAGTAGTTAGAATAAGATAAGGACAAATATAATCGAGCAAAGAATAATAAATAAGAGCTAATAGCTTAATCTTAAGCTGGTGCTTTACTCCCCGCTCCGTGAGCGAGCAAAAACATCTTGTTCGCTTACGAAGGGGGTTAATTTTTTTTGTAAAATTTTTTTTTTTCTAAATTTTAAAAAATCCTAATTCGCAAAAATTGGAAAGCAAATATTAATTGAATTTGTAGAATTTATGTTTTAAAACGTAATTTATTTAAAATTAAACAGAATTAGCTCCAGATTTCATTATAATAATTATACAAATTGCCCGAAGATGGCGCAAAATAGCGCCATCCTCGGGCAATTTGTATATCATTTATATATCAAATTTTTTTTCCATAAAAAATTTTTCTATTAAAAAAAAATTTATTCGCTAACGGAAGGCGAGGGATTTTCTAATGGTTTTGTTCGCTCCTCACGGAGGGGTGGAGTTAGCAATAGTTATCTTTTCGCTTTCATTTAGGCGCTTTCTCTTTCTGTTGCAATCATTTGAATCCTTTTATTATTAACTCTTTAATTGAAATTTTTATATAAAACAATCATAGATATTTAATATAAATTTTATATATATTTTTTTTCCAAAAATTTTATAAGTTAGACCCCATTTAATAACGAACAAAACAAGTGTTCGTTATTAAATGGGGGGAGAGTAAGCGTTCTATGGAATTTCTCATTTAGCATATCAAGCTCATTTTTAAGGCTTTGGGACAGCTGCTCTTTGTCAAAATTGTTCGTTTTCAGCTCTTCTATTGTCTGGTATGCTGATTCCAAAGATTTTTCGGTATTTAATAGAAGGACTCGTGCGTCGTCTAATTGGTGCTCAAGCTCAGCTATTTCATGTCTTTGGTCACCAATGATTCTTTGAAGGTCTTGGATTGTGTTGTCTTTGATTGTTAAAATTTCTAAAGTCCTGCGTGCGTTGGCTTCATATTTTTCTCTTTCTTCTTGTAAGGCGAGGTCAATTAAAGTCTCCAGGGTTGGCGGCTTTTCTTTGAATAAGTTGGCCATGTTTTTAAATATAAATCTGAAATTAGAATAAAGGATTTGAGGGATTGATAATTTTGCTTATTTAGAGATGAAATAGTTCTGAAATGGCTTAAATAAAGTTATAAAAATTGAAATAAATGATTTTAAGCATAAAAAGTCTAATTTAAGTTATTAGTGATTTTTTATAATTGGATCCTCGGCCCAATGATGCTTAATAAGCTCCATTGAAATTTCATATGAGAGGAATCCGCACCCATTTGCTAATGCAGCTCTAACTGCACATGCAGAGAAGCCAAATCAAAATCCTTTAAGCCCGCTTTCTTGGTAAATTAGTTTTCCCATGTTATAAAATCCTCCATCTCACCCTCTAGCTACTTCATGTCCTACCTGTAGTCTAGTTTTAATGATATCTTGCGGATAGCTTCATATTCAGCAATTCAGCCCAGCTACCATCCCTGAAAGAAATAGCCAATATAGCGGAATTTCATCTCTCCCTAAAAACCACTTCAAACTTGTCTTACAGCCTTCATATGCAGCAAACTGTCCTGCATACGCAGGAATCTCTCGATAAATTGAAGCTACATTCCCAACATACAGTCCTCTTATTCCTTCAGTTTTGAATACATGTTTAAAGCATTCAAAACTGTTTTTGTATTTAATAGCCCTTCCTATGTCTTGGTTATGGCTTTGGACTTGCATTTTGCATTTAATCAGCTCTATTGGAGTGACTACAATTGTATTCACAAGTCCTGCATATGACCCTGCAAGGATTCCATTCGAAAAACTGTTTTGATTGCCTAAAAAAGAGTTTGCTTGTGCATAAGCTCCAAATATAACTGCGTTCACTATTGGGACAGATCATAGAGGTCCAGCCACCCCATAATAAAACCCGCGCAGCCCATCTGCTTGTAATGTGATTTTTATGCATTTGAACAGACTGTGGACATGCCCAGTTTGCATTCTGACCTTGATAGTGCTGATTAGGGTTTACTCAAAGGGATGTCCTGATAGTGTGATTGCGACTCCTGCACATATGCCTGCACTGAATTCCATCTCTAATTAATTTTCATCATATATTTCTACTTTATAGTCTTTAATAAGCTGAAAATAAGTTTTTGTATCTAAAAACTGTTTATGGCTGTTTAGTATAAAATGTTTTATTTAATTAAAGAATATCAAATATAGCAAAATATTTATGAAGCAGCAAAGCAGTCTTCTAACAGTAGAACGACACATGAAAATTTCGAAAAAAGAGCTGGAGTTCAATCCGCCTAAAATTATTCCAAACAAGCATAGCCAGACACCTCTTATTTCACAGCTATCGAATTCCTCGGCTGATTTTAAAATTAAAGGAACTATCAGGAAATCAAACCCATACTCTTCTTATATATCGAGAATTAAGCTGCCAGTTTTGAAATCAGATACAAGAAAGACAAAGCATATTACGCGATCTGAATCTAGCTCACCGAATACGAGATCATGCAACTCGTTTCACAGGTCTCGAATTGGTTCTAAAGACTTAAGAATACCGAATAATTTCCCTGATCTTTCGATTGATTTGCAAAAGAAGCCGGCTGATATTGTCAAAAAGATTTCAGAAGATAGTGGCATGAAATCAATTCAATTATTAAATTGGAATACATAAAAAACCTTAAATTTTTAATAGTTAAATAATTTATAAAAATAATTATATAAGGGGCTTTATCTTGAAAGGATATAGAGTCATTAAATTTCGATAGAAAAAAACCTGAAATTATAAAACCTCTAGAAACTAAAGCAATAAAGCAAATTTATCCACTGATAAGCGACAAAAGTACTCGCGAGTTCATACCACTTTCTTCGGATAGAACTTATGAAGTAAGATCAAAGGCAGAGACGCCATCTCTAGCTTCTACCAAGCAGTCTATCCGAAGGCCAGTTTTCAGTATCCGAAAATCTAAAGCAAATTTAGATATTTCAGACCATGAAATCGAAAATAATGATTCAGTTATAGAAGGATCTAAGATAATAACATCTACCACAAATATATCATTTGTGTCTAAAGTTCCATTAAAGCAGCACAAATTTGACCCTTCTTTTGCAAATCTGTTTAGCTTGGAACCGACAGCATCTTCTCCTGAATTTAATACTCCAAATAAGCTTAATGATATTGAAAGCATTTCTAAATTCATAAAGCTTGAGCCTCACAGATTTGCAATTGAATTTAATTCTTTAAGAAAAATAAGGAGTCAAAACACAAAAAGGTCAAGAGTAAAGAGACTCATGATGTAAAAGAGCTAAGCTATTTATATAATTTGAATTATTTGTGAAGTTGTTTACTCAAGCTTATATATTATCATATAACTCATTAATAAAATAAGCTTTATTAAACATCCTTATATAAAAGAATAGCATCATATTCCTGAAAGATATATTTTAATTTAATAAAGAAGCATGCTCTCGCATAATTATTACGGCTAAGTAAATTTTCACTATCCACAGTTTTCAATTTTTATTCAAATCTGATAAAAATATTTACCCAATAAATTAGTGACATCATCATCAACATGTCACTATAAGAAACTTTTGAAAATCTTGAACTTCAACAAACTTCTCAAGCTGCTTCTCCTTTTTGGTGAAGTTAGAAAACTTCAGAAAATAAACTAAATCTTCATGGGCTAGCCATATTCTTATTTAAAATATGTGGTTACTTCCCAGACTTTACCTTATTTTACCTATTCTTTTATTTTTATTCACACAATTTAAAATCCTGACTTGTTTTCATTTTATCAAGGATTTCTTTTCATCTTTATTATCCCTATTATAAAATGAAAGCTGTTGCTTTAATTCTTCTTGTGACACTAGGCACATTTTCCCAAGCCCTCCCATTGGATCCTGTCAAGGACTTTTTAGATGCTGCCCATACTGCCTTTACTGGCTCAGCGGTTAATAACGAGAACTGTCTCAGCCTTGACGAGCAAGACGCCCTTTTCACCCGCATAATCAAGCTCTTCTCCGATTTCAGCGATTATGCTTCCTTACAAAAACTCTACCTTGACATTGTGATGTCAAGCGCCGAATTCCAAGCTTTCTTCAACGACTGCGATATTAGTGCTTTCACCAGCGCTGTGTCTGACAGCATTGAAAGACTTGGCACTGAAGCAATCCTTGACAAAATGGTCAGCCAATACAGCGAAATCCAGGCCAAAATCCAAAGCACTGTTGACCTTATCAGCCAAGAAAACTACGCTCAAGCTGGAACTGAATTCGGAACCCTCTTCGGAATGATTTTTGAACCAGCTGCTGATGCCATGTTCAGAGTGAACTTTGTGGAAAACGCCCTTACCCCATTCGCCCACGACTTTTGTGACTTTGTTTTAGGGTTGGCTCTTGGATTCCAAAAGACTTCAACTCCACTCTCCAACTGCTACAATGACACCAAGGCTATCAGAGCTGCTTATGATAACGTAGATGCTATGGTTGATAAATGCTTGAAATTCAGCTTCTCCTCTTGCAACAACGTCCCAGCCATGTTGACCATTTTCAACACCCAAGTTATGGCAAGCTACAACAAATGCAATATTGAACTTTTAATTAACGACATCCAAGGACTTAAAGAGCCAGTAAACTTCAGCCAAAGTGTATTCCTTTACTTCAGCAATGAAGTCTTAATCAAAGGATACATTGCAAATATGGAAAAGGCTTTCGCTAAAGGAGACTTCTTGACTGCTGGACAAAACTTCTCATCGATCTTCCGAGTTGTCCTTGGATTTTCAGTTAACTAAATAAATATTTATTTTGTCTAATTAACTACCCTCACTGTGAATGAACAAAAATTTTGTTCGTTTTTAAGGGCATGGCTAATTTTTTTAAAAAAATCTATATACAAATTTTATAGTAAAGATTTTTTCCCAAATTTAATAAAATTTCACAAAAACTGGAGAGCGAAAATTTATTTCATTTGCAAATTTAGGTTTAAAAATGAGACTTGTTTAAAATTCAGCAGAATTAGCTCGAGAAATTAATACTAATTATCACACATATATCAAAATATTTTTCATAATTTTTTTATTATAATTTTTTAGCTAAAAATAGGGATTGTTCCAATGATTTTGTTTGCTCGCGGAGGGGATTAAGGAATTTATTAATATTTTAGGAAAGATCTATGTCATGGGATGCTTATATTGATAATTGACTATTGCAAAAACGCACAGAGACGACGAAATATGATAACTGTTGTAGTTCTTGTGCAATATTGTCAAAGTTTGATGGATCTATATGGGCTTGCTCTCCTAATTTTAGGCTTTTGAACTACAAATTGGATATCCCAGATGAAGATTCCAAATATTCTGAAAGGGTTTATATTAATGAGGCTGCAAATTTGGTTTATACGATGAATCATGATGGTAAGTCGCCAAATAAAGCAGGAATCCGAATAACAAACAAAAAATATTTAGTTGTGAGGTTTGATTCAGAAGCAAAAAGTATGTATCTTAGAGGAAGATTGGGTGGAGCTTGTGCATGTATGACGAACTTGTGTATAATATTTGCGAGTTATGACGATAATTCGATTGTTACGTCTGAAACTGAGTATCCATTTGTGCAAAATGCAGGATTGACGAATGAAAGGGTTGAGTCATTAGCTGATTTTCTGAGAGAGAGCGGATTCTAATGATTTTAAGTTATGAAATGATAGTATTTAGCTTGAATTAATTATAATTATGCTTTAATTTCGTTAAGATAGCAGTCTTAAGAGGAATTCTTGAATTTTCAGATTTTAGCTTGAATTTGCAATCAAAACATAAGAAAAATCAAGATTTTCGCTATGTCGCCTTTGCAAATAGCTTAATTTAAGCTTAAAATCTAGATAAGCTCGAATAAGATTAGTATAGTTTTAACCAATACTAGTTAAGCTAAAATTAAGCTTCATCATAAGTGCCTTTCTTCCAATCTTCATAAGCAGACTTCAGTCCTTCAGGAGTCGTAAATCTCTCATAGCGAGTAGGACAGTCTACGTTAAACCAAAGAATCTACTATAAAATTTACTCTTTCCACATTGCATTTCATTGGAACATCCACATCTTTCACGCTCTTTTCATGGAGACAAGTCACATAGTTCTTTTCGAGCATCTTACACTCGACTTCTTGGTTCATTGGAGGCTTGTAAAGGATATCCATATTTTTATATTCTCTTAGGCAGGATTTGCTTAATTTTTATTCACTTCAATAAGTTTGAAAAGAAAATTCTATTTAAATAAATGGAGGAAGAAAAGTCAAAGGCAGCAAAAACACTGCCAGCTCAGCTGACTAGCATAATGATTGCTAACGCATTGGATTCGCCAGCAGCCCACACTTCTTTTGGGAAATTGCCATTAGCCGATGAAAAATCAGCTCCTGTTTTCAGTTTTGGTACCGGAACCCGTGATCAGTTACAGAAAGTTTTTTATTCTGAAGAGCTCAACGGTCAACCTTGCAAGAATGGCCCAGGTCCGAAATATGAAGTTAAAGACAACGTCAATTTTAAAACTTTACCTAATTTTTCATTTGGCAAAGATAAAAGAGTTACTTTAGGAAAATCCCAGCATTATTATCATTATGATATCCAGGATACATTTACTGACCCAATTAAATCAAAAATATATACTAAAACCTCTTATGGCAATACAAAATTTGGGACTGAGTCAAGGATGCCTCCTCCAGAAATTCAAGGAACTCCTGGACCACAGTATTATCCTCCCCTAAGACCAGAAGTAAAAACTGCTCCAAAATACACCCTAGGTGCAAGAAGAGTAAATCCTAATGGCTCAGTTTTGCAAAATCAAGTTTCGACACCTGGCATTGTAGGGCCAGGAAGATATGCGCCTGAAAGCTCTTCATATACGAGTGTTCATAAAGATCCTCCTACATGGACATTTGGAAATTCAGAAAAAATAGGAAAAACTGCGAAGTCAGTCACGAGGCATCAAACTTATGATACTCATAGTGTAGCTTGTGGTCCTCAAATTTCATCGAAAAAGAAGAGCGCCCCAAATCCCAAGATTGGAACTGCATCTCGAGACCAAGTAGCAAAACTTGGAACTTTCAAAGATATGATGGCCACGCAGCCTATGAAGGTTCGCCTTCCTCATCCATCATTTTAAGATAATAATGAAGATTTAATATATAAAATTGGAAATTGTTGAGAAATTATAGATAATGATGACCTATAAAGTAATTAATAAAATAATTTTTTATTTATATTGATCTAATGAGAAAATCTAGAATTTTTATTTATTCTTATAAAATCATATTCCCTTTTAATATAAATTATTGCATAAAATGATCGATTTCGTAATCAGATTTGGCCCTTGGATTGCCTTCATTTTGGTGATGATCTGGATTGTTTCGACAAATTTATATCCTCGATATCAAAACTACAGAAGAAATCAGCAACTGCTTGATGAAATTGATGACAAATATGAAAATTTGAGGAAGATGAGAGCTGATCTTATATACCACATAGATTGGGCAATTGATAGAGGAGAAACCAGGCAGGCTAGAGAGCTAGAAACTGAACTTGAAAGAATTGATAAAGAACTTGAAGAACTAAGAGATAGATATCATGCAATAGAAAAAGGCAAAGGGAGTTCCAACAAGATCATATAAAAATAAAGCAAATTTCCAAGATTAAGAAAATTAATAAATCTTCAACAAATATAATGATTTTAGTTTATTATTAGATATAATATTTATAATTAACTTCGCTATTTTTAAATTATTAAAATTATTAGAAATTTGAATTAAATTAATTAAAGAATACCCTAGATTTTCCTTAATAATGCGAGCCTAATTGAGCTACAATTATGAACTGATCTCACAAATTCATCATTATATTGAAACTCAAATCTTGACTGTAATCCTTCTAAGTATGGATTAATAGTATGAGAAACTCTGAATTTGTAAGTCATTATCACTTGAGTTTTTTCTGAACACAGATAATGCAGTGTGTTACAAAAATCATTTGCAAGTGACTAATAATCAATTACTGGCAAATAAAATAAATCAGAAAACACTATATAATCATATTCTCTTGCTTTCAGAATTTCTCTTTGCTCTTCATTTCTTCAATCAAGCTCACTTACCAAATATGACCCTGTGAATAATTCTTTATTTTCTTCTAAATTTTGCTCGGATAATTTCAGCCCTGGCATAATATCAGTTGTATATACTTCTCCTCCTCCAATGCAAGCAACAATCGAAGGCAAGGCAGTCCCAGCTCCTAATTCAAGTACTTTTTTCCCTCTAAAATCGATATCCTTTATAAACCTCGACACAACATACGAGGCATCCCAAAGTTGTCCACATATTCCTAATTTCCAATCCTGATTAATCCTAATAATCCTTTCACCCAAATCATCAAGCAGCAGCACAGGATCATGAACATACCTCACATCATAAAATTCCGTCAGGCTGGTATCATCTTGTCCCATATGAACTATCTTCCCTTCCATTTATCTTTTCCAAGTTGAACAATAAATATGAACATAGCTGTTCTTGGAAGCAAGCGAGTAGGAAAATCCTCAATTTTAAAAGTAGTTTTTCAGAAAATGTCCCCCAATGAGACTTTATTCATCGAAAGCACAACGAGAGTTGATGAAGTGAAAATCCAAAACAATCCATACACTAGATGCACAATTCTTGATTTCCCAGGGACCTTTGAGATTTCCCAGATGACGTCTCTAGAGAGAAGGTTTCTGCAGGACTCTGCCATGATCATATATGTTCTAGATGCCCAGGATGAGCCATATAATAAGTCACTGGAAAAGCTAGTAAGTTTGATGAGCGAAGTTTATAGTTTTAATCCCCACTGCAAAATAGAGGTGTTTTGTCACAAAATTGATGGGGATATGTTTGTAAATGATGATGTAAAGCTGGGAGTACTTAATGAAGTCTCAGAAATTGTAAGGTTTGATACAACTGAAAGAAAGCTGCCAGAGCCAAGCTTTCATTTGACTAGCATTTATGATTTGAGCATTTTTGAAGCTATGAGCAAGTGCATACAGAAAATAACCCCAGGAGTCGGGCACATGCAAAACTTGTTAGATATTTTGATGAGCCACTGCAGAATTGATAAAGTTTATGTGTTTGATGTAATTAGCAAGCTTTATATTGCCACAGATTCGACACCGGTGGATTTGATTTCGTATGAACTGTGCTCAGATATGATTGATGTGGTTATTGATGTGTCGTGCATTTATGGAGTAGGAGAAGACGAAAACTTCAATAATGCGTTTGATGGAAAAAGCACGTCAGTTATTAGACTAGATACAGGGCTAACACTTTACTTAAGGGAAGTGGAGCATTTATTAGCACTTGTGTGCTTGGTGAAAGATGATAACTTTGAAAGACATCATCTGATAGACTATAATATAGATAGATTTAAAGAAGGGGCGAAGAAAATTTTAGATGCCAGGGAAAAGTGGGTGAAGGAGCAAGAAGAGGTTAAAGGCTAATTACAAATTAATAAGATTTATAAAATAAAGAAATTAAATTAATAAAGAGTGCAGTATAAATTCTATAGCAATATTAAATTTTTATTAAAGAAATTTTTATTTTTTAATATTAAATATTTAAAGTAAAGAACTTTAATTGTGATAAAAATTGCATTTGAGTGAACTAAAGGTTGAGTTCTTTAATTGAGGATTATTTAAAAATTGATTATAAAAGATGGTGTCATTAGATTCCTCTAAAATTCAATTTTAACTTTCCTCATGATATATAATTGTTACTCCATTCATTATATATTTTTGATATTAAAAGAACTTTATTAAACACTATTTCTAATTTTTTATAGAAATAAAATATCAATCAAGATGATTTAGATCATATAAATAGCTAGATATGATTCAATTCTGATATAATTTAATAAGAGCTAATGCTAAACAATTTTATTGTTAAATTTATTGCCTCATACCTTTATCTCTAAAGTATCAATTAATTTAAGGGGCTTTCTTTCAAAAATTCCAACCACAAATTTTCCATATTGTAGGTAATGTAAGTATAAATATGTCTTCCTTAAACGAAATTCGCCCGTTTGTTTGTTCGATATGTCAAGCCAAGTTCAAGAATAAGCAATTCCTTCAAAGGCACATGATTTCTCATACTTCTCTCAGAAGTTTTATATGTGATATTTGTGGTAAAACTTATAAATACAAAAAAGGGTTAAACAGGCACATACAAAAAGTCCACACAGAAATGTGGGAATCAATGAAACAGCAGCACCCTCGGAAAAGATGCAACACTTTTGATGTTGGCCACTTTTTATCTCTTGAAGAGGACTCTTCATACAAGATAGACGAAGCACTTGAAAATCAAGTTTTTAAAGAGGTCTCAGTCAATGAGAATGTCAATATAGAAGATGCAACTTGTAGAGTTATTTTTACATCCCCATTCCCTGCTTAATATTACTTAATTAATTCTAATAAAGGTACAGGATTGCTTAAGAATTAATTAAATTAAATTTAATGAGTTTGATTTTTGAAAATTACTGTATCCATAAATCTGATATTTTTAAAACTTTAATTTTAAATAAAATTGAGCACTTACAATTTTAAACTTGTAGTGTTCAGATTGGCGGAATTTTTGGCTCAGTTGGCAAATTAAATACAAAAATGTCTTGCAAGTTTCCAACACGCCATATGCTAGCAGATAACTTGCATTTAGATAAAACTTTGTGGAATTGAAATAAAGCAAAGACGAAAGAGATATCGGATTTTAAATGCAAATTGAGCTTAATAATAATTTTGGCTTTGATAGTGAGATATCGACTATTTTATAAAAAAAATTGAAAAAGATAATATAAAAGTATACTATTTTAGATAGCCTAAAGTCTTTATATCCTAATTTTCCTTATTATTAAGTTCTTTTAAAAACGTATAATATGAAATAGATTAAAGCGATTTTTTTAGCTCGCTACTCTTTTTTAATTTCAATTGCTCGCTATTTCTCGCCGAATCACGATTTCTTCTTTTACGAAAATATTTTTTAGTAGGAGTCCCAAAAGATTCTTTCGATTTGAGAGTAAATTGTTTTGTGCTTTGAGTTTTCAAAAGCTCAAAGCTTGTTCTTGACGCAAATGTTGAGAAGATTTTGGGATTATCAAAATATTCTCTCAATGGGATTGGATATTTTTCGTTATCCTTAGAAAAGGCAACAGAAAACCTGTCATTTCAGCCTTTTTCTAACTCCTACCCTTTATTAGTGTTTAAAAATGCTTTAAATATACTTTGTTTTTACAATAAATAATTTGATATGCAGTTAAGATGATATAATGCAATCTCTAACTAATTTTATACAGCTTACACTATAAAACATAAGCATTATAAATTATTTTAGACTATTCATTTCATTATTTAAATATTAGATTTTTAATTTGAAAAAACAAATTACATATAAATAAATTAAAAAAAATTAATCTCTTTGCTAGTAAAGATTTTTTGCCCGCTAAACAAGTTAGAGTAGAGTAAAGATCTTGAGGCTGGTCTCCAAACTGTTGAAGTTCTTGGAATTCTATGTGATAGTTTATCAAGCGTCGATCTTAAGTTAGGAGTTTCATACAGCTTTTGCTGTGTAGGTGTACAGAGTCTGACTAATTTTCCTTTGGAAGGTTTATACTTAATTATTAAACTTTATGCACCTCTTTAAATTAGAACATCCATTTTTTGGGCATTATACCCTCTCTTTAAATTGAAAAAAAAATTCAAAAAGAAATTTAGGTGAAAATATTTTTTTTATAAACTAGCTTTAACCTAATTTAATGAAAAGCGATACTTATTAAACAGTTTTCACTCTGAATATATTAATTTTTTGAATTAATCCTCATAAAATAAATTAAAATTCAAAAATATTGCGGGTCAATTTATATTTTTTAATCTCCAAATTTTATATTTTTTTTGAAAAATATTACCCCTTTAAATTATAATAGGATTATTTGTCCCAATTTAAAGTGGGAGATTTATCGCTTTGATCAAATATAACCATCCATATAAAATCAGTTTCTCTCTATTCCAATTTATTTATTTTCTCCAAACAGCATATCAAAATATTGCCTGAAAAAATCATGACTACATTGATTATCTTTGCTTGGGATCACAAAAAAGCGATCGTTCCACCTTTTCATTGATTTTTTTAACCTATTATTTCAAACACTAATTTAAATTTTCCTCAAATTCAAAACAATCTCTTAAAGTACTTTATTTTAGAATGATAGACTATTCCATCTTATAAAATAATATCATCCTCCTCCTCATCTTCATCCCAGCCGCTATCTTCAACAACTTTGAATTCTTTTCTTACATCATATATATATCCAGGATCCCCTGGCCGTAGCGCATTCTGTTTAAAAACGGTATCCATTTGCTGCTTATGGAGCAAAACTTCTTCAGGTGTCAGTTTATTCAAATCAATTTCGTCCTTTGTAGGAGATCCTGAATTTCTGCTGGGTCGTCGAGGATTCTCATTTTCTAGTTTTTGTTGGAGGTGGCGAATGAGGTCTACGATTTGGTCGTCAGAGATTTTGGCTGGGGGGAGATACATGCTATGCTTCTTTCTGAGCTTTTGAATCCAATCTCGAGGGTTATCTTGGGGCTGGAGCTCACGTAATCTCATCTTGTGATGGTAGAGCTTTCCAGTGGAGGGAACTAGGTATTCTAACACTATTGTGGGAGGCTCATATTTTAGTCCGAATCGTTTCGGAAGGAAGTCGGGAAAGATATCTAGATTAGATTGTGATGTGTATTTATAGGCCCCCACTTCCTATGCATCATGCGCTCACAAGGGTTAGCTGTGCTGTGGGATCCATCAAGGCAACTTGAGCTAGAATGAAACCTCAGGTTTTTCAGCAGAGGCATTTTTAATATGATCGAATCACAGGGATTTAACCGAAGCCTCCACTTCCAACTCAAACGCTGACATTACCCAACCCTGTTTGCTCAGGCCAGATAGTCCTTTTTAATACCTTTTTGGCAGGAGAGGCCTCCTTAAAATTCTAGTTGAGCCTGCCCTTCTCTCTTCCCCTGCTGTACCAAAAGAAAAATTCAATAACTTTTGCATTGGGACAAAGCCAACAAGTCCAAGTCTCTGCTCGTCAGCCCTTTTAAATTCATGGAAGAAATCTAAAGACATGATTCTAGAATTTAAATATTGTATACTCCCAAATAATCTATAACTGAATACTAATAAGCTCTTTCTGCTATTAACTTTAAGAGCAAGATCGCCAGCCTAGCCTAAAATCAATATGCAAATATATAGTTAATATTAAAACTTATCAAGAAGAAACTCAGTGAACTCGCTAAGATCAATTTGGCCATCTCCGTTTTTATCTGCTTCTTTTAATAATTCTTTCCAAATTTCAATATCCAGATTGTCACTACTCGCAAGCCAATTCATCAATTCATCTACAGAAAGCATTCCATTTTTATCTATATCAAAAATTGAAAAGGCTAGATACAAATTTGTTCTGGACAGCAAAATATTTTTATCAATGGACGCTTTGAGGTATTCTGTATATTGTATGTATCCATCCATATCAGCGTCAACTTGCTTTATGATTTTTTCTACTTGACATGCAGCCTTATCATATGACATTCGCCTTTGCAGATGATCGTTATCATTACTTAATTACTGATCAAGCTATGGCCGGTATACCATCTGAATTAATTGAGCTTGCCCGAGGCCGTCTTGAGAAGGCTCAGCGACTGCCAGACTTACTGCACGATTCCCATCCTCCAGGTTTCAGGGTTCTCCTCTCAGTTGTTACCAGTGGCACGCAGACGGCCCGTGCCGTTAGAGTGCATAGGTTTGGGACTTGCTTGCCACTTGTTCTTTCTCAGCATAAGCTAATTTTGCGCCAGTCGCTTTGTCTTGGCCCTCCACACGACACCCGTGGCCAGGTCTTACGACAGAAAAAGCCCTTCTATAAGAGGGAAAAACCTTCTTAGAAGAGGAAAAACCCTACCGCAGAAGGAGGCCTTTGCAGATGATCAATTAGGTCTTCGCGCCCTATTTTCCCATCTCCGTCCTTGTCAATAACAGAAAAAATTTGTCTGATTTCTTTGAAATCTTTATTATTGATTATTTGTGCAGCAATAAAAGACATGATTGTGTCTCTTAGCTTGAGTGTGTTAGAAAACTGCTTTAAATTTTCCAATATATGATCCAAAGTCCCTATATCAACAGTTTCATAGCTAATATGAGAAGTTATTCAAGGGTGACTTAAAGCTTCGCTTGCAGAAATTCGTTCTGCTTGAGGAACAAGCATTTTTTTAATCAGATCAAGCGCTTCAGGAGAAGTTTCTTGGAAAATTGGTAAGTCTGTGTTATATTCTCCTATTTTAATTCTTTCTATTATTTTATCGTCTGTTTTTCCTGGAAATGGTGGTCTTCCAGTCAGCAATATATACATAATTACACCGCAGCTCCATATATCACATTTTTCGCTATATTTTCCAGTAAAAACTTCAGGAGCCATATAAAAAATTGTCCCAACCATCCCTTCCATTAATTCATTCTCTTTTAGTTTTACAGCTGTCCCAAAGTCTCCTATTTTCAGTTGGAAGCTTTTTCCTCTTTCTTCAATCATTATATTTTCAGGCTTTAAGTCTCTATGTACGATGCCTAAACCATGACAAAATGAGACAACTGAAAAAAGCTGCCTCATGATTTCTGCAGCTTGCGTTTCGCTGAACCTTGATAATTTAGAAATTTTCTTGAAAAGTTCTCCTCCTTCACAATATTCCATGACTAAATAGTAGTTTTCATCGTCTTCAAAGAAATCGTATATTCTGATAATATTGGGATGGTCTAGTAATTTAAGAATTTCTGTTTCCTGAGCCATACTGCCTTCTTGGTTTTCTTCAGACTCACTGCCTAGTTTTCTGTATATTTTTGCCGCTCTTAGCAAGCCTGAGAGTCGGTGAGTGCAGCGTCTTACCTCTCCAAAACTTCCTTTTCCAATTAAATTTCCTAGCATATAAAGTTGTTTGAAAGGAATCCCATGAGGCTTAACGAAAGCTCCTGGATGGATCTTTATATCAAGCGCACTTCGAGCTGTAGGAGGAGCTGAGTTGTTTATAGCCAATTCTTTTGGCTTTGCGGATGGGCAGCAACCCATTTTGTAATTAATAATTAAAAAAGAGCTTAGGGAATCCAAATTTTTTTTAGCAGTTTCGCTAATAAATTAAAATATTCCAACTAAAAAATTTATTATTCATCCTGCGGCTTATGTAAAATTCTTATTATAATATTAATGACGTAAAACTAAATTAAAGCTTAAAAGACTCTAAACAGAAAATTAAATTTAAATTCATTTTGATTGGATCATAAATAAGATATAATGCTTACAAAAATATAAGATTTATACTGATCATGGCCGATCTAAGATTGTTTGATGAAGTCAGTCCAGTGATAGAAGATATCTGTGGAGTTCCAAGGACGTGGGGAATTAAAGGTCTCCTCAGTAAAGAGGAATGCCAGCTCTTTTTACAAAATGTTGTACATGATGAAGAACTAGATACATCTGCTTACAAAAGGGCAGATGAAGTAGAAATTTTCCCAAAACGAATATCTTATCGATATAAAGCGGATCTTGATAATCTGTCGTTGCAATTTTTCGACAGAATCAAGACACTTCTTCCAAACCCACTTGTTTTCAATCAAGAAGACTCTGAATTAGGGTCATTTTTAGAGGGGTCTTGAAAGTTGTGGGGAGTTAATGAAAGGATTAGCTTTTTGAAATACTTGCCAGGTGGGCAGTTTACAAAACATAAAGACGGAATATATTTTAAGAATGAGGACCTTATCCTTTTTTTTGGGCTCACTTAAGTTAACCATTGATATTTTTTGAAATTTGTTTTTTTTTAATATTATGCAAAAGTAAACAGGCCATATTAATAATATTATATTGTAATTATATATTTAAATGTAAAAAAATTCAAAGGAGTTAGAAGCATGATAACTATTTTGATCTATCTTAACGATGATTATGAAGGAGGCAGGACAGTGCTATACAATGATGAAGAAACTGTTAGGGTCGCCTTCGAGCCAAAAGCAGGAGATGCTTGTGCAATGATGCAAAACGTTATACACGAAGGAGGAGTAGTCGAGTCAGGAGAAAAACATGCCATTAGGCTTGACATTATTTATGAAAGAGATGCCCCATACGATCCTCAAAAATTTGATAATAATCAACTAGCAATGCAGTATTTAAAGATCGCACAAGATTTAGAAAGAGCCCACCAAGCAACTGAGTCAGTAAAGTATTATCAAAGAGCGTTTAGATTAAACCCACATTTGGAGTGGATGCTTTAATTAAAAGCTTTTTATATATGCTTCTTGAAAGAGAATAACCTAAAAGTTTTATTTTCTATATTTTATAATTTCATTGCTTGTCAGAGGATATACAGCAGCAATTAATTAGTAGTTAAATCATTAGAAAAATTGGAAGGAGTCTGATTTCTATAGTGCCGTATCAATTTTGATCTCACTTGAGAATTGCGAGCTGAATTAAGAGTAGATTCAGGACTGTATGAGCTTTTGACTATTTTATAATGGTTACTCCCTATGTAAGTTTTACTTAATGGCTTAAGCGGTTGAGTTGGAAGAAATGTTGTATTTGTGCTAGCTTTGCTTGATGGCAAAATTTTATGCATAATTCTTGAGTATGGAGAAATAGACCGAACTCCATAGCTCCTATCTTCTGAAGGGGTTTTTGATCGACTTTTATCTTGCTTCACTTTCTGATACTTTTGTAGTAGGTCAATCGGTGTCTTAAGAACATAAGGATTGCTATTTAATTTATCTCTAATTTTGACTGTATTGCATAATTTTTCCTCTTTATTTACTATATTTTTTAATTTTTCTTTTGGTTCAGTGCTTTTCTTTGACAGTTTTTTCTTATTATACAGCAAATAATAGGTAGCTGTAAGATGAGTTTTTTTATTTTTCAATAAAGACTTTTTTAATCCAGTAATATTAAACCCAATCATTCTTAATTGATTAAAAATCGTCTCATCAATAGCATCTCTCCCATCATAAGCCTCATCATCATCTAGATTTTCCCCATTAAGCCATTCATGCTTTCTAATTAATTCAATTGTTAATCTCTCTTTAGGGTCAGCTTTAAGAATATTTCTAATCAAATCTTTTGCTTCAGCGCTAATTCACTTAGGAAAGTAGTATGAATTAGCAACAATTTTTTTATAAAGAGATGCTACGTTTGTATCATCAAATGGAAGATACCCACACAGCATAACGAAGAGAATCACTCCACAACTTCAAATATCAGCTTTATTTCCATCATATTCTTTCCCTATTAAAACTTCTGGAGCCAAATATGAAGGACTGCCACATGAAGTTTTTAAAAACTCATCAGATTCATGTTTTCTGCTGAGCCCGAAATCTACAATTTTTAAGTTAAAATCATCATCAATAAGGATATTTTTTGGCTTCAAGTCTCGATGAGAAATATTCAATTTGTGCAGCTCTTCGATCCCTCTTAAAATTTGACAGAAAAATTTCTTAGCTTGAGGCTCAGCAAGTTTTCTGTTTTTAATAATATACTCAAGCAAGTCTCCATTACTGATGTATTCCATTATCAGGTAAATCTGCTTGGAGTTCTCAACAGTTTCAAAAAGCTGGCATAAGTTAGGATGCCTTATGTCTTTTAATATTTCGATTTCTCTGGTGATTCTGATCATGTCTTCGTTATCTGTTATTTTGGATTTATCAAAAATTTTAACAGCTACCTTTTCACCTGTTAAAACATGAGTTCCAAGCTTAACTTTACCAAAATTCCCTTCACCTATGGTATCTGATATAATGTAATGGCCGATGTTATGACTTTTACCTGAAGCTGGTCTAATTGCTGTCATATCACTCGAGGCTGGCCTGCAATTTGATCTACTCATTTACAAATTAAATATTGAATTTTTATAATAAAAATGAGTGGAACAAAATTCCTACATGTTAAGTAAAAAAATTGTAATTTATTATGCGTATTTGGGATAAAGGAAGCATAATTTTTATTAAAATGTCAATAACACAATTTTTTTTCTGCAATAAAATTTAGGGCAATATTATTAAATTCCGCTGCTAAGATGCCAATCTATAGCGGCATATAATATCTTTTAAAATGAATATATATTTAATAAATCAAATGAACTGGCTTTTACAATCTCCTATGAGCTGGAGTGAGAACAATGGAGATCAGGGTGAATTCTTATCTTCTGTGATGTCAACTGCAGAAGCTTTGAACAACATTATTCTTAATGTAAATAACTTGATATACGTTTTGAAAGATTCAGCAAACTCAACACTGCGCTCAGGTAAAAAATAAATAGATCTCACAAATAGTGAAAATGAGCGTGTTGCAAAGTATATCAATGGAGCATCACAAGCTCTTAATCGAATTGCATTAGACTTTTACATGATTTCTCCAAGTTTTAGTTCTCCATCTGCACCTTCAATAGTCAAATCTGAAGATGAAGAAAAGAGTGTCGCTCCATTTAAAGATGATTTTGATTATTTGAATAGCCTTAATCTCGCAATATGCATGAGTCTAATAATTATAGAATTTAATCCTATAAATTTGGGGATATTACTCTATAATCCGAATGCAAATATTTTAAGTTAGCATGCTTAAAAGTTTAATTTTAAAATTATTTATTGATTCTGATTAAAAAATATATGTTATAGATTAAAGGAATAGTTAGTGGAATAAATAGCTCGATTGACATAGATTTATATGCTGATCCTGATTGTCTATCGATTGGAGCCAAATTTGAGACATTAGAAGACGCATTGTATACTTTTCAAAAGTATGCAAATAAGAAAGGATTCAACATCTGCAAAGGAAACAGCTGGTCAAGCACAGGTCGCAACCAGACACCCCCACCCCACCCCTAAAAGTGGTACCCCAGCCCCCCCTTTTTAATGTACCCCCACCCCCCCTTTTAATGGCATCCCCACTCCCCTTTTAATGGCACCCCCACCCCCCTTAATATAGCATAAATATATGACAAATGCTAATTTAGAGCAGGCATAATAAATAAATTATTTTTTTAAATATTCAAAATTACTGATTTATACAATATCCACATAGCGTAGCACAATCGATTAAGGAGTAGGTGGAACGGGGTGAGAATTTCCTATAACTACTAAGCACACCACATATGAAAAAATTTGTTAACAAGCATAATAATGATCTTTGGTATTAATTAGCAGTATATCCTGCATATATTTATGAACTTTGTTGAAAAATGGCTAAAGAGTCGAATTAGAGATCCAAAAGTAAAATGACAATAGCAAATACTATTTTATTAGTACTATTGAATCCTGTTACCAATTCAGTCCTGCAATCCTTATACAATGGGCATCAGATTAGCTTTAATTTATGAATCAATAAATTTTAATGCAAGTTATTGTATTGTGCTTGGCTCATTTAATAATTAATGCCATTATCTATATCTTTTGGCATTATATATATAAATATAAAAAAAAAATTTAATATATTTTCTAATTAATTGTTAATTAATTTAAATTTATTAATTAATCATAAATATTAAAGTAATTTATGGACTTAATTTATCAATATAGTGTTTTAATTGGATTATTTTTAAATTATTCTTCTTGTTTCTAATCAATTACTTCTATAGAATAAACCCTTTATTTTTTGAGGGGGGTGCGGGGTTTCCTTATTGGGCGGTGGGGGTCTCTGGTTGCGACCTATGCTTGACCAAACAGCAAGCAAAATGTATATCAAGAATACGCCTGCTCAGCTCGTGGAAAAGCCAGAAAAAGAGAGACAGATCGCAAAAGAAACCGAAAAAGCACGAAAACTATGTGTAAATGCCACATAATTTTAAGGAAAAAAGAAGATTGCTGGACTGTAACCACAAGCAAGCTTGAACACACTCATAGTTTATTGACTGAAGAGCAAATAAAGATGACAGCGAAAAATCGCTACATTCCTGACCACATTAAAGCACAAGCAATAGCTCTTTATCAAGCTGGAGAATCCCCTGCTAAAATTCAATATTTCTTACTATTTCATTAATAATGAAAATATAATTGTTTTTAATTATTCTACATAGCAAACTAAAAAATATTTTTTAATTAAATTAAAAGGAATCAACACTTTTAAATTAAAAAATTTGAAATATAAAATAAAAAAGATATTGATTTATATATTATGCACATATATAATGCTTTGGCATTATTGTAGGAAGGTCTCCACATGTCAGGACATTTCTCACATGTGGAACCTAAATACCACATGTGGAGCCACTCAAATATGGGATTTGGGTTCTATATTTAGGAAATTACCCCTCCCAAAATAATACCAAAGCATTATATAAATTATTATTAATAGAGAGAATTAGAAAATGAGTATCAAGAATTATGCACTTGGTCCATGAAAGATCTATACAACATGCTTTACCGTCGCCGAGAAACAATCAAAGAAGAGATTTCTTCATACTAATCAGCTGATTAACCAATTTTCCAACTAAGTAGTGTATCTAAGTAATTGTATTTCCATATGCATTTGTCTGGTCAGCAACATCTTGTAATTAATGGAGACAGAAGAACAAGTAGCAAAAGGACTCACAAATGCCAGCGTAGTAAGCAAGTACAGAGAAGCCGCAAACATAGTAAACCGTGCTCTCCAAGCTTTAGTCCCTCAATGCCAAGCAGGCGCTGACATTTCCACACTTTGCTCCAATGGAGATCAGCTAATTGAACAAGGCCTCGCTACAGTTTTCACAAGCGCTCCAATTGAAAAAGGAATTGCCATCCCTACTTGTATTTCAGTAAACAACGTGTGTGCTCATTATAGCCCTCTTCCAGAAGAGTCATCTACTCTTCAGCCTGGAGATTTGATTAAAATTGAATTAGGTGCACATATTGATGGGTATATCGCGAATGCAGCTACTTCTTTAGTGGTAGGAGCCTCTGCAGAGACCCCGATTACTGGAAACAAAGCTGATGTTGTATTGGCTGCATATAATGCAATCCAAGCTGCACTTAGACTGATTAAGCCAGGAAGCTCAAACCTTGAAGTCACTGAAGTTTTCAACAAAATTGCAGCTGATTACCAATGCAATGTGCTTGAAGGAGTTCTCTCACATGAGATCAAGCAGCATGTAATTGATGGAAACCATGTGATCATTGGAAAGGAGAGCTTTGACCAGCATGTAGAAGAGTTCAAGTTTGGAGCTAATGAGGCGTACATTATTGATATTTTTATATCAACTGGTGAAGGAAAGCCATTAACATTAACTTAAATATTGTGAAGTTCGCTGTAATGCCTCGAGGGCCTACCTCCACCCATATTGCTTCACCCGGCTGCTCACCACCGACCGGCCACGGCTTCTAAAGTGTTGCTCCTTCTGGACGAGGATGTGCACTCGCTACCCGAAGTTGGATGAGTTGCGCCACCGTGCCGTACGCCAACAGAGTTGTCCTTTCCGAAAATTTGAAAAACAAATTTTCTGGTCGAACTCACGGCCAAAATGGAAATCCAAAGCCTGGACGTAACCTCATTGGTGCTGCTGAGCTTCTCCTTTCCAACCTTGGGACTCCATTTCCCCTGAGGTAAAAACCTTGTCATCAGAGTGAACTGCGGTCGACCAAATTCGACAATGCGCTCCACTGTGCCAAGGAAAAACCTAGCCGGATACCTACATCGAGCGCCAAATTCCCTTCCACGAGGTCCCCGGGTCCTAGAAGGTCCCAGCTACAGGTGTTGAGAAAAAGGGCTGGTTCGCCGTCGTCATTTTAATAAGTATGGTGAAGGAAAGCCAAAAGAAGCTGAGACAAGAACCACAGTTTTCCAAAGAGCATTAGATATGACTTACAATTTGAAGCTTAAAAGCTCAAGAAACTTTTTGACTGAAGTAAACAGAAGGTTCCCAACCTTGCTTTTCTCTCTAAGATCCTTTGCAGACCAGAGAAACGCTAGAGTCGGAGTGTCTGAGTGTTTGAATCACAATATGCTTTATAGTTTTCCAGTTATTACTGAGAAGCCAGGCGATTTAGTTGCACAGTTCAAAGTCACAGTTTTGATTCTTGAAACAGGGACAATTGTAATTACACCTCTCATTTTCAACCCAGAGCTCTGCCAAACTGAAAAAACAGTTACTGATGAAGCAGTCAAAGCTTTGTTAGCAACTCAGATGGCAACTGTTGCGGTGGCTAAGCCAAAGAAAGCGAAAAAGAACAAGAAAAAGAAAAAAGCAGCAGCTCAAGAGGGAGAAAGCAAGGAAGAAGAAAACAAAGCAGAGGAAACTAAGGCAGAGTAACTAATTAGCAGTTAGACATAAATATAGAAATTAATTTATTGAAGCTTACAGGCAGTTTCGAGATCTGGCACATATGCGGAATTTAAAATTTCATAAAATTCATCCACAGGGCAGTAAATATTTGTAATAACTATTATCTATAAAAATTAGTAAATGATTAATAGTTTTATATTTTAAAGAAAAGTATCAAATAAAATAATCAGGAAATTATATTAAAAAGATTAATTTGGAAAAAAAATGCTACTACTAAATATTTGAGCAACTTGGAATTTCTGTTATAGAGTGTCAATTCTTTTTAGCTATGAATAGGGATACTCTGCCAACTCCAGTTTCTATATGGCATTTCTCTCTTTTTTTGAAGCTTCAAAAGAAGTTGAAAATATGAAAACTCCTGATGACTTTTGAAAATCGGAGATATCTTCAGGATTAATGAGATAAATATAATTTAATAGGATTCTAAAAGCCATCAAAAGCCATAAAACATCGTTGTAAATTAGGCCCACAGTAGCATTTTGATACGCTTCAAATACTAAAGTTGATGCAAATGGCGGATTATAATCTTGAGCAAGATCTAAGCAGGAGAGAAACGCAGCAAGAGTTGTATCATGAGCTGAATAATAAGCAAACTTTAAATCCCCTCCATTAAAGGCTTGCTTTATGTTTCCTATTAATTCCTGGAAAAAAGCTGAGCATGATAAATTTCGAGCTTCAGCGTCGCTGAATGGGACATAAAATTTCGAGAATCCATGAATTTGTGCAAGCTGCTCAAAAAGTGTTTCATTCATGCCTGTTTTCCATGGATTTCCATTGTATAAATCACATTCAAGTGCTGTATGTATGTTTGAGGCAGACGAAATCGTAGAGATTTTGACTCCTAGCACTTCTGAAATAGTTTTTAATATACCATTAGCCCAGTATTGTTGATTATTTAGGTATACTGTTGAATTTTTCAATGTTGCACTTATTTGGGAGATTCTTGCACAAGAATCTGAGTCATAGCCATGCAAAACGTGGTCTTTCGGGCCTTGTATAACATTAATTGGAATAACTTGCATACTATTTGTAAGTGCAGCCTTGCCTAAGGCATTTTGAATAGAAGCAGTATAGGCGCTAATATTCATAGGAGGTGCTGTATTCAGCAATGTTACGTTTGGCCCTGTCCCTAATGGGTAAAGGCCAAGCATCTGGCTTCAAGCACTCATGATTGTCCTGTCTGACGAAGTGGCTTGAACATATATTTCACTTGAGTTATATATTTCGCTCAGCAGAGGGGTAACTTGAGTATATCTTCTCCGGAATTCGTGGCCTATCAAATAATGCTGCCTCATTCCTGTAGGGGTGAGCTCTCCAAGCAAATTCGGGTCTCAGAAAGCTATATCGAAAGGATATAATTTGGTAGGAGCTCGTGCACCATGTCGTGATATTTCAGTAACAAAAATAGCATTTCCAATTGTGAATTCAAGCAAAAATATCAGCCAAATCATAAAATGCAACATTTTTAAATTAATATGCTGAATTTTTAATAAATTCGAAAATGCTATTCTATCAGATATTGGATAAAGCAATGATTATTTGAAATTAGCAAGAAATGCTATTTTTAAAAAAAACGAGCCAAATTTTATTTTAAGACCATTGGGTCTTATTATTTAGCTTACAATTTTTATAACTTTGTCTTATAAGCTCGAAATAATGATTTTCTAATTGATTTAATACAATATGCCAACCAACGCCAAATTTTAATAGTAAAATAAGAAAATGATAAGGACTTTCCTGAGAAGATTATTTTCAGAGCGGTGCATAATCATTCATCCTGTTTCGCAACATCAGTAGCATTTATTTAGCCGTGGAGTAAAAGGTGAAATCGCTATGGCCGAGGAAGCAATTGGTCTTGCAAAGTCTCTTGGATGAAGCGTAGAAAGAGGCCCAAAAGCGCTCAACGAAGAAGTCCTATATCCTGACGCAATTAATTTAACAGCTGAAGAAGTGGACGAAAATTCCCATGGCAGAAAGCTGAAATCCCGCAATAACTCTTATTCTACACACACAATTGAAGGAGAAAAGCTACACAACTGAGATGATGTCGAAATTGCAGGCACAGGGATGAAAGGATACTACGTAAATGGTAGTTTTTATTGAGACCCAACTGAAGAGCACACAACGGATGAAGAAGACTTTGTAGGGGACGAGTGAAAAGACGCGATAACTAGACATGAAATCGCTTCAACTTCTCTAGTCAGAGTAAGAAAGCCTAATAGTGGGGTGAGGTTAATTAAAGTACACTGTACTTTTTTAAACCCCTCCGAAAACCTACAAAAATGACTGTGTAGTTTAAAAATGGTCGTTTAGTGTGAAAAAAGTACAAACGGTACTTTTCGATTTTTTAAAGACAGGGGGGTAAAAAAAGTAAACGGTGAAAAAAAAACAGCCAAAGCAGAGGAAAAAAGTACATATAAAAATCAATATTCTATCAAGACTAAGTAAATTTAAGCAAAGAAAGGCCAAGGTTAAATTGCATAATAAACAGCTTGTATTGCATTATAATAAATAATAAATAATAAACAATATTGCTGGAAAGAATGCAAGAGCTGCATGATAAACAATAAAAAATATTTGGCTCTCAAAATAAGAGGAAAAAAGTACGCTGCAAAATATAAAATGATTAAAGTGACGTAGAATAATCTAATATAAAAGACTAATAATAAACACAGGAAATTCCCTTAGAAAATTTCAACTTAATTTGTTAAATAAAAGACCAAAAGTTACAAAGAAATATAAGAAAAGTGATTATGGAGAAAATTATTAAAAATGGATGAAAAAAGTACATGTTTTGTTCATATGTGCAAAAAGAGTGAAAAAAGTACTCATAAAATTTTTAACAGTGCAAATTTTGAATGAAAAAAGTACAAAGGAAAAAAAAACAGAGGGAAAAAGTACATTGACTTTTTATATGAAAATACTAATTTTTTAAATATGTTTACCTTAAAAATGAGAAGAACGCATCAATTTAATTTTGCTGCATATATATTAATTCTCACTCCACCCCCTTTAAATTGGAACAAAAAATTTTGTTCCAATTTAAAGGGGGTTTAATTTTGTTTTTAGAAAAAAATATCACTTAACTTAACTTAAACAGATGGGCTCGTGCCCCTAATTTTAACGCAATCAGCGAGGATCCCTTATGGGATTCATCCGCTTTGCGACATCACTCCCACATAAAGCGGGAGTACTGATGCTCCTCCTTGTCTCTTATAAAAGACTCCAGTGTTGAGTGGGCAGACTACGGGTTTGGAGGCTGAGGCGGCATTCCGAAATTCCAAAAAATGGAATTTCTGGTAGCCTGTCGGCAAAAGGATAAAGACCAAATCCTGGGAAGTAACGTCCAGTTTCACGCTAGGTAGTTGCCCGATTGGTCTAGGTATTACCTGTAGACTCTGCTGGGCTTACCCTTTCCAAATCTGAACCCTCCTTACCTTCGAGGTAAAAATCAGTCTCGAATTTGGACTTTGGGCTAGGTTCTGCGCTCCTGCAGAATTAGTTGCCTAGCATTGCTGTCCATTTCAAGGCTAGAAAAAACCTTGCCGGATATAATTAAAATATGAGTCGGAGGCTGTATGGCCGTGAGGCCATACCTAGACGAAGACGCCATATTTTAATTATCTAGAAAAAAAAAATCAATATAAAAATTTAAAAAAAAAAAATTTCATCGAATAGATTAATAAATTTGTTTAATAAAATGCTATTTACTCTTTATCCTTTAAAACAAAGCAATATATAACTAAATTTACATTATTAGTTAATACGCCACTATTAATTGGTATCAAAATTATTTACATAAAAATTATTATTTTTATTAATAAAAAAAAAAATTAAAAAAACACAAATTTTAGAAAATTTATCGATCAAAATGCTAATTTTGTTTAAATAAGATGCTATTTATACTCTATTCTTTTAAAAAAAGCAAGAAATAAGTAAATTTTTTTAATTTTATAAAGAATTCCTATTGATTTTATATCAAAACTATTTTAAATAAAAAATATCATTTTTATCAAAAAAAAAATAATTTTTTTTTTTTTAAAATTTAGCAATTAAGGATAATAAATTTATTTAAATAAGATGCTCTTTATACTCTCTTCTTTAAACAAGAGCAAGATATTACTAAAATTTTTAATTTTAGTTAAGAAGAAGCATTTAACTTATATCAAAATTTTTTTAGATAAAAATTATATATAATTTTTTATTATAAAATTAAATTTTGTTCGGGGGTTAATTTACCAAAAAAGTGAAAATTTTACCTATATTTGTTCCAATTTAAAGGGGGTGGAGTGAGAATTAATATATGCAGCAAAATTAAATTGATGCGTTCTTCTCATTTTTAAGGTAAACATATTTAAAAAATTAGTATTTTCATATAAAAAGTCAATGTACTTTTTCCCTCTGTTTTTTTTTTCCCTTTGTACTTTTTTCATTCAAAATTTGCACTGTTAAAAATTTTATGAGTACTTTTTTCACTCTTTTTGCACATATGAACAAAACATGTACTTTTTTCATCCATTTTTAATAATTTTCTCCATAATCACTTTTCTTATATTTCTTTGTAACTTTTGGTCTTTTATTTAACAAATTAAGTTGAAATTTCTAAGGGAATTTCCTGTGTTTATTATTAGTCTTTTATATTAGATTATTCTACGTCACTTTAATCATTTTATATTTTGCAGCGTACTTTTTTCCTCTTATTTTGAGAGCCAAATATTTTTTATTGTTTATCATGCAGCTCTTGCATTCTTTCCAGCAATATTGTTTATTATTTATTATTTATTATAATGCAATACAAGCTGTTTATTATGCAATTTAACCTTGGCCTTTCTTTGCTTAAATTTACTTAGTCTTGATAGAATATTGATTTTTATATGTACTTTTTTCCTCTGCTTTGGCTGTTTTTTTTTCACCGTTTACTTTTTTTACCCCCCTGTCTTTAAAAAATCGAAAAGTACCGTTTGTACTTTTTTCACACTAAACGACCATTTTTAAACTACACAGTCATTTTTGTAGGTTTTCGGAGGGGGTTTAAAAAAGTACAGTGTACTTTAATTAACCTCACCCCTAATAGTGCTTTGTTTTTTGGGACAGGAAAGGTGCGTGAAATTGGGCAGGTAATTGCAGAAAGAGGAGCTTCAGCAGTTTTTATTAACACGACACTAAGTCCTCTTCAGCATAGGAATCTTGATAAGTAAGCATTATATAGCAAGTGGAACCAGATATTAAAAGAAAATGATCCCGAAAAGAAAGTTATGATTGTAGATAGGATGTCAATTATTTTAAGGATTTTTGCAGAGAGGGCCAGGACTAAAATTGCAAAATTGCAGCTGGAGATGGCTTGGCTTAAATATGTGAAAACTAGACTGGTGAGAGGAGAAGGCAACACGATTTCAGGGCTTTTGTCAGCTTTTCAAGGGAAGTTTGGAACGTAATTTTAAAATAGAGGAGGGCTGCAAGAAATGGAAATTGTGAGTGCGAGAGGAAGAGGTGGCACAGGAAAAATGGGCGGTGAAGGAGAAAAACAGCTGGAAATGGAAAAGAGGCAAATTAATGACCGTGAAGCGAAATTGAGAGCTGAAATTGATAGAGCACAAGATTTATTGGTAAAGAAAGGAAAGGAAGGGATTTTGAAAAACTATCCTACATTTGCTATAATTGGCTACACAAATGCTGGGAAAACAGCACTTATGAATTTTTTGACAGGAGAAAATCTAATCAGTGAAGATTTATTGTTCCAAACTCTTAACACAACTGCTAGAAAGTTATCTTTGCCAAGTGGACAGTCAGCAGTCCTGCTAGACACTGTTGGTTTCATAACGGATCTTCCCCATGACTTAGTTGAAGCATTTAAATCTACTCTAGAAGGAGTTCAAACAGCTGATGTTGTCCTTCATATCAGAGATATATCCCATCCATTTACAGAGCTGCAAAAAAAAGCTGTCTTCAAAGTCCTTAGTGACATAAATTACCCCCCTGAAAAGTTTTTTAAGCGATATATTGAGGTTTGGAATAAGGTAGATTTAATTGAAAAAGATATTAAAATAGAAGAAATTGATGAATCTCCATATCCAATTGTTGCTATTAGTGCAAAGTACGGAATAAATATTGATAAATTGTTAGAAGCTTGTGACGAAATAGGGATGAAAGTAATGGGAAGAAAGAAAATGACTTTGGCATTTCCAATCGAGGAGTTTTCTATGAGGATGGGATGGATTTCAGAGCAGCTCCACATCGCCATGCCGACTTATGAAGTAGAGGAAAAAAGAGGAAAAACTATTGCAAAAGTTGCAGTGTGCATGGACGATACTACTCACCAAAGATACATAGCTAATTTTGAGCACTATGAAAAAAAGAGAAGATAATTATTTTAAATATTGGCTAACCAATAATATTTACAAGCCGCGTGTTGCTCCTAAAATCAGCATTGCAGCCTTTCTGGCAGGAGGTTCTGATTTTCTTTTTTCGACTAATAATGTGTGTGATAGAAACTTTATTTTGCTTGCTGCCCTTAGGTTATTTTCTCTGATTTTTCTTTGGTCTTCTTCGATTTCTCATGATCTAATTAGATCGTTTGCAGAGCTATGGTCAGTTTCTAATGAATAAAGCTGATTAGGGCTGAACTTATTTAATGCCATTCCTCCAAAATACAAAATTCGTGTTCCTATCGTAGAAGCTGAGGCTCCCCATCTTGGGGACGGCGCATAGCCATACGGTTTTAACGTTTCTCACCTGCAGTTTGCAATATTTAATGCACAAATTTCATTGACTTCTCCTCCACAGCCATTTTTGAAGAGTGCATCATTTCTGCCTCCTATTATATACAAATAGTTTCCACATAGCACTGTGCAATGGCCACATCTTGGAATTGGCAAATTTCCTGATGGCTCTAGCTTGGTTCATTTTAAAGTGTTTAAAAAATCTCGACTGTATTTTAAAGGTTGGAGTATATATAAATCATTACATACAATACCACTCTTATTCATTCCTCCAAAAAGGTATATTCCGCAATTCTTTTTGGAAAAGACCTCGTCGTGAATGCTGGGTAAATTAAAAATATCGTTTGAGTACTGCCTTAAAACTGCAGGGTGATATACAGAAGTTAAGGTAAAAGAATGTCTCAGTCCAGGCTTTTCTGATGCTTTGTCAAGCTTTATTGAAAATCATTGCATAGATTCGAGATTCAGCCCATGGAGGTCTGCTAAGGTTTTGCCATTGCTATCAATCCCACCATACATAATCATAGTGTTTCCTATTAGAGCTGCTCCATGGTTTCTTCTTGAATCAGGAAGTCTGCCTAAAGGCTTGTAACTTCTTCATTCAGAATTTACTGTATCGAACATATAAACCAGAGGAAAGCATCCTCTGATATGAAGAGTTGAATTAAAGCCGCCTCCGCCTCCATAAACGACCAAAGAGTTTCTAAATCCAACTGCAGTATGTCCAACTCTCGGATCTGGGATTTCTTGCGCAGTATCTTGATTTCTGTGATTAACGCCTTCTCAATGCCCATTCCGATAGTTAAGCATTTTAATATCATTCAGCCTTTCTCCAGACTGCCCTCCGAATAAATATAAGTTATTATTCACCATCGTTAATGTGCTTCCTACCCTTGCGTCTGGGATAAACCCTTCTGTTATCCTTTTTTCTCAAAATACATTTATTGCTTTAACTCGCTGCACCTTATGAGTTAGATCGACAAATTCGGAATTTTCATCAGAACAATATCGTTTTATTAGTTCATCTACAAAACTGTTATTTGGTTCTTGTATAAAGGATGATGAGATAACTTGGGATTCAGATTTTTTATGTGTAGGGGGATTTTTTGAAGCTTTTCCAGTAGGAGTTGTGACTGAAGAATTTGCTTTAAGATGAATATTTGTTGCAGATATGTGGACTCGTTTTCGGAGCCTAGGAATTTGGTCGATACTTTTTAAAATTGGATGAGTTTGATCAGGAAATTGTTTATCTGTTGGTGATGGGCTGATATTCATTTTTTTAATTATTTTATTTGGAGTAGATTCAAAATTTTGCGTCATATATTATTATAAATTATAGACAAGAGATTTTAAGCTATATATACAAGTGAAAAGCTAATAATTTTATATTGTCTTCATTTTTAAACCATATTACCTTTAATTCTATATATTCTGGCGATTTAAAGACTGTTTTTAACTTATCGTTCTTAAAATTGGAACAAAATATCTCTTTTTTTTGTACTTTAGCCCCCCTTTAGATTGGAACAGATTTTTGTTCAAGTTTAAAGGGGGTGATTAAGGCTCTCTGAACAGAAAATATTTCACTTCTTTTTTTGAAAATAATTAGTATTATCCACAATTATATTTGGTTTTAAAATAAATCAAAAATAAAATGGAATCGGTAAACAAGCCTGACCAACAAAAAAAGAGCCAAAATAACTCTGCGCAAAATAAGAATAAGCGAAAAAAGAATCATAAACCTCAAGAAAATTCCCTAGATCCTAAAGTGACAGACATAGGCAAAGAGAATGAAAGCACAATTTCTCAGCCTGATCTGACGGGGAAAAATAAATATCAGTATTTATCTCCAGAAGAAGCCAAAGTCACTAATATTGGGAAAGGAATGAAAAATATTATAAAAAACTCTGACCAAATATGCTTTAAATTAATAGTAAAACCTATAGAAAACCCAAAATTTATCGAGGAAAATGACCTTGGAGAAGCTTATTTAGTAAATTTTAAAATCCATTATAAAACGAAATTCGGTGAAAGAATTGGCCTTGTCGGGAATCAAGAATTTTTAGGAAATTGGAATCCTATGAAAGCTTGGCAAATGGAGTGAAACCAAGGAAATGTCTGGAATTTAACGATCCCGATCAATAAAAATAAAATAGACGATATAGAATATAAATACATCTGTCGTCAGCAAACCTCGATCAGATGGGAGGAGGGGACAAATCACAAAATAAATACAAAGCTAATCAATTCTGAATGTAAAAGAGCAGTATGCATAGAGAACACATGGGGTAATATATAATATTTTTATGGTTTACTAATTATTTAAAATGCTCTAAGATATCTCTCAATTTCATGTCAAGCTTTCTGATAAGGTCTTTATCTGGAAACGGAATCAAAAAGCTGTCCTTACCTTTAGTTTTCTTCCTTTGGCTTGGCGAGGTATGGAGAACCAATCCTTCATCTATTTTTTGAAGGTGTTGGACTGTGTTAATGTCAACAATTCATAAGATTTTTCTGTTTCTAATATCAATTAATACGAGAGTCATGATATAGATCACAAAAAGCATATCTTGGCCTCTTATGTCTCTGCTTGCTACCTGATATACAAATTTTTCATTTATAAAAATTCCTTTTTTAAGCTGGTTCATCAAGTGAACTACTTGGGAGTCATATTCATTATAAGGTTTGATCATAAAGGTGTGGCCATAAAATGGTCTTGGGGCTCTCACTCTCTGAAGTTTGCTTGCAGAGGAGAAGGGGGCGGCAGTATTTTTTATCCCTTCAGCTGCATTACTTGTGGCATCAAGAATGCCAGCTACAGGCTTCACTATAATTCCTGATATACCTCTAAACCCACCTCTAAGTATGCCTTTTGCTTTCGATTTCTTATAAGCCACTATTGGATCAATAACAATTCCAGTAATTGCATAGCTCGCGTTTTTGAACAATGTTTTAAAGCCTAGGCCAATGCCATCAATAATATTCTGTGGTCGGTTTTTCGCTTTTTCTCTTTGTCTTTCTAAAATATATTCTTTGGATTGTGTAATTGAAGTCAAGCCAGTTGCAATTCCATTAGCCAGCTTCGACACTGTTCCAAAGGTTCCTTGGACAGTATTAGTAACCAATGATCCTGCTCCCTTTAGTAATCCTTTTCCAAAACTCATAGGGCTGTTTATTAAACCCTGGGCAGGCTCATAAAAAAAATCGACAAAGCCTGTTCCAAGATTATTTAAAAGTCCTATAGGATTTCCAAGTATTTCTGCATGTCCTATCAATGACAGCAGCTGACTTACAATTTGTGACTTATAATTCATCATCAAGGCAGACACAATTTGAGCTTGAGTCCCAAAACAGTCGTCCATTTCTACTGCCCTTAATTTGACAGGGGCTGAATCAATAGCAATAATTGCCATCCCAAAAGCCTTTGCTAATGTATTAAAAGGGTCTGACTTTTCTTTAGTCTCCTTTAAAGGGACAAAAGTTATGATAATTTTGATAGGACAGAGCTTTAATTTTTCAAAATAAAACCTCTTGTTCTGGGCAACTTGCTCCTGAGCTGTCCATGTCGGACTTGCATGTTTCGCAAAAATGACTTGGGCATCATCAACAACAGATTCTTGCAATATAGCTCTTCCTATAAATTCCATAATAATTTTGAAAATTGAACTTTCAAGATTTAAGGTAAGAGACTGCAAAGAAAACTCACAAAATTCAAAATGCATGCAGTTGGGGTCAAAATATAGAATTATTTTTGTGTGAAAAACACTGAGCTCTGGCAGACTTGGGCATAATAATACTGGAAACACCGCATTTGAGTTGTATTGGTTATCAATTTGAAACTTCTCAATTAGCATGTCAGCTTTAAGCTGCCTTTTTGTCATTTGGGTCAAAATTGAGATACCTTGGACAGAAATATACATTATTTCTGCAGCTTTGTCATTATTATGCTCTATCAGTGAAATCCCGAATGAAGGGATGCTGATATTAGTTTGGGAATATATAATTTCATGCGCATTTTTCACTTTCACTTTTGGGGTGTCTTCTAGCTTCAAAATCTTGGTGCCGCCTTCACTTACAATAGCTCCAAACACAAAATGCCCCAGCTCTTCAGTCTTTTTGATTTTTATAGAATTGTGCAGGCCTATCTTGTCTAAATTATATTTGCAAGAATACCCAGAATGAACTATAAGTTCATTTAGAGAGCCATAATATATTTCTACAACAACTTCATGCTCGTCCATAGGCCTGGTTCACCCAAATAAGCAGTATTCTTTATTCCCAATTCACCTAGTTTCTGCAGGATTGTCTTTCTGGTAAACAGCTACCGAAAATGCACTTGTATTATTCTCAATTTTATAGGAGTAGGCTTCAATGGTTTCTTCTCTGAACACAACATAAGCCGTGCAATCCTGCAGCTGGACTTCTACGTTTATTATTTTAAAATCACTTAGGCCTCCTAAATCTTTGCATTGGACAATGAAATTTCCTATACTCGAAATTGTAAAAGGCCCAGTTCAGCCCCAATGCCCCCCTCCGATTTTTATATTTAAAAAATGCTCTGCACGGGAATCTGGCCAATGAAAAGGTTCTTTTGATTGCCTTGCAAGGATCATTTCTTGAGAAGAGCTTTTAAACTGCCTTATAAGTAGATCCTCGTTTAATGTGTTTTCTAGCAAAAACCTTGGAGAAACAGTGACAATTTTGGTAAAAATATACTCGTTTTTAATGATTTGTGCAAGATAAACGCTGTAAACGAACTGATATTTCATCATAATTTCTTCATCATTGCATTCTGCATCAAATTCAACGATGTTTTTGGCACCAACTGCAGTAATTTTGAATAAGTTAGATCTATGATGGCCCATTCCGATTGCGATTTTCTTTGTTTTTTCACAGGGGATCACACAGTCTACCAAGCTTTGTCCTGGAACAACCCTACTGGTCCCTTTTTTCTTAAAGTAAAAAGAAATTGGTATTGAGGTATTGTTGATAATTGTTACAATCGGATAAAATGTAATGATGTGGGACCCTTCTGTTTTGTAATTAATGCTGATATTTACTGATCTTCGTTCTTTGTCATACATTTTGAGATATTTTGGAGGCCTTGCATCTTTTTCTGAAATTAGCAATATTTTAGGACAGAAATTAAAATTCCTCATAGAAACCTGAGCAGTTACATTTGACTTTCTACTTGTTTTATGCTCTTCATAATTAAAATATGGCGTCTTCGTCTAGGTATAGCCTCACGGCCATACATCCTCGACACATATTTTAATTATATCCGGCAAGGTTTTTCTAGCCTTGAAATGGACAGCAATGCTATGGTAATCAATTCTGCAGGAGGTAGAGCCTAGCCCGAGTCCAAATTTGAGACTGGTTTTTACCTCGAAGGAAAGGAGGATTCAGATTTGGAAAGGGCAAGCCCAGCAAGGTCTACAGGTAATACCTAGACCAATCGGGCAACTGCCTACGTGAAACTGGGCGTTACGTCCTAGGATCTGGGCTTCACCCTTTTACCCAGAAATTCCATTTTTTGGAATTTCCCTTGAAATATCGCTATTTCATGCATCTCTGCGCTTGGACCATACAACAGCTTCATTTTTATTTCATATGGCATCTGATTTCTATACAAAATCGGTGGCTTTATATAGATGGTTTTCTTATGTAAATTCTGCGGATCTTTAACCATATGTAAAGCAATATAAAAATCCCCAATTTTGATTTCTGTAGAATGGCCGCTTTTCTGAAATGTAAACTCCTGAAGATGAATCATAGTCCAGTCCTCACTATTTATATGTGTTGGCATGAATCCGATCAGATGTTTCACATAATCAACAGGCACTGAGCATTTCCCTCTTGACTCGCACATCATTTCTTCGGACTCCAAATACCTGCTGAATTTTATTTTAAAATCATAATTGGTTTCATTTATAATCAAAATTGAGCTTCTTACCTTCAAAATCTTCCTGGTATCTAAAAGTTCGATTTCTAAGATTATTGGAAACTCTTCTCCGTATCCTGCAATTTCGACAGCTAGTGATTGTACTTTGTTGATAGGGATGTTATTGATAGGAGGAAAAGGCATGTCAAATTTGAAAAGGCAGAGGGTCAAAAACTCTTGAGACATGTCAATGTTTCTCATTTCTGTTGTGTCAACCTCATAGTCAACAGTTTGACCTGGCTGGACTTCGATGGATTTAGCAGGCTTTTTGCCGCTTCTTTTGGTTTTTCAGACTTCCATTCTGCAGCCTGTGTAATTTACAATGCAAAGAGGCGAGACTACTTCTTTGTTGTCAATGATATGAGAAGATTGGGAAGATTTGTTTCAGGAGTCTATTATTTGATAGGTGTGCTTAATCATGATTTCTGTGATGTTTATATTGAGCGGCATTTGGCGATCAACCATTATTATAATTTGAGTTTTAGGGTTTCCATTGGGCCAGCTGACCATCTCAAAAGTGGTCGTAAATAGCTCAATCAACGGCTCCCAGGTGTCAATTAGTGGGTTATAATAATTTGATCTCAAAGTCAATGATGTTGCTGCATTCCAATTAGAAGAGTTCTGTGCCATTTTGACAGTAAACTCATAAATGTTTAAATCAATAACAGGAGTATATGCCCCAAAAGCATCATTTACAATCATTACATAAACTCCTGATAGTGAATAAGTAGTTGTAGAAGAGCTTTCTGATTGTGAATTCCCAACTTCATTTTCCATATCCAGTGTATCGCTTCTCCTCATCATTTCTTTTTTTGGTTCTTCTACTTTATTTTCTATTTTTGCAAGAGCTTCAATAATATCTTTATCTCTTCCCAGCATATCATTTTGAAATTTTGTTATATAATTTATAAGATTTATATCTTGATGAGAAACTATAAGAGTGATTTTTTCTATAATAAAATCAGTGATATTATTTGTAACGGTATTGTCTTCTCTTTGTGCTAAACTTTCGTAAATTACTTGAAAGGGCTCTAATATTCGTCTTTTTTGGATATTTTGGAAGGAGGTTTTTGACATCAATTCTTGGAAGTTGCAGGTGTATATTTCTAGCTCATGGGCAACAAATTTTATAGTACAGACTGGCCTTTCACCAGGGACGAAATCTGCTTCTTTTTCTTTCAAATAAACCACGTTAAAATTAGATTGACAAACAAGAACTCTTGGAGAAACAAAAGAAGGTAAAATCATGATTGGCTGCCTTATACAGATATTTACTAGCATTTTGGGTGCTGGAAAATGAAATAAAGTATTTTTTGAAATTCTTTCTGCAACTGGCCTTTCTTTGTTCATATATTCAAGGGCTGCTTCTGTCTCTTTTTCATAATCTGGCAAGCCAAACATAAAGAAGTTCTGAATTTGAAGGATAACTGCATAATGCACATTAATCCTAAGCTGCAGCAATTCAATTATAATGTCTTTTGAGCTGTCTATGTTTATTTTAAGGTCGACTTTTAAAGTTGGAATTTTTATAGGTGTGGAATCATCAATTGACTCAGCAAGCGGAGCAAATAAAATATGCCGCAAATTTGAGTTTTCTTCGACAAGATCTTTGCAGTATCCAGGAATTCCGAAAATTTTTTTGGAAATTTGATTTTCAGAATACTCCTCAGATACCTTATCTTCACTTAGCAAGCCAAGTGTTTGATAGCTTACAAAGGTTAAATCCATAGATCCGTCATTATATTTAAGTATATCCACTACTTGGTCTATGCAAAATATTTCTGCAATGTCTTGGCCATTATGATTAAGAAGTATAGAGAGCATCAGAATTTTCACTTTTATGATAAAAAACACCCCTCCACGATCAGATAAAGTGCTTACTCGAGGCAATTGGGAAAGTCGTTGTGCGTTGGGATCGTCATATGATAAATCTATATTGGTCAATTTAAGCAGCGTGCAAAAATCATTTTGGCAGAATATCAGTTTTATTTTTTCAGAATTCCCATTTATTGTATAGGCTTTATTGATATCAATATAATTTATACTCCATAATAGATCGCTATGCCCCATCAGAATACAAACCAAAAAAATATGGTCCAGGACATCTGCCTTATACAGTCTAAGTCTGATTAGGCATCTTAAAACCATAAACGAAGATTTGTCAAATTCATTTTTACTTTCAAAAAAGTTGGTAAACACAAACTAATTCTGAAAATTAAAATGGATTTCCAATAATGATCTAAAATATTTCAGGGGCTATATTGTCTAGTTGATCATTAGTTAAAATAGGCATTCTAATGTCTAAGTTCATCTTTAAATCTTCTGCAATTTTTTGACTAAAAGAACTTATATTGAGCAATTTTAGTTGGATTGTGTAAATATCTTCCCAAATCTTTTCGTCATTTAGGTGACGTGTGTTTTCAAGAATAACAGCGATTGAAGCGGCTATAAAATTGTTAGAGTTTCAAGGGCTTGGAGAAATTCTTATATCTAGGCTGCCTTTTATATCCATTCCTCCATTTTTTAATAAAATATCAGAATTCAAAGAACGAACAGACGCCACAGCTAAGCATAATTCTTTCTTTACATTGTTCAAATATAAATCAATCTCACCAACTTGTATATTTAAATTCAAAAGCACATGGTTGGGCTGCAGCTGCTCAAATTCTTGCTGTGTTTGTGGCTGCATATTTTGTTGTTCAGGCGAAGATTTATTTCCTGTAAAGAAACCTATTGTTTTATAAAAAAAATCAGGGTTTCAATTAACTTGTAGAAATCCAAATTTAATGCCTAATATCAGATCTTGGTCTTTATAAGCATTAGAATCTATCGATACGAAATGCATATTCATATCTATTAGTCTATCCCCTTCATCTATACTTTTCGCTAAATAATTAAAATGGTCAGACCAGCTTTCTCTTTGCATATCTTTTATATACATAGATTTCAAAAACATGTCTGCATATATAGTTCTTGCATTTTAATAGATCACTATTGACTATCCACTTTAATTTTAAAAAATATTCCACTTGCCAATTTTTTTTCAAATTGAAGTGGCAAATCTCCCTTTATGATTGTAATATTCATAGTTAAAATTAAAATGTATAAATCAATCGCCCTGGAAACATTTTTCTGGTCGGTATGTTGCTTGGCAATAGCGATCTTTTATGGTGCATTGTCTATATATCATAAACTTTCATTAGACACTTAACATTAATAGAGCTCAAATAAAGTTCTGACATTTCTACAATATCATCGCTATAAAGCTTAAAATAAATATCAGGAATTCCAAAGTTGACTTCCAGCCATGCTTTATTAGCTTTTTTAAAAATTGGTTTAGAAGGAGCAGCTGCGCTTGATAAACTTTGAAATTCTGAAATTTGGTCGTTTAGGCCAGCTTGCCATTTATTGAAATCTTGTTTCTTTTCAAAAGAAAGTACGCATTCTCCATATCGGTTATAAAGTTTTAACGTATTTGGGACTTTTATTTTTTCTGAAATATCAATCAAGCTGCAGTCTTTTATGTAAAAATAAGTAGAAGCTGCAGACTCTTTTTCTGAATTGAAGAAATAGATATAGCCCCCTGATAGAACAGCAAAATAGCTATACCAAGATTGAATTCCAATTCCTTGCTTTTTGAGGCGAGCAATAAGGTTTGCACGCTTCATAATTGTTTTTTTATCAAGAGTCAGCCTTGAAGACACGGCATCATTTGATTGGAAAATTTCTTGGATCCTTGTCAACTGATTATAAATTGAAGGTGTCAGCATAATCGACAATTTCGGTAGTTCACCAGATACTATAATGTCAGGCTTTTCATGCAATTTTCTGTCTTTTAGTTCTCATTTCTTCGTCCTATAGCTTGATTTCATAAAATTTACCACATTGTTGATCCCAAAAGGGGGAATAATAGGGATTGAGATACTTTCATTTGTGATATATCTGAATTCTATCGATGAAACTTTTAAATCAAAATTCTCATAAATGTCTTCAGCAAAGCTGGATTGGCTATTTATTTCGAGATCGCCTAAACTTACTAGAAATACACCTTGTCCTGTAGGAGATGGTAGGTTTATTCTAGGGCCGCAAGCTTTTATGTTGATTATATATTTTGTATCACCATGCAATAGGTCAATTATGGTTTCTTGTGTGGAATCTTGGAGCCCTTGCAAAGTATCTCATGCTGCAGTCTTTGTGGTGTCTTCTGCTTTAGGAACAATAAAGAATGAATCAACCTGAGCTATAGCTTGAGAGCTGAAATTTACTTCAAGTGGCTGAGATTCCAACTTAAAAAGTGCAGCAGCGTCTGAATCTAAAGGGCTTAAAGATAAATTGATTTCTAATATTGGCATTTGTCGATCTTGAAATTTCTGGCACACAATTTGACTGTCAACAGGAGTCAATGATGTCAATGTAAGCTCCTTTACCTGAAAAATAAAATCACCTCCAGGATTTCTCAGCCCTCCTTGAAGAATTAATTGTTCATATTTAAATTCCAAGCTTTCCAGTTTCCCATTTTCTCCTTTATAAGGCTTGCACAGTTCAAAAGACCCTTTTCCCAAAAAAAACTCAAAATTTATCCACACAAAGCTTTTTGGGATAGCTGAACTTTTGTCATCCATTGAGCTTCTTTCTTTAAAAATTGTTTCATATGTTTCGTCTCCTTCAATATCAGGAATCACAGAAGTTCCTCCCCACAAATAAGAAAACCATCCGGAACTTTTTGATGAAGATCGGTTTGCTTCTTCTTTTTGAATGACTTCAAGCACTTGGTCTGTCCATTCACAGAGTTCTTCTGATTTCACAATATATATAATTTTATTATATAGGTCTTCTTCTTTTTTACTAATTGAGCCTTTTTTCTTGAGTTTCCTGTGCATTAGTTTATATTGAGATTCGTAGAACTCTTTTGTGGCTTTTGGTATAGCAAATTGATCGACTGTGCGATTTTTTCTTTGTTTTATAGTCCGGAGTATGCAGTCTATTGCAAATTTCCATAAAATCTTAGGTTTTTTAGAGTTTGGAGAAAGGGCTTTGAATTTTTTAGTGCTTTCTCTAAATGAGTCTTACGCTTTGACAATAAATTTGTTAAAGCCTGCATAGTAGTCTATAAGTTTTACTGTGTCGTGGAATTGCTTTTGGTTATATTTTATGATAATTTCAGGCAGTGATAAATGTATCAGGTATCTTGGATGATCAAGTTGTGTTAAATCATTGTCATGCACTATTTTTGCTGTGACGTTTATAGGTGCAATTAGATAATCTTGAACTTCCGAGCTATTTATTTGTTTTTGCATAGAGAATAGAATTTCAGTTTCAGACTGCAATGAATTAAGCATCATGCTATCTCCTGATTTCCAATAGAGCCCAAGGTTGACTACTTCAAGCAACTTAAAAATATTATGGTCATCAATTTCTGACTGATGCCGATCTGTGAATTCACTATTCCACTCATTGTTTGTAGTGAAGCAGTCTATTTTTTTCAATGTTAATCCACATGAAAAAGTTCTACCTTTCATAGTGTGTTCAAACCTGATATGTATATCTTCAATTACGATTTTGAGATTATCAAGGATTATTTAGATATAATAAAATGGTGACAGCAGACCACCCCACCTCTTGACTCTATTTCTTCAATACCTACAGGCAACGGCCCAGTCTGATGGAAAAGGGTAGAAAGGGGTCATTAATTCTTTGGTATATTGAACTACTTTTTCTCAGGACCTAGGGAGCTACTCTGGGACTTGAGTTTTTGCCTTCGAGACAATCATTGAAAGGGTAGGGCCAGCAAAAGCGTCAAGTAGACGATATATCCCTTGAATATGACTCAAGATGTGTATCTGGCTAACGAGAAGCTGGGAGTTTCGACCCGGGTGATGGACCATAGGCTTTAGGAGTTATGAAAGTCAAGATTGGCCATGCGAATCCCTTCCTGCGGCTGCGAGGAAGGGTTTTTGCCGGGACCTTATGGACGATGAGCATTTAGGGTAAAAATCCCCGCCCTGTCAGGGACGAAGAGCTAAAGTTAATTAATCAAGGATTTTAGCAGTCAATTTTTCTAAAAAGCCTTTTTGTTTCATTTCATCTTCTGGAGAAAGGGCTGCTTGTTCTTGAAGCTGTTTCCACCTTTGCTCGTGCGATTCTATCATTTCTTTTCTTTTAAGAATTTCTCCCTCTTCGCTATAGTGCCAATCTTCTTCAGGCTGCTGCATAATAATTAAGTATAAACCTTGCAGATGAATTTCTACAGAAGAACTGGTAAGTTTGGTCCAAGGAACTTTAACGACCAGACGAGTTATAAATGAGTATTTCAAAATTAAAGGCATTTGGAGCATTAATAGAGCGCGTGCGTTGATTTTTACATTTTCAAGAACTATATCTCCACTTCAGACACCTATTTTTAAGTTTTCTCTGTCCAAGCCATCTATAAATTTGCCAAGTTTAGCCAGTAATATACAATTATAAATAAATAATTCATCCAAAAGTATAACTTTTTCAAATTATTTATTCAATTGCGATAAGTGTATCTTTTCAAGCAATGCTTCAAACATATTTAATATTGAAAATTTTTATACTCTAGTTCCTATTTTTTTAGATTTATTTCCGCAACCCTTTGGCACATTTAAGGCTTATGTTTTATATCTATTTCAAATTTTTAAATATTTAGTATAATATTATCTCCAAGCATCTAACATTTGGGAGGAATAAATACAAAATAAATAGTTTTTATACTCCAATTTAATTTATAAGAGAATTAATAGACATTAATTTATGAAGAATTCCATTCAACTCAAAGGGAAATCGCTTGAGGAAATTAATTTATCCCTTCTTTACCACCCGAGACTTGTGAATAACCCTGTGTTCCAAAATTTAAAAGCAGAAGTGGAAAACTACTATAATGAAAGAAAAGATAAACTAACAGAAAGAAATTTCCAGCCGCATAACTGGAAAAACCGGTTTTTTACTTCATTGCATGGACTGCTAAATGAAGTCGTTTATACTGATATAGCCTCGGATGGCTTTGGCTCGTCCTGGACTACCTACTTCCGTCCAAATCATGATTCAGAACTAAAAGCTATCAAACTAGCTCGACGAGTTAGCGAGTAGTGACTATAATCATAATTGTCAACTCATTTATTAGTTTGCCAATTTTTGGCTTTGAATCAACTCCACGAGGTGACCGAAAATTGGTAGCCCAAGCCTAGCTAAAAGCTGCCTGGGCTATAATCCAGAAATTCAGCTGCAACTGTTAGGAAAGGTGAAGGCTTGATATGAAAATAAATTATTGGATAATACTAAATTTCCTGAAATAAAATCAAGAACAATCGAAATAAAAGATCCCGAGGCTGAGGATAATGTAAAACCGCTTGAAGAACCTAAAATAATATCGAAAGATATTGAAAGAAAAATCGAATCTCCTTCAAGAATAACACCGTACATACCAAAAGCCATTAAAATCATCGAAAAACCAAATAAGCAAGATAAAATTATAAAAAGCGATATGTTTGGTTTAAAACTCCCAAAAAGAAGCAAAACCGCCTGAATGAATAGACCGAAGACTACAATAAAAATGCTTACTTCCCTTCGCTTTAAATTGGAACAGCCAAAATCGTTTCAAGAATAATTTTTGTTACTCCCCCCATCCTTGATCGAACGACTCGCCATCGTTCGATCAAGGATGGGGGTTTAAAAAAAATTTTTTTGGGAAAACAATTTTATATATATATTTTTTTTATTTACTTTTAAATAAGAGGGTTAAGGGTATTTAAATAATATTTTTAGAGCAAAAAATTTAATTAATTTCATAAAAATACCAATTTTTAATATTTTGATTTATTAGTTACCCCTTTAAACTGTATAAATTTTAATTTGTTCCTTATTAAATTAATTTTTTTTTTTAAAATTTTAAAGATCTCTATTTTATTAGATTATTAATTTTTTAAGCCTAGATTGATGACTAAATCACTTCGTATAGTTGATTTCAAAGCTTTCTGTCGTCTCAAAGTCCCTGAAAACAACTTCATTAGGTGCATCTTCCCAAGCTTTTGATAACTTATATATTTTTATATATATAAAAGTTGCATGATATGAAAATCGTTCGATGATGGGGGTTAATTTCCCCGATTTTTAGGAATTTTTACAGTCAATCGTTCGATCAAGGATGGGGGGGAGTTAGCAAAAAATTTATATATTTTTAAAAATTTTTCGATTCAAAGTGCTAAATTTGTTTAAATAGCGTTCTACTTACAGTACACCCTTATAATAGAACAAATTTTAGGTTGGTTTTAGATTTTTTTGACATTAAATTGGATATCAAAGCTATTTACATAGAAAATAAAATTTTTTACATATCAAAAAATAAAATTATTATCCAATTTGCAAAAAATTTAATCTTTTTTAAAGGGGGGATTTAGAGAGAAGCGAGCAATGAAAAATGAGCCTAAAAACTCAGATTCATCATCAGATGATTCTGAGCCATCAAACAATATTCCACAAATAAAAGATGAAAATCAATCGTTTACTACTCAAGATGGCAACACAAGAATTTACAATTTCAAATTAAAATCGCTTTCTCTTTCATATGCGACAGACCATAATAGTGACAGTCCTAATAATTCTCCATTGCTCCCACATATAAATCATGCATATTCAAGCACCTATGAGCCTGATGTGCTACCGAATAAAAAAGAAGAAAGAAAATCATTTATGAGTTCAATGGATTCTTCATGTAGGTCATCGTCAACTGAAAGACATGTCCAAACTGCATTTCCTATGTCTAGAGACCATAATAGCCAACTAAATGAGCTTATCTCAATAAAAAATAAACTTGCTTCTAAAAAACTTCCTTGCACAATGGATGTTTTAGAAATTGGTCTCCTTTCTACGAACCGGGATATAGAAATTGCATTTGACCCTGCAAATCTTCCTAGAGGAGGCGAAATGCTGATTAACAATCCTTTCCTTAAGATTAAAAAGAAGAAAGGTAGCTTTCCCTGGCTTGATAACAAAACAATAAGAAAAAACTTTACTTTGGGATAGTTAGGCAAAAATTTTTTTTAATATAATTTTTTTTTTTCATAAAGATGAAAGTAAGAAAAAAGGCAAGAAAAAGAAAAAACTTTAAAATACTAACTAATAATAAAATGGGAGGCAAGCCATTCTGTGAACAGAAGAGATGCAACGAAGAAGCCAAATTTGTTTGTTTATGCTTTTATATTCGTCTATGCCCTCAGCACGTTAAGAGACACAAATTATCAAACCGTAACTTGTATCACAAAATAGTTGATATTGCAGAATTCAAGCCAATTGCTTTTGATCCAGGCCAAACCATTGATAGAATAAATACAATGGAAGGTCTATCTCTTAACAGGAATATTTATCAGTCTCCTGAAGGCTCAACTGAAGTATGAGAAGGAAATATTAAAGGGATTCCTGACAAAGTGGCTATCAAAATAATGCATTGCAGGAATGAAGGAGAATATAATAAAAGAAGGCAGGAAGCAGAGTATCAGCTGTCTATGAAGCATCCAAATATATGCGGCTGCGTATGTGCATTTCGTGATATGGCTGTAAAGGATAGATATAAGTTTGTCATTGTGATGGAATATTCTGAGTTTGGGGATGTAGAGCAGGATATTGATAGCAGAAGAGCCAAAGCCAATCCTTGGCCAGAAGAAGAGCTTTTGCATCATATGACCGAATTGATTGACGCTTTCGCGTTTCTCCAAGAAAAAAACTTGGTTCATGGGGATATCAAGCCAAGAAACTTGTTTATGACAAGCCAAGGAAGAATGAAAATTGGAGACTTTGGAGAGTCTAGACAAGAGTCAGCGCTTGTAACAAAAACATATCAAATTGCTGGAACTGTTATCTATTTCAGCCCTGCTCTGTTTAAAGCTTATCTAGATATTATCAAAGGGATAAACGTGACTGGGACAACCAGGCACAACCCAATAAAATCTGACGTTTATTCTTTAGGATTGACTTTTATGCATATTGCTTCTCTTGAAAAGCCTGTTGATTTGAATAACTTACTCCTCAACAAAGGACTCTAATTGATTATTAAATATGTATTATTTGGATTTAAAGAAATTACAAAAGGCTAGAGAGGAAGTTAGAGCAAGGATTTGATAGATTGCAAGCAAAGATTTCTCTGGCTATCTCAAGATTAAATTATTCAGATAAGCTCAAAAAAATATTTACGCTTATGCTTGAAGTTGAAGAGTCAAAGAGATATGATTTCATAGCACTCAGGCTGCATCTTGTGAGAACAATTAATGCTGTGCTAGAAGCTGAAGAACCTGAGTTAATTTCACAAATGTCTCACATAAATGACTCAAATAGAAGAGGAATCCCAAGCGGTTCCTCACACGACGTATACTCCACGATATTTTTTTTTGCCAATAATATATAAAATAATTATATATAGTCTGAGCCTCCTTTGACTCGGGGTTGTCCCGAGTCTCCCGATGCTATAAGGGGAGTTGGATCTATTAACTTCCCAGATTGTAATTCTCCAATATAGAGTGGATTTGCCATCTGAGGAGTTATTTTTACCAACAAAAATTTTTAAAATCAACTACATCGGTACCACCTGAGCTAAAAAGAAGGCTCGGGTATACATGAGAAGCATTCCTACTAGTTTATCCAATATTGTTCTATTTTTCTATAAAATAAAAATTTTGAAAAGAAAGAGAAAAAAGACCAAAAAGTAATCCAAAAAATAAACAAAAAAATAGCCAAAAAAGGCCAAAAAAAAAATAGTTGTCATGGAGCAGGCGTCGTGTGAAATGACGATCCCAAGCCGTATTCCTCCACCTATATTTTCAATTCCTATTATTTTTAACTTATCTGAAAAAGCAGGAGAAGCTGTTGTATATCATATTACTGAAAATCGTCAAAGAATAGTTACTAACTGCAGGTTCCAGCACTCATCAAGAGCACTCCTATTATATGATACTTTAATTTTATTGGCTGGAGGACTTAAAAATTCAAAATGCGCTTATAAAATAGACACAGCAGCCCATTCCACAATTAAGTTAAGGCTAATGAATGAGCCAAGAGCTTGGCATTGCATGGCGAAGCTTGGTGAAGATGTGTTTTGTATTGGTGGGAGGAACACAGAAACAAAAAAAGCAATTAATAGTGTTGAAGTATACAGAAATGAAAGCTGGGAATTAGCTGCAAGCCTTAGTTACGTTATATCTTAATTCCTGATCAGAATTCTAGTCCGTATACTGATCGATATACTGATCAGAACGATTGAGCTCACCCTAGGACGCCACAAGGTGAGGTTTCACCTACTTACGGACTTGCTGCACAGCTCGCATCCTCCAGATTTCAGGGTTCTCTTCTCCGGTTGCTGCTAGTGGCACGTGGATGGGCCGTACAAGTAGAATACGTAGGTTTGTAACTTGCTTGCCACCTTATCTCAGTTTTCACTGATTTATGCTCAAATCGCTTTGTCTTGACCATCTGCAGGAGCCATGGTCAGGTGCTGTTAAAAGGAAAAGCCTTTTGCGATATAAACCTACTGCAGAGGGAGGAGCTGCAAGCCTTCAAAAACCTCGAGAAATTGCATCAGCAATCAGTATTAATGATGTTATCTATGTTGTAGGAGGATCTTCTGATCAAAATGGGCATTGGGAGCTACTGAATTCAATAGAAAAATATGAGAATTCAGTTTGGACTCTTCTTGATATTATTTTGCCTGACTTCATGGGAGGAGTTGGAATTGCAGCTCCTTCCCCTGACGAAATTTTAATTTTTGGTGGAAAAAGAGAAAGAGGATTTCTATCTAAAGACATTTATTCGTGAAATATAAGCACAAGTCAATTTGCCTCTAAAAATCCTTTGCCAGAAGCAGAGTTATTTTACTCTAACAACTCATACATATACCCATATATAATGAATAGAAGTTTTGCTACTGGTTAATTATTTTCATATTCACTATATAAATTAAGAAAAGGTAACTATTACCAAAGTTTTTATTTATTACAAAAGAGTATAGAAAATGAAAAAATAGCGATTATTGGTAGCTTAAAAGGCTTGCTGATCTATGACCGAGCTGAAGATACTTCTGCTTTTCAGAGTGCTCAAAAAAATAATTAAAATTTTACTAAAACCATCCCACAAGTATCTAAAGCCAATAATCTTAATAAGCAGCTACCAAAAAAAATAATTCCACTTAATACAATTATGAAATCCATTGACGATTAAAATTTTTGTTTAATAAATGTCAATAGAAATCCGTTACATGTCTTTGGTTTTGATTTTTTTACGGCAGGTTTTTCGGGATTATTTAGTCAGACATTTGCTCACTCTCTCCCTATAAGCGAACAAAAGCATTGAAAAATCCCTATTTTTTAGGCAAAAAACCGATTCCATGAGTGAAAAAAAAATTATTTCATTTATAATAATAACTATCATGAAATCTCAAGTTAATTCTGTTGAATTTTAAGCATCTTACATTTAAAGCATAAATTAATAAAAAATAATTTTCACTTTACTTTTTTTTTAATTTAGAAAAAAAAATTAAACCCCTCCTTGAACGAACAAAATGTTTTGTTCGCACATGGGGGGAGTCAGCAAAATTCGTTTTTGCCGACCTATTTTTACGAGGAAAAAGATTCGACTAAATATTGTTTAGGAAATCACTGCTAATGAATGCACTTAAGGAAAAGATTTCCTGCCAAGAAATCGGCAAGCGTCTAAGAATAGAGCAAGACCATGATGATTTTAAGTACAAGCGTGGTCGAGCATAAACCCGTCCCACTCAATATCAAACTCCCTAGTCTTATAATAATAAATATAATAGATATTATGTATTTTCGCTCTTAAACTATTAAAACGCAATTTACATGTATTTCATATCCCTACTATAAATAAACATTTCATATGATAAAATTTTTAGACTAATAAATAAAGGAGCTAATAGAGAAAATATGCTGAATATCGCTTAATTATCGCATTTTTATCAAGTTTAATTCTGTTTAAACTGGAGAGACACAAATAAATTAATTCAAGCATAATTATGCATCATAGGCACACTCAATATCTAGCCTCGATTTTGCTAAATTGATGCGTTTTAACAAATCCAATGTGCTCACATAACTTATTTATATATAACATAATATATCTCATTTAAATTTAATACAAAGATGCAAACTAAACTGCAAGCCATATAAAAATTTAGTATATAGTAGGGATATGAAATAAAGTATTAAATATACGTAAACATGCCATAAATCGTGTTTTAATAGCTTAGAAGTGAAAATACTGCAATATCTCTTATATTTTCTTATTATTAAGACTAGGTAGTTTGATATTGAGGGAGAGCAGGGTTTATTATTGGCCACAAGCGCACCTTCAAATCGGATCCTGAGCCCTGCTCACAAGTAATTGACTTTGGCAGCCAGTCACTCAATGAAAATTTAATAAGATTATATTCCCTTTTTCCACGCAAAGGCCGGGAAGAACTGCTTTCAGCTCTTGAAGCCACATGTAATAATTTGGACTCCAGCATCACCCTTCTCCAAAAGAAGGACCGAGACAAAGCACTAGACGAGTGTACGTACGCCTATGCCACAAATCTCGTCCAAAATCTCAGGCAAGTTTATTCTATGGAAGATGCTTCAAGAATGGTTCAAGCTTATATGAAAAAACACACCAGTCAGATTTCTGAGGTTTCTTCCTCGGCTATGTATAATGAAAACAAAGAGCTAGAAAGACAAATAGGGATTCTTAATAATGACACCTCGATGCTGAAAAAAGCTGTCTTGAAATTGCATATACTTGCTTTCCTTGATTGCTTGTCTGAATGGTTTTTCTCAGCCAAGGTTGAAATGATTAGTTAATTTTCTTAGTTAATTGGCAATATAAGGAAAAAAGTATAGCAGACTTTTGGCCAAAAAAGGAATCGAAGACGAGTATGAAGCTTTATGTGAACAACTGAAGCAAGAAAAATACAAAAACTATGCGTTGAGATCTCAAGTAAGTCAGAATGTGAATAACTTCTTTAATTAATAAACATCTTGTTTAATGTAAATCAACCAAGAATTGCTTTTGTATTTTATTTCCGTTATTTTTAAATTTCGAATGCTCATTATTTATCGGATTTAAAATAATTATCATAAACAGCATTACCTAATAATTTGGTACACAAATAAAATGGCGACGACACCGACCCGTCCTCTCCAGGAACTGAGGCGAGATTGGGGACCTTGCTGCGGCCTGAAGCCAATTCGCCCAGGGAAAGGTCTGGAATGGGTACTGGTAGTTTGTGTCCGGCTAGGTTTCCCTCCCAGTCCAGCAACGACGATCCTAGGGTCGTCCCGATAGGACACGGGGCAAAAAGGGTTTTTCCTCTAGGGGCCGCTAGTGCCAATTTGGAGGGCATGGCAGGAGCCGACAAGAGCTAAAGAGTTAATCCTTAGCTCTAACCCTAGTCTGGCGACGTGAAGCACGGTGACCCAGTTCGCCTACTTCCGGGATAGCACGACCAAGCCCCATGACCGGAAGGAGCTGAGTGGTAGCCTGCGGCACTTAGGTGCACACTGGGAGCAGGGCAAGGAAAGCAAGCGAGGCGTCCAAAAGGCGGAAGAAAAGGACCTTGGTCCTGGCCGGGAGCTACTCTATAAATTTAACTAAGACTAAGACTAAGACCTAATAATTTGGTTTTAAAAGTTTTTTTGGAGCAAACAATCAGTTTTTACAATAATCAATGCATATAAAGGCTCCATATTTAACTCAAATTTTTATCAGAGACGAAGTCTAAATAAAAAGGAAACTAACTGGGGGGTAGTCTGGATTTTATAAACAACAGCACAGTATGGATGAAACTGCCTTATCAGAAACATTTCTTCCTATGAAGAGAAGATCGCCCATTTTAGAAGAAGAATCTAAGTCTGAAAATTCATCGACATCTACTAACCAAGACCCATCTGCTCCTCGCAAAGCAAAATGTAGGCATCAGAAAATGAATCAGAATTTAATTGACAAAATTGTCGCTGGCTCTAAGAAGAAGAAAAAAGAAAATAAGCGCAACCATGATAAAACAAGCAATCATAAGCCAGCACTTTTGCCGCCTGTTATTGTTTATCAAAGCAAAGGCAGCATGAGCATATTAAAAGCTCCATCCATGCAAATTATAAACAGACTTTATCTCCAAAGTAAGCCAATAGACAAAACACCACGGGTATGCAAGTGTGGGAAAACAGCCAGGTATCGTCTTCCCAAAACGTTGGAGCCTTATTGTTCTTTAGCGTGCTATAATGCACTTATACCGAGTAACTAAATTATTAATGGTAAATTTCGTTTAAAAAATAGTCAATCCTGCAAGCCTGATCTCAGGAACCACTAAAATTTAATTGGTATTGCTGCTGAAAATGGTAAAATCAGATAAATGATGTGGCGAACCTTTGCAAGTTCTTTTGTTGATCATACATTTGATACTTATATTAAGCACTCAGATAGGTCTGAAACCGCACCAGTGACAAAAACCCGAAGAAAAATCGATCTAAAGACGCTATTTCCGTATAATCATTCACAAGAGGAAATTGATAAGCGTGGCAAAATGTTTATAGAACTTAAGAAAAAAGTGGAAAAGCAAAGAGCTGAAATTAAAAGTAGGGAATTCAAGATAAGCAAAGAAAAAATAATAAAAGTTGACTTTTCGGATTCTAGAAGAGCGAAAGTTAAGGATGAAAAACGGTATATGTGGATTTTAATTAGGCTCAAGCTTTAATAAAATGTTTTGACGTATATATTTTATAAATAAATAGAACTTATTTTTCTAATTCTATGTATTATGATACGGATAGAGCATAGCTCAACACTTTCATGAAACATCAAAAATAAAAAACTGAACACAACTATGCCCCTAGCAGCAGAGTTCAGGACGAAAAGTTTACCAAGAGAAGAAGAACTCTCCGGAATCTTTGCGTTAACAACAGGAAATATTGCACAGCCGTTAGGATTAAGCAGTAAAAGAAATTCATTAAATAAAGGAAATTCTTATCAAGGAAAATTATTGGAAATGTTTAAAGAAAAAAATCCAGACACGAAAGTGGCTCTGAGGAATCAACTGAAGCAGATTTGGAATGAAAAAAATTAAATCTTTTGCGTTTCAATTATCTATAAATCTCACATCATTTTAGCTAATTTTTTATTTACCTAGAAGCAGTATAATTTTTTTTGTTATATATAAGAATCCGTCATAATCCATTTTAAGTTTTTATTATATGGGAAATTGTCTTGATTCTTCCTCAACTGTTCAGCCTGCGAATAATGATCCTCCAAAAAAACCAAACCTATTGCTACTAGAAGAGCCAAAACGCTCATATTTAGAAGAAAACAAGTCCATCATATCCAATGGAGAAAATACCCCACGATCTCAAATACGTAGAAAAGGGTTTGAAATTCGTCGAAAACAGCAAACAATAGTCACTTTTGATGCCCCGACAGCTGTAATTACTGATAAACCAAAAACCCCAAAAGATATCAAGCTAATACTTGACTCATTGTCAAAACATTTCGTATTCAATGGGCTGAGAAGAGATTTTAGTTATTCTGTTATACAAGAAATGAAGCATTTTCAGCTAGGCCAATCAGAAACTATGCTTAATTACAGCGAATATAAGCTTTCCTATTGGTTGCCGTTATTCTATTTTCAAATAGTAAATAGATAATTAGTAGAAATGCTTTTATTCATTATAATTAGGCACATTTTCGAGCAAAATCAGCCTGGGCATAATTTTTTTGTAATTGCAAGCGGAGAGGTAGAGTTATTGATCAATGGGAATTTAATAAATACATTAGGTGCTGGGGACAGCTTTGGGGATATTGCGCTACTTCATGATTCTTTGAGAACGGCATCAACAAGAACTTCTAAGCCTACCTGCATGTGAGGAATTGACCGAAAAACATTCAGAAAATCATTGGAGACCTTAAATAAATCGTATTACATTGAAAATAAATCTTTCCTACAGAGCATCCCGATATTCCATATCCTAACCCAAAAACAAAAAGATGCTTTGGCAGCAGCTTTTTCAAGGTTTGAGTATGCAGAAGGAGACCATATTGTGAATGAAGGGGACCCAGGAGAACTATTATATATAATTAAAGAAGGGTCAGTCACTTGCTATATTCAAGAGCAGCCTGTAAGAAGACTGGAAAAAGGAGAGTATTTTGGAGAGCAAGCTTTGCTTTACTCATCGCCGAGAACTGCTACTGTGATAGCTAATAGTAGTGTAAAGTGTATTGCTATTGGGTGCAAAAAACTAAATAAAGTTCTTGGAAACAACCTTAGGCAGGTGATTTATAGTAACTCTTTGAAAATTGCTTTTGACCAAAGTGAATTTTTACAGAAACTTTCTCAAGAAAATATGAAAAGTCTGATTAGCGGAATGGAGATTAAATCTTATACACAAGGAGATATAATCGTTGCTGCAGGTGCACCAAAAAATTCTTTCCTAATTCTGATATTAAAAGGCAAAGTATCTGCAAATAATTTTAGTATTGAAAAATTTGGCTGCTTAGGTGATGAAGCTGTTGCAAATGAAATTACAGATACTTATGAAGAAAATATTATTGCAGAAGAAGATACTGACATTGCTGTCATTTCAGGTACTCGATTTTGTGAATGCATCGGCGGAAAGTTTGTAAAGGCTACTTCAAATAATAAAATTTTGGCTGTAATAAAAAAAATCCAACTCTTTCGAGAACTGGGAAGAGACAAACTTAATGAAATAATAGAAAAGCTTGCCATTGAAGAATTTAATGACGAACAACTCATTGTAGAGCAAGGGACAATTGGTGATTCTTTTTTTATCATAAAATCCGGCACAGTCGAAGTCTGAATCGATCGTCAAATGGTCCGATCTATCACAAAGCTCGACTACTTTGGCGAGCGATCATTGCTTTTTAATGAGCCTAGAACAGCTACTGTAAAAGCAAAAGGAAGTGTTGCATGCTGGGTATTAAAGAAAAGCGATTTTGCTTCAATAATTGATGAAGGAATAAGATCAATTTTGCATAAACGAATTCAGCTTCAAGACAGCAATGTCGAACTCTCTGACCTTTTGCCTGTAAAACTAATTGGAAAAGGAATGTATGGCAATGTCTTTCTCACAGTCCACAAAGCCACCAATGCTCTTTATGCTCTGAAAACAGTAAGCAGAGAGAAGATAAATAAGTATCATCTTCAAGACAGCATTTTATTAGAGCGAAATATTATGATGACAGTTGACCACACCTTTATATTAAAACTAATCCGAACTTTTAAAGATCAAAACAGAATATATTTTTTATTACTTCCCCATCTGTGAACGAACAAAACTATTGGAAAAATCCTAATTTTTTAACTCCCCCCCCCCCCCTCCGTGAGCGAACAAAAAATTTTTGTTCGCTCACGGAGGGGGGTTAATTTTTATTTTTTAAAAAAAATTATATATAAATTTTTAATTGTAAAATAATATTTTTTTATAAGTTGAAAATTATTTTTTAAAAATATTATGGGGGGGAGAGTAAGGGAATTTCCCAAAAAAAAAAAATAATACCATTTGATTAAAGGTAAAACACAGCTTAATTTTTCAATAATTTAATAATCAATAAACCTATTAGTAATAAATATATGCATTCAGTTAAAAATATTTTATATATTTTCTTATTTAATATAATAAGCAAATTCTCTATAAATCATAATAAAAATGTACAAAGGGAAAAGAAAGTACATTGAAATTTGGCAGAAAGTTGAAATTGCTGAATTTTACATTCAACACCAAAATGAGATGAGCATGAGAGATGTTGCTGCAAAGTTTCATGTCAACTCCTTTAGCTCGATTTCCGAATGGGTGAATAAGCTTGATGAGTTGAAGAAATCAGTAAAATCTGATAAAAAATTAAAATTAGAAAGCTTCACTCAATTTCCAGAGCTAGAGAAAGAACTAGTTCATTGGTTTACTGCAATCCGTGAGCAAGGTATTCAGGTTCTCAGATCAACGATTGAGGAGAAAGCAAAAAGTTTGGCGGCAGAAATGGGATTGGCGCGATTCGGCTGTGGAGATAAATGGTGGCAAGGATTTAGGACCAGAAATAATTTATCTTTCAGAAAAATCAATGCCTCAAGCATTAAGCCAATCGAAAAAGAGGCAGAACTTGTCAGGCAATACCTAGATGATTTAGCGTCATTGCTTCCTCAATTCGTTCCATCTAACATTTACAATTTCGATGAAACGAGATTTGATTGAGATGTAAAAAGCAAGTTCACTTATGATTTCAAGGGAACTCAACGAATTCTAGGCGTTCAATCAGCTAAAATGAACCATTTTATCACTGTTATGCTTATGATTAGAGCTGATGGAGAAAAAAATGCCTGCTTTGCTCATTTTTCAAAGAGAAAAATGGCCAGATCCCGAACCTTGTAAGAGAAAGACTGAATATTCCAGAAAATGTCATCATAAAATCAAATAAATCTGGCTACATTTCTGACCAGATTCTTAATGACTACCTCAGAACAATATTGAGACGAGAAAACCAACTGCTGATTTATGATCAGGCTGGAAGTCATAAAACTATCATGATTTCTAATGCAATTTCAGATTTAGATGCAACCAAAATTGTGATCCCTGGAGGGTGCACAAAGTATTTGCAACCACTTGACGCACTGGTAATTGCAAATTTCAAATCAAAAACAACAGATTTCAGAATCAAATTCCAAACAGAGCAGATTGAAAGAAGATCGAAAAGAACTGGAAACCTCAAAGCTCTTGATCGCCAGCAACTGATAAACATTGCTTCAAAGGCGTGAGATGCTGTAAGCCCTCAACTTGTCAGAAAATCATTTGAGTTGACGGGTTCTTATGGCGTTAATCATCCAAAGATTTTCAGCCATCAAGTTAATATGAAGAAGTTAATTATCTAATCGATTTCTTCTATTCATTTTTTTGTCTTAAATTTAAAATTGTTAAATTCAACCTTTTCACTTATGGTATTCTTTTTTTTAACCCTTTGAATAATATATCAAACAAACTTAATAATTATTTTTCAATATTATCCTCTTTATTTGTATTAAATATAGATATAATAAACTATATATAAAATTATATGTAAAAAAATTTTTTGTTCGCTCACGGAGGGTGGGTTTTTGACCAAAAAATAGGGATTTTTCTAATGGTTTTGTTCGCTCACGGAGGGGGGGGGGGAGTAAGCAAAACCCCATCCTATGTGAGTTAAGAAAAATATTTTAATATAAAAGTGATAATTAATATAATGATATTTTAGCCAATTCTATTAAATTTTAAACAGATTACATTTAAAAACATAAATTTTACAAATTAAATTAATTTTTACTTCCCATTTTTTTTTAAATTTCTAAAAAGAATTACTATAATATTTATATATAAATTTTCTCAATAATTATCACTTCATGAGAAAACAAAATTTTTTGTTCGCTCACAAAATAGTGGGGGAGTTAGAATACGTAAAAGGGCTTGACTTGTTCGACGTCTTGAGGGAAATGGGGCTTGTGTCTGATTATGATGCGAAGTTTTTCACTGCCAGTCTTGTCATCATTCTTGAGCATCTGCACGAAAGGGAAATAATATATAGAGATCTTAAGCCAGAAAATATTATGGTTGATGATGAAGGATATCTCAAATTAATTGATTTTGGGACTGCCAAAATTTTTTCCGGGAGGACTTATACAGTTGTCGGGACACCGCATTATATGGCGCCAGAAATAATCACTGGGAAAGGATATGAAATTACAGCTGATTATTGGAGCTTGGGTATCATACTGTTTGAATTTTTATGTGGGAACGTTCCTTTTGGAGAGAATGAAGAAGATCCTTATTTGATTTATGAGTGTATTTTGGCAAGGAAAATTGTTTATCCTCCTTGAATCCAAAAAAATCTTCCAGCCAAGCCATTAATAGAACAGCTTTTAAGCAAAAATCCATCATCGAGGGTAAAAGGTGGAATTGAGAATTTAAAAACCCACTGCTGGTTAGAAAATGTGGAATGGGATAAGCTTTTAATGAGACAATTAAAAGCCCCATACAAGGCTAAACTTCCAAATCTCACTAAAGAAATTCAATTAGCTTCAAAGTCAACTATGAGTCTTCAAGAAACAATCAGAAGAATAGAAGGAGAAGGCATGCTCCTCAATGGCAAGAAACGAATCTTATCTTATCTTAATTATTTATAACGTTTTACGTCTACTATGGGGTAGCCAACTCCAGAGCTGCCACCATATTTATCCACGTGTCGGGCCCATGGACCTCTGAATCGACCCACTTCGATTCGTCAAGGCACGGGTAAGTACGGCGTTCCGGCTTCGACGGGCTTCGCTGCCGCCACAGCTTTATTCCGACTCAGCTCCTGCGCGTGTTCCGCCTAAGGGTCCACCTCCTTCGGGTGTGCTGAGGGATAAAGACCTGAGCCTCTTGATCGCACTGAGGAGCAGTTCCTTTGGTTATCCCCAAAGTTAAACCGCTGTTGCTGTGCAGAAGTTCTCGAGGTAAAACCCGACCCTATAAATAAAATTGCTTGAGAGAGAGAAAATTAGTGGAGCTAATTTCACTTGAAGCGAAAGCCATTTTATTTATGGCAAGAAACGAATCAGTCTAAAACCTGGCTCAGATCATTGGGACAGCGAGTTTTAATTCTCAGTAAATACAATAAAAATTAAAATTAACTATTAAGATAAATTCAGAATAAAAAATATTAAAATAAGTAGTATACTGTAGGATATTATACATATTTCACTAATCAGCAAATTAAAATTATTTCCTTAAAAGGTATTTATATGTCTGAAGAGGAGGAAGATACCGAGGTAAAAATTTATTGGGGAGAATGCAATGATTACACTATTGAGCAATGGATGGAGTATAGAAAGAAACTTTATCAGTATGTAGGTGATAACTATAAGCCTGTTGCTCTTGAAGTGACTGAAAAACCTTGGCTTATCCCTGGAGCTAATATTTCTGACTGGTTTAATTTTGATTTTGATGAAGAAAGCTGGAATGAGTTCTTGCTGAATCAAATCGCTTTGAGGCAAGCCAAGATTCTAGAGAAAGAGCAGCAAATGCAGCAAATAATTGCCAAGAAAAAAGAAAGAAAATCGTCGTCAACTGAGAGAAATGAAAGAAAGCACCATGAGAAAAGCAAGCACAAGAAGCATGATGAATTCAAAAAGAGCAGAAGATAAATAATCTAATTATTCTGATAGTTTTACTTTGCAAATTCATTTTTTTAGCTAATTAACCCTTTTGATTAGTGAGAAAATAATCTTCGGGAGCAACATTTCATATTAAAATTATAGATAAAAACTTTAAAATTCAAATTTGCAAGCATTTGAAAGAGAAAACGAGATTAACTCATAAAATTTATGTTTTAGAATGTATGATGTCTCAAATTTAATAGAATTAGTCTGATAATTCATTAAAATCATCTTGATTACAATCAAAATTATTTTTTGTATAAAAATTTTATACTAAAAAAATAGAGGTGGATTTTCCTAAAAATACAGATTTTTCTAATGGTTGTGCTCGCATACCAAGGAGGAGTAAGTGAGTAAATAATCCCTTAAGTGAAGTTCGTTTTTAATTTGATAAATTCAGAAAAATTAAATGTGTTATATTTTGAAATGGAAACAAAGCTAGCTATTTGTATATTGACACAATAATTTTATTAGTGAAGAATATGGAACCTGAAAATAATTCAGAGTATTTAGTACCTTTTACTTACTTCAAGATAATAATTTTATTTTAAATTATCTTTTTTATTGTAAAAAGAACTTACTCCCCCCCCATCCTTGATCGAACGATTGACTGTAAAAATTCCTAAAAATTGGGGAAATTACCCCCATTCTTGATCGAACGATTTTTTATATCATGACAATTTTTATATATATATAAATATATTATTTATCAAAAGCTTGGGAAGATGTACATAATGAAGTTGTTTTCAGAGCTTTGAGACGACAGAAAGCTGCGGAATCAACCATCCGAAGTGATTTAGTTATCAACATAGGCTTACAAACTCAATAATCTAATAAAATAGAGATTTTTAAAATTTTAAAATTTTTAATTCAATAAGGAACAAATTAAAATTTATACAGTTTAAAGGGATAACTAATAGATCAAAATATTAAAAATTGGTATTTTATGAAATTAATTAAATTTTTTGCTGTAAAAATAATTATTAAATACTCTTAACCATCTTATTTAAAAGTAAATAAAAAAAAATATATATATATATATTTTTTATTTTATATATAAAATTTTTTTTCCCCAAAAAATTTTTTTTAACCCCCATCCTTGATCGAACGATGGCGAGTCGTTCGATCAAGGATGGGGGGGGGGGGAGTTAGCTATTATGAACTCCTTACTTTAATTTTTTTGGTAAAAATATTTTATTTAAAAATAATTTACAATTCAAAGGAGATTTAGAACAAAGAATATTGGGAAAGGCGCTACGAAAACGAAGAAACCTATGATTGGCTCCTAAGATATCCTCAAGTCAAAGAAGACATCTCGCCATATATTACACCTGAGGACAAAATCTTAGTCCTTGGATGTGGAAACTCTAAGTTCAGTGAGGATTTATATCTCGATGGATATAGAAACATAACAAATATAGATATTTCTCAAATAGTCATCGACAAAATGCAAGAAAAGCATCAAGACAAGCCAGAAATGAGGTGGCTAGTTATGAATATGCTCAATATGACTTTCAATCCAGAAGAATTTGACGTTGTCATAGACAAAGCAACAATGGATGTTCTCCAATGTGACATTGAAGACGTATGAGATCCAAGCGACGAAGTAAAATCAAGGATTTCCCAATTCTACCAAAATGTATACCAAGTCCTCAAAAACCAAAAACATTTACTACAAATTTCATTTGACCAGCCTCATTTTAGAAGAAAATTTGTAGATACATCTAAATGGAACTTATCAGAGAAAACTCTTGATAAAGGAGGACTTCCATATTTCTTATACACCTTACAAAAAAAGATATAGACATAATTAATAGGCTTCATTAATAAATCATGGAAAATAGAAATCTCCGCTACCAAGACTTTTTGACTCTTAAAGTTGATACGAAGCACAAGCATAATAATGGTGAATTTTTATGAGAGGAAGTTAAAACAGCAGGTCCTCATCCTAGCCGCAGAAGCTATCATTCTTCTGTTATGTGGAACCATAAGATGGTTATATCTGGAGGACAAGATTTAAGGGAAGGCACACAGTCTGGAATCTGGGTTTTTGATTTTAATAGTATGGATGAGGAACACTGGCTCCACCTTCATGAGCAAGCAAAAAAATTTCGTTCGCTCACGGAAGGTTTTGAAAAATTTATATATAATTTTATAAAATTGTTTTTCAAAAATTTAAAACAATTGAGAAGTAAAAATTAATTTAATTTACAAAATTTATGTTTTAAAATGCAAGTTGCTTAAAAATAAACAGGATTAGCTAGAAATTTCATTATAATAATTATCACGTATATATCAATTTTTTTTTCATAAGAAAAATTTTTATTGCTCACGGAAGGTGAGCTTTTATGCAAAAAATAGGGATTTTTCCAAAGGTTTTGTTCGCTCATGGAAGGGGGAGTGAGAAGAATTGAATATTATTGGAATTGGGGTATTTTGTAGGCACAGCAGTGTGATATATCGCGATAATTTATACATTTTTGGCGGAACAGATGGCATAAATGAGTTTGATACTACATGAATAATTGATTTAAATACTTTGCAGACTAGAAAGCTTGATCCTCAAACCCTTGGCTTGCCGCCACCTCTTGATTCACATACCGCTACTTTATATGAAAAAGATGGACTTTCCCAAATGGTTGTATTTGGAGGCTTTAAATATTCTGAAAGAACAAATGATTTATATATACTGAATTTATCATCATTAGAGTGGAGAAAAATTAGCACAAATAATGGTCCTGAGCCAAGATCCAATCATAGTGCAGTGATTTATAATGATTTTTTATTTATTTTTGGAGGACTAAATGGCGAAGGAGAACAAATAGGAGATTTTTGAAAATTAAATTTAAACACTTATAATTGGCAGTCTATCCAGGCGGGTGGGCAGATCCCAGCTGCAAGATCAGGACACTCTGCAATTGTGTATAGTGATTTAATGGTAATTTTTGGCGGGACAAAATGTGTAAACAGAGAAACAAATGAAATGTTCTCTTATAGTTTTGAAAATAATATGTGGGTAAGGTTCCAAGATGAGCAGCAGGTAAAAGATCCAGTTTCTGCGGCACAGTTGGAAGAATTTAAGCACAGTGAAACATCTCCTCATAGAAGACATACACTAAATATAGCTATTGGGCCTAAAAAAGATGGAAAAAAAGAAGCTTCACCTACAATAGAGAGATTTGCAATGAAGAAAAAGCTGCTTTATGATGGGCCTCCAAGTCCTGTAAAAGGAAGGGTAAAAGGAAATGCTCCTCACCAAAGAGATGGACACTCTGCTGTTATAGATGGGAATATTATGTATATATTTGGAGGGGACAGACACCAAATGCCATTTAATGATATCTATGCTTACAGGCTGTCAAAAGATATTATAAGTAGGCCAGGCGAAATAGACTTAAAAACTTCATAAATATTTAATTATAAGCATTATAATTTATGCACCATAATAGATCGCTATATCCCAGCAGAGTACTGAGCAGAATAAATATTGTTCAGGTCACCTTCCTTATACAGTCTAAGTCTGATTAGGCATCTTAAAGCCTTCAACGGAGATTTGTCATTTCCATTTTTACTTTATAAAAAGCTACAAATTCAAATTAATTTTGAAAATTAAAATGGATGATCAATAATGATCTAAATATTTCAGGGGCCATATTATTTAATTGGTTAAATTAAAAAAATATAAACGCTTAAATATAAACGCTAAATTACCTAACTCCCCCCCATCCTTGATCGAACGGCTCGCCATCGTTCGATCAAGGATTGGGGTTAAAAAAAATTTTTTGGGAAAAAAAATTTATATATATAAAATAATTGTTTATATATATATATATTTTTTTATTTACTTTTAAATAAGATGGTTTTAAGAGTATTTAATAATTATTTTTACAGCAAAAAATTGAATTAATTTCATAAAAATACCAATTTTTAATATTTTGATTTATTAGTTATCCCTTCAAACGGTTTAAATTTTAATTTGTTCCTTATTAAATTAATTTTTTTTTTAAAATTTTAAAAGAATCTCTATTTTTAGATTATTGAGTTTTTTAAGCCTAGGTTGACGACTAAATCACTTCGGATGGTTGATTTCGTAGCTTTTTGTCGTCTCAAAGTCTCTGAAAGCAACTTCATTAGGTACATCTTCCCAAGCTTTTGATAACTATGAAAATCGTTCGATCAAGGATGGGGGTTAATTTCCCCAATTTTAGGAAATTTTACAGTCAATCGTTCGATCAAGGATGGGGTGGGAGTAAGAAAAATCCGTTAGCTATTTAAAATGGAGTCTAATTTAATGAATTCAGAGTCGCGTCCACTCATAAATCGCACAACCCGACAATCTTGTTTTATTTGCAAAAGATCACTTGACAGTAAGCCATATGCAAATATGATTCTATACGTTTTACTAGGCATTTTAATACTTTGCCATATATGAGGCTCTCTTATATTGCTATACTTAAAAGTGGCTAATGACATTGGGGAGTACTTTACTCTTTTTTTACCAGTGGTATTGCTTTGTGTAGAAATTTGTATTATCTGTATAACAGTTTTTATAATTATTTTATCTGATTTTATTACCAGAAAAGTAAGAGGAATCACGCTGTGGCAAAGACAAGCCATCGGGAGACTGATAAGAGATTTTGTAATTTTTTTGCAATTAGGCTTAACTGCTTGATTTTTTTATGCAGGATTTGATGATAATTCCCTTAAATCTCCTCTTTGGCATTTGCTGATGCCAGGAATTGTGCTATCAGTTCTTGCGTCCTTAAGATTTGTTCTAATTCAGAGCGAGGATTCGTTGTTTTGGATATGCTTTTCCTTTCTAACGATTGCACAGCAGATCCTATGTATATGGAAAATTGATTATAAGGCAGAACTCAGCTGAATTTATTGCTTAATCCCTACCTATCTCATGTGTGCTGATTTTGCCTGGCTTAGTGCTAGTTATTTTTTGAGGTTTGCTAAAGAACTGGATTACTCTAAAATGATAATATTTCTTTTAGGAATTATTGGGAGTATTTTCAGCGGAATTGGGATGTTTTTTATCTCTTTTTATCTAGAAGACATGATAGAATTTAATTCAGCAATAATCTGAATTGGGATTGGTTTGGGTATAAGTTCAATACCTTTAATAAGACCATTCGGGCTGTTTATAATAGATATTGCAGTAGGACATATTGAAATTGAAATTTTACAGCTAAAATACCCTGTGAGATCAATAAGAAATTTACCTCACTCCGTTTAATTTGTAACTAATTAATGAAATTTTAATTATTTCTAAGGATAAGAGTTTAGTAAATCGACTCTTCTAGGGTGGTTAGGGTGTTCGCTTAAAAAACGTGTTGAGAGATATGTATCTACCACCTGCTTAGCCACTTCTATGCCAATGACTTTGCCACCTAAAGCTAAAACGTTGCAATCATTATGTTCCCTTGTCATTAGAACTCCAAAATAGTCATGGCAAACAGCACATCGGATACCTTTGAAGCGATTAGCTGCCATTGACATCCCAATTCCTGACTCACAAATTAATAATCCTCTTTGAGCTTCACCTGAAAGAACTTTGTCACAAACTAGTTTTGCATATACTGGATAATCAACAGCATTAGTGGAATTATTTGTGCCAACATCAATAACGGAAATTCCTTTTCGGCTGAGCTGCCCTTAGATAATCATAATTTTTGGGAAATAATCGCTTCTGAACTATAAAAATTGTATATATATGTTTTTTTTTGGAAATTGATCAAATTTGAATTTAAAAATAAATCTGAAGATCACTATGAAAATTTAATTTGAAGAAATTATAAAAAATAAAATTTAAGTATAACAGTTTTTTTAAATTTTTTTAAAAAAAATTAACCTAACATAAACGAAGAAATTTTGTTTATCCTTAAAAGGAGGGTGAGATATTGCACAAGTTGCACCTTCATATCGTGCCCTTCATGATCACAGCCCACTGCGATGGTTATGTTTTCCATTAATCTTTAATTAATGCATCTTATTTAAGATTAAACAATTTTAAAATTAACAAGATTCGCTTGAAATTGGAGATTATTTTATAGTTTTCGCTTATTCTCGATTCCTTCCTCTATAATCTCCCCTTTGATCTCCTCTATATCCTCTGTATTCTCTATGCTCTCCTCTATATTCTCCTCTATTTTCTCTGTATTCTCTGTATTCTCTATGTTCTCTGTATTCTCCTCTATGTTCTCTATATTCTCCTCTAGACTCTCCTCTATACTCTCCTCTTCCTCTATATCCTCTATTTTCTCCTCTATATCCACCTCTATACCCTCTTCCATCTCCTCCACCATTCCTATAACCTCTTCCTCTCCTTCTTCCCCCTCTAATATACCTCCTTAAATCCCTTTCTCCCATTTCCACGCTTTCCTCTCCAAAAGTCTCCGCATCCAGCTCTTTTTGTTTTTCCCTATCCAATCTACTTTCTGCAGTTTCAGCAGATTTACAAGAAATTGTATCAAAAAAGCTCGATTTTTTATTATAGCATTTTTCTCTGGTTTCTGGCTTCTGTTCTCTATCAATAGCTGCAGTTTGAAAATCAAAATCTTCTTTAAGCTCTTCTTTTAAATTTTCATTTGTATTCCCATGCAATTCACCATACGCTTCTGGGCGGCTATTTCTAGGGGCATAGTTTTGGCTTTGGTATTCCCTTTGTGGAGGAGGGTTGGATTTTTGGACTGGCTTTGGCTGAACTTCTTTAATTGGCTCTGATTTTATTATGGCTGGGTCATTATTGGCGGCTGTAGACTGGATGACTGTGAGATCTTTTATATCAGACCCTCTGAAGATGATAAATTCATAGATCTCAGCTGAAGGCGGGATTTCTTTGTTATTTCCTCTGCGCCCTTCAGTGCCAAATGACTTGACGTTGGAGAGTGAAACTGTGTGTTCATTTGGGTCAATAGTGTGGAGAGTTCCTTCATATCGAATATCAGACTTCGAAATTAGGCTGATTTGGCTACCAATATAAGGAACTGAACTCATAATGATTAAAAATGCAAAGTCTTGCCATGTTTAATTGATAGAGATTACTTACCCATTAAGATAGCCTCAGCTCCTGGAAGTTCGTGAATCAGTTTTATATTACATTAATTAAAGTTTTTTAGGTTTCTAACGCCACACTCCCACTATAGGGAAAGAACCAAAATGGTGATGTCACAAGCATATCCGATCCAAAAGGTCGGACTCTCCCAAATAAACCGCCTACCTTCCTGACCAGTGCTTCTCATTCAAAGCGATGCCATCGCCCTTCTCTGACTCAGCTTCTGCACATGTTCCGCCTAAAAGCCACTTTCCTCGAGTGTGCTGAGAGAGGTAAACTCTGAGCCTCTTGGTTTTTACTGTGGAGCAGTTCCTCTTGCTATTCCCAAAGTTAAACCGCTGTTGCTGTGCAGAAGTTTTAGAGAAAGACTAGCCCCATATATATAAAATTACATGAACGAGAGAAAATTCGCAGAGCTAATTTCTCTCGAACCAAATGCCATTTTATTTATCCGTGGATCAGTTTTACAACGTTAGGGTCCCATAGTCCAAATCGGTCAGTCCCGCTGACTGTGACTTTGCTTCTTCTGCTTTGTTGAAGCTCATTAACTTTATTGCAGATCACGATCCAGCAGCCTGTGCAAGATTCTCTTAAAATGGCTTGGTCTTCTAAAGGCTCGCCGTCTTGCATTGGTGTCACTTTAAATAAAGGTTTTACTCCGCCATCAAGGATTTCGCAGAGATATTGCATTCTTTCTTTAGCTTTAAACATACTGGAGTGCTCTCTGATGCTTTTAAAGCCGATTGGAAAGATATTTCTACCTGAGTGGTAAGCAGGTCTGTCAGCATCAATTAGTCCTAGATTGAGAATGGTCAGACTGTTGTTTATCACTATTGGATAAATGACTTCTCCTTCTTCATCTTTAGGTATTATAAACTTGGAAAGCTTGATTTTCTTGGTTGGGGCTTGGATTTGGCCGTTTTCATCAAACGTAAGCTCTTCTGGAGCTCGTTTCTTCTTGGATTTCTGTAGGTTGCTGATTGATCTGAAAAACTCACATAAATATTGCAGCCTCCCTTCTGCTTCTTCATAATTAATATTAATCCCCGCGAATCCATAATCAGGGTTTTCAGAGAGATTATGCAAGAAGGTAAGACCATTGTCTGCGACAGCATTTAGCAGCCCTCTATCATGGATATCGCATTTCCAATCCTCAGTAAGCCACGTCTCTGATCCTTCTTTAACAATTTTTTCTGTCGCTTTTTCTAATGCTGGCAGTTCAGTATTGAAAAATTCGCTGCCATTTTTGAGTATATGCTTTCTAATAAACTGTAGTTTATTCAAGCTGTTCTGTAAAGCTTCAGCATCTTCAATTGACATTGTATATCCATCTGCATCTTTGACTTCGGTTTCCCCTTCTTCTGGGTGCATAACATGTTGGGCTAGCATTCTTAGATGTTGGACCATTCTTTCTAAGCTATTAGTAGCTTTGTCATTCCCAGGCAGCAGAGAATCAAGCTTCTCTTTAAATTGGCTTCAGTCATTTTTTCCTTCTAAATTCAATGGAACTCCAAAGTCAGAAATCAAAGAAAGCAAAGCTCTTTTTTCTTCTGCTGACCAGTCAGTTGGCTCGAAAAGCTGCTGCTCTTTGTCAAACTCGAACTCTTCAATTTTGTCAATTGAAATCATGAGCTTCTTTAGCCTGCGAGTAATTGTGTCGGCGCTTGGAAATTCTTTGAAGCTTAAATCTGTATCAATATTGCTGAAACTTAAATTTTTGTCATTTCTCATCTGGTTATAATTTGCATACCCATGCTTATGGGTCCCTCTGATAAGGTCTATATCATGCCTTCTTGTCCATCACGCTGAAGGTCTTTGTCCATAAAAAGCTCCTGATGGCATAAAATTCAGCAAATTCCCCCACTTAAGTGTCTCATTTTTATTATTTTCTTTGAATTTTTTAATCAGAAATTTGATCCTCCACAGCATATAAAGTCTTTTTCCCCATGGCACAGCTCTTTGTCTTACCATCATTCCCCAATCCTTTATCCTGGGTGGGATATAAAAATCGTCTTCAGTCTCTTCTATCATATTTGCCAAAGACTTTTTAAGCTCGTGTTTTTCCATTGGGAGATTCTCTACAATAGTTCTGACAAGAGATGTGGCAAATGACCTAATTTCTGGAATAGATTTTGAGGTAAAAGCTCCACCTTCGCTCATGGCTTCTTGGAGCTTTTTTCATCTTCCATAGCCATAAGTGAGCAGCCATTTCTTTAAATTTTCCCGGTCATTAATCCCCCATTTCTTTATTAAGCTGGAATCTGCTTGACGGGAAGGGAAGGAGTCAATAGGCATCAGCTCTTCATTGTCGGGGATCGGAGCTAGACCTGGTGGCTCTAGAACAATAGAGGAAAATACAGGCAAAATGAAGTAGAAAATGTGTGGGGAGTGGATGTCGCAGGGGATTGATATGCAGCTTAGGTCTTTTAATTCAACTGAAGGGTCTTCGTCGGTGAGAGTTCCTGATTGGACTAAAAGAGTTGGGGCTTTTGCTTTGAGCTGAAAGTGGTTGTTTGAATAAAAAATTGAGCAGTGAAGTGGCTGCACGTTTTTACAGTTTATTGACAAGTGGGAGCTGGAATGAGAACCTATGTTGAAAGGAAGTGTGCATATGTAACAATCAGGGCCATTCAGTACTTGAAGCTTGGCATACGCAGACATTTTTGTTTATTGCGTTTCCTTAATTTTCATATTTATATTTATCATTTCCTAGTCTTGCTGCTAGCTCCCCCTCCCGTGAGTGAATAAAAAAGTTTTAAGAAAAAAAGTTTTGATATATATGTGATAATTAGTATAATGAAATCTCTAGCTAATTCTGTTTAATTTTAAACAAATTGCATTATTAAATATAAATTTTACAAATTAAATTAATATTTAGTTTCCAGTTTTTGCGATTGGGATTGTTTTTAATTTTCGAAAAAAAAAAATTTTTACTATCAAATTTATATGAATTTTTTAAAAAAAAAAATTTAACCCTCCCCGTGAGCGAACAAATTTTTTATTGGCTCAAGGAGGGGGAGTAAGAGCATTATATTGTATAAATCTGTTTTATATGATGTCTTGCCTAACTATTATGAATTTTTTATTTCTTACTCCATCTTGATTTAACGAAACTATTGAAAATTTTCAAAATTGAGAAAATTCGCCCTTGATTAATGCTAAGGCATGAAACCACTCCCAATCCCGCTTTTAATCTGAACAATTTTAATCAAGTTAATAAAAATTATATATAATTTATTACAATTTTTTTGTAGCCCACCATTGATCAAACAAATGCGATTGGTTTGATAAAGATGAAAGGAGTTGGCAGATAAAATTTCCTTATTAATTAAAGCATATTTTATTTATAATTTATAAGAGGTATTATTTATATATAAAGTTTAAATTTCAAAATGCGTTTTCTGTTAAAATAACTTTTCGCATCATATAAATAATTTCAAAGTGTTTAGCCTTTTCGAATTGATAGACTCATTAATTCAATTATTTTATTATGGCTAACCCCCCCCTCCGTGAGTGAACAAAACCATTAGAAAAATCCCTATTTTTTGCCTAAAAACCCACCTTCCGTGAGTGAACAAAAATTTTTTATGGAAAAAAAAAATTTATATATAAGTGATAATTAGTATAATGAAATCTAGAGCTAATTCTGTTTAATTTTAAGCAAAGTGCGTTTTAAAACATAAATTTTATGAATTAAATTAATATTTGCTTTCCAATTTTTATATAAGTGAGATTTTTTTTAAATTTCGAAAAATTTTTATAAAAAATTTATATATAAATTTAAAAAAAAAAATAAATCCCCTCCGTGAGTGAACAAAATTTTTTTGTTCACTCACGGAGGGGGAGAGTAAGATATAATTAAATGAATAAAAACCTTATCATCCCATCTGCATTTTCTCAGGGTCAAATGCAGCAAGTACCTCCATCTCCAGGGTATTTTATCAATGAAAGAGACGTACTATTTAATTAGAAACGAATTTTGAAAGACAAGCTTGATTTAGTTTCAGATCTTATTAGCAAAACATCGCCTAAAGATGCGTCTAATTCAATAACACGTCAGCTTCTGCTGCAAGAATACAATAGAATCCAATCAGAGCTTATATCTGGACCTAAATCTTATATAGAATCCCAACAAAAGTTCAAGCATAGAGTAGAAGTTGCGTCATTACCTTTCTCATCACCAGCCCCATTTACCCTTTTAGAGTTAAACGAACGCAAAACTGACCCAACGATCCCAAACCCCCCAGACTGCATTCATTATGACAGAGAATGCACAGGCAGGGTGAATCCTACTACATGGGTAAGGCCTGCAAACCCTTCTTGGAAATCTCATCGAGATGCTTATAGCGAGCCAAACCGATCAATGTGAGATGCTCTTATGTATGAAGAGAAAGACCCATTTAAACCTGAAAAACAATATACAGAACCTGCTTATAGCCCTATGAAGCAGAGTTTTGATCACCAAATGTCTAGGCTTTCTGATTTTTCAATCAGTTCGAGGCTGAAATCGTCAAAAAAGAAAAGAATAAAAAGAGAATCTAATGAGAGAAAATCAAATAGAGAAGAAAGACGAACAAGCTTATCAAACTACTCAAGGCAAAGTATTGAACCTTCTTTTGTAAGCCAAGGGCAACAGCCTCGCCAACAAAACCCAAATTTTCCAAACTTTCCTCAGCCAGGTCAACAGCCAATTATTATACAGATGCCTCCTTATCCTATAATGCCACAGCCGATTTATGCTGCCCCTCCAGTCTATACTCCTCCTCCCCAACAATCTCAGCCAGCTCAAGTAACAATTAACGTTAACCATGATTATGCACAGCAGCTTCAGAAATCGCCTAACTCTCAATGCCAGAAACAAAAATGATTATTCCAAGAAATTTATTATTAGATATTTCAATAAATAGGCTACATTGATTTTTCCAAAAACACAATAATAAAATTATTTTATATTCTGCTGAATATAATTTTATTAAAATATGATGCCTATGTATAGATAATGGAATTAGTGTTTCATTATAAATATAGTTTATTCCACTTTATATTATGATAGAAAATGCCCTAAAAATTATTTTCATGCATCAAAATAACTTGAGAAATGAGAACAAATTAGAAGTTTGCATATAAAATTTTGATTTTTTAAATTTAAATTAATTTCTTCTTATTAGGATCCATAAAATCACATGCTAAATGTGAGAGTAAGCATACATTAGAAACAAGTATTCAATGTAATGAGAGCATTCTAAATAGTCCTCCTGCAGAAATAAACCCTATAATTGAGGAAATAATTGATCCGCCAGAAGAATTAAATAAGGAAGAGGCCAGTGTTGAAGCAACCTCTCAAAACGAAGAAGAAAAGAAATCCGAAGAAACCATAATTCTTGATCCTTGGGCCACTCAAATTGGAGGTAGCAGGAAAAAGCTTTACGAGCTTTTCCTTGAGAGAAAAGCTGACCTTGCTCATAAGATGGAAATCAGAGATAAAGGGATGCATAACTTTTTACATAAATCAGTAAAAATCAACGAGCTTATGAAAGTTAGGCAGGACATGGTAAAAGGAAAAACGTCTGTTGATGAATACCTTCAATCTCCAAACCATCAAGCAAAATTAACACCTAGGCAAACAGAATTAGCACTTCCCCGCAAGATAGAAAAAGAAGAGCGCAGCATTCAGATAAAGCAAAAAAACATGCAAATTAAGAAGAAATAATTAATGTATATCCTAATTTATACCTATTTTTCATCTTCTGAGTATTCAAGATCATCAATAGCCCCTTCCTGATATTTATCTTTATTTTCCAAGATTTCATTTTCCATTATTTTTTCTTCTTCATTTTCTAACCCACTTAATATATCTTCAGTGATATTTTATATTAATTTTTTTTCAAAATTTTATCGCAAAAAAATTGAAATTTGGTCTCAATTATAGTATGTCAGTTGCTTATAGAATTAGTTAGAGATTCCATTTTTATAATTAGTATAGTGACTTATACTATCTAGAACGGGGCATTTTTTGATAGTGCCGAAAACAACAAAAAAGCCCCGCTCTAGATAGTGCAAGTCACTATATTCATTATTAAAATTTTTTGTATATGAATGTTTGTTTGCTTCCTTAAAAATTAAAGTTTTCAATAGTTTTGTTTCCTTAAGGATGGGGAGTAAGCTCTTTTCATCAAGTGCTTCGCTGTGTTCTTCCATTGTAATATCATTAATATCGACGCTTTCTTGATCCTTTTTAAACCTTCTTCCTTCTACAACATCATAATATCTCTTCAGCATGTCTTTGACTCTCTTAATATGCCCTGGATCCTGGTCAATTCCTAGCAACTCCGTGATTTTCTTTTCAAGGCCCCTGAATAAGCTGGTGACTCCAAATTCTCCACAATTCATAAGAGCATGCCCAACAATTATGATTTCCTTAAGCTCCAGCTCTTGAATATAAGGTCTAATTTTACGTCCAAGCCCTTTAATAAGCTTCACAACCGGCTCTTCTGTCACCTTTGCTTTTCGTGAATGTCCGAAGACTAGCATGGCCTCTATAATTGACCGTTTGTTGACCTCATGCATTCTGTTATTATACATTAACTCTGCACAAAGCCTAAAACAGTTAGAAAACTCATATCGGTCAGCATTTGTCAATTTTAAGTACCGTAGGGTTCAGACTGCAGCACTGAGTGGAAGAGGATTAGAAGGGATCGTGCGGTCTTTATAGCCGAAGTATAAGGAATGTCCTTGAACTGGGATTGTAAATGTTTGGACATCAGCTAAAGGGTTTCTATTAGGAATCATAGGGACTTGTTTAACAATTTCAGAAAATCGCTGCATAATTCCATCAGCAATATTCATATCATATACTTGCAGTAAAGCAAACCCTTTTGAGGCATAAGCTAAATTCATGCTATTTAGCTTTGGTAAATACTGCAAAAACCTTTCTTTGAGCTTTTCTTTAAAGACATTAATAAACTTCGGAGGATTGTCTTTGTAAATTTTTCCAATTGCCCATATTGTGTCGCATACTTCTTTAGAGCCTAAAACACTTACATCAATTCCTTGGACAAGATGATACATTAAAATTAACTAATATTATAGAGAAGCCCGTCGTAATAGCTAGGGTTTTCTCCGCTCTACCTTCACCCTTCACGCTTTCACCGGTTGCTCACCGCCCGACCGATCACGACCTTCAAAGTGTTGCTCCTACTGGACGAGGATCTGCACTCGCTACCCGTAGTTGGATGAGTTACGCCACTAGCAATATGCAAACAGAGGTTGCCCATTCCGAAAATTTAAAAAATAAATTTTCTTGTAGGACTGTCGGCTAAAATGGAAGTCCAAAGCCTGGACGTAACACCTAGTTTCACGCTAGGAGTTGCCCGATTGATCAGGAGGTGCCTTCCTGATATCGATGAGCTTCCCCTTTCCAGCCTTGGAAACCACTTCCCCTGAGGCAAAACCTTGGTGTCAGAATGAGCTGCGGTCGACCAAATTCGATATTGCTCTCCACTGTACCAAGGTAAAACCTAGCCGGATATACAGCCGAGCGCTTATTTTCCCTTCCTCTAGCAGACTCCCGGCTGCAGGTGTTGAGAAAAAGGGCTAGTTCGTCGTCGCCATTTTAATGTATATGGGAAAGATGATACATTCTTGGATCTCTTAATCCTTCAGCCTTCAATTTTGCTATTTGTTGGACCATTAAAACCCTTACAGAAGAGTCATAAGTTTCGCTCGGCTTTGTATATTCAGCCATTTGGAGTGCTTGTTCAAGCTCTCGTAAGTTATATACAACATAATTCTTTAATTCCTGCTTGCTTAACTCGTTATAAGTCGGATATTTGCCTGTGCCAGTTCGAAGATCGACAATTCCTCTAGAAGAAATAAGGCTTCTCTCAGGCATCTGTGTGGTTATTTCTGTTGACTCTTCACCATTAAGGATTTGGTCCACAGTAGGTAATTCAGGGAACTTCACAATCTTTTCTGCAAGTGCTTTCCTCCTTTTCATCTCATTTTCCAGCCTTATGTTTTTTTCAAACTCTTTGGCTTCTTCGACAAGCAGCACATTTCTTTTGGATTCAATACTTTTATCGTTTAAAAATAAATTAGACTCCAAGTATTCTCTGTGTTGCTCACTTGCAGGGTTGATAATTTCTTGGATAAAATATTTCCTCAATGGTTTTTCTATCGCCGGATCATTTGGGGATATAACTTCAGGGATCTTATAAAATGCTTTTATTTCTGCTTTTGAGGCTTTAGCTAAATCGGCTAGAGGAACATGTGGAAATTGATTTTTTAGTGCTTTAATAGACTTGCGCAGAGCCTCACGAATTTGGTAGTTATTTCTTATATTTTGGCGTAGTTCATTAGGGATCTTTGCCTGTCTCTGCTTCTTACACCCCTTTTCATGAGCGAGCAAAAGATTTTGTTCACTCACTCATGAAGGAGTTTTTTTTTTTTAAAATTTATAAATAAATTTTGTATAATTTTTTTTCAAATTAAAAAATCCCAAAATTTTGAAAGCAAATATTAATTTAAGTGGAAAATTTATCTTTTAAAATGCAAGTTGTTTAAAATTAAACAGGATTAGCAAAAGATTTCATTATAAAAATTTATCGCTCATATATCAATTTTTTTTTCATAAAAAATTTTTATATTAAAAAATATTTTGTTCGCTCGAAAATGGGGATTTTTCCCCTTTTTTTTCGCTCACAGGAATTTTTTTTTTTTTTCGCTCACAGGAATTTTTTTTTTTTTCGCTCACAGGAGTGGGAGTTAGCATTATAAAGGGTCACAAAGAACCGAGATGATATTTTCATGTGTAGGGATTATTATTATGGCTTGTAAATGAATTTTCTTTTTTATTTGGCTATTTTATTAGTTTACTTATCTTCTGGAGAAATTCTGCCTTCATTAGCCAAGAAACTAAAGCAAAAACAGTCAAGTCCTCTTTTAGAACTCATAGACAAAGAAGTGCATAACATTTTGGAGAAAAGCAAAGATGAGTGGCTGGTTCTTTTTTATGACTCTGATTTTCCTGCTTCAAATATACTGATTAATGCTTGGAAAAGAATGGCTATAATGCTAGAAAACGAAGATTATCTGATAAACATTGGAACGGTAGACCTAAGGCAGAATAATACATCTGCCTTTTCTAGGCTGAAACTTTATAGGTTTCCTTGTGCGATCGTAATTAAAGGAGGTTTCTACTATAACTACACTGGGACACTTGATTACTACTCTATTATGAATTTAGTTAAAAATCAAACGTATTATTCATATACTCAAATACCTGTACCTCCACCTTTTGGGTATATAGATTTAGCCAAACTTTTTGTGAAAGCGCTAACCTCTGACAATTTTGAAACCAGGATGTATTTATTAGCGCTAGGAGCCATCATTATTTTTTCAATCCTTGTTTGGTGTCGTTGTTTATTCTATAGAACTAAAGAAGAAGAGGAAGAAGAGCTAAAAGAGCTGAAAGACTTAAAAGAGGATTAATTAGCATAATTTTGAGTTAATAAAACATAATATCTGGCTTCAAGAATGGCTGATAAAAATTAGCCAAAAAATCTTTGAATGAGTCTATTTATTGTATCGACCCACACTTCAGCCTCTTCGTCTTCAAAAATGTATGGTCTTTCAGTAGTTGTAATAAGAAATTTATTTCTTCCATGCACCTCGCTTCGGGTCTCTGCATTTAGAGCCAATTCTCCTCTTTTAAATTCACCATTTGGCTCATAATAAGCAATGCTCGGTTGTTCAGTTATAACGAGGAGCCTTTTTCTAAAAATTCAGCCAGCTTTTTTCTTAACAATGCCACTTTTGATAATATTTGTGCTGTGATCGAGAGGATGCTCAACTACTTCTTGGATAGTTGGACATGATAAGATCAAGATTAAAAGATTGTACGGCTTAAGTAGAATGATCCACTAGCCGCATTATCTCGTCTCCAGAATAAGCGGCCTATGCTGGATGCATATATCTAGCTTCGAGTTACGCACAACCAAAGTGCAACTTTCTTGATTTTTATGCAAAATTTATCTAACCCAAGGTCATCAGCATAGATTAAAAAACTTTGGGGGAGGAATAAAAGAACTTCTCTCTTCAGCAAGGTTTCAAAACCCAAGGACTGCTTTAAAAACTAAGGCACCTAATTTCAGTGTTTTCTAGATGATCACAGATAATATGCTTCTGAGTGTCTATCTTCCATCAATGATACCATTTTATTTCTCTGGATATGATAAAGAATACACATTATCAATGTCAATTCCTCTAAAAAAAGCATGTGATTTTACCTCACTTATATCATTAAATCCAAGCCTATTCTCTGGCTGGGTTTGAAGTATCCTTCTAATCAAATCAACAGCTTGTGGAGTCATATGGTCAGGATATACCACATTTCCAGCTCGAATTCTTTCAAAAGTCAAATATTGATTTTCTGAGGAAAACGGCGGCCTTCCTACATACATTTGATACAAAATGCATGCAAAGGCTCATAAATCACAAGCAAAAGACACAGGCCCTTCATCAAGCATTTCAGGGGATACGTAGTCAGCTGTCCCTACAAAAGTGTTGCTCCTTCCTCTTGTGTCATCATCATAGATCTTCGCACTTCCGAAATCTGTTAATTTGAGATGGTGGTCAGACGAAATCAAAATATTTTGAGGTTTCATGTCTCTGTGAATGATATTTTTTGACCTCATGAATTCAAGAATATTGACAAGCTCAGCAGCATAAAATCTTGCAAGCTCATAAGGAAGTGATTGAGCATACCTTTCAATGCATTGGTTTAGATCTCCATAGGGGCAGTATTCCATAACAAAATATAAATAATTTTTGTCTTGGAAAGTGTAGTTAAGGTTGAAATGATAATAAAATTGAGATGGATGTGAAAATTTCGCAGAGAAATATACCCCCTAGCCTAAGTTTAGAAGACATAGGATTTCTCTCTCGAGCACTTAACTCACCCATCCATGAGCGAACAAATTTCTTTGTTTGCTCACGGATGGAAGGGAGTAAGGAAGAATAGCTTTAGGCTGAACATGCGCAGGATCAAAGTTACACACAAACGGTAAGGCACAAAGTAAGAGGCAATGTATATTTAATGATTGTACAGATGGAATGTTTAACAATTTGGCCTGATATTTTAAGTTACAGAATTATCCTTGATGCCTCTAGTTTGGCTTAAGATCTTAATGGCTGTATGAAGATAGACACTGTAAATACCTAATCTAATATTAATTATAATTAAGCTTGACTACACCTGGGTGGAGGCGACTTTTAGTCAGCATGTCTTTTTCTCTCATGGCTTGCTCTGTTTTACCTTCTTTTTTGAGATGGATTTTTTCAATAGTTTTAATTGCGTATTCTTTGTTTGTGTCTTTTTTTCTTACGTGCTCCACTAATCCAAATGCTCCATGGCCAAGAGTTCCGATAGTTTCAAAGTCTTCTCTAGTAATTTTTGCTTTTTGCTGAGAATTTGAGTCCATTTTTTATAATTTTTATGTCTATAATTTAAATTAATATTTTACAAATTCTCATTTTTCAACCAATTTTACCTCTGCTGGCTTGTATCAAGATTAATATCTTTAAGCATCTTTTGGATTCTCCCCTTAACTTGCTTAAGCTCTTCATTAACTTTAGATCTCTTCTGAATTACCGATTCAAGATTTGGCCTTTCTTCGACTTTGGGTTTATTTATTGTCTTAAAATGATTTTCAGAAAAATGATTTGATAAAGCTGAAGAAGACGAAGAAGGTTTGTCATTGGATTTATTTCGAATATATGATGAGTCATTAATCCCAGAATAAAAACGTTCTTGTGGTTGCTTTTGGTTGGAGAGGTCAATAATTGAATCATCCATACTTGTTTGTAAATAGTTATAACTTGAGGGATCAAGTGGATAGCTTCGCTGATTAAAGCCAGATTTTGAGTTATAAAGGTGAGGACTTGCATCGGAGCTTAAATTAGGGTCAATACTTTCTGCCTGATTTTGCTTGAAAGTAGGGAAATCAAGATTTGAGAGCGCTTTAAATGAATCTTTCCTTGGGTTTTCTGTTCTGAAGCTTTCTTTAGATGCAATTGAACGATTATCACTAATTTCTTGATCAGGGAGGACTCGGATGGATGGGCCAAAATCATAGGTTGGCAAACTTTGAATACGCCCAGAATTTTCAATTGTAAAATCTGAGTTTTTTAGAAGATTTCCAAAATTTGATGAATTTTCGCCTCGCCGTGCTCCATAAATGTCGTTTTGATCGTGCTTATTTAATATATAAGCTGCAGCCATTAGCCCTGCTTTATTTTTTCTAGCCGCTGACACATCTCCACCATTTCTCAATTTATCTAGATCTTCCATAATTTTTTTCCTATCATTTTCCAGCATCTCTTTCCTTCTCCTTATATATGCAATATCTTCCCCTTTATTTCTATACAAACTGATCTCATCAAGTTTCAATTGTTTGTAATTTTCTTTTATGTCCCTCGTCCTGGTAATTAAATCACTGGATTGAAACTCAGGATCATTTTCAAGCTTCTCTGCCTTTTCTTGTAGGCTTGATATATCTCTTTTCAAAACGGCTTCTTTATCTAGGATTTTCTGTTTTTCTTCCAAAATCTTCTGGATTTCAGCCTTTTTTATTGCTTCAAGAGCTTCTGCCCTTCTTTTTTCCAGTTCCCTTAACGCTTTTTCTATCTCATCTTTCTCATTAATAGCAGCTCTTTCTTTTTCTTTCCGATTGTCTACTTCTTTTAGTAAATGCTCAATTGTCCCTTCATTTTGTTTTCTTTGAATATTAGCTTTTTGCCTTTCAATATTAATATTATTTAGCTCATCCCTGATCATTTTCTGATGCGAATTTTCATATTCTTTATTATACCTCAGAAATTTATCTTCTATATGTTTTATGCTTGCTCTTGCATCATACATCTCACCCCACTTCTTTAATTGGAGCAAAATATCATAAATTCTAATGTTTTGAGCAATAATTATCTTAAAATTGGAATAAATTTTAATTTTATAGATTAAAATATAGCTTCCTTAAATATATTAAATTTCCTATATTTGCTCTATTTTTAAGTGGAAAGTAGTAGAATATTATTTAAATGAATTTGGCGATAAATTTATAAATTTTTAATTCATAATTTTTCGAAAATAAAACTTCTGATTGGAGAAGATTGCTCTAGTTTAAAGTAGAGTCAGTCCCTTTAATTTGTGCATCAATCTCAGGTATCCTTTGATACTGCACAAAACGATCAACATCATTTAATGTAAGAGTTTCTTGATAATATCTATTTTGCGCTGATTGGTTATCCGATGCTTCCAGTTTCTTATAGAGACTAGGAAGAGTTCCATACTCTGACTCCTTGCAGAAATTTTGTTTATGATTATCAAATTCTCTTTGAGTTTCAAATTTCATCCTGCAGCTTCTGCATTCCAATAATAGAAAATTCGTGTCCATGTGACAATTCTTGACCTTTTTAATATTTCTAACTCTCCCCCCTCCTTGAATAAACAAAAAATTCTTGTTCGCTCACAGAGAGGAGGGTTAATTTGTTTTTTTAAAAATTTATACATAAATTTTATAGAAAATTTTTTGTCTCCGAATTTAAAAAAATCCTAATTCGAATTATTTGGGAAGCAAATATTAATTTAATTTGTAAAATTTATGTTTTAAAACGCGCGATTCATTATACTAATTATAACTTATATATCAAAGTTTTTTTCTATAAAAAATTTTCTATCAAAACAATTTTTGTTCGCTCGATTTTTGGGCAAGAAATAGCGATTTTTCTAGTAGTTTTGTTCACTCACGGAGGGGGGAGTAAATATAAAATGAATTCAAACCAAGATCCCAAAGTGAATGCGATCTTAGAATGCATTGCTTCAGGAGACTTAAGGAAAGCAATGAAAAAAGTAAACAGCCAAATCCAAAACAACGAACTTTCCAAGTTTTATGCACTTAAAGCACTTGTATATCAAAAACTAAAAAAGGTCCCTGAATGCATGGAAATTGTAAAAAGGCTTCAAACTACTTCTCCAGATGATATTGATTCAATTGAGATACTAATAGTCATTTTCAAGAATCTTAAAAAGCTTGACGAAGTTACTGAACTTTATGAAGAAGCTTATGAAAAATTCCCATCTGAAGATAGAGGGAAAAATCTTTATCAGGCTTATTCAAGTCAATTTAAGTTTGGAGAACAGTCAAAGATTGCCTTGAAGCTGCACAAGTATCATGGAAACGTTGAGTATGCAGAATGGGGCGCCTTTTCAATGCTGCTATTAGCAGATACAGATTCCAGGCAAGTCGGAATGGTAGAAATAGCTGACCTTCTTTTCCAAAAAATAAAGAGAAGAGATGGATTTGCTTATACCCCTACATTTTTTAGGCTTGATATTGCTATCCATGAAAGGCTTAAAGCCTTTTCTGAAGCTATTCATTTATTAAATCAGCATATTGATATAATCTCAGACTATGTCGAACGTACATCATTGATTGCGAAATTCTATAGGCTAAGAGGAGAGCATATACATACACTAAATTTATACCATTCAATATTATCTCTTAATCAGTCAGAGACAACAGCAAGAGACTTATGGCAGATTTCTATAGATTATATTGATACCATTTTTGAAATCGTTAAACTGTCCTGTGAAGGAACCACAAGGTTTAGCCAACTCGGGCCATTTGATCCAACATCAGTAGTAATCAAAGCAGTAGATACAGGGACAAAGCATAATATATGGAAGCCTCTTACTGGGACTGAATCTCTTGTAGGCATTATTATTGCTTCATTAGCTAATATCCGAGCAGCTAGAGATTTAATACAAGGAAGAGGAGCACTTATAGATTTAATCAAAAGGCAGTCTTATCTTCTGGAAATGGAGTTCAAAAGGAGACTTATTTTTTGGAATTTTTCTCAAGGTGCTGAAGAATACAAAGATGAAGCTGAGCCTGGAGGTATTTTTATGCCTTTGATTTTAAGATATATAAGTTTGTATTATGAAATCCCAACCACGCCAGACGAAATGACTCCATTTCTCTACCATTTAAATGCTACACAACTAATCCCTTTCAAAGATAAAATTCAAGCGTTTCTTGACAAAACGCTGGATCTGAATACAAATAAAATAAAATGCTTAAAATGTACTATTTGTTGTGTGAAAATATTGAGGCTGGTAGGCTGCTATTCACCACCTGTTATTAAAACTGCTGGAAATATGTGGGAAGCAGCTGGATTTCTAATCAGAAAATACCTGGAATATGTTGAGTATGAGCCAAATCCTAAAAAAAACGAAATAAGACTATCTGATGACTTATTGCTGCTAGCAGTTGAAGTATTGCTTCAGAGCATCCCAGAGGTAACTGAAAATACTGTGGACTATAATACAATTTCAACTAACGAAGAACCATTTCCAAGCTTCAGCCATAGAATTTTCTTTTGCATAGGAGTGCTTGAATATGGAATGCATAGAAGCCCCTATAATAAAACCTTCAAATTCAAACTGATGGCTCTCTATGAAAAAATTAAAAATTACATTGCAGTTGCTAAAATCTACAACTCGCTTGAAGTAAAAGATGAGCAAGTAGAGACTCAGTCATATATTTACTATAGAATGCTTATAGAATCTCCTATTCATATCAAAGAGCTTCAAGAGCTCAGCAAAAACATTTCCCACTACCACAAAACAGCTAACTATGAGCTCTTGCCATATATTCATAGAGCTTACTCCAAGTATTCTATTGAAGAAGTAAAATCTTTATTTGATAAAAAGGTCACAATTGAGAACTCATATTTCAAAACTATAGCACAGTTTATTACAGCTTACACTGGGATATTTAAAACTCTTCTAGTGCCCGGACAATACTTCGCAAAATATTTGCGTGAGAATTTAGCTTTATTTAATAAGACGTCTACACTTTCTGACATTTCTGAGTTTTCTCAAACAGCTGATATGGTTCCTCTATATGATATTGGAGTTATAAAAATAAAGCCGATAAGAGATATTAAAGCAAAAATACCATACCAGCCTGAAGCCTTAAAAGAAGACCCCTTCAAGCATCGAAAGCTGTCTCCTGATAGTGCATATGGCTTATATAGCGCCTTCCTATAGATGGCGCGCAATGCGCCATCACCGGGCCATGTCGGGAGAGGGGTTCTCCACGAGGAATAGTTCCACGTGTGGAACCCTCTTTTTCCACGAGCCAAAAAGAGGGTTCCACACGTGGAGCCATTCCTCGTGGAGAACCCTCTCCCGACATGGCCCAGTGATGGCGCATTGCGCGCCATCTAATAGAATTCGCTATATCTAGATAACAGAATTATTCATATTCATTCAATGAAATTGAAACTAATTCTTGATATTGTTGAACAAAATATCCCAGGTATAGAAAGTGGGCTAAGAGCTTTAAATTCTGTTCTAAGCCAGCTCGATCTTCTTTCTAAACCTGCACTAAAAAAGGCTATTAATTGAAGACCAGGCTCAAGTGCAGCATTTGATGAAGCAGTTCCTGATAAACCATTCACAGGAAAATTTGAATCTGAAGCAGAATTTATTAACCATAAAAAGTTACTGGATTCAAAAATCTGAAAATTTTTACTGATGATTTTTGAAGGAGCGTTTCGGCTTATTTGTGCACATCCATCAGATAATTATTCAAGGACAAGATCTCCGACTTCTAGAGAAAATAATGAATACGCTGAGCAAGATTTTACATATAAATTGACAGCATTTCCCCACGTCTCAAGACACGCTGAAGTTTTAAATTTGATGCTGAAAGATATTGAATCTTTGATAATCCCAAAAGAAGATTATTTAAAAAAATTAAAATTGGGACTCTCCAAGATATCTTCTTCCCTTGATGCCGATGTAGGGAATGAAGATAATGCTGAAAATGATGACATTATGCACCCTGGAATGATTTATATTATAAATGATGTGCTACATGGGCCACTTTTAACGGTTAAAATGCTTATGCCTTCATTAATCTCAACTCTTCCATCAAAGCAGCTCCCGAATGATCCACATCCAGATTTAAACCATGTTTTAAATATTCATAAATGTATAGAGCAGCTCGGAACTGAAACAAATGCCTTGCTTTCTAAAATAAAAGATTATCTTGATCAGCAGACCCGAATGTCATATTGGGAGCAGCTTGGCAATACATATTTATCTACTACAGGTTTTCAGCAGTATACATCTATGCTACCACCTGACACATTTCGCAAAATACTTCAAAATATTTCTACTAATCACCTTGAAGAGCTAAAAACAACCATTGAGTTCATATCTTTATTAGAAAATATTCCTAATTAACTTTTATATAACTCTTATATGGCAAGTCCTCCTATTTTTATAGGTATTTGTGGTGGAACTGCTTCTGGGAAAACAACTCTATGCAATAGAATAAGTGAAGCGTTAGGTGCGGAATGCACCGTCCTGGGTATGGACCACTTCTATAAAGGTCTAACAGAAGAAGAGCTTCCTTTGGTGCATGAGTATAACTTTGATCACCCCAATGCACTTGATTTTGATGAAATGTATATTGCTGTGCAAAAACTGTTGAGAAGGGAAGATGCTGATATCCCAATTTATGATTTTAAAACCCATGGGAGGAAAGCTGAAAGACAGATTGTGAGGAGTTCGAACTTGATCCTTTTTGAAGGAATTTTGGCTTTTTTTGATAAGAGGCTGAGAGATCTTATGAAATTAAAGATTTTTGTTCAGACAGATGATGATATAAGACTCTGCAGGAGATTATTAAGAGATGTTGCTGAAAGAGGCAGAGACCCAGATGGGATTTTGAATCAGTATTTTAAATTTGTGAAACCTTCTTTCGATGAGTATATAAGACCTACTATGAGATATGCAGATATCATTGTACCACATGGTGCACATAATGATGTGGCTATTGAATTCATAGTAATGAACCTTAAAAATATCCTCAATCTCCCTAAAAACTAGATTAATTTGGGAGTTTTAAAAATTAATTTATTCTAACTCCCCCCTCCGTTAGTGAACAAAACCATTAGAAAAATCCATTTTTTTGCACAAAAATCCACCCTCCGTGAGCGAACAAAAATTTTTTATAGAAAAAATTTTGATATATAAGTGATAATTAGTTAATTCTGTTTAATTTTAAGCAAATTGCGTTTTAAAACATAAATTTTTCAAATTAATTAATATTTCCTTTCCTATTGGGATGTTTTTAAATTTCGAAAAAAAAAATCTATAAAACTTATATATAAATTTTAAAAAAAAACAAATTAACCCCTGCGAACCAACAAGATTTTTTGTTAGCTCACGGAGAGGGGGTGTAAGATAATAAATATTAAATTTAGATTTTAATATTCGAGTATAAAATACATTTTAAAAAAAAATAATTTCCTTACATAGACATTTATTTGCTAAATAGATTTTATTATGCTAATATTTCCAGCATTTATGCTGTAAAATAAAAATATGAGTTACAAGCAAAGTATCGCAATTCAAAACGAACTCAGAAATAAATCACCAAAGCAGCTAGAGGCCAATAGCAATAAAAGCGGAGCCAAAACCAAATCAAAAAGAGAGAATGATTTCACCATAAAATATAAGACCGAGCTATGCAGGAACTGAATTTCAGGGTTCTGTGAATTTGGTGATAAATGTGCATTTGCTCATGGGGATGAACAGCTGAGACTAAAAGAAGCTGCCCCTGAACCAGTAAAGATAAAGAAATGTGTAAATTACTTTGAGGTAGGATATTGCCTTTTAAATTCTAAATGCCCTTTCAGGCACGAAAAAAACTCCCAAGACACTGCACCTAATTCTCCTACGGGTAGTGTAGAGTCCAGCAGGAGGACGAGTGAAGATTTTTCACCGGATCGAACACAAATATTTATAGATTTGGAATCAAGAAATACTTATTTCTAATTAATTAATATTTCAAAAAAAAAGTATACTCCGTTGGGACTTTTCATCGTCAGTATGCCGATGAACTGCTCGATTAATAATATAGTCTCTTCTTCAATTCTTTATCGAACCGAGCGTGTGAAATTTTTCTCCAACAATTGGAGAAAAATTTAAAATATATAGATTCTACGTATCAAAATTTTCTACACATTTGGGGAAATTTTGGACATGTCAGACAAGATAAGAAATTATTGCAAAGCATCATAGCCTATTTTGGCATGAAATAGTCTACTGATTACTAACATTTAGTCCGTGTTCTGATGATTAAAAATCCTAACAGACTATATAAGATTTCACTTATTATTGTAAAATTTATTCAAAGTATAAAATCTGTTAAGATTTTATGAATCCAGTAATAAGAAGACAATTTATTAGAAAAGATGCTAACTCCACCCACCCCTCTGTGAATAAACATACCATTGAAAAAATCCCAAAAAACCCACCCCTCCCAAACAAAATTTTTTTAATATAATAGTTTTTAATGAAAAAAAAAATTTATATATAAGTGATAATTATTATAATGAGATCTTTAGCTAATTTTGTTTAAATTTGAAACAATTTGAATTTTAAAACATAAATTTTACTAATTAAATTAATATTTAATTTCAAATTGGGATATTTTTGAATTTCAAAAAAAAATTAAACCCTAGTGAGCGAATAAAATTTTTTCTTTCACTAGCAGAGGAGGGAGCAAGGTTTTATTAGGAAAACTTAAAAGTTTTTTTGACTTGAAACTTCCATATACAATTTTGAGGAATAGCTTATCCATATTTTTGACAGCATTTTTGGGTATATTCTAAATATCGAGGCCAGAAAATCCAAAATTGAAAATAATATATGAAAAATTCACATCTAATACAAACAAATATTTATGAAAAATTATTTTATGCATTTTGTATAAATTAGCTAATTTATTGAAAAATTCTTTAAAATAGCTGTTAAAATAAAATATACGAAAGATCCTAAAATTCCTATTATTTAATGGAGTTAAAAATTAAATATTGCTACCAAAATCGAAGGAATTTAAGTTATCTTTAAATTCTTTTATTAATTATAAATAATAGGATATTTTCTTTGATATTTCATCTTGCTTTATAAATAACAAAGCATATAAATAATCAATATATTAATTATTAGCCAAATTATTTTAAACTCATCGCAAATAAAAATATGAGTTACTCCATCCCTCACGATGAGCGCATATCCAGACTTTCTGAAAGGCTCACAAGTCTCCAAGGCAAGATGGACAACCACCGATCTCAAAACATCGAAAGTCTCGACTCAAAGCTTAAAGGCATTGAAGACCTTTTCAATGAATTTCAAGACCAATCCTCCAGAAAGTTTAACGTCCTAAAAGACCAACTGACTAAAATTTATAAAGGAATTGAAGAAGAAAGCGAAAATAGAGAGTCCCTTGCAGACGCAAAAACGAGAGAAATTAATTCAATGGAAGCCAGGATCAAAGGAATTTTGGAAGCTGAATTTAACTCTCGCAGAGAAATTGAGCAAAGAATGTACAATCAAATTGAAGAAAAAGCAAATATAAAAAGCTTGACTTAGCAATACTAACTAATAAATTAATATTTTAATGTTTTAAAGAGAAATTAAGACATCTCAAAGTAGAATTAATATTAAAATCAATTTTAGAAAGTATATCATAAGAAATGAGCTGAAAAAAGAGAGCCAGCTGAGACAAGAATCGATAAATACTTTGCAACAATACTTAGAAGTGTGCTCAAGCATAAAACCCTTCCCCCACCTCCAATCTATAACTACCTATTTTTTATTATATGATATATTAAAAATGCAAAATTTAGAGCTTACTTTTTAATTCCATTATGATTTTGAGCATATTTATCAACATGTCTGATATTATTTTTTTAGTCTAGTAAAAGTATAGATCTTTTGTGCTTTTTAATGCTTATAGTAGTTTACTTCATTAAATACATTAAATTAACCAGTATCCTATTGCACTATGTAAAATAAGATCATAGCTGATCAGTAGTTATGTTTTGCTCATTATATAATGCTAATATATGAGCTTATAAATTATTCAGTTTTTTTCCAATTTATCAACTTTTTATATTGATATGTAACGCTTTCAGACAATTCCAAAATTTCAAAAGTAAATATATATGCAACTATAGTAATAATATCAGACATATTGATAAATATGCTCAAAAATCATAATAAAATTGAATAGTAATCTCTGAATTTTATATCTTTAATATATCATACAATAAAAAATGGGTAGTTATAGATTGGGGGGTTTTACGCATGGACAGAAGTGGATATTCCTAAAATCCATGAAGCACTGAAAGCTGAAAGCGAAGACAGAGAGCAAATGGAAGCTGCTATTATGAAGCAGTTCCACGAAGATATGGACAAGCTTTATCAAGCATTTTACCAAGAAAGGAAACAAAGAGAAGAAAGCGAAGAAAACTTGCAGGAATACTTGAAAGAAGTGGTGCTTAATTTGAAAGGAGATATAGATAAAGAAAGAGCAGAAAGAGAAGCGACAGAAGAAACGTTGTTGAGCTTACTAGAGGCGACTTGCACTAAGCTCAATGCTGCATCTCAACTTTAAGTTAACCAAATTTAAAAAATTATCAGGCGCTAGACTCATTAATTTTATGGTCTTCTCGATATATTTATTTGCAGAGGAAATTAAAAAAATTATAATTAAACAAAGATTTGTTTGGAATAACATATTTATTTGAAGGGTTAAGGTCAGAATAAGCTTAATTAGATATTGAAGAAAGAAATTTGCTATCGAAGAGATATAAAATCTATTAGATAATTATGATAAAAATTTTGGTTAGCTTTAGGAAATTAATTCTAACTCCCCGTTAGAAAAATCCCTATTTTTTGCCCAAAAAAACCCACTCTCCGTGAGCAAACAAAAAATTTTTATGAAAAAAAAATTTGATATAAGTGACAATTATTATAATGAAATCTCGAGCTGATTCTGTTTAATTTTAAGCATCTTACATTTTAAACATAAATATTGCAAATTAAATTAATTTTTACTTCTCAATTTTTTACAAATTGGAATTTTTTAAAATTTTTATACCTAAGTATCATAAGTAGCACGGGGCGTTTTTTTAGTGGGCATCAGCCATCTATTGAATTTTCAAGGATGCAATTGCGTCTCACTGTAGTTTGCATGAATGCTATGTATGATGAATAATTATTTTAAAAGATGCAATTGTATTGCACCTACAACTTGCACAGCATGAATAGAAGGGGACTAACTTTAACAATAGTATTAGTATAAATTTTAACTTACACTTGATGATAGTTATCGCATCACCTAATTCATCATAAATTATTTACTTATGAGTTATAGTGTCAATTGAAGCATACTCTATTATCCAAGGTCTTCCTCGCCTTGCTTTGATTTCATCTAGCATGCTGCGTTTGGTGCATTAACTCAAAGAGAAAAATTATATGCTTACTCCCCCCCCCCCCTCCGTGAGCGAACAAAAAAATTTTGTTCGCTCACGGAGGGGGGTTAATTTTTTTTTTTAAAAAAAAATTTATATATAAATTTTATAAAAAATATTTTTTTCGAAATTAAAAAAATCCTAATTTGCAAAAATTGGGAAGCAAATATTAATTTAATTTGCAAAATTTATGTTTTAAAACGCAATTTGTTTAAAATTAAACAGAATTAGCTCTAGATTTCATTATACTAATTATCACTTATATATCAAATTTTTTTTCCATTAAAATTTTTTCTATTAAAAAAATTTTTGTTCACTCACGGAGGGTGGGTTTTTGGTCAAAAAATGGCGATTTTTCTAATGGTTTTGTTCGCTCACGGAGGGGGGGGGGAGGGAGTTAGGCTTATATTGGATTTCCAAAGATGCAATTGTGTCACACCTGCATGCAAGGGTCAAATTTGAATTCTTCTCATTACTGGTGCTTCGTTTGTGAACGGCAACAGTAGTGGATTCTGATCAGAAACTCCATATTTACCACAGAAATCAAAATATTTCATAAACCAAAAATAAATGCAATTGTCAAGAAAAAATAGTCAACCAAAAATAAATGCAATTGTCAAAAAACAATAGTCAACCAAAATATGAAAGAGAAACAATAATTGGCTTCCAAATGGATGATTTTTAAGAGAAAAAATAATAAATTAATTCTGAGAACAAAAATATTATCAGAGAAAGCAGTATTAATTGAGTGAACTCAATGAAGATTGTGCAAAATGGATTATTATGTTATTTACTCAATTATGAGTTATTAAATTTTTGTCACCTTTCAAAAAATTACGAATTTTTATTTTTAAACTAAAATAATTGATTATTTTTGTGCTCGATCAATATGAGATGGTTACGAAGCAAATGAAAATCAGACGCTCAACAATTTGGACAAGTTACAACACTAGGCGTGCGACAATTCTGATGAAGCGGTTGAGAGCCACATGATGCATAGAAAAGATTTCCAACATTTGAAAGGCAGATCATGTAAGGGTACTGAGAATTTTCTTCCATGATAACATCATCAGAACTTACAGATAATTTTGCCATGAATTTTTGCAGATTTGTTAGGACATATTTCTACATTGTTCCAGTTTTTTTGGCCTGGGTAAATCAAGAGTAGCTGCAGCAAAAAGGTGTGAGCTCATTATTTTGATAATAGATTCAACATTTTCACTTGAATGTGAGGCATTAAGATTATTTTTTATTATTTTGAAATATTTGATTTGTAGGCTCATAATAAAAAGCAATTGTTTTTAAATACGATTTCCCTGGTCGTCTATGTAAAAAATATAAAGTTAATGCTATCGATAGATTGTGTTGCTGCATTATAATGAGAAACTTTTTTCTTGCTGCTTTTGTGCTTGGTTGAAGTTTAGCCTACTAACAAATGAAAAAGTACTTCCAAATAAAATTAATTATTAAATATAATTTATTCACGTTAGTCCCATTTTATTATAAAATTGATGTTCTTTAATTCAGATCATACAAGCCTCCCTAATTTATCTATTACTAAGCCTAAATCAGCCCTAAATCAATCTGTTGATACCGAGCAAGATGTTTTCTTTCAGAAGCAAAAGGAAATATTAAATAATTCTATTCTCTGAACTATAAAAGAACTGGAATTATCAAAAAGGAATTATATTATAAATTCAGCCTATAAAATAAAAGCTAAGAATGAAATTTTGGTTATAGACAGTGCAATTATGATTGATAGCTCAAATTATACTACAGATGACAGTCTAATGCTAGAACTTATAGAAAAGCTTGAAAATAATGAAAATAAAAGTTTTAATTTAAAAAAAGATTTGAGCAAATTTAATGTGCTTTTAAAATCGAGGCTCAGTTGGGTTTCTTATTCAAAATTAAAAAAGTTAGAGCAAAAAAATAAGAGAAAATGAAACAAAATTGAATATGGTTACAAAGAAATAGTGAATTCAATAAAACCAAATACTGAAATTTTAATTAAGTTAAATAGTTATGCAAGCATTCTATATCAAAACTATTTAAAAAAGTTTGATCAAATTGCTAAAAATTACCTAAAATTTAGCAAATATATTGAAGAAAATAAGGCTAACGATGATAATAATATTTATTTAGGGTTTCACAGCGGGATTGCTGTATTGATATGACCTCTGAAAAGCAAAAATATCATTATTGAGATGATGATAATGATGATGATTTAGATTGAGTTATTAAGCTTCCTAATGATGAATTGTTTTGCTGCGGGCGTTATATTATAGGTCCTGCTCGCGTCACCGTAGAAGAATTGCTAACACATTTATTCTTGACAGCAAAACATTTGAATTGAAAAAAAAATTGATTACCGAGGAGATAATGATTCATGCTCTGGGCTACTCTATAATAATTTCATATATTTTTTTGGTAGTGAGATTTGTGTATCTTTTGATATGCAGTCAAAAAGATGAAAAAAACTTACTAGCATTGATTTAAGTTTTTGCACTTTGCGGGTGGTGGTTTTGCCCCTCTATACGGATTTTGCTGCTCCAAAACTTGGCCACAGGAGTTCTCAAGAAGGTTAATACAGAGTTACTGGAAAAAATCAGTGAAGGCAGAAATGGAGTAAATGGCAAGCAAATCCCAAAATATGTACTTTAATGTCGCGGGCTGTTCAAGTACCACCAGCTACCTCTGAGAGGAGGGTCTTGAAGCTTGGAGGATGGGAAACCGTACAGTAAGTCCTTATGAGCTGAGACATCACCTGGTGACGTCCTCTAGTAAGCTCGATCGCTCTTATCGGTATACCGACCAGAATTCTGATGAGAATATGTATATAAACGATTTAAGTTTTAAATCAAACTGTATATTATTTCAAAAAGCTATCTATTGTGTGGATATGATCCTATAGTGTATAAGTATGATATAACTATTGATAGCTACTCTGAGATTGTTTTAAATTTAAATAGTGGGTTTAAATTTCTTGCATATGGCCTAGAAAGAGCCTATATAATTGATTTTAATGGATTTATTTACGAAAGTGAAAAAGAAAACGAGTATTATTGAAATGCTGTGTGTGAAGGTAAGATTTCAGAGCACACTTCAACTTATAGTCCATTCAATAACACGCTTGGACTATATTGAATAGCTGATAGTTATTGTATTATGTTTGGAATTTATAGAGAAGAAGTAAAAGTAAAAGCAGGTGACAATAAAAATTTCCAATATTTTATATTTGACTTTAGAAATCGAAGTTTGAGCCTAGCTAAAGAAGAATAAAGATGAAGAATATTCTTCAAGTGATAAAGAACTTTTGATGTCAATAAAATAAAAAATAAAACAATATTAAGATTATTTAACTCTTAAAAATAAATGAAAATGATAATTTGAAAAAAAAAATTGTTAGTATTTTTTAATAGCAATTCTTATTATTTTTTAATAATAAATTGAATTTTATCAATTCAAAAACTCTCGACTCAAAGCTTAAAGGTATTGAAGACCTTTTCAATCAATTTCAAGATCAATCCACTAGAAAGTTTATCGTTCTAAAAGACCAACTAACTAAATTTATAAAGGAATTGAATAAGAAAGCGACAATAAAGTGTCCCTTGCAGACGCAAAAACGAGAGAAAATAATTCAATGGAAGCCAGGATCAAAGGAATTTTGGAAGCTGCTAAGTCAAGCTTTTTATATTTGCTTTTTCTTCAATTTGATTGTACATTCTTTGCTCAATTTCTCTGCGAGAGTTAAATTCAATATCATAAGAAATGAGCTGGAAAAGAGAGCCAGCTGAGTCAAGAATCGATAAATACTTTGCAGCAATACTTAGAAGTGTTCAAGCATAAAACCCAAGACCCAGAATAAGCTTAAATTGGATATTGAAGAAGAAATTTGCTATTGTAACAGAATAAAATCTGTGAGACAATTATGATAAAAAATTATTGTTAGATTTAGGAAATTAATTCAAAGCATTAAATATAATTTATTCACGTTAGCCCCATTTTATTATAAAATTGATGTTCTTTAATTCAGATCTTACAAGCCTCCCTAATTTATCTATTACTAAGCCTGAATCAGCCCTAAATCAATCTGTTGATACCGAGCAAGATGTTTTCTTTCAGAAGCAAAAGGAAATATTAAATAATTCTATTCTCTGAACTATAAAAGAACTGGAATTATTAAAAAGGAATTATATTATAAATTCAGCCTATAAAATAAAAGCTGAGAATGAAATTTTGGTTAATTCAATTAAGCAAGCTGATCTAAAGATAGAAAAATGCAAAAATATGCTTAATTATTCAAACGCTTGCAATGAGCTATCAATTACTCAATTTTTATTAGAACAATATAAAAATGAATTTTCTAATTTATCTATAAAGCAACCTGGAGAATATATAGACAGTGCAATTATGATTGATAGCTCAAATTATACTACAGATGACAGTCTAATGCTAGAACTTATAGAAAAGCTTGAAAATAATGAAAATAAAATTTTTAATTTAAAAAAAGATTTGATCAAATTTAATGTGCTTTTAAAATCGAGGCTCACCTGGGCTTCTTATAAAAAGTTAAAAAAGTTAGAGCAAAAAAATGAGAGAAAATGAAACAAAATTGAATATGGTTACAAAGAAATGGTGAATTCAATAAAACCAAATATTGAAATTTTAATTAAGTTAGACAGTCATGCAAGCATTTTATATCAAAACTATTTAAAAAAGTTTGATCAAATTGCTAAAAATTACCTAAAATTTAGCAAATATATTGAAGAAAATAAGGCTTATGATGATAATAATATTTATTTAGGGTTTCACAGCGGGATTGCTGTATTTGATATGACCTCTGAAAAGCAAGAATATCATTATTGAGATGATGATAATGATGATGATTTTAATATTAACCTCGATTATTTAGATTGAGTTATTAAGCTTCCTAATGATGAATTGTTTTGCTGCGGGCATTATATTAGTAGGTTCTGCTCGCGTCACCGTAGAAGAATTGCTAACACATTTATTCTTGACAGCAAAACATTTGAATTGAAAAAAAAATTGATTACCGAGGAGATAATGATTCATGCTCTGGGCTACTCTATAATAATTTCATATATTTTTTTGGTAGTGAGATTTGTGTATCTTTTGATATGCAGTCAAAAAGATGAAAAAAACTTACTAGCATTGATTTAAGTTTTTGCACTTTGCGGGTGGTTTTGCCCCTCTATACGGATTTTGCTGCTCCAAAACTTGGCCACAGGAGTTCTCAAGAAGGTTAATACAGAGTTACTGGAGAAAATCAGTGAAGGCAGAAATGGAGTAAATGGCAAGCAAATCCCAAAATATGTACTTTAATGTCGCGGGCTGTTCAAGTACCACCAGCTACCTCTGAGAGGAGGGTCTTGAAGCTTGGAGGATGGGAACCGTACAGTAAGTCCTTATGAGCTGAGATATCACCTGGTGACGTCCTCTAGTAAGCTCGATCGCTCTTATCGGTATACCGACCAGAATTCTGATGAGAATATGTATATAACGATTTAAGTTTTAAATCAAACTGTATATTATTTCAAAAAGCTATCTTATTGTGTGGAGATGATCCTATAGTGTATAAGTATGATATAACTATTGATAGTTACTCTGAGATTGCTTTAAATTTAAATAGTGGGTTTAAATTTCTTGCATATAGTTCAGAAAGAGCTTATATAATTGATTTTAATGGATTTATTTACGAAAGTGAAAAAGAAAACGAGTATTATTGAAATGCTGTGTGTGAAGGTAAGATTTCAGAGCACACTTCAACTTATAGTCCATTCAATAACACGCTTGGACTATATTGAACAGCTGACAGTTATTGTATTATGTTTGGAATTTATAGAGAAGAAGTAAAAGTAAAAGCAGGTGACAATAAAAATTTCCAATATTTTATATTTGACTTTAGAAATCGAAGTTTGAGCCTAGCTAAAGGCTTCAAAGCCAAGGATAAAGATAAAGATGAAGATGAAGAATATTCTTCAAGTGATAAAGAACTTTTCATGGCAATAAAATAAAAAACAAAACAATATTAAGATTATTTAACTCTTAAAAATAAATGAAAATGATAATTTGAAAAAAAAAATTGTTAGTATTTTTTAATAGCAATTCTTATTATTTTTTAATAATAAATTGAATTTTATCAATTCTAAGACACAGCTTGCTTGAAATTATGTTTGTTGATCTTTACTTGCATTGCCTTGAAAGTCTAGAATTTTCTTACAATTCATGACTAGAGTTCTAATAAGACTTGCTAATAAACTATGCATCTTTTCCAAATCAAAATAGTTTAATTTTGATATATTTGTAATAGAGCTAAAATGAAGAAAAATTTAAAAATATTTAAGTCTGCTAAAAAGAGATGCTGGCAATTCTATTTAAAATTTCAAAAATTTTAACTATATAGCATATAATAATTCACTTCGAAGCCCCATTTTATTATAAAAATAATAATATTTAATCAAGATATCTTATAAGTTAGATCTTTTTCTTTATCATTTTAAAAAGTTTTGGAATAAATTTATTTTTAGCCTTCTCGTTATTTTCTTATATTAAAAAAATAATGCCAGGAAGCAGATAATTTTCAATCACTGCTATTACAATTAATACTTTATTTCCCAGTATTAATTAAGCATGCTATATTGATAAATATATTAGATTAGCTGTTAAATAGCTTAAAGAAGATTTATATTTATAGGCTAAATTAAAAATAAGAATTATTGCTCAGCTCTGTTGAAAATAAAAAAGCAGCCTTTCACTTTTAAATGAGAAAACGCAGTCAATTGACCTTCCTTATTTCCTTATATAGCGTCTGCACGCTTACCGTGCGCCTTGGAGATCTTCCTTCCCCGCAGCTTGGAGAGTTGACGAGTAACTTGATGCGACAAACCAACCTCAAATGTATAAAGCATATCCTTTGCAGGATATATCAACTTGGTGTTGACTTGCCACTTCAGGTGACCCGTCTACTCTCCAAGTTGCGGAGAAAGAGGCTGCGCCAAGAAACACAATAAGCATGCATACAGTATATCTAAGGAATGCTAAAATGCTGCTACTCAAGTATATTAGAAATATTAAAATCTAATTTAAAAAATTATAGTGTAGGAAATATTTTAATGCATTTAAATTTGGCCAAAATTGGAGAAAGTGTTAAATATTCAATGAAAGATTCTAACCAAAAAGCAAATATTTTTTTAGGGTTTAAGAATGGGATAATCGAATTTGATCCTTACAATGGGAAACAAAAAAGGCATAATTTAGACTGGGGCTTAATTCGTTTTAGATGGATAATAGATTTACACAACGGTGAGTTACTTTGCTGTGGAGAAAAATCAATAAGAAGAAAAATTGGATATTCTAAGCCTAGAAAAGCCACCGTTTTATTTATCATCAATAACAAAACCTTTAGAGTTATCAGAGAAATTCCCTACAGATATTATGAGCATGATTGACAGGGAGTCTATTACAATAATGCTGTTTACTTATTTGGAAACTATACTTCCACTTCTTTTAACCTTGCCAAAGGAAAATGAAAGAAATTAGCTCCTTTGCCAATGAATTCCTCTGAATGCTATTGCATTCCTTTTAAAAGATCTATTCTATTATGTGGAACAGAACATTCTGATGTATATAAATATGATATTGATATAAAAAGTTATTCGACACTTGGTTTATCACTTGATACTTATAACGCAAAGTTGCTTCTCTTTCATAGTAAAATTGCATATTTAATTGAATTAAAAGGATATATCTATGAAAGCGAGGAGGAAAATGAATACAGCTGAACACAAGTAGGCTTAGGAAGCATTTATGGGCCAGCTTGACAATTATATTGAGCTTCCAATAATTCAAGTATTTTTATAGGAACTTATAGCAAGGATGATACTTCAAACTATTATGAATTTCAGCTCAGTCAGAAAAAATTGATTCAAATTTGTCTAGACTCTGAAAAAAACCTCAACTAACTTATAAGAAGCAAGTTTATTGATTATTAAATTAATCCGCTATAAATATTTTAGTTAAGCGATTTCTTAATTTTATTCTTAGCTCGAATGATAAAATCACATTAAGATGATGATTTTTATTAAAATAACTAAATGGACTACGCTTAATTCATTTTATTAAATTGTAGATTTGCCATGGCTGAGATAGAATTGAAGGAAGAAGATATTGAGTTAACAGGAAAGACCCTTTACATGGTTGAGGGGCAAGTTGAAATTGAACTCGGAAGATTCAAAAAAAATCCAGAAAAGCTTTTTGTTGTGAAAAAAATTTATCCAATTGATGAAGACTACGATAAAATGAAGCGAGAAGTTGTCTCGCTGTATAAATTAAATCACCCTGCAATTCCTAAATTTTATGGCTACTATTGATCTAGACGGAATAATTTATATTTGCTTTGTGTTTTAATAGAATACTTTCATAATGGTGATCTAGCCAGAGAAATCTTGAGAAGAAAGAACAATACTTGATCGGAAGAAGAATTATTACATCATTTTGGATGTCTCTTAGATGCATTTGCATATATGGAATGCGCAGGTTTTGCACATCGAGATATTAAGCCCCAAAATATTTTTATTGGAAATGAAGGCAGCTTCAAGGTCGGGGATTTTGGGTGCTCTATTCAAAGTTTAGAGCACCAACTTAGAGAACTTGCAACTATTTCTGGGTCTCCTATATATTTAAGTCCTCTTGTGCGAGAAGCATGAATTTCTTATCAGGAAGGCAGTAACTGAGCAGGAAAGACTAATCACAATGTTTACAAATCAGATGTTTATTCGCTTGGGCTAACTTTCCTTTATATGGCTACCTTAAAAGAGCCAATAGAATTAGTGAGTCTTAAAAATCTTAAAGAAAAAATTAAGGGAAAGCTATATCAGATAAGATATAATCGAATCATCCCTTTACTTGAGCTAATGCTAAAAGTCAATGAAGATGAAAGACCTAATTTCATCCAGCTAAAGCATTTTTATAATGAAAATTTTAGATTTCTGGACGTCAATGTATTCGCACAAGCGCGATTTTTGGCAGAAATGGTCAATGAAAGAGTATTTTCTCCTACAAATTTCAATCTTTTATATTTAAAAGGCACCAAAATAACATTTAAAATCAAGACAAAGAACATAAAATTATTAGCGAATTTATATTCAAAATGCAGCAACGAGAGACTGACCACAGTTGAAAAAGAAATCCTCTTAGATTTGATAAAAAATGATGAGATATCAGATAATTTATGCAAGATATGCAATAATAGAATTTTTATTGATGACCACCCTTTAGTAAAAAGTAAATGCCCTTGCAGATATTGAATGCATAAAGCTTGCTATTATGAAAGTTTGAATACAAATAAGGCATTAACATGCAATATTTGCAATAACTCTTTAGTGCCATTTATAAATCAAATATTCTGCCCGAACCATGACTGTCCTGGAACCATTCCATTAAAAGCGAAAACATTTAAATGTAATATATGCTTTGCAGAGTTTTGCAAGATATGCAAAATAAACTTAATTAATCATCAAAATTCCTGCATTAGTTCATCCCTTAGCAGAAGGAGTTTAAGATGTGGGAAATGTGGCCAAGCTGTAATAAGAGAAAGAGGGAGTTTTTACTACAAATGCCAGAATTGCGGATATTTGTGTATAGTTTGCTTTAAAGGGATATATGCAAGTCACAAGGAATGCTGCAGCTATTTTATATCTTTAAATCAATTTTAGCTGATTTTCATATGATAATGATAAATTATTATTACCCCAGAAAAATTGATTTCTTCTAAAATTAAATATAAATGTCATACACTCCCAACTCCAGTGCTAAGCGCGCCCAAAAACTCCAAGATCTCTGTCGAAATCTCAATCTCAATGCTCTTATTTTCATCCTTGGTTTAGACAGCAAGCGAAATAGACTTGACGAAAAAGCATTTTTTTGGCTCTTCCAAGGATTTTCAGGCCAAAACAAACTAAATTCAGTTTCAGTTCCTTTTAAATACGAAGAAGTAGCATGAATAGTCACTCCAAACTCATTTGAAATTTTTGTAGGAAGTGCTTGCAATGAATTGGCTGACACAGAAAGTGCATTTACTGAAATCCAAAAAATCAGCTGCAGCTGGAATGGAGGAAATGCTACAACAGTCACCAAAGATGAAGTCTCAGACTCCGAAGCTGCTGAAGAGACTAAAATCTTATGATTTATTAGGTGTATGAAAAAAATTTTAGGTCCTGTAGGTATTTGCTCAGATCAGATTGAGACGTGGCCGCTTATTCAAGCTTATGCTATTGATATGTTTGGCTGTGGGTTTTTTTCTAATAGCCATCCGCACGTCAATATCAGTGAAATGCTTGAGCCTTATTTTTGTGATTTTGATGAGACTGCTGTAGATATTCTGGTTACTGAGCATCTGCCAAGACTAAAGACAACATTTGATCAAACCATTGAATTTGTGAATAAAAGGGGATATCCACAGAAAAGGGGTGATGTGAAAGAGGAAGATATTAAAGATTGTATATGCTTGCCCTATGAGTACGTCATGATATCAAATCCGAAAGAAGTTGTGCATAAGCCCAAGCTTAAGCTCTGGGGAAAATTTGATGATGGGAAAGCTCTGGTGAAAAATGCTACCCACATGAATGTGCAAGGAGTTTGTGGGATTTCTGGGCTTATGGTTTCTCGAAGCTGGTTTTTTATACCACAGGGAACTGCTAAAAGCTACTTGGAAAATAAAGTAGAAAATGATATGGTAGGTGTAATGGAGCTTTATAAAGTCCTTGTAGGAATTACTAAAAAAACTCTTCACCATATTTGTGATCATTCAGTTCAAGAGTTTATAGATTTATTCTTATTTGAGCTCTACAAAGATCACTTATTTTTAGCATACCATAACATGCTTAGCGCTGTCAGAGAAGGAATACAAATAAATCTAAATTCCTATGATGCTGACGGTGTTTGCCATGATTTCAGCCCAAACCAATACCCATTGCATTCTATACAAATCCTTATTTTTAACATAAAATCTGAAAATTTTGAAGACTTAGGCGGACTGTCATTCGGGGAAAGCTTCCTAATCAAAGATGGGAAAATAAAAAATCTCACAGAAAATATTGAACCTTTTATTATGTGGGAAAGCACCGCTAAAAAACAAATGCAAAGCGAGTTTGGGCAAAGACTTTCAACTTTTGAGAACGTCAAGCTATACGTTGAAAATTGGTGTCCATTTGACGGTGCCTTAATTGTGTATGAGTCTGGCTGGGGATTTAAGTCAGTTCATCTTGGAGATTTAGAATATGAAATATCAAGTTTTAAAAAAATTGAGCAACACAGCTCTGATCTTGTCTCATTTTTTTCAGAAAATGCAAGATATGTATTCAAAGTCAGTGCAAGGGCTTCAGGATTTCTTATGTCAGTTTGGAATATTGAAGCTGTTAGCACTGAAGGACCTGAATATTTGTATGTGAGAGGATTACAAAAGGAAGAAGAGACTGTAAAAGTTGAAGCAGAAACTAATGAGAAGACAAAACTTTATATTGTAATAGGAATGCCAGGGTCAGGAAAAACAAGAGCTGCTGAAGATATAGCAAAAGCAATAAAAGCAGAATTCATTAAGCCAAGCTTCAAAGAATCTGTATATCTAAATAAAGAATTTTGAAGAAAAAGCTTTGAAGACATAAAGTCTCAAGAAATAGTTGCCGCATTGCCTGGGTTTATGATGCCTGCTGATATCCTAGATCTGATTCCTCCACATGTAGAGCTAAAATCTGTGATCGTAAAAATATTTAACAACACATTCTATATGAACAAGCGCAAAGAATTTTTACCACGATTTTTGCCTCAAATTCATGTCTCAAATTCACTAATTTATGAAGAAAAAGACAGCAATAACGACATTATCAAATTTATTACAGCGCCAAACCCTAGTTTAGAAGTGTTTTGAAGTAAAGGGTCTATAAGCCCCCAGCAAGCCAGAACAATTTTAAGCAGCGCAACTTCTATTAGGCCTCAATATAGCTATAAACCTCTATACCAACTGCAAACTCTTTTCATTAACTGCCCTTTGCCACTATTAGAATCTAAAATCAGACAAAAACTATTAAACGCCCACACAGCTGATGAAGGAAATCTTTCCAATCGGCTTCAATGGGAAAACAACATGCAGATTTTATATGTGAAAGGCTCTGTATTCCTCAAAGGAAAAACTGAAAACCAAGCAATGTATGATGTTAGAGGCAACACAAAAGAAGTCTTCTTCAAAGAAGGAAAAAGTGAAGAGCCAGGCTTGCTTTTTATAGGCAGAAATTTAGAAAAAGAAAAACTTATTGAAATGGTATTAGAATGCAGAGCTTATACATCTAAATTGCCTCTTAAAACAAGACAACTTTTGGAATCAGAAGAAATTAAGAGAGTTGAGGATACTCTTGGACAGTCAGAAGACTATTTCTTTGATGGGACTTATTATATGGACGCTGAAGGAAAACGGTCGCTGCATCATCCAGACCTAGAAGACAAGCTGGAAGAGTACATAGACGAAGAAAATGAAAGGATTGGCAAATTCAATAGAAGCTTGGAGAAAGAAAACAGCATCATTAGAAAAGCTAATCAAGAAGAAATAATTAAAGAAGTATTCGCTTACTCCCCCCCCCCCCTCCGTGAGCGAACAAAACCATTAGAAAAATCGCCATTTTTTGACCAAAAACCCACCCTCCGCGAGTGAACAAAAATATTTTTAATAGAAAAAATTTTAATAGAAAAAAATTTTGCTATATAAGTGATAATTAGTATAATGAAATCTAGAGCTAATTCTGTTTAATTTTAAACAAATTGCGTTTTAAAACATAAATTTTGCAAATTAAATTAATATTTGCTTCCCAATTTTTGCAAATTAGGATTTTTTTTAAATTTCGAAAAAAATATTTTTTATAAAAATTTATATATAAATTGTTTTTTAAAAAAAAAAATTAACCCCCCTCCGTGAGTGAACAAAATTTTTTTGTTCGCTCACGGAGGGGGGGGGGGGGAGTTAGTGAATTATCTGTGGCTTTCTGTCTTATTGCCTGCCATTCTACCTTTGCGTTTTTTCTTCTCCTTTTTAAGCTCATTTGTAGTTTGAAGCTTTTTGTATTCAGCTTGCATTTCGTCAAGCATTGACCTGACTTTGTTTTGTTTTTGTTCTTTTCCTTGCTGTCTAAGCTTATTTTCTGTGAATTTTTCAGAGACTTCCACTTCTGTCTCTTTCTGCAGAACTTTTTTAGTTAATTTTGTAGCTTTTTTGGTCTGCATTTTAAGTTTGTCTGTTTCTGTTAAAACTTTATTTGGATCTTTTGCTTGTTTAACTGATGTAATTCTGTCAAGAATAAAAGGCTCAAAAGTTTCGATTTCTTGAGGCTTTTCTATTTTGAATTTTATAGGGTTTGTGACAGGCTCGCAGGAGATATTGAGAGACTTGTCTAAAAATGGTAAAAATTGAGACAAGATTAAAGAAAATGCAGGCTCATTGGAAAATGATTTTTGAATTACAGTGAAAAGGTCGCTTGCCATAGTGTGAAGATTGGAATCTGTGAGATCAGAAAAGAGAAGCTTTAAATTAAATTCTTCATTATAAGGCTGCTGGCCAAGATTTTGAAATACTCTTAATAAGCCTCGTGTACATTCAGGAGAGTAAAAATTATTTGGAGTTAGCCAAATATCGATGTAGACTTTGGCTAGAAGCAAAAAGTTTCGGGTTTGTAATTTATCAAGGAATGGGAAATAAATGAAAAGCTGTGATGCCATGTCAGTGAGAATTGAAGAAAGAGTATCTGCCAAATTGATGTCAAAAAGTAGACCTGAGATGTGGAAAAATGCAATGAGATTGAGAGAGAGCTCTTTTCCAAGCTCTGTAGTAAGCTCTAAGCAGGTTTGCTCTGATGCATATGGGTAATCTTTACATAATTCATAGAAAAATTTGATAATTTCGTCATAATTATTTTTTTTGAATTCTTTTTCCAAATCCCAATTCAAAGCCAAAAATCTTAATGAATGCTCCAAAATTTTTTGCAGCTTGTCCCTGCTTGCTCTTTTGTAAGCTTTATTCCATAATTTCATTTTTTCTAAGCTCTCAAGAGGTTTCTTTCCCATCTTTTGAGCGAATTCTTCATATTCCTGAGGGATTTCCCAGTTTTCTCCAAGCTTTTCAAGCTCTTCTTTTTTTTCAAGAATTTCTGCAGTTTCTTCACTGATGACATTTGCGGAATGCAAAGTATTATCCATCCTGATTTCGTCTATCAGCTTATCATATTCATCTTCATCTGCAGGCCTTGTTTTATCTTTGAATTTGAGTTTCTGTGTGATTTCTCCCAAATTCATATCAATGTCTCTCATTATTTCATTGTTTTCGTCTTTTTCTTTTTGCCTCAGCATTTTATGCTGCTTGGATTTTTCAATAATTTCAGCATAAGCGTCTTTTTTGCTTTTATGGCCACCACCCATTCCAAAGTGTTCTTCATTTACAAGGTCATCATCAATCTTTTGGTGTTTTTTTGGCTTTTCAAGGTCTTCTTCGTCTGATTGGACGACATCGTAGTCTTCGACATAATCATCTGCAAGATCTTCAAGCTTTACGCCCTTATGTGTCAGTGTAATTGTGTCATCGAGCTCGAATTTTTGGTTTCGCCTTGATACAAGTTCTCTTTCTTTTTGAAATCTAATCAAGTATTTTTCTTCTTTGCCAAGGTTTTCATTCTTTTCACCCAGACGTTTATCTCTGAAGATACTTTTAGATTTGACTTTTTTGGGGATATCAACAGTTTCTTTTTCTTTGTAAACGAACTTTTTACCACGATTTCTCTTGACTCCGAGCTTTTTGCCCATTTTTAGCCTTAAGATTAAAAATATTTCATAATGGCTTTCTATGGTTTCGTATAATTAAAGAGTTTTACTGTCTTTATGGCACTAAAGCTTGGATTTCTTTTTATATTTTAATTTTGAAATAATCAATTAATTACGAAGTCTATGAGTTGCAAGATAAGCTGCTCATAATAATGAAATGAAAGGCCTCATTGTCATTTATGCTTTATATTTAATTACAGTTATCAGTGATGACAGGTCTGATCAAGATGATTCTTGTACCGAAACATGTGTGTGCAGCCCTTATAAGCTAGGTAATGATAAATGTGATGATGAATGTGATAATTGTGGATGTGATTACGATCATGGTGATTGTCATCATTTAGGCTCAAAGGATGCAATAATAATTGGCTTGAGTATAGGTGGTGGGGTTTCTCTTATGTAAACTTTATTTAGACTGTCCTGTATTTTTATACCTAAAATTTATAAATTATTGAGAAAGCGAAGCTCCAGAGTTATTATGGCCTCTATAAGAAATGCGAATCCAGCTCATTATAGGGAATCTTTAAATACATCAAATAGTTCTTTTATGGAGAATTTCTTCAATGAAGATTTCATAGGGAAGTATATTGCTAACTCCCCCCCCCCCTCCGTGAGCGAACAAAACCATTAGAAAAATCGCCATTTTTTGACCAAAAACCCCACCCTCCGTGAGTGAACAAAATTTTTTTAATAGAAAAAATTTTAATGGAAAAAAATTTTTTGATATATAAGTGATAATTAGTATAATGAAATCTAGAGCTAATTCTGTTTAATTTTAAACAAATTGCGTTTTAAAACATAAATTTTGCAAATTAAAATTAATATTTGCTTCCCAATTTTTGCAAATTAGGATTTTTTTAAATTTCGAAAAAAATATTTTTTATAAAAATTTATATATAAATTTTTTTTAAAAAAAAAAATTAACCCCCCTCCGTGAGCGAACAAAATTTTTTTGTTCGCTCACGGAGGGGGGGGGGAGTAAGCAATATCCAGCTGAAGATTTGAAGATGAAAGATAACACTCTATGTACAATTTGTTTTGAAGGCTTCGGAGAAGGTCAAGCTGTTAGAAAAACATACTGTGAACATTTCTTTCATACTGCATGCTTAGATGAATGGATTATCCATTACAAGCATATGAAATGTCCTAACTGTAACAAAGAGTTTAAATTTTCCATGCAAGATTATCGAATACCTATGGTTCGCCAAAGCGAAAATTACACCTCTTAATCTTGAAAAAATATCAATATTTATTTAAAAAAGCCTAAAAATAAATAAATTTTAGCTTTATTTGAGATTTTAAACTAACTATTTTGCAATTTCTTAGTGGATTTAATTCAATTCTATGGAATTGTTCAAATAAATATCTTAGGGTTGAGATGATTAATTATTTAATTAATTATTTCTCATGAGAAAGATCTTTTGGAATTTCCCATGAAAAATCAGAATCACCTTCTCTCCCAAAATGCCCATACGAAGCAGTTTTTTGGTAAATTGGTCTGTTAAGTCTAAGATCTCTTATGATGCACCCAGGTCTCAAGTCAAAGTTTTTCAGAACAATATGCAAAAGATCTTCATCAGTTTTTCCATCCTTAGCAGTCCCATAGCTATCCAAAGTTACAGACAACGGATAAGCAATTCCAATTGAATAAGAGACTTGAATATTTACTCTATCACAAAATCCTCCTTTCACGAGCGATTTTGCGATCCATCTAGCAGCATAAGCAGCTGATCTATCTACCTTCGTTGGGTCTTTTCCTGAAAAAGCACCGCCACCATGATGTCCCCATCCTCCATAAGTATCAATAATGATTTTCCTTCCAGTAAGCCCTGCATCTCCTTTTGGACCTCCTGATGTAAATGAATTTGAAGGATTTAAATGATAAATGGTTCTTTCATCTAAATATTGGGCTGGAACAACTGGAATAATAACATGGTTCATTAAGTCACTTCTTATTTGCTCATTAGTGACCCAAGGCTCATGCTGAGTTGATATAAGAATAGTATGGACTCTAACAGGGATCACAAGCCCTCCTTCTTTTCTGTACTCTACAGTGACTTGTGTTTTTCCATCAGGTCTGAGCCAAGTTAAGGTGCCATTCTTTCTTAAATCTCTCAATCTTATTCCTAGATGAGTCGCAAGCTTATGAGATAGCGGCATGCATTCTGGAGTTTCATTAGTGGCATAGCCAAACATCAAGCCTTGATCACCTGCTCCTATATCTTCGATGGCTTTATTTCTATGCACAGCATCTGCAATTTCACTATCTTGCTGCTCAAGAACTATACGCTTTTAATTGAATTTCTATGGCCAAGAAGGCCAATGCCCTATTAAATTAAAAATCATGACTATTTTCAAATTTAATATAATAAATTTTACCTTGACCTCGCAGTTATTGCAGTCAATTCCTTTTTCGTCACTGTCATAGCCAATCTGCCTCAAGGTATTTCTCACGACTTCTTGATAGTTCACTACAGCAGATGTTGTAATTTCTCCAAAAATCATGACTAGGTTGGTTTTAGTGCATGATTTGCATGCAACTTTTGAGTTAGGGTCTTGAGCAAGGCATGCGTCAACAACAGCATCTGAAATCTGGTCACAGAGCTTGTCAGGATGGCCTTCATTTACACTTTCTGAAGAGTAAAGGAAGTGGCCTGGAGGTAGCTGGATAATTGGTGTGAGGTAGCCTGTGCTCATCTGGTGGAGATTTAATATTAATTATTATAAATGGATAATTAGAATTAAAAATGCATAGACTAATTAATTGGCTATAGTAATTCGTAGTTAAGTAGGGCAAACTTAATTTATCTGTAGTAATAAGGGACAAATAAATCGCTAATTTTAAATTTAGCTGATCTAATTTTTTAAGTTTACTAAACCTTCTATGAAAAGAATTAGCAATTATAGAAGAAACATAAGATGCTAAATCATCTGTTTAATTATCAAAATGAATTTTTGAATTTTTTTCCTTTATTTCATATGGCTAATTTGCTGAAATTAAATATTGGAGAAAAGACTCATATAAGCTTCTTTTATTCAATTATAATATTTTATCTATTTTTAATGATTTATTGATAAAACATCACATTTTGATTAAATTGAATAATAAAAATCACATATAAAATTTCTTAAGTTGTTAAATTAGTGTATTTTCATTTTTCATCGCCTTAATAATTATCCTCAAGTTTTCTTAAAATATACAGCACGTCTTACTGAAATACTTGAATATTAAGAAATAATGCTTTCCATGTTTTATTGGGATACTTTTGGATAATAAAACAAATAAGATAAATCCCACAATGGATTTCAGAAATAAAATGGTGATGCTAATGAAAATTAGACTCCGATACGCACTCCAATGGAGCAGATTAGATTTATCCCGATGAAGCTGAAAATAATTCCTTTGTCACTTTTAGGAGTAGGCCTTCGGGTTTTGGAAAGCCTTGTCGGAGAGGAATTTTATTTTTTCCCTAACTCCCCCCCCCCTCCGTGAGCGAACAAAACCATTAGAAAAATCGCCATTTTTTGACCAAAAACCCACCCTCCGTGAGTGAACAAAAATTTTTTTAATAGAAAAAATTTTAATGGAAAAAAATTTTGATATATAAGTGATAATTAGTATAATGAAATCTAGAGCTAATTCTGTTTAATTTTAAACAAATTGCGTTTTAAAACATAAATTTTGCAAATTAGGATTTTTTAAATTTCGAAAAAAATATTTTTTATAAAATTTATATATAAAATTTTTTTTAAAAAAAAAAAATTAACCCCCCTCCGTGAGCGAACAAAATTTTTTTGTTCGCTCACGGAGGGGGGGGGGGGAGTAAAGGTTTTCCTGTCTCAGTCAAATGGGCTAGACAGATTTTTACCTATAAAATAGTCCTTCCTTATCGTGATACCCTTCGACGGTGACTGTGCCTATGGAGTTAATCTTATGGACATGTGACTCAAGTAGGAAATCCAAAATGGAAGCCTTCCATTTTCCACATTTGACTCTAGGCTTTATGGAGTCAAGACAAGGCAAAGGCTAGTGGTTTACTTCGCTTATTGCCAGCTTAATTTCTTAACTATTTATGGATTTCATTTTAGTCTTCTAAAATATTTAAATATGAAATAATAGAAATAAATGAGATTTATTACAATACTTATAATTTCTTGATCCCCATTTTATTTACACTTATAATTATCAAAATATTATAGAAGGAATCAAATGATGAAAGATATCGACATGGCAGATGTCCAGGACTTATATAATGATTTAAGTGAAAATCGTATACTAGATGAAGATTCGTCCAGTATTTACCAATCAATAAGCAGCATAAACCCTCAGGAAAGCCAAGACAGCATAAAAAATGATGTTAATGAGATCAAAAAGCCAGGAAGAAAAAGGGATAGAGACACCCAAATCCTTTCTATGTTTTTCACCCGCAAAAGCAAAGCTGGAACTCCTCCTAAAAAAGAGTATTTAAGATGCAAGCTAATTCGTGGGCATAAAAGAGCGAATCGCCAAATCAAGGATGGAGTGCATCCAAGCAAGACTATTCACAAGTTTGACCTGGCCAATGGAAAAGCACGAGACATATTCCAATTTTATTAAATTGCATAAAACTTCTTATATATTGTATATTAAGCATATTTATTTCGATTAAATATATGACACACTTTGCAGCTGCATTTCTTCAAGAACCGATACGTTCTTGAAACTGAAAGTCTGACTGAGTCCGGACCTACTACAGATGGCAAAAAGAAAAGAGGCAAAGAGATCATTGACAAAAGCACTCAAAAAAGTTTCAACACTGAATACGTGAAAAGATACTTCCTAAACGAAGCTATAATTAATATAGTGGTGGTGATGAAATATAGGAAATTCCCGATTATGGCGCTCAATTTGCCATCATCGGGCAACGAGTTTTAAGGGTCCACACTGGAATAGGTTACACGTGTGGAGCCCTTTTTGACATGTGGAGAATCCTCACTTTCACGTGCCAAAAAGGGCTCCACACATGGAACCCATTTCCATTGTGGACCCTGAAATTTAGTTGCCCGATGATTGCGCATTGAGCGCCATCATCGGGCAACTTATATATGCTCTTACGGAGGTCACACCCACTCCGGGGCGCCAAAATGGTATATAGCCTAAACCAATTTAGAAAGCTTTTAATTCAGGCCCTTAGATTGCCTAGACTATGCAGTATGGGATGGGTAGTTCTTGGGAGTAAGCTGGTGCCATTCCAGTCCGAAGTATTAATTACCGGATGGTTTTAGACTACAGGTCTTTCTCCCGGCTCCGGAGGCCTTGCTCTTTTTTCCTGGGAGTCACCTCTCCCAAAAGTTGGCCGACAGGAGGTATCGGGCTGACTTTTATCTCAAAAGCACTCTAATGGCGTGAAGCACGGGAGTCTTTCTAATCCGTCGAGACTCAGGGTAGACTATGCAAGGCTAGTTCCGAGAGAAGACAGACGTTCCACAGGTGCTGTCGAAAGCGTGCGGAAGCAACATCCTGGAAGACTTTAAGCCCTTTAATCTTAATCTTAAACGAAGCTACTAAAATTTCTTTTTATTACTACGTTGAACTAATTTTTGCTGATATGAACCCAGATGTCCTCTGTGACAAATTTGATTTTTTTTGTTGCAAGCCACTTGATCATGATGCTAGTTGTACTGAAAAATGAACATCACTGAAGATTTATCTTCAAAAATTGATGTTTGAAGACTTAAAACTAGAACCATGGAGACCTGAAGGAGAAAGCCCACTAGGTGGGATTAATGGGATTCCTCATAATGACTTATGTATGTTTAATGAAGAACTTGAAAGAGTGGACATTGAAAAACTTGAAGAAATAGACCTTGAAGACCTTATTGATTCAAATATGAACTATGACTGGGGAGATCAAGAAATATAATAAAGTATAAAATTATCTTATCCAATTTGGCCGTTATCTCAATAAATTGATATATTATAGACATTTGCATGTCAAAATGATTACATTTTATTCCTTAAATTAATCCAATCCTCAATGTATTTCTGGAAAACTGCTTCACTGCAATGGTTTTCAATAAATCTATGATTTAGTAACTCTTGGGCGCTAGGTCTGTTTTTAGGATTTTTTTGCATGCAGAGATTAACGAACTCTTTGAAGTCCGCGCTTCATTTAGTCTCATCAGTAAATTGATAAGATGGGCGTGTTGAAATTAATAGCATCGCTTTTTCTGGGCTTTCATTAATAAAAGGAGGGTTTCCTTCAGCCATTTCAATCACCACAATCCCAATAGACCACACATCACATTTTTTGTCATAAGGCTCTCCTTGGATTACTTCAGGAGCCATCCAGTAAGGCGTCCCTGCAACTGTAATTCTCCTTTCATTCTCAGACGCCAGCTGAGCGCAATTTCCAAAATCATTCAGTTTTACTTCTCCCTACATAAAAAATACAGAAACAGATAGCAAAATATTTTCTGACTTAATGTCTCTATGCATTCTATTTTTGCTGTGGAGCCATGAAACTCCTCGGAATATTTCTAAGCAGATGTAGCTAATGATGTGCTCTGGGATGGCACCTGCATTTTCTTTTATAAAGACTGTTAAGTTGCATTTCAAAGCTTCCATTGCGACCCATATCTCACTATTTTATTTTTACTTTTTGTAGTGGTAAGCATTGTAATATTTGACAATATTTTCGTGGTTTGATAACTGTAATATAGCTATTTCGTCTAGGATATTTTGTCTTTGCTCGCTGTTTCGGACTTTCATTCTTTTTAAAGCAACTTCTCGGCCTGTTTTCTTGTGGTGGGCTCGGAAAACGGAGCTAGTTCCGCCATTTCCAATTCGGGATACGAGGTTATACTCTTTTAGAGGGTCTTGGGAAGTGAGGCTGACTTTGGCCTTGATGATTTCTTTATGATTAGGATTATGATGAGTTAATGCATCTTCTAAAGAATCGTCTTGAATTATCATGGAAGCAGAAAACTCAGGCTGTGGACTGTCTGCTAGCTCTTTTCTACCAATATCGGATTCGTGCAGTGACCGTCTCATCCCTAAAGACTTGTTTTGCCCGGCGCAACTCAGACAGAAGTTGGAGACTTTAAATGGTCAAAATAATTTAGTAGTTGTGCTGCAATTCCTGCAAAATACATATTCTAACTCCTCAGTAATAAGCAAATTCTTGCATATTAATTGAGGTATTCGCAAGTAATTTTAAAATAGTAAATTTATATAAAGAAATTAAAATTTGCTTCTTATGTGATAAATTTTTTATTTTTTATCTGAAAACCCCTTAATAATGAGCAAATTCGATCTTTTCATATACCATTGCAAACCCCCTCACCAATAAGCAATGATACTTATTACTGGGAAATTAAGTAAACCTTACTGCATATTTTACATTTTCTTCTCTTGCTAAAAAATGTTAGGCTTTTCTCACACTTATGGCACTTCGAGCTTTTCTTGAATAGCTTTGATAATCTTTCCATTGATCAGAAGTATTACCACAATAATAAAAAGATATTATTTATATTTCAAGTAAAAAATTTCTTTCTTTTTAAATTAAATTCCTATAATAAATCTTTAATTATCAATATGAATGAAAGGAAATTTTTTTTACTATTATTGCTGTTCAGCATTATTCTTAACGGGAAGAGCCTATTTACTCAAACTGATTTACAACCGGATCGATTACCATATCCTTTATTCTTGCTAATTTCTCTCCAAATGTCATAGCAGGCTTCTCTATTTGAAATTTTTCAAACTCATAGGGCCTAATGTGAGTGTCTGCAGTTTCCAATTTTTCTTTTGCTGTGGTCAAATTATTTGGAGTGATTGACCTCCCATGAGAAGGGCTAGAATCTCTTCTAAAATTCTTTCCTATACTATTAATAGGACTCTGTGAATATAGTATAATTTTTGATTTTGGGTTTATATAAATTATATTTGGCTTATAAAGTCGGCTTTCTTCAAAAAGGATTTTTTCATGAGTAAAAAAGCCTTCATTTTTTTGAATTAATTTTTTTCTTCTCGGAGATGCGTTTGGGTCAGCTGTTTTCGAGCGTAATCGATATTTTCTTTGTGTCCTGTTTGCTGAAAATGTGCAAGCAGTAGGGGAAAAGAGCTGACTTTTTGCATCATATTTTAGACGAGAGGTATTGTCAACAAAATCATTTAAAAAGTCAGGAATTTCAGCCATGGGTGTGCCTTTGGATTGCCTTAGTTCATTTTTAGTTAAAAATGTATCAACGTGCATGTTCAGAGGATAAATTCTTTTACTAAAATTCGCAAGATTAGTAGGCTTGGATTTTATGGTTAATTGGCTATGATTAGGCTTGATTGCTTGAAAACTCAAATGATTCATTCTTTCTGGGGTCATAGCTCTGATTGGTGAAGGAAATGCACGAGGAAGAATGTCATATTGTTTTGATTTATTCATTTTGTTGTTTTAAATGATTGATTCTTTTCAATTCTAATATCAGTAAAATACATTTCTAATTATTCAAAAGAAAGCAAAATTAATTTTTTTAAGGCGAAATTATTTAGCATAAATAAAGCTTTATGATAATTTGCAAATCTCCCAGTTCTGATTCTTAATCAAATTTAATTCATAAAATTTAATTTTTAATTAATGTAAAAATTGCAGACAAACTATTTATATTAAATCCTAAATTCATTTTTCTCTGGGTTTTTCCCTTATTTGCAAATTTAATATAATAAAATTTTATCGTGTTTCCCCTAACATAACTTCAGACTAGAAAAGAAATAAGGATTTTAATTCTAAGCTCAAGCACAAACACAACAAGAGAAATGAAAAATAAAGAAACAAAAACCGGTTTCAAATACTAAAACTCAATTAAATTATGATGTAAATTTAGTGACTGCCTTAGTTCCTTCACTGACGGCGTGTTTTGCAAGTTCACCAGGGAGAATAAGTCTTACTGAAGTTTGGACTTCTCTGCTGCTGAGAGTTCTTTTCTTTTCGTATCTGACGAGTTTGCTTGCTTCAAAGCAGACTCTTTCGAAAATATCGTTGATGAATGAGTTCATAATGCTCATTGATCTTTTAGAGATTCCAATATCTGGGTGGACTTGTTTTAGGACTCTGTAAATGTAGAGAGCGAAAGTTTCTGATCTCTTCTTTCCTTTCTTCTTGTCTACGTGCTTGGCGGCTCCTGATTCTACTTTCTTAGTGTCTTTAACCATTTTATTATATTGAGTCCCATATTTTCGAACTATTTATATACAAAAATAATCCTCAAAATGGATTTTGATTGGCTGATTAAAAATATCTATTTAGATATGGATAACAAAATTTAATAAAGGGAATATCCAATTACTAACGAAAAGTACAAAATTAAATAAACGTGTTTTTTGAAGACCAAATTAACTACCATCACCCCTGGATCCTGTTGAACTTTTAAGCAGCATTCTATTGGACGGTGAATTTTGAAAAGCTTCTTTAATTCATGGGTGTTCAAAAGCTTCATCTGGTGTCATTCTTGTGAATGGGTTTCAATCAAGACATCCTAAAATAAAGCTTACGTTCAATAAAACCTAGAAAGACTTCGTCTGATGATTTAGCTTTTTCTTCCAATGTTCGTGTTCCTGGAAATCTTTTTTTACCTCTACTATTCGGGACAATTTTTGGATTCATTTCTTCAAAAAACAAATTTTTTCTTGTAGCTTGCTCCATAAGCTCTTCGGGAGGAAGTCCTTTCACTTCCATAATGCACAACAGCTGCTCATGCTCACTTTCTCCTGGGAAAATCGGACAGCCGGAATGCAGCTCTGCAAGAATACACCCTAATGATCACATATCAATTGCTACCGTATAAGGAATCCCCAATATTATTTCTGGAGCTCTGTAAAATCTACTTTGTATATAAGTATATAATTTTTCTTCTTCAAAACAAGAAGATCCAAAATCAATCACTTTGATTCCAGATTTATTTGGATGCTTCAGGAGAATATTTTCGGGCTTCAAATCGCAATGAATTATTTTATGCTCTCTTAAAAACGCGAGACATATTAAAATCTGTATACCAAAGCGCTTTACAAGAGTAAGGGAAAATCCATGAAATCCATTGTTTTTTAGAAGTTCATATAAATTGATGGAAAGCAGCTCAAAAGTAATGCATAAATGTTTTCTAAAAATAAAGCAGTCTTCCATTTGCACGCAATGAGCTTCTGAGTCTTTGCCGTTTTCGTTCATATGCTGGAGAACTTTAATTTCCACTTTTCCTTGTCTATGAAACCTTCTTTGGTTTCTAATGATTTTTAGAGCTACAAGTTTTTTAGTTTTATGGTCTAGACATTTGCAGACCTGTCCAAAAGATCCTTTTCCTAAGATTTCAATTATTTCATATCTGTATGAGATATGATCTCCAGTTACCAATTTATAGTCAGATCTGTCATCATCATAGCCAAAATTGGCTTGAGTAGGATCTGGCTGTATTTTCTTGGATTTTAACCCAAGAAAATAAATTTCTGAATATTCTAAAACCTCATTTTGTTCGTATTTCGTCATAAAAGATTCAAATTCTTTTAGAACTTCTGGAGGGGATATAGGGAGTTTATGAAACAGCAATAATGTATCTGGATCACTTGGAGCGTGACTTATTGATTTATGCCTAATTGCTATCTTTGCTCTAGGACTTGGCCTTGCGCTACGTGTTTCGTCTCTGCTTAAGCAGTTATTGCTGCGGTTTAAGCTGCTATTCAGCTTGAATGATGAATTTGCGGATGATTCCAAAGTGTTGTTTAATGAAAACTTGTCAGACAAATGAACAGGAAATCCTCTGTCAGTTCGTTTAGGAAGTGTCAGCTGCTTAGGTGTCCTCATTTCATGAGGAAAAGCAGTAAATGATATTGCTGGATCTCCTTTTTTCTTAAGAGATAAGTTTAAAATGTTTCTTTTAGGCACACTAGGCTTCCTTGAATTAGATGCTAACGGCCTCAGTTTTGAAATTTTGATACGTGGAGATAGACCTTGGCCATTCATGATATTTATTTATGAATAAAAATTTACTTTTCATTTAATTTTGGTTTAGTATATTGATTTAAGTTTAAGAAAAAACAATTGTTTATTTTTCTGTGATAGAAAATGATGCTGAAGAATAAGAGATATCATTAAATCATAACGGGCTCTCTTAACTCTCCGTCCATAAGTGAACAAAAAATTTGTTTAATAATATTTTATCATAAAATTATTTGATATATGATGGCAATGAGTATAATGAAAAATTCTTGCTAATTTCACAGAATTTGCATTTTAAACATAGATTTTAAATTGGTTTTTTTTTAGAAAAAAAAAACTTTGTGAGCGAGCAAAATTTTTTTGGTCCCTCACGGAGGGAACAATAAAGAATTTTAACTGGCCTATAGATGCTAAAAAGTGGTACACCAATAAGATTATTTACAAAAATATATAAATTATAGTTCAGACTCATGAAAATTGCTTAAAATGCCTGTGTTTGAAATTTTTCATATTTTGAAAATAATTGTTAAATCATAGAATATGTAATGAATTTCAGTCATTAATTTGCAAATATGAAAGCAATAAGAAGAAGCTATTCTTTACTCTTCCCCTGGAGATTCAATGATAAAAGCCCATTCAGGCTTTTTCCTGTATCAAAGCTGCTCTTTACTGAGCTTGATGAAGCTCGAGAAGGATTCTTACAAGCTTACGACGAAGTCTTAAAGTCTTTAGAAGACTACGATTTCGAACATTTAAATTCTATCATGGAGCCGAGATTATTTTCAGAAATTAAGATCGGTCTGAATTCAATAAAAGGCAGAGAGCAATGCGTCAAAAGAATAAATACTGACGATCATGTAGATGTGTATTTTTATAATCAAAACCTCTATATTGGAGCTGAAATCGACAGGTCAAAGAACGAAAACCTTTATCCTGAGCCAATAACTGTAATGAGATATAATCCTCGCAATCTCAATGATATGAGAAGAATTTCAATTGATAAATGACATATATATGGGATCTCTTCAAATAGCTTTATTTTGAAAATTGATGTTGTATTTAATACCTCAAAAAAGCTGGTGATAGTTAATGAGAAAGATGAAAAAATTGTGGGAGATATCAGTGATTCTCGAGAAACTCATAAGTTCCGATTTGAAAAAATGATTAAGGGTGAGGTGGGAAGCTTCAAAAAAATTGAACTGGGTATTAAGGCTTTAAGCTATTCATTATTTCCGAGATTTGGAGTAAATCCTTTTGAGGAGTCTGAGTGGATTATTACTGATATTGATGATTTTTTAAATGGAAATCCTTATAAAGCAATTGAAAATTCGTAATTTAAAAATTCTTTGTTTTAATTACTATATCTGATTTCGATCGTCATAGCTAATGTTAAATCTATTTAAATGCAAAGATGAAGTTTCTTTAATTTTTAAATTTTTTTTCAGTAATTTTTAATAATCTTGCAAAGTTCATTTCAATTTATGAATTAATAACTATTAATTTTCGGTTAATAAATCTGCTTCCAATCAATAATTGTGTAATTAAAAATAAATATTTAACTCATAGAGGTTTAAATGGTTAATTAGCGAACTGTAAACTTAATGCTTGATTGAGCTAATGTCGCTTCACCAGGATTAGTTAATCCACAAGTTCCTGAACAAATTTGAACAATCCCAGTATAATTTCCAGTTGGAAGTTGAGGAGTCATAGGAATTTCAAACTTAGCAGAGTAGCTATCAACAGCAAATCCCTCATTAAAGTAATCATATGAGAATGGCTTACTCCCCCCACCCTCAGTGAGTGAATAAAACCATAAGAAAAATAGCTATTTTTTGCCCAAAAACCCACCCTCCTTAAGTGAACAAAAATTTTTTTTTTATGAAAAAAGAAATTGATATATAAGTGATAATTAGTATAATGAAACTCGAGCTAATTCTGTTTTTAATTTTAAACAAATTGCGTTTTAAAACATAAATTTAATAAATTAAATCAGTATTTGCTTTCCAATTTTTTCAAATTAAGATTTTTTTAAAATTTCGAAGAAAAAAAAATTAACCCCCCTCCGTGAGTGAGTAAAAATTTTCTTGTTCACTCACGGAGGGGGGGAGTTAACAGAAGTTCCAGGAGGCGTAACAGTCAACAACACTTGTCCGGTTCCTGTTGCAGAGGTTACGGTGAATATCACTTGAACTTTAAATACTGTGTTGACACCTCCAGTAGAAGGAGTAACATAGGTACTATTAATTACTGCTGCACCTCCATTGACAACTGGACAAATCTGATTTAAGGATTCACAAAAATAAATTGAGTCTTGGCTTGGGCCTGCTCTTTTGACAGCTGTAAACATGGTGCTTGGAGATGGTTGCGGGTTTTGGCATAAGTATAAGCAGATTTGCTGGGCAAAAGCGTCTTTTATTGTTGAGCATAAGCCAGAGCAAGTTGTTGGAGGAGTATTTCCTGATAATGTTTGGTATAATGGCTGGAGATTTGTATCTGCAAAGGCAACACAAGGTTGACACATATCAATTGCTCCGTCTGAAGAGAACGATGGTGAGGTTTCATATGAACTTGCAAGTGCTATGAATGCAACAAGAATTGCAATCTTTATTCCAGACATTTATTATTTCACCACTTCGGTGTATATGAAGCAAATTATTTATTTCAGTCACAAGTTATTAATTTTACTCACACTAATCCGTTTTTGGTCTTAATGTTTATTAAGATGAAGAGAATTTAATTTTTGAGAAGTTAAATAAGAAATATTGAGTCTTTGGAAAAAGTTGATTTTTTATTTTACAAAATTTTCAATGCTTTTCTTATTTAAATGCAGTTTCAATAGAAAAATTAACTAGATGAATTTATATAATTTTTTAGAAAAATTAAAACTCATGTTGGCTAAAGCTATATAATTATTATGCAAAAACAGCGATACCAGCTCAGCTCATTGAATATAAAATTAATTTTTAGTCTATAGCTGAATGGTTATATATCAATAGTGCATTTAAGATTATCTACTTTTTCATGATTTTTGAAATTTTAAATCCTTTCTTAAGAAAATTTAATTATACTATTCCTTTCAAATTTAATTTCACTGTACTCTTGTTTTTTAGCCTCCTAGATGATCCTATCTTAAAGTATCTAAATCTTGCTTAATTTTTATTTTTAATTATTTTTAGCGAAAGATATTTATAAATATTGAGCATCATGATTTCTTTTAGATTAATTATTATTAAACATTAAATAAAAGAACTCAAATTCTCAAATTAAAATTTTAAGAAGTACCCTATTTGGACTTTTGGACAAAGCGCCATTTTGCCCACCTTTTTATTGAATGGCGCTAAGTGCGCCATATGCCAAAATTCTTACAATAATTCTTACTATGCTGAAGATTGAAGAAGAGCCCGCAGTCCAATTCACACCCGCGAAATTTACGAAAAATGAATTTGCCGCGGGTTTTGAAACCCCTCAGCCAATAACTTTGTATTATTTTCAGTGCTCAAATTCCTTACTCCCCCCTCCGTGATCGAAAAAAATTTTACAAATTAATTTAATATTTGCTTTTCCAATTTTTGCGAAGTAGGATTTTTTTAAATTTTGAAAAAAGTTTTTTCTATAAATTTTTATACAATTTTTTTTTTAAAAAAAAAAATTAACCCCCCCTCCTGGAGCGAACAAGATTTTTTTGTTCTTTTACAGAGTGGGGCGAGTTAGTGCCAACTTTCAATGAGCGACTCCCAATTCCCGAGATTATAGTGGGTGCATCCCCAAATCTTTCTACCTGTCCGAATACCCCTGAGATCTTATCTCAAAGAAAGATCTTCAGTTGTTCTTTGTGCTCGAAATTCTATACAAGATCATCAACCTTAAAGGTTCACATGAGAAAGCATACTGGTGAGAAACCTTATGCATGCAGGATCTGCAGCAAAAGTTTCTCAGAAAAAGGCAATTTAATTACCCATGAAAGGATGCATACAGGCGAAAAACCGTTTGTATGCCCTCAATGTGGAAATCGCTTTTCCACTCAAGGACATTTGACAGATCATATGAGGCGGCATTCAGGGGATAGGCCATTTGTATGTAAAGCATGTGAGAAATCATTTATGAGGTCGAGCACTTTGAAAATTCATATAAGAAAACACACTGGAGAAAAACCTTTTGTCTGTGAATTCTGCAGCAAAGCTTTCAGTGAGTCTGGGAACTTGAAAACCCATAGGAGAACTCACACAGGGGAAAGACCTTATATATGTAAATACCCTGGCTGTACAAAAGCTTTTAAAACGAAAGGTCACTTAGTGGACCACATGAAGACTAAGCAGCATCAAGATTATTAATTAATAATCATAATCAACATTTGAAATTAATTATCACTCACTGTTATAGGTGACTAACAATGATCTCTTGAAATTCATTATAATCAATCCCTCCATCTCCGTTTTTGTCAACTTCATCAATTATGGTGCTCCAAACTTTGTTTTCTGAAGTAGCTTTGCCTTCCAGCATCCTTTTCAATTCTTGAGCTGAAATAGACTGATTTCCATCTTCATCAAACGCATCGAAAGCATGCTTCATATTTTCACTTGAGACCAGCACTTTCTGATCCATCGTTGCCTTTAAAAATTCAAAATAGTCAATAAACCCACTATTATCAGTATCAACTTCAGCCATAATTCTGGTCACTTCTTCATCTGCTGCTTCTGCGCCCATAATTTTGACAAACTGTTCCATCAGTTCATCCCTGCTTAGTTTACCGTCATGATTTGTGTCCATTGCAATGAAAATATCTCTCAATGATTTTGTGTCTTTTAGAGATAAGCATTGTGTCGTTATAAAAGCTCGGATTGCGTCTTTTAACTTGTTTGAAGCTTCAAAGCGCTGAAGATTTGTTAAGGCTGACTGCATTAGATCAGGATGTGGAGATGCTACGGAAACATTTCGGGTCATCCAGATGTGCTCTAAAGCTTGGGCAGCAGATAATCGAGTAGAAGCAGGACATAGAAGGGCTGAGATCATGTCTTTGGCAGCTTTTGAAACAGTTCTTCAAATTTCTCCTTTGAAAGTAAATTTCCCTCTTTTCACGTTTTCTATTATTTCTTCATCTGTTTTCCCATCGAAAGGAGGTCGTCCGCATAGCAAAATATAAAGAATCACCCCGCAGCTCCACAAGTCGCATTTTTCATTATAAGTCCCAGAAAGAACTTCTGGGGAAATATAATACGCAGTCCCAAGGGTTCCTTCGATTGGCACACCTTTCGTAAATCGCTCACTTGCACCAAAATCAATCAGTTTAATATTTGAAATATCTCCTTGTTCTTCTAGTAGGATATTTTCAGGCTTAATGTCTCGATGTGCTATACAATGCTCATGAAGATAAGAAACCGCAGAAAATAATTGGCACATTATTTGCGCAGCTTGTAACTCATTGAAGTTTTGCCGCTTAAGAATTTCTCCAAATAATTCTCCCCCTTTGCAATTTTCCATCACAATATAAAAACGCATGGAATCTTCGAAAAATTCGTAAACCCTGATAATGTTAGGATGGTCGAGTGTTTTAAGGATATCTAGCTCGTTCATCAAGAGCTTTTGCTTGTCTTCGTCTATAGCAAGATCTTTTCGAAATATTTTTACTGCTCTTTCAGTGCCTGTAGTTAAATGGAAGCACAGCTTGACATCTCCAAAGGCTCCTGATCCTAATTTTTTGCCTAATTTATAGACTTCTTGGAATTTATGTTCATTTTCTACTACAAAAGTTGATGGCTGCACCTTGATTTCGGATACTGTACAGATTTTAACCACTTGGTCCTTTACTTTCATTTTGCTTGTTCCACAACCCATTTTAAAATGTATATAAATAAAAATTTTACTGGCAATTGGTAGTTAACTCCTTCAGGTTATTATTCATTTATGAAACTATTTATCAAGTTAAAATGTGCATAATATACTTAAATGGCAGGTGACGATCTATCATGGGTATTGGCCTTGAGGGAGCTATATTTATCCCAGATGTGCTTTTTTGGTGTGGAGAAAAAATTGGGCTAGCCTATAGGTTAGAGGCAGAAGAACAGCTTCAAGTTTTTTTAGAGCAGCATCCAGGTTGGTGTCTAAAGAGAGGGTTACTTACATGCTAGGCTGCTTGATGATTTTTCCCGAATTGCGCAAGTGATTGAGTTTTATCCTTTGAATTTAATCCAGGAAAAGAAGGTGAGTTGAAAGATCTGTCAAAGGCGCAAGTCTTTCCAGTTAAAAAGGCTCCCAATAGAGTAATCTGTCTGATCCCAGGATTAGCTAATAGGGCTTAGAGTTAGAAACGGTTCTGCCTAACAGGCTCGTAAGACGCGGAACTAAAGCGGAATCACTATTAGGTTTCCCCGGAACCTTGGGTTTCCCATAAATAGCCCTATAAGTCCACCCCAGGCATCATTGTGATTGGATTGCTGTCGAGTATTCTATAATAAGGTGTTTAAAACACAATTCTTTAATCTGATCTAATTTCGTCTAAAACGTGCACAAATTTTATAGATTAAATTTTTAAAAAGTTTTTTTTTACAATATTTGATAAATCATTGCTCATGGAATTGCATAAACGAATGTAGGCTAATTTAATGCAATTCAAAACGATTATAATAATTCATGGCTGTTAAATTTATGAGAAAAATGCATTATAGCTTTATATAATTGATAAAAGCTCAAATTAATTTAAATAATTTCTAATCTTGGCTATTATATAATTGTTTGCTGTTTATGACAATTCCTACCTCTATAATAAAAGGTATCAGCACTGTAAATGCCCAAATGCCCCACAATCCTGAGTATCTCCAATCATCTAAAATGAACCAACATGTGATGATCACCCCTAGGCAATGTAAAACTATTTCCACAATATTTGCGTGATCATAAAACAATGACAATCCTGAAAACAACACCAAAATTTCTACTCCCAGAAGTAGTAAACTTATCACTGCACATGCCAACAGCGACCTATCTGCTTCTTCGAAATCTGAATCTGAGTCTGAAATTGGATAATCAAAAGATGAGTATACGTTTTGTTTGTGAGTGTAAAGTATAGTAATATTCATCACCACTTGGCAAATAACTGCTAAAAACTTTGCCGGCATGATGCTTTCGTTCAGTTTCGTCATTGTAAAAAAGTTTTATATTTTATAAAATATGAGACTAAAATAAATTAATTTTGTTTATGGAAAAGCACAAATACCGCTTTTATAGGAGAATAAAATAATGCAGATTATTTAAATTTTTTTGGTGAATGTTGAGCTAAATAGACACTGAATTTGTGGGTATTTTAGATGCCAGGCTGACTGATAGATGCAATATCTGCTGGCTTGAGCCCTTGCTGGTTCCTTAAGTTTGAATCTGCTCCATTTTCAATTAGAACTTCCCACAGAAATGCTCTTCCAGGAGAAGCTGCTGCAAAATGCAGTGGGGAATTCCCTTCATCGTCTTGCTGATTTATTAAATCAAGTTTATTTGGTAGCCTTGCAGCTGCAATAAGCACATTTACAAGTGTGCTTGGAGTGCTTTGTGCTGCAAAGTGAATAACGTTTCTATTTTTATGAGTACTCGCAGCTATATCAGCTCCTCCTAGCAGCAAAATTTGAACACAATTTTCTTGATTTAGCTTGCAAGCCAAATGCAGTAGCGTTCATGACTTGTCATTAATAACCAAATTTACATTGAAGCCTGCCAAAACTGCTTTTTTTAAACTAGCTTCATCTCCTCGTTCAAGTGCGCTAATGAAGCTCTTTAGATCTCTTGGAATAGTTTCGTTACCTCTGCCAGAAAGCAACTGAGGAGTAGGAGTTGGCTCATCTTCTCTGCATAAAAAATGCAAAGGTGCGATCATCCCTCCTTTTTCTATATAACCGCCTCATTCATATAGCTCTGGACCTCTTAGTCCTGGGCGGCCTTTAGCTAGTCTTCTTAAATCATCTAATGTTACCCACCTGGCTTCTTCAGATTCTTTGTCAGGAATTGTCTTACCCATCCTCCGGGTGAGGCGGAAAAAAACCCAAAAAAAACCCCATAATAAAAAAAAGTAGTGGCGGAAAAAACCCCAGCGAAAACAAAAACCGTCAAAGTCAGAGGAAAAAACCCTCAAATGGTGCTAAAAACGGAGGAAAAAACCCCAATATACAATATAATTAAATGCTTAAAATGATAGGCAAATATTAGAGAAAATACAAATAAATATTTATAATTTAGTTACAATAAATCAATTAAAGCAATATTAATATATAGATGTATAGATTTATTCTCAAAGTAACTATAAAGCTATGATTAACACAAAATAATAGAAAAATATAAAAATCAACTATAAAAAAAATTTACAATCAAAACCTGGCGGAAAAAAACCCGAAACGGTGCAAAAACCAGAGGAAAAAACCCCGAGTATGGGGTGAAAATTGGCGGAAAAAACCCCCAATTTTTTTTTTTTTTTATAATAATTTTTTTTCAAATAATTATCAGCGAGGATAGATTTTTAATGCTTATTACCTGCTAATTAATTAATTATTAAGCTATTTCATTTTAGTTTGTCAATCCATGAAATATATATATTGCTAAATCATTCAGCGTTCTAATTATAAAAAGTTATTTGAATAATAAACAAGAAGGTGAAAAATTTACTTTAATACTATCCAATACTTAAACCATATATTTACTTTCGATGCATCATGTACTAGCTCATCTTGTATTCACCTGCGACACAAACTGCACTAGATCATCTTGCGTCCGCTTGTGGCACATCCTGCTCGCTTATTTTGTATTCGCCTGCGACACATCCTGTAGAGATCATCCTGCATCCAACTGCGATATATCCTATATAGATCGCTATGAAAGAATACCTTAAGAGGTAAAACAGCGATCTTACAAGTAAAAATGGCAATGACAATTGTTATTTTTATAGCAAGTACAGATTTGGCTTTGCAAACTTTTTCTATAGATTGTATTTGCCAAGCCAAACGTGAACTGGCCATACAAATGGTCTTTGCCATTGTTAGAAGAATGTTTAGATAGCTACTTTTGGTATTTAGATATTGTTCTACAGGGATCAAAATAACATATAGGGGCTATGCTAGTTCACCTTGTATCCACTACGACAAATCCTGTACTAGCAAAACGTGTATCCGCCTGCAACGCATAAGACTAGCTCACCTTTTATTCATCCTCGACATATCCTGAAAAACACATAATAAAGGAAGCATATAACTTAGTCTTAACCTGATTGATGAGACTGGAGCAAATATGCTAAATTGTATCAGCTTCACTCATTGTATTGAATAATTATAAAATCCACAAACATAACGATGACCTCCCTCAATCTTCATGTCTATTGCAACAAAAATTTTCAAAAGAAAAATTTATGCCAACTCAACACAACATTTTATAAAAAAGATTTAATGCATTTTTCTCTAGGTGAGTTTTTCTCAAAAAAATCATAAAACAACGCTGCTGCAGGTATGTCAATGACCTTCTCATCGAGATTTGGACGGCTATTGTCATCGCTCGCCATTTTATTAAACTTATCTTGCTAAAAAGTGGAAAAAATTTTAGATGCGCATCGAAAATTTGTTGCAAGAGATATGAAAATTATTTTTTCTATATAACATTTTTTATATTAAAAAATTGCATTTTTGTTGCAATAGACATGAAGATTTGGGGGGTCATCGTTATATAAAAATCTATCCTCGCTGATAATTATTTGAAAAAAAATTATTATAAAAAAAAAAAAACATTGGGGGTTTTTTCCGCCAATTTTCACCCCATACTCGGGGTTTTTTCCTCTGGTTTTTGCACCGTTTCGGTTTTTTTTTCCGCCAGGTTTTGATTGTAAATTTTTTTTATAGTTGATTTTTATATTTTTCTATTATTTTTGTTAATCATAGCTTTATAGTTACTTTGAGAATAAATCTATACATCTATATATTAATATTGCTTTAATTGATTTATTGTAACTAAATTATAAATATTTATTTGTATTTTCTCTAATATTTGCCTATCATTTTAAGCATTTAATTATATTGTATATTGGGGTTTTTTCCTCTGACTTTGACGGTTTTTGTTTTCGCTGGGGTTTTTTCCGCCACTACTTTTTTTTTTATTATGGGGTTTTTTTGGGGTTTTTTCCACATCTGGAGAAAATTCAAAATTTTCCTATAAATTTAACGGTGAAAAAGTTGGCGGAAAAAACCCCAGCGGGGTTTTTTTCCGCCTCACCCCATCCTCCCATTAGAGAGCAATATATTTGATCGTGCTTTTATTTTCTTTCGAAGTCAAATTTGTGAAAATGATATTGTAATTTAATTTGTAATTTTATATTCTAGAATAGTTCCATTTTTAACTGACTTAGCTAGAGATTTCACTATAGTAATAATTTTTTATATATTAAAATATTGCATGTAGAAATATTTTGCTCTACTCGCTAAGGGGACAATTTCTCAGGATTTTTTTAATAGTTTTACTTCTATAGTGGAGGAGCTAGGGATTTGCAGTTCATCAATTGGCATTGCGAAGAAAACAACCCGCATTCTAGCATGTGTAGGGCCATATACAGAATGTTCAACTCTTAAAATACCTTTCAGCTCAATCCTTATACCACTTTCTTCAAGACATTCTCTATGAGCTGCATCTACAAAAGTTTCCCCTGGGTCTACCAATCCAGCTGGAAGCCACCAGCCTCGATTCCTAGTTTCTTTCACCGCAAGTCATTTCCCGTCAAAATTTCTAACTACTACTACAGAGAATCCATGTGTAGAGAACGGAGATCGATCCTCACTCATTTAATTATTAAATTGGTATTAAAGGTATTGCTTCACTATTTGTTCTTAAATTTCTTTTACAGTTCGGACAGCTGCCTTGGCGCATGAGCCAGACATCGATGCACTGCAAATGGAACCTGTGTTTACAAGGCATGACTCTTACCTTTTCTCTCGCTTTAAAATCTTCTAAACAGACTGTACATTGGTTGATATTAGCTTCAGGCGTTTTTATTGTTTCTACTTCAAACCTCAAAATTGATCCAGGAGATAATCCTTGCAAGTGTGGACTTAATCTGGGCACTGGGTCATCTCCATACTGTTCTGCTAATCTTACATACTGTCCTCTGATGTCGAGATTTCTGAAATAGACCATAGCTGAGATCATGATTGAAGTAGTATACGCAATAATCCACACATAGAAAATCATGAGCCACAATATAAAATATCAGCTTTGCTGCTGATCTTTAAAACACCGAGCTGCTGTTCCTTCAATACCAGACAGCTTGTAGTCATCTGAATCCACTTCTGCGTACCAAAAGGTACCTAAAAGTATCCAGCATAGGAAAAATGGATAAAGAACTCCTACAACAATGCAGGATCTTAAGTTTGAATTGCTTGTAAATAGTTTAAAGCACCATGGTTCATTAATTTCATCTACTTCTGGATCTCCCATCGAATGAACAAGCCTAAATAACCCTAAAAATAAGCATGATATCAGAAGCCAAATGTGGATAGGCTTGGAACAATTTCTGAGTAGGTTTTACTGAAAGTCACTTCATGCAATCACCAGTTCGGCACCTGCATAGAAGATTGCTAATCCTATAAAAACGTCATTGCTAAATGTTTTTTACCATGATAATCGAATTGTGGGCATTTCAATTTGCAATATTAATCTTTAATTCACTATTTTTATATAAAATAATATGTGGATAAATTTACTGAGAATACTGAGCTTTATTTAGAAAATAAGCAAGACTTTAAATTTGAAGTAGAAGCATTAAATATTAACTGTAAAAATCTAGCTAGCACTTGCAGCCGCCCTTTGAGGGCTTACTTTGAGCTCCAGGTGTCAATTTTATTTGTCCTGGCACTTGATCTATATACATTAAAATGGCGGCACGTGTCGACCTGCCCTCTTGGGCAGCAGTCCAGACCTTATGGCTGCGGCGAACTGGACGGATTCCGAGCCTAGAATCAAATGCAGGCTCAAGAGGTGTGTATCCGGGTAGGCTTTGGATGCTTCCTTGTAGGTGCTCAACAGCGTCCTTTGGATCCGAGCACCCATGGGAATCCTCTTCCGAGAAACTGGGGGTTTCGTCCCAGGCTACAGGGGAACAGTCTTTTTCCTGTAGCTATCAAAGAAAAGCACTTCGACACCCAATAGGTTCCAAGGATCCTTGGAATCAAGCTACTCCAATCGCCCGTGGCAGGACCGCAGAAATCCATAAGCCGGCCCACTCAAGACTGAAGCCTCAAGGCAAGGAGGAGGCAGAAGGTACCGGAAGGGCGCTCGCAAGATGGATAGATCCTCTGGGCTGGAGCCGAAAAGCGGTAGAACCTCCACGTACGGGAGGTCTTTTGTAGCTGCGTCACCAATATGACTAGCGCCTGACTTTAATAATCCTAATCCTGGCGTTTGATCTGCTTGGCTTTGCGTAGGAGCATTATTCAGACCTGGAAGAGCTCTTGCAACATTCTCAAACAGCGTTTTGATATTAGCTCCAGTTTTCGCGCTTACCTCCACAAAAAGAACATTCAAACTATTTGCTTTTGCTTGCCCTTCTTCAGAAGTTACGGTTCTTTGAGAATTCAAGTCAATTTTATTTCCACAAATCATGATAACCACGTCTCCGCCTCTTTCATTTTTTACATCTTCAACCCATTTGTCGATTCCTAAAAATGTTGGGTTTTGAGTGATATCATAAGCAATAATGGCAACTGAACAATCTCGTATGTAATTTCTTATCAACGTTCGAAAACGTTCTTGGCCAGCAGTGTCCCAAACTTGTAATCGAAATGAACGATCTTCTAATTGCATTGTTTTTGATAGACAATCTATTCCAATTGTAGGCTGATGAGAGTTGTTAAAAGTGCCATGCATGAACTGGTTGATGATTGAGGTTTTACCTACGCCCATGTCGCCAAGAAAGACAATTTTGTATTTTTTAACTTGAGTTGGAGGAGTTAAGGCACTTTGTGAAGCTTCCATTTAAAATTAGAATAATTTTACTTTTTGGTCTTTTATGACAAAAATCACGACAGTTTTTGGAAGTTCTGCAGACATATAAATTATTCCATTATATTTTTAATAAAGTTTAAATTAAAATTTTGAATTGAGTTATTTTATATTATTTATTCTTTCAAAATCTTTTTCTGATAAAATAGCAATTACTCTATATATTATTTAAAATATATTAAATAATTTTACACTCCAAATTTGGCACAATAAAGTAATCAATTTAAATCACACAAAGAACTATAAATTAATTTTTTTTTATTATTCTAAATAAAATTAAGTAAAATAATAATTTTACTTATAACATCATTACATGAATAACTAATGATGCTCAATTTTAGTTTTGTGCTTCTTTTTGTGCTTTTTCTTATTTTTAGGCTTAATTTTAATAAGGTCATCAATATGATATGGAGGAGCAGCATATCTTCCATCAACTTTAATTAATGCCATCATGGCATACCTAGTAGCGGCAGATGAACTCAGAATTTTTGCCAGAAAATAAAAAAGCTGGCGGAAAGGCTACGAGGTCGCAGGTGGCTTAATTCCGGGGTGGGTGCGGTCTGGGCTAACTGGGCCTCCCCTCGACCCACAGACGAGAAGACCGACGGCGCAATACCTATCGAGGACTTCTGGAGGAGCATTATGTTGCCTGCAAATGGCAGAGGTAGTTCCAGAAGGAGGCATCGGACGGTCCCCTCATACCCTGAGCACTACCAGGGGTTAAGAGAGTCCTTTGCTGAAGCATTTTGGTCCAAGCAGGTTCGGGTGAGTCTCCCCGAAAGATGCTGACGTCACCATTTTTGATGACGTCATCAGAAAAGGGCGGCAGGTGGCTTTAGTGACTAGCGCCACACGAACGTGAAGCTGAAGCTCGACTGGATCAGGGGCTGAAATAATCCCCGCTTTAACCCTCTCTAATCTAAAAATCTCAATCTCAATCTCAATCCATCAACTTTGGTTTCACTAACGATTATTTGCTCCCAATGGTCTTTTTCTTTATAAGCTGTTTTTATTATATCAACAAATTCTTCATGCTCGCTAAATATAACAAATGACGGCTTAGCAACATACACATCTTCCAGCTTTACTTTTTTCCCATATAATACACTATCTGCAAATTTTTCCATAAATGTCTCTTCATGCTTTTTGCATTCATCAAAATATTGAGCCAAAGCTTTTCCATGCATAGATAATTTTGCATTCAAAAACTTTCTTATGAAATACAGTTTAACTAGCCTGGGAATTAATCTCTTTCCAGTAAATTCTTCATCCTCTTCTTGTGAAATAAAAATATTTTTTTTATTTTTCTTTGTTAATTGTTCTTCAGTTTTATTTCATAAGTTCATTAAAGCTTCTGTCCGAGCTCGGTAGATGTTTATCATTGAGATAAAACCTTTTTGAATCAGCGAGATTCTTCTTTTTCATTCATTAACAACATCTTGTAAATTATCTCTGTCTAACCCTCTTGATAATACATCGGTGATGATTTCTTTGAATCTTTTGTTTTTTCTAAATTTCCAGGCTAATATGTGTGGAGTGAGGTAATTCTTCATTTTACTCCATGCCAGCTTTGACCTCGCTTCTCTTATTTTTATTCTAAATTTGCCTAAAACTAAGCATACTTGGAATAGCCAGTTGATAATGCTTTTGTTTCTTTCTTTTAATTTCTTTTTTCATATGCCTCTTTTCTTTCAGATTGTTGCAAATGAAATGGCTGTAAAAAGTAAAATCCAGGATTTCTTCATGATGTGGAATTCTTGCCAATTATTTCTAATTTCGATTCTTCTCAATCTTCCATTATAGTGGTCTTCTCTTAGCTTTTTATTGTTTAAATCAATTGCAGTCTTATTTTCTTTGCAATTTATTTCTTTCAGTGCTTTCATTTTAAACTTTTCTTTGAGTATTTCCTTATATTTTTCAGGAGAAAACCTCGACACATCTTTATTTTGCCTTATGCGGACTTTAATTTCCTTTTTCCTTTCTTCACTAACATATCTGTATTTAAATGACTCAATCTGATGAAACAGAGGAGTGTCAAAACGAGGAGTTGTGGAAAATTGAAATGATGGCCCTTCTAATGGAGTATAAGTTCTATAAGTAACAGTTCCTACAATTCGCTCCCAGCTATGGTCAGTTGGAATTATTGGTAAATCATATTTTTCTTTAATTGAAGCTGGTATTGAGTTAATTATGTATTTCAGCTTATTTGCTCTTGGGGTTTTTGGTTCTTTGCCTTTATCTCTTGCAGTTTGAGAAATCGGGGAAAATCGCAGAATTTTAGGTGATGAATGATTAAGTGAAGGCAAATTATCGTCTTCGTTCATAGTCTGGTTTAGCCTGGAGATCTCAAGAGATGTATTAACGTTAAAATTTGTGATTTGGTGTTTTAAGTTGCTGAGTTTTGGATTTTTTATTTCTTTTTCAACAGATTTTGATCTGATGATCTCTGGGAGACTCATCATAACGCTGTTTAATTTTTTAATATTTTAAAATTAGATTTGTAATATCTTCAGCGTGAGATATTGTTTAAATTCCTCTAATTCCACTCCTCATCTTTGATAACCACCTAGCTGCTGCAGTTCATCATGAATAATGGTAAAACTTAAATATAAATTTGTTTTTATACTATCGCATGCATAATTTTCTCATATAAAAGATTTTAAGCTCTAGCAATAGGCAAATATATTAGAAATCGTATTAAATTTTGCGTAAGGGTAATTATACAGTGGCATCTCTACTATTCATTATAAAAAGAAAGTATAGATTTATGGTGGAGGTCTCATACTTGATCTTTTGAAATCTTCAATTAAGGACGGAGGAGTAAACTGATTACTCCATTTCTATCAGTGTCAGCTTCTTCTAAGAACTTATTTCATTCAGAATCTTCAATTCCAGGAATACACTCCTTCAGTTCGCTAATTCCCCCGCTTTAAATTTTAGCAAAAAATCAGTAAATTCATTTTTTAAGTACTTTAAACCCCTTTAAGTTGGTTCAATGAGAAAGTTTTATATGTGAAAATATAATTATTATAAAATTAATTTTGACTTAATTTAATAGAAAAATGAGTTTCACGCTGAATTGATTATTTTTTTGAAATAATTCTTTATAAAATAAATTATAATTCAAAAATATTATAATTTCTTTTAATTTTCCCAAATTTAATAAAATTTTTTCTAAATTTAATAAATTTTTTTCTCAATAATGATTTTTTTGAAAATCAATTAACCCCCTTTGTGTTCTTATTTAAAGCGAGAGGGGAGTAAGTGACAGCTGCCCATCACCCCCTTTATCATACAATTTAAACGCTTGTTGAAGCTGCTCTTTCTGGATAACTTTATTTCATTCTGTTGTCGCAGTTAAAAACTCAGTGTAATCTAAATATCCATTTTCGTCTGTATCACAATTTTTCATAATTTCAACTACATCTAACTGTGAACCTAAGCCAAGCGCTGCAGAGCCTTCAGACAACTCTGTCATGCTAAGTCTTCCATCTCCATTTTTGTCGAGCTGCTTAAAAAGATGTATCAAATCTGCTTCTTCTGAAGGTGATGCAACCTGTGATGCAATAAAAGTTAAAATTGATTTTTCCAATTTCGACTGGGCCTTTATAAATTCTTACTCTGAATTTACTTAATTGCTCAAATGCTTGAGTGTTAATTGGACTTTCATCAATTTCATTATTAATATGCCTCTTTATCCAGCGATGATTTAAAACGTCTCTTGCACTAAACCTTAAAGTCGTATTTACACAGATCATTTTGTGAATCAAGTCTTTTGCATCTTCAGAAATGCTGCTTCAGACGCCTTTTGTCATATCTGGATTGGCAGATCTTGCCTTTGTAAGTATTTCGGCCTCAGTGGTTCCTATGAAAGGAGGGCGGCCACCTAGGTAAAAATTACATAGCATTAAATATAAAATAATACCTGCACTTCATATGTCGCACTTTTCGTCGTAGGCTCCTGAAAACACTTCAGGTGCAATATAACAAAGAGTTCCTATAACAGATGGAAGCTTGGAGTTAATAACCAGTCGTTGAGAAATACTAAAATCAATGACTTTTAAAGGAGCATTAGGGCTTGTACTTGCAAAAAGAAGATTTTCAGGCTTTAAATCTCTGTGAACAATGTGCTTTTGGTGACAATAATTGAGAGCAGTAACAATATCATGAGTATATTTGGCAGCAATATTTTCACTGAATCTCATTTCTTTTAGCACCTTATCGAATAGTTCTCCACCTGTTAAGAGTTCTGAAACAATGTAATAGCATAAATTTGATTCAATTACTTCATATATTTTCAAAATATTTGGATGGTCCTGCATAATACTTACAATTTCTTTCAAGAGTTCAACTTCCAGGAGCATTTGTTTTTCTGATACTATGTCAACCTTAAGTTTAGGAATTTCTTTAATCGCCCTATCCAAGCCAGTTCTCTTATCGATAGCTTTAAAAACCGTTCCAAAGCCTCCACTTCCAATCGTCTTTATAATGTCGAAATGATCTTTAACTAAACCTTTAGTGGTTCTCACGAATTATACATTAAAATGGCGACGGCGAACCAGCCCTTTTTCTCAGCACCCGCAGCCGGCGTTTGCTGGGGACCGTGTGGAAGGGAAATAGGCGCTCGAGGTGTATATCCGGCAAGGTTTTTCTTTGGCACAGTAGAGCGCAACGTCGAATTAGGCCGACCGCAGCTCATTCTGACACCAAGGTTTTTGCCTCAGGGGAAATGGTTTCCAAGGTTGGAAAGGGGAAGCTCAGCAGCATCAGGAAGGTACCTCTTGATCAATCGGGTAACTCCCTAGCGTGAAACTGGGCGTTACGTCCCAGGCTTTGGATTTCCATTTGGCCGACAGTCCTACCAGAAACTTGTTTTTTCAAATTTTCGGAGTGGGCAACCTCTGTTGACGTACTCCTGGGTGGCGTAACTCATCCAACTACGGGTAGTGAGTGCAGATCCCCGTCTGGTAGGAGCAACACTTTGAAGGTCGTGATCGATTGGTGGTGAGCACCGAGTGAAGCGTGAAGGGCGAAGGTAGGGCAGGGGAAACCCTAGTCAATACGACGGGCCTCTCTATAATATTAGTTAATGTTAATGTTAATGGTTCTCACGAATTTTCCTTTATTAATATCTACAGAGTTAGCACATTTTCTTCCCTTGGAATTCTTACTTATTGGTAGATTAATAGTATTAGAGGTGCAGCAACCCATTTATTTATTTAGAAATTTTAATTAAAAATTTGAAAAGGACTAATAAAATTTGTAATATAAATCTGCAATTAAAATCAATTATATGTACTTATTTGTAATTATATTTTATAATAATAATAATAAATTAGCTTTTATCGCGCATTAAACGCCTTATTCTTTTAATTTTCACAATTTCTTTTATAAAAATTTGACAGCTGCATCCACTTCTCTTACTTTGTTCTTTTTTCATTTTAGTAGTTGACTTCATTTTTTCATATCTCCATGAATCTCGCACAATGTCTATTAATTTTGTATCAATCCCATCAAATCTCAAGTTTGTTAGTTTGATCAATAAATCAGTTCTTTAATTTTTGGATTTGATGCAAATTTTAATAAGGTACTTTACGTCCTGATTATGTCATCTGCAGTACTTTTTCCATGATTCCAAGCTCATCAGTCCCTGCTCTGCACAGTTCTCAAACCATAGCCCTTCATAATGCACCGCATCTACTTTCTCACCCTAGTTCATTTTCATATTTTATCTTTGATATTTTTTGCATTAAACTACCTTTTTTTGCGTTCACCACTTTAGCTTTAAATAGCATCGTCCTTCTATCAAGTCTAATCCTTTTTGCAGATGGCGCTTTCATCATTATCATCTGCCTTTTTTTCCAAGTTTGTACATCCCCCTCCTCCGTGCGCATGATTATATATTCGTCTCTTTTGCAGACTCCCAGAAATTGACTCATTGAGTTTGTGTATAGGAGTTGCCTGATAGGTAGTTTTTTTAGTTCTTCAACTTCTGCATTGCATATAGCAAACTTATATATCTCTAATTCTTTCAGAAACCTCATAAATGCTTCCTCTTTACTCTCACTTTCTGCTATTTCAAGTTTAGCCTTCTCGCCTGATGCCATAGCCCCTCTCTCATATTGCATAGTCATAGTTTGTCTTGTACAATCAATACTCTTAATAATAATTCAGGCTTTATTAATGTTTGACAGTAAGCTTGGGTGTTTGCAAATTTTTGCCTCTCTATCACGTCTGCTTCTCTATATATGCTTTCCTTGATCTGCATCATATCTTCCACATCCTGACAATCCTTTTCGAAGCGCCCACGTCCCTCGCACACATTGCAAGTGTAGCTCCATTGGTGCGAGATGTGGCACCGTGTCCGCATTATTTCTAGGGTACTTCCCAGAGAGCATATATTTGCTCCATTGAATCAAATCATAAGGATCTCTCCCTCATTTGTCCATTTTTCTAGTTTTTTTTATAGGAAAAAAAATTTTTTAGGACCTCATTTGTCCAATTTTCTATTCGATATTTTGATAGAAAAAAAAATTTCAGGACCTCAATTGTCTCATTTTCTAGTTTTTTTAAAGTAAAAAACTAAAATTTAGGACATTCGAAAAAATCCAAAAAAGACTAGAAAATGGGACAAATTCATTTTTGACTAGATTTTGGGACAAATGGTCCTGAAAATTTTTTTTATCTTATAAAAAAAAGACAAAAAAATTGAACAAATGAGGAGGGGGATCCTTACATAGGCTATAATTGTTCCATTTCCTACTCCAAAATCTGCCTCAATTTCCGCTTCCCATATCCTTCATTTCTTTCCTAGTTCTATGATCGCCAGTTCTGCCGATAATCTGTAGTCCAAATTAATTTTAATTTTGTAGTATCTGGGATCAATGCTACCTTTTTCAACCACTGGTCTTAGCCTCACATACACTCTGTTGTTTATATACAAAGCTCTATCCATGAGTAATTGATTTCCCTCCTTCTTGTCGACATACATAATTAGATTCATTCCCTTATCACGCCACAGCCTAATCTTATCTCCATACTTCTCCTTCAGGTTGCTCTTAGCGTAGTCTTTCAGCTTTGAGATCACCTCCGAGCTTGCTTTAAATTCATCTTTAAGTTCTGCTGCGATTCTGACAATGTCAATTTCAATTTTCCCATTTCGTCAAGTTTGAGGATTTTAAAGTTGTCCCATCTAGCTGACGTGCTGATGCACAAATAAAATGGCGACGACGCCGACCCGTCCTCTCCCGGAACTGAGGCGAGATTGGGGACCTTGCTGCGGCCTGAAACCAATCCGCCCAGGGAAAGGTCTGGAATGGGTACTGGTAGTTTGTGTCCGGCTAGGTTCCCCCCCCAATCCAGCAACGACGATCCTAGGGCGAACCGATAGGACACGGGCAAAAAGGGTTTTTCCTCTAGGGACTGCTAGTGCCAATTTGAGAGGGCATGGAAGGAGCCAACAAGAGCTAAGGAGTTAATCCTTAGCTCTAACCCTAGTCTGGCGACGTGAAGCACGGTGACCCAGTCCGCCTACTTCCGGGATAGCATGACCAAGCCCCATGACCGGAAGGAGCTGAGTGGTACCCTGTGGCACTTAGGTGCACACTGGGAGTAGGGCAAGGAAAGCAAGCGAGGCGTCCAAAAGGCGGAAGAAAAGGACCTTCGGTCCTGGCCGGGAGCTACTTTATAAATTTAACTAAGACTAAGCTGACGTGCTGATCTGAGTGTCCACGCGGCGTTATTGCGATGTTTGTGGTTTCTCTAAGGTATTTCTCAATTTTCTGCCCTCTGCTGCTGCTGCTGTCGGCTGCATTTGGCGCCCTTTTCATGTGCTAAAAATGTATATAATAATATTTTATAATGTAAGGAAAGAATGCTAAAGAAATCAATTGTTCTTCTCTCTAATATGCAATAAATATTCGGTTTGAATTCTTAAGAAGATTAATAAAATTATCATAATTTAATTCCCTATAGTTTTCTTCTTACTTTTATATAAAGGATATTTATCAATGGAAATGGAATCTGCGACTCAAGCTATTTCATCCTTAAATATTGAAGAAGATGAAGAGCTCTCATGGATTCAGCATAAAGTGCTGAATAACACCTTGAGGATAACACTTACTGATACAAGAAAAATTCAAGGCAAACTTCAGTGCCTTGATCATTTAGGAAATATAGTTTTGACTGAAGCAGTTGAGCATATCCCCAACTTTAATATTCAAAGAAATGTTGGAAGCGTCATTATTCCTTCAAAAGCTATTGAAAAAATTGAGCTAGAGAATATCGATTAAAATACAAAATAATACTAAAGGCTTTCTCAAATTATGACAACATTGTCTTTCTCTTAAAGCAATAATTTATCTAAATAATGGAAATTTAAGTATTAAAACTTCAAATGCTTTTAAATATTATATTGAATGCTATATGCAAACTAAAATTTCGTGAAGGCATATATAAGTATTCGTCATTTTTAAGCAGTGATTACTTATATATATTAAATCATAATTAGATTTAATATATATCTTATCAATTTCTTTAAAAGAATAGAGATATAATATAATCATTAGATAACAATATATAAGCTAGAATATTATGCATATAAGCATAAATATGAATTTTGTATTAACTATGCATAAAATTATCAATAGACTTTCAATTTAAAACAATTTAATACGAATAGGGTATAGTTAAAGGCTCTATCGTTAAGAACACTTTCTCAATCGTCTATAAGACATGGGATTTTCTTTTTCAACCATCTCTGAAGGCAGCTGGAGGAAAATTTTCATCGTCTTGACAATGGCTTATTTTCCAGAGAATAAGTTTTTTAAATTATGTTTTCACTCTTAAGGACGACAATGAGTTAATTTAAAATATTTAATAATTCTTAGTTGTATCGAGTTCAGTGCGAATAAAAGTTCTATCATTTAGAACACTTTCTGAGTCGTCCATTGAGACATGAACTTTTTTCCCTCCAATCATAACGGATGGAGCTTGAGGAGTAGTAGTATCATCGAACTTGGACAATGGCTCCATTTTGTATTTTTTATTCACGAAGTTGGGAGTTTTCTTTTCTATTTCAGCAGAAGAAATTGTCTTTCCAAACGCAAACTTCACAAGAACTGCAAGACTTATAGGCTTAGGTCTAAATAGGTAGCTTGGGCAATATTTTTTTTGTAAAATAACCCCACTTAAAAGAAATATCGCCCACCCACTTAATTGTAAAACTAGCCAAGGGACAAATGTAGATTCTGTCGCACTATTGTACACACTTGTCCAAAATATTGACCATGCAGCTCCCATAATGGCTATTATTTGCCATAAATTAATTCTTCCATAGTTATATGGTTTTTTCCAATATAAAAATACTGCAAATGCAATTAAAGTTCCAAAATAAATATAGCCATGAGCGTGAGGCTCCGTAGGTTTGACTGTCTTATTTAGCACAACTGCAGACATCTGAAAAACACTTTTTATCATAAGATACAGAGGATTTGCTTTGATATTTATTGCAACCTGCATTTCTTGCCATAGCGGTCTGCAAAATACAGCAAATGGCAAGTATAAGAAAAATGCAATGATGGCAAAAATTGCAAAAGCAATATGATCTCCTTGCCAGCAATACTGGTGGCAATCTTTATCAAGAAAACTGTCAGTTAATTTATTGCTTGTTCCTTCTGTGCATTGGAATACGTTCATTAGCATCGCAATAATAGGCAAAAAGCATACATTTCCAATTACAGGCATTAAATGCTCTGAAAAAATCCCTAGCCATCTAAAGAAAAACACGTTTTCTAGTCTGATATCTATTCTAAAAATTATTATGAAACCCATGATAAACCATCCTCCGCATAATCCATAAACCACGTATAAGGCTATCCAAAAAGCGGTATTTTTAAAATCAATCAGATCATCCATATTCACAGACAAGCTTTGACTTAATACGTCAATTATAACATTACCTTGAAATCTTGGCCCCATAGCTAAATATTGGAAAAATTCAATAATAACAAATCCCATCGTCATATAGTCACCAAAAGTTATTTCTCTACTTTCCTTAAGTGCAGGAACTGATTTTTTCCATCACTTATTCCAGATAAAAGCAGTAATCGCTAAAGTAACAACGCAAAGTGTAAAACAGATGGCAAAGAGCAGTCCTTGGCCTGAATGTGATGTCCGTTTTTCACTGTCTTCAAATGGACAATCTGGTTTTGGCCTTGTATCTGATGGAGTTTTGGTAGTGTTTCCAGGATAAATAATTGTACCAGATATTTCCATAGCTGTGCTAGAAGTAGGATTATACAATCCAATCTGAGGCTCTATGAACGGAGGCATCCCATTCTTGTACACTCCTGTATTATTAATCTGAATGTTGAATATAGATATAGCGAGACCATTACGATTATTTGAAGCGCTATCAACTGAAACTACACCTGAGCATCCAGTAAAGTATGCAAGTCTCATTGCTTTGTTCATAATTGCTGGATCTTCATAATCATCTCCTTTATCAACTGCATACTTTAATCCATTCAGGATAAGCATGCAAGCATCGAACGCCAAGCATTTGTATGATGGGTCTGCACCATTATAATAACTTTTTAATTCATTCTTGATTTGAAGCCCATATGTCCCAACATATTCCTGATTTGCAGTCGTTATAATTCCCAGCATGATGACTTCTCTTTTTAATCTTCTTTCTTCTGTTAGGGTAGAGTCAGTTAAAAGATTCATTCCTCCAGCATAATTCATGCTAATAGACATTATGTCGCCTGCCCTAAAGCCAATGTCATATAATCCTTCATATCATGGCCACATACTTACTGTGTTGAAAATCGGGATTATAATCCTCGCTCTTGTGTCTTTTATTTTTTGGAATTTAGCTGAGTAATTTGCATACATATCTTGTGAATAGTAAGCTGGAAATGCCCTTGATTCTTCATCATTTATAATTGTTATTCCTAAAGTATCGCATTCAGACTTGAATGAGAGATAATTGTAGTAATTCGTACTAGAATCATTACTGTAGGCGACAGCCACCTTTTTCCATCCAAAAATATTCATAATGTTCACCATGATTTTTGCATTATAAGTAGTTGGAGCCAATATTCTCATAAACTCCGGATATTGGGTTTTATTGGAAAGTATATACCCTGAAGCCTGATCTGTAAGATAAGGGATTTTTATTCCAAGTTCTCGAAAAACTGTAATAATTCCTTGACTAGAGGCAGTGTATTGGGTCCCTAAATAAGCAATTCCAAGCTTGTCGACATAAGGAGTATAGCATGCTTTAGTTATATCGTGAACATATAATTGATTTCCACAATTTGTAGGGATAAAGCTGATGTTAAAGTTAGGCAGTAGCGTTGGATCTTGATTAGCCCTAACTATCCCATATACAGCCCCACCCCTTGAAGATATAACATAAGGATTTGTAGAGGTTGATCCAGGCTCATTAATTCCATATGCCATTCCAAAGCTAACAGATGCTTTTGAATTTATTGGATAAACGGTTGTGTTCCCCGGGAATATGATGCCGGTATCTGTAAAAGAAAGTTTTCCATTTTTAATAGAACCTCGAGCAACTCTTGCTTGATTGTATATGTTTATTAACTCCCCCATCCTTGATCGAACGGCTCGCCGTCGTTCGATCAAGGATGGGGGTTAAAAAAAGTTTTTGGAAAAAAAAAATTATATATAAAATAAAATATCGTTATTTGCAGATTTTTGAACTTTACCACCTAAGTGTGGAATTTTTTTTCCGCGTGTGAAAGAGGATTCCACATGTGAAATCAAAAGGGCTCCACACGTGAAATCACCTTTTCAAACGCGGAAAAACTTCCACATTTAGGTGGTAAAGTTCAAAAATCTGCAAATAACGATATATGTTTTTTTTATATATTTGTAAATAAGAGTTAAGAGTATTTAATAGTTATTTTTACAGCAAAAAGTTGAATCAAATTTCATAAGAATACCAATTTTTAATATTTTTATTTTTTGGTTACCCTTTAAACTGTATAAATTTTAATTGTTCCTTATTGAATTAAAGATTTTAAATTTTAAAAAAATCTCTATTTTCTAGATTATTGAGTTTTTTTTAAGCCTAGGCTGATAACTAAAGCACTTCGGATGGTTGATTCCGTAGCTTTTCTGTCGTCTCAAAGCCTCTGACAACAACTTCATTAGGCGCATCTCCCAAGCTTTTGATAAATAATATATTTTTATATATATAAAAATTTGCATGATATCAAAATCGTTCGATGAAGGATAGGGGTTGGTCAAACCTGGCTGGCTCTATCAGGCTCTATGGCTCTATCTGGTAGTAAGACTCTACCTGGCAGTCTGGCAGTCCGGCTCTATTGGCTCTATCGGCTCTACCAGGGTCTACTGGAAGTCTGGCAGTATGGCACTACTGGCTCTACTGGGTCTATATGGCAGTCTAACTCTACCGGCTCTACTGGCTCTACCTGGGTCTATATGGCAGTCTGGCTCTACCAGCTCTACTGGATCTATATGGCAGTCTGGCTCTACCTGGCAGTTTGGCAGTCTGACAGTCTGGCTCTACCTGGGTCTACTGGCTCTACCAGGGTCTACTGGCTCTACTCATTAAATTCCAATCATGCTTTATAATTTAGATGTCTTTTATAAATAAGGAAGGCCATTTGCTCAGATAAAAATAAGGTTCAGCCAGCTAGGACTCTTCACTAATTTCAAATATTATTATTATATTAAAATTAAAAAATCAGTTCTGCTATAATTTTTTTTTATAACTATAGATAAATCATAAAACAATTCTAATATAAAATTTAACTCTTATGACTGAATCTTATTATCTTATTCGATACGCAATCATCAAGGATCCCTTGGGGGATTCACCCGCTTTGCGACCTTCCTTCCGTCCAGTCTCCTCCTTGCCTCTTGTAAAAGGCTCCAGTGTTGAGAGGCAGGCTACGGGTTTGTGGGGCCTCCTGAGGCTGTGGAATACGAGGTTGGGATTCCGAAATCCCAAAAAAATGGAATTTCTGGTAGCCTGTCGGCAAAAGGGTTAAATCCAGATCCTGGGACGTAACGCCCAGTTTCACGCTAGAGTTGCCCGATTGGTCTAGGAATTATCTGTAAACCTTGCTGGGCTTGCCCTTTCCAAATCTGAACCCTCCTTTCCTTCGAGGTAAAAACCAGCCTCGAAGTTGGACTTGGGCTAGCTCTGCCTCCTGCAGAATTGGCTACCTAGCATTGCCGTCCATGGGTTTGTGCGACCTTCTGAGGCTGAGAGAATACGAAATTGGCATTCCGAAATCCCAAAAAATGGAATTTCTGGTAGCCTGTAGGCAAAAGGGTGAAGTCCAGATCTTGGAACGTAACGCCCAGTTTCACGCTAGGCAGTTGCCCGATTGGTCTAGGTATTACCTGTAGACCTTGCTGGGTGGCTCTTTCCAAATCTGAACCCTCCTTTCCTTCGAGGTAAAAACCAGTCTCGAAGTTGGACTTGAGCTAGTCTCTGCCTCCTGCAGAAATTGATCACCATAGCATTACTGTCCTTTTCAAGGCTAGAAAAACCTTGCCGGATATAATTAAAATATGAGTCGAGGATGTATGGCCGTGAGGCCATATCTAGACGAAGACGCCATATTTTAATTATGATTTCACTGTTTTCAGTCTATTGCTAATAAATATCTTTAAATTTTGATTTAAAATGATTCTGTAGTAAATAATATTTTGTTTTTGGTAGAGCCTTACTGCCAGGTAGAGCCAGTAGACCCAGGTAGTCCCAGACTGCCGGACTGCCAGACTGCCAGATCGAGCCATAGAGCCATAGAGCCATAGAGCCGGACTGCCAGGTAGAGTCAGTAGACCCAGATAGATCCGGACTGCCAGACTGCAAGGCTGCAAGGCTGCCAGGTAGAGCCATACTGCCAGGTAGAGCCGGTAGAGCTAGTAGTGCCTGACTGCCAGACTGCCAGGCTGCCAGGTAGACCCAGACTTCCAGACTGCCAAGTAGAGTCATAGAGACAGACTGCCAGGTAGAGCCGGTAGAGCCAGTAGAGCCGAACTGCCAGACTGCCATATAGAGCCAGTAGAGCCTTACTGCCTGATAGAGCCAGTAGAGTCAGATAGAGCCAGCCAGGTTTGACCAAGGGGTTAATATACCTAATTTTTAGGAATTTTTACAGTCAATCGTTCGATCAAGGATGGGAGGGGAGTAAGGTATAAATAGGATATCGGTACTGTTCGAGCGAAATGGTGTCAAATGCTGTTTTAATTTCATATGCACTCACAACTAAGGCTGTACTTTTCAGCTGTTTTATGAGATTTGTGAATTGTTGTATAGCCAAAACTTCATACATTTCAGTAGATGTGGCAGATTCTAGTCCCTTCTCAGCATAAATCAGGCATCCATCAGGTATCGTTGCTCCTAGCATACCTCTGCCTGATAATAAAACTCCAGACCCTTTTTTATAAACTTTTTTTGATTGAAGTGAGTTCAAAACTAAAGTGTTTGTTGTTCCCTTCGAAAAAGAAACGAACATAGAGATTCCATTCGGCTTTATTTGCTTTCCTATCATATTATCAACATCAGCTTGAGTCAGCGAACTTGAAATCGCCATCCTCATATCAATCAATTCTTTATTGGAGATATAAAAGCTGTCTTCTAATTGGATGGATTGTACATCATCTGAAGATATAACAGCTACACTAGCTTATTATGAATAGCCACTAAGGAATTCCATACGGCTTTCCATATTTAAACTTGACTCATTCATAGGCTATTTATTTGCAAGCACGTATAATCTTGTCCATGAAAAATAAGTAGTTGCAGCCTGGGCTGTTAAGATTTGGTTACTTAAGCTGGAATGAACAGAGTACATCCAATTTCCAGAAATTTTGAAATTTTCATCAATTTGAAGACACAGGATTTTGGATGAATTGGAAAAATAATCAATTTTATGATGAAGCAGCATGTCATAAGTAGCATCTACCATCATCGTTAAGTCTTGCAAAATATAGCTTTCCAAAGCAGAGCTTTGAGTTATGGTATAAAATGAGATATCAAAGAAGAAATCAGAATTTCCTAAGCTGCTATCAAGATTTGAGAGGAAATATGTTGATAATGAAGAAGGTGTGCTTGAAGAGAAAAGTACAATCATATTGAGTTCGCCCTTAACTAGGTTCAATAGCAAAACGATAAATGCAAGCATTTTTTATTATCGTTTTATTTCTCTTCATCAAAAAGAATTAAGCAGTTCTTTGAAAATATGAAACAATTCTTAAAAATGTTAATAAATATATTTCTTAATGGAGTTTTAACTCCCACCCCTCCGTGAGCGAACAAAAAATTCTTGTTTGCTGTTTGCTTACTGAGGGGGATTTATTTTTTTTTAAAAATAATTTATAAATAAATTTTATAAAAAAATTTTTTTTTTCGAAATTTAAAAATATTGCAATTTGTAAAAAATGAGAAGTAAAAATTAATTTAATTTGTAAAAATTTATGTTTTAAAGTGCAATTTGTTTAAAATTAAACAGAATTAGCTAGAGATTTCATTATAATAATTATCACTTATATATTATAAATTTTTTCAATAAAATTTTTTTATTAAAAAAAAATTTGTTCGCTCACAGAGGGTATAGAGGTTTCCTCTATATAGCGCTGAAAGCGCAGACATTTTTTCCCAGGAGCTTTCCAAGTTCGTCGGACCAAATCGCTTTTTGGTCCGACCAAGGCATTGATTTGGTGCAATCAACCGATAAATTCCGATCAGAATTTATCGGCCTTACAGCACCAAACATAGGAAACTTCTATAGGTTTTTGGGATTTTTCTAATGGTTTTGTTCGCTCACGGAGGGGGGAGTAAGCAGTTTTAATTTTGAAAATCCAAGAAGGCCTATTTAACTGATATTCTTTATAAGCATAATTTATTTAAAAAATTTATTATTTGTAGCAATTAAATATAAAACTTAATGAATTTCAAAGGTTTTTTTTTCTTTTACCTTATAAACGATGAAGTCTGTCTCCTGATAATAGTCTTTTTAGATGTAAACTGTAAAAATGTTTCTGAAAGCACAGAGCCTCCAATCCCGGCTTCTTTTCCTTTTGACTTATAATAGCTATTTATCAAATGAAGCTCTGCGACTTTTATAACATCTTGTATGATAAAAAACACCAAATCAAAACCCCAAATGAAGCCCGCAAAGCGTCATGAAATGGACTGCATGCTTGGTATAGACCCAGAACCACTATCAGCAAAATTAAAAAATCAGTAGCAAGAAAACAAAGTTGCAGCTACCGTAGCTACAATAAATGCAATTACAACTTGTCAGCTCGGAGCACGTGTTCAGAACCAACTACTTGTTCTTGCACTGAAAAGTGTAAAAAAATCTGACAATGCCACTTTGAGGTACATCGCTGTGAGAACTTCTCCATAAGAAAAGGTACTTATATCAAATCCTTGGAAAAAGTCATTGGGACTGCTATCATCCATATGAGCTAAACAGAGTAAGAGAAGAGTAATTGATGATATCAATGCAACGAAGCCAAGAGTACAGGCGTTTAAAAACATGATGGACAGGTTAAATTGTTCAGGCTTTTTTGAAACAGTTACTCTATCATAAGCAATTGTGACTAAGGTGCCATCGTTGAGGATTGCAATAAGAACGATAGCAATAACTGGAAATGAAAATGATGTAGGGATGCTAGAACAAGATTTTCCGTTTGAGCGGCATGTAAATTCATCTTTTGGGTTTATTATTGCCATCGCAATAAAGAAAAATGCTAAAAGTTGGACTGTGCAAGCAATTCTGTAAATAAAATAATTGTTCATACGTTGAAAAACCATTCTTGCTAAAAAAATGGCTTGAATTATAACAGATAAGCCAGGCATTGTAAGAACAATTGAAGCTGCAGCCCTTGCTGCATCAGTAGCTCCTTCTACAGCAATTCCAACGTTTGCCTTTTTCAATGCAGGAGCATCATTAACTCCATCTCCAGTCATTCCACATCTATAGTTTAAACTCTGCAAAATTTCTACAATCCTGTATTTATGTTCAGGAAAAACTTCTGCGAATCCATCTGCTTTTTCTACGAGTATTTTGACAGTAGTTTGATCATCAGATTCTGCGTCCTCAGAGAACAGATCAGAGTTATATATAGTATCTCCAAGGTTTAAAAGGCGTGCTGTTTCTTTTGCAATTTCTATTTGGTCTCCTGTAATCATTTTTACCTTAAGATTCATTTGCAAAGCTTTTGCTATGGTCTCTTTTGTATCATCCCTTGGTGGGTCATATAGAGGAATTAAGCCAACCATACTTCACTTGTCGTCTTCTTCAGATATAGCGACTCCTATTGTCCTATACCCTCTGGATGCAAGATTAGCTACATTTTTAGAGACGATGTCTTCAATATTTTTATAGTCACAAAGGCTTAAAACTATTTGTGGGGCTCCCTTTGTGCATTTAAAAATCTTATTATTTTCATTATTTCTGACTGTGGCTTCAGTTCTTTTAATTTTGGGGTCAAACGGGATGAAATCAGTAACCTCATATTTATCGTATTTTATATTATGGTCTTTTTCGGCACTCTCTGAGATACATTTATCAATTGCGTCTTGAGTTCCTTTTTCTCTTCGTAGGAACCCGTGGGTCCGGAAGCTAAAGGAACAAGGGTCTCCCCTGTAGATGGTGACGTCACCATTTTTGAGCACGTCACCAGAAAAGATGGAAACATAGTGATGAGAATTTAATTTAGCTGGAAATGAGTTGGTTTGTGCTGAGTGGAAGATGCTTGGCGTGATGCTGATGTGCTGATGGTGCTGATGGTGCTAATGGCGCTGCTGGTGCTGATGGTGCTGATTTTGGTGGTAGCGTAGGGTAGGGATAAACTAAACTCTTAACTTAACTTTTTCTCTTCTCGAAGAGAGCCCTGCATACAAAAATATATCTGAAATTGAATAATTTTCTAATAAGAAGGGCGGATTGGCAGTTAACTCATTTTTCGTGAGCGTTCCAGTTTTGTCTGAGCATAAAATTTGCATTCCAGCCATTTCTTCAATTGCTGTTAGTTTGCTCACAATTGCTTTGCTTCTAGCTAAATTATGAGCCCCGACAGCTAAAGTTACACTGGCTACAACCTGAGTAGCAATTGGGATAGAGGCAACTAAGATGACTACACACAGAGATAATGTTTCAAGCACATCATTTCCTTTTGTAAGCACTACCACAAAAATAATGGTCACAAATAAAATTGATGCAACCATTAAAATTCCTGTAAATTTAGTAATAACTTTTTGAATGTTTCCAACATTATTTGTTTTCCCTACCAATGCTGAAGTTTTACCAAAAAAAGTATTTGCTCCAGTAGAGACAACGACAGCTTCTAGTTCTCCTCTTTTACAAATTGAGCCTTGATATACAATTTCTCCTTCATATTTATTTACAGCCATTGATTCACCTGTCATTGCTGATTGATCAACTTCTATATTTCCTTGGCCTAATATGCAGTCTGCAGGAATAACATCGCCTAATTTTATATTAACTCTGTCGCCTTGAACCAAATTTATGGCGTCAATTGTCGATCATTCATTATTCCTCTTTACTTTGGCTTTCGGTGCTAAATTTTTCTTGAGAGCTTCAATGGCATTCCCAGCATTTCGCTCTTCGTATCAGCCTACAAAGCCATTAAAAAATTGAAGAATTAAGAGCACTACAAAATCAATGTATGAAAGTCTTACTATTTCAATAATAATGGCTATTCATATCATTATAGGCATCGGACCCCAAAAATAAGATAGGAACTTCAAGATTGGTTTTTTTTTCTTTTCAAGAATGGTATTCGGGCCATCTCGTGTAAATCTGAACTTAGCCTCTTCGTCAGTAAGCCCTTCTGGACCAGTTTTCATGTCTTTGATTTGCTGCTCTGTCAGTTTGTATTGGACTTTTCCGATAATCCCGTCAGCTTTCTCTTTTTCACTTGTTTCAATAAGAGATGTCTCTTCAGACTTCTTTCTAACCTTAATTTCTGCTTTTTCTGCGTGATCAACATTTTGATTTAATTTTGAATTTTCAGCCAGTGAATTTTGTTCAGGTAATTCTGAGCTGTCCTGTTTAATTTTATAAGTTTTTAAGCTTTTTATTTGCTTCCGCCATAATACGAAATTTATAAATAAAAAAAATAATGTCTTATAGCTGTAGTTAATTATTTAAGGTCTCTAGCGCCAAAAAAGATTTAATATCTGATAAAAGAAAGCAAAAAAATCAAACTGCTTATATTTTTCGATAAATTTGCATTTGAGACAGAATCATCATCTGATATTTGAGAATTTCCAGGCATTACTTGAAATTAAAGAAATAAATGATTATTAATTCATTAATCACAATAAATGGACCACTCTTTAATTCCTTTATTTTCCTTTTAATTGCTCAATTTTAGATGCTAATTTTAATCGATTAGCATGATCCTCTTGCTTCTTGCTTTCATTAACGATCGCTTCCTGCTTTCCATTTTAGTTTTCTCAAAATTGTGTATCACTTCTATGAGTTCTTTTTCGTCTTTTTTATTTGTTCTATCATCAAGTTGGGCTTTGTAAGGATTCATAGATTCGTTGATATTTTGAGTGCTTGAAAATAGCTCTTCTTCATCTTTAAAGCAGCTTCTTCACATCGCTTGCTTCCTTGTGTAATTGATAAAATTTATTTTTCGGTCTAATAAAAATTTAAATCTAATTTTTCAAGGTAATTTTAACTTTCTTTCAATATAGCCACGGGAAATGCGTTGAATTGTAAGAATATGATAAGCATAAGGACTATAATCTTTTAGTGGTCTTTGTGATTTTCTTTCTCTTATCTTGTTTACTAATAAAGGATATCAATGCTTTAACCTTTCTCAAAAATAAATTCTCCTGAATTTAGAAATTTTTTCTAAAAACAGCTTTTTTTTGGTTAAAAACATCCTCACATTTTTCTGTATAATTATAATAGCGCTTGTATACACTCTCTCTTTGTAATTTCTAAATGATCTTTGTATCAAAATGCATGAGTGTATCAAATTAATTCTTTGTTCCAAAGTGCTCGATTCTTCAAAATATTGGTGGCACGTCATAAATAAATTCTTTGACTGCTTACTCCTATTCCTAGATGATATAATTATACTTGGATAAGTTTCACACTTTCCAGGGTTTACAGGCGGTCTTTCTTCATAAGTTTTGGCTCTTTGGGCTTTATAAATGGATTTATCTTCTTGGCTGTCAAAATCCTTTGATAATGAGCCAGAAGAGTGCCTTAAGTTATATTCAGATATAAAATTTTTTATACCTTTGCTTATTTCAGCATTCTGGTCCATCATCATTTTAAACATAGAATTCGTCCAGTTACATTCAGGAAGCTGGGGCTGTTTTCTTATAGGAGAAAGCATTTTTTTGGTGTTATTGAGATTTGAATTAGATTTGGATGTAATAAAAACTGATAGCGGAACCGTCCCAGTCATGCCTTGCTCAATTGTAATTTTTTGACGTTTGACTTCGCAATCAAAAATTTGTCGTCCATAATTTACACAATGGCTGAATAAATTGTAAACGTTTATATTGTCACCATATAAGCAAGATTCCAATATTTTCATAACCTTAGAATATTGCTCTTTTAAAGAAATTACATTAATATTGCCTTGAGGTACAGTTACTAAGGTTTCCCCATTGTCATCATACGAGAAATAAGTATTTTCTGCACAGATTTTTGTGTTCATTAAAGAGTTTACATGAATTTCAGATAAATTTTTTTCGCTTTCAGTTATATCATCTTCAAACTGCATATTTATCCTCATCATTTTTCTTGAAATTTTTTCCAGCTGCTTCTTGCTTGGTTGAGCTTCAAACTTTGTAAAGGCAAGCATTGCCAAAATGCTGTCTTCTTTTGTTAATCTTCACTCCTCTTTATATTCAGCTTCTAAAAGTGTTTTTTCAGCGAGTTTGATCTGCATTCTTAGTTTCCCGGATTTTCGCTCAGAGATTGCTTTTATAATTGCTAGCTCTTCAGCTCTAGAGATACAAATTCTTAATAGTTCATTCGTGAATTGATTTCACAATATTAAAAATGTCAGTTAGGGATAAGCCCTAGCTCCTGACAAAATCAGGATGGACTTTATAAACCGAGCTTAGTGAGAGAAGTCAATCTTCTTGAGACTCTCGGCTTGAAGAGAAGGGTCGGTGCTGAGGCTGGCACTGACTAGAGAAGTCTAAATGGGCTTATTAACTTTAACGGTTCGATGGCTAGGCCGGTTCACCTACCGTTGTTCAGAGCTGTTAATTTAGCTGAACCTCAAGTGAAGGGGGACTTTAAGGCATTAAAATGCTAGAGTAATTCAATAAACTTAAAAATTGATTTTGCTTCACAATTTCCTTCATAGAGTTCGTGCCTTGAATTTTTTTCGAAAGGGAAATAGGTTTTACCCTGTTATTCATAATGTAAACTCCAAATTTATATTAAGAAATCCTTATTAAGCTACTATTGAGAAAGAATAAGAGCAACAATCAGTCCATACAGCCCAAGCGCTTCTGCAAAGATAAGAATTAGAATCATCCCAACAAAGATTTTTTCGTTCTGTGCATTTGACCTCACACCTGCATCTCCAACAATTCCTATCGCAAAGCCAGCTGCTAATGCACTCAGCCCGCAGCAAAGTCCGGAAGCAAGATGCTTATAGCCATCATAATAAGAGTAACTTTTGCTTATCTTTTGGACGAGAATGACTGCAACGATAAGGCCATAGATTCCCAAAACACCAGCCATGACTACTGGGATAAGTGATTTCATGATGAGTTCTGGCTTGATAACTCCCATAGATGCAATACCAACACCACTTTTAGCTGTCCCATATCCAGCTCCTAAGTTAGCGAACACCAATGCACAGCTGACTCCGATAAATCCAAAAAAGGCTTGAGTTTTTACAAGTTCGTCCTCTGCCATTTGCTTATTATATTTAATATGTAAAATCACTGGAATCCTTTCTGCTAATTAATTTTGATAATTTTTAAGTTAATTTGATGAAACAAATGATTATAAATATTAAAGAAATATAAAGTACACAGTTTTCATTTATTTGACTCTCTTCAAAATTTCATCTCCAGAGGACAGCATAAATTTGCATTCCTTTATAAGATTTTTTAGCTCAGTATCGTCAATTCTTGGCATTTCTCCGAAAACCCTATCACCATTTATCCATGGTTTTGTGTCTAAATGGACTTTCCCAACATTAACATTTATTTCATATTTTGAAAGTTCCCCTCTTTCATGCATATATATTAAAATGGTGACACATGTCAATCTGCCCGCTTAGAACAACAGTCTGCACCTTAAGGCCACGGCGAACTGGAACGGATCTAGTCGAGACACTTGCAGCCTCAGACACTGTTATCCGGGTAGGTTTTTGTTGCTTTTCTCCAGCTGGAAATCTTAAGGTGGGGAATACAAATCAATATTTTCCTGTAGTTGCCAAAGGAAGGCGATAGATTCCAATAAACTAATTTGTGGAATTAAACTACTCCAATCACCCATCACGGAGCTGACAATCCATAAACTGCCCCCCACTTAAGACTGAAATATCAAGGCAAGGAGGAGAAAATTGTACGGTTGCGGGGTTACGTCACGAATATGGCTAGCACCCATCTTTAATAATCCTAATCTCCTCTTTCAAGCATCGGCAAATGCTTTCTATGCCCATCCAGACTTCTGAGCCCAGTTAGTAGTCCAAGAATCGCATCTCTATACCCAGCTTCTGCACATATAATGTTTGGATCACTAAAATCATAGTTTTGAAAAGACAAATGTCTTACTCCCCCCCCCCCTCCGTGAGCGAACAAAACCATTAGAAAAATCGCCATTTTTTGACCAAAAACCCACCCTCCGTGAGCGAACAAAAATTTTTTTTAATAGAAAAAATTTTAATGGAAAAAAATTTTGATATATAAGTGATAATTAGTATAATGAAATCTAGAGCTAATTCTGTTTAATTTTAAACAAATTGCGTTTTAAAAAACATAAATTTTGCAAATTAAATTAATATTTGCTTCCCAATTTTTGCAAATTAGGATTTTTTTAAATTTCGAAAAAAATATTTTTTATAAAATTTATATATAAATTTTTTTTAAAAAAAAAAATTAAACCCCCTCCGTGAGTGAACAAAATTTTTTTGTTCGCTCACGGAGGGGGGGGGGGAGTTAGCTTAGCTAGCGGTTGTAGCTCAGAAATCCCATTCATGTTATTTATTCGATTTCCCTGCAGCTCTAATTTCTCAAGCTTCACACAAGCTCTAAGTCCTTCAATCTTGCTTATTTGGTTATATGATAAGTCAATGTAAGTCAGCTCAACACATGCTTCAAGTCCTTTTATTCTTGATATTCTATTATTTGATAAATTCAAATGTAAAAGATTGACGCACCCTTCAAGGTTTTTAATTTCTCTAATCCCAGCTGCAGGAAGGTCTAATATAAAAACTATATCAAGACTGAACCTGTCTGAAGCTGCTTTTATTAATTCAGGGGTCAGCTGGGCTTCTCTTTCCATTTAAATTATAAATGGAAGCGCTTTACCGAGAACTCTTTGTAAACAGTGGCAGAAAGGTCCTTGCAATTGCCAAAAATTATTTCGAGCATGCAATAGAAATGAATGCGACTGGTGTCCCTCCAAAGCCGATAATTTTCCAAAAACCTCTAACTTCGGTTATTAGTGAAGGAGAATCAATTGTGATCCCTGAAGGTGTTGAAGTCCACCATGAGATTGAGCTCGGTGTTATGATTGCGAAAAGAGGTAAAAATATTGCCCAAAGTGAAGTGGAAGAATTTATAGCAGGTTACTTCGTGGCTTTAGATATGACTGCAAGGAACGTGCAAGCAGAAGCAAAAGCGAATTCATGGCCTTGGGATGTAGCCAAAGGGTATGATACTTTTCTGCCATTGTCTTCATTTATTCCTAAAGAAGCTGTTCAAGATCCTTATGCCTTGGAACTGGAGCTTTTGATAAATGGAGAAACAAAACAAAGAGGAATGACAGGAAGCATGCACTATAAAATTGATCAAATAGTATCGTATTTAAGCAACATAATGACTTTATGTCCTGGAGATATCATCCTGACAGGTACACCTTCAGGGGTTGGACCAATTCATCATGGAGATGTTTTAGATTGCATTTGCAGACAAAGTGGAAACGAATTAGTCAGAGCTCGCTTTAATGTGGCCTAAATAAATTCAATATTGGCTTAGATCATCTTATAAGTGCATTTTTAAAATAAAAATAATTCATAAATATTAATGGCTCAGCTAATTTAATGATTTTGCTATTGAAGATATCCTCAAAGATATGCATTCTTATAGTGAATTAACATATCTGCTGATTGGCAATTATCATTATTTTTTATAACAAAAATAATGATAGCTAGTAAAGAAAGAAGCTTTGATTCACTATGAAATAGTACAGATTATTTCTGTTACATAAAAGAGATTGATAAGATTTTATATAAGTAAAACTTAACTAATAATATTAACCAAGAACTTAAATATTAAGATACTCATATAATAAATGAGCTTATTGGATAAATTGAAGCCTGATATAACCTTAAAGAAAACTGCAGCTGTTTTGGCAAGCGCAGCAATTGCTTATTCAATTTATTCTAAATGCTCTAGAAAACCTTTAATTTCCCAATATTAACATAAACATTTATTAATTTAAAATTTTAATTGATAACACCCCTGCTTTAAAGTGAGACAAAAATCATGTTCCAATTTAAAGAAACGTCGATCGAAAAAAAATTATATTAAACTTTTCTATATAAAACAGTTTTTAAAGATTTTTAAAAACTTAAAAATTGAACTCAACACATCGAATTTTAATTCATTTTTATGAAGAATCAATTTAAAATTAATTTTTTTCTGTATGTAAACTGTTTAAATATTATTTTGCTTACTCCCCCTTCGTGAGCGAACAAAAAAATTTTATTTGCTCAGGGAGGGTTAATTTTTTTACAAAATTTATAGATAAATTTTATAGTAATTTTTTTTCGAAATTTAAAAAATCCCAATTAGCAAACATTGGAAAGCATTATTATTTAATTTGTAAAATTTATGTTTAAAAAGGTAATTTGTTTAAAAAGGTAATTTGTTTAAAATTTACAGAATTAGTTAATACTTCATTATACTAATTATCATTTATATATCAAATTTTTTTTCCTAAAAAATTGTATATTAAAAAATTTTGTTCGCTCACAGAGCGGGGGAGGAGTTACACTTTTTAATTAAACTAGGCTAAACTAATTTTATAAAAATTAGTATTTTTTTTTTCCTTTCATCTCCTACCGAAAAAAAAATGTTCCGATTTAAAGTGGGTTAAATCCACAAAATTGAAATTTACTTATATTTTGTTCCAATTTAAAAGTGGGGAGTAAGTAATAAAAATAAATTAAATCATTTTGAAGTAATAAAAAAATATAGAAATTTGCTCATATTAAAAATAAATTAACCAAATTTTTAAAATAAAGCATTATGTCTTGATCTTTATTAGTTAAAGAAGCTAGAAATCCATCACTCCAAGCAAACTTCGGATTCCGAAAGCCATAAAATATATTGTCTAACATCCGAAGAATCAGCACAAAGATCAAGCAATCTCTCCGACATTCGATATACATTGATCCTAAATCTCCAAAAAGGTAAAGAATTTCTTGGGCATTGCAAAATCACATTTTTAGTAGCTGATCCGTCGTTTACTGTTTGGCTTGACTTTAACGCTGACGAAATACTTTTTTTAAAAATTAACAATAGTCCAGCTATCCCTCATTGGGAACGAAGCAAACTTTATCTAGACAACATCAAAGCAGATCAAAACTCAATCGATATTTTATATAAAAGAAAATATGCAAATGATGGTAAAGGGCTTCACAGCTTTGTCGACCCAATTGACAACGAACAATACATCTTCTCTCATTTTGAGGCTTTTTATGCAAATAGGATGTTTCCATGCTTTGACCAGCCAGATCTGAAAGCTAATTTCAAAATTTCAGTGTTCGCTCCTTCTGATTGAAAAGTCATAAGCAATGAGCCTTTGATTTCTATTACTCAAGCTAATAATCAAATGATATTCCAGCTTGGGGAGACTTCTTCTTACACCCTACGGAACTTTGAAGAAACTTCAATAATCAGCAGCTATTTGGTTGCTGTATGTGCAGGCCCGTATTATGAAATTAGATACGATTCTAATGAAATCAATATTCCTTTAGGCTTTTACTGCAGAGAATCATTAAAAGAATCCCTAAATCCTGAGCTCTATTTGAACTGGACGATTTCAAGCTTTAAATTTTACCAAGAATATTTTAGTATGAATTATCCTTTCAAAAAATATGATCAAGTTTTTGTTCCGGAATTTAACGCAGGTGCAATGGAGAATGTTGGTTGCGTCACATATCGTGAGGATTATCTATTCAGAGACCCTCCATCAGCCGTTGAAAAATGCAGAGTTGCCAATGTCTTTCTTCATGAAATGGCACACATGTGGTTTGGGAACTTAGTCACAATGGTCTGATGGGATGATTTATGACTAAATGAAAGCTTTGCAACTTTCATGTCCCATCTTAACTACTCAAAAACCTTAAGTTCAGAATATCCTGACTTATGGCTCGTATTTCTTAAGAGAAAAAGAGCAGGATATGTATTGGACCAAATCAGCACATCCCACCCAATCTCTACTATTCTTCAAGACACTTCTCAGACTTCTACAAATTTTGATGCAATATCATATATTAAAGGAGCTGCAGTTCTGAAACAGCTTCGTTTTATTGTTGGGCATGATCTGTTTAAAAAAGGGATCCAAAGATACTTGCTGATATATAAGCATGGAAATGCAGTTTGTAAAAGCTTTATTGATGCGATAGAAGAAGAAATTTTAACTGCAAATGTAGAGTTTGATATCCAAGGGTGGGCAGATAGCTGGATTAAAACTGCAGGAATTAATACTTTAGAAGCTGTGTATGAAGTAGAAAATGGGGTGATTTCTTCTTTCAAGATCAAACAGTCTGCAGATCCTAAGTTTCCTGAACTAAGAAGGCATAAAATCCTTATAGGCTTCTTTGATGAAAATATGAACGCTATTAATAATGTAGAAGCTCAAGTTCTTCCACAAGAGTTTACAGAGCTAGATTGACTAGTTAATACCCCAGCTCCAGATTGTGTTATCCTTAATATTGGCGATTATGATTACTGCAAAATCAGAATTGACGAAAGATCTTTAGATATCATCAAAAGTAAGCTTCATTTTACTAAAGAAAATTTAACGAGGCAGCTGATTTGGTCTGCATTTCAAGATATGGTAAGAGATTGTCTGCTACCTGCGCCTTTATTCCTCCAGATCGTTTTGTCTAACTTTGAATATGAAGCTGAAGAAGGGATTGGAGCATTTATCCTCGAGCTCGCAAACTCGTCTATTAATTTAAGGATCTCAAAGCAAATTAAGAGGAATGAGTATTTGCATCAATTATTTGAGGCCATCCTAAAGAAAGTTCAGGCGGACCCTAATCTCAAAGAGTACCAAAAGCATCTATTTTACTATTTAAGAGAAGACTCAGATATTTTGAGAGCTGTGAAGTGACTGGAAGACTCATCAGAAATCAATTTTAGCCTAACACAAGTGAACAGATGGTCAATTTTGAAAGCTTTTTCAAAAATTGATATTGCAGCAAAAGAGTTAGTTGCAAAAGAAGTTCTGAGAGACCAAAGTAGCAAAGGGAAGCTTGCAGCTTTGCACTGTTCTACTGCATATCCTGATGCAACCTTAAAGCAAACTGTGTGGGACTCAATCATAAATGGAGAAAAAGACCAGCTTTCCAAGCAAGAGAGAAGAGCCTTCATGTCAGGATTCATAAACAAGAAACAGCAAGGAATTTTAAAGCCTTATGCTCAAATGTACTTTGACTTTGTCCCAGAAATCATTGCAAAAAAGAATGCAGAGTTTGCTATTGATTTTTGCACAAATATGTTCCCAACTTTTGACAAGCCAAGAGATCTGATTCCAAAAATTAAGGCTCTCTTAGAAGTCGTTCCGAAAGAATATCCCCAGATAAAAAGATTCCTCAATGAAAAAGCTGATATTTTAGAACAAAATATAAAGGCTAAGGAGTTGGCTAAAACTTATTTACATAGCCTAGCTTAATAATTTAGGAAATTTCTTATAAAAAATGTTCAATAGGATAATATAAAGAATTCATGGAGATTTCATCATTGATAAACTTACTGCCCAAAGCTGAAGTCCATACCCATTTGGAAGTTTCTTTGCCAATAAGCAGAGTCTATGAGATAGCAAAAAGAAATGATGTTACTCTTCCGCTTTCCTATGAAGATTGCATCTATAAATCAACTCACTATGAAGGACTTTGCGATTTTTTAAGCATTTTAAGAGTTGCGTGCTCTGCTCTTAAATTTGAGCAGGATTTTTATGAATTGGCGTTGAGCTATTTCAAGATCTCCTATGAAAATAATATTGTTTATACCGAGCCTCAATATCAAAGCTGTAACTTCACTAAGTATGGAGTAAGCGAAGAAACTATATTAAATGGGCTTTGAAGAGCAATTCAAGAAGCAGAAACTAATTATGGAATGCAAATAAACTTGCTATATGGAATTGGCAGAGGCGCATCTGTTGAATCTTCAATCAATTCTTTATATTTTGCTAAACAACATAGTGAAAAATTCAAAGGAATTGCATTTGCAGGTAATGAATTTCTTCATCCTGCAAAATACTATAAAGAAATATTTGACCTTTCTTCTAACCTAGGACTAGCTGGACCAAACGACGAATTTCTTGCAGTACACACTGGTGAGGAGGCGCCACCAGAAATAATGATAGAAACGCTTCATAATTTTAAGATTGGGAGAATAGATCATGGAATACGTGCCTTAGAGGACCCATTCCTTGTAAAAATGCTGAGCACTCATCAAATACCTATGGGAATGTGCCCTATCTCGAATAAAGCTTTAAAAGCATTAGATCAATTTCCTGAAAGGAATTATATTTATAATGACTTTTTGGATCATGGGTGCTTGATTTCGATAAATACGGATGGGCCCGCTTGGTGCGGAGGGGAGCTTTCTGATAATTATCTAGATTTTGCAAATCACAATATGCATTTAAATGCAGCAGAATTGAGCCAAAAAGTTGTTAAAATATCAGAAAACTCATTTAAATGCTCTTTTTTAAGTGAAAGCGATAAGACACGATATATAAATAGTGTCAGAAGAATAGCAGACAATCTCACAACACTAGATTAAATAAATTAATATTTTCATTTTAATTAAGCCTTCATTTTCAACAAAAACATATAAATATTTTTACTTTTATAGATCCATAGTTTATAATTTATAAATGTCAGCAAAGTGTCAATGGCGCAGATGTTCTAATGACTCGGAATGACTCTGCAAATGCATATCAGAAGGATATAAAGTATGCAAGGAGCATTTACCAGATCACCTAGAAGAAGTTGGGTTTAATCATAGTATTCCTGAATCATTATTTATGAGAATTGATCCTCAGTGTTTAGCTGAGCTAAACAAAATAATTCAATATGCTAAAGAAAAAATTGATAGAGAGTATGCTAATGTTCTAAATATTGTCAAAGAACTAACCAGAGCGCTGAATGAAAAAGTAGAAATGGAATTAAAACAAATCACTATTATGCAGCAGAACTACATTGCTGCCTTTGAAATAGCTATAACTCACGAAAGAATTAGAAAAAGCACAATTTCACCGAAATTTCAAGAAATCTTGGCTAATTTTAACGCATTTAAAGATACAGTTAAAGACCCAAACTGGTTTTCAGTCACTTTAAATGATAAAGAAGTAAAAACTGCTATAGATGATCTTATAAAGGTCAAAATTATAAAGCCAGATCTTTTTAAGATTACAGGAATGGGTGAAGATTTTCCAAAGATGCAGCAATATGAATTTCAAGAGGAAGCCAAAGAAAATCCAGCTGATATATCAGATACAGGCTCTTATGAAGATGAACTTGTAGATTTCGACCCAAATAGTTAATTAAATTATTATTTAATAATTATGATTGCAGCTAAAAGAGGATTTCATACAATTCTTTCAAAGCCGCTTGATTATTTTCCAAGTATTGCTTTGGTTTATGAAAATATTGTAAGCGCGATATAGGAAATATTAAGCTATCAAGCTTTGGATTTAGGTCTAGGATGAAGCTGATCGATATTTCTAACTTCATTTGGGTTAAGACTTGCTGCAGTACCTTTAGGAATGCTTTTAGATAAAATATCCTGAGAAGTTCCGAAAAAACTCCAAAACTCAGTTCAAAGAGCTCAAAAATCATTTTTATTGAACGATTTGGAAGATGACGTAAAGAGATTGAAATTGACCAATTTAGAGCACAATGAATTGAAAAGATATTTTAATGGAAACATAATAATGAGACAAGGCATTTTAGGATATCTTGGATTAAGCTACTTCAGAGCCCTACATCATGTAATGGATTCTCCTCAATATTATGAAGGACTCATCAATAGTAAGTTTTTAGGAATATGAGAGTTACAAAAATACGACCCAATGTTCCTTCTCCCTATCTCAGTAGGTTTTAGTTCTTACTGGCTACTAAAAAATGCAAGCCACCCGTTTTTTATTGGGCTATCTCAAAACTCAAGACTTGCACTATCATTTCTACTGTCCGTATTCAGCATTTACTTGCCTGCCAGTTACATTGAAGCATGATTAGCACTTGCTTTAAGCCACACAGTATGCAAGAAGCTTCTTAAACTAAAACATTAATTTATCTATTATCCTTTTCGATTCATCATTTCAATGAATTCCATATAGTCGATTCTTCCATCTCTATTTTTATCTACTTCACGGATCATTGAAGCTAGGTCTGCTGGATTCACTGTAATTGATATGTCGCCTCCAGTTAGAACTTCTCTCAGCTCATCAATTGTTATATAACCACTTCCATCTATATCGAAATATCGAAAAGCCGTCTTTAATAGTCCGCTGTCTTGGAATGATTGGTTAAATATGCAAGCAGCAATAAATTCTGTATAGCCCAGGGCCTGCTTGAGATCGCTCAGGGCTATCTGATGCCAGCACAGCTGGCGCAGTTAGCTCGGGCAACATCAGTTTTATGGCCAGTCCATTTGACAAGTGGCCATATAAGATTCACTTGCAAACTGGTGGAATTGACCAGGATATTGATGATTCCCGAGCTAACTCCACCAGTTGTGCCGGCATCGTATAGCACTGGGCAATCAATAACAGACTCTAGGCTATATAGTCAATTTTTCCATTTTGGTTGGAGTCTAAAATTTCGAATACACTGCTTATAGAGGCTTTATCGATTCGTATTCCGCACGATCTCATGCCTTGCTCCATTTCGTTAAGCGTGATCATTCCGTCACCGCTCATATCAATCTTTTTGAAGGCTTCTTTGGCAACTTCGATTTCTCTTTCGGATAATTTTGAGGCCATAAGCATCAATGTAACTCTTTTTAATTTTTGAGCATGAGAAAACAACTGAATTCCGTTAAATACATAAGGATCCAGAGGTATTGATTGATTTGAAGCCAAATTTTGAATTCATGGGTGCGTAAAAGCTTGTTTTGCAGTAATTCTGATTGACGGATCCTTCACTAGAAGTCTAGCTATCAAATCTTTTGCCATATCAGAAACTTTAGAAAACTGCTTAGGTCTGAAGCTGTAGTTGCCATTAAAAACGTTCATAAGTACTTCTTCGTTATTTCTCCCATTAAATGGAGGAACTCCACTTACTCCCCCCCATCCTTGATCGAACGACTCGCCATCGTTCGATCAAGGATGGGGGTTAAAAAAATTATACATAAAATAAAAAATATATATAAATTTTTTTTTATTTACTTTTAAATAAGAGGGTTAAGAGTATTTATTATTTTTACAGCAAAAAATTGAATTAATTTCATAAAAATACCAATTTTTTATATTTTAATTTATTAGTTACCCCTTTAAACTGTATAAATTTTAATTTGTTACTTATTAAATTAAAATTTTTTTTTTTAAAAATTTAAAAAATCTCTATTTTATTAGATTATTGAGTTTTTAAGCTCATGTTGATGACTAAATTACTTTTGAATGGTTGATTCCGAAGCTTTCTATCGTCTCAAAGTCTCTGAAAACAACTTCATTAGGTACATCTTCCCAAGCTTTTGATAACTATTATATTTTTTATATATATATAAAAATTTTGCATGATATGAAAATCGTTCGATCAAGGATGGGGGTTAATTTCCCCAATTTTTAGGGAATTTTTACAGTCAATCGTTCGATCAAGGATGGGGGGGAGTTAGCATAATATAAAGAATTACCCCAAGAGATCAGCAGTCCACTTCTTTTGAATAATTTCCCTCTATTACTTCTGGAGCTAAATAATAAGGGGTTCCATCAAGAGAATGCATTACTTCATACTCATCTACAACTTTTGCAAGCCCAAAATCAATAACTTTTAAATCGCTGTTCTGCTCATTAGATACAAAAACACAGTTTTCTGGCTTCAAATCTCTATGACAGACACCATGGTCATGGCAATACATAATAGCTGAAAACAAAGACCTCATAATGACAGCTGCTTGGACTTCGTCTAGATACCTATGAGCCGTTATGCGGTCAAAGAGTTCTCCGCCCTGACAAAGTTCCATAACTAAATAGCATAGTCGATTTGTTTCATAGGTTTCAATAATATTTACAATATTAGGATGATCCAGATGTTTCAGGATATCAATTTCATTGCAAAAGGTATCATAATCTTTGACACGATTTTTTTGAACGACTTTTATGGCTCTGTATATATTTGTGCTGATTTCTCTGCCGAGAAATACTTTTCCGTAGGCGCCACTTCCTAATTCTCTTTCAAATTCATAGACTGAGGTAATATCTGCAGATTGAGATGTGATAAACCACTGCTTTTTGATAACTAATTTATCCATTTGCGACATGAGTATATCACTATAAAATGCACTGATTTGTAGCTTAAATATTGGGATTGTGCTCAGCTAAGCAGAAAAGACTTACTCCAATACTAATAATTAAATTTTTTTGCGGCTTTGGGAAAATAAATAGCTTATAATTTTAAAGCAAATTTAATATTATTCTGTCTTCTGAGATTTATTTTTGAAGAGCTCGAAGCTCTTAATCATCGAATTATTTCAAAAGAATATATCTTACATAGTTCTTTCTCTCTAATAGATTTCTCTTTAGTGGGTTTTAGGAAGGTTATCGCAATAGCTTAGATGCTCATTAAGCTTGGATAAATCTGCTTGCTATCGTGAGTATAGCCCGTTCACGGCGGGACACTCGAGGAGTTGTCTGCATCAATTTTGGGTGACAAGTCAACTCCCCGAGTTGGCAAATAGCCACTATATAGTGATTTGCCAACTCAGGGAATTGACTCGTCACCTCGAAGTGGCGCAGACAACCACGGGTTTCCCGGCAAAGATCGGGCATAGCCCGATCTATAGCGTAAACAGGCTATAATTATTAAGTATGATTAGAATTTTTTACTACGGATTAGCAAAGTTAAAAATTTTGTTGTGCTTGTTCCATTTTTTATTAAGAATTTACCTAGCCAAATAAAAAGCGAGATTGAAATGACTTAACTTATAGCATCATTTTTCGATTAATTTTATGTTCCTATTTATAAAAATCAATAATAAGAGTTTGAAACTGTGAACGGTCCATCATGCAAGTTCTATGGCAAATTAATATGGTAATGATTTTATCAAAAATAAACTCAAGATAAAAAAGTAATTTTTTTTATATTTAATAAAACTGAATTATTTGTTACGATATTAAATGCTTTAAAAATCTTAACGCAAAAAGATATTTTTATGTTCGAGGGATTAGATTTACAATTTCTATATCTGCTTATCATTTAAAGAAAAAAATATTTTTAAATTTTTGTTATATTGACTATAACACAACTTATAGAACGATAAGAAAATTAACAATTACCCAAATTATAAATTTTTAAATAATCTAATGGATTTCCTATTCTTAATAATTTATAAAATCTTTTAAAAGAGGAATTATACGTATTGCATGAAATAATTAGATTGCTCACTTTAGCCTATTTATGATCTTTTTTATAAAATTAAATAAATTATTCATCCTAATTGATATTAATTAATCGAACTTAATATTTTTGTAGATCTTGCTTACGAAATAATACGATCCAGTATAGCCTATTGCTCCAGCTATCAAAAACACAGTAAAGCTTGCTAAGCCAGTATAGCCAAAATAAAATGAAAATTGAAAATATCCAGACATTCTAGTTTTGAAAAAATAATAGTAAAATGAGTAGAAATAAAGATAAATCCCCACGCTTCCTGTGCTTAGGAAGCTTATCCAATGCCACCGATAATCTTCAGAATTCAAAATGATATAAGTCACAACAATAGATACACATATCAAAGACAAAGCAAATAAGAAAAACCCAACCAATGCAAACTCATAAACATAGTAAAATTTATAGTTCCAAAATGATGTAAAAATGAAATAAATCTCCACAGATATACTTCCAAATGGCAACAGTCCTCCAGCAAGGCATAAAAAGATAGGCTCACTCCACCATTGTTTCTCTTTAAGGATTGGTATTGATATATTATTAACTTTATGGCTGAGTGGAAACTTTTTTCTATAATTGGTTCCTAATGTATTCCCAACCACAAATAAAGGAAGGTACAAGAATATAAAAAGTGCCAAAATTTCCAAAAGACTTACAAAAGGCATTGCAGCAGACGAAGAATATAGAACTGCTAGAGTATTCAAAGTCATACTGATTACAGTCACAAAAACTGGATAACAAAGCGCACTAAAGATAAGCGTCCCTTTTGAACTCCTTCCTTGGTATAAAGTGTAGATACTTCCAGACTGAAAGCCTCCTACAATTCCAAGGAACGAATAAATGACAAGAACAATACTGGTAAAAGTCCCTCTTTCACTATACATAGGATGCATAATGCAAATTATCACCACAAGCACTACCATTGTTGCAAGTTGCCATCCTGTGCTATAGAGAGCAGTAAACAAATATAAATAATCTGGAGCTCTGAACGCATCTCCTCCTACTTGTTTCCATCCAGTAGAAATTGCTAGATCGACAGATTCCATTTCTTGGCTCTCATATCTTTCAATGTCTTTATTGAGCGTCCTATACAAAATCAATATAACGACTCCACATAGAACCAGGACCATTACAAACGAGTTTATGATCGAGAATCAATGAATATTGTTCTCAAAAAATCCTGGATCCAAGTAAGAATTAAATCTGTTCGCAAAGACTACATTAGAAGGGGTCCAAGATACAGAATAAGTCAAACTCACATCACTTAAATCAAGTTTCGTCTTTTTAGAATAAACTCTCACAGGATTATCAGTCTGTATATGTGCTTGGACTACATTTGAGTTGTTGTAGGAGAGAATTAATGTGTAATGTGTGAAAATGTATATGTCACCGTTATCGTGGTCTTCTTTTCCCAATTCTGACCAGATTGGCAAGTCGTCCAGGTACATTTGAATCCAGAAATTTCGCTTGACTGCAGTGACCAAAGCAATTACGTCATCGCGACTAAAAGAAGAGGAACAGTAGGTCCTGGATTTTACGTTCTGGATAAATTTGATGTCCATGCCACTGTCATAGAGCTCATAGCCTTCTACAGCTTCCCCAAGACCTAATGCGTATTTTCTTCCTTCACTCTGCCTTTTGCAAATTGGGAGCTTATCATATGCATAGGATTCTTGAGGGTTATCAAATGGGACTATTTTATTAAACCATAAGATGATTTCTTCACCTGGCTGATATGAATGGGTGCGCAGATCAGCTAATGCTGTAACAAATAAGCATATAATCCACATCTGAGTTATATATAAACGTATATTTGATAATTAAAGGAGTTAGTAATAATATGTATAGATAATACATTAGAGTGAGCTCTGAATTCCAAGACCAGACGGTTTTAATATATTTTTCGCATAAATGATCATATCTTAATAGTCAAATTTCACTGATATTTTTCTGAATGAGAAAAACTAATTTCCTTATTTTAAAAGAATATATAAGCAAATTAATGAAAAATTAGTGCCATGATAAAATTATTTTATTCATAGTCGATCTGTTTTCCGTCGTTCATATGATTTAAAATGTCCTTTGTATACTTGATTCTTTTACACAAATCAAGATCACCGCATTCAGAAGCCTGACTTAGAGGCATCGACTTTTTAACTCCACTTTTATTTACATAAGTAAGGACTTGGGTCGAAATAATCAGCTCTGAATGGTCTTGGAAAACGACTTGCACAACTTTATTTGACATTCTAAAAAGAATTGCTCTTCTAGTTCTCATCCATTTCTTTACATAAGGCGATTCATCAGACTGATAATACACAGGATTTTCTTTATCGCTATCCAAATAGCTTCTAAAATGATGCAAAAGTGTCACTTTTTTCTGGAGGGTTTGTGGATAATCAGTTAAGGTATGCCAATTTGTAACATCCTTCTTTTCTCCATCTCTGCAAATATAGCGAAAAGCTTGAGTTGTAGGGTCAAGGATTATTTTTGTAGCATCGTTGAAGTAAACTCCTACAGATCCAGTTGATAAAGTGTAGCCTAAGCCGTATTTGCTGCTATAGTCAACCCAACTATTTACGAATGGAGTTTTTATTTCTCCACTTAAAGATGATATGCTTGGAGTTTTATGTGAAGAAGAAGAGGAAGGCCTTTGAGTGTTTGAAGGGTTTCTGTGGGTCAAAGGCTGCCTTTCTTGGTTGACAGGGGCTGTATCGTGGCTTGGCTTGTAAGGTGGCATCTTAGGCTTTTGCTGATACTGTTTTAAAAAAGATTCTGAAGGTGGTATTGCTAAAGTACTTGGAGGAAGAAATTTAGGAATTTCAAAGCCCATATTGAAAAACGAGTGTTTATAAATATCTTGGATTGATAGCCTTGATTCAGGATCACTCTGCAGCAGTTTTTCAATTAAATCTTTAGCTTGAGCTGATATTGCTACATGATCAGGAAAGGAATATGCACATGATCTTATTTTCTTGTAAGTCATTTTTACATCATTTGTTTCAAATGGAGGCTTCCCTATTAGTAAAGTATAAAGAATAACCCCAAAGGACCAAACGTCAACTTCATAAGAGTGTCCATCCCTTCCCTCCAATATTTCAGGAGCGATATAGTTTGGAGTGCCACAAATTGTCCTTCTTTTCTGGCCATCATACTCTAGCTTTGATGCTAATCCAAAATCTCCAAGCTTGATTTCTAATTTTTCATTTAAAAACATATTTCCTAGCTTGAGATCTCTATGAATTACTCTGTGATCATGCAAATACTCTATAGCAGATAACGTCTGTGTCATATATACCATAACTTCCAGCTCTGAAAGCCTTTTTCTCCTTCTTAATAGCTCATTTAAGGTCTGATTAATACATAGCTCGAGTAAAATATACACATTTTCATGGTCTTCGAAAAAGTGTTCAAATCCTACAATATTTGGATGTTTTAAACCTCTATGAATTTTTATTTCTGACATCAATTTTTGTCGAGTTCGGGCTTTAGTTAAATTTGCTTTAGGAATTACTTTAGCTGCGTGTATTTTTTTGGATTCCAAATCTTGGATTTCATATACACGAGCAAATCCTCCTTTACCGAGAAATCGACCCTTACTGTAGCGTTTTATAGAGACACTACCTTTTGGGTTGACTATTTTTTCTTCGATTATTGCTTCTAGCGATCCAGATTCTTGCAAACTTGACGCTGTAGTTCTTGCTGCAATTGACATAGTTTATGAATATTAAATGTTTAACGGAAAAGTTCAATTCTTGTCGATTTTATGAATATTTAAAAAATGCATCCATGAGCACTTAGATGATTATATAAGGCTCAGGTTATTGAGAAAATACAAAAATAACTGTTATATTTAAAATCTGTCTATAATAATTAAATTAAATTCACAATTTAAACTAAGCAGATTTTTCATTTACTGATAGTGAAGAGAATTTAGGATAATTGAGGTAAGGACATAGTGATCACTAACAGCATATTTTTTAAATTGACATAAATTTAATTTTTGAAAATAATAAAAAATATGCAAGAAGGTTGGAATTAATATTCAGTAAAAAATTTTTCGAATTTCAAGCTTAAATTTTTATAATAAACAGATCTAATCAGATAACAGTTTAATAAATTGAGCTGATAGGAAGTTGTTGCACATATTTTTTCTCGAGATATGGGTTCGATTATTGCCAAAATTCGAGCACTATTTTCAAGACACATGGAATTAGTAATTGTAGGTCTGGAAAATTCAGGCAAAACTACTTTTGTAAATTATCTTTCTGGAGGAAGTCCAGGTAAAACTGCTCCAACTATTGGAATTAATGTAAAAACACTGAGAAAAGGAAATTTAATCATGAAAGTCTGGGATTTAGGCGGACAAATCCAATATAGAAGGGAATGGATTCGCTACGCTAAAGGGACCAATGTAATTATCTTTGTTGTTGATTCTTCAGAGCGAGAGCTAATTTTTTCAGCTAGGAAAGAATTGCATATGATGCTTGAGGATCAAGATCTTGGAGGTATCCCACTTCTTGTACTTGCAAACAAAATAGATATTTCCCAACATCTTTCTGAACCGGAAATTATCAAAGGATTGAACTTAGATTACATAAGCGATAATCCTTGGCTGGTAATATCAGCGAGTGCTATGAAAGGCACGAACATCGAAAGAGTTGTAGATTGGCTTATCAAAAAAAGCAAGAAATAATATAATTAAAACTGTGAATTATAGTCAATTAGAAATCTAATTGTCCTTAAAGTATTTATTACTGAATAATTTTTCTTACAACAGATAGAGTAATTTTTTTAAAACTGATTTAAAAGTATCAATTTGAATAGCATGAGCGTTTCAAGCCTACAATTAATTAGATAAGCAAAAGATGCGTCAATTTGTACAGTTTAGATGATATCAAGCTCTAAAAATATTTCCAAATGGACACTTTAAATTAAAATTTCATGTTTTATTTAAAGGTTCAAAATTTTTGGAAAATGCATTTGGATATTTAGTTGGAATTGAATAATATCTTATAAACAATGTCTTATTTTTCCCACAAAAACATTGTAGATGACCTAATTTCAAGTAAGCATAGCTACTTGACTCACACTATAAATTCAACCTTACAGAAAAGTCGAAGAATTTTAGAAGAAAGCAAGAAATTAACACTTCTTCATCAGCAAAGAAACCGCTTATTCGGCCGTCATAACTCTTTGTGGACTGAAATTACAGATAAAATTGGAGAAAAAGCTTCTTTATATCAGACTTTTGATAGAACTACCGAAGACTCTTTGTTTTCCAAGAGAGGGAAATGCACTCCTAGTATTTTGAGGAATGATAGAAGAGCATTATCAACTGATATAACTGAAGCTCCAGGCCTCGAAAAGACTATATCGATGGACTCAAAATCTCTGAAAAGGATGATTGATGAACTTAAACAAGAAAATTTGAATCTAAAAAGAGAGATGCAGTATTCAAAGAGCATTGGTGAAGATCATGAAAGGCTGAAAAGTCTCTATGGGTCGAAAAGTCCAATTGAGGAAAAACTGGACTATACTCCAAGCTTAAATTCATATAATAATCCAACTACGCTTGAAGAGAGATATAAGGATCTTGAGGAAAAATATTTGTATGAAATTAGTATTAATGAAAGGTTAAGGGAAGAAATTCGAAGCTTAAGCAAAAAAGGAAGTATAAGAGGGAGAATTAGTTCGCAAGAATGTTTGAATAAAATTAATCAAGTTGAAGGTAAGTTAAGAGAAAGCTTCAAAGATTGTGAAGATTTAACTCCCACTTTATATGAGAAGAAACGGATAAAATCTATTAGTCTATTGGCAAATTTATTTTCTTATAGCTTTAAAATAATTTTTATAAATATGCTTGATGCAAAATTTACCTATAATTCATGAGGCTTTCAATTTGATAAATTAACTTTAAAAAAATTTATAAGATTTTTATACTATTAAAGGGTTTCATATGAATATTTTGTTCAAAAATATTTAATCTATTTAAATTAGTATAGAATTTTTACTCAAATTTAAAGGTGGGGAGTAAAAGAGAAAATCAGAATTTGCAATAAGACAAGCTTAAAACCGAAGAAAAAAATTTCAAAATCCTCTAAAGCACTTTTAAGTCAAAGTTCAAATACCAAAAAAGTAAAGACAAAAGGTATAGTTTTGCATTCAAATAAAAATTTAAAAACAATAAAACGAAAAGTAAGTAAAAAATAAGATCAGCAATTTTAATAAATTAATTAGTTTTTTTTTGCAATCATTATTTCTTATTTAGAACAATAATAAAATGAACGATAGTAAAACCAAATAAGAGGATTCTAAATGCTGAATAATAATTTTAATATTATTAAGTATTGGATTTCTTAAATAAATCTGACATCTTGCAACGATAATCATTTAACATCTCAAATTTTACTGATAAAAAGTTATATGGAAGGTAAAAAATTTCTGAAAAGAGCATTGCACAGATACCAAATTCAGATATATAAAAGGCCAATTGCAGCCCAAGTAATCGCAGGATGAGCAATATCAATCGTTGGGGATTATCTTGTTCAATCATATCTTGATGACAAGAAATCTGATTATAGTAAAAAGAGGGGATTGGTAGTGTCAAGCTATGCAGGAATAGAAATTGCTCTTGAAGCATTCTTTTATTATCCCTTCCTTGATCGAGTTTTTGGACCCGAAATGACTTTGATAAATGCTTTCAAAAAGATCGCGATCGATCAATCATTATACACACCATTGGAGACTATATGCTTTATGTTCTGGACAAATAAGCTGGAAAAAAGACCAGAGCCGATTAGCGAGAAGCTTAATAGGGATTATAAGCCAACTATTTATTTGAACTTTGTTTATTGGATTCCAGCTTCAGTCATTTTATATTGCTTTGTCCCATTACAGGTTAGAGCACTATTTACATCTGTTCTAACATTTTCATGGGATACATTCATGTCGTATGCTGCTCACAACAATTTGAACCAAAGGATTTCTAATATGATTGGGTCTAAGTAAATTGCACATAAATTACAGATAATTGATTAGTTTTTAATTGTGTATATATATAAATTTTATCAAACCTATAATCACTTCACTTTCAAAGCTTTAGCAAACTATTAATTAGATTAGATATTTTTGAAAATGAATTATATTTATATCAGTTCTATTTTAAATAGAACAGAATTTTGGAATTATAGTAATGTGAATATTTAATAAATTTCAAAGTAGATCGGAAGCAAAATCAGATTTATTGCTTATATTATAAACTGATAATTTTTTTATTATTATTAAGATTGGAAATCTTCATTCAAATTATAATAACATCGAATGTCTTAAAGATAAATGAAAATTAAAATAGCTGATAAGTAATAAAAATGGATGTCAAAGATAAAACATACTCAGCATTGATTTTAATTCTTATATGTATCTGATCAGTTGTGCTTATATTTTCTATTCCCAAACCTCAAAGTGACATTCAGGCACCTTTATTAATAAAAACTAATGCGAAAATTGGAGAGAACTCCCTCACTTTTCCTCATTCAGAGCCAGGGTCATATTGTGATAGCTGGAAAAACACAAAAACAAAAACTGTCTGAACAGATCGACCTTCCGCATATTCATCGCTAAAGCTGATAGACTTTGGCTGAAATATGCTAAAATCAAATAAAAATGGCAAAGCATTACAATTTATAAATCCAAATAATCTCAACTATGATGAAACTGAATGAAAAACAGTAAGCAAAGCTCAATTCCAAGAAACTAACGAAGCGTTATTTTTGATTCCAAAAGAAGCAAATGTTATATTCACAAGAATGTATTGATATGGCGATTCTGATAACAATAACATCCAAACTGCACGCTTAGGAATAGATTACGCTTGTCCAGGCCAAATTTTTAATCACATTCCTGGAGCAAGTGCATTCTGCAGAAAAGATTATTTACAGGAATATATTCTTGATTATCAAAGAAGATATGCAAGTCTTGGGCTCTTTCATTGTTTCACTGGGTCTTTAACCCCAAAATCATATATAATGAATGAACCAGAACACTGCAAAGCGTTTATTGATGAGCTTGAGAGGCAAACAGATAAATTCAACTCGAAAAATATGCCAATAGAGTGAATATTGAAAAGCCCTTTACAGCACAAAGGATATGGAATTCAATTGATTGACTTTGAAAAAGCTAATTATTATATAAACCTATATAGAGGAAATTTAAGGAAAGAAATCAACTGTTATAATGTTGCAGAAGAAGATAAGCATTTAATTGCGCAAAAGTACATATCAAATCCAGCACTTGTAAGGGTTATTTAGATTCAAGGAAGAAAATTTGATTTCCGAGTCTTTGCAATCATAATTAATTCTGACCCTCTAGTGGCTCTTTGGGCTCCTGAAAATGGGCATACTCGACTATCAGATCAAGAATTCGACAAATTGTCATCTGATTTTACAACACATATAACCGCCAATGTAGCAGGAGCTAACCCAGACTCTCTTGAATTCTTAAAAAGTTACAGATTCAATCTTCGTGAAATCGCTTATTATTTTCGAGATATATTAGGAGACCATGAAGCTTGGCTTGAACGAGTTGCCTTCCCACAAATTAAAAAAAATCTAATTCATATGTTTAGATCGACCCAGCAAAACTTTTTGATAAAAAGGATTGGCCTGATGGAATTCTATGGGGTTGATTTCATTATGAATGATACTTTGGAAAATATCTATTTATTGGAATCAAATCGAAGACCCGATGTGCAAGAAAAAAATCCAAATTTGCAGTATAGAGAAGATATGCTTTTAGAAGATTTTTCAACTGTCGCTGAATATTTTTTGAAAACTGGAGCAAACTCAATCAATACCAATGAAATATTCAGATCTCTAAAAGCTTTTAAGCCTTTAATAGACGAAACCAAAAACGACCCATATTTCGGGGTGTTACCAATTGAGTGTCGAATTCCATTCAAAGATCTAAACACAAATTTGCCAACTGACCCAATGATTGCACCTCTTAAGCATTACGTAAACTCAAAAGAATAATTTTAAATAAAGTTTAAACTTATAAATGGCAGGTGGAGATCAAGGTGGGATAGAGCTAGAGCACGCAATTGGGTATTCAGCTGATTTTCTTTCATCAATCATAATTCACCCTAACCTCAGAAACTACGTTTACATAACAGGAGCTTGTGTCATAGTTGGAGAAATCGATAACTTGCAAGGACAATCCTTCTTGCGTGGGCACGATGATACAGTTACATGTGTCGCTGTTTCTCCAAGTGGAAGTTTGCTAGCATCAGGCCAACGTGGCTATAATGCAGACGTGCTTGTGTGGAATTTCAATTCTCGCACAGTTAAATATAGATTCAGTGAGCACGACTATGAAATAAAATGCATGGATTTTTCTCATGACGATCGATTGCTCTGCACCTGTGGAAATGCTACAGATGGGAAAATGTTTATATGGGATTGCGCTACTGGGTATAGCTATTTAATAAGACTCGATGCTTTAATCCTGATTTTTTATTAGGATTTTTTGCTTTAAGATTTCAGAATCATTAAATAGGTATATATTGTAGCATCTGTTGGGCTTGCCCCATCCCCTACTCTATGTGTGAAGTTCGGAGGATGAAGAAAAGACGTAAAAGGTAGGCCAATAGACAAGTATCAAATAGCCACAGCAGGAGACAAAAGAATCGTTGTGTGGTCACTAAACCCTTTTACAGGAGAGCTTGAAAACGAAGCGCTTAATACAAATTCGGCGATTCGAGAATTCCAGACTTTGGATTTTAGTCCAAGAGGTGAAAAGTTTTTATTTGCTGGCACAACTTCAGGAGACTTTTTTGTGTTTATGATGAAAAATCATCATTTATTCTGCACACAAGGTGCTTGCTCAAAAGGAGTGGTTTCAATAGTGGCATTAGATGATGAAAATGTTCTTGTAGGAGGAGGAGATGGGACACTAAGTCTTTGGCAAATTCAAGGAAGCAGAAGCTTTGAAATGAACAGAGTAAATTTAGTAGGAGGAATATCAGGACTCAGCCCATCAGCAGATAGATCTATCATGCTTGCAGGGACAACACTTGGATTCCAATATAAAATAAGAACGAATGACCTAGCCAATGTGCTAATTTCAGAAAATCATACCAGGCCAATGACATATGTGAACTTCCCAATTGGAGTTTCAGATAAATTCGCTACAAGCTCAGAAGATGGAACTATCCGCATCTGGGATGGGTCGGACTATAAAGTAATATCTCGGTGCATCGCTAGCAATGGAGGCTCTCCTTTATGCTTCTTCTTGACCCTTGAAATTGTAGTCTCAGGGTGGGAAGATGGTAAAATCCGCTCATTCCGTGCAGATAACGGCCAGCAGCTCTGGCAAATTGACAATGCCCATCGAGGAGGAGTTTCATCTATTACTCTTGCTCACAATCAAAGATTCTTCTGTACAGGTGGCTCTGAAGGTGAAGTGAGAGTATGGGAAATCCGAACCAGAGAAATGGTTTCTCACTTAAAAGAACACACCACAAGAGTCACTGATATCAATCTTCTCGACGATGATGTTCACCTTGTATCAGTTTCCAGAGATAGATGTATGCTCACATGGGATCTTAGGAGTGATAAAAGAATTGCGGCGCAAACCCAGAGAACGGGAGGGATAAATGCTCTTAGTGTCACCTCAGATCAAAATGTTGTCATCACTGCTGGACAAGAAAGAAAAATCAATAAGTGGGACTTGAGGCAAACTCAGCCAATTATAAGCCAAGATGCAGGACCTGGACAAGAAAGCGATGAAATTTATGCACTGGCTGTGAGCAACGATGGAAGATATGTTGCAACAGGAGGAGAAAAAATGATAATCAGAGTTTGGGATATCAGCTCTATGAGAGTAGCAGCAGAAGGACATGGACATTCTGGAGCGATTACGAGAATTGCTTGGGCAGCTGATAATAAACAAGTAGTTTCGACTGGAAAAGATAACTGCACTCTGATATGGAACATATTTCTTTAACATTAATTTTAAACTATAATATGGTAGAATTAAAAGTTAATGTAAGTAAAATATTATTCCTAAATAAGCAAGCATCTCCTGTTTTGTAAAATAAGTTGATATAGAAGACAGTGATCTATGGAGCTCTCTCTTAGATGCTGAGGTCCAGAAAATGAAGATCACATATTTTAGGTTTATAAAATGAGTAATTTTTAATGTCTATTTTAGAAAAATCATATCAAAATAAGGCTCTCAATACTGAGTCAGAAACTCCATCCCATTTTCGACAAGAAAGTCTAGATTCTAATTTAGTCAGACAAGCCTGCAGAAGAAGATCTTTAAATGAAAATTTGCCACCTTTGCAGCCTTATTATTATGACTTCGATGGAAATATGTGTGTAAATCCCTTGCCTTATAAGCTAACTTCTACAACAAGAACCTCTGAGCCTCTGAAGTATAGATCTGATTCAGTAAGACTAAAGCGACATTCTGAAACTCCCAAAGCTAACAACACTATAAAAAAATTCAAACCAAATTTGATGAAATTAACTGAAATTAAACAATTGGAAGACACAATGTGATACAGAGAAATCTATGTCATCAAAGATGGGACAAAAATTGAGAACTCCCAAGAAGTCTTTGGTTTCAAATATAAAATTAATTGTGATTCATATGTAAACAGATTTCAGAAAGCATTAGAATTGGATGCGTTTTTCAATTATTGCCAGAAATATTTCAAGTCAAATCAAAAATTTAAATTTCTTTTTTCAGCAGATGGAAAATTGCTTCAAAATTTAGCTGACTCCCCCCCATCCTTGATCGAACGATTGACTGTAAAAATTTCCTAAAATTTGGGAAAATTAACCCCCATCCTTGATCGAACGATTTTCATATCATGCAAATTTTTATACATATAAAAATATATTAGTTATCAAAAGCTTAGGAAATGTGCCTAATGAAGTTGTTTTCAGAGGCTTTCAGACGACAGAAAGCTACGGAATCAACCATTCAAAGTGATTTAGTCATCAATCTAGGCTTAAAAACTCTTAACTTAACTTACTAATTATAACGCTTAACGTCCACTACGGGGTTGGCAAAGCCCAGACCTCCGCTCGCCCTTTCGTCGCATCGGGCCCACAGACCTCTGGGCCGGTCCGCTTCGATCACCAAGGTGAGTCTAGGGGCAAGTGTTGCCGGCTTCGACGGCTCATGAATGAGCTACTTGCTTGTAGCATGGGTTGCCATTCCGAAAACCCAAAAAAATGATTTTCTGGTAGGCTTTTGGCAAAAAGGAAAAACACGTAGCCTGGGACGTAACGCCCAGGTTTTTTTTTTTTTCACGCTAGAGAGTTGCCCGATGGGTCGTGTGGACTCTGCTGGGCTTCCCCTTTCCAACTGCCGTGCTTTCCTTCCCCACGAGGAAAAAACCATCTCTGAGAATAGACTAGGGCTAGGCTCTGTACTCCACCAGAATTGCTTACCTAGCATTGTCGTCCATCTCTGAAATGGCAAAACTTTGCCGGGATATAATTAAAATATGAGTCGAGGCTGCATGGCCGGAGGCCATGCCCAGACGAAGACGCCATATTTTTAATTATTAGGCTTAAAAACTCAATAATCTAAAAAATAGAGATTCTCTAAAATTTAAAAAAAAATCAAAAATTCAATAAAGAACAAATCAAAATTTATAAAGTTTAAAGGGGTAACCAAAAAATCAAAATATTAAAAGTTGGTATTCTTATGAAATTAATTCAATTTTCTGCTGTAAAAATAATTATTAAATACTCTTAACCCTCTTATTTAAAAGTATAAAAAAAAAATTTTTTTTGATTTTTATATATATATAAATTTTTTTCCCCAAAAAATTTTTTTTAACCCCCATCCTTGATCGAACGATGGCGAGTCGTTCGATCAAAAATGGGGGGAGTGAGATACCTCCTCATGCGAAGCTTGTTTTTGTAGGAGCATCTCCAGTGTTTTCGGGACTTGTTGAAGAGTACATAACGACAGAGTTTTCAGTAGAAACATCGTCAATGCCGAGAATAACAATTGAAGATTTTGAGAGGACTTTTACTAGTATGGGGTCAAGGTCTTCTAAAAGAAGAACCAACATGAGCTTAGATTTTTCTGAATCTCCGCTTTGAAAAAGAGAATAATTTTGGAATTTAATCCTTCAACAATTTTTAAACAAATAATATATAAAAAATGATTATTTTAATTAAAATCTGGTAAATTCTAGTCAATCGAAATCTCAAACATATTAGCTTAGTGATATTCTTTAAATATTATTGTAAACATAAATTTCAAAATCAAGCATTATTGTTCCAATAAACAATTTATTATAAAATGTTTTAGAAAAATTAAATCTCCATAAGCAAACCAAAAACGTGCTCATTTTCAGAGAGGGGATGAGCAGGCTGCAAATAAAAAAGTCACACTATTCAAACTGAGAAATAAAGCTGTTGCTAAAAAGCCTTTGGAAATCCAAAAGCATAGAATAGCTAAAAAATTCGACAAAACTGACTATTTAACTCAGCTTAAAAAATTGGCTCCATATTAAATAACTATGTATTTTTGATAATATGGGAATTTCCTTGGGGAGAATTTGTTCGAAGGATTTGTGATAGTGAGATATTTGACCAAAACCATTAAATTTCAGCCAAATGATGTAATATTTAAAAATTTTTGATCAAATTCTTTCGATGAAATGCACACCACTAAAAGTGCATTACTTTGGGCCTGCACCTTAAAAAAAGACTTGCAGAAGTCACAGTAAAAATAGATAAAACAATCCCAAAGCTAAGAGAGCAAAATATTGAAGAAATTACAGAAAAATACGAATTTTCCGAATCAGATTTGCACAAGGTTTATGCCCAATATAAAACATTTTTACTTCTTTCTGTTGCCCAAGATCCTTACCATGATATAAATAAAGGGATTAAAAAAGACACTTTTATAGAAATCCTGAAACATAAATCTCAGCAAGACATTAAACTAGTTGAGCAGATCTTTAAATCAGTTGACTCAAACGCAAATGGATTCATAGATTGAGAAGAATATTTAAAAGCAATGAGCGTCATGTCATTTGGAAACCTATCCCAACAAATTGATATGATGTTTAGTATTCAAGGTACCTCAGGAATGCTATCTTTTAAAGATATAAAGCAATTATGCAACACGAAACTACAATTTGCGAGTCAAGATGAAATTAGTGACTACTTATCTGAAAGTTTTGCAAAAATTATTTATGATCTGGCAAAGGTTGATACAAATCAATCAATTTCAAGTGAACAGCTGAAAAATATTCTTGGGCAGAGAAAGGAAATAGGGTTAATGCGAATGTTCTGCTCTTTTGATTTTCTTAATATATAGCATAATTATAAAATTGCATTTCTAAAAATGGATGTTGAAAAGGTAAGAGAGCTTTTGGAGCAAAAGGAAAAGTATTTAAGAGAGTTAGCAGTCAAGCTCTCTGGGCATATACAAGAATTAAGTCAAGTCGATGAAAAAATTTCGACCTTAACCCTAACAAATTTATAACAGAAATTTCATGAAAAAATAATTATATAGGATTTTGCTAGCAAATTTTTATATTAGCAGAGTTAGAAGAAAAAATACAGCTAAAAAATAAAAAGTTAAAACACAAAGAATCACAAATTGAACAAGAAATGAAAGACAAAGAAATAATTATTACTAGAATCAAAGGCCTTGAAGAGTTATTAGGATCTCCAAACGGATCTCCTTCTCTTACACGATCAAAAACGTCTTCTAAAGTAAAAACTGCTACCAATGCAAATTATATCCAGTTTTATACAAAACTAAAAAATGAAATTGAAACAAATCCTTCTACTACTTCAGAAGCACCTGCAAAAGTAGAAGAAAAAAAGGATGCTATTGAAATAGAAATGGGAAATGCAAGCTCTATTATCGAAGAGGAAGTTGATATATCAAAAGAGCTTGAAGCATTAGGCCTTGGAGATCTTGTTAAAAAATACAATAAGTAATATAAATTGCTAAAATTTTGAATGAAAATCTTCAGCTTTAGACAACTCATTTTAAGTGCAGAAATTTAAATGGAAATTTAGCTAATAAAGTTGCTGAATCTATCTAAATTATTACAAGATTACTATGTTTTTTATATAATTGATTTCAGTTAATTTCTATTGATATAAATCAAAGCAAATTGCGACAATTCCGCCATTTTAATAATAATTATCCTGATGTCTAGAAGAATAGTTCCTCTTCTCAATAGAATTATTATTCAGAAAGCAGAAATCCCTAACAAGACAGCTGGAGGAATTCTTTTGCCTGAAACAAAGGATAAAGACACTCAAGTTGGGACTGTAATTGCAGCAGGCCCTGGAGCAATGTTCGAAAATGGAAGAACACGTGAGACAATAGTAAGACAAGGGCAAAGTGTTTTGCTTCCATCATATAGTGGCCAAGAAGTTGACATTGATAATGAGAAGTTCTACATCTATAAAGACACAGAAATTCTGGCTATACTTGAATAAGTAAATAATAGAATATTCTAAAAGAAACATAAGAAGAGCTTTACTTCATTGCATCTATGGTTAATTTAGCTTTTAAAAGCATAGAGGGCCTCATTATAATACACAAGTTAATCAGAAATTAAAATTGCTAAACGCCCTTTATTTTAGAAATGATACAAATAATTTATCACTATAATAACCTTGCATTAATATTACTTCTTATATGTCTCTCATTCTTTAACTTTGCGATTACATCCTTAGGCGACATTAATCATAGCCAATTATTATGACTTAGCCTATCACACAAATTTTTAATAGGCAAAACAATGCAATGTAGATGAAGATGATCAATGCTATTTCTAGGAGGCACATGAAAACCAAAATAATACTGTTCGCCTGGCTTTCTTTCTTTAAGTAATCTTAATCCTATTTCTCACATTCTTTCTATTAGAGCTATATGGCTTTCGTTTAAATCATTTATATTTTTGATATGAAATTTAGGAACAACCTGGATATAGTCTTTTCCTAGTGGCTTTCTATCTAAAAAAGCAGCTAAAAGATCATCTTCGTATATTAGGGATTCTGATGTGTTTGCAAGCTTGCAAAAAACACATTGGCCATCTTCTCCGTATGTTTTGTGTTTGAGCTCATATTGTTTATCCTTACCTCCATCTTTGATTGGACTAATTGTATCACTGATTCATGATAAGTGGTAAAAAAGTTGTGGAACAAAATAAATATAAATTTTATCAGCCTGTATTAAAAAATTTTCATTATTGGCTGACTGGAAGAGGTAATAATGCAATATTTAAAATATGCTAGAAAATATAACTGAATTGTGAAGTAGCGATTATAGGTATAATCATTTTATTCATTAATATCAAATATGAGAACTAGATTTAGAATGGGACAGGATAATTGGTTTGATGAAAAATGTCTATCTAGCAGTGTTAATTTTTTCCAATTTTAGGAAATTTTCAAATGCTATCATTAAATCAAGGAGTAAGGGGAGTTAGCTGGCACATGCAAAGCTAAAAGCAAGGTCGGACTTAGAGTCAAATAAACTCGGTGTTTTAAGAAAGCAGTTAAAGAAGTAATTCATTCATTTCACTTGTATCTTTTCATTTATAATAGTTAACATCAGTAATGGCAGCTTAAATAAATTGATAGTTAACTTTTCTTGAGATAGTAAAAATTTTAATCTATAAGAGGAAATTTTTAATTTAACATTTCATTTTTTGCTTGATAGAGATATTAGCTTCAATACAAAGAAATATCTATATGAAAAAATTATTTAAACTAATGACTTTAATAACCTGAAATTATTAGGGTTATCTTGCATCATGCTTTTCCTTGAGAGCATATATTTTTGATCTCAAAGAGTCCACATAATCTTGTGATACTAAAGGTTTAATTCGTTTAGGCAAAATTTTGCACATTTCCAGCCTCTGCTTAAAATTTTCAATTTCTTGGTCAAAACTGGGATTTTCATGGCTTTCATTTTTAGGTGACCTTGAGGTCGCTGCTGTTGATGCTTTTGATTTTTTACTTTTTCGAGTCTTTTTTTTGTTATCAGTGATTTCCTCCCCGTTTATATATTTAACAAGCTCATCAAGAGACATAGTGTGCAACGGATCTGCTTGGTTTTCTCCTTCAAAGCTACTAAATGAGTCATCTGAAGGGATATTGCACATTGTTCCTGACGCATTCATAAAATCTCTTGTAGAAATCGTCGCCGGTGTAGCTAAAGTAAAGGTGCTTGCTGCACATCTTGACTCTTTCTCCATCTTCTGTATCAATGGGACTACAAAATGCCTGGAGTCCTGATTTTTAATATGTTCTATTAGCGGAGCTGAGCCTTTTACGATTCTTTCATAGAAGAGCAGCTTGTTCATGTTTTCGAAAGTAAGTTCTCGGTCTTCGAAGAGACAGCTTACGATTTTTCCAATTTCATTGGATGCATTTTGAAGTGTGTGGTAGGCTTCCACTAGGGAAATAGCCTGAAGCATTTTGCTCTTGCCAATGAGTTCAATGAGCTGGCCGTTGAGAGAGTCGACGAAGGAGTGAACTGACTCGTACAAGCAGTTGTGGAGCTCTCGGATGCCAGCAGAGTGGTTTACTAGGTGCTTTAATGCTTCTCTAAGTTTCAATTTGAAAGCTTGATCAATGACTAGGTTGTAGCTTTGCCGTTGTTCCAGTGGATTTTTGGAGGAAAGTCGTTTTTTCTTTTTAGCAATGTAGTCGTTTAGGTACTCACCATAAATTTGTGTGATTGAATTAATGATTTCTCCCCTCAGGCTTTCTGCACTTCCTTGATTAAAAAATTTGAAAGTCTCTATTGGTACCTCAGAAACTCTGAGTAGCGAAAAATCATTAGGATTTTCGCGTGATATCAAGCTTGGGGTATTTGGACGAGAGCTACTCAGTACATTTTTTGTTGCCTTAGATTTTTGCTTATTCCGCTTACTCCTACATTTAGACTGGAATAAAAAGATCTCTCTCAATTTAAAAAGAGGTTAATTTTTTCTAAAAAAAATTGTATCCTTTATAATGAAAAGTTAATATTGATTCAAAATGTGAGCCTTACTTATATAGTATTGCATTTATATTCAACCTTTAAAAATAGAGCAAGTTGTAGGTAATTTTTTTTCAATTTTGGAGATTAATCAGGCTATTAAAGTTCTCTACATAGAATATTTTGTTCCAATGTAAAAGTATAGAAATTGCCCGAGGATGGCGTAAAATAGCGCTATCCTCGGGGAATTTCTATAATTAATTTACCCAAAATGGATAATTAGATACAGTTTAAAAAGAGTTAGACATTTTTATTGCATGGATCAGTTGGAGCTTTTATGAAAAGTTTTATAACAAATACGTTGCTTATTAAACTAAAAATAAGATAAATTTTAGAAATCTTCATTTTATAAATATGAAAACAATGATTGCGTTATTTTTAATTTTGGGTATCTTGATTTTAGCTTTAAAACGCTATTTGATTGCATAGGATTATCATCTAGACGTAAAGTCTTAAGAGAATGAGGGATAGAACTTTCTAGATACTGGACTCCGACATCTCCAATTTTTGTGTTTTCTAAATAAAGCTGTCTTAGCTTGGTGAGTTTTAGTAAAGATTCACAAAGAAATCTCATTCCTAAATCCCCAATTGGATTTCCAGAGAGAGAAAGAACAGTTAAAGATTTAGGCAATGATGAAGCTATGCTCTCCATGCCTTCATACCCTATTGAATTATCCCCAAGAAATAGCTCTTCTAGCTCCCCTACTATGTACGGAACATTTTTTTTGCTCACTGGAGGCATATAAATTTTTTATATTTGTAAATTATTTATAAACAAAAATTTAAAATCTATGCTTAGAGCATTTATTATTAAGAATTAATTGATTTAGCTGAGGAATTCATAATTAATTATATTAAAATTTTTTTTTCGTTCACGGAGAAACAGGGGAGTAAGTGATCCAAAAGCAGAAAATTTTTTACAAGTGCTGAAGCTCCTTCGTCACCAAAATTATTATCTCATAGCCTTAAGATTTTTAATTTTTCTAGCTTTGGGAATGATTTCGCTAATAAAGCTGCTCCTTCAGGGCCAATTTTATTTTCCCCTAACGACAATGTTTCTAAATCTGGCAACTTCGAAAGCCCTAAATTCAGCATACGTATCCCTTGGTCTCCTAAATTACAGCTGCTGAGCTCCAATGTATTTAATTTTGGAAGGTGCCCTAAAAATACTCCTAAATGTTGAGCTTCGATAGGCAGTAGCAATTCTGAATATTTATAAAACTTTATTTCCTCATCACTCGTTATTCTTTCATATAGAGAAGCAAGCTCATCTGGCAAAATATGCTGGGAGGCATAAAATCTAAGCTGATCTTGAGGGCTTAATGGAGGACATTCCAAGGTGGCTTCAGTTTCTTGATTCATGTAGGTATAGAGTTCTTCACTTAAGGACATTTTTAGAACTGAATTATCCTCAGTTGTCAATCTATCACTTGTTTTTGACTCGCATATTGATATAGCTCACTACCTGCTATAGCTCTCCATATGGAGCAGAGAGATGGAGAAATCCAGAGAGTTGCTAGTGAACTCAGGCTGAAGAGCCAGCTCTCAAGGTGACAATCGGTATGATCTGCTTTATTTGTTAACTTGAGTTCACGAGCATCTATATGGATTGGTCCGTCGCTCTGTTACCTATGGAGAGCTATAGTAGGGAGCGAGCTATATCTCAGTTATCGAAGTAGAGTGAATATCAGCTGCAGAAGACTCAGTAGGAATAGGGTCTTCGGAGTCTGAAAATTCTAAATTTTCCATTCATGATCTAAGCTCCAAGAAATCCATGCGGCCTTCTTCTTCAACCTCAAGCATAGCTTCTAATAGCTCTTTGATTTTTGAAGAAAACCTTAAAGATCTAATCGCATTTTTAATTCTGCGCCTTAAACCGACATTTCCTCCAATATTTGAATTTAAGCCTACTGGAGGACTTAAAGACGCCATATAAAGGAAAGTCAGACCTAAAGAATAGACATCAGATTTATATGGATTGTGGTGGACTGTTGCTGTTAGATTTTTGCCTTCAAAAATATCTATATAGGCTTGCTTTAAAATCGGACTCAAGTACAGTACAGTTCCTACCACATCCAATATCTGTGCTCCTAATAAATCATCTTCTTGAATGCTTAGCCCAAAATCTGCAAGTTTCAGCACGTTTTCTGGAAATACCAAAATATTGGCAGGCTTAATATCTCTATGTGTCAAATTATTTTCTTGCATCACTGTTAAAGCATCAATAATGCTCGAAAAATGCCTCCAGAGTTCAGCTTCATCTCAAGGATCATTACTAACCGCCCTTCCTCTGATTTCTTCTTCAAGGTCTCTTAGCCCATATTCCAAAATGATTACAAATTTATACCCGTTTTCATAAGTTTCATCGACTCATGATTTTATGCATCTGCAAATATTTGTGTGTCTGATTGAGCGTTGCAATGTGGCCTCTTCTTGCTTGCGATTTAAACATTTAAAATCCTTGAAATACTGCATTTTGATGCATACACCTTTTTCTCCGAAATATCCATCATAGACATCTGTCGTGCCGTCAGGTTTTGAATAAGTTAAACGATGCAAAATAAGCTGGTGTTTTAAATCTGGCTGGGGATGAAGGTGAACTGCTGAGTGAGTGGGAGTTGAAGTTTCTTGCATGTGTTTTGAGAAACAGATGTGGCAATAAGTTTTATTTGTGCAGGCACATGCAAATTCAGATTTTCGGAAGCAGAGGGTGCCTTGGCAAGTTGCGTTTCCCATTTAATCTAATATTATCACTTTTATATGATAATAAAGTAATTAAACGATAGTAGTGTTAGTAATGAAACATTTTTGAAAAAGAATCAAATTATCATATCCTTATGATTCGTTTTATTAAGCATGTGAAAATTATGAAATGCGCACAATTAATTTGGATTATGAATCTACTTATATTTAAATACTAAAATTTTTGAAGTGCTTCTGATTTCCCTCTTTAAACTGGATCAAAAATTCCGTCTTAATTACTGAATTATTTTTTGATAAAAAATATTAATTTTTTTCCAAGTGAAAAACAGTTTATTAACTATTTGAAATTCTATATTTACTTAGATAAAACTCTTCTTATATTTTCTCTTAAAATAGGGCAAGATAAATGTAAATTTTTATTTTGATGTAAATTAGCCTAGATTAATTCAATTATGTTTTCACTATATAAAGGGGTTTAATTAACAGGGGAGGAACGAAGTAATTCTTTTGTAAGTATTAAAAGTATCATTTGATTAAATATTAGCCATAATCTTTTGAACATATTAGTTTTAATTTTATTTTTGGTAATCAGATAATAAAAAATATTTAAAATAAAGAATATTTCTCCATAATTTCACAAATTAAAATATTAAAAAGAGTTTATGCTTTCAGAGTTTTCTCGAATCTTTTGCGCTATTTTTTCGACGGCTTCTGCTAAGAAAAAACTATTATTTCGTTCTAGTTCGCTCAATAAGGGCAGACCAAGAAGCTTTTGCAGTTCTATAATTGGAGAAAAATATTGATTTTCACTTTTTTTATGCATCTCAACTAAATTTTCTGATATTTGCAAAAGTTCATTCCTCTGGAGAATTATGGGATTTCTTTGGTATTCTCTTGAAAATCCTCAATTTTGCATTTTTTCGAGACTAATTATTAGATGTGAACTTAGGATTGGACAAGTTTCCTTAATCAATGCTTGAATTAGTTTTCCAAATTCACCTTTAAATTTCGGCTGATATTTTTCGAGAATGCTTGCACTGCTTAGATTTTCCAAAGCTAAAATAATAGAATTCAGAAATTCTTTACTCTTGAATTTAGCTAGATTTGTGATGCATAGATTTAGAGTGGCAAATACTGCCTTCAAAACTTCAAAATCGCTAAGCCTTTTATTAATAAAATAAAAAATCTGATTAATTTTCAAAATTGTAAATAAAAATTAATTTTAAGAATGATTCTTTCAAATAAAATTTATTATGATAAATAATTTTGATATTATTTCGCCTCACATCCTCCACAGAAAAAAATTTACACAATCTATTTAAAAAAATATAAAAATGTATATTAAAATTTTAGAGTCTTAAGCTATTAACAAGAAATATTCACTACTTGATGGACTAGTAAGAGAACTCTGTAATGCACTTAATTGGCAGTATTTAATTATTGCACAACAATCCATTTCAGTTAATTCTTTATGAGAGCTAGTTACTCATATTTTTGAAACAAACACTTTAAAAAGCTCAACAGCAAGCTCATCATAGCTGTTTCCAAGTAATGTGCAATAAATAATGTGCAATTCAGAAGGTGATTCTTCATTAATCAAATCTCTCACTTGATAGCTGAGTTCTCCATTTTCCCCAATATTGCAAGCAAGCAAAATAGCTAATTTTCAATTTTGTAGCCGAATTTCTCCCAAAATTTTTTCTTTTAGCTCAACTTGGCTGAAAGCAATCAGCCTTAGATATCTTGTCACTCCTATGTGATCATAAGATTGCATCTCTTTAACTTCATTTCAAATTGATAAGATAATTGCAGAAACCCTTTCCTCTTCAAGTATTGCTAAAGCTTGCATCAAAATAGTAAGCGCAAAATTGCTTATAATAGTTGATGGACCATTTAAGAACTCAAATAATCTTTTCTCAAATTCTATATATAAATTTGGAAAAATTTCTATCAATTTATTCAATAAAATTTGAGAAAAGAGGCAAAAAGATTCTATTTCAATAAATAGCTGCTGCTGAAATTGTTTTGAATTTCTCATTGTTTCGTAAAAAACAGTCATAAATTGAGACATTAAAGCATAGTGCTGATTATTAAGTTTGGTAACAAATTCATGAAGGATTCCTGGGCCTTCTATTAGCATTTTCGAAAAAATTGGTTGAAGATCTTGTAAGGATAAAGTTAGATCATCTGGACTGAGATTTAATAAATTGAAGCTTTCTTGCATACCGCCTTTTTAATTAAATTATATGGAGATCTATTTTATCTGAATATTATATATGATTATTGTTTAATAAGCCTAAGCTTTATAATTAATGGCATAAATAGCTGCAGCAGAGCAGTGACAAGCTGATAAGGCACAAAGCCTAATGTATATGATATAATGGCATGCTTTCAGTGCCCATAGTTTATCCCTGCATGTAGATTTTTTAATAAATTAGTTGTGAACTCATCGACATTGACAACTATTAGAGGCAAATCTTGAAGATCCACATCTTTCAATAAATTTGTTGCAACAGTGCCTGGCTTAACTGTAACGAAATCAATAAAATCTTTATACTCATAACTCAAAGCTTCGCTTAAAAAATGATTATATTGCTTTGTTGCTGACTCCCCCCCTCCGTGAGTGAACAAAAAAATTTTGTTCACTCACGGAGGGGGGGTTAATTTTTTTTTTTAAAAAAATTTATATATAAATTTTATAAAATTTTTTTTTTTTCGAAATTTAAAAAAATCCTAATTCGCAAAAATTGGAAAGTAAATATTAATTTTAATTTATAAAATTTATGTTTTAAAAGGCAATTCGTTTAAAATTAAACAGAATTAGCTCTAGATTTCATTATACTAATTATTATTTATATATCAAAATTATTTTCCATAAAAAATTTTTCTATTAAAAAAATTTTTGTTCACTCACGAAGGGTGGGTTTTTGGGCAAAAAATAGCGATTTTTCTAATGGTTTTGTTCACTCACGGAGGGGGGGAGTGAGTAAACAGCTGCTCCAGGAACGATATATTCTTCTATAAGAGATGAGAAATTAATGACTAGACTTTTAGTGCGCAGTTCTTTATATCTTTTTGCGAAAATTGGGATTAAATAATATGAGATTAAGGTCTGAGGATATATGTTTGTATTAATCATTTCTTCGATTTCTGTCATTTCTTGGTTACTCAAGAAGCTGAAGCGGGCGACTCCTACATTATTGATCAGAATTGAAACATTGAAGACTTTGAGCTTCTCTATCAATTCTCTGTAAAATATTTCTTGGTCATCTTGAGAATTCTTGAAATCGGAAACAATATACCTTACATCCAAATTTCCAGTTCTTTTAATAATTTCTTCTGATACAACTTTTAGCTTTTCGGGATTTCTTCCAATTAAAATTACTTTAAATCCTTGCTCAGCAAATCTTCAGGCTAAAGATTTTCCTATTCCATCAGATGCACCTGTAATTACAACTCATCCGTATTTATAATCGTCAATATTTATTTTCCGCCAGATTCTAAAATAGCTCTCTTTGAGCAAGAAATAAACGATTTTAATTGCTCCAACTCATACAAGAAAGCCCCAGATTGAAAACATATTTTTAATTAGTTTTACTAGGCTTTACCATATTACTTAATAGGGTTTGCCACATTGAAAACTTTAGCACCTTCACTGTAGTCTTTAGTAGGGTCCCTTTCACACTCTGGAGGGAAGACTCTTCTCTTTTCCTCATAATACTTGTCTCTCCAAGACCCATGTGATAGAGGGTTATAAGTAAGATACAAGTTTCTTCTTGTAGATGCGGATGTGTTCACATCACTTCTGTGTGGAGCATAGCTGTCAAAAAAGACCAAGTCACCGCCATGGGCATCAAGAGGAATCCAGTTAAGCTTGGCCTCAATGTCTGTGCGGAGTGAGCCGTCGGAGTTTTGAGGAAGAATTTCGGCCGGAATGTGATGCTGGCGAACGAAATCAAGACCTCCTGATTGTCTGGTGTTGGCGTCAATTGGGAGTAAGACGGTCAACAGTTTCTTGCAACCGAAGCTTACGAAGGCTGGCTGATCTTGGTGAGCAGCGAAGCCGCTTCCTTGTGGAAACTTGAAGTTAATTTTTTCTTTATAGATGACAGCTTGTTCTCCAAACAAGTCAGAACTCATATCGGTAACCATCCCGTAGGAGATCTCTCTGAGTTCAGGGAAAAATGGAAGGAAGTTCTCGACACGACACAAAAGTCGTTGTCCTTTAGTAACTTCGAAGTATTTCATCCATTTCCCTGGAGTCTCTGGGAGATCCTCCATTTCTCTCGCCCACTTTTGTAGGTTGTCGGTGATAGATCTTGGTAGGACTTGTTTAGCTACAACGAAGCCTTCTCTGTTATAGAAGTCTATTTGATCTTGGTTGAAGTATTTTGGTTTGTATGCAGCTCTTTCGGTAGCAAAGTTTCTTACTCCCCCCCCCCCCTCCGTGAGCGAACAAAACCATTAGAAAAAATCGCCATTTTTTGACCAAAAAACCCACCCTCCGTGAGTGAACAAAAATTTTTTTAATAGAAAAATTTTAATGGAAAAAAATTTTGATATATAAGTGATAATTAGTATAATGAAATCTAGAGCTAATTCTGTTTAATTTTAAACAAATTGCGTTTTAAAACATAAATTTTGCAAATTAAATTAATATTTGCTTCCCAATTTTTGCAAATTAGGATTTTTTTTAATTTCGAAAAAAATATTTTTTATAAAATTTATATATAAATTTTTTTTAAAAAAAAAAATTAACCCCCCTCCGTGAGCGAACAAAATTTTTTTGTTCGCTCACGGAGGGGGGGGGGGAGTTAGGATCCTCGACAACATTTATTTTTATATGATCCATTAAACGCCGTACTGATTAGCATAATAGCGTTTTGTTTAATAGCGAATCAATTATTTATGGGTTTATTTTTGAAAAGATATATCAAAATAAAAGTTCAACAGCCAAGACACCATTGTTTATTATATGGTCAAAAAATAAATATGGATCTAAATCCCCTGTTTCCATGAGCGAACAAATATTTTGTTTCGCTTTCGGAGCGAGGTTAATTTTTTATTTAAAAAATTTATGTAGATTTTTTTTCTTCAAAATTTGAAAAATCCCAATTCGCAAAAATTGGAGAACAATATTAATTAATTCGTAAAATTTATGTTTTAAAATGCAATTTGCTAAAATTAAGTAGAATTAGCTAGGCATTTCATTATAATTATTATTACTTATATATCAATTTTTTTTTTATTAAATATTTTTCAATTAAAAAAATTTTTTTGTTGGCTCACGGAGAATGAGTTTTTAAGCCAAAAATAGGGATTTTTCCAATGATTTTGTTCGCTTACGGAGGGGGAGTAAGAATATCTAAATTTAAGGATTAAAGCTCTTCTACGTAAGTTTTGGAACTTTCATAATAATTTTGCTCTTTTTTACTTGATTTTTGGTACTTATTCAATACTTTAAGCCGATTTTCGATTATCCTTTGAATTATATGCTGAGTTTCAAGCTCGCTTTCGCTTTGAACTTCTTGATAAATTCCAAGGGCTTTTGGAAGCAAATAAGGATCTTCTTCTTGGTCATTATACTCTAAACTTTGTTTTCTCCTTATATAATTTCTGGAATATTTTAGATCATTATTGACCATCAATTTTAATTTTCAAAATTAATTTGCACTTGTCAACTTTTTTGAAAAATAAAAACAAAGATGGCAAATCTCCTTTTATGGTTTCAAGATGCCTAATCAGACTTAGACTGTATAAAGCGGTGCCCTGGACCATATTTTTTCTATTCGGTATTCTCTGGGGTATAGCGATCTACCACGGTGTATAAATCATACTGTGCTCTACATCAAGTTTAGATATACTTCCTTGGACAACTAATTGGATATTTAGCGATTTCAAAAGGTCCTCAGTTACGTTTCAAGGCGCAGCTATAACAACTTCGTCAACATATTTCACAGCAAGAACATTTAGCACTCTTTCATAAAGGTTCATAATCGGGTAATTTGAACCCTTATGCTGGTTGACGGTTAAGTCATCATGAACTCCAACAATCAAAAAATCGCCAAGCTCTTTCGCCTTTTTCAAGGTCTCGACGTGGCCTATATGGAATAAGTCAAAAGACCCATCAACATAGACTATTTTCCCTTCTGGTCTCCGTGTACGATTTGCAAATTCTGATATTCTTCTTGTAGTAGTGATGAAATTTGACTTATGATTGATGTCAGTTGCTGTAAATGGCTCTGAAACAGATGCTTTGTTTTCCATTGTCATTAAGAGCAGCTTTCCAACGATCATTGTAGTCGAAATTCCTTCAGTTCTTTTAATTATTTTAAATCTGCCAGCCGTTTTTAACTGAGAATATGCATCGACTCCTTCCTGGTTTAATGCAATGTCATCGCCATGGGCAATGTATCTGCAATTTAAAGAATCAAGCCATTCTTCAGTAGCACTATATGGAGCATTTTCTACTACCTCATCTGCCCATTTGCATGCCCTCACCATAGACAAGCGTTCTTGATTAGTCATCACTGGCATGCCTTTGTTTCTCATAATTTCTTCATCATTGTGCACTCCTACGACCAAAACCTTCCCAAGCATTTTTGCTTGCCTAATTGCATTAAAATGTCCGCTGTGCATAATGTCCCAGCAGCCATCAATGTAGATTCTATCAGGATCAGCCCTAACCCTGGATGGAGTTAAGATATCAATAGAACTGTAACTATTTATAAAGCTCATTAATTCTTCAACATATCGATCAAATTCAGCAGTAACCTGCTGAGCCATCAAATGATTAGTAGTAAACATATCCTGCATAAGGGAAATTAGTTGAGGATTTTGATTGAAAAATAAGGTAACTTTGCACAATGTCATGAAGAAGTGACGCTTGTCCTCGAAAGAGACTTCCGGCATAGAAACTTTATAAATATATTAAAGTTATGGCTAGCATGTTCTAGGTCTGGCATGTCTAATATCTTCCAATCGCAATTGAATGTTGTAAAAATAATAAAAATAAATCCCTATGTCCAGCATATAGAAAAATAAATATTAATCTAAGAAAGTCGAAGTTCAAAGGTTTTGACAAAATTTTATCGACATTTTCAGATAATTAAAAAACAACATAATAAAGTCCACAAGAATGCTTAATAAATATATGATAGAAGGCTGCGAGTCATTTTTTAAGTGCAGATGCAAGCTAGCTATTTAAAGTTCTAGCTATTCGTCAGCAGCACCAAAATCAATAATTTTCTCTGAAATGAAGTTTCGGATTACTATTAGTGAGTTTTATTATGTTAATTCATTTATTATATAAATAAAATGGTATCCGGTTCGAGAGAAATTAGCTTTGCTAATTTTCTCTCCCTCATGGAATTTTATTTTATAGGGTTAGGTTTTTCACGCGAGAACTTCTGGACAGCAATAGTGGTTTAACTCTGGGGATAACCAGAGGAACTACTCCTCAGTCCTCTCAAGATTTCGGGCTTTTACCTCTCAGCACATCCCCACGGGAGGATGACCCTTAGGCGGAACACGCGCAGGAGCTGAGTCGAGCGACAAGGGCGACGGCATCGCGCCGGGTGAGACGTGCAGCAAGGCTGGTGAAGCAGGAGTTGATAGAAGGCTTGGCCAGGGCTGACCTGTTCCAAGATGGCTCGCCTACGTCACTAGTTTTGCCATAGGCCCTTTTGGGCTGCGGCACTAGACACCTTAAACACCAGATAATTAAGTAAGTAAGTAAGTTAATTCATTTATTAAATTCTATCCAAGTGTTGCAAGTACTGAAGAACAGGCATAGATCTTTCTTTCTTCAGAATAATAACTCTTCGTTCTTGATTATCCCAAATATAAGCCCCACAATTGACAGCGAAATTAAGAGTACTTTTATATAGCGACAAGTCCACAAATTCATCAAGCATGATGGCTTCTTGGTCATTAATTCTTGACCTTTCCATTTCTCATAGCTTTATTTGCTCAGCCACGTTATCAGGCATGCTATGATTTTTAGAATGATTTGATAAAAATGTGATTATTTGAGCACACTGCAGGCCATCTCTGAAAGCTTTGCAAACGCTTTCTCTTGTTAGAAATCCAATTACTAAATTAGGCAGTCTATACTCAAGCCTCATAAAATAGCTTACTCCCCCCCTCCGTGAGTGAACAAAAAAATTTTGTTCACTCACGGAGGGGGGTTTATTTTTTTTTTTTAAAAAAATTTATATATAAATTTTATTAAAAAATATTTTTTTTCGAAATTTAAAAAAATCCTAATTCGCAAAAATTGGAAAGCAAATATTAATTTAATTTATAAAATTTATATTTTAAAAAGCGATTCGTTTAAAATTAAACAGAATTAGCACTATATTTCATTATGCTAATTATCACTTATATATCAAAATTATTTTCCATAAAAAATTTATCTATTAAAAAAATTTTTGTTCACTCACGGAGGGTGGGTTTTTGGGCAAAAAATAGCGATTTTTCTAATGGTTTTGTTCACTCACGGAGGGGGGGGAGTTAGTAATACAATGTGGAGCTCTGAATTTGTGTATGCATAGACCCTGAAGTTGGTTTCTACAACTAAGAACCTTTCAGTTATGATATTGTCTTTCGGGGAATTTGTTAATATCCCGATAATTTGTGGCACTACATAAAATCTTTTTGACTTAGAGTTGTATTTGTAAATCAACCCAAGCTCATAGAGATCTGCAATCAATCCATGGCTGATGCCTTTTACACTGTAGTCTTGTCCGATTTTTCCTATTGACAAATTATATAAAATTATTGCTGTTTTTGCGCGGTCCTGGTAGCTCACAAGGAGCTGCCTTAATAGTTGACAAATTTGGTGTTGTGTTGGTTTTAAAAGAAACCGAAAACTCTCTGCAGTCTGCTGAAAGTCTTGGCTATCTTGAGATATCAGCCCAGCTCTAATAAGAAGCTGCAGGATGCTTATTGATGGTGTTCTTGTCCTTCATATCAAAAACTCAATGATTTTGTTTCACGAAATATGAAAATGCTCAACGATTTTTTCAATATTAGGCCTTCTTTTGTCAGGCTTTGTTTTTATTCTTAAGCTGCACACAACTTGCTGTGAGAGGATTCTTTTGATTTGAAAAGCTACATAGGGATTGACCTTCACACATCTACCTTGCTCTAAAAATAATCGCAAAGATTTAAGCTCATTGGTGACTGTTTCTGCTTCTTGTGCAGATTCAGCAAATCTTACAAGGTGCCGCTCATCGATTTCTTCCATGAATATTAAAGTCATCAAAAAATGTTGGGCAATGTGAGATAAATGCCTGAAAATGCCCATTACAACAGCCTGGTCACTGTAAGCATCTGCAAGTTCTTGATATTCTCGAAAGCAGCCAACCAGCAAAGCCATTGTATTTATTATTATACTTGCAGACTGGATTTCATTTTTATAAAGATTTTATGTAAGTTTATTATAGTAGCTTCTGAAAGAAAACTGTTTCAAGGCATATTTCTAATATAAAATGGTAGGGCAAGAGGTTGAAAGTGTAAACATATCAGTCGCAGCTAAGGTTGCAGCTTTTTTATGCGGATTTGGGCTGATTGCTATTGCTATTCAGAAACTGGTGACCTTTAACATCTTAGATGGCCGTGACTTTTTCTTGACACTTTATTATTTAATTTTTGGTGGAATGGCTATTGCTTCAGAAGTGAGGTGGAATAAAATTTTGGTTCCTTTTTACTTTCTGAAATACTGCCTTGGCAAAGGAGCTTTCTTTTTATTTGTAGCAACTATCATTTTTGATGTGCATTATTGGTGGTTCATTTTGATGTCAGTTCTTTTTTTCCTTACTTCGGTTTTTTATTTTATTATTGCGATCGCTTGCAAAGATAGGCTTGTGGATAAATCAGAAGAAGTTGAAGAAAGAGCAGGTGATCACAGTGTAGAACAGCCAGTGTTTAAACCTGCAGAAATTAGTATGCAGCAAGAAATAAGCGCTGCCAGTTAATCATTTATAGTGAAATAAAATTTAAGTAAACATTTTCAAACACAAATAAAGTAGAATTAAATCTATTAATATTTAGGAGAATAAGATATCTTTGATTAAATTTTTTTATAAATCTTCATTACTACAGAAATTTAATTTTGTTCTTTTAACGAGCATTTAATTAAGTCATTTATTAAATGTTAAAATTAATTATTTCTGGAATAAATTATAAAAGGCACAAAACAAATTTAAATTACTTATTTGGTGTTTAAATTCAATATAGTTATTTTTTCATCTCCTCTCTTATGCTTCATCACATGCATCCATTCTTGTATTACTGAGCAAGGAGAACAACAACAATGACAAACGCAATCCATGATAGGAGCTCCTTCAATGTTCATTTTGTGTCTTAGTTTGTATCTATTAAAAGATGCACCGCAGACTCCCAAACAGCATGGAAGCAAGAAGCCATATAAACCTGCATTAGGATTTTCAGGCTCTGTTATTTTTGCATTGCAAGATTGCATGCAGCAGTCTCCGCATGGCACACAAAATGCCCAAAGGCACATTACTGGGTTTTTAAAACAATCAAAAGTTTTAAAATCCCACTTTTCTTTCATATTGAAATTACCATCAGTTATAATTTTGTTAGAAATACTTTACATCTTTAAGCGTGCAAGAGCATCCAACAACTGATGCAGAATTGAAATTTAGCAATGATGATTTAATGCAGGTTTTTCGAATTAAATAAATTAATTAATTGCATTTAAACCTTAAAATTATCCATATATCTATTAAATCAATTGCAAATGAGATCAAGAGTAAAATGAAACTTGATCATCTGGCATGTCTTATAAATGGTAGACAAAAAAGTCACATGGCTTGGAAGATATAGAGTTGCAACAGCATTAATACTTGGAGCATTAGAACTTGCATATGTAGTAGCTTTGACTTTGATTCTATTATCTAATGAAAATGACTGCGACATGCCAATACGACTTTGGCTTCAAGTTTTATTGTCAGTCTTCTGTTTCCATTTGATCTTGCTGGTTGCTGCAGAAATTAGCACTCCTCATTGCTCTTATCATCTCTCGAATTCGCTTAGTTTATTTTCAGCCTCTTTAAATGCAATCCTTGGAACTTTTATGGTAGTGTGGTTTATTTTAGGAAATATTTGGTATTATAGTGCAAACAGCTCATGCAAAGATGACTTTTATGAGGGTTATATGGCTACTTTTGTGATTTTAATTGTTTATTATGTATTTCTGGCATCGGCATGCTGCATGGGGTGCTTACTGATTATTTTGATTAGCCTTGGCAGTGGAATCACTAGTAAAGCAGCTGATTATTAATATTTTAAGAGTAATTCACTTTTTACAGAATTCAGGATCAGTTCAGTTTTAGACACATTTTTCTTGTTTCAATAACTTAATTTAATTATATAAATTTCTATCTAAAGATCTGAATGTGTAATAAATTATGATCAACTAAAGCAGCTTCATGAAATTTTATTTAAACAAAAATGAATATAATCATTGGTAGTGTATGTAAACTTACTCTATTTTGCAAATAGGATTTTTGTTGGTCTTAAGTAATCATCTAGCTTCTGAATTTGTTTTATTTTTTATTTAAATTTATAATATCGATAGGAAATTATTTTTTAGTGCCATTAATTGTGATCCTAATCAACTTTTTTATTTTTTTAATTTTTTGATTTCTTGGAAGTCAGTCAAAGTTAAACTTAATTAAGATTATCGAAAAGCTCCCTGTCGGGGCCCGAAAGCCTTATTCCCTTCCATAACGCTTCATTCGCCTGCTCGCCAACAACCGTCTCACGGCCTTCAAAGTCTTGCTCCTGCGGACATGGGCCTGCACATGCACTCCGTAGTCGGAAAGTTTTGGGTCACCTTGCCGTACGTCAACGAAGGTTGCCTGCCTCGAAATTTCAAAAAATGGAATTTCTGGCCGACTTTCGGCAAAAGGGTAAAACTTGTAGCCCAGGGCGAAACTCCTGGTTTCTCGCTAGGGAGTTGCCCGATTGGCCTAGAAAGGCTTTGCTGGGCTTCCCCTTTCCAACTCCAAGTCTCCCTTCCCTCGAGGTAAAATCTAACTCGGAAAATAGACTAGGGCTAGTTATCTAGCATAGCTGTCCATTTCTTCGCTAGCAAAACCTTGCCGGATATAATTAAAATAGGGCTCGATACTGCTTGGCCGAGAGGCCAAGCCAAGTTGAGACGCCATATTTTAATTATGATTTCTTGGAAGTCACTATTGTGATTTTTAACATATAAATTTAAAATCAAAGCACCTAGCACAAACTGTTATAATTATGGAAGAAGAAAGACCTAATACAGAAACTAAAAAGAAGAAAAGTAAAATAATGTGTAATGTCGCATTCACGAAGTATGAGGTTGTAAAGCATGTTGCATCAAAGGTTTTCGGATGAAAATTGTCATATGATGAAGAAGACGAAGAATGGGACATCCTTTGAACTGATCAAGCAGTTCCTCCTGAGAGATTAGCTCACATGAAGCTATATCAAAAGATCAACCATTTCCCAGGCATGTATGCTATTTCTCGTAAGAATTATTTGGCATATAATTTGACCAAATTAAAGAAAAGATTCCCTGAAGAATACAATTTCTTCCCTAGGACTTGGGTTGTCCCGTGTGATATGGGAGATCTGCGCAATTTTATGCAAACTAAGAAGAACGCATATGTAATTGTAAAGCCAGAAGCTTCGTGCCAAGGAAGAGGCATTTATCTTACAAATAGACTTGATGACATTGATCCTTCAGAAAAACATGTTGTTCAAGAATACCTAGAAAAGCCATTTTTAATTGACGATCTTAAATTCGATTTAAGAATCTATGTGCTTGTTGCTGGATGCGACCCACTAAGGCTTTACATTCATGAGCAAGGACTCACAAGATTTGCAACAGAAGAATATGAAAGGCCATGCGAAGATAACATTGAAGATATGTGCATGCATCTCACAAATTATGCAGTAAATAAAAACAATCCTAACTTCATCCACAATGAAAACTCAGACGACGATGATATCGGCCACAAGAGAAGTCTTCAATCAACTTATGATTACCTTGAAGAAAATGGGTACGATGTTGTGAAACTAAAAGCTAAAATTGATGATATGCTTGTAAAAACGTTGTGCTCTATACAACCAAATCTTGCACATCATTATCATTCTTGTCAGCCTGAAGATATTACAAATGGTATGTGCTTTGAAGTTTTAGGCTTCGATGTTATGCTTGATTCAAAGCTAAATCCGTATGTCCTAGAGGTAAACCATACGCCTTCGTTTACGACTGATTCTCCACTTGACAAAAAAATAAAAAAGGCTGTGATAGGGCAAGCCTTGAAAATTATGAATATTTCTGCTAGAAACCGCAAAGAGTATTTTAAGAAGACAAAGGAAGAAATACAGAAAAGAGCCTTAACAGGGAAAATGGAAAGAGATAGCAAAGAAGTCAGAGCTGAAAAGATGCTGCAGCATCAGCTGAAGAGAGATAAATGGGAATCAAAACATCTGGGAGGGTATAGAAAAATTTATCCAGTTGAAGGATTTGAAAAATATGATGCCATGACCAAAGCTGCTGATGATATTTGGCAAGAATGGACTGGGACCAAAATGAATAGAGTCAGAAAAACTGAAGAAAATAAAGTTCCACCGATGAAAACGTTACCTCCCCAGCCACCAAAATCCCAAAAAACAGATGTAAAAAGAGCAGCACAAAAGGGGCCTGATATTATTTCACCTCATAGATGTCCCTCCGCAAATTTGCCTGGAGTTGATAGTCCAGGAGTCAATCAAAGTGAAAATGAGAAGCATCACTCTTTAAAAGTTTTTGACAGACTAAGTAAGCCAGTGGTTCGAAGATTCAAAGGTACTGGAGCTGCATATCTTCCTCCAGTTATATACTCTGATGAAACAAGGCCCAGCCTTGTAATTGAGAAAAAAGCAACACTGAACCCAGCAGCTTTATCAGATATAAGTACAAGAGGAGTAAATGCCAATTTAGTGAACTCAATCCTTTCAATCCAAAACGGATTCAAAACAAAAAAGACTGATGCAAAGTCAAGGCTTGTGGTGCCAAAATCCTATCATTATATCAAAACCACTTCTGCAAGAGATTTAGTCCCAAATGACGAGCTATACAAGACCATCAAACCCAAATTGATGGAGCTTGACACCTTTTCTGAAGATAAACAAAAAGAAAGCTTTAAAAAATGAAATTTATAGACTATTAACTGCTAAATTACCTTAACCGTAATTTATTCTTCCCTCATTATTTCTTTGTGAATAATTATTTATTTAAATATGTCATACAGAAAATTTTTGACTAATTCTTCTCAAGCGCTTCAGGACTACGAGATTCACAAAGAAAATAGGCAGAGCGAAAACTACGTCACATTTAAAGCAACTCTAAAAGGCGATTTTAACCAACATTTTTACATTAGGAGAGAAACCTTTGAGAAGTCTGGTTTGAATCTTGCCAGGTTTGATGGGCTTGTTCGGGCAAACCAAGAAGGAATAGTCAAGGCAAGCAGGATTTTTCTGGAAGAAGTGAATTCAATGATAATGATGTTTATCATAGAGCCAATGCCTGGACGTGGAAAATGCGAGCTTCTTTCAAGTCTTATCCAAAAAAATCTACTTTCATATTCACAAAAACAATCCCTCTTTCAAAGCATTGCAGCTACTGTAGACTCTTTGCATTCATTAGGCATCTCTCATCTTGAACTTTCTCCGAGATCAATCATAATTGAAGATCAAACAGTTCTCCTTCGGCCTTTCAAAATAAATCCAGATGCTCAAAATGATAGCTTTTGGTACTCTCCTCCTGAAACTTTAACTGAAAGCTCATTTTTTGCTGGCCAATTTTCCAGTGATGTGTGGGCAATTGGGTGCATTTTTGCTGAAATTTTTATAAGTTTGACTCCTTTGTTCCAGGCACCTGGGAAAAAGGAAAAATTGTTGAAGATGTTTGAAATTTTAGGTATCCCACAATATCAGGAAGTTGAAGAATATATGCCATGGGAAATGTATAGAGAGCTCAGGACGTTAGCAAAGCAGAATATTGAACCTCTTAAACATTTGCTGTTTGGAAGCTTGACTAGCAAAGAAAGAGAGCTAGTCACTAAAATGCTAAGCTTTAACATTGACAAAAGATCAACATGCAGAGAAATTGCTGGATTTCCATGGGGAAGTGTAGAATATTCAAGCGCAAAGGATGATTCAGCACAGCCAATTTATAATTGTTACGAGGAAGTATTGAAAGGCCCGTATGAGTTTTGTGAAAACACTCGAATGACTTCAGGAATTTCATCCCTGCATTCTTCTTCAATTAATCCATTTACAGGGAAATATAGAACCTCAGAGGTTTATAAAGAAAAAGAGCTTTATGCTGAAGAGAAAGTTGCGACGCAAGGATTTAACTCTTTTGCCTCAGATCAGGATGCTAGAAAAACTCCATCCATGCCAAATCACATCAGAATTGTTGAAGACGAAAGAAGAACAGTTAAAGCAAACACAGAGCCTCAAAGGCCTATTGATTCCCCAGCTTCACTTCCAAAGCAGATGAGGGTTTCTGAATTAAAGCCTGCAGATAATACGCTCACCGTTACTGTCCATAGAGCTAAAAACATGGATCTTTATAAATATGACAGCGACAATATCAAACTCTCTTTTGAATTTGACGTCAATACTTGTGGGGTTCCAATTAAGGCGAAATCTTCTTTATTTCAAGCCAGCTTAATGATTCCTGTCAATTTCACACAAGAATTTCAGATAAACTCAGAACTATTCAAAAAGAATTATAGGCATGATCCATTGGTTATCAGTGTAAATCAATGCATTTTTGATTTATCAAATAGGTGCAGAGAAACAATGATAGGAATTTGTGAAGTGTATATTGGTCTTTTATTTGCCTCTGTTTTGTCAACTGCTGATGCAGATTCTTCAGTGTATGGGTGGTATAGCTTATAGCCCGATATAGATTTCTTTATTTGAGCAAAATGTGATAGAAAGTAAGGCAGCCAATAAAGACTCTATTAAAGGGATGAGCTTGATCCCTATAAAAAAAATGGCATACTTAATTTTTAACTCACTGTAGACCACTCTGAGATAAGGCCAGGGTGGCCTTATCTCAGAGTAGTCTACTATTATAAGAAAAATTAATATTTTAATAAGAAAATAACTTATTTTATTAGTAAAATTTTAGGTGGCCTTATCTCAGGGTGGCTAGCATTAAAAAAAATATACCACTCATAATAAGGCCAGGGGCATTTTTATAATAAATAATGAATGAAGAACTCCCGACAAATTTAAAGAGAAGAAGAGATAATTGTAAAAAGCTTCAAATTATGCAACCTAAAAAGGCAAGAAGGAGAAAATATTGGATTTGATCATTGTCCAAGATTTAAGGATTTAAATTTATAAAAAATTTTTACTTTAATTTGATTTTGTATGCCACTCTGAGATAAGGCCATCCTGGACCTTATCTCAGAGTGGTCTACAGTCAAATTGTTTAAATATAATTATTAATTTAATTTTCATAATATTTAAAATGGCAATTACCTCAGTCCTGATCCCCCAGGCTAGACCCACAAACCAAATTCAGTGAGAAAAGTCAAACTTCTTGAGAGCTTCGGCTTGAAGAGAGGTGGTCTGTGCTGAGAATTGCACAGACTAGAGGAGTCTGAAAGGGCTTGATAACTTTAACGGTTCGACGGTTAGGCCGGTTCGCCTACCGTTGTTCAGAGAAATTCATTAAATTATTTATATAAATTTAAGTACCCATATTACCTTAGCTATTATTTTTAAATTCTATCTTTTTTTTTAAATCATCTTTGTTTTTAAATCAATTAATAAATAATAAAAATAAAATGAAGAAGTTAATATTCTCAAAATGCTACTCTCAAGGTGACATCATATATATTTGCAATAAAAATCGCATCGAAGGAGTCCTAAAATGAAGCACATATGAAAAAGTCCTTCGTGTTGAATGCGATCCCTAAATACCTAGGATCAATACAAAATTTTGCTTTTATAGAACATTTGATCTCAATCAAATTGGCATTGCTAATTTAAAAATCTACCGTCCGCAAAAAGCAACTCGATTGATAATTTTTAATTTTAAATCGATGTTAAAATTTGCTAAAGAGCATCATATTAATTAATCTAATTTATTTTAATTTAAATTCTCTAAATTAGAGAGAAAAAGTAAGTAAGATATATCAATCCCACTACAAGTGGGTATTTAAATTAAAATTAATTTAATAATAAAGCCATTTTAAAAATTGGAGCGTTTGCTTGTCAACTTTTTCACGCTTGTCGACCATTTTTTGATATGTCACTTTTTAACACTTCCTGCTATAGAGATCCAGCTCGTCCCTTTGAGAGAGTCTGTCTTGCTCATTCAACCGTCCATTACGTTTTGTTTGATAAAGAAGTCTATATAGAGATATGAGCTATATCATGTTGTATCAACAAGTGGGCAGCCTCTTGGGCAGCTCTTAATAGAAATTAGAACCAGGATTCCAATAGTCCAGATGAAGAGTGAAAGTGCAAACTTTGCAAGAGGGAATAAACAAGAAGCTTCTTTGGAGGCTGATAAGTCATTACTTCAAGGGATTGAAGAGAATTTGTCAAAACTAAACATCAAGCTGAATAGCAAAGCAAAGGAAAGGGAGGTACAAGAAAAATCGTAACTTATATTTAGTGATGCTGATTTCTCAGAAACTGTAAAATTGCTGAGAAGACTGTTGCTGGAAAAATCTTAATCCATAAGCTAGCTTGTACAAAAATATTTTAAAAATAATCAAATTCATAAAATTTTGATTCTGACTATTTTGGATAAATAATATTAATTATTCAATTTTTATTATCTAAATAAAATTAAATCTAACTCCCCCCCTCCGTGAGTGAACAAAACCATTGGAAAAATCCCTATTTTTTGCCCAAAAACCCACCCTCCGTGAGTTAACAAACATTTTTTTTAATAGAAAAAACATTTTATGAGGAGAAAAAAAATGATATATAAGTGATAATTATTATAATGAAATCTCAAGCTAATTCTGTTTAATTTTAAATAAATTGCGTTTTAAAATATAAATTTTATAAATTAAATTAATATTTGCTTCTCAATTTTTGTAAATTAGGATTTTTTTTAAAATTTCGAAAAAAAATTTTTCTATAAAATTTATATATAAATATTTTTAAAAACAAAATTAACCCCCCTCCATGTGAGTGAACAAAATTTTTCTGTTCACTAACAGAGGGTGGGAGTAAGTTTCATTAAAGTTCATAAGAAGCTGTATTCTACATATCGTTTTTTCAAACCACATAATTTCTAAATTCAAATATCTTTCAGTTTTAATTTTCTTTATTAAATATATGTCATTTCTTACAAAAGGGTACGAAGAACTGTGGAAGGCAATAATACGGCCTCCAAAAGAAACCTACATGCCTGAGGATTTAGGGCCCACTGAATTTGCAATTGATGACAGGAATTTTAAACGCAGTGATTTCCAGCTCTCTAATCATCGCTCGCTGCATCTCCAGTGCTCTCATTTTGAACCGATTCCTGAAGAAAGAGTAGCAGAAAGGCTTCCATGTGTGATTTATTTGCATGGAAACTCAAGCTCAAGACTTGAGGCGCTTTCTATCGTTCCAGTTCTCTTGCCTGCCAATATCACTGTTTTTTGCCTACTCCTTCAGTAATCAAAATTCAGCGAGTTAAAATTTTATTTATAAAATATAGAGATAGTCGTTATAATGAAATATCTGCCTAATTTTATCAAATTATTAAACAGTTTGCATAATAAAGCATAGATTTGATTATTGCATTTAACTTACTTTTTTTAAATTAATATAAAAAGTATTTTTATAAAATTTTACACTTTAAGTTTAAAATGGAGCGAAAATTTTGTTTACTCATCAAGGTAAGTTAGATACAAGCGGCTCAGGAATATCAGACGGTGAATATATTTCGCTTGGTTGGTATGAAAGAGACGATTTAGCGTGCGTTGTTGACCATTTAAGACGCTCAGAAAAAGTGACTTGTATCGGACTCTGGGGAAGAAGTATGGGAGCAGTGACTGCCCTTTTGCATGGCGATCGTGATCCTTCAATTGCTGGGATGGTTATTGACAGTCCATTTTCGAATTTAAGAGTCCTATCTGAAGAACTAGCAAGAATGTATGCAAAAAATGTCCCTGGGTTTATGCTGAGCGCTGCCTTATCGATGATCAGAAAAACAGTAAAGAAAAAAGCAAAATTCGATATTAATGAGCTAGACCCATTGAAACATGTGGACATGTGCTTCATTCCTGCACTATTTTGTGCAGGGAAAGATGACACCTTTATCAACCCTAGACATACACAAATTCTGTATGAGAAATACGCTGGCGATAAGAATTTGATAATGGTTGATGGGGATCATAATTCGATGAGACCTCAATTCTTGCTGGACTCTGCTGCAATCTTTTTCTATAACACTCTGCAGTGCGACCAGCTTCCGCCATTTGTTCCAAGCAACCCGAGAAGAAAGAGAAGACAGCAATTCAGCAACCCAAACCAGAACGCATTTGCATTTGCCCAGCAATTCCAGGATAACCTTTTGAGCGATGAAGAGTTATTGACGAAGGCAATTGAAGAGAGCTTGAAAATAGAGGAAAGCAAAGAAAAACAAAATAATGAGCAGTAATTTTGTGTACCTTAAATAACATTCTACAATTAACTAACTAACTCCCCCCTCCGTGATTGAACAAAACTATTGGAAAAATCCCTTTTTTTGCCCAAAAACCACCCTCCGTGAGTGAACAAAAATTTTTTTAATAGATATTTTTATGGTAAAAATTTTGATATATAAGTGATAACTATTATCATGAATCTCGAGCTAATTCTGTTTAATTTTAAACAAATTGTGTTTTTAAAACATAAAATTTTACAAATTAAATTAATATTTTGCCTTCCAATTTTTGCAAATTAGGGATTTTTTTTAAAATTTCGAGAAAAAAAAATTTCTATAAAATTTATATATATATTTTTTTTTTAAAAAAAAAATTAACCACCCTCCATGTGAGTGAACAAAATTTTTTTGTTCACTCACGGAAGGGGGGAGTAAGTTAGATTTATTAGAGTTAATTAAAGTGTTGCTGAAGAAGATATGCGAATAGAGAGCATTGGTGAATCATATAAGAATTTTCTGAATTCACTTAATAGATAATTATGGAAAGCCTACCATTCTAGAACTACTTAAAACCCTTCTGAGGGAATTATTAGGTATTTTTGATTTTTTACTTGGATATGCTGTGTAAATAAATTTTATGTGCTTGCTTTTCTCGGTACATCCTATTTGATTGAAATGTTTAGATATTGTCGCAATTGCTTGGAATTTTTGCCAAAATTTTTTGATAGTGAATATTATCTCTTAAATTTAACATTTTTGGCAGACCAATATCACACTGTCAAAATATTTCGATTAGATCTTCCCGATTAAATAGTATGTAGCATAATTTTCTCTCATCTATTAGCGTTTTATTATAATATCCTACTGGCTAGCCGTTTTCCTATTTACTACATTAATATCGGACAACTAGAGCATGAGAAATATCTATATTCTCTATAAAATTGGTATATATGATTTCTGTGCTAATTGAATGTTGATTTCAGTTCATGAAAAATTATACATATAATTTCTATGGAGCAAAACTATAGCTTTTTCCCAGTTTCATTCTCTCCAACCTCCTCCTATAAAAACAAGACTTCTATGTGCAGGTCATGAATTAATAGATTTTATTTCTCAAAGACAGCTCGAATCTTTTTTACTCTCCAAATTTTGCTGTGCTTGTTTAGCATGATATGAGTACTCGTACACTTTGGATCGTTTCCCAGTAACTTATAATTAGAGGAATCATGATTTATGGTGATAGAAGTTGCAATCGGCTGCACGATTATAGCAGAGGTTTGCATCAGAATGTATTTATTAGGGCCCAAGAAATTTTTCACGGAGTGTAGCAATGTATGTGACGTTGTGCTATCAATGCTATGTATGACAGAAATTATTTTAGCATTTACTTCTCGATCTCTGCTGGATGATGTAGAAGGAGTTATTGGGATAATGGTTCTTGTGCTTAGGAATATTATTCTCCTATGGAGAGTTATTATGGTCATCAACAGGCAGAGAAGGACCCGCGTTCACAGTGTCCATTTAGAAGTAATTAGCAATGCTGAAGAAGACGCAAAAACTAACAAAATGCAAGAGAACCTCATTCTTAATAAAGAGTCAATCCAGTATATATACAGACCCAAGCTAGAAGAGCTTAAAGAGGAAGATGAGGATAACGAAAGCAGTCTGAAATCTGGGTCAATTTGGGAAGGGAGGTTTGGCAAGTAAATTTTCATAAAAATAATCTGTACCCATAATAAAAAATCAATAGATTTTACAGATGGACAGCTCTCTAATATCTATGCTACAAAGAAGAGTCGATAAAGCAATCATCGATGTTATCTTTGAAATCCCGCACGCAGCTTATTATTTATTTGACGAGCCTGAAAAAGTGTGAAAGAAAGGCGATATCGAAGGCCCATTGCTGCTTGTCAAACGTAGCCAAGAACCGTATTTCTATATAACCATCTTAAATAAGCAGACTCTTTCGAATTTCCACCAGCCGGTATCTATGGAGGCACAATTTGACAAAAAAATGCCACAGTTGCTGTATATTCGTGATAGGAATAAGGGAGTCTATGGAATTTGGTCTCCTTCTGCTGAACTACTTGACCAACTTTTGAATAAGCTGGGGGAAATACAACATATAGACTCACAATCGCGCATGCTGAAAAGTTTGCTTGATATTGGAGGAGAAAGTCAGCTCATTGTAAATTCTAGATCTCCTGACTCAATTTCAGAACCAAAACAGCAAGAATTTAGAGAATCAAAGCAGCAAGAATATAGAGAGACGAAACAGCAAGAGTATAGAGAAGCAAAACAACAAGAATACAGAGAGCAAAAACAGCCAGAATACAGAGAACAAAAGCAGCCAGAATACAGAGAACAAAAGCAGCCAGAATTTAGAGAATCTAAGCAACAAGAGTTTAAACCTGCAAATATTATGAAGCAGTCTGAAGAAAATATTTTAAAGCCTGAGTTCTTTCAAAAAGGAATACAATTTGAAGATGAGGAAACTTCAAGTCTAGGAAGAGAGAAGCTAAAAGAAGCGATTGTAGCCTTGGCTAATTCTGATGAGTTTTTAGATCTAGTTTTGCAAGCACTAAGATCAAAGGGATTTAATTAACAAAATGCCTAAACAAATTTATATTGTCTTTAGCTTAATATTAAAAAATCTTTAAATATTATAAGATTCAGACTTTTTGAGTAAAAATGTTAAAAAGAAGTGCAAGCTCCACAAGACTTGCCTTTGGGCTTCGTTCTATCAGTCGAGTCTTTTCTCTGCACTGCGGTTTTTTTCTTTTTGCTATGTAAAATTTACAGTGCATTCAGAATTTCTTTTTCAATCTGCTCAAGAACTTCTTCTAATTTATCTTTATCACTAATAACGATCCCCAGCTCGTTCTCGACATTATTAATCTGAATATACATTACATGGTCATAAACAAGCCTTGTTACATCATCAGAATTTTTCAGTTTATTTTCATATATTTCTGTTTCATATTTCTTCTGGTTCTTGCGAAGGGTTTTTATTTCATTTTCATAGTTCTCAATTGTATCTTGGAACAGCCTTGCAAATGCTGAGTGTTGGTTTTTTCTAGAAAACTCACTAATTGCAGAGAATTTTCCAGGCCCTTTCGATAATTTCTCATATTGTTTCATTGCATTTGCCCAATCGTCATCTAAGGACTCAAATCGATTGGTGTATTTTCCTTGATCTAGATTAATGATAATTTCTTTGAACAGCTTTTCAATCAGAGATAAATTGTAAGCCTCAGAAGCTGCAAGGTTTGCTTTTTGTGTGAAGTTGATATCGTCTTGATAATACAGCTCGAAATCTTCTCTACATTCTTCTTCAAGCCCTTCATCTCTTAGTGAGACATCTCTGAAGAGTGCTAGAGCTCTATCTTTCGAAGTCTGAAGTTTCATGAGGAGATCTCCTGTTTCGTATGGCATTTCTTGGATTTCAACATTTCTTCCCTTGGTGTATTTCTTTTTAATATCCTCCAATAAATCTTCATACTGGTTTTTCATAACTTGACTCCAAGTGCTGTTTATATTGGGAACAACACCATCATTAATAGCCTTTACAAATTCATTTAGCAAGCCTAAGAGATTTCTTCCACTCATATCAAGCCCATCAAACTTTTTACTTGGACATTGTTGCAAGACTGAATACTGCAGCCTTTCAAAGCCTTTTTTGAACTTTGGTCTCAGAGTGTTGAGATCATGCTCATTAAGCAGCTCAAGCTGTCTTTCTTGATCAATCGGCCTAGGCAGTGTAATGCAGTCTCTTTCTCTAAAAAGATCCAATATTTCCTGTCTGATTTTCCCATATTTTTCAGGATTTCTCCCATAGCTGCTTTTCATATTCAGGATATTTTCCATATATTGTTTTGAAGAAATTGGGTTATCCTCTTCGTCTACCAAGCTTAAATGGAAATCTCTTAAAAGCCACACAAACTTAGGCGCCAAGGCAGCTAGTCTCTGTTTAGCGTCTTCATCAGTGTCATAAGCTGAAACTTTGGTGGATATCATCTCAGATAAGCTTGTGGCTAGACTTAATTGGTTTACAGCTTGCTCATCAATTACCCCTTTTGAGTTATAAATAAAAACAGATGATAAAAGAATCAGCACTGCAAACATTTTCGCATCATGAGTCGCAGATTTTTCAACACTTTTGCAGCCTTCAGAATCCAAAAAAATTATGCACATATCAGATGTCTGTATGGGCTCTCCCCAGATCCATATTCCTTGAGTGCAAGCCTGGACTTTGCTTCCTACTGCAAATCCAGATCCTGTGCCATTAGAAAGTAAATTTAATATAAAGCTTTTCCCACCTCTTGTTGGACCTCCTATAGAGACAACTCCCATTTTTCCTTTTAATGATTTCAAGAATTTCGCACCTTTTTTGCAGACTTCGAATCTTCCGTCTTCGTTGACTTTTACAAGCTGTATTGGACCTCCTTGGGTTTTTGTTTCTGATATGGAATGCTCTTCATTGCTTTCGCTGTCTATTTCATCTAAGCTTTGCTCTCTTGATATCTTTTTAACTCCCCCCATCCTTGAGCGAACAAAATAATTTTGTTCGCTCGCAGAGGAGGATTAATTTTTTTTAAAAATTTACACATAAAATTTATAGTAAATATTTTTTCGAAATTTAAATAAATCCAATTCGCAAAAATTGTAAAGGGATATATTATCAAATTTGCAGAATTTATGTTTTAAAATGCAATTTGTTTAAAATAAACAGAGTTAGCTCGAGATTTCATTATACTAATAATCACTTATATATCAATTTTTTTTCATAAAAATTTTTTTATATCAAAAAAATTTTTGTTTGCTCTGGTGGGTAGATTGTTGGGCAAAAAATGGGATTTTTTCCAATGGCTTTGTTCGCTCACGGAGGAGGGAGTAAGAACTTTGTCGTATAAGTTTTTGACAGAAAACTCTGAGTCTCTGATAGGATCTTCAAGACGGTCAACAAATGGGTCTTCCTCTTCTGATGATGATAAAACAGGAGGCCATGGCTCTTGAATTGGGACTGTATAAGGTTCTTGCTCGCTCTCAGACATGATGCTAGTATAAAATTAGAAATTTTAAGAAAAACAGCTATATTTTCACTGCTCTGATGGGAGACAATTTTTTTAATCAAAATAGCTTCATTTACTCCCCTCTGTGAACGAAAAAAAAATTTTGTTCGCTCACGGAGGGGATTAAATTTTGTTTTTTAAAAAATTTACATATAAATTTTAAAGTAATATTTTTTTCTTTTCAAAATTTAAAATAATTCCAATTTGTCAGAATTTAGAAGCAAAAATTAATTTTAATTTGCGAAATTTATATTTTAAAATGCAAGCTGTTTAAAATTAATCAGAATTAGCTAGAGATTTCGTTATAATAAGTTTATATATCAAAATTTTTTTCATAAAAAATTTTTGTCGCTAAAGAGGATGGGCTTTTAGGCAAAAAATAGGGATTTTTCTAATAGTCTTGTTCGCTCACGGAGGGGGGAGTTAGATATTGAATAATTACACAATTAATTTATAAAAATAGAATGTTTTGGCCTATTTTGATTAATCTTTTAGGATTAGCATTCTCAAGGATTCATCATACTGAGATAACGAGCCGAGTATATTTTGACATTTCTCTTGGCGGTGAGCCAACTGGGCGAATTGTATTTGGACTATATGCTAAAGTAGCACCTAAAGCTGCAGAGAATTTTCGTGCCCTTTGCACAGGAGAAAACGGAGAGAACTCTGATGGTGTAAGACTTCACTATAAGGGCACATCATTCAATAAGATCGTGAAAAAAAGACTAATTCAAGGAGGGGATATTGATGGGCATGGAGGTGTAAGCATTTATGGCAAAAGTTTTCCAGCAGAAGAATTTAAGCTCAGCCATTCCGCCCCTGGTATACTATCAATGGTAAATGATGGTTCCAACACACATGGATCTCAATTTTTCATCACTACTCGAGGAGTGCCTTCATTTGATGGGAAGAATCTTGTTTTTGGCGAAGTAATCGATGGATTTGATGTAGTGAAGAAAATAGAAGAGTATGGGTCGAAGCCTGAAAATGAGCTATCATCAATAAAGATCACAGACTCAGGAGAACTTTAAAATAAGTTATTAAAATGGCTTCCATATCAAGGCTGGAGTAAAATATAATAATGAATAATTTTATAAAAGCAGCTGATTTTTGAATCTAGTTAATGATTTTGGATTTTTGCAAAGCAAGAAATTCTTTAAAAGGATAAATTGAAAAATGCAAAAACGACATCAGCAGGATTCGAACCTGCGCGGGAAATCCCAATAGATTTCTAGTCTATCGCCTTAACCACTCGGCCATGATGTCAGCTGATTTATCATACCTTCCTCGATTTATAAAGGACAGCAATATTAAAATTCAACAATATCTAAAGATAATTTTTGGAGGATATTTAGATTAGATTTATTATAAAAGATAAATCCTTTTAAAAATAATTCGCTGTTGACACTGAATAATATGGACATTCAGTGCAGCGTTAAATGGATATAGAAAAAGCCTGAGGATGGCGCTATTTGCGCCATCTTAGGGTAACTGAAAATCGGCTCCACACGGGAACGATTTTCCAAATGTGGAGCCATTTTTCCACACGTGAGAATCCTGACTTCCACGTGTGAAAAAATCGCTCCAACGTGGAAAATCGTTCCCGTGTGGAGCCAATTTTCCGTATTACCAGAGAATGGCGCAAATAGCGCCATTCTCTGGCAATTATATTATATATAAAAATAAATGTTGTCGAGGATCCTGAGAAACTTTGCTACCGAAAGAGTTGCATATAAACCAAAATACTTCAGCCAAGATCAAATAGACTTCTATAACAGAGAAGGCTTCGTTGTAGCTAAGCAAGTCCTACCAAGATCTATCACCGACAACCTACAAAAGTGGGCGAAAGAAATGGAGGATCTCCCAGAGACTCCAGGGAAGTGGATGAAATACTTCGAAGTTACTAAAGGACAGAGACTTTTATGTCGTGTCGAGAACTTCCTTCCATTTTTCCCTGAACTCAGAGAGATCTCCTACGGGATGGTTACCGATATGAGTTCTGACTTGTTTGGAGAACAAGCTGTCATCTATAAAGAAAAAATTAACTTCAAGTTCCCACAAGGAAGCGGCTTCGCTGCTCACCAAGATCAGCCAGCCTTTGTAAGCTTCGGTTGCAAGAAACTGTTGACCGTCTTACTTCCAATTGACGCCAACACCAGACAATCAGGAGGTCTTGATTTCGTTCGCCAACATCATATCCCGGCCGAAATTCTTCCTCAAAACTCCGACGGCTCACTCCGCACAGACATTGAGGCCAAGCTTAACTGGATTCCTCTTGATGCCCATGGTGGTGACTTGGTCTTTTTTGACAGCTATGCTCCACACAGAAGTGATGTGAACACATCCGCATCTACAAGAAGAAACTTGTATCTTACTTATAACCCTCTATCACATGGGTCTTGGAGAGACAAGTATTATGAGGAAAAGAGAAGAGTCTTCCCTCCAGAGTGTGAAAGGGACCCTACTAAAGACTACAGTGAAGGTGCTAAAGTTTTCAATGTGGCAAACCCTATTAAGTAATAAGGTGTTTTCATTAATTGTCTTAAAATAATAGTAAAGCAAGAAAATATCTTATTTATTCATAAATTGATTAATGCTATCTTAAATTTATTATTTAAATCTTGGATTGAATTCTTGGGCATTGGGGTTCAATGAGGCTAGCCTCAAGCTGTTTGAGCTTGCTTCTGCTAAAGTTTGCTTAATTATTCCCAGTGGCTTTCTTTGAGAATTGAATACTTCAAGATAAGAGTCAATCAAATCCTTTTTAGCATCAATTCCAATACGGTTCATCTCATTCAAGTAAAATGAAGCCTGCGAAAAGTTCTTATCTTTAACTGATTGTTTTACAAGGCATGAATAATCATTTTCACTAGCCTCAATGGTTTTGCTCTTAAGTGTGGTTGAATTTTCATTGCATTCGATTTTCTTAAATTGCTTTTGCTTGTGTGAACTAATAAAATTTTCTTTATTCTTTTCTTCAAAATTCATTACATTTCTTTCTTTTCTCTGGTGTTTAAAGATCGGCTCTCTCATGATTTGTGCTTGATTTGAGGCTGGCTTTAGCTCTTTCAATGGCTGCCAGTCATTTGGCTTTTCTGTGCATGAGCTTTGATATGTAAGAAACATTTCTCTGGTGTATATGCGCTTTTTCGATGAGTTTTTCAATGAGATGCTTCTGAGATAAGCAATCAAAAAGAGAGAAAAGAAGAACAGATAGGTTAAGGCCTGTATCATTTTTTCAAATTTAAATATGGAAATTCATATTTAAATTTAACGTTAAATTTATAAGGGTTAGATTAGGATATTTAAAGTCAGGTGTAAGCCATATTGGTGACGCAGTCATCAAAGACTATCTATATGGAAGATATACCGTTTTTAGACTCCAGCCTAGAGGGTCTTTCCCTGTAAGCGGGTGCCACATCCGGCACCTTCTGTCTCCTTCTTCCCTTATTGCTTCAGTCTTGAGTGGGCAGATTATGGATTTCTTTGGTCTTACGGCGGCCGATTGGAGTAGCTTGATTCCAAATATCAATTCCTTGAAGTTTGTTGGGTGTCAAAGTGCCTTCCTTCGATAGTCATAGGAAAAAGACTGCTCCCCTTTGGACTGTCCAAATCCCCAGTTTCTCAGCAAAGGAATGCCCATGAGCCCTCGGATCCAAAGGACGTTGTTGAGCACCTCAATTTCCAACCACAGGAAGGCGGCCAAAACCTACCCGATAACACATCTCTTGAGCCTGCACTTTATTCTTGTCTCGGAGTCCGTCCCAGTTTGCTGTGGCCATAAGGTCTAGGCTGTTGCTCCAAGAGGGCAGGTTAGCAAGTGTCGCCATTTTAGTGTATCTAAATTTATAAGGGACTATATAATTTTTATTTAATTTGGACATTCACTTTCTATGTGACCAAATCTTTGGCAAAGCTTGCATTTTGAACCTTTTGGACAATCGTCAGTTTGGTGAAGCTTGCTGCGGCAGTTTTTGCAGGAATGCTCAAATAAGACTTTTAATTGTGTATCGTTTGCTTTGGATTTGTTTCTGAGCTCTTTGTAGATATCAATAAGTACAAAGGCATCAAGTGATGCATAATGCATTTGGGCTAGCCTTAATGGCCTTCTTTCTCAATTAGACATTTGTTGAGCTTTACATAAGTGGGTATCCAATACAAGTTCGCAGAGTCCAGCAAGCCCACCTGGAATTTCATTGTAAATTTCCTTATAGTAATCCAAGAGATCAACATAATTGTTAATGCTACTTTTAAAGCATTCTGAGTTTCGATAACTTTTTTTCAAATTTTTCATATCACCATCAAATGCAATTCCAAGCTTCAAAATATTTGGATTTGAAAACATTTCAGTCAGCTTTGAATCTAAAGCGGGGCTTGAACCCAACTTAATCATATCTATCAAATATACTCTGTCTTCAAACCCTATTTGTAATAGCGCAACTTGAGGATTGATATTTACTAAAGTTGGCTTTCACTCGCTATCTAATCCAACAATCTCACCCTGCAAATTTATTTCAAGGAGCAGCTCCTCGCTATCAATAAAGAAAATACTGTCCTGAGAAAGCCTCAGAGATAAACTTATTTCAGGCTGTAAAGGGCCAAAATAATCTGGTAATCGGTTTTTATTGGGCAGAATTTGTGTTAAATCTCGATATACTTCTTGGCTTAATAAAGGCGCAACTTCTGGATAGGCATCTACCAGATTTGCTGCAGCTTGACCCATTCACAATGCGTTTTCCTTTTTAGAATCAGTTGCCAAACTTTCGATCATAATCTTCAAGAGATCAGTTTCAGTTGAAGCAATCTCTGCTAAATTATAAATTCCTACTTTACCACTCATTATATGGTATCTCAGTGATCTCTTTTTCATATACATAACAAGATCAGGGAAGTCTTCATGATTAAGTCCGCTGTCACTAACAATATCTGCTGCATGCTTTAGAAGTTCCCGATGAGGTATCATTGAATTAACAGCCTTTTTAGCAAGTTCTGAGTCTTTTGAAACAAAAGTCTTGATAAGCTCAGGCTTTCCTTTATCTATTAGCGTAAAAATAACATTTTCTTCATTTTCTAGTCGGCTCTGATTAAAAAATACTGAAAAATTAAATTCTCTGCAGAGCTTAATTGCTTTTGCTATATTGCCATTCCTCCACATATTTGCTGCATGGCTAAAAATTCTATGTTAAAAATACTCTGATGCAGGTACATCCATGTTGTATGAATGAAATAAAGTTCCTAACTCTCCCCTCTGTGAGAGATCAAAATCATTGAATTTTCTGGAAAAAAACCTCTGTGAGCAAGCAAAATATTTTTTACATAATAAAAATATAAAATATGAGTGATAATTATTATAATAAAATCTCTAGTTAATTTAAGCAGATTGCATTCTAAAGCATAAATTTTAGAAATTAAATTAATTTTACTAATTTCCAATTTTTGCGAGTTTGGATTCTTTTAAAATTCGAAATAATAATTGCAATAAAATATATTTAAAAAAAACTTAAACCCTTTGTGAACTAGCATAATTTTTACTCACTCACTGAAGAGACAGTAAGCAATCTGGCTCGATTTCTCTTCACATCTTTACTACGATATTCATAAGCAAATCTTGACTATAATCACCTGATGGTGGAATTTCTGATAGAGCCTGAAGCAATCTCATTGAAATTATAGGAGGAGCATTTACTGAAGATAACGCTTGGAGAACTAACGCAATCTTTTGGCACGTGTCAGCTCCTATAAGAGGTAAAGTTTTTCTAAATGAAATTGTCATATTAGGAAGAGAAATAGTTTTGGATCGGAGAGTCTGGTTCAAAAATCTAGCAACTTCAAGAGAGTCTTCATTAACTAAGTAGTAATTACTTTTTAATAAAAATTCAGATTCAAAATCATTAAGATCATCTACCATCTTAAGAAGTCTTAAAAATTGTGATAATTCATATTGAAGCTAAAAAAATAAAGAGATTTTAAGTATATACTTGAAAAATAAAATTTAATTTTTATACTCTCTAAAAGTTATCGCCAATTCGCCAACTTATTCACCGAAAGTTCTAATCATATTATTTTGAAATTTCGTTCAAAGATAAACTTTTACAATGAAATACTCAAAAGTGAAAAAAATGTTGGGTTCGTTTTAATTAAAATTTAAATTCAAGTTTAAATATCTGATAATTTCTTAAATAAGTTTAGATTCTATAAAGAGCGCACCTTTTTTGCTTTACAAAAAATATTTTTAGAGTCATTTCTTGTAAGAAAATCCATAGTTATGATAGGTGAAAGTACATTAACATCAAAATCTGGATGAAAAGCTGGATATTCCATTTCTTCAGTCTCAAAACCATTTTCTTCTAAGACCTGCTGAATCTGTTCCCTTGAGTAGACAATTGGATGAATCGTGAATTTCAATTCATTTGTTTCAATATCATAAAATCCTCCTTCAACTACAGGCAGGCCGTTATTTTCTCTCATACTAATCAGTCTAAATGGTGAATTTTTGGTCTTTTCTTGATATTCTGCGAACTCCAAAGCAATCCTGGGATTTAAGGTTATCAACGCTATGTTGCCATTGTCTTTTAGATATCTGTTGCAAAGACGAAAGAATTCACTTAATTCTCTTTCACTTTCTGCATAGCAAATCAAAAAGATAGAAGAAATTGCGTCAAAGTAGTGAGCATATTTCTCAATAGGCATAATTTCGTTCATATTTTCAATGGAAAAACAATTAGCTTTTTCAAATGCAAAGCGCGAGTACCAGTCTTCTCTGGTAAAAAGCCTATCGTTTGCATCATCAATCATTTTCTGAGAAATATCGACACCAACTGCTTTTTCAGCGCCCTTTTCAATCATATGAGCCACAAGATCTCCTGATCCACAGCCAAGATCCATTATCCTCATGTTTTGCAGGCAAGATTCTGAATATTCTTTATTAATTGATATCCCTTTTATGATAGTATATTCTTCGTAATAGCAGCGCCAGCCACTTTTCCAGAGTTCATTGAATTTTGTGTGATTTGCATCATACACTTCTTCGCTTTCCATTTTCTATTAATCTCCAATAGTTTTTTGAAACTCGTAATCAAAATGTCTAATTTTTATCTATAAATTGCACATAATAAATTAAATCATCAAGTATTCTTTATAACTAATTAAATTTTAAGGATATAACTGAGCTTAGGATATTTTGAAGTCAGTCCCATGACTGTTTTATTTGTTCTTATAGATGGACCAAAATCATATAAAACTGTTCTAGCAGCATACATATAAAGTTGCTTCCAGCTCACAGGCATATAAGCAACTTTGCCAAGAGCTTTACAGCAATTTAATGCGCACTCTCCTGCAGAAATTAAATATGGCCTTATTTTAATATGCCGGCTCATAGGAGAATCCACAAAGCCAGGCTTGACAACTAATACATCTATAGTGGCAGGTTTTCCCCTGCACAAATATTTGACTTCTTCATTAATAATAAGTGAAAAGTTATCAATAAAACCTTTTCCAGAAGAATATAAGGAAAACCAAGGTCCAGGAAAGCAGGATCCAAGAGAACTCACATTGATAAATGCGCTTCTATTCTTCCTTTCCAATAGCCTAGGCAAAAATAGTTTTGTTATAAAAACCACTGGAAATATGTTTAAAGAATTTGCCAAATACACTTCGTTTTCTGGGTAACTGCAAAAATAAGTTGGAACTGGGCCAAATCCAACATTATTAACAATTATGCTTATGTCCAAGTCGTTTGTTTTTTCTCTTAAGTCTTGAAAGAAGTCGATTGGAGATTTCGAGGCAAGGGAAAAGTCTTTAGAAAAAATTCTGGTTTTGATTGGATATTTTTCTTCTAGTGACTGAGCTGACTTTTCTAGTTTTTCTTGATTTCTTGCTATAAGAATAATGTTGAAACCTTGAGAAGCCAAGTACTCTGCGAAGCCAAAACCTATTCCGTCAGAAGATCCTGTGACTAGTGCTCAGCTTCCTCTGCCATATAGAGACAAATCTGTATTAGAAGTTAAAGCTCTTGCGCAATAAGAAATTCTGAGAATTCAGCATATCACTGCATATAATCCACATAAGAAAAGTATATAAGTGATTCATTCCTCCAACATTATAATTATAGATAATAAATAATGAAAATATTCACAATCAAAATTAATCACTTGAAACTAGTTTTCGATAAAAATTATTTATTTTCTAAAGTGACCACTCTGTAGGCTTCATTTTCTCTTTCAAACCACCTTCATTGGAATACTTCAGTGCTTAAACCATCATAAAAATTTGGAACAGCTAATAAGTGATTTGGAGTGATAAATCTTCTTAATGGAAAAAGCAATTTCGGAACTGAATTTTGCAAGTTTTCAATTGTCACAACCTTTAATCTGTATCCTGAGTCTGTCTCAAAATATCGCCAGCAAAAGAAGCAAGTTTCTATTCCTTCATAAAAATCATCTTTTGCTATTAAATCAACAGGCCGAAATCTTGGTGGGCCTAAGCAAATGGCTTCGTTTTGATTTTCAATAGTTAAAACTTTAAATCTATAATCTTCTCTCTGCAATCACTTTCAATTAAAATATGAATTTTGGAGACCGTCACTATAGCCGTTGATTGATTCAAGATCATATGGAGCTACACTTTTTAAATCAGGCATATTATCAGCAGCATTTAATGTTTTTAGTTTTTCATTCATTACAATAAATTCCAGAGTTCTGAGGTTTTCTTCAGGGACATTTTGGAGCAATGAAAAATATTTCCTTCTTAGTTCAGATGCACAATTTCTCTCAACCATAATTTATCTCTAATAAAAAAGTCAGCTTCATACGAAACATAAACTGTGAGGGTTAGCCAATTATATTAAAATATTGAGTGCCAAATCAAGCATTAATTTAAATAATAATGTATTATTTAATTTTGAAATTCTTTACTATATCTATTAAAGAACTGCTAAATACATAGCAAATAATAATCTTTTATACTCTCTTAATCGACATATTTTCAACATAAAATGTTGGGTGTGAGGCGTTTAAACTTCATCAGGAAATTCGCCACAAAAAATCAACAATACTTCGTTGATCTTCACCCTTTAGCTCCGTCAAACCTATTAATTGATCGCCATATGGGTCCAAGTTCATCAGAACGAGAAAAAATGCTTGCAGAAATCGGATGTAAATCAATGGATGAATTAATTGAGAAAACCCTGCCTCCCAAGCTCCCCAGAAATAAGCTCCCTGATTGGCCTGTGAAGACTGAACAGGACATTATAGGAGAACTCTATAACTTATCAAAGGAAAACACAGTAGCAAAAAATTATCTGGGTGGTGGCTATTACGGAACTTACACTCCTCCAGTCATATTGCGAAATGTCCTGTCAAACCCTGCTTGGTACACTTCCTACACTCCTTATCAAGCTGAAATCTCACAAGGAAGACTTGAGGCATTGCTCATCTACCAAACAATGGTGAGCAGCTTAACTGGGTTGCCAATAGGCAATGCTTCGCTGCTCGATGAAGGGACAGCTGGTGCAGAAGCAATGACAATGAGCTATACCATTCACAATAGAAAGAAAACCCACTTTTTGGTGTCAAATAAGGTTTTCCCTCAGACAATTGCGTGCATTCAAACAAGAGCTGAACCGTTAGGAATCACAGTCCACGTTGGTGATGTAGAAAGTTTTGATTTGGCCAAGTTCCCATTGTGTGGAGTACTGGTTCAATCTCCAGATCTTTTAGGGGAAATTAAAGATTTTTCTGCTTTTTCAAGCAAGGTACACGAGGCTGGAGCTACCTTTATTATGGGATCTGATCTTTTATCTTTGTGCATTATGAAGAGCCCTGGAGAAATGGGTGCCGATATTTCTTATGGAAGTTCTCAAAGATTCGGAGTTCCTATGGGCTATGGAGGACCATATGCAGCGTTTTTCAGCGCAAAAGAAGAAGACATCCGCAAAATGCCAGGAAGAATTATAGGAGTCAGTATTGATAAAAACGGGCAAACTGCTTATAGAATGACTATGCAGACAAGAGAACAGCATATAAGAAGAGAAAAAGCTACAAGCAATATTTGCACTGCCCAAGCATTATTGGCAAATATGGCAGGACTTTACTCAGTCTATCATGGAGCTGAAGGAATGAAGATGATTGCTAGTAGAGTTCATGCCTTAAGTAGCATCTTGAAGCAAAACCTTCAAGACCTTGGCTACAAAGTTCCGACTCTTAATCATTTTGATACAATCTTCAGCTTAAACTTATATAGTTCGTGACTTCTGCCTATTGGTAACGCAGTCACCAAGCATCCTCGCATGAGAGAGCCTCTTTGCGACGTCGCCAGGGAGAATTTTGTTGAATTAAGGCGATGAATTCGTTTGGCAAGTTAGTCGAGCACCACCTTCCTCTTCTTCACCGTATGATAATGGCATTTGCGAAGTAGGGTTCTGTGCCTCCGTCTCCTCCTTGCTTTGAGGTTCCAGTTTTGAGGGGAAGGCCATGGACTTCTATGGTATGCTGCTTGAGTCGGACAGAGGTTGCCATACAAAAATCTAAAAAATGGAATTTCTGGTTGACTCAAGGTGAAAAGGAGAAATTCAAAGCCTGAAGTGTAACTCTCTGCTTCATGCTAGGAAGTAGCCCATTTGCCTAGAAATTGCCTGCAGACGCTACTCTGCTTTCTCTTTCAACTTTAACCCACTTTTCCTCTTTAAGTAATCCGGCTGCTAAAGAGTCAGCTGGTCTTCCTACGTGGCTGCCAGCCGAAGGTCGCCGCGGGGAGATTTGCTTCCGTGGGGAAGGACTTGGTGCCAGGAGAAAACTGTCAGTGTTGCTCTATGGGGTTGCTGGTCTTTCGGGGCCGATGCCCCGTGGAGTTGTGGAAGCTCAGATGATGGGGGAGTTGTAAGTCACCTCAGAGAGTTTGAAAGGGCCTTAAAACGCAAACAAGCTGATAAAAAAAGCCTAGAAAACGAGATAAGCTTGCTTAATTCTCAAGCAAGCACAGCTAGACTCTTCTCGACGATTCCTTATAAATTTGGAAAGATCCTGATAAATGCATAGAGAATATAGGGTAGGGATAAATCTAAAACTTTCTTTCTCAAGGTAAAATCCAATCCTGAAAGTGGACTAGGGCTAGGTTGCGAAAACTGCCAGAGCATAGTGGTCTATTTCTGGGTGGGTATAACCTTGCCGGACATTTTGATACAATCAGTGTAAGTGGAATTGATGCTGCCAAATTAGTCGAAACTTTTGAGAAAAATGGAATTAACATAAGAAAAATAAGGAACGACACTGTATCTCTATCTTTCGACGAAACAACGACCCCAGATGATGTTAACACACTTGTGAGTATTTTTGCAAGCCTCAAAGGAACTAATAAAAACATATGTGCAGTTGATCAATATAACAAATCAGCACCTGAATTCCCAAGCACCCTTAAAAGAGAATCTGCTATTCTAACTCACCCAATCTTTAACTCAATCCACTCAGAGCATCAAATGCTTAGATATTTGTACAGACTTCAACGCAAAGACATTAGCCTTGCAAACTCCATGATTCCACTTGGATCATGCACAATGAAGCTTAATGCCACTTGTGAAATGATCCCGATCACCTTTGAAGGGTTCAACGTTCATCCTCATGCACCTCTCAAGCAAGTCCAAGGCTATCAAAAGCTAATTGGTGGACTAAGAAACAAATTGTGCGCTATCACTGGCTTCGATGAAATCTCATTCCAGTCAAACAGTGGTGCTCAAGGAGAATATTCAGGCTTAATTACCATTAGAAATTATCTTAAAAGCACAAATAACGCAAAAAGGACTGCTTGCTTAATTCCGAACTCAGCTCACGGCACAAACCCTGCTTCAGCTGCAATGGCTGGGATGAACATTATTAAGGTTGAGTGCGACAAGAAAGGAAATATTTCTATTGATGACCTTAAACAAAAGGCCCAACAGTTTAAAGATGAGCTTGCATGCTTAATGGCTACTTACCCGTCAACTCATGGAGTATTTGAAGAAGAAATTGTGGAAGCTTGCGAAATTATCCATCATTATGGAGGACAAGTATATATGGATGGAGCAAATATGAATGCTCAAGTGGGGCTTACTTCTCCTGGGCATATTGGAGCTGATGTATGCCACTTGAACTTACATAAAACTTTTGCTATCCCTCACGGAGGTGGTGGTCCTGGAATGGGGCCAATTGGAGTTAAGAAGCATCTAGCCCCGTTCTTGCCAAGAGATGTGGTCTTAGGACTAGGCGGCCAAGGAGGCCAGATTTCTTCTTCTCATTTTGCATCTGCCTCTATTCTCCCTATTTCATGGGCATATATAGAAGCATTGGGAGGCAATGGCTTGGCTGAGGCATCAAAACACGCAATTCTAAACGCAAACTATATTAGAAAAAGACTAGAAAAATACTACGGAATCGTTTATACTGGTGACCAAGGCATGTGCGCACACGAAATGCTTGTTGATCTGAGACCATTTAAAGTCACTGCAAACATCACTGAAGAAGACATTGCTAAAAGACTAATGGACTATGGATTCCATGCTCCTACAATGTCATTCCCAATACATGGCACTTTGATGATTGAGCCTACAGAGTCAGAAGATAAAGGAGAGCTTGACAGACTTATCGATGCTTTGATCAAAATCAGAGAAGAAATCCATGAAATTGAGACAGGAAGTGCTGATAAGAACAATAATGTCCTCAAAAACGCTCCACATTCCTTAGATGAAGTTATATCAGTCAACTGGGACAAGCCATACTCAAGGGAAAAGGCAGGATTCCCATTGCCTTGGGTTAGAACAAGAGGAAAATTCTGGCCAACAGTAGCAAGAGTAGACAATGTTTGGGGTGATAAGCATCCTTCCACTGTACTTCCAGAAATTGACTTCCATCTTTAAGCTTTAACATAGTTTTAACAATTCGCTTTAGATTAATTTTTATTATTTCATATTAAGAATGCTATTTGATTTATGTGTTATTAGGCTAATTGTATTTGGGCTTAAAAAATGAATTTCTTCCATACCATAGTCCTTTTGGTAGCAAGCTGAAATAAACTTTAGGCAAAATATCTTTGACAAGGTAGTATGCATAGGTGCTTGGAGTTGTTTGCCCTCCGAATGTTTCATCAAGCTCTCCTTGATACTTAAATTCGCAGAGCATAAGCTTATTGTTTCCTAAGAAAATGGGACAAGAGGTATATCCTTCGTATTTTGCATTTGGCTGAGCTTTATCCAACACCTTGCATATATTGTTTACAAGAACTGGCGCTTCAGCAATAGCAGCAGCCGCTGTTTTAGAAGTTGGACAACTTGCACAGTCCCCAATAGCCCAAATATTATCATACTTGTTATGTCTAAGGGTATTCGGATTAACGTCAACATATCCTGCTTCATTTGAAATTGGTGACCCATGCAGCACTTTAGGTGGAGACTGAGGTGGCGCTGTATGAAGAAAATCATACTTTACTGTTATTTCTTCATCACCTTTCTTAAAAATTGCTTCATTTTTCTTATGATCCACTTTGGTTAATAAATGCTGAAAATGCAGATTGCAGCCTTTTCCTTTCGCAATTTTTTCTAACTCTTTTGCATAAATAGGAACACTGAACATTGCAGGCGTTGGGATATAAAATTGAATATCAGTTTTAGCTCTTATGCCTGAGTTTGTCCAAGAAGAGTTTGATAAATACATTATCTTTTGTGGAGCTCCAGCACATTTAAAAGGCTGGTTAGGTTGGCTAAATATTGCTTGTCCTCCTTTAAAGGATTGAATAAGGCGATTTGTTTTAAGGCAATATTTAAACTGGTAAATTGTTCCGACTGGCGAATTCTCATCTTCAAGAGCTTCGTAAAGCCCTGGAACTTTATCGTAATCTAAAGAAAGCCCTAAAGCAACGACAAGGTGGTCATAAGAAATTTCTTCATTTCCAATAGAAATTTTATTTGAGCTGGGTGAAAAACCTGTTACAGATTTTGGGATGAAATTTATATCCGGGTGGAATAAAGATCGTGTATCCCTGGCTATGTAGTCCATATGAGATTTAATTTTCTCAGAATTTCCCCTTAGGCCACCAGCTAGTATTGTGAAGCCAGGTTGATAATAATGCAAAGGAGATGGATCAATTACTGCAATTTCAGAAGGTTTTACTTTGCCGCTTCTAATTAGCTGACCGCATAAAGTCATAGCACCTGTTCCAGCTCCTGCAATGATTACTCGATACATCTATTTAGATTATTAATATATGGATAAAAATGCTTTCCCTAATACATCCACATAAAATGCAAATCACCAAAAAGTGTTATAAATAACACAATAATAAATTTTTTACAATAAATTAACAATTTATATAGCCCAAGCCTTGATATAGTCTCGGCTATGCTGACGACTTCCGACGCCACTCAGAGAGTTGGTTTTAAACTCCTTAAGTGGCACCAGGAGTCGTCAGCATAATAAGGTTATAGCAATGCTTGGGCTATAGATATTTGCTTGTTCTTTAAATTATTTTTGTTTTTTATAATACACTGAAACTAAATTTCCTGAAATTTATGCTTTCACGTTGTTCTTGCAATAATAATAAAGCTTATATAGTATTAATTATGGTATTGGTTCAAGTGTTTTTGTTTCAAAATAATTAAATATTTCAAGCATCATTAGAGCTATAAAGGGATGTTAGTTATGAAGAATATGATTAATCGGGTTCCTTCACACGAGGTCTACTCCATAAAGACTATTTTTTTTTGGCCTAAATTTTTTTTTGGCCTATTTTTTTTTTAGCCTATTTTTTTTTGGCCAAAAAAAAATAGGCTAAAAAAAATAGTCGTCATGAAATAGGCCAAATAAATAGGCTAAAAAAAATAGGCCAAAAAAAAATAGGACAAAAAAAAATAGGCCAAAAAAAAATAGGCCAAAAAAAATTAGGCCAAAAAAAAATAGGCCAAAAAAAATAGGCCAAAAAAAATTTAGGCCAAAAAAAAAAAATAGGCCAAAAAAAAATAGTCATTATGGAATAGACCTCGTGTGAGACACGGATTAATCGACATATATTTATCCATTTTTTGACCAGATTGAAATGAATTTTCAAGATAGCTTAAATATACTAATAAATATTGGTATATAAAAAATTTAGAGAGCATCGCTATCCATTGTGTTTGCAACATTCATTATTTTAGGTAGACTATTGCAATTATTAAAATCTCTAGAAATGTTTAGTTAATTATAAGGAATAGAAACAATCAAGGTTTGTTTTTCATTCATACCTATCTCAGAGATTTAAATTTATTTGCATATGTACTAAACTTATTTTCAAAAATCTGTAATTTACTTTAAGGGGTTAGTATATTTAATAAGATAGAAAATGTCTGGGGTTAAATATATAGTTGCATGTGGGTTAGTCCTAGCTAGTTCACAATTCTACCACTCTTATCGGCAAGCAAAAGAATCTGAATTAAAAGAGCTCTATCGAGAAACTCTAGACAAAGCCAATCTTTTAAAGCAAATTCACAATAAAATAGCTCCAAAATGGGACTATGAGCAAAATTCTTACGAATGGGCAAAAAGAATTGATAAATATAGGAAGATTCTCTGCAGCTATGCTGAGGGGAAAGTCCTTGAAGTTGGCGTAGGAACTGGGTCAAATTTTGAATATTATCCAAGAGGTGTAAGAGTAATTGGGGTTGATTGAAGCCCTGACATGCTGAAAGAGTGCAATTCAAAACCAAAAGGAAAATTAAAGAACGTCACTTTAGCTGAAATGGATGCAAAAAGTTTATCATTCTCTGATGAACTATTCGACACAGTTGTCGCTACTTTTGTATTAAGTAGCACTGATAACCCAAGTGCTGTCATAAAAGAAATGATCAGAGTTTGCAAGCCAAATGGAACAATCTTGATTCTTGACAGAGGAAAAGGAGAAGGAGTTCTAACTAATATTCATCTATCATTGTATAGATACAAAAACCTATTCAAGTTTGGCTATGATCAATGTACAAATATTAAAAAGATCATTGATGCTGCACCTGTTAAAATTGAAATTGAGGAGCGGAAGCAAGGCGGACACATTTATTTTTATTTGCTGAAAAAAATCACATAGGCTTACAATTTATTTTTAACTCCGTAAATTGAAAATAGTATAAATTTATCTTCCTAAATTATATAATTTTTTTAATGCAGCAAAAACAGAAAAATTACCTACAACTTGTGATATTAAAATGAGAGTGAAAATGAAATACTCTTTAAATAAATTTAGTATTCTATAAATGGTATAAATTAATTTTTCCAAAAATATAAAATGAGAGAGATTGTTTGTTTCAAAAAAAGAGCGAGTAAGATTAAATTAAGCATTTTTATTCCTTTTAAATAAAGGGACTACTGAAAATGCTGAATGTCTTTCAGTTAAAAAATATATTGAAATATTAAAGGAAATGCTTTATTTTGTTAGTCATATCAATCCCAAGAAATTTGCTAACTGAAATGTTTAAAAATATAAATTTCTAGCTCAAAGAAATTATTGATATTTCACTCCATCAAAAATACCAAAAAAAAGTTTAATCGACGTCATCAAATATAGGGCTTTCCCGAGGATGGCGCGGAATGGCGCCATCCTCGGGAAAGCCAGGAAGGCATCCACACGGGAACTGGGAGTTTCCACGTGTGGATGCCATTTTGACATGTGGAAGTTTGGATCCCACATGTCAAAAATGGCATCCACACGTGGAACTCCCAGTTCCCGTGTGGATGCTTAGTTGACTTTCCCGAGGATGGCGCCATTCCGCGCCATCCTCGGGAAAGCGCTATAATTAAATTTGTTATAATCTATATCCTTTTTCTTAAACTTCGACAGCATTTAAAAATCTCTTGGAAGATAATACTAAACTATTTATATCCTCGGGGCAATCAAAAAAATGGCCCCACACCGGAAATTGAACCCACGTGTGGGGCCATTTTTGATTAGTGGAGAACATCGACTTCCACGCACCAAAAATGGCCCCACACGTGGGTTTGATTCCCGGTGTGGGGCCATTTTTTAAATTGCCCGAGGATGGCGCAAGATAGCGCCATCCTCGGGCAATTACAATATATCCTTTAAAAATTTATTTCGCAGGTGAATTATATAGTAATAATATTCGGTTTTCATAGCCAAGATGGATTTAAACGTCGTCCCTTACCTTTGTCAGGAAAATCGTATTTTCCTCTTCGGGCCTCTGGAATATAAAATGAATGAGCATGAACTTGGAGTCCACATCGCAGCTGCTCGTGCAATTACTGAGTGATATGGAATAAAAACTTATACCCAAGATGAATGGGATACTGTTAATGGATCCCATCACGAGCAAACCAAGTCAGTAATGGTTCATGTTACTTATTTTTCCCACTTAGAAGATCATTCACGCATTTATGTCCCGATCCGAGAAGTTCCTCAAGGGATTACGATACCTGGAGAAAATAATCATTTCGTTAGGCATGAGAGGATCATGAGAGTAAACTGAAGTAGGTCTCTCGAGTTTAATTACTTACTCCCCCCCCCCTCCGTGAGTGAACAAAAAAATTTTGTTCACTCACGGAGGGTTATTTTTTTTTTTTTAAAAAATTTATATATAAATTTTCTAAAAAATTTTTTTTTTGAAATTTAAAAAAATCCTAATTTGCAAAAATTTGAAAGCAAATATTAATTTTATTTATAAAATTTTATGTTTTAAAATGCAATTCATTTAAAATTAAACAGAATTAGCTCTAGATTTCATTATATTAATTATCATTTATATATCAAAATTTTTTTTCCATAAAAAATGTTTTCTATTATAAAAAAATTTTTGTTCACTCACGGAGGGTGGGTTTTTGGGCAAAAAATAGCGATTTTTCTAATGATTTTGTTCACTCACGGAGGGGGGGAGTTAGGAAAAGCTTTGAGGAATGAAACAATATCATATCCTCTGCCAGTTGTAATGCAGCACCCTGATTATGCAACTTTACATTTTGCCGACTACTCGCCAATGGCAAAATTTGTTGAGGCTTGGTCTTCGAGCATGTTTGCGAGGCCATTTGAAAAATGGCAGCATTATTGTGCAAGTCTTAACCAGCTTCCTTCTGAGCAAGCGCTTCAATCGTTAAAAGGAATAATCATTTCAGGAGGCAGATTCTCGGCCTATGATACTCATGACTGAATGGATAACCTAAAAGCATTTTTGCGAAAAGTTGATAGAGAATATCCTCATATCAAACTAATCGGAATATGTTTAGGTTCCCAGGTAATTGCAGAAACTTTTGGCGGAAAAGTTGAAAAAATCCCAAATAAAAATATTTTTAAATGTGAAACCGTCAGAACTACTCCTGAATTCAGAAGCAAATTTTTCGATACAAGGGAGCAATACAGGCTAATTGAAATACATGGGGATAATATCGTAAAAATCCCAGAAAGATGCGAAAGATGGGGATTTTCGGAAAGCAGCCCTAATGAAATATATGGCATCCAAAATAAATGGTTGGGAATCCAAGGACACCCAAACTTTATTGGCAGAATGTATGAAGTCGTATATATAGGCCAACAAGTCCGCCAAGGGATGATTACTAAAGAGACAGCTGATGCTATGATTGCTGATTATAATGCGCATCGCTCTCACACTTACGAATTGTTAGAGTTTATCAATCAATTCTTGAGAGTACAATTAATTTAGTTGATTTAATAAAATATGGATTTAGAAAAAGAAAAATTATCCTCATGTTGATCAATCAAATCGCTAGGTAATAGGCAGTTCTCGCAAAGAAATAGCAGGCATATTCTAAAATCTCCGAAACTAAAGAGGCCAAACTCATGCTTGAGGGGAGGCAAAGAAAAGCTTAATTGTTTAAATACAAAAGAAAAGCCATTCATTGGCATCGGGTTCGAAAATTTTGTATCATCTATTATATTAGAAAGTGCAAAAAACGAGAAGACACGCAAAAGGAGACACCACTCTTATAGAGAATGCTCGTTTATTGTCAATCAAAAAAATGATGATGAAGTTCCGTTGAGATCTTTGAGAAAAGATCGCTATATAATAAAGCTGCAAAAAGAAAAATCCAATGAAGCTCAGGGAAAAGCTTTTACGAAATCACTCCTATCTATAAAAATCAGGTCTCATAGAATTTTAGATGAAGCAAACTCTTTCTTTAAGAAAGACTCAAATTTCCCAAAACTGATATAAGATCCAAATTAAGAGTAATTAAAATTTAAAGATAGAAGGAAAAGGGTAAGTTATATTCATTATGACTGTTGGATAATAGTAGCCAAAAATAGGAGAAAGTGAAGATTTTCCTTGGAAAAAAAGCTAATTTATGAGGATCAATTTCATTTGGGTTAGTATCTAAATTTTCATAATACTAAGCCAAAGTTTAATCAAATTTTGGATAAATTGCCGATTTTAGATATAGTTTATCAGTAAAAATTTTATCGAAAACGCTAATTATAGCATGCTAGATGAATTTATTATGCCTAAAGTCTTCATAAGAATTTTAAGGTTTATTTGGCAATTTCAAACTAAATTATTACTTTTTTCATAAAAATAATTTCTTGATTATTAAAAATCTTCGTCTTCCTCTATTAGTTCAATTTCCACTTCTTCATTATACTCCTCCGAAACTTTCTTTTCCTGCGGGAATTGCATTGCTCTAACTGCATCATTTCTTAGATCCATGCAAAAAGAAATCCTTTTCTGGAAGGCGTGCTGAGGTTCATTTGTTCTGTAGACATCTTCTAGTACTTTTGATTTCAAAACTGCATGTTCATGGTCAACTGCTGCTTCAATGACTCCATCTCTAATTGCTTTTGCAACAATAAATTCAGTGTCGGCTAAAGGCAGGCCTAGTTTATGAGCGATGTCTTTTAGTGAGATCACGGAGTAAGCAATGTTAATCTTCTTCAGTCCAGCTTTAATCACAATATGTCTGAGTCTTGCTACGAGTGAAAGGTTCATATCTTCATTAAACGAGTTTTGGTAGCTTGTGATAACTTGGTTATACCTTTCTAGTTCTCCAGATCTAACCGCTCTAACTAACTCATTATCTCTTATAGCGAATAAAATTGTAGAAATACTTTTTTGAGAAATTCAACCCCTTGGATATGAATTTAGGTTTAGGTTTACTATGGCCTTTTATTTCACATCTAATCTCGCTGCGCTAGGCCTTAAGGCTTTTATTCCCATCGTTAGCGATGATAAGGCGGTTTATCTTACATCTCATGCCCGTTGTCTTCGCAAGAACACCGCATTCAATGCGATTACACCAATTAGCTTGCATCTCTATCATTTAAGTCCGGTGATCTGCGGACTCACTTCTATCTCACCTTAGACGATATGCCTTTCTACCGACTTTGAGCCACGCAGACTCTTGATAGCTTATACTGTCCAGTCTTTGTCCCACAAGCCTTGGTACCGGTCCATCTAGCCCTCGTATTCCAGGGGTCCAAGGCCCGTTGACTGACGGTAGAGCTTGGCATGAGGAAAAGCTCTTTGTCAGCCGAGCAAAAGCCTCACATGAAGATAAAAATTAGCCTAAGTAAAAGCGTCTCAGGGTCAGTCGAAAGACTCTTATTGTGGTCCATATTTTTCTCCATTGGGAATGAGTAAAATAAATTATTTATAGATTACTAATAATTTTTATGACCAGATTTCGATCTAATCTATTAATTCTAGACAACTTGCATATTTAAACAAAAATTTTATAAATTAAAAATTAGATTTTTCTTTTACAATATTTGGATTTTGGGATTTTTAAATATCCTAAAAGTAATTCCTTCAAGAGTGAGAGTAAAATATCTTGCCCACTTTTGAAATGGAGGAGTAAGTCAACGTATGCTCCAAGTCCTTTGTATCCTACCAATGTTTTTCTGACAGGGATTTCTCCCATCAGTAGCTGAACAACAACTTTTAGCTTTTCTACTGCAAGCTTAAACCCTGCCCCGCTGTTTTCAGGAGCTTTTCTTTGAGCCTGAATTATTCGATTTAAAGCCTCGGCGTAGTTCAGTCTTAAGGCATTTATTCTTCCTAAATAGTATTGATTTCTTGCAATTTCAGCATATGGGGCATTATCGGGAAATCCTGTTCTGTCAGCGAAGTCTTGCGCCTGTTGGACCTTATTTTTCAATAAAAAGAAGCGCAGAATCACATTAATCAGCGTAGCCTGAATAAAATTATCATGCCTTAAGCAAGCTTGTCTATACCAATCCAGAAATGGTTTTTCATCAAAATCTTGCTTTATTTCACATGATAGAGCTAAATAATAGAAAAGCTTTGCGACAAATGGCTGCGCAGTGTGAGTTTGGTGCTTTTCGATCTGCTCTAAAGCAATCTGCTTGCTATCATTAACAAGATTTTGTTTTACTAAGACCATGCAAAACAGAATATTGAGAAAAGCTTCTGCTTCAGGCGATGAAAAAGGTAGTTGAGATGAGGAAGTAGATTGCCCCCATGCCGGATCCCTGCCATAAAAAGCTTTGCAAGCATTAGCAATAGATTCAATAGATGCTGATCGGCGTAACGAAGGCAGTAGTCTTAACAGCAAAGCACAGGCTTTTATATCTTTAGTTTGACTTGCTTTTTCCACTTGGCCCAGTGCTTTTACAAGATTGTCCCAGAACTCTTCCATTTACAATTTATTGAAATCGGTTTAAGCAAATAGAAAGGAGATAATTTAATATTCTATTAATTGAACCATTTCCATGACTCTTTTCCCTTCTCTTAAATTATATTTTCATCCTCATCCATACTGCTGTTTTCGCTGCTTGTAAAATTTTCAATGTCTTCTTCTTCACTGATAGATGCTCCTTCTTCTATGAAATCTTCATTGAGTTCTTGGCTTGCTTTTTTCTGGTCTTCCTTTTCCTTTGCTCTGATTTTCATTTCAATTTGCTGCTCGAGATGCTTCTTTTTCAATTCGTGATTTGCAAAGCTGTGGATCACCTGCATAGTTTTGGCAGGATTCAAGGTTAGGTTATGTTTATATTTAAAGTCAGACGTTAACCGTATTTGTGGCGCAGTCACCAAAGATCTCCTATAGAGAAGATTCTACCGATTTTTGACACCAGCCCAGAGGGTCTATCCCCTAAAACGGGTGCCACTTCCAGTGCCTTCTGTCTCCTCCTTGCCTTACGACTTCAGTCTTGAGTGGGTAGCTTATTGATTTCTGCGGCCTTGCTGCGGACGATTGGAGTAGCTTGATTCCATGGATTATCTCATTGAAGTCTGTGCTTAGTGCCTTCCTTCGACAGCTACAGTAAAAAGACTGCTCCGCTGTGGCCTGGGCCGAAACCCCTAGTGTCTGAGAAGAGGAATGCCAATGAGTCCTTGGATCCACAGGACACTATATATGCCTTCATTTCCAACTACAGGAAGCCTGCCAAAACCTACGGATTCAAGGTGCTTTCGAGTTTTCTGATGTGAGACTGATGTTTGATGGAGCATGGCTTGAACATGAGCTTATTTGAAGCTTCTTGTTGTTCGACGTACATGTCTTTGATTCTTAAGTAGCTATAAGTGTGTGGATTCTCAGTTTGAGTTACTTCAAATGCATCACTTCCTATAAACATGGTATAGCTGCCATCTTCCCATTTAACAAGTTTTGCGTTGCTTTGCATTTGGCCATTCTCGTCTTGTCTTCATCTGATGTAGCTGCCAAGGTAACACCCTTTAACTTGCTTTTTGCCTTGCTCATCTGTGTACATGATCGGATTTTCAAGAGTGTAAGTGCTTGGGTCAAACTTTTTCGGTTGAACTGACATAACATTCCCGAGCTTTGCAAGAAAAACAGGTTTGTTCTTTTTCTCACATACAGATTTAGGGATTGTTTCCATGGATGATATTTATTACAATCTAAACTAAAAATGAATTTTGCTTATCTATGGATCTATTTACACTTTAAAATAATTAGATAGCATAAATTTGAATATATCTGAATATTAGATATTTAGTACAATCGATATTGTTTAATAAATATTTTTGAGTTTATAGAGAAATGTTATTATTTTGAGTATAGTAAACTGATTAATTTCTATAAAGTTATAATTACGATAACTATGGCTGAAAAATTGAAGTGAGAGTATTTAGATCCAAACTAATCGATCTTTAATTTTTGCCTTAGCAGTTTTATAATTTACCGAAAAAACTGATAAAAAAATTATTCATCTATTTTGCATTCTATTGGAGACTCCACATATATATTAAATGGGATGCATTGCTAGCACAAATTCAAATTGTGACTTGACAGTACTTTATAATGGCAAGCTATTCAATGTTAGCACGGGCTACAGCTATAAACAAATATTAGAGTTCATTTCCCAAAAAATTGGGAACAGCTCAACAGTTCTTTCGTTGAGCGATGGCGGAAATGCTTTCAGAATCCCAGATGAAGAGGCATGGAAGAATTTGACTTTCATTAAAAAAACTCAGTTAATACTGATGGTTAACCCTGAAAAAATCACTGACATTTTCAGAATTAATCCTATAGAAAACAAGGTAGTCGATAAAGATTATAAAGTAGTAGGGCTTAAACTTAATACGTTTTTAGAGAAAATTTCCAGTTTTGACTTACATTTAAAGGAATTTATCCGATGTCTTTCTTATCTATACATACGATCTTGCTCTCTGCCGACAGCTATGAACATTTTCCTAGTCGTAGTGAATCCTTACATCACAGAAATACAAAATTTTCCACCATTTGTAATTTTAAATGATACTGCAAAGGCTAAGTTGCCGGAACAGGTAATTCCTGTGCTTAAAAATTGGGATTCATTGATGGAAAGTCTAAATGTAGTAGAAGAAGATATTAATATTCTACTCTATAACCTCAATTTCTTGTTGTCTCAAAGATTAAATAAGAAAATTCATCTTACATCAGGAAGCAGATTGAACCTATCAGGTCTCAAAATTGCGGAAAATAACATTAAGGTCCATAAAGCACTAGATATAGTCAAAGCTTTGCAGATAAAAGCTAATGATTTTAAAGAAACTGTTAACTCCCCCATCAAAACTATAGATTTTTGCATGATAGCGCTATTAGCCTATGAATTAGTCTTTGACTCCATATCTTGGTTCGGTCAAGGTTATTTTTGGTCGGACCTGCTTAAATTTGGTTCGGCCGAAAATAGCCTAGGTCGAACCAAAATATGGAGTCAGCGACCAATTCATAGGCTAATAGCGCTACCCATGGCAAAAATCTATATTATAAAAAATCTCTATTTTGGAAAAAAGCTTCCCCGAGTCAAAATTATTTAAATAATTATTATAATAAAAAATTCTGTTTAAATTTCTAAAATAAGTTTTTCAAATTAATTAATTTTTACTTTCCAACTTAAGTGATTGGGAATTTTAAATTTTGAATAATAACTAATCCTCTGTGAGCAATTAAAATATATTTTGCTCCTCAGGAGATTAAGCATTCTTTAAATGCTTATAGTGATGGAAGGAACGCAACTATGAAAAGAGTTTGCTTAATGTGTAAGAAGGCAAAAGCTATTGGGCCTCAAGAGATATCCTGGATGTTCGGGATCGGAGACTATGCAGGAATTCCTTCGGATATAAGATTTTATTAAGTAAGTATTGTCTTGTATGCGTATAATTAAACTGTTATTACTCCCCCTTTAAACATAGGTAAAATTTTCATTTTTTTGGATACTTTAATATCCCTTTATATTTAAAAACAAATCAACCCCCTTTAATTGAAGCAGGATATTTTGTTCCAGTTTAAAGGGGGAAGTTAAAAAGTCCTTGCTTATGAAATTTAGAGATAAATTATTACATGATCAAGAGGGTTACAATCTTGCTTTTTCTGGTTTCTATTGCATCTGGTGTTGCCATCACAACATTTTCTATATACACATCAACAAAAACCATAAGACAAGTCGCCGACTACACCTTTGCAATTCGAATTATTACAAATATTCCAAGTGGAGGCTCTATTAAAGTGATTTTTCCAACAATTTTTACTCAGCTGCCCTCCGGATCAAACCAATGCTCTATTTCAGGTGTCTCATCCCCATCATCAGTAGCATGCTCTTTTTCAGGCCAATACGTGCTGATTACAAATTGTTTTCCTAGTAGTAGTAATAGTGGAAATACAATAAGTTTTACTATAAATCAAATTACAAACCCGTTATCTGCGGTCACATCAAGCTCATTCATCATTTATACGTTGTCAGCATCTAATAATATTCTTGATGACATGAGCTCAGGGATGACTGCGACTTATGATTACATTTCACTCAAAAGTGCATCACTTATCCCTGGATCACAAATAGCTGGGGCTAAGTCGACCTGAACTATTAATTTAGAAACCAATTACCAAACGACTCAAGAAATTGATGTAAAATTTCCTTATTGAAACCAAAATTTGAATGCTCCACAAGCTAGCTTGACTCAGTTTTGCAACGGGGCTGTCACTTGTACAGCAGTTACCAGTATAGAATTATTTAGATTTTTCGCTTTCTTCAACGTGCATATGCTCGAATGGAATTTTATCAATTAAAGGCAGCTCAGCCGCAGCTGGAAAGATACAGATCCTTGCAAGTGGGATTTTAAATCCGCCAACTACAGATACAATGTCAGGATTTTCAGTATACACTTCATTAAACAGTGGAGTTGTTGAATACTATTCAGGCATTACTGTAGGAGTTAATCTGCCAAACACTTTGACTGTTTCTTCTTTGTCGCTGCAGCAGACACAAATAAATCAGATGACAACAATGTCTTTTAGCATTCAATGCTCAAATCCTGTGCCTTCAGGCAGTATTTTAATAGTGTCTCTTCCTTCAGATTTTTCTATCACAGACGACTTTTCAGTTGATGGTGTCTATGGGATTGCTTATAGCTTAAGCTCAAGCGTGTCAAATAATATCATCACGATAACCAATGGCTTTTCAAGCTATTTAACTGCCTTATCAGCTATTCAGTTTGAAATTTCTAATATAAAGAATCCTTCCTCAATGAAAGCTACTGGAGCAATTAATGTTCTCCTTAAGACAAACACTTATGGACTGATTTGTGAAACTTCAACAAGCTATACTCTACAATCAACTTCAGGAAATATTAAAAACGTTATTATTACTCCGCTATCTTATACAATTAATGCAAATACGACTTATTCATTCGCCTTCGAGCCTTCAGATCCAATCCCTCAAAGCGGTGCAATTATGGTAACCGCTCCATCACAAATTTCATTTACGAATTCTGCAATTAGTACATGCTACAATATAATATCTGGGCTTAGTCCTAATGCTCAATGTGAAGTTAAGAGCTCAAAATATTTATTTATAACTAATGCTTTTTCAAGTGATTATAGTAGCGGAGTTCTTAGCTTCCAACTGAATAATGCAGTGAATCCTGGAACAATACAAGTAAGTGATCCTTTTATAGTAGAAACGTATACCAGTAGTGAGTTTCTGTATCTTATTGATTATGATGCTTCTGCAACTATAACAGCGACATCTGATTCTTTAAAAGGAGTAACAATTGCGCCATCTTCGTTTACAACTGGAGATATTACGACATATACATTTAGTATTAATACCAGAAATACTATCCCTCAAGGAGGAGGCTTAAAAATTGTCTTCCCGGAAGAAATTTCAATTCAAGATATAGGGTTTTACCCTAATTAGCCCTATAAGGGAAGATGAAACCCGATGGAATCGTCGAGTTGGTCAAACCAACTTAGTGCGTTGGTCGGACAAATTCACTTGCTGGTTGGACCAACTCGATGATTCCACCGGGAATCATCTGCCCTTATATCGCTAATTAGGGTAAAACCCTATACGACAGTTAAATGCCAAAATGCTGTAGGAATTGACTCGTCATTTACTTGCACAAATACTTACAACTCAATTACTATATCTAATGGATTTTTATCTTCTTCATTTCAGCCTGGACTTATTAGTTTTACAATAGGCTCTATAAAAAATCCTGGCTCTCTTAAGGCATCAAAGTCATTTCAAGTGTTTACATCATATTCAGGCTTAACTATTGACTCAATGACACAGGGAATAACTATTCAGATGCAAACTCCTCATACTCTTCAAGCCTCAATCAGCTCTGCAAGCTATACAGTTGGGGAGACCACAAGCTACACGCTGAAAATAACACCGTATAATGCTTTACCTGCAAACTCTGGGCTTCAAATTGTCCCTCCATCAGATTTGGTAATTCTGCCATCAGTGCAATGCGAAGCAAGCGGGATTACAGCTTTTACTGTCAGCTGTGCACTTGAGGGAAGCTCATTGATTGCTGAATTGACTTTTTCAGCACAAGTAACTTCTCAGTTTTCCTTGCAGATTTCTCAAATAATTAATCCAAGCTCAACCAAGCCTACTCAGTCTTTTGGAATAACTACAACTTCAGAAGGCTATTCAGTTGATTCACTGCAATCAGGGCTGAGTATTCAAATGATAACCCCTGGAAAGCTGAATTCTGCATCTGTTTTTACCCAGGACACAGGCATTTCAGTTACCACTGATTACACCTTTACTCTAGAGCTCAACCATCAGGTTCCAACAGGTGGATATGTTGAAATTCAAATCCCAAGCCAAATTACTATGACTTCTAACATAAAATGCAAAGAAATTGACTATGTTCAATGCGAAATGGCTGGGAATAACATTCTTCAAATATTTCTTTTTGGCCAGTCGATTAGTAGCAATTTGAATTTTTCTGTTGAAAATCTGAAAAACTATCAATTCACAACGGCATCAAGTCCATTTGTGCTAACTACAAAGACATCAGATGGATATTCAATCGATACGATTAATGGCAATGTCATAGTTTTTACTTGCAATTCTCCATGCCAAGAATGTGATACTCTTCCAGATAGCTGTGTCTCCTGCTCTCCATCGTCATCCACTCCATACTACTGAAGCAACAGCTGCCATTCTTCATGCCAGCCTGGATGGGTAGACGTAGATGGCTCCTTAAATTGCATTCAATGCAGCTCCAACTGCCAGACTTGCTCACAGTCAATTTCTAATTGCAGTTCCTGTCCCACATCATTACCTTATTTGAAAAATGGTGTATGTGTATCTTCATGCCCAAGTAGTTATCTTACGACCTCATCAAAGGAGTGCTTACAGTGTAACTCTAACTGCAAAACCTGTGGACCTGATATAAATACTTGCAAAACTTGCAGCTCTGGAATGTATTTATATAAGGGTACATGCATTAATTCTTGCTCAGCTGGAGTCATGATTACTGTTGGAAATGCATGCCAAGACTGCAGCACAAACTGCAAGGAATGCATTGAAAACATAAACAAGTGCACTTCATGCAATGAAGGTATGTTTTTATACCAAGATAAATGCATTAGTAAATGTCCTCAAAATACAACTATTATTGTAGGTTCAAGCTGTGTGGATTGTGATAACTCATGCAACACTTGCTCTATAGCAACAACGAACTGCACATCATGCTTTGATGGATTCTTTTTATATGAAAACCAATGCTTGAGTGCTTGCCCAAGTGGCTTCGGAAGAATTGAGGACTCATGTCAAAAGTGTTCTGATAATTGTAAGGAGTGCTCAAAAACAGTAGATTCATGTATATCGTGCCCTGAAAACGAGTATCTTTATCAAGGAACTTGTGTAAATTCATGCCCTCAAAATACAGCTATTCCTGTCAAAAACGAGTGTGTAGAGTGCATTACATCATGCAAAACTTGTAGCGGGAGTCCTGATTCATGTGTGGAGTGCTCATCAGGATATTATTTTTACCAGAATCAGTGCATTAGTGCTTGCCCACAAGGGACGATCGGAATTAGTGGGAGCTGTGAAAGCTGCGATTCGAATTGCTACTCATGTGAGAACTCCAAAACAAAGTGCACTGGCTGCAGTGACTCAAAAATTCTTTATAAAAGCAGCTGCTATGATTCTTGCCCCTCATCAACAATCAAGATTGGCAATGAGTGCCTTGAGTGCGACTCTTCATGCCTCACATGCATTAGCTCAACAAAAACTTGTGTTACTTGTGCAAACGATCTTATTCTTTATGAAGGATCTTGCTATGACATCTGTCCTTCAGGCTACCAGCTATACAATAGTTCTTGTATTGCTATCGGTCTTCTCCCTGATGAGTGTTCATCTGGTTGTGGATCTGCTGAGCTTAAAAATACTGTTTGTGATCCCGCATGCAACGTCAAGGCTTGCAATTATGATGACGAACTTTGCTTACCAGCACAGAATAATACAGATTCTAATAATACTGATCACGATTCCTCAGAAAAATTATCAATAGGCGAGGTACCTTTTCCTGCAACAATAGTAGGGGTTTCTTCTATTGTATTTGCTGGTGTAGCTAAATTAACAGTTGGAACTTTAATAATGCCGACAACTGTTGGGGTATGGGGAATATTAGAGACTTTCTCTTGGGGTGCTATTGGAATTTCACTCATAGAAGTTCAAGACGTCAAAACTAGAAGGAGGCTAATGGATATCTCTGATTTTGATGCCAATGATATATTTTTTACTTTAGTAATTGTGTTTTCACTGCACATCTGCTTCAATATTTTGTTTATAGCACTTTATCACGGTTACTTTACAAAAATTGATAAGGAGCATAAAATGTGAATCAAAAACCATAAATGAACTACTACCTCAATTACTGTTCTCTCTGTATTTTCATTTAAGTTCATGAGGCTGCTTTATTCCTGCTCGCCATATAAGATCAAATTTGGGAGATCTTCTACAATCTATTTACCTCTTATCATCTTCACGTTTAGCAGTGCAATTTTGACTACAATCCCGATGCTGATCATTCTTGTATACATTCTTTATAAGTACCCAATTGATAATTCAATTTACTCCCAAACTTTGGATAGCTTAATAATCTCCTTGCTCGTGGCAGTTTTGTCGCTTATTGAATCTGTTCTGATATCTTATAGAATAGGAAAAGAGACACTCCCACATAGAGCCCTCATATCTATTTCTCCTGAGCATACATATGATTCTATGCCAATGTCAGCAGACATTGCCACATCACGGTCAGGCAAAAAATTGCTAAATTTAAGTGAGGCAAATAATACCATAAATTCTGAATTACCCAGTGAATTTAAAGACACAAACACCAATTTTGAGTCAGAAATGGGCGAAACTCAATCACAAATAGAGACTAATCGAGCAATGTTCGAAAAAAATGAAATGAGTCAGTCAGATATTTCCGCTCTCGATGAGTTTCAAATTCAACCTAAAGATACAAAAATTTTCACTATGATAGAGCATGACCTCGAATTAGATTTGGATACTGCAGTTGTAGATAAGAACGACCCAGAGTGCATTTCAGTGTTTTATAAGCCTGGGAATAAAAGAGTTGTTGTGAAGCAGCTTTTTCAAAATAATACGAGCATTGACTTAAAGAATTATACATTTATGAGATGTGGTGCTGAAGCTGCTTATTTTATGGATAAAATAAGCCATGAAGAAATTGAGGTTCGCAGAAATTATAAAGGAGGCAAAATAGTTGACATAGAAGAAGACAAGAAAGTGTATTTAATTGGAAGGAATGTAATAAATGAAGAACAGTTTGACTTTAATAATGGAATTGTGGATGAGAATGATTTTGAATGCGTTTTAGTAACTCATCTACCAACTGGGATTACAGTAAAAATTAAAAAGCCCTTTAGTGGGTTTCCAATACTGGATGCTAGGACTAATCTGCCTACGAAGAGCATTGTCAATAGCTACGATCCATCAACAATTAACGTGAATAAATCAAACATTCATTTCGCTACTCTTACTATAGATGGAAAAACTGTTAAAGTTCGAAGAAATTTCAAAGATGCAAAGATCGTGGACATTTATGAAAATACTGCAGATATTGAGCTAGATGCAGACTCTACATTCTCAGGTTTTGAAAAAAATGAAGATCCGCTAATAGCTCTATCTGAGTCAGAAATCCCAAGTCCGAGGTTCTCCTCAGAAAATTCGACACCTTTTACTCTTGATATGAGCTTCAAAGGTGGAGACCAAGAATTTTCTGATGTCTCATTCAGCAGGCCATCTGTGGATTTTGAGTACTCTGATTCTGACACTGAAATCCCTAAAACTCCTCGAGCATTTACTCCTGAAGAAAACAAAGAAGCGGTAGAGCCTTGGTTTATGCAGAAAATTTTCACAAGGGATTCAAAAGCCAAAGATGCGAGAGATTTGGTGGCAGAAGATATTGCAGAAAATGATGGCAATGCTGCTATACAAGTAACCCCAGCAGTTAAAAGCAGAAAGAAAAAGGTAAAAGAAACTTTATCCTTAAAAGAGCTAGAGGATATTAAAGCAAGAAGAATGAATCCAAAGAAGCTTCCACCGATTAAAACGGTGGAGAAGTTCAGAGGCCCGTTTCTTAACCAAATAGATGAAGAAGATGCTACTTTTGGAGTCATCCATATTGATGAAAATGCTGCGGACAAGGATTTCGATTTCTTAAGAATCACAATAACAGAGCAGGCGCATGGCTGAGAATAGCAAATTGTGTTCTTCAGTCCCGGACGACTTGCCAAGCAAATTGTATGGGAGAAGTCTTGAGTCCCTCAGAGACTGAGTGAATCCGATCCTAACTCCCCCCCCTTTAAATTGGAACAAAATATCGGTAAAATTTTCACTTTTTTGGTAAATTAACCCCCCTTTAAATTGGAATAAAATTTAATTTTATAATAAAAAATTATATATAAATTTTTATCTAAAAAGTTTTGATATAAGTTAAATGTTTCTTCTTAACTAAAATTAAAAATTTAGTTATATCTTGCTCGTTTTTAAAGAAAAAAGTATAAAGGGCAGGGCATCTTATTTAAATAAATCTATTATCCTTAATTGCTAAATTTTAAAACAAAATTAAAATTTTTTTTTTTTAAAAAATTTTCAAAAACATTTTTGTTTTTTTTGATAAAAATGATATTTTTTTATTTGGATAGTTTTGATATAAATTCAATAGGAATTCTTTATAAAATTTCAAAATTTACTTATTTCTTGCTTTATTTTAAAGAATAGAGTATAAATAACATCTTATTTAAACAAAATTAGCACTTTGATCGATAAATTTTCTAAAAATTTTTTTTTTTAATTTTTTTTATCAATAAAAATAATAATTTTTGTGTAAATAATTTTGATACCAATTAATATTGGCGTATTAACTAATAATGAAAATTTAGTTATATCTTGCTTTGTTTTAAAGGATAAAGAGTAAATAGCATTTTATTAAACAAATTTATTGATCTAATTCGATATGTTTTTTTGAATTTTTTTTTTTTAAATTTTTATATATAATTTTTTTTTTAAAAAAATTTATATATTAATATTTGTTTTTAAAAAAACAAATTTAACCCCCCTTTAAATTGGAACAAAATTTTTAGTTCCAATTTAAAGGGGGGGAGTAAGGAGTGCCAAGATAATTGATATAGAGAATTCATTAAATGTCTGCTGCTCTGGAGTTAATAGGGCAGTTAATCAAATAAAACTAAAACTTAAATTGCCAATGAGATAGACGTCATAGGGTAAAAGTATAATATTTTGCTAATTATAATGTTAATAAATAAATATTTGGATCCCCCTGGCATTAAAAAATTAAATATTAATTAATGTACACACAATCTGATATTATTGATATAAGTTTACTGACAAGTATTTCCCATGCAAACACCATCACGGAGCTGCCTGAATCACAAATAAAGAATCTGATCTCATCCAATTCTACCCCTTTTTTGCTTGGCTTACCTGCAATTATATCCTACCTTCGATTAAAATTAAATGACGAAGAAATCATGGCTAAGCTAAAGATTTCAGAAGAAGTCCTAGATAACTTAACTGTCCAGATCGTCCCTAGAAAGATATCGAAAGTAGTAACCCAGTATGAAGCGCCATGCAAAATCTGCGGTTCAGGAAGAGTTTATATTAATATAAAAGAGCATCTTAGAACCGCTCACTTTTATGATAAACAGCAAAAGAAAGAATACATTGAAGCAAATGGAATAAAGAATCATTTGCACGAAGAAAAGCAGAAGCAAACCCCAAAAACTGCTTCATATCCTAAAACAGAAGGGAATTATATTCAGTGCTATGTCTGCTTACGAGACATTAACAAGCGACATTGGCATGACCACGCCATCTGCCATTTAGGAGGTTACATGATTTTTTGTGATCGCTGCAATCGGTACATGAATAGAGACAAGTACAAGCGGCACATGAAAATGCGGCATTGTATTTAATTTTTTTAATTAATAGTCCATGATTCTTCTTTTCGGAGGCGTTCTGCGGTGGCTTTCTTTAATTGTGTTTGATCTTGTAAAAAGCCCCTGTCTAGCTTCAAAAAGCTTCAGCTGCTTGATGAAGCCTTGATTGGGTTCGACAATATATCGCTGGCTTTTCAAATATTCTACACACTGTTCAAAAGGAATATCATACTCTTTCATTAAAAACATCGTTACAATGGTGGCACTTCTAGAAATTCCTTGAGCGCAATGAACGAGGACTGCTGCGCTGCCTCCGGAGAGCATGATTTCTTTGGCTTCGTCTATGAATTTAAAGGCTTTTTGGAAGTGATAGTGGATTTTTTCTTCTTCGCTATCTTCTACAAAGACTCTGCAGTACCTTATCCCGTGCTCTTTGAAAGCATTTTTTACATTTTTTGTGGAGTTTAGGACATGTGTGATACCCAAAGTCCTTAAAACATCGTAATTTTCTGCATGTTCGTGGTTTCCTAGCTCTCCCATCCTTGATCAAACGTTTAAATTGAAAATTCCCATGAATTGGTATAGCGTGGATAAGCTATAACTATCCCCTACCCCGCCTAAAATCTACTAACTATATTTGACAATTATGAGTCTTAGAGATATTGCTTCATAGCTTGCTACTGTATTGTACACTGCATTCTCTAAGAGCATAAATACTTTATATGGAAACAATTAAAATATAAAAATTTTACGTTAATAATTGTTCGGTGTAATTTTTATTGTCTTCATTCTTGATCAAACGATCGCAGCTGTTATCAAGAATGGAAGATTAAGTATAAAAACTTTGGAATGATCTCATTAGGGAAGCCACAAGGAATGCAAGGATAATGTGGAACAGAAAATCCCTCTGCTAGAAAAGGGTATCTAATTAAGAATTCTTCATATTCATTGTCAAATAGATGAACTTCTCTGCATTTTTGTGCTTTCAACAGATTTTCGAGATTTCGTGCTACTAATGCACCTTCGACATCACTTCCGATGATTATACAATACCTCCTTATTTTTGTTAAAGAGCTTTCTTGAGGGTATAATGAACAAATGTCTTTCAAGGTAAAATTTGAAGAGAAAGGAGGCTGTACAGGAATATGCAGGCTTTCTTTTAAATGTTTAGCATCAAATTTTTCTCTCTGACGTATTTCAAAGACTATTAATGATTTTCTGAAATTTTGCGTTAAGTTAAATAGATACTCTTGTCTAAGATTTCTCAAATTTTCTATTACTTCTAAACTCTGCATTTCGAGATCTTAATATTTTATTTTTTTGTCAAGTTATTAATTTTTATTCAAATTTGGTAGAGAATCACTAAGCTAGACATTTGAAGCTTTTATATAAGCTTTCTGCATCTAAATCCTCAATCCTTTATCGAAATTCTCTCAAAGATTCCATGAAAATCGGAAATTAATTAAAGATTCTCTTATAGTCAAATATGAAATCCCATTCCTAACCTATCTCAAATCTAATTATAATAACGAATATAGAGATATTAAAGGATAAACAAATATCAACAATTTTAATGCGATGCTTAGCTTATTTCATTATTTGTATTGCATGCTCTATGTCTTATCGTTAGTGCATAAAACACAGTGTGGAAAAACATTTTAAAATAAAATTCTAACTTTCCCTCCTCTGTGAGCGATAAAAACCTTTGAAAAATCCTTATTTTTTGTTTTAAAGCCCACCCTTTGTGAGCGAACAAAAAATGTTTTTGATATAATTTTTTTTCTGAAAAATATTTTGATATATAAATGATAATTATTATAATAAAATCTTAAATTTATTCGGTTTAATTTTAGACAGCTTGCATTTTAAAATAAATTTGCAAAGTAAATTAATTTTAGCTTCCAAATTGGGAATTATAAATTTTAAAAAAAAGTGACCTAAATTTTTTTATTCGCTCACAGAGGGGAAAAATATGCATTTTTTGAAATGATTTTTAGCCTCCATCATTTATCAATAAAAGTGGTTGGTTTATCAATAAAAGTGGTTGATTTATCAAACAAGGAGTGATTAAGTAACAAAATGGAAAAAGGAAGACGAATTAAAGTAGCTATGTGAGATTTCGGACATTGCGACCCCAAGCGATGCACAGGAAGAAAACTAGCTCGAGAAGGGAAAATTAGATTAATAAAACCTTACAAAAAATTCAGTGGCGTAATTCTGAGTCCTCTGGCAACTAAAACAATTTCATGTGAAGATACAAACATAATTCTTGAGCATGGAATATGTGTGATTGACTGCTCATGAGCTCGATTGGAAGAAATCAATTTTGGAAAGCTACACAACGGTAATGAAAGAATTTTGCCTTTATTAATTGCTGCAAATTCAGTGAATTATGGAAAGCCTATGAAATTGACCTGCGTGGAAGCGATAGCAGCTTCACTCATAATTTGTGGATTGCAAGAGGCTGCGAACCCTTTACTCGAGTCATTTGGGTGGGGTCCTGAATTTATAAGAATTAATCAAGATTTATTGGAAGGCTACTTAAATGCAGAAAACGAGCAAGAGGTTATTGATGCACAAGCACAGTTTCAAGAAACTGGAAATATGCAGCAGCAAAATGTACCGACATTCCCCCCTGCTGACTCTTCTGAGGAAGAAGAAGAAGAAGAGGAAAACAATGAAGAGGAACCAGAGCAAGACCAATAAAGATATTACTAGCCAGCACAAAGCCGCATATAATTAAATATAACCACGATTACTTATCTTTCTCTTGTCTTCCTCAACTTTCTTCTTCCGCCATCTTCTTTTTTAGGAACTTCCACTTCTGTGTCTTCACGCTCCACAATCTCTCTGGGCATGCACCATTCTACGTTCCAAGGATACTCATAGCCCACAACATGGCTGCTGGCCTTAGGCAGTTGTATAGAAATTTCTCTAAATGGTAACTCTTTCGAGCTATATTTATTAATAATCATTTTAAGTTTGTCAGTTATATAGTTTCCGTTTCTCGTTATTTTAGCTCTTTCTCCATTAATTTTGACTGAATTATTAATCATCAAATCAATATCTTCAAGGATAGCATTTTGGGTCCTGTAGTACCTATTTATGATCCTATCATGAATCAGTCTTATATAAGAGGGCACCATAACTTCGTTATAGTAATTTTTTATTTCAGTCGAGCTTATTTTTTGATTAAAATAATTAGCTCTTGAGTCACTCATCAAGCTTCTTATTCGTTCTGAACACTCCAGAATGCTTTCTTCAGAAGAAATTGGGCAAATTAAGGAAATATCATAGCTTTGGGATAGTTCAATTTCCCAAAAGCTGAGCCTTGGAGAATTTTTGCTGTTCCTTCGAGATCGTTGGTTTACTGGCTGCACATCATCGAGATATTCGACAACAATTGCTTCCCATGGAGAGTCTCGAAAGGCTTCTTCTTTGCATGATATTTCTTTAATGATTGCTCGATAAAGTCCTCCATCAATTTTTGCATATACAACGTTTCCTGGCTTCAGCTTGGGGTATACATGCCGAAGTTTTTTGTCAAAAATATCTTTCAGGACAATATATTCTGGTAAAAAATCATCTAACATATACAAGGCTTTGTGCAGCTTATCTTCCTTATAGACTTTAAATGTAAGCTTCATAATAATGTGAGAAGTAGTGGAGTCAAGGTTTTGTTCGCCTGGCCAAATGTACTCAATAGCTTCTATTTCCATATAGGTTGGCTGGATATATGATAATAGCTCGCTATCTAAAAGAGGATAATTTTGATGGTGCTTTAAAAATGATTCGTATCCTTGTAAGAAAAACACTACTTGGTCGCCAACTTGAGGAATATATCTTGAGGCATCACTATCCTCAAGCTCCAGGTAATCTCTACTTATCATTTTTCGTCTTGCATGAGGAACTTCATTAATGCTCCCAATTGCTTTTTTGAAACACAAAATGCATACATTTTTTTCTACTTGCGACTCAATGGCTTTAAGGCAGGAAGGATGATAAATTTGATTGCACTCATAGCATCACATTGTTTGGACGTCAAGGATTCCTTTGCATCTTGCACAGTATGGATCTGTTTCGACGACAAGGACATTGTCATGCTCTGGAGCTATTATTTCTTCATCATTAGGCTCAGATTCTAAAGATGAGATGCTTGATTCAGCTTCTTCTTCAGATTCGTCTAGGTGGTTGGCATCCATAAAGAGTGGATGAAATTCATCTCTTTCTTGCAAAAATTCAATCTTTTTCTCTTCTTGAAGACCGTACTCATATCTCTGCTGGTAAGGGCTTGGCTGATTTTGAGAAATTCCTCTTGATAAATAATAAATCGGAACAGGAGGCTGATATGGATGTGGATGCATAAACTTGTCCGCGAGTACACATCTCATTGCATTATCTAATGAATAATCTGAAGTAAAAAACTGCTGGATTGGAGATGCTATATACTCATCTCGACCCCCAACTCCATAAATCGAAAAAGTTCCAATTTGGCTTGAAACCACAAATCCAGTTCCATCTTCGAACCAATTGCAATCAACCAATGGAAGATCTAAAATCGGAGCCAAAATAAAATTGCCTGATTCTTTAAATGATTTTACAGCGATTCGGCGAAACAGATCTCATATGATTATCAATCCATCAAAGTCAGCTGAAAGCATTATATTATCTTGAGTTGGGTGTTTTCTGAGAGATAGGATCTTGTTTTTATGCTTACATTTTTCATCGCCCAAGGCACAAACAACTTTCATCTCTTTTTTGCTCCACAGTTTTAAGCTAAACTGAGGAGGGGTACTTGCTCCTTTTCTGCCAACTACAAATGTATTTTCTGCACAGATGAGTGCATAGTCTCCACTTAAATTCCAAGAAATTGAATAGCACTTGGTTTTCCCTTTATCTGACACCTCAGTGATTTTCATTAAAGAGGCTTCAATTGGATTTCGGTTATTTTCAATAAATTTCCTGTAAAGGCTTCTGTCAAATTTCCACAAAACTGCATGGTGGCTGAGGCTTCCTGTGATTAAAAAGTTTCCACAAGGCGACCACTCTACAAAGTTGATATACTAATTGACCAAGAATAGCCCACTATGGAGCAATTCTTGGTCTGCCAGAAAAAATTTTGACAAAAAGATCCTAATCTGCCATTACCACTGAGTTTTGGTGTTTCCAAATTTCTTGGGCAAGCCAAATGCAATAAAAAAAATTGTTCTTTTGCGATGATGCATTTGGCTTGCCAAAAAAATTTGGAAACACCAAAACTCAGTGGTAATGGCAGATTAGGATCTTTTGTCAAAATTTTTTCTGGCAGACCAAGAATGGCTCCTTAGTGGGCGATTCTTGGTCAATTAGTATATCTGATGACTTTTTTTCAGTTAGAACGCACATTAAATGGTTTTTAGGGTCATATTCAGCCCTTGTCTCTAATGGCTTTAAGCTTCATATTTGTAATAATCCTTTTCTAGTCCCAATTGCAACAAAGTTCCCAGCAGGATGAGGAGAAACACAAAGCATCTTATTAGAGTCATTTGAATAATATCAGACCATTCCAGAGTCTTCTGATCCATCAAAGATAGACTCGCTGTATACACAAGCTCTACCCGATTTACTACAAGAAATAAAAAATAAATCCCCTTCATATGACTTAAAAAACTCAAGCGACGATATCTCCCCAGCCGCGTCGTTATTTTGGGTGATTATATCACCAGTTTCCAGTTCCCACACAATCAAATCTCCTGATGTGCATCCACTTATGACATATCGATTGCAAGGAGTTATCAAAATATCTGCAATTTCTCCTCTGTGGCCTTTCATTGTGTAAAGCAAAGTTCCATTATTAGCATCTCATACTTTGATTAGCTTATCGTCTGCGCCTGTAAGAACTTTATTGCCTTCATGATCAACCCTAACACACAGAACTGGGCAAAAATCACTGTCATATGTTTGCTTTATATGGCCAACAAAAGTCTTTTTCCATTCAAATTTGTGGAAAAAATTAGGAGGAAGGCCTGCATTTTGGCTAAGCTCTCGAGAATTTATTCATTCGTGCAAGTTTTTATTAAATGATGGCATAAAGGTTGGTGGGAGGGCTAGCGCTCTCTCAAAAATCTCTTTCGGGTTAAGCTGAGGATGAGCGATCAGCAGATCTTCATAGGTCCTCTTTGCAGGCTTGCCATTAAAAGTTGTCCTTTGAGGATATAAATTAAACTCTTCGCACTGAATAAAAATTTACTTTATTTTTTAATGATTTCATAACTTCAAGAAGTTGAGGAAAATTTGAGAGAAATTTTGTAACGCAATATAGTAACAGTTTTGATGAATCAGAGTCCTTTTCGGTGTTTTTCATTTCTTGGATAAATATTAAAGTTTTAAAATGGGGGACTTACGGGGAAATAATTATTTATTTTAAGGAATATTGAAATTAATATAAACTACCCAATTAAATAAATTAATCCATCTCAATAGAGTTCTTCCAGAATATTGCTCCAAATGCCAGCTTACAAATTAAATTTATAATTGAGATTGCCACAGAAAATCTTTTAATTCCATCGCTTCCATCTCCTGAGCCACTCACCCAGTTCTAAGTAAAATTTACACTCATATTAAGGTATAGTCAAATAAGATCATAAAGCTCTGATGCGAGTATTGCCAAAAATACTATCTTATATTTTGGACCAGCCCCTACTCCTGTATAGAAATAATATAAAGCTATAGTTCCTATTGTTAGCTAAATTAGAATTACATTGAAGAAATCTGGTCTTATAAACATTGACAAAACTGATAATACCAGAAGTAAATTAGTTGACATATGAGTCGCAAAAGACCATTTAATGTTTCCTTCATATCAATTACCTAGTGTTTTCTCTTTAAATTCGTCCATTTTGGCTGAAAATTTGATTTCTGCTTCTTTGAATTTTGGGTTAAGAAGCAGCCAGTCAGGCCCCATAGTAGCCCCAAGAGCACTATGGAGGTCGTTAAAATATTTTTCCATTTCAAGGAGCTCTGTTTTATCCTCGTTTATAGCATCTTCAAACTGTTTAATAATTCCATCAAGATAAAGTGGCAAATTATGAATCCATTGAAGGGCAAGTTGAATTGATCCAGAAATTCTGTCTCCTGGCTTTTTGCCCCTCAGTTCGAGAGTGTCTTCATGAAGCTGTTGGTCAAATAAAGCTGTGAAAGGAATTGATACTTCTCCTAAGAAAGTAGTTAACGACCCTCTTTCAGTATCAAATACTTCCACTGAAATATCTTCAGTGCCTTGAGTTACAAAGAAAGTAAAAGTTTCATTCCAAGATGGATTGGTTGGATTTGGGACTGGCTGAGTTGTTATTTCTTGATTTTCACAGGACACTTTGACTACTGGGGCTCTATTACCTGTTAGCCCGCCTGATTTTAGTCCTTCTGCTTTTTTCACAGTAACACTCAATGCATTTTGGTTTTTTCCTTTATTTGCCTTTGCTTCTATCTGCTGGCGCTTTGTATCAGATAACTTTTTGGTGTTTTCTATAATGCTATTTTTCAAAACGTCAATTCTTGATTTCACAATCGTTTCAGCTTGATAATAGCCTTGAACAAACTCATCAAGAGTCATGAATGAATTTTGATCTTTATCTAATGATTTAAATATTTCTGCTAGAAGGACATCATTGAAAGTTTTTCCACCTTTCTTACTCCCTCCTCATAAATGGCATAAGCAAATAGAATATTTTTAAAGGTTTTGCTACTCATGGAGGGGGAGTTAGATAAATAAGCATGAAGTTCATCAAAAGTCAACTGCTTGTCCTCGTTTATGTCAATTTCTCTGAATTGCTTCTTTAGCTTGCTGATCCTGTCCTCCATTGATGGGCTTGATCCACGTAAATCAGCGTCCAAGCTAATTCCATTCATATTTATCTGTGATTGATCCGTTATAATAAGACTAATTAAGCATTAAAACAGATTTTGAGTAAACTAGATGTGACTTCAAAAACTGTATAATCTTATAAAATATTTCTTTTGAGATCCCACACTTTTAATCTAATATCATATCAAGCAATTTATTAATAAATGAATTCTTATATAAAAAACTAAGCTTCTTTTAGATTTGCTTATTTGATTGTTAATTTATACAAATATATAGCTATTATAATTATAGAGAAGAGACCTAAATAAATGGGAACCTGCCAAATAAAATTCCAAGAATTAAAAGATGCCCTGATAATTTGCCACTCAAGAGAAAAATTCGATAGCATGAAGAAAAATCCTGATTCCTTGTTAAAGACAATTGTTATTGAATCAAAGCTGCTATCACCTGAAAAAGATCCAGAGTTCAAACACATCCAAACTTTTTTTGAACTTCACAGGAATAAAATCCATAATGAGGTTGCCCACTATTACCAAAAGATCATCAGCAATAATGAAAAAGAAATATCTGAGGTCAGTTTTAAATGTCACCCATTGAGAACAAAGCAAACCAAATATCTCAGTTTACTGCTTCCTTATTGTCTCCATATAGCTCATTTAAATCTATGAAATGTTGAGCTTGGAAATAATGGAACCAGGTATGTAACAAAGGTGCTCCATAATGTACCAAGCTTAATCGAGCTCAGTCTCGAGGAAAATAATATTGATGAGGAAGGGATTGAATATTTAGCAAAAGGATTGGACACTTTGAAAGCTTTGAAAGTTATTTCTATCAGCAGGAATAAAATTGGGCTGAAAGGAGCTCTGGGGTTGGCATCTGCGTTTGGATCTTTGCGTAAGTTAGAGAGCGTATATTTAGATAGCACTGAAATGACTTCTTATCAACTTCAGATAATCACTCAAGGACTCCTATGTCTAATTGACCTCAAAAAGTTGGGCCTGTCCTTCAACTTAATTGACAACTCTGGTGTTACCGTGCTTAGAAAACTTTTTGACAATCTTAAAGCTCTTTTTGAAGCAAATTTAATAGGAAATGATATAAGCGAAATAGAAATAGAGCCTCTGCTGCAAGATTATATACATATAAACATAAGTGTATGAAGTAGATAGACTAAAATGTATTTAGTAGTTAAAATCACATAATTATGAAGTTATACTCTATTAAAAGGATTTATTAGCTCAGGAACAATAAATGCTCCTCCAATTGTTCCAAAAATCAAGGTATTTCTAATTCTCGGTCTTATCCCATGAGAAAGTCCAAAAATCAAAGCTGATACAAAAACAAAGCCAACAATTCTATCTGCAATTCCAGCGTCTTTTAAAAAGTTTGTTCTTTTTACTTTTATTACATTGAAATAATCAAACCAATCAGGACGGAATGATCTGTATAGTCTCCTAAGATCTTCTTTCTCCTCTTTATACGCTATTTTCCCCCATTCTATTGAATAAGCTAGTCCCGATTTAAATGAAGCTTTGGTTTGCTCTGCTTGAGATTTAAGCCAGATTTGAGAGTCAATTGCTGCCTGATTGATTGAGCTCAACGCATAAGACTCCCATGATTCTAGAGTTTCTTTATATGGATCAAGTAATCCCATATTTTATTTAAGAAATATCTTAATATTTCACTGCAGCTTTAATATCATAACTATTTCTGCGAGTTAATTATTTTTTCAAAAGTTTCTGAATCCTTGGGAAATGCTTGCTTTTGGCTATTTCGAATTCCCTTATCTCGTCTTCCTCTTCTTCAATCATCTCATCTTCATCTGAGTATGGGTCTTTTCCTCTTGATTTAATTGCAATTAATTGTTCATAAGACTGGGCATTTGCTTCTTTAAGAAGCTTTTCTGCGTTTTCTCTATCTTCTTCCACTTTTGACTTGATGTCAAGATTCACATTATAATTAAATATACGCTCCAAGCTCTATGGCCCGGAAGTTATGCAGCCTCAAGCACATATTTAATTACATTTGGCAAGGTTTATCAGCCCAGAAATGGACAGCTCTGCTGGGTGTGTAATCTCAGTAGAGTTTTGTGCCCAGTCCTAGTTTGCTTTCAGAGTTGGATTTGCCTCGAGGAAGAATGGAAGCTTGGAGTTGGAAAGGAGAAGCCCAGATAAGCCTTCTAAAACCTATCGGACAACTCCCTAGCATGAAATTAGGAGTTGCTTCCAGGGCTACAAGTTTTTACTTTTGCTGAACTTCGACCAGAATTTCCAATTTTTGTTATTTTGTGCAAGCAAGCTCGTCTGGTGTACGGTAGTTGATCCATCTGCTCTACTCTCCGTTTGACCTAGCCTAAGGTGGAGAAAAATTAGCCCTTGGTGGGGTGGCAGACAGCCCAATGAAGCAAGATAGATATAAATACCCGGTCGAGTATCACAAAGCGCATCTCAATAATCTTAACTAACTAACTTCAAGATTCACATTCCATTGAGGGTCTCCTCCAAGTATCAAAGTCCCTTTTTTGATTCCATTTTCATCCCAAATATGCACATTGCAGTCAAAGCTTGAAGAAATGATCAAAAATGGGGCCTCCACGATTGAAATATGGATGATTCCATCTCTATGTGCTCTGACTGACCAAAACAATTCAAGGTCATTCCTTGAAAAGTGAGAAAATACAATACGATCTGTCAAAAAAGTGGAGTTATGGCTTTGTTCATCACTTTTGAAGTATAAAGTAATAATAGAGAGTTTATCAACAAGAGCTTTTATATTATACTTCTTTAAATAGCCATGCTCATCACCAGTGAAAAAGAATTCATTTGCATGGTTATAAGCTAGCGCTTTGACTGGAGAATTCAAGGGTTGGCCAGTTTCAGATTTCATACCAACATTTTCAAACTTCAGCAGAGGATGCTGCCTTAATTTGGATTCTTGAGTCATCCAAAAGTAAATGTTCCCATCTGCATCACAAGTCACTAAATATTCATAAGGATTTAGAAACATCAGAGTTCTGATTTCGACTTGATTAGCTTCAATAATTGCTTCTTGTCGAAAACTTGCTAACTTTGTAAGAATAATAACACCATCGTCACTTCCTGACGCTAAAATTCCTTCATTTATGTGAAGACTTATAGAGTTTACGTTTTCTCTGTGATGGATTTTATCATATCTCACGACGCCGACATTGTCACTTTTCGAGTCATCATGAATTTTAACAGATTTATCCCATGAGCTTGAAATCAAGAGTTTTTCTGATGAAATTAGCCCAGTTATTTCTTCAGAATGCCTGACGAACTTCTTTATTTTCGCGCCATTTTTCACGTTAATTGATCTTATTCTTCCTTGAGAGTCTCCAATATAAAGCTTCCTCTGCCGAGAATCCATTGCAGCCGCACAAATATCTCCTTTGATTATATCTCGAAATACATGTTGAAGCTGCCCAGTCACTGCACTTCAAATTTTTACAGTTTTGGGGTGCACTGTAATAAAATTTTGAAATAAAGAGTTATAAAGGGTGCATATGGTGTGGCCTTCATCAGCGAGATGATGGTCTTGGGGTTCATCATACTTAAAAATATACATATATTTTGACCCTGTTATTATCCTTTTCTCTGGGAAAGAAACATCAAAGCAGTTAAGCTCAGGAGTAGGGACATTAAAGATTTGGATTGAAGTAAATGTTCTGATATCTCATACTCTGAACATCCCTGAAATATCTGCAGTTATCACTTGATAAGTTATTGGAACACATTTTACTCCTACTAAAGAGTGATTGTGGCCAGTAAGCTTGAAAATTTCTTTTTCTACATATGGATTTCATACATATGCCTCTCTATCTAGTCCTGCTGAAAACAAGCAAGCAGACTCTGCATGCCAGTCCAAAGAATAAATCCCTTTTTCCTGCCCTTTCAGTTTTCTCCTGTATGTGTTCTGGGGAATATCCCATAAAAAAATCTTCCCATGCAGATCAGCAGATACCAAAATGCTCATTTCTTTAATGGAGAGCAGAGCCATGACAACAGTTTTGTGTCCATGCTCCTCATCTTCATCTCTTCTATATCTTCTCCTTTTCCTGTCCTCATCGTACTCTTCGTTTTCTTCAATTTCCTCAAGATCATCTTCTTTTCTGTCTTCTCTCTCAGGTTTAAACGGATTCCACATTTTTATGCTTTTTTTTGGGTGAGGCGGAAAAAACCCCGCTGGGGTTTTTTCCGCCAACTTTTTTACCGTTAAATTTATAGGAAAATTTTGGATTTTCTCCAGATGGCGGAAAAAAAAACCCAGCGAAAACAAAAACCATCAAAGTCAGAGGAAAAAAACCCCCAAATGGTGCTAAAAACGGAGGAAAAAAAACCCCAATATACAATATAATTAAATGCTTAAAATGATAGGCAAATATTAGAAAAAATACAAATAAATATTTATAATTTAGTTACAATAAATCAATTAAAACAATATTAATATATAGATGTATAGATTTATTCTCAAAGTAACTATAAAGCTATGATTAACAAAAATAATGGATAAATATAAAAATCAGCTATAAAAAAATTTACATTCAAAAACCTGGCGGAAAAAAACCCCGAAACGGCGCGAAAACCAGAGGGGGAAAAACCCCGAGTATGAGGTGAAAAATTGGAGGAAAAAAAAACCCCAATGTTGTTTTTTTTATAATAATTTTTTTTCAAATAATTATTAGCATGGATAGATTTTTTATATAATGATGAACCCCCCTCAATCTTCATGTCTATTGCAACAAAAATGCAATTTTTTAATATAATATTATATAGAAAAAATAATTTTCATATCTCTTACAACAAATTTTCGATGCGCGCATCTTAAATTTTTCCGTTCTTTTAGCTAGATAAGTTTTAATAAAATGGCGAGCGATGACAATAGCCGTCCAAATCTCGATGAGAAGGTTATTGGCACTCCTACAGCAGCGCTGTTTTATGACTTTTTTGAGAAACTCACCTAGAGAAAAATGCATTAAATGTTTTTTATAAAAATGTTGTGTTGAGTATGCATGAAGAGATTTTTTAGAAAAATTTTTGTCGCAATAGACATGAAGATTGAGGGGGGTCATCGTTATGTTTTTGGATTTATAAATATTCAATACAATGGATGAATCGGATACAATTCAGCATATTTGCTCCTGTCTCATTAATCAGGTTAAGATTAAGTTATATGCTTCCTTTATTATGAGCTTTTCAGGATATGCAGAGGATGAATAAAAGGTGAGCTAGTCTTATGAGTTGCAGGCGGATACAAGTTTTGCTAGTACAGGATTTGTCGTAGTGGATACAAGGTGAACTGGCATAGCCCCTATATGCTATTTTGATCCTTGTAGAACAATATCTAAAGACCAAAAGTAGCTATATAAAAATTCTTCTAACAATGGCAAAGACCATTTGTATGGCCAGTTCATGTTTGGCTTGACAAATACAATCTATAGAAAAAGTTTGCAAAGCCAAATCTGTATTTTCTATAAAAATAACATTTTCATCGCCATTTTTACTTGTAAGATCGCTATTTTTACTCTTAAGGTGTTCTTTCATAGCGATCTATATATCGCAGTTGGATGCAGGATGATCTCTACAGGATGTGTCGCAGGCGAATACAAAATAAGCAAGAACAGGATGTGCCACAAGTTGACACAAGATGAGCTAGTGCAATTTGTGTCGCAGGTGAATACAAGATGAGCTAGTACATGACGCATCGAAAGTAAATATATGGTTTAAGTATTGGATAGTATTAAAGTAAAAATTTTCACCTTCTTGTTTATTATTCAAATAACTTTTTATAATTAGAACGCTGAATGATTTAGCAATATATAAATAACTCATAGATTGGCAAACTAGAATAAATAGCTTAATAATTAATTAATTTATTAATTAGCAGGTAATAAGCATTAGAATCTATCCATGCTAATAATTATTTGAAAAAAATTCTTATAAAAAAAAACATTGGGGTTTTTTTTTTCCGCCAATTTTCACCTCATACTCGGGGTTTTTCCCTCTGGTTTTCGCGCCGTTTCGGGGTTTTTTCCGCCAGGGTTTTGAATGTAAATTTTTTTTTATAGCTGATTTTTATATTTATCCATTATTTTTGTTAATCATAGCTTTATAGTTACTTTGAGAATAAATCTATACATCTATATATTAATATTGTTTTAATTGATTTATTGTAACTAAATTATAAATATTTATTTGTATTTTTTCTAATATTTGCCTATCATTTTAAGCATTTAATTATATTGTATATTGGGGTTTTTTCCTCCGTTTTTAGCACCATTTGGGGGTTTTTTTCCTCTGACTTTGACGGTTTTTTGTTTTCGCTGGGTTTTTTTTCCGCCACTACTTTTTTTTTTATTATGGGTTTTTTTCCGCCACAATTTTCCTATAAATTTAACGGTAAAAAAGTTGGTGGAAAAAAACCCAGCGGGGTTTTTTCCGCCTCACCCTTTTTTTTTTCCCTGGCACTTACTACATCCCATGCATATATAATCGCATCAGTGCCAGAGCTATAGAGGGTTTTGCAGTCTTCGCTCCATGCCAAAGTAAGAGGAATAGCTGGGCATGATATTCGTTGCTTCAGAAGATAGGTGGAATCGTCCCACAAATTAATTGTCAGATCGTTAGCAGAAGTTACGACTCTTCGAGGAGATTGGGCATGAGTTGCTGCAATGACTGCCCCTCTGTGTCCGCTTACTTCTTTAACGAATGACCCATTCTTCATATCATAAATTTTAAAGCTGCTGCAGTTGCTTTCCATGACCAGCAGATGTCTTATTGCAGGGAGATAAAATATATGCTCAATTTCATTTGTATGTTTGGCTTTATCGACCCATTCAGTTGGGTAGTAATTTTTGATAGCGTCAATAAATGTCCTGTCCTTTTTGATCATACCTTTTTCTATAATGTGGTTAGAGAATTCTTCCCATTCTAAATTCTCGTCATGATTTACGTCAATTTGTTCGAATAGCTCATTGAGAGAGCCAACTAATCTTAATTTATCCTGAATATCGGGCAGATGGTGAAGCATGATAATAATGAAATCTTTTTTGGTGAGACTTTGGTTATCTCATAGTTTAAAATCCTTTTTTATTTTGGCAAGTAAAACATGATTAAGCAGAGACATGATGTCCATATTCACAATTGAGTTTCTTTCACGGACTTCGTCAACTTCAAGCTCTTCTTCATTTATTTCATAGCTCGTGTCTTCGCTATGTGCTTGCTGTGAAATTTCAGCTGGTTCCATTTTATATGTTTCACTTTTCAGTACTCTATAACTTATATTTGCCTTTTTAGTTCAATAAAAATAACCTTTTATTTTTAAAAGAATTTCTCATCCTTTTTATAGTCCTTGCGTTTTTTTGATGATGGTAATTAGAATTTTTCTTATTCCTCATTCATTAAGTGAGAAAACATTTTTTGCATGCTCTTGAGGATAATTAAATCTTTTATTATATTTTTAAAGCATAAAAACACAATTTCCACAAAATTAAAATTAAAAATGAAATTTAATCTATAAAATTTATGTTTTAAATTTCATATGTTTAAAATTAAATAGAAATTGGAAAGGTTTGTAATATTAGCTATTAATTATATTTCATAGTATTTGTATTAATCTACATAAAGAGTATATTTTCAAAAAATAAAAATTTTTCTAATGATTTTTTATTAACAGAAATGGAGGGTCAAATAATTTTAAGAGAGAGATTATGAGTTAATATTATGGGAAATTGCTGCAGACAACAAATGGATGTAATAACAACTTAGAATCCTCCTGAGCCTAATCCACCTCACGCTCTTCCAAAAGCTTCTTCTAATTTCACCTTTGCAAAGTCACGATTTTCTTCTGACTCAACCTTGAAACTCCCTCCTACATTTTCAGATCCTGCATTATTTGCAGTTGAACAGAACGATAATTCTCGTGATGTAATTGAGCATATTCAAGATATTTCAGGTGAAGAATTGCCATAATTTTGATTAATTAAATCTAAGTTCCATGAATTATAAGCCATCTCTCTAATTCTTGCTGTTAAGGTTTCTTCGACAATAATTGAGAGCAGATTAAAATAATTTAAATGTTCTTAAAGAATGAATTAGTTATACCTCTGGCAATTTTTTATCATGCGGGGATTAATTAAATTCTTTATTTTTCTTATCAAAATTTTTTAAGTTTTAAAATGAGCGAGCAAAAAATTTGTTTAGAATATATTTTCCTGGAAGAACACTCTGCGACATCGTGGAGATCTTATAAAACGAACTCTTTTCGCTGAAAAGGTGTGTAAATAAAAAGAATATTGCAACTTGGATTAGGGATAAACCTATAGTTACCACTTTTGATCTGACATAGCTAACAAAAATCCAAGAAAAGAAAACTACAATAGGTAGAGAAAGTAAATAAATAGAACCTAAGATGCTGAATGATAAAATAAAAGATTTCACCTTTGCATTTGCACTAGAGTAAAGCCCTTTTATCAAATATAGAAACCATATCCATATACCAATGCGGATTATCATTAGCAGGTATCCAGGAATGCCTTCATAATCACTGAATTTATAATAGCTATCGTCAGTGATGCGTCCAAGTCCTACAATCAAAAGATTAAACATTACTACTATTAGTGAAATCGGGATATAGATATCAGGATCTGGGAAATCTTTGTACTTGATCGTTCATCCATTTGCCATGATAATCAGTTCTATAGTGATTAGCATTGTAGCTATCAATTCAAATGCTTGGGATAGAAAATCTAGAACTGAAAAGCCTTTTCCGTTATATGAGTAAATCCAATAATGCAAAATTTGACAAAAAATCCCTGAAAATTGTGAAGCAATCGCAATGTTAAAAATAACTAAATTTGTCTCTAAATCATCTGTTTTTCTAAACATCCTAATTAGTCTCATCATATTCCCTGATAGGGTTAGCAAGTAGATAAACAAAAGCATAGGATAAAAATAGTCCAGACCTTTACGCTCTACTGAGAACTCAGATCCATCTGCATTCGTAAGATGCATCTCAACTCTGATCCTTTGTTTGTCATTTAAAACATTATCACAGTCAGAGATCGCAAAATACCATACATGAGGGCTTTGCTTCTGGGACACAGCACCTGTAATTTGCTCCGACCAATCTCCATTAGTTGGGATAGAAATCTGTTTATTTCTCTTCGCGACTTTAAGTTTTTCATTGCAATCGTCTTCATTAATAACCTCATCCCAATTATCGTCAAGATAAACAGTGGCCAGCAAGTTTACATTTTGTGGATATAGTAATTGCCCGAGGATGGCGCTATCTTGCGCCATCCTCGGCAAATTCAAAAATGGCCCCACACCGGGAATTGAACCCGCGTGTGGGGCCATTTTTGGTTAGTGGAGAACATCGACTTCCACGCACCAAAAATGGCCCCACACGAGAGTTCGATTCCCGGTGTGGGGCCATTTTTTAAATTGCCCGAGGATGGCGCAAGATTGCGCCATCCTCGGCAATTAGAATATGTGTCATTTAATACTTTTAAAAATTTCGCCTTCATTTCCCACTCCCCACGCCCTATATCGCATGCAAACTTTGTTATGTATTTTCATTTGCTATCTGGAGCCAGAGTAAGTGTGTTTGAGATCAATTTTCCAAGCGCTGATACCAGAAGAAGCAAGAAGATTATCATATTTAACTAATAAATCAGACCATAATCGTAATTTTATTGTCAATGACAATTGTTTTCTAGATTATAAAAATGCTAAAATTTGCAAGGAGATTTTTTGGGCATAAAGATGAGCTTGCAAGCTTCCTTTCACAGATAGGAATAAGCAACTCACTCCCTTGAGAATAAGAAAAGCAGTAAAATTGAAAATAATTAAATTAGTGATTTTTTTAATACCAAGCACATAGAAAATTCTATAGTTTTTTGAAGGGGAGATAGTGACTAAATACAGCATCGATGAAGGGAAAGTAGAAGTTCAGCTGAAATTAGACGAGAGCTATCGGAAAAATAGAGCTGCGTTGCTTAATCATATTAAGACGTTGCCATGGGTGAATGACTGTAAAGTCACAATTGCTCCAGCAGAGCAGAAGACCAAGGATTATGGGAACTTAAAGAAAGTAAAAAATATTATTGCTGTCGCAAGCTGCAAAGGAGGAGTAGGGAAGTCAACAGTCGCTGTAAACTTAGCATTCAGCATCTCACTTCTAGGCTATAGAGTGGGAATTTTTGATGCTGATATTTATGGACCAAGCTTGCCAACTCTTATTAATTCCCCTCAAACTTATCTTGAAAGCCCTAAGGATGATCCAAAATCAATTATTCCTATAGTTTATAACGGAGTAAAATGCATGTCATATGGCTATGCTGCAGCAAACAAAAAAGCAATATATAGAGGTCCTATTGTATCTGCACTCATTCAGCAGCTTCTATTTAATACTCTATGAGATGAATTAGATTATTTAGTACTAGACACTCCACCAGGCACCGGAGACATACAAATTACATTATGCCAAGAATTACCTATTTCTTCAGCAGTCATTGTGACAACCCCTCAAAAACTCAGCTTTGTAGATGTTGTTAAAGGTATAGAAATGTTCGACGAATTAAAAGTTCCAACAGTTGCAGTTGTTGAAAACATGAGCTATTTTGAGTGCTCAAACTGTAAAGAAAAACACAGGCCGTTTGGATTGGGATATAAAGATATGCTTGTTAAGCAGTTTGGTATTAAAAATTCTTTTGAGCTACCAATGCACTCTGACTATTCTAAGTTTGGTGATTTAGGAGCCCCTGTTGTCCTTGTTCATCCTCCTCAGTCAAGCTTGGTAGAAACATTCCTTGAAATGGGCAGAAAAGTGATGCAAGAAACTGAGACTGTGAAAAATATAAAAAATCCAAAAGTTTGGTATTCTCCAAAAGATTCACTTATTTATGTGGAGCAAGATAAAGAGCTAACTATATCTCCTTATAAGTTAAGGACTAGCTGCCAATGCGCAGCATGCGTTGATGAATTTTCAGGAGTTCAGCTATTTAAACCTGAGCAAATCCCAGAAGATGTATATCCTTTGAAGATTGAGGCTAAAGGAAATTATGCTGTTGCAGTAACTTGGTCAGATGGGCATAGATCTTCACTTTATCCATATTCTAATCTAATTTCTATAGCTAAATCACCATAACCTTTTGCTATATTTAGGCATAATTCAAGGATCATTTTAAATTGTTTGAAAGATTACATTAGTGACAAATTAGTAATTTGAAAAGCAAAAACCTAGATTTTATGGCAAGTAAAGAAAAGCTTTTGCAAGTTTTATTGTTACTTTGTTAATTCATCAAAGTGAAATTTATCTGGTTTTCAGATAGTGAGTTCACCTCTTAATGAATTGATAAATACAATCAAAAGCGAAAAAAAGTTAATATAAAATTTTCTATTCAAACTTAATTAATAAATCTTCATAAAAGTGATTCATTGCATAATAAGATTAATTTTGGATATCTTTATAATATATAAGGTAAATCTATTTTAAAAAATAAAATCGATATTTTGGTCATTGTCTTTTTATTTTCTAATGAAATTAAATTAAAAAAATTATTGTTCTTATTCATCAAAAAATAATTTCTGAATGCTAGTTCTTATCTATAGATGCCTCAATCCCCCTTATTATTGAGAAAAGCATCTAATTATTTATAAATTAATTACTTTAATTAATAAGCAAAAATTTTTAATATATACAGCTCAAGAACCCATATAGATGCTCTAGATGAGAAAATACCGAACTATGAACATCTATATGGATTCCTGGGTTATAATGATTATAATAATAAGATTTTCCTTTAATATATTAAAATTTTAGGCAATTGCATTCAAACCTAGATTTTCTAAATATTTTCAAATTAGATAAAACCGTAAAAGCAAATAATTTTTGTTTTCTAACAAGGAAAGAGTAAGTATTTTCATTTCTAAAACAATTATTTTTTTTTAACTTCTATTCGAAATCAGCTTTCCAAATTTTTACTTATTTGCTGAAATTTCCTAAAAACTGGTTTCTCACCCAGCTATTTTATTTAAGTATATTAAATGGTAGATTCAATAAGAAAGAAAATTGTTGCTTTAGTTAGTCTGTTTGCTATAGTTTACACTCTATTTTCAATCTTAGGTCCTCCTTCTTCAGACCAACAAATACCAAGATCATATTTTAGGGCTGACTTCAATGCAACAAATTCAAACGAATCCGAGTTAGAAAAGAATTATACTTCACAGTTTCCTCCTAAATTTTTATCTGAGTTATACAGGGGAAGTTGGCAAGCAAGTAGCCAAAGCACTTCTCTCCATGGAATGATGAATTTGGCCGGCATTGCATATTTTCACATTAGAGAAGAAAATGCTACAGAAGTCAGAAAATTTAAGATATTCCTTTACGATGGCGTGTGGGAAAGTAATATTTATTATAAGCTAGTTTTTCATAAAGCTTACTATGATCAAGATACCAAATCACTTACTAGTGAAGCTTGTCCAATGATTACTGAAAAGAATCCGATTAATTTAAGAGGATGCTCGTGCACAAGCATTTTTAACTTTACGATAGATGAAAATGACTTATACAGAATTTATGGAAAAGTAAAGAGCGATGATTGCTCATTAGATTTAAATTTTATCCTGCATGAGTTAACAGCTTCAGCTAAGCAAGAACCAGTAGTCACTTATAGCTTTATAATCTCATGCACATCAGTTTTACTTATTTTTGGATTTGCTAGACATACACAGGACTGCATTTCTGAAAATTTTGCAAAAAAGACGTCTATATGAATGCTTGGAATGCAAGCGACAATTGACTTATTTTTTTGCTTATATCATTGCCATCTAGCAGTGAGTTATGAAGACTCGTTTGACTATTTAATGCTAGCTTCATTTTGATGCTTTGCTGTTTTTATGATTATTCAAGGAAGATTAACACTTTTGGTTTGAAAAGCTCAGCATCCTGAGCTCTATGCTGAGGGTATAGAAAACTTCAGAAGATATTATAGCAGCTTTCAGACTAAATTTTTGACTTTCATCATATCAACCGTGATTTTTTCTGTTATTTTTGATGTCCTTTTTCTCTATTGAATCCTTCTTATTCATAGCTTTTTTATTCCTCAAATAATATTAAACGCTAGGCAAGGATACAAGTTCCCGGTAAGGACTCCTATATTGCTGCTAACATTTGCCACAAGGCTAAGTACAATTTTATATTTCTTTGGTTGTCCAGCAAACTTTTTAGCACTAACACCAAATATTGGATTTTGCACAATATTAACTGCTTATTTGACTTTACAACTCATAGTTTTGCTTCTCCAAAATTCAAAAGTAGGGCCTCGCTTCTTTGTTCCAAGATTTTTAAGACCAAAAATATACAGCTATTATAGGGGTCTAGAAGAAGAAGCACAGATTGAAGAAAATACTGACTGCATTATATGTATGACTCCGCTTAATCTACAAGGAAAAGAAATTGAAGGTACAGTAAATCAAGCAAAAACTATGCATGCCCCATGTGGACATAAATTTCATGAAGACTGTTTAATGAATTGGATGGCTATTAAAATGGAATGTCCAACTTGCCGAAAAGCTCTGCCACTAATTGAAGAATAATAGCAGTGACTTTATAAATAACTAATTGTAAAATGCTTAGTGACGAAAATGCATATTTATATTATTTTTAAAATAAAATAATTTCTTTGAATTTATATTTAAATGTCTGAATTGTTTCGAAAATACATAAAGAAAGAAAATTACCCAGTCCATCCTTCGAATATCGCTTTCAAGACGAACTTCAAGAATTGTATATATGAAGCTCTAAAAAGAAGAGGCTGGAGAGAAACTGACTCAGAAATGGAGTGGGACATCATGTGGTCAGAAAAAGAATGGATTCATGAAGTATTCGACCACGTTCACCTTCAGCCACACCAGAGAGTCAACCATTTCAGAAATTATGCAGAGCTTTGCAGAAAAGATTTGATGATAAAGAACATGAAAAGATATAAGAAAAATCTTGAAAAAGAAGGAAAGCTGGAGGAAGCGGCTGAGGTCGATTTCTTTCCATTGACTTATAACATGCCTGGGGAATACTCACTATTTGTAGAAGAATTCAAGAGAAATCCGAATACAGTGTGGATTATGAAGCCAATTGGGAAATCTCAAGGCAAAGGAATTTTTCTTTTTCAGAAACTTCAGCAGGTTTCGCAGTGAAAAAGCGATTTTAGATGGAAACCTGACAATCCACAGGCTGAGCCTTATATTGTGCAGAGATATATTAATAACCCGCTGCTTGTTGGTGGGAAAAAATTTGATATGAGAATTTATGTGCTGGTCACTTGCTATTCACCACTGACAGCTTATCTGTATAGAACAGGATTTGCGCGTTTTACCCACCATCGATATTCAAGCAACCCAGAAGATATTTGCAATAGCTATATCCATTTAACAAATGTCGCAGTTCAAAAAACAAGTGAAAATTACGATGCTCAAACAGGTGGAAAATGGGATTTAAGACTTTTGAAGCTTTATCTCATGTCAAAATATGGTCAAGACCGAGTGTCTGAATGCTTTTATAAGATCCACCAAATTTTCATTAAGAGCTTATTAGCTGTTCAGAAATCAATGATAAATGATAAGCATTGTTTTGAGCTGTATGGATATGATATCCTCATAGATTCAAACTTGAAGCCTTGACTATTGGAAGTCAATGCAGCACCAAGTATGACATCGAATACCCCTCATGATTTTGAGCTAAAAGTTGGGCTACTGGATGATGTATTCACAATAGTAGACATGGAAAGAGTGATGCAAGGAAATGAAGAGCAAGTAGGAGGATTTGATCTTATTTATAGACAAACTCCATTCCCAATGCCAGCTAATTCAACTTACCAAACTTATTTGGGCACTTATAACCAGAGAGCAACAACTTTGAAGAAGCTAGCCAAACAAGCAGCTCAGAGAATGGCTGCAAATGAAGCTACTAAAGTTGCTGCTAAATAATTCTTTTAAAATATAGATGAAGCTAAAATATCAAATTTAACTCTAATAAATACTCTAAAAGAATTGAGATTAATCAATATGATTTTAAATTATTTAAATATTTTCTATCAAATGCTTAAAATTATATAAAATAGCAATAATAAGAATTATAAAATAGATTACTAAAGTATTAGATAGGTAAAAAGGCTTCACCAGAGAAACAAGGGCACATTTTGAAACCGTATTTTATCAAGTTTAAAAACCCTGTGTAGCCACCTGGGAACATATTTGAAATATACCAACCAAGCCCTAAAATTTGAAAAGCTGTAGAAAATATGACTATGACATAATCTCCTAAGATCAATGCTGCAAAAAGAGTGCAAGTAATAGAACTAAAATATACACATGAAACAATAATATTTTCTTTCCCTTCAAATAACTCTTTAAAATAAGCTAAAAATGTTGGCTTTGTAAAGCTAAGTGCTGCATGGATAAAAAGAGAGCCAGCACTAAAAAGAATGGCAAAATTCTTTGGGAATAAAATGAATGTAGGCAAAAATGATAATGATCCAAATAGTAGAATAACTGCAATTATAAGGCAGATTAAAGATTTTCTAATCCTTACAGCTCGATCTTCAGCTGTTTGAAATATTGCAACACTTTCCGATGCTTTATTTTTGATAGCTTGCGCTATGTTACTTAAAAGGCCAGTTTCTTCATTTTTGTTCTCTTTGTGTGTAAGCCAATTCTTTATTGAGCTCGACCATTCTTGCTTTTGTCCCTGACCAGAATTCGGCGATGTAGTTGAATAATTCGGAAGCATATTTATCAATTATCTTTAAATTATGAAATATGTAAGAATACAACATCAATAATGGCAACTATATGACTAATTGCCACTAGCTTAGATTTATACTGAAAAGAACGAATGAGATGAGTAAATTTTAAATTATTAAAATTATATTATTGTTTGGTACTATAATTATTTTAGATTTTATTCTTCTCGAACTCTTTCGAACTGAACAGGATTTGATCTTCCTTTTGGCAACGCTGCATCACCTTCTTCTCGATCTCCTCTGATATTGCGATAAATATTGGCCCCAGATCTATCATTAAACAAAGGTTTATCATACACATTGTATTCATCTTCTGATCCAAATCCAGCATCTACCCCTTCATTTTGATTAAACAGCCTTTCATCAAGAAGTTTGCTTTTGGTCGGCTGCGCTTGACCCAGTGCAATTTTTTCGCTTATATCTCTTTCCATATCTCTATCCTTTTTCTGCACTTTTCGCCCAGCATTTTCAATTCTTCTGTCCCTTTCAATTTCTCTGCTTCTTTCAAATCTTATTTTTTCTCTTTCTTCTACACTTGAAGAGCGCTCTCTTTTCTTTGGCTGTTCGTTCTTCACCAAGCTATTTCTCTCAGCTCTGGCTTGTGCAGCCAGCTCTCTCATTTGATTTTCTTTTTTTAAGCTTTCTTTTAGAGCAAGCTTTTTCTGAATTGCTTCCCTGGCTGAGACTTCTTCTCTGGCGTTTCTTTCAGCTTGGTATAGAGTTTCAGAGTGCTTGGGAAACCTTTCAGATATGGTAGTATCTCTTAAATATCTCCCATCTGCTGAAAGACGCATTTCGATTGGAATTGTGTACCCTTTGGAGTTTTTCCAGTTTGATATGCAAGGAGGGATTTTTCAGTTTTTTTGGTCTTTTGAAGTGATCTGTCTGGGAGGAGATCTTTCAATTCTAACGTGATCATCTACTTGACCACGAGGAACTCTGCGGTGTGAAAATTTAACACATTCCATTGGATCAGTTTGCTGCTCATGCATGCGGATGATCCTTTCTTGGCCATCTAAGCCAGTGTGCTTCACATAATAAAGTTAAAAGTTATGAGGCCATAAGTGGATAAACCCATTACCTGTTGTCTCTCTTGTCTCTAAAAGGTTGCCCTTTTGGATTTTCGACCTGAACCACCTGCTCAAGAATTAGCTCAATAGAGCAGAGCCACATCTGCGAGGTAACCTGACGATCCCGATGAGGATAAACCATGTGGTAGGGAAACCTGTCGAGTCCATCTGGCAGGGACAGAGGATGCTCGACAAGGCATCTGAAACCTAGAGGCCTACCTGCCCATAGGGAGTGCGCAGGGTATTCCAATTTCTGTCAGCATCGCCATTTCATTTCTTCACATAATAAGGATCTTGTGTTTTCCTCAAAGGTTCACCCCCAACCTTTGCAGCAATAATTGTCCCATTTAAAGTCTGTTCAAGTGCCTGCTTTGTTTTTGCTGTATTATTTGCTATTTCCTCAAGAGAAGGGCGAGTCAGGTCATAACCAGAAATATCTTTTTTCACGAGTTCCATTTATTTGAATTTATAAAATCATTACTTGTGTTAAATTATTCAAGTATAGTGATCACTTCTGTCACCAAATGTTCAAGCACCATGTCAGCAATATCAAGCTTCACTTGGTTTTCTTCGAATTCATAGTTCACCCACTGGTGGTCTCGCTCTACCACTTCGAGTGCAAGCATACTGGCTAATTTATCTTCCCTGATATTTTGAAGCATTTCTTCGTCAATGTTTCCAGAACTCTTATTGCTTTCTAAAATAGGAACTTTTCCTGCCTGCATACTGCTCCAAAGCAAAACTTCTTCTTTGGATTTCTCACAAATTTGTTTTATGTTAGGGTATTGGTAATGAATGGCGCGAATATCAAAGCTCCAGGGCAGTGGCTCTCCAGTTTCACCATAGATGCGGTGCTTTTGTAGACTTTCGTTGAAAGAGTCAAAAATCATTTTATTGTGGATATGCTGGGCTTCTTGGACTGCGGGGTCAAGAGATCGGTCAGAAATTTGCTTTTCAATTTCTAAATACATATCGATGTTAAGGATTGGTGGAGGGATGTCTGGGATTACGGCTGTTCCTATTTCATTTTCTTGCATTTTGGAGAGCATTTCCATTGGGCTGTTAGGGACAGGAGTAGATAAAGAATATTCGATGTCTTGAGCATTATCATGAATTAAGGTCAGAAGTTTCTCCAGGTAGCTGTCAACTGCTTTTGCATCAGTATCTACAGCTGGCTGACTGTCAATTTTGATTATTTTAAGCCACTCTTTTTCAGGTTTTATTGCGTTTGCAATTTCCTCTGATAAGAGTTGTTTAAGCAGCACTTCAGAAATATTTGCTACATCTTCAGGTTCAAATAGAAATTCTGTACTTTTATCCAATTCATATAGATCTTCATCAAATTTTTTGTTCTTATTTTTTCCTTCCAAAGGTATTGAATCATCAAGCTTTTGTGGGGAAGGCTCAGGGCTCTGGAAGCTTGAAGAGTTTTGTTCATTTTCAAACGAAGTTTTATTAATTTTCAGTTTTGGAATTTCTGGAGACTTTTTGATCCTCGTCTCGATTTCGCCGAGATCTTTAATGTCAAGATTCTGCGGGCTCCCTTTAGGATTTGCTGGTAATTGTCTGTCTGAAATATCACGACTAGAAGAAGATTTGCTAGTATCATCAATAGATGCTTCAGGAGGGTTTGGATCCAGCGATAAAAGTGAAGACGAAGCTTCAGCTGGAGGACTATGAATACCATCAAATGAATCCTGGTTTTCGATAATTTCTTTTTTCTCTTCTTTATATGCAGAAGATACACTATCAAGATGTTCGCTGTTTTCGACTGAACTAACTTGATTCCCAATAAATTGCAGTTGATAAAGGTCGCTCTCAAAGTCTTCATACGACCTTTTAGAGTCAATATAAACCTCACTATGGAATGAAGCCATTGACTCTGACTCAGATTTCTCACTCCCCCTCCGTGAGCGAACAAAATCATTCAAAAAAATCACAATTTTTGGGTAAAATACCCATTTCATGAGCAAACAAAAATTTAAAAAAAATTTCGAGGAATAATGGCAATTATTATATGAAATCTCTAACTAATTCTGTTTAATTTTAAACAGGTGGCATTTTTAACATAAATTTTGGGAAATTGAATTAATTTTACTTTTCAATTTTGCGAATTGATTCTGTTTAATTTCGAAAAAAAAAAATTATTATAAAGTTTATATATAATTTTTTTCAAAAAATTTACCCCTTTCCATGAGCGAACAAAATTTGTTTGTTTACTCACTGGGAGGGAGTCAGTAGCTTCAAATTCTGGTATTGATGGCTCATCAGGGATTGTTGGAATTGTTGATATTTGAGCTGGATGCGAAAACTCTAGATAAGGTTCTTCTCCAACCTCGGTTGAAATCCTTGGGTCTTCCATTAGGGGTTCTTCTGAGGTTATTGTTCCTTCACAAGGGGATTCAATATAAATTTCATCTCTATCAGGCTGAGGAGAAATAATAAAAGAATTATTTGAAGGAGTTTCGAGACCTTTTATTTGGTCAATAAAACTATCTGAAATATCGTGCTTCGGGAGGCTTGGAATATAGGGAATATTTCTCACATTTATTTGTGAGCTTTTTTCGTTAGACTTAGAGTCATCTCTTATTTTTGAGCTCTCTATTTCGAGCTCACTTATCCGAACACTCCTTTCTCCTTTGGACTCAGCAAGGTTTTCATGCCAAATTTCTTCATTTTCAGTTTCTTTGGAAGACTGGGCAGCCATCATGCCACTGATTATTTTTTCAATATCCTCACTTTGCGAATCAAATCTCATATTTGTTTGGTCTTCCATCAGCTGGCTTGCTAACGCTTTTTGGAATTCAAAAGTTCTCAAAAGAGAGCCTTCATCATTGCTATCTACTCTTTCTGCTAGTGCAGCTTTCACTGCTTCAATATTTTCATCAAATAAATGGTCAAGATGCGCATATCTTCGATCAATAATTTCTTGGAAGATTTTCATAGCACCAGACTCAGTCCCAAGCTTCTCTGCAACCTTTTGCATGTCTTGAAGGTCTTTTTTCTTGAGTTTCAATAAGTTTTCTTTCTGCTGGACTCTCCATTGCATTTGGGTTTTCAAGATACTTTCTATCTCTTTTTGTTTTTTCTTAATCCTTTGCTAAGAAAGAACATAAAATCTTGCTCATTCTTAAGCTCTTAAGGGGTTTAATTTTTTTAATTAAAGTTATATAAAAATTTTTGAGTTTAAAAAAATCAAATTTAGAAAATATTTGAAAAAAAAACTAATTTAATTTACTAAATAATAGATAAGAATACAAGGTTGCCTAAATGTTTTTAATAGGAGTGCAGAGATTGTTATATAAATTATTATATTCAAATTAATTATAAAAATTTTTTATATATTAAAAAAAATTATTTTTCACGCCTTAAAGATGTTAATATTCCCAAAAATAGGGGATGTTCAATGGATTTGCTCACTTTAAAAGAGGTAGAGTTAGCAAGCTCTAGATTTTTTCTCTCTGAAGCAAGCCGTTTTTCCAACTCTTGTGAAGAAATTCGGTGGCCTGTTGGAACTGGGGACAACCTTTGGAACTGTGGATCTGTTTCAAGCCTTTCTGACTCCTCTTCTCCCCAAGACTCAACATTAATAGGTTTGGGCTTTTTAATTTTGCCTAGAATATTTTGGACTTCTTCATCCTCTTCTTCATAGTATGATATATCATTATCGCGTCCATATTGTCGTTTATATAGCCATTCATCTGTTTCTTCAACTTCAGAATGTTGCTCCTCAGAATGTTGCTCCTCAGAGTGTTCTTCATAATGCATTTCAGTACGCTCTTCAGTACGCTCTTCAGAATGATCTTCAAAGTGCTCTTTATAACTTCCATTATAGTGATCTTCATAAAGCCCTTCATAATTATCTTCAGAATGTTCTTCATAGTGATCTTCAGAATGCTCTTCATATTCTTCTTCATATGACTCGTCTTCATTTTCTTCTAAATAATGCCTGATTGCTTCTCTTGTTTGCCATCCTCTTACCCATGCTTGGATTTTTATTGCTGCGTTTTTTCTTTCTTCTTCATTTAAAGCTGACCTGCCTGACGAGTCTTCCCTTGCATATTCCCTTGCTTTTTCTACTCTGCTCCTAAGTTCTGCAAGTTTCTTCTTAATTCCATCTTTTCTTTTAGAGATATCTGAGCTTGACAGATCTTTGTATTTTTCTTCTTCTCTTGAGTCAATAAAAACTGGGGTGTCATCATTAACATCCATTGCTGGCATTGTCACGCTTCCTGTTGGAAGATCTATTTCAGGCTTCTTTCTTTTTTCAACGATATCATTAACCTTTTGTGTGGAGTTTCTTCTACCATTTAGGTTAGGTTCTTCTGAGAAGTGCCCGAAGACTTTGCATTCTCTTCCTTCTCGATTGTAGTCGTATGGGTCTTCTAGCCTCATTCCTTCCATTATGCCTAAAACTTCTTCATCTTCAGGAATATTAGATTCACTCTCATCAACCCACTGAGGCTCTTCATATGTTTTTAAAGCCTTTTTGGACTTGACCTTTTTCTTAGGCTTGGCTTTCTTTTTGGCTGATTTTCCTTGCTTCTTTTTGGTGATGGCTTCGAGCCTTTTTAACTGCTCAAGTCTTCTGTTTTCTTCTTCTCTTTGTCTTTCAAGCTCAATCCTTTCATGTTCTTTTCTCAATCGTTTCTGCTGCTTCATGTAGAGAATGATGTCAGGGTTATGCTCTTTGACTGGCTTTTTTTCTGGCGTTAACGAATGCTCATGGTTACTATGGCTACGCAATCTGTAATTTGGTACTAATGAAGAGAGCACATCAAGTCCTATTCTTGCTCTTCCTGTGCTTTTCGTTCTTTCAATCTCTTCTCTTCTTCTCTTCCTTATCTCTTCGCTTTCCTTTCTAATTTTCTCATCATTTTTGCCATTAAGCCTTCTTTCATCTACCCCTCACGCGATCTTTGGCTTGAATTTATTTTGCTTGAATTTCACTTGATTTTCTTTCCTCGTTTCTTGATTAAGCTTTTCGAGCTGTTTTTTGGCTTTTTCTTTATTCTCATTCAGCTGTTTTTTCCTTTTTTCTGCTAAATCTCTATTGACTTTTTGTTTCTTGATGGAATTTTGAATTATGTGATCGATTGACTTTACATGGTCTTCTTGAATAGGGGTTTGCTTTATATCAGGAGCTTCTTTGTGAATGTTTATTCTGGGCTGAGGAGTAACAGAAGAGCGTCTTGGTACTGCAGGCTTTTTTACTAAAGTGGTGGGCTTTTGAATTGACTTAGTGCTTGGGGCTTTTTGAATGCGCTGCATTGGGTCAGGCGTTTTTGACTTAAACCTGGGCTTTAAATCCTGAGACCGTTTTATTGGCTTATTTGAGATGTCAGCTAGGTATCTATCCTTTGGCTTTTTAGCTGGCTTTGGCTTTGCAGATGATATAACAATTGGAATTGGGTATCGAGTCCCGTTTTCTTGATTTGATGCAACTACTGCTTCACTTGTTATTTTTCGTCCGAGGACTGGCGCTGAAGGAGGGCGCTGTGATCCAAATGATTTAAATATCTCATGAGGTTCTGAAGATATCATAGTGAAAAATTTATATTTATTCAAATAAGTAAATAAGAAGCGGAATTAATAGTAAGCAGGATTAAGAATTATTTTTGGTTTCCTGTCATGAAATTTACGCAATTGAAGTCATTAATATCATTTTTCTAGCACTAAATGCTAATGAAAGCAATAATTAGAGATCAGTCTATTTTTCTTCACAAGAAACAATAATGAATCCATATATGCATGGCGGTATGTGCTAAGATGATAATAAAAATAAAAAAATAGGATATACCATCAAGCCAGTGATTAAAGCAGAAAATTAAAACATAATAGAGCTATTGCGCAAAGCAATGCAGGTGGCTAAGAATTAAAATCATAAATACTTTCTGATAAAACTATGTTTTTATATTTAAGCTCTAAAAATCCCTTGCATGCTTTATATCAATTCCAATACATCAGATTCTAGATTTCTCTCAATTTTTAATTCCTTTTTCATTATGATACCATTTTGGAAACTCCCAGATCATGGAAACTCCAAAATTTTCTATTGCTGTAATAGGTGCAACAAATGGACTGGGCACTCAAAATCCTTTCTTTTCAGATCGATTAAGCATCAATAGTAACTTTTTTCAGTTTCCTGAAGAATCCCCTCTTATTGGAGCTGATGACGATACTTTTTTAATGTATTGCAAATCTCAATTGAAAATTTCAGCTAGAAACTCGTTTTTAAAACAAAAAATAGAGAGGCCCGTCTTTAAAATTGATGAAACTCCAAGACCTTCTCATTTCTCTCCAGAAAAAATTAACGAAAGAACTATCAAGCAATTGGACTCTAAAAGGAAAAAGCGGTTTTTCCAAGAAGAATTTCTCAGTGAGAGATTTGATGAAACACATAAACCAGAGGAAAGCTCTTGCTTATCATGATTTATCATAAGGAATAATGGAATAAAATCAATCATCCCTGACTTTGAGCTCAAAGAATGCAAACTTATCTTTAACGAAATTTTAACTAAAAATATAAAGTCGCATGAAGCTAATTTCGGTATGTGTAGATTATATGCTTATGAAGGGAGATATGGACTAGCAATGATTTATATAAAAGATGCATTGCAAATTTCTCCAAATGATAAGCTATATAATTTATGGTTAGTTTGTCAAATGTGGCTGGAATAGAAAATTGCGAGCTAATATAAAAAATCATCAGATTTCATAATAAAATTTCTGATAATAGTATAATCATTTTTGGACAATCCGAACACGTATATTATCAAATTGAAAAATATCAGGAGAAGGAGGAATTAATTCACATATATTTATATTTAATCGTTCAAAATTTAATTTTTGCTCTTCAAAAGGAAATACTAATTGGGGTTGTCTAGACATAAAGATTTCTATTTCTTTATTTCTTCCATATGGACACGCAATTTTCTATTCCTGCCGCATTTGGCAAGCTAACCTATTTTGGCTCACCAATTTTTAATCTGATAAAAATATATTCTTAGAAGATCAAACCACAAGCTACCAGAATATAAGATCTATACAGATTCCGATATCTCAGGCACTCGAACCCTGTGACAAGAATAAATAGATTTTTAAAGGATAATAAATGCTGTTCATCCTAGTACATCAGATCATCCAAGCAGTGTTTTTCGACTATATCAAAGAGTATATATAATTTATACCTAGTTGCAAAATAATAAACAATACCTACTGGTAATCGTAATCTTATTTTTATATTTAAATAGGCTAATGGATAATCAGTATGAATATTTTTATTTATAGCAATTAGGTATATGGTATATATGCCATGCTGAACATGAAAACTATTTTTGAGCTAGATAATATTTCTCAAAAATCATTGCCTTCGGGAAGTCGTAAGATATAACTTCCCCTTTGGATAGCGAGCAAAATCATTACCATTATTGGAAAATTGGCATCAAAATTTTAATATTTTAATATATTATTAATAATTGCAATGATAAAATCTAAAGTAAATTATTATAAAATTTTTTACATCTCATGCTATAAGGCATAAATTTTTAGATTTTGGATTTTTAAATTATGAAACAAATTGTTTAATCAATGCTAATATAAAACATCTTAAAAAAATTTAGTCTCCTTTGATTAATGAAAAAGATTTGCTTTGATAGCCAAGGTTGGAGTAAATAGGAATGTGGTGCTGCGGATCAAGATCTGCTGGACAATTTTCTGTTGTGTTTCCTCAGCTTATAGAGAAACTCACAATATTTCAAGGAGAAATAGATGTTTTATGATGCCTGATGACATTGTCCTTGAAAAATTGTCTTGAAATAGGAAGAGAAATTGAGAACCCAAGATTCTATGCAGCAAAAATTAAGGAAATTGATAATTATTATGGATATGTAGCTTGGAGCGATATATTGTTTAGTGAAGAAGGACAAGAAGCTAAAGGGAGAGATACACTAAGGGAATGTATAATGCAGTATCCAAATAGACCAGAAGCATATATAAAGCTCTGGCAATACTATTATTATAACGTAAAAGATTTTGAGCAGTCAGAAGATATTGCATGTGAAGCTTTTATCAGAGTTTGCGGCTCTGATGATAGCGAATATTTTGCATTATTATGCATCAATTACGCTAAGTCATGCTTCAAAATGAGAAAAATTAATTATATTATACCACACTAGTTGATAGCTATGATTTTGACATGTTCTGAGATTATAGGGGGAATTGATTCACCAATAAGTGTTGGTGAAACCAACCCTTGACATTACAAATTCACTTGAAATTACAGATTTATTATCTCAAGGGCTAGTCTCACCGATATTTGTTGGTGAAACCAATCTCTGATAGTCTCAGGAGTTATTGGAATCATAGCGATCCACTAGCATAGATGCCCTATATGCTCTAAAGATATTACAACAAAAGTACATTGAAAATCCAGAGTTTCCGATATTCTTATACCATATTGGCAGATTATCTACAAAATCAGAAGACCTAGCTCTTAATGGGCTAGCAATTGGAACCCTTGAAGAATGTCTCAGACAGTGTGACAAATGTTGGCATGGGCCTATTTATTATTGGCTTGCCAAAGCTTACTTAAATTCAAAGCAGCATGTGGAAGCTTACGGGGCTATGAAACAGTCCTACAAATATTTACTCCCCCAATTTAAATTTTGGAACAACAAATTCTGCTCCAATTTAACGGGGATTAGTTATAAATTTTTTTCAAAACATTTATATTTAATTTTTTCTCTATAAAACAATATTTTAAAATTTACCGATATAAATTGAGTACAATACTTTGAATTTTAATTATTTTTATGAAGAAATAATTAAAAAATTAATCAATTCAGTGAGAAAACTGTTTAAATAGCATTCTACTTGGACTTTTTACAATAAATTAGGTTAAAACTAATTTTATAAAAATTATTATTTTCACCTTTAATTTTTTTGTTAAAAAAATTTTTGTATATTTTAAAGAAATGTTAAATTGAGCATAAATAATGAATTTTAATTTATTTTTATGAAGAATTAATTAGAAAAAACTAATCAATTCAGTGTGAAAACTGCTTAAATACCCTACTCGCATTTTTGATCAAAAATAATTTTATAAAAATTAGTATTTTCATCGATAAAATTTCGAAAAACAATTTTGTGCGCGAATTTAAAGCGGCTAAAATACTCAGAAAATGCAAAATTTATCGATGTTTTGTTCCAATTTAAAGGGGGGAGTAGAGAACTCAGATCAAAGAAAATCCCATGATCTAAAAAGCGCCATGAAAAGCTTAAAAGAAGGAGTATCAGCATTGAAAGAAGTCGAAGAAATCCTGAAGAGTGAATCATTTTTGAAAAATATTGATAAATGCAAACGCTTATGCAATAAAATAAAAGGATTAAATAAACTCTCCGGAGAAGTTTTGCAAGCAAAGATACTTTGGAGCGAAGGACGCAAAGAAGAAGCAATAAGAGAACTAGAATCGTCTGCATACATGGCCAGCACTAGAATAATGCCTTATTTTGAGCTCCTTAGATGCCTCGAATTAAGTGAAGACTATCTTTCGATGAGAACATATGGCAAAGAAATGGTATTAAAGAGCATGAATAGTCAGCTGCCTTGCACAACCTGAGTTAAAGCTAACATTATTTTTGCAAAAATACTGGTGAAAAATAACGAGCTTGATCGAGCTTTAAGAGTCTTAAAAGCCTTGGCTAAAATATTTCCAATAACCCGATATGCTGAAATTCCGTTCACTCTTAAACTGCAAGAGTCTTCTACATATCAAGATTTAGATGAAGCTAACAACTTGCCTAGAAATTCACTGGGCGTTTATTCTTTTTCGAGCTCACGTAACTCCTATGCTAGTATTTCTGCACCGGCATATAGCCAATCTTACAAAGATCAAGTTAAAAAGAACACATTTAGAAGAAACCAAGAGTTGCTAACTTTGCTAATTGGTGAAGATGCTCCTCACCCAGAAGAAACTTTAGAAAGCAATCCAGATTTATATGAAAATGACGAGCTGGATGTCACAGGATTCAAAAAATTCCAAAATTTATCTATAGAATTTGAGTTTAACAATGAAGATTTGCAGCATCAGGAAATCATGAAGCCTATGCACTCAGATAATGAACTGTGCACAGAATTCGCTGTCAGCAGTGACCCTATATTTTTATATAAAATTGGGAAAATTGCTGCTATGCATGGAATTAATTTAATGGATGGGCTTTATGCAATTGAAGACTATCTTTCATTATTGAAGTTCGAAAAATCTATAGCAATGAAAGAAAGAGCTGCTGTAAAAGCCCTTCTTCTTAAATTCATTATTCTTTGCCAGCTCAATAATATTGATACTGCAGCAGCGGTGGCAGCTGAAATTGATCCAATAATAAGCCAGGTTGGATGGGCGAAGAAATATGAATTATTTAAGGATTTTAAGGCCAGACACAATATTTAAATTACTTTCATGAATTAATGGCTATTTTTATGTCTGATCAGATATGTATCTTCTATTTAATTTTAAAATGGGTTCGCAGACAAGCAGGCATCTTGAAAGCAGTCAAACCAATTCATTTATCCACGGATTTGAAGAAGAAAGAACTGAAGACAGGCTCAATTTAGAAGATACAAGCAGAGAAAGCTCTCTAGCATCATCTCTGACAGAAAACGATAATTTTATTAGAGACCCTAATATCGTCACTTATACGTTTAAATGGAATAATGGAGGAAAAGAAGTCTCAATTGTAGGGGCATTTAATGACTGAAAAGAAATAATTCAAATGGAAAGAAGAGGCAACGAGTTTGCTTTGGACGTTTTGCTTAAAAGAGATACTGTTTATGATTATAAATTTTTAGTTGATGGAGAATGGAGATTTGCAAATGAGCAGCCGATTAAAAGAGATCCTATGGGAAACGTAAATAACTGAATTGATACGAATGCACTTAATGAGGAAGAAGATGGGACTTTGACTGCAAAAAATCCAGAGAAATACTCTCATTCCCCCCCTTTAAATTGGAACAAAAAATTTTGTTCCAATTTAAAGGGGGGCTAAGAAAAATTTTTTATAAAAAATATCAATATAAAAATTTTTTAGAAAAAAAAAAAATTTCAAAAATTTATCGAATTAGATTAATAATAAATTTGTTTAATAAAATGCGATTTACTCTTTATCCTTTAAAACAAAGCAAGATATAACTAGATTTTCATCATTAGTTGATACGCCACTATTAATTAATATCAAAACTATTTACACACAAAAATTATTATTTTTATTGATAAAAAAAAATTAAAAAAAAAAATTTAGAAAATTTATTGATCAAAGTGCTAATTTTGTTTAAATAAGATGCTATTTATACTCTATTCTTTAAAATAAAGCAAGAAATAAGTAAATTTTCAATTTTTTGTAAAGAATTCGCATTGAATTTATATCAAAACTATCTAAATAAAAAATATCATTTTTATCAAAAAAATAAAAAATTAAAAAAAAAAAAAAAATTAATTGTTTTTAAAAATTTACCAATTAAGGATAATAAATTTATTCAAATAAGATGCTCTTTATACTCTCTTCTCTCAAAAAAAAAGAGCAGGATATAACTAAATTTTTAATTTTAGTTAAGAGAGAGAGAAATCTTTATTACTTAAAGGCCTTTATTTCAGGGCCATGCCCCGATTAAAAATTTTTTTAACTTTCTTCTTTTCCTAAAATCTTTGGATAAAATTTTAGTAAAATTTTCTGAACCCACGTAATCCGCGATTTTTTCGATTTCTGAGTCTGATATGAATTTTCTATATCTGATGAAATTTGAATCTGATCTAAATTTTATTTTCCTGATAATGTTTGATTCTGATATCAATTTTTATTTTTCTGATAAAATTTGAATCTGATCTAATTTTTATTTTTCTGGTGTTCAGGATTTTCTTATCGATTGTCTTCTTATCATCAATGATCACCTCAGTCTTCCTATATTTGAAGGTTTCCTGAATAGGATCTATTTCATCTAGTATTTTTCCATCTAAACGACTTAAAAAACTCCAATATTTTGTCATCTGTATCAACATTTTCTGCATCACTATCATTTCATTCATACTCTGATTCAGAATTATCAAGTAATCCTGTATCAATAAGTTCATTTAATAGTAAAAGTTCGAAAAATTCATCCTGTAAAGCTCCGTTTTCTTCACAAAAAGAAGAAGAATAGGAAACATTACTTTCCGAATCTTCCATTAAAATAAAAGTTTTTAGTTAAGAAGAAACATTTATATTATATCAAAACTTTTTACATAAAAATTATGATTTTTATATATAAAATTTTTTATTAAAAAATTAAATTTTGTTCCAATTTAAAGGGGGTTAATTTACCAAAAAAGTGGAAAATTTTACCTATATTTTGTTCCAATTTAAAGGGGGGAAGTCAGGATTTTTATGCAGATTTAACCACTATGGATCCTGACCCTTTACCATTGCATCTTTGCTATGTTCTTGCAAATCATTCAGGATCTTTCGATTATAGGCAAAAAGATACAGTTCCAAGTAACTCTCCAATACATTTGACTAATGCAGAGCTGGCTGGAGAAAATAATTTGCCGGTTAATGAACTGCCAATTCCGTCTCATGTAATATTGAATCATGTAGGAATCAGGGCAAATGAAAGAGTCATTGGCCTGACAACAACCCAAAGGTATAGGGAGAAGTATGTGACTACTATTTACTATAAACCAATCAAATAGATTATCTTTTTAGCTTCCTAGTAATGAAGTTTAATTCCTAGAATTCATGATATTTATTATTTAACTATTAGAGACCTTACTTATTTTTCAATATAACAATTCAGAGCATTTTTAGAAGTAGTTTTATATTTAAATAAAAACCTATGCTGAAATAGAAAATCAAAATATTTTGGCGGTATTAATAGAAATTTCATTTACTCCTTATTAGACTTAATTTCTGCTTTTCTTTTAACATTTTCTCTAGAATTTGAATTGGAGCTTTTCCTTTTCAAAGATCTTGGCGGATATACCAGCTTTCCGTCATCACCATAGTAAACACCAAATTCATTATACTCTTTCGTCTGTCGGCGGTATCGTTGCTCGTCTTTATTTGCTTTTTCAATATAAATCTTCTTATTATAAGAAGATAGATGAGCCCATTTTTCAGTCGCCTCTTTAATAAAATCATCATAGTTAACTTGACGGTTGCTTTCTTGATTTTTCAGCTTCATCTCCATCAAGAAGAAAGTTAAAGCGCTTTTACCTTTCCTTGGAGGTAAAACTTTGAAGACTTCACAGGGGAGCTCTTCTGCTTGTTTTCTTGGCCTACCTCTTGGTCTTTTTTGTTCCATTTCAAGAATTATTTTAATTAGATTTTTGAGTTTGAAGAGATAATTTTTAAATATGAAGCCAAGAGCTAGAAGAAGCTCTTCTAAAAATCAACACTTAAAAGTAGACATCCCTTATGAAGTTAAATTTATGGATATTCCCACACTTCAGGTTGAAATTCAAGAGTGGAAGCAGAAATTAAAGAAGGCCAAGGAGATTAATAATGCTAACCACGCTGAAAAAATGAAGATAAAAGATGAGCTAAAAGAGATGAAAGAAAACATTTTAGCACTTGACAATTCTTCTAGAAAAATAAAAGAAGAGTTTGAACAAGTGCAAGAAAGGAATAAAATAGAACTGCAGACTTATTATAACCAAATTACATTCTTAGAAAAGAGGAAAACGCTTGATGAAATCAATAAAAATAATGAATATTTTTTGCTTGACTGCAATAAAGAGGAGAAACTAAAGAATGGAATTGAAGATATCATGCGAGAAACCCGTAATACTACTGAGATTGTTCAAGAGTCTAATGATATAAATATAGATTTACTTGAAAAAAACTCTACTACTTCTATTGCTAACTTAAGAATTGAATTAGAAAAAATTATTGCTGACTTAAAGAAATCTTATAAAACTAAATATAGCAAGCTAAAAGAAAATCTAGAAGGAAAATTAAAAGTTGCTATTTACGAAACTGAGCAAAAATATAATGAAATTAAAAGGCATCATGGAATAAAGCATAAAAATGCTTCAGAAGCTATGAGAAACTATTTCGATAAAATTAAGCTTGAAAATGCTAGCGCCCCTCGATCAGTGAATAAAAATTTTGTTTATTCACAGAGGGGGATTAATATTTTTTAGAAATTCCAAAAAATTCGCGAAAATTAAAAATTTAACAGAATTAATTCGAGATTTAATTATAGTAATATCAAAATATTTTTCATAAAACATTTTTGTCTCTCATGAAGGGTTTTGGCAAAAAAAGGGTTTTTTTCCAATGGTTTGTTCGCTCAAGGAGGGAGGGGGGAGTAAGACAATAGAAAATCAAAAACAAGAAATTTTAGAAATAAAGAAAAATATCGATGGAAACGCAGCTGAAATAGAAAAAGTCCAGAAAAGTAATAATGAGCTTGAAAAACCATTAAAAGAAATCAAGCATGAATTATTCTTGCTTGAAACAAGACTTGCTGATTGAGCAAAAACTAAAGAAGATCTAAGGGAAGCTAATGCAAAAATTGATTTATTACAAAAGGATTTAAAAACGAAAAAAGAGAAATGGAATGCTCTCAGAGAAAAATATAACGAAATACTTGCAGAAAGAAATGAGCTTTATAAATGCTATGAGCTCTCAATATCAAAATTAAACACTATAATGGGAAATAAGGAAACTATTAGTTTAAATTCTGATGAATATGAAAATCAAGTTCTAAGAAAAGAAGAGCAGCTAAGCAATGTTCTTGAAGGAGTTGTTTTGAATAAAACTTCAACAGAAACCATCAACAAAGAAATAAAAAAACAGATGAAGCACAAAGATGAGCTTTTGAAAAATTTAAAAGAATCACTTGCACAATCTGTAGACGCGTATTTTAAGACAGAAAATTTATTTAAAACCAAATTAAAAGAAAAATCTAATCAACCTGAAGACTTTTAATCACAAATTTTAGTGCTTCATTTTAATTTTTAATTTTATATACAGGCTTAACCCAATATGAATTTTATGTTTAAAATTACTAGCTTACCTTTGGCTAGCGAGCAAAATATATCTAAAAGGAAAATAAATTTTTTCTTAATTTAAATTAAAATTATATATAAAAATTTTTCTTAATTTAAAAACCCAAATTTGTATTTGAAATGAAAATCTAATTTGATTCATAATATTTATAACTTAAAAGCTGAAAGTCTTTTTGATTAGATTAAGATTTCATTGTTAAAATTATTAATTTTTTATCAGGTTAATTCTCCTAGAATAGGGAATTTTCAAATGGTTCTGCTCGCTAACCAATGGGGGAGTAAAGATAAATGGAAGCAGACTTACTAGAATTAGAACACGTATTTGGATACAGTGGCAGGTACCAGCAAACAGCTCTATTTCATTCAACAGACCCCTCTTTCATTCTCTACACTATTGGTGCCCTGATTGTTATTGAAAATATTAATGACAAGCATTCTCAGTTCTTTCTCAGAGGCCATGATAATGATATTTCTGCACTTGCCATATCAAGAAATGGCTTATTGATAGCCTCTGGCCAAATTGGCTCTCAGCTTCAAAAGAACCACGAAGCTCCAGTAATTCTATGGAATTACCGTAACCGCGCTCCAGTTACTCAATTTGGTGGCATGACAGGAAAGGTAACGAAGGTAGAATTCACAGCAGACAGTATGTTCTTAGCAGCATCTACAGAAGATGGAAGACTTCAAGTATGGGACTGCAGAGATGGCTCTGTTGTATTTAATAGAAGATCTGAATTCCCAGTCTCAACTTTTGCCTGGGGACCAGTTAGCGACTCTGGACAAGGACTTCCAGGAGCAAGTCGTCACCCATCTTATAAGCTCGTCATGAGCTTCTCAGGCCAACTTGTGGTAAACCGCTTTGACTATGACATTGCTTCCATGTCGTATAGGATTTCTCCATCAAATTGTCAGCAGCCCAGCAGTGGCATGAACAGAAACTTTTCATGCTCAATAATCGACTCTTCTGGAGACTATTTATTTGCAGGCACTCCAAGTGGTGAACTAGTGGTTTATAATATAACGAACCAAGTCTTCAGAGGGAGTGTTCCAATCTCAAGCAATGGCTTATTGGCACTTCTGGAAATCAACGGAGTCATCTATGCTGGCTCTGGAGATGGAAAGGTAAAACAGCTTACCGGAAGGGATGGAAAATGGGCAGTTATTGCTGAAATACAAGTCCCTGGACGAGTTATGTCCTTATCATCACAGAGTGATCGGTCTGAAATACTGTGTGCGACTTCATTAGGCTGCATTTTCAGGATGTCGCCCCAGAACTTGAGCAATGTTTTACACTCAGAAAGCCCTGTAGGGTCTGTAAAAGATGTTTCTTTTGGAAACCGAAGTGACATGTTTTTAGTTGTGGATGCCGCAGGTTTTGCAAGAATTTGGGATAGCAGCGACTATTCAGTTGTGTTTAGGTCTGGACCTAATTCGCGAGCAGAAGGCACAAGCTGTGCGGTTGGTGATGATGGAAGTGTTATCACTGGCTGGAAGGATGGGTTTATTCGATGCTATGACCCTTCAAATTCTCAATTAAGGTGGGAAATCCAAAATGCCCATAGAGGTGCAGTAACCTCTGTATTTATGAATCAAAATTATATCTTATCTGGAGGAGAAGACGGAACTCTTACTCCATCCATTTATTAAAGAGGAATCCAAAATCTTTTAAAAAAAGTTAAATATTTCTCGACAAGATTTCATACTATAGCGCCTTTAAAAGACATTTATAATCTACTTAAACAGTTTTTAAAATATTTAAACCAAAAAACTGTATTATGCATTGCAATAATTTCTTATCATGCATATGCATGTCTTTTTTAAATTTGGTATGTGAAAACCAAATATGCGTTTCAAAACGCAGATTTTAGCGCGGCAGATTCATAATTTGAAATTTCATATGGAAATGGCCCATATAGCGTCCATAAGATTTTTTTACCAACGGATTATATTATATTTGGAGTGTTAGACTTTGGGGTAGGCAAAACCACCAGCTTCTGACTCAGTTCACTGATAATAGACGTGCCATTACTAGAGTGATGCCTGATGTAATTCAGCCACATTTAGTTCATTCTTGTGGCATTGACAGAATTATAAATACTTATGACCTTAAACTTGAAAGAAGGGTCGTGAGGCATGAAATTGGCAATGGAGCTATCTTTGATATGTCACAAAGAAAAGATAACGAAAATGAGCTTATAACCTGTGGAATTGGAGGAGCTATTCTATTCTGGGACTGTGACGAAGTAAACCCTGTACAGCAAATCGTATATCGCGGACAGCTAAATGCTCTTGATGTATCTCCATCAGGGAGATATTTAGCAGCAGGGTCTGAAGAAGGAGAACTATTTATTTTTGAGATTAGAACACTGCAATGCGTAGCTCAAGGAATTGGCCACTCTTCAAGAATTAACAGACTAAAATGGAGCCCAGATGAAAAGCAGGTGGTTACTGTAAGTGATGACTGCTCGATCGCGTTGTGGAACTTTTATGCTTACTCCCCCCCTCCGTGAGTGAACAAAAAAATTTTGTTCACTCACGGAGGGGGCTAAATTTTTTTTTTTAAAAAAATTTATATATAAATTTTATAGAAATTTTTTTTTTTCGAAATTTAAAAAAATCCTAATTTGCAAAAATTTGAAAGCAAATATTAATTTAATTTATAAAATTTATGTTTTAAAATGCAATTTGTTTAAAATTAAACAGAATTAGCTCTAGATTTCATTATATTAATTATCATTTATATATCAAAATTTTTTTTCCATAAAATTTTTTCTATAAAAAAATTTTTGTTCACTCACGGAGGGTGGGTTTTTGGGCAAAAAACAGCGATTTTTCTAATGGTTTTGTTCACTCACGGACGGGGGGAGTTAGAGGTAATAATTATCGTTAAGTTAATATTTGAAATTAAAAAGGCTTTTGTAATTGTTGAGAACCCACCTGGGTAAAAAATCTACAGCATTTAAATAATACTTAACTAATTAATCATTAAATGGCTTTAAAACAGTAAAAATTTCAAGAAAATGAATATTTGCTTACAAACAATAACTAAAATATTTCAAAACCAAAATTATTTATGGCAGAAAAAGTAAACTCAGAATACAAACCCTTCACGCATCCAAAATCAGCACCAGTTCGTCCAGCCCCAGAGTCATCAACCGCTACCTCTAGTTTTGGAGGTCACATATTTTCAATGCACAGTACTGAAGAGTCACGCAGACAAAAACAATTACAACAAAAAACTTACTTTCAAGAACTGACAAGGCAAATTCAAGAAAAAAAAGAAGACAAACCTATCGAGGCCTTTATTTCTAGCAAAGCTTCAACTCAAATAGAGCCATCACCCAGCACTTCTACTGATTTTGGCAGCGACTTAAAAAAACTTCCTTATCCTTGGGTTGATAGCAATAAGCCACTTCCCAGATACCAAAAAAAACACGAAATTGAAAATCACCTAGGGCTAAGCGTAAATGGGAGCCACTTTTTAGGTGGTCCACTACAAAGAGATGAAGCTCTTCTTCTCAAATTAAAAAAAGAAGAACAGCAAAAACAAATGCAGATGATTTTAAGATTAAGATTAAGATTAAGATTACGCTGGGTATTTAAGGTCCCTACTACGTCCGAGGTCGCATGCCACGGTTTCCCGTGTGGTGGCAGAGCGTTCACCAAGCCCGGGCCGAAACCCCCGGTTTCTCGGTAGAGGCATTGTCAAGGGCCGTCTCATACCGGCTTTGCTGACCACCTCCATTTCCAACTTGGATCGTCGCCTAAGTTTACGCCAACTCCGCTTCGTCGTCCGCCAGATCTGCCCATTGAAGGGCACCTTTTCAACTGGAGAGACCCCCGTTTTGGTGTCTAACTCGCCTCCCCTCTTTTCCGGTCATCCCGAGAAAGAACTCAACAGCTTTCGCCATTCGGGGCGAGCCACTAAAGCAGCTTAGGCAGGTAATTCACCCTGCCTCATTTCGGGCACTCACTGGGCTGAGCGCTGCTGGCAAAAAGAAGTCACGAATAACTGCCCATGGATCTGGTCGCAAAAACAGCGGCTCTCGCGCTTACGCCTCTCGCTTCGAGGTCCCAGATGTTGTTTGGGCTAATTCCTGGCTCCAAAAACCATGCCCGGATATACATGGGTAACCACCACTGAGAGGGTGGGTCGGTCGCCATACGCCATTTTATGTATATTGCAGATGATTTTAAATGCCCAAATTGAAGAAAAAAACAGAAAAGCTCAAAAAGAAAAAGAAGCAAGACTGAGCTATGAAATACAGGACGAGGAAAGAATATTTAAAGATAGAGAAATTTTGAAGAGAGAGGAACAGCAAGAAAAATCTCCTGAACCAAAATTTTTGAATACTTTGACTACTGAAGCACCTCCAAAGTCAATGATTGTGTTTTCGACTGCAAAAGAGGTTGAAGAGCCACAGCAACAGACATTCATCTCTCCCCCAATTTCTCCGAAAAAAGAGGTTCCTAACGAGTCATTGGACTATTTAAGCCAATTGTGTAAGCAGCTTATGGAAGAGCAAGAACAGCTAAGAGGTAAATTAAAAAGCCAAGAAGATATCATTGAAGATTTAAAACAAAGCAGAGACGAGCCTAAGAGAGCACCAAATAATAATAATAATTCAGCTCTGAGGAGAAAACCTCCAGCAAAGGTTAATATTCCTCCAACCAAAGCAAGCCAGAATAAGCTTAAGCAGCAGCATGATCTTGAAAATGCAAAAATTGCAGCTATTCAAGAAAAGATTGAAAATGCTAGAAAGAAAAAAGCAGAGCAAAGAGAATCCCAGGTACTCGCTAAGCAAGCAGAGTTCAGAAAGCGCAGCGAAACCCAGCAAGCCAAGCCAAAAACAGTTGTAAATAATAGAAGAATAAGTGAAGTCCCTGAAGTCAGACCTGACTCCAGAGAAATATATAAGCAAAACAATCAGATTTATAGATTGCAAAGTGCCTTCACACCTACTCTGCCTCCAGATTCTCCAGAGCTTCCGAACTCCTCACAAACGAACTTTCTTGTCCACGAATTATCCCCCAAAATGCCATTCGACCGACAAAATCTCGACTCTGCCGGGAAAAGCTATTTTATTTATCCTGACTCACAGGGCTCCTTTAATGTCGGTTTAGGACAAGATAACAAGCTTAAAGAATCCGGACACTTGAGCAGCTTTCTCCAAGAAGATGAGCTGAGAAACTCTCAAGCTGACGAACTTGACAAATTTGTCGAGGAGCACAATAAGAAAAGTCCTTACATTTCCCAATTCAATTCTGCTAGAAGCGTAGCAGACGAAAGAGAAAAAGCAAGATTTACCTGTACAACATTTGAAATTGCTAGAAAAGATGCGAAACCCCTTGTGGCCAATAAAGCAGGTTTTCCTAGCAATATTTTCAGAAGACCTTAGAGTCATAACATAAAAGAAATAATTTTATGATGTAATCATAATAATTCATATTAATTCGAGTGACAGTTATGGTTGATGTTGAAGATGTAGTCAGGTGGATTGTCTATAAATGCAGAGAAGAAGGACATCCAGTTACCGAAGCTCTTGCAGCTTATGTGGCACATACTACGATAAATCCAGATACCCAGCGATTTTTCTTGGAAACTGTATTATCCTCTGAAGCTGAAGCGAGGAAACTAGTTGACATTGCAGCTGGGAAACTGAAACTGGAAGGACAGGCTTCCATGGAAACTTTGAGAATGCAAATCGCTTATGACTCAGCTTATGTCCAGCAAGAAACCTTTCAGCAGCATTTTCAAGGGGTGCAGAATCAAGAAACAAATGGGTATATTGATGAAATTGTGAATTGCGAAACTCGCAGTGGAAACGATTTTGAAGGAATCACACTTTTATACAAAAAGATTTTCAGCTTTTTACTTTTTAGAAATAAGCTTATGGGTCTGAATTACGCCCAAGCAATTATCAGACCAGGCGGGGGTGCAGGCAGTTTGAATGCCATCACAAATATTGTACTGAATCCAAACATCTCTAATAATATTTTGAGCACCATTGAAAGAGAAGTGGCTGCAGCTCTAGAGAGTGTGCTCCCAAGGCCCGGGCTCAGACCTTTTGTGGCTATGTCTACACCTGAAAAAGTCAGCCAGCTAATGGAATTATCAAACATCGTCATTGGCATCCGGCTTTATAATAAAGAAACCGGAAAAGGAGGTGCGGGTCTTGAATCTTTTGAGCAGCTTGTATCACACCCTGCGAGAGATCTTATAAACGTTCTAAACAAAGAAGTCATTTTGACTGTTGAGCTCTGCGAAGACTATACAAATATACTAAAAGATAACCATGGACCTGAGTGGGAAGCATGACGAGATGAACTCACACACAGGAGACAACATTTAAGCTATCTGCTAGCACTTCAAGAAGATGTCCAAAATTCTGAAGCAATTATTGAAGGACTGCACAGTAGATATATCCGTGAATTGGTCGAGCTAAAAGAGCTAATAGGCAATAAGACATCAATACCTAAAGATCAGGTATATCCTAAGTTTGATACTCTGTGCCAGGTATACACACAGATGAACGAAGAAAAAAATCATTGCATCCTCAGAAAAGAGCTCTATAGGATTTTAAACGAGCATAAAGCTAAAGTACCTTTAACTATGACTCAAGAAGTTTTGCTAGGGGCTAAGCAGAGAAATGTGCAAACTCCAGACAGGCTTGAGAATGAAGGATCAAGAATCCATCAGGGTGTTAATAGGCTGACAAATGAAAATACTCCTGAATTTATGCATTTGCCACTCGATTATCAAGGATTTTGCATTTGAAGCTTGGTTAGAAGAAATGGACTTTTGGTGCCTGGAAAGCCAACATTAGGAGTAGTAAGATATAGAGACAGACACTTTGTCCTCTCTTCTCCTCAAGCTATGCTGGAATTTATGGAAAATCCAAACTTTTTCTTAGACGAGTGTTTGGCTATGGCAAGAATTCGGCCAGAGCTTATTCATCTGCTAACTACCCTTTAAGGGCTAATTGGTACAACATCATCTTTAGAATTTTCCAAATAAATCCTCGATTGATTATATTCTTAAAAATAAATTTCATAAACTAAATTAATTTTCTCATTTAAATATTGAGATTTTTTAAAATCCAAAAAAAAAAGTATATTCATTTTAATGTAATTTTTTTAACAAAAAATAAGCCTCCTTTTTGGGCGAGAGAAAATTTCTCGCTCTTAAAGAAGTAAGGATGTCAGAAGAATTCCCCAACTGCTCACTTACCCACCTTTTACAAGGTAAAGACGGCACTCCTCTTTTTTCTGTCACAGCCCCACTTATGCTGGACCAAGGCTTAGAAACGCCTTTGCACTTTGTTGAGAGCCACATCGACCCGAATTATCACTGGAACGAATGGGTTCTTACTCCCTTTCTTTTTAACAAACTAAAAAATCTTTCTACCAACAATATTTAAAGGTGAAATATTATTTAATTGATAAATGGCATATTTTAAAACTAAAATTTACTATAAAGTGATGAGATTTCATTATTAAAAATATTACTTATATATTAAAATAGTTTATACGAAAAATATTTTTTTGCTTGCTAATTAAATTAATTTTCCCGAAAATAGGGATTTGACGAATGGTTTTGGAAAAATAAAGGGAGTTGAGTCAGGAAAAAAGCCCTTCAAATGGCAGATATAAGAAAACGACAAACGACTGGTGCTCAAACCGATCAAAGCAACTTCAAGAGAGATAACGAAACTCAGGTCTATTTGCCAAAGGAAGAGGAAACACAAACGCTCATCACCAAATGGACTGATATGGATTGGATCTTAAACAGAATGGACTTAAAGCCTGGAGAAAAAGCAACTGATGAAACTCATGGCTTAGAAACACAACTTAATTATATTGTTGGAGTAAGAGGTGATGACAAGTGGAAAAAAGTTAAAAAGTAAAATTATTATTTTAAGTTGACATATCTTGATTAATAGATTTCAAAATTTCTCTAACTCTCCACTCTGTGAGCGAACAAAAACATTGAAAAAATTCCTAGTTTTTGGATAATAACCCACCCTCCGTGATCAAATAAAAATGGTCTTTAATATAAGATTTTTTTGAAAAAAAAAATTGATATATAAGTAATAATTATTATAATGAAATCTCTATCCAATTTTATTATATTTTAAATAGCTAGCATTTTAAAATATAAATTTTACAAATTAAACTAATATTTGCTTTAAAATTATTTCGAATTGGGATTTGTTAAATTTTAAAAAAAAATTAACTGTATAATTTATATAAAAAAATAACCACCCTCCGTAAACGAGCAAAATTATTTTGCTCCCTTATGGAGGGGGAGTAAAGAAAACAAAATCACCATTTGCAGCTTGTCGAAACCCTTCTTGAATTTCTTGCGAATTAACTTGCATCATCTTGAATTTTTCGATTTTCAGCAGCTTCATCATTTCTTCTTTTTGTGACCATTTTTTAATAAGCCAATCGGGTATAGGACATTCATCAAAAGTTAAGAGAAATTCTTCAAAAATTTCGAATTTTTTAATATTTAAGCAGAGAAGCTGGTAGTATTTTTGATATTCTTCGTCGATAGAGCAAATGATGTCTTCTCTTAGCATAAATAATCTTTCCCTTGTAAGTGATTTATAGAGTTCTATTTTTTCTTTCATTACATCCATGATTGTAAAAAACATCATCTTTTCTGGGTTCTCGTCAATAATGGTTCAGCAAGATTCACATACTGTGCTATTAGTTCTAATTTGAGACCCACAAAAGGAGCAATTCAGCACAGCTCTTTCCATAATATATTTTATACTCTATATAATCGCGATATTTATTATTTTAAAATAATCCTCTTTGATTAGTAATTTATATTTAAATGATTGTAAATACATAAAGAAAAACTTAAAGTTTTCCTCTAACTTCGCGCTTTAAGAAGGTCAAAGCATGGTTGCGAATGAAGCAACTAAATTTACTTCTAAATAGTTCTTTAAACAATAAATAAAGTAAATGTATCAAAAAATTAATTAAGTTTTGACATTAATAAACTCCAAAACTATTGATATAAAATCTGACTTCCTAATGGTTAGGATATAGTAATAACAAAAATAATTCCCATAGCACAAATTTATTGACATCGATGACTATAAATTAAAAAAATTCCAAGTTTTCATTCTTATTTTATACTAATATCTTAATGTGCTCATGATTTTAAATTTCACTTAATATTGATTCGGACAATTGATCAGGAGAATTATTAAAATGGCCAAGCGTATCGCAAAAGGAAAAACCTCTCGAGTGGTATGCAGAGGCCCTCCTGTGCTTGAAGCCGATTTCGGAATGAAGCTGCTAGAAAAAGAGCTAGAATTAGAAAAATCATGAAACATTGAAACCATTAATGAGCTTGTTCATATGTATACAGAAATGATCGAATACTACGAGTACCACAAAGATCCTAAATATCTGGATTTCCAAGATAGAATGCACAAAATGCTGGTGAAGCCTCAAGTAATAGCCTCTATGAGAGAAGACAACAGAGCAAAAAATGCTTTGAAGCTAGATAAATCTTCTTCAAGCCAAAATACAGAAGGGAAAGCAAGAAGGCTAGAAGATTTTGAAGACTTGGAGTCTCCAAAAAGTGTTTCTACCGAAACAAGCACGGTCAATAGCGAGGCTGAGCTCAAGCAGGAAGAGCCAAAAGCACAAGATTTAGACGAACTTTCTGACGACCAGCTTCAAAGATCGCGATCAAGGCACCACACAGTTTCAGGTACACCCTCAAAAAGCCCTACTCAAAATTTAAATGACATCCAAAAGCGAAAACAAGACTCAGCTAAAATGAAAGAAGCCCTTTCTGCAGAACTATCCAAAACTTTAACCGATGTCTCCTACAAAGCAACCAAATTCTTTGACAGAGTTATTGGCCTCGTCCAAGCATCTACGAAGGAAACAGCTGCAAAAGCAGTCTCAGACTTCAGATCCCAAGACTCCGATTTGAGTCGAAGACTCAGTTCTAGAAAACAGGTGACCATGAATAAATCAGTCATAAGCATCGAATTTATGCCTCCAGCTGAAAATGTTTCAGTTTCTGATATACATTTCAGCGATACCGAAGAAACTTTTGAGCAATGCTCATTTCTGTCAACTGCTTTGAATAAATCACACATAAATGAGCAACAAGAAAATTCAAGGATAAATGACTTTAGAATGGTAGAGTACCTGGAAAATAAGCTCGAGGAACTGATGGAAAAGAATTTTTCAGAAAAAGTGGCAAAGATGAGTGAAGTAAGGCTGAGGTATGAATCTCAAATGAAGGAGCTGGAAGGGCAAGGAGGTCTTGCCCAGATGATAGTAGGGCAAATGAAAGTTGATATGGAAAATGAAATCAAAGCTATTGCTGAAAGAAGAGGGCTCAGCAAATTTATACAAAACATCAGGAAGCTGGCTTTGAAAAATTTCTGAAAGTCGTTTTAGCAAGAAAACCATGAAGTCTGTTTTTGGATAAAATAGTTAAGTCGAATAAAATAAACTTTTAATAGAAAATTTTAACCGACTTGCAATGGTTTCATTTAATAGACATGGATAAATGGTATGAAGTCGGAGAAGCAAAATACTAGCGTGACTGAGAAATGAAAAATAGCAGAGTTGGAGATAAGAAATCTGCATAAGTCGCGATCTTAGGTTATCGGCAAGTTGGTGCTAAAATTAACGGAAATCTTGATGAACCCTACCAAGTCTTCAATATAAAACCAATACAAGTCGAGTAATTAAAATATGATCAGATCAATTAATCTTAATTTAAAAAAGCACCATTTTCTTATATTTTTTCGATAATGTAAATATATATAAAATTTCAGTGTCGTGATTATGAAAACCATTTATAGTAGAGAGAATTAAAACTGTAGCAGGTAGGCTATGAGAAATATTAGGAAGTCGTTGCGAGTTTTAGTATCCAATAAAAATAAGTATAGTCGATTAAAAAAATAATTAAATTAAAATCTTTGATTGGGGGTCTTAAAATAAGGCATATAAAATTAAATATGAATCCAAGATTTACTCACCCTCTTTACGGCAATTTCGCAGAGATACTCAGAACTGAAGATAACGCAATAAATTGTGCCAAGAAGTGAAAATAATGCAGCCAAACATTTGTGATATATGCCATAATCCATGCCTCTCTTATCGAAATGGAGGATCTATGTTTCTACGTTGTACTTTATGCAATTTAAGTTTTTCAATTCGAAGAAGATCCATATTTTCCCAATCAAGACTCTCAATAAGCAAGATGGTTAGGTTAATTTTCCATTGTTTCGTCCGAGAACAGTCCATGATAACTATTGTTGAAGACAGCGAAATATCAAAAGATGCTGCTATAAAGCTGTTTAAAAAGCTGAGAGCTTTAATAAGTGAACATGAGATTGAAAATTATTTTACTGATAATCAGCTTGGAATAGAAGATGAAAATGGGCAAGATCATCCAACTGTAGAACTTGATGAAACTCATATTATGACTATGGATCATGATCCCAAATGGCTATTCGGAATTTTTGACAGAGGAGAGCAGAAGACTATAGATTTACTATGTAGGCAACGATAGAACTTGGGGAAATTTATCAGGATATATTCTAAATGCAGTATCAAACGATCAAACGAATGCTACAGAAGTATTTATAGATGGCTGAGCAGCTTACAGACAGCTTCTAACATTAGGATATCACCATTCAATTGTTTTTCATAATCAAGACTTTGAATTGGAAGGCAAACAACTAATCGTATTGAAAACGTTTGGAGCAGGCTAAAAAGACTAAAGGCTTATAGAAATGGTTTTTTCGCCCAAAAAATGAAAAAGATTTGGATAATTACTGTATGTTTTTTTATTGGCTTCTCAAACTAAAAAATATACCAGAAAAAATAGACTCATTGATACAAATTTTAAATATCTCTAAGTTCTAATTTAATTATTTTTTTAATCGACTATACTTATTTTATTGGATACTAAAACTCGCAACGACTTCCTAATATTTCTCATAGCCTACCTGCTACAGTTTTAATTTCTCTACTATAAATGGTTTCATAATCACGACACTGAAATTTATATATATTTTACATATCGAAAAAAATATAGAAAAATGGTGCTTTTTTAAATTAAGATTAATTGATCTGATCATATTTTAATTACTCGACTTGTATTGGTTTTATATTGAAGACTTGGTAGGGTTCATCAAAATTTCCGTTAATTTTAGCACCAACTTGCCGATAACCTAAGATCGCGACTTATGCAGATTTCTATCTCCAACTCTGCTATTTTTCATTTCTCAGTCACGCTAGTATTTTGCTTCTCCGACTTCATACCATTTATCCATGTCTATTTAATGAAACCATTGCAAGTCGGTTAAAATTTTCTATTAAAAGTTTATTTTATTCGACTTAAACTATTTTATCCAAAAACAGACTTCATGGTTTTCTTGCTAAAACGACTTCAGAAATTTCTCAAAGCCAGCTTCCTGATGTTTTGTATAAATTTGCTGAACCGCTGAAGAGTTTGATAACAAGAGAAAACAAGATGTGAGAGCCTTAAAACAGTCTTTTGTTGAATAAATATATAATTAATGTAAGAAGCATCAGGTAAAAATAATTTTTAGAGATTATATATATAAAAAGCACCTCTGAACTAAGAAATCTTTAAATCGCAAAATTGTTGCGTATTTGCATTACATTACTATATGGAGACTTCTAATATTTAATTTCAGTTATGGCAACTAAAGGAAATCTTCAAAGACGGCAAGCACAGGCTCAGGCCCATAAAGCTCAAGCCCAAAAGCAAGGATATAAGCTTCCTGACTTTTTGGTAACTTTTATTTAGCTTGATGACTTGCGAGCAGCTGTTGCTTTATATGAAACTGAAGACCAACCTGGGGTCATTCAAATGAACCATGTAAGAGGAATTCTCTGAAACTTCGGCTTTTGGCGTATGACAAGCAAGGACTTCGAAAAAGAACTCCAGAGTCATGATATTGACCCTAGAAGGACTTACTTAGAATGAAATGAACTTCTTAATATTGTTACTCGTAGATACCACCAAGGGGGTAGAGAACAAGAAATCAAAGACACTTTTAAAATTTTTGACAAAAGAGAAAGAGGATATGCAAATGTAGCTGATATTAGAGCAGCTTTGCAGAGCAAGCTTGAAGTGCCTGTCACTGAAAGTGAAGTTAATGAAATGTTTGAAATGGCAGGAATTGACCCAAACAATCCAATTACGATGAATGATTTTATGAATGTAATGAAAAGCTTTTAAGATAAAATTATAACAATAATATTATTTTTTATATGAATTTTAATATAAGAATTTATTGATTAATTTAATTTATTTATCATAATTATGGAGAAAATTCAATTAGCCGCGGCCTTTTTTATTAGAACTAATTTTTTGCGTTTTTCTCTTTTTCTTCACTATAGCTTCCCATTCTTTTCGTTTCTGTATGGCTTCGTGTATCATTTTTCTGTATTCAGCTTCCGTTATCACATAATTTGGCTTAGGTCTTGGAGGCAAACTTGGCCCTTGAAGCTTTACATTGTTAAGCACTGCTTGAGCTTCTAGTTTATACAGATTTTTTGTAAACTCTTGCTTTAATAATTTGCATTCTTCATTATATATTTTTAACCTTTCTCTATACTCATTCATTCTCATCTTAAGTATGTTCATAATTTTGAAATCTTTTACTGAGTCTGGAACGGATGATCTCCCTTTAATTGCTTCAAAACTAATGCGCTTTTCAAGCTCTGATGGTGGAATTTTTCGCTTTTTTATTCTACTCTCAATATACATTTTGTATTCTACTTTATTTCAGAGCAATCTTTTAATTATTAATGCACTTTTCCTTTGAATAAAAATAGATCTCATGGTACGTTGTATAAAAATAACTTTATTAATAAAAGATTTCATCAGTTTTGCAATTTGCTCCTCAGCAAGAACTCTTTCGCATATATCTACAGTCATTTCTGCCCATTTGGTTCGAATTTTTTCTGTTCACTTTAGAAATATTGGTAAATGTTTTTTTAAAGTTTTAAAAGCTTTTGAGATCCTTATTTTCTCCAAAATTATTTTGAACTTCCCAATTGATCTGCAAAAATTCATAAGCCATACAAGCACCTTGCTCGATCTTCTATGTAAATCTTTTCTTTCGCTTATTTGGCGACGAATATTATTTGCAGACCAAAAAATAGTGTAAAGCACCGACCAAGCTTTAGCAATCGAGAGTATTTCATATTTTTTAAGCTTTATTTCATATCTCCTTTCCTTTGACTGCAATTTCAATAATTTTTCTAACTTATTCTTTGTATAAATCATTTGTTTTTTTTCCTTAATTTCGAGAATTTTTGCAGAATCAGATTTTGCTTTGTCTCTCAAATGTCTTATTCTTTCACTTGGGAGATGTTTTTTCATGTCTTTATTTTCGTTTAAAATTTCTTGGTTTTTATCTAAATCACTGAAATTCAATTTTGGAACTAATGTTTGAGTTAGATTATTGGAAAACCTGGCGATTGTGGAAAAATGAAAGGAAGGCCCATTAAATGTATTCAGGTCATAATGATAATGCCCAGGACCTAATTTGCTTGAAGCAATTGTTTTCATACTGTAAGTATTTGCGAAAAGTAATTGAACAGAGCTAGAACGAAATGAGTCTGTGGAGTCTTTTTTGCGATGAATTCTTATATTATCTTGACTCTCACTGATAGAGTTATCATTTCGAGATTTATATCTATTGTCCCTGTTTAATCTTTCTGTATTGGCAATGTAGGGTTTCAGCTTTATTAATTGCAATTTTTTTAGCTCCTTTAAAGGCGACGATCTATTTATATGGGAGTTTATGGCTTCTTGGCACTCTGCAATAAAGTTTTCACTGCTTAGAGAATCACTTGGCATCATTTTATCAACTCAAAACTTTATTAATACTTAGTCAAAAATGGAATAAATTAGTTATTTCGCCTAAGATAAAACAGAAAAAGAGTATAAGATTATTTATAAGAAATATAAGTAATTCAAAAGACTTTTATAAAAAACCAGAAATTTTGTGATAATTAATGTTGCCAATTTAATTATTATTCAAAATTTTACCTTTGGGTGCTGGAATTTTTGAACGACCTTTAGGCTGAATTAAAAATGGAGCTTGCGACTCAGAAGTTGGCTTTTTAAATTCAAGAAGAGCTTGAAACTCAGAATTTTTGCATTCAGTTTGAGTTTGTGACTCTGAAGCAGGGTTTTTAAACTCAGAGCTGCTTTCTAAAATAGATGAGTTTAGCTTTTTCGCATTTGATTCATGCTTTATTATGAATTTAGGCTGAATCTCAAACTCTTGTTTTGCTTTTATTTCTACAACTTGATTATTGTCTAAATGTTCCTTCACTAGATTTTCTTTTCCTAATTTTGTAACCATTTTCCCTCTAGATTTATTTGCCTCCCGTATCTTCTTCACTTCTTCTTTACTCCCCCCCCCCCCTCCGTGAGCGAACAAAAAAATTTTGTTCGCTCACGGGGGGGTTATTTTTTTTTTTTTAAAAAAAAATTTATATATAAATTTTATAAAAAATATTTTTTTCGAAATTTAAAAAAATCCTAATTTGCAAAAATTGGGAAGCAAATATTAATTTAATTTGCAAAATTTATGTTTTAAAACGCAATTTGTTTAAAATTAAACAGAATTAGCTCTAGATTTCATTATACTAATTATCACTTATATATCAAAATTTTTTTCCATTAAAATTTTTTCTATTAAAAAAATTTTTGTTCACTCACGGAGGGTGGGTTTTTGGTCAAAAAATGGCGATTTTTCTAATGGTTTTGTTCGCTCACGGAGGGGGGGGGGGGAGTTAGCAATTTTATTAACAACCCTATACTTTGGCGTTTCAATTTCAGCTTGCTCCTTGATTTCTCTCTTATCTATTTTATTTACAATTTCTGCTATCTCAACTTTTAAATTTAATCTTCCACTTTCTTCATTTTTATTAGAATGCATTTTGGAATTATTTTCTATAATTTTGTTGAGCTCTCCATTTTCTCCTTTTTTAGTAACTTGTATTTTTGTTTTGAATTCTAGGGGTTTGCTTGAGTCTTCTTTAACTTTTTTGATTATATGAATTTTTGTTTTTGTTTCGAGCGGTTTCTTGAAAACCTGGCTATCTTCTTTTTTTGCTACTAGTGTTCGATTTTTATTTTCAACTGGCTTTTTGAATTCTTCTAGCTCTGCTTTTTTGCTTTTGATTTCTACTGCTCTCTTAAATTCTTTTTCTATCTCTGTTTTGCTGGATATTGATGGTTTATTTTTTGGCTCTAAAAGTTTCTTTCTATTAAAATCTGTTGAAGTTTTATTTACAATTTCAAGTTGCATCTTTGAGACCTCGAGTTCAGTTTTGCTAGACTGAGCTTTATGCTTCGTTATAATGCTTTCTTGCTTCTTTTTTTTTACTTCTGTTTCTGTTTTTATAGCTCCTGCTTTTGCTTTTGAAATATTCAAATCCTGAGATTTCTTAAGATTTATCAGTTCTTTTCTTAAATTCTCAACCTCTTCAATACTTGATTTGTCCTTTACTTTAATTTTATTCATCAAAGTACTCAATTTGGTGTCCCTTTCTTTAATTCCTTTCTCCAATTCATCAATCTCTTTCCCCATTTTTTCTAATTTCCCCACAAGCATAGCTTTCTCATCTCTTTCTTTTCCAAGTAATTTTAAAGTTTTTTCGAGCTCTTGGCTTGTTTTATTTCTTTTAACTACCCAATCAAGATCAACAGACTTTAATCGAGAGCCAAGCTCAAGTGTACAGATTGCCTCATTGTAATTTTCTATTTCTGGGCTACAATTCATAATAGCATTCACGTCAGTTTCAGTTTCTCCTAGGGTTGGCTTTAGAACTTTTGTTAGCATAGAGTTTCGATAAGGAATGTGTGACTGCTTGCTTTCTAATGCACCAATTACATCAACTAATGCAGAGAGAGATTTATTTATTTGGACTGTTTCTTTTAATGTGTCTCCTTTAGTTTGACTTTTATTAAGCCTTTCACTTCCTGCAAGATCGACAAACTGAATTGTTCCTTCGTAATTTCTGAATGAAATTATTAAGGTGAAAACCATGTGACTTCTTGATGAGTTCTCATTTGACTGTGTTGATTTAGTAATTCGTTTAGAAAAAGCTTCGTTTACTGTTCTAATCACTTCTGGCACCCAATTGCCTTCAAACTTCATGTCAGCTATATTTACATTTTCCATCCAATTTTTGATGTTAGGCTCTTGTCTGAGTAAATTCTTTATTTGCTCGTTATAGATTTCAATACATTGTATAGATACTTTGGTTTCTTCGCATTTCAGCAATTTACTGAGATGCGATAAAGATTCTGCTATTAATCCGCTCATTGTGTGCGTCTTGCCTGATCCAGTCTGTCCATACGCTAATATACAAGTCCTACCACCCAGACTGACTTTTTCAATACTCGGCATAATTTCTTGAAACACTTCATTTGTGCTGGCGTTCTGTCCAAACACTTTTTCAAAAGAAAAAGTTTTCCGCTGATTTTTCAGTTTTTCAACTGTCGGATTTGTTTGGATTTCCCCAGAAAAACATGTCAAACTGCAAGGCTTTAACTTATTTTGTGCTGGTCTAATCCTAACTAGCACTTTAATTTGTGCCTTTTTCGGCTCAGGAAAGGACAAACTGGACTGCATACTTCTCGGAGTAAAAGCTGAAGAATGATTGAGGGATATAGAATTTTCTTTTTGCTCTAGGAGTTTTTGGAGCTCGTCCCTTTGAAACAGAAGTTCTGAAACTTCTTTTTCAAGTGAGCTTACTTGATTCATGTCAGCTTGAGATCGTAAAGATTCTATTTCTTGACTTAGTTCATTGCATTGATCTTTAAGCCTTTGAATTTCAATTTCTGTTTGTATTTTGTATTCGGATAGCTCTTCTTGATATAATATAGAATTTTCCTCAGCTTGATAGAGCTTTTCTTCTAAATCTTGCTTTGAAAACTCCAATGCCCTTACTGTGTTTTCCCATTGATCATTTAACTGTTCTAGAGCTCGTTTTTGTTCTTCACATTTTTTTAGAGTGCTTTTTAATTTTTCCAGTTCCCCTTGATATCACGCTAACTCTTTTTCATCTTTATCATACTTTTGTTTTATATGACTTAAAGATTCCTTAAGTTCATCGAGAAATAAAATGGTGACGTAGACTGAAATTAGACTCCGAGGCACACCTCCTATAGAGCTGGTAGGACCCATTTCTGATGAAGCTGAAATATAGGGCCTCGTTCCCTGTCTTAAGTAGGCCTTCAGAGGTGGGGAAGCCGCGCCGAAAAGGAAGTTTTATTCCTCCCCCGAAGGTTTTCCTGTCCCTGCCAGATGGGCTAGACAGGTTTAGCCTACCACATGGTCTTCCCTTACCGGGACCATCGGGGTACTCTCCAAGAAGTGGCTCTGACCTGAGGAGCTGATCCTCTGGACAGGTGGTTCAGAACAGAAATCAAGATGACGTTCGGCCTGGGAGTATGGCCGCATCAGAACCCGACCGGAAGCCATCTTTCGAGCTGAGGTGTTGTGGTCCGCTGGTTCGCCGACGTATGGCCATTTAAAACTAACTAACTAACTAACTTAAGTTCACCGATTTTCCTCAAGGCATTTTCAAGCTTTTCTTGCTTTTCTGTAATTTCAGCTTCAAGGGCCTCTTCGTATTCTTTAGCTTGCTCTTGAAATCTAATTAGGGGTTACTCTTGGTATTCTTGTCTTATAATTTGTATATCAGCTTCTTGTGTTTCTTGAATTTCCATGATTGTTCAAACGAAAGTATCTAATTATTTATATTTTTTAAATAAATAAGCCTTTTTAGTATTAAACAGATAATATGGATAGTGCTTTTGATTGCAGCACTTGGTATGCATAATGTGTAAACTCTTAAAATTATTGAATTCATTGATTAAGCAAATAAAAAAAAATTTTTGAACTGCTAAATAATGGTGATTATTATTATTAATTGGTTACAAAAAATCAGTATTCAGAAAAGACGACAAAAATTTGCAAATGTTTGATTAATTTAAAATTTAGTTTATTTAGAACTAAAAAATATATATTTTATGTTATAAAACTAATCATTGTCTTTTTCTTGCTCTTTTCGAATTTGTATTGAGAATTTCATGATTTTATCTGAAACTGAAGGCCAAAGAACTTTTTTTAATATTTGAACTCCATAATCTAATGTAAAAACAAAGCCAATTGCAACTAAAATGCAAACATAGTAATATTGTGTGGTGAGCATCTGATAAAGCGTTTTTGCAGTTGGAAGAGTAGTAAATGGGTCATAAACTACAATAAAAATGAAATAGCAGAGTATGCTTGTCCCTAGAATTGCAATATAATGATAAATGGACCATAGTTTTGTGTGAAGACCAAGCTTAAAATTAACAACAAAAATAATGCAAGAAAAAGAAGTCACAGATAGACCCCACTGGCTATAATTATAGCCTCTGCTATTCATAATGCCTTCTTCACTTGCATATAGAGGGATAAAGAAAACAGCAACTGCGTGAATATAACCCATTAAATTTCATGTCCAAAAGTGGAAAGGAGTAAATATCCGATTATCTCTCCCAACTTCATATACTTTTGGAATGAGGTGTCTTAATAAATCTTTTTTAGTTTGAGCTGTTTGTCCCACTTCTGATCTTTTTGGGATTTCTATGTCTCTTTCGAAAAGAGCTCTCATTAGCAGAGGCAGCGCAGTAAAAATCAGATTATAAAACGTGATATATCAGTCATCATAAAATGCTTGTCCACTGTATGCACAATAAAACCCAAAGAAAAAGTGAGGCATAGTAAAGACTAAGTTTTTATAGAAAAAATACATAATCATCTCACTTTGCCTTATATAGTTAAATCTCCCATGGACAAGAAGCAACTCTCATAGAAATTTAAACTCCCCAATAGAATAATCGCTCGCCTGTACAGCTTGCATTCCTTCTTCTCCATAAATTCCTACCCCTATGTGGGCTTCCAAAATCATTGAAACATCATTAGCACCATCTCCTACCGCAAGTGTTTTTATTCCAGTATTATCTTTCATAAGTTTCACGATTTCTCGTTTTTCTCCAGGTGTTACTCTACAGCAAATAACAGTTTTGCATACCAGTGCCATTTTTAAAAACAGCTGCTTTATTTCTCTGGCTTTTTGAAGCGTAACCTGGCTTTTTGAGAGCTCTGGGTATTTTGTTATTTTAATGGGATCCCCTTCATCGAATAACACCTTTTCTAACGCTCCACCTTCTATTAATAAAGCTGCGGGCTTGTCTTTTTTCTCACTTTCAAATCTGCTGTTTATATATCTCATGCATTCTAAGCAATCGTCTAAAGATAAATTTCCTGGACATCTTTCGACAATCATGTTCTCATCAACTAATGAGCAGGTTTTGCCAATATTTTCAGCAGTTTCTAGCTTATCACCAGTTAGCATTCAAACGTTGATTCCAGCTGAAAGAAGTGCTTGTATAGTTTGAGGGACATCATCTTGCAGAGAATCTTCAACAGCAGTGCAGCCTAATAAGAATAAATCTTGCTCAATTTCTTCTGCAAGCTTATCAATTCTTTCTTCTCTTCCTTCAATTGAAGTGCTTGCTTCATCAAATCGTCGCTTTCACTCTATATAGTTTGCTTCCTCTAATATTTTATACGTAAACATCAGTGTACGGTATCCTCTTTCTGAATATGTCTGTAAATCATTAGAAACCTTATCAAGATAAGCTTTAAGATTTTCCTGAGATAAACGCTTCTTTATCTCGCTATCTGCACCTTTTGTGTAAAGAATCATTTTATTGGTCTGCAAATCTTTAACTATAACCGAGTTTCTTTTTCTGTCAGAATTGAATTCCAGCGTAGCACATTTTTCAAACCGTAGTAAATCGCATTGATCTTCCATGCCAAAGTGAAGTCTCTTTATATCCATAATTCCTGCTTTTAGCTTATCATACTTGTAGCCTATATGTGCAGCGAAATCAACGAGTACGATTTCATCTGGACTTTGGCCTATATAATTGCTTTCTTTATTTTCATTTTCTTCAATTAAGCATTCGTGGCAAATCGACATACACTTGACAAATTGGTCAAGCAGCTCTTTCTGGCTATAAAGTCCTTCTTTTCCATAAGACATCTCCATAACCACCGGAGAGCTCAATGGAGCGTCTCCATCCTTTCCATATAAATCATTCTCTATTTCTTCAACCTTAAATGTAAAAATAATTTCTTTGGTTTGTCTAGTCACTTTTGAGCTGTATTGTCGACTGATTAAGAATTGCTTCTCTCCATACATTTTATTCCCCACAGTGCACAGCTTGAATTGCATCCTGTTAGATGTCAAAGTGCCGGTTTTATCAGAAAAAATATGCTCAATCATTCCAAGCTCTTCATTTAACGAGAATGCAGATACGTGGCAGGGGCGGTCTCTGATAGTACTGTACATCTCCAGATCTTGCTGCATAAAGAATCCTTGTGCAATTTTTATAATTTCCAAGGAGACAATTAATGAAATTGGAAGCATAGTATTTAAAAGTAAAAAGTAAGTAAAATAGTTCAAGAAGCCTTGAAGACCTGCGCTGTAGTCAGGATCTGACAAGTAGTAGTGGTCATCGTATTCTTGATAGCTCCACACTCCATATAAAATAGCCATAATAACACAAAATCCAGTCTGGGCTGCCAAAATGCCTACAATATATTGATTAGTCTTTCTTTCAATAAAGCTCTGCTTTGATTTTCTCGACATGAGGTTTTGCCTTAATTTTGTCTCTTTTCCAGTGTAGACAGCTGCTCCAACTATCCATGCAGTGTTTCTCAGAAACGCTCCTGCTAGCAGTAAGTTGTTTTTGTCTAGAGGCTGCTTTTTATCATTGTACTCCAAAGACCCTGAAAAGTGGTAAAGCCTTGCATTGGGATGCTCACACTCAATAAGTGAAAAAATCCTAATTATATCGTCCTTTCTCGTGTCATTCATTGTAGCAATGACCGCTTGCCTCGGCTTTAAAGTTTTTTCTCCATCAAGGCTTGACGTTTCAATATAGGCGATTCCATTATCAGCCGAAGAAGAAAGCATTACTAGGTCGCATGGAAAAGCTTCATCTTTCTGCACTAAAACTACATTCCCCACTTGCACTTCTTTAAAGGTGGCTTCTTCAAATTTCCCATTCCGGTAAATCATAGTCTTAGCTGAGTTCGTTTCTTTGTCTGATTTATACCTCAAGTAGTCTTCAAACCCTTCTCTAATCATACTAACTGCCAAAATAAAAACAACTGCTACCAAGCCTGATCAAGACCTTAAAGGAGTAATTTGAGGAATCGATTGAAGAATTACAATGATGAGGAAATACACATTTGGAAGTCTTTTATATTGTTCCAAAAGACTCAGTGGGAAAAAGGTCACTAGGTTGTATTTGGTCGTGCTTACATAGTTTGACTGGAAATCATGGATTTGGTTGAGTTCAAAACCATTGACATAAAGAATGCGCTTTGTATTTGAATCAGAAACTTCGGCCATTTAAAACAAATATGAGAGCTTTCAAGCTAGTTAATATATTAAGGATTAATTTTAATGAAATTGCCTTAAGCTTCTGAGACAATCCGAGATTTACTTATTTCAAATACTCGCACAGTGTCGTCTCCACTACATATAGCTGCCCTATTTGATGTATTGGCAAAGTCAATTCCATAAACTGATTTAGTTAGGTTCGAAAGCACAGCAAATGGTCTCAGAGTTAATGAGTCATAAAAGTAAGCCTCGTTACTGCCTGATCCCCCCACAGCAAAAATAGCGCCACTATCAAACTTGCTGTATTGAGCAGCATAAAGCATGCAAGGCTTATTTTCGTTTCGAAGAGTAGATGTGAATACATTTTCTCCATTAGGAAGAGTCCAGATTTGGATTTGGTCATTATTTGTATAGCTTCCTGTTAATAGTTCATTTCCTTTCACATCAATAGCGTCTCCACATATATGAGGGCCATAAATACACTTTTGAACTCGACGGGTTCTGACATCCCATATCAAAACATTATTATCCCATCCACCACTGATAACAGTTTGGTCTCCAAACCATCTGACTTTAAATATCCTATTTCCGTGTCCAGATCTTTCTCCTTCGCCAGGCAGCATATCAGAAATAAGCGTTTTCGTTGACTCATCATAAACTCGAACGTGCATATCTTCACATCCAACTGCGAAATATTTGCCTTCGGAGTCATAATTGACAGAAAGCACTTGGCTGTTTTCCACACCTATTGTATGCAGGATTTTTCCTGATGTAGAATGCCAATGGATTATATATCCTTCAGCTGTGGTTGCGACTAGAACATGCTTGGTTTTAGCTTGAGATATTAGGGGTCGGAATTGAATTGATGTAACTGGTCAATTAAGTTAAGTTAAGATTATGCGCTATAAGCGGAGTTAACGACTAGTTGTTATCTTGTCTTGGCTCGAAGAGCCAGCCTCCATAGACCTCAAGTTCAAATGAGAAAATAGAAGGCTGCCCTTTTGAATATCCGATCTGAACCACGTGTCCAAGGGATTGACTCTCTAGAGGACGTCTCGATAGCCCCTTAGGAAGATCATGCTGTAGGCAAATCTCCAACCCATCTGCCAGGGACAGAAAACCTTCAAAGAGGAACAAAGCTTTCCTCTTCAGCAAGTTATCCCAAACCCTAAGGCCTAATTCAAAAAGTGGACAGAGGAGCTATTTTCAGATTCATCAGATGGGTATCATATGCTCCAGAGGAATGTGCCTCGGAGTCCAATTTCCGTCAATTTCAACATTTTATTTCGTTTTTAACTGGTAAGGCATCTATTCCTATTCGACAATTTAAGGTTCTGATCCAGTTCCCGGTAGCTGCAGAATAAATTTTTATAGTTCCATTTGAGCCTGCTGTCGCAATTTGCGAATCATCCATGCTCCATTTCACAGCAAAGACATTTGCATCTAAATCAACTATTGTTCGTTCATGCTCTATTACACGCTCTTGATCCATTTATATAGGTGTTTTGAAACAAGATTAATTAAAAAGCTTAGATCAGACTGAATATAATTTTTATCTTGCAATTTAGCAGGCTCTAATTCTCCCAAAATTAATATTGAGCATTTTTCTCTATTATAATTGATTGAAATATAGGGTAAAATAGTTTTTATTTTTAAATTAAAATTATTATAAGTATTAAAAAGCCAATAATGTGAAATGAAATTTATTATATATTTGAAGACAAATTTAAAGCATCTATATCAATTTGATAAAATTTGTGGATAAAGACAATTGTCACCAACTCAATTACTAATAGCAGTTAATGTATAGTAACTAAGTTGTAATTAAAAAGCAACTGATATATTAAGATTCTATTTTATCCTAGTTTATCTATTTCTCAAAAACTCCAAAAACGTTTCTGCATCCACTTTCTCAGCTTGCTCTTTTAAGTCCTTAACTATTGAGCCCCACTTCTCAAGATCTTCCATGTTATACTGACTTGCCATATGCTCTCTGCATGCCTTTTCATAAATCTGGCTCATCAAGTCGTTGCAAATATCCACTGTATTCATTTCAAGGTTATTTAATTTTTGCACAAGCTCCTCGTCTTCTTCATCGATCTCTAGTTCATCAGGGTTGTTTTTTGCCTGCTGGAAATATTTTCTGTGCATTTTTTCAATCTCATCTAAATTTAATTTGAATTTTTTCTCATACCTTAATAAAACTATATTTTGATCAAATTTGTCCTTGGCATATGTAACATCCAGGCTGGGAAATTTTTCTTTGACATCTTTAATATGTTCCTCCACGTCGTCACCTTCATAAATATATTGCTTTGTATAGGCCATATCACTTTTTGCAGCAATTTCTGCCAAGAATCCTTCGATTTCCATATAATTTTGTTTTATTTGTACTCTTATGTTCTTTGTGTTTGTATCATGAACTACGTTTGTCTTGACCCATGCTTGGAATTTTTCTTCTTCATCAGAATCAGTGTGGATACTTACTCCCCCTCCGTAAGCGAACAAAAAAAATCTTGTTCATGAAGGGGGTTAATTTTTTTTTTTTTTTTAAAAAAATTTATTTATAAATTTTATAGAATATTTTTTTTAAAAATTTAAAAAAAATCCAATTTGTAAAAATTCGGAAGCAAATATTAATTTAATTTAAAAATTTATGTATTAAACGCAATTTTGTTTAGAATTAACAAGAATTAGCTAGAGTTTTCATGATAATAATTCAAAATTTTTTACATAAATAATTGTTTTATTAAAAAAAAAATTTATTCGCTCACGGAGGGTGGGTTTTTTGGGAAAAAAAGACGGATTTTTTAATGGTTTGTTCACTCACAGGCAGGGGAAGTTAGTTGTTTGCATGTCTCCTTGTTGAATAAATTGGTTTCCTCTTTTCCAAACAAGTTGCGAGGCTGAGGGGCTTCTTCAGTAGTAGCTTTGTCACTGGTCAAGCTTCTTATAAAGCTCATCATTTCTTCTTTAACTGCAGATCTGCCAGCGGAGTCTGATGAAATTTTAGGAGCAGGCATGTCTGAGTAGTTAAATGGTCTCTTATAGACATATCTGACTTCAGGATAATCGCTAAATCTTGCTTTTGTGAGGAGCTCAGGAGATAATTTCAGTTCACTTGGTATTGCTTCGTGGAAGAACTGCTCAATGTCCACCATTCTCGTTCCGAATTCTTCTTTTTCAGACAAATTTGCCCAGACAGATTTAGGAGGGATTTTTCTTGGGCTAAAGAAATCAGGGCTCGTCCTCATCATATTAATTTCATCAGTGGTTTTTGGCAAGCTGCGACTATCAATAAGGTATTTATCCATAAGCCTTTTAGTGTAAGGATGGTTTGGATCATTAAGCCTTCCTCTGTTCTCATCTTCAAAATGTTCTGTCTCTTCAGGCAGTTTAAGGATTTCGTCATCAGAAGACGCCAGATCAGTTACAGGGCTGTTAAATTTCTTTTTTTCTTGTCTTTCATTAGCACCATATGGGTAAATATGGTCAATTGCTTCTCTTATTTCATTTGAATCCTCATAGCTGTCTACAATTTTTTGTAAAACTGGGTCTCTTTCTTCATCACTTCCATAATAGTGGGTCTGCTGAGCAAGTTTTTTATAAAAAATGTCCTTGAATGCTGTTTCATGGTGCTCTTGAGAAATATAGACTCTTTGATACTCTTTTCTATCTGTGTCTTTCTTTTTAGCAAACTCTTGGAAAAATGCTTCTCCTACAAGCTTATCACAGTAAAAATAGCCAGGAACTCCTCTATCAAAAGCCACTTCTAGATTGCGGCCTTCTGGTCTTCCCACAGCTCCAAAATAAATAGCTCTTTCTGCTTGCTTTCTGGTGGCGTATGTGATGTGCACATACCCTCTAGTAATAAACCAATAATCAATAAATTGTTTAGAGTCCAGCTTCATCATCATTAATATGTCGAGCAATTCGTTTCTTAAACTAGCAGAAGCCTTTTTCCCCAACAAATTATTGAATTTTTCTTCAATTTCTTTTTCCATACTTGAAGCGTTCGTGTGCAGGGAGTCTTTGACAGCTCGAACATAGTCCCAAAGGTCATACATGTCTTCAAAGACTGCTTTGACTTCTTCGCTTATATTTTCCTCACCTAGCCTGTACTGAAGGTTGGAAATTTCATCTTTAATATAAACCCTAACATCATTTAAAGTATGCCTTGAGGTATATCCACTGAAATCTGTTTCTTTTTCTGTCCTTAAATGGAATTTTTTCAATGATTCTGGGATATTAATTCCACCATCGATCATCATTGGTGGAGTATTGTAGTCTCTAGGTAAGTGCATCCCCATAATGTCGCCTACTTGAGAGAACATCTTATAAATTTCTTCTTCATTCATAAGAGGGTTTAAATGGTATGCAATGACTTTTCGAGAGTCGAAGCCTCCTACAATTTCAGGGCTGGCTGCCACAAATTCTTCAATTGTCTAATTAGGAATTACTTGAAGGTAGATTTTTCTGCCGAGGAAGGGTCTTTTGTTCAAACTTAAAGCCTGCTCAAAGCGAACTGGGTCGTCAAATTTTACGACTGCGTATGCAGGCTCGCCTTTGATATTAGGAAAGATGGAAACATCGTTTGAATTGAAAAGGGCCGAAATGTGCGTAGATAATGATTGCTGGGAGTAGCCTTTAGGGAGATGCCTTACAACGACACCCTTTTTGTCTGCTTTTGGCTGAGGTATAGGTTCTTCAATGTCAGATGCCGAAGAATAGTCCCTGAAAAATCTGCGGCCCAAACATCTTGCATAGCGAAGCATTTTTATTCAGGATTATAAAAAGTTAGGAATTACCTTATATACTAAAAGCAAGACATTGAAAAAGATGATTAATATTTTCTCCTGACTTAGAGCTCACTTCCATAAAGAAAGCATTATATTGCTTCGCACGAATAGAGCCTTCTTCTCAAAATACCCTTTCTTGTGCTCCAGGATCACTTTTATTCCCAACAATAAACAGTTTATGCTGCATATTTCTATCAATTTGTTTCTCAATCCAAAAAATAGTATTCTCAAAGCTCTGGCGATTTTGTATATCATAAATAACGACAATAATTTCTGAGTTACTCATATAATTTTTAATCTGATTAATAAATCTTGGAGATCCAGAAGAGTCTCATATTTGCAAATGGACAATTTCTTCGTTTCTTTCTATTCCTAAAGAATAAAAATCAAGCCCATATGTAGGGACATAAGGTTCAGAAAAGGTCCGCTGCTTGTATCTATGGATAATGCTAGTTTTTCCTACTTGGCAATCTCCTATAAATATGATCCGCTTAAGAGCAGGGTGTTCCATTTTATTCATTCATTAATTTAAATGTCAAGAGTGACCAAATATTGGGATAAATATAGAGAAAGGCACAAAGCGGAAAATCCTGAAGATTTGATTGACAAATCTTATATTTCGTTCCTAGAAGTTCAGTTGGAAAGGGTCTCACAAGCTGTATTATTGACTCAAAACTTCAGTGAAAGAATAGAAAATGTGCAGTCACAATTAAATTCTGCTGAAGAGAAAATTATTAACTTGACCAGGCTGGTAAAGCTTCAACAAAATTTCGCCGAAACCCAAGAAGAAGAGATAAATTCAATGAAAGCTCAACTTGAAGGAATAGATGGCGGTGGCAGATATTATGGATTGGAAGGACAAAAAAATAAAGACAAGAGTCATCATATTGAAGAAGAACATTAATATTTCATTAATTATAATTAGGGCTCTTCATCCTTTTACGTCTCACCCGAGCTGAGTCTTAGTAGAAGATTCGTTCAGCTAACGAACTCCCTGGGTATGTCAGCATTTCTACCAGAGATAGCTCTCATCCGGCATTTGGCCTGATTCTTAATGCTGTCTCGGGACCTTGAAGTATGCAAATTTTGGGACTTGACGGCAGCTTCTTGAGTGGCCAGAGTTCCAGCGAGGGATAAACGCTCCAGTAATTTCATCGGGAAAATACAAATCTTCATTGCTGGACGAGGGAGACAAAACCCAGCCAGAATACAAATGCCCAGTACCCGTAAACTCTGTTTTATGTTCGTTTTGGCTTCCGGTTGCAGAAAGGTCCCCAAACCTGAAACAGGTCCGGGAGAAGACAGGTCGGTGACATCGCAATTTTATTTTTTCATATTGAGAAGAAATTTCTCAATTGGAAGAAAAGTTAAAAATTGTTCTTCAGAAGACAGAAAACTTTGAGGATCAAAGAAATAAATCTTATGAGAAATTTGTAAGAGATGTGAACTCAGCTTTAAAAGCAACGGAAGAAAAAGTTATGAGCTATCTTACACATGCAATAAATAGCACAGAGATTCAAAAAAGTGGCATTAAAAAGAATTTTGAAGGATTAACTGATGAAGGAGATAAAGAATTAGAGGAAGAGTTAAATGAGTTTCAGCTGAAATCAGAAAGAAATAAAGAAATTAGAGGCTTAATGAGTTTTGGAGCTGGAGGGGATCTGCCAGAATTAAAACAAATATGGGCTAAGCTTGAAGAATTTGGAAACTTCAAAGATTATATCGAAAAAATAGTGATGGAAAAGGATACTGAAATTAAAGAAGCCACTGAAATGGTTTGGGCTTCAGAAAGGACTTGCAATAGACTTGCTGAAGACTGTACAAGTAAAATTTCTGACTGCGAAAGGGCGGTAAAAGATTTAGAGCAATTCCTTGTGGCTACTATAATTAATATCGCGGTTGTGACGAAATATGTCCTTGACGATGCACCACTTTGGGCGCCAAAGCTGTTTTATATCATAAATCAAGGCTAAAGCCCTTTAATCCTAACACTTAGCCAGCCTAGAGCATGGATGACGGGTGCAAGCCCCAAATCCCGAGAGGACACCGCTGCTGAAACAGAGATCTGCGATCTTATTCCTCCGGCAAGCATGTTCTAGTGGTCGAAACGTGCGGAAGCATCAAACCTGGAAGACTTTAAACCCTTTAAGTTAAGTTAATTTGTGGCTACTGCCAAAGAAATAAAAAAAATAGAAATTGCTCAAGGAATTCGGCCTATTGATACTGATGAAATTGAGAAAAATATTACTGAAAAAGTAAATGAAACAGTCAATAAGATTGGAGATTTAGTTAAAAAATATTTTAATTCACAACAAGATTTACAAAAAGAAGTCAAAGTATTAGCTTCTAAATTTTATGGGAAAAGTACAGTCCCTCCACTATCCCCTAAATTCAAGTCTCCAATAAGAAAAACTGAAAAACCTGACAAATCTGATAAACCACCCATTTCTCCTCTCACAAACACACTTCAAGAGCTTGAAACATCTCTTACCCAAAGTAGACATAAAAGATCAATAAGTTCAGATGCAGAAAAGCATAGCAAAGATGATGACTCTCATGAATTAAAACATAAATCAAGATCAAAATCACCGAAACTAAAATTAAGTAAAAAAGTAAAATCTACAAGCAGCTTGACTCCAGACAGAAAAAGGTCAAAATCTTCTTCAAAATCAAAGTCGAGGTCAAGGTCAAGATCAAGGTCAAATTCAAAGACAAGGACGAAGTCAATATCTGAGCTTCAGCTTTCCCCTAATTCCCTCTCCTTTGAAATTGTAAAAAAAAAATTGTTACACTTTTAAAAGGGGTATTTTTTTTTTTTGAAACAAATTAAATATTAAAATTTTGATAATAAAAAATTTAATAAAATTTTACGAATTAAATTCTTATTGACCACATTGTTTTTAAAATTTTAATTAATTTTTATGAAAAATTTTCATTTAAAAAAAATAATCGATTCAGAGCGCGACTATTAATATAGCATTCTACTTGAACATCTTCATTAAATAAAATCAAAGCTATTTATATAAAAATTAGCATTTTCGCTTAACAAACTTTTCCTTCTTTTTAAAAGAAGGTTAATTACCTAAAATTAGAAAACTTTACCGATATTATGTTCCAATTTAATGGGGAGGGGGAGTAAGTCAACCAAAAAATCGCTTGCGATGGAATCAAGTATCAGGCAAAAAATCGTGGATATGAAAGCAAAAGAAGAAGAGGAAGAGCAAAAGATCAGCCAAAAAACAGTCAAAAGGCACAGCAAGCTGGATAAGAAAAAGAAAAAACTTGAAAAACTTGAAAAAATTTATCAAAAATTATCAGCAAGGGATTTAAAATAATTTATAAAATTATTAAATTATATTAATTAATTAAAGAATTTAGTTATATTATTCACCTTGCTTAGTACTTATTGAATTTTTATTTTTCTTTCGTTCAGCTCGAATAGTTTTAGTGTCTTTTATCGCGAATTTCATTAGAAGCATAACAGCGCAGCAGTTAACACACAACATAAAGATAAATACATAGGCCCAACTAAAACCAGCTAAATATCCAATAAAAATCTGCCCACTGGCTGCTCCTAAAGCCCCAGTCCCATCAATAATTCCAGCAACAGTCGCTATTACATTTTCATTATTTCCTAGACTGCTATCGCTTCTCCCTAAATCTGTTGCCACAGCTCCTGAAATTAAATTATCAGAAGAAGCAATAAGAGTTCCTAATAAGAAAGTGATAAAAAAGAAAATCCATCATATGTCTGAATTCATAAGTTGAATGATTCCGAAGATTGGAAGACCTCCAATAAGCATTAAGCAAAGGGCTGGAGCTCTGAATCCCATTTTATCTGTCACCCAACCAAATGCAAATCCTCCTACCAGTCCTCCTATGTCATACAGGTTTGCTATTGTTCCAATTAACGATTTATCAACATGAATTTGCTTATCCAAAAAGAATGGCAACCACATGACCAATGACATATTGAGGAGCTTTACACAAGCATATGTAAATGCATAAATCGCTACTCTAGGCAGCATCCAAGCTTGTAAAAATGAGATTGATTTTTTCTCTTGGTTTGAGGGTGCTTGGTCTTTTATTTCATAAAACGCTTGAGATTCTTCTAATAGCCATTCTGGGTTAGGGTTTTCTTTTGCAAGAGTTAAAAAGATCATAGCAATACTTATTAGAAAAATCGTCGTCGTTATTGTTACAACTTCCCATGAAGCATTGATTACTGATAAGATTATAGATGCAATTTGGGCTCCCAGAATATTCCCAACTTGGGAGTTAGAACTCCATAAGCCTAAAACTTTGCCCGTGTGTTTTGAGGAATACCAACGACCCATTAGTGATATAATATATGCATAATAATAGATCACTATATTACAGCAGAATACCGACTAGAAAAAAATATTGCCTAGGGATATCTGCTTTATACAGTCTAATTATGATTAGGTATCTTAAAACCATAAACTGAGATTTTTTTGCTTTTCAAAAAAGCTGACAAGTGCAAATGATTTTTGAAAATTAAAATGGATGGTCAATAATGATCTAAAATATTTCAGGGGTTATACTGTACCTGGCCATACTGTAGATAGTGTAAGACCGATTGCTCCGAATATGATTACAAAAAGCCAAGGGTTGTCATAATTCGAAAACCCAAGGATAGCAATAATAACATAGCAGAAACTACCTAAAGCCATCCCTATAGGAACAACAATGCGTATAGGGAATGAATCTCCAAGAATTCCGCTAATGTAATTGCCAGTAGCATAGCAGAATAAATAGGTTGAGTCCATAGCTCCGAGTCATGTCGTCGAAAACCCCAAGTCGTCATTGACATCAGATTTTACCATAAATCATCCTTCAAGCCCAGCATGTCTAGCAACTATGCATAGATATGATATAACAAAAATCACAATTTGCCACTTCTGATATACACTCAGTTTCATTTCTCTACTGATAATTTTCAACAAGAAAATATGAACAGAATAATGGATTTAATTTGAATAGCTGACTCATTTGCTTCTTGCCGCATGAGAAGCAACTCATAAGATTCAATATTTGCAATTTATATTTAATGCCATTATTTCATTTTTATAATTGTTAAATAATTTAAGAGTTTACTAACTCCCCCGTCATTGATCGAACGATTACATTGAAAAATTCAGAATTATTATAAATTATAAATAATTAATAAGCAACAGATTATATTATAAAGAGGAAAGGGATGACTAAAATTTTAAAATTTTTCATTTTAATAGTTTAATAGTTACTATAAAACCATCTTATTTAAAACGATAAACAATATATATTTATTTTTATAAATATTTTTCAAAAATTTTTGAAACCCCCCTTCTTGATCAAACGATGGGGCGTTGTTCGATCAAGGATTGGGGATTAAGCATTTAATTTATAACTTATAAGCTCTTATAGACAAATTGCTTTTGATTATTAGTTAGAATCTCATTTCCTTTAATATTGTATTAACTGTTTACTACTCCCTCATTTATAAGATTTGCATTTTATGGATACTTTTAACCGACTTTAAATTGAAACAAAATTTGTTTTCCAATAGACAGTTTTCAAACTGAATCGATTAATTTTTTATCAATTCTTCATAAAAAATAATAAAATATTCAAAGTATTGTGCTCAATTTATATTTTTTCAAGATTTTAAAAATTCTAAAAACATTTGTTTTATAAAATAAAATTAGCTGCCTTTAAATTGGATTTTTTTTTTCCACATTAAAGGGGGAGTTAGTATACATTATTTGTTCGATTAACAGAGAATAATGAAATCAAGCAAAACGAACTACTCACAAAAGCAAATAACGATGACCCCCCCCCTCAATCTTCATGTCTATTGCAACAAAAATGCAATTTTTTAATATAAAATTTTATATAAAAAAAAAATAATAATTTTCATGTCTCTTGCAACAAATTATATACATTAAAATGGCGACACGTGTCAACCTGCCCTCTTGGCGCAGCAGTCCAGACCTTATGGCTACGGCGAACTGGGACGGACTCCAAGCCGAGAATCAGGCACAGGCTCAAGGAGTGTGTATCCGGGTAGGTTTTGACTGCTTTCCTGTGATTGGAAATGGAGGTGCTCAACAACGTCCTTTGGATCCGAGGATCTATGGGTATTCCTCTAACGAGAAACTGGGGGTTCGGCCCAGGCCACAAGGGAACAGTCTTTTTTCTGTAGCTGTCGAAGGAAGGCACTTTGACACCCAATAGACTCCAAGGATCCTTGGAATCAAGCTACTCCAATCGCCCTTAACAGGGCCGCCGAAATCCATAAGCCGCCGACTCAAGACTGAACTCCCAAGGCAAGGAGGAGACAGAAGGTACCGGAAGGGCACTCGCAAGAGGGATAGATCCTCTGAGCTGGAGTCGAAAAGCGATAGAACCTTCCGTACGGGAGGTCTTTAATGACTGCGTCATCAATATGGCTAGCGCCTGTCTGTAATAATCCTAATCCTAATCCTCTTGCAACAAATTTTCGATGCGCATCTTAAAATTTTCCGTACTTTTTAGCTAGATAAGATTAATAAAATGGCGAGAGATGGCGATAGCCGTTCAAATCTCGATGAGAAGGTCATTGGCACACCTACAGCAGCGCTGTTTTATGGTTTTTTTGAGAAACTCACCTAGAGAAAAATGCATTAATTTTTTTTATAAAAATGTTGTGTTGCAGTAGGCATGAAGATTTTTTTCGAAAAATTTTTGTTGCAGTAGACATGAAGATTGATGGGGGGGTCATCGTTACACAAAAGCATTCAGCTGAAGATCTCAAACCAAGTCAAAGCTGGGTCATGAGCAGATTAGATTGGTTTTTATATGTCGAAGAGATCTTCAACTCTGCTAAATCTAATCCGAAATCGTTAAAGGTGAATGCATTTCAAGTAGTGAAATCCCTCGAAAAGATATCATCAAAGCTCCCGTTGGTTTCTCCATCCAAATACCGTGCGACCAAGCAATTGATTGCATACTCCTATAACGAAGTGGTCAAAAAGATATTAGAGTTTAATCAAGAATTCGATTGTGATGAGCTGCTTGACGCATTAATTGACATAAAAGATAACTACTCCCACAAAGATGAAAACGCTAGTACCTTAAATATCAGTGGTTTGCAAGATGCTGGCAAATTTGACGTGACTAGACTATTAATCTCTCAAAATGATACAGCTAAAAGATGTGTAAAGCCTTCATCATCTAATTCTTTATCAATTACAAACATATCTCAAGGATTTTCTATGCCTCAGCTTCCAGTCCAGATTCTATATTTAAATTTGTCATCAAATAACATTTCAGAGACGGAATGAAATATTCCGCAATCTTTGATTTTGCTTAATTTGAGCAATAATTTATTGACAGAATTTTCTAATTCATTACCACTTGTCAATTTGCAGTATTTAAATTTTAATGAAAATCAGCTGAGCTATATTGATGGGATTGCTGGGTTCAAAGCACTATTGGAAATTTATATTAAAAAAAATTCAATTGCAAACATTGGTTCTTTATGTAAAATCAGCAATTTAAAAATAATTGACGCTGAAGATAATATGATAGAAAAATATGAAGATGTGGCGCCTTTGGCACTTTACTCCCCCCTCCTCCGTGAGTGAACAAAAACATTAGAAAAATCGCTATTTTTTGCCCAAAAACCCATCCTCCGTGAGTGAACAAAAATTTTTTTTAATAGAAATTTTTTTTATGGAAAAAAAAATTTGATATATAAATGATAATTAATATAAAGAAATCTAGAGCTAATTCTGTTTAATTTTAAACGAATTGCCTTTTAAAACATAAATTTTCTAATTAAATTAATATTTGCTTTCCTATATTTGCGAATTAGGATTTTTTTAAATTTTGAAAAAAAATAATTTTTTATAAAATTAATATATAAATTGTTTTTTAAAAAAAAAACAATTAACCCCCCTCCGTGAGTGAACAAAATTTTTTTGTTCACTCACGGGGGGGGGAGTTAGTACAAAACTGCAAACGCTAAATTTAAAAGGCAATAAAATTACGGAGGCACCAAATTACAAAGAGTTTATTCCTCATTTATTACCGAAACTCAGATATATTGATCCCCCTGAAATTTTTTCTTTATCTCAATGCCAATTATCTGACTTTTTATTTCCAACTTCCTATAATATTGGTTTCCATCATAAAAAGCATCAAAGCTTGCCATCAACGCCAATTCATATATGCCCTATAAACATTCACGAAACCCCGATTCCTTCTAAGCCTCCCCAGAAGTACTTTAGCGAGCTCTCTGAAACCCATAAAATTGACTTAAGTCAAATTAGCTGCTCAGCAATAATAAAATCTCAAGGAAATAATATTGAACTTTAGATGGCCTGAGTACTAAAAAATAAATTATAAGCTAATTAGATTTTCATTTCAAATTTACAAATTTATTTTTGCCTTATAATAAAAATTAACCTCTTTATAGCGAATAATTATTTTCACTCTACCAAGAGAGAAGAGTCAGCAATTTGAATTCGTCAAAAATATCGACCCCAAAAACCTGTACAAGGCCAGGCTCCCCTGTATCAACTGATAAGAAAAAAATATCAAGAAGCACTAATGCATCGCCTAGACCAGGAAAAGTAGGTCTGAATAAGCAGTTTAGAACCCCAGGAAAGTCAAATAAATTACTTAGATCTAGCCTAGTGTCTACAGCAAGGATAAATGAAGCTGACGAATCTTATTTGAATTTTTCAAATGCAAGCAAAGTGAGTGTAATCAATAGCGAAACAATTACAAACTCTATGAAAATAGGATACGGGAACCCAGTTGCTGCTATGATGATTAAACCTGCCACACATGCTAGGAATAGAGTGAAATCAATGGGATAAACTTTAATTAATGTATAAATATCATAGAAAGAAAATATATGAAAAAATAAACATTAAATAATTTAAAGTCTTTTTAAACCTATGTAATCTGCAATTTTATGTGTACTCAAAAAATAAGAAACATGCTCATAAGTGTATAGAGTAACAAAAGTGGATGGCATGACTCTCAGCAAGTTGACTGAAAATCCTGAATAAAATCCTTTGATTCCTTCATTCTGTCATGTGTATTTCATAAGACTTCATAAGCCTGTGAACATTTGATCAGTATCTTTTTGGCTCATGAAAAGCCTTGCTCTCAAAACTTCATGAGGATAAGAGCATAAACTTGCCACAAACTTCGGGAAAATTGTGCATAAAATCATTTCTAAGATATGAGGGGGTTCATACTCTCTTTTAATTAGCTTCTTTGTGAGTTCATATAGAGGAAACTGAACCACCACATGGATGGTCCCAAGCATTGATGCTTTACACCCATTAAACAATGCAAAGAAGCCTTCTTCCTTTATAATAAGTCTAAGAGAATCTGCAACACTTGTATATTTGCTATGGCCACTCTGCACTTGCATGCGAGCTCTTATCAATCATAAAGGATTAGTAATGATGCTTCCTGTTAATCCAGCTATAGATGCTCCTGCAACATTTCCTAGGGTATCGTTATGAAAAAGATCGCCAAAATAGCTTCGGATTCTGTTATAAAGCATGAAATAAATACTTCACGAAGAAGGATAGGCAATAATCGATGCATTTAATCCTTGATATAAACTTTTCAGGCCTTCTTCTCTGTAAGTTTTACTTAAGGCCGATATAATTCCATTGTATTTCTTTTCATAAATGTTCTGGGTTTGAAGTCGAGTACGGGCAGTATCTAAAGGAGCACAGACAATGACGTTGGCGACTCCTGCACAAACACCTGACGCAAAATCTACTAAAGCACTAGTTTTTGACTCCATTTATGTATATTAATATTCCCCTAAGCTATGAGCAGTAGTCAGTCAAACTCATGCAAATTATATAATGATCTGATTAGAAAATGGTTGAAAATTTATTTCATTTATGCAAGGATTTCTGATTATTTTCTGATCTTAAAATTTTATGATAGAAATTTATTTTTATTTAGAGAAGACTGATGCTTTTTAAAAGAAAAATTGTTATGAGCATTATAATCAAATTAATCTCTTAAGGAATCTGATTAAGTCTATTTATAATTTTTATTGATAGTCCTTAAAAATGCAATATATTCTGACATCATCAATTTTTATTTGTTAAAAACCCATTAAATTTATAATTAAACAAAGCTCTAATCAGTCTTTTTTGATTCATGTCATTTTATTACTAGAACTCCTAATTTTTTCCAATAATTTCTGTATTCAATATCAATTCTAGTTTCCAATTGAACAGAAAGGCTTCTTCGTACATATGCTGCAAGTGGATTTCTAGATCACACTTGATATTTTTTGTTGATTTCTCTATCATAATTTCTAGTTCTTGCCCTAGATATTCTTATATTTCTCAGAGGAGGCAGCGATGATTTGTTTCTCTCTATTGGAGTATCAGAAAATAATATATTTCATTTATAGTCGAAATTCAGTTCCTGATATTTGAATCCTATCACTTTAAAATGCTCTGCCTTAGCTTTGTAAACAATCATAGGAGGTCAGGTTTCCCCATACAGTCTAAACATTACTTCTACACTATTTTTTCTGTTTTTGATAAGTGCTGCAAGCTGAGGGCTTATTTTTTGAAAAGCGTTTGAATCCATACCTCTACATAAGGCAAGGATAATCCGTTTAAATTTTTTATAAATTATTTTGAACATAAATTTTTGAAATGTGTTAGTTACCTAAATAAAAGTTACACTAACTCCCCCCTCCGTGATTGAACAAAAAAATTTTGTTCACTCGCGGAGGGGGGTTAATTTTTTTTTTTCTAAAAAAATTTATATATAAATTTTATAAAATTTTTTTTTTCAAAATTTAAAAAAATCCTAATTCACAAAGATTGGAAAGCAAATATTAATTTAATTTAGAAAATTTATGTTTTAAAAAGCAATTCGTTCAAAATTAAACAGAATTAGCTCTATATTTCATTATATAATTAGCACTTATATATAATTTTTTTTTCCATAAAAAATTTTTCTATTAAAAAAATTTTTGTTCACTCACGGAGGGTGGGTTTTTGTGCAAAAAATAGGGATTTTTCTAATGGTTTTGTTCACTCACGGAGGGGGGGAGTAAGTGGTAAACATGAGGGTGATGAATTTTGATAGCATATTTTTCTTGAGCTTCTATATGAAGGTTTAAATGGGCGTTTAGGTGGAGATGGCAGCATTGAAGTGAAATAAGAAATAAATTAATATTTTTGATGCTGCAAATTATTTGTTAAGATAATAGATTAGATTAGGTTAAGTATTTAAAACCCCCCACTTCATGAAGCATCGCGCGATCATTAATCTTTACCTTCTCTGTCTTCCCCTTATTCTCTGGATATCTCAAGGGAAAAACTTAACAGGGTTGTTCGGTTCTTGCAGTCCAACGAGCAGCTTAGACAGGCAAGCTGCCCTGCCTCTATCGAATGCCCGCCTTGGGCCTTGGTGATACTGCAAAAAAAGCCACTCGAGCCAGGCCACTAATGAGTGGAAATAGTACTGGATCTCTCACTTTAAGGCTAACCCCACCTTGGGTAGATGTTTACACCAAAAACTTACATCCGGATATACATAAGAAACCAGCTATGGGGAAAACGTGCCGCTTGTCATTAGCATTAACTAGTATTATAAAGGCTCGTCGTATTGGCGCGGGTTTCCCCTGCCCTACCTTCACCCTTCACACTTCACCCGGTTGCTCACCACCGATTTGGGCACGACCTTCAAGATGTTGCTCCTACTGGACGAGGATGTGCACTCGCTACCCGTAGTTGGATGAGTTACGCCACCTAGCAGTGCGTCGACAAGGTTGCCCATTCCGAAAATTTGAAAAACAAATTTTCTGGTAGGACTGCCGGCTAAGATGGAAATCCAAAGCCTAAACGTGCCGCTTGTCACCTGTCATTTTATGTATATAATTGTTAAGATATTAAATTGAATTTAATTAAATATTGAGCAGCAATAGTTATTTAAAAGAACAAATAGAACCTGTTTAATTATTTGAATTATTACGTTAAATAATATATTTTTCTTTAATTTATAGTTACTTATATTTGCTTTATTTTACAAGAAATATGTGCATCATTTTTCTGATTATTAAGCCCAAATTTCTTAGAATTATAAATGTCTTTTGTTGATATTGATGAACTAGAAACATTGCAGCAGACAATTCCAGCTGAAATCGAAAATTTGGTTAATACATTAGCAATTGATTTTAGAGAAGCAGCAGAAACTACAATGAATCTTATGTCCCTATATGCATCACATTTAATCAATATTACTTCAAAATCAGATAGCACAGTTGATATGACAAAAGATTTTATTTTAAAATGTGAAAATTTAGAAGAGAACCTACAAAATGTTGAAAAGCTTGCCAAACAAATAAATTTCATGAGAAGATATTGCGAAGAACTTGAAAAGAAAATAAACAAGACTTTTTAAAAAGATATTTGTAGACTAATTTACATATTTTATCACTTATTTAAGACTGTACTCTCTCAAATTTACTACAATACAAGTAATGTTGTCCTTTGATCCTTTCATTATTGCTTCCTGGACCAACAACTCAGCCATTTCAAAAGGCTGCAAATCCTGTCTACTCCTAAAAATCTTCCCAATTTCTTCTTTGTTTAAGGTGTCAAAAAGCCCGTCTGTCGCTATAACTAAAGCCAGATCATTTTTAGAAATCTGCCTTTCAGTTACATAAGGCTCTGAAATAACAAAATCTTTAAGCTTGGAGTGTCCTAAACTGCGGGAAAGTGCTAACTGTCCGTGTACTCTTAGCACTTTTCCAACAGGAAAAACATACCCACCAGCTTCTTCGATTCTGATTTGTTCGCTTTGGTCTGATGCTAGATGATCATGAGTGAGAAGTTCAGTTTCCTCATCACTTATAAGTAAAATTTTTGAATCTCCTACATTAGCGATTCGCAGAGTATTGTCTTCTATGATTGCTACTGCTGCTGTGGAGCCTCCTTCTTGACTTGAGTTAAGGGAGCAGTAAGCTTTGTCCGTGGTTTCAAACGCTTTTCTTAAGCCTTCATTGTCATTTTTTTCAAGATTATCTAGGAGTCGTTTTGAAGCAAATTTTGATGCTGTGTTGCCTGAATGGCCATCAAAAACTCCAAAGGCGCTACAATGTGGCTTGTTTTGGAAGTTTTCGATGATTCGGTAAGCATCCTCCATTTGAGGTCGTAAGCCTTTCTTCATACAGACACCATGGCTGCTGCCTGTGACTGTAGTGTCTTCCCACTGATCGTAGGAAAATTTCATTTTCTTACGTCGGTATTCAGTATCTATATCTGGGATATCGATGTCCAGATTAAACTTTCTCCAGCTAGGTGTAACTCTTAATGTTGAAACTGCCATTTTAATTATATATATTTTGATTTCTAAAATTCGATTTGCTTATAGTCCTTTATGCATATAAAGATATAAATAAAATAGTAAATAGCTAGTCCATAGATATGTGCTTTTAAAAGCTACATAATAAGCAATTTATTTACGAAGCGATGGTTAGCATATTCACAATAATTTAACGGTTTTGTTTACACTGGAGCAAGTCGTCAATAGTTTGCCATTCATTTCTTTTTTATTGTACATAAGCTAAATCCATTGTTTTAGAAAAATGATCACAGGAAATGTTTATACTTTCGGAATTGGAAAAAGTGGCGAACTTGGATCAAGAAGCAATAAAGAAATAGTTCCATTTAGAATAAGAGAACTTTCTAGTATAGTGCAGGTTGGAAATGGAGGCAGCTATGCACTGTGCTTGCAGAGCAATGGAAATTTGTATTTTTTTGGCAAAGGTAAAAACGCAAGAGGTGGCTCGAATGTTGATTCTCCTGTGCCAAGACATCTAAGTTATTTACCTAAGATTATGATGATTGCTTGTGGATATTGACACTCATTAGTATTAACTGAAAGTGGCTTTATAATGGCATCAGGCTATAATTCGCATGGTCAGCTTGGATTAGGCAGCACCCAAGAAGAGTCAAAATTCACCTCAACTAATACAGAAGCAAAGATAATAAAGGCAGGAGGACATGCATCATTTGCTATTACTCAAGACAACACATTAGTCTCATGCGGGATCCGGGAATTAAATGCACACAACCAAGATCGACTTGTTTTTACACCGGTGATGGAAAACGTAGAATATATTGACATTGGAATGGTTCATGCAGGGTGTATAAGCCAAGGCCAACTATATATGTGAGGAAATAATGCCTGAGGTCAATTAGGGATTGGCAATACGGCTCCAAGTTCGCGTCCTATTGCCGTTGCGTCTTTAGCTGGTATACAAATAAAGCAGGTTTCCTGCTCTAAAGGAGAAAAGTATGGGCATACTGGTTGTATTGATAATGATAGAAATGTTTACATGTGAGGCAGCGGATATAAAGGAAAGCTAGGGCTAGATGCTCATTGAAGCCATGAAGATCCAGCAGATCGGTATATCCCAGAGGTAATTCAAAATTTCAAAGCTGACTATGTAGAGTGCGGTGGAATCCACTCGTTAGCAATAAGCGATGCGAGATTATTCACATGGGGTTGTGGAAGTGATGGAAGACTTGGACACCCAGAAGTTCAGGGACATAGATATCTTTATAAAGAGCCGCTTCCAAGAGCGATTGGTAATCTGAACGGAGTAGTTCAGGTTTCGAGCTCATATTATAGCAATATAATATTAACGAATTAAATATATAAAATTAATTTCAAAAGTTTTCACTATTTTATAATTTTTCATTATAAAGTCTTAAATTTCATATTTCTAAATTAATAATATTGAGAGCCGATAAGCAGTTTAATCGAAAATTTAATTAGAAATGAAGAAAAAGGTCAAACAAGAAATTTTGCAATGCAGCTTATTTAGCGACATATCAGCTTTGCTTCATGAACAATTTGTAGAATTCAATGAAATAATTAACTATTTTGCTCAAGAACTAACTTCATTGCTGAACCTTGCCGAAATAAATAGAGCATTCAAACAAACTCATGAAGAATTAATTGAAAAAGCGAAATCTTCTCTTGCTTCAGCCTATGACTTAGAAGCTGAATTTTCAAAAGCTTTTCTCCATGCGGATTCCATTGCAAAAGACATGGACTCTTATATCTCCAAAGCAATCAAAAATATTCGCTTATCCCTAGATGATACCAAATTTATTAGAATGAGCACTAGTGAATATACTAATTGACCAAGAATAGCCCACTAAGGAGCCATTCTTGGTCTGCCAAAAAAAAATTTTGACAAAAGATCCTAATCTGCCATTACCACTGAGTTTTGGTGTTTCCAAATTTTTTGGGCAAGCCAAATGCAATAAAAAAAATTGTTCTTTTGCGATGATGCATTTGGCTTGTCAAAAAAATTTGGCAACATCAAAACTCAGTGGTAATGACAGAAAAGATCCTAATCTGCCATTACCACTGAGTTTTGGTGTTTCCAAATTTTTTTGGCAAGCCAAATGCATCATCGCAAAAGAACAATTTTTTTTATTGCATTTGCTTGCCCAAGAAATTTGGAAACACCAAAACTCAGTGGTAATGGCAGATTAGGATCTTTTTGTCAAAAATTTTTTCTGGCAGACCAAGAATTGCTCCATAGTGGGCTATTCTTGGTCAATTAGTATATTTAAATTCAGAAACCTCAGAATTTACCCAAGAAATAACCCAAATTATCCACAGTTCTAGATGAAGAAAAAGAGTCCTAATATGAGAAGAAGACAATCACATTGCTACTGTTCAAGCGTATAAAAGGCCACAGATTACAGTTGAAATCCGCTTTTCTAACTCTATTACGTCGAATTTTTCAGCCCTTGTACCTGAATTGCAACAAAGATGCACAGGGGCAAGAATGAAAGGAGTTCCAAGCTGCCGTGACAAGTTCGAGCATATTGAAAATTTATTTAACCATCATTCACAAATTCTGTGCAATATAAACCACTTACACAAGACATCATTGTATATTGGATTATATTTGGAGAAGCTGGAAAAATATTTTAAAGATCTAATGAAGCAGGGTGATTTGAAATTTAAAAAATATTATTATAAATCCATATTTTCAGACAAAGATAAGCTGGAAATTTGAGATATTGAGCATGAATCAAACTTCATTGACAGACTTATTCAAATCAGAAAACTAATAAAAGTCGAATATCTCAAGCTAGAAAGCCATATAAAGTATATTCCTCTACAGTTAAAATCATCAAGAGAAACATGCATTCCTTTAAAGTATAAAAAAGAGAAATAAATGGTGCTGTTGACGGAAATTGGTCTCCGAGGCACTCCCTATGGAGCAGGTAGGATCCATCCTGATGAAGCTGAAAGCAGGACCTCTGTCCTAAATGAAGTATGCCTTCAGGCTTAGGGATACCTTGACGAAGAGAGTTTTGTTTCTCCCCCAAATGTTTTCCTATCCTTGCCAGTTGGCGAGATAGATTTTGCCTCTCACATAGTTTTCTTCTATCGGGGTTATCGGGGTCCCTTCAGTAGATAGCTCTAACCTAGGGAGCTTATCCTTAGGTTAGGTGAGTTTCCCAAAATTCAAGAGGGTGGAATTTTGGTTGGGCCGTACACCATTTGCACTCGGAGGCATATGCAACAAGCGCAGGCCTTCTGGAGTCAAGGTGGCCTGGAGACTCGGGCCCCGCTTATGGCCGTGTAAAGCTTTTAACTTTAATTTTTATCTTTAAAGTATGAAGAGTTTTCTTCAGAAAAAGATTCATCAATCTTGCAAAAGTGCAATAATTTATTGCAATTTCTCAATAATATCATTCAGGCTATTGATTCTTGTACAGATCACAACTATAAACCTCCATCAGAAAAGCAAGAAGAGACCATTTGAAAATTTATTGAACTTTTTAAACCAGTAGTTGAAATTGGACTGAATGAGCTTAGAGAAGCTACTAAGACAAACTACGACTCTGAAGTTCTATTTAAAAAAAGAATGCAGAGCATTCCAGTCTATAGAAGTTTGCATATAAAATCTCAGCTTCTAAAAAGACTACAGCTCCATTCAATTGCATCTAATCTTGTAGATTCAAGAAAGCAACTTATTGATGCAATGAAAATGACTATTGAAGAAACAGGTTTGGATATGCCACATTGAGAGAAAAGTATTAGGGTCTTATCAATTTCAGTTTTGAATATTAAGGCAATTGAATCCAAAGTAACTCATTCTTATACTCTTAACCATATAGGATATCATTCATATAATTCATCATGAGACTTAAAGAGCGAAAAAGAAAATCATCCAAACCAAGAAAATTATGTCGCAGAAATTTCTGATAGCTCAGAAAGCGAAAACAATAGCAGCTTTATAATGGATTTGAGCGAAAGCTCATTAGAATGTAGTATAGCTTTTTTGGCACATTTGCTTTAAAAGCCCTAAGAATTGAATTAGAGAGCGAAGCTTATTTCGATGATATACATATTTTAGCGAAGCAGAGAAAGATACATATAATTGTCTCAGACTAATAAATTTAAATCTTTCTAAAACTGATAAAATGTTTAATTTTCTCCTTTCATGTTTAATGCCCTGTTTATTGAGAGTGGTTTCTCAAAGTTGAAATATGGGGATCTGCGATGTTGGCATGTATGATTCTTTTTTTAGCTTTTTTGAATTTGGTGTGTTGCTCCATTTTTAAAACTTTGAGAAATTTAAATAGTTTGGCATGCCAAGTTAAAATTAAAATGTGAATATGTAGCTGACAACACACTCATCCATTTAAAATGAATAAAGAGAGGCATCACTCTTTATAAAAGATTAATTGTGATATCGTTATTAGCAATTTACCAATAAAGCGATTGATAGCTCTTCATATAATACTCCAATAGGTATACCACTAAAATCTCCAACATAATCTTGACTATCTTTGATTCTTAGAATAAAGATAGAGTTTATTATGTAGAAATAGATGTGTAAGTGGAAAAATGGCAATAATCCAAAAGATGTGCTATTAAATCTTGACTTATCAGTGCTTCTTAACATTAAAATGGAGTCATTTTGGAGAAGTAGTATGAGGAAAATAAAACTTCAAGAGGGACTTGCCGATAAGGCGATTGATAGTTCTTGACGTGGCAGTACTCCAATAGATTTACAATTAAAATCTCCAGTATAATCTTGACTTCTTGTAGGTTTTAGAATAAAGATGGAGCCTATTATAGAGAAGTGGTTTGTGGAGAAAAAAAATTGAAAAGAGGGGTCTTGCCGATAAGGCGATTGATAGATCTTCATGTGGCAGTGCTCCATAGGTGTGCCATTAAAATTCTCCAACAGAATCTTAAACTTATCTGTGCTTATTGAAATTAAGATAAAGTCCATTGTGGAGAAGTCGTATGTGGAAAAAATAAAAATTGCTAGAGGGGATTCCCGATAAGGTGATTGAAAGCTGTTCATGTGTACAGTAACTCTTGACTTATTTTATATATTAATAGTAAAGATAAAGCTCAATACTCAATATCACAAAAAATGCTTTAAAGAATAAATTTTATCAATAAAATCTAATAAAATAATCCCAAAATTATTTTCCTGCTAATTTTAGCTTGACATATAAAAATATTTAGACTCATCAAAATATTAAAAATGGGAGGAACTCACCAAATTCAAATAAGTTAAAGCCAATCAGATCCTATTTGAATTTTTAAGGTCAAATGATTATAATCTTCGCCAAAACGCTCTAATGAAAGCAAGGCATTGAGCATGAACAAAGAACTTAGATGCTTTATAAGAAACTGCTACTTATTTTATTAAAACAGATTTTAATTTAATAGATTCTATAAATTGAGGAATTTTTGCTTTCACTTTATTTTAATTACAGAAACTTATATTATAGATATAGATCTTGCCCCTCTTTGTTAAATCTAATTGATTTTAAAGCAAATGCGCAGAAAACGCTATATTCATTCAAATGGAGAATTTGTAGACCAAAATGCAGTTTCAGCTGTTAAGTCAAATAAGATGCTATATAAAGCATTAAAAAATTATCCGTCTGAAGAGAAAATCAAAGACAACAAAGCATTTTATTATATAAACAAATTAAATAAAGAAACCAAGGAAATACATTCTAAAGGAAAAAGTAGCTGGAAAAAGGAGATTATAAAGCTACGAGAAAAAGAGGACTCTAAGATTAGACTTGATATGATAAAAGATATTTACAATAGCAGAACAGAAAGAGAGAAGAAATTAGATCAATATTTACCTCAAGTCTCTCAGTCAAGTAATTTTAGTTTATCAAAAATCCAGTCGGAATCGATTTTAGATGACTATTCTGAACGGCTAGAAAAAGCAAAAAAAAGAAGGCAAGGTCTTAATACAAAAATGCTTTTATCATCTTTGGACATGGATAGGCTATCAATTGTAAAAGCTCAAAACCATCGATCTGAACTTGAATTATATAAAAAAATCCAAGATGAGAGCAGAGCAAAATCATCAAAATCCATGACTCCCCCTCCGTGAGCGAAACAAAGCCATTGGAAAAATCCCTATTTTTGCCCAAAAGCCCACCCTCCGTGAGCGAACAAAAATTTTTATGAAATAAAAGTTGATATATAAATGATTGTTAATATAATGAAATCTCTAGCTAATTCTGTTTAATTTTAATAAAATTTCATTTTAAAACATAAATTTTACAAATTAAATAAATATTTGCTTTTATATTTTCGCGAATGGGATTTTTTTTTAATCTCGATAAAAAAAAATTCTAAAAATTTAGATATATAATTTTTAAAAAGCAAATTCCTCCGTTGGGAGTAAGAAAAGGAACAAGAGAAATCGAAAGCGTGTCAAAACTGCTTAACAATTTAGAAGTATCCGATAAAATTAAAATCAATCGAGCAGTCACTTCAATGAAAAAATTCGCAGGAGGTAACTTGAGAAAAAGAGTAAGAAGTGTTCAGAGAGATAAAAGTGTATCTCCTCTATCGAAAATAAATAAAATACGACAGGAATTTGATTTATATAATAAAAGATCTGCAAGGGTTAATAAAACGTTAGCATCGAGTACTTTATGCAAAGATGGTGACACATTTTTAGTAAGTTTAAGATAACGAATGTTTTATTTAATATTAAAATATATTAGCAAAAAGTAACGTGAATTTTTAAATCAAAAAAAATTATAGTCCATTTCTATAGAGAGCATATAAAATATAATTATATCATAATCTCTCAAATGAAATCGATCCATTATTTAGAATCACAAATATTAGATTTCAAGCATTAATTTAATTATTAACTAGATGATAAATTTGATCTTTCTTCTGATAATTCAGCTTCACTAGAAGGCTCAATGGGAGATACTGCTAAACTTCGGTTTACTTCGACAGCCTCATTAAGCCGTTTTTGAAAATTAGAAATAGCTGAAGGTATTGTAGGAAATTCCATGTTTTGCAAATCGTCCATTATCACTTCCAATGTATTGTTCTCTTTCATTCCTTCTAACAAATTTCCCATTAAAAATTCGATTTTATAAGACCGATATCATATGATATTATAAAATTATCTATGCTATATAAAATTCTTCAATTACGATTTACCACTATTAGGCTGTCGACGGGGAGACTTATCAGTGTTTCCATATACTAATTTGGTGAGCTTTGATATTTTTCTGCTTAATTTTTCCTTCATTTTCATCTCAGTATTCAGATTCCTTTCCAATTTCCTTGCTTCTTTAGAAAATCTCCCTCCTTCTTCTTTATATGCTTCAAGAGATATTAATGTATCTTTAATTTCTTTTTCTTTATCTAATGCTTCTTTTGACATTGCCATCAGCTTTTCTTTTAATTTCAAAATTTCTTGGCTTCTTATTTTTTCCTTCTGTTTGTGACTGTTCTTTGTTTCATTTAAATCAGTAATTAATTTTAATATTTCAGCTTGAGTGCCGTCAATTTCCCTCTTACAGTCTTCATGCTCTTTTTCTTTTTGTTTATTTAAATTTTGCAACTCTATATTATAATGATCTTTCATATGAAAAATGCTTACTCTCAAGCTAGGGATTTCTTCTTGAGTTAGGACTCGATTTCTCTCTTTTAAAATTTCTAACTCTTTTTTTATTTCTTTATTTTCAGACTCCATATGCAGACAGACATGTCTTAGCTCTTTTAACTGTTTTTCTAATTGAGCCTTCTCATTACTGATTTCTGTTCTTATCTTATCCAAATTCATATTTTTTTCGTCAATTTGTGTATTTATTGAAGAAAATTGCTTTTTGTGTGCTTCTCCAAATGTTTGAATTTTGATTTCATAAGAGAGTTTTAAATCATTAATTTCTTTGCTGTAAGAGGACTTTTTATTCTCAATATGATCTTTTAGCCTTTCAATTTCTCTTTGTAAAGAATCTAGTTGAGCGAAATAATCGAATTTCTCATTTTCTTTATTATACCGAAATACTTTTTTCTTGCTATTGATTTGGTTATTCTGTAAGCTTTTGCATGAGATTGATTGAGATGAACCAGTTGGGGTTTGATTTCTTTGGAATTCCGGGTTAAGAGTATATAAGTCCGGAATATTTTGATTTATTCGTTGAGGTCTGTCAAGATTCGTCATATTTGAATTGGATTTCGAAATTATTCATCTCTATACTTTATGTGTTTAAATGATAAATACTGAGCTTTAATCGTTCAAAAAAATTCATTAAATTTCTCCATAGTTTAGTTGGTGACTTTAGCTTGTTTTAGACTCAAAATTATTATATTTCATATAAATTTAAATTTATTCGTGTCGAGATTTTAGCTATGCTTCTTCCTCTTATTTTTTATGAGTTCGTCAATAAAATGCAAGAGATCTTCTCTTTGCCCAAGCTCATCCTCTAAATTTTTAATGTCTCCTTCTACAGCTTGAAGTCTTTGTCGTAATTTACCAACATCCAACCCCTGAAGCTTTTTTCTTGCTTCATCTTCAAATTGGCTGCTTCTTTTTTGTACTTCCATCTATTTTATTTTATAATTATTTAAATAACTATTTATCCTGATTGAAATCCAAAACAAAATTTTACTGCTTTTATGTGAAAAAGTCAATAATCTTAAAAAAATTACAAAGCAGCCGACACATAAAGACAAGCAGACAAAAAATAAACAAGCAATTTATTAATTGCTTCTTGATCTAATTTCATATTATAATTACTGCTTTTATTTGAACTCAATGAAATAGCTCTTGTGCTTTCTTTTAATAGACTTTGCTTCAATTTCTTTATTGAATTCATATGAAAACATTGATGGATACCTTTCTTCCAATATTTCTCTTGTAATATCGCTAACATTAATATAGCCTGCCAATCCTCCACTTTCCATTTTATTTGCTATTAACACATCAGGGCCATATATATCATATCTAACAATAGTAGTTCCAATGATCCCTGCAATTACTTCGCCAGTATGCAATCCAATTCTCATTTTTAATTGGCTATTATTTTCTCTATTAACTTCTTCAATAATTTCTATCATGGCTTTCGCCATATTAATCATATTTAAGCACTCTTGTGCTGGATCTCTTGACTCATTGCCATTATATCCCATAACTACATAGCAATCTCCAATAGTATGGACTTTATAGACATTATGATTTACGCACATTTTATCAAATCTTGTAAACAGTTCAGAAAGCATCCCTACTACATCTTTCGGAGTTTTATTAGAACTCCAAGCTGTAAAGCCAACAATATCAGCAAATAGCAAAGTTACCCGAAACAGCCTATCTGTAATAGCTTTTCCTTGCTTCATATTTTCTACTACATGAGGCGGCATCATTTGTGTGAGTAGCTTGTCAGTCTTTTCTATTTCTTTCTCAGCTAATTTCTGCATATTAAAATAAGTCCTCAGATTTTTTTCTCTTCCATATGCTGCTGAGGTGTTTATAATAGAAAACCCTAAGACAAGCAGCGCGTTTGCTATGTTTAACGATGGATCTGAGTTAAAAAACGCTATAGTGACTCATGGGATGAAAATCCCTAAGCTTGACCAAATAATGAGTGCTATATTAAGGGCTCCTGTAAAATTAAGGATCAAGATAATATACATGATTTCTAATGCTATTAAGTCAACAGGTCTCTTTGTGTCATTTGTAATATAAAATAAGGTATTGAGGACCATCGTAAATAAAATAGCCATTAGAACAATTGGATAAATTCTTCTGATATATATCTTCTTATAACCCAAAAATAATACTAAAAGCGTTGCTACGATTACAGAGCGACATAAGATATTTTCTTTCTGAGAATAATCAGAAAGCAAAAAATACTCAAGAATGCAGAAAAATAAGAGTATAGATGAATTTATCAATGCTATAAGCAGGCTGTAATGCATCATAGCTTTGTTATTTAGCAATTTATCACGTCTGAATTTTCTTTGAAAGGCACTTTCTTTGCACTGAAAATCAAAAATATTGATTTTTTCTAATATTTCTGCTTCGTTTTGATGCAAAAACTCTGGCTCTATGTTAAGTTGTGTCAGTCTTTGGGTGCTTCTGCCTTTTCGCTTTGGGCTTTGCGGGCTGCTATTATTGCTATCGTGCTCGTGAAATTGGAGTGATATTTTTCTGAATAAAGAATTGTTTCCTGGGGTTTTAGTATCAGGACTTAGCTGAATTGTTTCAATTTCATCTGAATTCTGCTGTAATCCTTCAGATACTATAAATGTGTCAAGAATTCCTTTGCCTTTAGCTTCAACCCTATTATTTATAAATGCAAGTCCTTTATAATCTCCTATCAAATCATAGGTTTCCTTAATTCCCTCACTTCGTGAAAAAACAAAATAATTTTGTTCTTTCACGAGGAGCTAATTTTTTTTAGAAAATTTATAGCCTTGAACTTTTTAGATCATTATATGACCATCTATTCTAATTTGTAAAATTAATTTGTACTTGCCAAGCTTTTTTGAGAAGTAAAAACAAAAATGACAGGTCTCGGTTTATAGTTTTAAGATGCCTAATTAGACTTAGGTATTTTATAAGGCAGTGCCCTGAACCCTATGTTTTCTGGTCGATATTCTGCTGGGGTATAGAGATCTATTATGGTGCATAAATTATATATAAATTTCAAAATAAAAAAATTTAAAACTTGCAAAAATTGGACAGCGAAAATCAATTTAATTAGTAAACATTATGTTTTGAATGGGATCTGTTTAAAATCCAAAAGAATTAGCTAAAGATTTCATTATACTAATCATCAATTATATTTCAAAATATTTTTCATATAAACAAATTATGTTAACAAATTATTTGCTCGCTTAAAGAGGAGGGTTTTTCCCGAAAAATAGTGATTTTTCCAATAATTTTTTCGCTAACAGAAAGAGGGGAGCTAGAGATTTGTATTTTATTGTATTCTTCAAGGGTTGAACACATTCTACTCGCAGTATTAACAGTATCCCCTACAAGAGAAAATTGGGGTTTATGATACCCTACAACTCCAGCAGTAACCTCGCCACTATTAATTCCAATTTTTACTTTCAACAAAGATCCATTTTTTAGCCCGACTGTTTGTACATGAGAAATCATTGCAAAAGCAAGCTCAATTGTTCTTCTAGCATGAGACACTTTTTTAATATAATCTTCCATTTCTAGCTCACTGTCCTTTAGTCCAGCACATGCCATATACGTTTTCCCTACAGTTTCTATTTTAGTAACTCCAATAGCAGTGCAAAACTGATCAAATTTTTGAAAAAGCTCATCTAAAAATGTTGTCAACTCAATTGGTGTATACTCAGAGCAGATTGTGTCAAAATCACAAATATCGCAAAACAGTATCGTAACGGTGCCCTGGTCCTCAGCAATATAACGAGCTCCTTCTTTTACTCTTTTTTTAACAAAGGCTGGCAATAGAAAGCTTAAAATTTCTTGTGTTTTTTCGATTCCCATTTCTTTTATCCGAGTGTATTTATATTCAAGTCTTTTAGTTCTATCCAAGACATATCCAACAATTGCAGAAGTAAATGTAATTGATGCATTTATAGTGATGAAACTAAGAATTATCAAAGCAGCTTCTGTAGCACTCATATTTTGCTCAGCGTATGTGTATGATATAGATATCCCTCTGCAGGTGGGTTTTCCCGCCTTAAGAGGCTTTTCTGCCGCAGCACCTGACCACAGATGTCTTGCAGAGGGTCAAGACATAATGGCTGGAGCAGAATCAGCGAATACTGGATGGAGGGTTCTTCACCGATGCCTATTTCATAACGACTTTTTTTGGTCTTTTTTTTAATGCTAAAAATACTTCTTAAAAAATAGAATAAAATTTATTTGAAAATTATTTCCAAACAAATGAACCAATGAAAAAAATAGGCTAAAAAATAGATAAAGTCATTATGGAATAGTCGTCGTGCAAAGACTCGATATGGAGCAAGTGGTAAGCAAGTTCCAAACCTACAGACTCTAATAGTAAGGGCTGCCCATGTGCCTCCGGCAACAACTGATAGGATGAGAGCCATACAGCAAGTCCTAAAAATGTCTCTTACGTCCTATAGAGTTCTAGGGAGCTCGATCGTTCTGAAAGTATCAGAAATTAAAAATATTAAGTTTTAGTATGATATAGATATAACGTGCAATATTAAGTTTTGAGCATTTAGAAAGGTTATTAGATACCAGTCTACATTAAAAAGAATATATGTTAGAGATGGCACGCAACCTGTTGCTAAGGGTCCTGCTTTTGCATAAGCCATTTCAGTGCCGAATTTAACTAGAATCCCAATAAAAATAATTATTAACGTAAATTCCAAATAATTATTTTTAAAATAATCAGTAAAAACAATAATCAAAATTATTGTGAATGCGATGCACAGTATAATTCTCATTAAAATATATGAAAGCGTTACTGAGAGCAGAAATGATTCTAAAAAGGTTCAAATTATAAGCAAAACCCATAATAAGCTTACAATAATTTTATAATATGTAAGGTTTTCATGGATATATCCTTCACTATAAAGCTTCTCTATATATGGTGTCAAAAACCTAACTCCGCTAATTCGTGAGTAATCAAAATTTGTTTTACTCGCTTATAGAGTGAGTTAATGTTGTTCAAATATTTAAATTTTTTTCTAATTTGAATCTAAAATATAATTTAATATATAATTTATATTTAGAATACAAACTGTTTAAAATTTAATAGAAAAAGCATAAAAGTTCCAATAAAAAATATTTTGTTCTCTCAAGGAGGGTGTGTTTTTCCTAATAAAGATTTTCCAGTGTGTTATTTTCACAAAGATGAAGGTGTAAGCGTGAATTTATTCATCTCAAAAGCTTCTTTTTCTACATTACTCTTTGTATTGCTAGTAGGTTTATACGCTTTAACTAGACATGTAGAATATTCTTCTAGTCTCAAAAACTTATAAAACAAAGGTCGGCCAAATGACATCCGCTTAATTTTTACCAGTAGGTTTGGATGAAAAATAGTTTTATAAGCAAAGTACATCAATGAAGTCGTCACACATACCAAAGGAAGCAAAAATATGAGCATCAGTGACACAGAAGAATTTCCAATTTGTTCGCCAACCCCATATAAGTCATTATCACTAAAATCTATAGCAGTAACAATAATAATTGCACATATCAGCAAAACTATTGACACAAAATGAGTGGCTACATATATAAATCCAATAGCATAAGTCTGTATCCAAATCTGAATAAGGACCGCAAAAACTGTCGCTATATACAAGCTAGTCCCTATCAGACTATAATCCTCCACAAACCCTGCGTTATTTTGAATTCCACCAAATGCATACATTCCAAATAAAGAAATAAAGAGGCCTTGGCATATTGCAAAAGCTATACATTCTATAAATCTCCAAGCATTAAAGTGAACACATTTTATTCCTTCTGAATAAATTTGAGGGTATTCCCTAATTTGGAAATTTGGCAGAGGATCATCAAAAACGCTCATAACTATAATGGGAAGAGTTGTAAAAAAGATATTATAGCCAACTAATAGAGTATCATTAAATATTGACGTGTCTGAGTAATCAGTGTATCAAATATATACAAATGTAATCATTGTTAGCACAAAATTTTTGTAAAAAAATAGCAAAACTCCTCTTGACATTTTGTTATAATTCCAGTAGCCATGGAAAAGGAGCAGGTCTTCAAGCTGGGAGAAATTTTTTATGACGATTTCACTATAGTTTGGAGCTTGGCTTTCTTCTTTAGAAAGAACTCCAACGCCGATATCAGCTTCTTGTATCATCGGAATATCGTTATTTCCATCGCCAACTGCGAGAGTTAAAGGTTTGAACTTCACGTTTTCTTTCAAAAGTTTTACGACAAGAGCTTTATCTCTGGGGGTTAGTCCATAGAAGCAAGCAGACTGAGAAGCCAATAATAAACAGACCAAGAGCTTTCGAGACTCTTCATCGTTCATGGCTGTTGATAAGGAAGCACTGTCTATTGAGATAGAAAAATCTACTGAAAAAGGGATGAAAGGTCTGTTCAAAAAAGCGTCACTGATTTTCTTTTCTTGCTTAGAAATATCTTGGAAAATCGGATGCACTGCAAGCATCTTTTCAACTCCATTCATAGCTACAACATTATCTGCATCTTCATTTTCATGATTTTCCCATATGGTATGACGAGGAGCATCATTTGCTTCCAACAGACTAAAATTTCTTATCTCATTAGCTGGCTTTCTATAAACTGACTGCTGCTTTCGTGACCTCGCGACAGAGCCCCACCTGGCAGCTGATGCCTTTCTTGAAACCGCAACTGAGTTATCTTTATATATATGTGTTAGAACTCCATTTTGCAGTGCTTTTGTACAGAGAAATTGGTTAATGAGATCATGAATTTTAAATAAAGTGGTTTCTCGGTTAATGATATGCGCCTTATAAGCAGTCGTAACAGTGGCTGCTTCACTGTCTCCACTTAATACCCATATTTTTATTCCTGCTCTTTTTAGATTGTCTATAGCATTTTGTGTTTCTTGAGTGACTATATCTTCAATTCCAGCGGTTCCGAGAAAGACTAAATTTGACTCAAGTTCTTGGTATACACTTTCAATTCTCCCTTCACGATTTATTGGGAAATTTTTGCAAGAGTCAAGCTTAGCTAAAAATTCGTTATAGTCATCTTTTTTTAGAATTCGGAAGCCAAGAAGAATTGTACGCTGTCCTAATAATTGCAAGGCTAATGATTGCTCTTCTATATCATATACTAAATTCCTGGGGATAGCGCGGAATACGCTATCCCCAGGACCAACCGGGATCGGATCCACACATGGAACGGGGGTTCCATGTGTGGATCCATTTTTGACATGTGAGATATTTACTTTCACGTGTCAAAAATGGATCCACACATGGAACCCTCGTTCCATGTGGGATCCGATCCCGGTTGGTCCTGGGGATAGCGTATTCCGCGCTATCCCCAGGAATTTTCTATATTTTAATTGTGGGGATATATTGAAAAGAGGCAGCATTTCTGATACCGATCCCTTTACGTAAAGAGTGGCAATATCATGATCTTGTTTTTTTACTAGTATCCTTGATTTTCTGTTTTCAGAAGAAAACGGTGAAGACGCAAGAATTTGAAAGCATTCCTTTGTACCATGCATTTTTAGCACACAGCTATCATTATTTCGGCTTATAAGGTTGATTCCCAGTTCATCAGCAGCCTCCACAAGTGCATTTTCGTCCATGCTGGTCCCAACAAATTCACTATTAGCATCTTGCCCAGGAACTGTATTATTACAAAGTGCCATACATTTCACAAATTCGTAGAGCTTCGTCCCTTCTCCCGAAAGCGTCAAATTTTCATACAGCTTCTGAAAGTTGAAAGAGGACCCAGTTTGAAGGAAATCTGAGTTATTTTTTTCGCTTACGTAATTTGTAGAGTCGTGGTTATCTTGTGTTGAAACATAGAGTCCTTTTTCTTCATCATTAAGATTTATGCTTAAGTCGCAGCTGTATGGGTCTTCTCTGCAATATTTAGTGTTTTCAATGATGCAAGTCTGCAAGCACAGCTTGTTTTCTGTCAAAGTCCCAGTTTTATCAGCTAAAATGTACTCTACTTGTCCTAAATCTTCATTGATATCTCCAGTTTTGAAGATGATTTCTTTATTTGAATCTCTTTGTATGAAGTAGAGCTGAATAATTCTGATGATGTCCATTGTTACAAATAAAGAAATAGGAGTGATATTGTTATAAAGGAGGGTAAAGCTTATATAGGACTCAAATGGAGTGTCAGTATCGTCAGTTGTAGAAAGAACAAAGTGGGCTAAAACCGATTTTAATCTTAATTAATCTATACACGTTTAACGTCTAATATCAGGTTGCTTGACCACAACTACTTCCAACACTCTCTAGGGCGAGTTTCGCACCATTTCCCTCGGGCTACTAAAGGTGTGACCACCTCCTACTTTGATAACTAAAAGAGGACGCCAGCCTTGAAGTTTGGATTTCAAAAACTCTTCTTTGAGCTCAGGCACTTACTTGGGTCTGAAAAGCACCCTAAAGGTCCCAGTTCCACCCTAGGGTTTGAGATACCCTTTTGGAAAATTCCATTACCTAAGGCTAGTAGTCGGTAGGAAAAACTACCGGCTCTTACTTGCTTGACAAAGCTGGAATGATTTTACAAGTCTTATAATTACAATATGGAAGAAGTGAATTTCGGTCGGGAGACCAGAAAATTCGAGCTACTCCATACTTTAATTATGGGCTGAAACAGATCAGCTTACCATAATCAAAAGAAACATCAAAATATAAATCACATACTCATTCACTTTCTTTTCAATTCTACTCGTCTTTTTTGGCGGGGAACGAATATTCAATTGCGTTTTAGTCTCTTCTCCTGCATAAAGCACAATCCCAATTGCCCACTTCGAGCCTAGTACTGTGCTTCCCCGAAATATCAAATTATCTAAAGATAAATCAATTGATTTCGGATGCCCTTTTAAACTAAGAATCCCATGAAAGCTGCAAAAATCACTGTTGGGTTGTTCTATTCTTATTAAGCCAGAAATCTTTTTAATAATAAATTCTCTTTCCATTGTTTGAAACAGCTTCTGAACATCACTGACAGCTATTTTCTTTTTTAAGTTAGTTTCTCCAACAACCCCAGATGCTCTGACATAGCAAGCCCCATCTTTGCTTTCGGTTGCAATAAGCAAAATATCAGCTGGAGCTTGCTGCTGCGATTTCAATAAAAGAATATGGCCGACGAGGATGTCTTTGCATTTAATGCTTTGTATTTCTGAGCCATTTCAATAATCATAATCACTTGAATTAACTTTGATGTCATCCTTATGTCGAAAATAGTCATTATAAGCATCTTTTAATAATGTAAAAAAGATCAAAATCCCAAGTGGGGCTATTGTTGTCCAAGAATTGGTGGGATTTAGCTGGATAGGGATCAATTGAAAAACTGAGACAAGTAAAAATCAAATATTTGATGTTCTTTGAAATTGCTCAAAAAGGTTTTTTGGGAGAAAGCTTGCTAAGGTGTATCTCCCAGAACTCACTTCATTTCCCATAAAAAGTGATGATATTATTGGAGAGCTCCCTGATAACTCAATCTCTCTCCAGTTTTCATTACTTATTTTGGCCATTTTAAGTCTTAATATTCAAAAGGAAGTAAATTTTATAAAAATGTCAAGTTATTGGGACTTGCTAATTTGCTTCACATATTAATTGTGGCTGGAATTAATTTAAGAGCTAGAAATTAATTATGGGAAAATTAAATTAGTCTTTTTGATAATTGTATTTTTCGAATTATAAAGGTAATTCTGAGTTCTGTTTTTGCTAATTAATATATGCTAGTGGCATTTCTTTAGAAATACTTCATTATTTGATATAATTAAGATCCTTATAAATAAAAATTATATCAATATAAGAGTATCTATCAAAGAATTGTATTTTTTCAAATATTGACAATATAATTTATTTCTCTTCTTTAATAGGATTATAAGGCATTTATTTACTCCTCTCTCCTCCGTGAGCGAACAAAACCATTAGAAAAATCCCTATTTTTTGCCCAAAAACCCACCCTCCGTGAGTGAACAAAAATTTTTTTTTAATTGAAAAAAAATTTGATATATAAGTGATAATTATTATAATGAAATCTCGAGCTAATTCTGTTTAATTTTAAACAAATTGCGTTTTAGAAAAATTAAATTAATATTTGCTTTCCAATTTTTGCGAATTAGGATTTTTTTTAAATTTCGAAAAAAATATTTTCTATAAAATTTATATATAAATATTTTTAACCAGCGAACAAAATTTTTTTGTTCACTCACAGAGGGGGGGAGTTAGTCAAAATTCGAGCACTTGAATTGCATTGATAAAGCTTGGATTTTCTTTTTCATATAGAGTCTTCATATAGCCGCAAATACGCAGGTTTGCTCCCAGGCTGCTTGGATTTGCTCTTTCCTTCAAAAATAGGAAACTCTGCTTCAAATTCGCTCAAATAATCAAATCTCTTTTTTATGCTACTTGCATCACTAAAGGTTTTTAAGGAACTCTCTGGATTCTCGTGGATCGGTGAAATACCTCCAACTAAAGGTTTAGGACTCTGACTTCTGAGTGGCGAAAAAGAAGTTCATTTCGTTTTACTAAATTGCTTACGTAATCCTTTTTCAACAATTTTTCTTGGGTTTAAATTTCTCTCGTTATAGAGTCGATCCACAATTTCCTTTGTTTTGGCTTTACTAATTGTTTTTGGTTTGCCCTTTGTAATTTCAGTCATAAAAGATTGCTTAAATAGTCTCGGCGACACTTGATTCAACAAATTTTCGTAGTCATATGCGTTCTTGTCTGGAGGAATTATAGGCAAACTTGGTATTTTTAAGATTTTTGGAGCCAATTTTGATGCATTCTGCTTTATTTCAGTTTTCAAAAATTCAGAATTTTTTTCCTCAAACTCAATTTCTTCATATTCATCAAATATGGACATTTATAAAAATTAATTAAAAAATATCAATTTATATCAAGAAAATTGTTAATTTATATATTTGCATGACGTTTTTGTATATGTTTCTTCAGCTTATATTTGTTATAAGCCATATATCCGCAGAGCTTACAGTTGACTCTTTTTGCTGTTTCGTGTACTTGTTCATAGTGGAATTTCAATGCATACTTGTGTGTAAAAAGCTTTCCACATACGCTACATATGGAATTTTTTGCATTAGCTGTATGCTTTTTCCCTACATGCTGGTTCAAGCCTTGACGACTTTCGAAAATTTTGTGACAAGTGGCGCAACTGTAAGGCTTTTTTAAGTCTTGCTCGCCATAGTATTCGCCTTTTGGTGAAGGCGTATTAGGGTCTAGGCCTAATTCTGTATTAAGAATTGTAATCATTTCCCTTTCAATTGCGAACTCATTGATCATATGGTCTCTCAATATCATTAAACTATTGAAAGATTTGCCGCATAAGTCGCAGAAGCTTAGTATTTTGTTCCTTGATTGAAGGTTTGCTGCTTGAATTAATAATTCGTCTCTTATGATGTTTGAAACTTTTACCTGTTCCATCTTTTAAATATAAGAGAGTCATTTTACAGAGTTTTTATCACCATATCTATGGTGTTAGCAAAATTTTATTCTCTTTAACCATATACGTTTTTTTTTAAAGAAAAAGGTTTATATGATATAGTATCAGTCTTTTTACCTTCTGAATCGTTGATAAATGCGTAATTATATATTCACAAAGATGATAAGAGCTATTTACGGAGAACTCGGGCAGCAAAAAGGAGCCAATGGGAAAATTTCAATCATAGGTGGATGTCTTGAGTACACAGGAGCTCCTTATTATGCAGGAGCTTCGTGCTTGAGAGCGGGAGCTGATCTTGCACATGTTTTCTGTACTTATAATGCTGGAATTCCGATTAAATGCTACTCTCCGGAACTCATAGTCCATCCAGTCCTAAAAGCTGCAAACGAAAACCCAGAGCTTTCTGACAAAAGTGTGTGGCCTAAAGCCCTACTCCCCCCTCCGTGAGTGAACAAAACCATTAGAAAAATCCCCTATTTTTTGCCCAAAACCCATCCTCCGTGATCGAACAAAAATTTTTTTAAAAGAAAAATTTTTTGTGGAAAAAAAATTGTATATATAACTGATAATTAGTATTATGAAATCTCTACCTAATTCTGTTTTAATTTTAAACAAATTGCGTCTTAAAACATAAATTTTACAAATTAAATTAATGTCCACTTTCCAATTTTTGAGAAGTGGGATTTTTTTAAATTTCGAAAAAAAAATTAACCCTCATCCATGAGCGAACTAGATTTTTTTGTTGCTCACGGAGGGGGGAGTTAGAAGAAATCTATGGAGAAGTGTCTAGATGGTATCCTTCAATGCATGCATTTATTGTAGGCTGTGGATTAGGAAAAGATGAATTTTTAGCAGATCATCTCGCACCAAGACTCCTGACTCTTGCAAAAGAGCAAGGAAAAATCATTGTAGCTGATGCTGATGCGATCACAATTCTGTGCAAAAATATTGATATTTTAGCAGGATATCAATCGGCAGTGATATAGGGATTTGCCCTAGGATGGCGCTATATGGCGCCATCCTAGGGCAAGCGAAAATTGGCTCCACACGGGAACCGTATTCCACGTGTGGAGCCATTTTTCCACGTGTGGAATCCACATTTTTCCACGTGTGGAATCCACATTTTCCCACGTGGAAAAATGGCTCCACACGTGGAACACAATTCCGTGTGGAGCCGTGTCTCCAATTGCCCGAGGATGGCGCAATATAGCGCCATCCTCGGCAATTTCTATAACACCAAACCCGAACGAGTTCAAACGACTGTGGGACGCTTATATCAATGAGCCTTTGCCGAATCAAGAATACAGATGCTTAGAAAGAGAAATAACAGAACTTCCAGCTAGCGATCCAATGGTATCAAGCAGTGTAAGGCTTGCAAGAAGACTTGGAAATATCATCTTCCAGAAAGGACAAATCGACATAATCACAAACGGTGAAAAAGTTGTATGCGTAAGCACTCCAGGAAGCCGAAAAAGATGTGGAGGACAAGGTGATATTTTAGCTGGAATCATAGCTACTTTAAGCCACAACGCGACAAGAAACTCTTTAGAAATGATTGATGGAGTTGTCGCAGCTAGTATGCTTATGAAGAGATGCGCTTATGTTGCTTTCTGCAAAAGAGGAAGATCGCTAACAGCACCAGATATTATAAAAGTGCTGCCAGAAGTTGTAGCGGAAGCACTGTCTTTAGATCCTAGCTTATAAATTTATAGCAAGAAATCTATGTTTTTGAAAATATTAAAGGTCTGATTTCAATATAAGTCGGCTGGGTTTTACCTTGGCACAGTGGAGCGCAATGTCGAATTTGGTCGACCGCAGTTCATTCTATCACCAAGGGTTTTACCTCGAGGAGGAAGGGTCTTCCAAGTTGGAAAGGGGAAGCTCAGCAGCGTCAGGAGTCACCTCTTGATCAATCGGGCAATTCCCTAGCGCGATACTGGGCGTTGCGTCCCGGGCTTGGATTTCCTTTCTGGCCGACAGCCCTACCAGAAAATTTGTTTTTCAAATTTTCGGAATGGGCAACCTCGTGCTCGCAGCCTCAAGCAAGGCCGCAGAATTCCTAAATCTGCCCACTCAAGACTGGAGCAAGGTTGTAGCTTGCAAGGAGGAGACGACCAACAGAACAGGCTAGCTGTAAAATCAGAGTCCTGTAGGCGGAAGTCGCAAAGCGGAGGAACCCTCGAGGGGGTCTGGGTGACTGCGTTAACAAGTAACAGCTTAGCAGCTGATAATCTCTAATTAAGACTTCAATATAAGTTTAGTTTTTGTTAATTGATATTTGCTTCTGAGATAATTTTAATATTTGTAGCCAATTGAACTATTTTCTTCGAGGAGGAGTCAGCTTTACTATTTCTCGAGATATAGAAATTGCCCGAGGATGGCGCTATATTGCGCCATCCTCGGGCAATTGGAGACACGGCTCCACACGGGAATTGTGTTTCCACGTGTGGAGCCATTTTTCCACGTGGGAAAATGTGGATTCCACACGTGGGAAAATGTGGATTCCACACGTGGAAAAATGTGGATTCCACACGTGGAAAAATGTGGATTCCACACGTGGAAAAATGTGGATTCCACACGTGGAAAAATGGCTCCACACGTGGAATACGGTTCCCGTGTGGAGCCAATTTTCGCTTGCCCTAGGATGGCGCCATATAGCGCCATCCTAGGGCAAATCCTATAGCTCCTTTATCACATTTTCGTAGAATACTTTTTCTTCTTTTAAAAATTCTTGAGGGTCTTTAAGTTCAATTCTTAAGTCTGGCTGGTTTTTCTCTGCTAGTTGAGCTCTCAATCGTAGATTTTCTTCATTCAAGCGCTTGATTTCTGATTCAAGTTCCAATATCTTTGCTGGATAGTCATTTTCAAATAGTGGAGATTCAATTACAGGATTAGGAGGGTCAGGAACAAAATTCAGTGATTTTTCTGCTCGAAATCTATAAAGCTAGATAAAAAATACTTCTCTTTTCCCTATTTCTAAATAATTCATTTATTAGCAAAGTTTATTATTCCTCTTTACTCCTCTATTCTTGATCAAAATGATGATAATCATTAATTTTTTTCATATAAAATATTTTATGTTCTAGTCAAGAGAGATTGAACATTCAATACCTTACTCCCCCCCCCCCCTCCGTGAGCGAACAAAAAAATTTTGTTCGCTCACGGAGGGGGGTTAATTTTTTTTTTTTAAAAAAAATTTATATATAAATTTTATAAAAAATATTTTTTTCGAAATTTAAAAAAATCCTAATTTGCAAAAATTGGGAAGCAAATATTAATTTAATTTGCAAAATTTATGTTTTAAAACGCAATTTGTTTAAAATTAAACAGAATTAGCTCTAGATTTCATTATACTAATTATCACTTATATATCAAAATTTTTTTCCATTAAAATTTTTTCTATTAAAAAAATTTTTGTTCACTCACGGAGGGTGGGTTTTTGGTCAAAAAATGGCGATTTTTCTAATGGTTTTGTTCGCTCACGGAGGGGGGGGGGGAGTTAGTAAATATGCAAGAGATTGCACTAGAATTGCGTAAAAACAATTGCACAGTGCAATTTCTAAGATTCACTATTATCAAAGAGACATCTAGTTAGATTCGAGTGTGATATAGGAGCTGTTTTACTTGGGCATATCAAGATCCTTTGATCAATGGTAGCATTAATTTTCCAACATTGGGAAATTTTCAATTGTTCTGTTCGATATATACAGGGAGAAATAGCAAAAATTAGTAAATTTATAATTTAAAATTTTTGTGCCCAGCTGAAATTGAATTTTAAAGATATTATTATCCTCTATATTATTAAATTATTTTGATTATAAAATTCAAAAATGAGGATTATGATAAAAGGAGGTATTTGGAAAAACATTGAGGATGAAATCCTCAAGGCTGCTGTCATGAAATATGGGCTAAACCAATGATCTAGAATTTCGTCTTTACTTGTTCGAAAATCTGCTAAACAATGCAAAGCAAGATGATATGAATGACTAGACCCATCAATAAAAAAGACAGAATGGTCCAAAGAAGAAGAAGAAAAATTGTTGCATCTTGCTAAGTTATTCCCTAATCAATGACGCACAATTGCACCTGTTATCGGCCGCACTCCAGCACAGTGCCTTGAGCATTATGAACAATTATTAGAAGAAGCAGCAGGCAATGAAGTTGACGAACAAAACGACCCAAGAAGACTGAAGCCAGGCGAAATTGACCCATCACCTGAAACAAGACCCCCAAGGCCAGATCCTGTAGATATGGATGAAGATGAAAAAGAAATGCTCCAAGAAGCCCGTGCGAGACTTTCCAATACCAGAGGCAAAAAAGCTAACTCACTCCCTCATGCTTGATCATGAAAAACTCCAAAAATTGTGTAAATTATTCCCATCTTTGACAAAGGATTTCTACTATAATTAAGCAAGGAATTCGCTCACATCAAATTAGCTACCTATATTTGATAATTATTGATACTTTGAGATATTAGAAATTATCACTCCTACGCAATTCTAATGCAATTTCTACATATTTGCTAGTATGCTGAATCTTCTATTTCTTATCTCTAGCTATATGTGAAAAATTTATATAATAATTTTGTAAGTTGATGAAAACATTTATATAAAATTATTGGCAATCCTTAATCGAACAATGCGGATCTTTCAATCACGAATGGAAAAGTAAGCGAAAAATGAGAGAAAAGCAGTTAGAAGAAGGTAGAAGACTTGCCACAGTCCAAAGAAAGAGAGAACTAAGAGCTACTGGAATTGATATTGAATTGAAAAAAAGAATAAAGCCCAAGGTTAGAGAAATGAACTATATGGTAGAAATTCCTTTTGAACACTATGTACCCAAAGGGATTTATGAGCCAGATGAAGCTCCTCAGCCAACTCAAGACCAGCTGATGATTTCTGCACAGCAAATAGAAGGAAGTATGAGAGATGAACTTGAAGCCAAGCGGAAAATTGAAGACGAAAAAAGAATGAAAAGGCTAAAAGAGCTGGATTTACCTATGGCAATCAAAAAGATCAATAAAGCTAATGAAGAAGCATTGCCTGTGAAGAGGTCAAGGCTGATTTTACCCGAGCCTCAGCTTACAGAAGAACAAATAGAGCAATATGTAAGGCATGGCGAAAATGATGGAAATACAAATAATAATGCTACAGATGCCTTAGTTGGGAATTATGATAAGTATTCAAATTTGATCGATCCAACTCAAATTATTACTCCGATGGAAGAAAACAGTATCCAAATGGAGGCGTATAATGCTGCTTTAATGAACAGGACTACGACTCCATTGATGGGAGGCTCAAACCCAGAACTCTACCAGACAGATTTATCGTCTGTAACTCCCGCTATGACTCCTAATTTAATAGCATCTCAGCTTTCTACAGCTAGAAATAGCAGAGACGCTATGTCACTTAACACAAAAGCAGCAAACTGGGAAACTTCTTCTGATTTTATAGCTCCAGTGCCATTAACAAAAGAGAAACTTGAAGAGTTTCAAGCACTAAGTGAAAAAGAGCTGTTGCTAAAGCAGCTTGCTAGTATCCCAGGCCCTGTAAATCTAATTGATTTTGATATGCCTGAGATAGAAGATGAAGGGGAAGATTCTAATGAAGATATGGAAGAAGATGAAGAAATGAGCGACTTAGAGCAAGAAGATGTCAAAGAAGCCTTAAAGAGCGAAACTGTAAAAAGAGATTTACCTAGACCATATGTTTTTAACCCGAAAAGATATATTGTAGAGGCTGGAGAAGATTCCATAACTGATGAGCTTTTATCGCTAGTTTTGTATGATATGCATCAATACCCCATGAAAGGAGGTAAAATCCCCCCTGATTGCCCTGATAAAGAACCTTTTAATGACGAACTCAGAGGAAAAGTAAAAAAATTAGTTGATGAAGAAATGCAGAGCTGCATAAATTTAACCACAAAAGATATAGATGCTGCTCATGCCAGGTATCAATATTTGCATACAGAGAAAAAAGCTGTAATAAAAGAAGAAATCAATGAAGAAAGTATTGCTGCTAATGCAAAAATTGAGCTGAAGCAGTATAAAACTCATTTAAGCAAACTAGAGAACAAATACGAAGATGATATAAGAAACTCCACAAAAGACTTGCAAAAGAAAGCTGTAAGATTAGAAAAAGCTATTGAAAAAACATATGCCAAATATGACACTCTTCGGATAGAAAACTCAGTATTTGAAGTTCTACAAGTCAGAGAAGAAGATTCCTTAAAAAATAGGATAAATAAGCTGAAAGAAATGATTGAGCAAGAAAAAAATACTGAATCACTTCTATTAAAAGAAATTGAAAATCTTGGAAGAGAAGAAGAAGCATGGACATGGGCAAACAACGTTGCACCTTAAATAGACTAATTAGAGAGTATGTTTAAAATTAACTAGGCGTAAAGGCTATAACAGTTCCAAACAAGAAATGTTTCATCACAGGCAGCTTGTTTAGAACTTCAGCTTGATACATCTTGATAAGTCCTGTTGAGACTTTTCCCCAATTAGGGACTCCGCTGATATCATTCAGCATAGGCGAGTGCTCTCCAAAGTGTCCTGATGATTTGACTTTTTTGATGAAATCAATGCAGTGGAAGTATAAGTATTCATTTGCTTCTCTTTGGACTGCGAAATCATCATGAATGGAGTTTGGGGTGTAATTGTCATGTCCAATCAGCTCTGAAGCTCCAAACAAAAAAGGAAGGAAATGATAGTCGTCTAAACCCCATACGCCATGTGACCCTGCAGGCTCCAGCCTATAAGTAGTTTGAATTTTTCTCATAAGAGTTATATAACTCCAAAAAATATGATGTATCATAGCAGCCCTGTCAGTGTCTTCTAAGTACCCCAAGCAAAACAGCACAAGCAGAAACGAAATAAAATTAAGCTCGTGCCCTGTGCCATAATCAATCCTGATTGGGTCTCCGAATGATTGCGATAGATAAGTATTAATCTCCAGATCTGCGTGACTGTCAACTAGCTCTTGTCCGAAAGGTTTTGTTAAAAGAAGAGTCCTAATCAATTCTCTTCCTGAATCAACAATCCTTTGTTGAAGCGTAGTAAAAGCTTTATTTCCATATCTTTGAGGACTCTCCAGAGGTGGTGTTTGGTCTACCCATTTGCTAATGGCATCAGTTATAGCAATAATATACGTACAGTTTGCCGTGCATTGAGTTCGAGATCTCCCCTTGCCTTGAACGCCGTCTTGTAAGCTCAATATAAAGCCAAGCAAGTTTCTCTTGCAGTCTGATGCTTGGAATTGTGCAAGTTGCTGCTCTGTTGTGATAGTTTTTTGAGGGACTCCAAAAGTTGGCCTGGGATTGTCCATTTTCTCGTGAAATGTTATACGATTTCGTTTATATTTACACCTTGCATTTTGATATTAGTCTATTAGAGATAAATCAGAGAAAAAAGATATATTAAATATAGCATAATGTCAAGGCCTGACATCATGGCTGGCATGCCTTATACTGCTCTTCAGTGTAATGAATTAAGACATAGCCTCCTTACATCCTAACATCAATAACGAGATTTTTCTCATTCAAGTCAGAAATTTTTTATTTTTCAGATTCAGAATTTTTAAATTCGGGAAAAAATCCTTTTAACTAACTACTAATCTAAAACTAAATTTTGGTTTTATTGAAAAAATTATTAAATTATAGAAATTAATCGCTTCAATTTCCTAAAATAGGGAGTCTGCATTTGAGAGAGCTAGAGATATGATTAGCAACGACAACCCAAATCGAGAAATCAGAGATTGTGTAAGAAAAGAGCTGGCTTCAATAAAAAGACAAGGGCACGGATATGGAATATTACTAGTCGGATCATTTATAGCATTTACATATATTAAGGCTCCAAATGCGAAACCTCATTATGCTGGAATTGCTATTGGGTTAAGCTTAGCTTATTTTTTGGGAGGTGTATTTGCACTTGATGTTGGGAAACCTTATGTTCTGGATAATATTGGTATTATCAAAGAAAATCCAGATTTTGAAAAAAGAAGGCTAGAAATTGTCGAAAATTGCAAAAAATACTAATAACACATTAAAAGCTAGTTATTGGAACATAAAATTTTATGAAAATATATTTCTTTAATAATCTATACAAATAATAAAATCGGTATAAGCATGCTGATTCTATTATCCATTAATTCTAAAGCGCTATTATATTCCTCTTCTCTGTGCAGATGTCAAGTCGATACAAATGGTACTTTAAATTTAAATAACACTTTTACATCAGGCAAATCTTATCATTTAATTTACTTATCTTATGCAAGTTCATCATGAATTTTCATCAATAATTGGCTTACTATAGCAATTGAAACTAGTAGCCTTAATTGAATTTTTTAAAATAAACTCATAAATACTTTTATGTTCTACAGAAGAGAAAACTTATATAGTGCATGCGCTAATATTGGATATGGTTCCAAATATGCATAAATCATTCCATGTTTGGAACCAAAATCCGCATGTTGGAGCCATTTTAATAGGGGACTCCACAAATGGATTATGGTTCCACAGGTGGAATTTTTCTATATGTGGGTCGATCCAAAATTAGTGCCATGCACTATATTCTATATAGACTGAAAATTATTTTTAAATTTGAATGCCTATTTCTTGCATGAGTTTAGGTAATTCTAATTAAAGTTTAAAAAAATTCCTAATAAATAGCACTATAGCAGATGTGGCTATTATGTTTCATCTTCACCCTTACTTCAGCGAGTTCTCAATGCTCCACTTATAAATGCAATACAGGCTACACTAAAGGCGAGTGTATTACAGAATCGACAGGAGAAGACGCTTCAATTGCCTACGATCAAACTCTTTGCTACCCTGAATATGTATGCACACCTTCCGGATCATCAACTAATTGCACCCTTCGCCAACCATCTGTGAATTACCCAGGAGAATTTTGCAGCACCAACAGCCAATGCACGAGTGGTAGCTGCGACCAAGCAACATTTGTATGCAAAGGATTATCAGTTGGCCAGCAATGCGTCAATCCTTATGATTGTGGGCCAGGTATGTATTGTGATAGCGTCAAAAAGGTTTGCACCAATCAAGTTAAGTCTGGTAGCGCTTGTTCCCAGAACAACGATTATCAGTGTGCGAATGGGTTAATCTGCATTAATCTAGTCTGTACGTCTCTCTTTTCTGTTGCTACTGGCAATCAAGTAGATAATGATTTTGTGAACGATGATACAGGCTTTTCAACAGCCTGTACTTCAGGCTATGCTGTATATGACGAAGATAACCAATTTTATACATGCACTAAAGCTCCCCATAGTGAAAATGCACTTCCCATGAAATGCACACCTGGCTCTAAATGCGTCTCTTCAGATTTGCATTCCAAAAATTGCACTTGTGGCATTAATCAGAATGGAGACAGCTACTGCCCACTGTTCGAAGGAGATAGTTACGTCCAAAGCATGATAACGTCTTGGAAAGCCATAGCTCAACTTAATTCAGGCTGCAATAGCTACAGAAGGTGGGGATACCAATGCTTTGCCACTCAGAGCATTGCAAATCAAATACAGTGGTACACATGGGCAGCTAATTATACGCTTTATTATAATGAATTATATCCTCTAATACAAGAAAACCAAGAATGCACAAGACAGATAGAAACTTCTAGCTATTGGAATATTATGGCAGCTCTTTCATCGTCTTCAGCATCAATTCAATGTCCAGTTTATTTCTGTGGAACTGATAAAACTAATTGGGGTGCTGAGCAATGTATTTTCTATGAAAAGGATGTGCTTAATTATAAAGTCACTGACATTCTTTCTTTAAACCCATGCTCGACTGGGACTACATGTCCAACTTCGCAAACCAGCCAAAATTCTACATGTACAGCTTCTACTACTCAGCTTTCCTATGCTGGCGATTACTGCAAGAAAAATGAAGACTGTGCTTCAGGGACCTGCAAAAATAAAGTCTGCTCAGGAGCAGCTCTGGCAGGTGCCTGCACAAATGTTCAAGACTGCAATCCAGGTCTTTACTGCAACACCACTACTAAAGTATGCGATGCTCAAAAAGTTGAAGGCGTCAACTGCGCTTCTGATTATGAGTGCTTGAACAACATGACCTGCAACCTTGGAATTTGCATTCCTTATTACTCACTGCCAGTAGGTAGTGTTACCAATAGTGTAAACTCTGCAGGGTTCTCAAGAGCCTGCAATTTCGGCTTCGCTAACTTAACCACGACCACAGCTCCATTGAAAGGAATTTGTGCTAAGCCTCCGGTGTCACCGAGTACAGGTCCAATCCAATGCCAGCCTGGTGCTAAATGTCTTGATAAAACTGGAACTTATTCTAAAATCTGCACCTGTGGGTTGAACGAGTTTGGCACCGCTTATTGTCCATCATTTGAGGGTGATATATACTTAAAGAACTCAATTATTCATATGAAAACACTTATGACGAAAAACAAGATTTGCAACACTGAGTCAAGGTTTGAAGAAAGATGCTTTTTGAGAGACCTGAACAATTTGGAAACCTATTATTTCTATGTGACTAACTTCACGATGTATTTACAACTTCCAGCTCTTCAAGAGAATACTGAGTGCGTGAAGTCGATTTATACGGAGGACTTTTGGAGATGGATGAAAGAATCATATGACCATTCGGCAGGGATTATGGCAACTCTGGCTTCGTTGTTGGCAATCCAGGTCTTTATTTAGGTAAGTAATTAGTAATATTAAGCTAATAGAGTCTCAACTATTGATCATATCGACTCAAAAGAAATGTTTTACTTTTTAATTTGATTTAAAATATATGAAATGTTCATAAGAATCATTAATTATGAGCTGCTTTGTATTTTGGTTTAAGAATTGACCTAATTGATGATATCGGCATTTGACGGCCTGCGATACTGACTCTTTGCTTCTTCACTATATTTTTTAATGTTTCTGCTTGGGCTTGGTCTAAATTACTTATAAGCCCTTCAATCTTGGAAGGAGTTGCAGTTTGAATGTATTTAATAGTTTCTTTGAAGTGATGATACTCATCAAACTGATTCATGGGGGATAAAAATGTCTTCAAAATCATATTGGCTTCTTGCTCTTCTGTTTTCTGCTTCTTTGTTTTTTTAGCTCCTTCTATAGCCATTTTGCTTCCTTCAACTGGCACAGCTCCAGATAATATTTGTATTATCATTTTGAATATCATTTCGTGTCCAATTGCCATTCCTTGAGGAAGGTCTTGCTGAACTAAGAGGTTGCAAAGTCCTTTTACAGCAACTTTTTTATCATATTGCTCTTTAAAGTGATTAATAGATGCAAGGATTTGCTTTAAAGCATTATCCAAGCATGTATCATTATTGGGAGTCATAGCACTCGAAAGAATTGAGATGGAAAGTTGACAGTTATAGTCAAAAGAAGCTAAAATTACTCCTAAAAGTCTGACTCTGAAATAGTCTTTTTTTATACGACTGTTTAGGCGCTCCATTATTGAACTCAAAATAGAAGGTAAAATGGCATCTAAAACTTGTGGAAAAGACTGTAATAATTGCTGATATATTAGTGCTGCTTCCATATTTTCTCTCTCAGATGTTTTCTTTTTATATTTGGCGAATAAGCATTTTCTGCACATTTCTGTCAATTTCCCGATCAATTCAGGATTTCCAATAAAAGCAGCTGCCCCAAATTCTAAGTAGCAATTAATCGGCTCAAAAAGCTGAATAAAGGTGTTGTCAAATTTCTCTTGAACCAAAGTTAAAAGATTAAAGAGAATCCATCCAGCCTCACTTACAGATTTGGTTTTCCTCATAAGAGTAGTTTCGAATAAATAAATGTCTTCATCAAATTCTATATCATTAGGATTTTTCATATACTCAAAAAGTGGTATCAGCTGCTTTTCAATTTCAAGGACTTGCTCAGCAGTCGTTTCTTTTACGTCTGCAATAAATCTTATCATATTCCAGCACTTAATTATAATAATATTTGTTTTCTTTTTCTTTTTACCTTCCCCAGACTCATTCAAGCTTGGCAGTTCATTCTGGATTTTTTGGACCAAAAGAGGAATTAAGGTACCTAAATGAGGCAAAGCAATTTCTGTGTTGCTGGATAGGATCTCTTGGATAGACTCAAAAAAAGTTTTTGACCTCTGGTGAGGGATAAGCAGAATCATCGAGCTCAGGATAGGCGAAAACAAAGGCTCAAGTCTTCCCATAGTCTCTTCGCTTTCTAATATATGGCAAAGAGCTTCTGAGCCTTGCATTGATACTATTTGATGATTATTTGTAGGATTGCAGAATCCAAGCAGAATTTCAATGAGTTTCATAAAAGTTTCGCTGTCTTTTTCATATAAATACCCTAAATAGTACCGAATGACCATGCAAAGTCTTTGGTGAATTATATTAGAATTAACTTGAGTCAAAGGAGCCAGATGTGCTTTAATCAATACTTCTACTGTTGTAAATAAATCTTTCCTTGATATCACATAATTAGATAAAGCAGCCAGCATTAATAAGCAAACCTCTACACGCTGCTGATCAGAAGACTGTAATATCTTGCTCTGCTGGAATTCATCTAAATACGTATAAGTCTCATGCTTTACCTGAGTTAGCGTCCAGCTTATAACCTGGCAAGCAAAACTCACTAAAAAGCTCAAAGCTCCATCAACTCTTTCTGCTAAGGCCTCTAAAAGTACCACTGCTGAGGTCTTAAAAGTGTCGGATTCTTGCCTTTCGCATGTTTCTAAAGAAGCGTTAACGAACTCTTCAGGGTACAAGTCAATTGACTCATAGTCTTCTCTGAATGCTTTAATTAGAGGTAGACAGACTTCAACGATAATTCCTTTAAAATTTTGGATAAAAAACCATAAAAATTTGTTTTCATTTGCAAGCTTGCTAAGAACGACCAAGGTCTCAACAAAATACTCTTTTATATAGTTATCGTCTAATATGGCTTCATAGTCAGGCCGCATTACAATTGTGTGCAAGGATAAAGTGAGTGGCTCTACAATTTGCTTCAAGAATTGGACTAAATAGGAATCAGGCTCTTCAATTAAGAACTCTTTTATTTTTTTCTCTTCGGCAAACTGCAAAATAAGGTTAAGGCCTTGCAGAAGCTGGGATTTCGAATGGTTAAGCTTGATATGCAAAGGCTTTTGGTCAATGCTTATAAGCGTATTTTGGCCTAACGAGTTATCTGCAGGCACAAAACTGAGGATGTTGTAATAAATTTGATAGAGGAGGTTCATGTCTTTTATTTCTTCCAATGCAGACCTGGATGTGATCTCAAAGTGCTCAATAGCAATTGTCAACCATCCAGACACTTCACACAAAATATCAGCCAAAGCATATAGAATTTAAAATGGCAGTTAAAGTAGAACAACGGTCCTACAGCCTAACTCAAAAGAACAGCATCTTGAGGGTTTTGGCTCAAAGAGAAGTGATATACGCTGAGGCTAGTGTGTAGATAAAAAGGTCCTAGAGAATTTGGGGATATGAACAGTCGACGGTTAGGCCGGTATTACCTATCGTTATTCAGAGCTGTCAATCTGCAAGAATCTGGACTTATAGAAGAGTAATCTTAAACTTAAACTTAAATCAGCCAAAGCTATGTTTTCACTATTCAGCTTTAATTTTTGGATAGTTTTATCTGTAATAAGCAAAACTGGTTCCAGCAGATGCTTATAATAGACAATAAGTGAAGGCATATGGACAGCATCATTAAAGATCGCTCTTAAGGCTCTGAAAGCGCCTAAAACAGAGCACTCTAGCCCATCAAGAGCGGTGAACACATAAGGAAACATTTGAGATAAAAGCAGTTCGTTTTCATGACTAAAAATTGGAGTTAGAGCATACCCTAAAGACGCTCTGATTTGGATTTCAATATTTGGACTTATTAGCACCGCAAATATAAGTTGAGCAACAGCTAGAGCATTTTCCTTGATTTTTCCTTCATCATCCTTCAGTTTAATTAATTTTTTCACACTAAGAGCTGCTGAGTTTTTGATCTGTAAAGAAACACTTGGGTTGTCTGATGCAATGATATTTAACAATGCTTGTAAGTAGTCGCCTTCATTTTTAGACAAAGCCTCAAGTTCTTCTTCAGCGGCTTTTCTCTCAGAACTGTTATTTGTGGTGAAAGTTTTGTTTAGTAAATCTGCAACTCTGAAAGCAAAGTCCTGATTCATATTTTCTTAGCTCCTTTATTACCTTTATTGAATATGGATCAATATCATATAATCAATAAAGCATCCTTATTAAACTATTTGTGTGAGTTTTTTAGAAGAATTTGACATATAAACTAATTAAAATAAATGTCTAAAAAGATATCATTTTTTATCAATTTGTTTTTTAGTTTTTTTAATTCAACTCTATCGCAATATTAGTTAAAATAAAAAATAGAAAATCAATATGCTTTCACAGAGAAACGCCCATAATAATGTCTGAAATGGCTCAGAAAAGCCAGTCAAGGCGAAAGCCTTTATCTATAAAGATCTAGAAATCAATAAATAAAAAACACTCTTAGTCCAGAGCAATTTATATAAATATATTGCCACCCTTAAGGCTTTGAGATGGCAGTTTCTATTAATTCGAATTTAAGTTTATAATTATGATGTCAAATACCCAACCTTTCCCTACTCGTTTCAAAGAAGACACTCAAGAAGTCTCGTCTTCCTCTTCCGACGAGTCTCGCGAAGAGTATCAACTAAAAATCAAAGGCAAATATTCAGCTGAACGTTTAATGATGATGCTTGACAAAGAAAAGCTTGAAGCACTGGAAGAAGAATTCAACGACCACCCAGATGGGATCGAGCTTCACAGCTTTGTGTGATTAATGAAATGTGCAATGGCCGTGAGTCCTGAGGAAAAAGCCGAATTGGTGCTCGGGCTTTATTATTTATTTCAAGAAATCGACATCAATGGGGATGAGCACATGGAGTGATCAGAATTCACGCAGTATATTATTGATGCTGTTATGGGACAGCAAAGCAAAGAAAGATCTGAAGACAAAGAATTGACTCCTGCAGAAATTATGGAGCTTGCACATTCTCATAAATCGAGGAGATATCAGCTGAGCAAACTTGTTGATAGGAGCTTGCATACAGGAATTATTCGACAAATTTCTTATTACCCATCATTGGATTTAATCCCAGTCGTTGAAATGGGATCTCCAAGTGTCAGACTTTACACTGTAAACTGTGAAGTAAAATTTGCTATCACTCCGCCTTATTCCAGAAATGCATTCGTCCTGGCAGCTGCTTATTCCGAAAAAGAGTACTTGCTAGTGATTATTGGCAGCGATAACTGCTTGCATGTCTATGAAAAAGATGGCAGCGGATTCAGGTTTTTTAAGAGTTTTCAAACAGAATGCACCCATCTAGCTCTGTGGTATTTTGAAGAGCACAAAGCTTGGGTTTCAGCTTGTGATGACTTTACTCTTAGGCAGTGAAATGTAAGGAACGGCCAAGAAATAGGAATATTTAAAGGTCATACCAATACGATCATGGATGCTATAGAAATTCTCAACCCTCTATGCATAGCTTCAGCCTCTATGGATGGATGCATTTTACTATGAGATGTAACAGAACAAAAAAATATAGGAGTTCTCACTGGAAAGCACGCTCTGGGGGTCAGAAATATTGATTACAGCCCGGATTATGGAGGAAATATAGTAAGTGTTGGATATGAAAGAGATATCCATGTATGAAGCCCTGAAGTTTCTATATCAAAATGCTACACAGGAAAGCTAGAAGGGCACAACTGCCCTGTTGTTTCTTGCAAGTTTTTTAGAGGAAGGCCAGTTTGTGTTAGCGTTGATGAGAAAGGGAATGTGAGACTATGAGATGTAAGAGAGTTTCTGTGCTTACAAATTATTAGCCATGATAGAGGAAAAATAGAAGTAGCTAAGCTACTAACTGTAACAAAGCATGACAAATTTGTAGTAGCAGGAAGGAGATTAATATGGTATGAACTGCATAAAGAATCGGCCATAAAAACCAATAGTAAAGATGTCTCTCCAGTTTATGCAGATTTTAACTCCTATTATTTACAGTTCGTAGTCGTCACAAAATATGACATAAGGATTTATGACTCAATTACAGGAAAATTAAAAAAAATATATACAGAAGTTCAAGACCCTAAAACTGAATCGGAACTCACAGCATTTTCTCTAGACCACAGACACAGGATTTTCATCGTAGGAGACAACTCAGGCTCAGTTAGAGCTTACAACTTCTCTAATGGTGCTTTAATGAAAGTTATCCAAGGAGATACAGAAGAGCACAAAAATCTGAACACCTCACTCTCCCCATTTAAATTGGAACAAAATCCAATTTAAATTTTTTTTTTAAAAAACATCATATTAAATTTTAAGAATAAAAAAAATATTATGCGTAGGCGTAATTTTGGGAGAGTCTACATTTTTCTCACATGTGGGGGTTTCAACAATTAAGTGGTTCCACATGTGGGAAATGCTCTATGTGTGAGACACTCGCAAAATTATGCTAACGCATAATATATACTGAACCCAATTTTTTGAGTTTTAATTTATTTTATGAAGAATTAATTCAAAAACTTAATTGATTCAGTGTGGGAAATGTTTAAATAATACTCTACTTGAGCTTTTTCCGTTAAATTAATTCAAAACTAATTTTATAAAAAAGTTAGTATTTTTATTTATAAAAATTTCGTATTGAAAAAAAAAATTGTTCCGATTTAAAGTGGATTAAATTCCCTTAAAAATTGAAATTTTAATGTCTTGCTCAAATTTAAAGGGTTAGAGTCAGAAACTGAAGAAAATCCTCAGCCTGCAAGTAAAATTTCTTCCCCAAAATCAAAATCTAAAGCAAAAAAAGTCCCTGAAAAAACAGAAAGTGAACAAAGTGGGGAAGGCCACAAGCTATTTTCAGGAGACGACTGAAATTCAGAGATCTCAAGCCTCTGCTTCTGCATGGAAGATAAAATTCTAATAGCATCAAGCTGGGATTCAACAATACGTGTTTATGATATGCAAAGCCTAGAAGAATCTTCTTTATTAAGAGTTATGACAGGGGGCCATCAAGGATCAGATATAACTTGTCTGACTTATTCTTCCCATCTTTCTCTGCTTGCTTCTGGGTCTAGCAATGGGATTGTAGCTGTGTGGGATTTTGAGATGGGAAAGCTCGAAGCTGCCTGCATCGGGCACACCAAAGAGATCACTGCAATTGCATTTATTGAGCCATACCCTATTATGGTGACTGCTTCTTGCGACAATACAATCAGATTTTGGGCAGTTAGACCTCATGCTGGGAAAATGCGCTATCAGTGCTTTATGAAAGTGATAAACCGCTCCTGAGGCAACTGCCGTGATACAAAAACACCTACAAGTGTGTTTGTTAGTGTCCAAGAAAGAGCTCAAGGCATGCAGAGATATAAAAGAAAAAAACACTTTAAAGTTCCTAAAAAAGGGCAGCCTGAAGAAAGACTTAAAACTCCTGGAAATCCGAGTTCCTTACCACCAGTCCCAGCACCAAAGACAAAAGAAATAGAAAGAACGAGCATAAGTGGGAATCGACTGCCTTCATCTCACATAGGATCTCCAAGAGACAGCTCTCATTCATCATCAGATCAAGATGTTGATAGTGACACCGAATGGGTTGAGGAAAAGAATGCAGAAATGATTGAGGATCCTAGCAACGAAGAAGTTAAAAAAAGATGCTATTTATATATGGGAGATAATAAAGGCTATATAAAGATTTGGTCACTAGATTCGGTTATTGCAAGATATAGAATTATTCCTTTGGAAAGATCAGAAAGAGACAAGCCGAGCTATAACCCTCGAAGAAAAGACGAAAAAAACGCAGAATCAGATGTGAAATTTTGGATCAAAGAAGCAGAAACTATGCAACCGCCTGAATTAGTCAACCCAGAAGTTGACCTATTAGCAAGGGAATGGAAAGCTCACAACGAATCTGTTACCTGTCTAAAATTAATAATTGATCCAAAAGGGCTGCTTTCTTGTTCAGGGGACAAAACTGTAAAAATATGAAACAGAGAAGGCGAGCCGTGGGGATTAATCAATCTTAATTCCCCAGAACTGCCTAAAAAATGGTATTTTCCTTTTGACTGGGAAGCCAAGCGTCAAGCTGATATCCAGAAAGTCATAGAAGTCTTATCATTAATTGATGAAAAAGTTGATATAGATCCTAAAACATTACCTGTTGGGCCTACACCCGTCCAAACCACTAGAAAAACTCGCAGAGTTAAAGGAAAAAAGCCAAAAGCAAGACCTCAAGCAGGAAATAAAAAACTCCAAGCAAGTGTAAGCCAAGGAAACTTCTTCAGTGATGAGTACCAAGATGAAGATTTAGAAGAAATTAATGAAAGACCTCAACTCACACAGAAGAAATACGCTGGGTCTACAGCGAATTTGAAAAAACTTTTAGACGAAGAAGATGAAAAGAGATTTAAAGAAATCACTGATCCGAAGCCGCTAGCTAGTAAAAAATTGCCAAATATGAAAAGGCCTAAGGATATAAATTTCGAAGATATTAATAGAAAATTGACTTTGGACTCAAAAGTCCCGAAAAATGAAAAAGCTCTTATGTCTTCCATGAAAAGAAGCAGCAAAAATAAAGTAAGCAAAGAAGAGGAAGAAACAAAACAATCCAGGAAGCTTTCAGCTACTCAATCCAATACAAACTTAGCAGCAATTTCCAAACTAGGAGCCACAAAATCATCCTTAAAAACAGAGGTGCCGCTCTCTATGGACAAAGCAATAAATGCAATGAACCAGCTAAAAAAACGGCGACCAATTTTAGGCTACAATAATGGAGGTCTTCCTATATCCAATGTCCATGAGCGAGTAGGAGGAGAAATGAATAGAATTAGGCTTAATGCAATTAATAAACAAAACGAAATGAAACAAGATGTTAGATACCGACCAGGAGAATCAATTAGACTACTTAATAGAGCAATATCAAGCCAAATTTTAGTCCAAACTTCTGTTCTATCGCCTTATACAGAGGATATTGAAACTCTTCAAAAGAAAAATGAAATTCTGAGGAAGCTGGGAGAGCCTTCCCTAACTCCCCCCTCCTCCGTATGTGAGCAAAACCATTAGAAAAATCCCTATTTTTTGCCCAAAAAACCACCCTCCGTGAGTGAACAAAAATATTTTAATAGAAAAAATTTTTTGGAAAAAAATTTTTATATATAAGTGATAATTAATTAGTATAATCCAATTTTTTTTTTGCGAATTAGGATTTTTTTAAATTTCGAAAAAAAATATTTTCTATAAAATTTATATATAAATTTTTTTTTAAAAAAAAAATTAACCCCCCTCCGTAAGTGAACAAAAATTTTTTTATTCACTCACGGAGGGGGGGGAGTAAGCAAAAAAGCTGGGACAAGCTCTATGGCAGACCTACAGCCGGCAATTCAGCAAGTAAAGAAAAATGCTCAACAATAATATTCTTAATAAATATATAAACAATTATTAAAGTTATCAAAATCTTCTTATTATATTTTGTTTTTAGTTTCCTATAAACTTGCGATTTTAATAATAATTCTTGATTTTATTAAAAGTTTTTTATTGATAGCAGTTATAAGGATAATTATATAAAATTGTATTTTATATTTTTATTAGATACTCTCTCTTACTTCAAGATACCAAAATAAAAAACCATAAAAAAACTGATTAACTTATAAATCACATAATGTCAGTTCATCCAGTCGACGGATCTATTACTGATCTTAGGGCCGAAGAATTCGAAAATTGCCCAAATGAAGAGACTTTCCTAGACAAATTAGAGAAAAGAAAGCCATCAAGAAAATTTAGTTTGAAATCTCCGGATGTTGATAATGCAAGAAAAATCAGAGTTAATTCAATTGAACAAAATGAAGCTTTCCCCTCAAATAAAGTACGAACTTCAAAATACTCAATCATTACGTGAGCACCTAAAAGCCTACTCTGACAATTCAGGAGGGTAGCAAATATTTATTTCTTAATTATTTCTATCTTATCGGCAATGCCGTTCTCTCCGAAAAATGCTTTTTCAACTGGTGCCACTTTTGCAGCAGTTCTTGTATTTACTATGATAAAAGAAGCTTATGAAGATTATTTTAGGCATAAGCAAGACAATGCAGTAAATAATATGGAGACTCACATTTTAAACAGAAAATATAATAAATTTGAAAATGCCCATTGCAAAGATGTAAAGGTCGGTGATATTTTACAAATTAAGGATGGGGAAACTTTCCCAGCGGATTTAGTATTCATTTCTTCCAGTGATCCAAATGGGCTAGCTTTTGTAAACACAATGAATCTAGACGGAGAAACAAATCTAAAAGAAAGAATTGCATTAGAAAGCACTAAAATCTGCCAATCCCAATCAGACATTTCCTCTCTTTCCTGCGAAATCTGGTGCGATCAGCCCAATATTTCAATGGTGAAATGAAATTGCAATATAAAATTAACTGAGCAAGATTGAGAACCAATGAGTATGAAGCAACTGCTAATGAGAGGATGCGTATTAAAAAACGTTGAGTATATATATGGAATTGCTGTTTACACAGGCCATGACACAAAAATTATGCTTAACAGCAAAAAAGCTCCAAGCAAAGTTAGCAATGTTTTGAGGAAAATGAACAGGATTTTGTATACAGTTTTTGCATTCCAAATCGGAATTTGTGTTTTATTTGCTGGGCTAAGCATGACTTGGAACAAAGAAAATCTTGAAAAGCACGAATATCTGCATCAAAGTAGTTCATCTAGTGGATCAGCATTTTTTATTCAAATTCTGACGTATTGGGTAGCTTACTCACACTTGATTCCTATTTCTTTATATGTTGCGCTTGAAGTGATAAAGTTACTTCTTGCTTACTTGATTAATCAGGACCTTGAAATGTATTACGAAACTAACGACAAACCTGCGAATTGTCGATCGTCAGATTTAGTAGAAGAATTAGGACAGGTCGAATTCGTGTTTAGTGACAAAACAGGGACACTTACCTGCAACATCATGGAATTTAGAAAATGCTCTATCAATGGTGTAGTCTATGGAAATACAGGAAGCAAGTTTGGACAACTTGATTCTCGTCCAACCTTAATTTTAGCAGACAAAGATCACAAAGAGCATAAAGCTGTCAGCGATTTCTTTAAACTCCTTGCAGTCTGCCACTCTGTATTCCCAGCAAAAGATAAACAAAACGGCGAAATTCATTATCAAGCCGCCTCACCGGATGAGCTCGCCCTTGTAGAATGCTCTTCATTTATAGGAATAAAGTTTTATGACAGAAATGATGGAAAAGTCTATCTGGCTTACGAGAATGGGACAACTGAAATATGGGATATTTTGGTGGAAGTGCCATTTAGCAGCGAAAGGAAAAGAATGTCAGTGATTACGAGGCATCCTCAAACCAAAAAACTTTTACTTATGGTGAAAGGAGCTGATTCTATTATGCTAGGGCTACTGAAAGAGACATATTTAAGAGAAACTTATGAAAAGCATTTATATGATTTTGCGGTTGAAGGGTTGAGGACTTTGGTGATGGCCCAACGAGAGATTACAGAGCAAGAATTTGAACCTTGGTTTTATGACTGGCAAGATATACAGTTGAGCAATTCAAAAGATAAAGAAGAAAGACTAGACCGCCACGCTGCCCAGCTTGAAAAAAATCTTGAAATTGTTGGATGCTCTGCAATTGAAGATAGGCTTCAAGATGGGGTTCCCTCTACTATAGAATTATTAATGCGAGCTGATATCAGAGTATGGATCCTGACAGGTGATAAAGAAGAAACTGCTGTTGAAATTGGTAAATCCTGTAACTTAATACAACAAGACATGGAACTAATTGAGCTCTCATCAAACTCTTTTGAAGAAATCTCCAATAAACTTAAGGAAAAGAACCAAATTTTTGGAATCGAGCATCTTACTTTTACTGAACTTGATGAAATTAAGAAAAATGTTAAAAAGAAGATAGCACTAGTTATAAATGGAAGCACATTGGCGTATGTTTTTGGTGATAAGTCTGGCAAATTGCAGCTTTTATTTTTTAAAATGGGCTATATTTCAGCTTCTTGCATTTGCTGCAGGGTATCCCCTGGACAAAAAATGCAGGTCGTGCAGCTTGCAAAAAGAAATGGCTCTTGAATTACTCTTTCAATTGGAGATGGAGCTAATGATGTAAGTATGATCCAAGAAGCTCATATAGGAGTTGGCATTGCAGGGCTTGAAGGCACACAAGCTGTACAAGCAGCTGATTTTTCGTTTTCACAGTTTAGATATTTAGGAAGGCTTTTGCTAGTTCACGGAAGGCTAGCCTATAGAAGAATATCTTGATTTATTTGTTATTATTTTTATAAAAACATTGTAGTTGTGTTTACTGAGATATGATTTGCGTTTTTCAACGGATTTAGTGGACAAATTTATTGGCTGGATTGGCTTCCTATGCTTTACAATGCATTGTGGACCAGCTGGCCTTGTATGGTCACTTATGTTTTCGAGCAAGACATTGATGCGAAAAACTCAATTAAGTATCCTTTAATCTACGCTGCAGGACAAAGAGGTGTATACTTTACCTTTAAAAGGTTCTGGATTTGGGTGATCCTTGCTATTTGGCATGGAGCATTCTGCTATTGGGTGCCTATTTATGGACTTGCTGGAGCCACCGATGATAAAGGCCATATCGGGGGCTTTAGCTGAACATCGACACTATCATTTACTCTTGTAATCCACCTGATTACCTTAAAGCTTTTTTTAGAAAGCTTTTTCTGGACCAAAATTAGCATGTAAGATATATATAGAATCGTTGGATTTGGAAGTATAGCTTTCTATTATCTTTGTGTAATAGTCTTAAACTCTCCTGCTGTAGGCAGCATTTTTCAGCCAGAAGCTCCATACATATTTTTCAATTTATTATCAAATGAAAAGGTATGGATTACTATTTTAATAGGACCGTTTATTGCTCTTACTCCAGATTTCATAATCATTGCGTATAGGATGATTTTTACACCTAACCCTGTAGAGGAGCTGTTAAAATATTTAAGGACTTATTATTAGAGTTTTAGTTCACTTTTTAATTAGTTATGTTATGCTGCATATAGCTCATACCCCTTTATAGATTTCTATATCGAGCATAATGTCCTGGCCTCTTGAACGAGCAAAACAGACTCTCTCAAAGAGATGATGTCAATCTCTATATCAGTAAGTGCTAAAAAGTGCCATGTCAAAAATGGTGACAAGTGTGAAAAAATTTGACAAGTAAACGCGCCAATTTTTAAAAAGGTTTTATAAATTAATAATAATGATAATAATAAATACATGAATAATAAATGATACATATAAAATTTATTAATAAAATTAGATGCCATTCTCAGCTTCTCCATACTGGACGACATCTTGTATCAAGGATAAGTCTTAAAATTATTGGAGATTTTTAGAGATGTCTCAGCAGAAGCAATAATTAGTGGAGACCTTTGATGGGTTAAAGGGGGGAATCGCACTTTTGAATTTTTCTCTATAGAATATTTCAAGTCAGTTTCTCCATACTGAGCGCCATATTGATGACATCTTGTATTAAGCATAAGTCCAAAAATTATTGGAGACTTTGAGAGATGTCTCAACTGAAGCAAGAACTCTTGGAAACCTTTGATGGGTTAAAGGGGGGAATCGCACTTTTGAATTTTTCTCTATAAGCTATTTCATGTCAGTTTTTCAATACTGGACGCCATCTTGAATCAAGCATAAGTCTAAAAATTATTGGAGATTTTTAGAGATGTCTCAACCGAAGCAATAAATATTGGAGATCTTTGATGGGTTGAAGGGGGGAGCCGCACTTTTGAATTTTTCTCTATAAACTTTCATGTCAGTTTCTCCATACTGGACACCATCTTGATGACATCTTGTATTAAGCATAAGTCAAAAAATTATTGGAGTTTTTGAGAGATGTCTCAACTGAAGAAATAACTCTTGGAGACCTTTGATTAGTTAACGGGGGGAGTCGCACTTTTGAATTTTTCTTTAGAAATTACTCATATCAGTTTCTCCATACTGGACGACGCCATCTTGAATCAAGAATAAGTCTAAAAATTATTGAAGGTTTTTAAGAGATGTCTCAACAGAAGCAATAACTACTTGAGACCTTTGATGGGTTAAAAGGGGGGAGTTGCACTTTTGAATTTTTCTCTAGGTAATATTCATGTCAGTTTCTCTATACTGGACGCCATCTTGATGACACCTTATATCAAGCATAAGTCCAAAAATTATTGGAGATTTTGAGAGATGTCTCAACTGAAGCAAGAACTCTTGGAGACCTTTGATGGATTAATGGGGGGGAGTCGCACTTTTGAATTTTTCTCTATAGCTTTTTCAAGTCAGTTCCTCAATACTGGTTGCCATCTTGAATCAAGTATAAATCCAAAAGTTATTGGAGATTTTAAAGGATATCTCAGCTGAAGCAATAACTATTGGAGATCTTTGATGGGTTTAATGGGGGGAGTGGCACTTTTGAATTTTTATCTATAGACTATTTAAAGTCAGTTCAACAATACTGGTGCCATCTTGAATCGAGCAAAAGTCAAAAAAATTATTGGAGATTTTGAGAGATGTCTCAACTGAAGAAATAACTCTTGCAGACCTTTGATGAGCTAACGGGGGGAGTCGCACTTTTGAATTTTTCTTTAGGAATTACTCATATCAGTTTCTCCATACTGGACGACGCCATCTTGATGACATCTTGCATCAAGCATAAGTCCAAGAATTATTGGAGAGATTTTGAGAGATGTATCAACTGAAGCAAGAACTCTTGGAGGCTTTTGATGGGTTAAAGGGGGAGAGTCGCACTTTTGAGTTTTTTTGGAGGTATGAAAGTCGTAAATATTTATGATTTCATTATTTCTCTCCAAGATGTCTAAAAATGAAATGCTACATTTGGTGTTTGATTAGGTTTTATATCAAAAACCTGATTGATTGGGTGCTCTCAGTCTAATTGGGTATCTTAAATTTTAAATTAATTTAATAATAAAACCATTTTTAAAATCGGCGCGTTTACTTGTCAAATTTTTTCACACTTGTCACCATTTTTTGACATGGCACTTTTAACACTTACTGATATAGAGATTGACATCATCTCTTTGAGAGAGTCTGTTTTGCTCGTTCAAGAGGCCAGGACATTATGATCGATATAGAAATCTATATAGGGATATGAGCTATAAAATTGATGACATCTTTGAAAATGGATAATTTAGATGCTAGGATCAGATAAATTTGGGCATATCAAGCTAGCGCCTGATGATGCAATTCTTCAAACTGCAATTGCTTTTAGAAATGACTCACATACTGATAAAGTTAATCTTGGAGTTGGTGCTTATAGAACAGATGAAGGAAAACCTTTACTATTTCGGGCAGTAAAAGAAGCAGAAAAGCAGATTTTAGCTGACCCAGCTACAAATAAGGAATATCTAGGTATCGATGGGCACTTAAAGTTTAATAAGCTAGCTCAAGAGTTATTACTAGGAGAATCTAGCTCAGCAGTACTTGAAAAAAGAGTTGCATCAGTCCAAACAATTTCAGGCACCGGCAGCTTGCGAATTGGGGCAGAATTTTTGTCTATGTTTTTTAACCCTTCATGTGTCCTTATTAGCCGTCCCACCTGGGGGAACCATATTACAATATTTGAGAGAGCAAGAATTCCAGTTAAGTATTATCCTTACTGGAACCCAAAAACTAAAGGAGTAGATATTGAAGGCATGATAAACGCTCTAAATGATGCTCCAGAAAAATCAATAGTCTTATTGCATGCCTGTGCACATAACCCTACAGGCGTTGATCCTACACCTGATCAATGGGAAAGAATCGCTGATGTCATGGCCAGAAAAGATTTGCTGCCTTATTTTGACAGTGCTTACCAAGGATTTGCCACAGGAAGCATAGAAAGAGATGCATTTGCAATTAGAATGTTCATAAGCAGAGGGTTTCAATGTGTCATATCCCAAAGTTTTGCAAAGAACATGGGACTGTATGGAGAAAGAATTGGAGCTCTGCATATAGTGTGCAGGACTAGTGAAATTGCTGACAAGGTTCTAAGTCAGCTGAAAATTGTGATAAGGCCTATGTATTCCAATCCACCTATGCACGGAGCACTTATTGCAGCAAAAGTATTGGAAGATCCAGCTTTAAAAAATATATGGCTAAGTGAGCTTGAGCAAGTTTCTCAAAGGATAATTCAAATGAGAAGAGTCTTATTAGAAGAATTGGTTAGGATAGAAACCCCTGGAGACTGGACCCATATTACTTCCCAAATAGGGATGTTTTCCTTTACAGGATTATCCCCAGCCCAATGTGAAAACATGATTAAGAAGTGGCACTGCTATATGCTTACAAATGGAAGAATTTCTATGGCAGGCATAAACTCGAGAAATTATCAGCACGTCGCAAGGGCGATTAAGGATTCCTTGCAGATTAGAGAAAAGTTATAAGATATTAATTAGAATCTTGTGATAAAATGGTTTAAGTTACAGTAATATGATTGATCATCAATTAGTTAATGAAGAGGAAAGCTCCAAAACTCAGTCTCCAGACAAAAGTGAGGAGAGTGAAAACGACAACGCAATGCCAAAACGACCCAAAAAGAAAGGCAAAAAAGTAATAATGAATGTCGCACTTACAAAATATCAGGTTGTTAAAAAGACTGCAAGTAAATTTTTTGGCTGAAAATTAACAAAAAAAGAAGACGATGAAAATTGAGATATTTTTTGAACAGATGCTTCAGTTGAGCCTGAAAAACTTGCTAGAATGAAAATTTATCAAAAAATCAACCATTTTCCAGGAATGTATGCGCTTACTAGAAAAAATCATCTTGCTAAAAATTTGAATAGGATGAGGAAGCAGTTACCAGAAGTCTATAATTATTATCCTAAAACCTGGCTTGTTCCTGCAGAGCTATCTGACCTTCGTCTTTACTCAAGCAAGGAAAAAAATCAAGTTTTTATAGTGAAGCCTGAAGCGAGCTGTCAAGGAAGAGGAATTTTTCTGACAAAGAAATTTGATGATTTTTCTTTTGATGACAGATATGTCGTTCAAGAATACATAAAGCAGCCATTTTTAATAGATGGGCTCAAATTTGACTTAAGAATATATGTGCTCGTCGCAGGCTGTGATCCTTTGAGGATTTATTTGCATAAAGAAGGACTAGGAAGATTTGCAACAGAGCCCTACTCTCAGCCAAATGCAAGCAACTTAGCAAAACCGTGCATGCACTTAACAAATTACGCAATTAATAAGAACAATGAAAACTTTGTATTTAATGAGAATGAAGAAGATGATGGTGTTGGCCATAAGCGAAGCTTGACTTCTATAATGAAATACCTTGAAGATTCAGGCCACAACACAGAAAAACTCTGAAATGAAATAAAAGCAATGATAGTGAATACTTTAATAGCAGCCCAACCAATGCTTTCTCATACATACAGAGCATGCCAACCAGATGACCCTTCTAACAGCATGTGCTTTGAAATCCTTGGCCTCGACGTCATGCTGGACAGCACTCTAAAGCCATGGCTTCTCGAGGTGAACCATTCTCCTTCCTTTACCACCGATTCTCCACTTGACTGAAAAATAAAATTCGAAGTAATTAGCCAAGCTCTTACCTTAATGAATATTTCTTATAGCAATCGAAAAACAGCTGAGTCTAAAAGGAAAAAGAGTATACTTACTAGATCCCTTACAACCTCGCAAGAGAAAAAAGAAATTAAGCAGCATGAAATTAGAAGAGCCCAAAGGAAGCGGGATATATGGGAACAGAATAATATAGGAGGATACACAAAAATTTATCCTACTGCAAACCCAAAAGAATATGAAAAAATCTTTGAAACTTCAAGACAAGTCTACGAAGAATGGGCAGGATATAAAAAAGTTAATAAAAAAGAGGAAAAAGCCCAAGAGCTAAATAGGCCGAAATCGCAGCTCATGAGAACTAAAGCATCAGGCTTCCAGAAAAAAGAGACTGATTGCCAGAATCAAAGAAGTATGTCAATTATTATGTGTAACACTGAAAGCGAGGCCATTGCTGAAGGATTAGTAAGGTCTTCAACGCCTTGCGTGTATAATAGGCTGTATAGTCCTGTTAAAAGAACATACAAAAATGAAGGCTTACAGAGCAATTTTCCTATGGTGCATTTAGACAAGTCTCATCAATCCGAAGTTCCAGTTAGACAGAGTCTTATTATTGAAACATCTTCTCAAAATAACAAAAAATCCCAGAGTCCTTGTAGAAAACCCCAAAATTCTACAATAGAAGACCTTATTAATGAGTCAAAAGCTATCGAAAACTTAAAAAAGAGGCTAATTTACTATAACTCTCCGCTAAAAATTCAATCAGTTCAATTAAGCCATAACTCAGAAGATAATTCAGTTAACATTTCTGAGTTCCAAGATTTGCAAATTCCAAAAATAAAATGCCCTCAAATCGAATATATTAGAAAGCAATCTAATAATCTCCGAAACCCTGCATATTGGAAAAAGGTTCTTACTCGACTGGAAAAGCAAAATTAACTGTCATAATTAACAAAATAATTAGCTTAAATGGCATCTTGACTAAGCAACAACATCATAGACATTAAAAGACATTACAGTTACACATTTTTTGCTTATTCATAGACTCATTCTGCACCTTACTGTGAGATTTCACCTCGTTCATATTGGTCAAGACTTTAGGTTCGACTTTTAGAGACCTAATAGGAAAAGTGCAAGTTAACTCATTAAAAGTATCATTAACAGTGCAGCTGTGCGAACTATTGCTGGGATGGCCTATCTCAATGTCATTTTTCTTCCTCTTTTCGAGGATGCATACAATATATCTGTTTAAATAATCAAGCTCATCTCCTATTTGTTGGTTTTTGTATAAATCAGAAGTTTTTTTATTCTTTACATCCATCATACTTCTTTTGTGATCTTGGCTAGCTTCGCTGGCATCTTCAAAAACAAGTTTTTTTAATTCTATGTCTGACTCTTCATATTCTAAAGGGACATTTTTTGTATTCAAAACTTTGTTAATTATTTCTGTTAACTCCCCCATCCTTGATCGAACTATGGGATCGTTTGATCAAGAAATGGGGTTTAAAACTTTTTGGAAAAAATTATATATAAAGATAATAAATATTATTTATTGTTTTGGTGGACTTTTTAAATAAGTGAATTAAGATAGTAAATATTAAAGCAATGAGATGAAAAAATGTGCTAATTTAAAAATTTTCGTTACCCTTTTCCACTCTATAAAATAATTCTGTTGCTTATTAATTATTTTAATTTATAATAATTCTAAACTTTTTAGATTATTAAGCTTTTGATGTCAGGTTGATGACTAAACCACTTCGGATGATTAATTCGTTAAATTATTAAGAAAACACGTAAATACTTTTAATTTGCCAACATAAACTATTAATTTTTCATAAATTATAATAAGCATCAACTAATCTATTGATTTATTGCTGCAATATATTAAAAATTGTTTTATCAAGGATGGGGAGTAAGGAATATTGAAGGGTTTCTATGGTGATGTTAAAATTAACCTTGATTTCAAAGGAAATAATTAGCTGGATTAAGCTGCAATCAACATGGACGTCAAGCCATATGTCATTAGAGGCAATGTCGCATGTAAGATGCTCGCCTGTTTTTACATGATCTCCTATTGTCCCAATCTAACTGATAATTACGTTAGGCAAAAGTACTTGATTGTTCATTAAGTTTATCGCTCGCAAATTTGTAAGTCCTGAGAAAGTTGAGTATTTTTCCATTGCTTCACCAATACGAAAACAAAGGTATGATAATGAATCACTGATTAGGAAATACTTTCTATTAACTGTAACTAATATAACTTGCTTTGGAACAGGATTTCAATGAACAGTTACCTCTATCATTTTTTGAGCTATTCCGTCTTTGTCAAGGTATATATAATTTTCATCGTCAAGACCTGCATCTTCTAGCAAATTTGTCATGTTTTATTGTTGATTTATTGAATATCTGCGTAAATTTATGGAATCCTAAAACAAATTATTTTCTAAAAATCAAAGATTTTTATAATTAAATAATCAAATTTTACCGATTTAGTTTTCTTTCGATGTCTCTTTTAACTATTTCTAAGCCTGCTTCATCAAGCTCCTTTAAGAGAGCTAAAACTGCACAAAGAATATTCTCGCTCCTACTTTCCCCTTCTGGCTTTCCTCTTTTAACTCTATTTCTGCTCTCTGAACTAGTGGCAGGTCTTTTTGGTTCTTCCTTTTTTATCGGTGCCAAATTTTGAGCATTTTGACTTGGAGAAGGCTGCTGATCTCCTACGCTATTCCTCTCTTCTGGAGTTACTGCTTGATTGTCAAGCTTTGATAAATTAGGAAGATGACTTATTATGTATTGTCTATAATTTGGATTTTCTGCACATGGATTATCCCACAACCATAAAACTTTCAAATTTGGAAGATTTTGTAGATATCGGATTTCGCTCACATCTGCAATTAAATTTTTTCTTAAATAAAGCTCTGCTAGCTTTTGGCAATTTCTAAATTCCCTGACTCCCTCCTACGTGAGCAAACAAAAAAAATTTGGTCTGTGCATGGATGGATTAAAAATTATATATAATTATTATAGCAAATTTGTTTTTTCAAATTTTTAAAAATATCCCAATTCGCAAAATTTGTAAAATTTATTTTAAAAATGCAAGCTGCTTAAAATTAAATAGAATTAGCTAGAGATTTTATTATGCTAATTATCAATATATCTTAATTTTTTTCTATTAAAAAAATTTCTTGATGCTCAGGGGGGTGGTGGGGTTTTGGGCAAAAAATAGGGATTTTCCAATGGTTTTGTTCGCTCATGGAGGGAGAGGAGTAAGGCTAGAAATTTTGTTGACACTTAATGATAATACTTCAACATTTGGCATATCTCTGAGAATTCTAACATCATCTATATCATTTCCCCAGAGATTGAGATTTTTAACACTGTCAAGGCTTTCTGCTTTACTTCTACTGAGGACAAGCTCTTCTGTTAAAGGTTTTCCCATTTTAGAAATTCAATTTTATTCATATTCGAAAAATAATTCTAGATAAATAAGAATAGTTTCAATTTTTATAGAGCTAAAAATAGGCAAATTTATAACGAAGAAACTGAAAAATCTATTCAATTAGATTTACTAATCAATTTTGCTGATTAATTAAGGCTTAAGAAATTCAAACAAGCAATCCTGTTAACGAGCGAAGAATTTTCATGTATTTATTTCACTATATGAAAGCTAAACTAGGTTGATATAAGAAATAAGACTCAAATTCATAAAATATTGAAAATACTGATTATCTCTTTTCCTAATATTATTAAATATTCTTTCCTCTCCTCTAATTAAGAACAAAACATTTTATTCATCTCAAAATTATTATAGGAAGATAATTTAGCGATAACTACAAAATATCTTTATACTTAGCCATTTTCTCTACTAAATTTCATGATATCTTTATGAATCGTTTATTTATTATTTATGCATTGATTGCTCAATACTGAACTTTTTTCTTTTTAATAATAATTCTGCCTTTCAAAATTATATCTAATTCAGATATTTCATAAAGCTGGATGATTAGCATAAAATATTATAAGCTATTCTCATTTATAGCAAGTTAAAAGGTTTACTATTATGCTTCAATTATAATTTAATGCTTCGAACTTCTAAAACTGGCTTAAATACGTAATTAAAATAATTCTAATAAATAAAAGCCTTAACACTCTATGCATTTAGCATAAAAATATAAAAATTTCAATTATAATATTTAGCAAATAGCTTATTAGTTTATTATTCATATGTAGTAAAAATTTTTATCTTACTCCCCCCCCCCCCTCCGTGAGCGAACAAAAAAATTTTGTTCGCTCACGGAGGGGGGTTAATTTTTTTTTTTTAAAAAAATTTATATATAAATTTTATAAAAAATATTTTTTTCGAAATTTAAAAAAATCCTAATTTGCAAAAATTGGGAAGCAAATATTAATTTAATTTGCAAAATTTATGTTTTAAAACGCAATTTGTTTAAAATTAAACAGAATTAGCTCTAGATTTCATTATACTAATTATCACTTATATATCAAAATTTTTTTCCATTAAAATTTTTTCTATTAAAAAAATTTTTGTTCACTCACGGAGGGTGGGTTTTTGGTCAAAAAATGGCGATTTTTCTAATGGTTTTGTTCGCTCACGGAGGGGGGGGGGGGAGTTAGCATGACTAGTTTCTTTTTCTTCTCAATTTTTTTTTATTTTTCTTTGGCAAAAATTTCTGCAAAGAGGCAATTTTATGTTTTTTAATTTTAATTTTATAATGATTAAACCACTATTTTGTTATTTATAGTAATAAAGTTTAAATCATTACTGAGTTCTATTACATAATATAACTATAAATAAGATGACGAGACCTACTGATTTAATCAGCTTGGGCTAAAAAAGAGGTAGGCTTTATGCTTGCTCATACCTTAGTGCTATCTTAAATTCTGAGCATGATTACTCATCAATAGCAATAAAATTTAAGGACTGAAAGTAACAGCAGAGCAAAAATAATTAAAAAGTCAATAATCAATAAAGTGCAAGCTATTTCTTTAAAGCTCTTAAACTTGGCATTAAAAATTCCTTTGAATATTAATATATATTTGTCTAAATTATTTTTTAGTACTTTGCTTATTTATTTAAATCCCATTTATATGTCATATTGATTTCAATGAATGCTTTTAGTATAATAAAAATGGGTTCATGTACATCTGTTTCTTATTCTCGAGTAAACAAAAAAAAATCAACTCCTCCTACAGAATCTAACCTGAATGTAGACCCAAATAGCATCCGAGACAATTATAATAAAAATAAAGTAATTATGATAGATGAATTCATCCATCAACTTATGAAAGAGCAACTCCTTAGAAAGAAAGCTAAAGAAGCTCCTTCGCTGTCTATATCAAAAAGTGATCTATACAGTCGAAGATTAAGCCAAGTACAGCTTATAAACCTATAAGCATGCTAAGTAAATTAAAGACTAATGTTGACTTTAAGTGTATATAAAATATATATATAGTGCAAAAATAATGCAGAATTTATTATTTATTAAAAACTTATAATCCTTTAGTGATAGCATGCAGTTGAGACTTTATCTGATTTAAAATTTATAGGATCTGTATCTATCGTAATCTTGGTAAAAGGGATATAAAGCTTGAAAATTTTCAGATTAGTTTTTAATGCTAAGATTGCTAATATAAGTGCTTTTTGAGATTAAACTATTAATTTGAACAAGTTACCAGCCTTATGTTATGACGCTACTAATAAATGGTTTCAAATTTTCCCCATTTTATAAAACTTATATTTTCCTATAACTATACTTATGTAATTAATTATAAATCCATTTTACTAATATGCTACACTATTGGGGAATATTATAAAACCACATACTCAAATAGAAAATCAACAAATTTTATTAATCTATACACTAAAACATTATGTGAAGGCGGCCTAATTTTTCATTATCTTTAAATCCTCCTCTTCCTGGGCGAACAAAACCATTGGGAAAAATCTCTATTTTTCGCCCAAAACCCACTCTCCGTTAATGAACAAAATTTTAATTTATAAGTGATAATTATCATAATGAAATCTCGAGCTAATTCTGTTTAATTTTAAACATAAATTTCGCAAATTTTTACTTTTCAAATGATTTTTTTAAATTTTGAAAAAAAAAAACTATATAAAATTTATATATAAATATTTTTAAAAAAAAAAACTAACCCCCCTCTGTGAGCGAACTAATTTTTTTTTCGCTAAAGAAGAAAGAAGGGAGGGAGTAAGTAAATTAGAGTAAAAAAGAGATTTGCATGAAAAATGTAAAAATTATCATAATAAATAAATGTCAGTTCTATGAACTCCTAAGACTTTGACTTCAAAAAGTCTTACAAAAAAGAAGGATCAGAAAGATATCAGGCTCACAAAGTCTGAACCGCTAGAAATATTTCCTCCAGAAATTGTGTTTAAAGATATAGAGCCTGACCAAACTTATGAAGTTACAGTTAGTGTGCGTAACCTCTGCTCAGTTGTGAGAAGAATTCGATTTATTCCTCCAAAAACTTCGAAATTCTTAGCAGAATACGAGACACTTGGAGCAATTGCAGGCGGCACTCAAACTAACATCGTTATTTCTTTCGAAACTGATCATGTCGCTGATTTTCACGATGAAATGACAATAATTTCAGAAGACTCTACTTATACTCTTCTCCTTCACGCCTACCAGCCTTCTCCAGAAATCGCATTTGAACCTTTCATCAATTTAGGTTTAACTTCTGTTTACAAGTCAAAATCTACTCTTATCCTCTTCAGAAACGAAGGCAGCCGCCAAGGCAAAATTAGTTTGAATTATGACAAAAACATCAGCCCAGAGCTCGTTATTGAGCCAGAAAACTTTACCCTTGATCCAAGGAACGAAATTGACATAAAATTCACTTACACTCCCAGAGAAGTAGGAGTTTTTAGATGCCCTGTAGAAGTCAATGTAGAAGGTCAAGAAAAAATAAGGCACATCGATGTGAACGGAACTTGTGTAGAACACCAAATGTCGATTGTGGCAGCAAACGTGGACAAGTTGAATTCAGATTCAGACATTGGTCTTGGGAATAACATGGCAGTAACGACTAATTTAAATTTTGGGCACATGTATCATGGAGAAATGAAATCACTCGACTCTTATTTGGTAAATAATGGACCTGTTAAGGTTCATTTTTCGATTAGATTTATTTTAGGGTCTGAAGAAGAAGCAGAATCGGACCAACTTGTATACACCCCTCAAGAACAAGCTAAGCAAGAGCTTAAAAGAGTAATGAAAGCAGAGCCTAGCCATGGGATTGTTGACGCTTACTCCCAGCTTCATATTTTATTTACTTGCCACAGCAAAGTCCTAGACAAAGTCAAGGGCCATTCTTCCAATATGATGGAAAATGGAAATGCAGCATCAGGTGACATGAATGCATCTTATATAGTAGATAACATGATTAACTACTTTTACACAGCAATTTTCAACTTCCAAGAACTTGATAGTAAACTTCCTCTCCAACTTCAAGCTACCGCTGTAATTCCAAATATCAAAGTTTCACAAAATGCAGTGTTTTTCCCACAGTGTGCAGTGAACGACAGAAGAGATGTGCTATAGCTTTTTCGGGTATTTGCGTTGAAAGCGATGAGGTTTGGGATTGACGGCGAAGCCTATTTCCTATACAAAACGGGTTTGCGGCGCAAGAAGAAAATACTGAGTACCTTAACTAGGTCGATAAATGCTAGATTTGCTTTTTTTAAAACCACTAAAGTGTTATAAGATTCCTTTGTCGTAATTGCCTGCTGCTTGAGAAAGCAAGAACTTTGTTACTTTTACCTCCTGGCCCGTTTGAGATTGGTGTGTTGATTCCATTTTATTAAAATTTTGACAAATCTAATTTTTTTAGCTAGCCATTTTAAAATTGAAATATTAAATATGGAATCTGACGACACACTCATTACTATGAACCAAATTCCTCTAATTTTACGATTTGTGAATTCAAATTCAAGTATGATTATGTTTAATCAATCCTGATCTATTCGGCCTTATTCAAATCCAAAATAACAGAATCTGATTGTCAAGTTTATCTCAAAGTGAAATGTTTAGCTCAACAGAATTTACTCTTAAAATAAAAAGAAGTATTGAGCTATTCATCGAAATTTTATTAAGTGCAAACGCGGAAAGTAGATTCAAGCAGCCCTGCAAGTGCTCAGGCTCTAGAACAATTTGAAGAAAAATCTCCAGTAGAATTTAGAGATAAATGCATTTCAAGATGGTGATATATATTGGGCTTGGATAAATAGTACATGAAACTAACTTTTCAGCTAAGCAAAAGTGCAAAACGCGGAAAGCAGGTTCTAGCAGCCCTACAAGTGCTCATGCTCCAGTAGCAATTTGAAGAAAAAAATCTCCAGTAGATTTTAGAGATAAATGCATTTTAAGATGGTGGTGTATATTGGATCTGGATAAATGGTACATGAAAAAAACATTTCAGCTAAGAAAAAAGTGCGAAACGCGGAAAGCAGATTCGAGCAGCCCTACAAGTGCTCATGCTCCTGTTGTAGTTTGAAGTAAAATCTCCGGTAGAATCTAGAGAAAAATACATTTCAAGATGGCGTAAGTCAAGATGAGAGTACATACAAAATGGTTCATGAAAAAACCCTTCAGCTAAGAAAAAGTGCAAAACGCGGAAAGCAGATTCTAGCAGCCCTAAAAATGTTCATGCTCCAGTAGCAATTTGAAGGATAATCTCCAGTAGAATTTAGAGAAAAATGTATATTGGATCTGGATAAATGGTACATGAAACTAACTTTTCAGTGAAGAAAAAGTGCGAAACGCGGAAAGCAGATTCTAGAAGCTCTACAAGTGCTCATGCCCCTGTAGCAATTTGAAGGAAAATCTCCAGTAGATTTTAGAGAACAATGTATTTCAAGATGGTGTAAGTCAAGATGAAGTACATAAAAAAATGGTACATGAAACGAACTTTTCAGCTAAGCAAAAGTGCGAAACGCGGAAAGCAGATTCGAGCAACCCTACAAGTGCTCATGCTCCAGTAGCAATTTTAAGAAAAATCTCCAGTAGAATTTAGAAAAAAAATGTATTTCAAGATGGTGTAAGTCAAGATGAAGTACATAAAAAATGGCACATGAAACGAACTTTTCAGCTAAGTAAAAGTGCGAAACGCGGAAAGCAGATTCTAGAAGCCCTACAAGTGCTCATTCTTCAGTAGCATTTTGAAGAAAAATCTCCAGTATAATTTAGAGATAAATGCATTTCAAGATGGTGGAAGTCAAGATGCGAGTCCATACAAAATGGTTCATGAAAAACCTTTTCAGCTAAGAAAAGTGCGAAACGCAGAAAGCAGATTCAAGCAGCCCTACAAGTGCTCATGCTCCTGTTGTAATTTGAAGGAAAATCTCCAGTAGAATTTAGAAGTGCAAAACGCGGAAAGCAGATTTTACTATCCCTACAAGTACTCATGCTCCAGTTGTAATTTTAAGAAAAATCTCCAGTAGAATTTAGAGAAAAATAAAATGCAAGATGGCAGTGCATATGCAAGATGGTGCAATAAAATGTAAGTGCATACAAAATGGTACATGAAACGAACTTCTCAGTTAAGAAAAAGTGCGAAACGCGGAAAGCACATTTTAGTTTTCCTACAAGTGCTCATGTTCCACTTGTAGTTTAAAGAAAAATCTTGAGTAGACTTTGGAGAAAAATAAAAAAAAATAGCATAATTAAAATTAAAAAAATATACACTTTAAAGAAAAAATAAAAACCTTGATTAAGAAAAATTGAGTCTTTTAGCTCAATAATTCCTCTAATATTAAGACTTATAGCTTCAGAAGGATTTTTATCTCCATGGGTTAAAATTTAATAATGTAGCCCCCAAAATAATTAATATTTCAATTTTAAAATGACATGTTAAAAAAATTTAGGTTTGTCAAAATTTTAATAAAAATGGAATCAACACACCAATCCCAAGAAAGCAGGAGGCAAAAGTGACAAAGGTCTTGTTTTCTCAAGCAGAAGGGAATCACCACAAAGGAATCTTATGTGCACTTCTAGCTCATATCAGATACTTCCTTCCCGATATCTTTCTATACTCTACTAAGTATGTTTCTTCTTGCGCCATTCGACCCGTTTTGTATAGGAAATAGGCTTCGCCGTCAACCCCAAACCTCATCGCTTTCAACGCAAATACCCGAAAAAAGCTATAGTTAAAATAGAAAACATGAATGACGAGCTATCGGTAGATTTCAGCTTTAACCAGGTTTCTCAATTCTCGGTTGACCCTGCAAAAGGTGTATTACTCCCACTCCAAAGCAAATCAATAAATTTTTCCTTTATTCCTAAAAACCTTGGAATTTTCCATTCAGTCATGACCCTTCATTTTATAAAAGAAGCTTATAAAGTTCCTATTCATCTTTATGGTAAATCCACTGGAATATCTGAAAAAGGCAAAGAAATCAGAGGACCTGAAAGCACTGTCAAGGATTTTGAGCCTGCAAGAAAATACGTGAGCGAAAGCGACCTTGCAAATATGCATAAAACGAAGGTAAAAACAGAAGGAGATACACTTAAGACTGATTATTCTTTACAGATGGACCAAGCAATACTTCAGGATTTTGTTAAAAAGCAATATGTCGACTTCTTAAGAACACAAAGAAAAGAACGCTTAGCGAAAGAAAAGCAAAACGAGCTACAGAGGACTGGAAAAATAGTCCCACTTACTAAAGAAGAAATGGAAAAAGATCCAGATCTTGGTATCAGTCGCGATCTGCTAAAAGAGCCTATGCTTAGCCTTCCGAACGCCTCAGATCAGCTATTTGTAAACAAGCAAATTGGGCTATACGAAAATTCCCACAGCAACGACAATATGCACGATCCTGACCGTGCTATAAAAAATGTGAGGAAAAAAGCCATTGACCGCAAAAAATTCAAAGAAGTCCCTTACTCACTTACACCAACTAAGCAGGTCGAAATTAGAGAATGCTCAAAAAAACTGTCAGCAGAAGAGCTGCAATTTATATCAGCAGGGCCAAAAAACCTTGATTTTGGGAAGGTTGTGATGAACTCTCCTTCATTTAAGTGGTTTAGTATTGCTAACGATTTAAAGCATAACATCTTTGTAGAGCTGGTCTCAGCTGTTTCAGAAATTAATACTATGGAGCCAAATTCATTGGTGATCCCACCAGGACTTAAAGGAGGCTTTAAGCTTGGGCTGCTTTCATCAAGAGCCCAAGAATTAGAAGGGATTGTTACTTATAAAATCAATGGAGAGCATACTTTTAACTTCAGGATTATAGCAAAGGTAGAACCAGCTGAACTTAGAATATCAAAGAACTATTTGAAGTTTGTATTTGATGATGATAATATGGAAGAAAGCTTATGCGAAAAACTTTTCGTCGAAAATGGCTGCAACGCTGATACAAGATTTGCTTGGGTTGTCCCACCGAATTCAAATTTTGAAGTAGAGCCTCTTGAAGATTTGGTGGAAGCAGGAAAAACGAGACCAGTGATCGTCAAGTTTACGCCTTCTATAGGAGCAAATAGGAATGATGAAGAAAATTTAGTAATGAAAGTACAAAATGGGGAGAAATGCACACTCAGATGCAAAGGGGAATTCACTGAAGCTAAATGCCAATTTTTGCAAAAGCAGCTGGACTTTGAAGTAGTAGCAGTTGGTATCAAGCATGAAAAGTCTGTCACAATAAAAAATCTGTTGAGATCCACAGCTATTTATCATATCAAAAAATGCCCCACAGAAATTCGACGAGCTCAGAAAATGATTTGGGTTAGAATGGCACCTTTAAGGTTATAATCTCCACCATCTGGAGTCATTACCCTTCTAGAAAATACCATTCCCTAAGATCAGGAATCCGGTAGGAAAAGCCACCCGGATCTTGCTTCGATGAGATAACTGGGATATTTTCACCAGGGGAAACCAAAACTCATAATTAAAATATGCAAGAGATGAATTTTCAGTCAGGAGACCAGGGAAATTTGAGTGACGCGATATTTTAATTATGCCCAACAGAAATAACTGTAACCCCAACTAGAGGGAAAATTTCAGGAGATGGTAGGGCAAACCTGAAAATCGAGTTTTGCAGTTTCGAAGAGCAAGAACTCCATGGAGAGCTTGAAGTCTTAATTAGAGGTGGAAAGCCCCTTGTCCTTTCTATTCATGCTTCTGCAATTATACCAAAGGTCTACATTCAAGAGCCAGAAATTGACTTCGGAGGGGTAACTTACAAATGCAGTGCTTATCGAAAGTTCACAGTGGTCAATGAAAGCCCAATTGCTTGTGTTCTTTATATTAGCCTTCAGGAGCACCCAGAATTTGAAGTATCATTACCAGCTGACCACCTTGGAGAAGGGGAATGTGAAAGCACAGTGCTCATGGGAGCTGCTTCAGATCGAGGGAATCCGTTTGTACTTAGAGATGAGCACGATGAGCTGGAAGATATCAAAATGGAGGCTGGAATGCAGGAAGAAGATGACTCTGAAGAAGAGGAAGAGGAGGTGGCAAGAACTTTTAGGCTAAATCTTCATCCAAGCACATCAATTACACTTCAACTTAAATTTACGCCTAGTGATACTGAAACCTATTTATTTGATTTGCCTGTTATGATGGCTGGAGTAAATGAGACATTAAAATCCTTAACCAGACCTGTGTCTGGAGAAGGGCTGCAGCCGAAATTCTTAATAGAGCCTGCTATAGTTGACTTCAAAAAGAAATACATCACAGCTGGAGAAAAGTCCTTCCCCGACTACAAAGACGTGATATTTTCAAATCCTGACATTTATCCGCTGAGATGGAAGCTTGATACTTCTACTATCGACTCAACCAAAATCTTTACCATAAGACCGCTTGAAGGGTATCTGGAGCCAGCTGCTTCAGTAACAGTTAGAGCAAGCTTTAACCCAAATCAAGCTATTGATTATGAAGAAAAAATTAATTTGTTCATTGACAACTCAACAGAACCTTACTTAACGCTTACTCTTAGAGGAGAAGGTTCAATCCCACGCATCTCATTTGACAGGCGGTATGTGATTCTCCCTATAACTCCTCTGGGGATTTCTTCAAAATCTATCTTCAAAATCAATAATGAGGGCTATCAAAATGTAGAATTAAAATACCGGCTTCCAAAAGATGCAGGCAGAATTCCATTGCAATTAAATTTCCCTGATGGCCAAACTTTAGGATCGACAAAACAAAAAATCCCAGTGGAAGTTATCTTTAATTCTGATCGTGCCTTGTCATTTACAGCGAATTTAGACTTTTTTGACAATGAAGGAAATAAATTCACGATAGCAATTTCAGGAACAGCTGATAATTGCTTGTTTACGTCTTTTCCCTTTATTCAAAGTCATCAAGAAGATATCAGATTTAATGTTGATGAAAACGGAGCAATGAAACTAGAGTTCGAAGAAGTCTCAGATGGAGATGAAGCTTCAGGAAGATGGGGAACTGGAGGCCCAGCCGGAGCTCCCAGAACAAGTGCAGCGAGCTCGGTGTATTCCAGGTCTGCTAAAAGCATCGTAGGATATCAGCCTGTCCCTCAATTTTTGCTAGAAAAAGGGTTAGACCACTTGAATAGATGGCTAAACCACAGTGTCCTCAGTTCTACCATTAACAAATTCCCTGATGATTTTGTGAATCAGCATGGTGCGCCACTTTATGAGCTGGTTTTTGCACTGTCAGGCAAATACCCACCAGGGCAAGTTAAAAATCCGAATTCCTTGGCCCCGAAAGAACTTGCAAGACAGCTTTTTAAGCAATATGACGACTTAATTGAGTATTTGAAGAGAAATGGAGCAATGCTAAATACGCTTAGACCTGAGTTCTTATTAAGCCAAAATGACTTTGCAAGGTTTTTAAAGTCTACGCCGCTAGAACTCCAGCTAAGGCCTAAACAAATCCAGCATCGGTGGCCATATCTTTCTATGGATTCTTGGACAACCTTGATTTTTCAAATTGTTAAGCTGTATCTACTCAATAGGGTGACACCTAAAAGCTTCAAAAACTTACCTGGAATGAACCCAGAAGAAGCAAACATCGATGCAGGGATGACTAGTTCCAACATTTACTCTGTGTCTGAATGCATTTTACTTAAGTGGCTAAGCTATCACTATGAGTGCATTCATCCGCACACTCCGAAGAAAATTTCCAACTTTGAGTCTGATTTGTCTGATGGCACAGTGATCTCTTCTGTCATCCAATCTCATATAGGGAATGTCAAGGCTTTAGGCAATATCAAAGTCAACCCTAACAGTGAAGAGCAAAGAAGCCAAAACTGCGAAAAAGTAATAGCAGGGCTCAGTGAAATAGGCTTGCCCACCCACTTCACTGCAAATGATTTAGTTCGTCCTAGTGCGCGAGAAGCTTTGCTATTTGTCTTGCAGCTATATCAGGGACTTCCCCACTATATTCCTAAATGTAAAATTATTTTTTCATGCCCGCTCAGCGAAAAAATTGTTAAGAATATTGAACTTACCAACCCGTCTAACAAATCTGTGAATTATTGGGTTAGAATTGAAGGTAGCTCTGACTACACATTTGAAGCGCAGGAGTCAATAACACTTCCATCAAAATCAACAGTCCAATTCCCAGTTACTTTCCAAAGCAGAGTGACTGTTCCGGTGCAAAAAGCCAAGCTAAGCTTCACAAACCGAACTACAGATGGCGGTGCTCAGGGTGCAGCTCTTGTTTTCGAGTTAATTTCTGACGTAAAGGCGCCTATAAATGTGATGCAAATAGACTTTGAAACTCCACTTTATAAGCTGTTTAATAAAGAAGTAGAAATAAAAAACAATTATTCCCAAGAGGCAGAATTCGTGATCCAGCTAAATCCAATTGAAGATGCACCAAAGAAACCTCCTGCAAATAAAAAGAAAGGCCCACCCGAACCTCCTCCTCTGCAATTTCCGCCAGCTTTTTATATTAAAAATGAGAAAGTAAAAGTCAAGAAAAACTCAGTTAGCTTCATAGGTGTCCAGTTTTTACCTTTCGAAATGAAAACCCATAAAGCTGAACTAATTTTGTGCGACGAAAAGGTAGGAGAAATTCATTACTTGCTAGTCGCGAATGTGAGTATGCCAGAATCGCAACTGATTACGATGAAGCAGGAAATGGGTGACTCCATGCAAGTTGTGGTGCCTTTGAAGTCGAAGAACGAGCAGCTGGAATTTGCGAAGTCAAAATGCAGGGAAAGATACCAAGCTTCACACAAGACTCGAGAAAGAGATACTTTGAATGAAATCTTTAAGAAACTGCACACAGAAGACACAAATGTGTATGATATTGTCTTGAGCTCTCCTTTCTTTGGAGGCCCTAACACCATTTCTTTAACAGAGTTCAGCAAAAGTAAAGGTGGTAAAGGAGGGCTTGATACTTCACAAGTAAGTGACGTCTCCAAGCAAGAAATTTCCTTGCAAAGAAGCAAGAAAACGCCAAGTAGAAGCTCGCATACTAGCCAAGCACCTGCAGGGAATTCCTCTTCTGGACAAGATGCACAAAATAAGCTCCAGCTCAGCTTTTCTCCAAAGACTCCAGGCGAATATCCTTGCTTTGTAACCTTAACATCAACTAGAAAAACTGACATCAGAATATATGAAATCGTTGTAGCCGTAAAGCCAAAGAAAAATGTGGTCACGCTAGAGATGACTGCTCCAGCTAGAGGTGAGGTGAAGCAAGACATCCCAATTATAAATAACTCAGACAAAGATTGGCCAGTCAAAGTAAGCTTAACCCAAGATGCTAAAGAATTCAGTGTTTCTAAAGATTTCGTGGTAAGAAGAAAATCAACTGGGTATTGTCCATTAGTTTTCAAGCCGATTTGGACTTGTGATGTAAAAGGAAAGCTGCTGCTCGATATCCCACTTACAGGAGATCTATATGAGTTTAACCTCAGAGGGATTGGAGAAGAACCAAATGCTGAAGAGCATATGACAATTGACTGCAAGGTCAAGGAAACTTATTATCAGCTGATTCCTATTATGAATCCAAACGATTTCCCAGTTGTTTATAAGGTGGAATCTGATTTAGTAATTGCTTCTGGAGACCCACAAATACAAGTTCCTGCCAAAACTAAAGGACAATATGAGCTTCAAGTAAAGCCAATACAAAGTGGCATGTACTCTGGAGCAATTACATTTTATGATAATCAAGGCAAATTTTATTGGTATAAACGCCTCTACGCTTGCGAGCTCTCAAGTCCAGATGCCTCCTAGGAGATCCGAGGATTGATTTATTAACTTATACTGGTGAAGACTATCCTCAAATTTGGTAAATCTACATTATCAGATGGATTTATCAATTTGAGGGTTGGCTTAACCAATCCTCAGCTCTCAGAGACATAGGACTATGGAAATCCATAAGTGTGGAGATGCTATATACACTAGAAGTTAGAGCCCAAGAACCTGAGCCTGAAGATGAAAAAATATTGATGACTCAGTGCAGAAAAGCTGTCGAATTAAAACTTACTGTTTATATTCTTTGACTACTTATATTTAGCATATTATATCAAAATTGTTTTGCTTATATTCTATATGAATAGAGTATTTCACTATCATGCTATTTTTAAAATTAATAAAAATGAGAATAATCCATATCCAGAAAACACTACTTTTGAAGTCAACATCCAAGGCCATGGACTTATGGGTGATAATATGTTTTATGTTGCTGCTAAGGAGCTAGGCACTTATGAACTCCTCTATTCTCCACTACTCCCTGGTGAATCATATGGAACGATTTCCTTCGTCAGCGAAAAAACTGGTGAATTTTGGTACAAGCTTAAACTGATTGCTTTGCCACCTGAGCCATTTGAATTAGAAATTTTTGAATGTGAACTTGGGAAATCAGAAACCCAGCACATAGCATTAGAGAACCCTACAAATGAAGAAGTCATTTTAGACTACAGCTGCTCTAACCCTCTAAACTTTGAGTTGGTCCCTGAGCGAATCATTCTACCTCCTTATGAAACAATAGAAGCTACAGTCAAGTATTCTCCTTCTACACTCAAGCATGTAGAAACTGGCGAAATCAAGCTCAGCAGCAAAGCTCTTGGAGACTGGATCTTCAAACTGAGAGGCAAAGGACGTCCACCTACACTTATGGAGCCTCTTGAGATTGCTGCGACTATTGGAGAAACAAGCTCTACACAGATTACATTTAAAAATCCATTTAGGGAAAACATTACGATTTCTATTGCTTTAGAAGCCAGTGAGAACGTATTCCAACTGCTTGTGAGGAAAAATAAATATGCAATAGGGCCTTTAGGATCATTGCTGATTCCTGTAGCTTTTATTCCAACATCAATGGATGAGCACACTGCTGTTCTGCTAGTATCGATTACAGATGAATTGACTTGGAGATACCCGCTTAAAGGCATCACTGAGAATGCTTCTACACGCATTGACTACTCTTTCAAGACCAAGTGCAGAACTTCATTAGAAATGCCACTAAATATTGTTTTGAATGATTTATAGTGAGTTAGAGAGACTAAATATTATATACGAAAATTTTAAATTATTTTTAATAGATTTATTCGCAGCTATCATTGCATTTAGTGTTCCCAAAAGGCATATATCTATTATTAGTAAATATAGGCAAATATCTTATTTTCAACTAAAATAATAAAATTAGCAGAGAGGCATAGTCGATCTTACAGAAGAAGAAAATTTCACCAATGAAATTAACGTTATAGACCAGGCTGTCAAACATTTCGTCGACAAAAGCTTGCAGATTGAAACTCACAAAAACATTATTTCAAGCCCAGCAGAAGCTTTAGAATTTTCTGTAAAATTCGAGCCATTACGGCCATTTAAGACACAAGTTGAGCTTTTAATCTACAAAGGATCTGGAGGAAGATGGAAATATAATATCATGCTTGAAGCTCTTGATCCAGATATTGATGACACAATCAATATAGAATCTCAAATAAACAAAACAACCAGCATTGCCTTCAAGCTAACCAACCAATTCAAAGCTTTTGCTGAGTTTGAAGCATTTTTCACCCCAGAAAGTGATTCTTGTTTTGCGATTCAGCCCAATCAAGGTATTTTAGAGCCATATGGAAGGGAAGGGACAACTTTTATAGTGTCGTTTACTCCTGTTGAGTATGGAGCTCCTAAGGTAGGGAAGCTTGTGATTCAGACAGAAGATATGATGTGGACTTATCTTGTTAAAGGATCCCATCCTCGCTATCAACCTCCTGAAGCTAGCGGTGGCAGAATTGATAATAGGCTTCAGAGATCGATACAGCCACAGCAGAGCTCAAAGAAAAACTTCATAAAGAAAAACATCAAGGGACTGTCGCCGACTAGGTCAAAGATGGAGTCTTCAATGAAATCTTTATCCCCAACAAGAAAGGCACCATCTCAACAAAGAATAACAGAAATTTAATAATTTATTATGGTTACATTAAATAATATATAAAAATATATATTATAACTTCTTTATAATAATTCTGAGTAAGACTAGATTGGTATATTTAAATTTAGAAATTCGTAAATGGAAGCCAGTTTTTAATTCGATAACCCCCAGGCACCGCTTCGAAGAGCAATATGAAAGAAACCTCAATTTATTATCAGTCAAGTTTATTACAGTCTAAAGAAGACCTCAGAAAAGGGTTAGTAGAAAATTACCCAGAAGAATGTGTCTCTAATTTTGATTAAAAGTTTGAAAAATGTCGAAATCTCAGAGAGCAACTGCAAAGCTTAAATAGAGGTGGTGCTATAAATGATAGGATCGAATACTAGAAGGGGAGCAGAGCTTTTTTAATCTGTGCGTTCACTTTTTACACTTTTAAACAATCAACACGGTCAGGTGAAAGATTTCAAATGGCTCAAAACAGAGCATTCGCCTAACTAGTTTACAATTTATGAAGCTTTGAAAGAAGTAAGACAAGTAATGGATCTAGCGATAAAATTATTTACTATATGAATAATTTTCTTTATTCTCAAGCTCTACTTGGGATTTTTTAATCATGCTAACGACTTTTTCTTTATATTCTTCAGCTTTCTTTATTATCTTCGAATGCTCTGTTTCTAAAATTTTTATTTCTTCTTGATATTTAGCTTTCTTCGAGCTAAATTGGTCTTTTAATGATGAGAGTTGGTCTCGCTTGTCAACTAATTCCTGCTCCAAATTTTCTTTTTCCTGCAAAAGATAAGTTTTCTCTGTTTGCTTTTCTTTTATTAAGTCTCCCAGCCTTAGTAAGCTAGCATCACTGGCGAGACTTTCGATATTATCAAAAGATGGCAAATCCATTTTTATCAAAGCAATAGACTCTTCAAGATCTTTGGCCTGCTTTTTCTGCACAGAAACTTGATTTTCAAGCTCGCCACATTTTTTCTTTACATCTTCACAATTTTCTACAAGTAATTTTGCTTCTTTTACAATATTTATAACTTTTTCCATATATTTTATTTTTTCCATAACTTCTTCATCACAATTTCCTTCGTTTTCGCTTCTAAATTTAGAGTATTCTTGATTTATCTCCGTATCAGAATTATAACTCCCCAACCTCCGGGAGTGAACAAGGGGGGTTAATAATTTTTTTTAAAAAAATTATATATAAATTTCATAAAAAAAAAATATTTTTTTTTCGAAAATTTAAAAAAATCCTAATTCGCAAAAATTAGAAAGCAAATATTAATTTAATTTATAAAAAATTTATGTTTTAAAAAGCAATTTATTTAAAATTAAACAGAATTAGCTCGAGATTTCTTATACTAATTATCATTTTTATATCAAAATTTTTTTCTATTAAAACAATTTTTGTTCACTCACGGAGGGTGGATTTTTGGGCAAAAAATAGCGATTTTTCTAATGGTTTTGTTCACTCACGGAGGGGGGGGAGTAAGATAAAACATTGCTTCATTTAGCCCAGCCGCTTCCGCTTCTAAAACTTTAACTTCTTTTTCAATTTTTTTCCTCTCATTTTCAATTTTTTCTTTTTCTCTTCCCAACTGATCGATTTTCACTTTTTTCTGCTCTATTATCGGGAACTTTTCTTGGTTTTGTTTCTTGAGCATTTGTACTTCAGCATATTTTCTCTCGTATTCCTCTTTAGTTTTATTGCATTCTTCAGCAGCTACTCTCGATAGTGTTGTTTCAGGGTTTTGCACAAAAATAAGTTCTTGCTCTTCAATCATGAACCTAATAAAGTTTATAAAAGCTGATAAAAACCTTACTGTCCTTCTGGGGTCAGGGGTAGTTAAATCAGTTATTCTTAAGGGATCTGCTTTGCAGCCTATTTGTGATAAGACTCTTGTGAGATGCTTGTAGAGATTTAGATAGGAAATTGCGTTATCATGAAGTTCTACGCTCTTGTTTAGCTTTGGATTGCATGATTTTATGAGTAGAAAATCATCCCTTTGCTTGTGGAAGACTATTTGAAGCAGTTGAATGTAAATGATTTTGATTGCGTTTGGGCTTGGCCGAAGAATTTCTTCTAGAGATGAAATTGTGATGCCAAGGGAATCTTTTAGTTGTGTATATATATCTTCTGGAGCAAGATCTGGAAAAGAGTATCTTTCCATTAACGAAATTAAATTATGAATTTTGTATATGAAGAAATTGCAGTTAAGAAGCTTTTAGAGAAATTTCAGGGTTTTTAACTTTTACAATAAGAAATAAGAGGTTCTATGAGTTTTTTTAGTATTTTTTAAGCAGAAAATACAAAAATTAAATTTCCCTCCATTTCGTCCTATAGCCCCATTTTTCAAAAATATTTATCGAAGTTTACGCACTTTACATTTATAACTAAAATTAAGCTAGGTTATTAAGATCGATAATAAATTGGAGGAGTATCCGCAGGAGATTCATTTAAACTTCTTCTATAGTACGACGGAGGATCTTTAGTCTCTTCTAATAGTCTATAAGCATCTTGCGTTTCTTGCATATTTTTACTAATAATCTGATTCAGCAAGTCTTGAGAGTTGTAATGAGAAAGTAATTTCCTTTGAGATTGCATTCTTGGCGGATCAATATTTTCATGAGGAATTATAGCACTTTCCCTTGAATAGCCCAATAACGAGCTGGCTTCATCCCGCTATCGGGCTATTCAAGGGAAAGAGCTATGCATTTTCATTTGGAGTTTCAATGTCTTGAGCTTGAACCTCATTCACAATTTCAGGTTGGAAAATCGTTGATCTCTGACTCATAGGAGTTTTATTTTGGAAAAAGTTTTTTTCTTGGATTTGTTCTAAATCTTTTATTTTTTGTTCGAGCTCTTCTCTTTGCTTTCTAATCATATTAAGCTCTTCTTTCTTTTCCTGCTTGACTTTCTTAATTTGCACAATCAGCTGCGCTTTTGTTTTTGATATTTCTGTTAATTCTTTTGTAGTTTTTACTCTTTGGTAGCTTTGATTTCCTTCATACTCTTTAGCTAGTTCTGCTTCAATTTCTTTTTTGTCCCTTTCTAGTTTTTTCCTCAAATTATTTTTTATTTCTTTTTCTCGTTTTTCCAGCATTCCAGCTACTTGTTTAGCAACTTCTTTTTTTTGCTGAATTGTATACTTTTCTTGTGCTGCCTTAAGCTTTGCATTAAGCTCATGCCTTATTTGTTTTTGGCGATTTTTATAAAGATCAATCAGTTCGTTTCTGATTTCTTCTTTTACTCTACTTTCTACCTCTTCGTAAACTTGAGATTCCATTTGTAAAGTTAGCTCTTTTCTTATTTCTCTCTCAATCTGCAATTTGACTTCAGCATCAAGTGCAGTTTGCAGCTTGGATTCTTGTTCCTTTCGAAGAGCTTTTTTCATATCTTCTTTTATTTTTTCTTTTAGAGACTCATAGTCCCTTTGGGCTACCTTTTGAATGTAATTTTTTATCCTTTCTTCAGCTTCCTTTTTGATTATTTCTACTTTTCCTTTGATTTCTACATCAGCGTCTTGCTTTACCTTGCTTTCTACCTCAGCCAATTTTTCCTTTAACGATGGCTCAAGCTTGCTTCTTATCTCAGGCAGAATAATACTTTGGATCTCTTCTTTCCATTCATTCTTTTCTATTACAAGCCTTTGTTGAAATTTCTCCTCCATTTCACGTCTCAGGTCAGTAAGAAAATCATTAGGGTCTTGGGTTTCTTTTTTGGCGGCTTCAACTCTTTGATTAAGCATGATTTCATACTCATTTCTCAATGACACTTCAATTTCTGCTTTAAGTCTCTGCGTTTCTACTGCTAGCCTTTCTTCATATTGCGACTGATAAATCTTTTCTAATTCTGAAGTGGAGCGCGGCCTTGCTTCTGAAAGCTGATTTATTTTGTCTTCAAGTTCCTCAGCTCTCTCTTGCCAATATTCGTTAAGTCTGTTTTGGACTTCTGAAATTTCTTGGTTCATCTTGTTTTCGTAGTCAAACCTCAGCTGTTTTCTTTGTTTATCAAATTCAACTTCGCACTCATCCCTGACAGCTCTTTCCATATCTTCTACTTCTTTTTGGTATTTTTCCTTAATGGCTTCTGAACATTTCTCAAGATCAATTGGGCCAACATCTTCTCCTTGGTTTTCTAAGCTTCTTCTAAATATGCTTGACACTTCACTACTGGAAAGGTTAAACATGCTTTCCTTGCTTGACGCCTTGTGACCTATTCTTTTTAAACTTTCTATTTCTTCCATTCTCGCAATTTCAAATTGCTTTAATTCTTCAATACTTACTCCCCCCCCCCCCCCCTCCGTGAGCGAACAAAACCATTAGAAAAATCGCCATTTTTTGACCAAAAACCCACCCTCCGTGAGTGAACAAAAATTTTTTTAATAGAAAAAATTTTAATGGAAAAAAATTTTGATATATAAGTGATAATTAGTATAATGAAATCTAGAGCTAATTCTGTTTAATTTTAAACAAATTGCGTTTTAAAACATAAATTTTGCAAATTAAATTAATATTTGCTTCCCAATTTTTGCAAATTAGGATTTTTTTAAATTTCGAAAAAAATATTTTTTATAAAATTTATATATAAATTTTTTTTAAAAAAAAAAATTAACCCCCCTCCGTGAGCGAACAAAATTTTTTTGTTCGCTCACGGAGGGGGGGGGGGAGTTAGGTCATCATTAGTTTCCAGAGTTCCTGGCCTGTTTTCCAGCAGCGCTTTTTTCATGTCTTCGCTTTGTATTTGACTTATAAGTTCTGATTCTCTGAATAGGTAGTTTTCTCTGATATTTCTAATTGCATCTTCAGTTGCGGCACGCAGCTTTTCGATGTCCATTCGCAAATTGTTGCTTTCAACTGAGCTTTCTTCAAATTCAAGCTCCTCTTTTGGACTCCCTCCGCTGAAATCTAAATCTCCGATATTTAGCCTTCCTTCTCCTCCGTTGTGCATTATTTAAATGGGTTTGTTTAAAAAGATTGGTCATGGAAAATCAAGATATCAATTTAATTATCAGCAAGTATTTAGCCAGCCCACACAACTCGCTTGACCAAATAAATTTCTGCACTGAGCAGTCAGAAATACCAAAAGTTGAGGAATATGAAAAGATTGATCAATGCTTGCAAACTTTTAGCTCAGATAATAGTAAAGATAAAGAGAGAAATTTAGATGAAAAACATCAAAAACTGAGGAAAAATGAATCAGAATTAATTGATGAAAATACTTTGACATGAAGAAGGCAGAACAAAGAATATGTTGAAGAATTATTGAAAGAACTTATTGCTGAAAATAAAACACTTAAAAAATTGAGAGATACATGGGAAAGTGAGTTTCAAAGGCAGCAAAACCAATTAAAAACAGTTGAAATTAAAATGCAAAAAAGTATAAATTCTTTAAAATCTGACAAAATGAGCTTGCTAATCCGCATTGAAAATTTAGAAAAAGAGATTTGTTCTAAAAATAATGAAATAGAAAGATTAAAACTCACAGTAAATGATGCTGAAAGCTATAAAAATGCTATTAAAGAAGAGCTTGATGCAGAGAAGAGAAACGCAATTTCATTATGTGAAGAAATTAAAGATTTAAAGAAAAGCATAAGCGATCAAAAAGATTGATATGATGCCCGAGCCCATCAATTAGAAATTGGATTTTCAAATAAAATATCCCAGTTATTATCACAGCTAGGAGAGCTAGAAAATATAAACAGAGCATTAAAAGAAAACGCAAAAGTAAAAGATGAAAGCATAGACTGCTTAAATAGCGAGATCAGCAGTCTTCATAGTGCAATTAAAGCAATCCAAGAAAACCAAATTGATTATGCAAAAAATGAGTATGCTAGACATCATACGGAAAAGAAATCTAGTAGCCATAAGCATAAGCATTCAAAAACTTCTCATCATAATTCATATTCTGCTCCTCATCCAAATTCCACCAGTGGCTCAAAACCTAAAGGGAATTTACCGATTGCATCCCCAAAACACCAACAAAGTCAAGAAAAGAAATTTTTATCCGCCTCAATTACAAAATTAGAAAATGAATTAAATAATTTAGGCTTAAAGCACAAAAAATTATTTGAGCTCTCTAATGACAGTGCAAGCAGTCTAATTGAAATGAGAAGAGATTTAGATACCCTTGCTTCAACTATGAACAAGGAAAAGAAAGAGCTCCATAGCCTGAAACTATTATTCAAAGACGATAATTTTAAGAAGAGCTTGAAATAATTAATTGCTGAGCTTTTTAAACTATTAAAGCTTAAAGCCATAAAGTCTCCTTCTTTCACTTTTATTTTGCTCTTGAGAAAGCTCAGTAGCTCTTCTTAAAATCTGCTCGGACATTTTCCTTGCAAGCTTGTCATTATTTTTCAGCCTCTTTTCCCTGTACATCAATAATTTCCCCTCTGATCCTTTTGTAGGACTTCTCCTGGTTTCTCCCAGAGGGTAGTTTTTTTGCAAGTATTCGTCATCGTCACTATTCTTGTCGCTTATTAAATTTTTCAGGTCTAATTCTTCCTGAATCCCTGGTATCATTTCAGGTACAATTTCGTTTAAGTTTTGAAAGGTAAATGAACTCTTTACTCCTTGATGAGTTGAAGAGTAGGAAGGCTCAGGTAATGATTCAATTGAATACGTTTTAGAAGTCTTGCTCTGGGTTAAAGGACCTGACCGAGAGTTAGTCAGAGATTTTGCTTTTTTGGGTTCGCTCTCTAAGCTGACTTCTCTACTTTTCTTTCACTCTTGCACCTGCAGCTTTTGAGCTTCATATTTCTCTGGGTTAAACTTATAATTTTTCGATAAATCGTTATCAGGTATTCTGGTGGGAGAAACCCCAAAATGATGGATAACGCCTTTGCATTTCTTTGAATAAATCGCAATATCATAACAGCCTATGTCTTTGTAAAGCAATAATTTTTTTTCGTACGGAGTCAAAGATCTATAACTAGTCCCATTAATTGAGTCGTATTCTACGTCGAAGTAGAATTCTGATAAAAGCTCGAGGAACTTCAAAAATTGGCTTTCGTTGATTTCATATTGAAATTAGATTTGATTTAAGATTTACCTTCATAATCCCCATTTGCTTACTCCCCCCCCCCCTCCGTGAGCGAACAAAACCATTAGAAAAATCGCCATTTTTTGACCAAAAACCCACCCTCCGTGAGTGAACAAAAATATTTTTAATAGAAAAAATTTTAATAGAAAAAAAATTTTGATATATAAGTGATAATTAGTATAATGAAATCTAGAGCTAATTCTGTTTAATTTTAAAACAAATTGCGTTTTTAAAACATAAATTTTGCAAATTAAATTATATTTGCTTCCCAATTTTTGCAAATTAGGATTTTTTTTAAATTTCGAAAAAAATATTTTTTATAAAATTTATATATATAAATTGTTTTTAAAAAAAAAATTAACCCCCCTCCGTGAGTGAACAAAATTTTTTTGTTCGCTCACGGAGGGGGGGGGGGGGAGTTAGAACCATGCTTTCTACGTCGTGAGCAATAGAGTGGGTGTTATATTGTTAACTTGAGCCATGGCCGAAACCCCGTTTATTGATAGAGGCATTTCCCTCCATGATCAGAGTTATACGGACTTTGCTGAGAACCTGCAATTCCATCCCAAGCCCTGCTTAGCTAGGCTGCCTCTCCCCGTCATAAAACCCTTTTTAACTGAAGCCGATGCAGACCTTCAGTCTGCCTAGCATGTCTTCCCTTTTTCTTGGATTCATCACCAAAGGAAAAAACTCAACAACTTATGAAATTCGGGATAAGCCACGAAACAGCTTATGAGATATATGCGTTGCCTAAATTGCTTATCTAGGCTGGCATGTAAAAATTGTCTCCAACATTTGGAGAAAATTTTCACACGTGAAACTATAGAGAATTCACATGTGTGGAATTTTCTTCAAACGTTGGAGAAAATTTTGGTGCGCCAGCCTATATAAGCAATATAGGCAAAAGATAATAAGCTACCCTGCCTCGAGCGCCCAACCTGGGCCTGGGCGCTTCTGACAAAACGCTGCAAAAACTGCCGCATCAGCCAGGCCTTTAATCAGTGGAAATAGTGCTATGCCTCTCGCTTTAAGACTATCCAGCCCTTGGGCAGCTCTCTCACCAAAAACTACATCCAGAAATGCATAAACATGGGCCATTCGATATAGGCCATTTTATGCATATGATTTCGTATTTAAAATTGGTAAATTTCAAAAATAGTTTTTGAACTAACTTTCTCTGCAAAATTTTTCTGTCAGTTCTTTTATTAGTATCCATTAGATCAAATTCCCTTAAAAATCTGAAAAACTTGCCCAAGCTCATAGTTTCATTATTTTTTTCTATTAGCTCAAACGTTGGAGAAGTTCCTCCATTCGGACCAAATTGTTTACAGTAGAACATATATATGTCATGCAACCCTATATTGCATTTTTCTTCAAAGTTCCCCTTTAACTCAATTCTAGCTTTATCTTCAATAGGCATATTTAGATGTTTCTTGAACCTGCTAATTATTTCATCCACACTTGAAATGTCCCCGCCAGATTTTAATATTTCTTCTCTCACATTTTCATAGTCATTTATTGTACTTATCAGTTTTAATTTAATATCTTGTGGTAAAATTTGCAAAATTGCTGGCTTACACTTTTTGAACCATGTTATCAATATTTTTTCTATGTCCATATCTTCTCTTAAAAGTGTAGGAATTCTCTCACTTTCTGCATTTAGCATAGGTTTTCCATTTTTCGAATTTTCTGGTTTGTGGTTAGGATTTTTGTATGATGGCATTTTAAAAGAGGAATTTTCAATTGGTGGGATAAGATAGTTCATAAATTTCTCATCAACACCATTTAATCCTTCGTTTTTGCCTTTAGCCTCCCTATTTAGCATGTTGCTGTAGGCAATTTCAAACATGCGCACCAGCTCTGAGATCTGATCTTTATTTGCTTGCACTTTACAAATTGTTAAAATTTCTTTAAAAGCATTCTCAAAACCTGAATTGGCCAAACTATGCTTAATAAATCTTTCAATCCCATGAATTCGCTGGGAAAATTCTTCAACCGAAGCCGAGTTTTCAGCTTGTTTGTTGTCGTTTGAGATACCTTTATCAGCCTCAAAATTCCCTTTACCTGGAATGTCTAAATTCTCTCCACTTTTTTGAGTACAAAATTAATTAAAAGGGTTTTAATGTCTTCTCCGTCGCATTCTTTGCCTCCGTGCTCTATTCACCCAAAACTGCCGCTTCCAGGGCGGAAATTTATTCGGTGTTTGAATAGTGGTTTTTCTATCTACAAGACTTTGCACTGTGACTCCAAGACTCTCGAAAGATCGATAGGACTCCTCTTTCAAAACTCTATCGGGTACTATGGAGTTAAAAGTTACCAGATACCTCATGCAGGCTACATTGAGGGCTGGTAGCACCCAAGAAAAAAGAACTGCACCCTCCAGAACTATAAGGGAAAAAGCGGTATCAAATAAACCATCCGGATAGCTAATAACTATTTGAGAAGTCGCCATCAGGTCAGCCAACAAGTAGTTTAAGAGTCTAGACTATAAAGCGAATTTTTCGGCAATAGTGGTGCATCGTCCTCAAGTTGCCTACACCATATTAATTATATTTTGCATACAAAGACTTGGGTAGTTAGAAGTTTCTTCTGATGGAGCTTCTACCTTGTCCCCATCGATCATTATTTCTCTCATTCCTTGAAAGTTTTGAATATAATTTAAATTCTGCATATACTAGCTATAATTTTTTATTATTTGTAAGTAAATAAAATTATCTATCCTTCCAGTTTATGATAGTCTTCTGGCTTTTTAAGAGGAGGTTTTTTCTTCCCAATTGTTGAATTTTGTTGCTGCGGCTGATTATTAGGGTTGGTTGAAAAGATGCGTGAAAGTCTATCATAATCAGCTTCATCAAGAATGTCTGCTTTTAATATTTGTTCTAATACATCTTCTAGTGTTATTATTCCTAGAACATTCTTTTCAGCTGATGGGACACTTTCAGGAGAGTCCGAAACAATTGCCATGTGGCTTTTACCTTCCTGGAAAATTTCTAATAAATCTAAAATTGTGAAATTTGGGTTGATATAAACTGTTTCCCCTAACTCCCCCTTCCGTGAGCTAACAAATTATTTTGCTCGCTCACAAAGGGGATTAATTTTTTTTATTTAAAAAATTTATATCTAAGTTTTATAGTAAATGTTTTTTTCGAAATCCCAATTCAAAGCAAATATTAATTAATTTGTAAAATTATATTTTAAAGTGCTATCTCTTTAAAATCGATCAGAATTAGGTCGTGATTTCGTTATAATAATTATCACTGATATATTAAAAAAATTCTATAATAAAAATTTTGCTGGCTCACGAAAGGGGATTTTTCCAATAGTTTATTCGCTCACGGAGGGGAGTAAGCTTTATTCCTGAGCCTTCGATTGTATTTCCTTCTTTTGAGCCAATTAGCTTCTTCACTAATAAAATCCCAACTATATCGACTTTATTATTTCCTCTGTAAATTGGTACCCTGCTATATCCTTGAGCCATTATCATTTGAAACGTAGACTTGCTTAAAACTGTTTCTGTACTCAGCATAAAAACCTTTTCAAAATTAATCATGTGGTTTTTCACGATCTCCTTATGTGAGTCAATTGCTCCATGAATAATCTTGATTTGCCCTGCCCCAAGACCTGTTTTATCAGCAGGACCTACACTGTAAGTTTCATGAATTCTAACAAGTGCTTTTAAGTCGTCATTTTTAAGCTTTTTCGAATGTCCATGTCCAAAAATCTTGTCGAGAAGTTTAGCAATAGGGTAGCTTACAGGGAAAAAAATCACCATTACAAATTTTACAATTGGGACGAGCTTGCTTGCAATTTTCAATTGATCAGGCCCTGTGCACAAAGCTTGAGGCAAAACTTCTCCAAAAGCCAGCACAAAAGTGACACTCAACACTACTGCTATAATACTGCTAAACATTTCATCGAGAAAAATAGGCAAGGTTTCCATAGCAGCTGCATTAGCTACTAAAAGAGTAACAAGCAGGAGGTGATGCTGATTAATTATGGGAAGCACTTTGCGAGCTTGTTGTCGCTCTATTTCAGTGCCGCTTGCAAGCTTCATTTCTAAATCAAGTTCATCGATACCCATCATACCTACTGTTAGGCCTGACATCATCCCTGCAAAGAGAACCAAGCCTATTGATACAAATGAAAATATTATATAATCTTCAGTCGGAAGGACATGTATAAGTTGCTCATCTGCAAGCACGAGTTGAAGTAATAAAAATGAGAATAGTCTTATCATTATAATAAATCTTGCAAATTTATAATAAAATTAATTAATTTTATTCAACAAAATTTTATAATAGCATAAAAGCCTGCTAACTAAATTGGCATTTAAATGAAAATAATTCTCCAATGAGCCACATTCAAGCTAAAACTCACATTAAAGAATAATTCTGTCATAATTCTCTCTAAATCTTTGCATATCAAAACTTATTTTTCTATTTTCGTTAAATAATGGCTGGGCTGCTAAGACTAGAAAAGATCTTCACAAAAGTCCGGAACCGGACTAAACCCAGCTTCGACATGGACCTCTATATCCGAACTCTAATTGAAGATGTTAAAGAAACTGAAAACTCATTTAATGCTAAGTTCAAGTTCTACGTTACCCCAGAATATTGTAATCACAATGGTCTTTTACATGGAGGAGCAATTTCTACTATGCTCGATAAATTATACTTATTTCCTATGAATAGTCCAGTAAGCGAGTGAATTACCTGCTAAAATTCCAATTTGTTCAGACCAAATTTGAAACTCAGCGGGTAATTCATCCGTTATGAGCCTATTTATGGGAATTTACAATTTATACATATCTAGTAGTAATTGCTGCTGATAAGCTCGACAGAACAGCCTTATCCACCAACCTCACTCTTTCCTTTATTTCCTCAGCAGCTGCAGGAGATGAGCTAACAGTAACAGCTGAAGTTTTGAAAATCGAGGATGAGTTAGCACATGCCCAGGCAGAGATATGGAATGGGGGGAAGTTAGTAGCCCATGGTAAGCATACTTTGGGCTTTGTTAGCAGAAAGAACTATCTACTTAATTAAATTAAGATTCAATAAATAAAGGTTTATTTATCTTTATTCTCCTCCTGCACCACCTTCGATTCCCAAATAAGCTTGGATTTTGTTGTAGAAGACAAGCACAAGAGCTCCACCAGTTCCTCTGATTACGTTGCTGCCAGCTCCTTTGAAGAAAGGCTTAAGTCCACCTTCATTAGCGAAAATCTTGAAGAAGCAATCTATGGTGCCTTTGTATTGGATATCGGCACCTTTTCTTCCACTTTGCATCATCATACGTCTTCTGACAGTATCTAGTGGGTATGAAGCGATACCAGAAGAAACTGTGACTGCTTGTGCAAAGGCCCAAACTAAGAAAATGTTGGCGTTCTTGAAGTCTTTGAAGAGAATGTCTTTGCCAGAGTCGAACATACCGAAGTATAAAGCACGGTAAATAATGATTCCGACCACAGAGATACCGAATCCTCTATAAAGACCAATTGGACCGTCGTGTTTTAGAATCTTTAAAATGCAGTCATTTAGACCATTGAATTCTCTGTTTGTGCCCTTGCCAACATCAGTGGCAAGTCTTGTTCTTGCGAAATCAAGTGGGTACACAAAAAGTAGTGAAGCGGCTCCAGCCAAGCCACCAGCAGCCATGTTTCCAGCGAAGAAGAACCAGAAGCTCTTTTTCCTGTCATAGTAGAACCATCTTCTGAAAGTGTCTTTGAAGGCAAAGTTAAGTGCTTGGGTTGGGAAGTATCTGATGACGTTAGCGAGATTTCCTCTCCAGAAGCTAGCAAACCCTTGCTCTCTATTGACTCTACTAAAGCAATCGACGATTCCTTTGTACTGGTCTTCAGGTTTTATTTGTTTGCTGGATGCCTGAAGCTGTAAAAGGAGCTTAACTCTTTCAATTGGAGCCACAGCTGTTTTGGAAACTGCAGCTGAGACACCTCCCAGTAAAAAGTCCTGTAAGAAGTTTGACTGCTTTGGCTTTCCGGTTGCCATTAATTATAACAATATGGAAGCTTAAAGAGATACGTAATAAAGACACAGAGAGTAAAAGTGAAAATTAGGTCACCAGTAAAAATTTTGGAAATTAATTTTACATTAACAATGGGATGATGCTTTTTAAGTTAATATTAATTTCTAACTCCCCCCCCATCCTTGATCGAACGACTCGCCATCGTTCGATCAAGGATGGGGGTTAAAAAAAATTATTTTGGGAAAAAAATTTTATATATAAAATGAAAAAGATATATATAGATTTTTTTTATTTACTTTAAATAAGAGGGTTAAGAGTATTTAATAATTATTTTTACAGCAAAAAATTGAATTAATTTCATAAAAATACCAATTTTTAATATTTTGATTTATTAGTTACCCTTTTAAACTGTATAAATTTTAATTTAAATTAAATATTTTTTTTAAAATTTTAAAGAATCTCTATTTTATTAGATTATTGAGCTTTTAAGCCTATGTTGATGTCTAAATCACTTCGGATGGTTGATTTCGCAGCTTTCTGTCGTCTCAAAGCTCTGAAAACAACTTCATTAGGCACATCTTCCAAAGCATTTGATAACTAATATTTTTTTATATATATATAAAAATTTGCATGATATGAAAATCGTTCGATCAATGATGGGGGTTTAATTTCCCCAATTTTTAGGAATTTTACAGTCAATCGTTCGATCAAGGATGGGGGGGGAGTAAGTAATTGTATATAAAGCTAAGTTTAAGAATGATTTTTAAAAGAAGTTAAGAAGAGTACTCTAATGTAAAGCGAAATTTATATTTTCATAGGATTTTAGGCTGACTGATAAATATATAGATATCAAAAGTGCATAGAGTTAGTTTTTTAATGACAATTGCTCAGCTTATTGACATAATTCTTTTAAATTTCACGATTATAAAAGAAACAGTAATTTATTATAGAATTAGTGTTTTTATGTTTTAATTATTTTATGATATTAAGGTTAAATATCTAAAAAATTATATAGCTACATTAGATTCCTTTTATGATGCTTTGAACAATCCCTCGATTAATTTTCTTGAGGGCAATTAAAGGCATTTTTATTTACTCCCTCCCTTTAAATTGGAACAATATTCGCTTTTCAATAGGAAAATTTTAAGATGAAAGTATTAATTGTTATAAAATTAGATTTGATAGGCAAAGTGCAATAGAATACTATTTTAATAGTATTTACACTGGTAGATTATTTTTTATTTAATTAATTATAAAATAATTAAAATTCAAAGTATTAATTAATATTATTTTTAAAAATGTTTTAAAAAAAAATTAATTCCCTCTGAATTGGAATAGGATTTTTTGTGCCAATTTAAAGTGGGGGAGTTAAGACACAAAAATTTAAATCAAATAAATCGAATTTATTAATAGCTGATTAACGATTCAATAAGGACATTGTAGTGTATTTAATGACAGCAAGCAAATTTTATATTCATAACGCTGGCAATTTAAACTTATCTTATCATTTATTATAAATTTGCAGAACTTGTGCTATTATTTATTGTTTTTGTGCATTAAATTTTTATTCAACAAGTTCTTCTTATCATTCAAATGATGATGGCTTATTCTTCTCATATTAAATAATTTCATAGCATGTCCGCAACAGCAGAGCTTGAAAAATACATAGAGCAGTTCAAAACTGGCTACAAAAAATACGTTCCAAGCGAAGACACTTCTTCAATGGCGTCTTCAATCGACACTGATGAGTTGCTGACCCCCCTCCCAAGTGAACAAAACCATTGGAAAAATCCCTATTTTTTGGGTATGAACCCACCTTTTGTGAACGAACAACAATTATTTTAATATAATTTTTTTTTTTGACATATAAGAGATAATTATTTAGAAATCTCCAGCTTGCATTTTAAAGCATAAATTAAATTAATTTTTACGAATTAGAATATTTTTAAATTTTGAAAAAAAAAATTACCATAAAATTATATATATAAATTGTTAAAAAAAATAAATTAACCCTTTCTTATTCATGGAGGGCGGAGTAAGTGAGACAAGCTCAGACTCATCATCAATTGATGCATATAGTTTCAAGGCAAAAAAGACTGATAAAATTAAAACGCTATCAAGTCTTAAGAAAAAGAAGAAAAAATCTGTCAAAGTCATTAACAAGCCCTCATACTTGAAGCCTCTTCATACAACCCCGCTAAAAATAATAAACGAAGAGGAAGAAGACCCAGAAAACAGAAGAATTAACTATAATTTATCTGAGTTTATGCCAAGACAACTTCCTTTTGACATCAGCAAATATTTGCCTCAATCTGAAAGCCAGCGACAAGCAAAAATCAAAGAAATCATTGCGTCGCTAGATACAGAGAGCGAAACGACATCTATTTGCAGCTCTATTGACACTGAAGCTCTTCTAAACAGTTCAGACGAAGAAGAAGAGGAAATCCCTTCCAAAAAATTTAGCCTAGCAAAAACCGCAGGTACTTCTACTCACTTAAAGTCTTATTCAATCAATTCATATCCTTCAGTTTTAAATTCAAAACCAGAAATGTCCTCAATTCTGAATCCGAGAATGTACTCGTCTAGCATAGACATAAAACAATCAGGAAATTTGCCACCTAAAAGCAGCTATAAGTTAGGCTATGATACTTTGCCACTATCTCAGAGCGACCCAGCGTTCAAAAATCAGATGAGTTATGATGGGAAAACGATGAGAAGGAGCGAGCTTAATATTCAAAAAGCTAATGAATGCTCAGTTATTCCTAGAAGGCTAGATATCTCAACAAACTCTCTGAGTATATCTCCAATTTCCAGCCAAAACTTAAAATCAAATGCAGCAAAGTCTGCATTAGCCAAAAGCGAAATCAAGCCTTCAGCATTTTTAAATAGCATAACCGAAAGCACTCAAAGCTTGTCATACTCTAACTCCTTCAGTAAGTTAACTTTATGCACCTGCATACTCAAAGGAAGCCTCTACTCTCATTTTAGCAATTGTCAACGAGTACAAGTAAAAGCTGTTATTCCAGACAATATCCAGTTTTCTACTACAAAAATTAAAAAATTTGGCATGGTAGAGTCAATAGTGCTAATTCAAAGAGAAATAAGAAACTTTTTGTCTAAAAGAAAATTGAAAAAAACGCAGGCAAAGCAGCCCCTTTATAAATCTTCGCCTTCTATGCCACCACGATCAATCCAAACTCCTCCTCTTTCTGCTTCAGTAATTCCAACTAGATCACTCCAAGCTTCACAAGCCTTTTCTGCGTCCTCAATCCCTCAGCCTCGATCAGCCCAGCCATCTTCATCATCAATCCCTTCGCGGTCTGCCCAGACTCCTCCTCTTCTTACATCCTCTATGCTATCAAGGACATCCCAAGCTGCTCCTATTTCTACCCCTCCGATTTCCACTCCTCCATTAAATTCGGTAAACGAAATAGAAAAAGCAACACAAAGTTTATATCAAGCAATCGAAGAATTAAAATCGTTAAAGCAAAAAGGAACAAGCTCCCCAGGAAGCTCTTCTATTAATAGCTCGTTTTCACTAACTGAGTACAATCTAAAAAACCTTCCTAATTTCGGCAGCAAAGCTTCTTCAGTGAAGAGATATGTAGAGACTCCCAAATCCCCTTCAATTTCTTCTAGTCACAAAGAAAAAGAAAATAACGCACTAGATACTCCAATATCAATAAGGGACGAAATCCCTGATGACAAAGTTTCCTCACATAGCTCTAGCATCCCTGATGACATAAGTGATGTCAATACTGAAGAGCTGTTAAATAGCACGTTTTCAAGCATTTCCAGTGCCCTTTAAAGTAAGCTAAAAAATTATGAAATTAATAATTGAAATTAGTATCTAATAAATGTAATTATATAAAGCCAAATCCTTCCTTTCCTTCACTACAAGCCAGCTTGAGTTTTGAGCGGAGGATTTCTTTTGATGGATACTCTGGCAGATCCAGTTGGTTCATGCAAGTGTGAGCTGTAGGGAGACGGTCGGTGTCCGTGAAACTTTTATGGATTTGGAAGAGTTGGATGCCGCCCATTCCTGGAAGAGATTTAAAGCCTTCTAATGGGACTTTGCTAGAACCTGTCACGAATTGCAAAAACTCAGCTCGCTCTTCATGTGAGAATTCTTCAAGGACTTCCCAAAACCATACTATCACAGGCGTTGTTTTCGTATAATTATGGTACTCTGTATTTGCTTTGAAATCTTCAATATCAATTTCCGGCAGCCCAGAAATTAGCAATTCCAGCTCTTTGCTATCAAAAATTGAAATCAGCTGTTTTGGTACGATTTCATAGAACCCTTCCAAAAACGCATTTATTTGTTTCAAAATATTTTTTGTCATTTTCATATGGCAAAGCAACTTGATATATTCCATTTTATTGGCTTCGGTGACCCTTATGGTTTTCCCTCCTGGAATTAATTCTTTGACTTCTAGTTTGCCGAACTCCTCTTCTTCTAAGGCAAAGTAATACTCATGAAGGTCACTGTCATTTAAGTTGATTCCTAATAAATATTTGAGTGACTTATAGAAATCTGGATCCAAATCCTCCATGTCTTGGTAATTAACCTGCTGCCCAAGGATGTGCTTATAAAATGACCTGGTAAAATAAAGGTCGAGGGAGTAGCCATCACATATTGCTTTCCCTATGATTCTTCCTACAAAATTGAAGAAGTCTAAATGCTCAGAGTTTATATAGGACATTGAGTTTGGTTGGAATGCGACTGCGTTTGCTGATGGGATAAAGAGAGCATAGTTAGCTAGTTAGTTAGTTAGTTTTTAAAAGGCCATACGTGGGCGAAACCAGCGGACCTCAACACCTCAGCTCGAAAGACGACTCTAGGTCGGGTTCTGATGCGACCATACTCCCAGGCCCGACGCCATCTTGATTTCTGTTCAAAACCACCTGTCCAAGGGATCAGCTCCTTTGGGCAGAGCCACTTCTGTCTGAGTGCCCCGATGGTCCCGATGAAGGAAGACCATGTGGTAGGAAAAACCTGTCTAGCCCATCTGGCAGGGACAGGGAAAACCTTCGGGGGAGAAATAAAATTCCCTTTTCGGCACGGCTTCCCCACAACTGAAGGCCTACTTATGACAGGAATGAGACTGTATATTCAGTTTCATCAGCAATGGGTCCTACCAGCTCCATAGGAGGTGCGCCTCGGAATCCAATTTCCGTCAACGTCACCATTTTATTTCGAGCATAGTTAGGGTTAAACATCTCACGAGCTAGCAAGGTGTACCATTCTCTGGTCAAGCCACCTGCATCTAAGCCTTCTTCTCCAATAAATTGGACTCGGAGTTTTCCATACATTTCGTTAGGGTTTCTGACTTTCAGTTGGTGGAAGCTATCAATAAATACATGAGCTCTTCTTACGTGAAGCTTTATGCTTTCATAACCTTGCTCTAAGCGAAGTTTACGGATTTCGGCTAAGAAATAATTTCTTTTTATTTTTTGCACACGACAATTTAGTGTGCAATATTTAAAACTTTGTAACTAATTTTTATATAAAATAAGAAATTAATTTGTAAGGCCTTTAAGGCATCTTCCTGAAAGAGATTATTTTCAAAGTCAAGAAGTGATGGGAATCGGGTTATCAAAGAATGGAAAGTGTCATTCAACAAGCTCGGATTTTGCTTGACCAATAAGTTGATAAACTTGCGGTTTTTGTCGCAAAATGTCTGGAATGCCTCTCCTCTACTCCCATCCATGTGATAAATAAAGAATGTTTCAATAACTGGGAGCAGTTTGCTTAATGTTGGGTTTGTGGTGCTTTCTAAGTCAGATTCTAAAGTTGTTATTGAGTTCAGCACATCTGTAAGTGGCCCCCACAACCCTTCTAGCCCTTCCGATTTCCCTGAAACGCTTCTTAAGACTGTGCACAACCTTAAGAGTTGCAATTCCTTAATCCCTGTCCTTGATGTTTCATTCCTCTTCAGCGATTCTGCTATTTCTTCTCCAAGAACTTTTACCTCAGTGTTCAGTGCTTGTTCTATATGAACCCGGTTTTCTTCATTTTGTGCCAGTTTGGTCACAAGATCCACGACAACTTTGACTGTCGCTTCATTCAAGCTTTTATAGCTTAAAAGGCTGCACAGCTGGCTTATTGCGAACTGGTCTATTTTCTGAACATTTGTTCCTTGCTTGTCTACTATTGCCAAAATTAAGTTAATAAGGGGAGTCAAATGACTGCTGCTTGTCCTGAATAGCTGCTGCTCAACTAGCTCTATAAGGGAATGGAAGCCTCTGATGTCATCATTTCCTCTGATACTTTTAATCAAAGGAAGTCGGAACTTGGAAGAAGATGATAGGTCTAAAGAAACCTTAGGATTCATCTTGGCAAGGTGTTGCAAAATGTCAAGGATCCTGCCAGATACAACTGCATATACTTGGTTGTAGTTCTCTATAAGAGAATCCGACCCATAAAGCTGTCGTGGCGGAAAATCATCTCTGGGCGTTATCTGCAGAAGTAAACTAATGAGACCGTCAAGCATTTTATGACGATTTGGCTGTTGTGCTGATAAGTTAAGCATCAATGATGCGAAGATATCGCGGTTTACAGGATTTGCTATATATAAGCACTTAAGCAAAACTTCTAAAAAGCTGTCTTCCACTTGTATGAGAGAGTTGGCAAGCTTGTCGTCAGCAACTACTTCGGAAATAGCTTTTCCTTCTTCTAAGGATGGAGGCCTGTGCTGTTGGGCTTGGTTGCGTTCCATCATGAAGTTTTGTCGATGCTGTCTTATACTGTAATTAATTGAATTTTACTACTATTAAAAATCCTTGCAATAATGCTTAAAACGACTTGTCCAAATTTTTATAAAAATCAAGGATACTCTTTCTTGCAACATTCTAGCTTCAGCTATAAACTCAGGTGGCAATGATGCAAGAAACTCATCAGTTGCAGTTAATAGCACTTCTCTTCTCAGATCTGGAGCTAGAGACGCTACGAAGGCTGCATTATCCATTTCTTCAGGTGGTCTATTAGCTGCTCTCTGCTGCTGCATTACTTCCGCCCTTAAATCAGGAGGCAGAGCATCTAAAAAGTCATCGTCTGCGTTAGCATTATTTTGCCTTGCAGGTGGAGCTCGATACTGAGCTAAAATTTCGGAGCGAATGTCCTCAGGCAAGGCTTCTAGAAATGCAGGATCAATTCCTTCAGGGACAGCTGAAGGGTCACTTGGAGCTTCTCCATTGGGAATAGCCGCTTTGGCCTCTTCCTCTATATGAGGCTCACTCCCCCCCCCCTCCGTGAGCGAACAAAAAAATTTTGTTCACTCACGGAGGGGGGGGTTAATTTTTTTTTTTAAAAACAATTTATATATAAATTTTATAAAAAATATTTTTTTTTCGAAATTTAAAAAAAATCCTAATTTGCAAAAATTGGGAAGCAAATATTAATTTAATTTGCAAAATTTATGTTTTTAAAACGCAATTTGTTTAAAATTAAACAGAATTAGCTCTAGATTTCATTATACTAATTATCACTTATATAGCAAAATTTTTTTTCTATTAAAATTTTTTCTATTAAAAAAATATTTTGTTCACTCACGGAGGGTGGGTTTTTGGTCAAAAAATGGCGATTTTTCTAATGGTTTTGTTCGCTCACGGAGGGGGGGGGGAGTCAGGCGATTTTTGTTCTTCATGAGGGATTATTTCTATGGGATTCACATTTTCTCCAATTATTAATGCAGGGATACTCGGCTCTCCTTGTTTTATTTCTTCTGGGATAGATTCGTCAAGATGCATAGGAGGGATCACGATTTCTTCGTGGCCTATTGAGAGTTCTTCTTTGCTTTCTTCTGGAGACGATAATGACTCCATTTCTGCAATAAATTCTTCTGCATTTGTGGAGAACTCTTGGGCAAGCTCATCTAAGACGACAGTATCAAGCTCAGGAACTAGTCTGGGAGGATTTCTTTCTATTGGAGCTTCTCGTGGCTGTGCTCTGTTTCTATTGAGCAAGACCTGTATGAATTCTTCATTTGAGGAGTCAAAGTCTCGCAGCAGCTGCATTATCTGGGTTGGGTCTTCAAATTCTCTGAGCAGTCCTCTCGCTTCTCTTGGCTGGTAAATTGCGCTGCCATCTTCAGCTTCTTGCTGAAAAGCATTTTCCAGTATATGTCTTTCTCCTCTGTTATGATCTTCTCGTCTACCTGCAATGCCAGGTCCCCACTGTCTTCCAGGTTCAATTTCTTCATCCTCAACAAAATCGTCTGCCCAAAAGGCTTCAGTATTATGACTTTCCAGTACCATTCCATCTAGTGCTTCCTCTTCTTCTATATGATCACTTTCATCTTCCACTAATTCTTCCTCATCTTCCTCCTCTTCCTCTTCTTCCTCTTCAATCTCAATTTCAATCTCTTCATTTCCTTCATTTTCACCTGAACTAACTGAGTTGTTTTCTTCTATTGGGTAATTTTCGTCCTGCTGTGGGAGCTCTTCTGCAGCTTCATCTAATTCTTGAGAAGGTTTAGATAAGTGTAATATGAAGTTGATGTTGTATCTGGTCAACAACTCAAGTGGTGCCAAAATTAGATTCAAAATTGATGCAGCTTTTCTGAAGTTTAAGTCAACTTTCTTGACGGTCTCTGAAAGAAGCCGCACCATACTTATTTGGTCAGAAACCAATAGCTTTGCGATTTCTGCAGGGTTGGTAGTAACAAAAGGAGATTTAGACGACTCACGAAGCAGCTGCATAATAGTAATAGAGACTGTTCTCACAATGCTCATAGATTTTTCATTTTCAAACCAAGGCTTCTTTACCTGCTCTGTAAACATATCACGAAGCTCCCTGAAAATTCTTTTTCTCGCTTTGAGTATTGAATTATTATTTTCTAGTAAAAGCAAGTTGTGGAGATCTGCAACTGGAGTGTTGGGATGCCTATGGGTCTGCTTAAATGTCAGCACTTTTAGGAGTTTTGTAGTTGTTTTTATCCAACTTTGATAAGTTTCAGGAGAAATGGACTGATTCGTGCCTGGCTGATTAAAAATTATTCGGGTTTCTGTTAGCTGTAAAGTATATCGGAAAGGGATGAAATTTCTAACTAAGTGGGTTAGAAAAGGTTTTGAGGTTTTTTCTGCGCACAAAGGATCTGATGCTGTTAGGGTCAAATCAAAAAGGTTTTTAATGAGAATTGGATAGCATTGAATTATGTCAGCCATCAGAGAAACAATATGCTCAGTTCCAAGAATCATGTCAGATTTCCCGATTTGTTCGTCTTCATATGCTTCTGAGAGGGCAGTTGAAAGGATTTCTATAGTTTTCCACTTTTCAGCTGTGATGTCTTTCCGGTCTTTTTTTAATTTCACAACAACTGTTTTTTCTTTTTTCATTATCACGCACATATTATCCATAGCGTGCTGGAAAATTTCTTTGCTCCGGTTAGCCTGGGATTTGAAGTTTTTAAGGAAAACATCTAGCTGAGGAGTTCCATTAAGTGCCTGTTGTATAGCAATTTCAAAGGTAGCCTGCAAAATATAAGGATCCTCTGAGAGCTGCTTAACTAAGTTGAAATAGCTGGTTAATAGCGCTTTTCCTCTTGGTTCTGGCTTCGAAATTGTAAATGTGAGCAGTGGCAGCAATCCTCCCTCATCTAAAAATATTTTTGCACATTCAATATTGGCAGTAAGAGAAGTTAGTAGCTGTATTAGCAGCACTACTTCATTTTGATCTAAAATTGGTCCTTTTTCTTTATTTACTTTTACAAACCTCGCCAAAGTGAACGTTAATTCAGCTTTGCCAGTTTCCCCAAACTTCACGAGTATATCAGCAATAGAAAATAAATAGCCTATCCAATGATAATTTTCTTCACTTATTTCAGGCTCATCACAGAGTTTTTGGAGAAAATTCACTGCGTGCTCACAGAAGTTATTCCCTTTGATAATTTCCAAAATATCTGCTGATTTCGACGATAAGACTGAAAGAACTTGCAAGGAAGCGCTAAATTGCTCAAAAGTAGCTGGGATTTCAAATAGCTCTAAATTTGTCATTCCTTCAGTCACGTCTTTCAGACTCCCTACTTTTAGCTTCTCATTTGCAACATTCCCCACTAGGGAAAGAAGCATAAATGCAATATCAGCATGTGGAGCGTCTGCTTTATTGCAAATTTTCAACAGAATTTCTCCTACTGATGCACTCATAGATGGAATAGCTGGAAGAGAATTTATCAGCATTTGGTGGAGATGTTCAAAATTAATAGAGATTGTAGGTGATTCTTCTTTTGGAGGCGGAGGAGCTAGATCATTGGCTTCAGGGTGGTTGAAAATTCACTCCATTGCTAATTCAATGCTGGATGCGCCTGTATGAAGAAGAGCTTGACGTGCGACGTTTTCTGGGAAGCCCATTTCGACGAGCTGGGTTGTGGTGGAGTTATCCACTTGAGGAGCCTGCTCTTTTGACATGTCTGAAAGCTGCTTTAAGACTTCTAAAACAGACTTCGCGAAAGCATTAGACACAATTCCACACTCGAGGAAGTTAAGATTCTTTATGCAGGTGAAGACAGAGTTTTGCATTTTTTTGACAACTTCTTTGGGACCGTCAATATTTAAGGCTTTCAGAACAGCTGAGCCTCCAGAGCCTGCATATTTTCCACTCACTAGTCCTTCTAAAGCTTTTCCTGAAAGATTTCATAATATTTGAAGCGAGTTCACTAAATCATATGGCAATTTCTCTTCTCTATACAGCTTAAACGAAATCTCTTTCAGCTGATACACAAACTTAAATATATTTTCCAACCCTCCTGCTTGTGAAAAGGCCCATAATGTCGAAGGACTTGACCCTTGTTCATGCAGCAAAATTTTCAAAATATCAGAAAATTGCAGACAGAAATAATAAGCCTGTGCTTGATCTGTGTTGTTTAGATTTAGCAATGATGTCAAGTCAGCCAAAATATCACCCATAACTCTACTGATTTTCACTCCAACCTCTTCAGAGACGCTTTGTCTGCCTCTTGTGCTTGGTATTCTTGTAGCAAACCTGAACAGCCTCCTCACAGAAAGCTGGCAAGTGAAGTAAAAATTCTCCTCATAGCTCTTCATTTCAGCGTTTTCTATGTTCTGGATGTCAATTAGCATGTTGAATTTATTTGTGAACTTTTCGTTGGATTTGCTAAATGCTGAAAGTCTGGCTTGTTCTGCTATTAAAAGTCTCATATAATAGGAAAGCCTATTAAGGGTGTTGCAGAGCTCATTAATGTTATTGGTGACTCCAGTGCCGTATTGGAGGACAAGTCTCGTCATTTCGACGTAAGAGTCAGTTGCAGTCAAGATGAACATAAATTGGGTTTTTAGGTCGTCAGTGACATGGCTGATATCTGAAAGCGTTTTTAAGTCTCCAATTATATCTTCCATTTTCCCTAATTGCTGATTCAAAGCTTCCAAAACTTTTCCAAGAACAATTGGCGTCAAATTTACAGGAATCGATTTAAAGCATGTCAAAACTGTATGAAACTCATTACTATAAGTCAGTGGCAAAATGGGCAGCCTAAACAGCCCCAAAAACTCTTCTAAGCCTCCATTGTCTAAGAACCCTCTTATCAAGTCAGTTGAATAGTTAAAGAGCATCGCTAGCAGTCTGCCTATATTGGTAAGCTGCGTAAAAAATGACTCTTTTGCTGATAAATCGCATGATCTCAAGTTATAAATCAGCTGAATGCATCCTTCAACAGCTTTATCTCTGATCCCAGGGACAATGGTCATTAGCTCCTGCAAACTTTCTCCTATTCCTACAGCTACATCATTTGATAGCACACTAGTATCAATTGAACCAAGGGCTTGTAAAATTCTTGAAATCGTGCTAAATCTTTCTATTAATTGAACGCCTTCAGCCTGCAGAGATATTTGACATAAAAACCTGGTGATCACTCCCATAAGTTTGGAATTTGGGGGCAGTGTTGTTTCTAAGCTGTTAAAAAAAGCAACCAAAGTGCCGTCTGCTATCCATTCAGCAACAATAGGGACTTCTCCGATTATTGTATTTAAAATTTGAATAGCTGGTTCATATAAATCAAATCTTTGCTTTTCAAATAATTTTTTCAGTGACTTTATCAAGCCAGCTTCCAAAATTTCTCTAACTTCTTCTTGTGCAGCTCCAGGTTCTGCTTTGGTCAACACAATTTTTATTACCCTTATTCCCTCATTTATTTACTGAGCATGATTTTTTACTCGCAAAAAGATGGCCACTTAAAAGAAATTATTCAAATATTTAAATATTTGAAATGAAATAATACGATTTCAGTTTTAAATGCTACTCAAAATTAATTAAATTAACTAATAATCATATATCAAATTAAAAAAAATATAAAATATTTTTAATGATGGAAGATTTTTTTTAAAATAAGCATTTTCCAATTTTTTCGCTAAATAAGGAGAGTCAGCAATGGTCTTAATAATGCAGCTCTTGTAGTCTCTGTCGGTATAATATCAGCAGTAAAAGAGTAGAAGCAGTCTTGAGGGCTCGTCAATAGCTCAATTTCGTTATTAGTTAACTGAAGAACAGTATCGAGACCATCTAGCTCTCTAAACATATCAATGGAATGCGATATGAGAACAGTCAAAATTCTGGTGGCCTTTGCCATTGATGTTAAAGAGTATCTATATGTGTTATTTTCAGGCATTTTCAGCATAAGTAGCAATGATACTATCATACCAGGCACATGAGAAGAATCTACTCTGTACTTATAATCAGCAAAAATACTGGCTAAGTGTAAGACTCCGTCAATAAAGTCACTCGATCTAGCTGTTTCTGTGATTATCAAGGCTGGAATAGGGTATACAATGTCTCGTAATAAGCTTTGCATTAAGCCATGCTGCTGCCAAGCAGCTAATAAGTTATGAGTTGCTGTTATTAATTGATTTTGGGTGACTTCATGACGAGATGGCTGCCCTTCCAGCATGACTAAAACTGCACTTAGCAAATGTATCGCTTGGATATGAACCTGTGGACTTGCTGGCATTCTTAGCAGTTCTGAAATTGCAGGCAGCAGCCACAGTTCTGGAAGTGACCTATTGAATTCTTGCAGCATATGAAAATCAGGTGAAACTTGCAGAAAAATGCTCAGTGCCAGGAGTTGGCAAGAGACTATCAGTTGGCGGTCATGAAAGCTGTGAAGAGAAGCATTAATTCTCTTTCGGTTCAAAATAATATATTTGAGGTCTTCAGGAGTCTCATTAGTCCCTATAAGCTCTTCTTGGATTTGGAAGGAAGGGATCTCTTCATCACTGCAGAGAGTTTGCAAAGGAATCGAAGTATTGTTGTGAAGCTGCGAGCCAAGCCCAATCACGTATAATTTGTGGGTCAATTTATGGTTTCGATGTGCCTTCGTGCTTTTCATAGTCGGATTGATCCTGTTAGCTACTAGATAAAGCACTTGAAGTGCTTTATAGACCAGATCCCATTCTGAGAAATCAAGAATGAAGATTAAGCTGTCAATTGAGTTGTAAAGGGCCTTTGAAGTTGCAGGCTTTAGCAGGATCTGAGTCTTGTCTAAAAGAATCCCAAGGAGATCAAGATCATGAGTGGAAAGCGAATCCTGCAAAAGTCCATTAATTCGGTCGAGAACTGGGAGAACAGGTGCCAAATCATCAACTCTTTGCCATTCATAGTCTTTCAGCTCCATAAGTTCGTGTAAAAACTCATCTTTTGGTAGTATTGATACTGACTTTGCCCACTGGCTTAAGTCTTCTGACGTACCTTTAGCTTCGAGGTTATTCATTTATATCAGAATCGTAGAATTGATTATAATTTAAGAGCATAAAAACTAAGAAATGTTTAGTTTAGCGGGGTTCATATACCCCAAATACCTTGGATTTCCCAATGGGAAAAATTTCTCTTGGTAGCTGAAGGTAAACAATTATATCTAAATTGGTAAAAATTGAATGATTAGGAAAATATTTTCATAGAAAGATTATATTAAGTGTGCAGCTAATTATGAGAAAATATGTTTTTCCTAATGGAATGGCTTAGGTTGGCTGTTCAAAAATCATTGTGATAGTCTAAAGAATATTTAAATACTTGGAGAGTAACAAAATACTCAATGCAAGATCATTCTAGATTAGCTACACTAATAAGAATAATTCATGATGAATAATTAGAATATGATATCTGCATCTTTCTCTTCCATGTTAAGAATGTTGTGGCTTTCCTCTTCAGCGGCTGCAGCTCTGTCTTCGTTTTCTTTTTGCGCTCTTTCCCTTTCTATATGCTTTTTTCTTACCCCCCCCCCCCCCCCCCCTCCGTGAGCGAACAAAACCATTAGAAAAATCGCCATTTTTTGACCAAAAACCCACCCTCCGTGAGTGAACAAAAATTTTTTTAATAGAAAAAATTTTAATGGAAAAAAAATTTTGATATATAAGTGATAATTAGTATAATGAAATCTAGAGCTAATTCTGTTTAATTTTAAACAAATTGCGTTTTAAAACATAAATTTTGCAAATTAAATTAATATTTGCTTCCCAATTTTTGCAAATTAGGATTTTTTTAAATTTCGAAAAAAAATATTTTTTATAAAATTTATATATAAATTTTTTTTTAAAAAAAAAAATTTAACCCCCCTCCGTGAGCGAACAAAATTTTTTTGTTCGCTCACGGAGGGGGGGGGGGGACTTAGTGTCTTGGACTTTCTTAAGCCTAAAGAAATCTTCTCTTTCCTGCTCGTCGAGTTCTCTTTTGATATAAGCAATGGCGCCTTGAATCCTAGGGATGACGACATTTTCTAATGCATTGACTCTTCTACTGGTGATTTTAATATATAAAATAGTGTGATTGATATAACCAGAAAAATAGTCTAAATAATATAAAATTTATATAAATCAGCATAATTTCGTCCAAAGTAAAGAAAGATGATTGTAGTCCTGCAATGGTGATTAATAGTTTGAGAAGCTTATTGAACTTTTCCTTGCACTTCTGAATGGCTGCTCCACCTCCACTGATACCGAGTTGCTTGGTAGCTTCGTCACCAAGTTCTTGTTTAGAATGGAAGACTGGGAGATAAACACCACCTTTAGGAGTTAGGCCTAATCTGACTTGATTAGATGCGCGCTTAACAGTTTCCACTAAGATTCTTCCAAAATCTCCTGCACCCCATTGAGCCTCTGCGAGAGCGAAAACAGCTTCATTCATATCATCTCCTAACCCTTTCTTTGTTTTCAAAATATCATGTAGAACTTCATTAAAGGTCTTTTTTAAGCCGTCTAGTTTTCTCTTTAGCAAGTCATGGCCTTTGCTTGCTCCTGTCAGCTTGCCCTTCCACATCTGAAGCTGTGCCCTGCTGGGCAAAATACGCATGGTCATAGCCATTTTATTATTCTAATTTACATTGGTTTAGTTATCTACTCTTTAATGTTTCTGGATTTATGTTGGAGTGTGAATAGTTAAAGTGTCAGATAAATTTATAAAGAATTTGATAGATATTATTATTTTGTCAAAAATTATATTATAGCAAACTTTACTGGTCTTCTTGGAATATATATGGGAAGAATTTACAGAAACGTTCCCCATATTCAGCTGGGTTAGCAACACTTAGGTCTTTATTTTTGCCTTTAAGCACAGTTTTAATAGCTTTTTCTGTTGCCTTTTTAAATGTGTATTCTTGGAAAATATCGATAATTCCAAGAGAGTAGCACAAACCAGTAGGAGAGAATTGCAGATATCGACATTTAATGTTAGGAGCCCAGCTTTCTTGATAAAAGGCAAGAATTAATGAGTAGTCCATAATATCAACGCTTCTTACTCCCCCCTCCGTGAGTGAGCAAAACCATTGGAAAAATCCCTATTTTTTCCCAAAAGCCCACCCTCCATGAGTGAATAAAAATTTTTTATCAAAAAAAATAATTGATATATAAGTGATAACTATTATAATGAAATCTCGAGCTAATTCTGTTTAATTTTTAAACAAATTGCGTTTTAAAACATAAATTTTATAAATTAAATTAATATTTGCTTTCCAATTTTTGCAAATTAGGATGCTTTTAAAATTTCGAAAAAAATTTTTTCATAATTTTTTAAAAAAAAATTAACCCCCCTCCGTGAGTTAACAAAATTATTTTGTTCACTCACAGAGGGGAGAAGTTAGCATCTCTGAATCAGAGTTTATAGCTTTTATGAGAGATGTTTTTAGATTTTCATTTAAACGAACCCTTTGGGAAAATTCCCTAAAATTATTGTCTTTTTGAACTACCCCTAGTAAAGACATTTCTGCTCCAAAGCAAGAAGTTCTTCCGACAGTGCTTCCTTTTAGATCAAAAATATAAGCTTTCGATTTATTTGGGATAATATTTTCCATCAGAATTAAATTCACATTAAATGGCAAGAGTGTAAAAATTCCTAACTCTTTCTAAACATTATTATTTTTATTTACTCCACTCTCAGTTAGAAAAATTATTTTTCCTTTCTTTAGAGGGTTGATTATTTTTTAGATATTGAATATAATTTTATTGATTTTTCTCTCTTTACTTCAAAAGATTAATTTATTAATATACAAGATATTTAAATTTAATATAATAATTATTACTTATATATTAAAATATTTTATAAAAATTTTATAATCTTTCAGCGTGGGTAAGTGGGATTTTTCTAATTGTTTTGCTACCGGCAGAGAGAGTTAGTGATAAATCTATCTTATTTAAATATTTCTATTTTAAAAAATTATTTTAGTATAATTTTAAAAAGTTGTTTTAAAGATATTTTAGCTAAAAAATGGAGATAAAATAAGTTATTTCAAAAAATTTCATTTAAAATAGCTGTAATTTTTCTCTAGGTTTCATACAAAAATAAAATGGTAACTTATCCGATCCGTAATCTCCCCATACCCTCGAGGTTCTTAGGTTTCAGAAGGTCAGGATCTAAAGCTTGGTGTCCTGATGGGGTTTTTCTCCCTGGTCGGATACCACGACACAGTATTTTACCAGACTCATAGACAAGGAAACCAATTTCCATAAGACAATCCACATTTCTGGATGTGAAGGGTGATGGTGATCAGAAGGAGGATTCGATGTCGTGTCAATCTCCCATCTCCGGATAAATAATACCAACTGCTAGGAGTTGTCCAAGAAAGTGCCTGGGTGCGTCTCCGAGAGATGGCAACGTCACCATTTTTGGTGACGTCAGCAAAAAAGGCCGCAAGTACAAACCGATGCCTAGGCTGTGAGAAGCCTGAAGAGCTGAAATGAGCCCCGAAGATCCACTCAAACTTATCATAATCGATCTAATAATCTAATCTCTAGGTTTCATCAATTAAATTTTGAGAATTTCAAATTTTATAAGAATTTGTTTTTCTTGCAAAAGCTTTAGAGGGAAAAAATCTTGATGCTTGCTCATTATTACTTTATTAATTATGAAGTAAGATTCTGACAATTAATGAATCTGGATTTGTGATGATATGATTATAATAAATACCCAAAAAGTCCTTAAGAAAAAATTTTCTTTCTGTTGCAGTCATAGTTTTTATTATAAACTTTTCATCAGAGGTTGTATAAATAAATGCCTGGCTTTTTCCTCCTTGGTTACTTTGCCTTACATTGATCGAGTCTAAATTTTCTTTGTTAATTAACGATCGATATAGCTCTTGCACAGAAACTCCTGTTTTCTGTCTCAAGGATGCAAAAATATCTGGGGCCCATTCTTTTAACTTCAGCTCTGGGTAATAAACTGAATAAATTTTACGCTTGTTTAAGTCTATTCCATGATATAAACTTATCCTTTTGAAGTCGTTTAGCTGAAAACTAAATAATCGATGCATTTTGAATGACTCAAATCTAAGTTTCTTTTACGTTATTTCATATAAATCAGTCCAATCATTTAAATTCTCGAACCTAAGCGATAAAGTGCAAAGAATTTCTAAGACTGTCTGACTCTACTCTTTAAATTCGAATCATTTTTTTTCAAAAGAAAAAAATTTTATCGCAAAAAAACTAATATTTGTAAAATTAATTTTGACCTAATTTAACGGAAATGTTTATGCAGAATATTTTTTAAACAGTTTTAACACTGATTCTTATTCCCCTCCTTTAGTGAAAAAAAAAAAAATTTGCTCACGGAGGGTAATTTTTTTTCGAAATTTAAAAAAATCCTAATTCGTAAAAATTGGAAGCGAAGATTTATTAAATTTGTAAAATTATGTTTTAAATGCGATTTTTTTCAATACTATCACTTATATATCAAAATATTTTTAAAAAAAATTTTTTGTTCGTTTACAGAGGGTGGGTTTTTTGGCAAAAATAGGGATTTTTCCAATGGTTTTTTTTTCGCTCACGGGAGAGGGGGGAGTTAGTAAAATAAAAATATTAAGTTCAATTTATATTTTTTTTAATTTTTAAAGTTTTTATAAAAATTCTTTATCTAGAAAATTTAAAATAATTTTATTTCTGTAAAAAATTCACTCCCTTTATACTGGAATAGCATTTTTTTCTTATTAAAGGGGAAGTAAATAAAAAATACTTTTTCAGTCAAATCATGGAAAAAATCGCCAAGGTAACTTATATTTTTGGAGAATCTAGATGGTAAAAGGTCTGGCCCAAGTGAAATATTTGACTTTGTTAAAAGATCTTGCTGCATTGAAATATTATATTCTCTTTGGATAATACCTTTTCTTTTAAATAAAGTGACATAAATTTCTAATAGCAGCTCTTTATTGCTTAATCTTGCTACCGCAACAACAATCCCTGATAAGCATCCTAAAATGACTCCAATAGGAACGACAACATTTTCTTCTTGCTCATTGAAAACATCAAGAACTGATGCAAGTGTAGATATAGTTCATATAGAAGAAATACATAAAATGACCATTGTATAATTAAACATAACTTTCGCATAAGCGTTTTCAATTTTTCTTACAGCGATCACTACTGAGCTTCACATGATTGGCAAGTGAACAACTAAAGGAACAAATTCTATATAATGTCCGGATGTCTGAGGATTAATAAAACAAGTTCGAAGATGTGAAGTCCCAAAGCTCCCGACTATTATGACTATCAATACAAGGAAAAATGCAATAAAAGAGGAGAGAGCGTGATATATCCTTAGTCTTGTTAAATATGCGGTATCTCCATTAAATGTCAACTTGATAATTATCTCCAAGCTAAGAGCCACAAGATAATTTCAGGCTAACAAAAAGAAAAACACATTAAAGCCACCAATGACTTCACATAAGTTATTGTCAACAAGAAATCTACATAAAATATACGTGTGGATTCTTTCTTCTCCAGAAAATCAATGGAGATCATACATTGCCTGAGTCAGACATTGGATGAAAACAAGCTGCCCAGGGTGATCCATCATTTTTGGGATAAGAAAGTGAACCATCGCAGTAGCGATACTAAATACAAATGAGACAGAGGCAAGGACAACACCTAAAGTTACAATTTGATCAAGAGACGCCATGTTTCATACTAAAGTTCACCTTAATAATTTCAATTTTATACAACTTTTTAAATTGTGATCAATAGAAAAATAAAGAAATTCTCTGAGAACTCCTTATATAAAATAATTACATATACTTAATTTCTTAAACTAATCAGCCCAGGTGCTGCTCTCTCTTTTTTTATCCTTTCTTTTTCTTTATTTCTCGGCGACAAGCCGATAATATATGGGCTTGAATTGAATTTATCAGCGATTTTCTGAGGAGATAACTTTGAGTTTTTGGCGCTGTTTCGAGAAGAAGTTGAAAACCCACCATCAGATCCTGTTGCTAGCCTTTCAACAACTTTTCTCTTTAACCCACCTGGTGGCTTCTCTATTGAGACGCTTTGCTTTTTCTTATTGGGGACATATTTTTTATGAGGAAGGAGTCTATTAACACTCATACTTTTCTGCATGCGATTTTTTGAGACTAAAGGATTAGGAAAATTAAGCACATTTGCCCGTGGTTTTGGGATCTTTGAAGGCGAAATTTCAGGCAAAACTGTATAAGATTTATTGCTATAGCCTTCTACCTTAGTCATTTTTGGGGAGCTTATTTGTGGTAAGTTTATAGCTACTTCGGATGTGATCTGATCAATTGGTTTCAGCTCCTTAAACCCTCTGAGGATTGGCTCTGGGAGAGTTATTGACTGGTTTTTAAATATGACTTGGGCTTCATCTATAATAGAGTCTCTGATTTTCAGCTGGTCTTCTAAATTCTGTATCAGATGGTCTTTCTGCTTAATCAAGTCGTTATGTCTTTCTTCGTTTCTCTTTATTTCTAGACTATTCAAGTCTAAAATATGGTCCTTCATCTCACATTGAAGTTGAGCAAGCTGAGCATCAGGGACTCCCAGCTTCATCCAGCTGGCTTCAAGGACTTTTCTTTTCTTTTCTAGCTGCTCAAGCTTCTGGTTTTCTCTTTCAGCTGAGTCTATATGATCATTTATAGCGTTATTTAACAGCTTAATCTCATCTTTTACACTAGAATATTGAACAGAGTCTTCTCCCTTGTCACTTGCAGCCTGTAAAAGTTCAGAATTTCTCTGTGCAAGGATAGTTTTAAGCTGATCAATACTCTGCTCAGCCTGATAGATCGCTTTTTTCGTTCTGGCTTCTTCTTGAAAGTGATTTTTCAGTTCAATTTGGTATTTTTCAACATTTACTGAAGGTAGGTTTCTTCTATTATTTAATTGATCTCTTAAATCTAAAATCTCTTGCCTTAGCTGTGAGATAATAGATGTATATCTGGCTATATGATATTGGACGTTCACGACGTTTCTTTGAGACGTCGTCTTAATGTGTTTTGCCCTGTTTGCATAAAGTAATGTGTTATAAGTATCCTCAAAGGATCCAGCAAATGGAGAAATGCAAGCAATCATTACAGTTCTGCAGTTGCCACCTAAGGAGTCTTTAAGCAGCCTAGTTAATTTTGAATCTCTGTATGGGACATAAACTTTGGTATTTTTTTCATTCATTTCACATAAGGCATTGATGCAGTTTCCTAGAGCTAAAAGCGATCTATTTATATTTGCTCCTTCAATAAGTCTTAAGCCCCTATTTTTTGTGTTTGCAGCCCTTTCCGATCCAGCTAAATCAATAAGATTTAATTTTCCTACAAGTACCTCTGCTTCAACTCCAGAGGCTTTATCTCTGTGCTCTGCGATGATTTGCAGAACAGCATGTGATCTGCTTGAAGTTTCATTGGCTTGTGTTGGCTCCTGAGTCCTCCTTCTATTCCCGTTTCTTATGCTAGTAATCACATGCTCTGGAGAAGTTGCCATAATTTCAGTCAGCCCTGCTATTACAACCCCTTTTATAGGATCTTCCCTAATTTCTAACGTCTCCATACTGGGGTTAATCAGATCCCTCACAATTTCGTTATAAATCTCCAAATAGCTCAATTTGACTGTATAGTCTCTTTCTCCTGACATCTCTTCAATCTTGCTGAAAATTTCCAAAAAGGTTTTGAGCATTAATCCAGGTCCGTCTACTTCTCCTATCATTGTATAAGTTTTTCCAGCTCCAGTAGGGCCATATGCAAAAACAGTAGCATTGAAGCCGTTTAGAACTCCATCTATCAGGAATTTTGTAGTTTTTTCAAAAATTGAGTCCTGTGATGCGTTCTGATTAAATGCATAATCAAAGGCATATTGCTTTTCCCTGGTTCGGTTCTGCCGAAAAGCTTCTTCAGGGATATTTTGTCAGTCTGAAGGGTCAAGCAGCACAATAACATTGTTGTCAAGAACTTGAACGATCTGATGATCGTCGACTTCTTGCTCCTTTTTGGTAAGTGGTCTAGCCCTGACAGCGACTAAAATATTGGAGGCTCCTTGCTGCATTTGTTGTAGATGGTCGTCAACTTCAACATCGCTGCTTTGTGACGATTTTTTATCAAGGTATTTGCTTCGTTTGTCTTCTCTTACTCTTTCCTGTCTGTGAGTGAGTAGCTTATCAAAATCATACATTTTTGGGTAAAACTTGCCTCTTTAATCAAGTAGCATATTATTAAATTACTATTTAATTTCCAATTTTGATAAAAATAGTATCTGCAACAAATTTGGCAATTGTCGTTTATTGGAATGTTTTGATAGCATGGCATTTCCTGGTAAATTTGATCGAAAAATATTTTGATACTAAGATATATTTGCTAGGAAAAACTATTAAATTTCGATTAAATTTCTAACAAGGAAATAATTTTAAAATAAATGTTTCCAAGTAAATATATCACTATTAAAGCGTTTCAATAAAAAGAATGCACCAAAAAAATATTTTCTCACTCATGAGAGAGAGTTAGTGAACTCATTTACAAGTTATAGAAAAATCTCTGTGTTTTTTATTTTTTTGTATATTTCAAAAATTTTTGAAAGTATTTAAAATTATATATAAGATAATAATTTGATTACAAGATATACCGAAATATAAAATTAAATATTATCTTTTCAATTGATTAGCAATTTATAGTATATTATTTTTTGAAAGTAGGATAACGGCAGCCAGTAGAAAAATATTTTTATTCATTATAAATAGTTATATTACTATCTTGAAAATTTATATAATGATAATTATTTTAGGATAGAATTTTGAAATATGGATACCAGGCTATTCGAATAATAAAAATATAGAATTTATTTTAAATATTGAGGTATTGCATAAATCATGCTACGAGATCTTAATATTCTTTGAGGCAGGGTAGCCTTATAAATTTTAGATTTGTTTAGATGCAACGCATAATATATGAATAAATCTTCGTGCGTATTGACAATTTATTACAAATTATTATGAACAATAAAATAAGTGTATATATAAGCAAAACTAAAATATAATTTATATCCGATTATAGCTCAGTTGGTAGAGCATGGGACTGTAGAAAAATAGTCATCCCAGGGTCCCCGGTTCGAATCCGGGTGATCGGATTTTTTTATTCTATTGCCTATAATTTTCTTAAAATTTTATATTTATTTAATTGAGTTTATCTAAAAATTTATCATCCAATCATTTAGCTTACAAAAGAGTTTTCTGACTAAAATTTTCTGTTACAGAGTTGTGATAAGTATCTGAAGCATTCTAAATTTCTTTATATATAATTTTATGAAAAATTTAAATTAATGACGAATTTCAAAAGTAATGTAAGATGGATAATCACATAATACCTCAGCATTCAAACATCTTCATAGATGGCTTAACATTTTTCAGCGACTTTGATTCAGGGAATCTTAATCGTGCATCTAAAGTAGGACAGAATCAATATGAGCTTTGTGTTGCTGCTGACGCAGCAGATAAGGGTTTCAACAATTACCGAGTGTGGTTTCATTTCGGAATTAAAGGATTAAGAAAAGGCAATTTTTTTAAGCTCACGATCATGAATTTAAGCAATTTTAGACTGATGGCAGCTCCTTCATATAGGCCTGTATGAAGATCTATCCCATCACAGCCTGAATGGCAGAGAATTCCAACAGATTCTTCGTTTGAAGCAAGCATCCCTTCATGTTTCAAGCTTTCTTGGGTTTTCGAGATGAATTACATGGACAATGACCTTTATTTTGCCTTTGCTCCACCTTATCCTTACTGTGAAGTTGCCAAAAGCATAAATAGTTTTCAAGACATTTGCCCTATAGATTCAATTTTTTATCGTGAAATTATTACTAGAAGTATTGATGGGAGAGATGTAGAGCTTATTACTATTTCTAATAGAGAAAATTTTACTACAGAAAGAGAAGACAGACTTTACCCAGCATTTTTAACACAAGAAGCTAGGTGCTATAAGCCAGCAAAACCAGTTATTTTTATCAGTGCAAGAGTGCATCCAGGAGAAACTCCGGGATCGTTTATGCTTGATGGATTTTTAAAAGCGTTATTAGCTCAGGATAGGAGAGGGTATGTATTGAGAAAACTTTTTGTTTTTAAAATAATTCCAATATTGAACCCTGATGGAGTTTATCGAGGGCATTTCCGAGTTGATCAGAATGGGAACAATTTAAACAGGTACTATATTAATCCTACGCAAAATGAGCACCCAACAATTTTTGCAGCAAAAACATATGCAGAGTATTTAAACTCTATATCAACAGTGGCTTTTTATTTAGATTTTCATGCCCATGTCTCGAGAAGAGGATGCTTTTTATTTGGAAATTACTTACCCCCTTTCCATGTGCGAACAAATAAATTTTGTTTATTTGATAAGAGTTAATTTTTTTAAATTTATATATATATTTTATATCGAAATTTAAAAAATCGACTCGAAAGCAAACAGTAATTTAATATGTAAAATTTATGTTTTAAAAAGAAAGCTGTTTTAAACTTCAACAGAATTAGCTAGAAATTTTATCATACTTCTTATCACTTACATATCAGAAGATTTTTCATAAAATTAAAATAATTTTTGTTCGCAAATTACCAAAAATAGGAATTTTTTCAAATGGCTTTGTTTGTCGGAGTTAGAAATAGAACAGCAAGTAGAAAACGAACTATTTGCAAAACTGATGGAACTTAATTCGCCCTTTTTTGATTTTAGTGAATGTGATTTTTCTGAAAAAAGCATGACTGCAAAAGACCCAAAAGACCAGCACTCTAAAGAAGGCTGCGGAAGAGTAGCTTTACATAAAAGCACCGGAATTATAAGATGCTACACAGTTGAAGGGCCTTATCATGTGGCTAGGCCTTTGCACACAATTACACCCTTGATAAATATAAAGGTGGGGAGAAGACATCCAGAATTACCTATAATAATTATGAATCAGGCAATTCTGGTTTATAATAGGTTCTTGTTTGATGACTTAGGATCCGCTATTGCTGCATCAATACTTGATACATCTGGGTTGAATCCACTCTCAAGAGTTCCTTCAACTGAATATAAATGTATTGAAACCTTGAAAGAATTCATTTCCTCAAGGATAAACTTGCAAAGAAAAAGGCATAATTTAGTCACAAGAAGTTCATCCAAGACCGAGATGGAAAAAGTGAATAAATCCAACCCTAAACAAATTTTACCTAAAGTCGCAAATAAAGTAGCTAGAAAGCTGCCTATTATTTCTCCTATTCTTTCGGAGAGAGTTGCCACAAGCTTTTCTTTGCAAAAGTCAAACCAAAAATTGGCGACTTTGCCTCCGAGAAGGCAAACGACTACTCTTCTTAAATACCATAAGGCTCAAAGTTAAGGGAGGGCTATTTATGCTAATATAACTTAATTATTTTTATTGCTTAATTTAATCAGAGAGTTTAAAAGCCCTTTGCCGGTCTCTTTCCCAGGCGAGTGATATGATAAATTAAGTGATTTTTATTTTCAAGATTTTGAAATTATAAATAACCCTGCACTAATATAATTTTAAAAAGATATAGTTGATCGAGCGAATAAGATTTATATCTAAAAGTATAATGAAATCAATATATCTAGCTTATTCATTTATCTTACCTCATAATAAGTTAGCTCTTAAACAGAGAGTTTGATTTAGCATTATAAATAGTTATTATGACGTAAACTAACAAATCAAGAAGTCCTTAAATTACTATTTCTTCCTAAGATTATAAAACTATTTTTTTTGTCTCGGCGTAAAAGTTGACACTCTTTCAATATTACTCTCTCGAAGTTCATGCAATTTTCTTTCAGCTGTGCTATAAAAATGATCGACTTCTGGAATGTTTTTTCGAGGAATTTTGGCTCCTCTTTTGAATTCATTCCTAGTTTGAATCAGCAGGCTTTCTCTCATTCCGAGAGGTCTTTTCATTATAAGCTTCAAGTAATGTCTGTACATTATGAGGACTTCGAACTTGAATGATGACTGCATTTTTAAAATGAATTATCTATTTATCAAATCAGATATAGAAATTTCCATTCAGCTATTTAGAGGGGTTTAATTATATTACATCAAGACGGTCTAAGACTATAGTAAGAGTAGTTTTTATTAAGATAGATCTTATCCTATGCTTAATTTTATTGCGAGTAATGATATATCAAAAAGTTTAGCTAGCCCTAAATATGTAAAAAATAGAATAGTGCATATTTCTAATAGATTAGCATTTTTGGATATGCATTTAATAATAATTTCGGTAATTGTAATCTTATTTATTAAACAATATTTTCTAAAATATCAAAAGTGTATAAGATGTCATATTTACTGATGAAATTTAAAATTAATTTGTAGTAATAATGGAGATGGATCATTTTACAAATGTGCAATCGAGAAAGATCCTCGACGGTATTGCCCATTCAGAAATAAACTCTATCATAGTGCCAGAGTTTAGCATAGTCTTAACATCAAGAATGACTCCATTCGGAGTTATCTTGCGAACTGAAATCCCCAAAAATGCAATAAATGCTTATCAAAACATAGGATCTATAGTATTTGAAATTCATTTAGAAGGAAAATATCCTTATCAGCCTCCCAAAATCCTTTGCGAAACAATTTTTAGTTATCCATCCATTTCTGATGGCCGAGATCTTTTGGCTGAAATTTTAGAAACTAGCTGGTCTCCTAAAGTCAAAATATCTGATTTGATTAAAAAAATACCAAAATTTGTCGAAAAATTATCAAAAACAAATATATTAAGGCATCTTAATATAGGGAAATTTCATTTGGGCCATCCAATGCATCTGACAAGTTGAGCATTGAAAGAAAATATGGCATATTTTATATGCCACGAAATTGATTTAAAACTCCCTATCATTAAGCATGAAAGAATTATTGTAATAACTCATACAAGGATTTTAATTTTAAGCGTAAGCAAGGACTTTCTTGGTGTTGGCCATTTAATTAGCTGAGCTTCATTGGATTCAATATATACAATCATTAGATCAAGATCTCAAGAAAACAAAGTAGTGATTCAATGGAAAAAAGTAGCTAGGGAAAGACAGATTTCTCAGCAATTTCTGATAGATCAAGCGTCAGAGTTTGTTACGCTAGTATGTAGTAATATTCGAAAACTAGGTGATCTGTACAATAAAAATTTAGAAAACGAGCTTGAAAGTGATGAAATAAACTTAAACGAAGGGAACAGTAAAATTTTAGAAGAGATATCTAAATATGAAAGTATGTTTGAAAGCATAAATAAAATAGAAACAGTTGATTCTTTAATGGTTCTATATCAAAAAGCTATAGAGTATTACTCTCTCAAAGATGAAGCAATGTATCAAAAATTAATCCAGAGGATGCATCTGTTCCTATCGAAGAAAAACATTATGAAAATGTTTGAAAAAAGAAAAAAATTAGAAGAGGGGAAGAATATGGAAAATTTAGAAGACGAGAAAGAAAAACTTATATAATGTTTATAATATTTGCTATAAGCTTCAAAGCATTTTAAATATTTATAAATAAACACAACTAGTGCGCCATTCTAAAGTAAGAACAATATTAATATTTGAATATATTTTTAGCTTAGCTCGCTTCTTGCACTATATCTATAATGACACTCGTAAACCCGATTATCGCCAAAGTCCAGCTGGCAATCAAGACTATAAGATTTCGAGGTGTCGTGAGCGGTTGTTCACTAAGCTTGATGTACATTAGACCTGGAATTATCAACCCCATAACCCCAGCGCAAAATCCTCCCAAAAAATTAAAAACGACTGTTATATTTGGATAAAACATAGCTATAAGCATGCAGCCCATAATTGTAGTCAGAGTTATGGACAAATGCATTATTAAAGACGACGTACCATCCACTTTAAATATTAATTTTTCAATAGACGTTCTGCAAGGGAGCAAATTTATTGGAATTGCTATCGTTAGCGTAAAAGAAATCAGGAATCTTGCGATCACCATAGCCCAGTCGTTTCCTATGCTGTCAGGTGCTTTTCTCATAATGATTAGATTGGGGGTATCATTGAGGCAGGATAAATAACCAAATAAGGCAAGGATACAGAAGAGAGAGCTCATTATGTATATAGAGTTTCGAGTCACTTTTTTCATCCTTGGCTCTGTTCGATTAAAAAGTTCCCCTTGAATTCTTGCAATGTTCTGATGACAGAGATAAGCAAACATTCCAATTGAGAAAGCGCTGAAAATATTTATGTCGACCACAAAGTAGTTTATTTTAGAAAAGTTGTTATGTTTAACAAAAAATGGGAACTCTATGATTACCACAAGCATAACGAAAGTCAGACAAATGACGTTGAACAAAGCCTTGAATCTGAGAGTTGTTAGTTTTCTCATAAGTCCCAAAGGTGTAACTATAAGTACATTTAAAAATAGCATAATTAAGTCTCTTTCTAGTGCTCTGTCAAAGTTCATATTCAAAGACTTGAAAATACTTGGGACGATTTCGCCGACAATTATATTTAAAGCGATAATTAGGCCGATTCCATTTAAAATTATTGCTGTGTCTAATAGAACGGCCCACTTCACTCCAAGCATTTCTTTGCAGACGGTCGGATAGTGGTAAATATTGTACTTTTTAGCACAATTACTGACGGTTTTCAAACTGTAATACATCAAGAAAGCACAAAGAATAACAATCGCCAGACCCAAAATTAAGCCTGCCTGTAGTAAACATAGGGGTATTGCTAGATATCCAGCACCCATTGCTGTCGAGGTCAGAATAAACACAGATCCTCTAACTCCCCCTCCGTGAGCGAACAACAAAAAATTTTGTTTGCACAGAGGATTAAATTTTTTTTTTAAAACTTTATATATAAATTTTATTAATATTTTTTTCGAAATTTTAAAAAATCCCAATTTGCAAAATTGGAAAGCAAATATTAATTCAATTTGTAAATTTTATGTTTTAAGACGAAAGATGTTTAAAAATAAAATAGAATTAGCGAGAGATTTCATTATATTAATTACCACTATATATCAATCATAAAAAAAATTCTTACTCGCGGAGGTTGGATTTTTAGGCAAAAAATAGGGATTTTCCAATGACTTTGTTCGCTCACAGAGGGGTGAGTAAGAGAGCCTTGTTTCATTGGCCCAAAAGTTCTGTGCACCCAAGAATTCCTTTTTGCTTGATAATTATTTAAAGGAGGAAGCTTGGTTGCCCCATCTTTGTCGTTGTAATCAATTAAGCTGATTTGTTCACCGGTAGCCATACTTATGTAAAATTACATAAATACGCCACAATAATTAAAGCATCGGGAATTCAAAATTTAAATGCTGATTTAACTCTCTTTTTATAAAGAAAGAAAGAAAAAAAATGGTGATATTGATGCCTTTCTCCTCTAAAGGTTTACCTGTTTCTGCAAGACGAGCTAGACAAAATATCCTATCACATGGCTTTCTCTCATCGTGCTCATCGGGGCACTCTATAGGTAGTGGCTCTACTCTGGGGACTGATCTTTGTGCAGGATCGGAAATCCAAAAGGGTGACATTTTTTGGCGGCTATAGGTTTAGCCGATGGCCAGCATAACAATTTAATTTAATATATAAAGAATTTTTGGTAAGATTAAAAAAACATTATAAAAATAGCTTATGAAAGGGTTATAAATTAAAACTTTACTGCTGCATGGTTGATGGAGTAAGCAGTAATTTGGTGCTAAAAATTGATTTTTAAGTTTGGGTATTCTTTGTTTATCCATTATTGATTCAGAGCAAAATATGTAAATTAAATATTAAAAAATTTGGTTTATTATAAATACAACTCTTTGAAAAAGCTTTCAACCAAACTCATAGATTTAAATAAAGATAAGGTCTAATGCTTATTCAAGACTCTTTTTAGTTCATGAAGTCTTTCAGTTGATAAGCTACTGTTCATCTGGCTTGCATTGAGTATAGGAATTTGTAAAATTGGACGATTAAAGTGAGTTAGTTGTTCTGATCTAGATTTTCCATTCCTATTAAAGCTTGCTATAATATCAAAAGCCGATTTTGACCTTGTATTGGTCATTTTCTTAGGAGAGGCTTCTTTAAATAAAACTTTTGGATATTTTAACAATGTTTCTTTTACTGGTTTTGACTCAAAATTTGATTTTCTCTTTATCCTTTCAGTATATATTTCTTGAGGATTAAGCCCATCACTTTCTTGAGGGTTTCCTGAAGCTGGGGAAATTAGAAAGGGATTCCATTTTGGCCTATTCAAATTAACTCTACCAAGATCTGGGCCTTCATTTTGTCTTAGCTTAAGCATGGTGATACTTCTATAAGAATAAATTCTCGTGGTATTGCTTTTCTTTTTCCCTTTAAAATGCAATTTTCCATCTGAAAAATTCTTTGAGATAATTTTCTTGAGAGGGAGCTTAGGGATGCTGCTAAGATTTGCTTTATCTATTGGGATTAAAAAGCAGGTTTTTATTATTTCATCAATTTCTCCTAGCATTTGGTCCATTTCGCTATCAAACTCGTCATATCGATCTTCATCCTCTTCAAAAACCTTGTTTAAAGCTTCAGGATCTGGCAGATATTTCTCCAGCAATTGAGTTTGGGAAAAATAGCTTTCTTTCATCTTTTCACGTCGAAATCTCATGACCATTTCTTGAGCTTTTTCATCCCTATCACTGGGTTTGAAGTGGTAAATAATTCTTGATCTTGATAAGTCCATCTATAACAGTGGGTAGTTTAATTATTATTTCATTAAAATTGTCAATAATTAATATTAACTTATAAAGAAAGATCGTTTCTTTAATGGAAAAATTGGTGGCTTTTAGTATTAATATAAATGCAATGTTGAAAGGTTAAATTTATTAAAACTATTTAGCAAAGCGCTTTCAATAGCTCTTCAACCATAACCTTGAACTCTTCTAAGTTCAGCTTACCATCTTGGTCTTCGTCTAAAGCTTCGATGAGCTCGTTTACCATTTCATCATCAGGGGGAGGCGTTCCACAATCCTTAGATATCATACCTAGAGCCTCTTTCAATTCACTTCTTTCAATATTTCCTGAGTGATCTGTATCGAAACTGTCAAAAATCACTTTTGCAATTCCATGAACTTCTGCAGGGTTATTTAAAATTGATTGAATTTCGGCCATTTCAAAATTATATATTAATATAATAATTTTTTTTTCAGTATATTTACTTTGAAAGCTGATTTGGGTAATCAAATAAGATAAGAAATGAATGTCTCTTATAAATAGTACATATATTATTAGTATTAAATAGATCTTTACTAAAACTAATTCCCAAATAAAGTAAAATCCTTATTTTTTCATGACTGAATTCAGTAATACAAATGATCTTTTCAATCCTTTTAACTCTTTTTCTAAATCAATTTTCTCGATAAATGTCTTCCTTTGAGGACGAGGAGTTTCTGTAATGTCACTTTTTTCTTTATCAAACTCATGCTTTTCAAGCTCTTTCTCATATAGAGAAATTATATTTTCATACTTTCGCTTGACGAGCTTTAGTGAGTCAATTTTTTCTAAATATTTTTTTTCTTTTGCAATCATATCTGATTTTATCATTTTAATTTCATGTTGAGCTTCTATATTTTCTGCTTTATTTACTCTCTCTTGGTCAAGCTCTAGCTTGATTTCTTTAATTTTTTCATTATTTGCTCCTACTACTCATTCACAAAGAAGGAAAATCCCTTTTAAGCATTTTTCTAGAGCTGTAGAATACTCTGGGATAAACTCCGCAATCCCTCGAATAATTATCCGTAAATGTCTTGAATATTCCCCTATTCAATACTCAACCTTTTTACTAAGTTCTTCATTATTTATCTTTTCGTTGCATTGATTTTCTAATAATGATAAAATGTCTCTATTAAAATATTTTGCTTTTTCTTTCATTTTTTTACAGACTTGGAGAAGCTCTTCAGGGGTTGGCTCTACAATATTTTCTGTTTTTTCTGGGCTATAGGCTGTTAGCTCATCATTTTTGTTACTGATTGTAATTCTATCATGAAATGAGTCACTTTCATATAACATTAAATTTGGTAAAATAATTTTTATAGGTGATCCGAGCTTTAAATTTCATTTTTTGCCATATCCTGAAATAGCTAAAGTATTAGAAGTTTCAATATCTTCTTTAAGATCTTTCAATGAAAATTTTTGTCTTACTTTTCGAGCTGTTGAAGGTCTGCTTGGCATACTCCTCTCTGTTAATAAGCCTAAGTCCTCCGTATTTTTTCTATGTGTACTAGGAGGCTTTGGTATTGATATATTTTTACTATCACATTGAATCATCAAGCAAACTCCCTCAATTCTATTAGGCTCTTTTCCAGTTTCGCAATCCTTGCATATGAACAACTCATTCTTTGTATTCAAATAATACGAATTTCCACATTTCTCGCATTTCTCTATAAATCCAAGAAAAGAAAAATCAATTACTTGATTTTCTGAGGTTTTTTTATTAGTAAACGTCTTCTCGATGTTTTTGGTCATCTGGTTAATGTCACAAGTATTATGTTTTGGCTCTGTTATCATTGAATATAATATTTTTGATAAAAAATTAGGCGAATTTGGTTTTGATGCAATGTCATAATTGTAATCAATCAAGGAAATAAGGTTGTTTAGATGGTTCATTTTAGATAAAATCATTTTATGGATGTTTTCTTCAATTTCAAGTACTTTTTGGTACTCTTGAAGGAATGGAGACTCTTCAAGCATATCTGTAACTTCTCTGACATGGGCTAAATATTCATCATGTTTTCGTCTTTCTTCGTCTTCTTGTGAACAGAATATTTTCATAAGGAGATCGTTAGGGGTAATTGATCGTTGCTCTATCATTCTGTCATAAGGCTTAGCACTTTGTGCTCTTTTTGCAGGAGAGTTTTCATTAGATAATGATGCTTGTGATGGTGTAAATCTTTTCATTCTTTTGAAGCTTTGAGGCCTGATCTGGATTTGTGGACTAATTTTTTTGTCGTTTATGTTAAGCTTTGATATAAATTCAGCAAAACGTTTGGAGCTTATATTTAGATTTGATGTCTGCTGACTTTTCAACATTTAGAGATAATTGTTATAATAGGCATTTTAACTAATTATTGTATTAAATTTAAAAGGATTTTGTGCTAACAGATATAGGAATTTTATTAAAGATATTTATAAAATGTCAAAGCTCGATGAAAAAATATCAGATCTTTTAGTGCTCTCAATTGCTGGGTCTCAAAAAGAGCAGAAATCAGCAGAAGCAGAGCTTGAGATTCTTAGCCAAGACAAGAAATCAATATTTACAATTTTAAGCAGATTATTAGCAAATCCAGATACTCCACAGATTCTTAAAAGTTCAGCTGCCTTTCACTTAAGACAAACAATTAGAAAGGCAATTGAATGCAATGAACTCGACTCAGAGGTTCGCCACTTATTATTTAACTCTATTTCAGCTGCATTAGTAAGTCAAAACTTGGATACAGTCACTAAAGGGGCTTTACAATATTCCCTAAATCTTGTTATTACTGGGGAGTGAATAGAATCATTAAAGCCCTCTAAAGAAAAATTAGAGGAAAATAAAGCATCATCTGTAGGAAAAAAGAGTGCAAAGAAATCTAAAGAAAGCCTACAATTTTCAGCTCAATCTGTATCTAAAATCATGAAAAAATTCAAAATAACTAAACGAATCGGATCTGGCGCTCCTGTTTACCTCGCTGCTGTTTTAGAATTTTTAGCTTCAGAAATGCTTGAGCTTGCAGGAAATGCTGCAAAGGATTACAAAAAATCTAGAATTGTTCCTAAACACATACAATTTGCAATTAGAAAAAACAAAGAACTGAGTAAGCTAATTATGAATAAAAGTATTGAAGAAAATATAGCAAACATTTTAGAAAGGCAGAAAAAAGATGCAGAAACTCATGAGCATTAAGCATTGTAAGCGATGATAATTTTATTTTAAAAAATTACTTATATGAGAAATGGTTTTTAACTTTTTTATTAATTCATTTTGGCTCTTTTAGTAAAGAGAATTGCTAATAACTTAATCTAAAATTATTATATATATCATGTTTTAGTGAATAAAAGTTTTCTTTAACTTTAAACCTTTCAGATTATGGATACGATTATTTAATCTTATGGTATAAAGCAAAAATTTAAGCAAATAATTGAAAAAGCTTAAGTCAAAATATCTTTAACCAATTCCACCCAATAAGAAGCACCTATGAGCATGGCTCTCTCATCAAAATCAAACGTTGAAGAATGAAGGTGAGATGTATGCTGGCTATCCCCACACCCCATCATAATAAAGCATCCAGGCTTTTTCTCAGTGAAATATGAAAAGTCTTCTCCAATTAGAGGTGATAAGTTATTAATATTCGCTCCAGGACAGATTTTCTTAAATGCATTCCCTGCTATTTGTGATGGTTCTGGAGAATTTATTGTTGGTGGGTAATAATTTTGAAACTCCAGCTTTATTTCACATCCAAAGCTTATTTCTGATCCTCTACAGAAATTCGTTATTCTTTTTTCTATCGTTTCCTTTGTTTCAGGCTCAAAACATCTAATAGTTCCACTAATTTTAAGCTATTTATTATAAATAATCCATAAATGATGTTTATATATTTTAGATGCTAAATCTCAAAAAAAAGCATACAAATATGTGGAATTGCGTTAAAAACTTCTCCAGAATGAAATGTTGTTACTGCAATTGAGGCCTTTGTTTGAGGGTCTACATATTTTGACAATATTGTATTAATATCTAGTACAATATGAGCTCCCGCATGTATAGGATCAATAGATAAATGAGGTGTTGAAGCATGTCCACCTTTGCCTATAATATCAATATAAAAATAACTACTATAGCAAGAGGCATATTTTGATGAAATCAGCACATCGCCGATTTTTTCGCTAGCTGTTATATGAAGCCCGTATACTTGTTCAACATCCGGGTTTTCAAGCGCGGGATAAAGAGGGTCATTTATCATGGCCTGAGCTCCAAATTCTCCTTCTTCAGCAGGCTGGAATAAGAATTTCAAGCTTCCTTTCAGTTTTTCTCTGAAGTTTGATATTACCTTGGCTGCTATGAGAAGCATTGCGACATGAGCATCATGCCCGCATGCATGCATCCGACCTTGTATTTGGGACTTATACTCTACATTATTTTCTTCTTGGATTGCTAATGCATCCATATCTGCTCTTAATAGGTAGCAAGGGCCTCCGTCAGATTTCAGCACCCCAATGACGCCTGATCTGCCAACTTGCGAGTAAACTTCGACACCTGATAAGGAACTTAAATATGTTGTAACTAAACTTGTTGTATTTGGAAGCTCATACAAGAGCTCAGGATTTTTATGAATCTCTCGCCGAATTGTTTTCATCTCATCAAAAAGTTCTAAAACATGAGAATTTATGTTTTCCATAGATGTTGATAAAAAAATAAGTATCAAGGAAATGAATAATTACCATATTGAAATGATTACGATTGAAAGTTTACTACGAATAAGTTTTTATAAATAATTAATTTGGATATTTCAGAAACTAATCCATAATTCTTCTTGAAATTATTTTAAATTTTATTCGAAGTTTTCAAGCATTGAATTTGGAAAATCATTAATATTTGCAATTCTAGGAAGCTCAAGCTTATTAACTTGTCTTCATAATAAGTAATATAAGTATTAGTGTTATTGATGACTGGCAAAATTCGTTTATTTTTGGTTTTAAGTTAATTTAATTTTAAAATTACGTCATTTACTTTATTATGGCTTTATAAAAAAAGCATCTTTAAATAATGTATTTCTGTCATTTTAAGTATAAAATATTGGTAAGAAAATAAAAGTTGAGCTTTGAATTTTATCAATGTTATAGTAAATTAGATTAATAAAAGAATTCCTCAAGAGCGTCAAAGAATAAATGGTAGCATTGGCAGAAATTTGACTCTAAGGCACACTCCTGTGGGGTAGGTAGGAAATCATGATGAAATAAAAGTAGAGCTGCTATCCTGCCTACCCTCTGATTATCTCTCATCAGAATTATTAGAACACTCTACAGGTGGCGGCTCTGCCTAAGAGAGCTAATCCTTGGGGAGGTGTTTGAGGCTGGAAATTTTAAAGGGCGACCTTTTGGAGCAAAGATGGGCGACGGCTATTGAATTTACCGCTTATGGTTTGCATAAATTTTAACTTAACTTAACTTTACTTAAAAACGTCAGAATATTTAACAATTCGCTTGAAACTTTTTCAAATATTCCTAAATTCGCAGATAAATATCGAAGTTGAAGCAAGAAAGAGAGTGCATAGCTGAAATCAAAGTTCTTTATATTTTAATTAAAATTTTAAAGTATTTTCTGTCGAAGTTATAAATTATTACACTTTTCAATTTTATTCATTTATCTAGTTTGAGAGTATTTAATGGAAGAAACTGAAATTAAAAAACCAAAAATTTTTATGATCTTGGCTGTGGCCGTACAGAAGGATAGGTTTAGAGTCTCAATTAATAATTTAGATCAAAAAAACTCTTTACTTTCTATTTCTTATTGGCTTTTCTCTAATGCTAATTTTAGAATTCGTTAGTTCAAAATTATTAACTGAGCCTCAGATATTAAAATTGGTATTTTAGATACTTACATATATTTTCCTCTCCTTTATATAATTATGAAAAATTGCAGCAGGGATAAAATTGACTCAGGAATGATGGAGTATTTATTATTCATTATTTCAATACAATTATAAACCTCAATTAAATGGCTCATAGTTTGCTTTCTCAGCCTGGCTCTAATAAGTCCTAATTACTTTTTAAGTTAAGCTCATTTGTTGCTAATATATGGTTTCTAATAAAAATGCAGTCCATATTTGCTCAAACAGCTTACTCTTCAGATGAATTTTGGCTTCCTTATAATCAGGTTTGTTTATCGGTTTTATGTGAAGGCAGCCTAATTGAGATCACAGAAGAGGGTCCTAAGCAGAGTTACTATATTCTCAATGAAAATTCTCTCCTAAAGCTAAATAAAAACTCAGTCCTTGTTGAAGAGATGGCAGTGGTAAAATGGAAGAAAATTTCGAGATTCGTTGAATGCATTGAAAGTTACTGCTTTGGATTTAAATTGGTGGGCAAATCAACTCACAGGACCTTTTATGTAGAAAATCAATATGAACTTGATAAGTGAGTTTTAAATCTCTCTTTTGTAGGAATTATGGAAAATATCAGTGCGGATTATTTTTTTGTCGAGGAACTAGGCAAAGGGTCTTTTTCTAGAGTGTTTTTAGCTGTTGAGAACACCTCACAGAAAAAGTTTGCTATAAAATGTATACAAAAAAAAGACTTATTAAGAAGGAAAAATGGTTTAAGTCACATAATAAATGAGATCGAAATTGTTCGAAAGCTTGATCATCCAAATATCATCAAACTCCATAAAGTTTATGAAGACATTGATTACGTTTACTTATAGCACTTTCTCTTGAATAGCCCGATAACGGCCCTCTTCTTCATCCCGTTATCAGGCTATTCAAGGGAAAGAGCTATAGTTTTAGACTATATTGAAGGCAAAGATCTTCATAAACGGTTACAGACAAAAAACTATTCTGAAGAGGCAGCATTTTTTTTTGTGCAAAAGCTATTAAAAACTGTTGATTATTTGAGCTCACATAATATAATTCACAGAGACATAAAGCCAGAAAATTTGATTCTTGAAAGCATGGATAATGATATTGAATTTAAATTAGCCGATTTCGGCTTAGCAATAGAAGGAAGTAAAAACATTGAAGGGAAGTGTGGATCGCTTGGGTTTGTAGCACCCGAAATACTCTTATCTTAATCTTAATTACGGCGGTAGAATCCGCTTTGTTAACTCGGTTACCAAGGATCCCTCCAGGGGATTCATCCGCTTTGCGGGGACGTCTACTTCCGATCGCCGGAAAGGCGGGTTGCCTGGCCGTCCTCCTCCTCCTCCTTGCCACTTCTAGGCGGCTCCACTGTTGAGTGGGCAGACTATGGGTTCCCGGGGCCTTGCTTCAGGCTCCGTCTACAAGGTTGCCTATTCCGAAAATTCGAGGCGCGAATTTTCTGGTAAGGCTCTCGGCTAAGATGGAAATCCAAGGCCCGGGACGTAACGCCCGGTTTCACGCTAGGGAGTTGCCCGATTGACCAAGTGGTGTCCTTGGCACTGCTGAGCTTCCCCTTTCCAACCTTGGTTCTCCACTTTCCTTGAGGCAAAAAACTTAGTTCCAGAATGAGCTGCGGTCGACCTAATTCGACATTGCGCTCCACTGCGCCAAGCCAAAAACCCAGCCGGATATACTTTACTGAGCCTCTTTTCCCCTTCCACAAGGTCCCCGCCAGCCTGTGGGCGTGCGGCTACAGGTGTTGAGAAAAAGGGCTGGTCCGTCGACGCCATTTTAATGTATATGCACCCGAAATACTCAAAGAACAAAAATATAGCTCAAATGTAGATGTCTTCAGTTGCGGAATTGTATATTATACTTTGATTGCTGGGCATACCCCGTTTAAAGGAAAAAATCATAAAGAAATCTACTTTAATAATGCGAAGTGCAATATAAATTTTAAAGAAAAATGCTGAGCAAAAATTTCTATTGCAGTTATAGATACAATTCAAGTGATGACAAAAGCAGACCCTCATTTAAGGCCTTCTGCAAAGAAGGTCTTGAGAAATAATTTATTCAAAACTGTTACGAATTCCCAAGAAAGCATTGATGATTCATTAAATAATGAACGGGCTCAAGAAAATTTAGGCGAGAACAAATGAATTTTAGAGAAGATGGCAGAGAGAAATTACCAATATATGTACAATCAAGATCAAATTTACTTGATGCACTATTTGTCTGTCATGTTTATATGAAATACATATTGACTATATCGCAATCAATATTTAAATAATTTTTATCCGATTTAAAGTAAATTTGTAATTTGATAAAAATTAATCTCAATACTTAATTAATAATATTTAATAAAAAATAAAAATAATACATAGAACGCCCTAACACCCTATCATTAGAAATAAGAGCTCAATGATAGAGTAGTTTTTATTTAAGATAATTAAGTTGCTAATTAGAATAATAGTAAGTTTTATCCTAGTTAAATTTTATAATTTGCTTATATTGAATGTCAGTAATTCCAGAAGATTATAATGCAAGGTCTATACTGAGCTTCTCAGGCACACAAAACAAAATAAAAAATAATGAAAATCTCTCAACAAACGATTTCAATGCTACATATACAGATGGATTCAAAGAAACTAAAGCTTCTTTAATCGAAATTATACAATTGACCCTTTCAGAGTTAAACCACCATAAAAGATTGCAGTCTATAAATGTAGCTAAGCAAATAAGTGATTTGGAAGAGAATTTATTATGTACAATATCTCGAGTTAATACTCAGGTAAATTATTGTAAAGCGCTTTTACAAGAAATTATTTTAATAGAGAGCCCTCAAGAAATCAATACATCATTTCAAGCACTCTTATCTAAATCACCTGAAGAAGCAATTTCCAATGTTAGAAATCAATTTTTAGCCAAAATTTATCAAATACTTCCTAATGAATCAAAAAGAGCGCTTGAGTTAAAATACAACCCATACTATGAAACTCTAGAGAAAAAGGAGCTTGAAAATCTAAAATCTAAGCTCAAAAATACTTTAGAATGCGAAAAACATTTAGATACCATAGTTCTTCAAAGCCGCTTCTGTAAAACAATGTCTTATTGTGATGATATTGAAGAAGCAAGAAAAAAAGTTGAGAACTTTAAATATGAGCTAGAAAACTCTTATTATGAGCTAGCTTCCTCAGGCCAAAATAATGCAAATTTGAAGCACCTTTATGAGTCAAATAGTGAAATGAAAGATCTTTACCACAATTGTGCAAAAATCTGTAAAGAGATTTCCAAAAAATGCGATTTAACGTTGGAAAATCTGAGTCAAAAAGAAAAAGAATGCAAATTGTATCATGATAAAAACATCTATTTAATTGAAAACTATCCATATGATGACAACGAAATTCAAACAAAACTAGTGATTTTTGACACAGAATCTTTACAAATAAATTATAAAGCTATTAAAACTCCAGAAGCCTTGTCAGATGGAACTTGCATAGCACAACTACCAAACAATGAATTATTCTGCTATGGAAATTATAGCCCTCTTTCAGGAGTTACAATCACTATTAATACTAAAGACTTATCATTCCAATCACTCAAAATTGGAATTCCTTGCTGTTCATCTGGCTGCACATATTATCAAAATTCAGTTTATGCTTTTGGAGGAAATATTTCTGATTAGATTAGATTAAGATATGCTATATAAGGTCACTAGACTTTATTTCCTCCCATCATCGTGGATTAATTTCGCATCAGATGAAATCAGGCATTATTTCCATCTAACGCTCTTTTCTATCTGAGCCATAAAATGGTGAAATAAGGGACTCTAAAGGAAAGCTCATCCATTCACATATTGGTGCTTTCCAAAGACTAAGAACTGCCTACCTGCAAAAGTGCTTTAATTATTTCTTGATCACTGAAATCTCCTTCTTTGCTTACCCTAATTCTTTCTAATCTAAAGATTGCATCCCAAAAGCACGGAAAAAGATTGAGCTCAATCTGGTGTCTGGGGTTTGAGTAAAAAGTTTGTGCGAAAAATACTCTGAAGAACTAATTCCAAAAGGGCCATCCTTTCTTAGGCTCAAATAAACTCAAAGAAACCGAGAACTTAATTAAGCTTGCCGTTTTAATATCTAATATCTCTGAAGAAAATTATTTAAACCAAACAAGAAAATATGATTTTTCTGAAGACCAATGGATCGAACTGTCTTCAATGCCCATTGCATCTGATGGGTGCTCTTGCATTCCTTTTAGAGAATCCATTTTAGTATCCGGCTGAAATCACTCAAAAGTATATCGATATGATATTAATGGAGATATTTATTCAGAAATTCTGAATATCAGTGCCGAAAAAGATAAAATTGTATTTACAGGAAATTCTAGAGCTTATATTGTAGAACAAGAAGGAAGTATTTATGAAAGTGAAACTAACGATGAAAATATTTGGTACAGAATTGGCAACTCTAGTACAGGGTTTGCGCTTCAAAGTTATAGAACTTATTGCAATGGCTCAATATTAATTGGGATGATAGATGATGAAGAAGACGAAGACTGAGATGAATATTATTGCTTTTACACATTTAACTTGAAAAGTAAGACACTAGACAAAATAGAAGAAATTTGTCCCATAGATAATTATTATCGTAACAGTTAAAATTTTTTAATCCTCAAGCTTTTATAATTAATTAAAAAGAAATGAGAATAAACGAAGTTGCCAAAGCTACCAAAGAGGCATTATCAGTATTTCCACCATTGTTATAATTTTCTTCTGCTTTTAAATAATATGGGAAAAAAGTATTAAGAACGCAATCTTCTGAGTTGAACGCAGCCACATACATAATTGCATATATATATCTATAAAGTAATATTGAATAGGGCTTTGAGCCATAATATTCATAAGCGCATTGAATCTTGCTATTCACAAAAGTCGGATTTCTCCAATAAGTGTGACATTTTTCAATTGCTGCACTATTTTGCCAGTTTTGAATCTCAGTTAATAGTGCAGCCTGTGGGCTATCCCCTGGTTGAAGGCCACAGTAGGAATCTCCGTTTTTATTCCAAGCACAATTGCAGATAGTATAAATTTCTGCCCCTGTTGATGTATCTACTTTTGATTCACAGCCTGCTGTGGAGTTATAAGCATAAGTGCATTGCACAGGAATCTGGCCATTTGAGACTATTGGTCCAGTGCAAAGGAATTTTCCTTCGTTGTTTTTGGCGCATTTTGTTGAGGAACAGACATTGGAGTTCACAGTGCAAGTTTCTTCTGAAATTTCTGTCCCTGAGGCTAGTGATCCGTATTTAATGCATGTATTCTTTGTTGGGTCATTAGTTGAGCTTATATTGCACCCACCATTATAAGTGCAATCATACTGCTCTAAACAGCCTGTTTCTCCAATTCCTATTAAAGGTGCGCATTGCATCACTCCGTCTATGCTTTGGCATGACGCACCTGGGTTGCATTGAAGACTGGAAGTGCAGGTTTTACCAAGTCCATCTCCTTGGCATCTTCCTTTTTTACAAGATATAGAAGAGTCCCAATAGCAGTTTCCTAAGTCAGAGCATTCGTCCCCAGGCAATGATATTTCAACTGGTGGATTATTACTGCAAGTCCTATTTGACAATAATTGAGTTGTGAAACAAGTATCTGCACTATTCTTGCAAGGCTTAGAATAAATAACTTGATCTTCTGGGTTGAAATATCCACATGTTTCGCTTGTAAATTTTTGGGTTTCTGTTTTACAAGTATATTTACTGCATGTGTCTATATCTTTTAAAGGTTCAACTAGTTCAGGGAAAATTCTTGAAATTGCTCCATAAGGGAGAAGAAGGTCTTCGTGAGATAGCAGTGATCCAATTGCTAATGTGAAAGCAAAGGATATTGCAAGGATTTTCACCATAGGATATATCATTATTATCAGAAGCGATCAGATTAAGTTATGCTAGAATAAAAATCTGATCATTTTGGGCAATAAGTTGAAAGAAAATCAAATGGTGAAAATATTAAAATGAAAGATGTAATTAAGCTTTAATATTCATCTTAAATTAAATCAAGATAAATTTTCTCTTCTTTCTAGTGATCTTTCTATACTAATCGCTCTTATAAATTATAAGGATATTCTTTAGAGTGTTAGTTTATGTTTTAAATAAACTATTTTCAATTTATAGACAAGAGGTATTTTTGCGAAAGCATAAATGCATTCATTTCAGCCTGTAAGCTATTTTTATTAATTAGAGAAATGCTTTAAATCTTGCTATGCAGGTGAAAATTGAGATAATTAAATATTAGGTGCTTGAAAAATATAATTTATTAATTTAAATAATTTCAAACCTAAAATCATTAAGCTTATTTTAAATTAATATTAAAAAGTTTAAAAAAATAAGCTATAATTTTAAATAGCTAGAACTGCTATAAAGGCTGTTAGCGCTATCGAAATAGAACTATCGGTATTATTTCCATTCCCCCCGTTATTAAAATTATCTTTAGCTTGCAAATAAAACGGGTAAAGCGTTTTAAGAACGCATTCTTCAGATCCATAAATATTCACATAATAAGACACATAAAGCAATCTATAAAGAAAAGCAGAGTAGTCTTTAGAATCATAATAATCTGCAGCACATTGAAGCTTTGAATTGGCAAGTGCTGGATATCTCCAATTGGTATTACAATTTTTTATTGCACTGCTTGATTGCCACTTGCTATACTCGTTTCTTACTCCCCCGTACATTAGCGGACAAACCATTGAAAAAAATCCCTATTTTTTGCTCAAAAACCACTCAAATTGAATAAATTTTACAAATTAAATAAATATTTGTATTTCAGTTGAGATTTTTTTAAATTTGAAAAAAATTACTATAAAAATTTATATTTTTTTAAAAAAAATTAACGTCCTCTGTGAGTGAACAATTTTTTTTGTTTGCTCATGGAGGGGGGAAGTTAGCGCGACATATGGAGCATCTCCCTTTTGAAGTGAACAATATGTATCTCCATTTGGATTATAGGCGCAGAGGCATGATCCATTCAAGCCATGACCTAAATATATATCTTCTTTTGATATGCATCCAGTGGATGAGTAAGCTTCAGGGCAGCTTAGTGGAGTTTGGCCACTGGAAATAATTTCATCTGTGCAAACAAAATTTCCATTATTATCTTCACCACAAAGCCCAGAGCTGCAAACATTAGAGTTGGTATTGCAAGTATAGTTAGTAATTTTAGTTCCTGGAGTCAAAGATCCATACTGTTTTGATTTAAGCATATAACTGTTTCTAGAAATAGATATAATTAAAATGGCGCGGTGAATCAACCCACCTCTTAACACCTAACCCGAAATTCAAAAGGGTGTCAGGGATATTAAGGAAGAGAGCTGGCTTTCGATATGCTATCCAGCTAGGTTTTTCTTGGTTTAGTAAAGCGCAATGTCTGGTTCGCCGACCCATCAGCTTTACTCCAATAATAAGTTTTTACCTTAGAGGGAGATTGATCCGAAGTTGGAAGGGTTTCCCAGAGGTGCCATTGGCATTTGTCTTGACAATTGACTATTCCCCCAGCGCGAAACCAGTAGTTACGCTTTGGGCTACAGATTTCATCTTAGAATTTTCAATGGTGGGCAACCCCTGTTGGTGGAGGCACGGTGATAAAAACTTTTCGACTACGGGGGGCATGCGCAGGCCCATGTCTGGTAGAAGCAAAACTTTGAAGGTCGTGAGAAGATTGTCGGAGATGCGGGAAAATAAGGATCTTCGGATCCCGATAGGGAGCTTTCTTATAATCTAACTAAATGTAAGTGTTTCTAGAATTAGATAATATTTTTAGATAAGGAATAGGATTTAAAAAAATTATAACATTGCTGCTAATAATAAATTCATTACCAAATCTTATATGCTAAGCTTATTTAAGCTCTACACCAAATCTTTTACTAGTTATGTATAAATCAAAAATAATTTAAATAATCAAATTCTCTTTATGGTATTGAAGATAGCATAGAAATTAGCATAATACAGAATATACTTAATGCATGTATTTTTAGAAGTATCATTTAGAGAGACTATGCTGCATCCTGCACTATATTCACAATCATATTCATTAAGGCATCCCGTTTTTCCGGCCTCAATTAAAGCTGCACATTGCCAAGCGCCATTGATTTTTCTACAACTGCTGTCTGGATCACATTGAAAAGTTGATGTGCAAGAATCTTTTAAATCTAGTCCAATGCAAATTCCTCCAGTGCAAGACTTAGAGTAAAGCAAATAACAATCAGACGCCTTTGAGCATTTGTCTCCTGGTAGTGCTATAGGAAATGGATCATTGATTACGCAAGTATAATTTTGAGACACGTTAGGAGAAAAGCAGAGCAATGATTCGTCTTCACATGGCTGTGAATAAACTGTATTGTTAGCTGAGACAAAATATCCACATGTGTTTCCTGCGAAATTTTGATCAGGCATTTTGCATGTAAATTTGTTGCAGGTCATAGCATCTTCAATTTCCTCAGAAAAGATGTTTGAAAATGAGCCATATGGATGCAATTTTTGATTGACAACGTTTTGCCCTATTGTGATTAATATAACTGAAGCTAATGCAAGCACCTGGATTGTCTGGAGAAACATTTATAAAAATGACAACAATTAGGAATAAATGGATTCGGAAGTCCAGTGAAATATAAAAATGAACTAGATATCTATATAAATAAGTAATGAATAGGCACTATGCAGGAGCTAAAAATGTAAAATTCTGTAAATTAAGACTGATCACCCATAAAATGAGCATTTATTAGCTTTTAATATTTTATAAAGATTCTGTTTATTTGCTATATATTGCAAAAACGTAGTCTTAAAAATAAAGCATCTTTTTTACGATTTATTTAGAAATTGCTTAATTGATCAAGATAGCTGGCTGGAAACTAATTAGAGGTTTTTTAAAGGGAGTGATAACCTGAAGTATTTTTTAACCTTTCATAATCCTTTTGTTGTCATTTCAGATATTTGATCAGTCCTTTCTGATATAGAGGAATTGAGGTTTTTATTTAGATCGCAGTTTTTCCTTACTTCTGAATCTCCTTATGTTTACTAGGCTACTTTAAAAAAGCAAGCTTTTTTTTTATTATATATTTAAACGAATAAAGTCAATGATAAATTGTTTTATTTTAGTTTTTGACATAAACATTGATATATATATATATATATAGAAGACTCAGACTTATTCAAATTCCTCAAAATATTTATTGCAAAAAAATACTTACCCTCCAATTAACTTATAACAAAATATTGGTAAATTTTAAATTTTTGGAAGCATTAATCCCTTTAAATTTTTCACTTTTTATGGTAAATTTTATTGTTAAAAATAGTAATTTTTATATTGCAAGTTTTGAAATAATTTTTGGAAGAAGTAAAATTATAGTAATATTTAAAAAGTATTCAAGCTCTTTCGATTAAGCCTTAATTAAATCTTTATAAGATAAAATTAATTTTCAAAAATATTTTGCTCCATATATTACTTTAATTTTAAAAAAATTTATATAGGAAAATTAATATAATTATGTTTTTAAAAAAGCCTTTCAATTGGAACAAGATTTTTTGTTCCAATTTAAACGAAGGGAGTGATATCTTGCGCTCAACATAAAAAAGGCTTTTCTTTGCAATCCATAATGAGTTCCTTCATTTTTATACAATTAAAGAATGTTGCAAAAAAAAATTTATTTCCAATAAATATATATAGAAATGGCGACGACATGCCACCCGACCTCCCGACCCTATCTCTTCAACACTGCAGACAGCGGCCTAGTGGCGGGGATTTAGGGTGAGAGAGGCATGTATGCGGGCTAGGCTTACTTGGGCCTTATGGAGCTAATCCGTGGGACTTTGGGCTTTTGCCTCCAGAACAACGATTGGAAAGAGCAAGATCGGCGACAGTCCTGAATGGAAGCAGATTCCCTCGAACAGGACTCAAGAGATGGCATTTGTCTAGCGAGAAACTGGGTGTTTCGACCCAGTTGGTTGGCCCTTCGGCTCCAGAAGCCATGAAAGTCAAGACTGGTTGTGCAAATCCCTTGATTGCGGCAACAAGGAAGGGTGTCCGTCAGGCTCCTCGGGAGCGATGGGTGTATAGAGGTGCAAATCCTCAACCCTGCAAGGCAAACAATTTTAATTATTTATTATTTATTTATTTCCAATAAATAATAGTTTGAGAAACATTGTATGTATTGCTCGAAATGTATTAAAATAAATTACACAAAATTATTTTTCGAAATTAAAAAAATCCCACTTCGCAAAAATTGGAAAGCAAATATTATTTAATTTGTAAAATTGATGTTTTAAAACTCAATTTGTTTAAAATTAAACAGAATTACTCGAGATTTCATTATAATAATTATATCAAAATTTTTTCCATAAAAAATTTTTCTATTAAAAAAATTTTTGTTCACTTACGGAGGACACAAAAAAATAGGGATTTTTCTAATGGTTTTGTTCGCCCACAGAGGGGAGGGAGTTAGCCGAAATTTATTTCAGCATTACATATAATAAACAAATTTTGCTAGATAAATATTTTTATATAAATTTAAATATTTTCAGCCTTATCATTATCTGAGCCATTTTAATTCCGAAATTATAATAAAAAATGAAACTCATATACTTTTGTTTATCACTAGCTCTTGCTTCAATATCATTTCCTCTATTCAAAAAATCTTCTAGCACAAAACTTGCTAAAAGCACGCCTTTTTTAACACCACTTCTTCACCTCACAGGCTTTTATCCTCATTTAGTGTAACAAATTACCAAGACGTAATTTTTATTTTAGCTTCAGTATTATGCTCAAGCAACAATTGGAACTCCTCCTCAAACCTTTACCTTTACAGTAGACACTGGAAGTACTTGAATATGGATTGACAGCAACAGCTGCTCCAATTGTCATTCTGGAACAAAATTTTATTCATCATCTTCTTCTACTTACAGAAATTACGCCTTCCATGATGGCGAAGGCCGCAGTCCGACAGAAAAACAGGAAGTTCCGAAATTTGGGGTCACTTAACAAAATGGTAGCCCTGAAGGGCCACGGGGTCGGATGGGGGTGTGGTTTCCGGGGTGGGAGCAGGCTTGAGCTAACTGGGCCTCTCCTCGACCCACAGACGAAAGACCGACGGCGCAATACCAAGCAGGTACTTTTGGAGGAGCATTATATTGCCTGTAAATGGCAGAGATAGTTCCAGAAGGAGGCATCGGACGTTTCCCTCATACCCTGAGCACTACCAGGGGTTAAGAGAGTCTTTGCTGAAGTTTTTTGGTCCAAGCAGGTTCGGGTGAGTCTCCCCGAAAGATGTCGACGTCACCATTTTTGATGACGTCATCAGAAAAGGGCGTTAGCTGGGATTAGTGCTTAACGCCACTGGAGCGCGAAGCTATTCCATGTAAGGGTAGGGCTGGAATAATCCCCTGGGACCCCTATAATTTTTATCTCTCTCTCTCTTCTACTTACTACAACACCCAGACCACAAAGACGCTAACTTATTTGCAAGGAAACTCTGTTGGCTATTTAAGTACCGATGTGATTTCTATTGGAGACAGCACATCTTTGTCTGTAACGAACCAATCTTTTATTTTGGTTTACAACGAAAGCAGCTTTGATAGCATGAAGTCAGATGGGCTAATTGGTTTTGCATTTGACAGCCTAAGTGATGGTGTCAGCTCTTTGCTTACCTCATTGAAAACCCAAGGAAAAATAAAAAATAGGCAATTCGCTATTTATTTGAGTGAAGTCAACAGCTATTCAGATTTGCCTAATTTAGGGAGTTCAAATTTGATGATTGATGGGTATAACTTGACAGCTTATTCCTCAGAAAATAGCTTTACTTATGTAAGCTTAGCCAATAGTGACGGCTACTGGGAAATCCCTTGTGATGCTGCTTATTTTGATGGTAAAACATATACTGGCAGCCCTACTGCTATTATTGATACAGGGACTAGCGTTATTATTGGCCCCAAAAATGACGTAAACAACATTTTACTAGGTTTATATAATAATCATGGATGCAAACTCGACTCATCAAGTGAGCTTTACTGCTCATGTACAGGAACTTACCCTAACATGACTTTTCAGTTTTCTGGGCATAATTTCACTCTTCAGCCAAGCGATTATTTTGAAGTTTATGAAGGTTATTGCTTCCCAGCTCTTTACTATAGCAGCCAACTTAGCACTTGACTGCTTGGTGACAGCTTTATAAGAAGATTTTATATTAATTTTGACATTGATGGAATGAGGATGGGCTTTGCGCAGGTTGGAATAAGTACATCAGAAAGTGCAAGTTCTTCAACTGGCAGTACAACCAGCGGATCCTCAGAAAGTGGTGGAAGCTCTTCATCAGCCAATAGCACATCTTCAAGTTCTGGATCTTCAAATAATAGTACATCAACAAGCTCCAATAGCACGAGCACAAGCTCTTCAGGCTCGGGCACTAGTTCCAATAGCACAAGCACAAGTACATCAAGCTCTAATAGCTCTAGCAGCTCATCTTCTAGTTCTAGTAGTCTTAATGGCAGTAGCAGCAGCTCAGAGAGCTTTGAAACATGAAAAATTGTTTTAATTGTTGTGTTACCAACAGCCTTTTTTATTATTGTTTTCGTTATAAGCGCGGTTATTATAGCGAAAATAATAAAAAAGAGAAAGCAAAAAGGATCTGAGATTAAGTTAAGTGGGAATATCGAGGTTAAAGTAGAAGACGCAAAAATAGAAAACAAAGATATATCCAAAAAGCATACAATGGAGAAGTATGAAGAAGATGTGGTAAGGCAAGAATTGAATAGAAACCATGGGTAATATTAATATTTTACTGATTTAAATAGCTTATAATATATAAATTAAATCTATGGTTACGTTTATAAATTGTCAATAATAAATATCAAATTTATGCTGAGAAATTGCTATTATAGTCAACTTTGCTTATTCTTTTTTATATTAGGCTACTGATATTCAAATGTGCTTATAAAAATTATTATAGATGCTAAGCACATCAAACTATACTTTATATAGCTATAGCCACCATAGATTAGATTCTTTTTCAAATATTTCATTTTACCATTTAGCAAATAGCAGGCAATTAAGTTATAGAATGATAAGCAAAACCGCGAGTTGAGAAAGTGACATAGAAATGGGTACAACTAAAATATGGTTGATGATTGCGTGCTAAGGTTTATTAGCAAATCTATAATTTTGGAATAAAATCTAAAAGAAAACTATATGATTTAAATAAGTGCTATTAAAATTTAATATTAATTAACTGAAATAATCATTATTTACAACTATTTTCATTTATTACTAGATAATTTAGTCAATAATTTAATATGGAAAAATTGGTTGAATTAGAAAATTTTACTATGAGTTCTGGAAATGCAATACCTTGCAAGAAAATCCCAAATTATTTTAAAGAGAAACCCAATTGAGCTGATTTTGTCTTATTATATTCTAATGATCGATATGAAAATGATTGCAACTTACTAAGCCATGATAAAGTGATCTCTTGAAAACGTCTATGCTTAAACCTAGATGCAAATTTACTTGCTGAGATTTTGAAAGTAAATAAAATCCCTAGGAGAAGAGAAGTAAATAAGGAAAATTATTTTATTGACTCTATTGCAAGAAATGTAAAGTTAAATAAGAACGAAAAAATTTTACTAACTCCCCCCCCCCCCCCTCCTCCGTGAGCGAACAAAAAAATTTTGTTCGCTCACGGAGGGGGGTTAATTTTTTTTTTTAAAAAAAATTTATATATAAATTTTATAAAAAATATTTTTTTTCGAAATTTAAAAAAAATCCTAATTTGCAAAAATTGGGAAGCAAATATTAATTTAATTTTGCAAAATTTATGTTTTAAAACGCAATTTGTTTAAAATTAAACAGAATTAGCTCTAGATTTCATTATACTAATTATCACTTATATATCCAAATTTTTTTTCCATTAAAATTTTTTCTATTAAAAAAATTTTTGTTCACTCACGGAGGGTGGGTTTTTTGGTCAAAAAATGGCGATTTTTCTAATGGTTTTGTTCGCTCACGGAGGGGGGGGGGGGGGAGTAAATGACAATAGAGACAATGCATATCTATTAATCCTAAAAGCCAAATTGCTTGCCAAATTGAAAGTTTTAGAAAGAAAATCTTTTGTAAATTTTTCTTATGAAACAATTAACAAAATGATTGCAAAGAAAATAATTGATGATATCTCCTTAAATTATTATACAATAAAAAAGATCAGCATGAGTTATTTTAACAGAATCAATATTGCCGAGAGAATTGAATTAAATAAGTATATTTCTGAATTATTAAACGATAATATAAAAGAAACTTTGTATCAAATTATTTTATTTTCAAGAACCTCTGAAGAAATAGCTACAGCAGCAAGCAACGCGATTACAATTTTGAACAGAAATAAATTTTCTTTTAAAAATAAAAACTTATTCTATTTTTAATAAATATAATTAATATTCACTAATTTTTTTTAGATGCCTATTTTTGAATTAAACGAATAGAAAAAATAAAAATCAAAGGAGCTGATTTATCTTTTGGCCTATTTGAAAATGTGAAATTTGATTCCAGTGATCTCAGAGATGTAAATTTTACAAATTCCAATATTTTAAGAGTAAGTTTCAAAAATTGTAATATGAAAAACGTCGAGTTTGGCCAAGCTATCTGCGTGAATTGCAATAAAACCATAAAGCATTTAGAAATTTTTCCATCTGGAAGATATTTATTAGCTTTGTATAATAGCAGCTCTTTTATTAATATATGAGATACTGCAAATTGGAGTTTGGCAATGAGATTTGAAGGAAATAAAAATGAATTTATCAAATCCTTTATTAGCTCTGATGAACAACTATTGATTTCTACTGATATAGAGCACAACATTTTTATCTGAAATTTAGATTCAAAAGAAAATATCTCAATAATAAATAGAGGCTCATTTACTGATATTGCTTTTTCTCCCTGTGGACTATATATAGCAACTATGAAAACAATATATGAAGTTGATATTTTTAATTGAAATGAAAAAATCGAAGAAACTATTCGATATAATGACTCAATAGCTGATATTAAATTCTCTCCCTGAGGAACATATTTTTTGACTCTGACATATTATTTCAGCAACGTTATTGATCTCTACACTATAAAAAAGAAATGTCACAAAACAATTAAGGTTATATCTCGCCCCAAGTTTCTCGCATTCTCTCCTTGTGAAAAATTTATAATTGGTGAATCAAATAAGCAACTGATATTATGAAATATATCTGATTCTAGATATTATTTAATACATTATTGCTCCCAGCAAATAGAAGGATTGTGGGCTATGAATGATAAATGAATTTTGCTAAATAAGCATTTTATGGAAATTATTCAAACTGATACTTTAAGCGTGAAGAAACATTGATTCAATGATAAAGAAATTTCATCTATTGCAATCTCACCACATTCAAAGAGCATTTACACCAGCAGTAAAGATGGAATTATTAAAGTGTCTCCTTTAAATTAACACAAATAAAATGGCGATGTCACTGACCTACCCACTCCCGGAGCTGTTTCGATTTTGGGGACTTTGCTGCTGCTTGAAGTCAAACCGAGCAGGAAACGGGGATCTACGATATTGGGTACCGTTAGCAGCTGAACGAGTCTTCTACGAAGACTTGGGTGTGAGAGGTAAAAGAAGGAAGAGCCTTAATCTTAATTAATTTAATGCTAATGTCTCTTTAAATAAATGCAAACTTAGCTACTGAGGAGATCACCATTATGAAATTAGAGCAGTTGATTTTTCACCAAACTCAAAATTGTTTGCATCAGCAAGTACTGAAATCATTTTATGAGATGCGAAAACTTTTTTACCTATCAAAAGATCTCCTCGTCTGCATTTCTTCACAATCAAAGCTATAAAGATTTCATATTGTGGAGATTTCATTATTTCTTTGTCTGAAGACAGAATGGTGATGTGGAATATCAATAATTCTGAAGTCTTTAATGAACTAGAATTAGATATGGAATGCTATGGAATTAATGGATTTTGTTTAGCGCCTTCACAAAAGTTTGCAGTCTTTCAAAATGGGGTAACAATTTACATGATTGACTTTGAGTGCGTTGAGCTCATCCAAATTTTTATAGTAAATACATCATATGCTCAGTATATGAATCTTTGGATTTCTGAAGTCCCTGAAGATGCAGTTAGAGCTTTTTGGATAAATAAGAGTACCATTTTAAAAATCAACTATGATCATTCATACAAAAATGATATTATTGACGTAGGAGGAGCTGCAGATTTTGGAACTATATCACCATGTGGTAAATATCTTATATTTTCGCATAAAAGTAAATTTTTGGTAAGATGAAGTAACGATGAAATGAAAATTTTATCACTCCCCCACAAAAAGTAAAATTTCAATTCAAAGGGTTAAATTGTTTTTTTAAAGAATGAATATAAAATAGAAAATTTTTTTAAACGAATTTTTTAATTTTCTACCCAAATTGCTAACTTCAGTATCTAGCATGCGCGTCATCTTTAAAAATATAGCATAAAAATTTTGCTTTTAATTTCTATTCGTTATATGCATAGAAATTATTATTTTACTTTAAAAAAAATTGTTCTGGAAAGTTAATTTCCCCAAAAATGAAAAATTTTCCTAACTTAAAGGAGAGAGTCAGAAGAAAGCTGTTTTGATAAGCCTTCCATTATAATTTATTCACATAAAGGAAATTATATTGCCTTAGATAGTAATAATAAAATTACTATTAGAAATGCAAAAAACCTGGAACTAACACAAGAATGTTGTTATCACCAAGACATTATATCTTGCATTTCATTTTCTTATAAAGATGATCTGCTTATATCTGGAAGCAAAGATGGAACGATAAAAATATGAAGATTAAATCCATCTTCAACGAGTAAAAATTCTTATATTCCACGCAGCAAATTTTTATTAAAAGAAAATCCTATTATTATCTTTTAAGTCTAGGCAGATATCATCATTAATTTATTATGAAAAATTATAAAAAATTAATTACATATCAGAAATTGAAAGGCTAAATTATTATTCTGATAAAAATATAGGATGAAAAGTTGTATATTTCATTTAAAATGAATTTACCTGAAAAAGATTGGGATTATCACATTTTCAACAGCCAAAATCTTTATTTAGTCACTAGAAATCGCCAAACTGATATGCAAGAACTAATAATCTTTGATACAAAGCTTATGAGACTAAAAAAGTCCTACATTGAGGACCTGTCAATGGTTGATGAAATACAGAACATAGTAATGCTCCCAGAATCAAAATTATTTGCCTTTGCGCTTACCAATATAGCTTGAGCATCATATATGCTGCTTAGCCTTCAGCTCTCACGCCAAGCTGGGAGCTGCTGTGAAGTCAACTACAGTTGACAAGTCAGTCCTCTTTTGAGCAAAACTGAAAGATATTGCAGATTTGTCTAATTTAGAATTGACTCATCAACGATAGTTTAATTCACAAATTCACCATTTGGTCGGAGGAGCTAAAGACTAAGCAATCCATATGAATCTCAAGCTATAGTAGATCAACTCCAAACTTTTCATGTATAATTAACACCAGACATGGTATAATTGAAAAAACCTTCAATAGCGCTCCATGCATTCCACTATGCTCCACCTACTGCAATAACTCAGTCTATGTTTTTGGATGCAGTTCTGATAGGCTCACGAGTATTACGGCAAGGTTTGATTTTATCAATAATAAATGAGAAAAATTGCCTATAATTCCACTATCATGCAACTTTTCTTGCACTCCTTTTAAAGGGTCTATTTTGATTTATGGTGCAGAGCTGTATCATTTTGATACATCTACAGAATCTTATTCAGAAATCTCTCTGCATTACTCAACCCAGATTTGCTCAAAAATATTAATGACAGCAAATTCAAGAGTTTATATTTTTGAGTCTTACGGAAGTATTTTTGAGAGTGAAATAGGAAATGAATATTGTTGAAAAAACATCGGAAAATCTAAAATTCAAATAGAAACACCTGGCTATGTAAGTAATGTAATTAGCCAAGAACATATTTTTTTGGGGACATATATATTTCTTAACTCAAACAGAGTTATGCGTTGTTCTTATTACAAATTTGATTTAAAGAACAAAGGAGATCTAACTTATTTTGCGGAATTTGATTTTAAACTATTTTACTTTTAGATATTCAATTAATTCTTATTATATGCCTAAATGCCTTCATTTCTCTATTAGCACAATTTTTTGAAATAGTCTTGCTCATGTTAATCTTTAATTTAATGTTAATTTAATATAATCTTGCATAAATTTCTTTTTGCTTTCATAAGTGAAATGATTTTTAAAAGGTCAAAACGTCATAGACTCAATTTCATATGTAATAGCATCTAAAAATTTTTTTGAAATTTTAAATTAATTTACCATAGATAAGTAAAATGAAATTTTACCAATACATTATATAATTTTTCATTTAAATCTAAAATGATAATTACTGAATCCCAAATATTGATTCTAGAATCAGTTACAAGTTAAAAATAAAAATATAACATCTTTAAATAAAGTTTCTTATTTAAAATAATTATTCGCTGCTTTCGATTTTTTCTGCTTTATCAAAGCACTTCTGAGCTTCTTCATCCCTACCTAACTCCTTGAGAGAATTTCCTTTTTTCCTGTAATAAATAGCATTTTGAGGAGCAATATTGATTGCCTCATCATAAAGCTCAATCGCTTCTTTATGTCTTTTTTCTTTATTGAAGACTTCTCCAATATCATAGTATGCGTCCTCTTGGTCTGGATCAATATCAATGGCTTCATTGTAGCTCTCAATAGCTTCTTCATTTCTACCCAAAGCAAAAAGAGCATTTCCTTTGTTTATATAGAAATAGTAGCAGCTCGACTTTATTTTGATTGCTTCATCATAGTTCTTTATGGCTTCTTCATACTGTTTTTGGTTATAGAGGATAAGTCCCCTTCCATTGTATATTTCAGCTTGATTGGGATCAATTTTAAAGGCTTCATCATAGCACTCGAAGGCTTCATTGTCTCTGCCTAAGCTAAAAAGAGTATGCCCTTTATTTGTATAGTAGTGGGCGCAGTTCGGGTTGACTCTAATTGCGTTAGTTAAGAATACTAATGCTTCTTCATACCTCTTTTCACCGTTAAGTATACTTCCCATACAATTATATGCTTTTTCATCATTCGGGTTAAGTCTAATAGCTTCGGTGAAGCATTCTACTGCTTCTTCTTTTCTCCCCAGTTTATCAAGCGAAAAGCCTTTATCAAAATAATACATCCCATTATTAGGATTGTAATTTATTGCATCGTTAAAAGCTCTCAAAGATTCTTCATATCTATTTATACTGCTAAGAACAAGACCAAAGGCATTATACGCTTCATCGTCAGTTGGGTTCATTGAAATAGCTTTAGCTAGATTCTTCACGGCTTCACCTGGAACTTGCAAGTTATAATAATTAATTCCTTTGTTTTTATAATAGCTTGCATTTAATGGGTTAGCTTTAATTGCATTGTCATAATAGCTTATGGCTTCTTGAAATCTCCCTTTACCGCTAAGGATAGTTCCTATGCAACTGTAAGCTGAATCTTCATTTGGATCAATTCTAATCACTTCTTTATAGCATTCCATGGCTTCTTCTTCTCTACCCAAACTGTCCAAGACTTGTGCTTTGGCCATGTAATAATCTATTTCATTTTGGTTGATACCAATTGCAGTATCATAAGATTTGATGCCTTCTTCATATCTCCCTTGGCTATTAAGGATATTTCCTATCAGAAAGTAAGCTCTATCATAATTTGGATTAAGCCTTATAGTTTCGTAAAAGCACTTGATCGCTTGATCTTTGCAACCTGCTATATTAAAAGCAATCCCCGCATTTCAATAGTAAAATGGATTACGTGTATTGATGTTGATTGCAAGGTTGAAGTACTTTAAGGCTTCTGTGCAATTATTTGAATTTAAAAAGAAAGTCCCTATCCCAAAGTATGCTCGATCTTCTTTCGGGTTTATTTTGATAGCTTGAAGGTATAACTCCATAGCTTCTGCTTTCCTGCCTAAGTGATAAAACATTTCTCCTTTTTGTGCAAAGCAGGCTGTGTTGTTTGGGTTAATTCGGATTGCGTCGTTAAACCATTTTAAAGCCTCATCATAGTCTTTTCATACATAATAATAGAGATCACCTATTAAAAAGTACGCGAAATCAAGATTTGGATCGATTTTAATTGCTTCTTTATAATTGTCCATGGCTTCTTGTTTACGACCTAAGTTATCAAGAGTTAATCCCCTCTTCAAATAGTAGTTGGCATCGAAAGGGTTAACTCTTAGTGCTTCATTGAAGTTCTTTAGGGCTTCTTCGAATCTTTGTTTTTCATGAAGAAAAATTGCTATGTTGAAGTATGCTCGATCTTGATCAGGATCGATTCTAATAGCTTCGGTATAGCATTCGATGCCTTCTTCAGATCTGCCCAATTTATCAAGAGCTAATCCTTTCTGTGTATAATAGTAAGCACAGTTTGGATTAATCCTGATCGCATCGTTAAGATGCTCAATGGCTTCTTCATATCTTGCTTCGCTGATATGAATACTGCTTAAGGCAGCATGTGCTTTTTCTTCATTTGGATCCATTAGGACACTAATAAAATGGAGGGAAAGCCAACCTGCCCTCTTTACATTTGTAGCTGGACGAGAGTCTGGGGACCTTGCAGGAAGGAGAGCAGTGTTCGGTGAGTCAAACCGGACGAAGAAACTTTGTCTAGTGGAGAGCAATATTAGGCTAGCTGATTGAGAGGATGGGGTCATCAGGGGAAGAAAAGGTAGGTTTATTCATGCAGCAGCATTTTTACCATCAAAAATGTCGGAGGGGTTTTTTCATGTTTTCTTTTTCCACAAAAAAATTAATGGTTCTTCAAAAAGTATATATGAAAAACCTTTCTTTGATTTTTACCGGAAAATCCCGTTCGCTTAGCCAATCAGGAATATTCCTAGCGCGATAAGTAAGTTGAACCTGAGCTGCAAGTTTCATCTCGGACGATAGTATGACCAGAAAACTCGCTTTTTGAATTTTCGGTAAAGGTAACCCCATCGGCGTACTGCATGATGACTCTGTATCTCTACCTTCGGGTAGCAAGTGCAAACACTTGTCTGAAGGGAGTACACTAGTCTTAGGTTGTAGAACCAGACTTGTGAGTAAGGGACCTGGAAAGCTATTAGTGGCTGGCAAGAGCTTCTCTATAATAGCATAATGAATGAATGGATCAATTCGGATGGCTTCGGTGAAGCTTTCTATGGCATCTTCTTTACGGCCTAATGCATCCAGAGCAAGACCTTTCTGTGTATAATTGTAGGCACAGTTTGGTTCGTCTCTGATTGCATTGCTAAAATGCTCAATTTTGAGGACAAGCTCTTCAGCATTTGTTGCTTTTGTTTTATTTGAACCTGCAATAGTAGCTTCACTTTTGAATTCCATGGCTTTTACTTCTTCTTTATTTAAGCACTCAATTGATACTTCTTTATCCATAGAATTATTAAGCCATTTTGATCTAATAAATATGAGCTTAAATATTTTAAGAAATTATAGATCATTACTATTCTGATCTGCTGGCATTATAGCCATTACAATTTTTTATCTAAATGAAGGAAACTAGAAATTAGAGTTACAGCCCAATACAACTTTGGCATGGATTAATCAAATTACGAAGTTAGCGAGGCTGGCCAACCCCAACAACTTCCACACCACAACTCGAAGAAAATGAAGCTCTCAAGAGACCTTGAAACTCTGCCTAACTAAGCACATGAAGAGCCCTACAGAAAAATCAAGAAGCTAAAAAATAGAAATTTGACATTATGGAAGACTCAATGTTTTGGATTGGTAGCAATTTATTTTTAGTTGTTAGGTTTTAGTTAATTTTTTGTATAGCTAATATAATAATATATTGATTTTCTTAATAATTCAGAAAGTCCATAAATAAATTAAGCCTTAAATGATTCTATAGATATAGTATACGTTTTTAAATAGACGGTAAACCTTTACTTTTGATGGCCTTGGTTTGTCAATAGGCAAGGCCCATAATTGAACTTTAAGACTTTTTTTAACTAAATATGATCCTCTTATCTCTTTTTATAGGGATCGCTTCTTCATGTCTTAAATATCGATAAAGCGTAAATACAATTTTTGTAGTAAGATTCTAGTTTTTAAATTATCGGTATCTGTATTGTTCTTATACTTAGATAGATTTTAAAAAAATTATTTGTTAAAAGTCATTATTCGATAAACCAAAGTAGTGGCATATGCCAAATCTGATCGGCAAGTGAAATTAATTTTTTATATTAAATGATTTACAGATTCTGATAAATTTAAAGCATTTCTGATAATTATGGACATATTTGTATCTCACCATTTAAGCACCTTCAAGCACAAAAGTATCGAAATATCCCTGTTATGCATTATGATAATAGCTTCTGCCATTACCTAACTCCCCCCCCCCCCCCCTCCGTGAGCGAACAAAAAAAATTTTGTTCGCTCACGGAGGGGGGTTAATTTTTTTTTTTTAAAAAAAAATTTTATATATAAATTTTATAAAAAATATTTTTTTCGAAATTTAAAAAAATCCTAATTTGCAAAAATTGGGAAGCAAATATTAATTTAATTTGCAAAATTTATGTTTTAAAACGCAATTTGTTTAAAATTAAACAGAATTAGCTCTAGATTTCATTATACTAATTATCACTTATATATCAAAATTTTTTTCCATTAAAATTTTTTCTATTAAAAAAATTTTTGTTCACTCACGGAGGGTGGGTTTTTGGTCAAAAAATGGCGATTTTTCTAATGGTTTTGTTCGCTCACGGAGGGGGGGGGGGGAGTAAGTGAATTTTCGATATATACGTTCGATATATTCACTATTATGCCATATGAATTAGCTATTAGTTTTTGAAACCGCTAAATTTGCCTGTCAGCAAAGTGCTGTTAGATAATAATGACTTCTGCCATCACCTAAGCTGATGTTCAATATAAACGCTCGATAAATCAGCAGATTGGTGTGTATATTGCAATGGCGATTCCTGGTATCATGAATGATAAAAATGCACTTCCTGCTGCAAATAAAGCAGAACAAGCAAATAAGAGGCCCAATCAACAAACCCATTCCAGCAAAAATTTCCATAATCCCCATCACCTTAGTTAGCTCTCCTAATTAATCGCTTGCTAAAATTGTGTCTCCAGCTGTCATTCCACAGGCATATCCTATTCCTCCAATCATCCTTGAAATAAAACTTAAAATATGTAAAGAAGGAGCGTCAAAAAATTTATAAAGCTAATTGCAATCATTGATCCAGCCATAAGCCAACTCCGAGTGTCAATATAAACCTACGACCGAATTTTGCATGCTGTTGCCTAAATATCAGGACACTACAAATGCAAAAATCGGGTCTAAACTAAAAATGAAGCCTATTGCTCAGAAAGGGATACCTTTAGATTCAGCTATTTCAGGATAGAAAGGAGCAATAAATGTGTAAGAGCTGCAGCAGAGCAAACCTCCTATATAAATTGCTACCTAGCCAATTTTCTTTACCCAAATTTAAAGATGGGGTTTTTAGTATTTAAAAGCATAGAAGTTTCTTTATTAACTAATTATTGTCTTAGCAGAGTATATTATATAGGGCGATTTATTAATCTCTGACTCAAAATAGCATTAGCAGTTCGAATTTCTTCAAGTTCTTGTTGCATTTCTTTGGAATCGAAATCTACAGAATTTTCCAAACTACTTGCATCTTGATCAGTGCTTGAATCCTCTTGAGGCATGTATTTTTTCAACACTTTTAGAATTTCTTTTGAAGGCCTGGAATCATCAACTTGCTCCCCCAATCACTGCTGCAGCTTATATTTCGCTTCTTTATATTTAAGACTGTTAGAATCGCCTTGCATATTATTTTTTTCATAATATTCGAGTAGCATCCTTAGCAAATCAGGATTATTGTGCTTTATAATAAATCAAAAAATTGCTCCGTTCTGAAAACTAATGTCGATGTTTGGATCTGCGTTCATAGCATCGGCAGCATCCACAATATCGTTTTCCATACATGCTGATAAAAGCTCCATCCAATAATTGACCCTCATTTTAATTTTATTTAATTTATTATATTATATAGGGTTTTACCCTTAATAGCCCAATAAGGGCTCATGATTCCCGGTGGAATCATCGAGTTGGTCCGAACAATGCACTAAGTTGGTTAGATCAACTCGATGATTCCACGGGAATCATCTGTTCTTATCGGGCTATTAAGGGTAAAAAACCTATAATTGAATTAACCTTTCAGTAATTTCTGACTGGAACTTGTCATAAATATTAATTGCATTTTGATATTATGAATATCTTAGGGAAGAATTTCATTTAAAATCTTATCCTAATAAATATTTCTCATAGATTTGCCAAATTTTTTTACTATTTAATATATTTTGATCGAATTTAATTGCTTTTGGATATGTTTCAATTTTTCATTAATGTTTTATAGCCCGTTTCCGGCAAAGATCGGGCATAGCCCGATCTATAGCCGGGAATGGGCTATAGCAAATGTATGGATCTAAGGATTTGCAAATTCTTAAGGGATATTTATCTCCTACAAAACACAATTGCTAATTTTTACATTGTTCGAAACGTCTTTAATTAGCTCAGATGTTGAAATGTCCTCAATAAATTCTAAATCACTTATGTAAAAACCTATTTTTAGAGATATGCCTAGGCAGTCCCGATATTGGCTAGCATTTGGGCTAACATTATTTTTGCTAAGTGGTGAATAAATCCTTAATTCGTTTTCTGAACATTTAATTTCAACATTTAACCCTATAACCAGCTTATTTAGCTTGCTTGACAAATGCTTAGGAAGTTCGAGTTAGGGGATCAACTAGCAAATATGAATCGCTTGAGTTTTTAAAGAGTAAAATAACTTGAAGTTCAGGAATTCCGTTGGAATCAAAATTTATTTCGCCAGTATCACTTCTCGATATTATATCCAGTAGAGTTATTTTTCTTCCCACAGTGATAGCGTGCTTAATCAGCTGCCCCCTTCTGATGGGTGAAGTATAATTCCCGCTGCACTTTTAGACTTTGACCTTTCTTTGCTCCCAGAGGAGCTTGGATTTTTCATGCTTTCCTTTGCTCTTCATTCTTTTGGCTTGGATTTAGGGAATTCTCATAATTGACTATACAGTTTTTTAATTTATTCAGATCTAAGCTGTAATGGCAGATTTTTGTTGCACCATTGCTAAATGATCTTTCACTTATCGACATTTCCATACATTCGGTTTGGCTTTCATAGGTGCTTAATCTCGAAAGTTGTTCATTCTATTCATCAACTTTCTTTTCCATCAGACACATAAAGAATTATTTAAATATTTGGCGTCTCCTAACGAAAAAACTCGCTCTTTACGTCTTCACCTATTAGATTCGCATATTTATTGAGGATAGATTGGGAACTGCTTATTTTTTGATAAGCTTTTGCATTCTTTGCGATGAGCTTAATGTCCCTTAAAAGAAATTGTTGTTATAGATCTCAACACCGCGGCGAAATGCTCCCTAAATCCTCTCTCTTGGCATTCTGTTTCTTCTGTTAAAGAAAGTTCCAAGTTCATTATTTTTATTCGAAGCCCCAAAAATTTTAATTCATTTAAGTATTTAAAATCAAAGCGTTTCTTTATTAACTAATTTTTGTCTTACTCCCCCCCATTTAATAACGAACAAAACCGTCATTTTTTTTCCTAAAAAATTTTTTCTTAGGCCCCATTTAATAACGAACAAAATTTACTATAAAATTATATAAGCTAATTTAGTCTCTACAGTTTACTAATTTTAAGTAGTTAGGGTAAAACAAGGACAAGTATAATCGAGCAAAGAATAATAAATAAGAGCTAATAATTTATTAATGGCTTAATCTTAAGCTGGCTCTTACTCCCCCTCTCCGTGAGCGAATAAAAAAATTTCGTTCGCTCACGGAGGGTTTTAGTTTTTTTATATAAAAAATTTATAGACAAATATTAATTTAATTTATAAAATTTATGTTTTAAAACGCAGTTTGTTTAAAATTAAACAGAATTAGCAAATGATTTCATTATAATAATTACCGTTTATATATCAAAATCTTTTCCATAAAAAATTTTCCGAAATTTTAAAAACACCTAATTTGCAAAAATTGGGAAACAAATATTAATTTAATTTATAAATTTATGTTTTTAAAACGCAATTTTTTAAAATTAAACAGAATTAGCCAGAGATTTCATTATAATAATTATCGCTTATATATCTTACTTAATTATTAACTGTGTTTAACGCCATTTACGGGGTTGCCCCGACCCAGAGCTTCCCGCTGCTTCTTCGCCGCACAGGGCCCGCCGACCGTCTGGGGGCCAGTCAGCCTCCGAGCAGTGTTGCAGACTAAGGCGGTATCGCTTATATATCAGAATTTTTTCCATAAAAAAATTTTTGTTCGCTCGCAGAAGGTGAGGGATTTTTCTATTGTTTTTATTAGCTCACGGAGGGGGAGTTAGCAATAGTTATCTTTTCGCCTGCATTTAGGCGATTTCTCTTTCTGTTGTCATCATTTGATTCCTTTTATTATTAACTCTTTAATTGAAATTTTGATATAAAAATCATAGATGTTTAATATAAATTCTATATATATTTTTTTCCAAAAATTTTATAAGTGAGACCCCATTTAATAACGAACAAAAAAAGTGTTCGTTATTAAATGGGAGGGAGAGTTAGCAGAGTATATTATATAAGGCAATTTATTAAACTCTGGCTCAAAATAGCATTAGCAATTCGAATTTCTTTACGTTCTTGTTGTATTTCTTCGGAATCGAAATCTAAAGTTTTTTTTTTAAAATCAAGTCACAATCTATCTAATCATCAGATACAGTAAAAATTTGTATCTTGATTTTTTAAGTGTTTGTATTGTGGTCATTAAAATAGAGTATTGTTTCAGTTCTAAGCAATAATCAATGCTAATTGCTATTTAGCCTACTTTTAAAATTGACTAGAATCGTTATATTTGATTCTATTTAAGAATGTCTTTGAAGATAAATTTTAATCAAGCCTTATAAATTTTTCAAAAAATAGTTAAAATCCTAAGCCCCCTCAATGTAAATTTATTAAAATGAGATGCTGAAAATCTGACTGCTACGAAAAAATAGAGGTATACTGTCCTCACGAAAAAAGCTGTATACTTTCCTGCTCTTTGCACATTGGGGCACACATTATTACAAAGTCAGAAGATGGGCACCATCCTGAAGCAATTTACTCTGATTCTGCTTGTGAAGGAAAATCACCTTTTATTAGTCATTTAGTTGCTGCTATAATGGCTTCATATAAAGCAAAAACAGAACTTATGAAAGAGTTTAAAGCCAAACTTTCAACTTTGGTTAATTTATATATTAGAGAATTTAAGCAAATTTCCTGTGCCCAATCTGAATTTATAGGTATGCTAAATCAGCTCATTCCAAGCTCCCAAATTCGTTCCTTATCTTTTGATGAATTTCCAAAAATAACAGGAAAATCATCTTTTATGTTTAATAATAAAATTAAGCCAATTGACAAAAGTAATGAAATCGAGCTCGAAGCATTTGAATATAGCGAAAGCACAGATCAAAACGATTTAAGCATAAAAGCCCCAAATCCAAAAGAAAAAATAAACAAATCGCTGCCTCCAGAAATAGTTATATTTGACCATAATACAGATAAATTTCTCAAAATCAATCTAAAATCCCTTGAAGCAACTACAAAAAGTTTTAATTTGAAATCAGTTTCTCTTAAAGGACTTATCATATGTGAGATTCAAGATAATAAGTACTTTTGCCATCACAGCAATAAGCTGGGATCGCGAACTTTTATAATTGACTTTGATGACCATATTAAATTTATCGAGTCGGGAAATTATTGCAGCGCAACTTATGCGTATTTCTATAAATATTCTGTGTATCTGTTTGGAGGAAAAAATTCTAATAACGAGCCTATGAGCCTTGCAATAAGGTTTCACACTGTAAATGAAAAGTGACAGAAAATAAGTCCGATCCCGAAGCCAGCAAGTTTTATTTCCTGCGTTTCTTCTCAATATAAATTGCTATTTTCTGGGTTTGAGCATTCCAAGCTTTACTCTTACAGCATAAGAAGAGGAAATTACAATGAATTACTAGAATTAAAGCCAAATAGCCCCAAAATCCTTTGCAAATCCTCTACAACTATTTTTGTAAGCGACTCGGATTATATTTGGAAAAGTGAAGTCAATTCTAACTCGGCAACATGGCAGAAGATTGGGAGGTCTCCAATGTTGCCACATTGAAGCTTATCTAATTATACATACTACGCAATGTCTATTTATTTTGTAGATGAAGAATTTAATATGTATCAATTCAATCTGAAGGAAATGAGCATGTCGAAGCTTGACTTTTCTATTATTTAAAATAATTTAACATATTGGTAAATAACTTTTGTAAGGTTAATATAAAAATATGATAAATTTATATATCACAACTTAAGATATATCTTGGACGCGTAGTACAAATTCATCATGCGACAAAAAATTTCTATTTGTGTTGTCGTAGTCACGGATTTCTTCGTCTAATTTTGACTTATTAACTGGAATTGGTTGGATCTCTTCTTGGAGTGAAATTCGGCTCTCCATTCTCTCCCTTATAGATTTGTTGATCTCTGCAGCTGATATTTTACTTCCTAGAGAGAAACGGAAGAATATTCCAATGTCTGGAGCTTTATCACCATATAGCAAGCTCGGACAATATTTCCATTGAATTAAAAGTCCAGAAACCAATAATGCAATCCAACCTATATACAATGAAGAAATCCAGAGGAAAATATTTCCTTCATATAGCTCGAGTCAAAATATTGAAGAAATCACAACGTTCCATAAAACCGCAAGATAAGAAATCAGCACCCAGAGGTTCAATCTTTGGTAGTTATAAGGCTTCTTCTTCATACACCATAAGAAAAATACCAATAATGCAAGAAAATAAATAAAACCATATAAAGCTTGGTCTACAGGTTTTAACGCCTTATTCATGAAAACCAAAGCCACTTGAAAAACACTTTTCAGCATAAGATACGCTGGCCGTGTCTTTATTTTCATCATGTCATCAGCGTGGTCTCAAAAGGGTCTATAAAACACAGCAAGTGGTAAATATACCAGCAAAGCAGCTATTGAAACAGCTGCCCAAGTGAGATGAGTGCCTTTCCAGCAATAAACTGTACAATCACTATGAACAAAGCTTTCATCTAAATCATTACCTATTCCTTCATTGCATTGAAATACACTTAAAAGCACTGAAATTATAGGTAAGAAGCACGCATTTCCTATGAGTGGGATTCCCATTCTGACAATTCTGTCACTGTTTATGAAAGCTATTTTCCCAATAATCCTATTTTGAATTGCAAAGGTTGGAATAATTGCGAAATAAATTCAGAGAAATATACCAACGACAGCTGAGGCAACATAAATCCAAAAGCTCTTTCCTACCGTTACCCAGCCGAAATTCAGCGCAGCATAATTAGCTAAAGTGTATGAGTAATTATCGAATTTTTTGATGTCTGGCCCCATAGAAAGGTACTGAAGAAAATCTGTATAAATCATTCCCATCACAAGAAAATCGTCGAACTTAATTCGAGTTTTTTCAATAAGATCCTTGATTTCTATTCGCCATCATTTCTTTCAAATATAGTAAGTGATGATTATGGTTGAAAGTAAAACTCCTGAGCCAACTCCGTATAAAACTGCAGACCCTTTTTCAGAATACTGTCTTAGACTTTTATCAAACGGACATCCGTCAGCATAAACAATTTTTGCACTTGGAGTGCTTGTTTTATTATTATACCATATGATATCGTCGAAAAAGGTTATAAGCTGCTCACTTGAGAGATCATATGTGGCTACCCACCAATCATACATGCTATCTGAGGTGCTATTTCACCTCATGTTGTAGATCCCAAATGCTATTACACTTCGTTCATTGCTGCCATTCTCGATTGAAACAGTGCCTGAGCAGCCGACGAATCTTTGCTTTCTTAAATTTGCGTTCAAAATTTTGGAATCTTCAACATTTTCTCCTACATTTAGTGTAAACTTTATTCCGCTCATCAGCAGCATTACCGAGTCAAAGGAAAAGCATCTATTGGTTAGAGACCCTGGATAATTCGCAATTATTCCTTTTTTTACCTCTTTTCCCAACCTCTGCAGGTAAAATTTTGCACCTCTAAAAGGGAATTTTCCTGACGCAGCACCTGGCTTCGGATGTCCTGCAGAGGTTGAAGGCGAAGCGGCTAGAGCAGAATCACAAAAGCTAACTGGAAAGAGTGACTAGCAAATCCCAAATCTGTAATTCTTACCACACGGATCGTCCACGGGCAATCGGCGATAACCGGAGAGGGGACCCTGGAACCTGGAGGATGAGAACTGTACAACAATCCGTAATTAGTTTAAGATGATAACCCCCTCGGATGAGCTCGATCGTTCTGATCATTATACAGATCAGAATTCTGATCAGAAATCAAGTATATAACTATAACGATAACGACCTCTTTTCCAAGCTCTCCAACTCAATCTGCTTGATCTACCACAATGGATCCATATAGTAAATCGTAGAGCTTTGCTCTCTGCACAGGATCTTTTTCGATAACTAAATTTTCAGTAATTCTTGACGGAAATATGAAAATCGCTTCTCCTCTTCTGAGTCCTGCATCATAAAAATCTTCAATAAAGTAAAATTCGTCTGGAATCATGATAAACATCACAAAAATGCGAACTTTCAAAGAAATCAGATACTCCATCAAAGGTTTATGCTTATCATACATTTCGTGCCTATAAGGGCTAGCCACGACCCTCTCTGTGTTCACGATTTTTATATCTGATTTTTTAGTTTGATTCAAATAATATTCATAAGCCAGATTCGATCATGTATTATTTTGATAAATAACACATATACTTTTTCAGTCGAAGACTGAAGCCAGTGCAATAAAAGCTCCGGAGTTGTATCGAGAATCCTTCATGATTCTCATAAACTCAGGATAAGATTGCTGAGATGCCAAAACTCCAGCTGCTCCGTTTTCGGAAATGTGAGGGATTGAAACATTTAAAGCCCTTAATGAAACAATGTTTCCTACACATAGCAAAGGATATGAGGCAGAGATTAGAGCTATCCCAAGCTGCCTTCTTACTTCCACCTTTAAACTAGAAAAAATTGAGTAAATTTCTTTTTGGGCAAATTTGCCTCTTTAAATTGAACAAAGTTTAATTTTTATTGGTTAAAATAATGATTATTTGAAAATATCTTTGATATTAAATTTAATATCGCAAATTTATCCATGAATTGTTTCTTTTAAATTAGGGAGCGCAAGTAGAACCAAGCCAGCATTAAATTGATAAATTTTATAGATCCTCTCATTATGAAAATATTTAAGCTAATGAATCCATTTTAAACTAGAATAGATTTGTTTTTTCAAAATAAAAGAGAAGAGATAGGCGCGCAAAACATTGAATTGAGAAACTTGCATTATAAACTTCTGCTCCGCAGTCAGTGTGTGTGATTGAAATCTGAAAATTGTCTAGAAAATGTATAGTAATTTCGCCTATATTGCCAGATATGGGTCGAAACTTGAGAGCATTTCCTCTCAAGTTGGTTTGACCAACTTAGGCTGGCCAAACTAACCAGACAGTTTAGGGAGTTTCCCTCTTCTGTTGGTTTGGCCAATCTAAGTTGGCCAAACCAATTTGAGAGGAAGTGCTCTCAAGTTTCGGCCCATATCGGGCAATATAGGCGAAATGTCTATATCTTTTGCAAATAGCTAAAAGCGTATCTAGCCCCATCCTTCACAATATATGACGTCGAGCTATTAGTAGAGCCTGGATTTGTGACTCCATCTGCCATAGATACTGTAATATTTGTATAAGGAGAATTGGGAGGAATTGTAGAATTCCCTGGAAAAAGAATTGGCCTGGTTAGAGTTAAATTTCCTGATGTAATGCTTCCTGAGGGGATTTTAGTTGAATTTAGAGTATTTATAAGCATGAATTTCTGAGCTGGGTGATGATTCACTGTGTTTTTTTCCAGAAGCTCTCTTATCGCAATATTCGAAAATTCGTTAAAAGAAATTACTTGACGAATGAATTTTTCAACAGCTAGGGCCTCATAATTATAATAGCTAGTAGAATTTTGAAGGCCTGATTCAATAACAGCTACAAGGCCACTTCCTTGGAGTCCTCAAACACTTTGACTTGCAAGTAAAACCCCAGTGCCTTGCGTTAATAAATTTTTTGATTTTAAACTTGAAATTATCTTTGTGGCGCCTTCTCCTTTGTTGAAAATTATAAAGTTTTTAATACCAGTTGGCTTAATTGCTTTACCTATCAATAGATCAGCTGAATCTTGACTGCCCTCATCAGAAAAATAGAAATTATAAATGTCTTTCTTAAAAACCTCTGCAGATGTAGAAGCAGTCATTGGATCAAAATTTAGGTCTGAGATGACCACAAATTTTTCTCATTTGAAATAAGAAATTAAGCTAAAAATTGCATCAGCGTGGTCTGATAAAGGGTTGTGAATAAAAAACTCCCAAAAATCGTAATTATCACTTGGAGAAAAAGAGACCAAAATAAATTGCTTTTGCTTTGATAACTCTTTAAGAATCCGAGCGAAAGAAAGGCTAGAAGTGAGATCCAGAGCGATAGCTGGGTTAACTTTTCGATTTAAAATGCTTAAGCTTGACTTAATTTCTGTTTGTCTTAAATCAATTTGGCTGTTGAGCTTTATTCTTAAATTGGTTGAAATGCTTGTCATAAGACTTGTGTCAGTGTGTGAACTAAAAAATATTTCAACTAGCAGTTGGCTTTGTACCAAGGCCACGAGAGTTAAACTAGCTATAACTTTCACCATTATTATATAATACCAGTTTCATAATTTAAATTATTCAGCTTATAACACATATTGTCTAATAAAATTTTTTGAAAAGAACTATGATTTTTCGAGCTTTAGTTTATAAACTTTTTAAGTTTAAAAATGCATATCAAGAGCTTGAGAAAAGAAAATGTAGTGGTTACATCTAAAGTCCCATTTTGTCCAGTGCACTATACAAAACAGTAAAATTATTAGCATTTCAAGTGCTTGAAGATATAAAAAAAACCGGCTAGATACTATTCTTTATATCTTTTTCTGAAAAAGTTCTATTTGAATTTGGTTAGAAAATTCGAAATTTTCAAGAAATAAATAAAGAATTAATAAATATGTAACTTTTTTATAGTTTGCTAGCTTTTCAAGAGCTTAAGTTAAAGAATAACATAAACAAAAATTATAAATCCAATTATTTAGCTGAAATTTAAAACTTTCTGGTTTAAATTTATTTCTGTTTTATTATTCTAATTGACAAATTTTCACAAATTTTCTATAATGATTAATGATCCAAAATCACTTATACTCCTTAAGCTTTCAGATTTTTATTTCAATAAATTTTTTTTCTTATTACGCTGCTATATTTTCGAATTTCTTAAAATCAATGAAAAGAAAATTCTAGCCATTTTAAGCATGCTATGACTTCTTAGCAAAAGGTGAATTCAATAAGATAAGAAGAAATAACCTTACTTAAAAATCAGTAATTGACGTCCAAATAAGATATTATACAAATAAATGGCCTATTAAATAGAAAACATATGATAATCAGAAAATTAAAATTATACATTTTAGATGTTTTAAACTTTAAATCTCATAAGCTTTTGCTTGGAAAATAATTAAATTGGTTCAATGGTAAAATTTTGTAGTTTTACTTGCAGCATTTCTCTTTAAATTAGATTTTAGCATCTATTCGTCATATTCATTTGCCATTACCATATAAAATTTTTAAGCATTAGTGAAACCAAATTATGAAAAATTGAATTTGTGTGCGCTCTATTTTATTGAAAATGCTCTTCAACGCTTAGCAATTTTAGACATAGACTCTGAAATAATCAAATTTTCTTTGTTGTGAAAGAAAGTAAATTCAAATCTAAATCTGTTAATAAAATATGGGTGCATAAAATTAGAGCTTCTTCAAAATAATCTTGTATGAGTAGCTTTAAATAAAGAAACGAATTAAGGGAAATTAGAAGTACTGCAGGGCGATTTGCAGCAGAATTATTATTAGCAACTATGCTAAGCCAATAAAAGATTCTTTCATAGCCTAATTAAAATCGTAGAAATATTTTATGCCTTCAAGCACCATTATTTTTAAAACAAATTGACTATTCCTTATTCTATTAATTTTTATTATTTATCTCTGATCAATCAATCTATTCTCACTTGAACCTTTCTTTTGCTCAAAATCTTCACTTTGGCTTCTAGAAAGATCAATAGCATAGCCATGACTATTTAAAATGTTTTCCCTACTATCATAAGCAAGATATTTTTTGTCAGATCTTTCTTTATTCCATCTATTAATTTCTTCAGCTTTAACTATGTGACCTAAGGAAAACTTGAACAATATGCTAATATCAGTCGCTTTTTCTGTGAAAAGTAAGCTTGGGTAGCGCTTATATTGAAGGAAAGCTCCTATCGTTATCATTATTCCCCATCCAATATATTGGAGAATGACCCAAGTTGATACTGATCTATAATAAAGAACCCAATATAGCGAAGATAAGGCCGCGCTTCAAATAATTGCACAGTAAGAAACAGTCGTTCAAAGATTACACCTATCATAATTATAAGGCTTTTTCTTCAAGCAGAGATAAATAAATCCCAAAAATGCTATTATGTAAATCAGCCCATACAATGACTGATATTGTTTTTTTAATGTTTTATTTAAAACGATAATAAAAATCTGAAGCAAACTCTTAGCAATAAGGAATAATGGTCTTGTCTTAATATTGATATCATTGTTTGAATTATCCCAGTAAGGTCTGAAGTAAATTGCTAGAGGCAAGTAGAGAATCAGCGCTATAATTGAGGAGATTGCATTACGTAAATGAGTTCCTTGCCAGCAAAATACAGAGCAGTCTTTTCTTACAAAGCTTTGGGAAAGATCATTGCCAATAGCTTGATCACATTGAATTACATTTAACAAAACAGATACAATTGGAAGAAAGCCAGCATTGCCAAGTATAGGCATAATTAATTTTGCAAAACTTCGAGAATATTGAAAAAAGAAATTATTGAATTTTCCTTCGAACTTAAATATAATGATGAAGCTGAAATAAACCCAAAAAATTAATGCTAATAGGACTGCTTCTACATAATACCAAAACTTTTTCCCTTCAGTTATTCATCCTAAATTAATAATAGCGTAGCTCGATAACCAGCTAGACAGTTTATCATATTCGCCAATATCAGGGCCTATTGCCAAATACTGCAAGAAATATAAGAATATCATGAGCATAGCAAAGTAGTCTTCAAGCTTTGCCAGCACTGGGGCTGTTAATTGGACAATATCAATATTTCACCATATCTTCGATATTAAAAAAGTAATAAAAGCCGTTACAATTATGATACCGAAACTTATCCCATAAAGGATCCCTGCACCTTTTGTGGAGTATTTAATTAATTTTTTATCAAAAGGACATTCGCCATCTGTAACAATATTAGACGGAATAGAAGTGGCATTATTGTATCAACTGATGTTTTCAAAAAAATTAATAAGTTGGATACTTCCTCTATCATATTTTCCTACTAAATGCTCGTATAAAGATGATATAGTTTGATTATATCTAATATTATATATTCCCATGATTGCTATGCTCCTGTCATTAGATCCCGGCTCAATTGAAACAGTGCCTGAGCAACCCGTGAACCTTTGCTTCCTTAAATTCGTATTTAGTATTTTGTTGTCTTCTGGGTTTTCTCCTTGATATAATGTGAACTTAATTCCATTCGCAAGAAGCATTGCAGAATCAAAAGAAAAGCACCGAAACACAACGCTTTCAGCAGTGGAGCCATATATTTTTTCGTAGCCATCTTTTATTTTCTTACCATACTCTCCAATTCAGTCTAATTGGTCTATTAAAACTGACCCATACATTAATTCATTCAATTTCAAAACTTGTGTAGGATCAGACTCAGAGAGTAAAACATAAGCGACCCTATTATAAAACATAAAAACTGCGTCCTCTCTTCTCATTCCAAGATCATAAAAATCTTCGATGAAATAGAATATACCAGGCGGAAGGATAAATAGGATATAAATTCTTACCTTCGTACTCAAAGCATCTTCCATTCAGTTTTTATATTTCGTCACATCTGTATGCTTATAATTAGTATTTATCATTCGTTGATTGGCATTATTGACTATGCTGATATCTGAGTTATTAATCAAACCTTCAAATGCTTTGTATGCAGCAAAGCTTCCAGGTGAGTTTTCATAAAACGAGATGACGCTTTTTCAGTTGAAAACTGAGATCAGGCTAAAAATCACTCCTGCGTTATATCGGCTGTCTTTGTAAACTCTCATAAACTCAGGATATGCAGTTTCATTAGCTAATGGGGCGCCTGGGGTATTAAACTTAGACTTAGATTAATTAATTTAACTCAAACTCTAATTTGCAGAATAATGAGTTCCATTTTTCCTCGATTTAGTTGCCACCTCTGATTTTTGAAAGGCCTGACAGTATCATTTCTTCAAGCCTCCTCGAATTAATCTGAGAGCCTACGAGTTCGGAACCACCAGAGGCTTGACAAGTTGCCTCGCTCAATCCTATTTTTCTCCAGCACCTATTTCGATCTAAGGGTTCTGACTTTAGATGCCTGTATGATGCAAAGTAAGAAAACCTTCTCACTTCTTTCCTATAAGATAGAGGGTCCATGCGTAAAAACCTAGCCTATAATAAAATGGAGAGAGAAAATTCGCAGAGTAAATTTTAAATCTCATCTAACATTATATTATTATGAGCGCCTGGCGTCAGATCTGAAATGTGCGGAATTGAAATATTTAGGCTTCGTAAGGAAATAATATTTCCAATGCAAGCGTTAGCATTATATGATGTTAAAAGTGCAATTCCAAGATTGTCTTTCAACTGCTTGAAGCAATTCAGAGAATATGTTTTGCTATAAACTTCAGCCCCACAGTCTGTATGAGTTACTTGAAACTCGAAGCCGTCTAAAAAATGTGTTTGATTAATATAGGATAATGCATAATTCGCACCCCATTTAATGATATGAGAATAAGGACTACTTTGAAAACCTGGATTTGTGACTCCATCAGCCATTGAAATGCGGATATTTGTAATGATTGAATTAGGAATTAATGAAGAATTTCCAGGAAAAATAATTGGCAAATCCAATTTTAAGCTCTTTTTATAAATTTCTCCAACTTTTACTGGCTGACCCTTTTGAATATTCACTAATGAAAATTTGGGAATAGGATGATGATTGACAGTATTTTCTTCCTATAGTAATAAAATGGCAACATTTCCTCTCCAAGCTTCTTTTATTATTTTGAAGTTCGTTTTTCCCCCAGAGAATTCTTATCCAAATATATCAACACTCAATAATGAGGAGAGGCGTACAGTTTCTTGGGTATTATGAAAGGTTTAGAATTTATCACTCAGTATACCAGAGGAAGGTATTTTCTAGGCAAAAATCACGTACAAGCTTATAAAACAAGAGAGCAAGGCTTCATGTGAGATTTGCAGACGAGCTGGTAGTTTTTTTTGAAAAGTCTACCATATATTTCGCCATTTTTAGTGATAGAATAGTCTATGACGTCACTAGTTTTAGGCTGATCTCTCTTTTTGAGAGTGATACTAGAAACTTTAAGCACCTGAATAAAATTGTATTTTCTTCCAAAAATCGCCTTAATTCGAGCCTGCTAGAGACATCACCAAATCCCAAAATAAAATTAACAAATTTTATACAACCCAAAACTTCATAGCTATTAGAGTCAAAGGAACTCTCCAATCCATCTTCAATAAAAGCTAAAATACCATCTTCCCTAATTCCCCATAAACTTTTGCTGCCTAAAATAATTCCGCTCCCAGCCACAAAAAGGTTTTTATTTTTTAAACTTTTCACTAATTTTTCAGTGGTTTCACCAGTATTTAAAATTACAATATTTCTTACTCCAGTTATCTTTATTTCTTTTGCTATAAAGTTGTCAGATGACACTTGGCTTGCTGTATCTGCAATACTATGGAATAGAATGTTTTTATTTCGAAATCTAGATGCGAACTGATTTTGAATTTCATCAGAAATAACTATACTAATTGCCCGAGGATGGCGCTATCTTGAGCCATCCTAGGGCAATTCAAAAATGGCCCCACACCGGGAATTGAACCCACCTGTGGGGCCATTTTTGGTGTGTGTAGAACATCGACTTCCACGCACCAAAAATGGCCCCACACGTGGGTTCAATTCCCGGTGTGGGGCCATTTTTTCAATTGCCCGAGGATGGCGCAAGATAGCGCCATCCTCGGGCAATTCCTATATGAATTTATCTCAATTTAAATAATCAGACAAAGTGAGCATTGCATCAATATGTGATCTCGCTAGTCTACATTTCTATCAGATGTTTTAATACTTAAAATTTCCTAATAGATGTTGCTCAAATTTTTTCTAGTAAACATTTGATCGAAATAACTTTTTTTTTTTCAGAGAAAATGCCTCATTATCTAAAAAGATCCAACTGAATTCCCTGACTCCTCAACCCCCGTGAGAGTGAAAAAAATTTGTTCGATCACGGAGGGGGAAAATTTTGTTTTTTTAAATATAAATTTTATAGAAACAAATTTTAAAAAATCCTAATTTACAAAAATTGGGAAGCAAATATTAATTTAATTTATAAAATTTGTGTTTTAAAAAACGCAATTTTTTTAAAATTAAAACAGAATTAGCTCGAGATTTCATAATATTAATTATCGTTATTTGCCTGTTTTTGAACTTTACCACCTAAGTGTGGAATTTTTTCCGTGTGCGAAAAGAGAATTCCACATGTGAAGCCCCTTTTGATTTCACATGTGGAATCCTCTTTTCACACACGGAAAAAATTCCACACTTAGGTGGTAAAGTTCAAAAACAGGCAAATAACGATATCATTTATATATCAATTTTTTTTTCATGAAAAATTTTTTGTTATCTCACGGAGGTTTTTTGGGGATTTTTCCAATGGTTTTGTTCGCTCACGGAGGGAGGAGTGAGGAAATTCCTCAATATTGAAACACTCCGATCAAATTGCATGCAGTCGATCTAGACATCGTACATCTTTTGATAATTTTTTTCCAGAAGACATTTTTCTCGAAAACATTTGGTCTTTCTCTTGTCAAAATTACCTCTAAATTGTTTATTTTTCTATCAAAATTTGGATGCATAGTTTTTTCCTCGAGACTTTTTTGCTACTTGAAAAGTTTTATTTGGATTTTTTTTTCGAGCAATTGTTTCAAGGGATAAAATTTGATTAGGTTTACAGAAATGCTACTATAAAATTCTCGATCAAAATGGCATATAGCCCAAAACTTTATTGATCCTCCCTCTTTATATTGAAAAAAGCATAGTTAAAATTTTTATCTCTTGGATACTTTAACCAGCCTTTAAATTCGAACAAAAAATTTTAAATAGAAAAATTTTAACTAATTTTTATAAATTATTTTTGACCTAATTTAACAGAAAAGTTCAAGTAGAATATTATTTAAATAGATTCCATACTGAATGGATAATTTTTTGAATTATTCTTTATAAAATAATTAAAATTGATAATATTATAATTTTTAGTTTTTTAAAAATTTTATTATTAAATTGAAAAGTATTTTTGCTATAATTTATAAGTAAGGGAAATTTTTAAAAAGATAGTATCGAATAAATATCCTGAATAAAAGTACTGTACCCAATCTCGCTGCTATGTGGGTAAAAAATTGCCAATCTGAATAAAAATTTTTTGGGTTTTCGATACTAATTACAATCGATTGAGTTTCGGAGCTAAATTCCTTGATGCATCCTTCAAAATAAATGCTTGAGGTCAAGTCAAAAATTACATGAGTTTCTTCTCCTAAACCTGATAAATCTGTACAAGAAGAAACGTAATATTTTTTTAAGTTTATTTCTCCTCTTGTGAAGTATTGCTCAAGAGAATTTGATACAGCTTCAAGAAGGCTCATGCTTGTAAAGTTGCTATAGAATACTCCTATAAGAAGCTGAGAGAGAATAAGTGGCATCAAAAGGTAAAAAACCCAATACTTAATCATATTTATTGATCGAAAAGAGTAGAAAAAAAACAATTAAAAAATTTTGTTATCTCAAAATCATAATATTAATTTATCTGTTATTGATTTTCCCTATTGCGTTTAAATTTAAAAGAGATGTTTCAAAATTCAAAAGGGTTATGTCTTTCATTGCTATCAATATAATTAAGTAATGATTAGAAAACATTAAAAATTGCAATTATTTCTTTAGATTATTAATTAGTACCTTTATGTTGAAGAAATCATGCTATAAAATTAAAATAAATTATTAATCAATCTAGAGAATTTAAAACCTATTCTTTGAAAGATTATTATATTTTAGCCCCAATTAGACTTCTTGAAGAGCTTATATCAATTGCACTATTATCTTGCTCCTCAACCAATAAACTACTAACTCTATGGGTAAATAAATTATTTGGCGCATTTGAAATGCTGAGAACACTATCTTGAGTAATTTTCTTTAGCTTGGTTTTTTCAATCACTGAGGGTAAATATTTTTTTCTATGGGATCTTTCTCGATTTGATTCGTTTATTTCTGAGGCAAGAATTGTGCTCCCGAGTGAAAATCGGAAAAATAAAGTAATGTCAGGAGCTTCTTCAGAATAAAGTAGGCTTGGGTAATGATTTTTTTGATAGCATAACCCAAAAGCTATCATTAACCCTCATCCTATGTATTCGAATGCAAGTCATATCGAATACATTTTTACTGGCAAAATTCAGAATAAAGAGGAAAGAGATACACTTCAAATAATTGCGCAATAAGAAATAATCGACCATAAGTTGCATCTATCATAATTATAAGGCTTTTTCTTTATGCAAAACAATAAAAAGCCTAGAAAAAGTAAGATATAGCATGCCCCATGCAAAGACTGGCTATAGACCTTTACTGTTTTATTTAGAACTATAATGCAAACTTGAAGGAGGCTTTTTACCATCAAAAAAAGTGACCTTGGCTTTATATTTGCATCATCATTTGAATGATCTCAGAATGGTCTAAAATAAATAGCAAGAGGTAAATAAACAATTAAGGCGATTAATGAGACTATAGCGATAGGAAGATGATATTTTTTATAGCAAAATTGATTGCAATCATTTCTTACAAAGCTTTGAGAAAGTTCATCTCCAATGGATTGGTCGCATTGAAATATGCTTAGAAGAACTGAGACGATTGGCAAAAAGAAAGCATTCCCAAGCAACGGCATTAATATCGTTGCTAAATTTGTACTGGAAGTAGAAAAAAAATTTACAAATTTCGCTTCAAGCCGTAGAATTATATGAACACAAAAATAAAGTCAAAGTCCTACTGCTCCAATAACTATATTCACATACAACCAAAAAATCTTTCCTTTTGTGAGCCAATGAAAATTTATTACAGCATATCTGCCAAGCCAATCTGAATATTTATCATATTTATCCAGATCTGGCCCCATTGCTAAGTATTGGAGGAAATATATAAAGATCATAGTCATTGCAACATAGTCTTCGAATTTTATCAATGATTTTGTCGTTAAATTAGGGATTTCAACTTTCCACCATCTCTTTCATATATAAAAAGTTGTACTAGTTGTCACTACAACAATGAAAAGTCCCACACAATAAAGAATTGATGCACCTTTCTCAGAATATTTAGCATGATTCTTATCAAAAGGGCATTCGCTATATGTAATTGTATCTGAAGGAATATCAGTTGTATTATCGTATCAATTTATATTATCATAAAATTGTATAAGCTGAGCGCTCCCTAAGTCATATTTTCCTGCCGGAAACTCATATAATAAATTTTTTGCTTCATTCCATTTTAAATTAAAAATGCTCATCATGCTTGTGCTTCTCTGGTTAGAATCGGGATCTACTGAAACGGTGCCAGAGCATCCAATAAATTTTTGCACCCTCAAATTGGCATTCAATATTGCTGTATCTTCAACATTTTCTCCCTGATCTATCGTATACTTGATTCCGTTTAGCAGCAGCATTGCTGCATCAAATGAGAAGCATCGAAATACTGTATCTGAGCCAAAAACTTTTACATATCCCTCTTTAAGCTGTTGACCATAATCTCCCACCCAATCTGCTTGGTCAACAGCAATAGAGCCATATAGGAGCTCTAATAACTTTTGACTTTGTATAGGATCAGGCTCTGTAGGTAGAGCGAAAGCAATCCTATTATAAAACAAAAAAATAGCATCACCCCTTTTTAGTCCTGTATCATACAAATCTTCAATAAAGTAAAATTCTGACGGTGCATTTACAAACAGAATTCAAATTCTTGTTTTTAAATTTATTGCATTGAGCATTCATGGCTTATATTGCGCATAATCAGTATGCCTATAATTTATTTTAATTAATCTTTCACTAGGTTTGTTTATTATATTTATGTTTGTGCTGTTTGTCATTTTCTCAAAATATTGATAAACCATAATAGGTCCAGTAGAGTTTTCATAATAAACAATGATATTTTTTCAATTAAAGGTAGCTATGAGGCTAAATAAAACGCCTGCATTATATCGACTATCTTTAATTACTCTCATGAACTCTGGGTATACTTTTTTATTTGTTAAAGTAGGTGCTGGGGCATTTTCAGAGATATGTGGAATTGAAATTCCTAATTTCCTCAGCGAAAGTATATTTCCAATGCAGGTTGGAGCTGTTGTTGTAGTTAACAGTCCAACTCCAAGCTGGGTTTTTAATTTATTGAAGCAGCTATATGAATAAGTTGGGCTATAAACCTCAGCTCCGCAATCTGTATGCTGCACTATAATTTCAAACCCCTCTAAAATATTAGTTTCTTTTATTTTTGACAAAGCAAATTGTGCACCTCACTTGACTGGATACGAATAGCTGCTGTTTATGTATCCTGGATTAGTCACTCCATCAGCCATAGATATAGTGATATTAGATATTGGCGAGTTTGGAACAACAATTGAGTTCCCAGGAAAAAATATTTTATCATTTATTGACAGATTTTGATAAATTTCTCCGACCTTTGCTTTAGAACTATTTTGTATATTTATCAACGAAAACTTAGGCTGGAGATGATGATTTTTGGTATTTTCTTCTAAAAATAATCTCAATTTAAAAGAATCAGAAAAATCTTGAAACTCTAAAATTAGCTTTATAAATTTTGCATATGCTAAAGCTTCATAACTGTAATTATCAACAGAGTTTTCTAAACCCAACTCAATATAAGCTAAAACTCCGTCTTCTTTAATATTCCATAAGCTTTTGCTACCTAAGATGATTCCACAGCCAGAACTAAATATATTTTTTTTCTTTAAGCTTTCGACTAATTTTTCAGCACTATTTCCTTCATTTAAGATCGCAATATTTTTTATCCCAGTAGGCTTAATGAGTTTTCCAATTAACTGATCTGCGTGGTCTTGAGTTTCATTCTCTGCAAAATTAAAAAATTTTATATTTTTATCAGAAAATCCATTCAATGATCCATTATAAATTTCTTCAGAATTATGACTGGAAATAATTATAAATTTGTCCCAATTAAAAAACTCAACTAAATTTAATAAAGCATCATAGTGTTCTTGGATATGGTAACTGGAGAAAAATTGCCACTCGTTATAGGATTCTGAGCTTGGGTTTGAGCTTATATAGCTCAGAGCAGCTTATTATTCACCCTGGACAACTACTAGAAGCTCCAAATTGTGGAGCTGGCTCAACTCCCAATACTTCCCCATACCAACTCTACGAGTTCACAAATGCTAACTATAGGCCAATTGTCAACTCGTGGAGTTACTTCTTAAATATTGGAGCCGAACCAACTTCACGAGTTAGAGCTATAAGAGATAGTCCAAGTGAGCAATAAGTTAGCTTAGGCTATAATTATGAAGTGGGCTTGATTCGCTAAATGTTTTATGCAGCTTCCAAATCAAAGGCTTGACGTTAAATCTATTATAACTTGAGCTTCAGCAAAGTAAGCTGTATCAGAACAATGTGTGAAGATCGTTTCTCTAAGCTCAATTTGGTTGTTTAAAGTTTGCTTGAGGAAGTTTGATGTGTATGAAATCAAGTTAAGATCTGTAGCATTACTATAAATAATCTCAACGAATAACTGACCCTGAGTGAAGCAGAGAGACAGGATCAAAGCAAAAATGGTCATTTTTTTTATTAGAACTAATAATGAAGTTTAAGTATAGCTTACACCCTGTTTTGGATCGGCCTTGAACACCCCCTCCCCATGCCACCCACCCTGAACAGTCCCAAATATTTTAGCATGCTAAAGATTAATTTGACAAGTTAAAGTATTTGAGGGGGACTTGCCAAATAATTTTTTAACATTTAAATTTTCAGGACCGTCAAGGGTTGGGTGATATGGGGAGGGGGGTACTTAATGGGAGCAACCACGAGGGGTGTGCTATATTATTTTATTCTTATTCAAAGCTTTTTTATATAAGGTTTAATAAATTTTAAGAATAGAATATGAAATAGCATTTATTTATAATAAATTTAACCTTAAAGACCTCTTAATTGCGATGAGGATAACACCAAGAGCATTATTTTTAAAAAACTTTAATATAATTTTATAATTATATCTATAAGTTTAATATCTAATAATTAAGCGAAGTCACATAAATCAGAATGCTTTCAAATTAATCATTTTTAACTAAGAGTTTCTGAACAAAAAGTTATTTAAGTGTTTTCGTTTTTGAATCCTGATACTTAAATAAAATCTGCTTAGATATAAGTCTATAAGTTCTGATGCATGCTATAAAGTTTAAAATAAAAATATTATAAAATCTAAATAATTTAATTATAATACTCAGATTTTTATTATTATCATTTTTTTGCCTTAATTATTTTAAAAAAAAAAAATTAAAAAATTTATTAAACTTCACTTTCTCAATTCAAAATTTTATTACTTTAGTAATGGCCTATAAGCTTTCGAGTTGAGCTTATTTCAAGAGGATAATTCTCTTGTTCCTGATTAAATAAACTACCCGGCCTATGGAAAAATATGTTTTCTGGTAAATTGGAGATGCTTATAACATCACTTTGATTATTTTCCTTTAATTTAGTTTTTTCATTCCCAGATGACATATAGTTTTTTCTGTCAGATCTTTCTCGATTGGCTTGATTTATTTCAGAAGCAAGGACTTTACTTCCCAGCGAAAAACGGAAAAATAAAGTAATGTCAGGAGCTTCTTCAGAATAAAGTAGGCTTGGATAAAGTTTTTGTTGAAAATATAATCCAAAAGCTATCATTGATCCTCATCCTATGTACTCTAGTGCAACTCATATAGAATATATCTTTACTGGCAAAATTCAGAATAAAGAGGAAAGAGATACACTTCAAATAATTGCACAATAAGAAATAATCGACCATAAGTTGCACCTATCATAATTATAAGGCTTTTTCTTTATGCAAAACAATAAAAAGCCTGAAAAAAGTAAGATATAGCATGCCCCATGCAAAGACTGGCTGTAGACCTTTACTGTTTTATTTAGAACTATAATGCAAACTTGAAGGAGGCTTTTTACCATCAAAAAAAGTGACCTTGGCTTTATATTTGCATCATCATTTGAATTATCTCAGAATGGTCTAAAATAAATAGCAAGAGGTAAGTAGATAACTAAAGCAGCTAAAGAGATAAAGGCTAGATGAAGATGATAATTTTTATAGCAAAACTCATTGCAATCATTTCTCACAAAGCTTTGAGTAAGGCCATCTCCAATGGATTGGTCACATTGAAATACGCTAATTAGAACTGAAACTATTGGCAAAAAGCAAGCATTCCCAAGAAATGGCATTATTATAGTTGCCAATGTTTTACTGTAGGCTGAAAAAAAGTTCACAAATTTAGTATCAAGTCTTAGTATCATGTGAATACTAAAATAAAGCCATAATCCTACTGCTCCAATAACCAGCTCTACATAAATTCAAAAAATCTTACCTTGTGTGAGCCAATGAAAATTTATAATTGCATAGCTGGTAAGATTATTTGAATAGCTATCATATTCACCTATATCCGGACCCATAGCTAAATATTGAAGAAAATATATAAAAATCATTACCATTGCAATATAATCTTCGAATTTAATAAGAGATCTTGTAGTAAGCATTGGAATTTCAACATTTCACCATCATTTTCATATATAAAAAGTTGTCCCAGCTGTTACAATAACGATAAAAAAGCTTATGCAATACAATATCCCTGCACCTTTTTTAGAATATTCTTCTAGCTCCCCCTTTAAATATAGGAAAAATTTAAAATTTTATGGATACTTTTACCCCTCTTTAAATTGGAGCAAATTTGCTTTTCAATAGGAAAATTTTAAACGATGAAAATGTTGAATCTTATTAACATAATTTAATAGACAAAATAAAAAGTAGAATGCCATTTTAAACAGTTTTCGCACTAAATCGATTAATTTTTTTTAATTCTTCATAAAAATGGATCAAGAATCAAAGTATTGTCCTCAATTTTATATTTTTAAACATTTAAAAAAATATAAAATTAATATAATTAAAAAAATATGCTATTTAAACTTTTTCTCGCTGAATTGTAATTTTTTTATTTATTTCTTCATAAAAATAAATTAAAATCCAAGCATTAACTCAATTTATATTTTTTAATTGAAAAATTTTAAAATTTTTTTATTGGTGTAAAATTAATCTTTAAATTGGTCAGGATATTTTCCAATTTAAAAGGGAAGGGCAATAAGCCTTTATCGAAAGGGCATTCATCATAAGGAATTGTGTCTGAAGGTGTATCAGTTGTGTTGTCATATCAAATTAAATTTTCATAAAATTGAATAAGCTGAACGCTTCCTAAGTCATATTTTCCTGCAGAAAACTCATATAATAAATTTGTAGTTGCATTTCACTTTAAAATAAAAATACTCATTATGCTAGTGCTTCTCTGATTCGAGCCAGGATCTACTGATACTATTCCAGAGCATCCCACAAACCTCAGAGCTCTTAGGTTAGCATTCAATATTGCTGGATCTTCAACGTTTTCACACAAATAAAATGGTGACTACTCTGACCCGTCCTTCTCCCACTGCCTCGGGCTTTGTGGGACTAAGAGGGATGGGGCCTGGAGAATTTGTGTCCGGGGTAGGTTTTTTCTCCCTGGCCAGGACACCATGGCAGGGTTTTTTTACCTCGACCTACGACAAGAAGACCAGAGTCGCAGAGGCAACCCCACACTCCTGACAACGAAGGTAGTAATGGAGGGCAGGAGGAGGCTTCAGAACACCTACCGTCTCCCGCCTCCGGACGGATGGGCTGACCGATAGGGGTTGCCCCCAAGAAGTACCTGGGTGCGTCACCTCGAGAGCGCTGACGTCACCATTTTTTTTGGTGACGTCGACAAAAAGGGCGTAAGTGCTATCCCATGCCTAGGCCGAGAAGCTGAAGTGGGAGAAGGCGGCGAGTGGCTGAAATAAACCGCGAAGACCCGCACGAACTTAATCTAATCTAATCTAATCAACGTTTTCGCCTTGATCTATTGTATATTTGATCCCATTCAGTAGTAGCATCGCAGCATCAAATGAGAAACATCTATATATTATATCTGAGCCATAATTTTTTATATACTCTTCTTTAAGTCTTTGGCCATAACTTCCTACTCAATCTTGATTATCAACAACAATCGAGCCATACATTAACTCCATTAGCTTTTTAACTTGAGTTAGATCAGGCTCAGTAATAATAGCATAAGCCTTTCGGAGGTAAAACAAAAGAATTGCATCGCCTCTTCTTAATCCTGTGTCATAAAAGTCCTCAATAAAATAGAACTCTGAAGGAGCATTTATAAAAATAATAAAAATCCTTATTCTTGAATTTATTGCGTTTACCATCGCTGGCTTGTACTGTTCATAATCAGTATGTCTGTAATTTATTTTAATTAGCCTTTCACTTGGATCATTTCCAATATTAATGCTTGTGTTATTTATCATTTTCAACAAATATTCATAGCACGATATAGGGCCAGTGGAATTCTCATAGAATACAATTATATTTTTTCAATTAAAGACAGCTAAAAGGCTAAAGAGAACACCTGTGTTGTACCTAGAATCTTTAATAACTCTCATAAATTCTGGATATGCTACTTTATCAGTCAAAGCAGGAGCTGGGGCGTTTTCAGAGATATGTGGGATTGAAATTCCTAAACGTCTCAATGAAATTATATTTCCAATGCATGTTGGTGCTGCTGGCGTTGTTAAAAACCCAACTCCTAGCTGACTTTTTAATTTACTAAAGCAGTTATAAGAAAAAGAAGGGCTATAGACCTCAGCTCCACAGTCTGTATGGTGCATCAAAATCTCAAACCCATCAAGAAAATTGATTTCTTTTATGTAAGATAATGCATATTTCGCACCTGTCTTAATAACAGAGTAGCTACTATTTGTGTAGCCTGGATTGGTTACACCATCGGCCACAGATATAGTGATGTTAGTTGTCGGTGAGTTTGGGATTACTGTAGAGTTTCCAGGAAAGATTATAGTTCCATTAAGTGCTAGTTCATGATATATATCTCCTACTTTTGTTTTTTGACTATTTTTTATGTTAATCACAGAGAATTTTGATTTTAGATGATGATTTTCGGTATTATCTTCCAAAAATTGTTTCAACTCAAGAGAATCATTAATTCCTGGAAACTCTAAAATCAACTTTATAAACTTTGTTAATGCTAAGATTTCATAGCTATAGCTATCAACAGAATTTTCAAGTTCAGACTCAACATAAGCTAAAACCCCATCTTCTTTAATACTCCACAAGCTTTTACTACCTAATATGATTCCACACTCTAACTCCCCCCCTCATTTAATAACGAGCAAAATCGTCATTTTTTCATAAAAATTTTTCCTTAGGCTCCATTTAATAACGAACAAAATTTACTATAAAATTTATATAAGCTAATTTAGTCTCTGCAGTTTACTAATTTTAAGTAGTTAGCGTAAGATAAAGACAAATATAATCGAGCAAAGAATAATAAATAAGAACTAATAAGTTAATAGTGGTTTAATCTTAAGCTGGTGCTTTACTCCCCCTCTCCGTGAGCGAATAAAAATATCTCGTTCGCTCACACGGAGGAGGTTAATTATTTTTTATAAAACAATTTTATATAGAAATTTTATAGAAATTTTTTTTTCGAAATTTTAAAATAAACCTAATTTGCAAAAATTGGGAAGCAAATATTAATTTAAATTATAAAATTTATGTTTTAAAACGCAATTTGCTTAAAATTTAACAGAATTAGCCAGAGATTTCGTTATAATAATTATTTCCTTATATATCAAATTTTTTTTTCCATAAAAAAAATTTTTGTTCGCTCACAGAGGGTGAGGGATTTTTCTAATGGTTTTATTAGCTCACGGAGTGGGGGGGAGTTAGCAATAGTTATCTTTTCGCCCTGCTTTTAGGCGAGTTCTCTTTCTGTTGTCATCATTTGACTTTTTTTATTATTAACCCTTTAATTGAAATTTTTATATAAAAATCATAGATATTTAATATAAATTTTATATATTTTTTTCCCCAAAAATTTTATACGTTTAGACCCCATTTAATAACGAACAAAAAAAGTGTTCGTTATTAAATGGGGGGAGTAAGCCAAATACATTTTTTTTCTTCAAGCTTTTTACTAATTTTTCAGCACTTTTTCCTTCATTTAAAATTACAATATTTTTTATTCCAGTTGGCTTAATGATTTTACCTACTAATCGATCAACATAATCTTCGCTTTCATCATCATCAAAATTGAAAAAATTTAAATTTTTGTTTGAAAAATCCAATATGCATTAAAATGATGAGGTAAACCAAACCACCCTCTTAAATCATATAGCTGACATCCTCAGGGTGCTAGAGACGCTAGAGAAAGTGAGGATGGTATTCGAGAATGTGCATCAGGCCAAGCTTTTCTTGATTGGTGAAGCGTAATGTCGTGATAGCTGACCTCAAGCTTTACTCTAATGCCAAGTTTTTACCTCAGAGGGAAATGGGTTCGGAGTTGGAAAGGTGCCTCTCAGCAAAGCCAATGGTGCTCGTCTTGCCAATCTGGACTATTCTCCAACGTGAAAACCAAGAGTTACGCCTGGGCAAACGAATTTCCATTTTGGCGAGAGTTGACCAGAAAATTCAGCCCTTTTGAATTTTCAATTGCGGGAAACCCTGCTGACGTGCTGCACGGTTGCAAAATTCACTCAACTTTCGGGGCACAAGTGCAAGCCCTTGTCCGGAAGGACAGTCCTTCGGAATTACAGCGAGCTTTTCTGAAAGTTAAGTTGATGCTAATATAAAAGTTTGAAAATTTCTTTTCTAATTCACCATATGTATTCTGCGCCTCAATATTAGAAACCACAATAAATTTATCTCAATTCAAAAACTCAATTAAATTTGACAAGGCATTATAATGATCTTGATTAGGATAGTGGGTGGAAAATTGTCAATCATTATAGCTTTCTGTATAAGTATTTGAGCTAATAACTACAAAGTGAGCTTGATTTGCTAAATCTTTTATACAATTTACTAATGGGAGACTAAAGGTTAAATCTATTACGATTTGAGTTTCATCAAGACGAACTATACTCTCAGAGCAGTTCAAAACTAGAGTTTCTTTGAGCTCGATCTGGTCGGTTAAAGTTTGCTTAAGCACACAAAAAAGTCTTGTTTGATCACTTTTTTTTTTTAAGAAAATTTATATATATCGATCTTATAGATTTTTTTTTCTAAATTTAAATAAATCTAATTGAAAAGCAAATATTAATTTAATTTGTAAAATTTATGTTTTAAAACACGATTTGTTCAAAATTAAACAGAATTAGCCCAAAATTTCATTATAATAATTATCACTTATATGTCAAAATTTTTTTTGCTCATAAGGGTTTTTTTTTTTGGGCAAAAAATAAGGATTTTTCTAATGGTTTTGTTCGCTCACGGAGGGGCAGTTAAGAAAAGGCTGACATTTGGGCAGTCAAGCTCATATCTGTGTAGTTGCTATAAAGGACTTCAATAAATAGTTGAGCTTGAGTGAAATAGAAAGAGAATAAAAAAGCTAAACGACCTATCATTTTCTATTTTATGGCCGCTCAAAATCAGATATGATACTTTTCTGCTTGATTAATATTCCTCAAAGCTTTAAAGATCTTATGACACCAATTTTGCAGAACTAATAGGAATTATTACAACTAAAAAATCTAATTAAAATATATTTTGTTGATTAAACTCTTGATAACTTAAAAATTTTTTATAGCTAAATTAAATTAAGTTGAATTAAGAATCTTAAGGTCTTTCAGATTGATGCATCCGCACGCTTGCGACCACTGACTGGTCCCTTGCTTGCCAGGGGTAGTCGCATCAACAGCAATCATCTTCAGGACTAAGCTTTACGTCCATGCCTCTCTCTACCCCCTTGAGGAAGGGTGACACCAGAAAAAAAGAACGGATAATTAATGCCTGGAATGGAGTGGCTACCAACTGACTCCTCAAGGTCACCCATCCTATAAGATCGCCATACAGGAAACTTAGGGTTATAATAAAACAATCTGAACCTTGGCTTAGAGTTTAAAGGCATTTTGGCGCCTCAGGTGTGTCATCATTAAGGACAAATTTTGTCGCCCACTACCACATTAATTATCCTTATAGCTAAGGAAGGAATCTCCAATTTTTATTTTCCCTCGATTTCTGTTTGCTATTTTATTTTATCGAATATGAAGGACTTAAACGATTATGCCAAATTAATATTTTATCTGGTGATTTATAAGCAAATTTAATTTTATTCTTTCTTAATAAGTCCCGCACTTTAATGCTATTATTAATGATAATTTCTTATCTTTTATTTTCAAAAATTTATATAATTTCTATTATAATAAATTAAATTTTATTACTTAAAGTAAAATCTATAAATAAAATCTAATTCCTCTATTCAATTATCAAAATTTCGAAGCATCATAACTAGAAGTATCTTACTAAATCAGTTAAAACAAGAACATTCACATAGACAAAATTTCAATAAAACTTTCTTTTAAAGCCCACACATAATAGATTTTACAAATAACTTTAAATTTAGCTGCAAAATAATTTTACATTAGCTTAAGCTTCGAAATAATTAATTTTGTCACAGCTTTCAATTTTATTATCCCAAACAAAATAATTAGCTTTTCCTCTTAATAAGCCAACATGGAATATAGATAATAAAATTACGGTTAATAAATATCGAATTAGTTAATTAACTTTAATCACTATCAAAAGAATAGTATTCCTGAATCTTCTTGGGTTTATTGCAACCATAGCGCATATCTGGAGTCCCATCATATTTTCTTGGAAGATCCCTTGCAGCTTTATACCTATAGTCTGGGATCCCATCTGCTTTTCTTGGGATATCATCATAATTTGAGCTTTTCGCTGAACATTTCTTCTCTGGAGTTTCATAATTTCGTGTTTCTGTGCGACTATTAGGTATTTTTTGTGATACTGTGGATTGTATTTTGACTTTAGTGGTTACTTTAACGTTGTCGTACTCACGAGATTCTTTAAGACTAACTGTCCTAGAAGATTTGTTGATAGAAAGTTGGCTGAAAAGCTGATCAAGATCTTCGTCAGAGTACATTATTTTATATTAATTTGATTGGAATTGCAAAAATTTGTTGAAAATTCGAGAAAATGGAATGCAGATGTCTACATAAAAGGGAGAATGCTTGATTCATTGATCTTGAAAAAATTTATTGCTTAAGAAAGATTTGTTTGTAATTAAATGAGAGAGCATTAAATTCAAAATCTCAATACCCTACAACCAATTTTCAATTTATTAAATGAGAGCATTAAAGCTGATCATATTTAGATCTTATATAATGCTTTAAAGATTAAGAAAGAAAAAATTATTGCAGCTGCCACTTGCATTCTGCTAAATCTGATTTCTAGTGATATTCTGATTCTTTATGTCATCTTTTTTTATAAAATTTATATCTTTAGAGATATCGCTGATGCACTTTCTCAAGTCATTAATGATTGCTTTGTCTATTGTTTATAAAATTCCAACTTATCATCATCTCCATGGCTTAAATTTAAAAGAAATTAATATTATCATGAGATACTAAAATTCAATTATTTTTTGCATTAATAAATCTTAATAATATGATTTAGTTAGCATTCGTACTCCGTTTTAATTCTCTCCTTTTAACTTGCCTTAATGGGGAATAAATATCAATAGCTTCATTTTTGCCTAAAAATATGTCTGTAAGATTAGTTCTTCTCTCTTCAAAAGCATTTCTCAAACTTTCAATTGCTAAATATTTCTTACAAAATTCCTTTAAATAGTTATTTCCGACTGCATAAACATTGAGAATATTACAAAAAGTACTCAAACTCAGCCCATTTTCTTGTTCTTCATACAAAATTGCTTCATTAAATAAATTAGTTAAAAACTCTGGATTTATATTTTTTTCTATCTTTTTAGATAACTCATCAAACTTTTCTCTTTCCATAGGTTCTGAAAAATCCATTCCGTATAAATTCTTCAATTTTTTAACAGATCTTATTTGTAGCTGCTTATGCACCTTTATTAGCGCATTTAAAAATTGGCACTTAGAAATTGAATATTCTGGGCTCTTACAATTACGGTTGTGAGCAATTAAGTCAATTTTTTCAATAAATGCAGATTTAGAAATAAAACCTTTTTGCTCAGGATCTAAATATTGGCTGAGGATCTCAATATTTTGATAGGTCATCCAAAAATCGATTTTTGAATATAATTTCCTAAAGAAATCTTGAGTGGGAAGTTTATTGTTTATTGGACTTAAAGAATTAAATAATGTTTCTGTAGAAAAACCTTGTTTAGCCATTTTTTGGCACAAGAGGAAAATTAAAAATGCCTCTTGTGTTATTTTTTCTGGCTTGAGGATGTTTAAAAGTTGATTTTTTGTGTATCTATGGAAGAAGCTTTCATTTATTAAATAGTAAACATCAATAAGTCTTGCAAATCCACCCAGCAATTTTTTCTCAACTTCTTCAATTGGCTCTTTTTTATTTTTCGCATCTGTCTTGATCTTTTCTTTAATTATCATTATTTTGTTAAATTTGCAACGGATTTGTGTAAGAAAAATTGAGAGATTTAATGGAATTGGCTCAGGATCATAAATATTTAGCAACTTGCAAAACAAAACGATGTATGGATGATTATTTTGGTATTGGGCCTCTAAGCCTGGAATTAACTGGCTTAAAGTTTTATAAGCAAGCTTTCTCAGTCCAAATTTTTGATTTAAAAATTCTAGGAGATATTCTCCTACATCTTTAGGCTTTCTATTTTCTGACAAATCTTTCAAATCCATCTCGAGTTTCTTATCAAGCAGCTCTTCAAATAATACCACAATATTTCGTGCTGGCATAGGCTTTTCATTGGAAATTGTATGACTTGCAAATTCATCCATAATGAAGCTGTTTCGCAAAAATTTTTCATTGAATTTATCAATGATTTCTTTAGCTGCTTGATTTTCCTGCTCTTCTCTTATCCTATCTTCTTCATTAACTATTGAAAAATTCCCGCTCTGAGAGTAGCTTAAATCGGAAACGTCCAAATTGATATTATCATTTCATAATTCCAAAGCATTTTGGTACTGTCTAATCAGTAATTTCTCAAATACTTTTAATGTTTTCTCGAATCTTAAGTTTTGACCTAAACTTGCATCAGTTTTTATATCTTCAGTGCTAAAAGAGTTAATTGGATCAGATACTGCAAGTATATTAAGGATTTTTTTAGGCGTTGATGACGAGTTTTCAAGCTCATCTTGCTCGACTACTGAAGAAATATCAACTTGTTGCTTTCATGGTTCTATTATGGAAGTTATAGTTTCTCTGAACTGAAGCTCGCGCTTTACTAATTCTTGATTGCTCTTTATGAGGTCTTGAATGAGAATTTTGTCTTGAGAATGGTTGCAGCCCATGTCTCTGGATGTCAATAAAGTATTGATTAATTAAAATCAATAGAAAAGAATGGAAATAAAATTAAAGCGAACTTATATTACAAGAGTTGAATAAACAAAAAAATCAAAAGGGATAATAGATAATTACTTATATATTTATAAGAAAAAGATATTGTGATTTAGATTCTGCTTATATTAAATTACGTTTTAATTTAGTTTATTATTAAAACTTCTTTGATTTATATTAGACAATTTAAGCCTAGAAGATTTTGACAATGCAATTTAGCATAATTCAGCCTATTAAAAATCTATATATTAAATACATCAAAATTTTTTTGCCTCATGTTAGCTGCTAGCTATTTTCAAAAATTTTAAATATAAAAATATTTGCAAATTAAATAACTTTTAGGAGGATACTTAAATTTCAAATATTAGGACTTTGGCTATTTGCTTTCTTAATCAATTAGATAATTAATTTTATTATATCATAAGCCTAAATTTTTTGCCGGGTTCCATTAAAAACCATAAGCCCATTAGATTCTTTAATAAATACTATTTTATTTTTCATTCACTCAGATTATAACATATTGCATATTCTCTAGAGTTGAAATTATGAATTTTCAAACAATTTATCAGCAGCAGCCCAACGAAGACACACACCATATTCGAGATCTCTCCTTTTCACTTTATTGCAAAGATATGTTTGAGGCTCCCATAGAAACACCTACAACGACATCCAATATACCTCATTCTCCATACAAAAAATTCCACTTAACACCATCTCCAAAGCAAATTAAAACCCCTCTTCTACAGACTTCTAAAACCCCAAAAATCGACCAAAACTTATCGTTTAGCAGACCTTCAAGAATAAAATCAGCGAAATCTAAATCCAAAAGCCCAAAAATCAAATGAAGAAGCCATAGTCCTACAAACGAATTTACTTATACCCCAAAAGGCTCCAAATCAAAAATCATTAACTACAACAAAGCTTCTATTATAATCATCCCTGCCTTAGTAGCAGTCAAAGACGAAAAGCCTTATGTAAAATCAATGAAAACTTTATATACCCGAGCTAAAGGGAAAATGCCGAAGCCTCCAAGCTCTCCTCTAAAATTCAATGAAAAAGTCCCACCTCAACGAAAATTCCGGCTCATTAGATCTTTACAGAGTCCTTCAAATTCAATAAGTTTTAAAAATGTACACATAAATTAAAATAAAAATTTGTTTATTTATATACTAAACCAACCCTCCCAGATCTTCAAAATCTTCTTGTTCAGCAGAAATATCGAGCCCACCTGTCTCTAAATTCCATCCGCCAGATTGATATGTGCAGTTTGTGCTGTTTGTGTTGTTTGTATTATTCCCTGGAGGTGTGACTGTTTGGTTTGGAAGACTGCAATTGCAAGAGCAAGAGCATGAAAAGCAAACACAGCTACAACTGCAAGTGCAATTTCCTGATCCGATCGTTGTGAAATTTGTAGAAGAACTTGGGGTGTAAGTGGTGTTGGCGACACAGCAGCTATCTGGTGGGCATTCGGGGCGCTCATCACACTCATCAATTTCGTAGTCATAAACGTCTAACCAATGGTGATGGCATTTAGCACGGTGGCATCCGCAGCCTCTTAATTCTCTTCCTTCTTCATTTGCATGGGCGTAGAGTGCAAGTGATAATAAGACTAGTATGACTAATTTCATATACCTAAATACAACGAAAAACAGCATTTACTACTAATTAGCGGTTATCCTATTTATTTTTGAAAATAGGATAACGGGAACCTGCAGAATGTTTATATTTACACTAATTAAGTACATAATATAATTATTAATTGAAAGATTTTACTTTTACAAATCTTTAATTAGTGTCTTATATTAAATAATGGAAATTCTGATGGCTGGGATTATTCTTGCAAACTAAAAATGGTGGACAATCGGGATTAGTTGTGATAGATAAATTCGTAATTTAAATATGGATTTTTATATATGACGAATTATTGATACCGACGACATCGCATTTTGGTTTTCTTCGGAGATTGAAATTAATAAGATTTTGGATTTCAAAACATCCAAAAATTAAATAAGCTTTTAATAATAATTTTTTCGAGTTCATTAGAGCTTATTTCTAGCCTAAAGTGTTCAATTGATTATTGTTTCTCCAAAAAATGTTGATCCATCTCTTTGCAATTGAATTTCTCAGAATTATACTTTAGATGCTATTCTATACTATAGGAGTTTTCCCTATATAGCCCGATAAGGCCCGTGGGTTCTCCGTGGAATCCCTCTGCTGGTTGAGCCAACCAGTGAATTGGTCAATCCAACGCACTGAGTTGATTTGACCAACAGAGGGATTCTACGGAGAACCCACGGCCCTTATCAAGCCATATAGGGAAAACTCCTATATCATATTTTATTAATTACTTTATCATTATTTATTATTAATTATCACAATAATTCAAAAACTTTTCCCAAGAATCGCCCAAGTAAACTGATAAGTCACTCCCCATAACTCCATGAAGCCTTTCTAGTAGCTTTCTTTCAGATCCACCTATATTCCCGTCCTCCAGCAGCTTTATCACATAAGGAATAATATATTTGTGTATCAAGCTTGGCCTTTGAGAATAGACAATCGATAAAGAATCAATCAGCAACGTATATAAAAACAGCCATGCTTTGTCTTTATCTCTCTTTATGCACTGTAGTAGTGAAGGCAAGATTTGCGATAGATCACCTTGGTGTATTAAAATCCTGCATACATCTTTGGCATTATTTCTCAATAAATTATTTGGAGAGTTCAACAAATTTACGAGCCCAGGCAGCAAAGGAGAAATATCAGGCTTATTTGTGGTGCAAGGCAGCAATTTTGAAATCACAGTCAAAGTGTGCATAGACACTCTTGAGTCTTCATCATTGAGTCCTGTAATTAAGCAATGTAAAGACTTGCTTGTGATTGTTTTTGACTTTATCCCTAAATCTTTTAATTTAGAAATAGCTTCAACTCTTCTAATCCAGTCGTCGTTATTTAAATCTTCTCTTATCACATCAATAGGCTCAGACGATTTGGCCCTGAAAGGAGATCTTATGATCATTTCTTGGTTTTTTAAAATTTTTTTAAATGGAGATTCTGCTTCAACTTTGCTTACTCCCACCCCTGTGAGCGAACAAAAGCTGGAAAAATCCCTATTGTTGCCTGGGCCTATCCTCCGTAAGCGAGCAAAAAATTTTGTGAAAAATTATTTTGATATATAAGTAAAATTAATGTAATGAAATCTCTCTAACTAATTCTGATTAATTTAAACATTTCAATTTTGATTTTTTTTAAAATTTCAAAAAAATTTACAATAAAATTTATATATAAATTTTTAAAAAAAATAAAATTAACTCCTCTCCGTAAGTGAACAAAATTTTTTTTGTTCACTCACTGAGGGAGTTAGACTTTCCTTAGTAATAATATAGTCATTTGTATTTAATGCACGTTTCAATAATTTATCAAAATCCGAAGGAATTACAGAGTTTAGATAGTTTAGTGCAGCTTTTGCGTTAAACCTTACTTCAGCTGAAGCTTCTCTTGACAAAGCAGCTAGAAGTTGTATCATCCTTTCTAATTCTTTAATTCTTCGAATATCATTGCTTCGATGTTCAAAAATTGAATGAAAGCACATCGCAGTTTTGGCTTTTATTTGTGAGGACCTTGTACTATTGACAGCTTGAAATAAAATACCTATTGTCCTTGAATCACTGCAATGCTTGCATACATTTACTAGCGATTTTTCAGCTTGCTCTGAAATAAATACGTTTGTGTCAGCACTTTTACGCAATAGACAGTTTAAAATTGACTCCAGCTCTGGGTCAACTAATTTTGGTATAGCTGCACACATTTCGCCTATGACAATTAAAGCGTTTTTTGATAAGCTGGACCTGAGCGAATCAGCTCATTTTAATGCCTGAATTACCATACTGTGAATAGGAGCATTAGCGAACATTGACGAGTTGTATTTTAAAAGCCTTCGCAATTTATTCAGCATTTCAAATTGCTGGCTTCATTCTGTAGGGTCAGATTTTAGGTACTCCATGAACTCCAACTCGGGGTTTTCTATAGGGTCAAGCTCTTCTCGTTTTAAATAGACAACATCTACTGCTTTAATTGCTGGCCGCTTATGAGAGTCATCAGCTACTTCGCGCTCTATGTTTACTGAGCGGCTCATAGGAGTTCCACTTATGCTAGATTTTCTTACCAAAAGAGGGGATCGGGCGACTATTGGCTTTTCTTGAGGTTTTGGAGATTCAAGGTTTGAGCTTCGGGCTAGAGATGATAATCGTTCGTTTAAGGCGGTAGTAAAACGAGTTGGTGAAAGAGCTTCAGAAGTTTCAGTTATTGACATTCCTGTGTTATGATATGATGCGACAGGAGCTGAGCCTGGGATTATTTTAGGAAGTTCTACTCAGTCATCTCTAAGTGATGCAACTCCTTTTTTCTTCATCCTTGCTTTAAGCCTTTCAATTGCTACCTCATCAGCTTCAACTCTGTCTAGAACTTGACTTATTCCTTCACTTTGTCCCAATAGAACCAAAGTCTCCGTCGCGACGAATCTGATTTTAGCTTTTACATCACTTAGCAGCAAAGAAACAGGTCTTACTAAATTTGAATAGTCAAAATAATTAGAGTTATTTTTTTCTAGTATTGCAGTCATAATCAAAACTAAGCATCCTTCACGAATGTGCCAATTCTCATTTTTCAAGTTTTCTAAAAAATATGGAAAATAAGTGTCAGGTACCATTTCTCTCATAAGAGATCTGAATACTTTAAATGTATTCTGCCGGAATGCCAGCTTCTCGTCGCCAATTTTTTCAATAAAAGGCTGTATTAAAGGTGTAAAATTCGCTTTTTTAGTGATTCCTCTAATTTCCAACATTTCTTGAAATAGCTTTAAAGCACCTATGACAATTCTATAATTAGTTTCTTCCAGCAAATGCTTTAAAAAATCCAAAATTCCAGGCAAATATTTATCAAGCTCGCTGCCAATCCCACTCAAGCTTTCCTTCAATTCTTCCATTGCAGTTAATTTTTCTTTCCAGCTTGAGCTTGAAGTTATGTGATGAGCAAAATCTGGGTCTAAAATTCTCGGCACATCCGGTTTTCTTGAAGGACTCAAAGGGATATGTTCAGGAGCAGTCCCACTTTCAATAGTCTCGACCAATTCATTATTTAATTTATCTCTAAGTTCTGGGATTGCAATTAATCTTCTTGCAGTTTGTAAAGCTGTGTTATTTACAATAGGGTCGTTAAACATATGAATGATATCCATCATAAGTTCTGAGTCTACATAATTTTGCATTAAGCTTAAACTTCTTAGGCATGAACTTCTCACTCGGTCATTTTCGTGCTTTAATCCAGCTTTTATAGCTTGGATTACTTCGTTTGGGGCTGCTTTTGAGGCTAATGCAATGCAATTGAACGCAGTTCGCGATATTATTGAGTGCGGCGAGCCAAACTTGTTAATTACTAAAGGGAGCAAATGAATTATGTGAGGGGTGCATTCGGGTAAAAGCTGCTGAAGAAGTTGCAAGGACCGACCTGAAACTTCTAGATCTTCGTTTTCGATGCTTACGGCTTCGATAGCTTTATAAAGCTCTTCTGAACCTTTGTTTACCATTGCTAGCCACGTCATGGCTTTAAGGACTTCTTTAAGCTTTTCTAAGTCTTGGGTCTTTAGCTCTTGTAATAAAGCTTCCATTTATTATGGAACGGCAGTTTTGGAATCAACTAGAGAAACATTCAAAGAATTGATATAACTAAAGAGGAGAATCAAATAAAAGCATGCAAATGAAATTTTGAAGCGAAAATGGATAATAATTAAATAAAGAATTAATTTGAAGAAAAAAGATAAATTTGGACAATTGATAAACCCTAATTTTTTATTTGGAGATATAAGATTTCACTTTTTCAGATAGCAATTATTTCACTTTAAATGAAATTATTTATTCGAATGTTTTAGTAGTCAAAAATTACAATTTGCCACTAGAATTAAAATCTGATTCAATTAACAAGCATACGCTATATGATCATTTTAAAGCTGTCATTATAATAACTAATAATTGCATTTTAAAATCTTTTACTTATAGATATAACAGAAATAATTGTTTGCTCTCAAGCGATATCGGCTTTTCTAAAAATCATGACTTTTAATATCTTTTCTCTCTTACATAAGTGAGATTGAGGAAGGGAAATTAATTTATTTTTTTATTTTTGCTTTACAATGAATTTTAGCATTTCAATTATTTATTATTTATTTGCCTAGATGCAAATAGGTAGCAAAAATTCAGCATTTTAATAAATTGAATTATATTCTATTTAACATTAAGAAGTTAGTTGGAAAAGAAGACTCAAGATCTATTTTAGATACTTATGTAATTTTTTTTGCATTCCTGATTAAATAAAATTAATTAATCTAAGATTTCAATTCAAAGATGCAAAATAATCTTTTCCCATAAGTCTTAAAATTGTTGAAACTTTGCCATAATTAAAATCAGTTAATTCCTTCTCCATACTTTAGTAGGAGATTAAAAAGCTTCTCATGTGAATAATTTTGCCATCATGGCATGCCTAGTAGCGACAGGATAAACTAAAAATTTACCAGGAAAATAAAAAACTGGAAGGAAGGCCACCGGTTGCAGGTGGCAGAATTCCGGGATGGGGTGAAGTCTGGGCTAACTGGGTCTGCCCTCGACCCACAGACAAGAAGACCAGTGAGCAACACCAATCAAGCACTTCTGGAGGGAGCATTATTTGTGCCTATAAATGGTGGAGGTAGTTCCAGAAGGAGGCATCGGACGATATCCTCATACCCTGAGCTCTAATAGGGGTTAAGAGAGTCCTTTGCTGAAGTTTTTTGGTCCAAGCAGGTTCGGGTGAGTCTCCCCGAAAGATGTCGACGTCATCATTTTTGGTGACGCCGACAGAAAAGGGCGCTAGGTGGTTTTAGTGCATATAGGGCTTTCCCTTGAATAGCCCGATAACGGGCTGGCTTTATCCCGTTATCGGGCTATTCAAGGGAAAGCCCTATATATATTAAATGGCGACGGTGAACCAGCCCTTTTTCTTAAAACCTGTAGCCGTAGGCTCGAAAGACCACGGGGTCCTTTCGGAAGGGAAATTGGCGCTCGGTAAGCATATTCGGCTAGGTTTTCTTGTTTTGGTGGAGCGAAACGTCGAATTTGGTCGACCGCAGTTCACTCCAGATCATGCTTTCATCTCAGGGAAATGGGATTCAGAGTTGGAAAGGGGTGGCCCAGCGGCACCGTGGAGTACTGCACAGCCCATCGGGTACTTCTCCAGCGCGATACTGGGCATTGCGTCCAGGGCTTTGGGTTTCTATTTTAGCCGACAGCTTGACCAGAAAATTTGTTTTTCAAATTTTCGGAAAGAGCAACCTCTGTTGACACATGGCAAGGTGGCGCAAATCATCCGACTACAGGCAGCGAGTGCTGGGCCCTCATTTGTAGGAGCGAAGCTTTAAAGGTCGTGTTACGATTGGTGGCGGGTAACCGAGTGGACCATCATGGGTGTAGGTAGTCCTTCGGGAATTACGGCGGGCTTCTATATAAGTCTAATTAAGTTTAAGTTTAAGGCGACTTTAGTGCTTAGCACCATAAGAGCGTGAAGCTGAAGCTCGACTGGCTAGGGGCTGAATAAACCCGCTTTAACCCTCTCTAATCGTAACTCTTCTCATGTGAATAGAGTTTTTCTAAATTTTTCATAATTAGAACCATGCAACATATCCTTTATTTATTAATTTCATTTAACTCTACTGGACAAATACTCAAAAATTCTAAAATGCTGGCAACATATAATAAGGCAATATGAAATTCCGAAATCGAAGAGATGTTTTTCAATTTATGGCTGTAACAGGAAGTATTATCTCATTCATAGCGAGCATCGTGATTTCTCTTCTCTCAATTTTCTTCGTCAACTGAAGCAAGTTTTCAATATCCGGTCAAAGTTTTAATTATTCGCTTCTCCAATGCACAGATTGTTCAAGCGAGTTTTCCAAAACCTTCTACACTTGCTTATCACAGCTATCTTGTCCTGATAGCTCAGATTTTTGTGATAAAGGTAAAAACGTCTATTATGCGTTTTCTATAGTGATTTTTTGTGAAATTTTTTCAGTAACTTTTATTTGCTTTTTATTAGAAAGATTGGTATTCATGTTTTTAAAAAAGGATCATGGAAAATCTTGAATATTTTATGTGCTGGCCCCTTTAATTTTGGTTTCAAAATTAGTTGAATTAGGATGCTATTTTGGGCTTACAGAATCGAACTTAAATGGAAACTGTGACGCAGATAATGAGATTTGTAATGAAAGCGGCCCTTTATTGATGGTTATTTCTGTTTTTTTGACTAGCATAGGGGGAGCATTAAGCTTAGCTCTAATATATAAGATTAAAAGTTCAAGAGACAGTGTAGCTTATAAGAGAAATGAAGAAATAATGGCATGGTTTTCTCAGAGAATTTTCCCAGCAATTCTTATAAGCATTTTATTCATTGGACTCAGCTTTGGATTTAACTGGATAAGTTATCAAGATAATAAGCAGAATTACGGAACTCTTCTAAACTTGAATGAATTTAAAGACTTGCCAATATTTAATGTGCCAGCCTCTTCTGTAGGATGATTAAGGCATGCATAGGCTTATCTTTTAACTCCTTCCCTTGTTGCTGCGCTGACATTCCAAATACCACATATGGTGCGGACGTCATGAATGTGGACGTCACCAAACGGTAAGGACAATCCGAAATTTCAAAAACCACTTTGTTTAGCCAGAGATCACACACTTCCTCACACTGTATTTGACTCCTGCGCATGTTCCATCTAAGGTTCACCCTCCTCGAGTATGTCAAACGGTAAACTCCTATATTTCCTTATGTTTTAGATTATAGATAAAGGTATGTCAGATAAACCGAACCCATAATAATAAGCACCAAGGAGGAGAAAGGGCTTTTGAAGAAAACGACTTCTGTGCATAGCCATTTTATTACTATGAATGAATTTAAAGACAAAAGCACCATGAACTACTCTTGTATAAGTGGACCGACGTGCGCACAAGCAATGGGAACTCCTCAGCTGCAAAGATATTGCAATGCTTTTGATAGAGTTTATAACGCAGGAAACACTTATATTACAATGATCACAATTTCTCTACTATTTTTATTTCTCTGAATAGAAGGCTTACTCCATAGGGTTTCATATCAAAATTTATTTCATAAAAAATTGTTTTGTTTGCTTGGCCAAAATAGGGATTTTTCCAATGGCTTTGTTCGCTCACAGAGGGGGAGTTAATATATACGATTTTTAATTCAAAATTCGGGATTTCTGAGTTAAACTATGTCTGGCCAACCATGTGTGTTTTATTCCATTTTATGGGGACTGTAGGCTGGTTTACTATTTCTGATGGAAGTTTCTCTGCTAATTGCAATGTCGCTTCAGAGGATACTGACATATCATTCTGCGCAGAAAACGGAGCAATATTTAGCATAATCAGTTTGATTTCTCTATCACTCACAGCAATATTTTACTGCTTTTTATTTTATAAACATGAAAAAGCAAAGTCTCTTGTACAGCCTAAGGCAACCAAAATTGGAGGTCTAAAGAAAATTATATTGGACGACCAGCCAATCAAAGACGTTCATATTGAAGATCTTAATGACACAAAGTGCATGGATCAGTTTGATAATAGAAATAGCTGCAAAATTGAAGCACAAGAAACTTATATTTTTGATGAAGCTATTTCACGTAAAGCTAGTACTATGGATACGCAGGAAAATGATTTAGAAGTGAATCCTAAAGAAAAGTGTGGAAGCTGCAAGAAAATTATTCAAGCAAAATCGACGATTGTAGGTGAATGTGGACATGAAATACATAAAAATTGTAAACTTCGGAGGGATGGAGAAAATCGGTGTGCAAGATGTCCTAACTCTTCATCCTTGATCGAACGATTTCGTATAATTAAGAAAGAAACCAGCTACCCTAACCTCCTATAAGCTAACTTCCTATCCTTAATAATAAAAATATTAGAGATATTACTGTATAACTGCTCACTCCCCCCTCCGTGAGTGAACAAAACCATTAGAAAAATCGCTATTTTTTGCCCAAAAAACCCACCCTCCATGAGTGAACAAAAATTTTTTTAATAGAAAAATTTTTTATGGAAAAAAGTTTTAATATATAAATGATAATTAGTATAATGAAATATAGAGCTAATTCTGTTTAATTTTAAAACAAATTGCCATTTAAAACATAAATTTTGCAAATTAAATTAATATTTGCTTTCCAATTTTTGCGAATCCCCCTCCGTGAGTGAACAAAATTTTTTTGTTCACTCACGGAGGGGGGGAGTCAGAATCATAACTGATGTGATTTCTAGAATATTACTAATATATTAATGCTCTATATTTTAAAAGCTCGACCATAAATCTTCTATGTGGGAAATTTTTTTATATAGCAATTATGTAAGTTAATAAAAATGTATATATATATTTTTAACCCAATCCTTGATCGAGCTCGATCAAGGATTAGGAGTAAATAAAAGTATATAAAATCTGCCTTTAATAACCATATATAATATTGGAAATATAGAATTTTTGTACAAGTTATATAAATATAAGGCAATACTTAAGTAAAATCATATTATTTCAGTAAATAAATATTTTTCACGTGTTAATATTAGATAAATCTACTATGATCTAAAATTTAAACTCTTCCTGATCTGCATCCTCAATGTCATCTTCCACTCTGAAAAACGGAATATTCATCATTTTCGCGTTTTCATCGGCTCTCTTCATCTGTGAGTAAGAATAAAACTCATTAAAATCAAGTCTAAATGCTAAAAACTTCAAATGGTTTCTATCAGTTTCCGCTAGCTGCTCCCGAAACTTATTAACTCCATCAGAGAAAATTTCTGAAATTTGCTTGATATCTTCAATACTTTCTAAAGAAATTCTAGAAATCGCATCTTCTCCTTCGTCCTCACTCAACATCTTTGATAATCTGTCATATTCTTCTTTTGCAGATAAAAATAAAGTGTTTTGGCTCTGTCGGAATCTTAAAGCTGGCTCTAAAAGCCGCAATAGCTGCTTTAGAATTGCATCAGTTTCGGAGCCGAGGAAAGACTTCATGATCAATTTGTCTAAAAATGCATTGTGGACTTCTATGATTTGGTCTAAATCTTGCACAGAGTCTAAGCTTTTCATAAACTCAGCCCAAGACCCTTCGACTACTTCAACCATTAGATAGTTCATTAAGTTGTTAACGAAGTGCAAAATTTCAGTTTTCCTTAATAAGCAGCTATGAATTATTGGCGCGATTTCTTTCATTTTTTGCAGCATTATAATTTCTCTCCCAGCTTGATATGAATTTAATGAAAATTGTACCCGCTTAAGTCTCCATAAGAATTTAAATATCCTTAAATATTTTTCCATTGCTTGTGGAGTAAAAATTGTATTTACTCTCCTAGTAATAAGCCAATTCTTGCTTATTTGTGGTGGGTTTTGGGAAAACATATTCAAATGGTAAATGCCCACAATTTTATCTTCCTTTTTATCTGCAAAGCCCCAATAATAAGCAAATTTCGATCTATTTATGCAATTTGCTATTTGAAATTTTGTGCAAAACCCCTTGAATAAGCAAGGATGGGGGAGTTAGTGGCGGATCTACCTTATAGTCTAATGTAAACACATCCCATCCTATATCTCCTGGCGATACCTCTAAAAATTTGACATCAAGCCTATTTAAAAATTCCAAGTCATGGAATTGTGCATTACTTGATTTTATTGCCGATTCCAATATAGAAAATAAATTATGTTTATATATTTTCTCAGCTTTTTCTTTAAGTGTATCATTAACTATGGCATTTTTATTAAATAAATGCATTTCATTTAATTATAGATTAATTTATTCTTTTATTTTAACTGCAATAATTCCATCAGAATATGGTGAAAATCTCCTTGCCCTAGCAGTAAATATTTTCTAATACTATTGCAATGCTCTTTAAACCTATATTTCTCAAATAACACCTTTACAAGCTCAGCATTAGCAACCCTAGCTGCTGAGTCTACCCATTTCGACAATCCTACTAAATCATGGATTTTAGGCAGTTCTAACGGTGAAGCTGCTATTCAGTTTTCTTCCTTGCAGCATCTTCGCAAAAAGTTTATGCTTTTCCCAGTCAATAAGATCTTATTTGCGAGCTGAGGAGTAAAAAAGGAAGGCACCATCTCAGTATTTAAGCTGTATTTCTGGGTCCATAATCTGTCATCTGGGGTAGCTAGATTTGTAGAGACAAAAAATTCATGGTAAGGGTCATTAATTTCTCCCTCAAGCATCCATTGCTGGATCATTTGCACTATTGGCATAGAGACTTCATCAAGAATCCTAATGATAATTGCTTTGACTGAGGGGTTGCCTATTAAGGTATAAGAATATAAAGATGAAACTAAAGCCCCTCCTTTAAGACCTTCGGCAGCATCAGAAATAATAGCAAGCCACTTCATTCTTTCTAATGGCTCTGTGCATCATAGCATTATTTTTCTTAAATTCAAATCTTTAAGCTCATCTCTCTGCTGCTCTAAGAGTGCTATTAATCTGTAATATTCAGCCAAGTCGCTTTGCAAAGCATAGCACAAGCTCTGGCTTGTTAATGAAGGCTGCTCTATATTTGTGTCAATATATTTTACTACTTTTTTATAAAGCCAGCCAAGCTCTGCAAGTTCTCCAACCATCTTCCTAATTGGATCTGGAACACCTATATTTGGCTGGATCACATAAGAGTCTTCAAGCATTGAGAAAGTTATGTATTTCCCTTCAATTCCTTGTATTGCAAATAAAATATCCCTTAAAATTTCTTTTTCAAGCACAGGCATCTGTGCATCTGGCCCTTTTTTGGAGATGATCGGGATTTTTTCTTTGATTTTAGGTGCTTCTGGAGGTCTTGGAGCTAGAAGTTCTAATGAAGATCCTGGAATCGCTACTGAGTTATCATCAAATAATTTGCTTAGGACATATAAGATAGCCCACCTTCTTGATAGCCCTCTTGATCTTGTCAGTCTTATGTATAAATCTTGTAGCTTCGCTGTGTTTTGTGGGCTAATTCTCCTTAGAATTGAATTAAGAATCTGAGATTCGTCCTCAACTACAGTCGGATTTATGCGGCTTGCAAGTAAACGTAAAAAATAAGGCTGATACCTAGGTATTACTTCAGCTGGAAGCTCTTGTTTAAGCAGTCTTTCTATGAGAACTGGGACGCGTTTAGCACTATCTGGATCCATTTGCCGCTATTTCAAAATTATTTATTACTCCACTCTAAAAGCAAAATTTATTTGAAAAATTACTTTTTCAGGAAATTAGTCCTTTTAAGATAGTACAAAAATAATTTGCTGGGCTCTTAAATGGAGTTAGATTATTACAAAATTATTCTTCCAAGATATTTTCATCAGTTTTATCGTCGTCTGGAACGTCAATAGGGCTTGGACTAGGGTTAGAAGGTGGAGACTCATGTATAAATTGACGGCGAGTGTTGATAGTCCCTATTGTTTTATCTGTAAAGTGACTTTGCATAAGCTCCCATATTGAGGACTCATTTATATTTCGATGTGGCTTAAGAGTGTATAGAGGCTTTTTCTTATAAAACGCCATAAAGCATACTGAAAAAACACAGAGAAAACAAAAAGTTGCTCCAAGAGCTAAAGAAATGCAGCAGATAATTCCAGCACTTTCGACAGCATCATGAATTTGATCAATGCAGCTATCATCAGCCTTTCCAGAATAGAAAATAGGATTATCATAAACACAGATCCCGCCACACTTAAAGGTTTTTTCAATTTTTTTAACAGTGTTTATGTCTTTATCCATTCCTTGGAAACATTTTCCTTGTTGGTAGCATGAACATTGTGAGAGATCCCCTCTGCATCCTGAGCTATCAGCTTCGTGGTAGACCATAGCAAGACTTGTAAAGGTCTCTGAGTTCTCACAAGAAGAAGGGTCAGAGAGTTCTGATAAAAGTGAGGATTTATAAGCTGAAACAGTAGCAGCAAAGTAGATATGGACAACTCCCAGAGTGATAAAGCTCAGCACAAAATTTATACTCATTATTTTCCAAAGACGCTTGGAAACGTCAAAAAGGCTGAAAACTCGAGATAAAGCGATGCCTAGGAGGCAGGAAATACCTGTAAAGATACTTATTAGGCATAAACCGACAGCGAAGTAGTTTGAGGAGTCAGTTGAAAAAATGAGCAGACTAAGGTAAAAGTTGAAGATTTCTATTATAAAGCATGACATGAACACTACTGCAGATGCAATCTGAGTGTGAGCTAGCTGGATTCTGGTGTACCAAGGTGGAAGCTTGACTTCGAGGTTTGGCAGATCTTTTATCTCTTCCATTTTATTATAAGATACGCAAGATCTTTAATTTTTCAGTTAAATTGCCTTTATAATTTAGTAGGCAAATATTAATCTTATAGAATAAAACTAAAATTATTTATCTTGCGGATTCTTTAAGCTTTTTTTCAATTGGATGAATATACAAGTTTTCATCATACTCAATAAAAGATGATCTCAACATGTATTCTTCAGAATTAGGAAAAACATTTATTCAGCTCATTGCTTTTTGAGGACTCTATGAATATTGTATACAAGGAAAATATAAAGGACTGCTGAAATGAATATAAGAACTCCTCCAGTCTCTCGAATTGAGTTTGAGTTATTAGCAGTAAAAATCAGCCCAGTCAAAAATTGGAAAACAAACAGAGAAGTGGCAATTGAAGTTAAGCAGACTCTGGGCATAGAAATTCCTGTTGAGGTCCTATTGGTGTAATTTACACACAAAATCAAATATTTGTGGACAAAAAACTATGCTATTCTCTATTGAATTTGGTACCATTCAATTTTCCATTTTCATGGCAGAGATTGCCAATATTTTTGAGTATAAATAAATTTTACCTTAAATGTAAAATGTATCAGCCCAAAGATCATGATAATTGGGAAAACTATTGAGTAGCACAAACAATGAGTAAAGAGTTAAGAGAGAGTGCAAATTCATAAGCATAATCAAAGGACAAAGCTTCTTGGGCAAGCAATTTTTCTTTTTCAGTTTCTGCAAATGATAGTCTAAACTTTGTGACTATAATTATAATTGGTTGCAGTAAATCAAAACCATTAGCTAGAAATGCTTGGTTTATTATAAAAATAGTGAAAAATACCCCTGTCTGAGTGATCGCGATCGGAAGCCTCATACCCCACGATCCCCAAAATCCTTCAAGGGTCAGCTGAATGAGAGTCTGTGACCCTAAAGCTTGAAGCAGGAAAATATAAAAGCCCATAAAAAGAAGGTACTTTACAAGCCTACTTGTAGTCTCCACAGATAGATGAACTCTTTGTTCTTTTTGAACTATGTATCATACAGAGTAATTCACAATTACAGCTTGGAAAAATAATAATACCAAAGTTGGGAAATTATCTTTAAATAAGCCATGCACAAATTGTTCACCATTAAAACTTGATAAGCCTTCCTTTACCAAGTACAAAAATCCTGCTGGTGTGACAAAAATAAAAAACAAAATAATAAAAAAGATCATCAGCAGCCACCTCTGCCATTTTAAAACTTCATAATCTTCTTCCATGTTTTCCCATTTAATTTCTTCAGGTGCAGGAGCAGTCCTAACAACTCAGTTCAGCATTTTTTTCATTTCCATTAAATGCCTTTTAGCCCTTGCAGCAGATTCAGTCGTCCTAAAAGTGGCATAAGCAAATCCAGAGTTTCCTATTCGTTTCTCTTTTAGGTTATCTTTATAGTCTTTTTGGCATTTTTTAATTAATGACTCATAATATTCAATTGCATCTTCGGTTTTAAAAATTCCTGTACGGATTTCTTTGCGGGAGTGATGAGACTCTTGATATTTTTTATAATGTTCTAATTTTTCTTCAGCATCAAGCAAGTTTTTGTGGACAATGTAGCTTTGAGCAAGATTTGGCACGACATAAAGTCCAAGAAATTCATCAGCAAATTCCTTTTGTAGAGTAAAATATATTTTATACTGACTAATATTGAATAAATGCTAACTATTTAGGAACTGCTGGTTATTAAATTAATATAATATATATGATTTTAAACTTGCTCTTAAAAATATACAAAACCTTTTTCTCTTCCAATTGTTTTCAGAAATCGCACAATTTTTACAGAAATTAAAGCACTGCTCGTTGATTGAGATTTTTGATTTAGGGTCAACAATTGAAAACTTTATTCTGTATAATGCTGCAAGTTCCTTTCCAAATACTTCATAATTTTTTGTGAGTGCAACAATTAAGCATTTACGCTTTGACTTCAACAGATTTGAGTTTTGCAAAATAGCAGCAAGCCAGTTGCAAGATTCTGGTTTTTCAGGGTCATAAAACAAGATAATTGATGAAAAAACTATTTGAGAGATAAATTCAGAGCTTTCAATAATACTTAAACTAATTTGGGGACTTGAGGACATTGAGGTAAAGTGATAGGTGATCTCATGATTTTTAGAAATTTTAGGCTTTGGAAGATACATGCTATATAGCCATAGAGACATGACATCGTGGATATCTATGTGTTCATGCCTCAAAATCAGGCATTTTGAAACAATAAATTTATTTTCGTCCTTGTACCAATCACTCATCTTGAAAGCTGCTTTTTCACTATTCATGGTATAAATTATAAAGGGGGCTTATATTTATTATATTTTAGTATATCATAAATTTTATCAATTGCTTCTTGCCTTGGAAGTCCACTGATTTCTAGCACATAATTAAAATTTCTGATATTATTAGGATGAGCTTTAATTGAAACAGTTTTCAATACAATATATACCAAACTATACCCTAAAAGAGAAAAAAAGATAAAGAATACAATGCTTGCTACAAAGTAACTTTCGTCATCCAAAACATTGGAAATCCCTGTTTTAAGTATTATTGATCCTTCTGTTTGGTCACCTTGAGAATAAATCGGAACCAGCACGATCACCCCAAAAAAGCACATTACGGTAAGCCCAATAATGATTTGTATGTGAACAGCCATATAAATGTAGGCTTCGAGTCCACATTTGTCATAGATGTCATATAGGCTTGTATTTCATACCTTTATTAGGAGAATTTTCAATGAGTTATCGGATTCTGAAAATACAGCATTTTTAGGGATAATATTAGGGTTGTCCCTTTTTTGGGGATGATTGGGATTTTTTCTTTGATTTTAGGTGCTTCTGGAGGTCTTGGAGCTAGAAGTTCTAATGAAGATCCTGGAATCGCTACTGAGTTATCATCAAATAATTTGCTTAGGACATATAAGATAGCCCACCTTCTTGATAGCCCTCTTGATTTTGTCAGTCTTATGTATAAATCTTGTAGCTTCGCTGTGTTTTGTGGGCTAATTCTCCTTAGAATTGAATTAAGAATCTGAGATTCGTCCTCAACTACAGTCGGATTTATGCGGCTTGCAAGTAAACGTAAAAAATAAGGCTGATACCTAGGTATTACTTCAGCTGGAAGCTCTTGTTTAAGCAGTCTTTCTATGAGAACTGGGACGCGTTTAGCACTATCTGGATCCATTTGCCGCTATTTCAAAATTATTTATTAGATTATTACAAAATTATTCTTCCAAGATATTTTCATCAGTTTTATCGTCGTCTGGAACGTCAATAGGGCTTGGACTAGGGTTAGAAGGTGGAGACTCATGTATAAATTGACGGCGAGTGTTGATAGTCCCTATTGTTTTATCTGTAAAGTGACTTTGCATAAGCTCCCATATTGAGGACTCATTTATATTTCGATGTGGCTTAAGAGTGTATAGAGGCTTTTTCTTATAAAACGCCATAAAGCATACTGAAAAAACACAGAGAAAACAAAAAGTTGCTCCAAGAGCTAAAGAAATGCAGCAGATAATTCCAGCACTTTCGACAGCATCATGAATTTGATCAATGCAGCTATCATCAGCCTTTCCAGAATAGAAAATAGGATTATCATAAACACAGATCCCGCCACACTTAAAGGTTTTTTCAATTTTTTTAACAGTGTTTATGTCTTTATCCGTTCCTTGGAAACATTTTCCTTGTTGGTAGCATGAACATTGTGAGAGATCCCCTCTGCATCCTGAGCTATCAGCTTCGTGGTAGACCATAGCAAGACTTGTAAAGGTCTCTGAGTTCTCACAAGAAGAAGGGTCAGAGAGTTCTGATAAAAGTGAGGATTTATAAGCTGAAACAGTAGCAGCAAAGTAGATATGGACAACTCCCAGAGTGATAAAGCTCAGCACAAAATTTATACTCATTATTTTCCAAAGACGCTTGGAAACGTCAAAAAGGCTGAAAACTCGAGATAAAGCGATGCCTAGGAGGCAGGAAATACCTGTAAAGATACTTATTAGGCATAAACCGACAGCGAATTAATTTGAGGAGTCAGTTGAAAAAATGAGTAGACTAAGTTAAAAGTTGAAGATTTCTATTATAAAGCATGACAGGAACACTACTGCAGATGCAATCTGAGTGTGAGCTAGCTGGATTCTGGTGTACCAAGGTGGAAGCTTGACTTCGAGGTTTGGCAGATCTTTTATCTCTTCCATTTTATTATAAGATACGCAAGATCTTTAATTTTTCAGTTAAATTGCCTTTATAATTTAGTAGGCAAATATTAATCTTATAGAATAAAACTAAAATTATTTATCTTGCGGATTCTTTAAGCTTTTTTTCAATTGGATGAATATACAAGTTTTCATCATACTCAATAAAAGATGATCTCAACATGTATTCTTCAGAATTAGGAAAAACATTTATTCAGCTCATTGCTTTTTTGAGGACTCTATGAATATTGTATACAAGGAAAATATAAAGGACTGCTGAAATGAATATAAGAACTCCTCCAGTCTTTCGAATTGAGCTTGAGTTATTAGCAGTAAAAATCAGCCCAGTCAAAAATTGGAAAACAAACAGAGAAGTGGCAATTGAAGTTAAGCAGACTCTGGGCATAGAAATTCCTGTTGAGGTCCTATTGGTGTAATTTACACACAAAATCAAATATTTGTGGACAAAAAACTAAATAAATTTTACCTTAAATGTAAAATGTATCAGCCCAAAGATCATGATAATTGGGAAAACTATTGAGTAGCACAAAACAATGAGTAAAGAGTTAAGAGAGAGTGCAAATTCATAAGCAAAATCAAAGGGTAAAGCTTCTTGGGCAAGCAATTTTTCTTTTTCAGTTTCTGCAAATGATAGTCTAAACTTTGTGACTATAATTATAATTGGTTGCAGTAAATCAAAACCATTAGCTAGAAATGCTTGGTTTATGATAAAAATAGTGAAAAATACCCCTGTCTGAGTGATAGCAATCGGAAGTCTCATACCCCACGATCCCCAAAATCCTTCAAGGGTCAGCTGAATGAGAGTCTGTGACCCTAAAGCTTGAAGCAGGAAAATATAAAAGCCCATAAAAAGAAGGTATTTTACAAGCCTACTTGTAGTCTCCACAGATAGATGAACTCTTTGTTCTTTTTGAACTATGTATCTTACAGAGTAATTCACAATTACAGCTTGGAAAAATAATAATACCAAAGTTGGGAAATTATCTTTAAATAAGCCATGCACAAATTGTTCACCATTAAAACTTGATAAGCCTTCCTTTACCAAGTACAAAAATCCTGCTGGTGTGACAAAAATAAAAAACAAAATAATAAAAAAGATCATCAGCAGCCACCTCTGCCATTTTAAAACTTCATAATCTTCTTCCATGTTTTCCCATTTAATTTCTTCAGGTGCAGGAGCAGTCCTAACAACTCAGTTCAGCATTTTTTTCATTTCCATTAAATGCCTTTTAGCCCTTGCAGCAGATTCAGTCGTCCTAAAAGTGGCATAAGCAAATCCAGAGTTTCCTATTCGTTTCTCTTTTAGGTTATCTTTATAGTCTTTTTGGCATTTTTTAATTAATGACTCATAATATTCAATTGCATCTTCGGTTTTAAAAATTCCTGTACGGATTTCTTTGCGGGAGTGATGAGACTCTTGATATTTTTTATAATGTTCTAATTTTTCTTCAGCATCAAGCAAGTTTTTGTGGGCAATGTAGCTTTGAGCAAGATTTGGCACGACATAAAGTCCAAGAAATTCATCAGCAAATTCCTTTTGTAGAGTAAAATATATTTTATCATAAATTTTATCAATTGCTTCTTGCCTTGGAAGTCCACTGATTTCTAGCACATAATTAAAATTTCTGATATTATTAGGATGAGCTTTAATTGAAACAGTTTTCAATACAATATATACCAAACTATACCCTAAAAGAGAAAAAAAGATAAAGAATACAATGCTTGCTACAAGGTAACTTTCGTCATCCAAAACATTGGAAATCCCTGTTTTAAGTATTATTGATCCTTCTGTTTGGTCACCTTGAGAATAAATCGGAACCAGCACGATCACCCCAAAAAAGCACATTACGGTAAGCCCAATAATGATTTGTATGTGAACAGCCATATACATGTAGGCTTCGAGTCCACATTTGTCATAGATGTCATATAGGCTTGTATTTCATACCTTTATTAGGAGAATTTTCAATGAGTTATCGGATTCTGAAAATACAGCATTTTTAGGGATAATATTAGGGTTGTTTGAATATATTCTTAATTATTGTGAATAATTCATAAACTTCTATAGCCAAAGTCTAATTTTTGGGTAAGATACCAATAATAAGAGTATATATGCTTACTTCTGTATTGGCGATAAATTAAAAACAAAACTACCAGCATGCCAAAGATCATAATATCAAACCCTAAAGTAGATAACAAAGCATAGTCTCTTGAATCCATATTATTTATATTAATGCATATTTATTCTCTTTCCATCTATCGAGATGGAATTATTTTCTTTACTTTTTGGTGTTTTACCTTGTCTAGGATAATCCATCAGCGACGTGTGTACAATTCGAATTTTTTGTGTAACAAGAGATATTGATTTTTTGGTGTTTATTGAAGAAAATTCAATAAATTTATCAATTTTTGGGTCTGGCGTTGTAGAAATTGGCTTTAAATAAGTATGCCGCCGAGGGCGATGCAATGCTCTAACGGGCTTCAAAAGTTCATAATCATGCTTTAATGATGGGATATTTAGGAATATCGTGGTCTTTTTGGAAAGGGAAATTGGAGAAGGTGTATCAAATTTCGAAGAAATATTCAGAGGAGAGACATTTAGATAGGAGCTTTGGCCTATATAAGAATTGTTTGGACTTTTAGATGGGCTTGACTGACCAAATGTACGTTTAAGCTTCTGTGAAGTGCAGGCTCTCTTAGAGAAACTATTTCATGGAGTCCATAGTGATTTGTTGGAATTCAGCTGTGGATAACCTATAAATGACATTGATATTGGCTACTGCAATATTTTTTTGCAAAACCTAATGGACATTTGAATGAATTTAATTCTAAGTTTGGTAAATTATGTTATTAGATAATTGAATATAAAGCAAAATTAGTACTACAAATGTCTCTTTACAATTAATTTTTTCTTACGTAAGTCGAATTTTATCAGCCTACAACTCGAGGTGATAAACAGTTCAGAATTTCTGCTGCTTAAGCAAAATGAGGGAATTCTTTCGTCTTTTAATGTATTTGACCCAACAAATTTCCACTTGGCAAACGATCCTTGCTGGCTTTCATATATATTTCCGCCCATTTCAATTATAAAAGCTCTTTGATCGTCAACTGCAATAAATTTATGTCTGAAAGCTGATAATTTAACACTTTTTATCTCATAAAAATCGTCTACTTTTGTATTAAACGCCACTATTTTTTGCATGTTGTGACTTACAATCAAAATAAAGTTCCCAAAAATAGCAGAAAAGCTATTGTCATAATTTCCTTTAGGAAGCTTTCTACAGCTTTCCCAGGTATTAGTACTTAAATTATATTTTTCTGCCAATTTGCAGGCCCCACCGATTGCGTATACAAAATTGTTAAGATACACAATGTTTAGTCGATAATTAACTTTGGATGATACAAGCTCAGTGATTTCATTATTTTGCTCTATTATGAAATCTGAGTAATAATTATAACAAAAAATTCTACAGTTAGGGATCAAGCACATTGAGGTGTTTTCCATGCTAAAAGTCATTCGATAATTAATAGGGAATGACTGGGATTTCATAGTTTTGAAATTCCAGCTGATCAACTCTCTATGATTATCTTTGAAAAACACTAAACAATTGTAAAATCTCCAACTTGAATGCGTGTTGGTATTTAAAAGAGCTAAGATATCCTTGTCCAGCTCAAAATCAGGACTATTATCGCTGTTACTGTTTTCTTTGTTTTTCTTGATTTTTGATGGCTTTTCTGACATCCAGTCTTGAATATTTATAGTTGTTTCTTTACAATTTAGATTGATTTCTTGAAGTGGAGTGAAATTAGAAGTAAGCGGTATTTCATCAAGGACTTTACTGATGACACTCTGGCAAGTCTTTTGGAGCTGCTCTAGGGACTTAATTGGCTTTTTTGCTGCTAACAGGTACTTGTTTATAAGAATTTTAGCTTGCTCTATCAAATTGTTGAAGAAAATTTGAGCTTTTGAGATTACCGCCTTTGCTTGATTAAAAACCGCGCCTTTATTTCTAGGCTCGAAATCACTATGAAAACTACATGATAGATGAGATTTGCTAGCTTCTATATGAAAGCCTTCAAATAAAATGTTCCAATGGCTATATTCATGATGCCATGAACTATCATCATATAGGAAGCACTCTTGTATCGCGGTTTCCATTTATATAATAGGATATTACTTCATATTATTCTAAACAGTGGCAATCTAATTATTGGCTATACGGCCTTAAATGGTATTTTTATATTTAAATATAAATTATAAATAATTTCTAATACTGATGTATTCTATCCTCATAGAAGGGCTTGAAAATGGCAAATCTCTTAATGAACTTCTAAATGATTTTAAAACCAAAGCTAAAGAATTTTCATTTTGCCTTGAAAGAATTGCAATTGAAGTTTATTATTTGAAAGAACAGCAGACATCGCTCGAGCATGCCATTAGTGAGATACAACCTAAATGAGATCAAGCAAAAAAGTCATTCACCAACATTATGTGGGATTATTTAATGAAGATAAATAAACGCTATAAAAATATCGAACCATCACGAATCCTAGTAAAAATAAGGGAAAAAGTTTGCGAGATGTATGATGTTTCTTATAAAAATTGATGATTTTTCCAGGAAAGTTACTTTAATAGGCTATCTTTTTATTCTGTGGATACAGAGATAGATGATCTTTGCAATAAAAAGTTTGTAATATTAGATTTGCTTGTAGCTAAAATGAAAAAATCAAAATACTTTGAGAAGTGCAAATGTGAAGAAACTCTTAGAATTTATATAGTAATTTAAATTGATATAGCTCGATCCAAAGCAGGGATCAGGCTATAGCAAGTATTTATATTAATTTTTTAAATAAATAGTATTCAGAGAAAGTGGTCTAGATGAGCATTAGCATTTTATGATTTGATTTGTAAAAATGCTCAGCTAAGTTTGCTTACAAAAATACTAAAGTTAGTCTCAAGAGAAATCTTATTAAAACAAAGCAATATATCAAATCTAAATAAGGAAAGAGAAAGAATTGAAAAATTTATTATAAAGATGCAAATTCAAGACTTTTAAGTCAATTCACAATATCTTCTTCTGGCAGCTGATTAAAAAAAAGCAATTAGCTCTAATAATATCCAATTTTGCAAATTAAATTAAAAAGAAAAATCTATATATTTAAAAAAATCTTTATTAATCTTATAAATAATATATATAAATATATAGTAACTTATGGTTAAACTAGTAGAAAATATATGGAAAATATGTCCGAACAGATGTGCGTATAAACTTAAACATCTTAAAATTTAATAATATGGAAAGAATAAATACAACAGCCAGAAATTCTTATTGCCATAAATGTAATTTACTTTGCCATGAGCCAATCACATGCAGAGCTAAATCCGTCTGTGGCTATCAAGTTATCGACCTGGTTCCTCCACTTAATATTAATAACCCTATAACAGAATTGGAATTGGAGTATACCGAGGCGATAAATATTATTAAAAGTCTTATTCCAAATCCTACACAAGTATCATCAATAAAATTAATAGTAAATCAGGTTCTCGAGTTAAGATATTATAACAGAAAGCAGGAAATTGAAAGAGAAATTGGAAGGACTTGCGAAGAAGGTTACTATTGGCATGGCTCTAGTCACGATATATATATGAAGATTGCTCAAGGGGGCTTTAAGGTGCCAGGAATTGATCCAATACCGCATCGAGCAAATGGAATTTATACAGCCATAAACCATTCAACATCGCTTGGGTATAGAAAAAATACCAATTCATTAATCCTTACTACACCCTCCTCCTTGAGAGAAAAAAACGATTTTGTTCGCTCAAGGAGGAGATTAATTTTATTTTTTTTAAATTTATATATAAATTATAAATTTTTTTTTGGAACTTTAATCGCAAAAATTGGAAAGGAAATCTTAATTCATTTGTAAAATTTATGTTTTAAAATGCAAGCTGTTAAAAATTGAACAGAATTAGCTAGAGATTTCATTATATTAATTATCACTTATGTATCAATTTTTTTTTTTCATAAAAAAATTTTTGTTCGCTCATTGAGGGTGGTTTTTGGGCAAAAAATATGGTTTTGTTCTCTCACTGAGGGAGGGAGTTAGCAAGCTATCAAGGGTGGATCTGGGAAATCTCCGACATTAGCGTCCAATATGACAATAAATGGTGAGCATTCATATACATCTGGAAATATTGTAGTATTTTTTTCTAGCTCGCAACTGCTTCCAAAGTATTTAGTTGATTTTCAATGTTAAAAAATTATTTTTTTATTTGTTTGTTAAATAATCTTTCATTATAAGCGATCATAAGATGAAGTCTAATTAATTTATAGCAAAATATGAAACGCAGATTAATTTGTAGGCAAGTTAAAAATTAGAAATTCCATTAAAAAGTCTTAGATTTTTATAAATAAGTTTATCACTTGATTTGGCTTGTAAAATATTAGTAAAAGCTTGCTATAAGAAGTTAAATTGAGCTATCAAATATAAAGATGCCGAATAAGGAAAGAGATATTATAGAAAGATTTGCTATAAACATATAGAGTAATTATATATAAATTAGACTCACAAAACATATTAATTAAAAATAATAAGGACCCCTCCCCCCTCATTTGTCCAATTTTCTAGTCTTTTTTTTATAAGAAATTATTTTTTTCAGGACCTCATTTGTCCCAAAATCTAGTCAAAAATGATTTGTCCAATTTTCTAGTCTTTTTTGGATTTTTTCGAATGCCCTAAATTCTAGTTTTTTACTTTTAAAAAAACTAGAAAATGAGACAATTGAGGTCCTGAAAATTTTTTTTTCTATCAAAATTTTGACTAGAAAATTGGACAAATGAGGTCCTAAAAAAATTTTTTTTTCCTATAAAAAGAACTAGAAAAATGGACAAACGATAAAAGACTAGAAAATTGGACAAATGAGGGGGGGTCCTTATAATAGCCATATATTAGCTGCAAATTCTAAAGCTACGTGCAATTGAAGGTCCGATTTCATCATAATCTTGTTTTATTACCCACATTTCTTCGCAAAGGGCTTGCAATTATATTAGCTTTGTGAAGATCACGAATAATTCTTTCAGAGATTCCTTGTAACATTGGAGAAATAAAATGTGATGCCTAAGAACGATGGACTCCTAGGAAGACTCCCTATGAAGCAGGCAGGACCCGTCCCGATGATGCTGAAAATAGTGCCTCTGACGCTTTTTGAAATAGACCTTCGGGTTAAGGTATGCCTACCGAAGAGGGAAGCTTACTTTGTTCTCCGAAGGATTCCTGTCCCTGCCAGGTGGCTAGACAGGTTTTGCCTCCCACTTAGTATTGCCTATCAGGATTAATGGGGATTTTGCATGAGGTTGCTCTAATATAGAAAAATAGATAGGCAAACTAGTTGTCTATCCACTTATAGTCTTATAACTCTTAGCTTAGCTTAGCTTAAAACATTGGATTTCCTCCTCCTTAAACAATATTTTAATACAATTTTTTGAAATTCATACTCACTTCTGATGATGGAATTATGTGTAGCTTCACTAATTCCAATTGCTCTATCATTTATTACATTTGGGCTAAAACGCAGATTCAGAGATCTTACTCCCCCCTCCGTGAGCGAACAAAACCATTAGAAAAATCCCTACTTTTTGCCCAAAAGCCCACCCTCTGTAAGCAAACAAAGATGTTTTTAATAGAAAAAAGTTTTTATGGAAAAAAATTTGATATATAAGTGATAATTAGTATAATGAAATCTAGAGCTAATTCTGTTTTAATTTTAAAAAAATTGCGTTTTAAAACATAAATTTTATAAATTAAATTAATATTTGCTTTCAAATTTTTATAGAATTGGGATTTTTTTAAATTTCGAAAAAAAATTAACCCCTCCGTTGAGTGAACAAAATTTTTTTGTTCGCTCACGGAGGGGGGGGGGAGTAAATCTTTCTGATCCTAAAAAAAGGCTATTTCTATCAGACATTGCATAGCTTGATCCAATATTTTCGTTATGATATCTTTTTGAGATTTTAAGGATATATAGAGCAATTTTGACTTTGCGCCCTCAATAATTTACATTAGAAGGGATCTTCACAATAGCATTTGAAACGGCAGTGCCTTCATTGATAGGCAAACCACAAGCATTTCGTATCCTAACTCGACAATAACTCTTGTGTATGATAAGCATATATAATGAAAGAACTGCCTGATTAGCTAAATAAATTGCTAGAATATTAAAAATCTTCAAACATAATTGTTGCTATATTCTCTCTATTTATAGTGTTAATAAAATACGAAATTCATCTGGCGTTATTCTTAACTTAAAATAGAATGCATTATGCCAAATTTTTCTATGACTTCTTAATGAGTGATTTAGCCATGCTCAATGGGATATTTTACTCCTAAAATATTCCTTTGATTTCAGGCATCTTAAAGATATAAATATTGATTCTGAAATTATTATTGGATAGCTGCTTATAACATTTTGAATATTGAATTAGGTGACTCAGAGCGCCTAAAAATCCTGCTTTAATAGAGCCAGAGCCATTATCTATAATAATTGAATAAGATAACTCCATTTAAGTTAAGTAACAACTGATTTTTAAGCTTCAGGTATAAATCAGCATTGATAATCTATTGCAGCTGTCAAAAGTTCATTCCAAATACTTGGATTAATTAGAAATAAATCCTATATTAGCCTTTGAATATGAATTTATGACAATTGAGAGCAAAATACGTAAAATTATCTTTATAATTATAAAATGGCTTTAGATGAAAAGATAATTCGCTCGCGAATTCCTTTTCCCTCAACCCCACTTTTATTATTATAGGGTTAGGCTTTTGCGCTTGGAATTCTGCATAAGAGGATAAAATGACAATAATTTTATACTTCGCTCACTTTTTTATCGTGCTTTACCTCTTTCTATTGCTGATATAAAAGACAGGACCCTCAGGCCGAACAGATGCTGGAGGGAAGTAAGATAGAGCGAGGCAACGCATCAAGCCGCTAGTATTTCTCGTACTTCTGAGCTTCCAAATGGCTTCCCAGAGACTAGGAGAAGCAGGCCGAACTGTGAGGCCCGATATTGGGTTCGAGAGCAGTGACAAGACGGAGAAAAAAAGCGTCTCACGAAGCTACACAAATTTAGACTCAACGAGAAGTTAGCTAAATTAAGTTAATTTGTTTGTTTGTATGCAAATTATCCTAATATACCATTAAAAATTCAATAATACGATCCCTTCCTCTGTATAATCGAGGCTCTGTTATTAGTTTATTTATAAGATTCTTTTCTTAAATATCTAAAAGAAGATCCAAAAGATATTATCCAATAATATTTATAAAATAAAATTAAAATAAATAGCACTATCTATTCTTTATTCTTCTTATGCAATTTCGTTCCCACATGAGTCTTGATAGACTTCTTCTTAACAGTCCTATCGCACAATAAGCAAGTTACCGTCGTCAATTCATCGTCTCTAGGGTTTATTTTGTCCACTTTCCACTTGGTTCCATCAGGCCCAGTGAAATTTTCCTTAATTCCTCTCCGTTAACGAACAAAACCATTGGAAAATCCCTAAAGCCCCTTTCAAACGAACAAAAAATTTTTTAATATAAAATACATTTGTAAAAAATATTTTGATATATAAGTAAAATTTCGATTCTGCTTGATTTTAAGCAGCTCCCACTTTAAAACATAAATTTACATTATTAATTTAATATTTGCTTTAAAATTATTTGAAATTGGATTATTTTTAAATTAGAAAAAAAAATTACCATAAAACTTATATATAAATTTTTAAAAAAATTAACACCCCTTATTGAGCAAATAAAAATTTTTTATTAGCTCACGAAGGGGAGGATTACTCTCTTCTGGCTCTTCTTTTTTCTTCCCATGGGATGCTGGCTCCTCTTTATGAGTTTTGGCGGGAGTTGGGGATTGGGTTTCTTCTTTATGCGCCCTCGTGGAAATGCGACTTGGAGACTTGGCTTCTTCTTTATGAGCCTTTGTAGCTGGCAATTGAGGTTCTTCGTGCTTGATTTCTTCCTTTTTTCCTTTGCGGGGAGTTGCTTTTGCCTCAGCTTTTTTCTCTTCTTTTGCCTCTTTTTTAGGAGAAGGGTGGAGTTCGGCAGGCTCTTTGTGCTCGTGGGTATCAGTTGGATTTACTGGGCTGTGAGGTTTTTCGTCAAGCTCAGGCTTTGGTTGCTCTTCTGCAATTTCTGATGGTTGAATTGGCTCCGGTTTTTCTTCTTCTTGGGCAGTAATGGTTGGTTCAGCTTGAGGAACAGGCTGTTCTTGGATAGTTTCTTGGGGTTCTGGAGGGGAAACTTCAGTGGGGTGAGCTTCTTGTTCTTCAGCAACATCTTGGGTGTTTTCTTGAACAGTTCCTAACTCCCTCTGTGAGCGAGCAGAATTTTTTATCTCGATTAAGAAGTTAATATTTCTAATTAGAAAGAAATTGTTTTCGAAATTTATAAAAAATTCGAAGTAAATGTTTTGCTAACTTATAAAACTTATGTTGAAGGATACAAAATATTTAAGTCTAAATAGAATTTGCTAGAGATTTCCTTACAATATTATCGTTTATATTTTTTTTTTATAAAAAATTTTTGCTCTCGCGGAGGGAGTAAGTCTTTTTTCTCTTCAACTTCAACATCCATCATAATATTTGGCTCTTCTACTGTTTTTGGAGGAGAGCGAGATCTTGAACGGCTTCGTGGCGAAGCTTGCTTTGGAGATTCATGAATTATATTTAATTATTAAATTGCACAGATAGAGCTTATAATCCCTTTAGATTTTAATTTAGCTATAATAGCATACTACTTGCGATTCCCCAGTTGCCATCTTTTATTTTATTTAGTAATTGGCTATATAAAAAACTCACTCATGACTTATATTTTCTTGAAATTTTGTGTAAATTTTATCCCGATAGTATTATATAACGCAAAGATTTTGCTTCCAAGTTTTCTTTTTTTTTAAATTATTTTTCGAATTTAATTTTTTTACTTACTCCCCCCCCCCCCCCTCCGTGAGCGAACAAAACCATTAGAAAAATCGCCATTTTTTGACCAAAAACCCACCCTCCGTGAGTGAACAAAAATTTTTTTAATAGAAAAAATTTTAATGGAAAAAAATTTTGATATATAAGTGATAATTAGTATAATGAAATCTAGAGCTAATTCTGTTTAATTTTAAACAAATTGCGTTTTAAAACATAAATTTTGCAAATTAAATTAATATTTGCTTCCCAATTTTTGCAAATTAGGATTTTTTTAAATTTCGAAAAAAATATTTTTTATAAAATTTATATATAAATTTTTTTTTAAAAAAAAAATTAACCCCCCTCCGTGAGCGAACAAAATTTTTTTGTTCGCTCACGGAGGGGGGGGGGGGAGTTAAAAAATAGTAATAAAATCTCTCGCTCCCTATACAAGAGTATACAAGTGATAGTAAACCATTATAAGATATCTGAAAGGTTAATAACATAAGAGTCATAGGTCTATAGGAATTATATGTCCCAGAAGTGAATTATTGACTTAACAGCCTCGGATAAAAATAAAATGATTATGCTCGGAATTTAATTTCACTGAAAATTATTCCATCTCTTCTGCTTTACTAGTGAGCCTTTATTTAGCTGTGTCAGCAAAACCCCAGTGTATAGGTTGGATCGCCTAATCCTTGAGTTTTAGAGGCACAAGGATTTACCGCTTTGCTTCAGAGGAGAGAGACCTTAGGCGAACACACACAAGAATTCAAGTATAAGTCAAAGGCTTTCTGGCCGACCTGTTGCGACACATGTTTAGGAAGTCTACTACGTCATAAAAATGGCGTGATTTAGAATGTCTGGTGATGTCAGAAGCTGGAGCTCAAAGGGTGAGCTTCAGTTTGTGGTCTTGCTGAAGAAAACAACAATTTGAATATTTACTCCCCCCCCCCCCCCTCCGTGAGCGAACAAAAAAAATTTTTGTTCGCTCACGGAGGGGGGTTATTTTTTTTTTTTTAAAAAAAAAATTTATATATAAAATTTTATAAAAAATATTTTTTTCGAAATTTAAAAAAATCCTAATTTGCAAAATTGGGAAGCAAATATTAATTTAATTTGCAAAATTTATGTTTTAAAACGCAATTTGTTTAAAATTAAACAGAATTAGCTCTAGACTTCATTATACTAATTATCACTTATATATCAAAATTTTTTTCCATTAAAATTTTTTCTATTAAAAAAATTTTTTTGTTCACTCACGGAGGGTGGGTTTTTGGTCAAAAAATGGCGATTTTTCTAATGGTTTTGTTCGCTCACGGAGGGGGGGGGGGGGGGGGAGTTAGTTAAAATTAGAGCATAGAACTTAAAGGCCTTTGATCTAGTATGAGTTCAGATATAAATCATGAATAATGTTGCGTAACGTAAATTATCGAATTTGAAGAGAATTTGGGAAGAAGGAAGGATTGAAAATAAATGCTTGACCCTTGAGATTCTCTTTTAATAATGAAATCTGATTCTGATAAGAAAAAAAAATGATATTATTGATTTCTGATAAGAAAAGCAAATCATGCCATATTTAATATCCAATATATAGGCACTATCCATCTTTATGCGATTATTTATAACTCGCAAAAAGTCTATCTACAGCATTTCTTCATTACTAAAGCAATTATTTAAAGTTTTGGAGACAAATTGGTTAAAAAATCAACGATTTCAGGAGAAATTTGCATGCTCACCTTTCTTCCAGCCAAATCCAACATGTGGATTAATTTTTTCTGCTTTATGATTTCAGGAGTTCGCGTGTATCTATAATCTCCATAAAACACACAAGAGTCTCCTTGAATAATCTCTGGCATATGAGGGATTTTTTTCAAAGCTTTTAGAAAGCTTATCACTTTGTCTAATGTTTTGAATCTCGCCAAAGTCGTTAAAACAGATGCTTGAGGAGGCCAAATTAGAATTTCTCTTCGTTGGTACATGTCTAAAATCTCCTGTGGCTCTGCTCACAAATAGTCATCACTTTCATCAGTTCCAATAACAACTTCTGTATCATTCTTAGCAACAGCTAAAAACATTATGTTGTCAAATCGGGGCTGAAATCCAATTGGGGTTATAAACCTTGTTATATATACTAGCTTTTCTATTTGAGGTCTTGAGTTTTCTCTTAAACATTCATCTATATAATATAATAATAAATAAGCTCTATTATGAAAAATTAAATTTATTATATGGTGTTTTGGAGTTTATTCAAGATTCTCATATGTAAATTTATTTTGATGAGTAAATGATAAAATTGATGGATTTTATTTAACCGAGAAGTTGGTAGTAAAATTTCCAAAGCATAATATCTTAAAGTATGCACTCACGATTTAATAATAAAGTAATGATATAAAAATTCTTTTCCATTTTTTGTTTTATTTATTTGTCTATCAGCTAATAAAACTCCCACTTCTTCCCAAGTTTCTCTGATAGCAGTAACTTTTGCATCCTGAAGGTTAATCTTTTTCGAATAAGAAGTTTCAGGGATTTCTTCAGATTTCTGCTGAATCAATTGCGATCATCTTGGATCAGCATCTTCTTTATCAAAAGTCCCTCCAGGAAACACATATGAGCTTGAAAAAGACATTGAAGATTTTCTTTTAATCATAAGCACTTGAAAATTTCTATTATAAAGTCTGCATAATACTAGTGAGGATGCTAGCCTGTCGTTTTTGCATTCTTCTAACATATTTATTTATGGAAATTTTTGATTTGCAAGTTTTTCACAAATAGCAAGTCTATGATTCTTATGGAATTAGTAATACTCAATTTAAACAGCAAAATTTGACGGAAATATGATTATTAACAAAATAAATTGAAATTTATTCTTTTTCAATTGGCTTATTTTGGAAATTAGGAGGCTTTCCTAGCTGCTTATATACATTCATTAAGAAGTCATAATGTTTGGCATCCACTGGATCTTTAAACCTTTCCCTTGGATGTTTAGGCTTTAAATTAGGAATTATCACTTTTTCATCTTGCACAGGACTTGGAATTCTAGGCTGTTTTGGGATCAATGCCTGCTTAGGCTCCATACTTTTCCACAAGCCTTCTCATGGTTTCCTCACATTTTCATTGCCATAATGGACTTTCGGTAAAAAGTGATGCGGATTTTTGTCAACAAATTGGTCTTTTCTAATAAATAACTCATTTTTCCTTGGATTTAGATTAAAACTTTTATTATGGCGACTCATTTCAGGACCGTTTGTAGGGGTAATTGGGACAGGGGTAGCGTTAAATGACTGATTTGAAATCAATTCATAGACATGAGAGGAATCTAGATAATATGGAGACTTTCTCGCTGGAGATAAACTTGAAGACCCGCTATGCAATAAAGGGTTAAACCGATTATTAGAAATTGGTCTTTGAAGGGTTTTGATATCTAAGTATGATAATTACTGCTATTATAGGGCATCATTTTTATCATAAGTACTCATATTTTAGTATAAATTCCTTGTATTTACTGCACAAAATAATCAACAAAGTTTTTTAGCCTTCCTCTTTTATTGAATAATTTTATTAATTCATATCCTTATCTCTATTAGCTTAGCAAGCACATTTTCCATTATCCTCTTTCTTCTTGCTTGCGTCAAGTTTTTTCCCTCCCATTCCTCTTACTGCATCTTCCACTGTATCTTCTTTTGCTTGACTTCTTTTCATGATTTCTTCCACCAGTCTCACTAAAGCTTCATTTGCATTTGTTCCTACCTTAGAACTCGTCATATAGCTCGCTACAAACTGCCTTTGGTTAGCAAACCTCGATAAATCGTCACTGGTCATTCCACTCCCAGGCACTAATAAATCAGCTTTATTAGCAACCAACACCATCGGTATTGGTGAACCATCAGGAAGTCTTACATTATCGTCAACACTTCCTTTTCACAAGCTTGCTTGTTCAAGCGTCCCCTCACGTGTTGCATCAGTAACCACTAATGCGCCATTGGCATCTCTACAATAAAGCCGTGAGATTCCTCCTAACCTATCTTGTCCTGCCAGATCCCACAATTGGACTCTAACAGGCTCTCCATTGATTTCAATTATTTTCAGGCCAAATTCACAACCTATAGTAGCTTTGTATTTTTCCGTGAACGTGTTATAGACAATTCTGTTGACCAGCGAAGTTTTGCCGACTCCTACATCTCCGATGACTAAAACTTTGAAAAAGCTCATATTTTTTGGAAACTTTAAATGGAAAGCGAAATTTATAGCTCGCTTTTGAAATCTAATTTATTGAAGGAAAAAATATCTGTGAGGCTGCAGAAGGATGTAGAAAATGAACTGGGGAGCTTGGAAAGAGAAAGAAAAGAAGCAATTAGGCTGAGCCAACTTGTGCATGAGACTGAAGAAGAGCTTGAACAAGTTAATAGAAAAATCAAAAAATGCTTTGAAAATAAAGAAATTCTGAGTGAATTATCAATTTCTGGGAAAAAGCTGGAAACTGCAAATACTTTATTTCAAGAAATTTTGGAAGAAAATAAGCTTCTGAGATCACAAATTGACTCGTTAAGACAAAATATTATAGCTTGGAAAAGAGTCATTCACACTACACAGACTGAAACTGAAAAATATTCAAAGTTGTCTCAACAGAAAGGTGAAAATATGTGCAATTTAATAATTTCTGAAGACCAAATCCAACAGCAATTATCTCATTTGAGATCAAAAAGTGCAAACTCTCATGAAAAATTTGCGAATAGAATAAATTCTCTGGCAGCAGTTATCCAATATGAAGAAGACCATAAATCACAAATCCTAAAAAATATAAAAGAGAGCTTAAATGTTCAGATGTTTAGGCCTCTTAACATGCTAGATAATGCTAAGGTTGCTAATTATTTAATTTCTAGGTATAAAAATCAAATAGTAGCCAAGCAAAAAGAAACAAAAGAATATATTGAACGCATACAGGGCTTAGAAAAAGCACTGAAAATTATAACAGAAGCCACTGGTATAGCTTCTTGTCAAGAAATTACCACACAATTCCTGAAGTCTGAAGAGCAAATAGGAGGAATGACACGATATTTAAATGAACTGAACACTGAGTGAGATATCCAGTTAAAAAACCTCAGCTTTATTTTTTTATTTGCAATGCAAAAAGGTATGACTAAAAGCGCTAATAAAAAAGATGCAATGGAAAAATCAGAAGCCATAGAGAAAAAAGCCCAAAAAGTATTAGAAGATAATAAAAAATTGGGTATCAAATGCGCTCAAGTGCAGTTTCAATTAAATCACTCTTTCAGTATTATAAAAGTATTTAAAAATTAGCAAATGCTCAAAAAATGCCAAAAAGCGCCAGTTAAACCACAAATAAATGTAAGCCCTCCTATTGTGCCTGAAGAAACGTGTGAGGAGAATATTATTTTTTATTTAAGCCAAATTGAGGAATATATTTCATTATTTCAGATGATTATATCAAATTTGTCATATCCAAGGCCATTAACCCCTATTAATTTGCAGACTTCTCCGATAAATGTTCCTAAATTAAATGTAAATCATATTTAGCTCATTTTGGAATCAAAAGAACTCTTCAAAGATTCAGATTCTGAGGAATCAAAATCTCCTAAAAATCTAGATTTTATGAAGAATCGTGCCAAATATTTATATTCAGCTTATACAGAAAGAAGAGCATCAATTCATCATTCGCCTGCTAAGAGTGAAAGCATAGCAAGAGGAAAAACGCTTAGGAACCCAGAATAAATATAATTGTTTGATTAATTAATTATTGAATCTAAAGACTCATTTCTCTATCAAATTCAATTGTCGAGATACTATAGCTCTTGAATAATTGAGAAGTTGTCATTGTCAATCCTCTTGATTTTAACTTCTTAACAGTGTCTCTATTTTCTCTCCCAATTTTCATTCTTTCAATAGCTTCTTTAACTCCAGGCTGCTCTTCTGGTATAGTATCATTTTCTTCTCTTTCAAAAAGTTTCGGCCTGAAAGTAAATTCAGCTTTATTTTTCTCAATTTCTTGGTCTTCAATTGGCTTCTGAATTTTTTCTCTATGAATGGTGGCTATTGGAGCGAACTTATATAAAGCAATATTTTTATCTATATGCTCAGCTGCGACCTTTTCTTTATATTCTTTATATAAATTTTGATGGTCAGATTTTTGAGCTTCTTCATAAATTTTAGGTAAAGGCAAAACTTTTGGGTTAAAAGTGCATTTTTCAAGTTCTAATGCGTCAAATTTTTGTTTTAGCTCAGCTTGCTTATCTAAAAGCTTTTGCCGTTCTAGGTATAAGTCATTTGACAGAGAAATAGAATCTCTTGCCTTACTTTTATTTTTCGCTTTCAAAGCATATTTTTGGGAATTTTGTGAAATTTCAGGTTTAAACGAATACTCAAAACTTTGCTTAAAAGTTTGATTTAGATTGCTGTGGTTGACAATTTCATTGCGGTTTTTATAAAGAATGGCAGATTTTATGTGAATATTTTGTGCTTGTGATTGAGATAAGTTTATCCTAGCAGGGAAATTCTTACGATCTTCCATTCATGGCTGATAAAAGTTCATAACTGCATTAATTACCACAAACAACGAATCTTTTGTAACACTCTCAACACTTTTCTCCAAAGTTTTCCATAAAGATAATGCAACTAATCTAGCTTCATCTTCATTTTTATTTTCAGGCAAAAAATGCATAAGTCTAAATACTTCAAGCATTCTGTTATAATTAACGGCATTGGAGTCATCAATATCTACCAATTTCCATTTTTCATCAAATTCTCTTTTTAGCTTGTCCATAAGAACTTGCTCAGAGTTATCGCTTATAATTTTTGTTTTAAGCTTCAGGGGCATAGTTAAACTTTTATTTAGTCTTCGAACAGCATCATTGTAGAGATGATCGCTTATTTCTTCATCTCTAACCATTTCTTTTGATCTTTTATTTACAGTTGGTTTAAATAGAACTTGAGAGTCATCAGTTGACTCACTGATTTGAGATGAAGAAAATGACTTGTCTTTTGAAGAGCTTTGGTTGCCCACTGTTTCTTTTGGCTTGAGATTATATAGTTTTTCATGTCTTTTTTCTTCGAATTCATCAGTTGATGTGGATTTTCTAAAAGAAGGAGTCCATGGAAGCTTAGATTCGTGCCAAGAAATATTAAACCAATGCTCACTTGTCCTTTTGAACTGCTCCTCATTTTCTTCTTGAACCTTCTTAATTTTGTTCATTTTTTCATCCAGATATTTTTTTGAGTCTAAATAAAAATCATCATAGGATCTGTTTTTTGCAGGATTTGGATTGATTTTAGGGATAAAAGTGCATTGCTCCATTTCAGACTTCGCTAGATCTTGGCGATTTTTTTCTATATCGTTTATATATTTATTTTGAAAACTCAAAAGACGTTTCCCTGATTCATTTTTTATCGCTGTGCTGCCGTCTTCTTCTAATTTATTTAGATTAACAAATTTTTTCTTTATTCCAAGTGTCTTGAATGCTTCACCTTGGACTTTTGGGTCAAAAAGCATATCGAGGTCATAAGTTTCTCTGTTTAAAGTATCTTTATTTAATATAGGAATTGTGACTGAGTCATAAGAAACTCTAGATGATGATGTGGAAAACAGTCGCTTTTCTTTTCTTTTAGGGGTTTCAATAGGCTTTGGAGAACTCGGCTTAGCATTTGGTTCAGGATCTTTTTGGACTTCAGTTAACGCTTGCGGTTCAGCTTGAATTGGAGTTTTTGAGAGGCTTTGCTCAACCGGCTTTTGAGATGGAGAACTTTGTGAGACAGCGGCAACTCCATCACCTTCGCCGATATCTAAATCTTCGTCAGAAAAGTCTTCGTCGCTATCCCAACTTGAAGATGAGCTTGTCATTGGCTATTTATATATTATGATAATGACATTTTTGGCTGGCTTATAGTTTACTGCTTTAAATAATAAGATATTTAAAATTATTTGAAATAAATTAGATTTGATAAGAGTATTTATGCTTGAATAGCGACTTTTAATACTAATTATGTGAGAGATATGCTAGACCAGTAAAATGAACACATGACAACCATCTTGTTGAGATTTTTAAAAAAGACCATAAATATTCTCAATAAATTAAAATTATGGTGTCTTTTATTATATCTTTAATTAAAATTCATGCTTATATTAGGTAAATTTTTCATAATTTAAATATTTAAAATTTGCAATTATCTTTTCCTAAACAATCATATTAATTTTTTCTAATTTTCTTTCTGTCTTTTATGCCTTCCTTTTGCTTTTATTTCTAAGATATTCACTTATTTTCACTAAAAATAATTAATTTGACTTCAATTCAAAATTCCTTAAAGAATGAGAGGCTTATAACCATTTTTTGTTGACATGGTAAGACCTATATAGCCAAAAGAAGTTAAAGACATCAGGATGTTTGTCCAAATGTGCAGACCAGGCACCAACCAAAAGGCACAAGCAAAATCTGTCACCATTAAGAAGATAGGGAAAGTGACGAAGTTCAAGCTCCGTTGCAATAAATATCTTTATACTTTGGTATTGGATGATGTGCAAAAAGCAGACAAACTTAAGCAATCTTTACCTCCAAGTCTCAACAAAAAGGAAATAAACTAACTTGAGCTTTTCTGTTGAAATTTTTGAAATTAATTTAGGTATAATCGTAAAAGCTAATATTTATTTAGGATGGTGGAGGAATTGTCCAATTTTCAGGAACTGGACCAATGTCTGAAATAATTTCTCTATGAGAACTCCAAACTAGTTGTATTGCTTCAGGTGTAGCAATTCCTGCAGCTCTTGGATCTCCTGAAGGACCAAACCAATGATTTTGTGGAGCTCCAGTAGTTCTAGCTCTGATTCCTGCATAAGTAGTCCCATTTACCGTCCTCCCAAGCGGTTCCTTCGCACGAAACTATTTCATAACGACTATTTTTAGACTATTTTTTTAGCCTTATAGCTCTTTTGGCCCTTTTTTAGCACAATTTTTTAATGCTAAAAATTTTTATAGTAAAACTTCTGCCACACACAAGACCAAAATTGACTGAAAATCACCTTTAAATAGTGAATATGGAATCATTTCCAAAGCAAATTGACTAACTCCAACGCACTGTGAGCGAAGAAATTATTTGAAAAATCCCTATTTTTGAATAAAAATCCACCCATCGTGAACCATTTTGACAAGAAACGTGCTAATTTTTGAAATCATAAAAAATTAATTTTAATTTAAAATACCCCTTAGACTGATAAGTATCTTACCTATTTTCTATAAAATATAGGTCTAAGTAAGCAATTAAGATTAAATTCTAAGCGTGCTATCACTATAAAAGGGTATTCTTTTCAAGACACTACAAATATATTTTATATATTAAATATAGTCTAGTTTATAAGCAATATAAAAGATGAAGATTTGAAGTGAGTAAAATTGCGGAACTGCTCTCATACTTTTTACAGCAACAACATTGGTAGCTCATAAATATTCTATATTATGAAATTTCCATGACGGTTTCAAAATATTGATATTCCATAAAATTTTAATAAATAAGTGACTTGGAAAGAAAAAAATTAAGAATGAGCGAAATTGTGAAAGTGATGTTAATTCCGCAGTGGAAGCATTGATAACTCATGGACCTCTGTATTATGCAAAGTGATCAATCATTTCAATAGTTATTTTAAATTTTTCAATGAAAGTTCAATAAATAAGTGATTTAAAGATGAAGGTTTGAAGTGAGTAAGTAATTTTGCTGGAACTATTCTCAGACTTTTTAAAAATAGTAATTTTAATAGCTCATTGTGTTCTCTAATATGTAAAGTGCATAATCTTTATAGTTTGTGCTATTGAATTTCACAGTCCCGTTTATAATTTTTGAGGATTAAATCGGATTATAGAAATTCATTTTTAATAGTCATTGTTGAAATGACTGAGCACTTTACATAATACAGAGGCCCATGAGTTATCAATGTTTCCACTGCCGAAATTCTGATTAACTTTTAGCAATTTTGTTCACTAAATTTTTTCTTCCAGTTCACTTATTTATTAAATAGGCAAAAGAAAGTTACAAAATAGTCGTTGTGTGAAAGACGCTCCCAAGCACATGATTAGCGAATTGTTGGTCTTTAGTGACAACAGCAGCTGTTAAGTGGTGTGATAATTTTTCCAGGATGGCTAAAACATCTTCTATATTATTCCACTCCGTCACAATTTGGAATGGCCCAAATAGCTCAGTTGTAACTAAATCCCAGTGTTTAGGAATTTGGTCTATAGGGACATAGACTGCAGTTGGATAATATGACCCATAGATTTCAGGAATCGAATGTGGCACATCTAAAGGTCTTCCTCCAAATAAAACTCTGGCACCTGGAATCGCAGCACAAGCATCTACGTGTCTTTGAATTTTTTCATTATTTCACGTTAAAACTGGGCAAATTGATAAGTCATTAAGTGACCTTCTTTCTGCGAGCTGTTTAAGTTTATCGAAAATTCCGGCTTGAACCCAATTATTGTGGGCAAATAAAATAGACTGGGCTGAGCATTTTTGGCCACTGAATGCATATGCATCCTGATCTGATGTCCAAGCGACATAATCAAAATCATGTACATCAGGCCCTAAGACTTTCCAATCAAACCCTGCGTCTTCTACTTTTACTTTTCCTTTGGTAATTACTGATAAATGATCTGCAATGCGACTTGAGCCTGTGAATTGAATGCATCTGAATAAATCATCACGAATCAGCTGCTCCATTGGCTCTCCAGTCCCATGTAAAATATTTACATCTTCTAGTGGCATCCCACAAAAATGCAAAAACCTTACAAACTGCTCAAGACATAGAGCTGCTTTTGGATCTGGTTTAATTGTAACAGCGTTTCCCATAAATAAAGCACCAAGAAGCTGGCAGATCGGGATTTCTAATGGAAAGTTAAAAGGTGCAACAATCCCTACAGGACCGTATGGCCACCGATATCCATGTGACTGCTGCCCTAAATGGTCTCCAGGTACTGAAAATCCTCTCGCTAGGAATCTTACTTGATCTCCAGAGAAGTTTTCACAGAAAGTTTTAAGAATTCCGATTTCTCCTCTTGCCTGAACCGTATGCTTTGGGACTGCTCTTTGAATTAATCTTGCGAAATAATTGTAATATTCTTCTTGGTTTAAATAAGAAGCCACTCTTTGGCAAACTTGCCCATAAGTTCTATATCTTTCAACGTTTTTCAAAGGATTGTGAATGCCTGATTTTGAGACTGCTGAGATGCTCTTGTAGTATGGCTCAAGCTCAGTTTTAGATGTGTTTGGGACATAGAGGAATTCACCACCAAAAAGAGGGTCTAAACATTTGAGATAGTCAGATGAGGACGTCCATTTGCCACCTACAAGGTTCATCAGCTGAGCTGGGTTGGTGCTGGAAATGGTTTCAGGGTCAATAGTTGCCCATGTAAAATTAAATGCTCTTCTCATCTATTTTATTACTAATAAAAATGTGTAGCTCTTTTATGGAAGCTTTTTAAATTATCCAGACAAATTTCAATAGACATTTATTAATTGTAAAAAATAATGGATCCAAAAATTAGAGATTATTTGATTATGCTGGGAGGAGGTTTAGCAATTTTCTTCGTAGGATATGAAGTCTTCAGCCCAAATAGCTTTTTAAACTCAAGCAGTGTTACAGGGGAAGTCGCGAAAGAAGCCACAAAAGTAGCTGCGAAAACTTATGTGAATGAAAAAATATCTAAATAAATTCGCTCTTCAGGCTAAGTAAGATAGTAAATTGATTCTTTGTAAATTTATGATAAAATCTGCGAGCATATAGGCAGAAAGAAAGGAATTTTGAAATAAAATGGAGGCACAGCTGATCAGAATAGATACTATTGGAGAAGCTTCGCTTAAAATAGGGCAATAAATTTTAATAATTTAATAAATTGTTTTGTTTAGATATACTTTGAGAGTTAATTTCAGAAGTGAGTTTTTACAAAGTGATGCATGCAAATGCATAAATTTTATTATCAATAAAGGCAAATATAAAAAATACTTTTAACTTCTAGATTGTTTTGACAAATATATAATAAACAGCAATTATTTGTGAAATCAATATGCACTAATTTATTTAAAAATATAGCTATATCGGTGAAGCGGCCAAAGATTGTCAGCTGCCTCAATTTTGGAAAATTTGCTGGATGGCTCATTTAAAAAACTATTGATGTTTTTATAAGGACCCCTCTCCCCCCTCATTTGTCCAATTTTCTAGTCTTTTTTTTTATAAGAAATTATTTTTTTTCAGGACCTCATTTGTCCCAAAATCTAGTCAAAAATGATTTGTCCAATTTTTTCTAGCTTTTTTGGATTTTTTCGAATGCCCTAAATTCTAGTTTTTTACTTTAAAAAAACTAGAAAATGAGACAATTGAGGTCCTGAAATTTTTTTTTTCTATCAAAATTTTGACTAGAAAATTGGACAAATGAGGTCCTAAATAAATTTTTATTCCTATAAAAAAAACTAGAAAAATGGACAAATGATAAAAGACTAGAAAATTGGACAAAAATGAGGGGGGGGTCCTTAGGTTTTAAACTCTCATTTATTATCTTGCTTTAGAAGAGAATAATTATTTAAATGGCAGACTATAGAGAACTTGAGCCTAGAATTATGCCAGCAGGTCCCAGCCTTGATAGTGAATCAATTCTTCGTGACATGACTCCGTCTCAAAAATTCCAGCAAGAAGATCGCGAGCTTATAGTCAGACCTTTTCTCCTTCGCATTCAATATTTCAGTATCTTTTTGCTTTCAACATCGTGGATTTTACCTTTAGTCTGTTGGTTTGCAGGCCCGCATAGATATATTTTTTATGCAAGTCTAGGTGTTTTTATTGTCCATTTGGTGATTGGCAGCATAGGATTTTTTGTAGTAAAAGGAACTGATGATCGATACTCCAAAATGAAAAAGTATCGTTTATCTTTGCATATATTTTTCCTAGGCTTTTTAGCAGTTGTTATAGCATATGAAGCATTTGGGTTGGGCTTTGCAATACAACATAACAGAGATAATTGTGGAGACTATGACAATAATAGAGTTTGCACGAAAAGATGGGGCGTTATGTCAGAACAAATAATTCTGATGATGATCCTGCCAGCTGTCAATATATGGATTTGCATTAGTTATGCATATATTACAACATTGACTAAGGAGTGTTTATCTAGCTCCCCCGCTTTAAATTGGAACAAAACATTGGTAAAATTTCCATTTTTTTGTGATTAACCCAAATCCTTTTAAATTAGAATAATTTTTTTCGGATAGGAAAATTTTTCGGTAAAATTACTAATTTTTATAAATTAGATTTGATCTGATTTAATGGAAAAAGTGTAAGTAGAATGTTATTTAAACAGTTTTTACATTGAGCAGATTAACTATTTAAATTAATTCTTCATAAAAATAAATTAAAATTCAAAGTATTGTGCCAATTTATATTTTTTAAGATTTTAAAATTTTATTTACAGAGAAAATTTTTTTCAATAAATAAATTAAAGGGTGAAAATACTAATTTTTATATTATTAATTTTGATCTATTATATGGAAAAGTACAATAGAATGATATTTAAACAGTTTTTCACACTGAATAGATTATTTTTTAAATTAATTCTTCATAAAAAATAAATTAAAAATTCAAAGTATTAAGTCAATTTAATATGATTTTTTTAAAAAAATATTAATCCCTCTTTAGATTGTAAGGATTTATTTTGCCAATTTAAAGGGGGTGAGTAAGTTAATTGAAAGGACTTTATAATTACATAGCAGATTTAATATCATCTTCGGTTAAAATTCCTTTAAGCTCGTCAGCATTAATAAAGGACTCATGCTCCATATTTCTCAGCTCGTTTCATGTGATTTTATCTTTTCGCTGCATTAATCTCATTCTTATTGCATTAATTCTGACTCCAATAGGCACAGAGCTTGACCTTTTTGGCTTTTCGTCTTCTTTTTGCTGCTTTCATTCATTTATCCTTTGTTTTACGATAGATTGATCTTTAAACTTGTATTTTTTGCTTAAATCATACTCAGGAATTCTATATCCGGCCTGTTCCATGCTAAAAGGCAAACCAAAACCTTTCAATTTTTGGTTATATAGAAGTTTCCTATGTTTGGCGCTGTAAGGCCGATAAATTCTGATCGGAATTTATCGGTAGGTTGCACCAAATCAATGCCTTGGTCGGACCAAAAAGCGATTTGGTCCGACGAACTTGGAAAGCTCCTGGGAAAATGTCTGCGCTTTTAGCGCTATATAGAGGAAACCTCTATATGTATTAGGGTCATCACATTGCAAATACTGATAAAGTAGCTGTCTTTTTTTGGTCAATCCTATATCTTTTATTTCGTTTTCTGAAATCCCACTCATCTGGGCTGCCCAGAACTGTTCTGCTATATTTTCAACTGCTGATAGGAATTGTGTTAAGTCCATTGTCCTTGTGCAATTCTGGTTATTTACAAAAATTTGAGAAACTTGAGGGATCGTCAATCTTTGGGAGCCTTTTTTACCTATGATGCCAAAATCATTGCAAAATTTAATAAATTTGCTGACATTTAAAACTTGCTTATGTGTAGTAATTTGGTCAAAAGTGGGAGATTTCCCTATTCCTTTGTATTGGCTGGCATAAAAGCTGAAAATTTCTTTAAGTCCTTTGACTTGTTTTTCTATTAAAGTTTCAGGAGCAGATTTATAATAAGATTTTGAGGAAAAACTTGTATTGATAAGCTTTAGGTTTTCTATTAGATCATAAAGATGGCTTGACAAATCGCTATCAGACTTCATATTTGGGATCAAATCAGTATATTCCTCAATTGTGTTTAGCATCTGAGATTCATATGACAGCCTATTAAGGCTTTCTTTACTTGCTCATTCTTCTATTAAGTCTATGCATTGACTATAAGTAAGCTTAAGATATTTTGTTTGTGATTTGTTTTGTGTGTGCTTAAACCTGTTTTCAATCATCCTATCAAATAGGAATAAGTCTTTATCTTGAGGCAGTTTCATAAGTCATAACATATCTCTTAGCATGCCTTTAAGTTCATGTGCTTCAATCATATTGGACTGATTCGACACTTTTGATTGAAAAATTAATTCAATATCACTTGCATATATATTTAAATAAGGCTCTATCCAGTTCCCTTTATGATATCTGCGGCTATCGCTAATAAGCGAAGTATTTACATTTTTTTCATATTTCTCATTCATTGTGCTTGATTTTGTCAACACTTTAGGAGTAGTGACTAATGATTTTATCTGCTTATAATCACTGCTTTCTATAACTGCATTAATAAGTGGCCTTTTCAGTATATTTATACTGCTTTGTTCTGGGGAATCTGAAAATTCCTGCTTGGATGAGTCGTCTTCAGTTCAAGTTATGTCGCCTTGGGTATAAGAAACTCCCATTGCTTTAGTTAGCAGCGTTTCTAGTCTCTTTTTAAAAGACTCCCAAGTGATATTTCTATATAAATAATTAAATATGGCGTCTTCGTCTGGGCATGGCCTCCCGGCCATACAGCCTCGATTCATATTTAATTATATCCGGCAAGGTTTTACCATTCTAGAGATGGATGGCAATACTAGGTAAGCAATTCTGGTGGTGTTCAGAGCCTAGTCCTAGTCTATTCTCAAGGGTGGATTTTTCCTCGTGGGGAAGGAGGGCACGGAGTTGGAAAGGGGAAGCTCATAGAGTCCGTTAGGACCAATCGGGCAACTCCCTAGCGTGAAACTGGGCGTTACGTCCCAGGCTACGCGTTTTTCCTTTTTACCGATAGCCGACCAGAAAATCCATTTTTTGGGTTTTTCGGAAAAGCAACCCATGTATCAAGCAAGTAGCTCATCCATGAGCCGTCGAAGCGGGAACACTTTCCCGAGAAGCACCCTGGTGATCGAAGCAGGCCATCCCCAGCGACCTGTGGGCCCGATGCGACGCAAGGCGAGTGACAGTACCTGGGGTTGTCACCCCGTAGTGGACGTTAAGCGTTATAAATTCTATAAGATAAGATAAGATATTTCTATATATAAAAATTACTCTGGGTTTATAGTGTCAGTTGGATCTAGTGGATTTAAAGGGATTGAAAAAAACTCCTCTAGCTGCTCTATGTCACCTTTAAATACTTTGGAAATTTTATGTAAAATTTTTTTGAGACCTGAAGTAAGTGTAACAGGCTTCTTGGACCCGACTTTTCAGAATATTGATTTGGTAACTTCTCCTTCAAGAAGGTCAATTAATAGTTCTTCCATATCTTTATATACTGATTTATAGCGACTGAGAAAAAAAAAATGGCTGATTATAGCGTTTTGTATAATCTCATAGATGAGAATAAATTAAATTCAAATAAATTCATTTATTATATAAGTGGCTAGAATAAATGCCTCCTAAAAAGAAAGCAGAACCTATAGAATCTTCAATAGAGCAGTTCAAGGGAGAAGCCCAAGAAATAGAGCTTGAAGCAATTGAATTAACTGATGATGTGACTTCTCTTGGAAATCGGCTATTTATCTGCTACTTGAGGCAGCATTTAATAGGAAAAGGTGTGCTAAATAACCAAATAATCCAAATCCAAATATATGGCAGACCTCAAAATTTTAAGTTGACAATTACTTTAGAAGCGCAGCTGGATTCATTGAGTATAAATGAAGAAGCAAGTTTGCCATATCTCATAACAAAAGCCACACAATTTCATATTAAATCAAAGCCTGAAATTCCAAAGGAGCCAGAAAAAGAAGTAAAAGTGCTGCCTATTAGGATAGGAGGGCTTCACAGCCAACTGCAGAACCTTAAGCAAATTGTGGAGATTTCTTTGGTTTGTCCTGAAATTTATGAAGAATTGAATATTCCAGCTCCAAAAGGGGTGCTGCTTTATGGACCTCCTGGGACTGGGAAAACAATGATTGCGAGATATATAGCTGAACAAACTAAGGCAAAATTAATCATCTTCAACAACTCAATTTTTAGCAAGTTTGTAGGGGAAAGTGAGCAAAAAATCCATGAGCTATTTGATGAAGCCAGGAGTGCAGCCCCGGCCATAATTTTTATTGATGAAATTGATACACTGTGCCCGAAGCGAGATTCTGGTATTGAAGAATACCAAAAAAGAATAGTTACGACTTTTCTATCAGAACTTGACGGTGTTACCTCAAACTCTAAAGTATTAGTAATAGCTACAACCAATAGACAAAATACTTTAGATGCAGCATTGAGAAGACCAGGACGCCTTGATAAAGAAATAGAAATTCCAGTCCCTTCAAGAGATGACAGGCTAGAAATTATTACTTTGATATGTGAAAATATGAAGAAAGTCAGACTGTCAGCTGAAGAAATGGGCATGCTGCTTGAACAGACACATGGATTCGTAGGTGCTGATTTGGTAAGTTTGTGCAGAGAAGCAGGAATTAGGGCGATTGCAAGGTATCCTATAAAGATTAGAAATTATTATTTATAATTGGCAAGCTATCCCAATTTTCTATATATAATTGATATTTCTCCCTTATTATAATTATAATATTGTCTCACAGAAAATATCAATTAGGCAATCAACTAGAAGTGACATATGAGGATTTTATTGGAGCATTGTCTGAGGTCTCTCCTAGTGCTTTAAGAGATCTCATTATTGAGGTTCCAAAAGTGAAATGGAGTGATATAGGAGGCTATGACGAAGTAAAACTACAAATAAAACAAGCTGTAGAATGGCCTCTTGAGTATCCAGAAAAATTTGAAAAATTCGCATTAAGGCCTTCAAAAGGAATTTTATTATATGGGCCTCCTGGCTGCAGTAAGACAATGCTCGCCAAAGCTGTAGCAACTGAATCAAAAATGAACTTTATGGCTATCAAAGGCCCTGAATTGTTTTCAAAATACGTCGGAGAAACAGAAAGATCAATTAGAGAGATCTTCAGAAAGGCCAGGATGTGTGCCCCAAGCATTATATTTATTGACGAAATTGATGCTATTGGCTCACATAGAGAAGAAGACAGCTCAGGAGTCAACGAAAAAGTGCTAACAACACTTCTTAACGAAATGGACGGAATAGAAGTATAGGGTTTTCCCCTAGATAGCCCTTACAGGGCTATGGATTCTGTCCGGTATCCTTTGGTTGGCGGAATCAGCTCAGTACATTGGTCGGACCAACTCAATTGTTGGTTCCACCAACCAAAGGATTCCAAGCAAAATCCACAGCCCTGTAAGGACTATCTCGGGGAATTCCCTATACTTAAAGACGTCATCATTTTGGCTGCCACTAATAGGCCAAATATTATAGATAAAGCTTTAGTTAGACCTGGGAGAATTGATAAAATGATTTATATTCCACTTCCAGATAGAACTGCTAGAGAGCTAATCTTGAGCCTTAGCATGTCCAAAATGCCTATTTCTGGCGATGTTAACATCACAGAAATTGCTGGTATTCTTGAAGGTTACTCAGGGGCAGAAGTCGTTTTAATCCCAAGAGAAGCTGGAATTTTAGCTATCACAGAAAACTTAGACGCAGAAGTTGTGAACAAAAACCATTTTATGCAAGCCATCGCAAAAATTAAGCCAAGAACCACAAGGGAAGAAATACAGTTTTATGAAGCTTTTGAGAGAAATTTGAATAAAATTAATTAGCGTGTAATCTTGGACTAGTAGCAGTGAGAAAACTTTCTTAAAAATATTATGAAACTGATAAGGTTAATAAGGATCGGCAAAATAAAAATAATGAGTCCTGTAAGGAATTGAGCATAATGCCGATCACTAAGACTCTGATTGCAAATATAGTTAATAGATGTTTCCGTGTAAAGGTCTTTTAAATAAAATGTGTGTGAATGAATTAGATCTCCTAACTCCCCCCCCCCCCCTCCGTGAGCGAACAAAACCATTAGAAAAATCGCCATTTTTTGACCAAAAACCCACCCTCCGTGAGTGAACAAAAAATTTTTTTAATAGAAAAAATTTTAATGGAAAAAAATTTTGATATATAAGTGATAATTAGTATAATGAAATCTAGAGCTAATTCTGTTTAATTTTAAACAAATTGCGTTTTAAAACATAAATTTTGCAAATTTAAATTAATATTTGCTTCCCAATTTTTGCAAATTAGGATTTTTTTAAATTTCGAAAAAAATATTTTTTTTATAAAATTTATATATAAATTTTTTTTAAAAAAAAAAAAATTAACCCCCCTCCGTGAGAGCGAACAAAATTTTTTTTGTTCGCTCACGGAGGGGGGGGGGGGAGTAAAGTATTTTTATGAGTGATTTCTATAAGCCCAGTTTCCCAATCAATTTCAAATGTTGAAAAGTGTTTTTCGTGCACCCTCGGATAAACATTATAAGGCATCTGGACATATATCGAAAAATACGGAATAATAACAGGCCCATATGTAGTTAGCTCTGTATGAGAGAGTCCACTTGCAGTAATTTCATAAATTGGGTACTTCCAACATTTATTTAGCAATAATTCTCCGTAGTGAATATCACCAGTCACCAATATCACCCCTGGGATATCTTTAATTAAATTGAGCAGCCTTATCCTGCTTTTCTCATGTATCATCTCAGCGAGCAAATATCTATACTCTACATTTACCTGAATTCCTACAAGAATTAATGTAATTTCTCCAGGATTTTTCAGTTCTTTTCCTAACCACTCCCATTGTTCCTCTCCAAAAGTGTCTCCATCAGGGTTATCTTTATCATCACTAAACCACCGATTATCGAGCAAAATAAGTTTTATCCTTTTCCCAGACTCTCCAAACATTACTGAGTGATAAATCCCTTCATGATCTCTTGTTTCGTTTAGAAATTCCAAAAAAAATTGCTTGGAAATTTCTTTATGGATAAAAGTTTTGTTTCCAGCATTTAGGCCATAGTCATGATCATCCCAAATCCCAGTTACCATGGTAGAATTGCTGAGTTCGGCGTAGCTGGGGAGCGTTTTTAAGTTGTTATAAGTTTGCTGCCAGTCAGAAAATTTCATAGTAGTGTGCATAAAAGGTAAATACATTTCGTCAGCATAGACGACATCGCCCAACCATAGAAATAAATCTGGCTGCCAAGTGTTAATACTTGTAAATATTCTTGGATTTGAGTTATTGAATTGACCATAGCAAGAGCCAAATGCGATTTTTGATATTGTTTTGGTAGGGGAGAGTGGAAGTGCAAAAATAATTCCTACTAAAACGAGTTGAATTTTCATTAAAAACCAACTATTTTTATAACTTTCCAAAAATAAGCATAAGCAAATATAATAAAAAACTGGGTGTCTGAGTTTTTGATAATTGATTTTGAGGTCTGTATATTTCCTCTTTATAGAAATTAAGAAAATGAATAATATGATAGATAGCGTCTAGAATTTTACTAAAACTGGATTGAATACATACAGTTTATATATTTACATCTATTTCATAATTTATTTCAAATATTCAATGAAATTATTTCCACAATCTGCTTTTGCAAGTTTTATATTAACTTATAAATATTTCTGCATACCATTTATTATTATAATTAATTAAAACATCGACAAACCCAACTTTGATATTTTTGTAGGCACAGCTCTTTCAAGATATTTCTATTTTTTTAATGGCCTTCATTTTTAATTTAATTCTGATATTAGATATCCAATTGATTAAACATTATTATTACATGACACTTCAAACTCTATTTCTATTTGTCGGAATTGTGTTGGGATATATCAAAATTCCCCTGGAAAAGATAATAAAAACCAACACAGTAGAATTATCATATGTAATTCCATTTGAAAGCTCGATAGACTTAATAGACTTAAGTGTAACGAGTTACATTGACAACATGAGCAATAAACTATACAGAGGGAATATTTCAGTTGGCACGCCTCCCATTGAATTCAACGTTGTTTTTGATACTGGAGTTAGTTGGATGCTGATACCATCAATAAAATGTAAATCGTCTTGTCACAAATGTGATAATTTTTTTAATTCTTCAGCAAGCTCATCTTTCAAGTCACTGAATCAAGAAATTAGGGTCGATTTCGGCTCTTGAAATGCTATCGGGAATTTAGGTAGCGAATTAGTTTCAACAAAAGAAGCTCGCGAGCTTTCGGTTTCTGATCAAGCTTTTATTTCGATAAATAATGATAAAGGATTAGAAAATCTTGGAGCAGACGGCATTTTAGGACTAGGATATAGCAAGTTATCAGATGGATACCCAACTTTTTTAGATAACTTAATGCACCAAAAACAAATCAGCAAGAAAATATTTTCGATTTATATTAGCGATAATAAGTACGAAAGAGAATCAGCTATCATATTTGGTGGCTATGATTTGCCAAGCTATACAAAAAATGAGGAGGTTAAATATGTGAGAGTTCTTTCTGAGACAGGATATTGAGCTGTTTTATTGTCTAAACTTAAAGTTGGGAAGTCTATATTAAAATCTGCTTCTGTTGCCGCAATTATTGACTCTGGAAGAAGCATGATATCAGTTCCAAAAGTTGATTTAGAGTATATTCATAAGAAAATAGAAGACCAAGGGCAATGTATAAAAGATTCTGGCGATTTAATTTGCGATTGCGGAACATCATATGTGATTGAAGACTATCCGATTATATCGTTTACTTTGGGCTCAGAATATATATTTACGCTAGGGCCTGAGGATTATTTTCTAAAAACAAATAAAAAATGCCAACTTCTTTTTAGCCAATTGCCAATCAGCAATTATTGGATACTTGGAGATGTTTTTCTAACTCCCCTTCCCGTGAGCGAACAAAAAAATCTTGTTGACTCTTGGGGGTTAATTTTTTTTTTAAAAATTTATATATACATTTTATAGAAAATTTTTTTTTCGAAATTAAAAAAATCCTACCTTGCAAAAATTGGAAAACAAATATTAATTAATTTGCAAAATTTATGTTTTAAAATGCAATTTGTTTAAAATTAAACAGAATTAACTAGAAATTTCATTATACTAATTATCACTTATATATCAAAAAATTTTCCCATAAAAAATTTTTTTATTAAAAAAAAGTTTGTTCGCTCTTATTTTTGGGAAAAAATAGGGATTTTCCAATGGTTTTGTTCGCTCAGGGAGGGGGGAGTAAGGAGATATTATTCAATATTTGATGCAGAAAAGAGCATGATAGGGTTTTCATTGTCAATAAACTCAAAGGATGAGGAGACGCCTATACTGATGATAATGCTAATTATTTTATCAACAGTTATTGCATCTCTTATGTGCATTGGCATAATTATTTGCTATATGAAAAAGAATTATGAAAAAACTCATCCATTTAATTATCAAAGAATAGATTAATCTAATAATAAAATTATCTTAGAATTAAAATCAAAGATTATAGTTAGATTCTAGATTTAAGCTAATCAGAAGCTATTAAATTTATCATAATAAAATTATTTCATCAATTCAATTTTGGAGGAATGCAATTTTAATAATAATTTATAGTGATAAAATTTAAATAAACAGCCTAATGGCTATTTAGTATTCTTTATGAATTAGGCATTAATTCAAGTGCCATCGATATTTATAATATGAGTCTTTTGTGCTAAAAAGGCTTACCAATTTTAAAATATTAGTAGTTAAGACAAGTCTATTAAAATTAATAAATAGTGGATATGTCAAGTTCGCCTTCAGATTTTGATAGCGATGTGGATTTTTCTGACGATTCAGATCTAGATATAAGTGAAGGAGCAGGGGTTGCCAAAATTTCAAGTGGCGCTCAAGTTGATAAGCCAGCAGAACCAAAACAATTAGAAATTCCCGTTAAAGCTGAACCCATCATTACTCAGATAGTAGAAGAAATAAAGCGAATTTTACCCCCAAAGCCTCAAAAGCCAAAAACTGCCAAAGCAAAAGCCCGCCGTTCATTAAGCCTCAGCAGAATTCCATTGCTAAATAAAGAAACCATAAACAAAGACACATATGATATTGAGAAACTTCTGAATCCAAAAGTCCAAAAAGCAGCACTCCAAACTTTAGGCTTAGAAAAGCAAATTTCTCTTCCAAAAAGTTTCAATTTGAATTTAGAAAACGAAACAAAGCCAACCCCAAAAGTTACTGATGTCGCTAACCGCCTCTTAGAGAACTGGGAAAAAGTCAAGGCAAAAAAATTAGCAAATAGAGCACAATCAGACCAAAAGGAGATGGAGCAGTGCCCATTTAAACCTAAAATAAATAATACTGAAGCCAAAAACCGATCACATGATGAGTTTTACGAAGATATGAAAAAGTATTTAGATGAAAAACTAAAAAAAATAAAAAATAAACAAGACGAAAATGAAGAGCTTATCAGAACCAAAAGCTTAGAACTGCCTTTTACACCTTTACTGTGTGCATATTCATTGAAAATTGAGTCAGCGAAAGCAGAAAATACCATGCCTAGGCACGAAAGACTTTATCAGCTTCACAAATCAAAAGATAACCAAAGCCTGCAAAGTATTCTGCGAGACAAATCATTTGCTTCAACCCAAATGACCCAATCAACTGATGACTCCCAGGTTTTATTCCACCCTACAGTGAATAAAAGATCCAAAGAATTAGTGAGAGACAGCTCAGTTGAAAATATTTTATATCAAGATGCCTTAAGAAGACATCACAAAAGTGTTGACGCTCCAGCTCCTCGAGTCCCTGATAAAGTCATATGCAGCAACTCAGAAAAAGTACTAATAGAAAAACTGAAAAATGAATTTGAAGATGAGTGGAATCTTGTTGATATTGATGATACAAATATCGTCACATATTCAAGAATGCTGGAAATACTTAGAAGCATGTATTTCTTATTGAATCCGAAAAAACAAGAAGAAGCAAGGCTGCTTACATTAGATCTTTGGAAAATTTTAGAATCAAGCTATACGCCAGTGAATAAAGAGTCACTAGTAGTAGCACTTATTGCGATTATGGGATTTTATCAGGAATGGATGAATGATGAAGAAAAGTTTCCTAATAGGTTGAATCTTTCTAAAGAGCAAGCGAAAAAACTTCATTTTAGGAATTCCTTACTCTATGAGAACAGATTGTCTGTTGTAAATAAAAGCACTATCAATAAAACATATAGGGAAAACTATGATTTTTCATTTAAGCCTCAAATATGCGCACAGTCAGAAAGGTTAGTTACGTCTTCAGTTGACAAAAAGCTGAGGATAATTAAATATGGCGTCTTAGTGTTTCGCGGTCGGCTATGCTGATTTCTTTTGAGGGCATATTTTAATTATATCCGGCAAGTTTTTCCATACAAAAAATCGAAAAAAAAATGCTAGGCAAGCAATTCTTGATGTATTAGAGCCTAGCCCAAGACTGCTTTAAAGGATCGATTTTCACCTCAAGGGCAAGAGTTACTGAAGCTTAAAAGGGTCTACCAGCAATATCTACAGCAATGCCTAGATCAATCGGGCACTTCATCAGCGTGAAACCAGAAATTACGACTTGGGCTACGTATAACTCTTTTTGACGAGAGTCAACTAAAAATTCTATTTTGGGGATTTTTGTGTGGACAACCGTTGTTTCCCTACTCATCAGCCTCAGCAAGCCACACAAATCCGAAGACTGCCCGCTCAAAACTTGAGCCGAAAGGCAAGGAGGAGACACTGCCATCCCTGGTAGATGACACTGTCGCAAAGTGGTTGACTCGCCTGAATCTGAGATCCTCGGTATTGCGTTAAATTAGGGCGATAGTTTGTCTATTAATAAGCTAAGTTAAGAGACAAAAAGCCGAGGAATTCAGATTCACTAGCAGTTGAGCTGTATAGAGAAAGGGTAAAACTCCAACAGAAACAAGACGCTTTAAAACAAAAATTCAGTGAATTAGAGCTTAAAGACTGCACCTTTGCCCCTAGAGTAAAGGAATTGCCTAAATCTTATCAGCAGGCTAAAATAACAGACAAAGAAACACTATCAAAAGACTACAAAAACCTCATAAGCTCTGCTCCTACAAAAGTCGAAAGAACTGCTGCATTGTTTTCTTTGGCATCTTTGGAAAAAAATAGAAAGGAAAATAACTATAAGCCTTATGAAGAACAAGAAGAGGAAAAAAATAAAGAAGATCTGACGTTCAAGCCTAAACTGTATCAGAGAGAAAAAATTGATGAAGATAAAGAAAAGCATGCTGGGGTACAAGAAACAGTGGAAAGAATTGTAAAAGCAAGAAGAGATAGAGAAATAGTAAAAGCATGAAGAGAAAAAGGATGGACTAGGTCTCCTGAGTCTCGCCAAGCTGAAGCTAAAGAAGAAACGAGAGGCAGAAATCCTTTAAGGCCTCCACAAAAAGTCCCTGATAAAAGTGTCAAAGATAAAGAAACTAAAAAGATACCCAAAGAAGAAAAAGCGAAAAAAATCCCTATCAAAAGGCCATTTCCCAAGCCTCAAAATAAGCTGCCTCTTTCTAAAGCTAAAGAAGAAAAGCCTAAGCCAGTAGCTAAGCCAATAGAAAGCCTAGAAAATTCAAAAGACTCTATAGACTCTCACAATTCGATATCTACAGCATCATCAGAAATCCATGCTGAGTGCCTAAATAACTCCGGCTCCAGCTTAGAAAATGGTAAATTTATCTCAAATGAAGTCATTTACGAAGACGAAGAAATGGAAAACACTTCAGAAGAAGGAGACCTTCATCAAGAAAGCACTGAAAATCAAGACCAAGAAGGAATAGAAAGCGAAGAAAGCTCTTACTCTGATGAGGATGAAAATACGTTTAACATAGAAATCAACCTAGGAAATGGCAAGACTGAGTATTTAGCAATAACAAAAGGAGTAGACCCAGAAGATTCTGTTAGAGAGTTCTCAGCAAAGCATGGGATTACAGGAGAAGCAGAGGCAAAAATTCTACAGCTGGTGAAAAATCTTCCTAGTGAATCCTAAAATTTATACCAATTCAAATACATTTTTTTAATTATTTTTTAAAAAAAATAAAAAAGACAGTTTTCCTTAATTGAGTATAATTTCATATTTGCAGTTAAATTTTTATAAAAATGTCATCTAATTTTGCCTCGAAAATAGCCCATTCGGCGGGAAAAGTTTCTCTTACTTCAGACAGTCAAAACAAGTAATATTTATTCAGTGTTATCTATAGCGGCGGAAATGACACATTAATCCATTGCCTTTCTTCAGAAAGCATGAAAACTTATGACTGGGACCATTCAATTACAGCTTTAGGATTTTACAATAACTCATTGATACTTGGGGATAGCGAAGGCAAAGTATACTCTATCAATAATCTTGAGACGAAAGAAAAAAGTTTAGTTGCTTCCTTAACTGGGGAAGTTACTTGTATTTCTGTAAGAGAAAATCTTATAGCAATTTCTGGAGAACAGTCAAGTCCACTAATAGTAGCCGATAACTCAATAAAAACCTTGGAACCAGGGCACAATGGAGGAGTAATGAGTGTTTCTATAAGTCCAAATCTCGCTTATCTTTCGAGCATGGGATATGATGGAAAGCTGAAAATCTTTGATACACAAACAAAAGAGAATGTTTATGCTCTCGATGTAGTAAGACCATTAAAAGGTGCCACTCAGCAGATGTTGCAAGGAGATTGGAGTCCAGACAGCTCTAGCTATGCTATCCCTGGAGACATGGTATTCAGCTTCATATGTTTAAAAAATGGTAGCTGAAAATACGAGCCTACCAAAATTGTCTGCAATAACAACATTTCTATCATAAAATGGCCGTTTCCCAATACACTAGTCACAGCAAGTCTTGAAAAAAAGATAAGGATCTGGAACATAGAAAAATCAAAATGCTTACAAATAATAGATAGTCCAGAGATGCCTTGCTCCTTATTGATTTTTAATAGAAATTTGATTGCAGCAAGCTTTGATGGAAAAGTTGAAGTCTATAATAATGTTGAATGGGGAATTAAAGAAATTGAAGAAAAAGAAGCAACTATAGAGGTTTCTGAAGGAAAAAATGCAGATGATAAAGAGGAGGATGAGAATAAGTATTTTTTCCAGAGAGCTATTGGGGCGTTCCCTCAAGAACCAATTGCTTCTGCAATTACTGATACCTCATATGCTATATTATTTTGGAGCTTATCAGGCAAAATAGTGAGCAAAGAGTTTTTTACAGCTGAAGGAGTCCACAACTCAGTTATAGAAATTACTTTTTCAGAAATTTCTTTTCATAAGAACCTCTTTTTTTCTAATGATTATAACTTGGTTTTGGCAACTATGGGTAAAAGTGGAGCACTTCTAGGCTCAAAGTCAGCCGAAGAAGAAGTGGATGATGGGTTTATTGCAGAAGATTCCACTCACCAGCGACCAAGGCTAGTTTTTAAGAGCTTCTTAGAAGATCATGACTGGGTTATTGCACTTCCGTGGCGAGAAAACCCTGAATCTCTTGTTGTTGGAAACACATGGTGTGCAGCCGTAACATCTCTTATTTATCTTACTCCCTCTTGGGGAGCGAAAACAAATTTTTTTTGCAAACGGAGGGTAATAATTTTTTAGAAAAAAAATTATATAAATTCTTTTTCAAAATTTAAAAATGTCTCAATTCTCAAAATTGAAAGCAAATATCATTTACATTAAAAAAAATTATGTTTTAAAATGCAATTTGTTTAAAATTAATTAGAATTAACAAGAGATTTTATTATACTAATTATTACTTATATATCAAATTTTTTTTCATAAAAATTTTTTTTTGTTTGCTCACGGAGGGTTTGTTTTTTGGGCAAAAAAGAGTGATTTTTCCAAGGATTTTTTCGCTCACTGAGGGGGAGTTAGGATTTTTAGTATAGAAGGTATACAAACTCATATCATTTCTCTTCCTTTGCCGATTGTTTCACTTGCCAGCTATGAAAACCAATTCGCAATGGTTTATCACTCTGGACCTCCAGTGCTTGGATGCCAAACTTTAAGATGCGAAATTTGGCAGATGAATACTCTGGTAACTGAAAATGAGCCTGAAACTTTTGTTAAAGAAGAAATAAGCATAGGTCTAAGTCCTGATGAATCTCTGCAATGGTTTGGCTACTCAGAAAGTGGGCTCCTTTGTACGGTAGATTCAGGCTGTGTTGTCAGAGGTCTATGAAGAAGAACTGGGCATTGAACTCCACTATGTGAAGTCCTTGATTTTAACAGAATTGTAGGAGTTTCTAATAACGAAATAGTCGGAGTAAACAGAGAATCAGAGCTTCTAGAGACAAAGCCTTTCAAAATCCCTGTCTGTCAAAATAAAACATCAGAACTAGAGGAAGAGTCCATTTTGTCGAAATTCAACTTAGATCATGATAGAATTGAGACTGAAGTAAGCGAGAAGAATTTTCTAGAGATAGACAAACTAGCGCTAAAAGGCATGCAAATTGCAGCTGAAAGCGGAGACTACATAAAAGCTGTAGGATATACAAAATTACTAGTTACCAAAAAGTCAAAAGCGATTGCGTATACTTTTGCTAATAAATTTGCAACTCAATTAAAAATTCCCTTCTTCCTAAAAAAAGTTCTCGCAGCTTTAGGATATGAGCAAGAGCAAAAAGAGGTTATTAGAAAAGAAAGCAAGCCAGTTGTAGCAGAGCCTGTAAATCCGGTTAGTTTTACTCCTAAACAGCCAGAGATTCAAGCTACCCCTCAGCCTACAATGCAAGAAGCTCCTATACCTTTTACTAAATCAAAAACAGAAAACATGAACTTTTTCGAGTCTTTAGATGCTCAGCAGCCACTTAAAAGGAAAATCGAGCCAGAATCAAGCTCAACCAAAAAACGAAAATTACAAAAATCAGGTGAAAATTAATAAAATTAAGTAAATTTTAATAAATAAAATGAAGCTCTATGCTCATTATAGAGAAAACACATATACAGTAATACTAGAACCACATCGAAGCGTTGGCTACCTCGCAGGCTTAATTGCAGGCTTAACCTCCAATTGCTCAATCTGGATTAGCAAATTTCCAAGCGGCCAAGAAATTTCTGAAAACATCGCGATTTCTTCGTTTTTTGATGAAAATGATGACGTGTGGGTTGTAAGAAGTGAAGAAAGCAAGGCTCCAATATCAGTAGGCAATAAGCCTAAAGAAGCTCTAGAGTATTTAAGCCTATCACAATATTCCTTTTATGAGTCTGGAAAAATGTGGGTAAAGGTCGATGTTCCATTCGAAGGGATTGGAGCTCATCCAAAAGAACTGATTTCTCATGAATTTGGGGAAAGATATTTTGGGTTTTCTATTAGAAATTTCAAAGGGAAAAACTATAAATTTTTCGTACCTAAACTCCAATGCAAAATCAATCCAGAAAAATCTAAAATTGCTATTATGAGTGGCAGCATAAGAGTGAGCTTATATAAGGACAAGGAAAATGATAACTGGTTCTCGCTGTTCAAAGCTAAAACTATTGGAGGGGATGATGACTAGTTAATGAATTATTCTTTTAATTATCAATAGCATGCTATAAAACAAAATTTAAATAAACTTCACTTAATCTTATAAAAATAATCAATAGCTTGCTGATTTCTTCAATTATTCTTGAATATTCCCATTTATTCTCCTGATTTTAATAAATTTTCTTGTGAATTAAATGTTTGGCTTATTCGGTAAGAAGAAACCTAACTCCCCCCCCCCCCCCCTCCGTGAGCGAACAAAACCATTAGAAAAATCGCCATTTTTTGACCAAAAACCCACCCTCCGTGAGTGAACAAAAATTTTTTTAATAGAAAAAATTTTAATGGAAAAAAATTTTGATATATAAGTGATAATTAGTATAATGAAATCTAGAGCTAATTCTGTTTAATTTTAAACAAATTGCGTTTTTAAAACATAAATTTTGCAAATTAAATTAATATTTGCTTCCCAATTTTTGCAAATTAGGATTTTTTTAAATTTCGAAAAAAAATATTTTTTATAAAATTTATATATAAATTTTTTTTTAAAAAAAAAAAATTAACCCCCTCCGTGAGCGAACAAAATTTTTTTGTTCGCTCACGGAGGGGGGGGGGGGGGAGTAAGGTTTTGCGAGAATTCACCCATGGAACCACAAAACTTCAAATTGTTCGAAATTCTATCAGCAAAGAAAATGTTGGAGCAATAGTCAATATTACTTAACTTAACTTAACTTAGTGTCTGGTATTTAAGGTGTCTAGTGCCGCACCCCATAAAAATGGAGTTATAGCAAAACTGATGACGTCGCCGAGCCATCTTGGAATCGCGGTGGTTAGCCCACCGGCCAAGCCTTCATCTGCACTTCGCCCGTTTGCCGCACATCTCACCCGGCGCGCTGCCGTCGCCCTGTCTCGACTCAGCTCCCTGCGCGTGTTTTGCCTAAGGGTCATCCTCCCGTGGGGATGTGCTGAGAGGTAAAACTCCGAAAATTTTGAGTGCACTGAGGAGCTGTTCCTTTGGTTATCCCCAAAGTTAAACAGCTATTGCTGTGCAGAAGTTCTCGAGAGAAAAACCCAACCCCATAAATAAAATTCCATGAGGGAGAGAAAATTAGCAGAGCTAATTTCTCTCGAACCGAATGCCATTTTATTTATAATAGTCAATATTACAAATGCTACATTAGACCAGCCTGACGGAGTAGCCAAAGAAATCATCAGCAGCGGAAGTCATCAGATGCTCCTAGATTGTAGAAAATGGGTACTTGATAATGGACAGCTCGCTCCTGGACACATAGCAGTCACGCCAGGAGGAAAACTAGCAGCAATTCACATCATTCACCTATCATCCCCTAGCTATCAAAGATCACTTCCAGGCCAAGACGCAGCCCTTCGAGAGTTGATTTGGAGCTGCCTCGCAAAAGGGGAAGAGCTAGGAATTAATTCAATAGCTTTGCCTGCTTTTTGTATAGGGTCATTTGGGTATCCATTAGATTTAGTGGTCCCTGTCATGCTGAATACAGTTCAACAGTATCTTCTATCACATGAAGATACGAAATATAACTTAATTCGCTTCACAAACCAAGACAAGTCTATTTACGAAGTATTTGTCAGCGAATTCGAAAGAAGATGGCCGGACTCAATCCCACAAAGTAAGAAAAAGGCTAAAAAATCAAGACAGCTGGCATCATCACTGACACCAGGAATGGATAGACTTGTTGAGAGGGAAATTGAAAGGCAAAGAGTTTCTTCACCAAAGCCACAGAAGGCAAAAGCAAAGCCAAGCAAGAAGAAAAACGATAAAAATGAGCAAGACATTGAGCTGAAAGATGGCGTTAACTTGGAGGCTTTGAGAAATGTAGCCTTTAAAGAAGATAGAAAATAAGTAATCTTCTTATATATGCTTAAAAATATTTTGAGCTAATTTAGTAGTAAAAAATCATTATAAATACTTTAAATTTAGCTAACTCCCCCCCTCCGTGAGTGAACAAAACCATTAGAAAAATCCTTATTTTTTGCCCAAAAACCCACCCTCCGTGAGTTAACAAAAATTTTTTTAATAGAAAAATTTTTTATGGAAAAAAAATTTGATATATAAGTGATAATTAGTATAATGAAATCTCGAGCTAATTCTGTTTAATTTTAAGCAAATTGCGTTTTAAAACATAAATTTTATTAATTAAATTAATATTTGCTTTCCAATTTTTATAGAAGTGAGATTTTTTTAAATTTCGAAAAAAATAATTTATAGAAAATTTATATATAAATTTTTTTAAAAAAATAATTAACCCCCTCCGTGAGTGAACAATTTTTTTGTTCGCTCACGAAGGGGGGGGAGTAAGACCTTTTCTATTTCCAATGCTCTCGACATCATTGTTGCGATCATTGTCCTGGTCAAGACGAGATTCGTCAGCAGGGCTTTGGTTATGCTGTCTTAGCCCGACTACAGAGTTATCTACGTCCATGCTCTCATCTTTTTGGAACTTCAAGGCATCGTATATTTTACTTCTTGACTTCCCAGCTGCAGGATTAGGATTAGAATTTTAAATTCAGGCACTCGCCATATTGGTCACGCAGTCACCAAAGACCTCGTTTACGGGAGGTTCTACCGCTTTTCGACTCCAGCCCAGTGGTCTATCCCTCTTGTGAGTGCCCTTCCGGTACCTTCTGTCTCCTCTTTGCTTTGAGGCTTCAGTCTTTAAGTGGGCAGCTTATGGATTTCTGCGGCCCTGCTCCGGGCGACTGGAGTAGCTTGATTCCAAGGATCCTTGGAGTCTATCGGGTGTCAAAGTGCCTTTCTTCGACAGTTACAGGAAAAAGACTGCTCCCCTATGGCCTGGGCCGAAACCCCCAGTTTCTCTGTAGAGGAATGCCCATGGGTCATCGGATCCAAAGGACGTTGTTGAGCACCTCCATTTCCAACCACAGGAAAGCAGCCAAAACCTACCCGGATGCACACCTCTTGAGCCTGCACTAGATTCTCGGCTCAGAATCAGTTCCAGTTCGCCTTAGCCATAAGGTCTGGACTGCTGCGCCAAGAGGCAGGTTGACACGTGTCGCCATTTTAATGTATATTCCCAGCTGCAGGAACCAAGAAATTCGGATAATATTTTTTCTGGACTATTAAAGTTACTATTCCGATTACCCCCCAACCTATAAAAAGTACAATAAACCAAGCGATATTATACTGTTTCCCTTAAATATTCCAAAATAAATAAAAATAATATATTCATTATCTATTTAAGGTTGAGCTTAATATTCGAGTCCGCGGCATTTGAAATTGTTGCAAGCACAGCAATATAAAACACCCCAATAAGTGAAGAAAGCTCCCATAAATTGCATCTTCCATAGTTAAATGGTCTGATTTTATAAGTAACGATAGAGAAAAGCAGGATTAGGATTGAAAATAAAATTCCATGAGCTATAGGCTGTGAGCCTTGCAAAGATTTACCTACTGCAATAAGCAGAATTTGCACACATGTTTTAAAGAGTAGGAAAAATGGCTTCACCATAAGATTTACACCAGTTTTGGCTTGCTGCCATAGTGGACGAGAAAATACAGCTACAGGCTGGTAGCATGATAATGCCAGAGCTGACATCACAATATACGGATAATGGCTGCTTGTTCAGCAGTTCATATAGCAATCTCTCCACACAAATGCTTTAGCCTGAGCTTTATGGTCACACACAAAGACATCAAGTAGCATCGTCATAAAAGGCAAAAACATTGTATTCCCAAAAAACGGCAAATACATGGTATTCACAAGCCCCATAAATCTCTGGCATAATGGTATTTGTGCAAGCCATTTTTCTGCGTTAGCCATAATAAGCATAATCAAGAAGAACCAGGCATAGCATAAAACTGACACCACAATCAGCATAGTCCAATAAGTGCTTTTATTCCCATGGGTCATTTTTAGAACATCAACCATAAAAATATTTGCTGCTGATTCAATGACTGTTTTAAATGCTGGGAATGTGGGAGCAATTGCCACAAATTGGAAAAATTCGATAATAATGGTAATGATGACCAAATTGTCTTTCCATGACCTGACGACTGGCTCAGTGATTTCTTGGAATTCAAGCTGTTTCCATTTTTTATAAGCAAAATAACTGAGCAGCAAGGTAAGTGCAAATAAAAAGAAACCAATACAGATAACAATAACGACACCGTCCCAATCAATAGATACCATGTTTTCTGCAAACGGGCAGTCATATGAGCTTGACCAATGGTCAGATGGTGGACTTGCGCTTTCTCCGCTGAATACTATAGAGACGCCTGCTATATTGGTAAAAACAGTTGGGTTGCTTGGATCATATGTTTGGATAGTCACAATGGAGTTGTCTTGCATATTGACTACAGAAAACCCAAATCCAGATCTATCATTAGATCCATCAATAAACTTTATAATCCCGCTAACCCCAGTAATATCAGCCGATCTCAGAGCTTTTGTAAGATCAGTGCCTGAGTTGAAATCTTCTCCATTAGAAATCATTGACTGCACAGTTGTAGCAATTAGATAAATTGCATCATAAGCGTACATCCCATATACCGAATAGCTGGAATTATATGCTTTTGTATAACTAGCTTCAAATGAAGCCCCAGTATCGCCAATAGCTCTTCTATAAGCCAATCCAAAAGCGCCATTAATGACAGAATAAATTGTGCTTGCATCATCTTTATAGTTTGCTGTAATCAATGATGTAAGCTCTGAAGTTAGCCATCTGGGGCCAACCCATGCATAGTCACTACCATAAATTTCTTTTTTGTGAGCAGTAAGGGCCACTTGCACGCCAATAGTATAAGATCCAATATATACAATAACTTTTATTTGATGCCTGACTATGTTTGATAAAACTTTATCGACACTATTTTTTGTTGTTGAGGTCAGGCCTAAATCTGGATTGTAGGTAATTAATTAGTAAAACTACTTTCCATTTGCTTTCTGAAGCCTTTTACATGATACGTTTTCCGCTTTGAGCAATGGATCGGCAATTGCTCAACTATTAGAATTTCCGTCACCCTGCTTCAAAGAACGTTCTTCTTCCACTACATAGTGCTAATGGGTAATGCCTCATTAGGTTAAGCTCTCTCAGAAGAGCCAAAGTTCCCCTTCACTGAGCCCGATGTAAGAGAACTACCCTACTCGGATATCTCCATTTTAATTATGGGTCGTAGGTAAATTTTTCGCTTGTCTACATCATTTTTCACTGTAATCCCAAGAGTTTTTATATTGCTCATAAAAGAAGTGTACACATCTATTCCATACTCGTCTCCTGTGTATACAACACCGATTGTTTTTCAGCCTATTTGTTGAATAAATAAGGCAAGAGCAACACCTTCTAGGTCGTCTGCTTCTATTAGTCTCATGAACTGAGGGTAGGTATCAGTGCTTGTTAAATTTGTTCATGTAGATCCATAAGAAATCAGTGGTTTTGGGTCTGAGGTGCCAGAAATAGCAGAAGAATAAGCAATTGATTCTTCTGTCTTATAAGGGCCAACGTAAGCTAGTATATTAAAGCTCGCCAAGGATTTAATATTAGATGCAGCAAGGTCTTTATTCATATAAGTGTCTTTATATTCAACAATAATTTGATAATCACCCATAATACCCTTAGAGTTTACTTCTTTGACTCCAAGATCAAAACCGTTTTTTATTGCAGTAGCGCCACTATATGTATTTCCGTCTTGGTCATGGGCAGGATAAAGCAAACAAATAGTTAGCAGAGGAATTTTATCATTTGGGACTGTCGTTGTAAAACCAGGCCAAGTAATCGAGCTTCCAGAAGTATTGATAGTTCTTGATGAGGAATCCCATTTACCTACATATACCTCTAAGAAGTTCTGGATGTTGTAAATATAATAGCTCGACACCTTTATCCCATTTTTGTCATATACATAAAAATGGCGACGACGAGCCACCCGACCTCCCAGCCCTATTTCCTCAACACCTGCAGGCAATGACCCAGTGTTGGGGATTTGGGTGGAAAGAGGCCAGAAACCCTTTATATATGTGGGCTGGGTTTTCTCCGGGCCTCAGGGAGCTAATCCTTGGGACTTGGGGTTTTTCCTCCAGGACAATCATTGGAAAGGGCAAGGTCGGCCAATGTCTGTGGGCAATATGACCCACAGACCTTGAAGACGGTATTTTGCCTAACGAGAAACTGGGATTTTCGATCCGATTAATTGGCCCTTAGACCCCAGGAGCCTTGGAAGTCAAGACTGGTGTGTGCGAGTCCCTTGTTTGCGGCAACAAGGAAGGGTGTCCGCCGAGGCCTCACCATAGGCGATGAGCGTGAAGGGGTGCAAATCCCCGGCCCTGCAAATGCGAACGGCTTAACTTAATCTTAATCTTAATCCCATTTTTGTCAACCTTTATGGAATAATCTAGTGTAGGTGTGGAAGGATTTGTTAAATGTACTGGATATAATTAAAATATGGTGTCTCCACCTGGCATGGCCTCCGGCCATGTAGCTTCCGAGTACATATTTTAATTATATCCGGCAAGGTTTTAACAAGCTGGAAATGGGCTGCTATGCTAGGTAAGCAACTCCTGTGGTGTAAGCAGCCTAGCCCTTGTCCTTTTTCTGGTTTGGGTTTTACCTCGAGGACAAAGGAGGCTTGCAGTTGGAAAAGGTGTTACCCAGCAAAGTCCTTTGGACCATTTGGGCACTGCACTACCGTTAAATCAGGGATTACGCCCTGGGCTACAAGTTTTCCCTTTTGCCGACAGTCGGCCAGAAAATCCATTTTTGGATTTTCCGTGCAGGCAACCTCGTCACTGCAGCCTGAAGCAAGGCCCCTGGAACCCATAGCCCGCCCACTCAAGACTGGAGCCACCGCGAAGTGGCAAGGAGGAGATGTCGGAGGAAACCTGAAGGAAGTACGCGTCCCGCAAAGCGGATGAATTCCCCAGTGGGATCCTTGGTAACCGAGTTAACAAAACGGACCTCGACTAACCGCCTAATTGAGTAAGTAAGTAAGTTAAAATGTACTGTGCAATAGCTGCGCCAGAAATCTGGGTCTGCAATAAATCAATACTGAGCACATATTGACTTGCTAACGTAAGAGCAGTAATTATATTTCCAAGCGGAAAACTTGTCAGATAGGAATCGTCAGAAGCTACAAATCCTATTGCGCCAGATAATTAATATAGTGGTGGCGTTGAAATATGTCCGTGATAGAGGCACACCACTTTGGGCGTCAAAATGGTTTTATAGCCTAAACAAGGTTCAGGCCCTTTGATCCTAACCCTTACTATGCATAGTCGCTGCCGTATGGGCTAGGAATACCTTGGGAGTCAGCTGATGATCATTCCAGTCCAGGCATTAATTGTCCAATGGCTTTTGGGTAACGGTCTTTTCCTTTCGCTCCGGGAGACTGTGGTTCTTTTTTCTGGATGCTACCCTTCCTCGAAGTGGCCGCAGGAGGCGTCAGCTGACCTTTGCCTCCATAGCACCTAAGACGTGAAGCATGAGGAATCTTTCTAATCCATTGAGACTCAGGGATAATAGTGCAAGCCCGGGATTAGACCTCTGTTATACAGGGTTCAGGCGACTGAATTCCTCTTGAAAGCAGGCTATGGTGAAGCAAGCGTGCAGAGGCATCAATTCTGGAAGACTTAATCCCTTAAATCTTAAATCTATTGCACCAGTTTTCAATATCCCAAAAGTATTCGAATCAAGATCAGCATAAGAATTTTTTGAAACTTCTCCCAAGTCCACCATTGCATCACTGCAAAAAATCCACGCAAATCCTGACCCACCCATAACACTGACGTCAGCAGCTCGTAGAAGCTGAGCAGCATGTGTGGAATCTGTGCACACTAAAATTACTCTAGCTCCAGAGCTTTGAGTAGTTCCTTGCAATCGCGATATTATGGTAGATCCTGAATTCTGGTCATCTAAATCAATAACAATTTCATCAAGCAACGACATTGAATTAGCTGTGAGCACTGTTTTAAATGAGCTTGCCCAATTCAGATGAGAGGTATCTTCGTCATAGGCTAAGCCCAGGTTGGTCCAGCCATAGTTTTTGACTATATCGAAAAAAGCGTAGGCTTCTGTGGCATAGTTTGTTTCGAAAAATAATGTATTGCCATTGACATTTTCACCGCCTGCGTTATCAAATGGCCTTTGAATGACTATATGAGCAGAATCAATTTGAACGGCTTGATAGGATAAAAATTGGGTATATTCTAGTGAGTTTGTGGCATCAATTATCATCTTGACGCCATTATTGACGAAGGCTGCTGGAATTGACCATGCGGATATTCCAGAAGATTCCGTCAAGTCGACGCTTGCAACTAGAATTTTTAAGGCAAATGGGAGTTGCAACTCATTTTTTATACGGAGTTCTAAGCCTATCCCATTTGTCAAAAGTTCTGCTATAAATTTTGGGTCTGTGTTAGATGAGTAAACTATGCCAACAGGGAGTTGTAAGCACCGGCAAAAATCAAATAAAAGAAGCAGGAATAACATATTTTATAAATACCTCAGAATTTCATCCTTAATGGTTTTTATGTTTGGCAGCTTAATGGCTTATAAATCAATGTATGAGGAATTTGGTTAAATTTTTAAATAGATAATCTTTTTTTTAAACTATTTTTGCAAAAGTTAAATTGGCTAGTCTAAAACTCACATATATTGAAAGTGGTTTTTTTATAAACTGGACAATTGCTGATTATAAAAAATAATTAATATCATTAGGAAGGAGAAATTATGATTTTTAATTATGATAAACAAATAAATATTCATTTTATTAGTATTTAATTTTCAGAGGAAGATACAAAGAATCTTATTGATTAGTTTAATGAAAAATAAGATATCATTAATTATATGAAAATAGAAAATTTTATGCTTTATATTGCAAAGTTATTTTCTAAACTCTTTTTGAAGGACTGACTAATTTATCACATTTTTAATTAGGTTTCATTTTTATGGATAGTTAATTTTTATCGCTAACAATTTTTCCATTATTTATTTTTTAGAAATTATCATTTTAAGCAAAAGTAGCAAAGCTTAATTTTGTCGATGAAATAAAATTCATATATTATAAATAATTATGCCCCTATTACCATGAATAGCCTGATTCTTTAAGCCATACGCTACCTATTTAGTTTGCCGATTGCGAATTTTTGCAGCTCAAAGAATCCTACTATTAAAGTTAACTTTCTATAAGCTAATTTTAATAATGGAAAATTAATGGAATCTTTAAATACTACATTTGAAAATGAGATTCCTATATTGAGGAATAATGTGACTAAAATTGACCCAGCTGATTGATCGAGCAGATATATCTCCGAAAATTATTGACTGAAACAATCTGCTTCCAACTCCTGAAGGATCAACCTAAAAAGAATTCTTTATTTGAGTCAGATATAAAGATACCTTATAGAGATTATTATAAGAGTAGAACTTGAAATGGTTTATATTAATATAGATGAGAAAAAATTAATTATCAATTATATAAATTCATTTATATTGCCTTTCAGCTTCTTTGAACTATAAAAGAAAGAGAATGAAAAAATTAAATAGGCAATTATATTTTGATTTATAAATAAAAGCTGCTAGATATCAATCGAAGCTTTAAGCGTATAATAGAGCACATAATACTAATTTTAAGTAATAAAAATATCACATCTTGATAATAAATGGCAAAGTCTTCAAAAAAAGCCAAAATTAGAGCTAAAAGAGAAGAAGGAGAAGTCGCTCAGATTCCTGAATCTTTACAAAATATTTCATTACCAAGAATCATTGATATCGAAACATTCAGAGAAGCTCGCAAAATCGAATTAAATCATTTTTTGACTGTTTTAAGCCAAAAAGCTGCTGCAGGTGGCAATCTAGGCAGCAAAAAATCCTTCCAATTGCTGCCAAAACACATGAGAAGAAGAGCTATGTCTCATAACTCCTACAGAGTCCCTGCAAGAATAAGAGTTGCTATCCATAGTGCAGCTGCAATGAAGCAGCCATGCAGAAAGCGGCGAAGACACACAAGGACAATGCTACTTGACTATGAAAGAAGGAACAAAAAAGCAATTTGGCTTGAAACTCACATATGGCATGCCAAAAGGATGAAAATGATAGAAAAATGGGGGTATAAGATAGCGCTTCATCCGAATGATAAAAGTATTAGAGCTGTCTATAGGTTTGCTTCTCATAATTGTGTGGTTTATGATAGGTCTTATTATATCTCATTGATACTGAAAGATAAGAACTTTATTGAAAGCCACGTAAAAGTTGAGAAGAAATGTGGATTTCATAGAGAAGGGAGTATAATGGATGGGGAGAAATTAATATGTCCTGTTGAGATTATTATGAAGGAAGAGGAATGAGTGATAATTATACACCCTGCTTCATATAAAGAAGTAAAAGAGCTGCTTGAAAAAGAAAATGTTTACCATATAGATCTAAAAGATAAGGTTGTGATATATAGCTTTATGGGACCAAAAAGCACAGAGCTATTAGCATCTGTAATGAATATTAAAGAAAGCAATATAAATGAAATTATTCAAGATTTAAAACAATTTAAAAATCTTGCATTTCCAAACGGTGCTGCAATAGGGCTAACTTTAATGATGAGCAAAAAGCACCAAAAGATTCGAACTATGCCAAAGCAGCTGTGCTTAACAGCAGAAACTTCCAACATCATACCTTCTCAACCATCTATAAACATTCTTAAAATGATTGTCAAGTGGAATCCATCTATAAGCAACACTCCTTTATGGGATACTTTAAAAGGCTCACCTGAGAAATCCCATGTGCCTCAAAAACTGACAACTAGGAATTCTAAGTCTAGGTATCCAAAAGTCCCAAAAATCCCAGAAAAGCAAGAAAATCAGCCAATTAAAGAAGCTCCACAAATAGAAGAATCTGAAAAAATGGAAATTGAAGAGGTTGAAACAGTAAATAAAGAATCAGTCGAAATGGAAATTGAAGTAGAAATCAGCGAAAATGAGCAATTTGAAGTTAATGGGATTTTAGTTTTCAGGAAAAGTAAAATGGCTCGAGGCTTCGCTGAAGGCTGAGATCTAATACTGCCATCAGGCAATGGACCTGAATTCTGAAGGTAAAATATACATAGAACTTGCATCTATTCTGGGGCCAAAGCTATTGGGCTTAGAGATTATAATGCAATTAAGCTAGAGCAAGCTATTCCATCATATCCAGACGATTTTCCTACCACTTCAGCATACCAAACATATGCTCAAGAGCAGGCAAAAATTGACGTGGAGAACTATTTTAAGAGACCTTCTTCTAAACGTGTGAATTTTGAAAGAATTTCAATGCCATTCCCATTTTACTCTGATTGATTTGGGATCTTAGGTGTCACATCATATACACAGCTTAAGTTAATACAAATAAAATGCCATAATAGAATCCCACAGCGGCGAGCATTACTTTGTAAACCTGCCTCTGAAGATTTTATATGCTTGCTAAATTTATATTTTATATAAGCATCATTACAGAAATATTATTTTATATAAATTTCAGTATTAGAAACATGTTAACTTATTAATATGAACTTAGTAACAGAATAGACAAAAAAGGCCCAACTTTTCAAGAACCTTTATCAGAAAAGTCAAAATTAAACCATTTGTGGACTGTAGAAGACTTCGGGAATTTTAAAGCAAATTTGTCAAGGCAAGTCGTAGGGTTTATTACTTCAGGAGGTTTCAGCTTTATCAAAGCAAGGGGATTCGGGATTGGGTATATCCAAACAAACTATGACTCAGAAATAACTGACAAAATCCTGTTCAGGAACCCCAAGTCAAGATTTTATCATTTATGTGAAATTAAAAGGCTATAATAGGATAATTAATCTAAATATTCACAAGCATTTATGTTGCTATCTAATCTAAGAGCTCTCAGATTCTTTTCTCAAGCCAAGCTATTTACTCCTGGCCCTTTAAGCACCACTATGACTGTAAAACAAGCAATGCTAGTAGATGTCAACAGATCAAGACATATGGTTGAAGTAAATCAATGGCTCGAAAACACCTTACTGAGCATTGCTGGCCTATCCCAGCCTAAGTATAGAGTTATTTTCTTGCAAGGTTCTGGGACTTTTACAGTTGAAGGCATGATTGGATCCACTTTTGACAGAACAAAGCGAGGCAAATCTTTAGTTGTCGCGAATGGTGCATATGGTGAAAGAGTTGCCAAAATCTGCAAAATCGTTGGGATTCCTCATAAGGTGCTCAGATATGAAGACAACCAAGTAGTCCGCCCAGAAGATGTAGAGAGAGAAATGGACGATGAAGTTACACATGTCTTTTGTGTCCACTCAGAAACAACCTCTGGACTCTTAAACCCAATAGTTGACGTTGGGCAAGCTGTCAAAGGCAAGAAAAAAGATGCGATTTATTTAGTAGACGCTGTCAGTAGCTTCGGAGGGGTAGATTTTGATTTTAAAAAGGCTGGGATTGACTATTTAGCGACTTCTTCTAATAAGTTGCTGCAAGGCGTCCCTGGGTTTGGGATTGTGTTTTGTAATACTGAGCATTTGGATACTTGTGAAGGAAACAGTCATTCTTGGGGAATTGATATTTATTTGAGGTACCAAGAGATGCTGAGGACTGGGGAGCATATCATGCTGACACCTCCATTTCAGCCGATTTTAGCTTTTAGACAAGCTTTAGAAGAGTTTTTAGCTGAAGGAGGTGTTAAAGCAAGACAGGCTAAATACCAAAGAAATCAAAGAGCCTTACAAGAAGAAATGAGTAAGAATGGGTTTCAGCTTTATATAAACCCAGCACACCAAGGCTGGATAATAAACACATATTTGCAGCCAAAAGACCCAAGATTTAGCTTTCAGAAGCTTTATAATTATTTAGCAGACAGAGGAATGCTAATTTATCCAGGAAAAGTCGCAAAAGTTGAATCTTTCCGAATTGGGACAATTGGAGAACTTACAGAAGCTGATATGAGACTGTGTGCTAAATACGTCAGAGAAGCTTGTGAAGAAATGGGATTACAATTTCCTTTAAATAACTAAATCTACATACAATGATTAAGAATTTAATCCTTGTGATCTGCATCGGGCAAATGATTTTCTATATTATTTTAGGATAATTATAATGATTTGTATGATAAAGCTGTTTTTATACAGATCAGGTCAGAATAGTATAATTCTAAAAGCCCTTGTTTCGGCCTGGCTTTCAATATCGCCCTTTAAATTGCATTTCATGAGCTCTTTTGTCAATGTTGAGCTTCTTATGTGTGGCATTCTATTAATTATAGTGTTCATTTTTTCTTTCGCCTGTGGTGTAGCTAATGGAAAATTCCTGGGCGAGGAAGGCAAAGATGGTCTCGGAGTTAAGCACGGATGTGAAAAAGTAGCAAGCTTATTCCTTGCTATTTCACGGGCATTATAAGATGATCTCAAAAGCTGGACTGTAGCACTGGGATAGACCTGCTTTATATCAGAATTCTTTATCCTTGCTACTTTTAGTGTCTCTGAAGTGACTACTACCGAAAATGCTGAAGGTTTGTCAAAGAGTGCGCTTTCTTCACCAATTCAAGAGCCCTTTTCAAGGGTAGATAAAAATCTTTTGTACTGGCCTTGTTGGAAAAAAATCTTACACTCTCCTTCAAGGATAATCAGGATTTTTTCATTAAAAGACCCTTGCTTAGCTATAATTACTCCGCGGCTGTAATACTCGATATCTAGTAAATAGGCAAGCCTTTCTCTTTGTTGTGCTGGAATTTGAGCGAGACCAGGAATATATTGATCAACGATTTTTCTTTTAGTTTCCATGTTCGCATTGACTTCTTTTCCTAAAAGAGATTTAAATATTTGAGCTTCTAGGCGAAGAACATACATATGTTCAATAGCAACGGCTGTCAAACTTCTTGGAAGGTCTTTTAAAATTCCTCTTTCTCCAAGGATGGTGCCTTTGCCTAGGATATTTCCAGGGATCATATCTCCCTTGTCTTTAAGAGTGTGGTTATATAGCTGCAGGGATCCTGACAATATAACGTATATGCAATCACTTGGGTCTCCCTTCGAAAATAATACCTCATTTTCTCCGAGTTCCTCAGCTGTAAAGCTATTTAATAAGAGCATTCTATTCGCCATTGTTAGCCCATCAACCGCACTTTCCAGCGGTTTAAGCTCGCTAAGCAATCGATCTAATTCTTGTAATTCCTCATAAGTTTTCAATTTCTTTTTAATTATGCTGATGATTCTTATAATGTCTGCTTCTGAATCCATTTTTGATTTGTATGCGTGTTATGCTCTTTCTAATTTATAACTCAAAATAAGATGAATACAAGAAAAAGCAGATTCCAGGACACTAGCTCTTTGACGAATAATTATAGGAAATCTTGTGATATATGTAAAGCAGTACCAAACACAAAGTAAATTTGACTATAGGTGAGAAGAAAAAGAAACATATTGGGATCTCAAGAAGATATACATTAAAATGGCCTAGTGAGCCAGCCTACCTTAGCACCTAACCTTTTGGAAGAGAGATGGTGTTCGGGGATGTGCATTCTGCCAGAGCTTACTGGTTTGTTAGGGCCGACCGCAGCCTTATTCCAGTCAAGGTTTTACCTTGGAGGAAGATGATGTTGGAGTATGAAAGGAGTGTCCCAGCAACACCAAAGAGGTTCCTCCTGGCTAATGGGAACTTTTCCCAGCGCGATATCAGGCGTTACATCCTGGACTACGAATTTTCTCGAAGCCAAACCTCGTTGGCGTACGGACGGTGACCCAGCACTTCTGACTCACAGGTAGCGAGTGCAAGCCCTCATCTGTGAGAAATAACACAACAAGGCCGTGCTTGGACTGGCAAGCAAGCGGTGCAGCCGTGAATGTGGTTCGGAAGGTCCTCTTGGGAGCTTTTATAATCTTAATTAATTTAAGTTTAAGAGATCTCAAGAAGAAAAACTTGCAAGATAAAGTGGCAAAGCTGAGGGAAGACCCAAATATATGTGACTGAAGATCGCTTTCTCCCGGAAAATCAAAAATAGAGGTAAGAGAAAAACAGGTTGATCTTCAAAAATTAAAATATAAAATACAAGAAGCAAGAAATGCGTTAGGGAATAAATTCAATAGAGCGACCGCGACTCCTAAAGATGAAAATTTTGCTAAATACACAAAATCAGATTTCGCAAATAGTGACAGTTTCAATGACAATAATGAGCTCATCAAGCATATTCGGCGCCTTGAGGATCAAATTTACCAGCTTGAAGAAGTAAACAAAACAATAAGAAAATCACTAGATTTCGCTAATGAAGAGCTTTCTAGGCTTCGTCAAGGAAATTTTTCAAAAGAAGACTCAGAAAAACTGAAAATAATTGAAGCCCAGTGATATGAAGATTCTGCAAAAAAAGAAGCTGCAGAAAAAGAAGTGCTGCAGCTAAGAAAAGAAATAGAAACCATGAAAGATTTAAATGGATATCTTGAAGAAAAATTAAAAGAAAAAAAAGAATCTGATGAAAGTGTGCTTGTAACCTTAAAAAATCTATCAAATGTGATTTTATCGAAAAAGAAATGGAATGGGATTGATAGTGATACAAGGGAAAAACTTGATATTTTCTTCGGAGAAAATATGAGCACACTAGTCGACTCTTATGAAGAAAAAGTTAATTTTCTGGAGATGGAGAGAGAAAAGTTTAAAAATGAGGTAAAAGAAACGAAAGATTCACTTATAGGAATTCTTGAACAGCTAATTGATACAGATAAAGGTGACCTCAGAATCTTAAGCCAATTGCAAAGAAATGATACTAGAGATGCTTTAATTATGCTTGAGTCTTCAAAAGATTCAATAGAGGAGAGGATAAATAACTCACGTAATTGGATAAGAGAACTTCAAAAAGAAGAAATTGAGCTTGAGTATGAATCTGAATCGCCAATACCTAACTCCCTCTCTGTTAGTGGAGAAAAAAAAACTTTGCTCGCAATGGAATTAGTTTTCTTTTTTATTGCTAATTAAATTTAAATGGGGTTAATTATGCTTTGGAAAAAAAAATAAATTTTATAAAATTTTCATTCAAAGTGCTAGCTTTTTGAATAGCATTCCACTCACACTTTCCCTTTTAAAATAAAATAAGTTATATATAAATTGTGACTTTTGAGTATTAAATTGGGTATCAAAGCTATTTATATTTAAATTGTTATTTTTCCTATAAAAATTAAGTTTTATTCCATTTAAAAAAAGTTTTATTATCCTGCCTATAAATGGAAACTTTATCATATTTCGTTCTTATTGGGAAGCTGGAATTTTCAATTTCCGAATATTTAAAAATAAAAATTTTATTTAATTTAGAGAATTATGTTTTAGAAGCAAGCTGTCTAATTTTATAGAATTTGCTAATATTTCATCCTTAATGTATATTACAATATTTCTAAACTTGTTTTTTTGCTTGCTCGCAGTTTCCTAAAAAGGAAAGCACTTTTAAATAATTTTGCAATCTCATAGAGTGTGGGGTGTAAGAGAAATATTTCACCTGTAAAACCGCGGGAAGATTTTAATTCTTATGAAGAAAATTTCAAAAATATTAATATAAATCAGCTTGAAACAGAAATTCAGCAGTTGAAGCTTGAAAATGAGGAAATGCAGCAAGTTATTAAAAATATAAAGCCGACTTGTGAGCAGTCTGATTTTATAGCATTTGTTGAATGCCAAGCAAGTGCTATTGAAGAGCTTTTGAAAGATCCTGAAGCTTTGGAAGAATGGGAAATTGAATTTTAATTTTAAATTTTTATTTACCTTAATGACATTTTTCACAGAATTTAATATATGACTGAAATAGAAAAGAATATTTCAGAAAAAAATTCTATAATTACTCAACATAATTCAAACCAAATCTAAACATATTTCTAAAAGTTAAACTTTAGACATATAACAACAGATTTATTTTCTTTTTGTTTTAGTATATTCTGAAATTATTCGCATCACGATTTGCTATTATTAAAAATTAAATTTAAATCCTTGGAATCAAATCCTTCATAACTTATTTATTTCAATTAAATATTTTTTAAATATCCATAATTTGCTTGAATTTCATAACGCATAGTTGATTATTCTAAAAATAAAATGGAAAACTAGTCGCCTGATGGCTCCAACAGCCATGAAAAATTTGCCACCCTAAGCATGCTGTCACTTAAAGTAGCTTTTATTTAAGCTACCCTCTTAAAATTTTGATAGCAATTGCTAATCCTCCTATTAATTGGATTATAGCTTATACACGTTATAATCAGAAAAGATATTAGGGATTTTCTTCATTTTCTAATAAATATCATATTTTGATTTTTATATGGGCCATTAAAAAAAAGGATCACTATCTATTCAGCTCGAATATGGTGTGACTACCTAATAAAAATGTTTATGTCAGAACAACGATCATCAGAAGAACCGAGGCAAAAAATCTTTGGCTCTAAAGAAGGAAAAGCTAAAAAGAGTCTAAATAAGAAATTCCCTAATTTGCTATGCATATTATTTAATTTTCTTTTTAATTGGCTTTATGCTCTAAATCAATCATTTTATTTATTTTAACTCTGCATGAGGGAGTAAAAAAACAATTTCACCACCAGAGTTCAAGAGTGATCCCTCTTCCCCACTTTCTGGCGGCGACTCAAATAAGGTGCTTCCAATACCTCATGGGGATAATCCCTACTCCAAAGCCAAACAGGCAGAGTACAAAGACAGAGACTACAAAAAAGCGGAATTTTACTATAAGCAAGCCATAAATCAAGGCGACAGGGTTGAAAGCGCCGTCAAGGATTTAGCTAGTTTATTGCACCAGCGAGGCAAAACAGCTGAAGCCTGCAAACTTTTAGAAGAAAACCGTGGTTTATTTATGAATAACTACGAAAAATACCAGAACCTATACAATACCATATACAAGCAGCTGGACGAAACCACAAGTTCTCTTAGCCGGATCCTAAAGGTTTCTGGCCTTGGGAAAGATGACTCCTCTCAGAAAGTGACTGGACTCTTCAACAATTCTTCAAGAATCCTAGAGGTTGTGATGGGGCATGAAGAAGAGGATGGCGATATAAATTACTACGCTTTCCTCCGATTCAACTCGCATTCATCAGCACGTAAAGCTTTGGAGGCCTTCAGGAATTGGACCCGTCATAGAGTGGAATGGGTCACAAAAACTGGGGAAATCATAGGAGATGCCCACTATGCCCGTCATAAGATGGAGGAGTACAGAAAAGCCAACCCGACCTTTGATTATATTATTTTTGATCGGGATCCTAAAGGCTATGTACTTAGCTTACCAATTGACGGACACAGTGCTAAAATTAAAGAGGAGTTGCCAGAAGGAGAAGTTTCCATAAGAGGGCTTCTTGGGACTGATCTTTATGATTCGATTTTCAACTATATTGATCCATCGCCTATTAGCTCTTTACGGGTAGCTGAAGTGCGGGTGAACTAATATAAATATTTCTTTCAATTAAATCTTTATAATTACCATTGTGGAATTAAATGGACGAGGACCAAACAAAGTGCTTAGAAGACGCTATTTCAGTAGTCAAAGACGAGTCATATCATATGCAGAGGGCGCTTGATTCCAATAATCTTAACGAAGCTTTAAAGCATGCTTCTAATATGATTGGCGAACTCCGCACTTCACTATTGTCTCCTCGATCTTATTTTGAGCTCTACATGCAAGTTTTCGATCAGTTAAGCAGGATAGAGGCATACTTCCGAGAAGAGTCCAGAAGGGGGACAAGGATTGTGGAGCTTTATGAGAAAGTCCAGCATACCATCAGCATTCTCCCTAGACTTTACTTGCTAATCACGGTAGGATCAGTTTATATACAGACCAAAGAACTTCCAGCAAAAGATGTGCTGAAAGACTTGATAGAAATGGTTAAAGGAGTCCAGCATCCTCTCAGAGGGTTATTTTTAAGATATTACCTCAACAAGGTCTGCAAGGACAAACTCCCTGACAAAGGCTCAGACTTTAGCGATGGAGATGTTACAGACTCAATTGACTTTTTGATACAGAATTTGTCTGAGATGAACCGTCTTTGGATCAGAATGCAGCACACAGGGTCTGTGAAAGATAAGAATAAAAGGGAAAAAGAAAGAAATGACTTAAGAGTTACTGTAGGAGAAAATATCAACAGATTATCAAGTTTACAAGGAGTTAATATTGACCTTTACCAAGAATTAGTGATGCCTAAAATAATGGAAATTGTGGTATCAAATAAAGACGCGATTTCTCAGCAATATTTAATGGACTGTGTTATTCAAGCGTTTTCTGATGATTACCATTTACAGACACTTCAGCTGCTCCTTGAAACTTGTAGCAATTTACAGCCAACAGTTGACATTCAGTCAATTGTGATAACCCTTTTGAATAGGCTTTCAGACTATGCTGGAGAAGCTGAGCTTGATGTTTTGCAGAATATTGATGTTTTTGGACTAGTAAAAGCTTATATTGATAAAGTGATATCCGAACAAGAAAGCTCCCTGGATACTAAAAAACTGCTATTGTTAGAAGTCGCTTTTATGAAGCTTTCACTGAAATGCTACCCATTAGATACAAATAACGTTAACACCATATTGGAATCTTGTGTTTCCCTAATGGACAAAAGTACTCCAGAAAACCGGTCACATCCAGAATCGCTTAAATCGATCGTGAAGCTCTTGTCATTCCCATTGGAAACTTTATCCTTCGCAATTTTGACTATGAATAATTATCCAAAATTGATGACTTACCTACCTTTTTCTTCAAGAAAGCAAGTAGCATTCAAAATCGTCCAATCAGTTGTAGTAAGCAAGAAATTCCTTGACACACTGGAGACAACTACACAGTTACTTGAATTTGTCTCGCCGTTACTTTATGATACAAGTGACTCAGAAGAAGGATTTGATGCTTATGAGTTCGAAGATGAACAAAATAACATGGCAAAACTGGCACATCTAGTAAAATCAACTGACCTAGATACTCAATATAAAATTTTAAGCCTTCTTAAGCAAAGGTTTTCACAAGGTGGGGATAAAAGAATCAAATATACTTTCCCAGCCTTGATTTTTGCTTTTATTAATTTCGCTAGACTTCTGAATGCTTCTGAGGAAAGCTGGAATACTAAACTTGAACAAGTTTTAGAGGTCTTAGCTGAGCTTGTGAGCAAAACTTCAGAAAATAACCCAGATCTTGCATTAAAACTGAATTTGCAATGTCTGCAACTCATAAACCAATTCCAAAACAAAAAGTTCCAGCACACTGCTTTAGAGTTTGTAGAGCAAGCCTTTTATGTCTATAAAGAAGAGCTTGCTGACTCATACGCAAAACACGCTGCAATTAACTTAATTTGTGCAACTTTAGTAACTTTGAACTGTTTTGATGACGAAACTTCTGATTCGCTCGTGAAGTTATGCACCCAACAGTCATTAAGACAGCTGAAAAAGCAAGACCAATGTTTAGGACTGTGCTTATGCACTCATTTATTCTATAATGAATTCAGCCAAAACGAAAGAATAGTAAGTGACTGCTTAGGAAAAGCTGCAAAAATTGCTGAAATCTGCATTACTCATAAGAATTCTGTTAATTTATATGTGACATTGGTCAATAAGTTCCTTTATTATATGCTGCAAGGTGTTAGCACATTAGAAGAAGATACTGTGAACCAGCTTCTCCAAGCTACTAAAGAAGGTATTGCGACTGCAGAAAAAGAAGGAGACAGCAGAGTTAATGTTAAAGAGCTAAAATCGTACTTAAGAGCTACCTTAAACTACATTAAAGCAAGACAGCAAGAAGGAAAGCTAAGCGGAGTCTCAGTTTAATAGTAATAATATTAGCCTGCCTTAAAGCTCTTCAATTTATTTGTATAATAAATCTTTTTGGATTTCGGAGTTTTATGTTTCTGATTTTATTTGTTTACAGTATTATATATGCGTTTAGAAATTCAAATGGACCATGACTAATTAAAATCTAAAAATTACCAAATTTGACTGATGCTTCTATCGTTTATAAAATACTAGATAATTTTTAAAATTTATGATTAAAATTGATGTAAATTCTAAATAATACTCTCATTGTTCATCATACTAAAAGACTTGCTATACTTCGCACTGATAGAGCTTATTTCAGATTTTGATTCTACAAGCTCTTCCCTGAATAGCTCCGTGAAGTTAAAGTTTGATCCTTTTATTTTGCTCAGTTTTGCTTCAAGTTTCGGGTCAGGGATTGGCGGTACTCTATTTTTGCTCAAAGAGTACTTATCATCAATTTTCCCTTTATTTACTGAAAATCCATCTTCCTGCAGCTTTTCTTCCAAATAATTAATAATTGATTTATCCTCCAAGACCAATAAAGTTTCTTCAAATTCATAAGTATAATCCACCCCAATCACCTCTACCAAATATTTTATGCAATCTTTGAATTTTTTTTGCTTTCGCTTTTTTGACCAGACTGCTGCGATCTGAATAGCATTTTCTTTTCTCTTATTGAGAATATGAAAATCCACATGGCAAACTTCATATAAATATCGTATGATATCAAGATTTCCAGTCCTACACGCAATTAGGCCACAGTTTTCTCCGGTGGTTTCATCTAAATAGCTAACGGAGAATTCTGAGTTTTCTGGTTTATCTTTGAAATACTCATAGACATAGCGAAGCATAGAAAACTTCCCTTTGTCTACAATCCTTTGCACTGGTGTCATAGTGCTATAAGGAACCACAAGTTTGCTCTTATCTTGGGTGTGAGATTTGGTGGTTTTTGATTTAGCAAAAATGGAAAGCTCTTCGCTTTCTTCTTCATTATTGGCATCATCGTTAACTTCTTCGTTTTTAAGGTAAAGTGGGAGATAATATTCAAATAAAGCAAAATGCCCAAGCTCACAAATTACATCTATTGGCCGCTTTCCCAGTTGCAAATATAGACGGTTCATAGCTGAAAATTTGGCTTTGGCCTCTTGGACAAGATATTTAAAAATATCTGTCGCGCCTAAGTATAAAGCATAGCCGAGAGCATTCATGTCACATTGATTTATTTTGAAGATGGGATCGTTTATGTTTATAACTGGCTCTTTATAAGGACTTTTGCCTTTTAAATACTTTACAGTCACGTCTTTTACCTTGTCAAGCGACTGGCGATCAATAGCAAGGGCTAATTTTCCAGTAACATATTTTGCGAGGTTCACATGTTTTTGACTTGTGCAGCAAGCGCCCATGGTTATTTTTATAATCAAATCATTGATAAAATTAAATCAAATTTTCTACAGGTTGCATGCAAAATTTAAATTAAATCTATCAGAAACCTAAAAAAATTCAATTTAATGATGAATTATTAATCATCAAAAAAACCAGGTAAGCCGAATTTTCTCTTAAATCTAGTTTATTATGCAAAGGATTACTTTAGATTTCAAAGTGAAGACTAGGCATGAATTCTTGAGATGATAGCTTATTTCTTTGATAAAGTGAATTCAAGATTGATAAATTATAGATAAAATATATATGATCATCACTTTTATCATTGAAATTTAGCTTGAAGCTCAGCTTATTAAGCTAAGATCAATGTTTTAATTTTATTATTAATCAATCTAATATGCACTAATTATATCAATTTCTCTAATCAAATCTTAAAAATAATAAAGGTAGACAGCTTAGAATCTATAGTAATAGTATGCACAAGATCAGCATCTCAAAATTCGTTTTTAAAAGATCCAAACGCCAAATTTAGTATTTATTTTAAAGTTATTATGAGAATTTCCAAAAAGGATATCTCTTTTGGGTTTTTTATACCAAGTGCATCAAAGCCAGTTTCTGTAGCAGCACATCCAGTTCATCCTTGACTCTTATTAGCTGAAGAAAATAGAGTAATTTATTTATGAGATTATTTACAAAAATCAGTCCTTAAGGTATATTCTTCTATTGAGCTTGATGAAGAAGTATTCGGAGGGCCGCTTAGAGATGTCAAATTCTTTGATAAGCATGTGCTCAGATGGAAATGGCTAAATAAAAACACAAATATTACAATAGAAGCTTTCCAAGGTAAAGGAGGAAGATGCAATTGAATTGTAGTTGTGATGGAGAATAAAATCGGATTTTTTGATTATATTTCAGGAGCAACATCAACGATTCTTCAAAGTCAGTTGGATTTTCGCGCTTTGAATTGTGTAGAAATTATAGATTCTAGCTATTTAGCAATTGGCTGTGGGGATGGAAGCATAAAAATCTGGGATTGCCAAGAATGGGAGCTTGTGAAAACTTTTCCGAAAGGGACACACACAAGAGGTATTACTAAACTGCTAAGTTTCTCAAAAAACTTGAGAGAAAGGCCTATTTTGCTTAGTGGGAGCTCAGATGGAATTTTGGCTGTTTGAAATGTGGATACTTGTACAGACGCCCCAGCATTTAGAATTCCATCAGGCTTGTCAGCAGCTCATAGTGGCTCTATTGCATCTCTATCATTAAATCCTGGATTAATGCAACTAGTCAGCGTTGGTAGCGAAAAAACACTTGCAATTTGAAATGTTGCGACTTCAACTGAAATTGCAAGATATAAAAATATGAAAGATGGCAATAAAAAGAAAGTCCTTGGCTCTGTTTTTTCCCAGCATCCTCTATTTCCTCAGTCAATGACTTTTTGCCATTCTGGTGGATCACAAATTTTAGCTATAGACACAACAATGCATAATCTGCCTAAAGACCAGAGAGAATTTAATATTTTAATTGATCTTGCAGTTATAATTCCTGGAACTCATAAAATTCTGGAAATCAAAATTCATGAGCTGCAGCCATATTTGTTATTTGTGGTAACTCAGAGTGGTGTTTATACTTTATATTGCTATAAAGTGAATAAATGGTAAGATCATATATTAAAGCACATTTTTTATATAATATTGATTTTGACTTGTGCATAGTAAAAATTCAATTTAGTCTATAGTGGGCTATATTATGAAAGATTCACTGTTCCTACATTTGGCTGGTCTCCTTTATTTAATACAAATATCATACCAGAAAGCATGACTTCATCTGTCCCAAGCCATTTTTTTTATTGTTTTAAAGACGATTGCTTACAAAGCGCAGTTTTTGCTATGAATGAAGACAATACAATGTCAACTCAGTTCCATAGGCTTGAAACCTCTTCAAGAATAATTGGAAGCTCAATAGAACTTACTGTCTCACCATCAGGGAATTTTCTGGCAGCTTTGTCGAAGCAGACTGGCTTGTATGATATTTTTTTTATAGGCTCAGAAGGCATTAATCCAATGGGAATTCCTGAGAGAGTAAAATCTGGATATACAACTCAGCTTGTATGGCATTCTAAGTATGATAGATTTGCTGTGATCTGCCCTATAAATGAAGACGACACAATTGGCTCTTTTTCTTCTATTGTATCCAAAATTCTTCTTCTTGTCTATGAAGTTTCCAAAGGCAGAGTATCGCTCATTTATAGGGGTGATGAAATGCCAAACCCTTCTGGAATTTTTGGAGGCAGCTTATTAGGTATCACTTATACTATAGAAAATTCTCCCTCAACCTGCTTTTACTCCTGGGAAAGCTTAAAACAGATTGGGGAGCCTTTTCCTGAGCCTCACTACATTTTTTGGTCTGACAACTATTGCATTATTGCTTATAAAACAGAATTTTACTTTTACAAAAACTACCCTGAGTTTACCTTTTTGTGAAGGATAAACCATATAATCCGGACAGGGTTTTGGTGTTATTCAGTGTTTTTTTATTCAACAGATACAGATGTGTATTGGATCTTGCCTTGTTTAAAAACTCCTTTTCTCTTGGCTTCACATGGACTTGATATAAACCAAGAATTGAGTTTTCAAAGTGAGGTTGTTAACCTTAAAGAGGATAAAGAAATTTCGGAGCTTTATAGGAAACCTCATGAATGCTGCTCAATTTTGGCCGTTTTTCAAGGAAGTTTATTGATGGTAAACAGCTCTTATCAATTATTCATTATTCCTCTGACATCTATTTTCTTAAGATTTTGCATGCTTGTAGGCTCAGGGCTAGCTGCTGAGGCGTTTCCACTTACATTTAAGATGCACGAAATGCTGCAGCCGAAAATTGCTTTGTGCTTAGAAAGTCTAGGACTTCCAGAGGCTGCTTTAGATTTGCCTTCTTTATCATATAAACAAAAAATCGAAATTTCAATGAAAAATAACATTCCTATAGAGCTTGTAAGAAAATAAAATGGTGACGTTGACGGAAGTTGAACTCCGAGGCGCACCTCCTATGGAGCTGGTAGGACCCATTGCTGATGAAGCTGAATATACAGGTCTCATTCCTGTCATAAGTAGGCCTTCAGTTGTGGGAAGCCGTGCCGAAAAGGAAATTTTATTTCTCCCCCAAGGTTTTTCCTGTCCCTGCCAGGTGGGCTAGACAGGTTTTTCCTACCACATGGTCTTCCTTCATCGAGACCATCGGGGCACTCAGACAGAAGTGGCTCTGCCCAAAGGAGCTGATCCCTTGGACAGGTGGTTTTGACCAGAAATCAAGATGGCGTCGGGCCTGGGAGTATGGCCACATCAGAACCCGACCTAGAGTCGTCTTTCGAGCTGAGGTGTTGAGGTCCGCTGGTTTCACCCACGTACGGCCTTTTAAAACTAACTAACTAACTATAGTGCTTGTGATTTATATTTAGGACAAAAAAATAATTGAAAATAAACAAATTGTTAAAGAAATGCTGCAAAAATCGAAAGATCCAGAGTTTTTGATGAAATTGTACTCGTTTCTGATTGATAAAGAATGCTATGAAGAAGCTCTTTTAGTGGCTTCTGCATTGAAGCAGCCAGATTTAATCTTAAGCACTTTTATCAAAGCCAAAATGCTAGGCAGAGGAGTCATATTGGCAAAGCGACTAGAAAAACGAGAGTAATAAATATTTAGACTTGCCCAAAGATTAGAGCAAGAACTTCTTTCTGAATTTCCAGCAAAATAATTATCACATTCAATTTAATGAGAAAAATTATGATAATCATCAATTTTTTTAAAATTGGGCAAATTAGCTGCCTGTTAAAAATTCTTTTATTTTGTTTTGTACTTCTTTTGGCTTTTCTGCATGTATAATTAAATATGGCGTCTCAACTTGGGTCTGGCCTCTCGGCCAGACAGTTTCGAGCCCTATTTAATTATATCCGGCAAGGTTTTGCCTAGCTAGAGATGGACAGCAATATCAGGTAAGCAATTCTGGCAGTGTACAGAGCCTGATCCCAGTCCGTTCTCAGGTTAGGATTTTACCTCGAGGGAAGAGGAGGCTTGGGGTTGGAAAGGAGAAGCCCAGCAGCGCCTACAGGTAATCCCTAGGCCATTCGGGCAAATCTCTAGCGAGAAACCGGGAGTTTCGCCCCGGGCTACAAGTTTTCCTCTTTTGCCGAAAGTCAGCCAGAAATTCCATTTTTTGGAATTTCCCAGCAGACAACCCTCGTTACAGAGAAAGTAGCTCAATCATGAGCCGTCGAAGCCGGAACATCGCGCAGGAGGCGCGCGTTGGAGATCAAAGCTAGCTATCCCAGCAACTAGTGGGCCCCGAGCGACGAGAGCGTGGTGGTAGTCCTGGAAGAGCAACCCGTAGGAGACGTTAAACGTCATGGTTAATAAGTTAAGTTAAGTTAAGTTAAGGCTTTTCTGCATGTAAAAAATGCCCAGCACCGACTACTGATTGAATTCGTGTATTTGGCATTATCTGTGTATAAAAATCAATCAGCTTTATTTTGTCTGTGAGTAATGGATTCCTTATTGTATGTTTAGAATTTCCCCCAGAAAGTGCTAGAACTTCACCTGTAAACCTACCATCAGGATTTACCCATCCAGCAATGTCATCTAAGCCTTGAAGTAAATTATCTAATCCTATTCTCCAGATATAATGATCTTCCTTCTCCATCTTCATATTTGAAGACAATAACGCAGTAATATGATGATCATGGAAATGGTCATCTATTTCTTTTTCTATTTGCTTTCTAGATTTCCCTTCTAAGTGCAACGATTTCATGTACTCTAGATATTGCCTTAGCTCTGGGAATCGCTGATTCATCATAAAGGTATAAGAAATAGGGGCTACATCAAGAATGCAAACTTTTTCAAATCTTTCAGGTCTGGTGCAGCAAGCGTACATAGCTGTTTTTCCTCCCATTGAGTGCCCTATCACAGATGCTCTTGGGATATTGTGCTTATCCATAAATCGAAATAGATCATCAGAAAGTATTTTATATGTCATACCTGGCTGATGAAAACTCCTTCCATGGTTTCTTGCATCTAATAGAAAATGGTTTCCATCGATTCCTTTGGCTATGCTGCTCAAATTTAAAGCATTTCCAAGCAGCCCATGAAGCCATAGCACTGGCTTGCCAGACCCAAAGTTGAAAAAGTTGACCATTTTTGTATATATATATATGAAATTTTAATAATATCCCAATAGTTTATTTAATATTGATAAATTAGTTATATTTAAATGCTATAAGAAAAACTCTCCAGCCATCACATAAATTTTTGCAATGACTTTCACTTAGTCTATTCTTTTAAAGCAATCTTTCAATGTCTTGCACGATCTTTCTTGGTTCTGTTCTTGGTCCATAATATTGGAATACATTTCCTTGTCTATCAACTAAAAATTTGCCAAAATTCCAACCAATTTTACTTCCTCTAAGTCTGCAGCTGAGTCTTAAAAATTTATAGAGATCGCATGCTTCTTTTCCGTTTACCTTAATTTTTGCGAAAACGTCAAATTTAGCACCGATTCCTCTGACAAAGCTCTTAATTTCTTCATGAGTCCCTGGCTCTTGGCCAAAGAATTGGTTACAAGGGAACGCAAGAACGCTTAAACCACGCTCTCTATAGTTGTTATCAAGCTCCATAAGTTGATCATAATTTTTTGTGGTAAGCCCTCACTCACATGCAACATTGACGACCAGCATGACCTTGTTTTGGTACTTAGACATACTGATATCTTGCCCATCTATGTCTTTCACAACTATCTGGTAGATAGATTGGAAAGGCAAAGGGCCTTTAAGTTTATTGCCCATACACCGATTACCTCTCTTTTATTTATTAATCGCCATTGATTTCATTAAAATTTGTGTGATTGAAAATTTAATAATGAAATTCACCTATTTGAGATAGATAAAACAGCAAGTTTTAAAATTATATAAAATATAAGGAATCTGGTTCCGAAGTTTAAAAATAAAATTCGATTTTTATTAGTTATAGGCCTTATTCATAAACAATCACTTAAGTAACGATTTAGCTTTAATTCACATATGATTACTTATTATTTAAAAATTAATACCTATCTGAGACGATCTAATAATTATTTAATAACTGTTTAAAATATAGTGCATTTTTTCTTCTTTTTTTCTCGCTGAGCTGGGGCTGGAGGAAGAGTAACGTGAGGCGTCGTAGGAGCTGTTGGAGGAGGTGCTGTATTTACTGTTGTAATCTTAGGCTGCTGCTCTTCTGAGTTTGCATAAGTGACAATTTCAGCTTTGATTACTTTTTGCGCACATTCTATATCAGCTGCAGAAAGGACAACTCCGCTTAAATCTGCTGCAATTCGGAAGAAGGAGTTATAAACTTGGTCCCCAGTCTTTGCGCTTACTAAGTAGGAGTATAGCCCATTTCGGTCAGCAAATGTGTTGTGCTTGTCGAGTTTTACAGCCTGCATGTGAAATAAGTCAGTTTTATTGCCAATCAGGCACATATAAGGTAAGTCAATTCCTTCAAAGGTTTTCTTTACCACTTGCAGCCATTCTTCTAAGTTAATAAATGATTGATAGTTCGTGATATCATAAACAAACACAACTGCATTGGCCCCGTATATATAAGTGCTTAGCATCTTGCTGCCAATGCTTTGACCTCCGATATCCCATATCTGAAGAGCGATGTGAATATTTCCAGGGAGTTCTAAACGTTTCACAAAGAAGTCAAGACCAATTGTTTGCTTGTAGCGAACTTGGAACTCTGCCTCATTCAGGCACATGCATAGTGATGTTTTGCCAACCGTACCATCACCCAAGATCACTACTTTATATTGGAGGAATTCTGGCTCTTCATCGCTATCAGATTCATCTAAATCCCCTCTTTGTAGGCAAAAAATCTCATGGATTTAAAAAAATTATGATAATTTTTTTTTTGAAATTTAAAAGACAATTGAGTAAAATAATTTAATTTGATTTAGAATATAAGCTGTTTAAACTAACTGGAGATTTTATTATTATAACTATGAATGATATATTCAAATATGTTTTATATTTAATAAATTTTTGTTCGCTCGCGGATTTTTTTCCAATAAATAGATTTTCTTATAGTTTTGCTTGCTCACAGAGATGGGGAGCTGGGGAGTAAGTTACTTTTTAATCCAGACAATGCCATATTATAACAACTAAAACATTGATTCATGAATTTATCTGTTTATATCATAATCTGAATCAGCTAATTAGAATGCTGCTAGTTTTTTTGCTAAAAAACACTAAAAATAGATAAATAATTGTTTATGCTAAGGATGAGTCTATAAATCAGACTTTGGAAGGGAAATTTCTCAATTTTTTTAATTTAAATATTGCTGAGTTTATAAGAATTTACCTCAAAATTGAATTCTGCTACAAATGCAGAGCTAAGGATAAAAATTTAACAGTGATTAAATACAATATGGCCTTTGAAGAAGGAGAAGGCTTCAGCGAGATATTAAAAAGTATAATATATTTAGTCGTTCTCATTGGGGCAGCTAATGTTGGCAAAACAGCCCTTGTCTATCGTTATGTTTTAAACGAGCTTCCAGTCGCTCTTACGTCAACAATTGGAGTCGAGTTCACTAAAAGAGTTGTTACACACATGCCAACAGGCCAAAAAATACAACTGCATATATGAGATACAGCAGGCCAAGAACGTTTTAAAAGTGTAACAAAACATTATTATCGAGGAGCAGACGTGTGCATTATTGCTTATGATATATCGAATCGAGATTCATTTGAAGAAGTCCCAAACTGGCTAGCTGAGCTAAATAATTAAATATGGCGTCTCAACTTGAGTCTGGCCTTTCGGCCAGACAGTTTCGAGCCCTATTTAATTATATCCGGCAAGGTTTTGCCTAGCTAGAGATGGACAGCAATATCAGGTAAGCAATTCTGGCAGTGTACAGAGCCTGATCCTAGTCCGTTCTCAGGTTAGGATTTTACCTCGAAGGAATAGGAGGCTTGGAGTTGGAGAGGAGAAGCCCAGCAGTGCCTACAGGTAATTCCTAGGCCATTGGGCAAGTCTCTAGCGAGAAACCGGGAGTTTCGCCCCGGGCTACAAGTTTTTCCTTTTTGCCGAAAGTCAGCCAGAAATTCCATTTTTTTGGAATTTCCCAGCAGACAACCCTCGTTACAGAGAAAGTAGCTCAATCATGAGCCGTCGAAGCTGGAACATCGCGCAGGAGGCGTGCGTTGGAGATCAAAGCTAGCTGTCCCAGCAACTAGTGGGGCCCCCGAGCGACGAGAGCGTGGTGGTAGTCCTGGAAGAGCAACCCCGTAGGAGACGTTAAACGTCATGGTTAATAAGTTAAGTTACGTTAAGGCTAGCTGAGCTAAAAGACAATACCCCTGAAGAGTGCATCGTCTGCTTATTAGGCAACAAAATGGATCTAGAAGTAACAAATCATAGAAGAGTCACACGAGAAGAAGCTCTGAGATATGCTAATTCCCATGGACTTGTCTATCATGAAACTTCAGCATTCTGGGACAGAGAAGTGCAAATGAACCCTGATAACATCGTAGGAGGCATAGAAAAGATATTTGACAAAACAATAGGCACTGCTTTAGGGAGACACAGCCTTAAAGATGAGCCAAAAGAAGTTTTAAAAAACAATGAAAAAGGCGTGAAACTAGATTTGCAGCAGCTTTACACGTATCATGCTGATACAAGATGTGGGTGCTAATTATTAGAAAATTTTGATATAGGAGGTAAATTTATTTAAAATTCTAGTTAATAAATCTTAATTCACAGCTTTAGTTTTTGTATCAAATGTATTTCCTCTCCTTGTTGGAAGCCCAGTCTTAATTGTTTTTTCAACTCCATAGATTTTTGTAACTATCAAAGGAAGAAAATAAGTGCACACAATCCCTCCTACTAGTCTTAAAACAAGCAAGCTTATAAGTCTTGACATTCCTCCCATATTCTTAATCATCCATGAATCCAATGCAGTTACAAATCCACATGCAGAAATGTGTAGAACCGACGATAAAGCCAGCAATTGATAGCTAAATGGAGGACCATTTTTTTCCTTCAAAAAATAATAGCCTATCACACATCCGAAAATAAGCCACACGTGGAGAGCTTCTGAAAAATTTTTAATAAGGGCATCACTTAACTGAAGTGTCCTATTGCATTTTTCTTGATAAATTTGACTCCATACTGGGTCCCAGCCTGAGCCTCCAAACATATACAAAGATAAAGATACGAATGTATATGCTAAAATAAAGAAAAACACTGATTTTATGGTAGCTTTATCTGAACCAAATCTATGCACAAGTTTCCAAAATTTTGGATGAAGCATAATTGCTGATACTAACGCTGCAAATAAATATCCCAAGGTAACTTGGAAATAAAAGTGGACTCCGAGATAAATTCTATCAAAAGCAGTGAGTATGAACAAAAACAGAAGGATAAATATTTTCCTTGTAAACTGTCCACCAGACCTTAGCCAAATCACACCAACCACAATAAGTCCGCATCCAGTCGATAATGCATGCCCTGAAGGTGCTCCAAAGTCTCTGGGACACTCAATCCCTAGCACTTTTGGATATTTCCAAAAAGGCCTTGGGTGCATCAAAGCCATCTTCAATGTTCCGGACAGCGCTGACCCAAAGAGTGCAGCTGCCATTCCAACCATTCCTTCCTCACGTTTCCCCATAAGGAACATAATCCCACTAATAATCACAAAAATAAATCCCATGACGGCTCCAATAATCTCAAAAATAATGTCTACCGTACGAGTCCTCCCGCTTTGTACTCATTCAGCAAAATCAGCACTTGTGTCTTCCAGTCAGTTTTGTTGAGAAATTTGTATATAAGTGCCTAATAAAGCTAGAACTGCGAATGTGGCTATGAGCTTCATCTAGCTTTTGGCGACTTTTTATGTAAATGGAATATTTTGATTTAGAAAATCTTGAAAAGAAGGCTGAAAAACTGATAAAAGAAATAGACGAAATTAAGCTTACCAAAGAGTTTACGAATTCTCCTAACTCCCCCCTCCGTGAGTGAGCAAAGCCATTAGAAAAATCGCTATTGTTTGCCCAAAATCCACCTTCCGTGAGTGAACAAAAATGTTTTTAATAGAAAAATTTTTTATGGAAAAAAAAATTTGATATATAAATGATAATTAGTATAAGGAAATCTTGAGCTAATTCTGTTTAATTTTAAACGAATTGCTTTTTAAAACATAAATTTTATAAATTAAATTAATATTTGCTTTCCGATTTTTGCGAATTAGGATTTTTTTAAATTTCGAAAAAAAAAATTTTTTATAAAATTTATATATAAATTTTTTTTAAAAAAAAAAAAATTAACTCCGTGAGTGAACAAAATTTTTTTGTTCACTCACGGAGGGGGGAGAGTAATAGAAATCTGGATGAATTAGGGGTTGTGTACTGCTTGACAGGGAATGATGCAGCGCTTTATAGTAAACTTAAGCAATGCTATATTAAGCAGCAGTCGAGTGAACAGTTAGAATTTAAAACAGTTTTGGCAGGATATGCTGCTGGGAAATACTCTGAAGCACTGTTTTTGGCAAAAGATTTACTGGTAGCAAACCAATCTATTGAGATTTTTCAAGTGATTATAAAGATTTGTGTAAATCATTTGCTTATACCTGAATGGGCAGTTCACTATGCAAAAATTGGGCTGGAGTCCCACCCAGAGCATCCTTGGCTTTGCTTTTCAATGGGAATTGCTTATTCTTTGCTTGGCGACCAAGAAGTTTACTATAAAGATAAAGTTACATTATGAGAAAAATCAAGAGAAAGCTTACAACTCTGCAAGTCAAATAGAAGAAATTATTTATATCATCTAGCATTAATAGAAGCCAAGCTTGGAAATTTAGACGAAGCATTAAGAAATGCTGCAGAAGGCTATAGGCTTTGCAATGATCCTTACTATAGTGCTTTATTAAGCTTGATTATGACAGCCCAAGAAGATTTTACAGGATCTTTACAAGTGATCAAAAGAGGACTGCAAGGGTGTCCTTCTAATATTCTATTAAGATCTGCAAAGTAAGAACAATTTAGAGTTTATACATATCTAAATCTATCAAAAATAACACAAGATAAAGCCCCTGTGAAAAAATCAATTATTTCTTTATTAAAATCCAGTTTAGAATTTTTAGATAATGCTTCAACAATACCTGCAGACGAAAGAATTGCAGGCTTAACAAGCATAAAAGAAGAAAACTCAAATCCTGAGCACGATAGCTTACAAGATGTCATTAAATTAGCTGCGAATAATTCCCACAATCCCAATTTTCAACAAGCACTCAGACTTGCCTTTGAAGCTGCTTTTGCAATTCAAGATGAAGAATTGATTGAATTTAGCTTAAATAGCCTCCAAGATAAAAAAGCTGAACAAGCGATATATGAGTTTCATAAAACTGGGGACATAAATGGGCTTGATAATTTCATAGAAAACTTAAAAGCTTGCGAACTGCTTGCTAAAGGGAGATACGACTCTGGAGACAAAGCCAGAGCAATGAGCGCTGCTAATCAAGCAATTTCACTTGACAACAATTCAGCTGAAGCTTGAATAATTTTAGGGAAAATTCACAAGGACTATAATCAGCTTTCTGAAGCAATGAATTGTTTTGTGGCAGCCCTTAAATGTGCGAATGTGAGGTTTTCTATTCTTCCAGTCTATATTTAACTAGTCATTTTAAAAAAGTTATGAATAATTATATATGGATCATAATTCAGGATTTTATAGCTCAGCCCACTCATCTCACAGCTCATTTACACCTCAGCTTTCAAGGACAAGCGTTTCCTCTACCACTGATTATGCATTTTTACGTGAAGTCTTGGATTTTACAAAAGAAAATATCCCAGGTCTAAGCACGATTAAGAAAAATTATTTAAATTTTGACTTCGGGGAAGGCGATATTATAGCACGAACCCAAATGCCGGTTTCTGGCAACAAATTTAAAGCAGTTTTTATCGAGGAAAATTTTATTGAGTTTGGCATTGAATATTTTGGAGTTATAAGAATTATTCATCCAGATATAATTTTAGAAATAAATATTCCGAATGAGAGAAGTTATGATCCAGCTGGATCTTCTCTTGATGGCTTTGATAATGAATATTTAAATTCTGACCAATTTACATTTTTGACAAGAATTGTAGCTATTGAAGTTAAAGCTGCAAGTTTAGGAGTTAGGGAAAAAGATTTGGAATTGATAAGAAAATCAATCAGTCCTTTATTGGAATATCATATGAAAAAAAAGTTCCTTATGGAGTGAATGAGTTTACAGGTAAAGCTTACTTGCTATAGGAAGCTAAAACCACCAAGATATAGTGAATTTTTAAGGCTGAAAACTTTTACTAACTCCCCCCCCTTTAAATTGAAACAAAATATAGGTAAAATTCCTACTTTTTTGGGAAATTACCCCCCCTTTAAATTGAAACAAAATTTTATTATAATAGAAAATTTTATAGGTAAAAATCATTATTTTATATGTAAATACGTTAATACCCTATTTAATATGCTTCAAACATATAAGATTTAGAAATTAAACTCTATTTTGTCCAATTGTTATGGGGAGAGTTAGAAGAATACCATTTCAGCAAGTTTACACTTTGAGATTGAGAAATTTATGAATTAATTTTTCATGAAATTCTTTAAATTTATATAATTTATTTTCTATAAAATTTTATCTCTGAAAAAATTTTTATATATAAATTTTTTTTATAAAAATTTTCTTAACTCCCCTTTTAAAATTGAAACAAAATTTTTTGTTTCAATTTAAAGAGGGGGGGGGAGTAAGGAGCTTAAGCTGCTTGAAGGAAGAGACCATACGAAGGAATATTTAGAAAAATGCATGCAGTTTGATAGGAATTTGATCTCCTATGACAAAATTTATCCACCAAATGCTTATTACAAGTCACTGATGAAGCATGAATTGAGTTTGCCATATCAATTAAAGCTAAGATATGCAGAAATCGAAACAAATGAGTCTTTGGTAAAGTCCGCTGAAACAGCAGTTCTTACTTACCTTCCTAAATTCACTCCTGACATGGACGATTATATTGAAAAAGGCAAAAAATTCAGCGACCTTACGCAGACTATTTATGAAGTAGACCGTGGATATTCTAATGGGCTTGCAAAAATTTATTTGCAATATGAGCATGACGAGAACGAATGCAAAGTAATGTAATTATTTAATTTCACAATTTAATTTTATTTATTTTGAAATCATTTTTGGTGCATCAGCTTTCTGAATCGCCAGTGTCTTAATTTCTTGATTTTCAGTTAAGTCAAGTACTTGAAATCTCAATCTGGAACTTAAAGTTTTTGCAAGTTCTTGCAATTTTACAATATAAGAGTGAAAAGTTTCTTTATATCTTGAGTTACTAAACAGTGCATTGCATACACTTAGTAGGTAGCATAAAGCTTCATCCTATTAAATTGGAAATTCTTAATATATTTCTGCAAAAGCTTTAAAGGAAATAAAGCCATATTTCAAAGTTTTAGGAAAATAAATAAAGACTATTTTAAATATGAGCAATAAATATGGCCTAAAGCTTCAATTGTATCTTCTGTGCCAATAGAAAACATATAATTGCAACAGCTGCAAATAATCTTTGGTGGAATTAATCTTGCTTTAAATAGCTCCCCAATAAATCTGATACAGCCTAAGACTTTTTTCCGATCAGAAAATTCCCCATTTTCATGTGAGTTTTCGAACATAAATTGGCAAGCTGTAAGAAGAGTATTCCTGAAATATGATACTTCTCTGCAGAGGTTTACGCATAGCTTAGCATACGTTTCTGAGTATTTTCCTTCAACAGAAGCTTTCTCTAAAATTAAGAGGCTGAGGCTTTCTGATGATTCGGGAGTAAGTAAGGCTAAAAGTTTTGTTTGAATTGACTCCGCATTTGTTGGAGCCAGTCTGTTTAAAAGTGATTTAAAGTTTTTTGTTAATTCATCGTTGCTAGATTTCAGTTTTTGTGGGATAGATCGCCAATTAGGGTCTATAATTTTAATCTTACGCTCTAAGATTTTTAAAAGTGCATCGCTTTTGACGATTGAGGACTCGTGATCTCTAGCAAGAAGAATTTGGTCAAAGTTATAAACACGCTTGGAAACTTTCTTCCAAACTCTTTTAGGCCTTTCTTTTGGTGCTGCTGCCCGATTGCCTGGTTTTCTGTAAGCGTTTTTTTGACTGCTTTGGCTTAGGTAATTGGAATTTGCTCTGCCTCGAAGACGCTTAGGAGTGTAAAGTCCTTGGTCAACTGGCTGAGAGGATTCCGAATTGCTTTCCATTTATAATTTATTATTATTGGATTAAATTAAATCGGAATTAGTTCTTCCCTACTAATAAATTTACATCCCTATTTAATAATATGGCTGAAATGTTTAGGTCATTGCAGAATTCATTGATTATTTTTTTCCAAATAAGTCCACTTTTTAGTAAAGGCTAAAAGAAGAAATCAATTAGATTTTAATAAATTTGGTATCAAATAGAAATTTAATCTTGTTTTTAATTAAACTGAAATGTGATTTTTATCCGAAAAGCCAATAACTTTAAGCAAATTGGTAAATTAATTATATCTTTGATATATATTATATTAAACTAATTTAAATTTATGGCTTCGACTCACTTTTGACGAAGAATTATTATTGACTATTCAATCAAACAATCAGCTGTCTCTGAGTCATATATATTCGAAGTCTAATTTTAATTATTTATTAAATTTATGATCTTGTGAGTAAAAAGCACATACATTATAATAGCAATAGATTTCGTTATTGGTTTGAGTCTAATTTGAAATAAATAGTTTATTGAACAAAATTTTTTATTTGTCTTTAAGAACTATATCTGTATTTTAGAGCTTTTTTTTTGGTCCAATAAAGGAATTTAATTTCTATTCATGGCGTCTAACTTAAGCAGAAGATGACCCAAGATCCTTTAATTTGGTTACTTATTAGATAAATAATTAAGTGGGCAAATAGTTTGAATATTTGCATTTGAGCTGTTATTTAAGAATTAATTATTGGCATCAATAAATTATTTTAACCATATAAAGTTTAAAATATCATTGATTTCCTTCCAGAGCTTAGAATAGTTTTCCTATTAATAGGAGATCTTTCAATTTCGCCAAACATAATACAGTGAGCACTGATTTCTTGGCTCAAATCGTCAAGACTTTTAATTGTCCCGCTTGCCTGCAGATTAAGCTTTCTTAGTTCAGATTCATTATTGAAGTAGAATTCTTGGTTTTGCTCAATATTGCTTCTAATTTCTTTTATTTCAAATTTCAATTTCGTTTTCTTTACTTTAGTTTTAGCAAGGCTTTCTTGTAATTTATTACTTCTAATATTCAATTCGTTAATAGTAGAAGTCAATTCTTTGACAATGCCCCTTTGATCTTTAATATCATCTTCCAAATTACAGCCTCTTTCATAATATAATTCGATCTATTTTTAAATTTGTTTTATAAAATATCATCTGTTGCTTTAATTTCTTAATGTTTCTGATGGGCTAAAAGGATTTCACATGAAAATTTAGGATTTTCGCATGTGAAATCTCTTTTGGCTTGCCAGGGCCATAAATAAATGCAAAGCATATCATGCATTAAGACATTAATTTTTAAATTTATTAATAATAAACTCAGTATTAATTACATAAAATTTAATAAGCCTAAGCTTATTAAATCAAAGGGGAGTGTACTAACAATTTCTTTTAGTCCAGCTTCAGCTTCTTTAAGTTCTTTAATTTCTTCAGCATTAAATGCTGCCATCTTATTCAAATTTTGAATCTCATTGTCATATTCTGGAATTAATTTGCTAACTAAAAATAATTCCGTATCTTTTTCTTCCTTCATTCAACTTGCTTCTTTTATTCGTATATTTGCAAGCTCAACTCTCAATGCCAGTGATTTAAGGATCCCCCCTCATTTGTCCAATTTTCTAGTCTTTTATCATTTGTCCATTTTTCTAGTTTTTTTTTATCGGAAAAAAAATTTTTTAGGACCTCGTTTGTCCAATTTTCTAGTCAAAATTTTGATAGAAAAAAAAATTTCAGGACCTCAATTGTTTCATTTTCTAGTTTTTTTAAAGGAAAAAACTAAAATTTAGGGCATTCTAAAAAAATCCAAAAAAAGACTAGAAAATGGGACAAATCATTTTTGACTAGATTTTGGGACAAATGAGGTCTTGAAAAAAAAAAATTTTCTTATAAAAAAAAGACTAGAAAATTGGACAAATGAGGGGGGGGGGATCCTTACTCCCCCCCTCCGTGAGTGAACAAAAAAATTTTGTTCACTCACGGAGTTAATAATTGTGTTTTTTTTAAAACAATTTATATATAAATTTTATAAAATTTTTTTTTTTTCGAAATTTAAAAAAATCCTAATTCGCAAAAATTGGAAAGCAAATATTAATTTAATTTATAAAATTTATGTTTAAAACGCAATTTGTTTAAAATTAAACAGAATTAGCTCTAGATTTCATTATGCTAATTATCACTTATATATCAAAATTTTTTTCCATAAAAAATTTTTCTATTAAAAACATTTTTGTTCACTCACGGAGGGTGGGTTTTTAGGCAAAAAATGCCGATTTTTCTAATGGTTTTGTTCACTCACGGAGGGGGGGGAGTTAGTTTCTTCTTCTTTTATCGCTAAAGAATTTTCTAAATTACTCAATATGTCATTTTTTTCCCTTTGCGAGTAATTTTTATTTTCTATTTCTACTGTTAAGTTTTGTATAGTTTTTGAAAGATTTTGATCGATTTCTAAATATTTGAAATATTTTCCGCTTATTTTGGCTGTGCTATCTTCAATAGCTTTCAGTTCTTTACTTCTCTCATTTATCTGACTTTCTAACTGTTGCCTGTTTGCTAATTTTTCCTTCAAAATCTTCTCTAATTTTGAGAGGTTCGAAGAGACACAATAATCATTAAATTTAAGCAAAGATTGCGTGTCGATCAATATTAATTAACTTAATTTAATGAAATTTTAATTGACCTCTAGATGTGTAATGTCACACATTTTTTCTCCGACTTGCCGCTACTCTCAAACTCATGTCGGGACTTGCACTCCGGTTCACTCCTTCAAGTCCCCGTAAAGTCATTTGGGAACCCAGAATTATGGGAGAGATTATCGGCTTGGCGCGCTGTTTTACTCTATCAAATTTTTCTCCAGCAACATTTTATATCAACAGGGGAAGAGGTAAAGCACGATAAATAAGGTGGGCGAAGTATATTTTTTCTTGCCATTTTCTCCTCTTGTGCAGAAAGTCAAGTATGAAGCCTAACCCAATAATAATAAAAGTTGAATAAAGAAAAAGGAATTCACGGAGCAAATTGCCTTTTCGTCCGAAGCCATTTTATATTATCAGATTGTGTGTCATTTGCTTCAAAATAATTATAGGTTTTATTGGCCTCATTATTCCCGAAATGCAATGAATTTTGTCGCCCTATCTGATCAGATTCATTTTTGATGTCTTTAGTGATTAAAATACCTCTATCTCTTTCTGATAACTTGCAATTTGAGTGGTTTAAAAACGATCTGTTAAGGAATTTTTTCGATATAAAGTTGCATTCTTCACAATAATTATTTTCATTGTGCTGAAGAGCATCTCCTTTTTCTTGGTATGAATGCTTATTTCCATTAAGTTGGGTAGACAAAGTCTCAATTGAAATTGTTTTCATAGAGATATTTATTATTTTAAATTTATATCGAAAATAAATAAGGCCATTAAATTTTTTTATTTTGATGTATTTTAATGCCCCAAAACTTTTATTTTTAATTTTAAAAATTTTTAGAAGCATAGTGTGCCAAAATCATGTTGATATATAAATATAAAAACGCGAAATTGTCAATTTTTTATTATATCATAAAAGATTTATTTAACCTATTTTTATATTCATATTTTTATTCATTTTTCTTATAGGTAGAGCCGGGAATAATATGAGATCAACTTACCAATGTAATAACAATTTTGGTTCAATGGCTTAAAAAATGTATAATAAATAGAAAATGTATACAATTAAAATAATATCTACTTTGATTAAACACAAATGCTAAACGATAACGAGCTTCATATGCAGGTCCTGGCAGGTTTTCAAAGAGAACCTACAGTAACTGACAAATACGGTGTTCATTTTGAATACCAAGATCTATTTTCTCGACTTATGGAAGTTAAAATTGAAAGAGAAAGCAAAGCAAAAGCTTTGGATAGAAGAAGATCAGTACCAAAAAATTCCCAGTACAATAGATCGCAGCATTTAAATTCAATGCAAACTCAACCGCTTACCGAAAGAATAATGTATACAGAAATTAGTCAACCCAAAAAAAGGAAGCCATCTACCAATACAAAATACAGAATTCTACGTCCAAATAAATTTGAAATTTCAAAGAGAAGTATTTCTCTGTGAAGACATCTTGAAGCACTAAATATTGATCGAGGCGATATAAGAAATCGACCGAGGACAGCTTCTCGAAAAAGAATAAATTTACATAGAAAATCTATTGACCAAAACCAATAATTTGAAAATCTCTTTACAATATTTAATTTTCCATCAATTTAATTAAATTTTCCTAAATTTGCGATAAATATGAGCAGACCTGAAGAGATTGCTCCACCTGAGTACTTTTACAATGAAGAAGAAGCAAACAAATACACAACAAATTCCAGAATCATTGAAATTCAAGCAAAAATGTCACAGAGAGCCATTGAGCTTCTGAATCTTCCTGAGCCAGGATGTCTGGTCCTTGATCTAGGATGTGGCAGTGGGCTGAGTGGGGAAGAATTGACTGAGTGTGGCCATTTTTGGATAGGGCTGGACATATCCAAAGCAATGCTTGATGTAGCCAGTGAAAGAGGCGTAGAAGGCGACATAATTTTATCAGATTTAGGAGATGGATTTACATTTTTGCCTGGGACTTTTGATGGGGCTATCAGTATTTCTGCTTTACAATGGCTTTGCAATGCTGAAAAAGCTGATCATAACCCGTATAAAAGACTCGCTAAATTGTTTGAAAGTTTATATTCAGCTTTAGGACGAGGAAGGAGAGCAGTTTTTCAATTCTATCCAGCCCATCCACAGCAAATTGAAATGATTACACAAGCTGCAGTAAAATGTGGATTTTTAGCTGATTTAATTATAGATTTCCCAAATTCCACCAAGGCTAAGAAATACTATTTAGTGCTTTATAGTGGAGCTCACCAAAACTACAAACAATTCCAACCCCTCGATGGGGATGACCAAGTAAAATTCTCAAAAAGAGATAAAACTCACAAAAAATCCAAAAAAATGCATAAGCACAGCAGAGAGTGGATTTTGGAAAAGAAAGCTAAGCAAAGAAAGCAAGGGAAAGAAGTCAGACACGATTCCAAATATACTGGAAGAAAAAGAAAAGATAAGTTCTAATTTGGGTTTGCATCTAATTTTACCAATATTTTATGAAAATTTAAGCATTTTATTGAATATTTATATATAAAATACTTCGCAATATTTTGACCGTCAATTAAAAAAGTAAATTATCCTAAAAGTTCATAATCATCAACTTTGTCATTATATTTCAGAACTTTTCTTTTAATTGAGCTTGTTTCAGACCATGTCACGAAATCCTCATATGTCCTAGAAACATGAAAAGCAGGGTCTGTGATTACTTTTGGCCCAACACGAACATGGCCTTGCTCAATATACTTTACGGCATCTTTAGGTGTCTCTGCCATTCTTAGCTTGACCATGATGATTGGCAATCGTCTTCTGCAGAAGCTAGACACCGTCAATTTTTCACAGACAACAAGACTTCTCTTTGTATTAATCACTCCTTGTGCATAAAGTTTACTCAGCAAGTGTTCAGTCATTTCTATACGGAATGGATCATCGTCTTTCAGCTTTTTTATTTGATTGACAAGCTTCGTCACATATCCACAAATTTTGTTGTATTTTATGTAATCTTCTCTGCGCTGTATGTGGTATCTCCTCATAACAGAAACTTCTCTGTCATTTTCTGGCTTTCAGTTGAAAAAATTGACCTTTTTAAGTAGCTTTTGCTCATGGAATTTTAGCTCACGCATATTCTATTATTATATCTTAGAAAATTATCTGCTAATAGTTAAAATGGAGTATAAAGTAAATTGTAAATAATCACATATCAATAATTATAAAATGAAATATGAGTAAACTTAGACTGAAGGAAAACCAAGAAAATTCTGATGATAGCAAATATTTGTTTACATTTTCACGAGGATGGAATCATGATGATAGAATTGGAATCCATATTTTAGATGTTGAAAGTAGAGTCGAACAAAAATATTCCATAAAGTTTCCGAGACAGACATTATTTATGCCTTCTATAGTTCGTCTGCCAAATAATGAATTAGCATGCTTTGGCTGCTTTGTATCAGCTACTTATACTAATGGTGTCCTATACAGAGATAATATTGAAAGTTTTATATGCATTATTAATTCATTGACAATGAAAATAACAAGAAAGCTCACTTTTCCTGGAAGGCATCGTGCAGGATGTACGACTGTGTTCATAAAGGGCTATGTTTATATCATTTGCCTGCCTCATAATGATACCATTTATACTTTATTGAAATATGATTTAAGCAGAAATAGTTTAAAAAAGCTAGCTCGGCTAAAGCTAGGGAGTTATTCGTTAAATCTTCTTAGCTTTGAAGACAATATATTGATAGGATCTAATGATCGGAATGCTTATATATATGATTTATACTCAAATAGCTATTCAGAAATACCTTTAATAGCGTTTTATGGGCATAAGGTATTTATTTCTTCAAAAGGAAGAGCATATTATTTAGAATTTGAAGGATTCATTTATGAAAGCGGCTTTAAGAATCCTTATATTTGGAATAAAGTTAAAGATTTTAGCCCAAAATATAAAATAAATAATATAATCGATGTGACATGAGTGTATTATAATGGCTTGATATTTCTAAGAAATTGTATAAAGACTATGAAAGGATATGAACCAGAAGAATTTTATCTAGAGTTCAACTTAGACTGTAAGGATATTCAAAGAATAGACATTAGCAAGAAAAAATGCAATTTGTTTTAATTTTTTCTCTGAGAGGAGTTTATTCATGTACTTCTTATTTGTTACAATTAAAATTGCAATAAATGATTCAAATAGCATATTTAATAATACCAAGAAGCATAATGAGTAAATTGAAGTAAATAAAAAGAAATTTTCAATAAACTAAGCTTTCTTGCTTAAACATTTTACAATAAAACACAATATTTGAAAATTCTATTTATCTTTTCTTTTTATGCATAAAGCAGTCTCTTTATATTAGTTTTTCCCTAGGAAAGCCAATAAAATCTCCAATTTTCTCCAAAATGTGCAAAATTTAGTCTATAATTTGTTCTAATTTTATATAGAAATTAAATAAAAAGTTGCATAAATTATCTCCATGGATACATGCTTTCTCTGCTATACACTTCTCTGTGCTCTTGGCACACAGCTAATGGGCCGCAAAATAAGTGCGTAATGCAATCCCCCACGCACGATCCATCAATTAAATATCGATCTCTCACTTTCTTTCTATTTATAGCCGCTCCGATGCAGCATGCTAAAACCGAACAGCAAAAAGCGTGATAGCAAGAGTCTCCTGTAGCCTTGCTAACAGTTAAAGCTTGATATATACTCTCTTAATTAACCATATTTTTAAAACTCAAATAATTCATATTTTTTTTAAATTTATGTTTAAGCTCAGATTATTCTAATAAAATATATACAGCTTCCTCCTGGACATATCAAGCACACTATCATGCAGCTTGATACATCACTAAAGCATCCGCAAAGTGGCTGTTCCCACCGTATCACATTTCTCGGCATATAAATTATTAGAGAAACTATCTTAAATTATGCGGTAAATCTTTCCTCAACTTTATCAATTCTCAGCCTCTTCCCATAATTCATGTTATGCACATAAGTATAAAAGTAAGGAAATTCTTGAATGGCCGCCCACAGTCTTGGAGGTTTGTCTTCCATAAAATGAATTTTTTTAATAAGCACGTACATCGGCCTTAAATTATTTTCTTTGAAAGCATAAAGACACTCAACAGCCCTGTCTGTGTCTCCAGTTTTCAGTGTGTTTTGTAGATAGCTATTAAGTATATACATGTCTGGCTTGAGTTTCTCGACCACAAACGAATCTCAAAGCCTGAAAACTATTTTAGGCTCATTAAGGAGTGTGTACATTTCCATTAAGGCTCTGTATTCTTCCTTCTCTTTTTTAAAGCCATATTCATCATAAATAGGAAGGACCATATCTTCAGCTTGGTGCTCTCGGAATGCTTTGCAGTGAACGGTGAGGAGGGAGCACACTACATGTTTTTCAACCATGCCTTTTTCTTCACATTGTCTAAATAACTCTCAGCTTTCTTTAATAAAAATATCTTTCGCGTTTTCTGTTGCATTTACACAAGCTTCTGCATAGGTCCTTAATAGCAAATTATAGAAGGTAGGAGTCATTTCAAGTCCGGCATTTTTCATATCAATAAGTGCATGCTGGGCAGACACTAAATCACCAAGCCTTGAGCAAGCTGTTAGAACTCCTTTAATTGTGTCACTATCAATTTGTATGAACAGCCCTTTCATTCGTCTATAAATGTCAAGTGCTTCTTCAGCATAATCACGCCTTTTTCCGAGTGCAAAAATAATTGCATTATAATGAAAAGCAACGTCTTTAAACCCAAGTGATTGCAAATCATCCCATAGTCTTTTAATCCCCTATATTATTAGCAAAAATAAAAAAATATAAGATCTTTCTGATAGAGTTTTAGTGAATGCTTTTGGCAAAAAAAAAACAAAAACATACTTTTAATTATAGTTTTTTAAATAAAATTTAATTCAAAAAACCCCTTATCTCAATCATTTTTCATTCTAGTTGAAATTTTTTGAGATTAGTATAATAAAATTAAAATATGATTTTAAAGCCTAATACAGATAATAATAATTATAAACAAAAAATGTAGACCATCAATAGGAAATTTAGCATATTCTGCTTCATAACACTTAGCACAAGCTTTAATTGCAGTACTGACCATATATTCATCAATTTCTACTTCAGTTTGCCTCTTTTTATATACTTCTACACCTTCTAAAGATCTGTCAGCCTTATCCAGAGCTCTTATTAAATTAGTCCAATCAGCAGCGGTGACCTTATACCCTTTTGCTTTTTTTTCGTTAATTAATGCTTGAACTTTGTCAGGATTTGCACAATTCGCATAGGTTGACAGTAGTGTGGTATACATGCTACCATCTGGGTGTCCTAAAGCTTCTACAGCTTTATCAAAAACTATTTCAGCCGTATCTGTGTCTTGGGCTTTTCCACTTGCAACCATTAACTGGATATAGGTATGCTTGTCAGGGGTGATGCCCATAATTTTCATTTTTTCCAATATCCCAAGAGCCTCATCGATTTTTCCTCGGCTTGCAAGCATTCGTATTAAGAGATTGAAATTTTCTAAATTGTACTCGCGATTGAGGAAAAAGCCTTCAAATGAAGCATCTAGGACTTCAAGAGCGTTAAAAGGAGTTACTTTGGCTTGGACTTCTTTGATGTTAAAAAATTCTTTTTGTATCTCTCTCTTTAAAGCTTCAGAGAGGGGAGGACTCTTTTTGGGCATGTTTGGCTTAACCAGCGCTACTGTGGTTTTCCCTGAGATCCTAGGCTTGATCTCATTCATCTTTTGCCAGGCTCTCTTTGAGACAAACTTTTTAGCTGTAGAGCCTGCTTGCTTTATCACAGAAGACATTTATTTTCTTATTAATTTACTAAAACTCTATTAAGAAATTTTATGCGTAAAGTGGATTAAGTGAGTAGGTTTTATAGCTGTCGTAGCCCCATTCACTCTGCAGGACATAAGGATCTTCGAAAGTAATCCCTTCTCTTGTAACTTTGGCAAATTGGATCCTGTTGCTTGCTCTTGCGTCTCTGTACCAAAGAGTTCTCATGCAGCCTTCTACTAATTGTTTGGCTTCAGACTCGGTGAGATCAGGTCTCCAGTCATTTCCCAAAAGAGGCTTACAAAGATGTGCTGCAAATCCAGTGGTAACGTAATCAGCTAGTACATGGGTGCCGTATAAATCTAAATAAGCTAACTCCCCTCTGTGAGCGAAAAAAAAACCATTGAAAAAATCCCTATTTTTTTGATAAAAACCCACCTTCCTATAGCGAACAAAAAAATTTTTATGAAAAAATAGATATATAAGTAATAATTAGTATAATGAAATCTCTAGCTAATTCTATTTGATTTAAACAGCTTGCTTTTAAGACATATATTTTACAAATTAATATTTGCTTTCAAATTATTTCGAATTGGTATTATTTAAATTTTGAAAAAAATAACTATAAAAGTTATGTGATCACAGAGGAGGAGGAGTAAGTATTGTTGACCATTGATAATTCCTGCTATGGCTACTGAGTTGTAGAGAGGGTTTCCTTTATTTCGCTTCCCATAGAGAATGGAACTAAGATAAGACGCATAGTGAGCTGCGCTGAGACTGATGTTGTCGTGCTGGATGAAGTCTTCTTGTTCCTTTTCTCTGAGCAGCCTTATGATTTCTTGAAAATCGGAGTATTCGCCGCTTGCACCAATCAAAGTGGAATTTCCAATCGCGGCCATCCTTGGAATATTCTTGTAACGAGCCATAGAGCCAAAAGAAGCAAGTGTATCAGTGCACATCAGGATCCCATCGGCGTATTTGATAGCAATAACACTTGCACCGACTATAATTGGGTCAACAGTATGGTTTAGAGCCATTTTATTACAATTCCGTGATTAAGATCATAGCAATAGTTTCTATTAGAAGTTATTAATCCACTATTAAATATTCTCTTATTCTCATGATTGAGCTCTATTTTTGGCTTTAATTTTTATGCATGAGTCCTCTAAATTGCATATAATTGTAATAACCTAACTTTATATTGATTTAAATGCAATATGTTAAATATGTATAGAAGTTTTTCTCATACTATAACGTTACGCAGAAGTCGACAGGAAATAATTGCTGATGCTGAAACTCCTCATTTTAAGAAAAAGATCAAAATACCTCGGCCAAGCAGCAAGGAGAGATCTAGACGCCAGATTGTGAGTTTTTGTAAAGAATATGAAAAAACGTTTAGAGAACCGATTCAAGTGCAGTTTGGAGGGAAAAAAAGCTTGCCAGAATCTTATAGTGTTTATAATGTGCCATTAGTAATTGAATCTTACTATGATCAAAATGAAATTCCTCATCGCAGCTCTAGAATGAAGCTTGAAGAACTGCAAAAAAATTCTTTTATAAATGCAAAAGTTGAAGCCCCACAGTGGAGAAAACTAGACCAAACTCAAGCATAAGTTAATTCAAATCTTTTTCATCTGAAAATATCTTTTTTGATTAACTGAAATCCAAAAATTAAATCACAAATTCTATTTCTTTATTTTAGTCGCTTTCTCTATCATAATTTAACTATATAAATCAAAATCCTAATAGAAAAAGCCCACTCATTTTATTTAAAGTTTTTTGGGGGTAATTTATTAATAATTTCTAATGATGAAATCCTATAATGATCTCTGATTGAAAATACACTTGACCTGATTATCAATAAAATTTCATTTAATTGTATAAAAATTATTAGAAATGTACACTGTAGCAAAGCAGCAAGTCCAGCTATCTATTGATCCAGAAGCAAAGCATGCAAAAGGCCTGACCCGTATATTTTACACGCTTAATTCTTCCATAAACTCTCAGCCTCAAGCAATAAAATTCTCAATTTTCGCTAAAGAGCTCCAAGTGAGCAAAATTTGGACAAAAAACAAAACACAAATTCCTTTCCTCTACCCAAATGCGGTCAGCCAGGCTAACATGCTAGGCGAAGCCTTAGAAAATACCAGAGATTTCAAAGACCTTACAGAAATGCTTTATGTTGCCTGGGATTACGAAAACGAGCTAGGAGGACTTCTGAATTTCGTGTTGCCAGAAGACGTTGTCCGTGGGAAAAGTGAAATAGCTGTATATATAGAGTACACAATTTCTAGCCCTGCTGGAGGTCTCCGCTTTTATTTCTCAGAAGGAAAATCCATCATGCTAACCGACTCTTTGCATGAAGCCAAAAGATATTGGATGCCTTGCTATGACACAATCCAAAGCAAATATGATGTAGAGCTAGAGCTGCAGGTCCCCAAAGGATACTATGCTATTTCTTCAGGAGACTTAACAGGGCTAATAGAAGAAGGAAATAATCATTCTTTTCAGTACAAAATCAGCACGTTTGTTGATGCCATTGGGTTCTGTGTAGCCCCTTTTAATATTTTTATACAAGACACCACCCATTCTAGCATAGCTCACTACAGCTTTGAAGAACCTAACCAGCAGAATCGCCAAAAAGATTTGAGGTATACCATAAACAACCCTTATTTCTCATATGGGAACATAATTACTTATCTTACAGAAATGATTGGAAGCCAGCTGCCTTATAAGTCGCACAAGGTCATTTTTTTGCCAGACTTAGGGGAGTCTTTATGTTTTGCAGGGCTTAACATTATTGATGTGAAATACCTTATCAATGAAACTATGCATGAAGGGATTAATGCAGCTGCAAAAGAACTTATAAGGACTTGTTGTTTTAACTGAATGGGCGCCACATTTCGAATGATGACTTGGGCTGACTACTGAATGATTATTGGGCTAAAAGATTATTTAGCTAGAAGCTATATTGGCGACCGACAAGATGGGAACTGGTTGAAATTTGATATCATGAAAAAGGTTAAGCGGTATTGCTCATATGTGGAAAAAGGCTTAGAAGTCAGGCCGCTTTGCTCTTTATACTTCTCTCATCCTAATGAGTTGAAAACAGACCGCGTTTACAAGCTAAAAGCAGGGCTGATTTTCCACATGATAGAAAGCAAAGTAGGGAAAGTTCACATAAAAAATGTAATCCAGACACATTTGAATACACGATGTGCTACACATGAGCTGATTAAAACCCTAAAAAAGCACTGCAAAGTCAGCTTTAAAGAGTTTGCCAAAACTTGGATATATGGGACTGGAGCACCACTTCTTCAATGTAAATTTACACACAATAAGAAAAATAATGCACTTGATCTGGAAATCCAACAGACACCACTAATGAACACTTATTTAGAGTCTTTGGCAAATAAGCAGTATGAAAGCTTAGGAAACTCAAACTATGAAGTCCCTGTGAGGCTAAATTCAATGAGGTTTTACAATGGACCATTAATTATAACGATTTATGAAACTGATGGATACGATATAGACAGCTTCCAAAGAGAAATTAATGTAGAAGGAGAACACTTTTATACACAAATTCCTTGTAAAAAAAGGATAAAACGGCCAACCAATACAAAGAGAAGAGAGGAAACTGAAGAAGAAAACGTATATACATAAAATGGAGACTTGAGCGAAACCAACCTCTTGATGCAATTTTCTTAACTTTATCGCCAAGGCGAACTAGGCGAGAAACCAGCCGAGATTCAGGTCTGATATGGGCTTATGCATATCTAGTAGATTTTGACTTACTTCCTGTTGTTGGAAGAAGTAGCCTGGAATTTCATTTTGATCTTAAAGGTTGACTTAGCCGTGATATCAAGGCTTGTATCCTGGATCCAGGGATTAAATTTTTTCCTGTAGCTACTTAGTGCAGGCAGACTAATCGTCAGATTCCAGGCTTTACCTGGATCAAGCTACTTCTCCAATAAGCCCGCAACACGCTGCAGAAATCCATAGTCCCGCCCACTCAACACCGAAGCCATACCAAGAAGGAAGCCTATCTTCATTGTGCCCTCTCATTTTGCCCTGTCATGAGGTAGATTTAGAGAGGACGTTCAGGCACTCTCGCAGGCATATCATCATCTCATTCGTCTAAGCCGAGGTTAGTAGCGTCACAAAGCGGATGAACCATTATGGGTCCTTACTGGCTGCGTAACCAATAAGAATCTGCCTATCTTTAATTTAAGATTAAGAAGAAGAAAAACTTTATAGGATGATGGAATGCCCTGTATTGTGGGTCAGGGTGGATCCAGATTTTCAGATTTTAAGAAAAGTTGATATTACACAGAGTGATTTTATGTGGATTGAACAGATGAAAAAGGAGAGAGACGATGTGTTGGCTCAATATGATGCAATTAAAGCTGCGAAAAAAATTACGTCAGATTATGCGAATGTTTTGAATTTGCTAACTCCCCCTCTTTAAATTGGAACAAAAAATCCTGTTTAAAATCAATATTTTTATCTTTAATTTGTTTTAACAAATTTTTGCATAACTTTTGACAAATAAATTGAGCACAATAGTTTGCATTTAATCTTTAAAACGAATTTCATAAAAATAGGTTTTTTTCTTCGTTAATATTTTTTAAAATTTTTAAAAAAATATAAATTGAGCACAATAGTTTTGAGTTTTAATGAATTTTTATGAAGAATTAAATAAAAAAATTAATTGATTTAGTATGAAAACTGTTTAAATAATATTCTACTTTTGTCTATTAAATTAGGTCAATAAATATTTGTATTTTCAATTATAATTGTTTTTAAAAAAACATGTTAAATTGAGCACAGCAATTAGAAATTTTAATTTATTTTTATAAAGAATTAAATAAAAAATTTAATCGATTCATTGTGTGAACTGTTTAAATAACATTCTGCTTGCTTTTGTCTATGAAATTAGCTAAACTTATTTTATAAAAATCAGATTTTTATTGATAAAATTTTCATATTTAATAACAAATTTAAAGGGGAAAGAGTCCCCCAAAAAATGCAAATTTTAACGATTTTTGTCCCAATTTAAAAGGAAGAGTAAATGAAATATTGGAAAATAAAAATTATTCTTGAATAAGCTGTTTGCATATTTAATGGGCAAGATTATTAGCATTTGATTTCAATTAAAATAAATAGGTATATTATTATAGAGTTAGAACAAGAGCAGCCAAAACGTTAGCTGCCATTAGTTACCCCATAAATGCTTATAAAGGGCTAGATTATTTGATTTACTATTTCAAGAAAAACCATTATGAGCATGATTTACTTAAGCCCAACAATTTCACTTCTGCAGAGGAATACTTTGTTGACAAAGCAGTTCTGCAGAGTATAATAAAAGTAAATGATATGTCTTTAACTCACAACTATACAAGAATTAAAGTCAACTCTAGCTTTGTAGTTGAATTTTTAGCAGAAGTTTTACGAAATAACGACAATTCAACTAATTTTTACGACGACTCACATTGGAAAGCAAATATTTTGCACGTGATTGCATCAACAACAAACCCTATCTACGTCGACCAAATATTAGAAGAAATTACATGGAACTGCAAGCTAGATCTAGCGCTTCCTTCAAAGCAATATATCATTACCACGCAATGTTTAAAAGGATTGCTGAAACTAAATACTCATCATAAAGTATTACTTGACCTAATTTGCCAGTTTTTCTTATATCATTATCTATTAAAATTGGTTCATAAATAAAATAAATATACCAAGAAGCTTTTATTGATTACAAGAAAATAGATTTTATTATTAATTATGCACTGTATAGAAAAATTAGACTTCTACCCTCCAGAAATCCAATCAAAAATCCTCAACTTTTTAATTTCTTACTCTATCAAGCAGCGGGCTTCAGCTAAGCTGATGTTCCAACTTATCCTCAAAAGAATAAAATCGCACCATGAGCATATCGTCCACTATCTTGGCTCTCTATGATTCATATTAGAAAGCATCAGTTCCTCTACCGCCAACGACTCAATTTTAACAGAAATCAGGACCTCTGAAGAAATTCGAACAGTATTATGGGACGTTTGCACTTCTCCTCTTTCCTCTGCAGACCATCGGCTTATGTTTGCTTTCTGAAGCATTTATCGCTATTATTTTCCAAGGTCCTGGAAAAATGAAGTCCTTGACCCAGCTTGGCGAGAAAAGCAAGACGCAGACAAAAACAATCAGCAAAGACTAGAAGCCATCGACATTTCTAAAGGCACCTGGGAAGACTGGGCACAAGAGATCTTAAATCGTCTGGTAAGGCATGACTATTCAACCCCCTTTTTAGAGCCAGTTGACTACGTGACAGAAGGCTTATATGATTATCCTGAAATCGTGACCCATCCTATGGATTTTTCCACAATCCAGACTAAACTAAAAAGCCACGAATATTCCAATTTTTATAACTTTTCTGGAGATGTCAGACTTGTCTTTGATAATTGCAGGAGTTATAACGCTGAAGGCTGCGAGCTCTACCGCTATGCAGAAACTCTAGATGAGTGTTTTAGAGTACTATCAAGACCAATAGAAGAGCATTTAGGAAAAGGCCAGCCAGAAGTGAGGTTGAAATTAAGAATATTTGGAAGAGACGTTAAAGTTGAATAACTAAAATTTATACTTTTTCTAATGAAAGCGCATATTTATGAGTAAATTATAGAAAGATGCCTATTTATATAGGCAAGCATAAGATATTTGTCTTCAGCTCTCTTAAGTTCGTCCATATTTTGGAGTCTGAAAATTTCTTTGACACTTACGCAGTCTTTTTCTACAGGGACAAGCGACTGGTTTTCGTAGATAAGCTTGGTGGTTTGTTGCATGGTTTTTACTGCGCTTCTGATGTTGTGGTTGGCCCAGATGATCATGTTGACTCCCCATTCTCTGAAGCTGTCTGTAGGTGTTGTGTAGTATTTTGTTGGTACAATGAGAACTGGATGTCTACGATTCCACTCTCTCATGAAAGCTTGAATTTCTGTAGGCTCTGCAAGCTTGCTATGCATAAGAATTGCATCAGCACCAGCTTGTCTGTAAGCTTCAGCTCTTCTTACAGCTTCTTCTAGACCCCAGCCTGCAATAAAAGCTTCAACTCTTGCTACAACTACGAAATCCTTATCACTTGCTTGTTCTTTGCAAGCCTCAATTTTCCTACTGAATTCATTAATATCAGCAAGTTGTTGTTTAGCACCGTCTAATAATGAATTTGTCTTAGGGAAGAGCTTATCTTCAAGGCAGACGCCTGCAATTCCACGCTGCTCGAGCTTTTTGACGAGTCTTCTGGCGTTGTTGAAGTTGCCATATCCAGTATCTCCGTCAAGCAAAATTGGGATTGAAGTTCTGTCTGACATGAATTCGAGGACATCAAGGACTTGAGTCCAGGAAGCTTCATTACAGTCACGAACACCCAATTGAGCAGAAATTGAAAGGCCACTACCCCAGATTCCTTTGAAGCCAGCTTCTTCAACAATAACTGCTGACATTCCATTGTGGGCTTCCATGATAAATTGGAGCTCATTACTGTGGAGCATCTCTTTAAGCTGAGTGGTCTTTCTCTTAGTGGTGAAACTACGGGCTAATCTGCCTAGCATTTATAATCCACATATTTTAAAAGGAAAATATGTGGAAGTGATGACATCAAGGGAAGTATTATCATATAAAATATTTAGAGTTAGTTTTTCAATGATATTGAGAAGATATGTATAAGTTGTATTAAGAAAATAGAGCAGATAAGTAAGCATTTTGTGATTTAATCACTTATAGCTTTCTTGAAACTACATTGAAAATTCAATGCTCTTCAAACAAATACTTATAGGAGCTTTGATTATAATAATGAGAAATAATAAATTATTTAAACTTAATTTGCTATCATAAACTATGTTAATTTTGTGCCTTATTATTCCAATATTTTTTGATAGACTTTTTAATAAAATTGAATTATTAATTAAATTATATAGTTGAGAGATAAAATTTATCGATAGAAATTTTAAGAATAATACCTTTGAATTGAATTGTTCATTCAAAGTTTTCCATAAAGCCATAGTCTTATATCAAAATAATTAAAATACCCTCTTATACAATAATAATTATTATAATATTTATAAAAAATTATCATAAATTAAGATAGCTTTTCTCTTTATCAATATTGCATCATAAATATCAAATGTTTCTTTAAATATAATAATATGGACAAGGACAGACTTTTAAAAGTTCTTCAGAACAAAGAAAATCAGCTAAACGAAATGCAAGCGCAATTTATCAGCCACAATAAAACAATAGAAACGCTGCAAAAGCGGATTCGAAACGTAGAAGGAGAAAATGAACTGCTGAGGAGAAAAATCGAGCAAAAAGACAAAGAACTAGAAAAAGAGCTGAAAGAAAAAGACATTATTTTTGCCAGAATACAAGAATTAGAGAAGACCGATCAAGAAATAGAAATCAATACACCTAATTTATTGATTGAAGATATAAAACCTATAGAAAATGAAGAGATTATCAATGTCTCATCATCAAAAACTGAAAATGCCAATAGTTCTGAAAAGCAAGAAGAAGAGCCTGAGAAGCAAATAGAGCCTGAAACATTTATTTCGAATGAAATCGATATTACAAAGGAATTGGAAAAAATGGGACTTGGTGATTTGGTTAAAAAATACTAAAATTAGTTCATGCTTAATTGAATATAGAATAAACATTGTAAAAATCAATCACAAGTTAAAATTTTACTAAAAATAATAATTTTTGAGTTGATTGCTTATTGATATCCATAATATTTATAAGAATTTAGCATTATAGTGGAAATAAGTAAATAATGCAATTCACTATAAGAGATTTCTAAATATTTTTATTTGAGTTATCTAGAAGATAACCAGGATATGAGAAAAAATTTTCAAGAAGTCTCTTCTAATTTCTGCTACATATATGATAATTAAAATGTATAGAAAAATAAAGAAATAATAACTATTTTATCCAAGCGCTTTTTTCTTCGAGACGAATACTTCAAATAGCTATTTTTCCCATAAAACACTTAAATCTGTTCATATCTCTATAAGTTTATTTTTGGATTTTTGCCATTTTTATAAGATTGTAGTTCAGACCCTTGACTCTTGAGTATCAAAAAAAGAACAATTTTGCCCTCTTTTTCATTATAACGACCTCAATAGTGTGTCTGATTTAATTTATAATCCAAAATGCTTTAAATTATGTGCATAATAGCCAAATAAACAGAAAAACAAGTAATAAAATCATGGAAAGGCTAGATATGGATCTTCACGGGCTTTCAAGCGAAGATGAAGCTCCACCTCATGAAAAAGATACTGACTCCCCCTTCGTAAGCGAACAAAACCTTTAGAAAATTTCCTAGTTTTTAGGTAAAAACTCCCATGAGCAAACCATTTTTAAACAGCTTGCATTTTAAAACATAAATTTTATAAATTAAATTAATATTTGCTTTAAAGTTATGAATTTACTATAAAATTTATATTTAAAAAAAATTAACACCACAGAGTGGAGTGAGTACATACCTGAGTCCAATGCAGGAAGGCCACCTACCATTGCGCTGGTAGATTCCCAGACAAAACTTCAGATGCTCATGGACAAGATTGATGCATTGACGCACTCATTGAACCAATTTCAGCAACGTCAAGCCACAGCCAGCAATATAGGAAAGAGAAGGCACGGTCCTGAAGGTGAAGATGAAAAAGATTTAATTAGTGCTGATAACTCAATTTACACCGTAAAATTGACTGAGCAGCCTTCAAATATCATAAATGGGACAATGAGAGAATATCAATTAGAAGGGCTCAATTGGCTGCTAAAAATGAACGCATGCAAGGTAAGTGCGATTCTTGCTGATGAGATGGGCTTGGGCAAAACCCTTCAAACAATATCTTTGTTGGCCTATTTGATCTTGAATGGGGAAACCGCGCCAAGTATTGTCTTAGTCCCTAAAAGCACACTTTCCAATTGAGTGAAAGAGTTTCATTTCTGGGCGCCTTCTGTTCAGATTTTTGAGTTCTATGGAAATCTTGAGGAGCGTGAGCAGCTGAGGCCAAAGGTCCCAAGGACTAACACTTATAATGTTTTACTCACCACTTATGAAATTGCAATGGCTGAAAAAACAGTTCTCAAAGGGGTAAAATGGAATTATGTCATCGTAGATGAAGCCCATCGCATCAAAAATGAGAAATCAGTGCTTTCCAAAATTGTCAGACTTTTTTCCACAAAGTTGAAACTGTTAATAACAGGCACTCCTCTGCAAAACAATTTGCATGAACTTTGGTCGCTTCTGAACTTCTTAATGCCGGAAATTTTTGTGTCTTCTGATGATTTTGATCAATGGTTTGACTTAAAAAACGCAAATGCAGATAATCAGGATTATCTTGTAAGGCAGCTGCATAGGGTGTTAAGACCATTTATGCTAACTAGCCCCCTAATAAAATTTTGTTCGCTTAACTTTTTTAAAAATTTATATATAAATTAATAGTAATTTTTTTTTGAAATTTAAAAACATCCATTTGCAAAATTAATTTAATTAATAAATTTTGTGTTTAAAATGCAAGCTGTTTGAAATTAAATAGAACTAGCTCGTGATTTTTAATTATAATAATTATCACTTATATATCGAAATGTTCTTTCATAATAAAAAGAAAATTGTGTTGTTCACATAGGGGGTGAGTTTTTGCCAAAAAAAGGATTTTTCTAATAATTTTGTTCGCTAAAGGAGGGGGAGTAAGAAGGCTTAAAAGAGAAGTGGAATCAAAGCTTCCACCTAAAAACGAGCTATACGTGTTTTTAGGGATGACCAAAACACAGAGAGAATTATATAAAACTATTCTCACTAAAAACATAGAAGTTATAAATGGATTTGGAGAAAGAAGTCAATATATGAATACTATTATGCAGCTTAGAAAAGCATGCAATCATCCTTATCTATTTGAAGGAATCGAGCCAGGCCCACCATTTGTGGACGGAGATCATCTTATAGATGCCTGCATGAAGTTTAAATTTTTGGATAAATTAATACCAAAACTAGTCCAAGGAGGCTCAAAAATTTTGATTTTTACACAAATGACTAGATTACTAGATATTCTTGATGATTTTCTGAATATGAGAGGATATAGGTTTTGTAGAATTGATGGAAATACGCCTTATCTTGATAGAGAATCTCAGATAGATGAGTTTCAAAAAGCAGATTCCAGTGTAAATATATTTATTTTATCGACAAGAGCAGGGGGATTAGGCATAAATCTTCAATCTGCAAATACTGTAATAATATATGACTCTGACTGAAACCCACAAGTAGACTTGCAAGCTATGGATCGAGCTCATAGGATTGGTCAAACTAGAACTGTTACTGTTTATAGATTTGTGACCGAAGGCACTGTAGAAGAAAAAATCGCAGAGAGAGCAGCAAAAAAGCTCAAAATGGATCACTTAGTTATTCAGAAAGGAGCTTTGGCTTCACAGAATAAAGCGCCTTCTGCACAAGAAATGAAGCAAATTCTGCAATTTGGTGCTCAGCAAGTGTTAAAAACAGCACACGATGATATCGCAGATGAAGATATCGATACTGTTCTACAATACGCTCAAGAAAAAACTGAAAAAATAAATGAAGAGCTTACCAAACTAGAAGAAGCATTTAATTTAAAAGACCTTAGCTTTGATGGAGCTCTTCTCTATGAATTTGAAGGCGAAAATTATAAAAATGTTGAAAAAGAGCACATAAGTTTAGGCAAAAGAAACAGAAAAGCAACAGGCTCTTATGATACGAATAAAAACTCCTCAGCACAAAAAAAAGATAAGTCTAAACGAGGATGAAGAGCTCTTGTAGGAGGCGGCCACCCTCACCAGTTTTTTGATGACGAAGAGCTCGATAAACTTGACCAAAAAGAAGAGGCCTGAAATGAATATTTAAATACAAAAACCAAAAGAAGAACTCGTGGCGAAGCGGCAGCTGATAAACCACTAGCATTCACTGATAAAGATAAAGCTTATAGAAAAGAGCTGCTAAATGAAGGCTTCGCTAATTGGACAAAGAGAGAATTTAACAGTTTTATTACAGGCTGCGAAATATATGGAAAAGAAAATTTTGAAGAAATCCAAGAAGAAGTCGGCACAAAAACCCTCAAAGAAGTAAAAAAATACGCAAAAGCTTTCTGGGAACATTATGCGTCAATGCCAAATGGAGCAGAACTTGTAGAAAGAATAGAGCAAGGACAAAGGGACAGAGAAAGACTATCAAAAATCGAGACTATTTTGGGGAAAAAACGAGCGAAAATTGAGGCTGGGGAGCCGATAGAATACCCAGCAGATTCTGAACCCTCACATTTTTCGAGAGAAGAAGACGAGTTTTTATTAAAACAGCTTATAGGCAAGGTATACGGAGAATGGGACGATATTAAGAGTGAAATCCAAAATTTGCCAGAATTCAGGTTTAATGTGTGGTTTCAGTCTAAAACTGTAGAAGAAATTGAAAAAAGGTGCGAGTATTTGATAAATGTTTTGGATGAAGAAAGCGATACACCAAGGAAAAAAAGGGTTATTGAGATGGATGAAGATGGGAATAGGACAAGAGTGGAGGTGAAGCCAGATTTTCAATGGATAATCACGTTCCCAAAAATAGTTTTAAACTAAGCATTGAATATAATTAATTAGATTTTTCTTATAAGATTTTAAACAATATCTTCTCATTCTCATAAACTCACAACGCTAGATTTTTTATTTCTGATACAAGTCTATATTTAAAATAATAAAATAATATGAGTTACCAATTCATGACAGTAGGCACCCTTAACCAATATTTATCTTTATATGAAGGCAGACTAAAAGAGCCTTCCTGTTTGCCTCTCGCTCTTGAAGATTTATGCTCAGGATGATCCACTGACACCTTCAAACAAATTTTAGTAAAGATCAGTTTGAATGGAAAAATTGCAATTCCATGTGTATTCAACCAATATAATGAACTCGCTGTATTTTCCAACAAAGCAAACACCCTTCAAGAGATTTTCAAGCTTTTTGATACTCGGGCTTTATCAAGAATAGATTCTCTAGAACTAATCAGCACAATCGCAATGATATGTTCTGGACCTCTAGACAAAAAAATTGAAAATTGCTTCTTTGCCTTTGGGCTTAACGAAGACTGTACCATTACAAAAGAAGAAATGCAATTGTTTTTAGATTCTTTGTTTCGAGGGACTGCAAAAATAGCTTTAATTAAATCTGATACGTTTTATCCGAGGAATCCGAATAAGCGGTTGGCTTCTCATGAAATTGCGAGGATTGTTAACTCGATATTTAGTGGGCAAAATAAGTTATTGAGTGCAGATGAATTTTGCCAGTGGCTGCTGAGAGAGCAAGGACCGCTGAATAAGTTTTTTAATCTTTTTGTGAGGAGGTTTCAACAATGCCAGGAAGCAAATAGAGAATTAAATATAGCTAGGCTGCGAATAATCCCGTTTATAAAAACAATCATCTATTCAGATATCTTACAGAAAGCAAATGTTCAATTAGGTTTTGAAGAAACCAAGCAAGCAGCAAAAACGAAGAAATAAAGGAAATTTATTATAAATTAGCTCAGCAGATTATGTTGTTTTAAGCATAAAATTCATAGCTTAAAGAAATGGTTTTATAACATTAAGAGAAACCAAATATCAGCTAAAAAGAGAAAGCATATAATTCCTTCCTTCTTGATAGCCTAGAATAGAATTAAGAGGCCAGTATATATCTGCGCCATGAATGTTCAAGTTATAATAGCTGCCTAAGAAAAGAAAGGCAAAAGCATAAGGCATGATCTTTATAATCAGCACAATCTCAGAGCTTGTTGACTGCTCTTTCATTTTTCCCAGCTGCTGCTCTAATGTGTTTATTCTGCGTTGAAGTTTTGAGAAAGCAGCAAAAGTTGATGGATTATTTAGCTCTTCTGCTTGCTCTTTTAGCTCTTTTATGGTATTTGCAAGCTCTTGTTTGGCTGTATTCGGACGAGTTGATAATTGCTGTAAAAGATATTTGGATCCTAGAATTGATATCCCTGCTATCAAGCATACAATTACAGGATGCATATTATATATTTGACATTATTTTGCTAGAAATAGTCAACAAATAGCCATGATTTCAAAAACTCTAACCACAGCAAAACCATATTCAAATCTATATTTTAAAATAAATATCAGCAATATTTTTATTTAATTTTTATATACAATAAAATAATGAATGTACAATTAAATCTAGCAATAATTCTTTTAAATTTTAGACCATAAATAGAATTTTTGCATTAAATTAATAAAATTTAATTTTTAAACTCGAAGAAAAAATTTCTAATATTCAATTATCTTTTAAAAAATTAGCATTAGCTATCATCCATTTAACTGGACCAACAATTTTTATCTTTAAAAATAATAAACTCCTCTAGGAGCAAGTAAATAAGCATCTCAGAAGGATAAGTCTTTTATCCAATTTTGCAAATTTTTATATAAGGATAAGAATTTTAAGACAATCTTACATATACAAAGCAATTATTAAAGCAAATCAAACTAAATTTAAGATTATTCTAGAACTGCAAGAATTTCTGAATCCTTATAGATGGAATACTTTTCATCTTTGAAATCAACTGATGTTCCACCATAAGGAGGCAATAACACTTTCTGTCCCACTTTGACTGCGATTTCTTGGAAGTTTCCTTGCTCATCATAAGATCCTGGGCCAATGGCAATGACTTCTCCGATTTGCATGTCTCTTTCCTTGGTTTCTGGCAAGAGAATTCCTCCTGCGGACTTGTTTGGAATTTCTTGTCTCTTGATCATGACTCTGTTTAACAGTGGAGTAATCCTTCTAAAGCTTGAAAGCATTGCCGTATATTTTATTATTATTTCTATTAGAAACTATGGCTAAATTAGGTGTCTAAGACCATACCTTCATAAACATATATGTTTTATTTACTTCCCCCTCGATGAGAAAAGCAGAATTTGTTGCTGATGGAGGATTCTTTGCCATTGAAATTGTAAATATAATAATTTATATCTCTTTTCGAAATTTAATAATCCTGGTTAGAAAAAAATTAAAAGTATAAAAAAATAATTGATAATATGAGTTTCAGAATGAAAGTTGTTTAAAGTTCAATTAAAAGAATTAGCGATTCTCATTATAATTTTATTAATTTATATTTAATAATATTTATATATAAAAACTGCTTTATATCATGAACATTTTTTGTAAAGGAGAATCCCAAAAAAGTAGAGGTTTGCTCACTACAAAAGGAAGAGTTAGGAGAATGCCCATATAATATATTATAAATTTTTCTAAGAGTATTATGCATGAAGCAGAATATTTTCAAATGGGCTGCAACGATAGTCAGATGGAAGAACATAATATAATTATTACCAACCCACCTACAAAGTCCTATAAAATCATAATAATAGGTAACAAAGCTGTAGGGAAGACATCAATTATTAATAGAATTATGTGGAATACTTATGATAGCAAGATTCAGCCAAGCTACTCTAATGCATGCAGCTATAAGCGTGTTTCTCTCACTCCTCCGCTCTCTCTATGAGTAAATAAAACCATTGGAAAAATTGCATTTTAAATCATAAATTTTACAAAAAATTATTTTTTTTCTTTTGATTATTTTTAATTTCGAAAAAAATATTTTAAATTTAAATAATTTTTTTTTTAAAAACAAAATTAATTGCTCTTGATTAAACAATTTTTTTTCTTCGCTTATGGAGAGAGTCAGCACAGGCGAATCGCTAAATTTAGACATTTGAGACATAACTAAAGACGCTGATTTTAAAATTCACTTATCAAATGCAAAATTTGGAATATTAGTTATTGATACTACAAGCGAAGAATCAATTACAAACTCAGTCCATTGAGCTGATGAATTAGCACAAAATCAAGTAAAATTTTGCATTGCAGCGAATAAAGTTGACAAATTTAACAAAAATTTAGTTAAAGAAATTCGAAGTATAGCTAATGATTACAAGTGCCTAATGATAGAATCCAGTGCCAAAACTGGATATGGCATCAATACAATACTTGACATAATAGTCCTAAATTTGCTTAATTCAAGGCTTCTATAATCATCCTCTCAAAATTATATTTTTAAATTTTAATAAAATACTTTCCGCCAAGATCAAAATGGATAAGAAATGCCCAAGTTGGTAAGATAAAAATTGAGGAAAAGCACCGATAGTTTTTTTTCTGGTATACTTGATAACCCATTGGGTTTTTTTTCCTGACAAAAAAACCAGGAAAAGGCCCTTCGTCATTTTTGATGGTATAAAGCCAGGATTTTTTCCCTTATGACCCTTGGTAAGATCTATTCAGCAATAAAGACATATCAAGTGATATTTTTGAGCTTCATCAAGTCCACTGCGAAAGATTCCTCACAAAATGTGACGAGTGCAAAGAAATGATTCCAAAAGCAAATTTAGAAAATCATAAAAAGGAGCTTCATGCAAAGCTTAAATGTTCATATTGTCAAAAACAATTCGAAGAGAAAGAAATAGGAATACACAAAGCCATATGTGAAAACAGACCAAGACCCTGCTTGTTCTGTGGTGCAGTAATGGAATTAAATGAATTAATCAAGCATGAAGAGGATTGCGGGAATCGGACAGATGAATGTGAAGCTTGTGGAAAATATGTCACGATTAAAAATATGCCTCAACATCTTGTTGAGTGTTTCGAAGAGATAGAAAATAGAGCACCTTCAGTTAGAAAGCGGAAGATGTCTGAAGAGAAAAAGCCAAATAAAAAGCGACTAAGAAAAAATAAAGGCTAAGTTTTGATTATTATACTGTAGTTTACCTTATAATGCCTTGATTTGATTTTCAGGAAATTATTATAAGCAAAAATAACTAATAATAATTTTATTTTAATTCTCCTAAAATAGTGTCAATTTTTCACCCACATGCTCAATTTTCCCTGCACTGAATTTATTGTATTGTGCTTCATATTTTTTCCTTTTCTGATCATTAATGGATTTTTGGAAACCTAGGACTTCTTGTTCTAAAACAAAAGTATCAATGGATTCAATTTCTTGATGGGCAAGTTTAATTTGTATATTATTGATAACACTTTGGATATCTGCACCAGTGAAGCCTTCAGAAATTTCTGAGGTTTGATGGGTATCTATCCCTCCCCTCCCTTCGCAAGCGAGCAAAATCATTGGAAGCATCCCTATTTTTGAGTAAAAAAAACTCTCTGAACGAACAAGAATCTTTTTATAAAAAAATATTTGATATATAAGCGATATTTATTATAAAAAAATAAAAAAATTATTACCACAGAAATGGCGGTAGACTGACCAATAAATGCCTTTTATTAAATTAATTTTGTTCTCCAGGTGATGCTTTTGCTCAAGCCAGCTCTAACATCGGGTCAGCAGACCTTGCTTCCTTGGATATGATGGCTGGCGAGATGGACCAGCATCAAGCCGTGTGAGACAAACACTGGGCATGTAGGCTATCTGAGTCTCTGGGTGATTCAAAATCGGCAGAGAGGTATTATCTGAGGTGAGATGCAAGCCAATTGGCATAATCGCATTAAAGGCGGGTGCTCTTACGAAGACAAACGGGCGAGAAAGTGAAGATAAGCCAACTTGTCACCCCAGCAAGGGTAATAACGGCTTTAAGACCTAACGCGGTTAGCTTTGACTTGTCAATAAAATGCTCTTACGACCTCTAAATAAATTTTTAATTCGCAATGTCATTAATCTTTTGCTAATTCTATTGAATTTCATTTTAAAAAATTATATATATTTTTTAAAATAGATTAACCCTCTTCTTGGGCGAACAAAATCTTTTTGCTCACCCTTTAAGGAGGCATAAGTGATATCCAAGCCTGCTAAGCATTTTATTAAAAATTTCAGCCCTTTCTTGTGTATTTGGGAAGCCACAATAAATCTTGAAATCAAGTCTTCCAGGCCTTAAAAGTGCGACATCAATCATTTCAGGCCGACTTGAAGCTGCAATAACGTAAACTCCCTCTTTGGCTTCTACTCCATCTAATTCACATAAAAATTGATTGACAACTCTGTCTGTGACTCCTGTTTGGCTTCCACTTCCTCTTTTCGGAGCTATTGATTCAAATTCATCAAAAAATAAAATACATGGAGCTGCCCTTTTGGCTCTTTCAAAAACTTCTCGTACAGATTGCTCTGAAGCCCCAATATATTTATTTAAAAGTTCTGGTCCTTTTACTGAAATAAAGCTCAGATCACATACACTTGGCAGCGCTGAAACTAAATGTGTTTTCCCACAGCCAGGAGGTCCGTATAATAAAATTCCAGTTTGCTGCTTCAGCTCATAGTTTTGGAATAAAATCCTAAATTTAATCGGAAATTGCAGAGTTTCCAATAGTACTCGTTTAGCATTATACATGCCTCCAATATCATCCCACTTCGTAGACTCCTTTATAACAGGAGCACTTGTAAGAGCTTGCGGCACGAAATTTTCAATTTCAGCCAAAATTGATTCTTTTGTTATTTCAACCCCTAGTGCTTTTAACTTTAATTTTGCTGATTTGCAAAATGAGAAAATATCTCCGATTTGGTATGACTTCATTTTACTTGCAATTTCTCCATGAGCAGTTATATCAGGAGGAAGCAAATATCCCAGCACTTGTGTAATATCTGAAAATGAAAGGGAAGGTATTGATATTTGGGCTGTCGTATGTGTTGATGACGTCAATATTTTGTGGATAGAATTTTCATTGTTGCAGGTGAAAATAAATTTTATTTTTTTCTTCGGTTTTAAAATTTCTAACATTGATGACAAAAACATTGCACATCTGGAATACATTATTTTTAAATCTACAGTCACTTCTAGAGGTGTGTCTTCTATTTTTCCACAGATTTCTTCTAAGTCGTCAATAATTAAAACAGTTGGAGATTTCTCAGCAGCTTTATTCACTCCATCTACTATTTCTTTTAAAAATGATAAGTCTCTTTTTGTATAGTTTATAATAAAGGGGATAATAAATATAATCTTATTTTAAAATATGGTCATTTAAGGAAATAAGAATAAAAGTTCTTGCGTGAAGAATTATAGTTGCAATATAAAAATCATTTAATTTCTTTTTTAATAGTTGGCAGTAAAAAGATTTGCCGACTCCGCTTGCACCTTTGACCAAAGCTGCACTATCTGGTATCCCATTGTCAAAATATGGCAAAATTTCATTATTAATCAAGCTGTTAAGACTTTTCTCTATGCTGTCTGTAGAGATAACTTCCTTTTCTATTTTCCTAGCATCAGTGAATTCTTTATATTTAAAAGTGCTCAATATTTGTAAATCATTTGATTGAAGGACAATAAAAGGCTGTCATTCTTGTAAATTAATTGTTGTATCAATAGCTTTTGCCTTCAAGTAGCAATTATCTTTATTTATACTCATGCCATGATATAGCACTAAATTTCCAGCCTCATTCAAAATCTTTTCAATAATTTCTTGATTTCCTTCAATCTCAAACTGAAAATTCGCTGTTTTAACTTCCAAACTAAATATATTAATAACACATTTCACATTCTCCTTAAAAGGCAGGACTTGTTTTGCCTTGTATTTCGAAAATTCTTCTAAAGCCATACATTTAATGTGTCCATCCCTCACATTCCCATTCCGATTTATCCCAAGAATGAGCTGATTTTCTCTTTTGCAGGCAATTAAAGTATTTTCTGGAAATTCATTGCATATCATATCAAACTCTCCTGGGGCAGCCCTAATATTCATCAAGCTATCCCTTTGCACCCTAGGGAAAGGCTTTACAGAAATTTCTGCATCTCTTCCTACAAATCCATAACCTCCAGTAATTTCCATCGCCCTAAGCCAAACATAGCAGTTTCTTATCCACACAGGAAAAATCATCCCACTCTGTAATACCTTTATTTGACTTAAAAGATTTTCTTCTAAATATCCAGCATTAGAGCTGATAAGTTCTCATGAATCTTCGTCAAGAGGCTGCACTTCAACAATAGTAATTTGTTTGCCTTCTACTTCTTCAATTGCTACATAGCTTTCTTCAGTGATTCCTATAGATTTCGCAAAAATTGCATTTATTTCAATATTTTGAGATGATTGTTTTCCAGCCCAGCCAACATAAACTGAGTTCTCTGCTATCGTAATTTTAAGGACATTTGAGCGAGGTTGAAAAGGTAATGCTACAAAGCAGTCATTGGAATTTACAAATTTAATAGGAAGCAGCATTTTTCAATTATTAAATAAGTTGCTCACATATTGATATTTTATCAATAAAGAGTTAAATAAACGATTTATTACTGAAAAAAAATAGCCAAGATTATTAAGATAATGTCGTTTTCAATTTCTCATGACAGTCCTTTCGCAACTGCATATTCCTCTTTCCACACCTTTTCATCCCCAAGAGGAGTCGGCACCAAAAATTTAAAATCAAGGCTGAATACTGCAGTTTCTCCTGACTCACCAAAAGATTTCCAAATGAAGCATGTACCAATTATTACTGGCGAACTGAAAGCTGAAGAGCTATCCAGAGGATACCACACAATGACCTCTTACGATGCTTTACATCTTTCTCCTCCTGCTACTGTTGTAGCACAGGAAAAAAGAAAATTTAACTATCAAGATTTCAATATAAAAGGACACAGAAATGATTTTGATTTCTCTACTCTTAAGCCGAGTCACTTATGTGACTTATTGGCTGATAAGCGGCCTGATGTAAAAAATAAATCTCCTTTCTATTCTACCTATGAGAGTAAGCTAAAACATGATGGTTTTGGATTGAATAGAGGAGTTTTTACTGTAAATTCTAACCAAAGCTATAGGGTGCAGAGATTTAGTGAGAACTTGCAAAGCTCTCTGGAAGATAGGCTGAGAAAAACAGCAAAACATTGGGAATTTCCAATAATGCAAACTATAAAAAGCGAAAAAGATTTAAAGCTTGATGATGATTTAGTAAGGAAAACTTTACCTGTTTCATTATGGGCTAATAAAATGAGTATGGAAAGATTTTTAAAAAATTCGGCCAATAAAGCAAAAACTAGTGTGAGAAGCTCAAGGCTTGATAGCGGTAAGAAAGATATTAATTCATTTGAAAATGCACTCAAAAAAAGAGGAGGGTCTATGGGCTTTACTGAAGTTAATACTTTTGCGTACTTAAAAAAGCCAAAAAACCCGAAAGTGAGATTGTCACTAGTTTAATTTTATAAATATAATTATCCCTTTAAATTTTCTTTATTTTCCCTAAATTTTGGCATAAATCATGTACCAAAACTGCCTTGAAAAAAATTAATTGATAGCCTAAGTAAGCTCTTTAAATGGATGTTGCCAATAAAATGTAATTTATTAAAAAACATTATGGGATGCACCAGTTCTCTCAAAAGACCAAGATTGATTATTCCTGCTGAAAACAGTGTGGAAAGCGAAGAAGATAATGGAGATTACAATAACGTTAATATTCCAAAGTACAACTTTAATGGAAACATTACTAGTTTCCCGTTATTTGTTGTGAGAGAAGAAGTTTCAGCTCTCGAAGAGTCTGCTGTCCCTTCTAAGGCTCACTCTTTTGCTACAAGTACATTAAACCAGTTTAATCTTATAAAAAATAACGTTTAAATATAGCAAAATTTTGCAGTAAAGAATTTTTCATTTCGTCAACATTTTTTGCCAATAATTAATATTTCTTTTATAATAGATTCAAATTTTTAACACACAAGTAAGTTTAAGCTGTTAAATCAGTTGCTAGATCAAAAAAGTGAGATATTATTGAAAAATTAATAAATTAAAAGCTATGATTAATTAAATGAATTTAATAATTAAGCAGATTCTTGAATTTAAATTTAATTTTTACTCAAATAAGTATTAAATTTACTTACTCCCCCCTTAAAATTGGAGCAAAACATCGATAAAATTTGCATTTTTTGTTACTTTAAGCAGCATTTACACTGAATCGATTAATCTTTTCATTTCATTCTTTATAAAAAAAATTCAAATTACTGTCCTTAGTTTATATTGTTTTAAAAAAATTAAAGTTAAAATACAAATTTTTTTAGCTAATTTAATAGGCAAATTTGAATATTATTACACTAAAATCAATTAATTTTTTATATAATTCTTAATAAAAATAAATTAAAATTCAAACTACCTTAAACTCTTTATAAAATGTTTTAAAAAAAAATTTAATGATGAAAAAACTAATTTTTATAAAATTAGTTTTCATAAAATTATTAGTTACATGTAAAGTTTTAAAAAAAATCAAAGATAAAAAATAAAAATTTTATAAAAATAATTTTAACCTGTTTTAATTGAAAAAAATAAAACTAAATTATAAATTTAAGATTTTAAAAATTTTAATTAATAATAAACTTAAATATAAATGTTTTTTACATGAAAAAAAAAAAAACTTAATCTCCTTCAAATTGGAATAGGATTTTTTATTCCAATTTAAAGTGGGGGAGCTAATTAAAAGAACAATAAAAAAAATCCTATCACTATGATCAAACTTTTATGATTATATTATAAAACTTCTAATTTGAACGATTTATTAAATGAAAATATTATTCCAATTTAACCTTTAGCTATACTTTAATGATCCACCAGCCTGCAATACTTCGCTAAAATAGTAATAAGACCTATAGTTAGTCAATATTTCAATGCTCTTAGATCCTATAGATTCATAACAGCACCGCTTTTATTCATTCATATAAAAGTGGATATCTATTATTTTCTATATCAAAAGATTTTAATAGAATTACTAAAAAACAATGGAAGAGGAAAAGTCACTTTCATCATTATCTGACTCAGATGAAGTTGAAGAGTCCCAGATAGACCCTGAAGAGGCAAAAGATAAAGTAATCGGTGAGCCTGAAGTGCCTACACTCCAACCTCGAAAAAGATACAGCTCCTTCATATCCCAGCCCAACCATCCTGAGGTACCAGAGCTCGTCCATCAAAAAAGTGATATCAAAATGAGCAAGAAAGGAGTCAATGTCTTCGTAAGATTTCGCCCTGATAACGCCACAGAACAGAAGCTTGGTGTCCAATGTGTAGACTATCATCCTGACCAAAAAAAAGTATCTGTTTCATGTGATGGAATTAGTCATGGGTTTAATTTCAGAAGAATTTTCCCTCCTGAAAGTTCTCAAGAACAGATTTTTTTAAGTTGTGCATTGCCGCTTGTGGAATCTATATTAGAAGGCTATAATTGTGCAATTTTAGCATATGGACAAACAGGTGCTGGAAAGACTTATTCATTGCTTGGCCCTGGTTATGACCATCCTGAAAGGGTTGGAAAATGCGATCAAGAGCTCAGAGGTGTAGCTCCCAGATTACTGCAGTCTATTTTCCACCAAATTTATTCTACGGTAAGTGGAGAAGCTGTATATAAAGTATATACAAGCTACATTCAAATTTATAATGAAAAAATCTTTGACTTGTTGAACCCTGCAAAAGAAAAGCTAAAAGTTTATCAGGATACTGATAAAGGACTATGGATTACAGACGCTACAAAAGTTCCGTCAAAAAATGTGAAAGAGGTCAACCAAATTTTGGAATTAGGAACAAAATATAGAGTTACTGCAGCTACCAATTCTAATGCAGAGAGCTCGAGAAGTCATGCGCTGCTTATTTTGACTATAACGAAACATTTAATAAATACAGGAACTTATCGAGCTTCACAGGTGTATATGGTCGATTTATGTGGCAGTGAAAGAATATCGAAAACTGGAGTTGTCGAAGAAAGGCTAAAGGAAGCCCAAAATATTAATAAATCTTTATTGTCACTTGGAAATGTTATTAACGCTTTGGCTGAGAAACGAAAACATATCCCTTATAGAGACTCCAAAATGACTCGTCTACTTCAAAACTCATTTGGAGGAAACTCTTTGACATCGCTGCTTTTATGCTGCTCTTCCAACTCTACCAATGCGTTAGAAACAATATCAACACTCAGATTTGGTGACAGAGCTAACATGGTCCACAATAGGCCTGTCATCAATCAGAGAGAAAGCGCAGATGACCTTACTCCACTTTCAGTACTTTCCGAGATCGAGCAAAACAATCAGGAAATTTATATTTTTTGGCAAAAAGCACCTTCCGTAAGGGAGTATTACTTTTATCTTTCATTTACCATTAATTTTTTAAAAAGAAATTAACCCACCTCCGTGAGCAAAAAATTTTTTTTTTCTCGGGCGGAGGAGTTAGAAGACTTTTAACAGAATCAAATGTGAAATTAATAAATCAGCAAAAAGTAATTAGATATCAAAATGAGAGGATCATCGAAATGGAAACAATCATAAGGGAGCTCTTCTCTATGATGGGATCAAGCCAAGTAAAAGCAGTGCAAAGAAAAATCCAGATTCCGCTTGCACCAATGTCAAGAAATCCTTTTGACAAGCTTGGAGTGAATACTTTTGTGTGCATTTTTTCATTTCTTCACCCAGCAGATGTCTTATCGATGGTCGGAGTTTGCAAATCGTTCCGCCAAAGATTGAAGTGCGAAAACTTGTGGAGGTATTTTTTGATTGAGCTTAAACAAGGGAGAATGGGATTTAAATTTATTCCTGTGGAGACTTGGGATATAAACTTCGACAAAGTTGAAAGCTATTGGGAAATTTTCAAAGATAAATTTATTAAGAGCCTTGCGAAGGGTATGCCTGAGGACCCAGAAAGTGCTAGCAGAGGAATTCATCTGTTTCATAATATGAGATAATCGACATCCTAAATCTAATACCCATAATTAAGCAAAATTAGCTAAAATTCTGTAAATAAATTTGTAAGAATTATTCCTTCTTAAGGCCTCTGCCAAATCCTCTTCGAGGTCTGTCCTCATTTTCCCTTGGCTTCTTGACGGCTGGTGCCTTATAGATATCTGGTCTAATGTTAGAAGGCAACCCAAGATACTCGCACATAGCTAGAATCCCTTTCTCATTCAAGTAGTAGTAGAACCACTGCCAGTTGAATTTTTCCTCAATCAATCCTCTTGATTTCAAGCTTTTGCATACCATCATAATCTTGAGATTAGCAACAGGAATATCTTGGTGTCTTGGAAGACCTGCGTCTTTTCTAACTACTAGTGTTCCTTCCTTCAATAAGTACTGGTATATCTGTCTCTTCTCGCTCTTGGAAACTAGCACCATTTTTAAGCCACTCTTTATAAGCAATTTTATGCATATGCGTAATTTCAGAAAGCAAGGATGGAGAGTTTTCGTATTAAAAGCCAAAATTAAAAAATCTAAATTAGGTATATTTGCAATATGTAAAAATTATAAGAGGACTATGTCTAAAAATTTATTCCATTCAGTAGGTCGGTGCCGTTGCAAAGCCATAGCAAGATTTTTGGTTTTGTTTACGACGTGGTCTAGGTTGTCGAATTTGGGGTTGATTATTTGTGATCGCTGAGGCTGAGGAATTGGGACACCGATGATCATCATTTCAATCAGTTCTGTGTATTCTACAGTAGAAGATGAAGCCAGTTTTCCTAGCTTGTAGCTTCTTTTGAGCCTTTTTCAAACAATGCCGATTTCGTCAGTTTCGTCATACATAGGGGAACAAAAGTATCTGCATATTCCTCTGTCATCTTCCAGTGCATGGAGCACGATTAGCCCAGGTATTGTTACAAAAAGCTCTGAATCTGAGTATTCAAGCTGCTGCTTGAATAGCTCGTATTTTTCAGCAGTTTTTTCTATCAGACTGTGTACATATACAACTCTATTGTAGCGTTTTGTATTTAATATATAAGTTTTTCCTCTTTCTCAGCTTTCTTCAAATTTCACTAGGACTTCGACTAAATCTGAGTTATTTTTCAGCTGAGGGTCGACTACTTCAATATTTACTTCATATTTCTGCAGCAGAGATCTGAAGCTGGAAAAAGAATTTTTGATTTTGTCTGCTAAAGATTTTAAAGGGCTACTTTGTGATGATGACATTCTTCTTGTAATGCCTTCAGCTGCTAATAAAATATCAAGTGTTAAATCATCCCTTCCTTTGCCTTCTATATTAGCTACTGAGTTGATTTTTCCTATCATGGTTACCAGCCTTTCTCTACAATGGTTATATTCATCTGATTCAAAAATCAGCTTGCCTTTTGACTTTTCTCTGGTTTCAAAAACTGTAAGTTCTCTTTCTATCTCAATACTCTCAGTTATAAATCGCCTTGCATCAGTCTCAATTACCATTAATTCATGTACATACAAGTGCTCGAATTCGACCCAATCAGCGTCAAAATCTTGCAAAACCTTTTTTAAGCTATCTATAATTTCTCCAACTACGCCTGGAGAGGTTTCGTCACAGATCCGATTGTAAATGTCTCTGAAAGAATTTTGAATTTTTGAAAAAGAAGAGTACAGTTTGTTCCCTGCTTCCAGAACTTCATTGGAAAACAAGTATTTTTCTCCATTCACATAAAGATATGGAAATCCTTCTTGGGCTGAGTCAAGGATCTCTGTTAAGTAGCAGAGAGAGCCTTCTTTATATAGCACCCTATATGCATTTGAAAATCCTTTGCGGTAGCTTCTGGACATGCATGGCACTTTAAACACGTCACAGAGCCTTTCAATCTGATTTAGCAGCTTTTTGCATGCAATTTGACCTTCGTCGGAGTCGAGGTCGTACTTCATGTCTTCTGTTCGTATTAACTGGGAGGCGCAGATCACTGTATGTTCAAGTAATAAAAAATCTGAACTTCTCCGGAATTCTTCAATGTCGCTTAAAGGCCTTGCTGGAGCAGTCGATGCTCGTAGAGCGAGGTACTTATTGGAGACTAATTCTGTCGAGTAAAAATCCTCTTTTTCTGAAGAACTGAGTTCACTTACACCTTTTGTTGGCTAGAAAATAGAAGTTTTTCCTTTGTTATTTTAATTTTGGTATTTTATAGTCCATAATTATATTTATTTTATTGGTTTTAAAATTCTTTAATTTCTGAATTCAAATCAAAAACTTTAAAATATAAAAAATGAATGCTCAAAAGCATAAAGTTTCATTTTAAAAATCTATATACCAAAATCATATTTATATAAATTAAGGAGAGTTAGAGCCTCTTCAGTTTCAGAAGAATCTGACACATTATCACAGTTATTTGTTTGACTTCTTGGAGAAACAGTGTTTGTTGAATAATCGAACTGGCTTTCATTTTGTATGCTTATTGACTGATCGCTTTGTACAGCTCTTAAGCTAATTTGGATAGCCTTGAGCTATTACTTTATATTAAAAATTAAAAACAAAGATTTTTAAGACTAAAATAAAAAATCTTGTTTAATTTTGGACTTATTATAGTTAAAAATCTCAATATAATAGATTTTCTACTGGATATTTAAGGTCCATAGTGATCTATAGTGTGAAATAAACGATAGTTGATTTTGCATTTTTTTTATAAATTTGACTTCTTGTTAATAATAATTTATTAGTCTCAAATAGCTTTAAGCATTTAAATTTTCTTCACAAGTTTTAATGCTTTTGAATTTCATCTCCAAGATGATATAAAATAAGGATAAAATAAAGCCAAAATAAGCAGAACACTGTGCTGCACGTCAATGTAGCGCTAAATTATTTTTTTTTCATAATTTAAAAGAACTAAAGTATTTATTTATAAGAGCTATAAAAACGATATTTAAATCAAGTAATAAATCCTAGCAAGCACATTTTATTTTATTAGCTGAGAGGAAGCTCATTAAATTATAAATGAATGAAATGGTTTTTTTAGATTAAAAAATAAAAAATATTTAAAAAAAAATTGAGTTCATTTTATTACTATGGAGTAAACACAGGAATTTTTATAAGATTTCAGCAGTTATATAAGACCTACTCTGCCCTCCAATAATGATAATGATATAATGAGGTAACCCAAATTTTGGATTAATTATCCTAATAAATTCGTAAGAATTTATATTTAAATTAATATATGCTTAATATATAATTTATCTATATTCAAACTTAAATTGGTTAAAATTTTAATCATAGACAACTTCAATTTTAATTTGTATTTCTGTAGCAGAGATCTGAAGATGGAAACATAATTTTTAATATCATTGGCTAAAGATACTAAATAACTATTCTGTAATGATGCTATCTTCTTATGATAGCCTCAGTCGGTAATAAAATGCCAAGTGCTAAATCATCTAATTCCTTTGCTCTCTATATTAGCTGCTGAGTTAATGTCTAAAAAAAAAAAAAAACCTATATTTTTTAAAGTAAAACTTAATGATTACTTATATATCAAATTCACATATAGGACTTTTATCATAAATTAATTTCTCAAAATATTAGAATATTTTTAACATAATTTGTTTGCTGTCAAAGAAAGGAGTGAGTTAATTTTTTCTAATGACAGATAGAAATCCAAATTAGATGTACAATGGTTTCAATCAAATTTAGCGCATAATCAAGATTATTTGTTTGTAGAAACAGTGCTTATTGAGTTATCATAGGTCTTTGGTTTTGTATCATTATTGAATATCGCCTTGCAGTTAATTTTGCTTTCTTTTATAATTTTGAGTCCTATTGATTGTAATTTATTAGTCTTAATTTACATATTTTCACGATTTTTAATGCTTTTGAAAAATAAAATTTTTCAAAATTTCTTTTATTATTTTTTATAATCATAAAAATAAGTACTTAACTATAGAAATAAACACAAGGCATTAAAATTTTTATCAAGCTTAAAACCTTAGTTCAAGACTATGCAAACTTTAAGGTTTGCCTATTTTAATTTAAAATGGCCAGCAATGCAGCATTAGAGTACATTCCGATTATTTTATTCCCTCAAATGAATGACCAGCATCTGCCTCCAGAAATTCCTACAGAATCTCATCATCTTCCATATGGCTACACAACTGGCGCTCTTCATTTTCAATTTGAAAAAAAGCGTCAACAGGTAACAGTAACAACAGTTGATAGACTGTTAGGACTGATTCCTATGGTAATTCTCTTTTTAATCGTTCTATTTGAGCTCTATGCTTACTTTTATTGGCATTTAATTCCTTTATTAGAGAAAAATGAAGGTTTGAGACTTGATTTTTGGGAAGGATACGACCAAAGTGCCTGAAAATATATTTTTCATCTTTTATCAATCATCCTGCATGCGGTAATTTTTTTGATATCTACTTATAGGACAATGTTCACGCCTCCTGGGCATGTTCCTGAAGATCTGAAATTAGAAGTTGATCAGGTCCATGGGAACAAATATCATGTTATGATATCAGAGATGCTGCTGAGGAAAATGAAGAAAATTGGAAACATGGAAAGAAAAAAGACGCTTTTCCCAAGATTTTGCAGGAACTGCTTAAAGGTAAAACCTGATAGGAGCCACCATTGTTCGATCTGCAATACTTGTGTTTTGAAAATGGATCATCATTGCCCTTACATAAACAACTGTGTGGGTAATGATAATTATAAGTATTTTATGAATCTAGTGATTAGTGGGACTATGGCGAGTTTACAACTTACCACCACCATGTGGGAAGGCGTGCTTTTAGCCTGAGACAACTCAAACTACTCAATCCCCTTCCAAGTCACCTTTGGGATCGCTTACTTAGGAAATGTAATCCTAAGTGTAGTCTTAGTCGCGTTTTTGTGCTTTCATTTTTACCTCATCTCCAACGCCACCACAACAATTGAATTTCGCGAAAAGCTGTCTGTTAAATTTGACGTGTCTCCCTATCACAAAGGCAGATGAAACAACTTCCTTGCAATTTTTGGAAAAAACCCTTTAATATGATTTTTACCCATAAGTAACAATTATTTAGAGCCACGCATGAATTCAGAAGCAATGAGTTTCTTAAGCAGTGAGCAGGAAAAATAAATGTAATCATTAACTTTAATTTTACTTATTATCCTTTTCTGTCTTAGAAAGGCACTTGTAAAACTTCCACCTATTATATCTGTCCTTGATATTGTATCTCAAAGTATTGAGCTTCATTTTATTTTTGGATATCAATACTTTGCACTTTTCTTGGGCATAAAGCTTGTTTTGACGTCTAATTGCAACGGGCTGGGATAGATATGTCAGCCCTCCTACAACTCCAAGTCCAACTACTATTAGTCAACTCGGTAAAGCTGAATAACAATTACCTCGAACAGACATTTTATTTGTATAAAAGATTGACTGACTTAATGTATGGAATATGGAAAATTCTTTAAGAAAATCTCAACAGATAACTTTGGGCAGGATTTAAATTTGCCTTAATAATGGCTATTAAAAGTCCTTATTTATTTTACCAATACAATTATTTATTAAAATGAAAAGAGCTGACCACAATTGTCATACTCACACACTTTTCTATCTTGAAGATGTTCAATACCTATAAAACCACTGCAACACAGCTTACAGAAGTTTTCTGGCTGAGGACAGTCAATTAACTCCTGCTCATATCGCTCAGGTTCTTTACCATACTTTTGTAAACAAATAGACTTCATAAGATCTGTGTTTGGGCCTTTTAATTCTGGCTGCCAACATAAATGTGCAAATTGCTTATCTCCAGCTTCCACAGCCATGCTTACCATATATGAGAGCTCGTCTCTTGTTTCCCTTTCTTTGTTTTCAATGAGATGCTTTTGTTGCTCCATTAGTTCCTCAGCTTCTTTTTTCTTGTCTTCTTGAATTTTCTGGGCTGCAGCTTCAAGCTCAGCGATTTCTTCTTTTTGTTTTTCTTTTCTTATCAAATTCTCAGCAAGAAGCATTTCTTCATATGCTTTTGCCTCCATCGCTTTTTCTAGAGCTTCTCTTTGCTCTTTTACCTTTTCTAACTCATTCTTAGCATCATTAAGTTGCTGCTGCATTTTCTTTTTATTTTCTTTTTCCAAGTCTTCAGCTAATTTTACCTTTTCAATAATTTCTTCAGCTTTCTTTTTTAGCTCATCATGCTCTAAAACTTCTAGCTTGGCTTCTTCTTCAAGCCCTATAAGGTCAGCTTGGGCTTCAGGATCAAGCTTATCAGAGCATACAAAGAAATGTTCAAGCGAGCCTTGCCAAATGGCTTTTTCTTGATCATTATTAGAGCATAATCTTAAATTGTCTTCAGAATTTGAGCTTTGTAAAACAATGCATTTTTCTTCGGAGGCAAAAGGACGATAAATATCAGAGAGCTTTACAGAGCAAATGAGATCTTCGACGTTTTCGTCTGAAAATAGAGAAATTGCATGAGAGTTGAGGACTATGTACACTTTTTCAGGGGAAGAAGGGTCTAACTGCCATCTTTCAAGATACCCTTTTTTAAAGGAACAGTCGGTTGGGATTTGAGAACTTAAATCTGTGGAGATCAAAGAGGTTGTGTCTGGGTTAGGACTAAGAGAGCCTCTGAATGAGCTGGATTGGGATATGAGTTGGTAAGCAAATACTGTAACAATTAAGCAAGCAAATGACTTCATTTTTTAACGATATATTATTATTAAAAATGGTATACTACTTCTATATGGCTTTATTAGTCACACTACATATTTTCTAAGTGAAAATTATGACTTTATAAATGAAAAAAAATAAAAGCAAGTGTTAATTAAAGCTAAAAATTATTTTATAGAGCTTATGATTAAATTAATTCTTATAAATGGGAAATTGCTGCCTTAACTCAGCTCCTGAATTTTTGCAAGAATTAGTATATACAAGTTTTGCAAATTTGAAAGTTTATGACAGAGACAGTGATGGCACTATTAAAGGAAGATCTAATGTTCAATTTGAACTATCATCTCCTGTTTTACAGAGCTCCCTCAATTGTAAGCTGAATAATCATGCAATAAGGATTACTGGATGTGCAATCCCAGGCCTAGATCCACGCAAGAATAGAGCTAAGGACTGTCAAGATACTTATGCTATTGTGGAAAAAGGCAATGTAATTATGACTTCTTTATTTGACGGACATGGCAAAGAAGGCAAAAAAATTTCGCATTTTTGCAGAGATTTTATGTCAAATTATTTAAATCTTTACCTGTAAATATACAATGTTTCTAGTAAACCAATAACTGTTATAATAAAATATTACCTAGTTAATATTCCTATATATATTATTAAAAATATAGAAAATAACTATGAAGATATAGAAAGTGACCCTATTGGCAATATTGAAAGAATGACTGTACTATGCGATGAAGCCCTCAAAAAATCTGACATTGATAGCATTTTATCTGGGACAACTGCAGTCGTTGTTTTATTTACTAGTACCGGAATTCACGTTGGAAGTGTAGGAGACTCCAGAGCTGTATTATCAACTATACCTAAAACAAACACTCCTTATCAAGTCCCAGCTGCAAGCTATTATAATCGCTTTAAACGTCCAGTGCTTCCTTTACGAATTTTAAAAGCTATCCCTCTCACAATTGACCAAAAACCCAATCATTTTGACGAGCTTAAGCGTATTATCGCTTCTGGTGGGTTTGTGGAAAGAGTTAAAGATGAAATTGGCAATGAAATCGGCCCTTTTCGAGTCTGGAAAAAACGAGGGATCATGCCTGGCCTTGCAGTATCAAGATCAATAGGTGACAGAATGGCCAAAGAAGTAGGAGTAATTTCAACTCCTGTCAACCACACATTTCCGCTATATTTCAACAGAGACCAGTTTATAGTTATAGCAAGTGATGGAATTTGAGACACTATGGAAAACCTTGAAGTTGTGAATTTTGTGGAAAGGTTTAGGCATAGTTCGAAGTTTTCTTCTGGGGCATCTGATTTCCCAGTAAATACTATGCCCATTATGAAGATATACATGGAGAGTATTCCTTATATAAATCTTTTTTTCAATTTAAAATCTATAATAAGTATATGAAAATATTTATATATATGTTATAAATGGTGATAACAATTCAACAATAGCACGACTTCTTTGTGAAGAAGCAAGATACAGATGATTTGGAATCATAGAAGACGAAGACGTCGTAATTGATGATATATCTTGTGTTATCATCGAAATGAACTGTCTTGAGCCCAGTACCACAATAGAGCCTGAATCAAGCACAGAAGAAAGAAATATAAAAGGCTTCCAAAGCATCACCACAATTGACGAAAGCAAAAAAGAAGACGAAAAAGCCAGAGAAAGCGCTGAGCCTGGCAAAGTAAAAGTTGTGAGGCGAGACTTCGTCAGAGGAAGTACTGCAGCAGTAGAAGAGAACGAATAAGCATCTGCCAAAATACAAATTTAATTAACATTATTTTCACGAACATGATTAGTTAAGAAGTTCTCCTGATTCCTTGACAACTACTCTTTTAGAAGGCTTCCCTGACTGGCTTCCGACCTTTTCAATCTTCTTCACAATTTCATAACCTCAATGGTTCCTTCACACGACGACTATTTCATAACGACTATTTTTTTTTTGCCTATTTTTTTTGGCCTATTTTTTTTTTTTCACCTATTTTTTTTTGGCCTATTTTTTTTTGGCCTATTTTTTTTTGGCCTATTTTTTTTTGGCCTATTTTTTTTGGCCTATTTTTTTTTTGGCCTATTTTTTTTTTGGCCTATTTTTTTTTGGCCTATTTTTTTTTGGCCTATTGTTTTTTGGCCTATATTTTTTTGGCCTATTTTTTTTGGCCTATTTTTTTTGTCTAGCCTCATTCATGAAGCTGCTGAGAGTACTAAAACCTTATTGAGAAACAGAGACTTTTCCTTACGCGATTAATATTGAGTAAATTAAGTGAAAAACTCCTAATTAAATCTAAAATTTTCGAAATTTTAAAAGCAATGAATTAGTATTCATGGAGTAAGAAATCTGTTAAGGGTGCATTTTTTGTTGGTTAAATCGTTTAAAACACATTAAAAATTATATTAAAACAATTAGTATGGAATTGTGCTCAAATATTAGTAAAAAATAGTTAAAAAATTGTCAAAAAAAAGGCAAAAAAAATAGGCTAAAAAAAAATAGGCCAAAAAAAAATAGGCCAAAAACAATAGGCCAAAAAAAAATAGGCCAAAAAAAAAATAGGCCAAAAAAAAATAGGCCAAAAAAAAATAGTCGTCGTGTGAAGATACGACCCTCAATCACTTCTCCGAACACCACGTGTCTTCCATCAAGCCAAGATGTAGGGACTGTAGTAATGAAGAACTGAGAGCCATTAGTGTTAGGGCCTGAATTAGCCATTGATAGCAAGCCTGGACCTTTATGTTTGAGGGTGAAGTTCTCATCGGCAAACTTCTTTCCATAGATGGATTCACCTCCGGTCCCATCGAAGTTGGTAAAGTCACCGCCTTGGATCATGAACTGAGGGATAATTCTGTGGAAGATAGAGCCTTTGTAGCTTAGGGCGACACCGTTGGAGTTTTTGCCATTCTCACCTGTGCAGAGAGCTCTGAAATTCTCGACTGTTCGAGGAACCACTTTTCCATATAAGCCCATCACGATTCTGCCGGCATCTTCCCCGTCAATTGTAATATCAAAGTAGACTCTGTGTGTCACTTCGGCGTCGTGGACTCTAGAGACTGCAAATAGGAATAAGCAAGAAAATACAAGCCACTTCATAATTATAGCCATTTATGTATTTAGGTTTGAAAAGTTTGTAAAAAGCAATTTTAATCTAATAAATGTGTAAAGAGCTTACTTAATGATATTTTTTAAAATTAAATAATTAAATTTGAGCAATTAAAAAAGATTAATTATATATAATAATAAGAATAGCCTGATAATAAGAGTCAATATTATGCTTAAATTTCTTAAAAACTTAAAGAAAAAATTTATATCAAAAATCTAAGAAAGTAAAGACAAATCTAATACCCCAGCAGAGAATAATATACAGGGGGTGACAAATCGAAGGAAGGAGGCTGGATCTCAGTAGATCGTAAGACAAGCTTACTCTCGTACGTACAATCCCTCGTTCCATGTAAGTGGTCTGCAAAAGATTTGTCCCAGTCACTATTTGGTACATTGAGAAGCCGTCTTCAGCATTTCGCCTGGACAAGGATCTCAGTTGGGAGTGGGATTATGGTTTCCATAGGTGACTGGCGGACGTCGCGTTCCAGCATTGATTCTGACTTAGAGGCGTTCAGCCATAATCAAACAGATGGTAGCATCGCGACACTTCCTTGTCAGGAAATCGCATGAACCAGTGATCTGACCCAACGGTTCCTCTCGTACTGAGTTGGATTACTGTAGCGACATCAGTTCATCAGTAGGGTAAAACTAACCTGTCTCACGACGGTCTAAACCCAGCTCACGTTCCCTATTAGCGGGTGAACAATCCGACACTTGGTGAATTCTGCTTCACAATGATAGGAAGAGCCGACATCGAAGAATCAAAAAGCAACGTCGCTATGAACGCTTGGCTGGAAATAATTTATTTTTTTTTTTATAAGTAATTTCCTATAAGAATTTTTTAAAAATATTTTTTGCCACCTTGGCTCCACAAGCCAGTTATCCCTGTGGTAATTTTTCTGACACCTCTGGTTTAAGACTTTTAAAAAGCAAAGGATCGATAGGCCACGCTTTCGCGGTTTGTATTCGTACTGAGAATCAAAATCAAGCAAGCTTTTCCCCTTTTGGTCTACAAGAGATTTCTGTTCTCTTTGAGCTTGCCATAGGACACCTGTGTTACTGTTTAACAGATGTGCCGCCCCAGCCGAACTCCCTACCTGGCTCTGTCTCTCGCTTAGCAAGCAAAGCTAGAACCACGAATGGTCGCTACCTCACGAGGTAAGTAAAATGACATCAAGAGTAGTGGTTTTTCAAGGTCGCAGGGCTCCCACTTGTCTACACCTCCTACGCCATTTCACAAAGCCAGACTAGAGTCAAACTCAACAGGGTCTTCTTTCCCCGCTGATTCTGCCAAGCCCGTTCCCTTGGCTGTGGGTTCGCTAGATAGTAGATAGGGACAGTAGGAATCTCGTTAATCCATTCATGCACGTCACTAATTAGATGACGAGGCATTTGGCTACCTTAAGAGAGGGACGAAAAATAAAGCATTTTTATAGTAAATTTATTAGTAAATTTTTATAGAAAAACGTTGGTCCCAAAGAGAGTCATAGTTACTCCCGCCGTTTACCCGCGCTTGATTGAATTTCTTCACGTTGACATTCAGAGCACTGGGCAGAAATCACATTGTGTCAACACCTTTTGAGGCCTTCACAATGCTTTGTTTTAATTAAACAGTCGGATTCCCCTCGCTGCTCCAGTTCTGAGTTAGCCATTCGCTGTCCTGGGTTACTCCTGGCTCAACAGTCGCTAACGCTGGTCAGGTCGCCCCTTCCTGCGAAGCTATGAAGAGGTCAGAAGGCCCAAGACCTGGCCCTCAGAGCCAATCTTTTTCCCAAAGTTACAGATCTAATTTGCCGAATTCCCTTATCTACATTGTTCTACGTACTAGAGGCTGCTAACCTTGGAGACCTGATGCGGTTATGGGTACGGCCAGGCGAGCGATAAGATTTCCCTCAAATTTTCAAGGGCCGAAGGAGGTGCACCGGACAGCACAAAGGGTGTGCTGCTCTTCCAAACCGATAGCCCTCTCTCGTCGCAAAGACCTCCAGGGCAGCGATTTGTTAAGAAGAAAAGAGAACTCTCCCCAGGACCTCGCCCCGACGTCTTTGAGTTCAGTTGTGTTGCCACTCAATACCCACCGCCTGCTTGTAGAATTTTAACTACATTCCCTTTCGGCCTGGACGATGTCGTC